ATTACTATCTATTAGCGTCTTAGCTACCCCCGTTAGGGCTCTAGTCTTAACGTCTAATATTAGTATATTATAGATAAGTACTCGGTATACTCCCTTACGTTCTCTAAAGAGAACTATCCTTAATACTATAGAAGTCTATAGTATAGGGTTATCTATTTTTTTAACTTTTCTATAGCTATAACGTTTACTATAGCTTTCTTATAGTAATCCTTTATATAGTAGCCTAGCTTATTATAGAAGTTATAGAATTTACTATCTCCGCTCTAGTCTCGTTTAGATCCTATAGTAGCTTTTCTACTCTTTATAGTAGTCGTAGCTTACTATATAGGGAAGGCGCTATTTCCTTTAAAGGGTCTTCTACTAGATCCTTATAAGTCTATAGTATTTCTTAGCGCTATCTTCCTAGCCTCCCTAAGATATAATATCCTATCTAGTATTACTTTTTTAATTTAGTTATAGAAAGCTACTTAGTTATCCTATTAATCTATAGTAGGTACTATAAATCTCCTTACTTCGTCTTATATCTCCTTAACGATATTTATCTCTAAATAGTCGATTCTTATCTATTTAGTTAGCGTATCTTTTAGGCGGTTATAGAGTCTAGTAAGCTTTAAGGCGTATTAGTATATATCCTAATACTTAGCTTACGTTATCTACTACTAGTTATATTTAGCTTCTTACTATATCTCGACTAGGTTAGTAATCTAAGCGAGCGCCTATATTTCGAAGACTAACTAAGTAAACGTTATATCTAGATTATTCTTATAGTATTCTATCTATATTATATTAATTTTTAGCGCTAAGAACTTAGTTACTTAGTCTATCTTATATATATTACTAATAAACTAGTTAGGGTATCTATTCTAGAAGGCTTCTTAGTTCGACTTAAAGAGATTATATTCGCCCGAACTCTTAGCTCTATATATTATTATATTATAGGGTATATATAGTTCCCTTACTTCCTTCTAATAGAATAAGTAGCCTCTAGTACTTCCTTATAATATAATTAAGTTCGTATAGATAGTATTAGGTAGTTAGTAAGTAGTTTAGCTAGTAGTACTATCTAACGAACCCTAATAGATCCTAGATCCTTATATTCTCGCCTATAGGATTACTACGTTTTCTTCTTCGTCCTATAGCTCCGCGCGGATCCTATTTTTCTCCTTTACTAGAGCTAGACGTCTTTTAAAGGTCTCTAACTCTCGGAGTTCCGCCTCCTCGTCTACTTTAGTCGGGGTTATCGGATCTAGCGGGTTTCCTCCCTAAGGGTTATCGTCGACTCCCTATATCTCTATCTCTTCTAGTAGGGGTTATAGGGGTCCCGGGATATTATTCGTTTCCGCGATCGGGGCTAAGGTTCCCCTTAGGCGGTCGCTCGTGCGTCGAGTCGTCGATATTACGTATTCTAACGGTCTAGTTTAATTAAGATTTAGCGATTAGAATGTTAGGACCGGCGTACTAGCGGGTCCTAGTAGGTAATATAGAACTAGAGTGAAGGAATAGTAGGGTACTAGTATATTCATAAACTAATCGCTAAAGAGCTAAGTTCCCCTAGCAGTCTCTGTATAGATGACCTTTGGCGGGTCACGGGACTAGGTCACCTGACCCGGTAGGACTCAGTCTCCCTGGTGCGGTCTCTGGCGGGGGGTCATGCTACCCCTACTAGGTCACGGGTTCTGGGTCACAGGACCAGGCGGGATCCAGCCTGTGAGGCACTCTCCTAGCAGAGGGTCGTAACACTAGGGTAAGGACCTATATATATAGGTCTAGGCAAAGATTAGATAAAAAGGTATATAGGGGCAAGCAAATATTTACTAGCAAATATAGCAAATAGACTATACTACGCAATTTAGGTATTCCGGCTATTAGAGACAGCCGGGCTCATAACCTATTGAAGATATAGAGGTATAATACAGCATGTAGGGTTCAATAATGGGTTCAAATGATACTAGGAATAGGATCTCTCATGGAAGTATTGAATTGTCTAAAGATCTAGATAATATCTGCCTTTTCCTGCTATTTATGCCCCTTTGTGTGCCGAGGATCGGAGTCCTCAATTTGGCCCCCAAAGGTGAGCTTTTCGGCAGAAAAGACAAAAAAGGCGTAGCGTTGATAATCCTGCGGATGAGAGAATCCTGCCTCAGGCATGGTTCTCAACAGCACAATTACCAGACCAAGCCGGCTTCATTAGTCGCTCTTAATGCTAGAGAGCTAGAGACACTTATGTTGTTGACGTCGTGCTGCAATATTTCCGTTACTTACAAAATCATACCCAACCACATCAGTTAAAATATATCGCCTACAACTACGGATCATATTCTCTCCTCATTTCACCAGGACCAAAACGGCTACCTCTACTGACAAGGGGGATTCGAGTCCCGTACCTTTGGGGAATCGAGCTAATACATGTCATATTAAGAAGTCATCGGACGGTTCGCGTCTAACGGACATAGCTTGCACCAAATATGATATAGAGGATGGTAAGTAACTTCTTCTTAATATTGTGTAGTTCAGTATCAATAGGCTATCAGTTACTCCACTGTGCAAATCTGCCCTTCTCATATTTGAGACTGCTGTGTTCTTGATAACCCTCAAGGGACCTTTCCAGAGACCGTGGGTGTCGAGTGCGGGCACCATCGGGGAGCACCACACTCGTGCAAAGCGGGAGAGGACATGATTGGGCAATCTAAACTGCCCACAGAGTAGTTACCTATCGTAATTTCAGCTCAGAGCTGCAAGAACAAGAGTATTGCGAAGAACCCTGGGGAGCTTTAAAGGCTACAGTTTAGGTTAAGGTTTCACTTGGTGGATGGCAGTCGTGGTTACTAATCCCGATATAGACTAGTTTGATTTAAAAGCACCCAATCGCAGCAGCCCTAGTCACGTGCCCACTCCACAAATATCTGGCAGGTGCGATGGTCCTAGCTGCTGGGCAGTTATATATGAGGTACCTATACCTGTAGTTCCAAGGTTAAGCATGCTTCCCGAATGAACTCTCGTTCAAAAGGTTTGACTACACAGTCTACTGGCTGGAAAGCCAGCCACTAAGAGCTTGGACTTTACTTATTACCCTACTTCTTTAGGCATCAGATGGCCTCAACCGACAGTACCACGTATCCAGGCAACGCGGTCTATCTTCTCCTCATTGCACTTTGAAGCGACGCGTCAAAGGATGCTCTGATCACTAGTGCGCTAATCAACTATATATGGAGCTCTGATCACCCGAGCTTTATTCGGGTCATCTACACTCATCAAGTGACCTCGATGTGGGCAGGTACGTGTTCTAGGGCTAAGGTGTACCAGCTGCATTGTGTCACCCCGCTTGGACATGCATTCTAATAAAATTTCACCTATAGCTCGCTCGCACTTCGAGAAACTGTTCGCCTCAAACAACAGGCTTTCCAATCATGATCAGCTTTCCTTCCTTTATACCTGGGACGGTGATGGCCGTCCCAGAGCCTGCTGCGGTGACCGGCACAGTGCTGGTCTTTCCATGATACGACAGACACCTTCCCTTATGGCCGTTCCAAAGCCATAGAACAAAAGCAACTGCAGGTTCTATGCCAGGGAAGACACTACCCTGGCCGACTGAGAATGGGGTATCTTCTATACCCTGGTCGCCCTGGGAGTGGGTTCAAGGGACATAAGCAACCAAAATCCCTCGAATTGCAGGACATGCAACATACGCGTGGACTACAAAAGCTGGACATTTCAGATCCGAGCGATCTGAGGAATCAGCCCTTATTCCGAAACCGGATATTCGGTGTGAACACTCAATGTCTTCGATTCTCATTTACCCACAAACAGAACCATAGGAAGGGGGAGTGATAGGCCGACTCCGGAAAATGGTTCGAGCTCTTCGGAATGAATGGCTACGCTCAATCTGAATCGGTTCTCTCGCGACTTCTCAGCTATGCCTAAACCGCAGCAATACCCGAAATGGAACATGGAGCAAACGAAATCTCCGAATCAGATAACTGTGTCTTCAGATCAAACCCATTTCACAGCTCGCTCTAGAAGATGACAATGGGATCAGGGTTCCTATGCTACTTGTCAAATGCACAGCTTCACTCAAAATCGACAAATCGGAACATACGGATATGACCGGTTTCAGCTGCGTCATCCGTTCCAGTCGAACAAGGGTTCACAGGAACTCATACTTTTCATCAACAAAGCTTTGGAAAAACTGCAGATATTCTCTATCCTAAACCAGTGGAGATGATAGGCAATGGATGGTTTCACCGCTCGTCAAAAGACGTAGCGATCCTATGAGAACCCGATGACTTTCCCGGCTCTGGTGATGAGTGGACGACCACTTTCTTTTTCATTCATATTCTTGCTCTTCATCAACTGTTCCAATCTCTGGTTCGTTTTTACTGGCTATTCTTGGACAGCATAATCAGAGTCTGACTGCTCGGCAAATCAGCTCCTTATACTCTCACTTCAAAAGAAGCAAGCTCTTTGCAATTCTATACGATATCCCGGACGAAACAGAAGTCACCAAAACAGAGACCGCAGTGGAAGCTCAACCCGGTGACATTCTGCGGGTGTGAGGCAAAATCCGGACAAAGCCAACTCGAAAGAAAACTCGATCTAGTCGCTATCACAGACTGAGATCAAACGCGAGTGCGAAAACCTTGTCAGATCATCTTTAGCAATACCCAGACCAGGGCTAACCACCCGTTGCAAGGAAAAGGAAAGAGGGTGGATGTCATGGGAGAACGATGATATGAGAGAATACCAAATTGAACCAACTTCACATATGGGGACATGATCTTCGTAGAACAACTTATACTCGTATGTGTAATAAAAGAATAAAAGAAGGGGAACCGACCTCCGTATATTATGTTCCAACGCCACAAGTGTAGGTATAGATATAAAGTTCTTGATCTAAACCAAAAACCCACTAAGCCCCAGGCCCGGGGGGTAGACACCAACACCAATCATTTAAATGCTAAACTCCTGTGTATCATGACGCTAGAGCAAAGTAGACGGCCATCCTAGATCTCCTGTGCATCCAATCCCCACACCTCCCAATGCTGCAATGCTTCCCATCCAACACGCCGCACACGCCGTCGCCACACAAGACCGTCGTTGGCTAGAGTATGCTGGTAGCAATTGGGGATGAAATGCGCATCCTCTTCGCTGTCTTCGCTTCTGCTGAAATTGTCCATAAATTTGATTGTTCGTCTGGGGGTTTCACTATCATCTGGATCGCGTGATCGTTTCCCTAGCGTTGATGGCGGCACCATGGGCCTTGTATCGGGGGATTGATGTGACCAAGGGACGTTGATATCGGGTGATTTATAAGAGACGGCATGTTGGTCTGATGCGCTTAAACCGATGCCATTGGTAGATTGTGCAGGAACAGGAGTCGTGGGTCCATAGTCGCCATTTGTGAATGATGGAGACTCTGCATCGGTTCGTAGTGGGATGGGGCTTTTGTAGAACTCTTTGAGTTCCCAGGCTTTCCAGCCCATGCCGACGATTTTCACGTTCGAGTAAACTTGTTGATTGGCAAGACTGTAACTCAACATTTCTGCCAGGATCGAGTCATTCATATCCACTACTTCTGCGAGGGTCTTGGCATTCGCAAAAGTGTCTTCCACCGTTTTGCTGTAATCGAATGATACCTTCCCTTGTGTAGAAATGAGCGTCTTCAATGCAGCGCTCGCTGCACCGGCGTGAGACTGCCCGGAGGATGGGGGGATGAGAAGCCGGAGCGCTTTCAACTTCCGGAGGAAGGGTATTAGTAGGCCTAGTGATTCTAAACAGGAAAATTCCGTGGCGAGGGCGACCTGTTCCAAATTCGGGCAGCTATGGACGAGACGTGCGACCATCCCGGAAGAGAGAGGCCATTTCGAGGGGAGAAGGAGATGGCGCAATGTCGCACCGTGATTTGTAGTAATGTGTGAAAGGTAGACATCTCGTAAGCTAGTAGTAGCAATGAGCTGGCTAGCTGGTGAAGCGGAAGTAATGGGGGAATTGACCGCCGTTGTAATGGGCGCGCCGGCCATTTGGTGTTCAGAAACTGGTGGTGTAAGCGCTGTTGATGCCGAGCCTCCACCGGATCTTGGGGAATTGATAGAATCGCTCGAGTCGGCGGTGACATTGACGAAGTATAGTCGCTCGAGCCCATTGAAATTCCCAATAAACTCCGAGTTCCGTTTGGATAATGCATCCATCCGCACAGATTTGATGCGGAGCTTAGCATGTGGTGGGACGGTCGGCCAACTGCTCTCGACGAATGTGTTGACCAGATTGGAGCCCTCCACACCAGTGAGAAACGTGACATCTTCCACAGTCGTCGGATCAAAAGACAAATTGAAGTCTTCGGTGTGGAATGCGTAGAGATTTTGGAATGACATCTTTTTGACCGTCAGGGGCTGTTTGCTTGAGATGAGCTTTCGGAAATATTCGTGTAGAGAGACACTGGGCTCCTGCGCATCCCGCATCCGTGGCGACCAATGTAAACTCAACTCGCGCAACTTCCTACTCTTCCAAAGGAGAGTCGCAATGTCATCGGGGTAGCATAGAGGGTCGATATCGGTGATTTTCAAACATCGCAGATGTGGCATGCCCGGGATCACGAAAGTGGGCTGAGGGTGACGACTGGATGGGAACCGGATAGTCAAGGATGTGAGCTTCGGCAGCTGTACTAGGCCCACAAATACCGTGTCGAGCATTTTGGTGCTTAATTCCCAGTGGAAGCTTTCTAAGTTGGTCATGCGATCTATTGCGGCGCGGGCAGCGATATTCAATAACATGGTCGCGTCCGGCACTCTGCCAACTCGGGCATGCTCTTCCAGCTCATGTTCCTTCCACTCTCCCCGCAGTGTCATGGACCGTACCAGCGTCGCATAGGATCGTGTGATAACGGCGTTTAAGCCTATCGTGAAAGGACTGCCGCCCCCGATTCCTTCTGGTTGTTCATCGCGATAACGGATCTTGTCGTAGGAGGTCAGGGTCAGGCTGCGATATAGCTGTGGCAGCGCCATATAATTGAGAACCCGACAGGTTCGACATAGTCGGGCCAGATCAGCTGTGTCGGTCACCTATGGGGCTTGTTAGGCTATGATGGATGAGATACAGAATGCGCTATGGAGCTCACATGTGACACGATCTCGGCGATGAGGTTCAACGGCAGAACCATCAACTGAGCACCGCCAGGCGGTTCAGTGATACTCGCCCCGAACATATTTCGATTGACGGTCGCCATGATGCGACGTCCAAGGAAAAACGTCACATGGGAATCAAAGAGTGTGGAAACATGGAGAAGCCGGAATCGAGAGTTCCCGAGTGAAATTTCGTCTCCACTTTCGTAAGCCACGGGATCGACGGGGGTCAGCATCCTGATAGCCTGGATCTTGCATGTATGTATATCGACGTATATCGACGTATTATATAGCTTCAATTTCAAAGGGTATCTTTTCTAAATATGTTCCTCCCAACACCAATTCCCAAATATCCCTAATCCTGACTCCTGACTCCTGAAAAATATAACCCTAAAAATGACTGCCTGAACCCCTGGCACCGTCAGGGGTAAGCGCTACGGCACCTTCGGCCCAACTGCTCAGCCTCGATCGGAAAGGCCTGAATAAGATTCCGGCTCATTGCACGATGTTCACTCTCGTGCGGAGTTTGATGAAGAGTTTCGGCCATGCTGTTCGTCGGAACGTCTGTGCTCCGGTCCGGGTTGTATGTGTGGTTCGACCGGTTGCTCTTCATCTTCAAGTGACACATCATTCCGGTCTTCCGAGTATGTTGTATCAGTCCAGCTGCGTTGGTCATAAGTGATGACACGATCATGATGATCCAAAGGGTTGACATCCTCGTTGACCAGCGCCGCAGCTTCGGGGTCATAGTGTAGCACATAGTCCCCGCCTCCTCGCTCCACGTCTGCCTCCGTCCATGGGGCGGACGCCTGTGGTTGATTGGGAATAACCCGCACAGGTAAATTGGACCGGCGAGAGGATGTTTCGTGTTGTGGAGGGGGTTGGATGGGCCGGCTCTCTCCCGCTGGCTGGGCTTCCTCCAACAGTCGATTCTGTGGTGACCATGTGTGCTGGCCGCGCCGACGGGCTGGGATAACGGTGACTGGTAACGAACCATCGGGATTTTGTAGCCCAGCCCTTAGTCGCCCTTTACGGTAGATAGAAAAGAAATTATCAGTTCGCGACCGGGCAGCGTTTGTCTCTGCCTCTGCCTCCTCACCCAACGCAGCAGATGGTCTGTGGTTTGAGAATTCTTCGCCGGCCTGTGCAGACGCCACTTCTTTGGGCAGAGATGCACGTCGCCTCTTGAATGGATTGAGAATGACATGCCATCGCGGGTCGGTCTGGACAATCTGCGGTGACTGCTCGCGGGTGTTTTGAGTAGAAAGAGAATGGCCATTCATATCAGGAGTTTGTAAGTCCCCTTGTTCCAGCTCCTTGGCTTCGTCGAATTCCTCCTCCTCGTCCATATCCGGTATTGCGGCAGGCGGCGTAGGGCTGGCAACTGGGTGATACCGGACATTGTATACTGTGCTTGCTGCACTCGTAGTATCTGCACGGCTAACTGGTGTGATCGCCGCTGGTGGTGGTGTGGGCCGGTTCTGGCGTGAACCCTGCTGCCTCGACGCAGCGACGCGGTTATTTGATGAGGCTTTGGCGCCTTTGTTTCGGTTGCTTCGGGGCAATCCAGCACGAGCTCTTAAGGGACGGTGGGCTAAACCCATCACGCCTCCCCATCCAGATGATGCACCGTTGCCGCCACTTCGGTCGTGTCCTTGGGGCGAGAAACGTGGCCAGTCAACTTCTTCCGAAGGGGTGACTTCAAGCATTTCATCCCCGTCGAAGACCTCGCGTCCTAGAATTCCGTCTTTGGTTTCATCGCGTTCCAACGCCTCAATGCGTTCCACCCACTCCCATACCACCACACTGGCCGCTGCAGAACCTACCCATCGAATATAGGTACCCCAGCCAGCAATTTCCGGTTTGGCAATATCCATAACAAAGAATACGACCGGTATTAGAATAGCGCATAACGATAGAAGCGCCACCAAGCAGATATTGCGCATCTTGGGGTGAAAGAAAGCGTATCGGTGCTTGGATATAGAGTAGAAGATGACCCAAGCGGCGTAGAGAAGATTAAGCGACAACTCAAACAAGTAACTCAGAGCAGGGATCGCATCGTCGTAAAGTCTAGGTCTCGTGGATGAGTTCCTCACCCAGAAATTCTCCAAACTGCTAAAAGTCGTATCCAGGACGATCAACGCAAACCCTGCCCATTTGATCATGACTTTCTCCTTATGTCGGGGAAATAATCGAATCAATGTCTGAACCTGCGCGAGCCAAAGGAACGTGCTCGATATAACGCGCACGATGCGAATTTCCAGTCCATCAATAACCTCCTCGGAAAGCGCCTCGGCATCGGAGAACCCATAGTTGTATTGCCGCTCAGCGACTCGGAAGGAATCGACCGTAGCAATAGTCAATGAGATTGCAACCAAAATCGCAGCCACTTTTTGCAGCCATGGCCGTCCACCGACTCCAACCACCGACGAGTTCCCGCTATACGACCCACTGATCATACCATGGCGACTGAGGAAATTGGCCCCGCCACCGGGACCACCAACGTAGAATGTGCGCGGTGTGATAAGCAGAATAATGACGAGGAGATAGCTAACGACAGTGGCGCAGCCGATAGCATAGAGCTGTGGGGTAATGGAGGAATAGAATGGGTCGCGAGTATCGAGAACGGCGGAGATGTGAACCCCGTCGGTTGGAGAGCCCGTACAGACAGGCTCAAACACAGCATTTTCAGTGAGGGTAATAGGATATGAATTGTTGAGCCATACGATTCCTGTATCAACGAGAAATGGCGCAACTTGCGATTAGACACAACTCCGAGAGCGGTTGTCCGACATCATGTCTGCGGGCCTGCGACCTGCAGCAGCCTGCGGCCCAACAACCATGGTGTCGAGGAAGAGGAGACCACATACCATTACTGGGCAAAACGACTGGCGTACAGCCCGGCGAATAAGTCTTTGTCGTAGTCGGTGTTGGATTCGCCCAGATCTGGCGGGGAGTCAAGTGAAAGTCATCTCCCATGATCGGACTCAGTGGACGACCTCGAATTGCCGTCCCAGGAACAGTTCATATACCGCGCAATTTCCACCGATGCGCCCGTGTCACAGACCGTTCACTAATTAGACTTCCATTCTCGACTGGTTTGGAGCCGCGCGTACAGACGTTGCGAGTCCGAAGGCCCGATTAAAGTTGAGAGGCGGGAATTGGACGGTGTAAGAGAAGAGAGAATTATGTTTCGTCCCACCTGAAGATCAAGGAGGAGGGGGACAATAAGGGGAGAGAGAGAGAAGGATCAAGGTGGAAATCTGGAGTCAAGGATGATCCGCTCCAGGCTCGGCATTGGCTCCTCCACAATTTGCGCACGCTACTCCGTAATTACTCCAGAGCTCCAGGGGTCCGTAGCTGCTTTACCTCGGAGGCTTTACACTATTTATCTATATGTTTTGTCAATCTCACTGTTTCACGAATTGATTATGTGCAGCATGAATTGTTAGATATAAGCTCAGCTGAGACCAACGAGGGTTATTATTCACATGCTAGCCCGTTGACTCGTTGGCAGCTCACGCCTTTCTTCCCTGTCTGTACAAAATTCATCTCACATGGGGAATCTCTCATTCAACGATTTAGTCTCATGGGGAACATTTATGCCTGGGCGGCGAAGCCAATGCGAGGTCCCTCGTCGTCGAAAACGACGTACTGGCTCTTGAGGAAGATGTCACCGAAGATGGAGAAGCCAATGCCAGAGTTGCTCTGAATACCACCGTAGCAGGTGGAGCTACCATCTGTGATAGGGGCATAGTTGATGTGTTCACCGGGAACAACAGCATCGTAGCGGCCAATGGTCACAGTGAAGTCAGGCAGGTCAGCGTCGCAAGGGAAAGTGTAACCACCAACGGAAGAGTTGTCCTCGGAGTCGGAAACCTTAGCATAGTAGGCTTCGACAACCGAATCATCGACAAGCAGGAGGGTGGTACCGGTGTCTATATGATTCAAAGGATCAGCCATGTGCAACAACTTGTAGACCCCCATAGAGGGAGATTTGTAACTCACCAGCAATACCGGTGATAGAGTCGCCGGCAGAACCATCGCCAACCGTGTAACTATCGGCAGTGAAGGTCCACCATCCCTCAGAGCTGTCAACGTCAGTGTAGACCACCTCTCCGGTATACTTGGAGTCATCGATAAACCCGAAGTCATAGGTGCCAGGTTCGCCGTGCTTTAAAGTCACAGCGAACACAGGTGCATCGAGCTGGTCCTTGACGTTATCAAAGAAGGTCTTTTGAGCCTTAGGGCTGACGGTATTGATGGAGCTGAACGCAAGGCCCAGCAAGCCATCGTTGTTCTTGTCGCTGACGAACTGTGAGCTAATGGTATCGGCAGCCTCAACAGCTTGTTCGGCGGCCACAACTCCACCAACGTTGACTTCATCCGTGTAGACATCACCGCTAGCAGAGCTTCCATCTCCGTATGAGATCGACCAGGTAGAACCCGACAGCTTGGTGCCAGTGCTAGAGTCATAGACATCGTGGCCACTCTGCTCGGAAGTTGAGAGCTGGTCGGAAAAGACCCAGCTATCAACAGTCAATCGCTGCTCCAATTGTATATATCGTTTCAATCAACTCACAGGTCGGCAGAGCCAGTATCGAAATCCAGGTTCAAGGTAGTATCGCCAATGGTGACTGGAGTCAGATACTCAATGTCATATTCCTCCGGAGTGGTAATGGCAGTGCCACTCTCAGCAGCGGCGCGGACATGAGCTGGGATAGTGGCACCGTACTTGGCCAGCGCATGAGAGTACACACGAGGCAAGTTGACCTGTCTAGTGCGACTAGGGGTCTTGGACACCTGGTTCACCGTGAAACCCTTGCGAGGGCTTTTCACTGGCACAGCTGAGGCAACGGCTGAAAAGCCAGCGAGAGCTGCGGTGACTTTGCTGAAGACAACCATGGTGGTGTTGATTCTATAGAATAATGAATAGATCTGATAGAGGGGGCGAGGACGATGCAGAAGGGGATGGTCTCCATCAACAGCGGGAGCGAGAACCTCCTTTATAACTTTTTTGGATACATGATACCCTCTGGTGTCTAACAGCCAGAGAGCATCAACTGAGCTGGCTATCGCAACATGCAGGAAAGGTGACACTATCCTTCTAGGAAATAGCAGGGACGATCCAGCGAGATGAAGGAGTGTCAAGGGAAAACCTCAAGATCGTCACGGAAACCATCGGTCATCCAGGATAGCGCGACGGAGACCACCAAGCAAGAGATGGGGGGTGTGCAGGCCAGAGGAGGCATGGCGCCATGGTCTCAGACAGGCAGATGATATCAAATGGGCGTGATTAGGACTAGCGCGGCCGCCACACAAGAGCGGGGGATGTACTAATATGCTAGAAGCAAAATGCCCAGAGAGCTTGGTTGTGACAAGCTATCTGAGTTGCAGGACGGGGAACTCCGGCCAAGACAAGGCGTCGTGCTAGGACACTGCATCATGGTACTCATTCGGCAAAGATTGGTCGATCGCCATACTTCGCCATCTTGGTGCAAGAGGGCATAAGGTTGCAATTGAGGTTCTGAATAGATTGCGCTAGACTTTTTGCAAAGTCAGGCCGAGTAAAGTGATTGTGTAGAATATCGAGAATAGCAAAAAGCCCTGGCGATCATTGCCTGTTATCTCCACGTCGGCCAATGACCAGGCAGAGAGAGCAACTGCCCTTCCCACCAGCTAAACACAGTCACATCGTTCCATTTGGGGGTTCCCATCTCAGAGAGCCCATTGGATGAGACACCCCGTAGGTCCTAGAAGCTTTCAGGCTTAACCTTGTCTTCAGATAAATGCAAGGCTGTCCACAACAACCAACAGGCATCTTAGCCTCCCTAGCTCTCTGCATGGCATGAAACGGAATTGTAATCTCCGACGGGCATCCGTCCCCATATACATTACCAACCCCTGCAGATGCAGAACGTCCGAGTCCATCAACAATGTGACGCTTCACCGAGCAAGACATGGAAGAATATGACGCCCATCCCGGTGTTTGACGGTGAAATTGACAGATGAACAGGAGAGAGTGCTAGAACACCAGAGATGAAGAGAATATATGAATGCTGGTGAGGTCTAGAAAATGCCAGGGACATTGCTGTTTCGTTGCAAGGAAATTAACTACAGACTCTCACGTGGCCTGGTGTGCCAGGTCCTCAGTCATGACACAGTAACCACATGTAACCACATCCGGCAATGATCTTTGCTCGTGCGTTGTACGGACTATACTCCTAACAATCAATCTCACGCCGGGACATGGTCACATTGCGCAAACAAGCGAAAGCCACCAGCCACCCGAAAGCTTCAAACACCGCGGCCAAGGATAGAGATACCATGTGAAAACTATAGAGCACAGACAATATACTATACACTGATTATACTACCCTGGGAAGCGATGTCTGATCTTGGCTTTCCCCTTTTCCTCAAAGCTCTTTGGAGCCCTAAAGGCTATCTTGTAGACATGGCCATGGATCTAATGCCATCATACGCCTAAAGGCGTGATACAAGTCGTTTTGGGCTATAGAAACTGCGGTGCCTCGCTATATATATCCATGATTCTGGAATTATATTGTAATTTAATGCAGGTAGATGACAAGAGAAATTGAGAAGTGCTAGTCCCCAGGACCAACTGAATACTTAGGGTCACCTGCTAAGCATTAAGCTACCTATGCAGAGCGTGCTTATGTCTATTACGGAGTGATCCTGGGTCTTCATGGAAGCAGTGGCAGCCTATCCTGGTTTACGAAGTATACAGGCATGAATGCATGAATAGGCGCATACTCTGCATACAATATCCCGAAATGGAATCAGTCCGACGGAGACCGGCTACTTTGGAAGACTTGAACATAACCCACAGCAGCAGCGGTAATATATACGAAAATACATTGGCACAGACCTATATCTCAAGCGTATTAGGTACCACGCCAAAGGCCATCCCGTACGGCGTATAAAGTCAAGAACAAAGCATACATGTATGTATGAGAAATGCCGAGCGGATCCCGCCGGGGTATATAATTTTGAGGCATCACGGAAAAGACTAGTAATTAGATAAATCGTAAAAGAGACACTGAGACATAAAAAAAAGCCAAACACCGAAATACAAAACCAAACAATTCGTAATCATAACTTTCGTCACAGGAATTGGGATGGGAGTCCTGCGTTCTCGCCCTCGCCGTGGGCATTTCCATCGTATCCCTCGTTAAGAAGCACCTCAAGCATGTCAAACTCGCCAAGCATGGGCCCAGTCCCACCAAGACCCTGATCAACGGCTCCAGTGGAGCTGTTGAAGAATTGATCGAGAGGTAGAGCAAACCAATCTGGAAGTGCGCCGGCATGGTGGCCGTCGCCCATAGCATGTGATGGGGTCTGGTTTGGCGATGACCCATCTATATCATTGGTAGGGAATGTCGTGTTCGAGTCATAGTAGTTGTGGTAGACGGATGGTGGAGGTGGCATGAAGGATACGTTGAGGTTAGACGAATTAATAGGCTGTGCAGGAATGTTCGCCAGTGGATCGTGTCCTGAGCCCATCGGCCCAGCGCCATGATCCACATAGCCCAGACCAGGCCCGCCGGAGGTCGCGTCATGGTCCCGATTAGCGGACCAGGTTGTATGCGTGCCATCACGTCGCGATGCTGAGTTCTCGCGCGATGGTGAATGGAGTCGGGAGTTTGGGACCGAGGTGCGGTCGTGCCCCTCCCCGTCTGCGCCCCGGTCATGGGGCGCAAAGCGCAAAAAGCGCGTCCGGATGCTGCTGGTGAGGAGCTCAAGGAGTCGGGCTACCGTGTTGCTGAGGTGCACGTCATCCACAACAAAATTGCGAAGTGCCTCTACTGTCCGGTCCTGCAGATCTAGAGACACTCTCACATCGTCTTCTCGGGCACCAAGTGTGAAAGTCTATAGGTCAAATTAACATAATACTTGCCGGGCTAGAACGAGAAAGCATACCTTTAAGATGAATATCATTCCAGACAGGATTCGGAAAAAGGTTCGAATGGGGGCATGTCTAAGTCGGCCCTCAGGGACGAGGCCTTCCAACACTGTCTGCAGAATTTTGCGCGAGGAATCGATGACTTCCTGGATATAGTGCTCATTGACACGGTAGAGCTCATTCAGCGTCTGGAACCAGCTACTGTTGCTATTGGAGGTCCCCGATGCAGACTGGCCATTCTGCGTCTGGTTGTTGCTTTGAGCGGACTCATTCGACATGGTGGTCCATCGATCGACAACCGCTTGTAAGGCGAGGGAATTGATGTAGAGACCTGATAGGAAATCAGACATGATCCTTCAGCAAATTAGCGTTGGGTTTGACTTACGGGTGTACTCGAGCTCGATCAACAAAACGCTCCGCATAGCCGGGCAAACTTCTCTCTGTTAGCCTTCTTACCCATACCCAAGAGCTAATTCACTCACGATCAACATTATCCAGCTGCTGCTGGAAATCATTTAGATACGGCTGGAACCGGTCGATTTGCTCACGGTATCTTCCAGTTCTGATCAAATCCATCGTTTGATCACTGGATGCAAACAACAAGTGGTTGGCTTGATAGACAATCTTTGAGATACTGATCCAGCAGTCCTGCATCCGATCAAGATTGGCATCGGCATCCTTTGCATCAGCAGAAGTCGGCGTGATGTCATGTCCCCATTGGGGCAATGGGAGCATAGAAGGAATCCCGAGACGACCGCTGCTGTGTGTGATAAACACGAGAATCAAACGCCGTAGTCGACGTTTCCGTGTTTGTTCAGAGGGTGGCTCATTGGCTGCCTTGGAATCTCCTTTGGGGTCGAAGACACCAAGTTCAAATGCCAGAGCCTGCGCGGTGCTGAGTAGCATCCACGACATTCGATCTGATCGCCAGGCGGGTTCCAGCCACTTTTGAAATGCTAGTCTTCCCTCTGATCCTTTGCTGCAGGTATGTTCGCCGTCGTGGTCCAAGGGGTTGTCGGCTCGACTTTGGGTCTGAGGATCCGTATCCAGGAGAGAATTTTCATCATCACCTGGTGGGAAGTGCAGATTTCGTGGGTGCCATTCTGTGAGAAGTAACATAGCTTCCACCGTACCCAATGATCTCAATTGCCCACTGGCGCTTCCTTTGCCTGACACTGAGGAACTCAGGTCAAATGATCGAGGTCGGCCAATACCCGAGGTCGCAGCATCAAATTTTTCTTGGCCCCAGAATAGACGTTCTATCATGCTGCGTAGATAAGCCCACAGACGGTCATGAATATAGAATGCCCGCGTATTGGCACCCTCGCCCTTAGGTTTCAAATGTCTGGACGCAATGGTGAGGATCGTGACCGCCAACACAGGCTCATCGGTAAGCATTGTGCGATGCGTAGAGGGATGAGAGAAATCGGGAATCACAACAGGGCTCATCGGCGCTAGGTGCTCATAGTAGTATTCCACATAATCCATCCCCTCCTCCACTGAGAGCCAACCAGCACGGACGAATCGCAATCGCGACCAGGCTCTGATGGCGTCGAAATATGCTGGCTCAGGAGGAGCATTGTTAACTGGGCGTTCTCTTTGAGGGCCGGGGTCCGTTATCTGGGGATCTACCGGCGCTTGAGCACCAGCAGGGAAGTATGTAGATCCGCCCATAGACATTCCTGATCGAGGAGTTCGCACAAAGGACCCACCCAAGCTCCGAGGCGAGCTACCTTGTGCTAGAGGCGAGGGCCCTGAGTTGAAAGACGAGACTGACTGTCGCGCAGCAAAGCGATTCTCGAGACTCTGGCGATTGAGGTCTTCTGTCCTCCCCGCTGCCTCTGATAGAAGATGCAAAGCGTCGTGGGTGTTCGTAATTGCGGGCGACAAGAGCTCTACCGCTGTGCGATTCATCATCGAAGGCCCTCCATAGCTGGGAGGCACGGGGCGCTCGCTGACAGGGTATGTGGGCGCTCGTGATTTGGGAGCACTAGGCGTGTACCGCTGAGGCGCGGGTGCAGTCGGTGCCTCAGACCACCTCTGCTGCGCACGCACGGTTTCATGGTCAAATTGAGGTGGATCAGACGGCGCGAATGGCGGTGCTTCAACTGGGCTTTCGTTCTTGGCTACCTCCCCAATCATCATTCGCTTGTCGCGATGGAGGATCGCCGCTGCCTCCACTTCATTTTCTTCTGCATCGGAAGTTTTGCGCTTGCGACGAGTTGCTGAAAATTCACAGCGTTTACTTTCGCGACGGCATCGAACACAGGGTGGGGGGCGAGGGTTATCGACACCTTCAATTCCGATCAGTCACATCGCATAGATCAGAGACAATGGGGCCATACTTCCTAAGTCGCACTTGACCTTACGTTTCCTGCACGGATCACAAGCCTGATATCCTCGGCGATGATGTGCATCAGTATGGTCCCCCATGTTGTGGATAACGCAAATGATGGGGAAGGCCCCGACACAAAGCGATGGAAAGCGAGATAAGCGTTGAAAGGCGGTGGGGGTTACTCCGACGACTCGGACAGAAGCAAAAGGCCTAGAACAGACAGAGAATGCAATCGACACGGGATTGCGCTGTAATAAGACGCGTGAGACAGTCAAATTTTCAATTCCTGCGGAGTTTGTCACAGTTTGCGGTCACTGGACTAAGGGAGTTTCCATTGTATAATGAGAACTCTGCGGGGTAATAGTCCCCGACGGAATGTACCTAAGGGATAGGTACGTCAATACGACTCCGGAGAAGATGCACCATCGGGCTTGACAATGATTGAGTACATTTGAGAGTAAATTGGGATTAAAATTACACAGTGATGGCCAAATGTAAGCAAATGTGAGACCCCAACTCCGATGTTCATCAAGTACATGTACAACTTTGTACAGTGGCCTCCAACAGAGGCCAAGAGAAGGGAGGAAAACAAGACCCGAGCATATTACACAAAGCGAATGTTCATAGAAACCCCGTATTAACCCCTCTAGAGACCTTCTGAATGGGAGAAAATCAACCAGCGGTCGGCAAGGGCTGTTTCACCCGGTTGGAAGCCAAGCTGATGTTCATCTTGGAAACCGATTCCCAGGCTTTGCGCGGCTGAACCGACTCTCCAGATGCACCACTGTCCGTGCTACCGCTTCTAGAATGGTTGGGAGTCGAATTTCCCGCAAGAAGAGCCCGGACACCCCCAGCTTTGCGGGCGGGAATCGCCGAATCACCAGAAGTCAGAACATAGAGGAGATACTTCAGATTGGGAAGCGTATGTCGGATATCCAAAACGCGTAATCCTTGCTTGGTAAGGATGTATTCAATGTTCTTGTTGAGGAGGAAAACCGCATACTCGAATCGGTACTGAACGCTCACGGGATAGAGGGGGTAGGTACGTTGTGGAAGTGAAGCAGAGATGTTGTCTTGGATGAACGACGTTGACCCATTCGCGTTGATGGAGTAGGGCAGAGGCACCGACAGATAAAAGGAAAGCAGGTACACCAAGTGAGCGGTGTGTCCCAATGCCGCCGCGACTATCTCACGGTCGATGTCCTCAAAAGTCGAGTTTGGGAGAGCTAACCCAGCGATGGTGAAAGCCAAAGGCTTCTCGGGGGTAGGTTCAATAGGATAGATTGTGAGAAGGTCTTCAGCAATACGTCTGATCTGGCCTTTCGTGTCGTCCTCGTTTTGATCAAGCAATTTCTCGCTGGAAATCAACCTGTCCTGGGCCTCGGGAAGATGACTGCGTATTTTTTCTTGAGAACTATAACCTTCTTCCATCGCTTCCTTCCGGGCTCTGATGCTGGCAATGAGTTCCTCTTTACGCTTAGTTGCAGCGCGGAATCGTTTGCGCTCCATAGCGACGTACTGCTTGGTAAGAGCAAGCTTTTCCTGTGCAGCAGCAGCATCGCTCGTTACCTTCAGTGCGCGCTCGTTATGCTGAAGAATTGAGCTTATTTGGGCTTCTAACTTTTCTCTAGTTGCCAAAGCGTCCTGTACGCATTCATCCAGATTGGCCAATTTCATCAAAGCGTCATATGATGAGGAAGATAATACAGTTCCATCAGCGGTGGCCTTTTGTCCTGCAGCTTGGAGAGGCATTTCAACTGGCGGAAGATCGGTGAGGTTGGAATACACGCCGTCTGGGAAGTGGAAAAGGATCGAGTTGGCAGGGAGTGGCTGATGGAAGCTCTCCGGGGACTTGCCCAAAAACTGTAGAGATCGCAGATGCACCTGTAACTCAACTAATAGAATAAATTCAGGCATAATGGCTGTCTTTGCCCAAAGCTTTAGAGTCAATTCATCCCTTCGAGAGACATGTGGACCACATAGATCTAAGTTGAAAGACCGGAAACTCGGATTGTTTGCACGATCGACGGTTTCGCTGATGTAGATGGGCTCATCCAAACCCTCACAATGAAGTGAAAAAAACGTATCAGCCATGCGACTGTTGGTGATATCTTCTAGTTTGACCTGTCGGGTACGAGGATTGGGGTCGTTCCAGGGCAGAGTACTTCTGCGACGCAAGCGCACCACGGGCTCGTTCGTATTCTCATGCTGATTCTTATGCGACTTGAGGTTGGTAAAGGACCTTGAGGGGTGCAAGGAGTGGGCTTCGTTCTGTGATAAGATCTTTGAGGGTGTCTTCAAGGTGTTCGGGATATCGTCGTCATCAATAGTCTTGCCACGAGCCCGAGTCGGGGGAGGTGTCACAACCAAATTGCGGATAGAGATCCCCTGGAGATGCCTGAGCCTGCGATTCTGATAATCCGTAAGCATTTGGAACTACCGACGTTCTCTTCGATATCTCATACCCATGCGTAGAGCCATGGTCGCTCTCTTCGGGCACCTGTATCGTGCTCCGTGTCCTTATCCATAAGGTCGGCGCCGCAGGGGAGCGCGGTGACTAAATCCAAAGTCGCAAACAGATCCGGTCGGTCATACTCGTCAGAAAACAGAAGATCCCCAAATCACAATTCGAGGCAATTGAGGTGGTGAGAGGGTGAGCCGATAAGAGATGATGCGGAGAGCAAGCGCCAAGACCTCAGTCTTCCCCGTCAAAAAATCGACCTCCCGTCTCTCTTGATCAACACCGTCTGCGCCTCCCACCAATGCAATAATCCCGCGCCTCTCCCTACACCAATTCTTCTCAGAAAGACTGTACGCAGCCTCCGGTCCGGCCGCAATGGCCTCCAACGCAAAGTCCTTCCAGAAAGTGCTGGATTCAACAGCACTTGCGGCCACGAAATTCATCCGCCGACCACCGATCGACCCGAAAACACCTATTCAAGGGCAGACCCGTGTACCAGGCTCAAATGCATTCAGAGATCAGCAGGACAAGGAAGGTCGCCGGTTACAGAAGGCCTTGAACTCGCTCACTCACGGCAAAAACATCTTCGTGTACCAACACCTCCGCACAAAACAGGTCGTGTACTCATTGACTCGTTACTTGGAGGTGAGTTGCCTTTTTCCATATCTCCGAGGAACTCGAAATCCCTCGCTTTGCCTAGGATCATCATGTTCCTTTCGTCCCATAATATCGCAATTTTCTGACTTCTCGGTCCCTTAGAAAAACAACCTCATCAAGCAATGTGTCAACCATGGCAAGAAGACCATCCCCTCCACAATCCGCAAGGATATGTGGGCGCCTTACTTCTCCGTGCATTTCAATGAGGCGCAAGTTGGACTGAACGTCTACAACCACCTGCGTCAATTCGCCCTTCTCCGCCAGCTCTCCCCACCCAAGGAAATGATCACCGTGACAAAAGAATACCTCGACTCGAAGCGTCCCACAGACCTTAGGGATCAGAAGCAATGGGACAAGGAAAACATGGGACGAGTGGGCCAGATCATGATGAAGAAAGAGCGTGCTTACGCCCTCATGAACCAGAAGGCCACCTCCATCGCCGATGTTGCTTTCGTTCTGCAGAAGCACAGGGATCACATCTTGCAGGGTTTCCCCGATAGCTCCAAGTCCGGTTACAAGACCGTCAAGGCCCGTAGACGCAGGCGTGAGGCGCTTGCGCAGGAGGCTGAGCAGGCCGAGGCTCGTGAGGATGAGGTCGCATCCTTGGAGCAGCAGCTGCAGGTTAAGATTAGTACTGATCACAACGCACCACGGGAGCAGACTGTCAAGATCTTGTGGCAGGATACCTATGATGCGCAGTGTGCGAAGAGCTGGCCCGATTACATTGAGCACGGTCAGCTGCGCTGGACTCGCAACCACATCATTGGCCAGGAAGATGCTCTGGCCACTAGCGAGATCATCGCCGATGGTTCGTTCGAGGAGGCCCCGGTCCCCGCTCAGAAGTAGGTTTTCGGCGGGTTCCTCTCTTCTGTCTATTGCTGTCTCTAGGGCCGAGCAAGACATTTGGGTGTGTTGATATCCACTTCCCTCTAGCTATGGCTTGATGGTTGGTGTTCTTTGTATTTTCTCTCTTGTGTGTTTTTGTCTAGCTTATCCTAGCATTCATAAATTGTACTTTTAGATATATTAAATCATAAGAAGTGACGGCTACTTGTCAAGTGGTCTCTTCTTTTGGCATTCTTTCTAAAGTCGTGTATAAGTACATGTCTTATGTCTTTTCTTTACTATCGTTATTGTGTTTGAGAGAAAAGGTATGAAAGGGACATAGAGCACAAGGCTTCGCCGGGTGACTGCTGAAATATCCGCCTATGCAATACATCCATTACAACATAGACATTGTATTCGCTCGTATTAAACAAAAAACTACATAATTATCTCAAGCAAGCCATATTCTCCTTAAGAGTGCCCTATAGCTGCAGTGTGCACAGCAGGCTTTACATACCTCCACTTTAGCCGAATACATCGCCTGAGGTTGATTTCAGCAATCATCGGATGAAAGAACGAGACAAAAGCCTAATCTCATGAAGGCTAAATTTAGGACAAATATCCTAAGGACAAAAAAGGTTATGCTGACAAGATGACATCGAGACAGCCGGGTCTGATGTCTTATCAAACAAGAGTTTGGAAGCAAAGGACAACGGGCCAGCGAAGTGCACCGAAGCCAATGTGCAATATAAGAAGAAGACACAAAGAAAAATTCCAGAACCTCTTCCGGGTTGGGTGCATTGCTCCCAGAAGCACCATAAGTGGATGATAGACGAGAAGAAAGAAACGGAAATGTTCTATCAGTTCGTTTTTGCTGCTTCGGAATTGTGGTTCGGCTGCATGACATCTCATAAAATCACTTAGTTGAGCCTGGCGGATCGTGCGGGCTCTTGCTGGGGCTCAGAATATCCACGGAGGGAAGGTCGTTACTCTCATTAATTGTCATTTCAGGCCCAGATTCTTGATGGTCGTTGTGACTGGCCATCTTCTGAAGAGTCTCTTCAGTGGCCTTCTGTGCCGCTGCTGGGTTATCTGCGAGACCAGAAGAGGCGATGTTATTCCGTGCACCCTCAACTATCTTATCGGCCTCGCTCAAGCCCTGCGCCACCTTTGTATGCGGATCCCCGTCCACTCCTATCAATTCTGTGATGTTGTTGACAACCTCCTTCAGGCGGTTGGAGTCAAGTCGAATCACCATGCAAGACAGGTTGTCGGTGCTGAATCGTGCAAGAGCGTGGTCAACAAGAATCTTCGATGCATGTTGAGCATCTTGAACATTTCGGATGAGATCGACAGCATCCTGGTCGGTGCAGACATCCCAAAGCTAGTAAAATGGAATTAGTTTCCTTGTATCAACAACATTGAATATATAAAGACTTACACCATCGCAAGCCAGGATGATGAACTCATCACCATCTGGCTGAATGACTGTCTCTGTTGTGTAAGGATGCCCAGTCACGAGGTCTTTCAGGTACGCATCACCCAAAGCACGAGTGACAGCCAAAACCCCATTGACGCGGTTGTTCAGGATTAGTCCGCCGGCATTGGCGATTCTTCTCCCTTCGTTCTCGTCACTGCCCTTATGGTCATAGGATAAACGAAGCGCTTTCCCGTTGCGACATAATACAATACGTGCATCGCCAACATTGGCTGTGTACAAAACCCGTTGTCGAACAGCTTTATCTTGCAATTTGGGCAGGACAGCAGAGACATTCGGGTTAGCTTGAGTTGGAGTTTCCGTATTCTCTGAATTTGTATCACCTTTCGCCGCCGCAACGGCTGCCGGGGCGAGGGTAGAGGATCCGGTAGCCGACTGTGAGCTGGGTACACGATCTTCCCACCGAAGTACAGCTGTAACAGCTGTACATCCCGAATTCTTGACGGGCAATTTCTCCAGCTGTTGGTCCACACTGGTGAATGTTTGGTCAAGGAGTTCTGGGACGGGGCTGTTGGGGCTTCTGCGCATGGCTTCCTCAAGAATCAAATGCAACTTCTTTCCACACCATTCTGCCGCAAAGGTTCCAGCATGTCCATCGAAAATTGCGAAATAACCATTGTCTGTTTCTACGACGCTAGATGAATCCTCTGATGAGCGCGGGCCGCTGACCTTCGGGGAGTTGGCACCATTTATGTATGCGGCACTCGGAGTGGGAGTGCCCAGAAAATTGTAGAGATAGGCATGTGTATCCTCCATTGTCCGGCGACATTTTCGATTCCGGTCTTCGGTGACACCGACGCGGAAAGATGAACGAGCAGTCGGTGCGGATTCTCCAGCGGAATTATTGAACGACCCTTGAGGGACGCTGAGAGCTGGATCCATCTTCCCAAGCTTCTGTAGGGGGCTTTCTGCTATCGAAGGGCTAGTGCTGATGGCAGAACTATCGCGCCCGTTCAAGTTCAAGGAACTTTTGGCGTTATTGAAGAAGTTGGCTGCTTTTGTAACGGTACTACTCCTGCGCTTTTTCTCGCCAGGGTTACTTTGCTCTTCGCTTTGTCGACGAAAGAAGCCAGCACCGGGTGGAGAAAACTTCTTCTCACGCGGACTGGTGCCTGTTGCGTCGGTCTGAAGGGTCAAGGCGCTGGTATCGAGGCCGCTCTCCGGAAGTGTGTCTACTCTGTCTTTAGGTGGGCTCGAGGAACCACTGAACATTCTGCTCAGCAACCCACCCTGCGAAGAAAAACTGCGGCGCTTATTTCCTGCCAGCTTGATTGTATCCCTTCGAAAGGAATTATTGGCTTTCACGGGATGGTGAGAAGGTGATGGGCGGGGCGAACACAGATGGGGGGCGCTGCGAGACTGACGTAGGGTCGGTCGGTCGAGGCGGAAATGGGAGGAATTGGGCTGCAAATGCCGGATAGATCAGCGAGGGCTATGTCTGGGGCCGGGGGGCGAAAAAGTATCTGAAATGAGAGAAAAGGGAGAGGAAGGACAAGAGGCAAATGGTTTAGGTAGTGAGCGGCAGAGACGTGTGATCAATTGGGGCGCATAGTAGAAATCATGAGGCAAGGCGCTGTCCTCAGAACCATGCAATATATATCTTAACACAAGACCAATGGAAACAAATCAAATATCAGATACATGGGCCATGATCAATCCTTAGTCCTCGATCTTCTGGGACATCTAAGGCACATTGGCCAAGTATAGACAACGCATCTGATCTCATCATCTCATAGGCTTCCAACCCCATGGGGGTCCCCAGAAATAACATCAGAGAGAAGAAAGAGAAATAGCACACTTACTGAGTCCAAGCAGATGTAATGGATGATGGAGGGTGAATGGTGAAGAGAGGAAGAGCAATCTCCCCACGGCTCACGCGGCACTGGGCGGAGAGAGCCAAGACGGGGAAACAAATCGATAACTTTAGATCGGAGGACGGAGTACGGGGTACATATATAGCCTGGATCTGATATACTGCATTCAACCGGACTACTCGTCTTTTGGCAGCTCTTATGTAGGATCCTATAGCTGAGGTCTTTCGTCGGATCCGTTTCAAGTCCGTTTCAAGTCCGTTTCTGGCCGATGACGCTATGATCTGCTTTCCCCAGGTCTTCAGAGAAGATTGCTCTATGTACTTGCAAGGTGAATGATGTTCATTGGAAAATATGCAGGACTCTGTCAAGGGTCCTCATTGTAAGTTGGGTAGAATCTGAATTTTACAGAGCAAAGGGCGCGAGAGAAGCTAGGGAGGATCCTTTACCATGAACTAAAATCCCCGAAGCCTCCTGAAGCTTTGGGCTTTTTACGGATAGGCTCATGCGCAAGCTCATCTACAAACTCCACAATCTCGTCTTCTTCCTGCCCACTGCGATCTGCCAATGCTGCCTTCAGATATTTTCCAATGCCACCCGGGGCACCGTCGTCATTCGATTCCGCACCAGCACCGCGGACTCGCTTACCGGTCCAGGTAACGCGGTCATCGTCAACGCGGCGAGCTGTCTCTTCCTGTTCTTCAGCAGAAGGGCCTGTGGCACCCGTGGCGCGCGCTTCGTCGGCGCGCTTCTGTTTCAGGAAATCCTCGAATGGATCTACGAAGACTGTGATTTCCTTGATGCGCACATCGGGGGTAGGACGATTCGTGTTGGCTTCCACGGGGTGGGTCTCGAGCATATTCAGAGTAGTAGACGAAGGGGTTGGGTCATCGATCAGACGACCGAAGATGGTGTGCTTGAGGTTGAGATGAGGCAGAGCTCGATAGGCAATGAAACTGAAAGCACATGTCAGTAATCGGTTGAAGGTGGGGGAGTTGCAAAAGCCACTTACAATTGACTGCTGTTTGTGTTTTTGCCCTTATTAGCCATGCTCAGAGTGCCTCGGCCATCGTGCTTCAAGGGTCCCTCAAACTCATCGGCGAAATATTTGCCCCAGATACTCTCGCCGCCTCGTCCGGTACCGGTTGGATCACCGCCCTGGAGCATGAAGCCCTTGATATTGCGGTGAAAAGGAACATCGTTGTAATAGCCCTTCTTGGCCAGCTGAAGGAAATTCCACACAGTTTTGGGCGCATACTCGGGATACAACTCCAGATTCAGATGACCGGCGGTAGTCACGATGCGTGCGTAAGCTTTCGCCTTGACGCGGCCCCGTTTAAGCATGTATTCCTCCTCTGATAGTACAGCTAGCTCGGCAGATGTGTGCGGTGTCAAGCCCGTACTGGTGAACGAGGCAGCCGCCTTGCCCGTTGTGAACCGTGCGGCGTTGTAAGGTGTTGGCTTTGCCGATTGTGCCCCGCCCACCTTGGTAGCTGCACTTGCAGATCCGAGCTTCGAAACTGTCTTTGAGCCAGCCACGGCATTCGCCTGCTGAGCGCGTTCTGACCGCGCCTTTGCCACCGCCTCTTTCGCCTTTAGGATCTTTGCCGAGCTGCCAAGTGCACTGGTGTTGACACTTCCAGAAGCCTTTTGATCCTCCAGAATTCCCGTTTCTCCATCTTTGATATAGTTGAATGAGCTGAGGTTGCGTGACTCGATGTTCTGCGGATCTTGTAGAGTGATAATGTCCTTCCGACTAAATTCCTCATCTGTGACCAAGTCGCGCCACAGTTTCCCTTTGATGTTGAGCCGCTCTACCGTATCCCAGGAAAATACATTGCCTGTATTCCGTAGTGCAACAATATGTGTGTTATCAGTTAGAACCTTGTAGGTGACCGGGTCAACGTAGTCGCCGTCCTCATTCTTTGCGATAGTCAACTTGATCAAGTCGGAACCCTTCAGCGGGGCTCCATCAACAGGATTTGTCCCATGCTTCTTGATCCATGGCAGAATGTTTGTGAGGTCAAAAAGTGTTCCAGATGGTGTGCAAACGGGATGTGAGTAGGGTTGGAGTGACAGGGAGCAGAAATTGAACGGTAAGCGTTTGAACGCGGCATGGGGGCCACCTTTCTTTGCCTTTGACACACCAGCGCCAGCACTAGCTGAGAATGCATCTTCTGATGCCCACTCAGAGTGTGTGATCTAGGAAAATACACGATTATCAGCGGAAATTCGATATGCGATGGGGAGAGCTTTGAAGGTTCCAAAACAAGACTGGTATTGCATACGTATAGCTTATCCGTTCCTAGAATCGAAGTTATTAGTATGAGCTTGCTAAAAGAGGCGATTCCACTAAACATACCTTTCCCCATAATTGACAATGAAACTTCCAAGGTTGTTCCAGCAACTTTCGCGCAGAGCGCGCAGATCAAATGACGGTAGGATACTTACCGCTTTGAGACTAGCCTGGCCGAGGTATTGCCAGCAGAACAACCCCACTCCATCTAGGCCATGTTTGGTGTCCGACTACATGTATCAAAATGTACATGTACGCTGTTCAATCTCGTGATAAAGATAAAGAAGGTGGACTTTGGACACGTATTTTTATGTCAGTCCTACTCACATATTATCTCCATCAATTATCTATATTAGTGAGATAAATTATAAAATCTTACTCCAAAGGACCTCATTGATAAAGAAGGCGGTGGTCAAGGCGGTAGATTGCGCAGGCCATAGTACTTTTGAAGGTTACATGTAACTACATATGTACCACTTAAAGAGTACATTACCGACTACTACAAAGAAAAGTCCACAAGAAACTAGAGAATCTCATTTTTGTTATTTGACATGGTTTGTTTTGGCAAAGCAAGTCCCTTGTGTCTCCGTTGGGAGTGGATAATCATACATGTACATAGCACAAATGCTATCCTTCCCGCTGAACCCTAGAAGCCTATGCATCGTTAAAAGTTAGAAGAAAACGCCACGGGGGGAAGCTGGGAGCTCCACCGCCTGAATCATTCAACATGCAAATTGAAAACGCCTCCGATGACGCTGTAGATCATGAAAATTCATATCAGTAAAGAGAGTGGTGTGGGAGTATTTAAGAGAGCAAGGGCTGGAACTTCAATGGGACCACCCATTTGTTCCCGAAGTCAATTCCATGGCGACGACGGGTACCATACTTCCTCCACACAACCTGAGGGATTCCAATATCGGCAACTGCCAGATTCCAGGTCAGTCTTTCGCCAGATAAAAGGGCATTCAAGACACCAGTCTTGGGGGCTCCGAGACAGACCACCGATGTGGCATTAACGTAAAGGCGATTACCCGCAGCCAGAGTGATCTCGCCTATATAGTTTGTCATGTTAGTTCTACTGATTTGGATGGATTTCCGTGAGCACGTACCAGTAGAAGCATTGAGTCCGGAAGGGACATCCACAGATAGTACATCAACACTAACTCGGTTCATCCAGGATATCATTTCGAAAGCCACACCTTGGTCGTCGGTTCGAAGATCGTCAAATGATAAATGCATGCCAAACAGGGCATCAATGATCACATCAGGGCCCAGGTCTGCAGGGCCCAAACGAGTCGATAGGTCTTCCCATCTGAGCACACGTCCCCCAACCTTGCGGAGAATATCAAGCTGCTTGCGGCAATTTTCCAGCAGTTCAGCGTCGTGCTCTAATCCAAGCAAACAGACTGTAACCCGATGACCCCGGTTGCGAAGATGGCGAGCAGCTGCAATAGCCCTTGCACCGGTGCGGTGGTTACCAGTAATAATAAGCATAGTGGGTGCAGCTGCGTCGTTGGAAAGAAGGCCCACAGCTGCTTCTGCAATTCCTCGACCCGCATTCTCTGTTATAATCTCATCGGCCAACCCAAACTCGGCGACTGTGATTTGCTCGATCTCCAGAGTCTGTAAAGGGCTCACTGTAGGACAGCTACGATTGGTAGTTGTAAGCCGGAGAGATCCACCGCTAGAAACATTCGGAACGACCATGGGGGACACGGAGGACCGGCCTGGTCGAGGACTGGTGGTGCGAGAGATGTTCGCCAGCTGACTGCGGCCAAACGCACTGAGCTGTGGCGCCATTGCGGGGGCCTGTATCGCACTGTCTTTACGGATAGGCTGGGAGTGGGTAGCCACCCTAGCTCGCTCACGTCCGGAGACTACCTCGCTACCCATTTTTATCTCACTAACCCGTTCGATATCATCACCGGTATCGCTGTTCTGTGGGCTATCAAGCACATTCTCTGTCCAGTGTAGATTCTTTCCGCCATTGGTACCAGGCTTGACTCTTCGATTGAAACTGACCAGACGATCCTCATCCGCGGTGGTGTCATCATTTCGAATTTGTTCAAATACGGTTCTCTTGTCAAACTTTGACAGATTACTTTCAAAGTCAAATTCACCCAACTCTTGGATATCGGTCGCATCTTCAGTTGCCCAACCACTGGGATCCTCGGCATAACGGCGTGACTTCTTCTTGCGAAGTTTAGTTCCGGACCGACTCATAACTTCAGGTGAATCCTGGAATGCAGGGCCAGCTGGCTCCACAAATGCAGTCTGACGCCAACCTTTGCTCTTTGGGTTGGTGCTCGCTGCGGCACCGTGTTTGACAGCATATCCTCCCTCTTCGCGCAAATTGTTTTGATTGCCACGTCGATTGCGCTTTGGTGTCTGCTTCAAAGGCGACAGTTCCTGTGGGCCTTGAAGTGCTTTCGTGTGGGGATCCCCTTGTGTTCCGGTTTTATCGCCATCTGTGTCCAACTCCAGGCTGCTGAATGGCTCAACCAAAGATGCCGAAACTGCTCCAGGCATTTGTTTTGGGATTGTAGCCGTCGGCACATTCTCTATAGATGGTTTAGACATCAGAGGGGGCTTGGAAAAGCTTAGAATAGCGGGGTCCGTGAATTGCTGCTGGGTTGGAGTAGATTGGGTTGGAGCTGGTGGCACAACCATTGTTGCCTGAGTTGGGATGTGAGGCCTATGTTGGACCTGATGTATTTGCTGGGACTGCGAGGGAGCCTGGTTGTTCGTTTCAAGAGAAAGATTGCTAATGGCCAAGGCATCAATGGAATATTGAGGCAAGCGTTGTCCATTCCACAAAAAGGTGACTAGGTGATAGACGGTTAGACATCACTCCATGTTGAAAGTACCACTTTTATTCATATCTCACCATCCTGGAGCAGCAAGCGTTGCCCAAAGACGTTCGCGACCTGGCCCACCAGCTGTCCACCCGGTGGCTCCTTCAATGTCACTAGCACATTGTAGCCAATAAATTCGGCAGCCATAATGATTAAGAACTTCAACAGTACAGACAAAAAATCATCAATTGCGCAATTTGATTGTCTTAGATTGCGATGTAAACTTCAGAATGAGACTGGAAGATGCAAAGGCTTCGGGGAGAAAGAGCTGTCAGACAGCTGCATTCCATGATCACGTGGGATATATAATCGATAAGCCGTGGGCGGTGGGCGATAACAATAAGCTAACGATAACGATAATGACATTGGCATGGCGATAGCGATAACGGAGTATGTACTTTGTAGGCCAATCTTGAATCTTGATGATCATCATACAAGCAGTGTGAAGCATATGTTGCAAATTTTCGTGGTCATTAATAATGAACTGTTGGAACTGAAGCTATTCAAATGTTGTTCAATATCGAAAATATTCCCCACATTTACAAACCCTACGTTCAAGGAAACGAAACATGGGGCCATTCACCAGGCTATATCGATTCATGATCAAAAGTCTTCATCATCAAAGTCATCCGGGTTCAGAGCACTTGAAGGCTTAGACTTCATGGCATCTGTGATTGTGGCCAAGTTGGAATAGAAGTCCACCACCTTTGGATGCACCATCACCTTACGAGGCTCGAATCGAGTGACCTGCAGGCCTTCCTGCGAAACAGCTCGACTTAGCGCGACATAAGCCTGACCTTTCTCGAACACTCGGCCCAAATCAACTTTCACACGTTGAAGCGTCTGTCCCTGGGCCTTGTGGATAGACAAAGCCCACGCCAATATCAATGGGACTTGTTGACGTTGTGCTTGAACTTCTCCATTGGGAAGTTCGATCTTCCACGTCTCTGGTTGACACAGCAAATGACGCTCTGTGCCATCGGGCTGAAGAAAACATACTAGGGGCCATTTCCGAGCCATCGAGGCTTGGCCATCCTTGAAGCCCATAGGTTTGAGCCTCTTGCGAGCCCGACTAGCCCGCTCATCATCGCTCACAGTCGCATCATCCGCGAAGCTCTTGTCGATCTCCTTATAGGAATCAAAGTAATCTTCACTCATGAAAGCTACCACTTTTCCGATAGAGCCATTAACAAGCGAGTCCTCCATGTTCTTAATAAGCATAACTTGAGCACCCTTCTTCAACTGGATCAGAGGAGGGGCCATGCAATTTGATAACAGTCTTTCGCGATGTTGAGGGTCCTGGATTGTTCCTGAATCCACTGCGTTGAACCTCATCACTTCGCCTGAAAGTCTTCCCATTCGTGCAGAGTTAGCCCCTTCCACTTCAGCGCGCGTTGGGAACCTAGCATAAGTCAGCTTTAATGTAATTCAATCTAGAGGAATATAACATACAATTCCGTCGCTTCAATCTGGTCATTAATATCCAGAGGGCGAGAAAGCCTTCTGAAAGCCTCGATCGTACGAGGGGTGATCTTTCCCAGTCGCATTTCATTCAGCATATCTGCAAACTCCGGATCTCGTTGACGGAAAATGTTGGTTAAAAGGATGGTGTGTTGGATACAGGTTGTCCAGGAAGCAGCTGCGAATGCAAACTTTGCCTCTCGATTGCTTCCGTCCGGCACAGGAGGTAGTTGGAAGAAATCGCCAGTTACAACAAGTTGGATACCTCCGAAAGGACGACCATTGTTGCGAATGCGTCGAGCAATCTCTTCAAGTTTGTCAAATAAATCGCCGTCGACCATGGAGACTTCATCAACAACAAGGACCTTGGTACGCAGCCAGCGATTTCGAGCCTTCTGGTTTTTTTTGATCTAGTAAATTGTCAGCAGTGATGAGTTCTGCGTGGGTAAAGAGAGACTCGCCTTTTTCACCAGTTCAGGCACTGGCTCTTTGCCCAGCCCGATTCCAGCAAAACTGTGGAGCGTCACACCTCCAATATTACATGCCGCAAGACCTGTTGATGCCGTAACTGCAACTCGATCGGGTTCTTTGCGGTATTTGTTGCGCAGCTTCGCAATGATTTCCCTCATGAGTACTGACTTTCCTGTTCCCGCAGAGCCAGTGAAAAACATGCTCTTTGTACGGTCCACGACAGCTTCAAGAACAGCTCTCTGCTCGTCACTCAAAAAGATAGAGGCAATCTTTGGGCGGGCCTGTGGCTTCGGGTTCACGTCGGTTTGCTGGGTCTTTTTATATTCTTGTCTCAACTCTTTCTGTTCTGCCTTGATGGCGCTTTCGGACTTGTTCCATGGTTCTGCGGGCCTTGCGCGTTTGGGGGTCACAAAGCTCCTCCTTTTATCTTCGCGCGGTTCCACTTCTTCCTTGGTCCATGGAAGGGTTCGAGGTTTCCTCACAGGAGGTTGGAAATGCGAGGGAGGCGAGGATGACCACGGTAACTGCATGCTGCTTGGAGGAGCGAGTTCCTCTTGGGACATGGGAGGAAGATCGGGGTAATTGACGTCTGAGGGATCTCTGTTGCCGTTGGCAGACTGGCCAGTTTTTGACGGATCAAGGCTTGGATATGTTACCGTCTTTGAAATGGCGGAGCTAGTCATCCTTGGTGCGATCAATGGTTGGGGTTCGTCGAGGTCAAGATCATCATCGAAGTCATTCTCATCGAAATAAACCGCATTGTGCAAGGACCCCAGCGAGGACTCGGGTACATCAATTTTGCGTTTGATAGCACTGGTTTGTGGTTGGATTTGCGATTGCGAAGGGGCTGTCGCATTGGCACGTAACAAGTCGGACTGGTGGAGAGGTTTCGTGCCACTGCCTGTGTGGTCTTGGATGGCTTTTTTGAACATTTTCTCGGTGGTGACGGCGGGACGAACCGAGGATGAATACGCAGATGGAGTCTGTGGTCTCCTTGGGCAAGTCAAAGAGAGCGATCTAACTGTGTGTATGCCCCGCGCCCTGATTATGACAACATGCATAAAATAGAATGCAGACTGTCAACCAGGACAATGAGATTGCGCCAGACAACTCCGATAGGGACGCAGATCGGTTTTCCACGACGCGTTGGAGACGCGATTATCGCCACGTGATTTGAGACTGATATAGATAACAGCTCCACCGAGATCTGGGTCTAGACAACGTTATATAGCACATTGTTGGGCTGGATATGTATGTTTCATATGTTATAAGTCGCCAGAGGTAATTTGATTAGCCCAAATACACTGTATAGCTATCAAAATAATAATAAAAATGCTTCTCGAGTGCCATCTCCCATGGAGAATTGGGATGATTGGTCAGAATATATAGTTCAGATCTGATGTCCAATTCCTATCATCTGTTTGCCTCAAAACATGGAAGATCAAATATCCCATGCAATCGAATACAAGGCATTGATTCCTACGACTCTTCAAGGTAGATAGTTTCAACATTGATACCGAAAACCAGAAGCTATCCACGCGTATGCGAGGAGACACCATATCACGTGATCATCAATTACCGCAAAACACGCGGGACGAGAATGCGCCATCCAGATAGTCTCAACCACCAGTCGCGAGGATATCTTGCCAATCACGCGATATCGAAGCAGGATACACCCTGCGACCATGAGGAATGGCAGGGATGGCTGTTTCAAGTACGTGAAACACCGCTTTCTTTTGGGCTTGAACTTGAACCGCTAACGAGCCGTGTGATAGACAAAGACTACCCTTTGACGGGCGTAGTCATTTGCTTTACGTCAGTTCAAATTGAGAGAAGGGTATGTATATACAAAGAATTTTGGCGATTCATGAGACCACTGGAAAAGGCTAATTTGTACTCCCATCGCATAGACCCCGTTGACCCAAATGGCCGAACAGATGGGCGCAATGCACAGTATCCATCTTACCTCAGACGTAACCCATTTGCTTGTGGGTGATACAAACAGCGACAAGTACAAGTTCGTTGCGAGGGAGCGAAATGACGTTTTGGCAATGAATCCGGAATGGATCGAGGCTGTACGACAGTCATGGACCCAGGGAGAGGATATAGATATACAGGCATTGGAGAAACAATATCGACTGTCAACTTTGCATGGGCTGAAGATTTGTATCACCGGATTCTCGGATCGTGAGTCCGACTTTTTCACTTGGACATGAGGAAATGCTCACAAATGCACCGCAGTTCCTTTTCGAGCCCACATGCAGAAGACAACAGAGGCAAATGGGGCTGAATATCGGAAAGACTTGACCAAAACAGTGACACACCTTATTGCGCGCACCTCGGAGGGTGACAAATACAAGTTCGCGACACAATGGAATATCAAAGTTGTTTCGGTCAAATGGTTTGAGGACAGCATCGAGCGTGGAATGATCTTGGACGAACAGAAATATCACCCGTTGATACCGCCAGAAGAACAAGGTGTCGGAGCATGGGACCGATCATTACCCGCAGAGAGAGAGCCATCTCGAAGTGACAACCCCTCTATCAAAGAGAACCCCCTCAATCCTCGACCTCGAAAACTACGCAGAATTGCAAGTACCAAGCTGGTGGACCAGAATGAAAGTATCTGGGGAGATATTGTCGGAACTGGATTTGAAAATAACGGCACGGGTGGAGCTAAACAGACCCCCCAAGGACGAGGCGAAGCCCCCAAACCCGTGATTCAGGCATATCAGTCATTTGCTAGCGAGACTACACTCTCTGAGAGCGCCGAGGCTCATATACCACCGCCGGTTGCTCCGTCCAAGGACAATGGATATCTACACTTGACTTATTTCTTTATCGATGGATTCTCTCCCAAGCAGGTTTGTGCTCATTCTTTTGCGCATAATGACCGAGAGCTGACATGTTTCTTAGACCAAAATCCTGCGTGAGCATCTCACTTTCAATGGAGCTCAATTGGTGAATTCGTTGAACGAGTTTGCCAGCCCTAGTATTCCCAAGACAGGACACGGGCTCTTCATCATGGTGCCGTACCAGACTCCCAGCTCAGAGGTTCCCTCAACAGACGAAATGGCCTTTGAATGTGAGATTGTTACAGAAATGTGGCTGGAAAGATGCATTGATGCTCGAGCGTTTATCCCCCCCGAGTCACATGTGGCAAGCACTCCATTCCCCAAATTTCCCATATCAGGTGAGATCTCCTTGGATCCAATATTGTAACTTGCTCTAATGTCAATGGTTATAACAGGGTTCTCGGAATTACGCATCTGTTCCACTGGCTTTGGAGGTATCGATCTCTTGCACGTCCGCAAATTAGTAGAGTTGATGGGGGCTACATATGGAGACTATCTCACCCCAAAAGCCTCAGTTCTCATTTGCAATGACCCCCAGACAGCAAGTCTTGAAAAACTGCGACATACGAACGAATGGGGAGTCCCAGCAGTGTCTGCTGACTGGCTTTGGATATCCATTCAAGCAGGACAGAAGAAGTCATTTGAACCATACATTGTCAAACGAAAGATACCCCAAAGCGCTAGCAGCGCAGATAAACTTGGTTCTTTATCTGCTAAGCGAAAGCAACCTCATGGACATATCGATGAACGACGAGCAGATTCTCCGTTCAACATCTCCACCGAGTCCACAAATGGTAGCAGGCCCGAAAGGCGAGACTCAGGGAAGAGCACCGCAAATCAAACAACACCCATCGTCGGCGACGGCTTTGAAGCCGATGCACCAAAACCCTCTGTCCCGGAGTCTCGGTCTCCATCCCCGACCAGGAACCCAGACAAACGAGATGCTTCACAGGAGTCGAACGCCAAACAGCCCGCACCGAATACTGAACCGGTACCACCCATTGGACCATCCGCATTGGACACCGCTCTCAGCGGATTTCTGCAACAAGCCCGAGCTGCCAAATCACGGCTGCTGTCGGAGAGTACCACGACCAACGATGACGGAAATCCGCCTCGAAGAAGACGCAAGCCCCTTCTAGGCCGCGCCCCATCCCACTCTTCAGTGCGAATGATCGAAGGCCAGCGTCCCGTCTCACGCGCCAGCTCGATCGACACACTCAACGATGACGGCCTCGGCAACGTCCTAGAAAGCGCACACCCGACTAGAGACAACTCTATATCCCGCAGTAATAGCAGGGCGGAGCAGAGTCTGTCATCTATGCTCAGTGGCGGCAAATTCGATTTCCTAAACGATAAACTCCCTGCCCATGCTGAAAACGAAGACGAGGAGAACCAGGAGCCTCAGATGACGCAGCTGGATTATGAAGACCCTGATGCGGCTGCTATGAGGGCTGAGCTTCTCAGGGATGCTGGGAAATTATCTGGCAAGACGGCGACGGCGGCTAGCTCTGGTGTGATTGTTGGTGAAATGCGCGAGTTGGAGGACATTGGATGGGCGTCCGGGCGGAGGACAAGGAGACATCCTGTTAAACTGGATGATGAATGACGGCTGCCAAATGGTTACATGAAATGGGGTGCTACTCTTTGGTTTAGATTTTTTGATTTGTGTTTCATCGGCGAAGGCATGGCATTGCATTGCGAATGGCGCCCCCTGGTCTATCTATGGTTTTTGAAGAGCAATATCTAGAGGTGATCAATGATAATCAATCTAGTTGAACATCAAGTTAGTTGTTTACTGGCCTCTTACCACATAAGCACAAAAGCAAGAAGCTGCATTCTGATACTAAATCCTTCAAGGACAGCAGAAACGAAGAAAGAAAAGCCTCGGATCTTGATTGAGAACGAGCAGAAAGAGGAATTCAGAAAAATTCAAAAATTGAAGGCTCACTGCAATCTTAGTTCAGATGGGAATCTTGGGTAAAAATGGGACTCCGGCTTTGGTGTACGCCCTCGCGCCGTCCACTCCAGGGATGGAATAAAAGCCGACGAGGCAAGAGAATCCCTCAGCAAGAGTGATTGTAGGGCCAATGGAAGGAACTCCATATAAAGAGTTAGGGAGGATGTGGATAAGAAAAAGAGATATACGAACTGTACAAGTCAGAGGGCAAGAGAGTAGGAAAGAGAAAAGGAAGATCGTAGGAATCATAAGTTGTTGTACAAAGGCGAGCCTATGCTTATGCTTGCATTGCCGCACCCATCGCGCCAGGGAGATGAGCATCTAAATCCAAGCTCTCAATAGAGCGACGATTCTCACTGCTATCCCGGAAGAGGTTAGAGAAATACTTGGTGGCAACATCGCTCTCCTGCTTAATTTTGGTGACCTCTTGCTTTCGTCGGCCGAGATCCTCGATATCCTGAGATAAACAGGTCTGGAGATTGCCGGCAGGCATGCGCAGCATGCGGCGAACTTCAGTCGAGAGTCGGTTGGCATTTGTGTGGACATAGTCCATATCATCAAGAGTAGCGGCAATCTTGCGCGACAAACGTGGAGGAAGGGTTGTCGGGATGGAGCTGAGCACATAAGCAGTGGTCAAAACAGCTTGAATGAGGTTAGTATGTGTTTGATTCCTGCAAAGATAGATGAGAAATACTCACCAGCAGCAACGATACCAGGGAAGAACAACCGACGAAGGTTGTTCGGCCCAATGAGCTTGACAGCGCTGAAGGCACTATCCACCCAACTGAATCCACCCAATGCTCTACCACCCAGCACAGTAACCGCTGTCATGGCAACACCTGTTCCTGCCATCTTCTCTTGGCGCTCCCAGAGGCCAGCAATATCGAAGAAATCCCACAACTCAACTTCAGTATCAACTTGACGGCCAAATGTGTGGCGACGGCCGCGGCGGAACATCGCATCTGCGCGGAAGTTGAGTGGGGTGAATTTATCTTCACCAATGTGCAGGAGCCCGATATTTTGAATGAATCCGACTCCTTGAACAGTCTTCTCCCTGGCGTAGTCCTCACAGTTGTTAACGGCTAGAGCAATCTGATCTAACATTGCTAGCTTCAAGTCCTCGGCGTATTGGAATGCCGAAAACAGACCAGGATACTCGACACCAAGGTCGGCTTCAGAGACACGCTCGATTGTGTTGGTCAATGTTGAACGAGTGTAGTCATAGACATCATCACATGAGTCATCGATGGCCCTGTTGACACCCTCTGCGAGCTCTCCTTTCTTTTTCTTGCCATTCTCGAATGCGGGTTCAATTTCAGCCAGTTCATCCGTCACCCGCTTAAGCTCAGCTTGTGCGACATCACGGTTAACTGTGGCAAGGGAGGTAAGATCAGCCAGGAGATTGAGAAGATAAGTTCTGGCAGGCGCAAGCTTGGACCGAGAGCGCTTTTCAAGGACGAAACGTCGCAGAGCGCCCTCGAGATTCTCGAAATCCTGGAGTTTCTCTCGTTCTTTGCCCTTGCCCTTGCCTTTGGAATCTTTTTTATCATCCTCATCGTCAGAGCCACCATCACCTCCACCAGAGCCAGATTGCGAGATGGCGGGCGCAACGGGAACAGCATTGCTAGAAACGAAGTGAACCAGCTCAGCAGCCTCCTTGTATGTACGAGGACTGAGCTTGCCGATCTGATCCAAAATCATGCGTTCGCAACGTTGCTTGTCGCGAATTTGATCAAATCCGTTGACCACCATGAATATGTATGCCTTTTCATGTGCAGCATTCAGAATGAACTCCTTTGCAGACAATGTGAAATGGTTTGCGGCCGAGACTACAAACACAACGACGTCAATTTCCTCCTGGCGAGCAAAGACAGCGGTTGTTTTCAATGAGTCCGAGTTTAGGCCAGGTGCATCGATTAAAGCAATGTCAACCACACCATTGTTGAGGAGTGATTCATCAATGGACCGTACATCCTTGACGTAGACTTTGCACTGCATATACCTCGTGTTTTCGATGACGATATCTTCGAGTGCGGCGAGAGCATAGACATCAAAGGTACTTTCGTCATTGCGGTTATATGGCGTATTTTTGTGGACAGCGTGGACTTCTTCCACGCCGCAATTTTCACGGGCATCAAGAACCTCGCAGAAGATGCTGGTGCAAGGTTGCTGGTCCTCTGGCAACACCTTTCGGCGCAGAAGAGCATTACAGAATGTCGACTTTCCTGCATTCAAGTCTCCTGTAATCAGAACCTTGCTCGAAGTGTCCTCAATCCTGTCTCGCAGCGAGAGAAGATGCTTCATGCTTTGAGTGATCTTTCCATCCAATAAGGCGGCAATTGATGCCTTTTCCAACGAATGCACTAGCTCTGTTTGCGAAAGAGCACCGAGTTTCAAATCCAGTTTCAAGATAGAAAACTCCTGCGCAATCTGTGGGGTCATCAATCTTGGCTCTGTCATGACGCGACGTGGCGGCGAGGCACTGAATTCTCCCCTGTCTTCATTTCCGATAGTGGCTGCGCGTCTCAGATCGGGCCGGGGCGGAGTGCCGGGTCTGCTCTCGTTACCTCCTGACTCCGAATGAGTTTGGTACGGCGATGGACGATCCATTGGCGAGGAGGGCGTGTTCTGCACGGAGGGATAGTGGGCAGGCCATTGGCGGTTCATATCCTGGAGATCCTTCAAAGTTTCGATGGTTCGGGAAATCGCACGACCAAGCTGGGTTCGGTTCGAGTTGCTGAAAGACTGTAAGCCTTGCCGATTTATGACTGAGTTATTCTGCGGGGAGGCGAAACATACTACATGAGTTGAGAGACATGACTAGCAACCATTTGCTTTTCATGCTCAGCTATATCCCAAGGTCGCGTTAATTCAATTCGGTCCTCTCTTGACTGGAACATCATTGCACAGCCATCATTTCGTAGTCTCGAATCACGTACCCGCAGGATTCCACTCTCCTGGACGCGTGGGAGTATGCACCGGAGTCGGTCTATCCTCCATCAACCCTGCGCGCCAAGCCGCGCTTGCATCACCCTCCGTACTGGCATTCTCGGAAATGCTACCTCCATAACCCGAGTCCTGATTGAGCGAGGTCATCAAAGCCGTGGCGCTTTCCGAGGTCGAACCGTTGCCGACGGTCATGTACGTCGGCGGGGGACGAAAAAAGGATTCTTCTCGGGAAATTCTTCCTCGCCTGGGACTCTGGACGAGCCAGCTCTGGATGACGAGCCCTCACCGGGACAATATTCCTGACTCATGACGGATTAAACAACTTAACGTTGGGGGAAAATCCATCAAAGAAAAGTTGTGCTTTTGGTCGGTTGCTTATGAGAAGATCAATTTCTTGGAAGGTTTGATGACGTCGGACCAAAAGGGGGTTAGTGTGCATGTGACCCGGTATTGTTGTAATGCGCCCGTAATCTTACCATACCGCGGTTGATGTCACTGTTGCTACGCAGGCTCCTACATTGGACTGGAATTCACTCTCCGACTCATACTGACAGCCCATTATTACTTGCAACCATGAATGTAGGCTGCATATTACACCTTTAGATATGGCTATTTTACTCACGCGAGGTCTCTCAGATCGTTGAGTGGGCTTTCGGAAAGCGCATGACCCCCGCGGAGCGTCTGCGCAAACACCAGCGCGCCTTGGATCGAACCCAGCGTGAACTCGACCGAGAGCGGGTGAAACTAGAAAATCAAGAGAAGAAGCTAGTACAAGACATCAAGAAGAGTGCCAAAAATGGGCAAGTTGGAGCCTGCAAGATCCAAGCCAAAGACCTGGTTCGGACACGGAGGTCAGTTCCTGATGATTATTTCCTAATTGCTGTATCCTTGGCTAATTGAAGGACTTCAACAGATATATCCAGAAGTTCTATCAAATGCGCACCCAATTACAGGCTATCTCGCTCCGCATTCAGGTATGCGCAAACTGACATCTACTGCCCCTCTTGATGCCTCGATGCGCTGACTATTGTTGCCCCCAAGACCGTTCGAAGCAATGAGCAAATGATGCAATCTATGAAAGGAGCTACGATGCTTTTGGGTAGTATGAACAGACAGATGAATCTCCCGGCACTCCAACGGATTGCGATGGAATTCGAACGAGAAAATGACGTTATGGACCAGCGGCAAGAGATGATGGACGATGCGATCGACGAGGCCACAGGAATGGAAGGTGAAGAGGAAGAAGGTGAAGATATTGTGAAGGAGATTTTGGATGAGATTGGCGTCGATCTGAACCAGGCGGTTTGTAACCCTCAGCCCCCAACATCAGAAAGCGGACCCCGCGGGCTAACAGATCCAATCCACAGTTTGGCGAAACACCCGCAGAAATACAAAAAGCACCAGCGAATGAAACTCGGGTTGCGCAAGCCATCGGAGGGGGAGGCAACACGAGCGATGATGACCTCCAAGCAAGACTAGACAGCCTTCGGCGATGATTACGACTTTTCTCTTTGTTATATGTCATTGATGACAGGGGTCCTCATGCGGTCTGTTTCTTGAGCCCCAATTGAATTTATTTTGCAGTTCTTAGCATGCCTTTGAAAGATATTCCTAGTACCTACCAATGCATTACGTTCCAATATGAATTTGGTAGAAGTACTTAAACATATTTACATGAACCGAGGGTGTATGCCCGATGAGAATCAAAGGCCAAATACGGAGTATATTAATTGACATTGAAGAGTGCCTACTATCACTTTAAGTTGATGCCTCGTATCTCAATATCGCGCACCGTTTTCAACTTGTCGGATTGGAAACTTTTACGCCTTCTGAGAGGACAGAGCTTCCTCGTACACGGATCTTGCATCTGACGACGAGTAAAACTGATCATCTGATTAATTGGCACGGTTGGTGCGATGCGCAAGTCTTTTTCGGGGTAGTTTCCTTGCTGCACTTGGCCATGGAAACCCTTTACGACCCGTTGTCCTGTTATGGTCGTTGAATTTTTGGTGGCAAGGCCTTTTCAAAGGACGACCGGACTCGAGCTCTTCAGCAGACCACTGGGAATACCAGGGGAATGACGATAACTCTCCTATGGAGGGTCGTTCGGACGGGTCTCTGGCCAAATTAGCCTGCAGCATATCTCTGCAATCCTGCGAGAGGTGTTCGCTGATAGGTACATCCTCGTTAATCATTCTCTTGCGTCTACGTTTGATACCGGGATAACACGGGTCACCGTATGTACCTGCCCAGCGATCATACCAATCTAGTTTGTTTGGTACTGGCTCATCCCAGGGCCAGAAACCATGTAAGAAGCCGTAAACGAGCGTTGAATACTTCCACAAGCAGATTTTTCGTTCGTCGTTTGGTAAGTAGATGCTTCTGATACGGACATCGTTGCGGCCAGGATCTCTCCAATTGTCATATTTTTCTAGTTCGGTGGCTCGCTCAGGCATCATCTGATACTCGTGAAAAGTGATAAAATGGTCTATGAACCTGTGGAACCCCCACTGATCAAGTGAGAAGGTAGTCAGCCCGAAATCGATCAGTTGAACATTTAGGTTTTGGTCCATAAGATAATTGTTAATGGAGATATCGCCATGCCAGAGTCCCATGTCAGCCAATTCATTCAGAGCTTGAAGAAACTGAGCAGCAACTTTACAGCCCTCCAGTTCATTCAGTTGAGGCTCTTTGGTGTCAATGGACATAAGATAGTTTCCATCAAAAGCTGGAAAACGGGGGTATCGCTTTCGGAGGCGTGCTATACCCCCTCCCCTCTCGACCTTTTTGAAGTGTTCCTCGTCGATATCTGAAACACCTTCATCACTAGGATCAACGCAGGGAGTCATGAGGATCGCAGTGAACATACCGTGCGTGTAGACCGAGTCAAGATGCGGGAATCTGTCACTGCCATCAAGATAGATTAGAATCACTGCTTCTTCTGGTATATGGTGCTTCTCGTTGCTCGGTTCGTCGAAAGCTACCATCTCAGGTGTCCAGCGACGTAGGCGATCGTCCTCCCATTGTGTGTGATGCAGCTTAGACTTGATTGCGTATTGTTGGAGGTCCTCTAGGGGAGTACCGGGAGCACCTTTCTCTCGAGCAAGATAAGTGACGCCGAATGCTATAATCAGTTAGTATTGTCACATGGCCAAATCAAGAAGGGGTAATCTTACATCCTGCACCTATGATTCCATATATTTGTAGTCTCTCGAAGACATCCGGACAAAGGCATACAGACATGGCAGTGCTGCGTGCTGGACGAGTCAAAACACCCAAATCGTCATGTAAAGTGCAATTATGGGATTGAAATGCCTCGCTGTCGCATCTGTGACCTGAGTCGTCTCGGCAATTACATCTTGAAAAATCTTCGTTGTTTCGTCTCTTCAACGCTGCCCCCAGACGCTCTCGGATGATCTGACTCACCTGGGGATATTTCTGCGAGAGCGTGGCCCATGGATCCAACAGAACCGGGGCCATGTAGCCAAAGGCCGTTCCCTGAAAAATTCCAGGCCAAGGCCGCATGCGTGGGTGTTTCGCATAATTCCCCTGGACTGCGCCTATGTCCCTGCCCACCTTATGCTTGAACCCATAGGGATCCTGTGGATCGACGGTTGGTTGTGTGGCCATGATTCTAGTTGTAGTGTTGGAAAGAAGTGTGGTGGGAAGGCAAAAGCAACGGAGCGAAGGCCATTTATATGCACACCACCAAGAAACTTCAATGCATTTGTTCTCGACTGAACAAAGGATCTATCTTAGTTTCCGAGCAGAGTTGAAAGAAACCATTTCAAACAATCTCTTAATATGGAAATCCAACCTGGAGATCAAAGAGGACATGTCCTTTGAAGTACGAAAACGAAAGACCTCGTCACCTGGAAGAACACACGAGGTTCTCAAATTACCCAACACCCCGATGTATTATCAGATGATGCTAGTAGATCTATAAATACCTAATTAGCCAAAGCAATAACTCAGTTCGCCCGGGTAAACCTGGCTGCCTATCGCCTGCAGCTGAATGAGTCGCCGTTAGCAGGGGCCGCAGGGCGTACTCAGCCTCAACCCGGGTTGAGCGCAACGACCTAACTACTGCCCAGGATCATACGAGCCGCAACAGAGCCGCAACAGAGAGTATAGCGAGTATAGAGAGTATATAAATCCCTCTCCCTGGAATGATACACTTCACCAACATGCGACTTTCCCTGATCACCCAAAACGAAAAGATCTTTGACCATGTCTGCCAATGTCGACTCCGACACCAAATCGGCACAGCCTTCAAAGATCGAAAAGAGACCCCTTTCTGCGCCCAGGGACTTGCCAAATGTCCAGAATGCTGCTGGGGCCTCCGAACCAACTCCTACTTTTCTGGGATTCACCTTATACAAGGCGGATCCTATGCCCAACCAAACTCCAACCTGGACTTGCGTGGAACGCACCCCCTTGCATCTGAGTCAAGACGAACTCTCCAAGATGGTTCAGAAGCGAGCGAACAAAAGATCTGCAGCACTGCAATATGAAAGCGTGTCCTCGAATATCAGACGCGCCCATATAAATCAACTGATTGACGAACACAGATGCAATAACCCACTTGTTCAGTGGACCTGCGTCTACGTCAAAGAAGTTGCCAGACCATCCAAGGCCCGAAATGCTCGTCGGGGAGACTATGAGACAATTTCCATGGTTGTCATTATCATGCAGAGGCCTATGAAGTCTTCAGCTCATGCCAGGTCCCCCATGGGTGACATAGTAGATCTTGGGAGAGCCTTCCAACCCGAGTCGAAGCTTCCATCAATTTGGCCACAGCATGTCTCTCAGCCTGTGCCGCTGGGTCAAAATGGGAATATTTTGCGGTCTATGGCTCAAATTCCTTGTCAGCTGGCCTCAGTTGGGAACCTTAGCGCAGGAAAGCGAGAACCGCTTCGTGAGCTCACCCAGTCAACTGCCACTATCACTGATACATTGGTAAGACCGGTGCTCACTGCCGCAGACAGCGGTGACATGGACTTGGCACATACTTCCGATTCCGAGTCTTCATATGGAAGTAGCAGTGACTCAGATAGTGCATCCACCATAGTTGACCAGTCTGACGACACATCTATGACAGACGACTCAGATAGCATGGATACTGAGACTGAGAACTGCATGCCACGACCTAACAAGGCTTATCTTCGACTGGCTGCTAGTCCCCGCCGCCGCGAGGCGAGTCGTGGGCCTTCTTCCCGTCACGGGATTCAAAGCCGTGGTCTTGAGAGAAGACATGACAAGAGCTACTTCCTCCGCGACCGAGTTGAGGCGACTCTGATGAAGAGTTCTGTGCCAAAACGAACTGAGAGAGCTCGGTCTCGGGGTTCAGCATCTGGGAAAAGATATAAAATGCATTTGATCGACGACAATGAAGCTCGAAGCCGAATGCTCGACTATCGGGAAGCAAGTATTGGACAGCGGGAAAAGATGCTGAAGAGGACATTTTCAGAAGTATTTCAACTTGAATGTCGCCAGCCAGTGAAGGATACGTCGGCAGCATGCCGTTGTACTTGTCGTTGCGCCATCAAAAAGAGAGAAACCGTGTGACTGGTGCGCTCTTTTACCTTTACTTTATGAAATTGCTGTTTTCACTCTCTTCATCCACCAGAATGACTGCTCTACCAGCGCACAATCATTTTGAGACCAGATACATACCAACATGCCTTAATTCCCACCAGACTTTGTGAGCCTATGAGATCTTTCGGATAGCAAACAGTTCTTTTCGTCCAAATTGCCCATTTGATTCGCATTATACGTTTGTTTCGGCAGGTCCTAGCAATAGTCAATCCAGAAATTGAGAAGACAAGATATCTAGACAAAGTAGTGGATTAGAAATTTAGAATAGATACTAGAAATATTATGACTTCGATCATTCAACAATCTGCATAATTTTGGAAGTTCCCCAGTTTGCATTTCTATCAAGACTACTACACCTACGAATATTGATCAGTATATGCACCATTGAACGTTCGCAATAATCTACGAACACATAGGGATATATTTCGGTGAGGAAGTATAATGACCCAATGGGGCTATCCTTGTTGCGAATGACATGTCTGGACTCTTACTATATTAAGCTCGTTTTCGAAGATTTTCCACAGAACTACAAACTAGATTCCGAGGCTTTTTCCCTCTAAGTCAAGATAAACCAGTGCTATGATGAATGGAGGACCGTGAGTCCCCAAATCCCAGTTCATGAACATGGGATATGTCTCAAATCCCACATCATAGCGCATTCCTTCACACTCATCATTCAGGGCAATGCAAAATTACATGTGCTCATACGGAGTATAGATCCTTGAAACATGCCCTAGTTGAACTCGCTGCGGACTTCAGGGCGCCTAGATACATGCATAGGTACCAGATCTAACAGCACATCGATGTACTGCGTACGGAGGATAAGGTGACACATCAACGAAGCCCCGGTGATGCATCGAACCAGCCTTCACCGCTAATATGCCAACCCTTCGGTGAAGCGCTACAGTCACTCTAAGTAAGCCGGGGCTTGCCATGCTTCATTTTCATTATGCACTGCCATCCTACCAGTTGTGATATATTCCTGCGTAACCGATATAAGCGGGTGTACATAACGGCGTCATCTCACTATGAGCGAAGCTTTTTGTGAGGAAGTTCTAGAGCGACAATTCCATTACGAACTTGAGCCTGCAGGCTACGACTATGTTCCATATTCCTGCTGAGTTCGACTCTATGGAGCCACTTAAGAGATGGTTCATTCTTGATTTGGTTGTTAATTCTGGAGCTTCCCCACGAGGTGCATCTTGCGAGTCAACAAAACGAAGGATTGTGAGAGAATCATTGTTAATAGCAACCAGCCCAGCGTATAGTACTCTTACTGGTCTCGACAGAGTCTTCCTCGTGATCGATGGATTGAAAAAGTGAAGAATAGGGCTATCTCCTATGTTTGGGAAGGCAGATAGGAACAAAGTATGGTCGAGGATATGCGCAAGACAGCCAATGAGCAGTAATAATAAATGTTTATCTCCTATGCAATTAGACAACTTCACCCTCTAGTAAAGGCCCGTCTACGGAGCAAGCTGTACTGACTCACATGAAACTTGCCCAACAAATGCAGAGAAGTGCCATGAGGGATGCTAGAATAGATCTGAGAGAATACATCTCGGACTGCGCGGCAAATATATCACACTCAGTCCGCTACATAATATCCGATAGGAAATTCAGAAAAGATGATTTCTTCGATATCAGTCCGATGCGACTTAGAGATGCCCAAACGCACCTTGAGCCAATGCATCCGTATAGCGTGGCACCGCAAATCAACCTACCACAACAAAGCTCTCAAATCTTCCCCACACGAGTCTGATGGACTCAAGCCTGCTGACCATGAGCAATTTCAGCTGTGCCTGAGCACCCGATATAGACTGTCATCTATCTGATTGCTTGATCATATCCCCACGAGCCGACTAGGACGGCTCGGCGGCCTTTCAGACGGAGGAATTCCGAAAGGTCTCGTTGAGGTAATGGTTCCATCTCGGACTCCCCCAAGGAGCCGATATTCCATTCCTAATCGCTCAAGTCTGCTATAGTGGAGTCTGTGTAATCTGCTACAGATAAAATGATAACGAATATCCAAGGGCATCCTCGTCATGTCGACTCACAGATTCTCGGTCCAACGACGAGGGTGGGGTTGGATCCATATATTGATGCAGGGGTGGAGTATACCCAAGGACAACGGGCCATGAAAACCGACATTGTGATTCGGTATACGCACAGGGATGTAAAGCTCCAAAGCGCAGGGATCTGAGAGACCCAATATCGAGAAGTGCCACTGTATGGCACGGTGAGTGTCTCAAACCATCATGTTGTATAGAGCCGAGGACAGTGCATCCGGGGATCAAAGGCCGTGCGTCTCAAGTGCCAAGCCCAACAACATGCATCTTACTCCAAATAGGAGATCGGGTTGTAAAGAATGGAGGCATACTCCATAATGTGGGGGCCATGATGGTGGAAGGTCGGCAAAATGACCTGTCTTGCTGTCACTCCTAGACAATCATCACCCAGCAAAGCAATAGATTGTCAATTTCTATCATGAGTTGTCTTCTCCGGTCAGTGCAGGGAGCTAGAATGCCGGTATATCCCGAAGGAGACTGACGGAGATTGGACTATGGCCCAGGTGGATTCTCACCGATGTCATTGTTGACACCTGACAATTTAGGCGACGGCCATGCCCCTCCATTTACATAACTTACTTTCCCTTGTTCTTCCCCTGAGCTATTAACCTTTCTCAAACCTCTTTTCTCTTTCTTCACTCTTCATTCTCTTCATTCTCTTCACATATTCAATATGCCTCGCCAATTCTTCGTCGGTGGTAACTTCAAGATGTGTGTTATCCCGAGCTTCTACCCCGCGCTCTCAAAGCCCCTCCTTGCCCATACCTAATACCTACTCGTCTTGTAAAAGAACGCGCAATTGACTCTTCCAAGGAACGGTGTTGCCCAGAGCATCACCGACATCGTGAAAAACCTTAACAACGCTAGCCTCGACGCCAACACTGAGGTCGTCATCTCTCCCCCCGCTCTTTACCTCGCTCTGACCCGCGAGCTCGCCGACCCCAAGATCGGTGTTGCTGCCCAGAACGTTTACGACAAGCCCAACGGTGCTTTCACTGGAGAGATCAGTGTTGAGCAGCTCCGCGATACTAAGATCAACTGGGCTGTTATCGGCCACAGCGAGCGCCGAGTGATCCTGAAGGAGTCCGATGAGGTATGCTTCCCCGCCATCCTCGAACTGCCAACCAATCAGGAACACCACTCCCCAACGAAGTAGACACTAACTATCTCCAACTAGTTCATTGCCCGCAAGACCAAGGCCGCCATTGAGGGTGATGTTTCTGTCATCTTCTGCATCGGAGAGACCCTTGAGGTACGTCATTGCTACCCGGTTTTCCCATTTTCGTCCCGATTGTGGGTCATCGGGTCAAGACCGGCTATTAGTTTTCTGAATATATCCCGCTCACACCCGATTCTTTTGTAGGAGCGTGAGGCCGGCAAGACCATTGAGGTTGTCACCCGCCAGCTCAACGCTGCCGCCGATGAGCTGAGCAAGGAGCAGTGGGACAAGGTCGTCATTGCTTACGAGCCCGTCTGGTATGAACTTACCCCATTGCCTCTATATCAACATGTTATAGGCAAGTCTAACATATCGATTTAGGGCTATCGGTACCGGCAAGGTCGCCAGCACTGAGCAGGCTCAGGAGGTCCACGCCGCTATCCGCAGGTGGCTCGGCGAGTCCATCTCTGCTGAGGCTCAGGACAACGTCCGTGTCATCTACGGTGGCTCCGTCAACGAGAAGAACTGCCGCGAGCTCGCCACTCAGCCCGATGTCGACGGTTTCTTGGTTGGCGGTGCCAGCTTGAAGCCTGCCTGTAAGTTCATGGCAAATCATTCATCACAAAGCTTTTCGCCACATATACTAATCAACTTTTACAGTCGTCGAGATCATCAACGCCCGCATCTAAAGGGTTTCCGAACGAAACTAATACCCCCCGCCCCTCCAAATAGTGTCCCCCTATCAGCAGAGTAAATAGCTCTGTAGTGTTGGCATCAGATAGAAGAATCAAAACTTGAAATTTCAAGTACATTATCATGAATTTATGTACAATTCTGAAGTATATTTCGATGGTTTAAACCTCATAGTTATCATAGCCAAGTACGTAGCTGTTCCCCGAACCAATCAGACCGTATGCGGCTAGACGAGACTAAGGGGTCTAAAGAGCACGTAGCCTATGAAGAGTACAGTACCGAAACACCAACCCCACGCCAATACGACATTCCAGGATTCCCGCCTCCACTCTGGCCCGAGCCGCTGCCCGAAGCCGAAGAAACGGAAGGCGACAAAGAGAACGAGCCCGGACCCAGCCCGACGCCCGCGCTCACCAGAAGCTCCTTGACGCGGCCTTCCCAGAGCAACCGCACATTCCAAGATTGATCAATGCGAAGCTTAATGACAGAATCACTCGTCTCAACCTCGCTATTAGACTTTGAGCCCACTAGACCCTCGGGGCGAACCGGGTCCTCTAGAAGCGGAGAGGGAGGCGCTCCAGGCAGGGAAGCGCCGAAGTCATGCAGGCGCATTTTGCGGCGAGCCCATTCAAGATCGTCATCGGTAGGCTTGGATTTCGGGGTTTGGCGCCACAGCTCGCAGCCAGCGACCATTTCGCTTTCCCAGCTGTAGACGTTGAAGCCGAAGCGGGAGCTGAAAGCGAGATTGGGCGAGGCGCGGAGGGAGTAGGTTGTTGATAACGAGCCCGTGATTGGTGCCAACGTTAGAGTTAGTGTATAAGGGAAGGTGGAGATAGGCGTTGACGTGTTACAGCGTGGTGATGATAGTGGGACTTCGGTGGCTGCGGGTAGTGTGCTGAATCGCAGGCCCGTGGACATGCCAACCAATGATGAGACGGGAGAGTAGTATGCCTCTGCACCTGCAGAAAGGAGGGACAATGGCGGCGGCGCGTCGGCGGGAGTGTATCGGGGATCGGGGCCGAAATTCCAGAGTCCGCGCCAGCCGAATAGCGCATTGTCCGTGCTGAACAGGTACTCGTTGCTGTATTTGCCTGTGTCGTGGGATAGCTGGGTGAGCATTGATGCTTGCGGTGCAGATTTGGATTGCGGTGGTCCCTGGGTTGAGCAGACTGCTAGGGATAGCTGCATATTGGTAGAGATTCTGCGGAGAAAGAGCGCATATAGAGTGGTTGGAGGCGGAAGATGGAGAGAAGCATGGAGCAGAGTTGCTTTCCGCTCAGCCTCATTTTTCTTGCTGTTTTCTCCGTCTTTGAGACTTGATGGTTCTGTGCGACTCGTATCTTTGAGTCCTGGAATGCTCACGCCGTCTAATAGCGAATCCCATCCCCATGTCTGGATTGGGGCCGTGGGGGCCTGCACTTGTCGGTACCCTAGGGATATCTTTCGAAGTGGAATTGATGCACTTCCACTTGGCAAGTTGTTAAAGGGCACAGTACTAAAGAGATATGACACAGATCCATCGATCAGTCCCACGGTACCGAGTGTGTAACTGGTTGCGAAATGGGGGTGGACAACGATGAAAGGTGAACGCGCAATCGCTCCGGAGTCGAGAAGTCCAGAATTGCTGCCCCATATATGTTAATCTGGCAATTTCATTATCCTGCAAGTAGACTTTAGGAACCAACCAATTACATACATTGGGAGGTTGTGGTGAGTGCCGAGTACGAGTTGTCACGATTCCAGTGGGTCGCCTCGGCGAAGGATAGCTGGATATAGTCCATAAAGTCCAGCATTGTCCAGACACTGCCCTACAGGCGACAATGAGACTTGTACTGTGCAATCAAAGGAACATAAGAGGTCTTGAAAGCGCGCGCAAATGACGTGAATCGATCCTGAGATCACAGCTGATTGCCCCATTCAGGTTAGCGTTGGATAAGCCCGGCGGTATATTGATCCGGTTATCAGCGAAGAAAAAATGTCTGTGGGGGAAACATCTAACCTTCTGTTTGAAATCATTGAATCACCAATTCTTTTCATATAATTCACCATGCCTCGTTCAAAGCGTGCGCGCATCGTCCACGAGTCGAAGACTGCCAAGAAAGATCACAAGGAGCAGACCCGTCGTCTGTTCGCCAACATCCGGGAATGTATCGAAGAATATGATCACCTTTTCGTCTTTTCAGTCGATAACATGCGAAACACTTATCTGAAGGATGTGCGCACTGAATTCGCCGACAGCCGGTAAGCAGAACCCCCCAATCCGGTATTTTCTTGAGATATGGAATCGGAAAAAAAGCGCCTGAACACCAGCGGTGGATCCGATATCGAATATTGATATGCAAACCCTTTCAAAATCAATTGTCTAACAATCCTATCATTATAGTGTCTTCTTCGGCAAGACCAAGGTTATGGCCAAGGCTCTGGGCCAGACTGTCGAAGATGAGGCCGCTCCCAACCTGCGCAAACTCACTCCTTTCCTCACCGGTGCCGTTGGATTGCTCTTCACTTCCCGCACTTCGGAATCAGTTGTCTCCTACTTCGAGACTTTCCGTCCCCAGGACTTCGCCCGCGCTGGAACCGTGGCCACCCGCTCTTTCACCATTCCCAACGGTCTGGTTACCGCACGGGGCGGCGAGATCCCCACCGATCAGGATGAGCCCGTCAGCCACACCATTGAGCCCGCGCTCCGCAAGCTCGGTGTCCCCACCCGTCTGGTGAAGGGCAAGGTTATGCTCGAGCTGGTCGAGGGCCAGGAGGGCTACCCCGTTTGCAAAGAGGGAGAGACATTGGATTCACGACAGACCACATTGATGAAGATGTTCGGTATCACCTCGTCCGAGTTCAAGGTCGAACTTAAGGCCTGCTGGACCCGCAGTACCGAGGAGGTCAAGATCTTCGAGTCTGAGGGTGGAATGGATGTTGATGCATAGATGAGGATCTTCGTATTTTTCCGTTTTTTCGTTCTTCTTCTCTTTCCCATTCGGCTTCCGTGTGGCCGAAAAAAAGAACTCTGCTGGGCATCTTATGGAGTTTGGTGAGGGCGCTTTCTTTGCAAATATATTGAAGACTTGTGTTTTATATCTCTCTTTCTCTCGTCCTTGTCTGGGGGAGGTTTTCTCCCTCCTTCTGGATTATGAGCCTATGATAAGATTCAGATACTAGGTCGAAAAAAAAGTCTACAAATCTACCTCGTGCCTGGGCCTCACTCAATTGTAGCGGGAATTGCTATCGTATTACCTAGACTTTCACCTATCTAGCAAGGTACCTGCCTTCAGTCATTTCACATGGCCCTTACCTGGTCTTACCTGATGGTTCACCAGATTCCATTGCGTGCGGATGAGGACCAGCTAAAATACAAATACCTATCCTTGGAGAGTAAACAATATCCCGTTAGGGCCAAGGGGAACAAGGGGAAAAAACGAAAACTCAAACACATATGAAAAAAGATAACTCCCAGGGAAAATAGAGAACAAAGAGAACGGGGAATACAAGCACAGTTCATGAGACTTCCCATCTGCCAGGAAGTATGCGTGGACCAAGCAGGGAAGGTAGAGCATAAGTACTTCGATATCGAGTTTGAGTTTGACATCGCAGCTCGGGATGAAAAACATCGACAGTTGTAATCGTTATGACGGAATGAATGGCACATGGGCCAAGACCATGCCTGACACTTTTACCCTTACAAGAGAGTCATGAAAACTGGGCAAATCAGTGACAGTGATACCCACCAACAAACCAGGGCCAATGAGGATAAAAGAAGATCCGGGACAGTGAAGGTTTAGTATCGTCTCCTGGAGCGAGGATCATCAAATCCAGGCTCATCCTCGCGGTTTCGCTTGCGTCCGTACTCCTCTCGACTGGCATCCCGGCCGGCATCCCGGCCGCCGCCGCCATACCTGTCACGATCGCGATCCCGGTATCGGTCTCCATTTCGATCTCCCATGCCTCGGTCTCCCATGCCTCGATCTCCCGTGCGGTCACGATCACGGTCTCTGTATCGGTCGTCGCGGTCATAGTCGCGGCGGTCACGATCGGCATAGCTGTCTCGGGGTCGCACAGGTTCCGAATTGCTGCCAGTAACGCCACGGTCGAATCTACCACCACCACGATCACCACCACCGAAGCCACCTCTGAATCCTCCACTGCGTCCGCCACCGGGACCAGACGGTGCGTTAGGGGGGCTTGTCCACCGAAGCCGTTCCGGTTGCCTTGATATCCGATACCACCGCGAGGACCACCGAAGCGATCTCCGCCGCGGAAACCTCCACCACGGAAGCCACCACCTCCACCTCCACCTCTGCCACCGAAACCACCGCGGAATCCGCCTCCATACCCACCAGGTCCAGATGGTGCATTGAATCCAGGTCCGCCGGGGCGGGACGGCATGGCCTTGGTGTATCCACGTCCTCCGAGACCACCACCAAAGCGACGAGGCTTCCATCCCTTAGTGGTACGACCACGCTCGACATCTACCAAGACTCGTCGGTCTTTGATTCGGATGCCATCTGTTTCTTTGTAGGCCGCTGATATTGGGGAAATAACTGGTGTTAGCAATATATCTTACCGCGAAATCGCATAAAGGAGGTATTTTAGTGCCAACTAAATTGGTATGGTAGTGATACCTTTCATATCTTTTTCGCGCTCATACACGATGAAGGCATAGCCTTGGTGGGCTTTCTTTTTCTTGTCTGATACTGTATCCTTGACAAGGGAAATCTGTAATCAAGAGATTAGCATTTATAGGTAAAAATCACAGCCAAGTAATGACATACTCTCTCAATGGGACCGAAACGGCCAAACTCTCGCTCCAGGTCTGCTTCTTTGACATCATAACTGAGACGTGCAACAAAGAGAGTTTTGAAAGGATCACCTCGAGCTTGAGGATCTTTCTCAGGGTTGACTACAAGAAAGCACCATGTTAGCCAGTTGAAATTGAAACATATGTAGACACCAAATGGACTTACAAGTTTGTAGCTCTTCAGCTATTTTCTTCTGCAGAACATCCTTCTTTTCTGTCTTTTCGCGCAATTTGCGTTGCACCCAGCTTTCAGTTGCATTATAAGGCACCTCCTCGGCGAAGGCTTTGGCCTCGGCAAGGTACTGGGCAACTCCAGTGAGAGTGCTCTTTGGGCAGTCTCCTGGTGCGCGGTCGCTCGGAGGAATGTATCGAAGGGGTGGTCTGGGCTGGAAAAGCGCCAAGAGTGGCGGGGGTAGCTTGTCCGTCATGCTGAGTGATTCACTCGAGACGAACGAGACTGAGATGTGAGATGAAGACTAAGTGGAAGTCGGGCCCTCAGGAGTGAGAGCTTCGCGTCGCAGTTCTGGTCTTAGCGTCTGCCGAGGGGAGTTGCTGCAAACGCCATTGGTGACCTCGATTCACCGCCTTCCTGATCACGTGAATCCAGAAAATGTCCGGAGAACCGTCGCGCATTGTAAGCCACAGAGATAACCTAACTACTAACGACTGGAACGATGCCTCTGCGTGGAATCAGAACAACAACAGCAGCCAGGGTATGTGAATTCTAGGTCTCTGACGTTCAGCCGCCGAATTGAACCAGCTAACCTGCTTAGAACGGCGCCGGTGCCTTTATCCTACAATGCAAACGCCTTGACTTCCACTACTGCAACTCGGCAGGTAGCTCAAGGGGCATGGTGTACGTGGCTGTTGAATGATAAATGAGTTCTTTTGGCAATGTTCATACTAACATTGCATGCTATAGCGCTTTCCTGCAGAAGACCCTCCCCACCTTCGCCCGCGAAAACCCTCAGATTGAGATCCGTGTGTCTCCCCGACCCCAAAAGCACCCTCTGATCAAGGGCCTCTACATCAATGGCCGTGAGAAGCCCGTGTGTGTACGGAATCTTGAACCACATGAGATCCTGAAGAAGGCCATCCTTCTTAAGGAAGCCAGCGGAGAGAAGTTGAAGCGAACCAAGAAGCCGATCACAAGTTTGAACGAGAGTGTGCGTGGTATCTGGTCACCATATCACGGAGATTTGCGGGGTGTCTAGATGGATGCATTTTCCTTTTTACGGCTTTTGTTCTCTCAGCGATGGTGATTATCAGGTGTCTCCATCGCAACTGTACTATTGACCTGGGTTCCGTTTCCGTTCTTCATTCTTGTCTATTTGCTATCTGGAAGCCAATGGTTCTTTGAGCCTCTTTTTTTATGCATACCAAACTCAAGACTGCATCAATTCGAAGACAATGAGTCAGTCTGCCAGAGGATCAATTCGTAATCAGTATTCACGACCTGTACGTATTACTTGAGCATATCACTAGTTCATCCTGTGACAAATCTGCGAGACTGATGATACTAGAAGTTACTGATCCAGAGAAGCTCGTAATGTTTCTATAATACAAGATGTACCCACGTACATAATGTGCCAAAATCCCAAAACGCCATACATAGAAAGAGGGATTATTGAAATCATAAGTGTGTATAAATCATTATTAGACAATGCCTGCCAGTTCCATGCATATTGGGTATCAACGGAATGAGAAAGGGAATGGCCATAACACCAGAATGCAAATGAGTTGCCCGTGAAAACAATGCCCATGATAAATCTCATAAAAAAAGGTGGTACATGGAGGTCGGGGGGATGAGAGATTTATTACAACCTGTAACCTGGCACTTCGAGAATGGCTTGGTCTTGGACGCTGCCTTTTTGGACTTTGAAATGGCTCGGTTCCCAGCACATTCACCACAATAGGCCTAGGACAATTGTCAGTTTCAATAATTGATATATTCATCCAGGGATGCACAATACTCACATGGCCACATGGTTTTGCAATATAAATCTGTTGCTTCAGTCCCTCTCCAGCGCCAAGTTCTTCCTGGCAATTCGGACAGAAACCCACGTCATTCGCTGTCAAATGCCGAGAGAACCCATCCCCAGGGGGGCTTGGTGCTCTATACGAGCTTCGCCGTCCCCGGGGCGCCGACTGACTGGGAGGGTTATAGGGAAAGGCAGGAACGCCATAATTGAGCGTCCCTGGTAGAGAGGAGACAATCGAAATAAAATCATCTTCGGTAGGAAATACAGGTCTCAACACCCTTCTCGATGGACCATGGTCAAACACCCTCGGGCGTTGAGTGTGGCGACGATAATGCATCGGCATGCCATTGTTGTCTAGAAACCTTGGCACGGGTGGTGGCCGTCTGACGGTAGAAGTCCCAATGTACAGAACATCTCCACTGGTAGATGATATATCTACCGAATCACTGGGTGTCTCAGCTTCCAGATCAATCACATGGGGTTGTTCCGCCACAGGGGACGTGCGATTCATCAAATCTCGCGGAAACCGCAATGTTGGACGATGCGGATGTGGGATGTGTAGAGGCCCGGGAAATGATTGCGTATTTTCTTGTGGGGGAGATTCGGGATCCTCTGTTAGGTCGATCACGACATTGTCCGCGGGCGAAAGTGCTGCCGGTCGTCGATAATCGTATCCATCTCGATGTCTTCTGGGTGGCAATCGGGTAGGAGGAGGCCGAGGGTTTTCGGTGGGATGGGGATGGAAATGGTGCTGCCAGGCCTCATCCCCACTTCTATCATTTTCTGCAGCCATAACACGATGTGTTCGCTGAAAGTAGTAGGAAGCCTGTTAGTTAGGTTCTTGGTGATCTGATCGGGTGCCCCGCCCATTTCACGACGGATGAAGACTTACCTTAGTTCTGGCGCCCATAAACTGGACGCCAGGATGGTCACTCATTTCAGATCCAAGTAACGAAGGTAAAGACTGAAATGCTGCAGACGCAGGGGTAATTGAAGAGATCCAAAGAGGTGATATCCAATTCCGAGGATCCATCTTTGTTTCTAGGCCGAGTCGTAAGGCGGTCGGTTTCTGCTGATCATGGAAGGGCGGTCAAGACTCAAATCCCCGTTTTTGAAGGCGGTCTGGTGTTTTCTTGTCACAAGGCGGTGACGGGCTCTGATAAGGTATTCGTTGGGCCCAAAGATTGACTGAAGTAGAAATGAAATGGCTCCAACAGTAGCTATTTAAGATCTTTCTGAGGAGTTTGTCGCTGTGGATTGTAGCTAGTGGAACGTCAGCTTCATATGAATTAAAAAAAAATGTTTCATATCTAGAAGGTCACGGGTGCCGACATCATAGATATTACATGCAATTTTATAACGGAATTTACCTGTGAACGCTGTTGGATCAAGGGTAGCAGTAGATTGAAAACAAACACCAGTTGACGTTTCAGAATTTGGTCAGCACTAATATTACATTATTTTCCCCAGTGATCTCATGATTATGCTGCCAGCACCGTGATTGCACCCGCCTCATTCAATACGACAATACTCTGAGCAGCGGGACCCCAAGCGACAGAAGTAGCAGGGACTGCACGTCGCAAAGGTTCCGACCAAGCCTTGGCTGCCTTAGAATATTGCTGTACGGTAACGCCGCTAGGGCCACCAACCAAGAGGAATTGGCCACTGTAGTCCCAGAAGATCGAGTTGATCGGGCTGCCTGTATCCAGTACCTTGGTTTCCTGGGAGCTGCGTAGATCCCAAATTGATACAGTGGTAGACTCTCCAGCCACTGCAGCTAAGTAGGTTCCGTTCTCAGAGAAGAACAGGCATTTCACTGGACCAGACATCGCATAGTCTGCTGCAGAAGCACCAGTCTTGACATCGAAGATCTTGACTTTTCCGTCTGCGCCACCGGCTGCAATCAAGTGACCATCAGGGTGGAAGTTGGCAGAGAGTAGGGCTGGATGAGAGATTAGCATTGGATAATTTCTGTGTTCCATCTGGCGGTTCCTTACCTGCATCAGTGAAAATCTGGGAAGCCACAGTGTTCGTAGCGAGATCATAAATAACGTAACTCTTATCAACACCAACAGAAGCAGCAATGTCACCAGTAGCGTGGACAGTGACAGCTGTGACCTCACCAGCGTGGGAGTTGAAGCTTGCAACTTCGGCGCCGTTCTCGAAAACCTTCACAGATCCCGTAGATGAGCCAACAACGGCCTTGTTGCCTGCCCATGTCGCGCCAGTGACTGGGCCATCTGTCTTGAGAGTCTGCACAACGCTCTTTTGAGAGAACGAGTAAACACCAACCACTCCGTCAACTCCACCAACAAGGGCCAGGTCACCGGTTGAGTTGATGGATAGAGCGCGGCCACCGGGGTAAAGAGGGTCAGAGGTCTCAGTTGGGTTGAATGTGGAAATAGCCTCGCTGGAAGCCCAGCCCTCGGGGACTTGACGCTTACGGCGGGTCTTAGATAGCCTGTGAAATATTTAGTCGTCGACCCAAGAACCTAATGTAGGAGGCGTCAATTGTACGTACGCTGCCTGTGTGCTTTCGATCCGTTCCAACACCGCCTGGGGCAGTCCTGTGGAATCCACCTGCATAGCCTCGCCAGTAGAGCGGGTGGCACCAACAGAAACATTTGAAAGTGCTTCGCGGGCCTCGTCTCTCTCCTGTGTCAGACGTGCAATCACTCGTACAGCGGCATCATTCTGATAGAGCGCTGTACTCAGCTCGCGCCTTGTTTGCGCCAGGGTTTGTTGTAAAGTGTAAGATTCCAGCGCCAGGGCATCCCATTCTTCTTGGAATACGCTGAGCAGAGAGGGGATGGATGTAAGGGTAGGTGGTCGGGGTCGGACAACGCGTTGCGTCTTGACATCGATCAGGTCGTCGGTGCTGAGCTCCTCGCCATTTACAGGATCTTTGCCATGCTCTGCAATGTATGCCTCAATGAGGCGCTTTTCAAATACACTGCCTATTTGATTATGAGATGGAACTCCATGCGCGCAAAGCGATTGAGAAGACTTACCGCTCTTGGGAGACACGACGGGCACTTGGGGTGCCTCTCCGGAGACTGTAACGTTCAGTTAGAGAACCAAATTCAAATAGAACCCTAGAAGCGCAATAGACAGTAGGCTACTCACTAGCACAAAGCATGGTTAATTGAGGTTGGTTGATATGAGTTGATGGAGAGTCGACGCGGAGCGGCTCAATGGGACTTTTCGATGTGTCCTGTTGCGGACTAGCGTCTGGAGCTGCTGGGGCGGTGTGAGGGGGACGGTTATCCCGTGAAATACGAATCAGCACTAACTCTGGCTGGCGGAAAATCTCCCACCAGATGTCCGAGGGGAAGTTGAATGGATCCATAGCGGGCGGTGAATCGGGGCGGTATGGAGGTGGACAAGGGCGCTAACCATAGAAAGCAGGCGGTGTGACAGACAAGTCACGTGGAAGTCATAGGCAGATGGTCGCTATCCTCCCCCGTATGTAGCTCGGCTTGCGGTTTTACAAGTTCTCCATTTCTTGCTCTTTGCACCTAAATATGCTCTGTTTTTGTTTCTGTTTTTAACTCCTCTGATCATCGAAAGAGATGCATATTTCTTAAAAATCTACAGAACAGGGTGAGGGCAGCATAAAGCTTCAATTGAAAGCCCTAGTAGCATTGGTAGCAGATACAACAAACACAGTATCCCCACCATGCCTAAGAACCCGAAATTCGAATACGGTATGTTGCTGTTCAAGCTTGTGATATGTCTTCGGTTATTCTAACATTCTTTCCAGATGCGAAGCAGCCTGCATTTCTCCAAAAGCTTCGGGGCCAATATGGAGATAACACCGGTCGCTTAGAGCGACCGGCTCTACGACCAACCAGACTCAAAGTCAATAAGGATGATGGCGATGATGAGCCTACCTATGTTGACGAAGAAAGCAATGAGGTGATCTCCAAAGAGCAATACGAGGCACTTGTCAGTGAGAGCGCTCTAAAACAAGAGGACGAGAACGGTTCCTCAACAAAGGAGAAACCCACTGGCGATGAGAACAAGTCTCCTGAAGAACTTGCCCCCACCAAGCAAAGCAATCTTACTGAGGTTGGAGGCCAGAGGAAACGCAAACAGGCTAAGGTGGTAGGGGAGGATAAAGCAGAAGCCGAAGAGGCTCAGCCCAAGGTGGCGAAGAAATCAAAGAAGCCAAAGAAGATCAAGCTCTCCTTTGACGAAGAATGAAGTATTGACATGAAAGAAATACATTGTACATCACTCCCTGCACTACATGTAGCTTCTAGGTCGCCCAAGGGTGGATATCTGATTTACTCGGCGCAAGGCCTTGAGGACTCATAATGAGTCAATCCGGATTGTACAGCGTCATAGGTTTGGAGACCACTTTTTGGGGTCAATACCCGGCAATTAGAAGAATATGTATTAATATTCACACTCAATCAATAAAATATGAGAACACATAACTCAGTCCAAGTGAATGAATAATTAACGTGTTGTTCCAGGCCTGGGGGCACACATCTCTTTATCAGCAACTTTTTTGCAACTTTTTTTCCCCTTGCGGGATCCAGTCTCCCGGCTTCATTCTTTTACAAACAACCTGCTCTTGGTGCCAGTATCAGCCAAGATGCCTGTAGTTAATGTCGACCAGCTCGTCCGGCTCCAGCGGAAGCCCGAGGACATAAGAAATGTGCGTGTGCCCCTCCATCCTACTCTGAGGTCTGATGTCACGGCTTTATACTAATCTCATTCAGATCTGCATTTTAGCCCACGTCGTATGTGCAAAATTATCCTTATGTTTGAGAGAAAAGCAAAAAAAGAAATCTAATTGCCGATTTTTTTCTTCTATTTTAGGATCACGGCAAAACATCTTTGACGGACAGTCTCATAGCCACAAATGGCATCATTTCACCCAAGTTGGCGGGTAAGATCCGCTACCTGGACTCTCGCCCGGACGAGCAGCTCCGAGGTATTACAATGGAGTCTTCAGCTATCTCATTGTTCTTCTCGATGCTTCGCCGCCCAAGTCCGGAAGCTGCACCAGCCCCTAGGGAGTATCTGATCAACCTAATTGATTCACCTGGACATATCGATTTCAGCAGCGAAGTTTCAACCGCATCGCGTCTTTGCGATGGTGCAGTGGTTCTCGTTGATGCGGTCGAAGGTGTCTGTAGTCAGACTGTGACAGTCCTGCGACAGACGTGGGTCGAGCAGTTGAAGCCGATCTTGGTTATCAACAAGATGGACCGCCTGGTAACAGAGCTGAAGATGAGCCCTGCCGAGGCCTTCTCGCATCTTAGTCGACTGTTGGAACAGGTCAATGCTGTCATTGGCAGTTTCTACCAGGGTGAGCGCATGGAAGAAGATCTGCAGTGGCGTGAGCGTATGGAAGAACGTATCAATGCTTCTGCAGCTCGAGATAAAGACCCAAAGAAATCTTCAGCAGATGATGAATCGGCATCAATTATTACCGAGTCGACTGAGTTTGAAGAGCGCGACGATGAAGATCTTTATTTTGCTCCTGAGAAGAATAACGTCATCTTCTGCAGTGCTGTCGATGGGTGGGCTTTCACTATCAGACAATTCGCTGCCATTTACGAAAAGAAACTCGGAATCAAACGCACCGTCTTGGAGAAAGTCCTTTGGGGTGATTATTATCTAGACCCTAAGACGAAACGTGTCTTGGGCGCAAAGCATCTTAAGGGTCGAGCTTTGAAGCCCATGTTCGTTCAGTTGGTTTTGGATAGCATTTGGGCAGCCTACCAAGCTACCACGGGTGGTGACAAAGGCAAAGGGTGAGTAGACAACGAGATCAGTGATCCTATCGATGCTAATACCAATATTCGCTAGGGACCCGATCTTGCTAGAAAAGATCACCAAGTCACTGAACATTAACATCCCGCCATATATCTTGCGTGGACGTGACCCCAGGAACATCATGAACACATTGTTCTCTCAATGGCTGCCGCTATCTACCGCATTGCTGGTTTCCGTTATTGAATATCTCCCCAGTCCCCCGGCCGCCCAAGCCGCACGACTACCGGAAATGATTAAAACATCACCTGGCGCTGATTTCATCGCCGATGATATCAAGAAGGCCATGATTGAGTTCAAGACAGGGCCCGAAGAACCCGTCGTGGCATATGTCAGCAAGATGGTTGCGATCCCGGAGAGCGAGCTTATGGCTAGTAAAAAGCGAACCACTGGCACCATGACCGCAGACCAAGCTCTTGAGATCGCTCGCCGCAAGCGAGAGGAGATTGCAAAGATGCAGGCAGAGGCCAGCAATGGAAAAGCAGATGACTTTGAACGCATGACATCGATGTTCGAAACCACCTCACTGATCACCGAGACGACGGATGAACCAGAAGAAGAGCATGTGGAGAAAGAGGACCCCGATCACCTTATTGGATTTGCACGTTTGTATTCAGGAACCCTTTCGGTTGGTGATGAAATCTACGTGCTCCCGCCCAAATTCTCACCGGCCCACCCGCACGCTAGCCCGGAGCCAAAGAAGGTTACAGTCACGGACCTGTACCTGATGATGGGTAGAGCCCTTGAGCCTCTCCAGTCCGTGCCAGCTGGTGTGGTATTTGGAATTGGAGGTCTTGCAGGCCATGTGCTGAAGACAGGCACACTCTGTAGTCGACTGGACGGAAGTATCAACTTGGCTGGTGTATCGCTGAGCATGCCGCCCATCGTCCGAGTTGCGCTGGAACCGGTCAACCCTGCCGATTTGAGCAAAATGGTCACTGGACTGCGACTGCTTGAACAAAGTGACCCCTGCGCACAGTACGAGGTGCTTCCTAGTGGTGAACACGTTATTCTCACGGCAGGTGAACTCCACTTGGAGCGTTGTGTGACGGATCTCCGGGAGCGGTTCGCACGTTGCGAGATTCAAACCGGCGAGGCTATCGTCCCTTATCGTGAAACTATTGTTCATGGACCCGAGATGGCCGCACCTAAAAACCCAGAGCTTGGACGTGGAACCGTTCTCACCGTTTCCGCTTCGAAGCAACTGACGCTTCGTCTTCGTGTGGTCCCAATGCCAGAGGCCGTGACTGAGTTCCTCTCCAAACAAGTTAGCACGATCAAGCAGCTCCAATTGGAGAAGCGCTCAGAGACGGAAGGCAAGACAGATACCGAGAATGCAACCGAAGGTGCCATCGACGGCACTGGCGAGGCGCCCGAAGGCCACATTCTCTCCAAGCAAGAGTTCCGCGAAGGACTCGATAAACTGTTCGACGACGAGATCAAGGAAGACAAGGAACTATGGAAGAATGTCGTCGACCGAATCACTGCCTTCGGACCCCGAAGAGTCGGACCCAACATTCTGGTTGATGCAACAGCAGTCAATACATGCGAGAAATTGTAAGTCTGATTCCGAACAACGCTGCATCTGTCCGTTATATCTAACATCCACTCTCTAGCTTGGCCGACGATATCAAACAACAGATCGCAGCTGATAACCAGCAAGCGCTCCTCGTGCGAGACTTCAACGACAAGATCGCCTATGCCTTCCAGCTTGCAACAGGCCAAGGACCCATGTGCCAGGAGCCCATGCAAGGCGTGGCCGTCTTCTTAGAAGATTTATCCGTGCAATGTAACGCAGGCGACGAACTCGACATGGGCCGGTTGACGGGCGAATCAATCAGACTAGTCCGCGAGGGTATCTCGGCAGGATTCCTGGACTGGAGTCCTCGCATCATGCTCGCAATGTACAGTTGCGAGATTCAAGCGACAAGTAAGTGTTTCCTCCTCCCATTTCCTTCGTTATATGCGATAATATCATCTTCAAACCAAACCCGCAACTAACATCTCATCTTCACTCCCAAAGCCGAAGTCCTGGGCCGCGTCTACGCAGTCATCACCCGTCGCCGAGGCCGTATTCTCTCCGAATTAATGAAAGAAGGCACACCTTTCTTCACTATCCTGGCCCTCCTCCCCGTAGCCGAGTCCTTCGGATTCGCCGAGGAGATCCGCAAGCGCACATCCGGCGCCGCACAGCCCCAGCTCATCTTCGCAGGCTTCGAGGCTCTCGACGAGGATCCCTTCTGGGTGCCTGCCACCGAGGAAGAGCTGGAGGATCTGGGTGAGCTTGCTGACAAGGAGAATGTCGCGAAGCGATACATGGACGCCGTGCGCAATCGGAAGGGTCTGGTTGTTCAGGGCCGGAAGTTGATTGATGCAGAGAAGCAGAAGACATTGAAGAAATAAGGATTCCGGGTATAGTATCTATTCTGTTCAGAGTTCAAAACTGGAGATTTATTTGGCATTTCATTTGCGTTGTGAGATTTCAAAAAATAGATGTACGAAATATGAAGTATTAAGTCTTTTATGGAAATGTCACTCCACAAAACAACTGTCGAGCTCCACTGAGTAGACTTGAGCATGACAGATGAGATAATAGGAGGGTCGCAGAGGATGAGAGTCCCCCGCGTGTTTCTCGGATGAAAAACTTCAATCTTCCTCTCTTGACAAACACAGTCCGACATGGCATAGGTCTCGACCGTGTATACTAAGGAGGATTACCCGGTAGGGTCTACGCTTAGCGGCATTGGCGCAGCTCTACTTGGAAAGACAAGCGAAAGAGATGAACGATCAAGAGCGGTGCACTGCGAGGATCGAGAAAGTGGGAATGGCGGAAGCGACATGAGCTTTTCAGCCATGGTTCCGTGGGGTATCTTTATTCTGAAGTCGTTATCAATGTCAATAATACACATGACCAGGAGTACACATTGGCGTAATTGAATCAAATCAAACGCAAGACTGTCCTTGGCTTTGCGAAACATGAACGTCGTTATGGTCAAGCAGGATGATGCTGTCTGAGAGCATAGAGTAAGTATGAATGCTTGGTGGGCATTTCTCAAGGTGAGGATGGGTATCGTCTTGTGGACACCCATGTATTCCGAAGATAGAAAGGCCATGCTCTCGGGAACAAACTAGACTTGCCACGGCAATGTGTGTGGGCAAGGGTAGAGTCTGCTTGGATATTGTTGGTTGAACCACCATGTGGCCAGACAATGGTAAAGGGTTGAGACACGAAGCCATGGAATATTCACGGGGAATAGTCAGAGGCCACGCAGTGAGGGGGAATCGAGTTCATGTAAATCAATGTTCTCAGAATGGCCGGGCAACCTTCCTCGGCTCACTAGTTCCACTGACGGGATCTCTCATCTCCTTCCAACTGACAGGGAACATCATATTACCCGCATCGCTGCGAGCCATGACCACACCGAGATCATTGCGTGCGGTGGTGATGTAGTAAAAGCTCTGGTCACCGAGCGAGATGACCGAGCCGCGCACGATATCACCCACACGGAACATCTCATCCATAACAACCCGATCCTTTTCAACAGCTCGCACGTCTTCCTTCCTGATTAGTGCCTGGAAGCGCAGCTCATCAGTGCTGCTGTGGTTTTCTGGATTGGCGGCGGATGTGAGAATGGAGGCGACATTATCATTGTCTGAGGTTGTTCGTGATTGGTCTTGAGCTTGCGATGCTGACTCGTCTAAGACAACAAGAATGTTGACTGTGGCTTGTCGCTTCTGCACGCGGGTGACTCGTGCAAGAACAATGGATTCCACAGCAGGTAGCGTGTTATAGCGGGGCTTTGATTTTGTAGCCAATGGAGCGACCGAGGCATTTGAGGCTGCTTGGCCATTGGAGTGAGTCACTCGTGAGACTCTAAGGGTTGGTAGTGTTGATGTATGCGGCTGGGCAGGGTCTGCAACTACGGGTCCGGCAATGGACGCATAGATGAAGGATTGCTGGACATGTGTGCCAGGGCCTGCAGAATATGTTGATGTAGGGCCAAGACGTTGCCCAGGAATGGCGACTGGTGGAAGAGAAGCCATATTGTGGTTATGTTTGGGTAGCGTTGAGGTGGAAAAGTGCCGGGTGTTGTAGAGAAGACAGTGAATTTTCGGGAGCTTTTTTTGGGGGGAGCTATGATCCGGGCGGGATAACGTTTATCCGGTGCAGCTTGTCTGTCGCTTGGCCTTTTTGCGATGCTTTACACTACATGCACCAAATCCATTTACAACTTTGCTTAGCAGTTCATTTGTTTGCAGGCAATTAACTATAGAGCCCATATCTAGCTTAATACACAGTGTATGCGTTGGAATAACAGAGACAGTGGCACCAGCCCAGAAATACCATGAACATGTAACGACAACAGAAGAAATAAAAGAGGAATCCGTATCACTCCAAATGCCCGCTGACGAAAGTGAATAAGTGGATTCAATGACCATACAAGGCCCAGTGACTGGGGAAAAAGGGTGCAGACACAAGGGGCCGAAGAAAAGGCGCTGGTAGAATAGACAGAGAAAACGGATAGTTTAAGCTTCCACCAGGGTCTGCTTAGGACCAGCTCCAACCAGCTCCAAACAACGACGGGCTAGAGTAATGACTTCGCCCTCGCCATCATCCACGTCTTCTTCATCTGACTCGATGTTCTTGTCGGAGATGATCTTGACTAAACGAACAATATCTTCGGATCGTGAGATATATCCAATGAGCTTCTTGTCTTCAGACTCAAGAAGCTGGAGCAGAGTCCAAATGGCAATGTGCTGGAATGTTGGGTCTCCACTGGCGAGGAAACGATGAAGGTAGCCATGGATGCCACCATTGGCATCTGCCCAGTCACGAACGAACATGGAATAATCGCCGACTATATCTTCGTTAGTAAAGCATGACCCAAAGGAGGAAGAAAGGGAGCGTCAAGAAAGGAGGGAGGCGTACCTTTCGAAGACAGATTACCCAAAGCAGCTGCGCTGTTACCTTGCACCTCAATGCTCTCGGAACTAGTCAGAGGAATCAAGACGTCGAAGACTCCCAGATTCAGAAGGTGCGGCTTCAGTTCTTCGCTGAGGGCCAGCACAGCGATTGCAGCAGTCATCTCAGATTGAACTGTGAGAGGGACCCGGAGAACCAGGTCCTTGCATTTTTGCACCGCTCCGGCCTGCAAAACAAGTTCCTTGTTGCGATCCGAGCTAGCAGCGAGGTTACGAAGCGTGGATATAGCGTGACATTGAATCTCTTCATTGTCAGTCGAACCCAGAAGATCCACCAGTGGCTTCAAGAAGCCCGCTTCGATTATAGGTGATTCGTTGAGAGGATGGATAGAGATGTTGCGGATACATGCGACGGCGGATAAAATGAGAGGAAGGTAGGAGGATTGTAGAAGTCGCAGCAGTGGGGAAAGACCCTTCGCCCGAACGATCTCAAGCTGGTATTTCTCATCAGATGCAAGGTTGCGCAGGGCAAGAGCCGCCTGACATTGCACTTTCGGGGTGGATGAATCCATGAGATGAACCAAGGATTGTACCAGGCGCGACTCAGTTTGAGCGAGTCGCTTACGATTGGTCGAATCAACGGCAATGTTGCTGAGAGCTGTTGTGCAGTAATACTGAACGTCGACGTCGGGGGATGAAAGGAGATGCACGAGGACGGGGATGGCGCCAGCATTGACGAGTTGCTGTCGGTTATCATCTGGTGTTCGTGTTAGAGAAAGAATCCATTTCCAGATGGGGAAAAAAAAACTATATGGCATACCTGAATGGGTCATATTGAGCAGTGCGCCCGTCGCATTACGCTGTACACGCATGTCCTTCGATTTGGCCAGGCGAATGAGAGGGCCTAGGGCTCCAGAGCGGGCAATCTTGGCCTTGTTTTCCTCATGCGTCGCAAGATTCGTGATACAACCAACCGCATTGCACTGTACCTCAACATTGGGAGACATCATCTGGCGAATCAGGGGAGCCAGCCCCCGAGGGTGACGATCAAGACCTTGTTCTCAGCTGTATCGAGTCAGCGACCGCAGGTGAAGTGTGAAGCGGAGGAGCACCAACCATTCACCGCGAGATTGCCTAGTGCTGCACTGGCAGCCCGTTGGACTTCAATATCGGAACTTTGTAGTAGGAATAGAATCGGCTCGAGTGTATCGCGATCAACTTCGCGTACATCTGCAGATAAGATGAAAGGTCAGGTATTGCATCATTGCCATCCGAACGGCGATACGCACCTCGCTCAGTGATCTCGGCAAAAGTCAAACTGGCACTTCGTTGGAGGTCGACATTTTCAGAATAGACCAGGGTACTCAATGCTCGTAGCGGTTCACCGTGGAAGAAGTCTGTCTCGGCGCGCTATCCATTGATGAAAGTCAGCAGAATGCACAGGGCAGGGCAATGTCCCAGCAGACCAGTCCCAGACTGATAGAAGGGAGACGTTGCAGGTAAATATCGGATGGCACGTACGTTTTCCAGGTAGCCCAAGAGGTCTGATACCGCCTCTCGTTCATTATCAGCTAAAGTGGTTTCGTAGATGCCGTCTCGAGAACGAGCTCCGATGGGACCGAGACACGCCGTTATATGACACCATCGGTCTACTGCTGAAAAGCAAGACAAACAGGCATTCGCGATTCCACTCATGCTGGCGAGCAGGCCCGCATCGGGCGCGATGCTGCGACTAATGAGGTCAACGGAGATAAAGGAAGATGGGGCGGTCGGGGAAGTGAGATTCAGGGAGGTGAAGGCAGAAAGGTAAAGCTTCGGGGGGAACACAGAAGAAGTAAAAAGCAAACAGCGCGTGATGAAAGTAACTTTGGAGGGAAGCCTCCTGATGCTGGGAGGAAGGAAGTTCCAAGGTCTCTGTTAAGGGAGGGGGAAGATCGAAACTAGTCTCCTCAGGCAGAAACTCGAGAGCAAATGGCTGGTATACGTGGGAAGCTAATGCTTATCTACAGTTCTTCCGTGTGGAATTTACCCTCTTCAGCTCTCGGATCTTCAAGCCTCCCCCAAAATGAAGATATGAGGGTATGAGAAGCAGTATCTGGAATTAACCTTGATGGACCTGGGCAAGCTCCAGCGCATACATCATCGAGCTCCGGGCTGACCAATCCGGAAAAAGGGATCAACTACATCAACTACCCTGGAGCCATATATTCCATACTCCATCCATCGCTGCCTCTACCTACCTCATAGGGCAATGAAGGATTCTGGCCCTCCCACAGGTTATATCGTCGAATCGGTTCCCAGTTCTGTTGGCCTTCGACTCGGGCCGTCTGAAGCGCCCCGAGTGTTCCCAGCCTCCCAAAGGTCCGTGCAGGACTTCTACACCAATGAAGGCCTCTCCCCATATGTGCTCTTGTGATTTCGTTTTCAAGTGACGCAGATGATCACCTGGAAGTGTCATATAGGAATAGGGTCGATTAGCGTTGATTCGGAGTCCATTCCTCGTGAAGGATCTCACATGGGGGATACGGGGATCCGGGGATAAGCTGTCCACGGCAACTGCATATCGAAACGGCTACGGAGTACTAATTACTAATTCGACTCGGTGGCCGCGGTTATTCGGCAGATGAAGCCCAGCTCTTTCTATTCCGTCTATCTCGCTATGGCTTCAGGGCATTGATCAGCACTGGGTAACTGAGATAGATGCTACTTTGGACGGAGTACTCCGTACGGATTTGCTATAGACAGAGTACGGAGCACGGTGTACATGAAGTGAAATGCTTGCATCACCAGGGTGGACTCAGGTTACCCAATCGGGCAAGGCTCTTGAAGTAGCATACTCCGTATAGAGAGAGCGCTAGTCCGTGGTCCGTACTCGGGACTTACAACATGGTTGGGACTGTTGTCTCCATGTAGTCTGAAGTGGTCTATCACTGCTTCCGTTCTCATATTCCCCCGATCTCGCGTAGGATGTAGAAATGGAGAATCCTTGAGATATCACCGCAACCGGCGTCAGGACGCTCAGTATCAAACAGGAATTTGCGGGGAAACCTCTGCCAGCGCCAAGACATGCTGACTGTCAGGGCGCTCGTAGCCGATGAATGGGTTTGCCATAAAGGAGTACTATACAATCAAAGAGCCGTGTCGCAATTTCTGGGGAGGGTTTTTTTCGTTTGGATCGCTATTGGCTCTCTTCCCCTTCTTTCTTTTTGCATCGCATGCGCGACTTCTCTCGATCTTCTTCTTTGATCATCTCTCCTTTACCGGCCCTATCATATGATGTCTTGGTAACTCATTGAATCGCATCAGCCCAGTTGCAGATCCCACTTGTGACGTTGCCCGTCTAAATCTCTTTCCATTTGTCTTTCTGTATCCTGGTGAAGCAGTCCTTTCATGGTCGCAAAACCGAATCCATGTCTGCATCAGTCACCGCCTCCACTTCCCTCCCTGACAGCCCTCGCCCCAGTCGCCTGCGTCGCTTCAGCCATTTACGAACTTATACTCACAACATCTCCGCGACCTTGCCGACCGGTAATCGTTATAGACACAGTTTGAGTAGTCGACTTCCTTGGTGGTCCTCGATCTCGGACTCGATCTCTCCGACAAACCCCACAGCTCCCCCATGCCCAGAAAGTGACCACCCGACACTTTCTCGTTACACCTCTGCGCCCGCCCCGAGTTACGGTTTTGGTGCCGAACTCAGCAGCCCAACCTCCTCGACTGAGTCCACCGATTCTACACCCTCGAACGACGTTACTCAAACGTCACATGTTATGGCCCGCTTGAGGAGCGCATCGGCCGTTCAGCGTCCACCACCTCGTACAGTAGAGCGGGCCACAGACACCAATCCTCAAGAGTCCACTCCTTCCCCCGAGCCGGGCCCCGCCTCAAGTAATGCAGCCGAGCCTACCAGCGCTCCCGCAGAGGAGCAGGTGGCTCCATCAAAATCGGACACAAAGGCAACCATCCGGTTCTTCCCTTACCAAGACTCTGTTCAAAGCTCCAGGCCCTCGTTGCCTTTCGTCCCAGTTGCCCGCACCTTGCCGTCCGAGAGCTGTGTGATTCGGGTCGGTCGATACTCGGAGCGCGATGGGCTGTCGACCCCCAACCCCACTGAGCCCTCGGATGCCCCAGTGGGATTCAAGTCGAAGGTAGTCAGCCGCAAACATTGCGAGTTCTTGTACGTGAATGGACAGTGGCATCTCAAAGATGTTGGCAGTTCTTCGGGCACTTTCTTGAACCACATGCGCTTGAGTCAGCCGAATATGGTCTCCCGTCTGTATTCCATCAAAGACGGTGACATCGTGCAGTTGGGTATCGACTTCCGCGGCGGAGAAGAAATGATCTTTCGATGCGTCCGGATTCGAATCGAATGCAATCGATCATGGCAGCAGAAACCCAATGAGTTCAAGTAAGATTTTGCCTCCGATCCTAAGTGTCGTGTGGTGCTAACCCATCTTCCAGCAAAAACACAGAAAGTCTTATCAAAAACTTAGGGAAGGGTGAAACATCTGACTACTCGGGTTGCCGTGAATGTTCAATTTGTCTTGGCTCTGTCTTGGTTAGTCTCATGTTTATCTTTTGCCAATTTTGCATCTACTAACTGCTCTGAAGCGGCCTTACCAGTGTTTGTTCATGGCAGCATGCGCACATGTCTGGCATTACAAATGCATCAGTCGTCTACTTCACTCGCCCGATTACCCTATGTTCCAATGTCCCAACTGCCGTGCATTCACTGATCTCAACGCCGAGGTCGATGATTCGAATGACGCCGAGGAGAAAAATGAGACCCAGCCGACGGAAGTCATGGCATCCACTGACTCTGGAGAGCAGGCTGAGACGGAGCGGCGTTCGGTTATTGAAACAAACAGCACAGAGGGATCGCATGAGCAGCTTGGAGATCTTGCTGAAGAACACTTGGCCAGCGATGTTGAGAATCTGCATCTTCAAGATGATCAGCAGACCGATGACACTCGAAGCTCAGCCTCGCCGGCCCCCAATTCAAGCACCGATGACCTGATTCGCAGCGCGACTATTAGCATCCCCGGGTGGCAACCGACACAACCACTCAATGTGCCGGCTCGTCAATCACAACTACGATCAGACACCCCAACATCTGATGACAACCCATTGACTCCACGAAACGACTCGGGTCCTCTGGCCTTTGATGGTCGAGCAGGGATGCCGTGAGATGCTCCCTTTGGTATACAATAATAACTGGAAAGCGAAGGCTTTGAGCATTTAATTTAATACATAACCCATCATTCTTTTTGTCATCTATCCTTTTGTGGGCAACTATCATGTGTGCATTTTGCGATATCTCTGTTGCAAGGAATCCTGTCTGCTTTGGTTTCGGGTGCACACCTCATATACACTGTTTGCATTGTTCAATAGCGTTCACCTCTTCCATTGAATTTGATTCATCGTGGCGGCTTAGCGTTCCCTTGTCTCCCTCTCTTGCCCTGCTGATATCCCCCTGCCTCAATGTTTTCTGATACCCATTCGGCTCTGGACTGTTGTTTTCGGGTCCCTAAGCAGATTAGGACCAATTATTCGTTAGCCTCCAGCTGTTCCAATGCTGAATCGGTGCCGACACAACCTTACCTGTCTACTATGACAGTCTCTCCCTCGCCTACTCTCCTATCTACGTAGCCCCGCAGGCCTCTCTACCTTGAGCGGATCATCAACGCTGTGAAACACAACTGGAACCACACCCGAGAAGGTCCAAAGCTAGAAAGGTTTTCAGTGATCAACCTACCATGAACATCCGGCAAAAGGAGTCATAACCCACCCTGCTTGCCACAACTTCCCAATGCCGACTGTCAAGCCGTGCCCGCTTGGGGCAGTAAACATCCAATCGTTCCAACCGATTGTCAGCACCCCAAATGTCCAAGAGTGTAAGGACAAAATGTTTATGGGCACGGTCAAGCCGTAGAACACCGTAGCGGATTCTCTGGAGGATATGCTCGCTGATGAATTCCGTGATATCCATTTGACGCATCACGAAATACGTGCTCGGCGTCCCGTACAGGTTGAGCGGGATGCGATATAAAAGATGCAGAGCCTCGGTGGTAATTTGCTTGTTAAGCAGGAGGATAGATGGCGTATATCGCTCGACATAAGATCGAGGAAAAGTGCATAACGGACCATCAGCTGGCGACACTGTATGGTCCCCCAGCTTTCCATAGCTCTTCACGTATTCATTAGGATTGAGCGAATGCTTATATATCATCAAGCGGATCTCCGCAGGCAGGTCAAGAAAGGAAAGCATATTGATTTGCAAACAAGGCATATGGGTACAGTCTAAGTTTACCCCGCGTTTTTGATGTTTGCCTCCTCTCGTGGCCCCATTGGCTGACATCCAGACAAGCTCGATCAGACCACAATGAGACTAGAGTTCTAACTGAATCTTCACCCATTGATCGACACTCGTAGGCTCCCTGCCAATCAACCACCTCAGAACACTTGGGTTTCCCTTCAATCCACGCCGATTATAGAACAAAATCAGCCTCTCGGCCTCGTCTCTTGTGATATCAGGACGTACATCTCCCAGCGCAGCTGGCCATCTCATATCCGCATTCACCCGATCCCCGGAATACACGCCGCTCTCACCGGCATACAGAAGCTTCAAGACCTTGCTAACGCCTTCTTCAAAAGTGGGAATGGGGACATATATCTCCTTACCGATATATTTGCTAATGATCTTTACAACATCCACATCAGATACCGGGAACGTCGAGCACAGTGGATACTGAGCGAAATAGTGTGCTTCCCGCTCGTCCAGAACCCGGGCTGCAGCCTCAGCCAGATCCCTAAGTGCGATGACACTGTTGGCAACATTGGGATTGTAAATGTTCCAGATATACTCGATGGACGGCGTTTCCATCTGAGCTAGGCTGGCAGCCGGGTACACATCCATGAAATTGGTCGGTTGGAGGATTGTGAAGTTCAGAGGACTTAGCAGCAGTCTCTCTTCAACACGACATTTGTGATCATGTTGCATGAGGTTTCGATGCTGAGTACCTAGAACGCTGGAGTATACGAAGTGCTTGAAGTTGGCTTCTGGCTTCTGGCTCTCGGCAACGGCTGCGTCGATCATGTTGATCCCGATTTCCATTTCTCGGGAGTGGAGAGATGGGCCTACATGGTAGATTGCTGTTGCGTTGCCGAGAAGCTTGCGGCAGTCGGCTAGGGAGGTTATATCGCATGTTGTTATCTCTGCGTCCGGGTAGCTGTGTTGGAGACTATTGGCGGACTTGGAGGTGTGTGCTGCTAGGCGGAGTTTGAATTTAGATTTGTTGTATAGAAGAGGAATAAGGTGGGAGCATTGTCTGCCGTTGGGGCAAGTAATCACAAGAATCTCAGACATGGCGATATAAAGATACTTGGATTGGGACGGTTGGAGAATGCAGGAGGGGTTGGGTTGACGTCGTGCGTGCCCGCAGGTGGCGCGCAATGTAAATTATGTCGCCTCCCGTTATTCTGCTAGACGCTTATTGGATGTCTTCGGGCTCTGATGTGAATAATCGAAGTATGTTGTATGTATCATCTCGAGAACTGTATAGTAGGTCACATGTTGGCGCTAAAAAGACCAAGTGGGTCTGCGATGTCAACGGCATATCTCAATCCTTCCCCGGATTTGAGATGATCAAGAGCGTGTCCCAGGGTTGACTGATTGGTTCATTGCTTTTTTGCAGCCGCACAGTATGCCCCGAGATCGGCCCAGATCTCAACTTGATAACATGAGGTTAAATTTCAGCGAGCCACCCACTCCGACCCTGAGTCGCCAAAACACTACAATACATCATCATCAGCGACGCGGTACCCATCCTCACCAGCTGACGTCACGCATCAAGCCAAGAAGGTGGGCCAAGTCAGTCTTACAATTTGTCCGTATATGCTGATCTAGAGAAGATGGCCACTCGTCTTTCGCTTTATCAAAGGCGCCATCCATGGCGCTATCTTATTACCGGTCTTTCTACACGCAGTCTTCACTGCGTTGATCGTTTACTTGGATACTTTCGTATTCGAAACCGTCGGTCTTCCTAGCACTATCGTACGTATCCCCGGATCAAACCAATAAGATTGCGACTAAACATCGCAAACTCAGATCCCCTCGCTATCCATAGTCGTAGGTTTGATGCTTGTCTTCCGCAACCAAACATCCTACAATCGATTCTGGGACGGTCGTAACGGAATGAACGCGCTCAATACATGTGTGCGCAATCTCGTCCGCACAATTGCAACAAATAGTTACAATTCTAAGCGAGGCCCCCCCCACCGCCGCAGAGCGCGAGGATATCGAACGCACTATTCGCATTCTCATGGCTATTCCGTATGCCGTGAAGAACCATTTACGAGCTGAATGGGGCGCTGCTTGGGTTTTTGGCAACTCCATCGAGGAGGATTTGAACCTCCACGGTACTACGCTGTATAACCCGGAATATGCAAACCTACTACCAGCAGGACTGGAAGGTCATGAAGACGAGGGATTGGGGCTTCCATTCCAATTGACATTTTTCATTGATGGGTTTATCAAGCGTGGCGAACAGCGTGGATGGTATCCCGCTCCTGGTGCTAGTCAGATGCAAGCCCAGTTGAACACCTTGACTGATGCATATGGGAAAATGGAAACGATCAAGTTGACTCCAATTCCAGTGGCTCATCTGTAAGTCTCTGCCCTAGCCTTGTACGTTCCGAATGCTAACAACTTGGAACCAGGATCCATCAAAAGCAAGTCCTCGCTCTCTTTGGTTGTGTCCTACCGTTTGCAATGGTTGATGAGATGGGTTGGTGGGCCATTCCAATTGTCAGCCTCGTTATCTTCACGCTTTATGGCATTGATGGTATAGGCTCTCAGCTGGAAGACCCCTTTGGCTACGATAGGAATGACATCAAGATGGACGCTATTGTTGGGGACGCCAAGACTGAAATTGACGTTGTTCTGTCTGAGTGGCGCACGCACTCGAAAGCCATGGAAACCTTGAGACAACAGCCTGCCGGTGCAGTCCATGGTGACCTTTGTTTGACACCCGATCGCAAAGAAGCTGGGAATGCAAGTGCGGACGAGAAGTATATGCCTCCAGACTTGTTCTTGCGATTGAGGCCGAGCACTGGTAGGCGAGAGTGAGATATTGGGGACGGAATACTCGTCAGCTATATCTCTGGTACGATGATTTTCAGTAATCGAACATTATATATGGTCCTCGTCGCTAGAGATAGAACTTCGTCTAGGGCTTGAAAATCCATATTGAAAATCCATATTGAAAATCCATATTGAAAATCCATATCCGAGTATGGAAATATGAGTATTCCAGGGCCTCTAGCAGGAGATGCGGTATTTTTGGGTGAATTGAAGACACAAGCATTGTATCTCGAGCCTTACTCCTTCCGCCGTAGAGGGAATATACGCAATCAGTCGCAAAAGCAGTTTCCCACACCATGCTCAGATGCATTGAAAATATATATTGTCGTTATTTCCGTTGAATTGCTTTTCATTTCATGGCATCGGTAACTTAGAAACCGACGAACAACCTCATGAATTCTGAATAGGAGGTTGGAAGAGATGTATATAGACACAGCCACAGTGTCAAGAACCTTAAGGATTTATAGACGGAAATGAAACCTAAACTGACTCTTTTATACAAATATGTAGTAGTCCTAATGTTGCCAACTCCAAGGTGTGACCCCACAGATTGCAAAGCAGACGAAATATATTTCAGTAGGGTATCCAATACAATGGCCAAGAATAAGCAGATCCATCATCTCATAAAGGTGGCTCGAGCGCTAGAACGCCATCTAGGATTGAATCCGGTGTCACGTCCGCAAGAACATGAGATGACGCATGTAGATTACTCCCATATTGTAAACTACGGTCCTCACCAGGTGCAGTGACGGTAATTCGATGGCGAAAGACCTTCCTGGCGGCTAGAGCCACGATTGAGGGAGTCAGATAATCGATGCCATGAAGAGGGGCTAAAAGTCTGGATAATAAAATTAATGACATGAGCAAGATACGACTGGGTTAGCGGAGGAATTGTGCGGACTTACTGTGCAAATCGTGAGAAGTGAATGTTAGCTTTGGCAGATACGCCGCTTGCAACAGCGCGGCTGAGCCGCAGGAATACAACGATATCCTGGATGTACCGAGAGACTTCAGCGCTTATGCTGACTGATGCAGTCGCTTTTCGAAGTAGATCCATCGTCTGTAGGGTCTTGAGTTCAGTATCAGACCTTGATGTTTTGCTCGCGGCCCTAAAACCGGAGGAGCGAGAAAAGAATCAAACATACCGTTGGGTTGACTGTGAAATCGTTCATTGACTTTGATTTTGACTTATGAAGAACAGAGGAACCAGAGAGCTGTCCATCTGAAAGCCAATCATTCTCTTCGAGATATGTGTACCCAGTGTCTGGGCTATGGAAATGGGAGATGAAAAGATTATCGATCTACCCTGATATTAGCAAAATGGAGACCTGACAAACTGCGGCATGTATGAAAAATTACTAACAAGGTGTGATTTTAAACGAGGTCGGGGTTGATCAAAATCTCGCGCCACAAGAGGAATGAAAAGGAAGTCTTCAGGTGCAATCAGAGTCCCGCTCTCAGTGACCAACTCCCTGGATCGCATTAACTGTATTCGATGTTAGCAGCCTGCTTACTATATTGTCCAGCGGAGCATGTACCTGCAACATATGCACTTGGATATCATCGTTGACAAAATTAAAGTTTTTTGCAATCACAATATTGACCACATTACTTCCAGGAAGTGGCGTAAGTGGAGTTGGTGACTTGCTGTAGTCTGCCAAACTTTTGAAGGAAGATCGTTTGCTTGACTAGATTAATCAGCCTAAAATCCTTTGATCATAGTCGACACTCAAGGATATCCACATACTGGTTCTGTGTTCAACCAAGGACGTGATAGACGTCGATTTGGGCGAGCATCTGATGTGAGAACGTCATTGAAAATGTCATCCATGGACGTTGACGACGAACAGTCAAGGATGCAGTATGGATGATTGAAGGTAGTCGAGCCAATCTAGTTTTGAATCAGGTAATGTGTTCACGTTTTGAAGTATAGATTGACATACCAAAGCAAGTTCTTTGGCAAGGTCATGGATACAGTGGCTGGTAGTCTCGATCAAGCATTGTTCACGGGCCACGAGGCACAGGAAAAGGGCTACTTCCAGATCAGATAACTGTTGGGCGATTTCTGCAAGATCTATATCATCCATGTTTTCGAAGAAAGGCCAAGTTGGCCAATGAAGACGCAGTAACTATTGACAGAAGGTCAAGGATTGAGGTGGGGAATTACCGCCTGAGGATCAAGGCCACACCGCTCGATCGGGTCTAGTGCGGCCCCGGCCTCCCGATCAACAGCTCCAACGTCGAACAACTGGAGGCATTCAGGGCCTCATTTGTGACAAATTCCACAGTCATGCCTTCCAACCCACTCGCGAACTGGGAAAAAGTTGGTGATGGCTTTTATCGCAAGATCGCTGTTTATGACGCCATTTTTGAGGATGATGTCGAGTTAGAGAACTACATTGTCGCGGGCGCCCCCTACGGAGGAGCTATTGGTGGGACTTTAACTTGAATCGACGAGAACATAGACATCTAAACTAACGTGAATACTAGCGCTCTATCGCGACGAAAGCAAGCCGTTCAGACTTCGCGATGGACCGGGCTCCCGATCATCGATTGATGTTTATTCATGCTCTGGACAGCGAATCAATCGTATAAACGTTGGTTTGCACTCTTTGGCCTGTCTCAAGTGAAGATACTAATTAATTTAAGTGGGAGCAAGCCACTATTCGAGGACTGGGTTGGTCTGAGAAAGAAGAGCTTCTGGTCGTCTCCGAGGACGGAACGGTGCGACGCTATTTCGGATTGGACGGCGAATTTACGTCCTTTTCTCTCGGCAATGTAAGAATCAATGGGTTGATTTCCCAAGAGGATCTGCGCACATGCTGATAATGAACAGGGTGCCGAAGAGTATGGCGTAAGAGCCTGCCAGTTCTGGTCATCAGGCCTCGTTGCATTGTTGTCCAACAACCAATTGATTGCAGTATCAAGATATGATGAACCACGTCCGCGGCTCCTAGCACCTTGCCCTGAAGGCGAGGTATCATCATGGGCTTTGATCCCACCCGCTCATACCCTCTCACGCTCTGTTGAGGTTCTGCTGGCTGTTGACAGGACAATCTATCTAATCGACTCCACAGAAGCAGAAGACAAGATCCTGCAAGACGGCCCATTCAAGCACATTAGCGTATCCCCAACAGGGCGTTTTGTTGCCCTTTTCACTGCCGAAGGAAAGTTGTGGGTAGTTAGCAATGACTTCCAAAACAAATTCAGCGAATATGATTCGAAGTCTCGGGTTCCACCAAATACCGTCAATTGGTGTGGTGATGATGCTGTCATCCTCGGATGGGAAGATGAGATCCACCTTGTTGGACCCAACGGTGCCGCCTCAAAGTAAGTAACTTCTGTGGATTTTCTGCCGGCATGGTCTAATTTTCCCAGGTACTATTATGATGGCCGCGTTCATGTCATACCAGAGTTTGATGGAGTCCGTCTTATAACCAATGACACTTGTGAATTCGTGCACAAGGTTTCCAGTAAGTTGATAATTCCCGAAAATAGACAGACTGCCATTAACGAGTTCCAGCTGTGACCGAAGAGATATTCCGTCTTGGATCGTCCTCGCCGGCATCCGTGCTCCTAGATTCGGTGGACCAATTGGAGAAGAAATCGCCCAAGGCTGATGAGAACATCCAACGAATTCGATCGAGTTTACCTTCAGCAGTCGACACATGCATCAAAGCAGCAGGCCATGAATTTGACGCTTATTGGCAGAAGCGCCTGCTGAAGGCTGCATCGTTTGGCAAGTCTGTCCTTGAACTCTACAACAGTGATGAGTTCGTAGAGATGACTGAAAAGCTACGCGTTCTCAAAGCATTGAGAGATTATAAGGTCGGCTTGCCATTATCGTACGAACAATATCTGCGCCTCACACCAGAAGGGCTCATTGAACGCTTGATTAGCAGACACGAATATCTACTTGCAATAAGAATCTCGGAATACCTCCAGATTCCTGCAGACAGAATTTATGTTCACTGGGCAAGCCAAAAGGTGAAAGTTTCGACTGTCGATGACGAAGCAGTATGTAAACTCATTGTTCAAAGACTTGATGGGAAGCCGGGAATCTCTTTTGAGGTTATCGCCCAAGCTGCCTATGACGAAGGTCGATCCCATCTGGCTACACAATTACTCAACCATGAACCACGAGGTGGCAAGCAAGTTCCTCTGCTTTTGAAGATGGAAGAAGACGAGCTTGCCCTTGATAAGGCAATAGAGAGTGGCGATGACGACTTGGTGAACTACGTGTTACTACATCTCAAGAGCAAGCTTCCTCTTGCGAGCTTTTTCCGAATGATCAACACTCGTCCCATGGCTTCAGCACTTGTGGAGACTGCTGCACGAAGTGATGACATCGAGTTATTGAAAGATCTGTTCTATCAAGATGATCGACCGATTGATGGCGCTAATGTGCTCCTATCTGAGGCATTAAGGGACACTGACTTGACTCGCCAGACCGAAAAACTCCACTTGGCATCTCGTCTCTTGTCAGATTCCAAGGAGCCGACAGTGGTATTAAACCAGAAATTAGTCTCTGAGGCCTCCCAGCTTTTGAAGGCGCAAGACGCATTGGACAAAGACCTGGCAGATCACAGCGAGTTTGTTGGTCTTAGTGTCAATGAGACAGTCTACAGACTTATCCGGGGTGGTTACGGTAAAAGAGCACACAAGATCCAAAGTGAATTCAAAATGCCAGAGAAAACATTTTGGTGGTTGAGATTGAGAGCCTTGGTGGCTAAACGAGACTGGGGCGAATTAGAGGAAATCGCTAAGGTCAAGAAATCCCCAATCGGGTGGGAGGTAAGACAGTCCAAAATCCCAAACTACTAGGACAGATGCTCACACAAGACAGCCTTTCTACAACGAGATTTTGGGTGCTGGAAACACAAAACTTGCTTCCGGATTTGTGCCAAAGTGTACACACTTGTCCCCTGCCGAGAGAATCGAGATGTGGGTGAAGTGCGGAATGATCGTGAAGGCTGGAGAAGAGGCAATAAAGGCGAAGGACCTCAACACGCTAGAAATCCTCCGCACCAAAGCATCTGGCCCCGCAGCCACCGAGATCGAACGCATGATCAACCAACTTAGGCCAAGGAAATGAGTTCATTAACGATGCTTGATGTCTATCAGGGATCACATAGGCCTGCGCTGGAGCTTTTCAGGTGATCTCGTCGGTCTCATCGACGGGCGCAGCATCATCCGTTGCTGGATCGGAGTTTTCGGCCACCATTTCGAAGACATTCGTTGCTACAACGGCCTTGGGAGCCGCAGATTCTTCGACCATTGCATCGTCGTCCTCATCATCCTCGTCATCATCCTCTTGGAGGGCGGCGAACGTCATGGTTTTGCGGTTGGTATCTTCCCAATCAGCCTATTTCAGTGTAAGCAACTGTACGCCTGGAGAAAATGGCCATTTCCTGTTCTCATACCCTTCTGGCGTTGACGGACTTGCCGCGAGAGATACTTTTGGCCTTTTTGATCTCCAATTGATCCAAGACGGCCTCGGCTCGGTCCATTCCCTTTTGTTGCCTTAAGCGTTGAGCCCTCGAAATCTTGTCATTTTTCTTCTGTTTTTTCTGGACACCGGCATTGGCGCGCTCGGCCAGAACCGAAGGCCTTTGTGTGGTGGGAGATTCTGCTCGGGGCAGCGAAGTCACCGACTTGTCGAGGTCCAGGCTTGGGGACGCTGCCCTACGCGCTGCGCGGGAACGCTGGGATTGGTCTGTCTGAATGTTAGATACATCAATAACAATTTATTGCAAGGATGCTAGTAACTTACTTCTGCTCTTCGCCATGGTGGTTGTTTGGAAGAATTATCAATCTCGTGGGGGGAAATCGCTATCGATAAAAAAATATTTACGGTGGACGAGACCAACCAAACATGCAGCTTATGGCGACAGATACATAGGTATAGCGTTGGGTTCTTGTCACTTTGTACACACATCTTCACACCTAAACACGTTTACTATACATCTATGCTTTTGCTCATGCTGGAAGCTCTCTATAGTTGCAGCTACTTCTCTGGTTTCATTGACAATGAACCCTCGCTACGGGCGCTCTGAGATCTTTTCCAACAGTCCTGATCAATACTCGAGTCGCAACAGCCATTATGAAACTGTTCTCACGGCTTTTCAGAACAACAAAGCGCTAGGGTACATAATCGTCGCTCTCATTTCCATTCCTATTTTGTTAGGTTACCTTGGATTTATTCCTAAATTGCTCTTTCGCATCTTGTGGGATCTCTTCGTTTACTTCATACCCTCGCGAATCGTTATCGCTTTGGATTCTCACATATCCGACTCCGACTCCGACCCTTCAAGTCCATCTCCCTTGCTCGCCCAAGATAAAAGTGACGCCATGAAACGCATCCTCGGTCTAGACGACAATGCCTACTTCTCCTTCTTCGCCCGATCAAAACCACTTTCCATCTTCGGGAATGCCGTGCTGGGAAATACCGACGATGTCACACCCGCGGGACTAGGAAACTGGAACAACTCATGTTTCCAGAACAGCATCATGCAAGGATTAGCTTCGTTGGAATCTCTCGCCGAGTTTCTGGGCCACAACATTGAAAACCTCTCGGGAAAGGCTTCTTTCGAGACGCATAGGGCCCTTTTGGACCTCCTCGATAGTTTGAATAGCGCTTCCAAGGGTGGCACCAAACTGTGGATTACCGGGCCTCTGAAATCGATGAGTAGTTGGCAACAGCAAGATGCGCAAGAGTACTTTTCCAAGTTGGTGGATCAAATCGACCTTGAGGCTGAACTGGGCGCACGAGGCAACACCCTGAACATGGGATTGAAGATTGCAGGACGAGATGAAAACATATTCCGAAACAACGAGCAAGACGAACAGATCTCTAAAGGGCTGGATTCGCTCCCATCCACAGATAAGCTTTATCTTGATAAGGCTTCATCTTGCAATCCCCTCGAAGGTCTACTCGCTCAGCGGGTTGGATGCATGGAGTGTGGATGGACGGAAGGGCTTTCTCTAATTCCTTTCAACTGTCTCACTGTTCCTTTGGGCAGAAAATTCTCATATGATGTTCGCGAATGTTTGGACCAATACATGGCGCTTGAGCCTATTGAAGGCGTGGAGTGCGCTAAGTGCACGCTATTGCATCAACAAGAGCAACTCACCGCTTTGATTGGCGGGTTTGAAGACGATGAGAATCCTTCGGGTGGCTCTGAGATACCCGAGGCATTGAATGCCGTCAAACAGTCGGCTTACTCGCGGTTAGAGGCTGTCAAGACGGCTTTGAAGAGCAATGACTTTAGCGAAAACACACTGGCGAAACAGTGTCGCATCCCTTCAAAGAATCGGGTTTCAACTACAAAATCTCGGCAAGCCGTCATTGCACGGGCTCCTCGCTGCCTTGCCATTCATATCAACCGCAGTGTCTTCGACGAAATGACTGGGGCGCTGGAGAAAAATCTCGCGGCCGTTACATTCCCGCAAACCATCGATTTAAATCATTGGTGTCTTGGCACCAAAGCTCTTAGTAAATCTGGCGACAATTCCGAACAATGGGAAACAAACCCCTCGCGATCAATGCTCCCACAGCCTGGCGAATCTATTGAAGTCCCCAGCAGACAATATCAGCTACGGGCAATCATCACCCATTATGGCAGACACGAGAACGGACACTATATCTGTTACCGCAAGTATCCAACGTCGGAATTCTCAGCTCCTGCTCCAGACGAGATCCTTCAAGCCGAGGGCGACAAGGATAAGCCCGAGCGTTGGTGGCGGCTAAGCGACGATGATGTTCAGATGGTCAGTGAAGGCCATGTGATCTCCCAAGGCGGTGCTTTCATGTTGTTCTATGAAGCTATTGATGATTCCACCTCGCTCGATTTGTCTCAATCTGCTTCAATTCATACCGATGCCTACGACGAGTGCTATGTAGAGTCTACTTCTTCCGAAGATGTAGACTCACTACGCAATTATACCATGTCCAAGGACATTTCTCCTCCATCCACTGTCACCGACTTTGACTCTTCTACTTCCCGTGCCACCAGTGTTTCGATACCGATGGAGGGCCTTTCGGAGACCTCGAACGTCATCGATACTGAGGCTAAGTCAAGTGATCAACCAGATTCACCCTCCACCATTCTTGCATGATTGCCATTTCCTTCTGCGATTCATTTCTTGATTATTTTTTCTTTGCCAGCATGACGGTGCCTCCTGACCGCTGCATGATCATGATACCCAATACCACGTTGTTCCCTTTGAGGCGTTAATCTGTGTCCCACCGCGTTTGATATTATCCTGTAAAATTATGTATTAACATGGGTCTCCGATTTGGAATTCACATCTTTCGACGCGAGCACCTTGGGGAGTGGCAATCCAGGATGGCGGAATCACCTAATCAAGTACCTTTGGGGCGACCTGGGAGCTGCCATCATCACATAGCACTTTTTGAATGTATTTTCTTGTAGACTTGCAGTGTTCGATTCTTCCAGTGTCATCTTTACATTTTTAGCAAGTATCACCATTTCTCAAACGAAACACTCCTTTTTTGCAAGGATAGGCCGGGGGTTGCATGGGCCCGTATAGATGCCGAAGGTCTCCCGGGGTCCTCACTTCCCATCAGATCGTCATATAGCATGAGGTTCGCCCCAGTACTTAAGAAACTTGATCTCTATTCTAATTCCAGCAATAGCTTTCTTTTTTGTCAATATCCTCGTCTTCAACTATGTCTACCTGCCGGCCCTGCCAACCACATGATATATTCCTCATCAATGAGCTTTTAGAGACCATACTTCTCCATACCGACATGCGCACTCTATTAACATCCGCTCAACGCGTATCTCGCGTTTGGAACACCATGATCAGAACATCAACCAGACTGCAAGAACGTCTATTTATCAAAGCCTCCAAGTCCGAGGTCTCAGATCCCTCCCAGCGCCTTCGCAACCCCCTTCTAGAAGATATCCTCTGGGCACAATTCTTCCTCAAACAACAACACACGTCAGAGTCAAAGACCGTCGATGTAAGCAGATTCCCACTGCGGGAACACGACCGACGCAAGCTCAAAGCCCATCTGCGTAAAGACGCAAGTTGGAATCAAATGCTCCTACAACAACCACCAACGTCGTCAATCGGGGTTCTTGAAATCATCAAAAGATCGGACTCACAATTCACCAAGTTGGCTGTTAGTCCAGATAACGACTTCCTGCGAATGGGTCATATCTTCTCGCTCCTTCAGGGACGCAGCACGCTAGTTCCAATCCGCAACAAATGGATACTGTGGAGCGGACGATCCCGTGTCCGAATACCGTTGAACTTCGAGGTGTGGACGCCCAAATGGGTCTATGAACCGGGGACTTTACAGCCGGTGCAGGAGTGGATCCCGGATAATATAGACTGGGATAGTCTGCGGTTGGAGGTGGCGTCGATGTATTTGAATGATTTGGATTGTGGGTTGGTGGTGGTCTCTGAGCGCAGACAGATTTTGTTTCAGGGCGAGGATCAAGTGCATAGGGAGAGTAAACTGGATCGGCGGCTGGAGAGGGTATTTGGGGAGTGTCGGGTGGAAGTTGGGAGGAAGCATATAAGTCATTCATGGGTTCCTATCAAAGGCGTTGGGGATGACCGACGATGGGCACTGAGGCCTTGCTCTGCGACGCCTCTTGTTCCGACGCTGAATGCCTCGTCTGAGTCTTCAGACTCGTCCTCGTCTTCCTTTTCTATGTCCATATAATAATAGCATTAGCATTCAACTCGGTACGATGAGAAATATATTTGTGATTCAAATGTCCAGGAGACATCGCGACATAAATATCAAACATGTTCTCGATGCCCTCAATGGCCGAGACAACCAGTCCGGAATGCTAGAACGCAAATCATCCAGTGGAGGGTTGTACGACTTCCTAAGATATCCACTCTTTTCTCAGACCCTCTAGCCACTCCTCCACTGGTATCTCTCGCCCCTCAGTCAGAGACCCATCCTCCCCTTCCGTAGTCTCTATCCAGACTCTTCTCCGATATGATCTGACATGTCTCTTAGCATTCCAAGGAGGAATCTGCAGCCAGTGATGAGTAGCTCGGCAAAGCGGCGTTTTGAGCGCGCCGGACTTGAGCCGCCGGAGACACGAGTCACAGAAGCCGATATTATAGCAGTAATGACATGCATACATCGGTGTGCTATTCTCCAACAAGCACTCGCATATGTCACACATGTAGTCGTTGTTGGCATCATCGATGGCTTTGTCATACCTGGCCATTGAATCTAACAACCCGTGATATGTTTTTCTTCTTCCACTATCCTCATTGTTTAAGACGAGATCTTCGCTCAGCTTCTCAAGATGTTCCTGCATTGCGCTGATCTTGAACCAGGCATGCGTGTCGGATGATTCGTTGTCAGGATAGTTTGACTCGAAGAACTCGATGAGCTCGGTTGCTTCAGCGGTCATGGGCTCGCCATCGAGTGACAGCCATTCCTTCAAGATATCAATGTCGAGTACACGCCGAGCAAGAAGAGAAAACGCTATCAGGTAATTAGTATCGTCTCTGACGTAGAGGAGAATTTGAGATAGCAGCATGAATCCCCGGTGATCATTGCTTGTCGTTTCATCGGAAAGTAAGGCGAATGCTTCTGCCATATCCTCTTTGAAGAGATCCCGAGCAGCTTTCTCATCTTTATTGTGGATTCTGTATGCTGCCAAGTATGTCTTCGCCGCAGACATTCCATGAACTATGCTCTTCTGCTCCTCCAATACTTGCTCCAGCTTTTGAGCATACTGGGCAGCGTTTGGCAAGTCATTGATGGCCTGTTCAAAGTAATAAGCGCTCAGCTGCCGCCCGACTTTGTCCAAAAGAATAGCACCGGTAGAAAGTTGCGTGATATTTTTCAGAATCAATTGCGAGCATTCGGTCCAGGCTTGTACTGCCTTCTCTGAATGAGAAATATCCCCAGAGTAGCACGAGAGTGTGATCCCTTTATGCAAGAGCAGAGTTGCACACATTTCATATCGCTCTTGGGCTTTCGCATCACTGATGGCTGTTTCCATGTCTTCCAACAAACCGCCGAGGTACGGTTCGGATGAGCAGATGAAAGATATCTTATTCAAGAGCTCAAAGCTGTTACTTTCGTCATCTTTAATCACCATTTCGACCATCAAGCCTAGATGGGAGATGTGGCGTGTGCTGTCCTTAAACTGCAATGCACTCGTGACAAGGCTTTCAAGCTCCACATCATCTTGATCATTCCGACGAGCGTGGAGACTTTTAAATAGACTGTATCTCGCGTCGATGTTTCTTGGGTCTAGCCTGAAAGCATCCCAATTATATTTGACCGCATCATCTTCATTGTTGGCCAGCGAGGCAAGGCGCTTCAACACTCCCACCCGTCGATCTCGGTCCGGGTCATCCATTTTCTCAAGGATTTTGTTGGTCTGTAGTTGAGGAAGTTGAAAGAATGTTAGATGATATTCAGCCTCGTGTACATCTGATGAGCATTAAAGGCAGATCATTGGCTGAAACTCACCTTTTGATACTTCTTGAAAGCCTTCTCTTGAAACTCATCCATGCCCTGCTCATCATAAAGAGCTTCGTATGTTTCTGCGATTCGTTGAAGCCAAATGTCATTTCCACGCAGATGGCGCATGCCCAATGCCTCCTTACACCATTTTTCTGCTTTAGAAACTTCATCGTCTTCATCAGAACCACCCGTGGATATGTCTTCGGAACTATCTGTAGAGGCATCATCGGGTGTGTCATCTTTCGTGTCCTAAGTCATGTCAGTTTGAGGACAATGTCGAAGAGGATGGGGTCCACCGCTACTGCATACCAGCTCAAGGTAATTGTGCAGCCACTTGAATGCTGCCTTCGCACTTGATGACATGTCCTGAAGCCAGATGCGACCGGCCAGTTTTGCCAGGGGCTCAAAAAGCCTTCGATTCCGCTTTGGGTCTTCGTACATTTCTTGAAGCTTGTCTCGTACATCCATCTGTTTAATTGCAGCATCATCTCCGAGCCATTCCCAGAATGCCGCCATCGCATCGCCATCCGAATGCCAATAAATCCCTACAAAGGTCTCCCAGTGTCTTTCAAGGTTCATTGGGTTGAAAAATAGTTCCTGGACGTTCTCTCCTATCACCTGTCGATCCGCATCCGCAATCTGTTTGAATGCAGACAGTTTCCGCAGATCAGTTAGATGCTCTGGCAGGCTATCCAACAGACGCCTTCCAATACACTGTGATAGGGCGTGCGGTGCTCTTCGCAGGAACTCAAAGGTTCGCTTCACGACCACTAGATGCGCATTCAGCTCGGTAACTTGGATTTGTTGTGTCGAGGGCTTTGCCATATCTACTTGGTGCGTGTCGAAGTTGAATCTGTTCATCACTGAATGATGGGCCAGATCCCAGAAGAGCCGCTGTGCCACTTCGATCTCTGCATTTGTGATAGAAATTGACGCTGTCACAGTTGGTCGCTGGCGTCCATGCTGGTTCTGGATCACCCATTGCTTCATGTCTTCACGCAGTCGGACGCCATAATCTCCTTCTTCTAGGACAAGGGAGAATCGCTCTTGAATTTTCTTGCGAAGAGATCTTAAAGGCGTGGAACTCGATCGAATAAACTGAGACCCAGACGTTTTTTTGTTAGCTTTTTCTCGTCAAGGCGAGACTCTCGCTTCAAGCCTTGTAAATGAACAAGAATAAATAAAGAACAAGGGGGTGTTACCAGAAAGGCTTCAATTTCCTCCGCATCAAAAACGTTGTAACGCGAGCCAAATTCCGCCCAGATGATTATCTCATTCAGTTCTTCAATCTCCTTCGCGTCAAGCACCCTCTCAAGATCTCGCAGCTCAGATTCACTCGGGGCTGATGCTCCTTGGCCCAATGTGTCGAGGAAACGAATCAGCTCATCCCTGCTATCTGACCGCACTAGGGATTCCACCTTCTCAAGCGACTTTTGAGCTCTTTGGAAGCTACCGGAGGAATTTCGGTGCAACACAGTAATGATTCTTTTTCTGAGATCGCCGAAGTCGAGATGGTCCTCCTGTAGTAGGTCTTTGGTCTTGAGATACCCTTCAATATATCCCGAGATTTCCTGCGAATTGTATTCCTCGATCTTTGCAGTGCCCATACAAAAATCTGACTTGGTGTATTTTTGTAATCGGGTCTTCTCTCCAGTCGCAAAGAGGCGAAAACGACTGGCTTCAGAAGAAACGGGTTGAGAGAGTCGCGCCAACTCGTCCATGAGATAGCTGATATCGGATTCTGACAAGTTGTCTAGCCCATCCAGAAGAAGGTAGCAGCTGGTCGTGTTCAGAAGTTTTGAGGCGTCCAATGTCTTCCAGAGTTCCTTATAGTCAGCTTTCTTGGCTGTGAGATCAAGCAAACATCTTCTGTACATGGAGTCTTGCTCTGCCACCTGTAGACCAATCGATCTAATGCAGTTCTCCAATGGCTGCTGATTGTCCTTTCCAGTCCTCGCTATAGGAGGGAAGGTATAGTAGGCAATCAAGCTCTGCTCTTCAGCTTCCACCTGAGCTTTAAGATCAAGAAAGATCGATGCCGTCGATACGCTCTTGCCTGTTCCCTGGGCTCCAATGACCAGGAGCAATGGAAGTAGACCTTCCTTTTCTTGACATTTCCATTTCTGGTAAGCATCCCACTTGACGAACCAACAACTCTTGGCAGTTGCCAGTCGGGAATTCTCCGCGAAGACACGATGGGACATGAGTAGTCTATCGTCGGACATCCCAAACCGGTTTCTAATCGTGTTCAGGTCTTGTTGTCGCGCCTGCTCGCCCGATCTCCTGCCAACATAGTCTTGAATCCCACCGACTTTAGTATCAATCCCATCCAAGGTTTGTTTAGAGCTGAGAATCTGTTCCAGCATGATAGTCGATTGATAACTTTCTTTCCGCTCGCAAAGCACTTTGAGCTGATCGAGGCGGGATTTGATCGGGTTTTCATTTAGCAATACCCATTTGCCCTCTCGGAAGAACCTAGAGAGCTTGCCAGTTTTGCCTTGCTTTACACACTGAGCGCAAAGCTCCACAAAGACCATCATGACATTGGAAACAAGTTCCATTAAGTCCTGATCCAAATCCTTCATGCGGACATATGCTCCAAGCTGGGTAAATTGGGGTTTCACTTCGTCAAAAACGGCATTGATTGACTCGTGGATTGCGTGTACTTTTGAGGGTATTTCTAGGAGGAATGATAGCGCACTGAAGCATGCATTCGCGGGTGGAAAGGCCTATAAACCTCGATGAGTTTGATCAACGCCGAGTTCATAAGAACAAACCGAACTGGGTGTTTAGATACTCACCAATGAGGCGACCTCCCCAACTGGCTTCGCCAGAGCGCTGATAGCCTCGGTAACCTGGAGGCAATTATCTCTTGTTGTGCTAGATAACATCTCTTTCCCGGCTTGATCATCCGCTGATAGCAGTTTCTGAAGGTCTTCGATGGATCTAGAGCTTAGCTTTTCACCTGTAAGATCTTCAAACTTGGAATAAACACGATCCAACAGCTCACTCATGTTTGCTGTTGGTCTTTCTTTCGGCGGATGAGATGTTTCGCTCTGCTTCTTGCGGAAGGGGATATGAGGGGCCATTTTGCATAAAATTCGGGGCCCTCAAAGTCGGGGTTTGTCAACACTGGATAAAAAGTAATTGTTTACTATCAACGAGATGAATAGAGATGAGATGGACTCGAAAGTGTTCGGCGTCGCAGAATTTGGGCATCAAATCAGCCCCATGTCAGACGTCTTGGCACGCACACAACGAGATGTGCATTGCATCTGCAGAAAGAGCCGCCAGTGTGGAGGACTTTCTTGTCATCTAACTCAGCCTTATATCTCAGTTTTTCCCGCGATTTCCCCCCGCGAATGTAGATATTGGTGATGTCTGAGGAATCCGCCAGGCAGTGAGAGTGTAGTTTCCCCCTAATATGTCCTGGTTCACAAAACGGCTTAGTCTCCAGTGCAGGAACATCCATAGAAAGCAAGCCCATGAAACTTGATAGAGAAGTCTCCTTTTCAGTTCCAATAGGATCAGGGTCAAAGCCCGGCATTGATTGAAAGGCCCTCAAATCTCGAACTGGGGTAGTGTATGCTTTGACAGAACGAGAATGCTCAAGCAGTGCAGAAGCGCTCCTGAGTAACACATCTGTAGACTGAGGATATGAAAGGAAATACTGCAAGTACTGCTATTTGGTCTGCTCTCCAACCACGTCTGGCTCATCTGTCTAGTACAACTTCCCAGATAGGAACATCCCCAAGATCTACCTAGGTACCTTGGGGAAATGGTGATCCAGTCGAACTATAGTCGAATGCAATGTCCTTGTTATCAACAGCCGCAAACCTTTGGTCAATGTTTTGTCAAAATGGCACTCGTTAAATTGTTCATTGTCAAAGATCACTTAGTCGTGGCGGGGAACGAGGAGTTGAACAGACACCAAGCTTGGCTTAATATACGCATATCAGATTACACTCTGGTCCTCTCAAGCTAATAGAGGATATATTCAAGATATCTTCCAAGTTGATTCCCGTTTCATGGGGAAATACAATGCAATGTGCTGGTCATTTTCTTCTGCCAGTATTCGAAGGCCTGCTCAAGAGGCTGCATCTTGACTGACACCACACTACTCCGTACTCCGTATACCACAATCTAACCTGGTCTTCTTGGCAATAGCCCAAAATGGGTCAGGCTACAAAAAAGGGGCTGATCTCAACAAAGAGAAGGATTTCGCGAGACCGGGGAGATATGGTGTGCACTCCTTCCAGTCCTCCAAGTCAAACCATCTTTGTCGTAAACGCCAACAGAAAACGCCAATCTCAATTTCCCATACATCTACAAGTGCTGCCCAAATCACGGTGCATATCTCACATCGCCAAATAGGAAGGAAACACAATTCACCGCCAGTCTATCTATCCGACCCGTGCATCGGGGAAGGCCAGCCTGGCGAGCAAACCCATGTCACTTTACTCCGTAGCGCGACCAGGGTCATTACGCCCACGGGATGAGATTATCAGCGACCAGTTCGGACATTGCTCACCCTCAGTCGGTTGGGGATGTGATGTCTGCCAGCCTGTACGACAGGGATGTTACTTTTTCCTCCACGCTGTCCGAACCCACCATGTAGACGCGCAGAGCGCGGATGTCAGTACCCAGCGAAAATTAAAACGTCGATGCGCCCGAGGCATTCAGGCCCGGCAGCGTACAGGAAACGGCTGGACAGGAACAAAGTGATTGCTGGCTGGGCTGGGGGAGGCAAGTCAAAGAAGTGCAGCGAAGACGCATCTCCATTGCTAACGCGGGCCTCCGCAGTTCCCCCTACGGGTTTCCACATGTTCTGCAGTTTGTCGAAACGTTCTCGAAAAAAAGAATAGTGGAGATTTTTGCTCCGTACTCCGTACTCCGACTAGAGATTATGTTCATTAGAGTCTGGGGTTGATTACTGCGAGACTTCCGTCTTGGAATTGCCTAAAGCGTATGTAGTTACGGAACCGCGACCGTGGCGAGACTGCATCTTTCCCGGTCGCAAAGATCGGTCAACGCAAATACCCTTTCACTCTACTCCGGACCCCGTACTTCGAACAATCTGTGAGATCGGGGTAAGTGGGATGTGAGTTCTGAGTCAGATAGCACGTCCTTCAATCCGAGTCAGTAGAGCGGACGATGGCTACAGGGCGCATCCAATGGCGATGGCTAATCTAGCGGTCTCAGAGATGGGGTGTCTGATCTCACAATCATCTGAATGTTGGCGTCGGTCTAGATGACGAGCTGACGACATTGGTATCCGTGCGGGTAATCTCATGCGGCCATCGGGCTCCTTGCGATAAATCAGGGGAGCATCACTGTTATTAAAAGCCACAGACAAGTCGAGCAAGCCATGAAGCAAGCCTCATGGACACGTCTTGGGTACACCGTAAACCCGCCACTACCATCACACCCTTGTCGATCGCTGCAGCCGAGAGCGCGGATGGTGGTCCGGCAGGACATTGGGTTACTCATGCTGTAATGGGGACTCCGTCGGTATACAGGATACATGATGTGGTATCTCACATTCTTCAATATCTCCGCTAGTGGGATGTGGGTCGGCGGGACCCCATGGGGCGGGGATGTGTTCCATGGTTCAGCACTATCTTATCCGAGTGCTGCATCTAATACTTGCAGCTGTGGCAAACTCCACAGAGCTAGCTGTACTCCGTACTCCGCATAGAAATCATATCTCTACAACATATGTACATAGTAGAAGTCAAAATGGTGGCGATTGAGTCGGTGAGTCAAGGTGTCGGAACTTGAGCTTGATCCGGTCACATTCAAATCTCGTTTACAGAGGCTAGACCTCGGAGTTAATATATAATATATATTTCACAGAAGTTGACAGATTGCAATAGGTCGTACCTGGTACTCCGTAAACAGCTTGGATTTGATATCTGACTTCTTCAGCAGTGCTTTTGTATTATCTGTACTATCTTTAACTATGCAAGACTAGACCCGACCATCTGTGTCCTTGCAATTTTAGTTCAGAGATCTTGCATATGAACTGCATATGCATTGCAGAGTGAAAGCTGCAGGGAAACCCGGGAATGGCTGGAAGAGCCAGAGTGGATCCGAGCTACAATCCAATTTCATTTCACCAAGGGGCCAGACCCGGCGACAGAATCGACAATAATTAAGCTCCCTTCATTTAGCTCCTGGATTCATTCCACAATGTTCAGTCTACAAACATGTGCATGGACTCCGCGCCATCCAAAACTGTAAATGTCTGGCGCGAGACCAAGTTTCGCAAAGCTGCATGACAAGCTCTTTTACCCGAGGCAAAGCCGATACACCGAGCTTTCGCTCTCGCTCCCTGAAATCGGAACTTTTGTGCCCAACCTGACCGGGAGATTAATGTCTTTCCGGATCCTCCATAATGAAACAAACCAGGAGCTTCAGCCCCAAAGCCTCCACCGCGGATCCATCCGTCGCCACCACTAAACCCAGGAGACAGGTAGCAGGAAAAGTGTCCAATATCCGTTAAAACACCGAGGGGCACGAGAAAGGGGAAAGGATCGGGATGTGACGCGCTCGCTCGTGGACCGCGGCTCAGTTGCTCCGTCCTCTCTGTCACAAGCCACGGAAGTTGTGTGTTTCGAGGCCCTCCGAGCCCCCATGAGGAATGAAGCGGTATTCAGAAGCATTGTGTATACTCCGTATTCAAAATAGTACACGGAGAACAGCGGAGCTGTCACGTCGATCTGAATGTGATTTCCTGGGTCCTTTGACCCGCTCGCCCCTTTTCCTGGTTCCCCGGCGGGCCGGAACGCGCAAACATCAATTATGGGGATGTAGGAGGCGCCGGGGAGATAGTATTCCACATTCCCTTAATGTGGTCGGGGGGGGTTAGATGTATGTTAAACCAAAAGTACAGTCGATCGGCCTTGGACTGGGACGGATCCCCAGCTTTAGATATGACCAGTCTGACAGAGGCGGCGATCATGCGCCCAACTGGGAGAGTGGAAAGTTGGTCGTCGGGAGCCCAAGGAGCTGGATCGATCCACCTAGAGCTCCGGGGAAGGGCGTCACATTCTTTCCGGTGGGCGCTAGTCTTGCATTACGCAAGTCATGGGCAACATTCAGAAGGACATGAATATTGACAGATAGAACGGAAGGGGGCGTGATCATCCGGGGAAAGGGGAGAGAACCTGAAAATCAGCACGGAGTTGATAGATGGGAAATGTCTTTGTTTTAATGGGCTAGACCTGAGCGATCTAGACCCGCACACTAATTAATGGAATAATTGAATTTTTGGTCTGAACAAAGAAAATCCACTACACCAGATGGAGTACGGAGTACGGAGTACGTCCGTACGGAGCACAACATTTTAGAGAATGCGCCTGTGGGGATGTCGCTGATTTGTGCGAGAAATAGTACGGGATTTACTCGGAGAATGCACGGTAATCGCTTTGATCGAGTTGACGGGGGTCTGGGATTCTAGCCCAACATCTGGAAGGGTGCGATGCCCATTGCCATAGAGCCGAGGAACTGTATTTATCCGTCGTCCCCGTGGAGACGGAGGAAGGGAGCGAAAGTCCCGAGGCTGCGGCAGCCGTTGGGCCAATTTACCGCTTCCCACCTAGATTGTAACGTTGTAAGCTAAGGGCTTCTAGCTCACCATTTCGAATGCTCCACGGGCTCTAGACTTGGGCCGAGGTGGAGACACGGAGGAACTCCCTGAATCCCTGAAATCCTGAAATGCCGCGAAGTGTTCATTTAAAGATGGATGGATGGCTCATTCCCCCCGTGAGCGTTCTCATCTCTCCAATTCCGACTTTTGTTCGCCAACAGCCTCTGGTTGAAATCATCGGTGTTGACGTGTTGGATCGAATTTTGACCGCCAAACGCCAAACTATCTGATCCCTGACTGATTCAGGCGATCGCAGACTCCGTTTGGGCGCATGCGATTAGGGCTGCAAACTTGCAATCCCGCCTGCATCTCCCGCAACATTTGCATCTTGTTTTTTTTTATTATTGACGAAGCGGTCAATCCGAGGCATGATCATTGGGGAATTATCATCGCAACTGGAAAATCCAAACAATCCGATTTTCCCAGATCTGCTTGGGCAGCCTTTTTGGGGAACGATATCCCATGCCGTAAGGGGCTTTTTAGAAGCATCGAGTTATCTGTTGAGATCGGAGATCGTGACTTCCGCCTCACTGTCAGAGTGTCAGAGTGTCAGAGGATCCCAGGGTACGGAGTATCGGGTGTGGCAGGGAACGCAACGCTAAACCGAGGATCCGATCTTCCCCGTCCAGAATCGGATACATCGAGACAGTGCGGATAAAAGAAATCAGAATTAATAATTAGAAAAGAGAAAAGAGAAAAGAGAAAAGAATATTTTTTCTTTTCTTTTTTGCTTTTTCTCATTTTTTTCTGATTTTCTTTTCTCTCTTTTCCCTGATCGCCCTTTGTTTGACGTGGGATTGTTCTGATTGATCCATTCTGGGACATTTGATTTGGGATTATTTCCGCTTTGGGATAATTCCCTTTTCAATATTCCATTTTGGGTGCTGCAAGGGTATCCGGCAGTCTAGAAGCCTTTCCCCGGCTTTGGTCGTTGATATCTATTTGTGTTGCCCTTTCACACCGTTTATTGATAAACACCTCCCCACCCTCGATCCCTTCTTCACCTTTTCAATCTTCACACGGTTTATCTTGGGCCCTGGTAACATCCACCCCTCAACTACAACTACACCCATCCGCCATTATGATTCCCATTCAATCCCGTTTGCTTGCGATGTCTGCCCCAAAGGGGTCGGCTCCCATCGCCAGCACCGATCCAGCACAACCAACATTTGCCTGGAGCGGCAGCTCTACCTCTTCTCTCATGTCAAGTCCATTCGCCCCTCCACCCACTCCGACCGACTCTCTCCTCGACATCAACCCTCGCAAATCATCCTTCTCCAGCGAGATGGCAGCGGCATATGCCTTCCCTTCTTGGCCAAACCGACCTTCGCTTTCCAGCAATGGCTCTGCCGACTCCTGTGCCAGCGCCTATCTCTCAGATGACGACCTCCTCTGGATGCCAGAGAATTCAGCTGCAGAGCAAGCCGTTGAGGAGGCAACCAACCAAGCCACTCTCTGCTCGGTGACCATGGAACACCAACTCCAGCGCATGCGCGCTATCGCCGAACAGGAAGATCGTGCCAATTTCCTCGCCAAGGTTGACGCCCACGCACGCGCAACCCAAGCCTTGCGCACAACGAAGCAGGCCATTGTGAACGAGCGCGAGACTTCCAAGCGCAAGAAGCGTCGAGTCGTGCCTACTCCCAAGAGACGCGCCCACTCGGCCTCCAAGGTGTCTCAGTAAACTCACCGGTGTCTACCGGTGCAGTGCAGGCACTGTCCGCCAACGCCTTCTCTTCACGACCATGTCCTTACTTCCTTATCTTTTAATTTTCACCCCGCATCTCTCCGAAGAGTCTAGACCCACAACCAGTGTTTTCTCCGATACCCTCTTTTTTTCCTTTCAACCGTGATATCCGCCCGCTCGCCTCATCTCAACTGCGAATCACTTCTGACAGCGAAGCGATCAACGCGTGTCGATCATCAGCCACATGTTGCAAGCTTTATCCTGGGTCATATTGCGCAAGTGCGACCACTGTGACCCAAGGGAGCACGGGCCGACCTCCCCCGCGCTTACCTAATACTTCGCTGTCGGCGCTTCTAGAAATCCCACCGTCGCCTTTGGCTCTCCTTTACACACACCGCTGGTTGACTTGGCTCTCTGACTCATTTTCCGGCTCCCTTATCACATCTTTTCTTTTCAGCGAATCCGTTATTCCCCCCGACATTCACAGGGATCCGTCACGTTCTTGCATGGAGTTGCAGCGCCTTGATTCTGTCATTTGACCCTTTTTTCGCCCCATACCCTTTGGCGTGCATCCATGGCCCCGGTGTTTCTTTTTTTCCCTTGCTCTGCCTTATCTGGTTTCAATTTACGACTTTGTTCCTCCTAGCGCTTTGTTCAGATACCCCCCCTTTCCCTGTCTTGTACGATGTATACCCCACCGTTTGTTTCCATTGCTTTGTATTTTCCCGATCTCCAACCGCAGCTGGCGCCGGGATCTGTTATCAGAGCATCGCGCCATGCGCCGCATCACGTTCGTCACAGATGTATGTACGTGATGCTGCCTGTTGGGCATCATGCCAACCAACCATATCCGTTGGTTCACAGTACATTAGGTACATTAGGTAGCCTCACTGAACTAAGCCTGTTTGTCACATTCTGAAACACCGATCATCCTTTTCTAAATTATAAATACAAAAGTAAGCTGCCAACAACGAAGACCCTTGAAACCGAAAAAAAAAAAAATATTGATTTGAAATACGATCATCGTATGCCCAAATCTACCCATGCATCTAATCTCCCTGATGCTGTACTCCCAGTCATCTTCCTGCCACGTTCGTGTAGATGCAACCTCCAGAAACCACATCCTCAAAATAGAAAATCATCCACCGGATCGTCAGCCCTGTCCGCCTCGTGTCCCCCGCCCTGAGTAACCTCCCCGGCTCGGCCTTCTCACAGCGGGAACCCCGAACAACAGAAACAGCGAGGCTGTAAGAGCTTATTGCCATCTGATGTATGACAGGTTACCCTGGGGCGGGCAGTCATCGTTGCTACGAAGATGCAACTGTGATATCGCGACCTGGGCAATGACTCAGGATGGGAAACGGGAGGGGGCCCGACATCCACATTCCGAATGGGAATATGGTCATCTTGGTGTATGTGTACAGAATACATCACGTTCGATGAGATATCGGGGAATATCGTAGATTGTTAGCCTGGGGGCCTTGGGCGGGATTTCGATATTGTCTGTTTTCTTTACGGTCATCTGGGACGGGAAGAGTCGGCCATTAATCGGAGTTAAGGAGGTTGATATGCTGGTGAAAAGTACGCTTGGTGGGTGTGTGGGATTTCACCGCACTTCGCCGATCACGAACGTAATTGTCTATACTTCGAAGGGGTGGAAGGATTTGGCCGAAATTACTGTGGACGGTACTTGGTGATATCTGCTTTGGGTTCACCGGTGCATTTACGCTATTGGTGTTAGAGGTGTTGCACCGACCCAAATGGTGAAGCCTCCGTACGGAGTAGTGGGTTTGGTTGTTACTTCTTCGCTTGGCTTGGCACATGCTTTGGCGCTGAATGGTGGATTGTTGGGATATTGGCACATGCTGGTAGAGTGTGCTTGGGATAGGCTAGAATGACAACCTAAGGAGGAGATGTCTATGGGTAGATCGTCCCGTGTATATGATAGATAAATTCTATTAATGGGATCATACTCTGAGGGATTGGTGCCGTGGGCTGGTTTCAATGGCCAAGCCCGTAGAAAATGGCGAATCGAGTGATCGGAACTTGACTGGCTCGAGAGTGAGGCCGGATGTGGAGATGAGATTACTCAATGGATGTCGTTGACTCCAATAGCAAAACATCAAACTTGGTTGCTGCCATACCATGATTATCTGTCGTAGGAAGTAGATAATGTTTCCGTTATACCAGATACTGCAAGAGTCTCAACACATTCAGTCGTAGTAGAGCAACTTCAGTACAGCGACGATTGATCCATTTGAAAGAGTCACAATAGGACTCTTTGCTAGAACAGATATTCTCATGGGAGTTAGTGAGAAGCAGTCCCAGAGCGTCGTCGATGTTGTATGCGGAGTTGTCAGAAATTGGCAAGTGGTGAAACAACCTCATGGGACGGTCAAGCGAAAGGAAAACACCAAGAATAAATGGGATTGGCCCGTTTAGAGCATATAGCCTCAACCAGCCTGCCCTTTATTTGAGTGATAAGTAGGCCTTGAAGGTCAAGTAGGTGTCCAAGTTTGCCGGGAGACTGTTCACCGGATCCCTTAGACCTGTGCTTCTCTCGCGGGTTGAACCAGCAGGTTCATCGTGGGAATCACCATTATGGGGATGGCTCTGCGGGAATTGAGAGTGTTGGCAAATGAGCTCGAGCAACATGGGCTACCGTACTTGTGTCAGGGCAAACATATCAAAGTCAAGGAAAACAACTACCCCTCTTTCATTAAACCATTTCTCCCCTCCTACCCTTCTCCAATCTCAGAATATGCATCGCTATACCTTTCCCCATGCGCCTATTGCTAGCCCAGGGGCGACAGTCGGTGGAATTGGCCAATACCGGTTTATAGTCCTGACAGATGGGCTACTTCGGTTTGAATGGGCCGAGGATTGCCAGTTTGAAAATCGTGCATCCGTACTGGCAATCAACCGTCACCTACCAGTCCCAGAGTTCCGGGTCAAGGACGACGAGGATAGTCTTCAGATCATTACATCGCGATTCCACCTCACATATGACAAACAGCCATTCTCCCCAAGCGGCCTGAGTGCAATCGTCAAAGGCCACTACAAGCCTCATGGCAGTGTCTGGCGCTATGGAACCCAGGTTACGAATCTGGGCGGCACGGCCCGCACGCTGGACAAGGTCGATGGCCGCATGGAACTGGAACAAGGTATCTTGTCCCGAGAAGGCTTTGCCGCCTTGGATGACTCCAAGTCCATGCTATTTGATAACAGGCAATGGGTGGCCACACGAAGGCCTGGAAATCGTGTGGATGGCTATCTATTTGCTTATGGACATGATTACCGACAGGCCGTGCAGGCCTTTTATCTTCTATCTGGGCCTCAGCCATTGGTGCCCCGATGGGCACTAGGAAATTGGTGGAGTCGATACTACGCCTACAGTGCAGATGAATATCTTTCTCTGATGGACCAGTTTCGCGAGAAGGACATTCCGCTATCGGTAGCGGTACTCGATGTCGATTGGCATATCATTGATGATGAACGTGTCAAGCGTGCTGGGGTGACTGGCTGGACTGGGTATACCTGGAATAAAAAGCTGTTCCCCGACCCAAAGGGCTTCCTGGCAGAGCTCCATCGGCGGAATCTACGCACTTCTCTGAACGATCATCCTGCAGACGGAGTCCAGAGCTATGAAGATCAATATGAAGAGATGGCAAACGCACTGAACCATGATACCTCAATGGGAGACGCAATACCTTTCGACATCACAAATCAATCATTTTTAGACGCCTTCTTTGATGTATTACATCGTCATTTCGAAAAAGAAGGAACGGATCTGTGGTGGGTGGATTGGCAACAGGGGACATATTCGCGGATTCCAGGCATCGATCCGCTGTGGGTTCTAAATCACTACCAATTCTTGGATAGTTCCTTGGACAACAAACGACCTCTCACATTCTCTCGATATGCTGGTCCAGGCAGCCATAGATACCCCATTGGGTTCTCTGGTGATACCGTTGTCTCTTGGGATTCCCTCCATTTCCAGCCGGAGTTCACAGCCACAGCATCAAACATCGGCTACGGCTGGTGGAGTCATGATATTGGCGGTCATTTCCTCGGCGAAAGAAACGAGGAGATGCTCGTTCGTTGGGTGCAGTATGGTGTTTTCTCTCCAATTTTACGTTTGCACTCGACAAACAACCTCTTTAGCGTCAAGGAACCATGGAATCTCGAACCTCCATTTGATCAGATCATGACGGATTATCTTCGACTTCGTCACCGACTCGTTCCATATCTGTACACAATGAACATTCGTGCTGCTGTGGAGGGACTGCCACTTGTCCAGCCCATGTACTGGGGCTATCCGGAGGCAAATGACGCCTACAATGTCCCTAATCAGTACTTGTTTGGCTCTCAGCTCATTGTGGCACCCATCACGACTCCGCAGGATCCTAGATCCCGGAGATCTCAGGTACTCGCATGGCTTCCTCCTGGACGACACGTGGATATCTTCACCGGCGTGGTGTACGATGGAGACCGTCGACTTTGGATAAACAGACATTTAACCAAAATCCCAGTATTCGCACCAGAGGGGGCAATCATCCCCCTTGATGCTACACGCCAGCTTGAGAATGGTTGCGAGGAACCTGCAGTGTTTGAGCTCCTACTAGTCGTTGGTGCTGATGGCGCCTTTGAACTCGTTGAAGATGATGGAAAAGGCCAGTCGCCAGATCAAATCAACTTCCGTCGCACTTCCATCTCCTTTAATCAAACAAATGGCACGTTGCAAATTGGACCGACAATTGGATCTTCTCTCTCTCCGCGTACTCGGGAATGGACCTTGCGTCTCCTTGGATACTCGTCCACTGGGGAGGTCCCAGTCTCCGTTGGCGATGAACAATACACTGTGGAGGGAGAGGAAGTTGACAATGGCCTTTTGTTGAAACTTGGATCTCATCTAGACAATGTGTCCATCATAGTCAAGTTGGAAAACAATCCTACTTTGAATGTGCATCAGCCGGCACCTCGGATTGTGGAGTTCTTGCGTGGTGCTCAGATTGGAATGGATTTGAAGAACAGGATCAAGGTTATTGTGGAGAGCTCCAAGCCTAGACTCGTGCAACTCGGTGAGCTGAATACGCTTGGATTAGATGCTGCTTTGTTGAGTCCAGTTCTTGAATTCCTCCTGGCTGATTCCCGCGTGCTGTGATTGGGGATCGCCAGATGGCCAAAATGTGAGAATCACTAGTTTCAAATTGAACGAACATTGAAGAGAATTCGAGATTGTAATCTATTTTGTGTGGTCTATTCCTATCCATGGCGATACCCCCAAGACTCCTTTTATTCGTTCGTCAATCATAGCCTCTATTTTATTTCCCAACCTCCATGCCCAAGAACCCTATAATACTCTATTTACCAAACAAATGCAAAGGACCAAAATCACGAAGCGATCATAGCACCTGATTAATGATCTCACCAGCGAACCACTTCTCTGTCGCGTTCTTCACAGAAGCCGAAAGGTTTTCCAACGTCCTCTCGGCATACCAAGCAAGATGGGGAGTCAGAACCAAATTCAAACCCGCTGCTTCAGGGCTCAACAACGGTGAATCGCCTCTACCAGCGGGTTCAACAGTATGAACATCCGTCGCGGCACCCGCGATAAGCCCACGCTTGAGACCATCCACCAGCGCCTGCTCATCCACAATCCCACCACGAGCAACATTGATCAACACCGCATACGGAGACATGATCTGCAACTCCGCAGTGGAGATCATATTAACAGTCTCCGAAGTCCGCGGCAAACACAAAACAACCACAGTGGATCGTTTCAAAGCATCCTCGAACAAAAACCGACCGGCCCGAGGAGCCACGCCCTTCCGCTCCGCAATAATCACATTCATCCCGAGGCCCTTTGCCAAGACCTCGATGCGCTTGCCCAGCGATCCATACCCCACAATACACACCGTCTCGTCACTACACAATAACGGGGCCTTTCCATCCGGTGCGCGCACCCGACTAAGTAGCGAGCCATTGGTCTTCCACTCGGTGTCGAGTGCGGGATCTGCGGGCACCGCGATGGTGGCATTGTGCAGCTCGACGAACTTGCGGCGCGTGGCAAAGTACAGGCCGATGGCGTGTTCGCTGACGCTGTCGATATTGCTGCCGGGACAGTGGCAGACGGTGATTCCGCGGGCTGTGGCGGCTGCGATGTCAACGCAGTCGGTGCCGGTCGCCATGATCATGATCAGGCGCAATCTGGGCGTGACTTCTGCACTGAGAACCTCCGCCGACAGGCGGATTGTGGTGGTGATGACGATTGTGGCATCTTTGATGCGGTTGGGTATGTCGGCAGGATTGGTCCATCGGTGGACGGCCCGAGTGTGCGGTACCGGGAGATCGAATTCCGGGATCGTGCAATGGACGGCCTCAATGGCAACGATGTGGTGGGCGTTTTCTTCGACCATGATTGAAGGTGAGTATGTGGAAGAGTACTGGATTGACTGTCAATTAAGTTCTTAACGCTCTATCTCCTAAGTCCGACTCTTGGAAGGTCCCATTGTGGGATTACAGATGCCGACGGTAGCCGAGATGGGTCTCGGGATACTACCGTTATCTCGCCATTATTAGGCGTTGGAACGACGTAAAAATGCGATTTTTCAAGCTCTGAATCTCGACTATAGGTTAATTGCGCCACAGGTAGATAGCGTGCGAGTGCAAGGATCGGAGTTAGGACCCTGCTCCCCCGCGTGGCGTTTTTATATAGATCAACGCCGACGATAGCCGATCTCAGCCTTCGAGGAGATTCATGATTAGTAATACATATCAACATCCAGTAGACCGCATTCGGACCTGTTTTATTGAGAACGGAAGTAAACGACGGTAGCCTCGTAGCAGTAGTCCTTGATTATTCAATTGCTCAAAGCTTTGATGCGAAATAGTCATCATGTCTAGCAAACAAGTACCATATGGTAGGAAGATCCCGAATCATACCAAATAGCATATACTGATACTGCTTTAGTCACATTAGATGTGTTCACATCGCAAAGGTGAGAGTTTCTCTCTTCACCATAGCGACAAGGACCTTCGAGCTGAGCTAATTGAATAAGATAGATTCAAAGGCAACCCTCTCGCCATCGTGAAGCTCGACGACGTCAAGTTGTCGCAAGAGCAAAAGCAACGTATCGCGAAGGAATTCAACTTCTCTGAGACTGTGTTCCTACACGCCGTCATCAGTAATGAAGCCCCTCGGGTGGATATCTTCACTCCCGTTAACGAGATGGAGTTCGCCGGCCATCCGATCCTCGGCGCTGGTCATTTCCTTTTCCGGCGGTTGCGGGGCGATACTCCCTCGAACCGTCTTACAGTAATGACCAAAGCCGGAGCCGTGGGGATATCATTTGATCCAGCTAGCGAGATTGTGTCCGCGGAAGTCCCTCACAATATCCATATCCACCAGCAAGGCGCGGCACTGAGTCATATAGTTCCTGTCCAAGCTAGCTTCAGGGCAGCTTTGGATTTGAAGGGTATAGAACTGTCATCCCCGGTAGTATCTGTTGTCAAAGGTGTCACATATGGACTCGTCGATCTCACTGAGCGACCAGATATCTTCGCCAATATTGTGCCCGGTGGAAGCCCGAATCTTGATCTTGATGAGGGTTGGACACCGTCCTTCACGGGGATTATGTATCACCGGCGTCTTGGCTCTCGCGTGGAGGGTGATTTGGTGATTTGGGATCTCCGTGTACGTATGATCGCGATTGGTTTAGAGGACCCTGCGTGTGGGAGTGGGGGGAGCTCTCTGGGAGCTTACCTTGCGCTGTCAAATAGCCAGAAGGGCCGAAGTCACCGGTTCTATATTGACCAAGGAATTGAGATGGGGAGGGATAGTCGTCTCATTGTCGATGTGCTCTTAGATGAGGATGGGAAGAAAGTCTCTAGTATCAAACTTGCTGGTCATGCCGCGTTTGTGGCGGAAGGGAACATCTTTGTTGAATGAACATTCTAGATGGAAATTTTGAGGGTATATCATTTTAGTTGCTTGTATGTAATCGGGGATTTAGGCGATTTGGCAACTAGATTTGTCGGTATATAAAGGTAGGTATCTCAAGAACTACAACCCCTTACTGAAGAGCTCTCCTCCTATCTCCTTGAGCAGCGGTTCCTTCTGTACAGCTTTGACCTTCATCTTTTCGGAAATTGTCTCTGCCACACCCATCGCGCGACAAAGATCTACCAGAGACCCATCCATCGGAGCTTCATAGACAATAAGTCCGAGGGCAAACAATAACCCATGCAAAGCTTCCACACTCTCGTCCTCGCGCGACACGGCCTCAAGTAATGATGCAGTCAGTTCGACCTGATCTTCCTCGGACAAGGGATCGGGTCTCTGATCAAAGCGAGCATTGTGATTGAATGCAGCAAGATTGTATGCAAAGGAGGCAGCGACGACGCGGAGGCTGGTGTGAGAGTCTAGGAGGGAGTTGGTTGCGAGACTCAGGCAAGTCTCACGTAGCGGTGAAGACGAGGAGGTGAGCTGCTCTGGGTAGAGAGGTGTGCTGAAGAGGTTGCAGACTAGTTGGAGAGCCACGATGCGGAGATTGTAAGGGCACGCCGATAGATCTTCTTGAGAGAGTGGTGCAAGAAGAGTAAGCAGGGTTTCATGTTGGGCTTCCTCGGCGAAGTAGCCACTTGCACGCGGATCAAGTAGAAGAAGTCGAACTAAATCAACCACAGCAAAATGGCTTCCGCTAGGAAGTGTCGAATATGCAGAATTTAATGTCATGGCGAAGGTATGCAAATCTGGAACCCTGATATTCGCAACAGGTCCGGTCATTGAATGACGCAACTTAACAAATTCAATAACCTCTGTAACACCGCGGCCTTCTTTGAAAGCGTCTGGCAGTTTTTGGAGGAGCTTTTCCAACGGTGGAACCTTTTTGTACATGACGAGGTTGGTGATCTCTCGCTGGAGACTGGGGAGCCGTAGCTGGCGATGGGGATGGGCTGGATATGCCATCTCCAACAATGTACGAACATTTTCCACAAGTTTTGCAGGGGCTTCACTGCTCCATTGGTCTAGCTTCTGCCCTTTCAAGAATGTCATAAAGGTTGGCGTTGAGCGGACGCTATATTCCATGGCCACATCGCGAGCTACGCCGACATCAACCTTGATGAGAGTTCCCCGCTCGCCTGCTTCTGCTGCAAGTTGGTCATAAGTTGGATAGACAAGCTTGCAGGTCGGACTTGTTGAAGACGTGAAGAAGATAACCGCGCATGAATGGGAAGCACTAGATAGTTCGCTTTGAAGCTGACTGACATTGCCCACAATACGGACTGTGCCTGTTCCTGGGCGTGCTACTGGCTGAGGTGCAGGAGGAACAACCCTGGCTGTGGGTGGCTGAGCACTTGGCCCAGGAGCAATACCTGTACCGGTGCCTTGCGTGACGCCCTTGAGAGCCATCTCGATCTGAGGCTTCATCATCTGCCCAAATGGCGTTTCAAGGAAAGTGCGCGGAAGATTGATGATACGCTCTGGGATACTCTTGCCCACAAGGAGCATTGAGAGGTCTTGAGTGAAGTTATTGCAGTTGTGCAGGAAGAGATCGTATGACTGGAATGAATTAGACATGATTGTACGTTTCAAGTTGTCGAAGAACGAACCTCGGGTGTATATATGGTCGCCAATGAGCCGAGATATTCCTCAATAACTTCAGTTGGAAGCTCCGTAGTGCCCAATTTCACGACCTCTATGGGCTGTCCATGATGGGTACTTCCTGGCGCAGCGGTCTGAATACCCTGGCCGAAATAATATTCGACGCCGTTGAGCACGATGGATGTATGATAGATCGCATCCATTTGTATCCCTGTGAGGGCCAGGGAATACTACTCATATTAGACTCTGCTTTCTTTGAACGAGCTGAAATGCACCTACCATCCGGGCCATGCCCTATATTTACAATTAGTCAATCATTACGGAATTGGAGCGGAATAACTCACCTTGGAAAGATCATAGATATAGAGTGAGACATCCATCATAAAACAGGCTATGTCAAATGTCGAATGTCAAATGTAGAATGTCGAGTGTCAAGACGAGGTGAAAGCCTCAAGATAAAGAGCATCTGCCCCCAGGCTCCGATCCGATAACGTCAGCTACGACGGGGGCTATCCATCGTCTTCGATGATTTTCTGCAGCATCTTATATTCGCTTCTGCTTCACTCCGTTGAATTTACAGAGGTGACTCGTTGAGCATCAATATATAGCCCAAGTCTCTGGGAGAATCCCTTTGACGGTTATCCCATCAACAGGAACGCTAAGCTCAATCATAAAACGATTCACAGCCAGGGCGGAGGTCATGATTTCTCAACTTGAAATATAAAATTACAAATTTCAGGATCCTTCCATTTACACTCAGGAAATATCCATCTAAAACTTACATACTTAGTATGAGTGAGGTCAACCATAATCTGCACGGAGTGCTCCGTAGATCGTTTTGCAATCGGAGCCGCACTCCCCACCTCCATCATAACCCCAATTCTCATCTTGTTTCTTGCGACATGCCACTCTGCTAGAGCCGCCCAGTTCTGCCCTACAAAGATCTACATGGTGAGATACCCGTGCTATTGTCATTCCCTCCCCCAATCTAACATCCACACAGCCTCCCAAAAAGCGCGGAGCTGCAAGCTCCTCCGCACCGGCACCGAAGCGCGGACGCGCCTCCAAGCTCGCCAAGGAGAACAACATCACAGCCGAAGAAGAAAACGAAATCAAAGAAGTCTTCCATCTATTCTCCGACAAGCATGCAGATTTCCCCGACGAGAAGGAAGGAGTGATTCCCCGGGGAAGATGTGCGCAAGGCACTGGTGTAAGCTCCCCTACGTCTACCTATACGGAGTACCCAACGACAATTACCTACACCCTTCCTCTGTACTTCATGCCCTGAGGCAAACTAAATGATATAGCTCCCGCTAACAATTTCTCCCCAACAGCGCCCTCGGCCTCCCACCCACCGACTCGAGCGAACTCGCAGAAATCCTCTCCGCCCTCGACCCAACTCTGACCGGCTACGTACCCTACAGTCCCTTTGTCTCTATCGCAGCGGCCAAGTTGCGCTCGCGCGATGACGAGGCTATGACTGCCGAGGTGGATGATGCCTATCAGCTTTTTACGCGTGGCACGGACGGCCCTATTACACTGTCGCATCTGCGGCGCATTGCGCGCGACTTGAAGGAGGATAGTGTGGACGACGAGCTGCTCAAGGATATGATTCTGGAGGGGAATGGTGGTGCTGGGTTGAGTGCTGGTGTGACTTTGGAGCAATTCCATGATGTCATGACCCGGGCTGGTGTGTTTTAGACAGGAGTGAGAGTGTGGATATGCCTGGCTGCTCTTCTTGTTTGGATGGATATAAGCGTTGGCTTCGGCGTTTCAATGTGGTGTCTTTTCTGTGGTGTTCATTTCTTTTTAGCAAGGAGTCGGGGAATTTTGACATGTTGGCCCGACGTTCATTCATCGAAGTGAATCTAATATTGCAATACTGCATTTAGGCTCAGGGGACTCCTAGAAGATGATTTGTGCAAAATCAATTATCATTTGTAATGTTGCATTGTGATTGTAGATACATGCTTTCCTCCACCGGCTTTCGCGAAAAACATCGAAGAATTAAGCCCGGTGCTAGCAAAAGAAAAAGGAAAAAGATAAAGTAGAGAAACACAGCCATTGGAAAAAAAAGCAACAAAGGAGCAGAATAGAAGATATGACCCGCGCATCAACCATGAAAGAACTCCTGAAAATATTTGCGAAACCTGTATCATGCAAAAGCCGCGATGGAGGAAAGTGGAGGTAACAGCTGAAGTGTTTAGGAGATCTCGTCAGCCATGCCGATATCCTGGCCAGCGTTGGCCTGGGGGGCGGCGCCATTGACGGGAGCAGCACCCTCGGCCGGGGGAGCATCAGTGGAGAAGTAATCAACCATCTCGGCGTCAAGCTCCTCAACGGTCTTGGGCTTGCCACGGCCGGCGTTGCGACCACGAGAGCGAGCAGGACCCTTGCCACGGCGAGCTCCCTTCTCGGCAGCGGCATTCTTGTTCTCCTTTGCCTTGGGAGCCGCAGCAGACTTGGGGCGAGCCTTGTGGCTGTGAATGGTTAGATATGTGATGTGAATTAAAAACCAAGAAGGATAATAACTTACGCGATGCGCTCAGTCAGAGGCTTGGGAGCAGGAATGGTGGGAGCGTGGGATGCATCATAGACAACTTCAATCTATTACATGAGTCAGTCATTGTTGTAAGTGAAGTCAGCCAGGGCAATGAAATTTACCTTCATGGGACGACCATCGACAAGGAGACCATTGAGCTCCTTGGTGGCCTTGGCAGCGGTATCTGGCTTGTTGAAGATGATGGAGGCAATGCCACGGCTGGTACCGTTCTGGTTGTAGGTGAGCATAACCCGTCGGACAGGACCGGCAGACTTGTTGAAGTATTCCTATAGCGCAGAGACGATTAGTATACTCGTCAGAAACTTCAGCGATAGCGACTGTTCTCGCGCCTTGAGAAGTGGCGGCGCAAACGAAGACGGCCAAGGTGAGATAAAGAGAGAGCATCAGCGAGCACGCAGCAACCGATCATCCGTCTCGTCCCAAGACTGGAGCATGGAATACACAAGGTCCATAACTGCGTTCCTTCAACGGATCGCAGGCTTATTCCCCATGATGCGACACAAAATCACATAAAAAATGCACAGCAGCAATTTCCACTTCTTCCATCCACCCTTCCAGTGATCACAACAAGTCCTTCAACAGAAGCATCCTTTCGCGTCGCTGGAATCGACACAGAATTTGTCCACGAGAATCCATCTGCCCATGAATTCGTCAAGCCAACAAAGTAGGGGCTATATCAAGCATAATTTGAATCTCTGAGTCACTAGCGTAGGTAACCACCCCATAGCAGTAAGACTCTGCCCGTATTGAGATACAAATCAGAAAAGCTCTGAACAGGCGGGTTTCAGTCTGCCCGCTGAACCCGTTTCCCACTGCTGTGCTAATTTGCTCGCTGATGCCCGAACGGATCTCGAAGTAGAACACATGAAAGGGATGCGCAAATTGGAAGAGAGGTCAGGATGATGAATTTTCATCAATCATCCTCGGCATAGTACTCAGAGAACAAGGCAGGTGGATTCTCCAGGAGGAAATCAACACGAGCAATGTGCATCTTTTCACCGTACTGCCACACTGCTCAACTTCTGGTCTCGCAAAGCGCCAGCAATATCAAGATATGTGCAGAGACATGCAGAAGGAGCAAAATGTGGGTGCCGTGCATCAAGGGAGATCCATAGATGCAAGAGGTAGAGAGATGTCGGAAGGCGGGTCGAAATCGTTTGCGCCGCGAAATTCTCGAGGATAACGATGGCGATGGAAGCCAATATGAGAGCCTTTAGATCAACATACCTTGACATTGGCCTCGGACACATCGGAAGGCTGAGAATGTTAGTGCATGGACGAGCATAGCGAATCAAGGAGTGACACATAGATGACTTACCAATCCGCTGACAAGAATCTTGCTGGAACCAGTTTGGGCGACAGGGGTTGGGTGAGCAGGCTTGGGAGCAGCCTTGGTGGACTTTTTCACACCTCCGACGGCAGAAGGCTTAGTCGCAGTACGGCGAGCACCAGCACGACGACGAGCAGTGTGGCGAGCGGTCTGGCGACGGCTACCGACGAGATCATCCAGGGACTTGTCGAGGTTGGCAGACATGATTGCGATGGAACGAAGTTGGCAGTTTGCAAGCTCAACGGGAAGTCGCGTGACCAAGTGATCGGGGAGTGAGCGCAAAGTGCGAGAGCGGTGAAATTAGAAGAAACTGGAATCTCGAGAGAACTTAAGGAGATGGAAGTGTTTTCTAGGCAGGAGCAGTGGATGAATCTTGTCAAAAGGGAGATGCGAGCGACGAGAGGGGGCAAGGCGTCAGACTTCGCACTAAGCCCTTTTGGGAGCAACCACGACCAACCACCTGATTGGATGTGATTGAGCCCCAATGACGAAGCTCTATTGATCGCATGCAACGATCCATTCATCCCATTGACTCATTCGCTTATTATGCGAGAAAATTGAATGGTGAGAGGCTACATCCATTCTCTGTTATTCTAAACAGGTGAAAAATCATTATGTACAGGCCCAGCCTGACAGAAAATAGACTATGGAACGATACACACCCAACTCCGAGCGTAGTAATCGTGTAGCGGACGACAGAAATGACAAAAAAAAAAACCAGATTATCACGCTGGAGTCGGAAAATGCATTAACTCTTGAGAGCTTCCAATCGACCACGCATCTGCGCAAGAGTGGCTTCTTGATCTTCGAACTCCTCCTCAGCTTGTGGGGATTCGGGCTCTGAGATTTTGGACACAGGTGGTGCAGTGACAGGCTGGGCCTGTGCGAGCTTGCCCTGAAGCACTTCCTGTAAGATCTTTTCAATCTCGGAGTCTGCTTCATCCTCCTCATCCTCGAACATTGAAGGGTCTGTGATAGCATCATCAACCATCTCTTCGATAATGCCTGCCCTGACCAACTCTGAAGAGAGCTGGTGCATGGTCGAAGACAATTGAGGTAGGCGGACCAATGTGTTTACATCCTTCATGATACCTGTCGATTTTTGAAGACTGCCCTGGATTTTGCGCGCCGAGAACGCTTCATTCACTTGCATCCCCACGCTCTGTAGTTGAGCTCGGCTGGTATGCAGCCGTGCAGTTTGTTTCCGAATTCGCACCAGCTCCCTCGCAAATACTTTAGTGTCATTGGTAGCCTGTTTGGCCTGGGATGGATTTCGCTGGGCTCGTTTAGAGGCATTCACGATGTGCTGGCGAGTCTGGTTATCGCTCATTTTCAGCCGGGCTAGATCGCGGTCGAGTTGCCGTGTATTGGTGCGTATTAACGCATTGCATTTTCTCATCTAAAAGCGCAATATTCATCAGTTTCATGCTTCTCAAAAAGGCATTAACGAGCCACTCCATTTGCCTACCTGGGCTTGTGGGTCGGGCCCAAAGAACACCGCCTTGAGGCTTTCCATGATTGGTGTCTCGTAGTAAGGGAAGACCGAAGGAAGAAATCAAGCTGTTAGATCGATTGGGCCAAGTTTGTTCACCAAATGACTATAGTCTCAAGGTGAGGTTCGATCAGCGGCACGGCTCATGCCCGGTGCATGGTCTTGGAAATGGGCGGGGTAAGGCTGATCGTCTGCTGGGTTGGCGCAATTCCAAACCCTCAGAATACAATGAAACAGAGCCCTACTTCAAGACCAAAGTTGCAGGATCTTGAGGTCACTCTTGGAGATCTGTGTTTACTGATGCCTGGCAACCTCCACGGATGCGACCACACCAGCCGCGGCGATAGTACCTGAGTCAGCCCTGACGTAATCTTGGGTTGTCCCACATCTTGGATGCCTGAGGCGACCATCCCGATTGTTCCACCAGTTTCTACAACGTTGTAGCTCAGTAAGTGAATGCGGTTGAGCTTCTCCGAACACTTCTTCATCACTTTTTGACCACGTTTTCTATCTCCCTCCCTTTTCCCAATTCTTCTCAGTTATTATCCACTCTTAATCCAATATGTCTCAGACCTTGACTCCCGAAGGTAGGTTGTGACTGCTCTACTTCTTCCCCGCTCTCGAACGCGGGACTGCACATTTTGCATGCGATATACTATGACGTTATCCCATAATTCAAGCTGTTTCGAGGGATCGACTATATGAGATCTATGATCTCATTTTTACTTTGAGATCAAGGCGCTGACATGATGTTTTCTTTGCAGTTACCTGGGCCCAGCGCTCCTCCGACTCGGAGCCTGAGCGCAACTACCTCTACGTGAACATCAAGGTTGCCGATGTTCCTAAGGCCGACACTACCCTCAGCATCACCGAGAAGAATGTTTCTTTCAAGGGCCAGTCCAAGAAGGGCGTAACATACAGCGTCTCTCTTGACCTCTTTGCCGAGATCGACCCCGAGAACAGCAAAGTCAACCACAATGACCGTGAGGTCGAGCTCGTTCTCCGCAAGAAGGAGCTCAAGGAGGAGTTCTGGCCCCGTCTGCTCGAGAGCAAGCAGAAGATGCACTTCCTGAAGACCGACTTCGACAAGGTACGTGCGGTCGTTTATTCCAACTGACGATGGATGTTGACTGACTGTTTGAAGTGGGTGGATGAGGATGAGCAGGACGAGGCCGGTGAGGATGACTATGCCAACAACTTCGGCGGCTTCGGTGGTGAGGACCCCAACGCCGGTGCCGGTGCCGGTGGCCTCGGCAACATCGACTTCTCCAAGCTTGGTGGCATGCCTGGCATGGGTGGTATGGGCGGTGGTATGCCCGACCTCAGTGCTTTGGCCGGTATGGGTGGTATGGGTGGTATGGGTGGTATGCCCGGCGGCCAAGGTGCTGAGGAAGAAGATGATGTAAGTTTGCTTAACTATGCATGATTTTTGGTCGTTTATTAACCCAACTCCACAGGATGATCTCCCCGACCTTGAGGAGGCTGAAGGCCAGAAGTCCACCAAGATCCAGGAGGTTTCTTAAATGAGTGATGCTTGCTTTCTGCGAAATCTTTGACGACCAGAAATGAAAAATTGAAGGCGCTCCGAGACGCCTCCATGATGATGTGCCGAAGATGGATTTGCTTGGGTTTTTGGCCGTCCACTGGCTGCAGCGCTATTTTGATCAGGCAGCTTTGGTCCAAGGCCGACCTTTCTAAATAGCGGATCTATCTCATTGAAAACATCCCAATGATTGATGAAGCGTGATGAGGGGCCATAGCTCGCGTAGACTAATGTAACCGTTAACATTGTACCCTGCTCAACCTTTATTCAAACTTCGCATAGTTACATATAAGGTATCCGAGGGACATTTTCAACGATTTTTCCGGTTTTGAAAGGTTCATTGGTCTTCCTGGCAGCATCGTGACAAATGTGTGGACGCCCATGACATGGTAGTATTTTCAAATCAAGTGATTACATAGATGATTGAATTGATCTGAATGCACTACATATAAGATACATGTTAAGATTGATTGCTATCTACCAAATTATATCCCGGCACGTTCACTATATGTTATAGGTGTGTCTTTTCTTTTGCGTATTGTTCTTCATCTATCCCATTGCAGCGAATCGCTAAAGTCATGCCTTTATACATTCAGAAAGAAAGAAAACCAGAAGTGATTAGACTGTCTCCTAGGAACTAGACAATTTCATTTGGCTCTTGTCTAGGATATCCATCGTATCTGCACTTGCAAAGCAAGGCCCTATTATTGTGGGTGTTGAGGGCAGGAATCAGTGGGCATATGACGCATGTCACCGTGAAGCCCTAGAGAGCGATTAGAAATCTCGACTGTACACCAGATATAGAACTTTCGACGAGTATTCCCAGCAGTATAGCCTTGTAAACACAGAAAGCATGCAGTATGAGTTTCGGGCTGTCTGTAGAGACGCCGAGACGCTGGAGTAAAAAGATCGAAGGACCCGCACCGTCATTGGTTAACCAAAAATTGCCGTCACACTCTCTCACCCCTCGTTTTCGAGATTCGACATTTCACTCGACAACAACCTTGGCATTCTTGCCCACTCCGTATCCTTCTTTCAGATCTCCCTGTCGTTCTTTCAGGTTGCATCAGCGTCTTTTCTTTCCTTGTTAACGGAGGCGCACTCTAGGTTGGCGCATTTTCACATTTTTACTCTTCCCCGAAGCCGCGACGTCACGTCCGCCCAACCGTCACCATGCCTCCCAAGAAGGTTGACCAGCCTAAGAAGAAGAAGGCTACCGTTGAGGATAAGTCCTTTGGTATGAAAAATGTACGCCATCGCCCCGCATCGAGGTCTTCAATACTCGCCTCGCTATATACCAAGTCCTAACATCATATACAGAAAAAAGGTGGTGCCGCCAAGAAGCAGATCCAACAGTTGCAAGCACAGGCAGCAAGCAACAAGAACCTAGACGAAAAGAGGAAGGCCGCCGAAAAAGAAAAACGCGAGGCTGAGAAGCGGGCCGCTGAGCAGGCCAGGAAAGAGAATCTTGAGCTGTTCAAGCCCGTGCAGGTTCAGAAAGTCGCCTTCGGTGTCGACCCGAAGACTGTCCTCTGTATCTTCTTCAAGCAAGGACACTGCGAGAAGGGCCGGAAGTGCAAATTCTCGCACGATCCCAATGTCGAGCGCAAGGCAGCCAAGAAGGATCTGTACACTGATACTCGTGATGAGAAGGCCGAGGAGGAAGCGAAGAAACAAAAGGATACCATGGATGAATGGGACGAGGAGAAGCTGCGCAGTGTCGTTATGAGCAAACACGGAAACCCGCGCACAACAACCGACAAGGTGTGCAAATTCTTCATCGAGGCAGTGGAGAACCAAAAATACGGTTGGTTCTGGACTTGTCCGAACGGAGGAGACAAGTGCATGTACAAGCACAGCTTGCCGCCAGGGTATGTGTATCCACCATTCAATTGTGAGCCATATCCCATACTAACACCGTGAGCAGATTCATCCTGAAGACCAGGGAGCAGAGAGCCGCCGAGAAGGCCCTCAGGGATAAATCACCCTTAAATACCCTCACCCTAGAGGACTGGTTGGATTCGGAGCGTCACAAGTTGACCGGTACCCTAACTCCCGTCACCCCAGAGACCTTTGCCCAGTGGAAGAAGGAGCGTCTGGACAAGAAGGCTGCTGAGCAGCAAGCACAGCAGGCTAAGGAGGCCACTGGTCGTACACTGTTCGAGAGTGGCAACTGGGCCGATGAGGACAGTGAGCCTGAGGAGGGCGAGGATGAAAGTGGAACCTGGAACTTGTCAGTTATGCGGAGAGAGACCGAGAGACTGCGCGAACTGAAGGAGGAGGAACGTCTTCTCAAGGCCAATGGTGGGGAGCTGCCCACCATTACTCCTCAAGCTGCTGGTTGAGCCCATATATACCTTCACGATACTAGATTCGTGGGCCCTTGCGGATCCTTCTCCCCAGGCAACATGGGATCTTCACGTTTGTTCCATGTTGCCATACGGTCGGATCGCGATGTCGAGTGATCGCTACAATCGCCTGTCCCAACGGCTCGCTTTGTACGCAACCTCACTCATCACCGAGGGCTCGGTTGGTCGCCTTTTCCTTCCAATCTCAATACGTGTGTACCACAAATGTCATGCGCAGAAGGAAATGTCAAGGCTGACTAGCCACAGGGGCGCACAGGCTCAATGAGACTTGTGTCCCATGTGACAGAAGAATCAACGGCCGAGATACCTTTTGATAGCACCTTGTTATTTTGTTGGTAGCAAAAAGTTCGTTCTTTCAAATGAACATGATGCATTCTATTTCTTCTATCACTATCCAAGCCCATATATAACCAGACTGCATAATATGGTAAGATCCATCACTCTAATATAAAATTACAACATGCCTTCTATATGAACAATGCATAAGCTCGCAAATGCAACATGTAATCTACAGCGAAGCCTTCGCCTGCACAAGCCTCTTCTCGAGCATCACGGATACGACGTCTTCCGCAATGCCGCGAGAGAGCTCAAATCCACGACCGCCAGCACCATATCCATGAACGATATACCGATCATCAGCAACCTTCTCGGCCTCGATGCGCAAACCGCCCTCACGAGCAGGTCGGCGACCGACAATGTCGCGAATCACATCAAACTGGCCCTTGCTTTCCGGAGTGAAAGGGAACCACTTGCTTGCGTTCGCCAGCAGGCGCTGCCTGGTCTCTGGCGACGGGTTGGGGTCCCAGTTATTCGGCTCCTTGGTACCTCCGATGATCGTTCCACCTTCGAGGGGACGCGGGATACAGAAGGACCACGAGCCATCAGAGTTTTGACGTGTGATGGTCTTTGAGACGGGGTTACGGACAAGACAGGTTTGGCCTGGAGAATGTTAACAACCATTCAAGACAAACACGTGTAATCATATTCCCAATATGTTCCCACATACCTCTGATAATAAAGGACTTCGGGTCCTCAAATCCACTCCCGGAGCAATTCACCACGGTCTTCACATTGCGCGCAAGGCTAAACGCCTCCTTCACATTCTCCAGGGTATACTGCTTCGTCTCACCACCCTTGAGAACAAACTTCCGCAGCAGATGCGCACAGTAAACGGGGGAATTGATCACCCAGGATCCATACTCCACACCCCACGTTACGCCAGCGGGAACTTCGTCCTTGCTCAGCATGCGGAACCCATCGAGATGCGAATACACATTTCGCACACTCTGCTGGTCCAGATACTCTGGCGGCGGAGCCTCGAGGTGCTCGACGCCCCCGATAAACTGGACGCCCGCACCGGGCTCAGCAGCCGCTGTGCGCTTCAGGAACTCGTACGTGCGCTGCGCTTGGCCCGCTTCCTTGAGCGCCTGCGGCGAGGATCCCGGTACCGGGCGGTAGTGAGCTCCGGCCCAGGGCGAGGCATAGTTGACAGACGTGTCAGCGGGGAAGTCACGGGCCACGAGTAGGATGGATTGCGATGGGGTGAGGTGTTGTTGGATGCATAATGCAGTAGACAAACCAATGACACCCGCTCTGTTTAGTGTCAGCCGATTGCTTGCCCATGTACATTTCTTTTCTTTCTGTTCTCGGTAGTTGGGCTTGTGGAAAATTGGGTATTGGTTATGTATAAGTGCGGGTGAGTTACGACTTACCCGATCACCACGATTGTTTCCTGTTTGGACATTTTGGAGGGTTGGAAAACTTGCCACGAGTGAAACAGAGGCTCCTTGAAGAAGCTTCTCTCTTCAATCTTGAATGAAGCACTGGGTAAGTCCAGTGTTGAAAGTTGTTGAGTCAAAATGTCTGGGGAAGGGCCGGGGTCGGAGCCCCGCAATCGGACGATACGCGATAACGGGAGATAGAGGACCGGTGATATCGACTCTCTTCTTACTCTCTACTCTGTATACATCTCTCCTTTGCTGGAATTGGTAACAGACCTCGGAATGGAATACTCTCCGCTGCTTATGACAGCGCTAGGCTCCGATGGTGAGTTCCATTTGCAAGTTGCTTGGCCGTATTGCTTCGATATGTATGAGTAGTAGCGTTTTGTGACTCATGCTAGCTCCAGGAATGGAATTGATCACTTCGCAGTCCGTACGGTGTACAGAAACAGAGTACAACATCAAAATCCTTCTCATTGCCCCAGGTCAATTGAAAACTCTGCGGGTACGCTTGTCCTCGTCCCCGATACAATCACAGGGGCCCAAGCTCCAGGACGTTTGACGGTGCCTTAATCTGCAGGGATGACTGCATGGAGTTTGCGTTCATTTGCAGTGACTATCACATCACAGGAACATCCAAAGTTCACAAATCTTAGTTGAAAGCTGGGGAAAGAAGACAACCTGATCGTCGTTTATAGACATTGGAAACACTAGTCCGGATGTGAAACGCCTGGCCTTCTCCGAATTGAGCGCAAGATGACGGATTACTATAGGTTAGTTGTCAAATTGGAACCATCGCCTGGGGATTACACTCTTTCCTGGCCGGGCTGGTTACATGCAGGCATTGGCTGAGGGGTTGTCGTATAGGCGCCGAGGGATCAGCAGTGATGGGCGGTGATTGGCGGGTAAAAGTGACGAAGCTGCAGCTTGACAACGGCATCCCAATCACACTCTCTCGCATCACATTTCTATTTTGCAGATTACCACTCCCAACTGGCTTTTGCAAATTGGACGGTTCCTTGCATCCAACAAATCTCTACCTGGGGAAATCAAGTGGGTGGTTCGGGTAACATATGTCTGCTTTGTACGGAGTACATACATTCGAAGAGGATATCTCCGAGTGATCTACGTGCAGCACGCTAACCATAGCCCAGGAGTGCTTTCTTCACCTCGATCCACTGCTATGACGATGCTGATAGCGGGACTGTGATTCGGGAACGGTCTGCATTGATCTCAGGTGGGTTAACTTTTCTCTGCTCGGTTCTGTATGCTCGTTGGCTGTAGTCCCGCAGGACAGCCCAGCCACCGAGAAGGCTCGATCTCACCGTCTCCGCTAATTAAATCTTGAATATGATGGCTTTTATCCCAGATAAAAGCACGGTGCTCTGTACCTCCAGAACGTGAGACCTGTGTGGTCCAGTCAGGAAATGAAAGCGCCCAGCAATCCCCCGAGCGCCAACCAGGACGAAGTACGCCGGACGTACTCCGTAGTATGAAATTCGGATGGACTCGCGATACTTCCCTTTTATTTTAGTTTTAGATAATTTGTTCTTCCGAAACATGCGCTTCTGGGTCCACGGGCAGTGGCGCCTGCTTATATGTATTCCGTACTCCGTACATTATGTAGCATATAGGATATAGGTCTTACTTCGGTCACAAAGTTAAGCCCCTCTATCACGCTACTCTATGTGATGAATGTGCAAGCGAGTCCTTTGATTTCCTAGACGGTCTTCAAGGGTCACACTTGAATATTATTCTTTTATTTGGATTATTACTTTGGTTCGTTTCCCCCTCCCCTGGTCCCAAGGCTTGCATCCTGTTCTCGCCTTCTCGCATATATCTTACATATTTTACATCTCACCCATTTCATTTACGCGGTCCAGATCTTCGCGATAACTAGCCTATTTTACTTTGGTCGCATTCCCTTGTCAGGCGCTAACTTTCCTCGTGTCCCGACAAGCCAGATGTGCCTTGACCTGCGCTAGAAGGCCCGTCTTTCTCGACCTTGACCGGTACTTGATGTCGTGGCCCATTAGTAACCCAAGCTTAAACTGAGGTTAGTGACCCAAGTTCTTGTGTTGATTTGTTTTCTTCTTCCCTTTTGCTCTGTGGATATCATTTCTGGGACTTTTGTCCGTTTAATTGGGCCCAGTAGCCCAGCACAGGTGTTTGCACCAATAAACCAGTTTCCCCGCAAATCACCACATGCATGAGTCTAATGGTTGAATCGGCATGGAATAGAAGTTTGGCAACAGCATTGCGACCTTCGGGTACCCTCAAAGCAATGGCACCTCCACCGCCAGTCACCAAGCCTGGCTTTCAGGCCTGCGCCTCGACGGCATCGCTGTTTCTCTATGCCCAAGGCTCAACAATCCTCTGCTTGCACCATGATACATTGGCCATTGAGCGACGTTTTCAAAGCCACCAGGAGAACATTGAATTTATTTCAGTCGATAATGTCAGTGAACGGGGTGCGGGGAGATTGGTTGTCAGTTACGATGTAGGGCAGACCGCGATAGTCTGGGATATCTTTACCGGAACGGAGATTGCCCGGCTTGCTTCCTTAGAGCATCTGCGAATAGCTTCATGGATGCGCAATGGCAATGTGGCATTTGGTAAGCTTAAAATTCTACGAAAGGAGCGAGCTTGCTAATATATATTGAAGGCAATGGCAAGGGCGAGGTGATTCTATTTGAGCCCTCCACGTCGGAATATATTTCTGCGCGCACCATCTTCGATCCTATCACAGCTCTAGCTCCCGCCGCAGATTGTCGTACTTATGCAATTGGGTATGTTGGGTGACACTGTTGAGTGGCACTGCAGTATGCTGATGAGCCCTAGATATAATAATGGATCGATCTTGATCGCAACTCTACTTCCTCAGTTTACCATTCTTCACACTCTGACCACTTCTCGTGGACCATCGCCAATTATATCTTTGGCCTGGCATGCGTCCTCGTCAAAACAGAAGTCGGATATGTTGGCCACGCAGTCCTCGAATGGTGATCTAAGAGTTTGGAGCGTGGCAAAACCACCAGGGAAAGAGTCGCCGCGAGTCATCAGGGTACTGAAACGATCCGATTCGAACTCTTCTGACCCAAAATGGATGGGGTGGTCTAAGAATGGAAGACTTGTACAATATTTGGAAGGGTACGCAATGCCATGTGAATATGAACGAGAATTTACTGACATCAGATCACAGAGAGACATGGTCATGGGATGTTCGAACGAAGCATGTTACTTGCGATCCAATCCCCACAATAGACGGTGTGAGGGGCATTGCAAACTACGGTCCAACTGCGACTCTGTTTACACTTGGACCTCAGCATTCAGTACAACAGTATGATCTGGAAAATCCGGCAATGGTTGCAAATGTGCAACATGCTCCCATCCTTCCCCGGGCTGGCACGGCGGAAGGTCGATTGCAAACAATGTCTTCAAGACGCTTACAGGATCCTCCTGATATGCGAGAGGCGAGCTCGGCCAGACGAACGCCATTTGACTCGACCACCATCGAGAGCATTAGACAGAGGGCAGATCTGACGAGTCCTGCTTCATCGCGAAGTCGGACGGAATCTGTGAGCTCGAAGGCATCATCTGGTAAGTATAACATGAGACCGTTTTCTCCGCCAAGCCGCTCTGGTCAGAGTTCTACGACGTTTTCGATGACATCGGCTGGTCGTGATACACCACAGGCCTCTGCTTCATTTGCGTATCCTTCGTCTGTTTCAATGTCTTCCGTGAGAAGCTCGAGGGCGGCATCCCGATTGCGCAACGAAGTTCATATCAGTCCTGCCGACAAGAATATCGTTGACTTATTCCCCTTTACCCGGGCTCGTTTGAATGACGTGCCTTATAAACAGCAGCCGCCTATCGATGAAACAAATCTCACCTCGGATGATCTTCGGCAACACATGTTGAGTGTCGTATTTGGCTGGGACGGAGATATTCAAGACCTGATCATAGATGAGTGTAGGCATTTCCCCTGGCCTTCTACATTGAGAATATTTCTTTGACAATTTCTTTAGTGAGCCGCCATGCCTTGGGTAGCCAAAGTGCTATTATCTTAATGCAATGGCTCGGTGAAAATGACTCGGATGAAATGGCTTCCATGATCAGCCCTGGCCAGGTAACAAGCTCTGACTGGATGATTCTTGCTTTGAGTCAGATGAGTGGCCAGGCACAAGCAAACAAGGTCGGACAAGCATTTGTACAAAAGTTGCTTGAGATCGGAGATATACATACCTCAGCCGCCATTTTGCTTGGTCTCGGAGATAGCAATGATGCTATTGAAGTCTATGTTTCTCGCAATCACTTCTTGGAAGCTATTGTCATGACATGTCTTCTTTTCCCATCTGACTGGCAGCGCCAGTCATATCTCGTGCGTCGATGGGGAGAGCATGTTGTAACTCATTCCCAACAGCAGCTCGCCATTCGCTGTTTCATGTGCACAGGGGCGGAACCATCAGAGCCATGGGCATCCCCTTCGGCTCAGCAAAATGCTACTTTTTCCGAAATGATTCGAGCTAAGTCTCCTTATGCTTCACCCGATCCTTCGCAAGCCAATATGATGCAACCGCCCATGCGGCCACGATCTACATCGAACGGGAAACCTACAGCGAAAACCCCTGCGCTAAAGCTTATTACCTCTTTTGACGGGCAGTCAAATGGGCGTTTCCGTTTCCCTGGACTGAAGTCTGATGATCGCACGCCAACCAACGCACCCGGAATCACGCCGATTGCTGAATCTGCTGTTCCCGATTCGGCTATCTCCCCCGGTGGCTTTGGCTCTTATAAGCTGAACAATATCCAAAGCCTGAATCATGCGATGTCTCGGACCAATACACCTTCTTTCAATCGGCGTCGTCTGCCTTCGATAGGCGAGACCCCGGTAGATGTGCAGCCTCCATCATTTTCACGTTCGAATTCTTACAGCCAAAATGAATATAGCTCCACCTCTGAGAATGAAATGAGTGGACACGAACAGAGTCATGACGAGAAAGAGATGAAAAGCGCTCTTCTCACATTGTCAGCAGCGAAATATGCCCCCAGTATAGAATCTCTCAAGCCCAGTCCTCAGACTGCTCTACAAGGGATAGACAAGTTTGCTACCATCAAGGGACTTCCATCACCAGCCGCCGGTGTATTTGAGGCTTTGACAAATGACGATCACCGCAATGGGTCTCGAGATCGAAAGCCAGATGGGCTACAAATCGAGACATCGGAAAGTGAAAAAACACCACAGGACCGCTCCGATTTGATTCCGAGCGCCAAAAGCACTTCTACAGCCCATAGCTACGCTTCGGCTAGGAGCCCAAGCATCAGTGGCCGTAGCATTGACCAGTACATCAGTAGCCTCGATGAAGCAAATTACCATGCACGCAAGCTCCGTCCGCATACTCCGGGCCGCGGAAGACGGAATCCAGATGACACTACTAGCCAAAGCTCACGAATCAATGGATCGCGCGAGGTCTCCCGTGGAATAAGTGAGCGTCGATATATTCAACCCGCCAAGCGCTCTCCGTCTTCGCCGGTGCCTATGTCTCCCGAAGAGCTGGCTCGACACCACGTTGGAGGATCCGAAAGGTCAGGAGAGCCACGGAAGTCGAAGTCGAAGTCGCGTGCTAGGAGTTCTAGCAAGGCGAGAAGAGCTGGTTCTAGAAGCCGCCAACGCTCTTCAAGTCGACACACCGCAAGCCGCGTCGGTGCAGACAAGCGAGACGCCTCAAACCGAGGTCGCAGCAATGATCGACATGGATCCAGCGCTCGATCACCATCGTCACCTCTTCCGATGACATTCCCCACAGATGAGTCGTCTCAAAGTATCGACAACCCCCTGAGGCTGGTTGAGGGTAATCAAAAGAGACTACGATCGCGCCACCGAAGTGCTAGTCGACGTCGCCCCGAGAAAGGAAGTTCTAAGAGAGATGGCTCGCCAGAGACTAGACATAAGACATCACTGAGCCTTTCTGTGACCCAGCCTGGGCCGAAAGCAGACCCTTGGGCGCATGAAATGGAGCCGGAGCAACTGAGCAGCAAGGTCTTCGGCCAAGAAGATACTTCCAACGGGTATACTAATGGACAACTCAGCTCGACTACCAGTAATTTCCAGGAGCTCGCGTCTCCAACAACACCATTCGTCAGTCTCGCAGAAAGAAAACGAAGAGAAATTGCCGCAGCTGAACTGGAAGCGCGAAGATTATCACTCGCACGTAACCCATCTGCACCGAACATCCCCTTCCCGGGCGAGCTGCCCACCGCGAGAAGTCCTCTTGAAAGTCCTCCACCTTTCTCTGGTGCAAGCTCGTACTTCCCACGTGCTCCATCGCGGAACAAGGTGTCCCAAAGCAAAGCATCTCCCGAATACCCTAGCAGTTCTGACTCGAACTCCTCACGCTCCGGCATGCCTAGTGGGCTCCCAGCAACCCCCCGAGCTATGCGGCATCCCAAATACGGAGGAACTGGGCAAGACGAAGAGCGGCCACCTTCAGTTCCTATAATTCCCACGGACAACAGCCTCTTCCTAAGCAATGCCCGATACCAGGGAGATGCCGAGAGAATTGGGAGATCGATGTCCGTCCCGGTACCAGAGGGACAGTATGGTGCTCCCGTCATGCCAAATGACCTCCCCATGCATCCCAGATATAACCCAGCACTCCCTCGAAGCCGGTCTAGCAGTCGGAACCGAAAGACCGCCCATCACCGCACCAGCTCAAGCGGCTACGTCTCTGGCACCTCCCCTCATGTGCAAGTGAGCATCGAAGAGACCATCGAGAATGCAATGCAAGGCGGTCCCTCATCGTACTATGAGATAATCCCACCACCGCCGCCTCCACCCATCCTACCAGAGCTGCAACATCTCAACACCCCTCCCCCACCACCGCCTTTCCCGATCTCCGCAGACCCAGTCTCACCCCGCGAGTCCTCCGCGACGATCGACATCGCCATCGACAACAACGAGAACCTCGGCCATCTGCTTCCCCGCGCTATGACTGCCGCCCCAACTATCAATGTCAACGGACACGGGACTGACTCCCGCCAGTCAGGCAGCCGGCGCATGTCCTTCGACCATCGCCGAAACCGTAACTCGAACGAGAGCTTCACGAACAAGCTGCGTAGCTTGACGCGTATGCGCAACAGCAGTCGCAGCGTCGAGCCCTGGACGCAGGCTCACGAGGCAGAGATGGCTCCTTATGAGAGTTTGCACCCGCACGCTGCTAGCAACTCGAACTATATTCTGCCGAGTCAGAGCTATGTTGCGCCTGGTTCAAATTACGTTTAGGTCTCCCGTGAGGGCTGGGCTAACGCACGAGTTTCTTTTGCCATGAACACTTTTCTCCCCTCTCTTTTGCATCATGAGCCCGTTTTGCCTGTTATCTTTTGTTTTCAGTATGAAATTGCAATGTTCGTCAATGTATCACGCATCGTGCTTTTTCAACTTATTGGTTTCGGTTTTGATATCATCCCCTGTTTTTGGACTCATACCCTCTCTTGCTCTGCTTTTTTGATATTATCCTCGTTCCATTCCCCCAAGTTATATTTCAAATACCATATATCCTGTCATCGGCTTCAATCCTATGATTGAGTGAGTGCACAATTTCCTAGTCTTTGACTGAAGTTGCTTTTTCGAAATTGCAGACAGGGATGTCTTTAAAGATCTTCTTCCCTCTGGGGCCTATCCTCCTATTAGGCGCAGACCATAGTTAAAGATACGTATATGCCTGCAAAGGTTTAATGAAAAGCGGTATCATTTGCTTCAGAGCTGAATATATTTGGATATGAGAACTGTTCAAGTACTGAAGATAGGAGAACTGTACGGAGTACACATGAGGACAAGTGGTCGAGATATGCTCAAAATCACCATCCTCGGTTCTGGGATGAACCTTCGCCACCAGCATTCCTCTCCGCTTCAATCAAACGATCGAAGTCTGCTTGTGCTTGATCCTTGCCATTTGTATAATTGTAACCAGATCGGGGTTGATCATTGCGGGTATAATCGGAAGAGTAAGGATTCTGTGAGGGCATGCCAGGTTGACGAGGCTGGAAGCGAGCACCGGCATTCTGCTGTCTGATCCGGTCCCAAGCACTACCGGTCGATGACCCGTCAATGTTGGTATCCCGGTATTCAGCAGCTGTGGGACTAGCATCGTCCTCATCCATGAAATCCAATGCTGATTTTGATTCGGGTTGTGAGCCCCTGCCGCGTGCCCAGACCGCACCCACAGTCGAATTCTGCGAGTAGCTTTCATTGTAGTCAGATTCAGAGCTCTTCGAGATATTGTCGGTAGCCTCGTATTCAGAGTAAGAATTTGGGGATGCGGTATCCTGCTCTTGCTCATACCCGCCGTTGCCACCGGCATACCCACCAGGCTGACCGATGACCTGTTGCATTTGAGTGCCGATATCTTGCTCACCAGTGCGCATGTTACGGATACGCTCGGAAGCAGCCTGGAGTTTGCGCTTGCGCACATCCTCGGGCTTCTGTTGGCGCATGTCCTCGACGAATTGCTTCAATCGTGGGTCCGTCAACATGTGCATGGCGTCGTTATAAACAGCGTAAGCTCCCGAGGCCATTCCGCCAAGAGTCACGATAAAGAGCATTTTGAATGCAGCGGATGCAATGGTGCCTTTGAAGCTAGAATCCAAAGCCATTCCTCGCACCGTGTTGAGCAGTGATGCCGGTGTGGGATTGCGCGGGAAGTTCGGCGACTTGCGGGCTTGGTTGTAGAGCCATGCCGTTCCAAGAAATGAGCTTATGGGTATGCCTGCACGTCGGTAGTATAGGGTCCGCGTTCCGTGCTCGACGATGGCGTCCAGTTCATCTTGTGTTGGAGATCGTGATGTTAGCACGTAGTGGTTCTCCACTCGCTCGGTCACTACGTTGGCAACCCTGCGTTTCCATGGCCCTGTGCCGAAGAATCCAAAGTACAATGTGAACAGATCCGGCTTCACAATTGTATCCTGTCGCAGTTGGAGCTTGTTATATTTCGCGATTGCGGGGTTGTGGCCTGGCAGGGTTTGAGCAGAGGCGTCCGATGAGGAATTGCTGTTATAGCTTGCACCTGCCTGTGGCGAGGCGTCGTTGGAGCTCATGGCGAGAATTTCGAGTGGCAGGGAAGAGCGTGACGATGGGAACTGGAGCTGTGCCGCTTTATGGACCGGTGACGTTACGCGCTGACTCAGCATTTGCATAAGTCCATGCACTAACCGCACTTGTAGAGATATGTAGTAGACTTGCATGCAATTTTAAAAGTGTGTGGAGAATCTGTTATATATCAGAGGGATTATCTTGCTGTGAATCAAAGAACCAAAGGATAACATAGAAAAGTACCTACCTAGCTATCTACACGGCTGGAAAGGTCCTGTCGCCGATGGCCTGATGGTCTGATGTAGGCATATGGCCATGCAAGTATTTTGTTCAATTCGCGCTGATATGATAGCCTTTGTATTATAACTCATTGAACATATATAAAGCCCTTGCTGAGTCTAATACAAGACTAGCAAGATGAGGAAGTGGGCCTTATTGGCCGGGGAATTGGCGCCATACTGGCTCGGCTTTATTCTAGCTCAAGCTCTAAGGTAAAATAACTCCACCATAGGAGCTCATCTTCTAGAAGGTCTATTTGACGCTGACGAGGGCGATGAAAACACAATCCGTGGAGGTCAGACAAATGTCGTTATATATATTGGGCTTTTATATCAAATTCTGATGCAGCCGTTCCATACACCCCTAAAGCTCAATTTAAAGAATGGTAATAATTCATTGCTACTATCCTCATTGAATAGATGCCGTTCTTTTGGACTTACTGAGAGAGTTCAATCTGTCAAAAAGAGCCCCCAAAGAGCTACATGAAAGCCAATCTCAATCCCCTTACCACTTTTCAACATAAGGTCGCAGGTCCAGCTCAAATGCGAACGTTGTCCGCGGCTGGGTATGCAAATACCAATATGCGTCCGCAATCTGTAACCGGTCAGTATCCAGGATCAAGCAACCGCCAAAGTATAACTTACAGCATCAGGGCTCAATTTAGCATCTTCGTGCTCAAAGACCCAGGCTTTAGTACGAGGGATATCAATGACACCATCAATAATAGTATGCGAGACATGGACACCCTGGGGACCGAATTCACGAGCAAGTGACTGTGCCAATGCGCGTAGTGCAAACTTTGCCGAGGCAAAGGCAGCGAACTTCGCAGACCCCTTGAGGCTGGCAGTGGCCCCAGTAAAGATCAATGTTGGTGGATATTCCGATGATTCGCGAGCTTGTAAGAGCAGTGGAAGAGCACGCTGGGCAAAGTTGAAAGCGCCTTTTCTATAGTGAGGATATAAATATCAGTGATCTCCCCATGTATATGTCGCGCGGATTCCATCGGCCTTGGAATAAAGCAAGTCATAGACACAGAAGATAATATACGTACGCCTGGGATCCGAGTGAATTTGAGTAATCTTCTTCCGTCAGCTCAAGGAATGGCTTCTGAACAAAGCCACCGCCTGGATTGAATACAGCGGCTGCCACCTTTGAGGAAGGGTACTGGGCTATGATCTTGTCAAAGGCAGCGTTAACGCTCTTGGAATCGGAGACATCGGCACTGATGCCAATGGCCTGCCCGCCGCTGGAATTGATTTCCTCGACAACGGCGCCATAATTATTCGGGTTACGAGCCAAGACTATAACTGAGTAGGTCTTTGCAAATTTCCTGGCGATTGAGGCGCCCTATCTCTTTCGTCAGCTAAACTTTCTTGTATGAAGTCAATGGCGAGGGATATAATGTACCGTGCCAGGACCAACGCCAGCAATGATCGCAAGTGCCTTGGAAGCCATAATCGTTGAATTAATAGGGACAGACATAAACCTTACCGTAACTTGAGGGATGAAGTGGTCTAAATAACAGTCGACTCGGAGTTATCACCGAAGCTTAGAAATACGGCGGGGGATTGATCATCACCTCCGCAGATGATATCATCTACAGAGAACGGGACTGGTATACCCCAAAAGATCACGATGAAAGAAATGAGACGATTAATATGAATAATCTTCAATGCATATGGTGTCATCTCCAAGGTTCTTGATTATCTACCTAGGTGCCTAGGTATAATGCGCAAAAAGGCTGTTGTATACTTCCCGATTGCCGCCTCAGGCCGCTATCGATAAGATCACAAATTATTTCCCTTCGACTCTCCAACTCTCCAACTTCAAACAACAACGATGGCTGACTCTGAGGCCCTGCTGAGTGATTTGTGCTCGATCTGGTAAGTATCTGAACAATCATGAGTGCAACATACCTTGATTCTAACCTCCTGCCCCTATGCAGCCATATCAACCCTCCCAAATACCGCTGTCCGCGGTGCTCAACACGCACCTGCTCTTTACCATGCACACGTCGCCACAAACTCTGGTCAGAATGCTCTGGCGTGCGTGATCCAGCTGCATACCTCAAGCGCAAGGAGCTCGCTACTGAATCTGCATTTGATCGCGATTTTAATTTTATCACGGGCATTGAGCGCTCTCTCGAGCGCGCAGATAGAGAAGTTGAGAACCGTGGGATCGATATTGCGAGCAGTGTCCAAACTGAAGATGCTGCTTCCGAGAGTCCTCAGCATCAGGCTGCAGGGCATAAGAGGAAGCACCCGAATCAGGGTCTCGCAAAAGGTGAGGCTGGATTCTTGCGCGGCGCCGAGGCTAGTGGTGTAAAAGTTGTCCGAGCCCCGAAGGGCATGTCAAGGAATAAGCAGAATGGCTCGCGTATGCACCCGAAGTGAGTTGATGTTTTTTCTTGCCCTCGTTTGATCAAACGTCATACTAACCTGGTATGTTTCCTTAGGCATAAACGTCTTGCGTGGACCATAGAATGGATTACAAGTGATGGCAGGAAGACCATCGGAGATTCCATCCTCGATACATGCTCCGTCGCTGAAGCCTATAACCGATGCCACCCACGGCCAAAGGACCAGGAGCCCGCTTCTGAGCCGACCAAGGAAAAAGAAGAGGATATTAAAAATGTGGTGACTCCCAACAACGACAATAGCACCACTGCTGCACCTACGGAGCCCGCTGCAGTGACTGAAACAGCAGATCAAAAGCCACATTCATCATCAACCGATGGCTCAGCAGCGACAGCAACTGAGGAAGTAGATACAGCGTCAACCGAAACGATATCTCCTCACCGCGGTCTTTACTTCTATCTTCATCGTCCACGAACTACTACCAAAAAGCCAGTCTTAACCCCTCTGCTACAATCCGCGACGCTCAATACTATTTTACGAAATCGGACTGTTCTCGAATTTCCCACGATATATGCACTGCCAGATGCAGCGGTGACGCTGTTCGCAGAGAAAGATAACTCTGAATACATACTGGAGGAAGAATATCTTCGCACCACTGGCCCAGAGGAGACGGGCCAATCTACTACTGCAAGTGATGACGATGGCATGACTGGAAACACACCATTTGCCGGTGCTGCAGTGAATCTTGAAAATATTGACGAGAAGCGGGTATTGGAGGTGTTGACGCAAGACCTATTTGAACCAGTATCGGAGACTGGTCCAGCAGCATGAGTGCTCGCTATGGGAAGAGAAGTACAGAGGTTTGCCAACTCGGCATATCCATCAGAAAATGTACGATACCTAGATACGATTAATTGTCAGTCACTCGCTCAATAGTTCATCAATCCATCTTTGATCTTGCAGTGAGTTTGAAGTTCACATTCAAACATATCTACTAAAAGGCATCTAAAAAGAGCCCATCGTCTGGGGAACGATGTCATCTCAACCTTAGGATTGCGAGAGGAAACCACGTCCAGCGCGCTTTCCTGGCGAGTGGAATCAAGACTTCGCAAGTCCAACTGACTTCGCCCAAGACACTCTCTCGAATTGCCGGCCTGTTCAGATCAACATGAGATTCAATGTCCTAGCCTTCGGAGTTGCCGTGATCTATCTCGGCAACATTGTCTCGGCCTTAGCAGGTGCTAAAGCACCACAGCCGCCGTTCAAGAGACGACCACGCGGATGCGATTGCTATACAGTCTCCGGACCTAACCCGGGATACTTCCAGCACTACAAGCTCTGGGACTTTCGGGCAGTGGATCTGAGAAAACATGCCCATCTTAACATGTCAGAGCCCATCCAGGATAGCGATGAGGAATGGAGTGACGACGATGAAGGCGACGAAAACGAACCAAATAGCGATCTGCTGTCCGGAGTCCATAATGGACAGGAGCCCGACCCCAGCTCGTTGGTATTCTACAAAACTGCCTTCGAAAGAGATTGGAGCAGCCAAAACTGGAAACGCCCCGGAAGCGAAATAGCCCCAATCCTGATGGTTAACTCGAAGCATAATGTGTTCCTCACCCGGGACCAGGAGCAAAATGATACTCGTACAACGTATCTTGTTCTTCGCACCACCCGCTTTTCAAACTACACTTCCACAGCGGAGATCGAGACTCGCCTACACAACATCTACCGGTGTTCATTGCGTGTTCGGCTGCGCTTTTTGCCAGCCGGCTTCCTCATCTCGCAACCTCCTCACCCTGAACACTGGCCATCGCGGGACCCCGAACGACATTCTCCGGCGCCTTCGAACAACCATACTGTTTCACACCACGACGGGCGACCATCTCCCGGTGCCTGTGCTGGTATCTTCACTTACCATGACCAAACCTGTGAATCGGATATCGAGATTCTGACCCGGGACCCGCCCCATCTCGTCCATTATGCGAATCAGCCAGACTACGATTTCGCCACTGACGAAGAGATTCCCGGTGCGAGCACTACAGCCGACTTGCCTGTTCCGTGGACAACATGGTCCACTCATCGCCTAGACTGGCATTCAAACATGTCACGATGGTTCGTCAACAACCGCATACAGGACGCCAAGTCATATCGTGTCCCCAACCTGGGGAGCATGATTGTGCTCAATCTTTGGAGCGATGGCGGAGTCTGGACAGGCGAGATGAAAATCGGCGATAGTATATACCTGGGTATCGAATACATCGAAATGGCCTACAACCGTTCTTCTGATGTTCCCAGAGGCCATTTCGGGCCGTCTTCGCTGAACCATGGCGGGCATCAAAACGTCCCTTCTACAAATAGTTCCACTGGGAATGATACTCTCCTAGACCCAGACAAAAAGGTGGAGAAATGCAAGCCGGGCAGACTGGGCCGCGAGTGTAGAAGAAAGAAGTGGAGGAATAGGCCTCTGAACGAATTCTGTCAGAGACCTTGCAACATTGATGAGGATTGATGTGGACATTCTGGATGAGATTGTATTTTTATCAGAGTTGGACATTCTTCTGTCTGTTGTTGGACGGTTTCTCGCTTTTGTGGGCATGGGTTTACTGTGCTCTACTTCTAAATGAACAAAAAGAATGCTTCATGGTGACAGTGTACATCTAAACAGAGAACACTCAAGAGAAAAGCATTGATCAACCTACAATATTGAATATTCCCTTAGCTAACTTGAGAATAGAAGCGACTGTATGCAGGATAGATGATTTGATATTGATACGAATAAGGCTTCATGCTTACATAGTGTCCAGACAAATGGAAAATGACCACGCCAACAAGGTAAGAAGTACAGGGCTCTATAGACAAAAGCAGAAGCTAGTAATAGGCAAAGAGAAAACGCCCCAAGAAAATCGAAGAAACAAAAAAAAACATGAGACATAAAGAAGGGATCTAGGCATGACCTAGGAGGTTCACCAGAACACACTTCTTTATGTCAACTGAGCCACCCTTACGGTGACTATGGGGGTATCATTCAAACTCATTGCAAACATCACATAGAAAGAGAACGCCAAAAGAAAACAACCATGGTCCTTTTTTCGTGTTTTCCATCTTGTGTTCGCCTTGCGCGCCGAGAAAAGATCAAATAATGCGGAATGCTAATCGAGAACGCCCCGATGGTGCTTGGTATGGATAATGGATGGGTGGGGGTAATGGATGGGGTATGTGAGAGAAAGTAGGATGGGAAGATGTTTCAAATCCATCGGAAGAGATCAACAAGAGATGGAAACAGGTTGGTAGCCGTGGAGAATCGAGTCCTTGGGGCTCGTTTAGAGCAACACTGCGCCTGTGGTCTTGTCCTGTGGACTGAACTCGCCGTGGAGACCTCCATTCATGAGCTCGGCGACGATCTTTCGACGGAGGAGCGGGATGTGACTTGGCCCAAAGGCAGCTGGATCAACACCAACGGCAATTGCTTTGGCGTTTGTTAGGAGGAAGACACCGCAGTCGCTTCCGTTGTCTTGCTGCGAGGAGACCGATGGGAGCACGGTCCATTCTTCGTCCTTGTATTTTGGTCCAAGCTCTCCGCGGAGCCATTGCTTGATATTTTTGACTTGGCGAAGACCGCGGGAACCCAGAGAGTCGAGATACTCGATTGTACGTTCCACCGGCCGAACAACCATGAGAGTCCAATGACTTGACTCATGTACGGGGATGAAGACTGTGTCTACATCAAGCAGTCCTTCCCCACCGATCTTGGCCCTTTTTGCCCATCGTTGCACACTCTGGTAACCTTTATCACGCAGGGTGGAGTAGAAAAAGGTGTTGAAGGCGTGGAAGCGCGGCCGATCGTTGGGTCCGAGGTTTCCATTCAAAAGGCGTAGATATTGAACGAGTAACCCAAGATACGCATTGATAATTTCGTCATTTAGCCAGGCGAAAGGTCGAATGCATGTGATGATATCCTTCTGGCACAGATCGTCTCCGGCCAATGATCTGGCGACGGCATCTCCCTGTCCACTCTGCGCGGCGCCCTGAACCTTCGCAAGCCACTCGGGCGAAAGCCGGCGTACGGGTTCACCTATCGGTCTGACCCTGGCTGGACGTTGTAGTTCCTGTTCCCGTGCAATTCTTTCTTGTTCGCGCTTCTCGAATTCCGCCTGGTACCAGGATGCCATGCGATTGGCGGGTATCGGCCTCCGGGCGGCGTAGAATAACTGAACAGCGGAAACAGGGCCATGGGGGAGTCTCGCATTTTCTTGAGCTTGCTGGGCCCACGGGTCATCAATTTGCATAAGATCATCTTTGGCAGCCTTTGCGGGTTTGGGTGGGATTGGCGATGGAATGCGCTTAGGGCTCGGAGCGGGCGGGATGTATGGTGGTAGTCGAGGGTGCAGATGTTGACCAAGATCTGGAATAAGTGCCGGTATTGTGCGAGCATCGACGTCCATAAAATCCCACCCCTTCGCTGGAACATGCTCATCCTCAGTAGGCGCAATGTATGGTTCTAGGGTAGGCGATGCAGGAGGAGTAGAGGGGAAAGCTCCTGGAATGGGTAGATGGAGATTATCTATGGCGAGGCAGTGGGTGAGTACGCGCGATCTGTGGTTCAACGATGGGCTACCGTACCATCTTGGTCGTCAATCGTGGTCTTTGAGGCCTCAAAGGGATTGGAAGTCATGGGGTGAACGTCGATGGGCCTTGCAGGTGAAGCGCGTCGCTTGCACCGAGGCCAACGCAAGAACCCCATGATGCTGCGAAGCTGAAAACCAATCTGGACGAGTGGGGGCTAGAGGTCGAGAGTTATCTACTCGTCCGATGACGCGCTTTCGGGTAGATTGGCGGTTGTATGAAAGTCGAGGAAGTGACGACGAGGAAATGAGCAGATATATGAAAAAGTAACTTCAAGATCCATCATTGAGCATGACTGGAATAGCTATCCCGAACTTAATAGCAAGAGCAGATACTCCGCAAAGGAAGAGGTATGGGAATAATATGAACAGACGCGGTCTACGGTTCTTTCATCATTCTGCTGACTCATCAGATATTCCCCGGCCCAGCCTCCATTGTTATGTTGATCTCCATGGATGTATCCATTGTCACTCTTTGTTTGCCGATCTTCGAGAGCATTTCCTTTTGAGACGTTTTCTTTCACCCTCTGGCAAATATAGATGTAATATTCTTTCACTCTAGTCTCGAGTCCTTTGGTACGGAGTACTCGGCTGATGATTGGCTTTCGGTGGACTGTAGGAATAGTCACCACGAAACAACCCCAAAGAAGGTTTTCTATAGCAGTCATTTATACCTTACTTGATCGTTCCTCTTTGTCTGACTGCAACTATAACAGCCTCTATTGTGGCTAGTCCATAGAGGTTGAATGCGATGTTTGGCTACCTAGGTAGACCGAAGAATATGCTTATGGATACTGCTTTCAATGTTTTATGTACATGGGCAACGTGAATGATGTTTGTAAGGTGACCCATTCAAGCACAGCCCGCTGAGCTAGGGGCAAGCCGAGGAGTTGACAAAGGCGTGAGATGGGAGTGACTGGAAGGCAGATCGCGCTTGTACCAGTCTATTTCTCATTCTCCTTATCGACTTCCAAGCCCGATCCGGTCAAATAGGAGGGGTGCCACCTCGATGACTACCCATGGGATACCTAGAGGAGACTGGGATTAGCAAATGTTGCATTGAAAACCAGCGGGTCTTACATACCTGCATACACAACCAGTTTTGTCACTACCTCCACGTCGTATCGCACGCGAGGTTTCTTGATTTGGGAGAATACTTCTTTTTCATCCCGCTCTCCAGCATCGAGATCGAGCGAAGGGAAAGGAATTGTCGACACGTCCGAATTCACGTCTACAGCGGACGAGCGGGGACTGCCTCTACCCATCATATCTTCATAATCATCCAGGGTGGTTGTCTTTCTCGACGACAGGGGTGTTCCATTGGGTTGGACTTGCCCCTCTACTAATGTGAAGGGATGGTGACTTCCAGATTGGCTCTCGCGCCGACGCTTTTCTCGGTACGCCAGGGTTTCATACGCATCGGCTTCTGACTGGGGACCAATGGACACGGCTCGGCGGCGAGGGTGACGCATGGTGGTGATAATGCTTGGAATGTCGGAGAAGTTAGGAAAAACATCGTGGTCTTTAAGGTTGGTCGGGACAGTGGTATATTCCCTAAAAGGAAGTTAGAACAGCGTCCACAAGCAAAAGTTACGTCCAAACTTACGAAGCCGTGGTGAAGAAGCGTCGGGGTAACAACAGGCCGAGCTTCTCCAGGGTCCGGAAAATAGGTGGAAGGATGCGCAGCAAAGCGGGCTTCGTCACGGTCCTCCAAGCAAAGACACACAGAACACCCACGACCAGACGGATGACTGTTCTGATCCAGCCCACGGTGTGGAGATCGTATGGAATTGATCCAGCGGGGTAACCCTCCCAGATAGTAGCGAAATGCCACGAAGAAACATCCACACCTAGCATGACGCCTGCAAATGCGACACTATCATCAAAGCATGGGCAATCATCCGCCGGTTCCGGATGGATGCGGACAAGAGATATGATAACAAGCGCCAGGAGAGATATTTCGGTCAGCGAGGCAGATAAAATGAATTCCTCGAAGGCAGGTCCGTAATGAAATTGCACCAGGCCAATGGCCGCACCCAAAGCACATCCAACAGTACAGTCCAACATCCCGTGCATTCCGCAATACAGTCGGCCCAGTACAATTGACACAACGTAGATATAGGTGACAGCTTGGAGCAAGAGGGTGGCCTGCGCGCTAAGAGTCGAGTCCGGTGAACCGAGCAGAGCTAGAGCATACACTGCCACGGAGACGGCATTGGTGGAGTGTGTTGAGGGGAAGCCATATTCCAAAGCTGCAGAGCCGGACATAGTAATCCGCTGGAGTGGTGGGGACAGAGGCCGAGGAAGACATAGCAAGTCCTTGAGGAAACCGCTCCAAAACACGCCTGATGCTAAGATGTGTACCAATCTATAGCAAAACTTTATCAGCCCTTCCATCCTCTTTCACTTCCATTCCCAAGGAGAGAAGAACATACCCGCGACCCATACTGGGAGAACCGCACCAGAAGAGGAAGGGCAGGAAGACCATGAAAAACGTGTGCGTGCCAAGGTTGGCTGTGAACGCGAAATACGAATCGAGAGTTGGTGTGCGCACTTTCTCCTGCACCCAGGCCAAATATGGCGTCTCATATCGGATCAATGGGATGAGCTTCTGTCGTGGCCAATACCGCCAGAAGGGCAATCGGCTGGAGTCTATGCCAATGCGCGGTTAGCGGACATTGCGATCATGCAAATGCGCAAATAATGGAGGTTAATCGCATACAGTGATTCAAGCTTTTCAGCCCAGCATCGGGCTGATCCGGTTTGCTCTTGCCCATGATGCAGTGTTATCGTTCCGGATAGAGCTGCAATCGGATAGATTCCATAGATGGACAGGACGCTGCCTGCCGGTCCGTTCAAGGGTGTGCGGTAGAGGAATCAGAACATAAGGAATGGATTGAAGTTGGATTGTGCAAAAACGATAATTGAGGCCCTCGGAACTGTTCAAAATTCACGGGGAGAGCCTCCGCGACTCCCCTGATGCCCGCGGCACCCTTGTGTGTGCTTAGTCACCTCTGCACTGGGGCCCGAGGCACAACCTGGAGGCTCCCAGCACTAGGAGACGATCTCGTCGATTTTGCTGGATGGGGAATGGGCCCTGTCTGGCAGCATTTGGGGTTCCATGGAGTTATCAGCATGGTATGCTCTATCGCTAGCCCATACATTCACTACCGAGTACGAGGATCAGCTTTGCTATGGGCAAGTATGTACGGGATAGTACCTGTTATAGTGTATGAGCTATACTGATCAACCATCTGCAAATTGGTGTTTCCTACCTCATTACACCAAGCCATGCTATTAGGTAGTTGCTATAGACCCAGTGGCTTGTTCTGATAGTGTTAATGTTAATACGGAGGAGTGTCCAGCAATTCTACCTACTTCGTACACTATTTCCTCTAAAATACCAAAGAACTGGGGAAAAGAGATCGGCAAAACCAAAGGCTCAAAAATAATCAAGCAAGAATTGATAAAGAAACGGGAGAGCCGAAATCAGAGAAGACGGTGCAAATCCCTGAAATCCCGGTTGCTGAGAGGCTGGGATTTCGGTCTTCTCCGTTGAAAGGCACATGGAGAACGTGCCCAAGTGCTTAGAGACGTGATGACCTGCAGGGTTAGTGTGCTCAGCCCCTACTTGATGCAGTGTCAATTGGATCTCCGATTGACCACCCTGCGAGCTTATACTCCCACGATAGAGTATCCTAGAGACCATCTGACGACCATCGTCAGCCTGGCATTAGATTCAAAAGCGAAGAAACACCGCGCTTGGAGACAGGATCTACGATCACATGACCGTACTGGGCACGTTGTGTCCAAGACAAAGCCACGCTGGGATCCTGTTCTGGCGAGCTGAACAGTGGGGTAGGTCAACAATTAGCGGAGCCCCAACCAAGTCAGGATCGAGATACTCCGGTAAATGACAGGATATGACAGGATATCAAGGCTTTTCTGATCGTGGGAAGCGGAGCCCTGGCGTCATTACGAGACGGCCGTTGCTATGGTAGCCAGTGTAAACACGGGTCTCGCGGGTCTCGCCCTGACGAGAGACCCTCTTGCTTTATCGTCGATCCTCTAGATCTGTGAGATCTATTCTCTCCTTCTTCTTCCTCTCCTTACTCTCTTGCCTCCCAGTTTTACTACCTCGTGGACGCATATCATTTCAATTCTCATCCTATCGGCAGCCACCCCGTCAACTCCCGTTTCCCCTGCATCACGTTACAAACGAGGGACCGCATTCCACCCTGCCACATTCACCATGAGCGCTATGTACGAAGACCAATACTATGCAGGCTCACGTCGCCACTCCCTCGTCACCCCTCCTCCCTCCTTGACTCCCCGTCACACTCGTGCACGCAGCGAAAGCGTTCGAGTCAGTCACGGCACAGCCAGTACCAACACGAGCGTGTCAAGTGGACGAATGTCCGAGGCAACTAATATCACCCAGCCCCCCTCTTTTTCAAAAAAGTTCGTGGTGGTGGGCGATGGTGGATGCGGCAAAACCTGTCTGTTGATTAGTTATTCTCAAGGTTACTTCCCAGAGGTACGTTCAGTCTTCGCCCTACGATCAAACATAGCTACCTGGTGCTAATTGTTGTTTAGAAATATGTCCCTACAGTGTTCGAGAATTATATTACCCAAACGACGCATCGGGCGTCCGGCAAGACCGTCGAATTAGCCCTTTGGGATACCGCTGGACAGGAGGAATATGATCGTTTGCGTCCACTGTCATATCCCGAGACTGATCTTCTATTTGTTTGCTTTGCTATCGATTGCCCCGCATCATTGGAGAATGTTGTCGACAAGGTGAGTGCCCAAAATATCAACCACTTTTTTTTTTTTTTTTGGATTGCATTGATCTAACATCTCTGTCTAGTGGTACCCCGAGGTTCTACACTTCTGTCCCACTACACCTATTATCCTTGTCGGCCTGAAATCCGACTTGCGTAATAAGCGAACATGCATCGAACTCCTCAAGACTCAAGGCTTGACGCCCATCACACCAGAGCAAGGCGAGAATGTCGCTCAACGGATGGGTGCAACATATGCCGAATGCAGTAGCAAGGAGATGCGCGGCGTGGATGAAGTATTCGCAAAGGCTGTGGACTCCGCTATCTCAATCGAGGAGCAGGGCTGGGCAGCCCCACCCCCCGCCAGCCGTAGCGCTCGAAACAATCGCACTACCCGTGCCAGTGCTGCTCCTTCAGGGGTACTACTGCCCCCGCCCCAGCAAGAAAGTTAAGAAGCGAACCTGCAAGATCCTGTAGATTGATTCTGCTCGTTCTATATTCTCCTTTCTTCCCTTTCGCGACTACCCTTTGACCTTTCTTTCTCTCTTGGCCGGACCACAAGCCTGGTAGCTTCGTCGGCTTGCTTGCCCGTCTCCCCGTGTATGTGCCATGTCGCCGCAAGCTGGACAAAGCTACATGACTTTCCAAAATCTTCTCCGTTGTATCGATACGCTGTGCGGCTTTTACAATGACCTCGACTTCTTTTCTCTTATTGCCGGAGGCTGTTTCCTTTACTTCATGTTGGCTCCCCTGCTTGTCTTATTCCTGGATTTTTTTTTAACCTCATGACCCTTGTCTCTATGTTCCATTTTCCATTTGATGTCTCTCATGACTCGGGTCTCTGCCGTTTTCCATTGGCATGCATGGAACTGGTGTTCTCGTTTATGTTACTTGATCTGTTATGTTGGCGACAGCGACGCTTATGTGTTACCCCGAAACAATGCATTTGAATTTTGTGTTTATCAATGCCTCCGTAGCATTCGTAAATCTTTCTTTCCATCTCGTAACAGTCCGGCCTTGAATGGCATGGTATCTAGATGGGAAAACGCAAAGAAAAGTAAAACCGCCAGACGCCTAGTCCTGCCATGCAAATCAAACTGTAAATCACTGCATGACCGTCGAATCACCCTCCTGCGGTTCTTTTTTGATCGGCACATCACTCTCCTCACTCGCCTTCCTCTTCGCATTCCCACCCTCCTCAGCTTCCTCCTCAGCTCGACCCATGAAGTTCTCAAATTGGGACCAGAGAGCCTCCACAGATCCGAATTCATTGCCCACCTAGAAGCAGTTGAGTAGATGCGCTTGCCTAACTAGGGACGTTCGAGCTTACCGCGATAACACTCTCCAGATTCCGGTTCAGCCGATTGATATTTTGGAGAACTTGCTCCATGCCCTGTTCGAATAGATTGGTATCGACTACGACAATGGGGAATGGGTATTGGGTGTGCGAAATTTGTTATCCCTTACCACTGCAATCTCGCGGACGAGTTCCTCGCGCTGCTGCTCGAAGACCGTTGGAGACGCGACGCGTGCGCCGGCGCCGGGTGTTTGCTGTAGCCAGGACATATTTGTGGCTTTTTTTTTTTAGACTTGTGAGTGCTGGATACACGAGACGGTGACTCGGCGATGTTTGAGGATGTTACGCCCCAACTTAAACCGTGACCTGTAGGTTTCACTATCGAGGATCTTCGATGGGGAGATAAATACCACACTCGGTTTTGTGCAGCTTGGTATAGAAGTCTCTTGGATTGCCAGGTGATGGTGTCCGTCAGGTCGCGGTCACTCGGATTTGATGTGAAGGGCATGTGGGGCAACTTGGAGGCGAGTCTCCGATCGCCTTATCGTTTACTTCGACTGCCCTTTGGACATTCTACACAACGCCAATCGTACCTGGGCCAGAAATCATAGTAGTAACCTTATAAGAATCTACATGGTTACACACCGCAGGTCTATTATGAATATGAAAATACCCGGGACAACCTTCGTGTAGAAGAAATTAAGAAGTTCCTGCTATCTGCATATCTTGGAGAGCGTAGGCATCTAAACCTAGGGTGATAAACCTCAAACCGTGATAACTAGTCCATCCATCGTATAGCCGGCGATAATTAGGGTGCGACCTGGTGTGAGAAAGCAAGACTGGGCGGCTAGGGGCTCATATAGGAGTAACATTTCACCTTACACACAAACACGAGGTTGATCCCACTGTAATAGAGTGTCAGTGTATGAGTTACACAAAAGTAGTCCTGGTAGTGAGACTAATCTCGATTATGTGCATCTGGCAATTTTAGTCGCATTAGAAGGTATGCGGATTGGCGTAGTCCATGAGCCGAGGCGGCTACAGTGCATATTGTGGAGGCTTGGTTATAACGAATTTGCCAGATAATGATAACAAGCATTCCTCCAAACTACATGTAGGATATGGAGCAGGGAGACTGTTATACCGCCATGATGTTTCGGTGGTAGGGTGAAACGAATACGCTAAACACACTCAAGTCAGACACAGGGGAAACTCCGTGAACGTTGTACGCGCGATCATTCCAGTTGTCTTGAGTTTATAGCTAAAAATATATTAGGCGTCAGAATTTAGAAGCAAGTGGATTGAGAAGATCTGGCATTGTGAGGGAATATATCACTGTTGAGTGCCGTATGCTAGACTACCCAGCTAGAATTATCCGCTAAGTCGTTCTTTTATACCACAGATCCCAGTGGATGTCCCATCCAGGGCCCAAGAACACAATGGTGGAGGTCAAATATATGGGAGAATACGACTACATCCCGTCAATACCACTTGCCGTGACGTTTATCGTGCTCTTCGGACTCACAACCATTCTACATTGTTGGCAAATGTTTCGAGGGAGGACCTGGTTCTTCATTCCTTTTGTGTTCGGAGGCGTCTGTGAGTACTGCAATGCGGTAGTCTGCATTTCGCATGTCAAATTCCCACTGGGCTTTTGTTTCTAACACCAATGTTCGTTAGTTGAGATCATCGGGTATATAGCCGTAAGCCAGCCCATCCATACTAGAACAAGTCATATATGAGATATGCTAACAACCCCAGCGTGTGGTATCCTCCAACCAATATCCGAACTATACAGTTCCACCTCTGGCCATTCAAGCCGTGCTCATTCTTGTCGCGCCGTCACTCTTCGCTGCAAGCATCTATATGGAGCTTGGACGCATCATGATCGTTACTGGTGGAGAGAGGCTGTCACCAATCCGCCGATCGTGGTTGACAAAGATTTTTGTGGTTGGAGATGTGATTTCCTTCTTCGTCCAAGCAGGAGGTAAGGCCAATTCCTTGCCCCTCAACGATTCCATAATGTCCTACATCAGTGAAGTGGCCAATTGACTGACGCTCTACCACGATATAGGAGCCGCAATGCTCGTCAAAGCCAACACAGCCGCCAAAGGCGGAAATGTGATCAAAATCGGCTTGATCATCCAAATCATCTTCTTTGGACTGTTCATAATCACCGGTATACTGTTCCACGTCAGACTTCAGAGAAATCGAACAACGGTGCTACAGCAGCATCAAGTCCCCTGGAAAAAGCACCAAAATGTGCTATACGTCGGAAGTCTCCTCATCTTCATCCGTTCTATCTTCCGATACATCGAATACAACCAAGGAAGTAGCGGTGCATTGCTCCAGCATGAACTCTGGAGTTACATCTTCGATGCCGCCCTTATGTTTCTGGTGATGGTAGCATTCAATGCAGTGCATCCAGCCGAGATTAGCCAGTTAATGGCGCAAAGGAAAGCCGGATATGAAATGGAGATGATCGGATGATTGGCGAGGGATAGAGTCCGGGATATCTCCGGAGATATCCAAGTAGACTGGATCAACCTGTGCTAAGGTAGGTACACATGTACATTACAATGTTGATAGATCGGATTGATAGAAGTTGAATGAGCCCCGCAGCCAGTTCCGAAGCCTGTTCAACGTCCGTGGTGACCATCTTATAGTGCTGTTTTCAACTTGAAATCGCTCAGATTGTAACCTACACGAGGGACTTGTGGGTAGTCTGCCCTACATGCATACATCGCCAGTCGAGGTTCTAAGGTCCGAATAGTCCGGCGCAGGGACGAATGCTAATATGGCGCTAGGTAGGGAATTGTATCCCACAGGGAGCTGTTGTGCTAGGTAGCCGTAGATGAAATGCGAAAGGGGCATTCAAGCTTCACCGAGGAACCGTTCCTGACCTGGATTCTGAAACATTTCCCTCAAGCTCGGTTCGTGAGGCCGGTCTATAAGGGGCATGTTGTACTCGGAACACAACAATGTCGAGGTGCAACCCCCCACCTCAGGGCCCAGGGTCCACTGCTACTTCGATACATTCCAGGGATCTCGACCAAGTACACGCTACAAGACCTGGAAGAAAGCCCAATAGCAATTGACAAGGTCGAGCTAAGACCCCGCCTGGTTGAAAACTCGCCAGGTACGAAGTTCAAGAACAAACAACCGGGTCAAATGGCGTTTCGGTTACTATCGCTTCATCGAGGTTTCAGAGGGATTTCATTACGGGTGAAAGGCCTATGGCTACAAACGGGAGAGCAGAAAGTAGGGCTAAAGAAGAAAAATAAAATGGGTTCTGTCAAGGATATACAAGAAGTGAAGAACATCAGCCGGTCCCAGACCGCTGTTTCGGGGAAATTGTTTTCTATACAACCTGCCAAGGGCAGGACACACACAATTCCAGACAAATCATAATCGTTATAGTCCTAGTTCCAACGCTAATCCAGATCCGAACTCGTATGGAGGAAAGAGAGAAAAAAAGTACGGAGTAGCAGTCGTCAAATCATCAAAGCGGGGCAAATCTTGTCCCCTTGTTAACCGGACCAGGGCCAACAGAGCAGACCAGAAAAAAACGGCCTTGGGCTAAACAATCGATCGCACCTGGATTTCTCGGGGTAACTTCGTTGCCCACGTCCGTTTCGTTTCAATTCGTAATCGCGTTTGCATTCCTGGGCCCGTAGTGCGCATGTCACCGTAACACCCCGCAGACCAGAAACACAGAACTGAGAAACGCATTCCGCTGGTCAAGTCATGATCATATTCTGATCGTATTCGTGAATTATGTTGTCGTTTCGCATGGTAAGAATTGTGCTCGGGACCATTCACATCGTAGGTGTGAGTACTATAGGGTAGTATAGTATAACCCGAGCCACAACCAGAGCGGGGGTCAACTCTTAGGAGTTTCGGCGTGGTTGACCAAGGATATTGCTCAACCGCTTCCAGCGCTGTGTTGGAGATGTTGAGAATGCGCGCCCCATAGACTTGTCTAGGGGTTTGGCGGAGGATTGCGTAGAGGAGCGGGCTCGACTGCTGATGGTGGCTTCGTGGTCGGCGAGGACGTCTTCGAGACGAACATCTGAATCAGACATGCGTAGACCCAAGTCCTTCGGATCGAGGATCTCAATGAATTTGGAGGGTGTGTCGCGCATTGTGTATGAGGTGGATATTTTATCTTGCGCGGATCTGGATTGTGGAGGTGGGGAAATATTGTGTGTATATAGTTTCCAATGCAAAGTATCACACTGGGAAACTTTGGCTTGAGAGGGGTCACGAGGGGATATGTGTGTATTTTTATGCGCTATGTAGGTTTTGGTTCAAGCGCGAAATGAGACAAAGAACGTTGCAGGTTTGGGCTGGCTGCAGACTTGCGGGGATTGCAGTGTTTCAAGGTCCGAGTAGAGCGAAAAACGAGAGAATGGGGTGGAGATTTCCATGGAGCCCACGAGTTTTTATGGATGAATGGTCAAATGGATATGAGTTCCGATTTGCAAAGAGTATCGCAGGTGATATGCGGAAAACTTGCCAATCTGAAGGTCTGCAGTGGAGCCCGAGGTGAAGATCAGGGGAGGAAAAGAGAAGTGATTCGACGGTCAGACTATAAGATTTGTCTGTGGACTGGATATTGAAGATCAGCGTTGTGCTAACCTGAGAAGTATCGGAGATTTCGTTTTGGGGATTTGAATTTCGTACTCCGACGACAGAAGTAGAGGGGCTGGGTACCTAGTAGAGTACATAGGCAGCCCTTTTCTTCTGATCAGTCGCACCCCAGAGTCTGAAGACGTACTCCGTACAAGCCTCTTTTGATAATGTGTGACTCTTCTCATAAATGGGGCGATGATCGGCGCCAGTCTCGGTGGCGTTCGAGTGACCAACCGTTGATGAACAACCACCTGATGGTTCGTCCAGATATATGGAGAACGTTATTAGCGGCCCATGCGAAAGGTCAAATGAGACATAGCGGGTGTTCAGAGAGGTATATCTGCCCCTCTTTTTCCTCTCTTTTCCCTCGGATGCCTGTAGAACAGACCCCTTCGCTGCGAACTTTGAAGCCGGGATAGCCCGCTACTCGCTTTAGCTTAGCAGGGTGGATGCATGCTCTCCATCCTTCAAGCACCATGACGTCGACGGCATAAAATCTCTCTTGCACATGGGCATTTGATAGTCACCAAGGTGGAGAGTTTTCGTAAGCATCGGACTTTCGATGTACACAGTACAATGCAGTACATCTGGTATGTGGTGCATCGTTTCTATAAAAAGAACTGCCACAGAAACCAGCCACGCTCTCAGTGCCACAGATTTTCAAGCTGCGAAGGCCAATGAACAAAAAACCAATCTCATCGACATAAGATTGCATTCGCGATGAGTCAAGAACAGAGAATGGCGTTGTGGGCAATAATGATGCCCATCACACGTAGTCCGATTTGCCTCCACAGATATTGCACCTCATGGCTGCGCCCGCACTGAGGTCAACCAAGACTATCACGGGCTGTGCGATTCGACTGTCTGTTCCAGGATTGGGATGGCGGTCGCGGTGGTGGGGCCTGAACTGGGATCCTCATTTGATAACAGCAGCTCTTGCTCTGAGCTCCCCTACATATCAAAGTGTGCTCTTCTGATTGCAGGGCGATCACCCGAATGCTGTTGTCTTGTCACCCCATCACTGTACCCGCTCACAGAGCACACGTACGTACACTCACAGTAATATCTCGATGCCTGGTGGAGATTCGGCCTGTGATCCGCCACTCTCACCGATACTTTCTGGTTGAATGATGAGATCGGAGGCAACGGAAGATGTGAGGCTGATCGTCGCTGCGCCGCAATCGGGTCATCTTGATACGCCAGGAATCATACGCGACGCTTGATGGCGCGGTAGACTCACGGAAACCGGACTATGCACAAAAAGGAAGAGTAATCATACTACGTACACCTCCCGGAAACTCGTGCAGAAAGTAATTGATTCGATTTTGGGCAAAGGCCATGCACAAACCCCACTTTGGAAAGCCATAAACAAAAAGAAAACGCCTCATGATAATTGAAATTGTGGGCAAAAAAACACAAAGTCCCAACAAAACCAGTAGACTCAGCACATTGATCTTCGGCGAAAGGTTGAGCTCCGAAAACGTGTCCTTAGATGTCTGGCGGGCGCAGCAGGTTTGATTGCCACAAACTCAAGCAACGCGTCCATTCCAAGTTCCAAAACTCCACCGCGCCGATTGCATTGATTCGAAGCCGCGATAGCGAAGGCACACTTCGAACTGAGACACCAAAGACAGCAATTATCTCACACACACCCTCTATCCTGCATCGCAGCACACTGTATCTCCCGTCCAGCATATGCGACATATTATTTGTATTCCATATTCTCCATATCGACTGTATCTGCCGATCCCACCCACAGGATGTTGTTGCATCTGTTCCAAGAAGAGAGTTAACGAAACCAGAACCATCGTATCAAAGCCCGACACCAGGCCGGTAGATGCGCGCTCTTACCGGATCATCACCATGCCCAATGCGCCGGAGAGCTTGCCGTCGATGTATTCCTCTGGGTTGCGCAGCAGGACGTTCATGTATGAATCAATAGTCTCGAGAGTGCCCTTGTACTCGGTCTGGCCCCACTTCAGGCGGATAATGACTTCGCTGCCGACGCTATAGATATATATAGATTAGCAAGCCATGTACCAGCAGCGATGAAGATGTGTGGACATGTAGAGAGATGGATGTGGTGCTTAATGTTGCCTGGTGGGGTCTGGGTGGCTTTGGGGACGAATTGCATACCGAGCCTGGAGGAAAGGACGGGGGTTAAGTGGTTGGAACTATACAGGCAATGTTAGTAATTGTTCCTCGTTGGATACCATGAAGGTCCTGGTGGCAATGGGCGGTATCTTTGAGCTTGCTCGATACCGGGTCGAGGATGAGGGGAGACGTACACTCATTGTGGCTTGGGATCGGGTTGCTGGTTGGTTGTTGTGGAATATCGATCACAAATAGAGCAGCAAGGAAAGCTCGGCAAGGTCTTTTACTCCGTTGGATGATCGTGCTGGTTGCTGTTAGCTGCGTTGACATCGGAGTCGGCGACAGTCGCGAAAATGCGAGCTCCACGGGCGGTGAAAAGTCCCCGACGCTAATTGGCCTAACACCCTAGACTGGGTGGTTTTTGTATAAAGAACAGTGAAATGGACTGTCGTGTTATTTGGTGAGTTCCTTTCGGTAGAACTTGATTGTTGTTATTATGGACTACTCGAAAGTCCAAGATTAGCTCTAGCAAACTGCGGCAAAGGGTTCAAAGTCATTTCATAGCACATTTTCCCGTCATTGATTCATGCCTCCTTCCTATCACAGCCTAAGATAATCAACAGACCCTAGTAAAAATACAAAAGACAAATAAAATCTGAATTCATAGCTTCAAGAACCAGTTTCCAAGCGTATCCCGGTCATCTGGATCGCCATATTATTGCCAACCCGTCGCTTAACGGCCGACAGTCCAGGTAATCTCCTTGATGCTGACCTCCTCGCCCTTCTTCTCATCGTAGTCATACCACTCACCCTCCGAAAGATCGATACCGGAGAAAGTGGTATTGGAATCAATGGCCTTGGCTTCCCACTCGCCCTGAATTCACTCAGTCAGTACATGCTTGTAAATTTGGACGGAATGCAGGGATTTCACGAACGTCAGGCTTGAACTCAATGAACTCAAGGCCACGGCAATCCATTTCGAGGATCTTCTGGCTAGTAATCTTCTCTTGAGCCTCGCATGCCTTAGGTCCGCTGGTGATGGAGGCAGTGTGAGTTTTCTGTGGGGTTTCCGTCAGCTGGGTTCTCAATGAAAAAAAAGCGAAAAGGCTCAAATGAGCATTGCCAACACAATGAAGACAAAAAAAAGAAAAGTGAATCCATGGCTAAAAGAGCACAAAAGGCAAAAACGAAGCTCGACTGTTCAATTGGGAAAAGGATGGCATGCTTACTGTGCAAAGTCGGCACTTCCACACGAAATTAGCCTCGCCGCGGCTACCGGGAACTTCGTGCACTTCCTATACATGGGTTGGTCAATTAACCATTAGGAATTGATAATCATGGTCGTCTCGTTGTCATTCACTTACGAAGCGGTTGAAGCTGACCCAGTTGGGGTGCGTCTCGTGGCAGGAGGTACATTGAACACGGAAAGTGTAGAAGTAAGGATTCTCCTCGGTGTCAGTGGGAAGGAGGGCAGTAACGCTGCATCACCATATCAGCTGGATGATTTTTTGATCATTGTGTCCGAAAGGGCCTGCCCGCGCAGTGTTCCTGAATTTGGAGGACGGTGCGGGGAGATTCTGGCAATGCCGAAGGGCTCAATGATTCGGACACCAGGGCTATGACCACTTACCCCTCGAGTTGAGCTTCGACCGAAAGAGTGAGCATTTTGGAACTTTTGAAATCAAGTAGGTGAACTGGTCTTGAGTTGTGATGTCTAAAGCAAGATCCTCTCTGCGGGTGATGCGGGGTGGAGATGGAAAATACTTACTTAGATCGAGGCTTGGCATGTGACCATTTTGCAACACGGAGCTTCCAAGACTACATTGGGTATATGTGTGCATGAATTCCAATATATAGAGGTGAATATATGATAATTGAAGTGAAATTGATATATAAATTGAACATAAACGCCAGTCATGCCCTAGCTCGCCACAAACGAATCAAACAAGCTATGTACATCTCAAAAGTAAATTACAGACTCATAAAGGTATCGAAAGTCTCACAGGCGGCTCTGCTGGGTGTCCTGGCCCAGGGGCTTTGTCGAGAACGCATTGAAGAACTCGTTGAGAGCGTCAACAGTACCACTTCCCTCAACCAACTGCACGGTGCAGGCAACGTGGCTGTCGGGGCGAGTGACAACGACACCACCCTTCTCAGCATCAAATCCGAGCTTCTCATGGGCCGCGAATGTAGCCTGAGCAACACGCACATCCGGGATATCATCGGCATAGATGTGGTGGTGGTAGTCGCGCAGAACCTGGGGGATGGAGTCCACATCGATAGTGTTCTTGGAGCCTGCGTAGATCACAGACAGAGTGAAGAGCTTGGAGTGAGGATTGTGGCGTTCGAAGAATGACACATCGGCGATATCAGAGCGGCGGTAGGCCGACAGGAATGAGCGCTCCTTCTCCAGGTTGAGAGCAAAGTCAGCGATAGCCTTCTTGGTCTTGGCCTGGTTGCCAGCGAAGATGAAGATACGGAATGCACCGTTGGCAGGAACTTCCTGCTCGAGCTCGACAAAGTTGGAATCAGCAAGACGGGTGACAGTGGTCGGTGTGAAAGCACGACCAGGAGTCAGGTGAACGCCGGGAATCTCGAACAGAGCGGACTTGGCAGGGTGAGTGGCGTCCCAGGTGAAGATGCTGGGCTTGTAGGCCACTCCGTATCCACTGGTGAACTCGCAAGATTCCTTGAAAGTCTTGACAAATTCGTCCTCCTCCCCACCAGCACCCACCGTGGTGTGGCTGGCAGAACCAACCTCGCCAGCAGAAGGGCGGCGCTTGGAGAACAGGGCAGCATATTTAGCATCGAAGTTCAGCAATGTCTCGGCAATGTCCTTGCGTTCAGTCTCATAAGTGCTGAGGGTAGAGCGGTTTGCCAAACCACTCTCCACGGCGTGGATCTTCCAGGCCATGTTGAGTGCATCGTGGAAAGCAGTGTTCATTCCCTGGCCAGCCTTGGGCTTTAAGGGTGTTAGCAATATTTCAGATGAACGGCAAGAAAGGGGTCACTGACGCTGTGGGTGTGGCAAGCATCACCACCCATGAAGACTCGCTCGTCAAGGGTATACTTCTCAGCAATACCCTGTCCAATGGGATAGACCGAGTACCATTCAACCCGGTCCCACTCAATCCAGTATGGCTTCAGGATGTTCTTCGCAGTCTGCTGGACCTCTTCAACGGTGGCGGTCTTTCGGGGGTTCCAATCGGCGTCGGTGGAGGAGGCAATCTGAACATAGAGACGGACCATGTTGTCCTCGCGGGGGATGACCATGATAGAGCCAGCATCGGAGTGAATGGTGCATTTGGTCTGTGAATCAATGCGTTAGACAGAGGCGATAAATTGGCTCGTTTCGGGCATCCTTACCTCAATATCGGGGAAGTTTGTGCGCACAACACCGTCCATAACACCCCAAACGTAGGCAATAGGATCCTTGTGGTGAATCTTGATATCAAGCTGCTCACGGACAAAGCTGCGGGCACCCTCGCCACTGAACAAATACTTGGCGCGCACATTCTCGATGACATTGGTATCCAGGCACTTGAGGTTGACCTCAACGGGGTATTCAGCATTGGCACCATCGTTCTTGAATCCAACGATGGTCCATGGCCGCTCAACAGTTGTGCCGGCCTTCTCAATCTCATCCAAGAACACACGCTCAATCTTACCCTGGTGAACAAGGGTAGTGAAAGGGTAGCGGGTGTCAATGAATCGGGGGCAGCTGGGCCAGCTGCCCGTGCGGCCGATGCCAGAACCATCGGCCTTGGGATCCCAGAAAGCAACATCATACACCTTGGCGGGCTCGTAAGCCATAATAGAGCGCTTCAAGCCAAGATTGCGCAGAATCTCGGTGGATCGTGGCTGAATACCGTCGGCGCGACCAGTTGCGGTCGGCACTGGGCGGTTATCAATGTGCTTCACCTTGTAGCCCCATCGGGACATACATAGGGACAAGAGCAGACCGACAGGGCCGGCGCCCACAATAACAATGTCATAATTCTCTTGTTGAGCCATGGTGGCAGCCAGAATCAAAGACAGGGACTCAAGAGGGGGGGGAAGATATGGTTGTACAAAGGTATGGCAAAGGGAGATATGATCAGCGTAAAGAGACGTATGTAGGCCTTGAAAGAAAAATAGAATATATCAGAGTATGGCCCTGCATGAAGAGAAAAGAAATGAGGGCCATGGCTGTTCCTATATACTATCCAGCAGCTGGGGTAAGCGGGTGGATTGGGCGTTCAACTGAAGTAACGGAGAACATGCACGGCATTCAGAGTCGGCTGAATCGTGGGGAGCACCGGTACAAAGGGTAGGGTGGCCAATCAAGTTCGCCAGAAAAACAGTTATGGGTGATTAGTCAGGATTCCGCAAACAAGCGCTGTGTGGGGGACGCACTGGCTTTGCTCAAGACCATCCATCGTAATCCCGTTGTTGATCCCGAACTGTGTAGCTTGTGAGATCCAATAATGGGACTCGACTCCCCGCGACTCCACCCGGAAACGAGTCTCGGTAGGCGGAGGCGGGAGCACGTGACCCCCGCTTCGGCAATCCTGCCCGGGATCTATCTCCTCAACATACGAGGCACTCGCTACTCCGCACTCTACTCTCTATGGACAACGGAAATCCTTTAATCTGCCTTTTCTATGCTCCGTGCTCCGCAACTCCCTGGACCAGTCCGAGAAGTAACCAGTGGATTCCTATTTCCCCCACAAGTGGCTACATGCTCCAAGAGGTCCCGTGCTGCCGAGACTTTTGAATGTCTGCCGTCTTATCCACTGAGACCGACGCCATGGTAGTTCAACCTGGCACTTCCTCTGCGGAAAACCCGAGGTTCTATGCCAGGGCATACATGCACTACCCAAATCCAGTGACTATCTTGATGAGAATTTCACCAAAGTAGGATTAATGAATCCGTGGCACCATAGTCGAGAGTTTGCTACAGTTGCAAACAGTTGAACTTTGGGAGTACGAATTTGTTGTGCTTGGATCTTTAGAAACAGTTGATATAGCTACGCGAACCCTCAAGTCTAAACTATGATGAGACGCCATGATTTCCAAGGTAAGGAGGGTGACAACGAAGAGGAAACCTAAGGCAATAACAACATTGAAGTCAAGTCTGGGGCTCGGGTGAGGATTGCCCCGCTCTGAACTATACAGTTGATCCAACTTCATGTCTAAATGCAGACGAAAATAGTGCAAAACATGCAATCTTTGAAATTAAGACTCATATACTTTGTATGTCATCCATTTCTACCTGATGCAATATAGCTAGTAGATACAGCCTAGGCATATCATTAAGGTTGACACACAGGATCACTTACCAGGTGCACAAAGAGTCTGGACTTATGAAGAATAATGATACTTCTTCTTTGCTTCATTTTTTTGTTTGTCCAATTTCTGATTTCTGCCTTTCAACTTCTTTTTCTGTTTTTCTTTGTGCCTTCTCGGTATCTTGTCTTTTTGTTCGCATTGTCCTTGAGGTACATCTATTATTGGCCTGGTACCGTTGTTAATCTTATTATTAGAGACTATGTGGTCCTGAAATAAACTTCTCGGCAGCGTATCCAACAACAATAGCCTCGATTTCCTAGAAATTCCAATGGATTATTAGCCTCATGAGTTGTAAATAGCTATCCTAACAGGATACTCTGTAGCTCAAGCTCCCACGGCCGCTCTATATAAGTCCCCATCTTCTCTTTCCCTTGCAAATCCTCTCCATTTTCCTTCTTATTCTTATCATTTTTCTTTCTCTCGAGCTCTCTAAGTTCCTCTATCTCGTAATCCTGTCTCGCTTCCTACAATCGCAGTATCTTTTATCAACATGTCTTGTTCCCAATCTTTTCATTCGCGGGAGAACCCCATCATTGACCATCCCATCGTGAAAGATGATCCGGACCAATCGTCCCAGCAATACCCCATCACTTTTTCTCAGACTGTGCATAACAATGCTATCGACAACCCCCATACCTCCCAGTCGGCTAGCCGAGTTCCTCCGGAACCTGTTTTCTACGATTCTAAGCTTCATAACAGAATGGCCATTGGCTTCGTCCTCAATCAGAACGATCAGAAAGGCGACCATGGTCATGTTCCAATTGCCCGATGTGCCGAGCAACTGTCCGATGGCGACAGTAATGATCTAACTACATCGGACAGTGCTCTCCCTAGTAATTCCGTTGAATATTTTACTCCCGAGGAAGCTGCCCTTTTTGAGCCTTATGGAGACTCTCCTTTTCCCTGGCACCTGAGACCTGGGACCGTCGAAGATGTGTATGAGTTCTGTCGAATCACACGAGGAAGGATGGGCGATGAATTCCCTGGCAACCGTGAGGCTTTCTATCCGCCCCGTACGAGTGCTCACGCTCAGGACCTTGGTTCTTACCTGGGTGAAATGTCCGAGGCTGATGAAGCCTGGACTGCCCATTGTGAGAAAGCTTTTGCTGCTGCGGCAAATCTGGCCTGCGGGTTCTGAAGCCCCTGGGTCTCAGGCTAGTTCCCACAAGCGATCTCGCTCCACTTCGGTTCCTGGCCTGAATGTCGACGAGTCTCTTTAACTTGGGGCTTTCTTTCAGTCCACAGTGAGATTCCGAGTTCACCCTTCTTTGAATTCAGGTAAACTCTCCTGATCTGGGAAATACAAATAGATCCATATCCTCGGTAGGTATCTTTCAGTTCAGCTCACTTTGGAATTCCACCTTCACACTTATTTATAGTCATATGACTTCTCTCGCTTTCACCCCAATTTCGTTTTCTTTTTTGGATGGGGCCGTTCTTCTTGTCTGAATTTAGCCTGCTTGACTTTTAATTAAACTTACCCTTGCTTTTCTGTCTCTTCTCAGGCTTATCTTGTTTCTCGCTTACTGTTATTTTATTTCCGGTCTTTTATATGCGATGAGTGAATCAACTAACACAACTATATGTAGGTACATGGTAGGAAAGCGATGTACAAATCTTGCGGTTTAAGGTTGAAAGCACTCGGAGGGAAAGGAAAGGACCAACCCTGACAGCTCCAGCCTAGGACATATTTCTAGTGCATACATTTATGTACATATCAGGTGCAGTCGGTCCTTACATCGGTCACATAGTTTGATATAATTCCTTTGATGATAACATTGAACAATCGTTTGGCTAGTAGCAACCAGGGTAGAATTCTCATTATACCAAATGCCGGTCGTCTTCGGGTCGAACATCTCGATTAAGCTCTAGAGCGTATATAGATGCATATAATTATCTGGCTATGGATAAATGAAGACCCTCAAAGATCACAGAAAGCACATGGGCGGTGTTATATATATATATAACATCGATTGGTGGTCAGCTATCAATTCGTACTTTCTCCGAACCCATTACCAGGCAAATCAGCCTGCACTCCGCGTACTCCATACTGAGTAGATATAGTAGTAATTATACGCGTATGACCCTAAATTTGTATTCACGATGAAGTGCGATACCCTCAAAATTCGGGGCCAAAAGCACTACAATATTCTACTCACCACTTTAGACAGCCAATCGTAAGAATCCTACTACTGGGTTTAGCTTGGCATATGCTAGCTGGTAGGGTTCTTTACTAGCCTCATACAAATATACGGGTCTTTCAATCGAGCTTTGCGCCCGTTACACTATGACGACTCCGCAAGCGCCGGAATCTCAAGGCTGGTTCCCACTTGGGGAAGGAAGAGGTACGCAAACCTCTCATATAACTGCGAATGAGATGTTAAATTTCATTCCAAGCATCGTCAATTACTTGCTCGCCCAGCAAACCTTTTCTATCTCTGGTGGATTTGCCGACTGCTTGCCTTCCGATGCCTATGCTCTTGTGACAGCCTGTGAGGACAATGTTCTCCTATATGACAATGGAGGAAAAAAATACGTGGTATGTTCTGCCGGGTCAATTAGTTATTCGTTGTTTTCGGTGTACTAAATATTAATATAGCAAGGCCGCTGCTTCTTGCGTTACTATGACCGTTGCTGCAACATCACCATTCGAAGATCATATAGCTACAAGGTTTCTTTGTGCTGAAAACTGGTTCTATGGCACTATATATCGAGAAATTCCTGCCTCTGTCACTGGTAGGTCCTAGATATTATGTCAGTATATCGAATACTCAGCTAACAGTTGTAGCTGCTATCACCTCATCCAGTGGGTTTATCCGCATAATTGCCTAGACCAAGCCATTATCATCTACTTCAACCTTCAAGTAGCGCCCCTCGCCATGTCTACTACGGCAATCAGTAGCATAACTACTTCAAGCAGCATGCAAACACCTACATCGAGTCGTACACCGAGCTCAAATTGAGACGGCTCTTCGCTTTCCGGGGGCACAATTGCAGGTATTGCCATTGGATGCGTTGCGGCGATCGCTTTGCTTGCAACTTTCTTCCTATGCAACAAGGTCGCAGCATGTTTTGGGAAGCGGGAGGGAGATATGAGGGGAATATACGAAGCACCATGCAGCCCAGCAGCAAGGCAGTCCAAGGGGCTGTATGAAATCGGAACATCGAGCGCTCACAGTACGACATTGAATCATGAAGTGTATGGGATTGGGTCTTCTGGTCCGGACTCCGAAGGAACATCAGGGCATCATGAAATTGGACCATCGTGATGAAGACTTATAGATTGCCTGAATTGGAAAAAATCGCATTCCAATAGGCCCACGATGCATTTTGTAAGTCAAAGCCTATGAGAACCGTCAATTCTATTCATTGTCATCAGACCTTCGTGCCTGATGTTTCAGGCCTCGGACCCCGTATCAGTTGTAACTAGTAGCCTTGGCACTGATCAACCATTGGTAGTCAGTGTGGTTGTTGGAGGTCACTTCTGAGGAGATGACGATCTCAAATTAACAGCTAGTCAGAAGGCAAGGAAGCGAGCCCAAACACCAGCAGGGCAGCAGAGCAAGTTGGAAGTTGTACATAAAGAACACGTGGGGCGACGTCATTTGGAAAAAGACCACGGGTGCCTGTCACCGCTCTACACGTCTTCGACTTTGAATTCCCAGAACTTTCTCTTGTAAATGCTCACAACTATTTTCAACCGAGTGTTTCTGATAAAAATGCGTTGTGGATCGTAACGACCTGGCCCCCGATGACCGCCCGTATCTAGCTCTCCGTTTCAGGACCGGGGGTGGAGATTAGCTACTCCAAGTCCGAGCTGTCTGAGCTCTCCCACAAATATCCGAATGGCGGGCCCGATCCACACCTACGGTCCAAGCTGCTTGCTAGTGGATGAAGAGCAGGACCACACCAGACCGCAAGCACTACCATCACCACCAGAACTCCGATCACAGTTCTTTTATATTTCATCGTTACCGATCGATGATCCACTCGCTCCACTGCCACCGCCTGCAAGCCACGCGACTGGAAACGACAGACTTCCTCCCACACCGTTCTCAGCCAGAGACAACATTGCCCTAGAGGATGCCTGGAGTGGGCTACGGGAAGCGAGAAAAACCAAGATAATCGAATACAACAGATCCAGGTCAAACACATCGGGAAGGCCTGGCATAGCTGTTCCTGGGCACGAATTGGTCTCAGATGTCGAACTCCACCACAAGCCGACCAAGCAAGAGGGCCCTTCTTTGATTGGTAGTAAAGAAAGCAGTCTAAGCAATCCTCCGTTGCTGGACGAGATTCCCTCCCGCAGTCACAGGAGCCACCTCGGTTTTGCTGCCGGAAGTGCGAATGCACGAGCTTTGGAGCTTGGGAAGGAAAATCAGATCGGATCCTCACTGGGCGACGGCTTGGATTACGACACTCCCAGGGCAATTGCCATCGATCGGAAAAGACCACGTTCTTCATCCGTCAACGAATCTAGCGCAGCCAAAAGAAGAAACAGTGATTCATTGGAGACCAAAGATGTGGGTGAAGGTGAAGAGACACAAAGTCTGAGAGCCGATCATTCTCGCGATGCGAGCATGAGTGGTTCACCTTTTATACGGGTGCCTACATCTCAGTTCCAAACACCACTTGGTCGCTCGTTTGAGTCCACGACATCAAAAGAAGGGGGCGAATGGCAGGCCGAACTACGAACCAGTACTCCTCCTCGCAGTGTTCCAAAGCCTTCGGGCCTGAGAACGACTGTTAGCCTGGATCAATTGACACTGGACTCGCAGGAGGAGAGAACCGAAGAGCCAAACACCCAGTCAAAGATTCCAGTTGGAGTTTCACGGCTTCACTTGGTTGAGTTACCAAATCTAAAGGTGAATAAATCCCTCTCTACTCTGGATTGTATTAACATTTGTCTAGATGAAACCTATTTACTGGAGTCCGCTTCAAGACATATCAAATGTAGTCCGAGCCACCTGGTTCTACAAGAATACTATGTTGCCTGTTGAAACAGAGCTTGCGAATAAGCTGGAAAAAGGCTACATTTATTTGAAGCCTTGGACCGACACCTGGCAAGATGAACTGAATAGTTGTGTCGAAAACGGCGCCGACGCCGAGTTAAAGATTGTCTATCCATTGTGGACGAACCAAGACAATCGATCTGCAACTTTACAAAACCTACAAAGTAGTGACACACCTCTAGATGACGCAGGAGATCTCTTGAAATTCGACAAAAACCAAGCGGCAGGCGGCACCTCTGTTCAATCTGAGAGCATCAAATCATACCTCACATCCAGTGCCATCTATGTCGATGCAACAAATGCTCAAATACTCCGGCCAAGCTTACTTCCCTCTGTGTCGAGAGGACGACGACCTCTTGGTCCAATCAGAAAGGGTCGACAGATAGGCATACCCGTGGTTCGCGGCTTTAGTCGAAAGGCATGGGAACGATTGCACCCGTCAAAGCCCAATCCTATTGACGTGCGTCATTACATCCGCAAGACACAGTCGAGGAGTTCCCACGCACCAGGTGAACAAATATGCTATGCGTGCAAGATGGAAGAGTCACGACCACCTCCCACAGACCTAGTCCTCGTTATCCACGGCATCGGGCAAAAGTTATCGGAGAGGATGGAAAGCTTCCATTTCACTCACGCCATCAACGCGTTTCGACGAGAGGTGAACATGGAGCTTAACAACGAACCTGTGTGGCCGCACGTGCGCGAAGACCATGGGGGAATCATGGTTCTTCCTGTGAATTGGCGCATGAAACTCTCCTTGGATGACCCTGAAGTCGAGTCTGATATCGAAGATCCAGCTAGCAACAATTTCTCTCTTGCAGATATCACGCCTCAGACACTTCCCGCCATCCGATCTCTAATCAGTGATGTGATGCTTGACATTCCTTACTATCTATCACATCACAAACCGAAAATGGTCAAGGCAGTGGTCAGAGAAGCGAATCGTGTATATCGCCTCTGGTGTAAAAACAACCCAGGGTTTCAAGAACACGGCCACGTACATCTCATTGCTCACTCCCTCGGAAGCGTGATGGCTATAGATATTCTTAGCCAGCAACCAACACATGTTCCACACTTCGACTTCTCCAATACGCCTTTGCATAGCGACATATTTGAGTTCGATACTAGACATCTTTTCCTTTGTGGTAGTCCAGTCGGCTTCTTCTTGCTTCTTAACAAGGGTATGTCCCAACGTTTTCCAACAATGTGAGTGGCATCTAACACTCCTACAGCTAGTCTTCTTCCCCGAAAGGGTAGAGAAAAGCCAGGCAGCGAAGGTGACGATTTGCTTCGTGGTGTTGCCGGTGAAGCAGGTCAATATGGCTGTCTTGCCGTAGACAACCTCTACAACATCATGCACAACACTGACCGTAAGTGAACTCGGGAGTATTCTAAGACCACCTCGATATCCACTTTGTCTCCCATACTTACAATACATATCAGCAATCGCATACCGTGTCAACGCCGCAGTAGACTCGGAGCTCTCCAATTCCCTCAAAATGGGCTCTATCCCCAGCTCCACCTCCACATTCTGGCAATCTTTCGGGAGTGTCTTCCGCTGGAGCCCGGCTCCTTCTACATTCCTACCATCCACTGTCCCTATCCGCCCCGCAGCGGTCTCTAAACTCCCGTCCAATGTGGAACTCGAGACTCACGACTTCACACGCGAAGAAATCGCTGAGAAGCGCATGCTTCTCCTGAACGACAACGGCCAAATTGACTATTATCTATCTGGCGGCGGCGGTCCATTGAATATTCAATACCTCAATATGCTGAGCGCGCACAGCAGTTACTGGACACTTGGGGATTTTGTAAGATTCTTGGTTGTGGAAATTGCAAGAAAGCAGGGAAGGGAAGGGACACTCCTTGCGTTCCGATCCGAAAAAAAGAAGGGTTGGAAGTATTTCAAGGGTTGAGTCCATGTTCGGGTTCTCTATGGGGATTTCTACGTAATCGATCATAGCTTCAGTGTTAAGCTTCTTGACTAGAGATAGAACACGTTAATTGATCTTAATATCTGCATATAAACAAACAAAATTCATTTCTAAAAGTGCAATGCATTTGTATCTTTTGAACCAAACCGCCAGTTCGTGACCGTATATAGTCCCAGATGCAGAAATATAAAAAGAAAACACCAAAACACAAAAGGTTTTCGGGAGATCCGGTCTCCATCCAGGCATCAGTCATATATCGTATCGCATTTCTAGCAAATGACTCGGGTGTCCGACCCATGCACATCTCCCATCAACAAAGCTTCCACAATCTCGCCCTTGATACCAATGCCTCGTCCGGGCCGTAGCACAACCAAGGCGTTCGCCTTGGCAAGGCTACCGACCTTCGAGGACCGCTGTCCAGCGCCCTCGAGACCCGTACTCGTCGCGTACAACCGGCCATCAGAGCGCGACGCCGTCACTACAGCACGGTGGTATTCCGTACGCTTGGGGTCAAGCGGGAAATGATGCGTGAGTACGACAGCGACGCGCGGAAGACCAAGTTGTGGCGCGAGCCAAGGCCTGGAGCTGACTGCCTGGGAGCTGTGGCCCAGTCCTGTGAGCTTGTGCAGCGAGGGGAGGACGAACAGATTGAGAGTGACGAGGGCGGAGGCCGGGTTTCCGGGAAGCGAGAAAATGAGTTTTGATTGGCGTTCCTGCTGGGAGGATGTGGCACCGCCGGATGCTTTGAAAGGGACGGTTGCGAAGGTGGTTGGCTTGCCTGGTTTCATAGCGACGCGGCCGAAGTGAATGGTGCCGCCGAGGGAGCGTTCAATTGTTGGTTTGAGGAGGTCGAGCTCGCCCATTGAGACGCCGCCGGTTGTGATGATCACGTCGACGCTGGCGGAGGCCCGGCCGATACCCCGTAGGGAGTCGCGGAGGGCATGCTCGAGCTCGCTGGCTGGTGTGTCGCGAGCGATGCCGAGGTCGACCGTTTCGAAGCCCCATGAATTTAAACATGAGAGTAGTGATGGTCGGTTGGAGTCTCGGATCTGCCCGCCAGTGAGGATGCATGGGTCATTGTGTTCCACGAGCTCATCGCCGGTGCTCAAAACGCCTACGCGTGGTTTCCTGAAGACCTTGACAGTCTTGGTACCCGTTGATGCTAGTAAGCCTATCTCTCCACCAACGGGGCTGATTAGGTCGCCGCGGGCGACAATCTTTGAGCCTAGTGTGACATCGCTACCAGGCTCGCGCACATTCTCGCCGGGCTCGATGTCTTCGGCAAGGATTTCGATCGTGGCTTCTTCTTTGCCATCAGGCGTGCAAGAATCCAAGACGGTATCTTCGACCATGACTACGGCATTTGCATTCGGGGGGAGAGGGGCGCCTGTGGTGATTCTAGCGATTGTGCCCGGTTGCAGTGGCTCCAGATTGCCACCGATGTTGGCATGGGTGATAGAGGCTACGGGGAAGATGCCCTTTGTGGACTGGTTGTCGGCGCTGGAGCCTGGTGCGATGATGGCGTAGCCATCCACGATACTAGCTCGATACGCTGGCACGGCTTCGGCAGCATAGACGTCTTCGGCGATGACTGATCCAATCAACGACGTAGTCACTGGGACTTCAATGACTTCTGGCTCGGGGGTTTGTTCATTGATCCGCCGGAGTGCTTCATCTACAGACAGCATTGGGTAAGGCGAGGAGCGATAGCGCCGATGGGGTCCTGCGCTGGGGTCATTGGACTGCGGCCTTTCGGACGGCGACGTATGCGCTCTGGGGACCTTGTGTCCATGTCCATGATCATGGCCATGGTGGTGATGGTGATGATGATGATGGTGGTGTTGATTATCACCAATGCCAGCGTCTGATTCCAGTTTCCTCACGCCTCCAGCATGGAGATTCCGTGAATTGGCACCGGCAGACTGTAGACAGGCATGCGGGAGAAGCTTAACAACAGCGTCGAGGTTCTCCATGGCTCCTTTAGGTGAACCCGGTAAAGTAATAATCAAAGTCTTCTCACGAACACCAGCGACTGGTCTGGCCATCATAGCAACTGCGCGGGAATTAGCTGAAGTAAATAAGTCTTCCAGGGGTGCCGTGGTGGCGCGCCCTTATGTCATGCTCACAGGGAGTTACTTTGAGCGAGGCAGCAATCATGCCGTGTCTTGAGGTCTTGGTTAGTTTACTAGCGTCAATCCGGCATCCATGGCATCAAGCCGACTCACACTAGACCCGGCGCATGGCGCTGTATCAGGGGTGACACTGCCTAGTGACATCATGAGCATTGGCACCGCTTACAATTCCAATTCACATACTTCGGGGGTATTGTCTCTGATAGCAAAACCTGTTCCTCCGCTGAGAAGAACAAGATTGTACCAATCAGGGCCATCGGTCCAGTCGCAAACCGCCTGTTGGATCTGGACCATGTCGTCCGGGACGATCTTGAATGCGGGGGGTTCCCACTTCCCCTCCGCGGCCAGGATGGGCGTGAGTGCATCGACGACCTTGTCGCGAGCGGGATCCTCCGAGGCTGTGTCCGAAACAATCAGGATTGTAGCTCTTAGTTTGGTCTCCATGATGTTGCATTGGCGAAGTCTGGGGAAGTGGATGTTGGTGGGGGAAGTCTTTGAAATAGGAAAAAACATCGGACTATCGCGAAACCCCGACCTGAGTTAGTGTAATTAGTGCAATTAGGGAGATTAGTGTCAATTCTCCTGGACTTGTCGTACGAAGTATGCCAATCATGATTGATCGATGGGCTATTCCTGGTTCATATCCATTTCATCTGATCCTAATTATCCCGAGGTTTTACTAGCGAGGCCTCCCAAATTGGGTCGAGGGGATATCCAATCCAACCAGACAACCAGGAGTATATAGATGATCTCACATCTATATGCGGAGGGTTTCTCGGTATATGATTCGGTTGTGGGAGAATCAGGCCCACTGCAATTGGGATTAACTGACGCTATATGATGGATTCGGGGGTCAATAACGGAGTTATTTCAGCTCCAGTAAGACTACTCCGTACCAACCCCCCAATTGGGCCATAAGGGCTGAATATCGACTGGCTGGGAGAAAAATGGGTTGTGTATATTCCTGGCACTGAGAGCCTCCATATAAATTGCGGCAACAATACATGTAGAGTTCATTCGATAGCGATTTCTACAGATATTTGCCCAAATCCCTAGTGTAACAGGCTAAAACTAGCTCGCGCTGCCTCAAATCTGATACATATGATCTCCAAGATCATCGATGCAATTCAAGAAAGCCAAAGTGGCTTCACGTGGTCGACCCCAGACGCCCCAATGCGGTGTATATCGAAACATGAACATGAACTATGAAAACGAGAATAGATTGGCGAAGCAAATTCACCTGGGGCATTTATGTCGAGTCCCCGATAGCTGTTTACCGCCCGAATTGAAAGCTCTTCTCTGTCAAAGGAAGACTCAACTTCAGGCCGCCTCCAACGTCGCCGCCTTTTGGGCCACAAGAAGACCGACAATCAGACCAAACAGACCCAGGACAGAGCTGAAAATCTCGACAACAAGGATCTTGACGAATCTGGAAGAGTAAACACGGTGAGCGACTAATCGAAGAGCACAAGAATAATTTCAATGGGACCACATACAGGCTAGGGTCAGCGGCATCGGCCAAGGCAGCACCACTTCCATTGATACCAACAGAGATACCGCAAATAAGGTTGCAGACACCAACTGTGATTCCTCCCCAGAAGACCGCGTAGCCAGTATAGTAGTTGCTGGAGGTGTGGATTCCACCTTCAGCCACCGGGCTGAGCTTTGAGGAGAAGACAATGGCCATGATAACGCCATAGATAGCCACGACTTCACAGAAGATAATGGAGATCAAGTTCTTGGTACGAATACGAGGCGCGCGGACACCACCGCCAACAATCGATGAGCCGGTAAGGAAGATACCCCTAGAGGATTATGCAGTCAGTATCGTGATGTCAAGTTTAGTACATTGATGACAGGCTTACCATGCTGCGCCGACAACTGAGAAACCAATACACGAAGCGATTCCGATATTTGCCCAAGCGTAGGGAGAAACTTCCTCAAGGAAACGGCCGACCTAATGTGTCGGGTTAGTAAAATGGAATCAAAAAGGTGTGGTGAAAGTCCGTACATTGAATGCTTCTCCCTCTCCGTGGAAGAGCATATCTAGAATCCAGAGCCTCTGATTAGCTGCCAGATCGCACCTTGGATGTGTTGGAACGTACACAATCCCACCACGATGAGAGCGGTGGTGGAGACACCGGCCGGATAGAGGTAAGCCATGGCGACCTCAGGGAGCCTGATGACGAATGAATGAAAAGGTCGGGATGATCGCAGACGTAGAAAACGCAGCCGATAAGGTAGCTGAAGCTCTGGGATGGAAGCGGGTGATGGGGGACTCGGTGGTCGGACCGGATTAACTGCTCCGCTTGGGCGGTGACCTCGCGTTGTGCTTCCCCGGACGGACAGCACCACCTGTTCTCCCCTGTTTTTGCTATTCGTTTTAGGGGAAGACACTTGTTTTGACCTTTGATATTTCCATTGACTGTGTCTTCACATATTCCAACCAATCGCAAACCCCTTTTGTTTTGCGACGCTTAAGTACCCCTGATTCTCACCACATCAACATCTCCGCGACAATGGCTTCCGCCTCCGGAGTTGGGTCGTATTCGAACCCCTTGAAGAAGTTCAAGTAAGTTGTGGCAAAGCGCAGTACATACTGGTGATTGTATTGTTAACACAGAAGTTTGTAGGCTGGTATTCCTAGGCGAACAGAGTGGTAAGCTTCCTATCAGTTCATACATCTGCCCATACACTCAGGTTAAGAAGAGGGGCCAGCACGAGAGGTCTAACACTCACTGCAGTTGGCAAAACATCATTGATCACTCGGTTTATGTATGACTCGTTTGACAACACATACCAAGCAACTATTGGCATCGACTTTTTGTCCAAGGTACGCCACCCCATACCCCGCACAGGGGTCATGATTTATCGAACATCCTTCTGGGACGTTATCCATGCGCAGGATAAGACTAACTATTGTGTCTAGACTATGTACCTCGAGGATCGAACTGTCCGCCTTCAGCTTTGGGATACCGCCGGCCAGGAGCGATTCCGTTCGCTCATTCCTTCCTACATTCGGGACTCGAGCGTTGCCGTAGTGGTCTACGATATTTCGAATGCCAAGTCGTTCCAGAACACCCGGAAATGGATTGATGATGTCCGTGGAGAGCGCGGAAACGATGTGATTATTGTGCTCGTGGGCAACAAGACCGATTTGAACGATAAGCGGGAGGTCACCACCGCACAGGGTGAAGAAGAGGCGAAGAAGAATGGATTGATGTTTATCGAAACTAGCGCAAAGGTCGGGCACAACGTTAAGCAATTGTTCCGGAGAATCGCTCAGGCTCTTCCCGGAATGGAAGGCGAGGCCAAGCAGGGCGAAAGCACAAGTATGTCCATTGTCGCATCTCATCCACTCACTCCACATTGTGCTAACCATGATTCCACCCCCAGTGATCGACGTTAATATTAATCCCAAGGAGACGACCACCAACGACGGCTGTGCCTGTTAATATTCCCCCGCATCCATTCTTCTGTCTCTAAGTGCCCCTATCTCGATGATGAAAATCGAGGCTGTCCATGATATTCTACAATTTTCGAAGATGTACATGTTTCTTCTTTCTTTACTTGCTCCTCGGGTCGATAGCGTGCGTGTCTAGATCTTTCAGTACCCTGCGGTCGTGTCCAATTCCTTTTTTTAAGCTCTTGGGAGGAGACAAGGTGTTTTTATTTCCGTTCAACCAGCATCATATCTTTTTTGTGGCAGTTGAAGTTGCTTCGCTTGACTTCCTTTGGGGGGTCTACTGCTCTTCACCCTGGCAACATGAGCTAATATGTTTGATACGCCCGATATGCTTTCTTTGTTGAAGCTGTATAATATGGCATTCGCTTCTGGCCAACGCACGGTATAGCCGGCGCCAATCAAATATGAACTCAACATTATCACATATTTTAGTTCAGATACTTCAGTCCATGTTTTAATTTGATCTACCTATGAAAAGGAGTAGGCCTCCCTGTTTATCGCTATATATTTCGGCGGTGTTGCGCAATGCCCACAACCATCTGACACACCCATCACTTGCCGGCAAGCAAGATATCTATTAGAAAACAAATCCTCTCAAATCTGTTTCATGCTCCAAATTCCATGCTCTCTTGATTAACGAGTCGATCCTGTCCGTATCTGTGATACCACCATATTTGGCAAGCGCATGCGTTTTCGATTCAATTTCGGGCCTAGAAATATGATGTCAGAACAGACGTGACTTATTATCCAGGGTAAAATAAGATACCTTGTCAAAGGAAGCTCCGGATCGCCCTTTGCAAATGTGACTGACTCTGTGAAAGTCTTGCCAGATTTGCACGTAACGATGTCAGTTCCCTGCCACCTCTCAGGGAACTGAGCATCAATCTCTGCGTTATATTCCATCTTCACTCGACTCTGGAATTTACGCAAAGAAGCATCCTCTAGATCAGCTTCAGTAAAGTCGGTAATCATAGCTTGACCCTTCTTTGCCGCGATGGCAAGTACAAAGCCCATTGAAAACTTGCTTTGATGAACTGTATCGCCATTTCCACTGAGGCTAAGTACATTAATAGCGGCCTGGTATGTGGGAACAAGAACTGAGTCGATATCGTCGAATGAAACTTGGTTCTTGTCCATCAGATTCAAGAGTGCATCCACACTAGGATGGGTGTGTCGGCAGGATGCATGCCACTTGAAGCTCGAGCGAATGACGGCGAATTCTTTACCCAGGTTTTGGTCAATTGCTTCTGGGTATGTTTCACCGGGCACTAGTGCAGCACCCATTGCACGTGGCCCTTCTAGGATATCTCGTGGACCGAGAAGGCCATCGCGAGCAGAGTAGGCAGCGAAGATGCCGTCGAAACAGGCTTTGGCTGTGTGCACTTGCTTCGAGTGGGCTGCATCCATCAAGAATTGCCATAAGCCTGCAGCTTGGGTTCCAGCTGTTCCGACTGCTGATGAGGTCTGTTTTGCATCAAGTTTCAAAAGATGGGCTACTGCCGCTGCAACTCCAATGACTCCACCTGTCGCGGTAGTATGGAATTTCTACAAAAGGATATGTTAGTTATCAAGAAGCAGCGAGTTATGCCCAGGATTTCTGGCTTTGTGATATAGGTATAGTTTGCGTCTTACCTCATAGTGGCTCTTGCCTAGATATTCACCAACGCGGCAACCGACTTCGTAGCCAACCACGCAAGCGGTAAGAAAATCTTCTCCGCTTGCTCCAATATCCTGTGCTACCGCAAGAGCAGCCGGGAAAATGACAGTTGCCTATATGATGTACAAATCAGCATTCTGTGGGGCGATATCCGAGGGAGAGCCATCCAAGGTGGGTCCCGTGGGGACAATAAGAACGCAAGCAAGACTCACAGGATGCATGATGCTTCGATTGTGAAGATCATCCTGCTCGACCACGTGAGAGGCAGCAGCATTGATCAGACTAGCAAATGCTGGGCTAGTAGTGAGAGATTGGGAGCCATCGATCAATTCACTCTTCCCACTCGAAGGGCCCATTTGGGTTGCGAAGCGCACCATCGCGGAAACAGCAGGGTGGCTACGACCAGCTATAGTGCAGCCCAACGTATCCAGAAAGAAGTCCTTGGTGCGTTGGATCACATCGCCTGGAATGTCATTATATTTCAGGTTGGCGGCCCATTGGACCAACCGATCAGTTCTGGTTTCTTGGTTCGAGGAGACGGTCATAGTGAAGACTCTCTTGGGAAAGAACAGAAAGATATGAAATGAATGAAACGACCTGAAGCCTGCCCTGGGTTTTCTCCCAAATATATGCGGGGGAAAAAGCGGGCTGGCTATTTACTTACTTCCAAGGTTACTCCCCCTCCTCAGAAGTGGGTTATGTGCTTCCCGAGGTATACAACCCTTGAACGGGCATATAGATGAACCATTGAGAATATCTAGGGCTGTAGTATATTTTTTTGACAGTTTTGCAAATGGGAACTTGACCTCTCACAGTGCTAGACTAATTACATACCGGTGATAACTGTGCAAAGAGGTCGTAAGACACCCGCGACGAAGACATCCAAGAAATAGTATATAGCCGACTCTCGATGCGGCGTGTTTCCCAATAGTTCTGCCTTGGCTGTAAGGCACCAATAATAGGGGCTCAGGCATCCATATTTTCATAAATTTTCACAAAATTCAGTCGAAAGCAAGGGGGCAAACCATGACAAGGGTGTTTTTCATCACGGAGGAGGTATAAAGCCCCAAATCAAGAGAACCCCTTCAGTGACCAGACTGGCTAGGAGCAGGATAACTACTACAAACTCGAGAACTATACTCCATAGATGCAATGCTAATGACTTCATTAAAGTGGAATACCGTGAGAAATAATGCATTCGAGAACGGAATCGGGCAATTGATCTTCGGGCGGATCGCCCGGGAAATAGCGCCCCTGGACAATCTGCGGTGCCCTACACCCAGCCTTTTTCCTCTTCCCATGCTTTGCCCGTATATATACCCAACGACATTTCCATCGCTATTTCCATCTTGAGAACGCGCATTCTTGGCCAGAGGCCCTCAACCATAACCATGGGATTCGCTTCCCGTTTTCTCCGCATTCCGCGACCAGAGGTAAGCTGAAATCTCATCCTAGGTGCTGCCTGAAGCTAACTCGTCTCGTGACTTTAGTCCTTTCTCTATGTGATGAGCTTAGAGACTGGCGCTTCACTGATCACCCTTTCACTGCTTTTGAATAAAATTAGCGGTCTCTATGGCCTATTAGCTCTGCTGACCGGTTATCACCTCTCACCGGTACAACTGTCAATGTACATTTGGTCCCTTCTCGCCCTCGGACTCGCCGCACTCTTGTTTCCCCATATTCGCAAACAGTCGCCTCTACAATGCCTCGCCCTCACCTATCTTTATGTATTCGACAGCCTAATTAATGCCGCCTATACTGCCGCCTTCGGTGTGACTTGGTTCTTGGTGGTGTCGCAACATTACGACAGTGGCAAAGCCGCCGGCCCAGGGGGCGACACGATTGCCCAGACCGCTGGCTTCACCAGCCCCAAGTACGATGCAGCCTACGTCGAAATACAGAACACCAAAGAAGGCAATAACTTCGTCGCTCATCCCCCGCGTGCCGCCGATGATCTCAGCAATGTCGTCCTTCAGCCCGAGAGTCTCCAAAGTATCATTTTCATCTGCCTTTTGTGGGTGATTCGCATCTACTTTGTTCTGGTGATGCTCGCCTTTGCGCGCCAGGCCCTCCGCCTCTGGGTCGCGATCCCCCGACACACCCAACTCCCCACACACAGTCGCAACGTCTCAGTCGCCAGTGTCGCCGATATCGACCGAGAGCCTTTCTCCCCTTATAGCCCCGATGGGCAGGGCTGGCAAGGTAAGCTGGGTCGCATTATGATCGGTATCGGCCACAGCTACTGGTTGGGTGAAGAGGAAGATGGCAACTGGCTTAGCGGTATCAACCACAAGTTCCTCAACCGTTCGGGCAACACGGAGCTGCCCGGGGCTTTGGAACGAGAGCGGAGACGTCGTTCTGGAACAGGACCTCCTCAACCGTCGCCGTCCCTTGTGCGATCAACTGTTCTTCAGCAACCAATCCCTGAACATGGCAATGGCATGAATGTCAAAATGCAAGATTGGACCGCGCCTCGGTAAATGATTACTTCGACCGTCTTAGCGGCTATCTATGAACATTGCTCGCATCACTGTACACCGCTCCCTTTGGAACTCGACTCAATGTCTTGAACTCCCGATTCCCGGCCTGGCTGTGCGCGCCGGATGTATCGATCCGGCGGTCTGTCTAGTCGGAGGACACAATCCTTTTTGGCTCTTGCGTCTTTTCCCTCGTTTCAAAATGCCACCGATTAGGTACTCGATAATCGACTATTTGGCTTCACTCGAGACCCCCCACATTATGAAGCCCGAGCTCCTCTTGCTCGATTTTTACGACACACTTTGCATATATGAATTGGAATGGGACCAGGAACTTAGCTATGATTCACACCACCCTGCCTCATCATTCGATCTTTGGTCCTTCTGGGCCTGGAAGGCGTTTTAAATCTCGTCAATTTGGGAATTGGGGCGCTCTAACTCGAAACGAGTCTTGGCTCACGGTCATGCTCATGGTCATTTATCTAACATCCACGGTTTTGGCGTCGGGACAAATGTATATTGGTTATCTGATATAGGGGTTTTGCATCTTTCCCCAGATTTTTATGTCTTAATATTGTACACAGTTGCTTTTGGATACACCTCACATATATTTTCACTACAAGTTCCTCTTGGCGATCTATCAAGTGTTGGCTGTAGCCGTCAAACCGAAGAACGCGAGTCTGTCCCACTCTCAATCTTGGCCATGGGTTCTTCATCTTGTCATGTACAAGCGAAGCGCCTGGCATTTCTCTAGGGTGAATGTGTGCAATACTCGGCCGACAATGTGGTACCTGAGGCTGATTGGCTACATAGGTAGAGTCACTCGCGGAAAGTATAGGCGAGCGAGATCGGTGAAGACTTTCAAGCTTCGGCATTTGACCGGTAGTCTTGTTTCAGTAGGGATTACCTCCAAGGCTTGGGATACCAAGCCCTAGACTAGGCCGGAGACACGGGCGGGCACTCCGAACGAAATGCAATTGTTAGGCATCGGTAATTGTCGTGGTGCTATTGGTACGTCCGCAGAACGTGGAGGAAGACTAAGTAGGATTGGGGTATGTGAGCTACTCCCACCCAATTCTGCAGGATGTTTGTAATTTAGGCTCAACCTGTGACTGAAGCAAAGCCCTTGAAACCCCGGGCATGTAACTATTGTATAGATCTTGACGGGGTTCTTGGGCCATTGTCCAGGCAAATCCCGACGCTGACGTGCTCGGAGGATCACGGGGTCCCCCGCACTGGGCCCAAAGCGGCAAGTTTGCATCGCCGGCGACGGGTGTTTGCATTGATGTCGTGATCGAAACGCAACCAACGGGCCAATCAGCGGACTGCTGATCTAACCCCGACGACGGAGATTCATGCGTTTGAGGGAAAGAAAAAACCACTGGCTCTTTTCTTCTTGAATAAAAAAGAAGTTACAAGAGAGACGTCCTCCTCAATTGTCTCGTCTCCCTTGTTATCACCTGTTTTCGGTTCCGTGCTGCGAGTGGGAGATCGCTGCATACTGATAAGACATATCGCGGTCCAATTAACCATCCCACTTGTGCTGTGAGCCTAACAGTCAAGAATAGCTAATATGGCATCCATTTCAACTGCTGCTGAGGCAGGTAAGTCATCCTATGGTGTATCTCGGTCTTGGAATTGGAGATCAGTGACTGGTGACTGACTTACCATCCAATTGTATAGTGGCGAGAATCGCCTACCTCACCAGTGATACCGTCCTCTCCGTACAGCCTGCGCTGCAGAGTGACTCATTGTTCTCAAAGTCGCTCAAGGCCCTCAAGGCTGGCAAGAAAATCAACTTGTCATCAAAACCCACCATTGTAAGTTCGAATAGTTGACATTACGACATCTGAACCCCGCTAATTATATGGCTAGGTCCAAGCTGTGCGGTACAATGAAGACCCCCTTCTTTCCGCATTCACTCCTCTTCAGAATGGCGAGACTATCTCCGTTGTCACCAGCTCCTCGGTCCTGATCACCGCCGTTCCTCACCTCTACCGTCTCGCCAACAGCCCCGTAGTCATCCACGTTGCGCTGGAGCCCTCTCCATTCCCCGATTACTCCGTGATTAGCTCCATTCGCCAGTCCGGCTTCACATTCCTCCACTCAGAAACCCTGCAAGAGGCTCAGGATATTGCTATCACTGCTCATGCACTTGCTCGCAAGTCTGGAAAGGGTGTCATTCATTTCTTCGACCCCTCCAACTCGGCTCAGGATCCTTCTATCGCCGAGGAGGAAGTTGAGGTTGTGAAGAAGGTCTTCAATTTTGGTGGAAATGCCGCCACCTCTGCTGGAGCCCAGACTCTCTATGCTGACTCTGGTCGTGTGGCCACTGTTACCGATGAGGCAGTGGGTACTGCACCTTCTGGCCAACCCTTGTCAACGAATTTGACTGTGCCCTCTCAACCTCAGACTCCCTTCACCGCGAGCGTTGATAACTCATCAGTCGGCTCTTCGCGAAGAGATAGCAGCGCTGGCAGTGAAGCCCCAAGCTCGACTGCCACGACTGTGGATAGCGCCACTATTCGGCCTGTTAGTGCGGGCGATATCTTCGAATGGACAGCTCAGATTTGGAATATTCTGTCCGAAGAGGTCGGTCGTAGATACAACGCTATTGAGTACACTGGTGTTGCCAATGCTAAGTCTGCTATTTTCGTATTTGGCTCTACCGGAGTCTTTGTGGATGCTCTTGCCAATGCTAGTGCCAACCCGGAGTTGGAGAACATTGGTTTGATCACTGCTCGTCTGTACCGCCCTTGGGTCGGTGGTCAAATCTCTAACTCTATCCCTAACTCTGTGGAGAAGATTGCTGTTTTGGAGCAGGTTCGCAAGACCACCCGGTGGGGTCCTTCTTTCATGGATCTGTTGTCCAGCCTGACCCCCTCCGGTGCTCGCACCCAGGCTCCTCAGATTGTTGGTTATCGTCTTGGATTCATTGAGCCCTCTACTGCTGTCCAGGCGCTTCGCGGTGTCTTGCAGAACTTGAACTCCGCTTCCCCTATCCAGAACCTTGAGATTGGAAGCTCTCAGGTTCCCACTGTCGAGAATACCCTTGAGCAGCCTCGTATTGAGAACGCCTACTTGAAGATTCTGAACCAGCTCTTCGGTGAGCGTCTTCACATCGCCAACCAGCTTGGATCTGACAACGCTGGTGTTTCAAGCACCATTGCCGCAAGCCCTGAGTATGGATTCGGCTCGTTGCTGGCTCGCCAAGAGCGCCGTCAGCGCTTCATCCGGGAGGTCGAGGAAGCGTCCAAGTCCGGTGATTTTGCCACTGACGCCCCTAAGTCCACTTTGTCTCACTGGGCTCTGAGCGTAAAGGAAGCCGCCAAGGCTAACAAGCTGGCCCCTGAGGTCATTGCGCAGCTTTCTGACGATGGGTCCGCACTTTCCCGTGAACTCCTTCAGTCTAAGAACTTCTTCTACGAGGAGTCCGAGTGGCTGATCGGTTCCGATGCTTGGGCGTACGACTTCGGCAACTCTGGTGTTCACCATGTTCTCGCATCTGGTGCAAACGTGAACATGCTCATCATTGACTCTCAGCCCTTCTCTGAGCGTGCTGCCGCTGACGCCACTCGCCGCAAGAAGGACATTGGTCTCTATGCCATGAACAGAGGTAACGCCTACGTTGCCTCTGTTGCTGTCTACAGCTCGTACACCCAGGTTCTCCAGGCCATGTCCGAGGCCCAGCAGTTCAACGGTCCCTCGGTTGTTGTTGCCTATTTGCCTTACAACCAGGAGAACAACTCGGCACTCACAGTCCTGCAGGAGACCAAGAAGGCCATCGACCTTGGCTACTGGCCCCTGTACCGCTGGAACCCCGACAACGAGGAGAAGGGTGAGCCAAAGTTCGCCCTTGACTCCGAGCGCATCAAGCGTGATCTCGAGGAGTTCCTTCGCCGCGACAACCAGCTCACCCAGCTCATGAACCGCCACCCAAAGTACGCTCCTGTGCTCTCCGAGTCCTATGGTACTGAGGTCCGCGCTCTTCAGAAGAGAAACGCCAAGGACTCCTACGAGAAGCTCTTGGATGGTCTGTTCGGTGCTCCTCTGACTATTCTCTTTGCTTCCGATGGCGGTAACGCTCAGAATATCGCCAAGCGTCTCGGTAACCGTGGTCGCGCCAGAGGCTTGAAGACTATGGTTATTGCTATGGATGAATTCCCTCTTGAGGACTTGCCTACCGAGGAGAATGTTGTGTTTATCACCAGTACTGCAGGCCAGGGTGAGTTCCCCGTGAACGGCCGTGCTCTCTGGGAGCACGTCAAGAACTCTGGTGATCTCGACCTGTCCACCATCAACTACTCCGTCTTCGGTCTTGGTGACAGCCACTACTGGCCTCGCAAGGAGGACAAGATCTACTACAACAAGCCCGGCAAGGATCTTGATGATCGTGTTGCCTTCCTGGGTGGTCGCAAGCTGACTGACATTGGCCTTGGTGACGACCAGGACCCCGACGCCTACCAGACCGGTTATTCCGAATGGGAGCCCCGCCTTTGGAAGGCTCTCGGAGTTGACAAGGTCGAAGGTCTCCCCGAGGAGCCTGCCCCGATCACCAACGAGGACATCAAGATCGGCTCCAACTTCCTTCGTGGTACCATTGCGGAGGCTCTTTTGGACGAAAGCACTGGTTCCATCCCTGCCAGTGATCAGCAGCTGACCAAGTTCCACGGTACATACATGCAGGATGACCGTGATCTTCGTGATGAGCGCAAGGCCCAAGGTCTTGAGCCTGCCTACAGCTTTATGATTCGCTGCCGTCTTGCCGGTGGTATTGCCACTCCCAAGCAGTGGTTGCAGATGGACGCCATTGCCAGCTCCCACGGTAACGAGACCATGAAGCTCACCACCAGACAAACCTTCCAGTTCCACGGTGTGATTAAGCGTAACCTTCGTGGTGCCATGCGTGCCATCAACAACTCCATGATGGACACACTCGCTGCCTGCGGTGATGTGAACCGTAACGTCATGTGCAGTTCTCTCCCTGAGCTCTCTTCCTTCCACCGTGAGACCTGGGCCATCTCTTCCAAGATCAGTGAACACCTGCTGCCCTCGACCACTGCCTACCACGAGATCTGGCTTAAGGATGAAAACGATAAGAAGATCCAGGTTGGTGGAGATGCTATCGTTGACCACGAGCCTCTCTACGGTCCTACCTACCTCCCCCGAAAGTTCAAGATCACCATCGCCATTCCTCCTCACAACGATACTGATGTCTACGCCCACGATATTGGTTTGATTGCCATCAAGGGTGCCGACGGCCACCTCGAGGGCTTCAACGTCCTGGCCGGTGGTGGCATGGGTACAACTCACAACAACACAAAGACCTATCCCCAGACTGGTCGCATGTTCGGATACATTCCCGCCGATAAGGTTCACCTTGCTTGCGAGAAGATTATGCTCGTGCAGCGCGATAACGGTGACCGTAAGAACCGCAAGCACGCCCGTATGAAGTATACCATTGATGATATGGGCGTTGATGTGTTCCGTGGCGAGGTCGAGAAGCTTCTTCCCGATGGCCTCAAGTTCGGCGAGCCCCGTCCTTTCGAGTTCAAGTCCAATGTCGACACCTTCGGCTGGCTGAAGGATGATACAGGCCTCAACCACTTCACCTTCTTCATCGAGAACGGTCGTATCGAAGATACCGCTGACTTCAAGATGCGCACTGGTCTCCGTGAGCTCGCTGAGATGGGCAAGGGCGAGTTCCGTTTGACTGGTAACCAGCACCTCATGATCTCCCGCGTTACCGATGAGGACCTCCCTGCCGTCAAGGAGCACATGGCCAAGTACAAGCTCGACAACACTAACTTCACTGGCTTGCGTTTGTCTTCCTCCGCTTGTGTTGCCTTCCCTACTTGCGGTCTCGCCATGGCTGAGTCCGAGCGCTACCTCCCCGTCCTGATCTCCAAGCTCGAGACCACTCTCGAGGAATGCGGTCTTGCTCGTGACAGCATCGTCATGCGTATGACCGGTTGCCCCAACGGCTGCGCTCGTCCCTGGCTTGCTGAGGTTGCTTTCGTCGGAAAGGCCTTCGGTGCGTACAACATGTACCTGGGTGGTGGCTACCACGGCCAGCGTCTCAACAAGCGTTACCGCTCCTCCATCAAGGAGGACGAGATCCTGGACATCATGAAGGGTCTTCTCAAGCGCTACTCTCTTGAGCGTGATACCGATGGCGAGACTCCTGAGCGTTTCGGTGATTGGTGTATCCGCGCTGGTGTCATCAAGGCCACCACTGATGGAAAGAACTTCCACGATGGCGTAAGTGATTCCTTTCTCCTATGATACCCACATCATCGATGCTAATTGTATACAACAGGTTGCCGAAGATGAGGAAGATGAAGAGTAAATGCTGAACAGAGCAATGACACATCTAATCTCCGATTTTTATGACCCTCATGGATTCTAAAATTTGTCTTGGTTTGTTTCCTTTAATTCCAGGATGTTCCCACGTCCTGTATCTCATGTCGCAATGCATTGATGTTTTGGCGATTGTATGATTTCATTTCTTTCAAAAATATACTGCTAGAATTTTATGTCTTTCTATTTATCTTCACTTCGTGTATGTGAAATTTACAGGATACCTCCATATAGGCACCTCTTATGCATATATATGACCGAATCCCATACATCCATGGCACTTGCCCCCGTATGAACCACCGGGCGGCCTTGAGGGCGGAAGAAGCCCTAACCGTGGAATCACAACAGGGGCGAGGCTGATGCATCGTTGACATCACAACACCCCAGGTCCTCTTGGCCTCATCAACACCAGGGTTCCCATGACCTGGTTGTTGCCTTTTATTCCAACATACCTTCGTTTTAACTTTCTATTAGACTTCAATTTGAGGTGATCATGAAGGTGGCATCAGTGTTGACAGCGCTCTTCGCACCACTCCTTTACCTGCTCTCCCGGTTTCGTCAAGATCCCGACTGGTCCTATCGACAAGCACTGACAAACACGTGGATGAAAGTCTTTCTCTTCGTTTTCGTGGTTTTCCGCACAAAGCCACCACTCTCCCTCAAGCCAGGTCTAGATGGAGACCGTTTCGTCGTAATTGAACCCGCAGCAACAGAGCTCTACACTGGTATCACAGTCGACGATGAGATCCAGCCAGTGGCTGTCGGAGGCACTTGGTTCCCATCACTCTACCAATACAACACAACAACTACCCAAGACAAGCATGTCATCCTTCACTTTCATGGTGGCTCCTACATCCTTGGCGACGGCCGCACAGCATCTTGCAAATTCCTCGCCAACCACCTGCTGGAGCATACAAACTCTAGCCATGTCTTCAGCCTCCAGTACCGTCTCGCCTGCAACCCCAACGGCCGTTTCCCTGCTCAGCTCCAAGATGCTATTTCCGCGTACTCATACCTAATCCACACACTTCACATTCCAGCCTCGCGCATTGTGCTCAGTGGCGACAGCGCCGGTGCCCATCTCGCCCTGTCCCTGATGCGCTACCTTAGTGAATACGACGACAACAGTACTCTCCCGTCCCCCACATGCTGCTGGCTCTTTTCACCCTGGTGCGATATCCTCAGCTGCCGCGACAAGCACGTCTGGGATAATATCCCCAATGCAAAGGTAGACTACATCCCGGCCGTGTTTCCGGCGTGGGGCGCCAAGCATGTCGTCGGTAATCTGGAGGTCACTAGCGATTTCGAGCCCCATCTCGCGCCGATCTGGAAGCCCTTTGTCCTTCCATGTCCCATTCTGATTGTTTCTGGTGGTCGCGAGGTGATGTCTCAGGAACATGAGCGGCTGGCAAGAAATTTCGGTAAGATGCAGCAGAACGAGGGTCGAGTTGAGTATTTCGTGCAGGATCGTGTGCCACATGATATCCTTATGGTTGCATGGATCTTGAACTTCCGGAAGGAGGCTGGTCAATGCGCTGTCAAGGCTGGCATGTTTTTGAGGATCCAGGCTCTGTCGGATGAAAATGTGAGCGAGGTTCCTAGTGTGGCCTTTGAGCCTCGATGATGCTGCGTATGCCTTGTGAGAATGTCTGAGTAGGTACTTTTTGCTATCTATAGCTGTATGAAATGAACATTCCCAGACCCTTGAGCGTCATGATACGTTGCACCTCTAGGGCTTAGCATACTACTCTGGTATCTCGATCTGAAATAGCTGATTTAGGTGGCTGTGATATTGCCGGCCAGAGTGCCAAGTACGAATTTGGAAGGCCCATTGAACCAGAATGGGCAACACAAGGTCCGTAAATGCATGTTAGTATATTATATCCCACTGCAGCATTAGGAAGCACACTGCTGGAGCATAATGAGATATCACCTTCCTGGCGCGTAGCGAGGAGAAACGGGAACTGTAATCCCAATCCGGCGCCCGGGCGTAGGGTTGAACGCCCAAAAATGGGGTCATGGGCCCTGGGCGAGCCTCTCCTTCAAGTTCTGACCTCAGACTCTAGTCCAGTAGCAAACGCTGGATGAGATACCAAAGCATTCAGCTACAATACCGACGAAACATCTGAGCCAGTGCCATGGAACAAGTTTCCTTTCTGGGACGGTTGCTTATGGAGGCGCCCAGGACATATTGCCGTTGTTTCGCGGCTGGCTGGCTTGACCTACGATAAACCAAACATATACACCGGATTTTAGCCCGCGCGACATGGCTTTCCCTTTCCGTTTTAGTGCTCACCCCTTATGCTGAATGATCTGAAGGCGTTTTACGTTGATCAACAGTATAAAGGGTTACCAGTAGCGGAAAGGTACTACAATCGTCTTATTAAAAGCACTAGTCCAGTGACAAATACATGCATACTGGGGTAGCTAGGCATCATGAACCACTCAAAAATACAATCCCATATGCCAAAGGCCATTTCCACTGTCAAAAGCATCGCTCAGAGATGTACGGAGATCCACATTGGTTACCAGGTCCAGTCAGAGCTATCAAGATACCAATCCAGCCTGTCAGATGGCTTTGCCAATCCCCATAACGCGTAGGTTTCGTCTGAGAATGGCTCAGTGTCCATTGGATAGGCTCCTCGGAATCCGGAAATGTGCCTCAAAGCAATTAGCTCATCGCCATCGGCATTCATAGATTGGTCAGGTGAATGAAATGCCAGAACTACCTACATAGCCTTGGTGACATGATCGTAGATGAGCTTGCTCGGAGGGGTCAGTCTAGGTTGCCAAGAACACCTACTGAGTTCTCTTCGTTGTATTAGTATAGGTAGTTCTTTAAGGGGTGGACGTATAGGGGTTATGATCTTACTCATAGGCGGTACGAAAGGCGGAACGCAGTTGCCGGCGGTATTCCAAGTCGCGTTTCCAGAAAGAATAGTAGTCTACGGGTTCACCAGGTACCCGTGCCCACGCAACGTAGTTGATGTAGCCACCAGGCACGAATTCTTCAGTGCCTTGCAACCCTTCCCCATAGCCAAGTAATTTCGGTACTGCCGTACAGTTTTCACGATCTAGAGTCGCAAGCGCTTTGAGCTCCGTGTGGGTGCGCTGGCTGATGGCCTGCTGGGCTCGGACTTCTGGAGCGCTAGAAAAGGTACCATCAATAGGGATCTGCAAGTAGATACGCATGAAGCCCTGCTGACCAGCGTCCAGAAGATTGTGACAAGAAAACTTAATGACGGCAAACGGAGGCCCCAACCCTTGATCATATATCCGCCGAGTCATCGTTTGGTAGTCTTCGGATATCTTTTCGTCGAGGACGAACGTGCGAGGGGGCGAAAGGGAAGGCTGGTCGAGTGTAATTTCAGTACCACACAGGTGGTCAAAGTCAAGAAACCGGGGCATCATGATGAGGAAAGGAGATGAAGGGTTGGGCAGCTTCAAGATTCTGAAGAAATGAAAACGCTTTGATGAAGTTGATAGACAGGTGAATTGTAAAAGTCAGGTGCTGAGCAGAGAGAAAAGGAGGGTATGGAGGTGACAACGCGACTATTATGGATCCTAATGTCCTGGGTGTTAACCGTGGAACACTCACATATAATTCTCAATTTCTCCAGCTCCAACCTATCAAGCCCACACAAACATTTTAGACGCAACTTTTACCCAACTTCTACCAACCAACCGGACTGGAGTGGAATCAACATGTCTCCACAATACTCCGGAGCTGATCTACTCATACGGAGTCCATCGCGAGTGTGAGGTCTGAATTTGTCCACGGGTACCTAGGTAGGCAACCCACCTAAATAGGAAAGTCTGGGGCTTCGCGGGGTGCGCTGTCATCAACAGGGGTGATATCTGTCTGCAAACCAGGTGAAACAAGCGAGCAGGTTGTTCAGTGGCGGAAGATAGGAAAAGGAAACCCAGGGGTAGTTTGTTAAAGGAAGATTGGTTCAGCTTAGTTAGCTTATAAGTTATGCCGCCATTTCTTACAAGTAGTTTCTGATAAATCAATTTACTTCGACATGGCAGTTGCCTCTTCCTTATCATGTCCTTAAGAACTTCGAAAGTTCCTCAACCATGCCCATTCCGGAAGCTCACGAGAAAGGAATTCAGGGGATGTTGATGGGGTAAATGGCCACTTCAAGATCGAACCTTTATAACGTCATCTTTACGGCTACAAAATAAGTTGGCAATATCATATATACCTACAAACGTAAGGCATCAATGTTGAGAATATTTACGGCCCGGTTGACACAATTAAAAAAGAGGTTCACGAGAGTGGCCTTTAGCCTCAGGGTCGTAAGAACCGGTCTGAAAGCTATAGGTACCACCTTGCCTATTGATTCATGTGCCTCTTTTTATATGTAGAACCATCTCAGTTAACAATACACAGAAAGTCGATGAGGCATCTGGGGAAGATGGGTAGTAAGACCGATAGCAAACCAGAATATATCAGAATACCTTCTCGGTGGTTTCAAGAAAACCATTGGCGTTGATAAGGATATCATGTTCCCCTAGTCCTGGGAGTCGGTCGTAAATAGCAACGAATGGAATCCTTAACGGGACCCCGACAACACTGTTGGGCTCGACGTGGACCATCTGCACAGAGTATGCTTTCTGGGTGGGAATCGGTTGAATGGTAAGTGGAGGGATATTGAGAGATTGTACGCGGAGTTGATCAGGCCCCACGGGCCCCGCGTTCCCCAAACCCCCACCCCCAGTTGGGCCCCTGGCAGACCTGTACCCGAAGCTGGAGAGTGGGCAAACTATATCCAACGTCTCCTATGGGGAGTCGCGAAAGAGGGCGACTTAGTCAAATCCCTACTCATTCGATACATCCTCCAGATGCAGAGACTTCGCGAGCCCGTCGTCCGCCCGACTATGGCGATGACTAGCGAAAGGTGGAACGAGCAAATCGGCGGTCGTATCGAGAATATAGAGGCTCTCTCCATCCACCACTCGCCATCTGCTTAGTGCGAATCTGATCAACTTCAAATCTAGCACAAACGATAGCTTCATTCTCGACTAAATTATTTCTAGAAACCCCACCTTAAGAGATTATTAACATGATAGTGCTTTATATTTTGTTTCGCTGTAGCGACGAGTGCCTGTTAATAGAATCTTGAGTGGTGATATTATGGCATTATAGGTAGTGGTTTGGTTTGGTAAAGAGCTGAGGCTCTATTATTCTCAAAATGAAAATTAACTTGACTTATGTACAAACAGATTATAGTTAACATAAAGTATAGTGCTCGACTAAAGAAAATGGTCTTAGCGAGCATAGTCACGACTAGACTTCGGCAAAGCTCGAAAAGCCCGAAACCCGACCCGACTCGACCCTCAAAAGGGTAGGTAGGTCTAGTTCACTCCTAGCTATTGTTATATACCTTTTATACTCCACTGTATTATATAAACTGGGCGCTATACTGCTGGTTAATGTGTTCGAAATGCTTTATGATGATACTGTATGGGTAACTAGGTGATAGAAATGTGAAGTTAATAAGAAAGGATTGTGATTGGCCGAAGGGGATAAAAGGAAGAGAGAATCTAGAAGGTGATTGGTAGAGTGATAAATAGAGTGTGGAGAAGTGACCTTACAAATATAAACTAAGGGAGTAAGGAAAAATAATTATGCGGTAAATGTATTACAATGAATTAATAATCCATTTCTTATATCGCAATTACATGATCGGGAAATTCGTATCCGCGGCCTAAAATCTGGTACATACAGGTACATATATCGCATATACCCCGCGGTTGTCAGCCACCAGTCTTGCTGCGCTTTTGCCCGGGTGCAGCTCTTCGCCAGCTGACGTGTCAGCATGAGGCTGAAAAACGGCATAGCCGTGAGAATCCACATATATAAGCCAAAGGGGCAGTGTCTCATCAAACTCATTTGAGAGCTCCATACTGCAACTTATCATTTCCAGGGACTTGGAATCATCACATTAACATCGCCCTCTTCATTCCATAAACAACGATGAAACAGGCCGAAACTAAACACTACGCCAGAGATCCCCTCGGTGAAGCCGCCAAATGGATAAGTAATAGTGGTCAGAGGGCGCTGGTTTCGTGGACATGGCTTGTATCCTATCCCGTCAACCATCCAAGCCGCGTCATAGCTAACCCAACTACAGGGCGTCAAGTTCAATAACTTTGACGGGGTTTGTGGCATCAATGGCACACTCGTGGGCAATATCACTGTTCAGATGCGTTATGATTGGGATGAGACTAAGGGATTCCATGTGAATGCCACCAAGGGAAACGATGTGAGAGCTTATATCCTTGTCGAGCCACCAAACCCAGCTGGAAAGATGTCGAATGTTGGATCGGATCGGTATATTAGGGCCTTGAAGTTTCTGAATAATCGGAGAAATGGACTCGGCGATGGAGCGGCCTTGGACTTTTTTATGTCGGGTCGCATCTGATTATGTGTCATGGGACTCTTGATGCCCTAAATGGGTGGTTTCCTAGGCTATAACTATACTTCTTGCCGTGCTCTATGAATACCTGAGGTATAGTGGCTTAGTGGTCTTTTCTACCCTCTTCTCTCAGTCTGGTATTTCATCGGGTACATCCAGTCCAGTCCAGTCCATATATGTAGTCTATGAAGTCCTCATTGGCTCTATAGGAGGATCCCACCTTCCCCAGTTGTTTGCTCCTTCCTGCAGTGACTAGGCAGTCTCCATTCGCAGACATCAACAGCCCATTTCCCAACCATTTTCTCCAAGCCTCCAATCTCTTAGTCTGTTCATATCGCAACCCCAAACTCGTACCAAATATCGTTGATACCACCCTAACCAAGCCCTCACTAGACACCATCGCATTCTCAGACAGAGTCTTTGGCTAATAGCAAACTCCATTTCCCCCTACGTGCGTATTTCCGCGTCACCAGATATCAAGAAACGCGCCAGAGGACCAGAAAACGCGTCCAACCTGGCCACCGACGACTCAATCACGCGTCCTAGATGCCCTCGATGGCGCCCATCCCAGGCCTGGTTCGCAGGGCAATGCGGTTCAATCAGTACGCCGTGAACTGAAAGATAACCAGCCCATCCACCAGCGTGACCCAAACTGACACGTGTGATAGTCTTGACAAGCTGACCACCCTCTCTCTCGAGTCCCAGGGTAATTGGACCTTTTTGGCCGTCGTTGCGAGCATTCTCTTTGCTGTCCTCGTGGTTGTTGTCGTCGCTCGAGTTTGTTATCGCGGAAGGCAGAAGTATGTCGTGCTACTCGTTCGACTATTGTCATTGCATGCGATACTGACGTCGATTGCTCATGCAGACGCCCGCGCCGGACAGCTCCTTCCGATGACAAGCTCGAGACTGAGATCGTTGGATATCCGGATATGGTTGAAGAGCATCATTCAGGTATGTGCGAGTGGAAGATGACTGTGTCTTGATGTGGTGAGGGGTTTGGGCCCGGCTCACAGTTTATAGATGGCTGGATGGCTTTTATTTTGGCTTGTCATGCTGCTATTACCCTCAGTCCTGTCTGAGGTGGATGGATATGCATGGCTGGTGGAGAGTACAGCAGCGGGATGAGCTTCCCTGCTGTTTATTCTGATAACGAATTTTGATGAGATTGCTTTTTTTAGGATGTTCGAGGATGAGGGTTCAAGTCTTGCACTTGCATTTTACCCATGGCTTCCGACGGGACGATGGATTGGACCTCAGATTGATTTCAAGATTGAAGAAATGAATATGACTTGCATGAAATCATCGCTGTATATGGCATATAACAAGGGCACTTGTATTCTCGGATCAAGTCGGATTATTGTCGACAGACGGTAGCCAACAGAAACCGATATGTCAATGGTAGTCCTAGGATCGGCTCAGATAGGGAGATAGATATAGGAGTTCCAATCACCGTGAAATCGTTGGCGGCTTTGAGTTAGAGATGGTAAAACGAGACGGCTCCAGATCTTTATCGAATGACATGATTATGGACATAAATGGGATCCGGCGGATCACTTGGAAAGTTGAGACATTCAAGAAGATGTGGCTTTGGATGAGGCTCACATCCGCATGAAAGATTCCGACTGACAAAGAATAGATATAGTGATGTCAACGTATGTGCAGAGCAGAGAGACCGAAGTTTGATCAGAGAACTTTCTGCTCAGCCAAACCTTCTTGGCCATCCTCGATACTCTCGGTAATCGATTCAAGCTTGCACAACGGACCACAGTAAAACTCCTCATCAAACCCATCAATGGGTCCTAACTTCACCCATCCCTCCAAAGAACCGCCATAATCCATCTTTAGACACTGGGTCTCGCAATCTTCGCAGTTCGCCAAATTCTCGTGTTTAGACAAGAATTCCTTGACAGCACCGGTGAGCATTTCGCGGTGTCGTTCAGCGTCGCATTCCCGACCAGACTGCCAAGTCCATTTCATGCCCTCCTCAGTTCCAGTAATAATGGAGCTGCAGGTATTTTCGTTGGAAAGCTTATCGATCGTGTCAGCCAACGATTCGGCCCATTGCATCACGTAGTCTTTTATCGTGGATGCAGTTTCAGGGAGCATTTCTCCAAATGAAGACTCTGTGATGGGTGATGACCATGTCAGGGCTTGAGTGGATGTTGATAGGCAGCAGGCTGCGATGAGGAGGTTCTTTGTCAATAGCATCTTGATTCAGGCTTTGGAATGAATGGATTCGCTGGGTTGTGAGACGAAGGCAGAGAAGATAGAAGAGAGAGATATGGGCGATGACGCAGGGGTCCGGGATTGTGGGATGTTTGTAAATTGATGGTGGAACTGAAGGTTGGCCCCCCGGTGATTGCGGGGGCTTAAATTGGGGCCATTTTGCGCTGGGAGGTAGCGAATGAGATCATTGTTTTCGTCAGGGTTGTTTCGTCCGAAGTAGGGGTTGAGAAGCTAGAGCTACCTAGATACCTAGGTGGTCCGCTATCATTCATAACTGAGGTGTTTGTAGTGAAGACGTAGACCTGGAAGAAGTTGGATCCTTCGAAATATGGCGGAGTAGCTTCAAAACATACAAATAAAGAAATGTGCACCTGGACGACGTCGTGACCAACAACTGGTGGGTTTTTAACTGGGCCGGGCCGTGGTCTCCTGGTCGGACAAGGCAGTTATCAAACGGGTAAATGTACTGCTCGATATACTGCTCGAGGTTATCGTGAGAAATATATACACATTTACGAAGGAAACACCGAATTTTTAGCCAAACAACTTGAATTTACGGGCAGATCCCAAGAGATCTGAGAGCCATCTAGCTAAAAAAAATTTGGTTGTCTTGCTCAAATATAACCATCGCCCATCAACGGCCATCGCACCAATAGTCCAGTCCTAGACACCCTGACTCGCGCATGATGTTCTCACTTTTGAGATTCGGCGAGAGAGTCCGATAACCGCTGGAGCCAGCTTTCATTTCATTGTAGACATGAATAGCTACTGACATCTTCCAAATGCCAGATTTGTTTTCAAAGAAGAAGGATATGTATCCTTTCTTGCTTGGTCTTTAGGACCATGTTCAAGACCGCGAAGGTCGAGAGGGACGAATCCGCCAAACCCCCCAAAGGTGGCCCTGACGTCCCTCAAAAATGCGACTGCCCCGTTGTGAGGCCGAGTCGGCTGGTGTCGATGCTGATTGCCCAATTGTATGGGAACCGCTGGTTGTTGACCGAAGTCTGAGGTCTGAATCCGTCTTCGGATGACCGTAAAAAAATTGCGACTGGCCTGTGATAGGGCGCAAGTCGGCTTGTGTCGATGCTGATTGCCCAATTTTATGGGAACCGCTGGTTGTTGACCGAAGTCTGAGGTCTGAATCCGTCTTCGGATGACCGTAAAAAAATTGCGACTGGCCAGTGGTCAGGCGCGAGTCGACTTGTGTCGATGCTGATTGCCCAATCTGAAGGGAATCGCGAATGTAACTGCGTTACGTATGGTGGGCGTGAACAGAACCGATACCCTCAAGTCATGCAGACGAGTTGGGGTGGGGATGGAGAATTGGATTGATCACAGGAGGTGGGAAACAGAAGGATTTGAGCAAGAGGTGCGTCTCTCACGCTAGGAAGGCATCGAGGTGGAATTGGCATGCTCGATGGTGACGGAGGCTGCAAGAGCCTCGACGTCAGAGAGTGCTTGGCGATGAGAGGGGGGATAGCATGATAGCTCTCTCGGCACAACTCGAAGGTCCCCAAAGAAAGAAAAAGTAGATGGTCAAGAGGAAGCCCTTTTAAATGGATCCGTCAACCCTATGATGACTAAGAGTGGATCCACGTTATTCCAGGGGGAAACACGGCGTCGGATACATCCAAATCGTTCAGGACAAGCATAGCCAATTCTACCCCGTACATCGACTGAGATACCACAATTTGGGGTTAGTAAGAACCCTCCTATATTTCAGATTTATATGGCGGAGAGTGGACGAAGGAAACAATCTTGGGAATCTCCCCAATCCTCCATAGGGTGGGCAACGCTAAGCTCTCGGGGCTATCCCTCTCATCGCTCCCCGGCGCCAAGTCCTGCGGTATGACACATACTACTCCATACAAACTGCACGACGCACCCTATGCGTCAATGAAGTCATATTATGATCTGGGATGCACTTGTCATGTGTAATCTCTGGCATGATGTTGCAGTGGAAACTGCGGAGTAGGGAGATCGTGTTGAGAACCATGCCTGAGGTATGATCCTCTGATCTCTGGGAGTCGGACTCAACAACGCTACGCCTTTCTTTGGCTATTCGGCTCAATACCATACCTTGGGACTATGCCGAGTATTTGATTCCCTCGGCACACAAAGGAGCATAAATAGCAGATAGTTATAGATATTATTTAGATCTTTAGACAATCATACACCTTCTAAGAGGGATCCCCCACTTCAGGATCAGATGAACTATTGTTGAAGCCTTACATGCTGTGTCATACCATTTCATATTCAACAGGTTATGAGCCTGGCTGTCCCTGATAGCCGGAATACCTTAATTGCGTAGTATAGTTCATTTGCTACATTTGCTAGCAAATATCTACTTACCCGTAGGCAGCTTTTCATCCGATCCTCGTCCTCCCCTATATATATCGGGCTTGTTGCAATGCATTTTCAGCGATCTCTTCATCCGTGCTTTTTTTGTAATATGTAAGTAGAGTGTGCAAATAACCAATCCTTTGGCAGGCAATATAGACCAACAGGGACTAAAATCTGATGTACAGAGTAGAGATAAGTAGGTAACTACATGTATGTTGGTACAGAGTACATGTGTTGTAGGTGGAGCAAGAGATCTCTAAGCGGTCAGCTACACTCTAATTCTGCCACCTCCCCGCCGATGAAATTCGATAAAAAAAAGTTATCGGTCCGTCGTGAGGCTCTTATTCTGCGTTGCCCGTCCGTTTGGTTTATTTCAACTTCTTGCTTCATTATTAACTCTGATCGGCATCCCATCATGACTTTCTCTGATGATGACCCAGTCGTCGCTTCCTACGACGTGCTCCTCACAGACTCGGATGTCTCTCGCTACGTATTTCAATATGTTGACCGCGAGCACAACCGTCCCTACAATGACCAACATAACCAACGGCCAAACAAACTTCGCATGAAGCCACGCACCGGTCTTGTCGAAGTCGAAGTTCCCATCATCACTCGGGAAAACTACGATGTTAATAAGGGAATGCGATACGGGGAGGCCATACAGAAGAGCCGCTCTGCGCGCGATGGAGGTGCTTATGGCATGGCAGGAGGTTTCACTGCGGGCAGCGGTGCTGCAGCTGCAGGAGGAAGAGTCAAGCTAGAGGGAAACGGCGATGTGGAGGTTTTGGATCATAAACGGGCCGTGGATTCAGATTCATTGATGCGAGTGCAGTCACTTGGAGGTCGCATAAAGCCTGCCGAGGAAGGTGATCCGGTCTACATGCTGGCGACTTTCACAGACAGTATGTTGATCCCACGCAGTCATGCTTCCAATCGGGGTTGTCGCCTTATTGGCAATGACGCATCCTAACATTCTATTCTAGATAATTTACATCTCTCACCCGTCACATCGGTTGTCCAGTTTCACCCTCAACTTCACCACTTGGACGCTTTGGATGAAATGCCCAAGGGCAAAGGCTTGCGGGCTAAAAAGGACGAAGATGACCGTCCCACCGAGAGTGAAGCACGTGCAATTGATATTAAGGTCAAGGCCGCTGAGGACGGAGAAGCGGCCGCGAACGCCGGCAATTTGGATCTCCTTAAGCAAATGCAGGATGAGAAATGGAAAACATACGAGTGGATTGATGCTGAGGTATGTTATCACTCCGCGGGGGTTCATTATTGATTCTTGGTTCTTACTGACTCCTTCCGATTTTAGACCGAGGAATCCTGGTTCACATACGAGAGCTTCATGATTCACAAAGAGACCGAGCAACTCCAGACTTTAAAATCCGCTATCGAGTCGGAAGATTACCTTGACAAAATGAGTGCCCCTAGGATTGATCCCACCCGACCCGATCTGACTGGTTGGGCTATGAAGGAAAACCGTCGGCGGCAAAGAGATGGCCATTCAGATAATGAGGGCTAGTAGCAAGGGCTGTGTTGTACATTAAACCAAAACAATGAATTTCTAGCGAATCATCCAACGGCGAACTGGTTACTATCGTCAAGCTTTTCGGAATGTATCGATTCGCTCCCTCTGCGTTCGTGCGCATTGATTTTTAATACACTGAACGTACAAATGAAGATGCTCGGATTTAAGGTCTCGCCACCCAGAGGAGCTGTCCGCCAATCACGATAAGGAAACGGATAAGGTCACGTGCCACCGTTGGTTTTTCTGCCATCTCCGTTTTATCTCGACAGGTCACGAATCCCCTTTCTGTTACTCGACATTTCTTTTTTTTTCCCTTCTTTTTTTCGGTTTGGTCGAGAGTTGCAGGACAGCGTGTCAACGCGATCAGAATCCGTCTCCCATAACGGACAAGTCGCCTTGACTTTGCTCCACACCATCATTGCGGTGTTCTGTTTTCTGGATGTCCATTCTTGTTGAAGCATCTATCATATAATACCCTTAATCTCTCTCTTCTTCGCGGCCATTTCTTCCTTCTCGCCTTGAGCCTTGAACCTCCAATCACCGAAATACGAAAACAACATATTTATGCACCATGTTATCGCGCGTGGCTCGTCAAAAAAATGTTTTCCTTCAATTCCGGAAGGCTCAGGCCCTCCGAGCGCCCGCCCATCTGCCGACAACACGCTTTCATACACTCTCGAGTAAACTTCCCCTTATAAGTTCGTCATGCAAATCGATTCACGATCGTCCGCGTAACCCGGCTCCTCGGACAGAGCGCCATCTTGCCACTGCTGCCGATCACACCAACCTCGACGGGTCTTCGCCGGAACCTTACGATCATTTCATGCACATGCCTTTCGAGAACTTCGATACCTCATCCCTGATTCTCCTTGATCAGACACCACAATCACAATCAAAGATTTTCCGCAAGAGACAAGGTATCGGAGGTGATGAACTGGAGATGCGGGCCAACCTGGATGTTTCATTGAAGGTTGGCGAATTCGAGCGAGCTGCTTCATTGATTAATCGTCTTGGCCATTATCACCCGCCGGGATCGCAAGAATATTTGACTTTGCATAACCGCTACCTGCAAAAGATGGTGGCTTACATGATTTTGAATCGCCAGCAGGACATGGTTCTGCCGTTGCAAAAATGGTTCGAAATTGATATGCCTGCCGGTGGAGTGACACCGGATGCAATCACTTTTGCGATTATGATTCGAATGGCGCTGCGCATGCTCCATGGTTCGAAGCGTGAGAGAACCGTGCGTCGATACTGGGAACTTGCACAAGCTGCGGACTTACAAGAAGAGCTTGTCGGTATTGAGGTGCTCGACGACTCTGACGTTGGTGAATTGTCTAAGGTGAGCCTTGTATTTTTCGTTTCAATTTTAGATTCATGCTGATCTCCCAACCCAGATTTGCTCCTCCGACATGCTGGACTTCGTCTCGAAATACACGGACATTTCCGAACCCGCCGAAACATCCCCTGCTATCGATGATACTCCCGAAGTGCAAGCGGCCGATCAAAATGGATTGGGCTTGTCGTCCCTGAAAGAGTCTCTGTCCCTTTTCTCCGGGAAGATTGATGTGGCTTTGCCTGATGATTTCAAGGGCACTGAGGAGGAAAAGAATATCCTCATTTCGGAATTAAGACAAAAACGACTTGAAACCGACAGTCTTTCTTCGGCCCTCGAGCGTTGGCGCATCGATAATGCCAAGCGACAAAAAGCTGGGTTAAATGTCTCGTCTGATGGCAAAAGACTCAGCGCCATCATGAGTCAATGGCACACGGACCTTGTGGCAAGAATCAAGAAGGAGTTGGAGCTCGTTGAAGAGGCACTTGCGAATCCTGTTCTGACTGTGGAGCAAAGAGATCGTTGTGAATATGGTGTGTTCCTGAAAGCTCTCGATGCCGATCGGTTAGCGGCACTCACCGTCCTCACTACAATGTCCGCTTTCAGTCGCGAGGGTATGGACAAGGGAATTAAACTCTCCAATATCGCTTCCGCTGTTGGAAAGGAAGTGCAAGACGAAATGATTGCCGATAACTACCTAAAACAGGCGAAGGCTATTGATCCGAATCGTGTGAAGGCATTGAAGCAGCTTCTCGCGAACCGCAAGGACAAAGAAGGGCGACTTCGATGGAAAGCCCTCGTTGAAAAGATGAATGCACATGACGAGTCCATAGTCTGGGGATCTCGTTCCCAGGTCAGAGTTGGCGCTGTTCTTATGAGCATGCTATTCGAAGTCGGCAAGGCCCCCATCTGGAGTGAGGACCCTACAACCAAAGCGAGAACCCTCACCATGCAACCGGCCTTCCAACATGCTTATCAGATTCACTTCGGTCGACGCTCTGGTCTCATCCATATCCATCCCAAAATTGTGGAGGTCGTTTCCAAAGAACCACCCCCTGAGCTTTTGGCTCGCCATCTCCCCATGGTTTGCAAGCCTAAACCATGGACAGGGCCTAGGAGTGGCGGTTATACAATCTATGAATCCCACCTAGTGCGTACTACTCCTGGTGAACTACTACAGCCAGCCTATCTCAAAGCTGTCTTGCAAGATGATGGTATCAAGGAGATCAGAGGGGGACTTGATGTTCTTGGCGGCACTGGCTGGAAGATCAATCAACAAGTCTTTGAAGTAATGCTCGAAGCTTGGAATGAGGGAGGCGCCGTGGGAAAGCTCGCACCTCTGGAACCAAACCTGGAGGTGCCAGAACAACCAAGTCAAGACGCTGACTATGCAACCCAGAGAGCATGGCACCAAAAGATGCGTGAGATTGAAAATATGCGCTCTGGTTTCCATTCCGTTCGATGCTTCCAGAACTTCCAATTGGAGGTCGCTCGAGCTTTCCGCAAGGAGGTCTTTTATCTGCCCCACAATATGGACTTCCGCGGGAGAGCGTATCCCCTTCCTCCCTATCTGAACCAGATGGGAGCTGACAATTCAAGAGGCTTGCTTCTGTTCGATAAGGGGAAACCACTCGGAACAGCCGGTATGCGCTGGTTGAAGATTCAGATTGCAAACTTGTTCGGATTTGATAAAGCGAGCATGTCCGAACGAGAGCAATTCACCATGGACAAATTGGACGATGTCCTTGACTCTGCCAACAAGGGACTCCATGGACGCCGGTGGTGGCTCCAGGCTGAGGACCCATGGCAGCTCTTGGCAGCGTGTTGTGAACTTCGCAACGCCTTGCAGCTTTCCGATCCCACCGAATATGTTTCTCATCTCCCAATTCACCAGGATGGCTCGTGTAATGGTCTTCAACATTATGCTGCCCTGGGTGGTGACAGAGCTGGTGCCCAGCAGGTCAATTTGGAACCCTCTGATCGCCCATCTGACGTCTATACCGGTGTTTGCCAATTTGTCAATGAAGCCATTGCGCAGGACGCAGCTGATGGTGATCAGTTGGCCCAGCTTCTTAATGGCCGAGTCACCAGAAAGATTGTGAAGCAGACTGTCATGACTAATGTCTACGGTGTGACTTTCTTGGGAGCAATGAGACAGGTCAAAAGACAGCTCGTTGACTATCTCCCTGATCTTGATTCCAATCAGAGGAACAAGGCAGCTTATTACATCGCCCGACAAATCTTCGGAGCTCTCGGATCCATGTTCAATGGAGCCCACGAAATTCAGTATTGGCTTGGGGATTGCGCTCACCGCATTACACAGTCTCTGACCCCGCAACAAATCGAGGAACTGACCCAAAAGGCAATGTCACCTAAAGAGAATTCGGGCACACGAAACGGCACCGGCTCGTCGTCGTCCAACGATCCCGAGAAATCGTTTAGATCAACTGTCATTTGGACTACCCCACTGGGCCTTCCAGTTGTCCAGCCCTATCGTACGCGCAGGGCGCGACGTGTTAGGACCAGCTTGCAAGACATCAGTATCATTGATCCTAGCGCCGATGATGTTGTCGCAAAACGCAAGCAGCTTCAGGCCTTCCCCCGAACTTCATTCACTCCCTCGATGCTACGCACATGATCTTGTCTGCCAACGCATGCCACGAAGCCGGGTTGACATTCTCCGCTGTCCACGATTCATTCTGGACTCATGCCGCCGACATCGACCAGATGAACCTGATCCTTCGCGATGCCTTCGTTCGCATGCATTCTGATGATGTTGTCGGGCGCCTTGGTGCTGAATTCAAAGTACGATATGGAAAGAATATGTTCCTCGCCAGAGTCCCCCGCAGCACTGAGATTGGCCGTCAAATCCATTTGCACCGTACCAAAAATCGGGTCAGCAAACTGCAAGAGTTGATCAACGAACACCGCCGACAAACTCTCCTCGCATCGGAGGATCCAGAAGATCAGGCCGAAGGCCGTGCTATGGTAACCGCCGGCAGCATTTTCGAATCATTGGGTGGTAAAAATGAGGACCTGACTCCTTATAAGACATTGGGTCAAACCCCAATCGGCCATGTTCCCGAAGATGTTTCCACTCTGGAACGCTCCTCATCCGGGGATAACCTCGATTCTAACGACCCGGCCATTCAGAGCTTGGTGGGCGACCTGTCGATGTTTGAAGGGAAGGCGCTCTCCGAGCGTGAACTACAAGCCCGCTTAGGCAACAACATCGAGGACGAAGACTTCAAGCAGTCCGATGTGCTCGATGAGACCGAGGATTTCGAGGAATTGGAGCAAAACAACGAGCCCGAAAAGAAAAAGGCCAAGCGTCAATTTACGACATGGTTCTGGATGCCTCTTCGCTTCCGCCCAGTCCCTAAAAAGGGCGACTGGGATCTCACCCGAATCCGCGAGAGTGAATACTTCTTCTCGTGATCTTATTTTCTCTCCTCTAGCCCCCTGGGTCTTCTCGCATTTCGCTGGCGTTTATGCGTACTTCTACATTTTTGTTTGGCCATCTCTGGAGCGGTGTGGAAGAGCGATTCCAAACCTCATTTAGCTGCCTTGTAATTTCCCTGTATATTTTCTCATTGTCTGGTTCATTGGGGTGCATTGGTTGCATTTGTATATTACACATTGGATGGCGAGTGCATGGGGAAAGAAAAGAAAGCCAAAAAAAAAACCATTATGCATATATTAGCCCTGTTCGAATATGATATCTTTTGATTTCCACTTCTCTCTCCAGGATATCCTCCATGCCGATTTACACCTTCAGGCCAAATACCCGGACAGGGGCCTTCATGTGGATTTAGGCAAAATCCAAAGCCAACAGGGCAGATCGTCACCCTTGAGTAAAGCGGGTCTAGCCAATTTCAGATGCCTTGCTCATGCGGAGTACATCGTAGAATAAGTTGGGGGATTGCCAGGCCTTTGTTAGGCACATCTGCATGGAGTAGTTCATGACCCATCATCGGAGACGATACCTGCGTTCAACCATGGTTCCCCTGAATAGTCTCGTGCGTCCTTCACGTAGAACCCGGTGTTTGAGAAAGCCATGCCAATCTGCCGGCATAAGTTCTTTTTTTTTTGGTTTTCGTTATATCCGGGGCCCCTGTGCCTTAATGTGCTTGGTCCCCCCCCTGGGCCAAGTCCGGGGTATGTGACCGTGGCCAGACGAGGGGTTCAGGTCCGAACTTTCCTCGCCACATGTTTCCATTCTCCCAATCCCTGCAATACGGGACATGTTGTACTCAGCCATACCTGACTGGGGTGCTGTTCCGGCAATCAAAATGGATAACGGATATACGCGAAGGGACCCCGGGGAAAGGGGAACCCGCCGCGTACTTGCACATGGGGCGGGAATGGAATCGGGGTAAAAGCTATCGCAGTAATTTCCTGGTGAAGAAAGAGAGAGATGGTACTTTCTGGACTTGCCTCCGTATACCACACCACATCTCTCCGTGCACCACGTGCCGTTTTCCCCCGCCTTTGACAACTTCCCCAGATCTTCTGATCTTCATTGTGCGATCTTCTACACTTCAAATTCATAGAATTCTATATTTTGGATCCTCGTCATTTGCCTCCGCCAACCCGAAAAGTAAGCTTTGGGTCGGCTCCGCCCAGAGAAAAAAAGTCGCCTCCCGAGTCCGGGGTTCTGCATCTTTCTGCAATGCCGTTGTGACTTGGTCACCTACCCTTTGAACCAATCTCCTATCTCTGGTTGGACAACTAGAGACTCGAAATCCCCTGAGCTGTCCCTCTATGTCGCCATAGCTTCATTCCTGTCTCCTCGGAGAAGCATGTCGATGACCTCCCTTCAATCTTCCAATTCTTACTCTCCCTTTTCGTCCCAAGCTAAACGAATGACACAATCTCAAACCCCCGGCCTGGACACTCTTGCGGAGGGCTCGCAATATGCACTAGAGCAGCTCCAATTAGCACGAGAAGCTGGTGCATCTGCCAATGCTCCGACCGATCCCAATAACTCTCACACCGACTCGAAATCGTCGCAACACTCCCAGCACCTCCTTTACACTGAAAAAAATGGTTCCAATTCAAGTCTAAAGGATCCTGAATTACGTGATTCTCTCGCCGAGGCGCGCTCTACCATTCGCAAAAACTCTGCGACCCCAGTCCGTCGGAGAATTAGCCGGGCCTGCGACCAGTGCAACCAATTGCGAACCAAGTGCGATGGGCAAAACCCCTGCGCGCATTGCGTTGGTACGATTTTCCGACGCATCTTCTTCCTTTGCGCATCAGTTTAACTAACAAATCCCCAGAGTTTGGGCTTAGCTGTGAGTACGCTCGCGAGCGCAAGAAGCGCGGGAAAGCATCCAGAAAGGATATAGCCGCCACTGTTATTACCGACAGTGACATGGGTAGCAATGAAAATACGGCACATAACAAAAGACAGTCCTCCAACGGACAGATTTTGCATGAATCCAATGAAAGTTACGACCCTGCGTTTGATGCTGCGCGCACCTTAGCCGAGAGTGCACAAGCTCGGTCGCATAACGCAGAGGTGGCTGGCTTATCTGCGATGCGCCAAAATCAGGCTCCCGTCCAGGCGACCCCGCAACAGCAGATGGGCTCCAACATGGCGAGCATGCCTTTTAATAATTATGCAGCGCTGCAGGAGCCCCATCGAACTTCGATGCCCATACCGGATATGCGCTCTATACAGATGATGCAAAGCTCCAATGGAAATCCTCGGTCGCCTGGCGCAATGCTTCAGTCCCAAGGATTTGGCGCAGGATATAACGACAGCGCATACCCTTTGATCAACGCACAAGACAATCCGGCTTCAATGAATCATTTTCGCATTGGAAACTCGACAGATAATCCATCGGCTCCATTTATGGGATTCTCTCCCCCAGCGCAATCACCGAGTTGGTTGCCACTTCCCTCTCCATCACCCGCCAACTTTCCCTCCTTCAGTATGCCTCCTTTCTCCTCCGCACTGAGATACCCCGTTCTGCAACCTGTTCTTCCGCACATTGTTTCTATAATTCCTCAATCTCTCGCCTGTGATCTCCTCGATGTTTACTTTACCAGCTCGTCTTCCTCGCACCTTTCACCTTCGTCTCCGTATGTGGTGGGCTATGTCTTCCGCAAGCAATCGTTCTTGCACCCCACGAAGCCGCGGTCGTGTAGCCCTGGACTTCTTGCTAGCATGTTGTGGGTCGCAGCACAAACAAGCGAGGCTGCATTTCTGACATCACCTCCTTCAGCTCGAGGCCGAGTCTGCCAAAAGCTCTTGGAATTGACGATTGGCTTACTTCGACCACTGATTCATGGTCCTGCCACCGGAGAAGCGTCCCCGAATTATCCAGCTAACATGGTGATTAATGGGGTCGCTCTCGGTGGCTTCGGTGTTTCGATGGATCAATTGGGGGCTCAGAGCAGTGCAACTGGCGCGGTGGATGACGTGGCTACGTATGTCCATTTGGCGACCGTCGTCTCGGCCAGCGAATATAAGGCCGCAAGTATGCGATGGTGGACAGCTGCCTGGTCTCTCGCGCGAGAGCTCAAACTCGGTCGCGAATTACCACCTAACGCAACGACTCGTCAAGACGGCGAAATGGAGGGTGATGGAGATATTGATGTCAATGGCAACAAGAGGCAAGCATCTTCTCTGATGGGCCACGGCCCAGGCAATTCCGCAATAAATCTCACAGAGGAAGAACGCGAGGAACGCCGTCGGATTTGGTGGCTACTATATGCGACAGATCGCCATCTGGCACTTTGTTACAATCGACCCTTGACACTACTAGACAAAGAGTGTGAAGGGTTGCTACAGCCGATGAACGACGATATATGGCAAGCAGGCGATTTTTCATCCGTCAATTATCGCCGTGCTGGTCCATCATCCGAATGCACTGGTCACAGCATGTTCGGATACTTCCTACCGCTGATGTCTATTCTGGGTGAGATTGTAGATCTACAACATGCCCGCAATCACCCGCGCTTCGGTCTCCATTTCCGCAACAGTGGTGAATGGGAAAGCCAGGCCATGGAAATCAGTCGACAGCTCGATGTCTACGCACAAAGTTTAAAAGAGTTCGAGGCTCGATATACCAGCTCTCTCGCCCTTGGTACTGGCGAGGCTGATGCTACCATGGAAGGTTCAACCATCAACCACGTCAGTCCATCCGGTCGATCGTGTAGCACGGTAGGATCGCATGTCAGCGAGTCTATTGTTCATACAAAGATGGTCGTTGCCTACGGCACTCACATAATGCACGTCCTTCACATCCTGCTGGCTGGGAAGTGGGATCCGATCAATCTTCTCGACGATAACGACTTGTGGATTTCCTCGGAGTCTTTCATTACTGCCATGGGTCATGCAGTCAGCTCTGCTGAGGCAGCCTCTGACATTTTAGAGTATGACCCTGATTTGAGCTTCATGCCTTTCTTCTTCGGCATATACCTCTTGCAGGGTAGTTTTTTGCTACTTCTGACTGCGGATAAGCTGCAAGGGGATGCCAGTTCTAGTGTTGTTCGGGCCTGTGAAACAATCGTTCGAGCGCATGAGGCTTGCGTTGTGACTTTGAACACGGAATATCAGGTAAGAATTCCCTCCACCTCAAGATCTATATCACCACAAGCTAATTTTTGGCAGCGAACGTTCCGAAAAGTGATGCGCTCGGCTTTGGCTCAAGTCCGTGGCCGGGTCCCAGAGGACTTTGGCGAGCAGCAGCAACGTAGGCGAGAGGTGCTAGCCCTTTACCGCTGGAGCGGTGATGGTAGCGGCCTCGCGCTCTAGCAAGATATCCGAGTGCATACGGAGGACCTTGCAGTTGGGACTGGAGGTTTGGCTTTCGGACTTATTGCTTCTTATTTTCCTTTCGTTTTTGATTCGATGCAATTTGCGCTCTGTATAATATATACTTCCTGGATTTTGGACATACCCCGAGGAGCGGAAAAAAAAGGCGCACACTTGGTGTCTAGGTATACATCGATCATCGATGTTAAACACGAACAAATCTGTTAACATTGCCCTGTTCCCTACAACCTTTTCTATATCATTATACTACTAAACTCGAATCGAATGAACTTCGAGCTCACCTTTTTGGTCCATTTGCTTACTATTCTTAGACTTCACTCCAAATGAGGCGAAAGGAGACCACGTGATATACCCTTCGAGCCACATACATCGATGAACTAGGGGGAGCACCTATCCTTTCGTTTTTTTCATCTTTTACCAGTTGAGTAATATTGTTTTTTAGATCTAGTTCGCGCGATAGTTTTTGATTTTGATCAATATATCTTGGGCAAGTACGGCAAAAGCAGGGTGCTGTTCGAGAATTAGCACCGGGCATCTCGGGGGTCCACATAAGCTCCCCCGATGTTCTTCGATGACATCTCTTCAACACCCACAATTTAACCCAACAGATGACGCTCGGGAAAATCACTAATCAGTACAAATGAAACCATATATCGGAATACCACTCGTGGTCGGGCTTGTCTATCGAGCCTGGTCTCGCAAATCCCTTACGCCGCTTGGCCTCGTCTTTGCGGGATGTTCAGCCGCCGCACACGCGCTCCACCCATGGTCTGCGCCAGTCGTGCTGCTTGCGGTGTTCTATTTTGGCGGGACAAAGGCTACAAAGGTATGGATTTCCTCTTGTATCGGGGGAAGCTGTATAGCACGAGATCTTCAGCGGTGACTCGACTAACAACCCCCGCGTTTTCAGGTTAAACATGACATCAAGGCCACATTGACCCTCTCCGCAACCGGTGCGCAAGGCGGCGAAGGCCCGCGAAATCACCTCCAAGTCCTGGCCAACTCCTTTGTCGCCACTATACTATCGATCGCGCATGCGATTGTCCTTGCCAAAACACCTGGCACTGAATCGTGTTTCTCTCTCGGTCAGAATGCGGCCGATATCTTGATGGTCGGGATTGTAGCGTATGTCGCTCAACTCTGCATTTCAAAGTTCCGGAGAGTATATCTAATAGCTTGTTTTTCGCAGGAACTATGCCGCCGTCGCTGCAGACACGTTCTCCTCCGAGCTCGGTATTCTCTCGAAATCCAAACCCCGCCTTATAACCTCGTTGAACCTCCGTGAAGTTCCCCCCGGTACAAACGGTGGTGTCACTACGACTGGTCTCGGAGCTGGTCTTCTAGGCTCGTTTATTGTTTCTGCGACCTCTGCTGCGGTCCTTCCGTTCTGTGCCAGCGCCGGGTTGAGGGATCGGGCTCTGTGGACCATTGTCATGACTGTTTGGGGTGCATTGGGCAGTGTGCTTGACAGCATCCTTGGCGCAACTCTACAGGCCAGTGTTGTCGATAAGATGAGTGGGAAAGTTGTAGAAGGGGAGGGTGGCCGAAAGGTGGGACTATCGCATATCCTCAGTCATAGTATGACAAGCTCTAATCTGATCTCTAGGTGCTGATTCACCCTTCGACGGGCAAGGGGATCAAAGTCGCTGATGCCCCTGCTGAGGCCACTGGCAGCTCGCTGCACAGTACCCCTACATTGCGTGGCAGGCAAGCTACAGGCACCATCGACGAAAGTCATGAAAGCAGACGCCTTGAGATTGGCCATGACTGGCTGGACAATAATGGTGTCAACCTCCTCATGGCTGCGACTATGAGTGTTGGAGCCATGGTGATCTCGCAGTGGTTCTGGGGGTTGGACGTGTCTGAGTTGCTGGTGTAGATTCTTCAACTATTCTCCAGTCTGGGCCAAGATCAGACTGATACAGGTTTGGGACATACAGTATTTTGCTCACTCTATCTTTTGTAATGGCTTAGGCTCAAATTATAATGAGATTATGTTTTCCTTTGGTTTTGAATATCTCTGCTCCAAATACACTGTGGAAAGGCAAACGGGACTTGCGCTCCAGTCGAAAGTTGTTTGTCCCAATTTCTGATACTCTCCCACCTTATTACTCTGACCTCAGTTCATGATTGTTTACTTCACTGCCCTCTCATTCACTCTGCTTTCTGTTGTCTCTCTTGCAGCTCAACAACCTAGTCTACGCAGCTACATCATACACACGCTTTTGCATAATCCATCACGTGTCTTATTTTGCCCTATCTTGTGAGTTCTGTCTATTAACGTGTCACGCGTCGAGTCCTGGGCCACCAATATGGACTCAGAAAAGCGAGAAACAAGTATCTGAGTGTTGACCCGAGCAAGCAGATCATCCTGGCCAAGATGTCGGCTGACGAGAACGCAATGCACGTCCGAGTCGCTGAGCCGAGGATCACTTTTCTGCCTGAGACCGAAGCATCGAAGATTGTGACACACGATCTTTGTCATAATGATTTGCTCTCTGTGTACAACTATGTGTCCCGGGAATACCTGATAAGTGGCATCGCCATCACACAGTCATATTGCACGCGTCTTCTTCTCCGTTGCCCTGCAGATCCCGCCAGATTCTCCGGTCTTGTCATCGAGGAACCATCCCACCTTTGGGGCGGGACAACAATCTGGCGTCTAATCAATCGATGGCTGATGCGTAATGGTAAGCGACATCGTTGCTTGATGTGGTGTCTGGGCTGACAGAATAAAAAGGACACGCCTGGTTGGAAGTTGACTCACAGGCTCCCGCAGCGATTGATCAGATCAAAAACGTTGATCCTGAGCGGTACAAGCAAATGCACTTTATCCCAGGTCCGAGATTGGAGGACTTCATCAGCGAAATCCCCGCCTATGAGACCACCGAACGGCTCTGGGACAATTACAAGGGTTTCAAAGATAGATGGTGGTCCGCAACCGTGCAGTCTCTTGAGATCCTCACTGCCGCGTCGCATGCCGTGAGAGCGGGTCGGATGGGTATCAGGGCAGATCGCGTCGTGCTGTGTGGTCTTTGTCAGACTGCAGATTTGACGAGGAAGTTCATCCTCGAGGCTCCTCATCTGCGACTACCGAATGGATACGCCCCTTTCGAGGGATTCATGCCATGTCAATCTGAGGGCGGCGAAGCACTCCCAGACTTGGCCGAATCAAAAATCATTGAGATCATAGGTGAGCTTGAAATCAATTCTATAAAGGCACTCTATTGGTCGAATGGAATGGTGGAAGAGCTACCCCATCGCCGTCCTGATTCCAACTCTTTTCGACTCTACGAAGTTGCCGGCATGTCTCATCGCGAGACTCGATACCTCTCCGTGGCAGAAAGGAAACGCTTGTCAACCCTTGACCTCGGAACTGCCCAGTGGAGCACTTTTACCAACTCTTTCGTCTTCCACGCTATCTTCGATGCTATGGATAAGTGGATCAAGACTGGCGCTGCGCCTCCACGAGGTGCCAGACTTGAAGTAAACAGAAACTGGGAGATTGAGCGGGATGAACATGGCAATGCGCTTGCTGGAGTCCGCACTGTTCACACCGACGTCCCGACTTCCAGACTGATTGACTTTTCTCCTAAGCCACGTCCGCACTGGCAGACTGGTGAGTTGTGGCAGTCCATTTCTTTATTTCTCGTCGGTTCATTAACGCATATGACAATGTTGGCAGGCAGTGAAGTGCCTTTCACTGATGTCCAAATGTGGGCTCTCTACAAGTCAGTTGAGAATTATCGACGACAGGCGGGAGAAGCTGTGGAACGACAGATTCAAGCGGGTTTCTTGTTGCCTGAAGATGCCGAGGTCCTGCGTCGTGATACTATTGAGCAAGTCTCTGTTTAGGATCTTCAGCATATGGCACGGGTCTGCTTTTGTGAAAGGCCTATGATCCTGGAGTGGTTTTTCAAATGCTCAAAGCTCAGAAACACACTCTTCTCAAATTGTTCTGTTGGACTAGGTCTGAGGTCAACTCGGCTCTTCTTGGTGTTCAGTCTCTTTAGCTAGGGCCGCTTGGCCGACTCACTACTTTCATATCAATGTAACTGGATCTTTTGGTTTGTCTTCAGAGATTGTGTAGAAAAACTCTCAAATCCGGCAGGATGCGTATGATACGTGATCCTAAGTGCTCTGCCTTATTGCTTAGAATCCCTTCGATAATTCTCGAATCATTGGTAATTGTAGCCGCCGCAGCATTGATCTGACATATGTAGGTGGCATCCATGTGTCCACGGGCGTTCTGAATGCTTACGCAGGGTCGCTGGTCAAAGTCACACAGCATCTATCTCGGCTCGAGAAGATCCAATTATACAGCTTCCTATGAGGTAAAACGACTGAATAGCTATCCAAGCTTCAGTCCTGCATGATAAATCACACTTGTAGCGCCTGGTGTAAGAATCCGGGCGATATGAGGCTCTGACATATGGGCCTACCTTCCCGATTGGGAAGTATGTTTGTTCTTGTTCCCTTAAGTAAAAGGACAACTCATTCCCTGTCGACGGCTCCGACCAGTGGCTGTGTGGTTGTCCTGGCTTAAACGTCCTACCCTTCCTTAAAAGGGTATGTCCCGAAAAGGACTGTCCAATAAAACGGACTGGTGCCAGATTCGATTCGCGCAGTCTTCTACCGAGAAAGGACTGCTAGGAGCCGACCCCCTCTTTTTTTTTCCTTGTTATTTTTGCATTGTATGTTAGACTTGCCTCACTTTTTGTTATTTTTTTTTGCTTCTAGGCTGCTTCTTCCCTTTATTGACGGCTTCTAGGCCAGCTAACATTCCAGAGCATCGACTATAAAGATAAAAAGGGAAGGCGCAACTATTACATTGGTATACTTCGGGGAAGGAGCTATCGGGCTCTTTTTTACGACGTGCACCTAATCACAACACACACACTCCCTCTATATCTGCATATCAGTTTTAGCCTATCCACAGCCCGGTCACCAACGAAATCCCATTGCTTAGCGCTGCGCCATCCTCTCTGTGATTCCTGAAACTGGGCGCCTCGTTGGTACGACATGGTCTAGTCGTACATAGCCAGGGCTTTCATTACGTCGGGGTATAAAGGCCTCCCGACTCACCCATTCAAGTTGTATGTCCTTTTCTCAGGTATGACTTGATATTATATTCCGTGTACCCGAATTCCTCGTGGTCATTGTTTCCTGTTAAAGCAGTCTTTGCTACCTACCCCAAGATCCCGCCTTCTCTCATCATGGGTCTTCTCAAGCTCTTGCTCAAAGCGATCCTCATTCCGATCGTTATCCTCATTGTCATCATTGTCGTTACCGTTCTTCTCATCAAAATGCGCCGTGACCGCAAAAAGAAAGACAAGGAGTTGGATAAGCCCTTCCAGCCACCCCCTATACAGCAATGGGTGCCGTATACCCCAGTCCAACAACCAGCCCCCGTTTATGCTAAGAATCCTGGGGCGATGGAGCAAGGACTTGGAAATGGGCGGCCTTAGTAGATATGTTTTGTTGGGTAGGAGCAGCTCTCGGAGAGAATTGTTCATTCTTGCTAACGTGCGTGTTGCAGAATATTTTGCTCCCGCAACACGTACACTCGATTTTGTTCAAATGTTTATCTCTTCATGTTTGTATAAGAATTTTTGAGCTAGTATTTTTTTTTTTGACTTGACTTCCTCTTTGTGATGTAAATCAAGGGTTGGTAATTACGCTTCTGTTACATGTATCTGTGACACAGTTCAAACTCTTGAGACCTGTACGCCGCTGAATGAGTATCAGGGGAATCCTTGCCATTCGCTATCTACGGAGTAGAGCTGAGTGGATCAGCTTTGGACCAAGGCCCACGTTGTTATATTAATACTTGTCTTCGCATTCATGGTATATCATTCTAGTTATAATCATACGCACTTTGTCTCGCGGCTAGGCCCTTAAGACTCCAGATTCTGTTATTTTCGAACCAATATGTCGGGGATTGGCTTAAATTGCATGTGGATTAGGCGTCTAATTTCCTGGGTGAATTCTGCTGCCTAAACTTCCCCTCGATTATCTCAAGGATGTTAGGATCTGCCTTGGCCAATTAGCCGGTACATGGTGGAACGGGATATGAGCACTATTTGCTGCTTGCTACCTATGTCAGACTAGTCTCCTGCATCACATAACGTATTACGAGTTATCCGTAACTTACCCAGGTATCTGTGTGATGGGTCTTTTTCTTGTCTATGTATATTGGCTGGACGCGCTAGATATCTCTGCTACGAACAGTATGAGAGTTGATTTGGGAGATCACTAGCGTAGGATTGAACCATTCCAAAAGTACGGAGTACTTCGTACTGCCTCAATTATTGATTAGAGAATCACTTTATGTGGAAATTGGCGATCCACCTCAACTCGGTCGTTTAGTGGGAGTTGGCGCCAAGTCTCAGCCCTACGAGTGGGTTCCGCCGATGACGATCCGTGCCGATTTGATTTTTCTAAAAATGGCATTCTCCTAATATACTCGTTTCATAAATTTGCTTGTCAAGAGGTTACACCCCTGGGTTTCACATTGTATCGCGTAAAACGAAAGTGTATCGATGCATCCGACAGAAAATCCATCACCACTCCATTACCATCTTAAACCAAGGATGCGTCGACGGCATCTGGGTGAACGAAGAATGCAATGGCGATGATGAGATACCTAGAAGAATTAGTACCTGAGACACCCGAAATCTTCTGATAGCCACTCACGTTCCGACCAATAAAGACCCCTCGTAGTAATTGGATCTCCCTCCTCGGATCAAGCAGTCCATCACTATCACCGAGAGGAAGAAGACCACAGTTTCAAACGGACTGTAGCGCAAGGACATGGGCTGCCCAATCACCAAACCACACATTACCAGGAAGGGGCTTACAAACAAAGCAATTTGCAATGTGCTCCCCACGATCACACCAACTGCGAGGTCCATATTGCCCTTGATGGAGGAATTAATGACAGTATTGAACTCTCCCGCATTGCCAACAATGGGAACCACAATCAGCCCAATGAAAGCCCGACTCACATGCCATTTCTCCACAAACCCGTCGACGCTGTCTACTAGACGATCAGAGCAGACGGTAACCCCGAGAGTTGCAAAAATCAAAACGATGCTAGCCGACCAAGGGCCTAGAGCGCGCTCTTCCTCTTCACCTGCGTCGTCATCGACGAACAGGTCGGAATGACTCTTCAGTTGAAAGTAGAGATAGACCAGGTAGAATGTGAGTAGGACCACGGAGGCGGCGCGGGAGAGAGTCAGGACACTGACTTCCACCTCCTCTGACTTGGATGGTATGGTTGAATAGAGCACAGATGGAATGATTAGTGTGGCAGATGATACAACCATCAAGGATGATAATATCCCACTAACATCGACGTTGAAAGTCACTGAATCTTTTGCATAGCCGCCGCAGAATAATGAAGCGCCGAGGATCTAGAGTTCAAATGAGTAAACAAATCCAATAACATTGAGCCGAAAGCCAAGCCTACCAGAAGATTTCCTGACAAGATACTGCCCACCATACTAGATTGCACGATGCTAATTTCTCCCTGTCTAACTGCAGTAATGCCCACCTACGGCGTTGCTAGCGTCAGTCTCTCGCTTAGCAGAGGATCAAAGCGTAGAACACTCACGATCATCTCGACTGCATTTCCAAATGTCGCATTGATAAGCCCCCCAACCGTCTGCCCGACACTCTTCGCGAGTTCCTCCGTGGCGAATGACAACAATGCAGCAAGAGGGAGAATCGCCAAGAAATTGCACACGAAGGAGATCGAATCACCCCACCCTTGACCCCCTGCAATAATCCCAAGAAACACACAGGGCAAAAGCAAATTGCTGTAGCTGCATGCCAGAGTCGTCTTAAACACACGTAAAACAGACTTGCCTAGGAACAGTACGCGTTTCAGCTTGGATGGGTTCGTGTCACGCAACGCCGCAGATTCCTCCCCGTTGTTTTCACGCCCGAAGGCTTCTCTGAGCAATGGGTCTTGCTCTCCAATCTCGTTTGTGCTGAAGGACCCAGACATACTTTCAGGGCCAGTCTTGGTTGGCTTTCGCAATCGTGGGTGAGACGTGTCGTTCATGGTTGCCAGGAGTGAGGGAAGACACTCAAAGAACTTTTTCACTTCGAGTGTCGAAGGGAAGATGTATTGCTCCACTGTCTCGCAGGCCGACAGTGTAACTGGATTGCGCAGACCTGTTCTACTTAAAAGGAGTGCAGGTAAAATACATGGCTGTTTCGGTGTGGTATCAATGTTACAGCATCGTTCTGTAAACGGTATCGCTGGTAATACACCGAGCCTCATGGCGAAGTACGTGGGGGAGTTTGTTTAAGTTTCACTATGTTCCTCAATCAAACATCTCTCCTTTTCAAATTTGCCTTGATCATTCTGTCGGCACGGTCATGGCCCACTTCCCGCATCGCCTGGGTCTCTTCTTAGTGCTAATACCCGTCCTCGGTATCATAGCAGGAGTTTTGAAGTGGAACAGCGCGGTAATTTTCACTCTCAACATCCTCGCACTAGTTCCTCTGTCATCATGGATCAACCGATCAGTCGAAGCACTGGGTGTCGGTGCGAGTCGGCCAGTCAATGAGCTACTGAAATCAACACTTGGAAACTCGGTGGAATTGATGGTAATATCTAACTGTTCGCTCTCTATTCGAACAGAAGTTAACCATCAATTATGCAGGTCGGCACCAATGCGATTATACAAAAGAAACCGCACATCACGCAGTCTGTGATACTTGGTAGTATTCTAAGCAATTTGCTACTGGTAAATAGATGTGATCATCAGTCAGTGTTATGAACTGGCGGCTAACACAAGCCAACAACACATGTAGGTACTCGGTGGCAGCATCTTCTTCTCAGGCTATGACCAAAAACGTCTCCGATTCGATCGCACTCTCACAACGGTCCTCTCGTCCCTCATGATGGTTGTCTTTATCCTTCTCGCCTTACCAACAATAATGGACATATTCCCATCCGGCAAAGCCACGCCGGCGGACCAGATCCTCTTCATGCAACGCGCGATAGCTCTCATTCTAGTTGGTCTCCTCCTCACCTTCCTCGTCTTTCGCCTCGGCACGCACGCGACTATGTTCGCCAGCACCCCATTCAGTCCACGAGATCAAACCCGCGATGGGCTCGAAATGCGTCAAGATCAGGCAACGAATTCCCAAATTCCGCGGTTGTATATCGGCAAGAGCCTCACAATGCTGATACTAGGGTTTGCCTCCATGTCTACGCTTGCATGCACTTATTACCTTGTCAGCAGCCTGAAAGGGTTTACAGCAGTCACAGGAGCGAACCAGTCTTTCCTTGCTGTTACGCTTGTTCCTCTGCTTGGAAACTCGGTCAGGTATTATTCAATTGTTGTTGGGTGCCGGTCCCACAATCAGGTTGAGCTTGGAATCAGAGCAGTCATCAATACCGTGTTACGAGTGACAATGCTCATTACCCCGTTGCTGATTCTAATCGGGTGGGCTTTTGATCAGCCTCTTACCCTCCGGTTTGACGGATTTGAGGCTACGATACTTTTGCTTAGCGTGGTTATTATGACTTATCTCATTTCTGATGGGCGAAGTAATTACTTCGAAGGGTTGATGTTGATTGGAACGTGAGTATCATTCGCTACTTGGGTTGATGCAAGTAATCTTTGATATTAACCTTTGGTGTTTCTGTCTAGGTATGGTATCATCACGACCTCATTTTTTGTTCGGCCTGAGGTACCGGCGAATGTGATCTACCTCGGATCTTAGGCTCGTCTATTCACACACATCATATTGCAGGAATTGCCTAAGTTATCAAGAATCATGTGGATTTTAAGAGAATACTTGTGGTTCTTGCGCCGTGTCAAGATTGCTTCAAGCTCAATGCAACCGAGATATGGAGACTACCGCGTATAAAACGCCGCAATTAGACTCAAGTACCTATGAATATAGATTAGTAAACTTATTACTCATGGTCCTTCTGAGAAAGTCTTACAGAGAAAGCAGCATCGCACCATGGATGTAAGCGTATTGCCCATCACGTAGCAGATGATTCACAACCAGGATTGCCAAGAACATAGTCACGGTTTGGAAAGAGTCGAAGAACAATGTCATCGGTTGTGCAATACACCAGCCGATAATCACCAAGAACGGTATGACAAACAGTCCAATTTGCAACAGACTATCGATGATAACTCGAATTGCAGAGTCGGTGTCACCGGTGCGCGATGCGGCAATGACGTGCACCCCCTCAGTGCTGTTGCTAGCGATCGGAATAAAGATAATAGCAATGAAGACATCGGAAACTCCAAGGGCATGCGTCATATCTCCGATACTCTCAACCAAGAGTTCTGTGCAGAACACTGTGGCGGCAACGGCTAGGACTAATCGGATGATTGATGAAGCGATTCTGGTCGGCGATGATGATTGTTCGTCGTCTTCCTCGCTACTAGATTCGACGTCGGTTGAAATGAAGAGATGCTTGTGTGTCCCGAGGTAGAAGTAGAGGTAGCCTCCATAGAGGAGGAGAAGGACTAGTGAAGTCCCTCGCGAGAATACCAGCACTTTGTCGTCGATCTCGGAGACTGGGAAAGTTGAGTACAGAGCGGTTGGTAGAAGCATGGTCACGGATGTAATCATCATCAAGGAGGACAACGTTTTTGCCAGCGCAGTATTGAATTCCAGAATATCCCTATTGTACGAAGCGGTGACGAGGCAGCAGCCGAATACCTAGACCCGGTTGTCAGTTTGATAGAGTCGCCAGTCTTTGGAGCACTTACAAGCAGAATATCCGATAGGATACTGCCGACCATGACAGACTGCGCAAATGATATCTCGCCATGGACTAGAGCCAGAACTCCCGCCTGTGCTGAGTTAGCATAGTGTTGTCTTGTAGTTCCAGGGCATTGTTGAAACACACCGTAAGCTCTACGGTGTTTCCGAAGGTGGCACTGAGCAAGGCGCCTTGTAGCTCTCCGAGATGTGCGGCGAGTTCTTCGGACGAGATCGAGATCATCTCAGATAAGGATATAATGGCGCTGATGTTCACCACGAGAACTATCGTCGAATGCCAATTGAATATCTTGGCAACACCGGCCAGAGGCAGAAGCACCATCACCATCCATCCATGTCTGGTATTCATTGTATTCAGTCCTCCTTGCGCAGGCATATTGAAGAATCCGTGAAAGCGATTCCAAGGATCTATATCTGCATCTCGAGGTTGCTGTTGAACTTGACGGGGACTTAGCTCTGGTCCACAGGGCTCTGGTTGCCTGGGCATGTCACGGCGAGAGAGCATGGTACAGATGGAAACAGTCAAATTGGATCCGTGGCTATGTTGAAGCTTAAGTGCAATGCGACCAGGGATCGGGAAACCAAAATCAGACGACGGTCAGTTGTGTTCCCAATGTTACAGACTGTCCTACGTTAAATACGGTAACTTTCCCAATTAAAGCTCATCCAAAGTTACATAGTACAGCCCTATTACCAGCGCGAAACGGTTCGAACGGCCTCGACTCCACTGAATACGGAAGGCGCGATAGGGCTGAGCCGGTATTTACCCGAGTTTTAATACGTTCAGGCAACAGCATTTTCGGTATGTTTCAGCCTTATGAGGCATTTGATACGCAGTTCTCTCTATAAATATCCGAGGTATCACGCTACTGGAGGATCGGCATATTATTCCACAATCGTTACAGGGGGAACACCGACACTAGTAAGCCTTGCTGGTATTGTCATCAATCACAAATGCTGGAGTCGTGTTCTTGTTCTTGTTCCCCCTCCTCCTTGGCAATGCGTTCACAGCCCACGACTATTATCTCCTATCATCTCTGAAGGAGCCGCATATCCATCGTTCAACGCTTACCGTGACTTGATTGAAGTAACCAAATCAACTACATCAATTCATCTATCGGCGATCTGAAGGTCCTCCAACGCGCATAAGCGATAGGATCCTCCTTATCGGATCATCCCACTCGGACACCTCATAACGACATTGGCCCGTAATTGGATCAACCCATCTTGCCCTGTCTGTGACTTATGGACAAACACCCTCCCTCGGTCGAATCGCTTCAGAGGGAGGTCACTGAACTCATTACGACATATCATGGCCGACACCGGACGAAAGAAGCGACCGAACTGGAGGCTGCGATGACGACAGCGGGGAAGCGTGCTTCTGCGACCGACACCGACCGCGATCCAACGGCAATAATTCTCGAAGAACTATCCACATGTATGAGAAGATGCTTGCAGGCTAAGCTGTGGATCGTGGCTGTAGATCTCGGGATCTTGGTGATGGTATCCTGCGAGAACCTGAAAGGCGAGCGAGACTCGATGACCTTGACCGCGATGAACAATCTCGCATCGGCCTATTTGGGCCGTGGGCAACTAACCCAAGCTGCGGCTCTCGCTTCCCGAGTCGTCGAGTTGAGACGGAATATTCTTGGCGAGACCCATCCCCAGACGTTGACTTCGATGACAAACCTTGCTTCTGTGTATCGCAGTCAGGGCCTTTGGCATGATGCGCTCAAGCTCGATGTGCGGATCTTGGAGATGAAGAAGAAGACCATAGGCCCCAGGCATGCGTCTACCTTGGGTTCGATGTCAAATTTGGCTCTCTCATATTCCAATCTTGGTTGGCATGAGAAAGCCGAGTCGATCACGAAACAACTAGTTGATCTTGGAGAAAAGGAATTACCTCGTACGAACTCCTCGCTTTTAAATTGGAAACTCAGTCTCGCATCAGCATACAGGGATCAGGGTAAGTTGGATTCCGCTGAGAAGCTGGAGCTGGAGGTCCTGGCCGCTAGTCGAGATATTAATGGACCACATAGTCCATTCACACTCATCGCTATGGCCAATCTTGCATCTACATACCGTGAACAAGGTCGATTTTCCGATGCCGAACGGCTTGAGAAGGAAGTCGTGACTGGCAGTGAGAGCGGACTCGGCGAGGCACACCCGCAAACGCTCATGTCCATAAGCAATCTAGCTTCAACTTATCGCAATCAAGGCCGACTCGAAGAAGCGAAGAATCTCGGGGAGAAGGCAACGACAGTGATGAAAGAGGTGCTAGGGGAGCATCATCCCCATACGCTGGTCGCCATGGCGGATCTCGCCGTCACATATCAGATGAACAGGCAATCAACAGATGCGGAGAGATTGGCTTCCCGGTCTCTTCGTTTGATGGAAGCAACACTCGGCAAAGATCATCCGCACACGCTCTGCGCAATGGCCAATCTAAGCTTCATATACCAGTCGCAGAGCAAGTGGGATGCTGCCGGGGAAATAGCGGAGACGCTATATGCGCGCAGGGAAGAGATATTTGGGAAGGAGCATCCAGAGACCGTGGCGGCTCTGGAGGAGCTGACGAAAGTAGCGCGGGTAGAGGCAGCAAATCAGAATGCACAACAGACATTGTATTAGACTATTTCTAGGTCTCAATATTGGAGAGGCGTTGTCGAGTGTTTCCGCGCAATGATAGCGTGTAAGGTTAGAATCTACGTAGGTACTTCAAATGTTGACATTTTATATCGAGGGACACGGGACTCCGAGAAGGTTGCCACAGGATCCAAACCCACCTGGGCAGTTTCTCCTATCTCCACAACCTTAACCCACTTGCGTTACACGTATTTCCAAGCTCTGTATCTTACCGTATCTGTATTTCCCGAGAACAGGCGATGTGTGCACCCCCATTCCTTCCAGGTTTCTCTCATTTCCCCGATACCTTCTTCATGCAAGGATGTCAACTTTGAGAGCTGGGAGGGCTCGTCTGTCCTCTGGTCTCTTTCGAACGGTAAGCTTACGAATTTGTGATTCGGTCGAACGAGCGCATCTTATTGACGATACGTAGATCCTCCGATCAAAACGTACGACCGAACAATCCACGGAATTGACTCCATGCACTTTTTCTCTCGACCCTAACGTGCTTGGGGATATTGCTCAATCCAAAGACATCCAGGCACTCCAAGCCTTTGGTGGCGTACGGGGTCTAGAGGAAGCACTACGCACCGATGTCCAATCTGGTCTAAGCCTGGACGAGACGTACCTGGATGTTCATGGGAATGTTGCCGCAAGCATCACAGGTACTAAGCTCACGGAGAAGGCCACTCTCTCTGGACCTGTTGTATTGGTGGATCTCCATCGAGATGCATTTGTTGACAGGAGGAGAGTCTTCGGGGACAATCGCCTACCCACGACACCATCCCCGAGCTTCTTGTCGTTGATGTGGGCAGCTTATAACGATCCCGTCCTCTTCCTTTTAACTGCAGCTGCTATCATCTCACTCGCTTTGGGTCTGTACCAGACATTCGGGACCAAGCATTCTGCCGACAATCCGCCCGTCGAATGGGTGGAAGGTGTTTCGATCCTCGTCGCCATCGTCGTCATTACTCTCGCCGGTGCCGCGAATGATTACCAAAAGGAATGCAAGTTTCGAAAACTCAACAAAAAGCAACAAGCTCGCGATGTCTGGGCCCTTCGCTCCGGAAAGACTCACGAAATCCCGATCTCGGACGTTGTGGTCGGGGATATGATCCACATCAGTCCTGGGGATATTGTGCCTGCAGATGGGGTTCTAATAAGGGGTCATCAGATTAAATTGGACGAGTCTTCAGCAACTGGCGAGTCTGATCCAGTCGATAAAACCCCTATTGAGACAAACCAGAGCGACTCTCAACAGGCGGCGGATCCCTTCATCCTGTCTCATACCAAGGTTGTGGAAGGCGTGGGTTTCTATCTTGTCCTGGCTACGGGTTCAAAATCAAGCTACGGAAAGATTCTCCTTTCCCTCGACACCGATATAGGATTTACCCCGCTTCAAATAAGACTTAGCAATCTTGCAAAGAACATCGCCAGGTTCGGTGCATTTGCGGCTCTTGTGCTCTTCTTGATCTTGTTCATTCAGTTCTGTGTTGGGCTCCGGTACAGGAACGATTCTGCTTCAGACAAGGGACAATCATTTTTGGATGTCTTCATTCTAGCCCTGACTGTTGTTGTGATCGCTGTTCCCGAGGGACTCCCCTTGGCAGTTACACTTGCATTGTCCTTTGCAACTACCCGAATGATGAGAGATAATAACTTGGTTCGACAACTCAGAGCATGTGAGACGATGGGCCAAGCTACGGATATCTGCTCAGACAAGACCGGGACATTAACGCAAAACGAGATGACTGTCGTGTCGGGTTTCTTCAGTGGTACCTTGCAATTTACCGATCAAGCTAGCATTTCAGAAACTTCGGGTGAAGAACCCTCTGTGGCGAAATGTATGAGCAAGCTCTCAAAGCAATCAAGTGCCCTTTTGAAGCAAGCCATTGTCCTAAACTCGACTGCAATCGAAAGTGAACATGGGGAGGATCGGCAGTTCCTTGGGTCCCAAACGGAGGCTGCTTTATTGAGATTCTCTCGGGACTATCTAAATTTGGGTCAACTTGACTACGAGCGGGCCAATGCAAAAATCGTGGATCTTTTACCTTTTGATGCTTCGCGAAAATACATGATTTCAATTTCAAAGCTTACCACCGGTTCCTATCGAGCATATATTAAAGGGGCCCCTGAGATTCTTCTCGCGAAATGTGTCACGACAATTGCGCAGCCAATGCAAGGAATCGAAACTGCACCACTCACGGACGAAGGTGTGGAAAAGATACGTCAGACAATTTCCCAGTATGCCTCGAGATCTTTGCGCACGATTGCCATTTGCTTCCGTGATTTCGAAAATCTACCCTTCATGGGTGAGGGCGAGGTCGTCAATTTCGAAGAGGTTGCGAAAGATCTCACATTCCAAGGTGTTCTGGGTATACAAGACCCTCTCCGAGCCGATGCACGGGATGCTGTAGAAACCAGTCACAATGCGGGCCTTACTGTACGAATGGTTACTGGTGACAACCTTATTACAGCAAGAGCCATTGCAGAAGAATGCGGAATAATTCGCGGGCCAGATGATATTGTAATGGAGGGTGGTGCATTTCGCGGGCTAAGCGAATCCCAGCAGAAGGAGCTGGCCCCACGCCTCAAGGTTTTAGCTCGATCTCGTCCAGATGATAAGCGAATTCTGGTTCAGTGCCTGAAGGATCTCGGTAGAGTCGTTGCTGTCACTGGAGATGGCACCAACGATGCTCCTGCCCTTGCAGCTGCTGACATCGGATTCTCGATGGGAATCTCTGGCACTGAGATTGCTCGGGAGGCATCCTCAATCGTTCTAATGGATGATACATTCTCTTCAATTGTCAAGGCTATTATGTGGGGAAGGGCAGTCAGTGATGCTGTGAAGAAGTTCTTGCAGGTAGGACTGAGGGCTTATCAACGATATCACCCCTTTATGACCGTTAGAGCTAACATTGATTCTCTAGTTCCAAATTACCATTACTTTTACTTCTGTTGGCCTTGCATTTGTGTCAGCGGTGGCCAATTCATCACAGGAATCGGTTCTGACCCCAGTACAGCTCATGTGGGTGAACCTATTTCAAGATACCCTAGCAGCTCTGGCACTAGCAACCGACCCTCCTTCTCGACGTATCCTTGACCGCAAACCCGAGCCCGTATCTACACCCTTGATTACTCCGATCATGTGGAAGATGATAATCGGCCAGTCTTTATATCAGATGGCCGTCACACTCATTCTGTACTTTGCAGGCTCTTCAATCTTTTCCTATAAAACTGCTGTTGAGACATCACAGCTGCAGACTGCTGTATTCAACACTTACGTGTGGATGCAAATATTCAATATGTACAAGTACGTGAGAATCACCCTCATTTATTTGCCTTGTTAACCTTCTTGCAGCAACCGACAAATCGAGCGATCTTTCAACCTTCTCGAAGGAATACATCACAATTGGCTCTTTATTGCGATCACCTGCATCATGATGGGGGCTCAAATACTGATCATGTTTGTCGGCGGGCGAGCGTTCTCAATCACAAAATTGACCGGCGATCAATGGGCTTATTCCGTTGTTCTCGGTGCAATTTCGATTCCCATTGGCTTCCTGTTGCAAGGAATACCCACAATCATTATTGAGAAACCAATGGCCGGCATGGAAAGAATATGGCAGCGATTGCGTCGTCGATGATTTTCTAATCTTTCATATCTTTGTCATATTTTGTTTTGTTGTTCGCCTAATCGCACGAGCGTCTTCGAATCTTGCACGGCCATCCAGACGGAACACATGTAAACTGGCTTTTGAATACCCATTCCTTTTCAGGATCTACCTGCTCAATATCGTAGTCTCTGATAAGAGTTGCCATCAACTTGAGCATTTCGAATTGGGCGAGATTGCGACCGGGACATTGGTTGTAGCCAGCCCCCCACTGTAATAAAAGTGTTAGTTGGTTTTGTGAAAAAGAGTAATTACTGGCATTGAGTGCATACATGGATCAAAAACGAGTCAATCTTGCTGGTATCGCTTTGAAGCCAGCGATCTGGATTGAAGCTGTTGCAATCCTCGCCAAAGATCTCTGGGCTACGATGGAAGACCCATGTATTTATGCTGAGAACAACCTAAAGCAGAGAAATCAGCATCAATCCAACTAGCAATCGGCATAGAGCCACTGTGATCATTCTTACTCCTTCGGGGAAATATCGGCCGGCGATGGTCATTCCGCCTTGAGGCACCACTCGGGGAAGACCACCAACAACAGCGGAATGGAAACGGTACGCCTCTTTCAGCTATTTGGAAATGTCAGTCTAAGTAAATCTAATCAAATAGTGAGTGACTACTCACACAAGCTTGGAGGAACGGTAACTTCTGCGCTTCGTTATACTGAACTATACGCGAGAGTTCACCTCGACTTTGAGCAGCATCAATCTCCTCGCGCAGTCGCCGCAAATACTGAGGATTTCGCAGCAGGAAATAAACAAATGCCTGAGCCGCAGCACCAACGGTCTCAGCTCCAGCCCCGATATTCGCAACAGCCGCCGCAAAGATCTCATTCTCGGCCATGCGATCGGGATACTTAGCGCGAACATCCAACCAGCGCTGCATCATATCATTTCTGACTTCAGGATTCTTCTTTCGGGCATCAATGGCCGCAAGACAGGTATCGAAGATATGCGAAGAAGGCTGAATCCCAATCCGGCTGAGTAGCGGATTCCCCAACGTCAGATTGTGCAGCCAGGTATAATGACCCATGACTGCGATGTACAATGCGAGGGCTTTTGTGTTTGCCACTGCATTTCTGATATCTGTGCCTGTTTTTACGAAGCCGAATGACTTGGAAAATGTGACTTCGCCCAAAACATCGAAGGCAAAGAAGCTGAACCAGTCGTCGAGCGGCACTGTTCCGTTCTGCTTGCTTAATTCGTCGAATCGGTCCTCGAGGCATTGCAGGATTGCGTCCACATGTGGCTCGGATTTGATGATGTTTGATAGTTCAAAGCCGGCTGCTACATTGCGTGACTTCTCGATGTGCCGTTTTGGGTCCAGTTCGGACATCTGGTTCACATAGTGAAAGTCTGGTAGACTGAAGATGGAGTACCATGAACCCTTTTGGAGAATCGTTAAGACTAGGGTGTAATTCGATCTCTAGAATTGCTGCATACCTTCGCAATGTTTGCGTGTAGAAGCTGCTTCACTGCGTCCGGGTGAGAGACGCTGACTTCATTTTCCGCAATGCGAACGAAGTAGCCTATTGCGCTTGTTAGTCACAGAACAGTACAAAGACTGAGAGATAAACCCACCGTGTTTCTTGTGCAATTTGATCATCTCTTCCTCGCCATGTCCTTTCCATAAATGGTAAACCTTCCACAATGTGGAAAATGAAGCCACAAAGGGGCCTGGTATATCACTGATGGGGGTCCAATATCTGCGAATCACCGCTCGCACAAGGAAGCCGACAATCGCCAGAAGCCATAGCTTACACAGGGTGACCAAGGGCCCTGAGATATATGCAAGTAAAGAGACCATTGCGATTAGCGATATCTAGTGTACACAGTGGGTTGGCATGCTCTGGAAATGCGAAACTGAAGTTATACCCAGAGGGATTTGGGGATTGGAATTGGATCTGGCTTAAAGCGACCCACGGACTTTTCATAAAAGCAGTTTGTCCGCGACTTCTCCTGAAACCACCGTTTCGTCTGGCGCTTTGCATCTAAACCGCAATCGTGAAAGCGGCATGCGTGAGCATTGTTCCGGCCGGGTCTTTGGTGGGGCCGCGCATTGACAGACTTATCAGAACGGACGTGGATATTAACTGCTAGCACAGATTGGGGATGGTGTTATTGTCCCAGAGCTAAACGGTTAGCTACTGTTAGCTTGGTGCTAAGCAACAGGGATCGTAGATGAAGGAGGGGATCACGCTAATGGTTTGCCGAGGTGACCTGGGATCCGGTTCATCGCAGCTGATCTCGCGGATTTCGCCATCTTGGAGATGCAGTGAGGTCTCTGAATCTTGTTCAAGGCACAGTTATGATGTCGCCACCCACATATCCAGCGGCCTTTCTGGCGGAGGATCGTCGCCAGCCGGCGATCATCGGCATGGTCACTGTCACAGTTCTCTCGTTCATTGTTGTGTGCGTTCGTCTATATGCTCGAGGTTATTTGATTCATGAACTAGGACGGGATGATGTTGCAATTGTGCTTGCGCAGGTAATATACCTAGCAACCCGGTATTTGCGATCTCTGACATCAAGTTGACATGTCTCTAGTTGGTCAGTTGGATAGTCTTGGGCCTATCGTCGATGGTCATCCAATATGGCTCTGGTCGACATCTCGCGGCATTGATGAAGACCCCAGACACGTTGGTCCATATGTACAAGTGGCTCGTCGGGGCTCAACTCGTTTATATGTTCAATCTTTGGCTGTGCCGGATCTCAGGTCTTGCCTTCTATGCTCGTCTCAACAATATGCCGCGATTCACCCTTTATCTTGGTATATCCTTCGTGTTTGTAACGGCTGTGTACGTGGCGCAAACACTGATCATTGCTCTGCAGTGTGTGCCTCTCGCTGCGCTGTGGGGTGGTGCAGAGGGTAAATGCATAGGATCGGAGGCTGTATTTATTTCGACTTCTGGCCTCACCATCGCTTGTGATTTGCTTATATTGCTGTTGCCAATGAGGATTATTTTTTCGCTGCAAGCAAAGCTAGCAATAAGGATAGCGCTGGCGGTTGTACTTTGCATGGGTATTTTGTAAGTTGTTCCCCGATTCTCGTATTCGACGTCGTCGGAGCTCAGTTGCTAATATGGGTCTATTGCCTAGTGCGGTTATGTAAGTAGTTTTCATATCCTCGATGATTCATTCCTAACTCACAAGACAGAACATCCATTCTTCGAATGGTATCCATGATTGTCGCCCTTCAAAATCCGGAAGATGCAACGTGGTACTTCTCTGTTGTGATGGCATGGTCTTGCACAGAAATCAGTACCGCCATCATTGCTCTTTCTATTCCGGCGTTGCGCACTTTATTCGGAATCTTAGAGCAGAACCGCTCGACGAAAGACCAGGATGACTCAAATGATACGGTATCCATTGGTCTTCGATCGATTCCTTGGCCAGCAAAGCGACGAGTATTCGAGGGTTCTCATGTTTATGCGACAAAGACGACAGCTGAAGTCGACCCTGAACGAAATCCAAGTCAGGAGGCACTTTGGGACACCAAGGATATGCATGAAATTCGAATTATCGACACGGTTCACGTGGATTATGACAGGCCACGATTCATTTAGACGCCAATAAAAACAGTGGGCTGCGTTATTTTTGTCATTTCGCGCACTAACTGAATGTATAATAAAATCTTTTGATGTGACAGAATCCGCGAGAATAGATGGCACAATATTACGTTTGACATGTATGCTCAACTAGCCAATGAGCTACTATTCTGCTTGCACGCTGCTTTGGTGAAGCTAATCTAAGCAGTGAGTGGACCGATTCATTTGGATGTGACCTTCCTGCCGACTATTTTCATTTCCGGACGCTCCATAGCCCGGAAAGACATTATCGATATCAGCCAACGGTCCAGCAGTTGCGCGCTAGCCGATGATATAGGGTTCGGCGAACACCTTCTGAACTAACAGGTTTTCCCAGTCCGAGCATGAGATGGCTTGATTTCGGCAAAAAAGGCCCCTCGGGGATGAATTGCTACAACTGATTCGTCCTTTTCGGCAGGGTCATGCAAGCATGCAAGCTGGGAGGTATTGACCATATCGGAGAAATGGACAGATACGAACGCCTCTAGTTGGGTGGGGAGACAATCGGGCTAAAAATGCATGGGTGCGCATTTACCAACACCATCCAACTTCCAAAACTAGCAATTCTCCGTGAGATGTAGTGCATTGCATACGGTTACGGGGTACCGTTATGTTGATCCCTCACGAGCCTGGGTGCGATTGTGTTTTGAATTGGTCAGACCCTTGGGACCATTGAACCACCATCAATGCTAGGTACGTTCTGATTGCCCTTTTTTTCTCTTTTCCCTCGCCACCTATCTGTGGAAGCTGTCAAAAGCACCGAGATTTCTACGAGGACACGTGCGTTCGCGTCCAGAGGCCCGGTCAGCCAACTGTGAACACGACGTACCCCGGGACAAAGTACTCCAGGGACAAAGTTAGAACTTGTCTTCCAGAACAGAGCCATGCGACAAGTCCGGGGACCTCTTATACACCCACGTGTAGGTTATCAGGGCTCTCATAGGCAGATGTGGGCCGTGCGCCCCCACCCCCGCCAAGAGCCGCAATCGTCCAATGGCCGTCAGCCGGAGCCAATCAACGGTCGTCTGCACCTAATCTATACCTAATCGGGTTCTGTTCCATGGTAGCTTGAACTGAAATGTGCTACGCCCTCGTTGCCAAGACCGTGCCAATTTGCTTGAAGCCATAAGCTTGCGGAAATGAGCTTTTCTACTCTTGGCCAGACCTTTTCACGCATTTGCTCTCCACCAAGGGAACGGGCGATGGCTGATGGGCTCCGATTGCGAGTAGGACCAGCACGTGTGGTCAGGATGGCCCAAAAGGGCAGTCGTCCTGGTGAGGGTTGCTTGCCACGGGGTCCATATCAGCCGTGGGAAGTAGAGAGATCAGATCTACCCATGAAAGCTTCCTTGCATACATAAAAGGCAGTCAATTCGTCTTGGTCTTGATTATTCTTCTCTCCGTGCAACACAAAAGCCCAGTACTGAGTCCTGACTTGATACTTGACTCGATACAAACTACCAAGATGTATCTCCACCAGTATGATTACATCTTTGCCATCGGCACGTTGTTTGCAATGCTTGACGCATTCAATAACGGTGCGAGTAAGTACCACAGCCTCCTATTCTATACTCGTGTGACATCGGCTAACCCTTGCACTTCCAAAGACGATGTTGCCAACGCCTGGGCTACCAGTGTCTCTTCTCGATCCATTACCTATCGCCAGGCTATGATCCTCGGTACACTTTTTGAATTTCTCGGAGCAGTTACTGTCGGTGCCCGTACCGCCGATACTATCAAGAACGGTATTATCCCCAACACAGCCTTCAGGGATAATGCCGGCGTCCAAATGCTTGCCTTCACCTGTGCCCTCGCCGCTGCTTCCACCTGGGTGATGTGGTGCACCCGACACTCTGCCCACGTCTCCTCAACCTACTCCCTCATCTCTGCCGTTGCCGGTGTCGGTGTTGCAACTGTTGGCGCTTCCCAGGTCCAGTGGGGCTGGAACAATGGCAAGGGTCTCGGTGCCATCTTCGCTGGTCTGGGCATGGCTCCTGTCATTTCTGGTGGCTTTGCCGCTGTGATCTTCATGCTCATCAAGTTCATCGTGCACATGCGGAAAAATCCCATCCCCTGGGCTGTCTGGAGTGCTCCTTTCTTCTTCCTGGTTGCTGCCACTATTTGCACACTTTCCATTGTGTACAAGGGTTCTCCCAACCTCGGTCTGAACAAGAAGCCTTCCTGGTACATTGCTGCCGTCACCATGGGCACTGGTGGTGGTGTTTGTCTGCTGTCTGCCATCTTCTTTGTTCCTTGGCTCCATTCCCGCATCATCAAGAGGGACTCCACCGTCAAATGGTGGATGGTCATCCAGGGGCCTCTTCTCTTCAACCGTCCAGTTCCCACCGATTCGGAGGTCGCCAAGGTTCCCAACTATGCTGTCATTCAAGACGATGAAGATCACGAGCCTCAATTGAAACTTGATGAGAAGACCCCCACCACCGGTGTTGCCTCCATCCCCAGCTCTACCGAGGAGCGATCCGTGGAGAAGCTCGAGGCCAACCAGCTCTCTTACCGCGAGCTCATGGCCCAGTCTGACGCCCGCCACAACGCCAAGCTCATCAACAGCCGTGGTCCTCTCGGCTGGGCTATGCGTCTTCTCCGCGACAATCCCATGGGCCCCGGTGAGATCTACGAGATCCGCAACATGAAGTGCTTCCTGAAACGCCTCCCCGCCGTCTGCACCGTCGGCCTTCTCTACGGTTTCCATTACGACATTCACAGCGCCCAAAGTGGTATCGAGGGTACTCCCGAGGGTGACCGCATGAAGCGCGTCTACGCCCACGCCAAGAAATACCCCAACGAAGTCGAGCACACCTACTCCTTCATCCAGATCATCACCGCTTGCACTGCCTCTTTCGCCCACGGTGCCAATGATATCGGTAACTCCGTCGGTCCCTGGGCCGCCATCTATTCCGCCTGGTCCACCGGTACCCCGGCTGCTTCCAAGTCTCCCGTTCCTGTCTGGCAACTTGCCGTTCTGGCTATCTGCATTTCCATCGGTCTTTGCACTTACGGATACAACATCATGAAAGGTGAGCAATGATCCTTCTTCATCCCAGTATTTCTTCTTTTTTACTAACGTTGTACTAGTGATGGGTAACAAGATCACCTACCACTCGCCCTCCCGCGGCTCCTCCATGGAGATGGGCGCCGCCATCACTGTGCTGGTTTTCTCGCAGTTCTCACTCCCCGTTTCCACATCCATGTGCATCACCGGCGCTACGGTCGGTGTCGGACTCTGCAATGGATCCCTCAAGGCTGTCAACTTCCAGCGTGTCGGTCTGTTGGTGTTCGCATGGATTATGACCATCCCCATCGCCGGTACGCTAGGTGGATGTCTGATGGGTTTGGTTCTTAACGCTCCTCATTTCGCCATCGGGGCTTAGACCTTGGGCATTTCTTTGTTTTTCTTGCATCAGTTGCACATGATTTCACTGCGTATATATCCAAATTATTAATCATCTTTCATTCAAAAATCAATTTAGATTTTGGAATCACATTCATCTATGTTACAGATTCTCGTAGTAGATGTCTGATGTAGTGGCAAAGCTTAATGGCGAAAAGATTTTCAATTGGTCTTGGGGCTTTCTGGACTTGCAAAAACGAACCAAGTGGAGTACACTAACGGTTAACTCGCAAAAATCCAAAAAAGATACAAAAAATAGTTTCCCTGGGAATCGAACCCAGAACCTTTCCGGAACATATGCGAATCGCATTTGTTAACGGAAAATCATAACCGCTAGACCAGGAAACTGCTTATTGGAAGAGGTCCGGATCTTTGACATTATTAGCCAGTTCTAACATCCCACTCCCCAGTACATTCTTCTTGATATCTACAAGAAAGAGCTGGGCCATACATTATTTGTTATATATTACCTACATAGGAAACATATTCTTTGATGAGATATTTGAATTTAATTCCACAAGAAAAAAAAATAGGAAAATAAGTTACAATGTTCACACTGACATATATCTTGCCACGGTCGTCGTAGTGATCTGCCATCCTCAATTCACATCTGTTCAGCAACCCTCATCATTTCATATCGCACCTTCATCAGATACTCCCATGTGACAATCTGCTGGCGGGCATGAGGCTCCATAGCCTTCCATTCCTCGGTAGAGATAACCATCTCGCCTGGCAGTTTCGAAAATAGTGTCATTGAGCGGCCGCGTGGCTCCAGGCCAACCTTGAAACACCTGAACCGGAAATCCATGTACTTCGACGGCTCGTGAGGTTCTCCAAACACAAAAGGCTCTTTTGGAATTTCCTGGAGCTCTGGGATGAGCTTTGCTATCGAGCGTGCAACCATGTATTGGGCCGTGGCCAAGTCGGAATCAGTCATATGGGGTGCAACCTGATGACCTGGAGGCTTACTCAAGACTGTGGATAGCGTTGACTTTTGGGCATTGCTCAGGGGCTTTGATGAGCCGGCTGTGTCCTCATCCACAGTGCCGTCTGTACCGTGTAGACTGTGTGCAGAGCAACTGATCTCGGCATCGGATTCGTCAGAACTTTCCGTTGCGGCGTCATCGTCGAAGTCTTCTCCAGAGCTGTACCCAAGCTCTTCGGCCAGAACCTTTCCAATGAACAGATTGGCCGGGTTCTGATAACGCTCTAGTTCCTGTGTCAGCTGTGTTTCGCTGACTCTGGTTACAACCTGCCCCGGACGGCAAGGCTTCCGGATCTTGTGAATCGCACGTTGTTTTATGGAAGGTCGCTGCAGATCAAAGAAAGCATCTCTCCAGGTCAGCAGGGGTCTTTTGCGCTTTCTTTCGATCGGGATGTTGTCGGTTCCGCGAACTTTCTTTTCATACCGAGTCGTAAGAATCTTATCATACGCACGCAGTCTAACCAAACGAGTGTAATCAGTAATCCCAGGCCTGGTAATATCCAAGTAAAAATCCAGCTCCTGACATTCAATACCCTTTTCCGGATCCACGGCACAAACCTGGGCCCGCAGGAAATGTTTATGAGCGGCTGTGAAACTCCCGCGCAGAAACTCGACTCGACCCATCCAATACTCACACCTGCCAATCAGAAGCTCGTTACCTGATTCTTTGGCAAGTTTCATCGCGAAGGTGACCGTTTCCCAGGCTTTATCGGGCTTTCCCAGAGCAATGTATTCTGAGGCTGGCAAGAGGAAATAGTTAATTTCGGCACTGTAGACCAAGGAGATTGTTTCGTCCTGGTCTTCTCTGAGAGACTTGTCCTTGAGGATGTATTCAAAAACTTTGGTCTTGTTTTCTGACATCTCGCGAAGTTTGTGCACAAGCTCTCCCATCTCCTTTTCGAAGGCGGGTGGTGTAGATGAGCCGGCTTGCATATCGGGGGCCGCATCGAACAGGTCCTTGAACTGGATCAGAATTTCTTGGTCCATCACAGTCCCTTCAAAAGGGTTTGGTGGAATTGTACTAGAGGAAGGGGACCCCGGGGGTGACTGAAGGTCTGCATCCTTCCCCACTTGGGATGGGTTGTCGGCCATGATCGACTATGGTTTATCAATCTGCCTGCGCTTTGGTACTTTTTCTTTTGCTTTGTTTCCCGTTTGATTTATTGAAGATAGCAAATGGGAATAAGAAAAATGTTGTTCTTGCACGCGTCGAGATGAAAGTAGAAAGTAGAAAGTAGAAAGTAGAAAGTGACGATTGATGGTGATGTTGATGGTGATGGAAGTTGGCAAGATGAGAAAGTGCTGGCTCTTATGTTATTCTCTAGACGCGTTAGCGCGAGAGACAGCGCGTCGTAAAAAAAAGTCGATCAAGACACTTGAAGACACAAAGACAAAGGTAGCTGTATGTAGGAGGAGACTTGATTTGGTTCTTTCTTTTGTTCCTTTCCATCCCATTGTTATCCTCGCTGAAACCGAAACAACACATGATGCTACAGTAACGTATGACTATCCCGCCTTTTATATTGCCTTTCACGTTTGCGCTTCTATACGAATCCATACTATGACGCAGACTAGATGGGGTGTTTGTGACTTCTACTTGATTTAGGGTCCATGGTGACAATGCAACTCTCGCCTGCTAAATATGCGATCTTTATCATGCTACCCCCACATTCATTTTGAAAGGATGATTTCATCTTCTATGTGTTTCCCCCCATGATCCATAGTCACTGACCTTTTCGGATCCACCCGCAATTCTGCGACAAAAGGACAGACTGATGTCAAGCTTGCGAGATATTTCCTTAACCTGTTGATCGATCCGCTCCATTCTTGCCTGTTGGTGCCTGTGGCAGGTAAAAGTCCCGAGCATCTTCATGTGGCCTAGAAATGATTCCAATTCTGACAGTCGCCCGATCACAAGCACTCCCATCATGTATTCGTAGTCACTACCTCCAATCTCGTATCCACTAAGGGCCAATGATTGTCTCTCCATCATGGCTGGTGGTATGAATGATCCCTCTGGACCGCCGACAGCCCTCTTCGCGAGGAAGATGTCAATCACCTCCCCGCAGAGAATGGCTAATCGCTCAACCACCATTCCGAGCATCATCATATTCTCCGATTTGATGCGGCAGGACTCATAACAGATCATGCGCTGGCACGAGGAGAGCACTTCTTGGTAGATCAATAGGACGGAATCGAGCCCTCGCTCGGTGGAATCTTCATTATTAGGGGCAACTCTAATTCATGGAGTAGTAAGACGGCAGAGGGGAGACATGGGTAAGTTGATTGCTCCCCCAGAGTGATACTGGTTATGTCCGTATTTGATGAGTTGCCCACGGTCGGGGCCACAGTGGTGGTAAATTGATGAGTTTGAAGCGTGACACCAGTGGGTGATAGCTGTGGCAAAGGGCCTTCTGATTCAAAGCTACGGAGTTTCCAATGGCGGGGAATCCCCCCGAGCCCTCCAATCTCTTCAACCGAGTTTGGCTTGAAAGCGTCCTCCCCTTCCAGAAGCCAATCGAAGGAGCTAGACCAACCCGAGCCTTCCTTGAAAATTAGATCTAGGGCTGATGGCGCATTGCCTTGAATCCGATGGATCGGCCTATCTATTCCAACATAACTCCCGCCTTCCCCATGCGGTTCCATGGGCTGTAAGTTTGCATCTCCCCGCGTTGGAGATCCAGCGACCTCCGCACCAATTTCCGGACAGATCTCATTTCGCTTTTGAGAAGCATTAGGAGCCTGATTTTCTTCGCTTTCTGTACGGGGGTATGAGTATAGCTGCAAGGAAGAGAAAGACTCTTGCACGGCACACACCCCGCTCTGCGTCCGCTACAGCGAACCTATTTGACACATCAAAATACGCCTGTTAGTCATTCTGGGAAACCAAGCCATAGATTCATGCGGGGGATCATAGCAAGATTACCAACCTTTTGGACGCGACAATTGTCACAGGCCGAATGTTGGAATTTGTTGGTTGCCGCATTTGCCGCAACCCCTAACTCGCGCTCGAGGAATACCCCGGCTTTCTTCTCAGGCAGATAGCGCAGTGTTCCAAACATTTTGGAACTAATTTATGTCTAGTGATCTAACAGGGAATGGTCAAAGATTCGCCTTGTTTTTCTCATCTTCCATGTTTGCCACGAAGACATGAGATATGCTTATGACAAGGTACCTCAAGCGCTAAATATGCAGACTGATTGTTCAGATCCAGTCCTTGGACTTCCAAGGGTAATTTCGATACCGGAAGTAGCCCTGGCATGGGTAAAGCTAATCCACTTTCATCTTTGTTAGAAGATGGTTGCTTTGTTACTCATTAGTCTGAATGGAGCGTGAAGGGAGTGCAGATTCACTCCAGTGTCTGAATGCCAAAGACAAAGAAGTGGATGTGAGGGCAGGGTGAAACTTGGCTAACCTGATTAGACATGCTATGTATCTGCAGGTGCGTAAGCAACCACAGTGCGCTAGAGTGATCGGGCCGGTGCTAAGGACCCCAGGCTCGCTGGGCAGCGTTGGGGCCAGAGTCCATGCGTCAAAGTGAGTACTTCTCACAGTATGAGCGGATATAGCGACCAAATATAGCGATTTCTGAATAATAGGTAAAAAAAAAAAAAAAAAAAAAAAAAAGAGCGTACCACTGCCTACAGTCTGTGTTCGCGCTGTGGTAGCGTGTCCTCAAGGACAACGCGAGGACACGAGCATATGCGAGCACTAAACCGCCCAACTGAAGGCCGTGTCGTGCAGTGGGCCTTAATCCCAAACTCAGAATTCTTTAGAGCTAGATCCTTCATATTAAATGGGAGCATTTTTGCTAATTAAGCGCTGTTACCCATAGCCTACTGTGATATAAATGTTGGCCCGTCTATCGAGGACGGCGCGAAGCCACAGCGATAACGCCTAAAGGTAAGATCAATCTTTCTAACCTAACCTTTTTTTCTAGGAAGGAAACTGACCAAAAAGGCAAAACTTTACCTCTAATACACTTATGATAACTTTATGTTAAAATTTTCAGATATTTCGCGGACGCACACCCCCTTAATGACTTCTCTCAAGCTTTCCGTAGACGATATCCCTTCCTGGACGGGAAAGCAGCTATCACCACGAGGATTCTACCATAATCCCTCGTTTACCCTGCCCTGGATATTTCTATTGAAGAAGCCAAGCAGCTTTTCGAGGTCAAACCTTTGGGTGTTATTGCGCTAACACAAGCTTTCACCCCGTTACTTCTCGCCACTAAAGAGAGCAGTACTATTGTGAACCTCTGCTCTATCTCGGGTTTCTTATATGTCCCCTGGATGAGTCAGTGTCCTCCACATTGACAGTTATAATAGAAATTCAATCGCGTGCTAATAACTTCTGATAGGCGTCTATAACGCCTCAAAGGCTGCACTTATGGCTTGGAGTGAAACTCTGAAATTAGAGCTGCAGCCCTTTGACATCCGCGTTGTTTCCTTGATAACTGGTTCTATCGCTACCAATGTCATGTCACATTCTAATCTGATATTACCATTAAACTCGATTTACCAAAAGGCACTTTCGGCAATCCAGTTGCGAGGCGTTGGAAAAGATGTGAAAACCAGGAGCACACCTGCAGAATTTGCTCTGGAAGTTGTGAAGGATATCTTGGGTGGAGCGAAGGGACCTTTGTGGCGTGGCGCCATGGCTTCCATGGTGAGATGGATGTCAAAGTTCATGCCGACATACATTTTGGTGGGTGACTCCATTTTCTATTCTCCGGCCCTTTCCTGGTGAATTAATACTGACTCGCATTTTATAGGATCGGGCAATGAAAAGGGGTACTGGGCTGGATCGGTTGCCGTGAAAGAAGCATGTAAAGGCTGGATACATTAAAGACCTGTGAATAGATCTAGCTAAATATTCGGATGATACCTGCACCTTTTTAAGGCTCCTCATATCTACGTAGAGATAACTTTCTTCCGTAAAAGTTGGCACGCAATAGACGGCCTCGAAGCTATCAGCCCACACACCTTATAATATTTCTAGACTGAGAACAATTGTGACAGCCAATAGGCGATCTTTATTATGCTAATTAGCTCTCTATTTTGATGCTTTATCGATAAGTGTAGCAGAGAGATATTAAATTAAGTTGAGGATGTGACGGCTGAGTCGATTATATGTACTTATGTGATCTGTCACTTGCCTGGTTTTAAGCTTTTCTTTCTATATTTGCCGGAGGTGGAAATTACCCAATCGGGTAGTTCCTGCAACATCCTAGATTGAGACCAGGGAATTTAGCAGGATTGACAAAAGCGAACTTTCACATACAGGGCTCTTACTTCTATTTGAAGAAGTTTAGGTGACTCCTAGCTAAAATCTTACCGAGTAATAATATACGCAATACGATTTTAGAAATGTCACGCCGAACACTAGTCCCATGCGCGCTTCGATGAGCCAAAGAAACATAACCTAGTTGGAAAGAGGTTTCTGTTAATTTTTGGATGACCAAACGCCCGCATTGACTTTGACTTCAGCAAAAATACAAAGAATTATCCAGAAGACCAAGGTGTGGAGATTAGTTGAGAATTACATTTTGCTCCCTCAATGCTGATCATCAAGCTTCAGATTATTACAATGGTATATCCCACTGCAAGTATCCAGTCATCCTTGTCATATACTCACTCAGAGGATATCAGTCCCAGTGGATCACTCCGACTGAACTGTTTACTAACCATGACGAGGCTGGTCAAGTTTCTTGCAGCTGTCAATAAGAGTAATATGCCCTGACATCCCTCGCATCCCGCTTAATTAATCTAAATCTCGCTATTACCCCTTTCCAAATTGATTCATTACCTTAATCTAACATTTCCAAAATATTTTCGCCATGATTTGACCCAAACTCGGCTTATCACGGAAGTCTTCAAAGGACCTTCAATAGATAGCTTTGTTGATTTAAAAATAGAATAATGAATGATCTCTCACCACTTGTAACAAAGCCTTTGTCTCAAACAAAGTCTTTATACTGAAACTAGAACTTTGGAGGTTGCATCCATGGTCTCTTATAAAAGTGAACAAAGCCAAATGTATTGGCCGAATTATCAGGCACCGATATAGTACAAACCAGCCAAACAGAGCAAACTACCTAGGTAATAAAATTGGCAAACACAATCAACCAAGCAAACTTCACAAAAGTGACAAATACCCACTATGACCTCATTTATTCCGCAGCTGGCCGCCTGCAACTTCGCAGCTCCCCACATTGAGGCATCTCGACAAGCAGAATGCAACTGCAGCCACCCAATGGGCTACTTGAAGTCGGGCGGCATAGCCCGGCTGGATCGGTTTTTTTCTAGTCTATTTTGTCACCACCTCTGTGGGCACAGATCTTTCCGTAATCAGCCACTCATACGACTCGGCGATGGATCTAGACTTGCGGGGGTTCCTGCTGCAAACACGTCGCGATGAAACCGGGTTGAGTCTGCAGCTCAAGTAAAATTATAAAGCCCCTGTGTTTACCTTCCATTGTTAGAAATTTGATTGTTCCCCTCCTTTTGACATTTATAATTCTCACTCATCTAGGCCAAGTCGCTGCATCACCGGCTACACCCCTGGACCTGAACCACGGCTCCTTCTCAGCTTCAGTTCTATAATAATTTGTCATAGAGGTAGCAATTACAGGTCTCTGCAGGTATGATTCTCAGTCCTTCGGTGTCTATTTCTAGCCATCCGTATTGAGGCATTTTTCCCTCACTTCAATCCACCTGACAAATCCTGTACACTGAACCACCTACTTACCCTTTTGACTCCTGTATTGACGTCTGTGCTCTCATAGTTATGTCTCCTACCGCGCTCAGAAACCTCGATACGGTGGAAATCGTGAACATTCAACAGGATGACATGGAGTTTTCTCTGGTGGATAATATCTACAAGAATTTGGACCCGCCACCCGGCAAACAGCGCACCTTCCCCACCCTTCTACTCTACGATGCCAAAGGATTGAAGCTCTTCGAGAAGATCACATTCTTGGACGAATACTATCTCACCAACACGGAGATTGAGATTTTAACCACTCATGCGAAACGGATAGTGGAGCGCATTCCAGAAAATGCACAGCTAGTGGAGCTTGGCAGTGGGTCCGTTAGCCGCCATAACCCTGCTAAAAGGAACTTGCCTATCAGAGTGCTGACATTTTCTTCTTGGTTTTTTTTTAGAAATCTGCGCAAGATCGAGATCTTGCTTCGTGAATGTGAGCGAACAGAGAAGAAAGTAGATTATTATGCTTTGGACCTCTCGCTGGTGGAGTTGCAGCGAACGTTCTCCGAGATATCACCCGAGAGCTTTTTGCATGTAGGGTTCCATGGTCTCCATGGGACTTACGATGATGCTGTTAGCTGGCTGCAAAATCCCGAGAACAGGAAACGGCCCACAGTGGTCATGTCCATGGGTTCATCTATGGGCAATTTCGATCGCTCCAGTGCTGCAGAGTTCCTCGGTGGTTTTTCCAACCTTTTGAGCCCGTCTGACTTCATGCTTATTGGACTGGATGCATGCAAGAATCCGGAAAAGGTGTATAGGGCTTACAACGACAGCGAAGGAGTTACCCACCAGTTCTACGAGAATGGACTGCTGCATGCCAACGCCGTTCTTGGCTTCGAGGCCTTCAAGGCCGATGAATGGGACATCGTGACTGGTTATGATGAACGCGAGGGCTGCCATCAAGCCTATTACTCCCCAAAGGTCGATGTGACCATCAATGGGATCCGGATCCCTAAAGGAGAGAAGCTTATCTTCGAAGAAGCGTGGAAGTATGGGCGCGACGAACGGGAAAAGCTGTGGCGCAGTGCAGAGCTGATTTCTCAAGTTGAGTTTGGAAATTCCACAGATGATTACCGTAAGCTTTGACCTTTTAGCCTACCTGAAACTGCAAATGACTGACTTGTTTTGGGATAGATATTCATCTGCTCTCACCAGCTGCGCTAGATGTGTCCACGAATCCATCGAACTATGCCACCCAGGCAATCCCAAGTATCGAAAATTTCCAATCTCTGTGGACCGCATGGGATCTCATGACCAAAACGATGATTCCTCGTGAGGAGCTTTTGTCCAAACCAATCAGCCTTCGAAACGCCCTGATTTTCTATCTTGGCCACATTCCTACATTCTTCGGTATGTCTTCCAAAGACATACTTTTGTCCTAATTGCTAATTCTATTTACCGATAGACATTCATCTGGCACGGGCTTTGCAAGAGGAACTTACAGAGCCGAAGCATTATAAACAGGTATTTGAGCGTGGCATTGATCCCGACGTTGAAGATCCGGCGCAATGTCACAGCCACAGCGAGATACCTGAGCAATGGCCACAGTTGGACGAAATTTTGGACTATCAAGAGAGAGTTCGAAACCGTGCCCGATCTATTTTGGACGAAGGATACGCATCTCAAGACCGCGCGCTCGCAGAAGCTCTTTGGATTGGCTTTGAACACGAAGCGATGCATCTCGAGACTTTCCTCTATATGCTGCTCCAGAGTGATAAAACCCTCCCTCCTACTGGGGTCGCTCGTCCCGATTTTGAACAAATCAGTCGCCAGGCCAAGAGAGACGAAAAACCAAACAAGTGGTTCAGCATCCCCTCTCAATCCTTGGAAATTGGCTTGGACGACTGTAATGAGGAGGTGATGCCGAAGCAATCATTTGGATGGGACAACGAAAAGCCTCAAAGAACAGTTACCGTGAATGCTTTTGAAGCTCAAGCACGCCCTGTCACCAATGGCGAATATGCGAAGTACTTGCAGGCCGAGAATATTGAAACATACCCTGCGTCCTGGGTGCTGAACCCCGATCAAGACAATCCTGTTTCCAGAGGCATTGATTCTTCAAACACTCAGGCCTCTCCCAGCACCAGCACTACAGGATTTCCATTGGGCAATTTCTCAGTTCGAACAGTGTTCGGACCTGTGCCTCTCAGTCTTGCAGAGGATTGGCCATTGATTGCTTCTTATGACGAAATTGCTGGCTACGCCAAGAGCATGCATTGCAGGATTCCTACCTTTGAAGAGGCTCGGAGCATATATCACTACTCCGATCAGCTCAAGAAACATCAAGCCACGATTGATCAGAGGTATGTAAGCGATCTTGGCGCTCCTACGACAGAAACTAACCCAATATATAGCAATGGAGTCAATGGCGTTGCTAAGGGTCCCGAACCCTTTTCTGCCGACCAGACAATATTCCGTGATCTCAGCGGCTGCAATGTTGGATTCAAACACTGGCACCCTATTCCCGTCACTCCAAATGGCGACCAGCTAGCTGGCCAGGGTGATATGGGTGGTGTTTGGGAATGGACTAGCACGCCGTTAACGCCACACGAAGGCTTCAAATCTATGGATATCTACCCTGGATACACATGTGAGTGGTAAATTCGTTGACACTGGGACTCCAACTAAATTATCTTAACAGCGGATTTCTTCGATGGAAAGCACAATATCGTTCTCGGGGGCTCTTGGGCCACTCTCCCCAGAATTGCTGGCCGGACCACCTTGTAAGAACAACCCCTCAATCTGTCAAGAAACCAACCTGCTAACACATGCCAGCGTCAATTGGTACCGGCATAATTATCGTTATACATGGGCTGGAGCGCGGCTGGTGAGAGATCTGTAAATAGACCCTGATTAGACTATATCTACATTCAGGTACGCGGAAGTTGTCTGGGGGATCCCCGATGACAATGACCTCATTGTCGCGATAAGAGATAAACAGCGGGGAGCGTAACGTGACTGCCCCTCGTCCTTTCCCCAACATCGTCTCCAATTCCTTCTTTTCTCCTGATAGATGAACTTGAATCATACATGAAATATCTTACATGATGTCTCTGGAGACTATTACGACCATTTCCCCTGCTACTAATGAGCCCGTTGTCACCCGCACCGGTATCTCAGAGGATGAGCTGAAACAGCTCCCCGTGACCGCCCAAGAAGCCTTCCGATCATTCTCACAGTCCACAACTCTAGAAAAAAGACAGAAGATTGTGGAACGTGCCCTTGATATTCTGGAAAAGAAGCAAGATGAATTAGCTCGGGAGATTACTGAGCAGATGGGCCGACCCATCGCCTATACCGGCGTCGAAGTCGCGACCGCTATCAAGCGTAGTCGCTACTTGACCCGTATTAGTACTTCCGTGTTAGGTGAGGAAGGAATCGTGCATGGAGAAGAGGAAAAGGGTTTCAGACGGTATATCAAGCGGTCCCCTGTCGGTGTGGTCCTGATTATCTTCCCCTGGAACGTGAGTTTGAACTGTGATGATGATATTGGTATACCCGCAGTCCACTAATTAGTGGATCCATAGTACCCGTACCTCACCCTTGTCAACAGCTTGATCCCCGCCATTCTCGCTGGAAACGCCGTTATCCTCAAACCATCCCCCCAGACTCCAACAATCGCCGAGCACTTTGCGTCTGCTTTTGTCGCAGCTGGTCTTCCCGAAAATATTTTGCAATTTTTCCACTGCGGATCTTTCACATTGCTTGAAACTTTGGTGCGATCGCCTCTAGTGAACCACATCTGCTTCACTGGCTCTGAGGCCGGTGGGCTTTCGGTACAAAAGGCAGCTTCTGATCGCATCGTCAATGTTGGTCTAGAACTCGGTGGCAAGGACCCAGCGTATGTGCGAGAGGATGTGGATCTCGCATGGGCTGCTGAGGAAGTTGTGGATGGTGCCATCTTCAACAGTGGACAGAGCTGCTGCGCGATCGAGCGCGTCTATGTTCACGAGAAAGTCTATGATGCGTTTGTCGCCGAAGTGAAGAAGGTGCTGGGCAACTACCGTGTTGGCGAGCCCTCCGATCCCAAGACCCAAATTGGGCCTGTCGTCTCTAAGCGGGCGAAGGAGGCTATTCTTGCGCACATCGAGGATGCTGTCAATAAGGGCGCAAGGAATGAGACACCTGCTAATGAAACCTTCGAGAACTTCCCTCCAAACGGCAACTATGTTAAGCCTACCCTGTTGACTGGTGTTAACCATGATATGGCTGTGATGAAGGATGAAACATTTGGACCTGTTATCCCTGTTATGAAGGTCTCAGGTGATGACGAGGCTGTTCGTCTGATGAACGACAGCAACTTTGGTCTTACTGCCAGTGTCTGGAGTAAGGATGTTGCTGCAGCTGAGAAGCTGGTTGAGCGTGTTGAGGCTGGCACTGTCTTTGTCAACCGATCAGACTTCCCTAGTCCCGTAAGTGCAGCTTTTTGTATTATTGTTGCCATCCCCCGCTAACCGAAGTGCCCTACAGGATCTCGCCTGGACAGGCTGGAAGAACTCTGGTCGCGGTGTTACTCTGAGCCGATTCGGATTTGAGCAGTTTGTCAAACTTAAGAGCCACCACATCAAGGACTACCCCAAATAGATATGGGCTAGATTTCATGGTTGCATGTTCTCAGAGATGAAAACAGGATTTGTTAGATGGACTACTACTTGAAGGATAATGAGTGCCTTCTCAACAATCTTCAACGTCTTTTCCTTTCCCTACGAGCTGTGATAAATGATACCGCTAGGTATACTAATGGCACAGTCATGGATACCGTTATGACTTTATTCACACTAGAACATTCAATACAAACAAAGAAGCTACCACGTTGCTTAATATTGACCCATCAGAACAAAGGAAAATTAATCACACAAGGTTATGGGCAAGCCAACCTAAGATAGCTGGCACGCACACCTTCCAGATCGAGGATTGTACTCCAGAGGCTGCACCCGAGCATTTGATCATAGCACCTGTGCGGGCACATGCAGTTGCCGTAATCGACGCAGACAGACTCAATGCAGCCGCCGAATCCATCTTAACCTTACAAGGACTAGGTTCAGGCGCTGAAGAAGGAATAGCCGCACACGAGGAGCGTTCAGGGTAATCTCCACCCGAGGCATCTAACAAGCGCGTAACATTCAACGTAGACGACGGCAGCTTAGCGCAAGTGCCCTCTTCCGTCGCGGCGGCAAGGTCCTGCGCCTGGGTGTCATTTCTGGTGCTGAAGTAAAGCTCATCACCTATGCCGAAGCGGGAGTTTTGAGCACTGCCATTTACGGAGGTGCAGTTCAGAAATGATAGGGTCCAACTGAGTCTCCAGATACCTTCCATGTTCAGCTGCTCGGTGGAACTATGCACGAAGTACGTGTCGTTGTAGGTCTCGCCCAGGTTCAGTTTCATACCGTCTGAGACACCCCAGCGTTCGCTGCTGATCGGCCTGATATTCCATGAGAGTTGTAGGTCGAGGATTGAGATGAGATCGGAGTTCTGCACGGCGAAGACAACTGGCGTCAGTGCGGTGGGGGCGAAGGTATCGTTGCGTGGGAATATCAGGTCCACCTCCAGGACCTCTGGTAGTGTGGGCGTTGCAGCCGAGGAGCGTAGGGCTTGCAGGGCTACGAGGAGCCAGCTTGTACGGAAGATAGCCGTGATTTGAGGAGTTGCTGGTGAAGATTGGGACTCGTGAAATGGACTGACTTTAACCTGTTCTTTTTTTTCGTTCTAGCTTGACTCGCTCGCCAAGCCTCGTATAGACGGGATATGTACCGTCTAGGCTTATAGTATGGGGGCCGAACGCGGGAGTGAGCTGGTAATTAAGCCAAGGGCTAAGCCTTGTCGATGGCCAAAGAACTTACGGTAGGGATCAGAGCTCTATATAGTATCCTGTGCCCGGCCAGGCAGCAATGGCTAAAGGTAAGGCTAGACGGTCTGTGAAGTGTGGTTCACATTGGATTAGAAGATCAACGGGATATGCAAATGGTATCTAGCTTAGCCTTGTGCTCCGTACATCGGCCGGATAAGTTCTTGAGGCATCATAACTGGCGGAGCCAAGATGACTATGTACACAAGCTGTATTAAAGTAAGAAAGAGTTGCCATTTCCGCGGGATTCTGAAATAATTACCTCCCGTTCGTGTACAGCAACTGGCAAGTTCGTCGGAAGTCCGTTCTCGGGCGATCTTTGCCCGTTACCCCCTAATGGAGTTATCCGTTGTCATCGATTCACCACAAGCCCCCGTTATACCCTGTCATTCGAACAAAGAGGCAACTAGCTCTTCGTATTCTCATGAGCCCAGTCCCGCTGTCAGATAACAATCCTCTTCAGGTTTTGATCGTGGGGGCAAACAATGTCGTGAGGAGATAGAAGAATCAATATTACATTTATTCTCCCAACGATTAAAACAAATGCTTATGTCAAAAGCCGACGTTGCCGGCTTGCATATTGAATGCAAGGACCTATGAAAATGGCGCCAGAAACAGCCGCCTTTCCACCGTAATTTTCAGCGACACGCTCCTCGGCCACCCCATCACCCCTGACCACTATTCTGCACCCGCCAAGCGCTGTTGGTCATCTTTCCGAGCTATGCACCTCCAAGGTAGGTAGGTAGGCGGTGTTCGTGCTGGGCCTCGGCAAGTTGCTCTCCCTATTCCCGATCACCACCAAACCCGCGCCGAAAGTGGCCCCCTTTTGTAGCAGCCAGACTCCCTGTTGAGGCCTACAGATGCGAGCCTCGGGGAGGAGGGAGAGTTGCATTGGACAATATTTCTGCTCGCGGAGAAAGCGTTGTCCTGCTCGATCAAAAATACTGTAATAGGATATTGCAATTAAACCGTGCCATCCACAAATCTCTGGATCTCTTCAACCTTTGTTGTCATAGTTGTCCGCTGTAACCAGTGTCCATATCTTCCAGTGGATCATTCAGCCTTATACAGTCGACAGGTATATTCTCGACGATAACATTCAGGACTGCCCCGGTTTGAGAGGTTTCCGTGGGGTTCGACGAGAGCGTTTCAGACTGAAGCGAGCTGGTAATCGCTGCGTGCCTCTCAATCATCACCGAGGGTTGTGAGCCACCTTTGCAAGCAGCCACGCCGCCACTCTCCTCTTGCACAATATCTCTGGCATTTATATGGACCTTTCCCCTATCTATATCCCTCTCATTCTTCTTCTCAGACGGTCCATCCATCCCCGTGTAGTCTGTTTTCCTTTGTTTCTCGGAGGTCGGCGTTTAAAAGGATCATTGTTGCGGTCACAAATGCCGCAAATTAATAGCAAATCCTGAAATTTACTGCTGGAAGAGGCTGAAAGTCTTCCTCCATGATTGAGTTGAGTAGAGAATGCCTGTTCTTATCAGAAGAAGTCGTGGGGTGCTTGGCTTGTATCGTGGCGTTAAACCCGAACGGGGAAAACAGGGTCTAGTAGACACTTTCCCCAGAATGAGATCGAACGGGATTAACGGAATTAACAGAACTAATGGAATTAATGGAGTTAACGGTGGTAGGCGAGCCCCAAAAGCTACCTGGGTACAATCAATTGATATTTGGGCATGTACCATACTGACCGGCCCCTATAATTTTGTTACCAAAATTGCTGGGCTCTCGCTAATAAGGGTCTGATACCTATTATCTCCGTAGATTTCAACAGCACTATTTATAAAAGCTTAGTTACTTTAACCTTAAAGCGTCGCTAAAGCGGAGTCTCATATCAAGTCGAAGCATTTGAGCCATAGCCATACGACAAACACACATGTCTCCATCAGCCCTTCCACCTCCCTTGCCGGAGGACGGCAACGGCAACGGCAACGGCAACGGCAACCTCGGAGCAATCGGAGGGCAAACATATCAGGTCAAGCCGGAAAAGGAAAATCAGACCGCCGAGTCTAAAACACCGTCCACTATGGCATTCTCGTCTGTTAATGGTGTAGATGATGGTCCTGCTGCTGAAGCCAAAGCTGTGGATGAGCCGCCAAAACCTGTTGTGGATTATCCGAAAGGTATCGAAGCCTTGTTCATCATGGTTGCGCTCGTACTTAGTATCACCCTCTGTTCTCTGGATCAGGCGAGTTCTACCGCTCCAAGCTTCTCGTAGAGTCGTCTGCTGCCAATGCAATATATCACACGCTAGTAAGCTGATACTCTCCATTCAGACCATTGTTGCAACCGCTATTCCAAAGATTACCGACCAATTCCACAGGCTTGACGATATCTCGTGGTACGGCTCGGCTTATTTCATGACGCTCGGAGCCTTCCAGTCAACCTGGGGTAAAGTGTATAAATACTTTCCCCTCAAAGCAAGTTTCCTGGTGGCAATCTTCATCTTTGAACTTGGGAGTTTGATCGCCGCTGTCGCCCCAAACTCAACGACTCTGATTGTTGGACGCGCTATCTCCGGTCTCGGTGCCTCGGGTATCGCGCCTGGAGTATACACGATTTCTGCCTTTGCTGCTGAGCCCACCAAAAGAGCTACTTACACGGGGGTCATTGGTGTGTCATATGGTGTCGCCGGCGTCTGTGGACCACTCATTGGTGGAGGGCTTACCAAAGGGGCATCATGGAGATGGTGAGTCAAGAAAAATTCCCTGCTTTGTCTTTGTTGCAAACATGGGAGTATTTCGAGTTATCTCATTCCGCCATGACCGGACCTGTCCTGATGTGACAAATTTAGGTGTTTCTATATCAATCTTCCAATCGGTGGTCTGGCGGCTTTTGTCATCCTGCTCACCTTCAAGACCCCTAAAGCTGCTAAAGTGGTCCAGGCTACGCTCAAGGAGAAGTTTCTACACATGGATCCCATAGCAACGGTGCTTACAATGGGTGCACTAGCCTGTTTGCTTCTAGCTCTTCAGTACGGCGGTGTAACCCATGCGTGGGGTTCTAGCGTCGTTATCGGTTTACTCGTCGGCTTCGTCGTCATAGTCGTTGCACTTATAATTGCAGAAATATGGCAAGGTGAGCGCGCCATGCTGACGCCACGCATTATGCGCAAGAGAACCGTCTGGGCTAGCAGCGTATGGGGCTTCTTCTTCGCTGGAGCGTATTTCGTCACGCTTTATTACCTACCTATCTATTTCCAAAGCATCGACAACGTCAGTCCGATTGACTCGGGTGTACGCAACATTCCTCTCATTCTCATGTTCGGCATTGCCACATATGGCTCAGGCAGAGCTATCACAAAGACGGGTATTGCAACTCCTTATATGGTAGCTGGCTCTGTTATCGTGACTATCGCCGCCGGTCTCCTGTATACTCTCGACATTGGGACCTCGGCGGACAGATGGGTTGGGTATCAGATCTTAGCGGGCTTCGGATACGGCCTCGCCCTCCAAGTCCCGGTCGTCGTTGCGCAGGCTTTTGCCGCGCCAAGCGACATGGCTCCTACGACTGCGATTATTATATGTAGGTTCTCCTTCGCTCTGTCCTGGGATATGGTCAATTTTTCTCGTCCCCTTGTATCCCCAAGCTAAATTTATTCCTCGCGCACAGTCGCTCGATCTGTCGGCGGCACACTTTTGCTCGCAGCCGCGCAATCCGGGTTCGTTAACCAGATCGTGCACCAGCTTGCCAACACCGCACCGAGCGTCGATCCCGCTCTAGTCACGGGTACCGGTGCCACTGATGTGCACCGGCTATTTTCTGGAGCCGAGCTGGATGGAGTTGTCCGTGCGTACGCATGGGGTATCAAGATTGTTTTCGCAATTACTATCGCGGCCTGCGGCCTCACTGTTCCCTTCAGCTTATGCAACAAATGGGCCAATGTTAACGCGAAGAAACCCAGTGATGGCGGTGCTTGAAACAAATGTTCAGAGAATTATGCAAACGGAGTTATAGCTGTTTTCTCGTTATAGAAATTATCTCTCTTGTAAGATGATTTGGATAGCTTAGAGAGAGGACGGAATGGAGGAATGCATCGAAGAAGGAGATTGGGGGGTACTCGAGGCTGGCTACCTACATACTCTATTGGAGTAGGACTATCGAGTGGGTTATATATATCATGCCTACCATATTTGATAATGTAGCTATCACAAAGAAATTCAAAGCCGATGAAAGATTTTCAACCTTTTAAAAGCAGATTCCCATATTGCAGATGTAAGTAATATGCCCAGAGAAATAGATCTACTTTTTGAGCAAGCGAGCGGGCTGCTTAAACTCCATTTCCTTTGGGTTTGCTCTATTAACACCACGAAGCTCTCATACTGTCAGTTCTTTATCCATCGGAAAAATTGCCAAAGAGGCGCTTCAGACTATACCTAGTAATCAAGATAATTACGGCAATCAACTCCAAGGACATATTCATACTAAAAGTCCTGGGAGGCCGAGGCACAAGAACCTTCGAATATTGTCAATTATCGGCGAGCAGAAATACTCCAAACACTCGCAAAGCACATAATACAAGCGATGATGATGATATATCTATCTTGAGGGTAATCTACCTAGGGCCTCTGAGTTGATTTCGTCAACTAACATCGACAAAACCAATTCTAGCGAGTGTGAGCCCGGATTTAGGCGAGGCTCCACATTGACTCCGCTGATAATACACATTCTGGCTCTTCCTTCCATCAAGGCCGGCTGGCCCAATGGCAAGGCGCTTGACTACGAATCAAGAGATTGCAGGTTCGATCCCTGCGTCGGTCATCATTTTTTGTCGATTCTATATCGTCGGGAAGAGTCTCTTTCTATTATTGCGGTAACATATTTTGAGCGTCCGTTTCTTTTTGGCGATTAAATATCACTCTTGTCAAGAATGTAGTATATTTTTACTGCCGCGGGAAACAGTTTGGTTCTCTGAGGGATAAATTCTCTGGGATTGTACAAATATGTTAATCCTGATTTACATATGCACCATGACACCTACTCTAAGGTGATTGGAATTACCCAGTATCGAAAGACCTTGCTAGTAGGCTAGCTTTGCTTTAGCTGATTGTTTTGGGTGCGACCATAGTCTTCCAACAATGCTTCTTTTTGTATGTTTTTGACAGTAGACTATGGTCAAAACAGGTATTATAAATCTCCATCGGTCGTCCATAGCTAATATATGATTTAAGCTGCCTACGAGTCCCTAATTAATGGAACACTCTTCATACTCAATCGCCCCCCAAAGGATATTATAGTTTTATGTCTTACTCCTTGAAAGCTTACATATTTTATGATGCCTTTTACCATTTCCAAGACACAGCTGTGATGACTTGGTAAGACCGCCCCTGCTATGCTTGATGTCTACAGTGTGGCGTGTGGTGGGCGTGGTGCGCGAAATATCTGAAATGACAGGTAGCGCTTCTATCTAACCAAGTACAGCTCGAAGGTATGTCATGGCATATATTGCATTTGTTCTGGGCATATTGAGGGGATCGTGGGAGTTGTGAATAGCTGTTGCCTTTGAGAGGTATTCGAATGCTTCGGCTACCATCCCTTGTTCGGTGTAACTGCACGCGATCGAGTCATATATGTCTGCGATTGGAGGAGAATCCCTTTCCTCCAATTCTTCTCGCAATTTTAAGGCCCTCTGATAGGCAAACAGTGCAGAATCTGGCTATGCCAGGTCTGGTGCGATCTGACCTAAAAGCCGACAAGCGTATGCATAATTTCGACTGGACTGAATGATGTCGAGCGAAAGGCCATATTCGAAAAAGTACCGTGCAGTGCTTGGTTTTTCGCACTCCCAAAGATATCTTTTTTAAAGTCAGAGCCTGGAAAAGTATGCCAATAGGCTAATTCGATAGGGCTATTTAGACTTACGTTCCAGCGCGGAAGATCAACTCTGCAAAGAGCTCCAGGTTGGTAGGCTTGAGTGAATGGGTTTCAACCAAATTCACCAGTTTGCTGACATGAGGCAAGACGGTACTGCAAGTTTGCTATGATTTCCAGCTATGACCTTGTTGATTTGTTTTTTCGACCCACGAATTTGGGAAGTTGGAGGATAGTATCCGAATAGCACAATCCAGGTACATCAATATTTCTGACTCAGACAAACGAGAGAACACAGTAGTTTGAATGAGTCTGTGTAATGTGATTGCTTTCAATGCGGATGATCGAACAACCAATGACGCTCTTGCTAGATTCACGACAGCATCACCGAACCTGTTCGTTGTAAGCAAAACAGCCTATAACAGAAGACAATCAAACCTACTCAAAATCGTCTAGTAAGAAACTCAAACATGGCTCAGTAATATTCGCCTTTTGATTCGAGAGCAGGCATTCTGGTACTGCGTCGGGATCGAAGAAGGCAAGCAAATTCAGCAGTATCTTTCCCTCAGTGGACAGAGATTTGAACGAAATATCCCAAACCGTGTTCAATGTATGTTCGTATTGTAATGGCACCGCTGATCTTGCGAATATCTTTGCGGCTGACCTTTTGTAAACAGGCAGAAGCTCCTGATAACAATAGCCACGCTCATTCATGAATTCACCGATCTGTACCATGGCAAGGGGGAAGCCACCCAGTAGTTGACACAATTCTTTAGCAGCCATTGTATCCTCTTCACTAGAGGGCTTAAAACCAGTCAATGAGACAAGGACTTCTGTCCCTGGCCCAGCTAGAAAACACTCAAGATGTATGACATCCGTGCTTCGCTTGGCTGCAACTGAGCGCGAACGACAAGTTATAATCACAGACCCTTTGGTGCTAGCTGGCCAAAATTGTTCCAGAATTCTGTGGTCTGCAACATTGTCAAATATCAAAAGGAAAGTCTTCCTTGATACATTCAGCCGATCTCTCACTTTTTGGATGCATCGATACTCATCTTCTGCATCTTCCTCTTTTGGTATACCAAGTTTAAATGCAAATCTCGCCAAGGCCTGCATAAACCTGATTTGCGTCTCGGATGGAATCAAAATGATCACATCAAATAGCTCTGTCGAAGTGTTGGCGTGCTGTAAAGCAAGTTGTGTTTTTCGCACACCCCCTATTCCGCAGAATTGAGATAACTTTCAAGCTCTGATTATGTGCATCAGGGTCAAGCAGGCTCTTCAATGCTTCATTCTCTGTGGCTCTGCCAAAGAACCTATGGTTGAGACCGTATGGTATGATGTGGCACGGAGTATTCATTTCCTCAGTTTTCGATTCCTGTACGCAACTCATCGTGTTGAGGCCTACAGTGTGGGACTCAGAGAGAGGAGGGAGAGAGTTGTATTATGAAAGGAGACTCGGCTCCCGACTATCTACCTATCTGGTGGGGTTGTGCCTGATCATCACGGGACCCTGTCTCAACACATCGCGTTGATTGTATTCGCTGAGTGAGACTGTCTAGAAAGGAGCACTGTGTCCGCTGTCTCATCGACAACCCTTGAGTAGTGTCGGATATTGACGATGACCTTGGAAATATCATTGCTGAATCTTGACCAAGCCCTTGTATTGTGAGATAGATTTGGGTTGTTTCGGAAAAAGGCAATGGAATGAGCACAAAACACGACTATCTCCGTGTAGGTTGCCACGAGAGCTTCTCCCAATGCACTTGTGATTGACACCCTTTGGTTATCGATTCGAAACCCGGGGAGAGCTCGAGCTAGTTCTTCGAAGATATCGAGCAATGCAGGAAGGACTGGTCGAGCAAGCTGGACAGGATCTTAACTTGAATTTCCATATATGGGGAGGTCTCACTTCTCCTACCTTTAAGGTTATTCCTATAGACCCCCAGATAACTGTTGCAACCTGACCCTTCATTCCCAGAGCCAATGTAATTACTGCCGCAAGATCATTTAGTTTGAGCAGTATTGGCTCGAGCCTTCGCAGATTTGCGGCCCATTGACCAGAAAAGCCGGAACCAGGCGAAACGAAATCATTCATGCGTTGAAGAAGATCATCTGGGCTGTGGATGCTCCAGACATCGTGATCAATGGTTGGGCCTTTGACTCCTCTTGTTCTCAACTCTTCATAGTATCTGTCGATAGCCCTCTGCCATGTTGGGCTCTTGTAGTTTTCAATTTGGGCCTGCTCTCCAATTCCGCCAAAGGCCCTGTCAGTCCCTTTGGGATCGAACGCGCTTTGTATACTCATTTTGGGCTGTGAGAGGAAGAGACACGGGGAAGAGCTTTCTGAACGAAGGCTTTTCTTGAAATTGCAACGGCAGACGGCATGCTGCTCATCCTACTAATAGTTCTCGGTGGATAATACAGTCCAGGGCGAAGCGCGCGCCAAGTCCAACTAAGTGGGCATTTAACCAGGTCTCTAGACTTACAACCCAATAGATTTTTCTAGCTGTGCGTTTACTCCACTGTTGAGACAACTAACTCCTGGCGGCAAGAATGGGGATTTCTCCTACCTATCAAAAAAATTATTTGTAGCATAATCCTGGTCTGATACAAAGTATATGCAATGTTCTGCAATACTGGGCTTTCTGGCTGGTGGTTATTTTTGGCGGCACGAGCATTCTACGACGCTTTATCCAAGTCACATTGCGAACGTTCTCGATGGTTTAGGGCTTATTTTGCCAAATTTAGCAGACACTAGGTAGAATGAGGAACAATTCTTGATTGAATATTTATACTACATGCCCTGATGCTTCCACTGGTCATTATACAGCGATTACGAGGCAGTTACACAGTGTATATGGTCCTGTCAGCCCCTTAGGCGCTATACACACTCAACCTCGGTTGCTTTCTCTCGTATGTCTACGGTCTACCCCGTCGATCTAGCTGCACAAACTGAATTTACAACCGTGCCTTTTACGTGATAACAGAGGAAGATCCTCCGCTGTTCAAAAGTACACCGGTCATGTGATCCTATTTCCTGATTTCACCCCGCCTTTAGCGAACAATGCAGTTCATTTCAACTCATTTTTTTGGGCACTTAACAGCTTATTATTTGATCTGCTTTGACCCTCTTGCAACGTGATATAACCAAAGGAAAATATTCGATATGTCAATTACCCACCTCGTTCTATTCCAGTTCAAATCAGATGTGGCTGCTGAAGCTATTCAAGCTGTATGTTTTATCATAGACTGATACCGCATCATATTGATTCAAATATAAGCGACAGACGATTTATAACAAATGCTAATCATAATCTCAAAAGGCCTGCGGGCGTATGCTTGATTTGAAAGACAATTGCCTACATCCATCATCGCAAAAGCCCTATATCAAATCAGCCTCGGGTGGGAAGGATAACTCGCCGGAAGGCATTCAGGTGAGTTGCCATAGAGTTCTCATTCTGCAATCTTGAAATAAATTAAGAGCAAGTGATTAACGAAGCACCCCTTTCCTTGATATAGAACGGTATTACACATGCCTTTGTGGTAGAGTTCGCGAGTGCTGAAGATCGTGACTATTACGTACAAAGTGATCCGGTCCATCAGGGGTTTATCAAAAGCCTCGACGGGCTCGTCGAGAAAGCACAGGTCATTGACTTCACTAATGGTGTTCTTTGAGAAACCTCGTTCTTATTTTCAGAGTTAAGATAGCTGTTCTAACGGGATACGAAGCTTTGAGGTTTGTAGATATCGTGAAATTATAGACCGCTGGTTACGTTTATGACATGTCGATCGAAAGGTTAGAGCATTGATGATATATATGCCAGAAGCTGAGTCACTCTCAACTTCTGCTGTATTCGCTCTTGTCGTTTTTGAGTGGATCTATTGTCAAAACCAATGTGCCCTAGGAACCTACACCGTACTGACTGACATCAAATCTACACATAGCACAGATAGAAGTGCAAACCTTCTGAATCTATCCCGCAGAGGGTCATGTCTGCCCATTGCTTACAAATGACCAACAGAAATGGACCGCTAAGGTCGGGAGAACATTCCCGGCAGACTCTCCGGTATGCACTTGAGTTTAATGGACCCAGCAATGCGAGCTAGTATCTAGACGTAGAGAACCGACTAGGACTAGCGTAAATATGTGCCAATGATGTATCTTCCCGTGATAGGCTTTAGATCCTTCGGCAGGACTTTGCAGATCTAAACGATCCTTGCATTCTGAGGACCGTAGTACATACCGGCCCTAAGCTCATCGTGTGTCATGTGTCGAAGCACCGGAATAGTACCCCGTATAAGCCGAATAGGCACGAAATACAGTATAATAGAATTCAATAGGGATTCAATTGAGTTCCCGTAACTATCTCGTAGCTTTGAGTTATTCAAGGGCTCTTTAGGTTTGCCTCAAGGTTCTAGAATTCCCTACCCCTGGGGTGCCGTTTATGTTAGGGCTCGACTTTGGCTAGTCCGATTGAAACACTCATCAGCGATATTCCCGAAAGACACGAGAACGAAACGCGGGCACAATAGATCTTCTCTTATCTCGAATAGTCTCGTTATTGGGTTATGCAATGTAGCATCGCAAAATTCGTGCGTGGAGGCTGAATCAACCTTTGTGGGTTGTTCTCTGACTCGGCATTGCTCCGATGCAAGGGAGATGTGAAATAACAATAACAAAAGAAAGATGTCCCAATCATTCCCGAACCTCGCAGTCACCCGCAAGGGCCCTGCTATTTTGATTCAATTTGGGGAATTTCTGGAGACAGACGGGAGTCGAGCTATTATCTCGCGATAAAGGGAAGATCTGACAAAGGAAACCGAAGACCGAGTCCAGGGACCCGATTTTAAGATTCTTCCGGAATTGTCAATGAGGCTGAAACATGCATTAACCATTACTTTTCCTGTATAGATATGGGGTAAAGCTCCACTTGTGACAATACGGGGAAGGGTTCATTATGGCATTAGCTGTCTCTACTCCGTACGGTATACAGAGTATACACTAGAAGTCTAGGATCCGACTTTTAGCCCCGAATAGCTCCGAATACGCCTGAGTATCCAAGTGAAGAGTCCGCAGCTTGCAGGATGATCCTTTTCGATGATGTATCGATGATGAATCGACGATCGATAATCGATCGCCACGGGTAGAGAAATAGCGATCGACCATGCATCCGCGAGATGTATGGAATTGCTTTGCCGGGATCCGGGATCGATCGCCCGATCGAGACAAAAACCCAAAAAAAGGAGAGAGGCAAAGAGGTATTCAAATCAAGCGAGTAACATTGCATTCAAAGGACGAAAAAAATCCATTCTCCCCTGAGCTAGGGACAAAGAATTTCTTTCCCGAGCTTCCAAGTCGCGCAGGGTTCTTCCATGCACATATCCGACCCGGCAAACGGGCACTCAGGGGCTCGGCGACTGGTCAATATCGAGATACATATCCTGTACTCCGTATTCCGTATTCCGTACGCCGTACTGGGGGAAGACAGGATAGAATCTGCACAGAAGTTTAAAGCGAGATGGGGCTGTGCTCCGAAATGGGACGCGAAGAATGAGAGGGATAGGTCTCGCTAGGGCACGAGCACTTTCTTTGCTTCTTCTCCTTTTCCCCCTTTCACCTCGTCTGCCGTCCAATAGCTCCACTGAGGGTCAAATGCCTAACCTGCATGGGGGTTTGAGCTCTTCCCTGCAGCCTGCGAGTGATGGATGCGTGCCTGTAATGCCTATCTGTTATGTTGTCCCCGATGTTTTGCAGCAGATCGTGGCAGTATTGTCCGACTCCAGGTCAATGCCCGTAGAAAGCATCATCATCGGAGTTGAGCTTTTCAAATGCTTCGTAGAAGTCGGAATAGGTAAAGGGGACTCTGAATATTCAGATCTGTCTTCAGAGCCAAAGTCATGCCATTCACCCAGGGAGAGACCCGCCGGTGCCGCTAGGGGAGCAAACTGCCAGATTGAAATGTGTCACCGTCTGAGCAAAGGGACAGGGGAGTGTTTTCTGGAGCAAATACGAGCCTGACTATTTGTCCATGCCACAAGGTCGGTGTGCGGCTGTCGCCTAGCCAAAGACTGGGCGAGACTGTGGATCGGGTTGTCCTTGACACGCCCGGAATAGCATGGATGTGCATTCTGCAGGTGCCGGTCACTTCGCATAGACTAATATATCTACTCCGTGCTCTCGCCGCCATTTTGACTCTCTTCTTCCCCCCAACGCGCCTTCGTGGTGTAGAGTAGCAACAATTTCCATTTCTTTTTCCTTTGTCTTTCTTGAGGTACTACCAACAACACACTTTCGTTACGCATTGTCTTTCGTTATATAGCATTTGTTTCACTCCAAGCGTTGCCTTTATTCTTTTCCAAGTTCCTTGTTTGCATCCAAGGACCCTCAGCTGGAATCGCCATTGTTCCGGCTCCTGCGAACCCTCTGGCTCTATAAAAGAGCCGTCTCTCTATTCATACGATCAACACCCACAGCAACAATCCATCATGGGATGCTTTCGGCAGATGTTCCAGTTTCTTAGGGGACCTTTCAGGCGTCAAAAGGAGAGAGCCATTGATATTGTAAGTCCAAATGAAAAGGGGATGGTGTGTTGCCAGAAAGAGTCGCTAATGACTACACAAAACAGGGTCCTCCAACAAACTTCCGAAAAGAAGAATTACCAGCTTGCTTCTCTGATGCAGAGTCAGTCCTCTCGCCGACCCAAACTCCGACAGCGACCAGATCTGACAAATCAATCACAGCACGCTGACCTCGCAGGACAGTCACACAGCGACCACGGAGAAGGACGAAACAACGATCGAGATGGTGTCTATACCATCATCACCAAAGACCAAGATGCAGGGCCATGTTCGAAGACTAAGTGCAAGACTGTCGCAGTCTATCTCCATGAGCGGATGAATCCTTCCCGTTGGTGGCAACCGAGCCCAGCTGCAGGCCATCGGCACCAAGGACCCGACCGAACCGATTGAATTGAGAGAAGTGAAGATCGCCCCGACGGCGTACTAATAAGGAAATTGTGGGTTGAATTATGGATGGTCACACCAAGAAGGTGGGCACTTCGTTGTGTCGGGATTTTTTTGGATCTAAATTGTTTCCACCGCCCGTTACAGACGATTGTTTTGTTGAGGATTCTCTCGTATTAGTAGAGATAGAAGTATTTACCCGAGATGACTCTGGCAGTTCATCGAGGTCATCAAAAAGCGATTGGACTCTGGACTTAAATGCGTTCGCTGCAATAGGTCGCCCATGTGTCGGTCTTGGTGTTCGCTTTGATATAGACGTGCTTTGTATTTTCGATCGCTGCGGAGCTCGGGGAGTTGTTTGATCATCGACCTGATCGTTTTGGGGTGTAACTTTTATTCTCCTGGGCGGTTGCACCACGACAGGCAAAGATTCAAGATCGATATCATCATCCGAGCCCGAGGCCGTCTCCTCATCCAGATCAATGCTTTGGATCTCTGCTTCCCTTGGTTCGGCGGTGATGCTCCCAATACTGTTCACCCGGGCTCGTCTAGTGCCTAAAGTAGACGCCTGTCCAAATCCAGCAGCAGCTCTAGTAGTGGACTTGGGCAAGTGAATACCGGCCAAGGATCGTATTCTCCGTGGACTTGTCATGAGATCATGGAGATGTGTTCCAGCCCATCTCTGATCATCCTCATCCTCATCTTTCTCGTCGGCTCCTCCGTCTCCTATCTGCGCGAGCCCGGCTTTCTGTCGCTCCTTTAGCGCCTCAGCTTCTCTTTTCCGTTCAACTTCCTTCGGTAGTGGTGTGCGGCCATCTGTAGGCCTTTCGATTTCTTGCAAGCCGGCTGCATTTGCAGCCTTTACTTCTTTCCTCAATCGTAGGTACTCCGCATGATGTAGATGCTGGGTGAATGTCTGCGCGACGGCGTAAAACTCGTCTTCCACCATAACCCAACCGTCATCGTGCTTAATGCCTTCGATCAAAAATCTGTAGCATGCCTATTAGCGAAGCGAGCTTGTTGGTTGCGTGAGGCCGGACTGCGATCATACTCCTCGGGAGGACAGCTTCTGAGGGGGGATGTGGGCGGACTTTGAGCTTCGAAATGAAACCTCAGGTTAGATTAGGCCATATATCAATTGAAGGCAAGACATACAGGACCTGAAGAAATCGCGCTTGCTGGGAGAGACTGGCCGGTATCTGGGGGTGAGGTCGCGATCCGGACTGGGTTCGGGTTTAACGCGTTTCCGTGGCGTCGATTCTCTCTTCACGGAGGATGCATTTCCGGTCCGGAGCCAGGGCAATGTTCTGGGCATTATCAAAGAGCGTATAGAGAAATTAAGACATCGCTAGGTGTGGCGAGCAAAGAGAAAGATTATAGTGAGTAAAAGAGAGCCGCTGATAGGCATCCATGCAGATGGCCGATAAGGTGAGGTCACCCGCCCGCATTCCGCAAACCTTCAATTTGCAATCTTAGACTTCACTACAAACTAGGACTTTTGCGAGTATGAATCTCATTCGTTTGGGTATCTAATGCCATTTTGAGCATTGTTAATGCAAGATAGAAAGAACTGGGACCGCCTCAAACGCCTTGTGCAGGATATATCACCGAAATCAAGGACAGCACTGCCGGTGGAACGCCTATTCAACCAGTTGAGGGAAACAAAAAAACGCCAGTATCTCTGCCCATGCAAGTATATGCTTATGCCTCACCGGGTCGTTTGCTATTGCAGCTCACGATCTTCACCTTGTCCGCGGTCACAGTCGTCTGATTATCCAGCTTGAATGAGACATCCTTGATCAGGAATGTCCAGACTTCGTCGCAGAACCGGTAGGTATCGAGATGGCCCTACGGAGAGAGAAAAATGAATAAGTTAGCTTCGTTGGATGATAATCAAACCATGGACCTCGAAGAGTTTCGTCCGATTCAGAATCAGTTACCTTGAAGGTCAGTCTGGCCCGGACTTTGTCCGCCAAGACTTCAGTGACAATCTTGTCAAAGGTTCCCAGAATCTTCATCGCCAGCTGAGGCTCGATACGGCCTTCGTTGATCAAATCATCGAGAGTATCAGTAAGGGACAGACCGAGGCTAGACGTTCCTTAAGTCAGCTTTGGAGCTTTCAATTTGCCTCAAAGTTTATAGTACCTGCTGCCACGATACAGCTCATAGTAAGCCACTGATGCCATTTTGAGATGAGATAATGGCAGACTCGTCAAAAGGGAATCGGGAGGATGAGTGACAAAGGAAAGTTCATGGATCGCCGGCCAAATCGCGGGGACGGTCAGCCACACGTGACTAATATCACGTGGATTTCTTATCGGGAATTGCGTCAGTTATCCGATGAGGTTGATGGCAGGAAGTCTCTTGAGCATGATCTTCTAATTACATGCACATCAAGTTCAAGGCTTGCTACAAAATGTTTGGGAAACAATTGGGGTCTATGTCTTTTTCAAAGGCTATATCCACGCGTCAATTACATGCTTCTTGCGTTCGATCATTATCTACAACCTCGCCCAGGTCATCAAAAGCTTCAGGTTGGTTAAGTATCTGCGAATGAACATGCCAGAGCTAATCTATAAGCATTGGAATGATAGGCTCCGTTGAATCCAACCTCAAGCAAGAGAAAAACAACCAGGCATCCGAGACCCCCTCCTCAAGCCAAGACAACAAACGCCACACGCTACCACCTAAGGCTAAAACCGTCTCTCAAGCCGACGCCGAGCTTCGCGAGCGGCTTGAACAAATGTCTGGAGGAGGAGGAGCCTCCGGAATAGAATATGAAGACGGGAAACCGAATGCAATGAAGCGTGGCGTGCGAAACAACATGTTCCGACTAATCTGAAGCAATGAACCTGGACATTGTCATTGCATGCATGAAGTATGATCAAATCTAATGTCCCGGATGTATATCTAAACGAGGCCTCATATCATGCCATGTGGCCTTAGTTACAGATGCCAAGACGTGTGGAGAAAGAATGTGCCCTGTCACCTTTCTGTTCTGGACTCTGTCGACTTTGTCTCCGTGGCGAAGATGCATACTCCGTACCAGAATCTGGCTTCGGTTGAGTTTACCCGATTTGGCTGCGCAAATGTCATTTTCTTGAATACGACATTTGGTGAGGCATGATCGAAAGCATTCCTGCATTCTCCGATTACGATTCCTAGGACTAAGCCGCGCAATCAGCCATGGCCGGAATCCTCTTTGCCGTTGCTTCCGTTGAGAAAGAGATTCTTGCGAATGCAACCTTCGAAGCCGCTACAGAGAAACTCTCCAGGCACCGACTCGCAATTTCGCCACATCTCTCAAAAGAGCCAGGCGATCTCCACGCGTTTGGATACAACCACAACTCTCTCCGAGGATTGAGAGGTGCGATGATCCATAGCCAACAGGAGGTATCCAAGCTTATGCCTTATACGCGGCATGATTAGATCGTCGGAATGTTTGCTCATCCGGTTCCGTCTTGCTTTGTTGCTATGGGTCTAGAACCGCCCTAGGCTTTGTTGACATCAAGTTACCCGAGGATCCGGGGGCGAATCTGGAGGAACGGGTCCGACTGCTGCCTGAGCCTGGCCAATGTTCTACTCAATGGCCGTAGACATGGGTACCCCTCCTCCCCATCTGTTTCAGGTTGTTGCTCCTGAATCGCAGCTTCCATTGCGGAAGAGGCTAGGTCGACTCCAACTTGAAGACAGTTGCCAGACCACAAAAGAAAGTGAATCTGATTTATTAACCTTCAAAATAGCATAATAGTCGCAGAAATCAAATCTCATTTCTATGCCGTGAGTTCCAAAGTGCAATGAAGGAACAAAGTAGGAAATAACCCATCAACACCTGCACTCGAACCATTCCAATTCTCATTGCTTGACCTCACCCACAAAGAAAAAAGAACAAGCAATGCTTGTTGACGCACCCAAAGGGAACAGCTTATTTGCGAACGACCATGCCAGCCAAAACACCAGCACCAATGACACCGCCATCAGAAGCTTCTCGTAAGAAGACCGACTTTCCACCTCTTTGGGGACCAGTCCGCATGATGAGACGGTCGAGGTATTGCTGGCACATCTCCTTGAATTGCGGATAATGCTGGATAATGCCACCGGTGTAGGCTACAACCAGCTCTTCAGGGCCGGACTGCCAATCTATAGGCGTAGGATCGAGGACAGGAACAACATGCTCTTGGGCTGCGTGGCTGATGGCGGCAGCAGTATAATTCAGGCTTGCAGCAGCAGCATCGGGAGTACCAACGAAATCGGCGATAGCATCGCCGTTGCTTTGGGGTGAAGCCGGGTTCTCGGGAGAGCTGCTGTTGCTGTCCTCCTTGAGCTCGATCTCGCGGGCACAAGATAAAAGCCCAACCACCGCAGCAGCGATCAGTCCAGCTGATCGTCTCTGTACTGTACGAGCAATCTTTCGGAATGCGCCCGCGGTTCGGTAATCCCAACGCCAGTCGCTGCTTTCGGGAGCAGGGAGGGATTCGTTCAGTGATATGGCGAGGTCGTTGTCGGATCGCGCTTTGGCGACCGTGTCGGAGATGTATGTTGTTGTCAGGGCATATTCTTGGATGAGGTTTGCGGGTAGTGAGCGTTTCGATAGATTGGCCACTGTTGTGAGATAGTCGAACAGGATCAAGCGAATCAGTTCACCGATGTAGCGGCCGCCAGTCATGTATTCAAAGGGCTGGAAGCCAGGGCGCGGACAGGCCTGGTCTAATTCAATGTCCCATTTTGTGGTTACCCTGAGCTCTTGTAGTGGCGGCGCAGCACCTGAAATAGTCCATTCAGTGTTGACGATGGTTTCCACAGCGTTGGGCTCCATTGTGTTGACGCTCTTGGCTTTTGATTCGTGCAATGCACTAAGCTTCATTGGAATGGTGGCATTGCAGCCAGTACCCACAATGATACCCATGGCGACTCTGCTGTTCGGTAAGGACTTGACCTTGTATGCAAGGGAAGCTAGCGTGGCTACCGTGTCGTTGGTGATTGCTTGTATTTTCAGTTTTGGCAATGCAAAGAGCTTTCGGCGTTTGGACGAGGGTTCGTCTTCATCATCGGGTCGTCTTGTGTGTTTTTCATATCCATTCAGAAGGATCTCACCGAGATTCAGATTAGATGAGATGGTAAAGCCTTTACCCATGGGCATCAGTGTGGCTTTTGCCAATGATTCTTGCCTGGATTTTGGTCAGGATCAAGTCATACCCAATTTCCAGCATCTTGAAAATTGGCCAATCAAGAGCAAGAGGAAACACTTACATGATGGGGAAACTGAATGTGATTCCCATATCTAATTCGGCTGGAATATCTTTCTTAGTGGCATCCGATGATAGGCTTTCCGCTACCACCTCGGCAATGCAATCACCAATCCAGGAAAAGAGATCCTCCGCCTTGTCCATTTTCAAATGCTCTTGAATAGGCCAGGCCCGTTCCAGCGTACGCTTCACCCGTTGACGCTGAGCCTTCCGGATCGTGTCTCGTGACCTCTCCGTGGCATCCGTAGGACGAACATCAGAATCCACGGCGTCTCCAAGCAACTCGATAAAAGCAACCCGGAGATTGCTTCCTCCTACATCGATCGCTAGATAACGACCAGTTTCCCGACCAGTAGGAAGCTGAGTTACGGGTGTCGGCAAAAATTGCTGGTTCGATGTTAGGGCCAAGTTGCGGTATGTGGTCGAAAAACGACGGGCCAGTTTGTACAGCTTGGCCTCATCCAAGAACAGTGGTGATAGAAAATGTTCCAGTTGCTGCTGATGCGCGAGGTATTCTTGTTGAGCAGGGTTCAGCCCCGAGGTGAACTCCTCGGGTTCCTCGTCGTCGATCAAATCGTCATGCATAATGTCACCTTCCCCGTCGTCCTTCTTGGAAGATTTCGAGTCGACAGAAGCCATGATGGGAAGTTGACTGGCAATGGAGAGCCTAATTGAATTTCCTTTAACCAAAGGCCGAGTCCAGCGTGTTGTCGCCGAGGATACCAGCACGTTTCCAACACGACTCTAGCCGTTATGTTCTCAACGGTGACGTGGTCTGGAATTAAGAATGCAAACAGGGCACCATATCCTTAAAATCCTTGAGTTGTGGAGACTAGCCGCAATCCAACGGCCAAGGAGCTAGCTTTGCAGGGAACTGGGTCCTGAATTAGTGAGGTAGCAATAAAGGGCAAAGCGAACATTTCGGTGACGCGGTCTGCACGATAATTCGGCTGCGGGGGAAAACAGAAAACACGACGATCATGCCAGAAAAGCGCACCCAAATCCCCCGTCTCTAGTTTACGTACCCTGGAATTTGGGGATGCGCTGATCACGTCAAAATTATTATTTCTGCTTCAGGGATCGGGGATGGTGCGCAAAGAGACTGCATATGAATCTTTGGAAGTATCCCTAGAGGGAGGTGCGCAAGAATGACCAGGGTATGGCTCCCTCTCAAACAGGACAACCGAGAATGAACACAAAAGAACTGAAACGAGAGAAATAGGAGGTATCAAAGAAGAGCAAGGGAAAGATTCCAGGTACCTTTTTAGTGCTGTTTCCAAGAACGAGAATAGTCGGAAGTGGGGAAAATCTATATCAGACGGTGATACTCAGATTAATCATAATAGTCATCACCATCAAGAATGACCTAGGTATAGGGAAAGAGTAGAAGAAGAGAAATTCACGGAGTAAATGTGTAAGATGAGATGCGACCATCGGAAGGCACGAGGCGATGTGACGCTGTTCTTGAACGCGGGACAAAAGTTATAAGCACCCCGGCAGTTGGCCTTCCATTGGGTTGAAACTTTCTGGATGACTACGGGATTTAGGATCCGCTATTATTTGACACCTTGGTCCGCTCTTCTATGAGCTAAATCGCTATGACGCGGTCGGGTCTCCCAACTATGTAACCCTACCTAAGCCATTTGGACGAAGCTGGAGACCTCCGCTAAAGGCCTCGGCTACTAGCTTAGAGGTCTTCTCCGGCTCAACGCCAACTGCCCCAGAAATCTTGGCAGTCTCAAGGTTAGACGAAACATACGAGCCTACGATTTGAAAGTGCACGGCCGTGAGATCCAACTGCAGGCTAATGCCTCCTTTCGACAAGGAACCCCGGTGGGAGTCAAGGATCCCGTCTTGGAGCAAGCGCCAGAGTATCCGATAGAGGGTCCATTCTAGAGTGCAATTCGCTTGATACGAGGCTCGCCCAGTGCGATATACTCGTGGCGCTCGCGTGGGAATGGGGCCGGGCATACCCGTATCCAGACACAGGCGCATCCAGCGACGGTTTGATCCAACGGGGATGAACCCGTTCGCGTGGTTTTACTTTTGGTCGTCCGATAGCTCCCGCCACAGAAAGGTGTCCAATCCTACTGGAGCTTATTAAAGCTGTCTGAATTTGGCTTTTGGCCCGGACTTGATCACCTGTTCCCCGACAGATAGTTCCGATCGTAGCTCTCAGTGGCTCTTGTGGCTCTCGTATTTGGCGCGGTTCTATCACACATCCATCCATGAAGACTTGGTACTCCATATACGAGCCTCAGAGCTACAGGTATCTTTCAGAGCACAAATCACAACCTTAGAGCACGCAATTTCAAGCCAATATGCACGGTCCGGCCATAACCCATGTCTACGCAGGCCCGGTGTTGCTATTCTTGAACGTTTGAAACTTCAGCTAGATGCCGCCATCTAAATCGTCTCCGAAGTCGGAGCACGGTCTAGCCCAAGGTGCCTTGGGTTCCGTGCCATAATATATCCCGTATGGAGTATAACCTCGGTGACTGACATACCGTAGGAAAGCCATGAGGTCTGATTTAGACAGGAAGAAGGATAACCTTGTTTCCAGTCTTCTTCCAGTATGTTAACAAGGATACCCACAGGGCTGCATTCTCTTTTGGCCAACAATATGAGGTTCATACATCGACACTGAGTCACTGACGGGTCTTTCCAAGGTTACTGGCAGATCTTACGTAATGACTTGGGCAGGGGCGGAGTGGCCTGCTCTCCACATGATCTTATCAGAACAACGTCACTTCTGCCTCTACAACTATCATGGACAAGCTACCAATCCACTCCAAGGAGGGATATGGAGGAATTCCAGAACCAGCAAACAAATCTCACACGCGTCCTAGCACAACCACATATTTGTGGCGAACCGGTATCGCCGCGTTGTTCCTCGTCGGCTACTACGTCTTGCTGTTAAAGCCAGCTTCACGATGTGGCAGCATAGCTCCACAGACTGAGGGCTATCAAACTGAGGTTGCAGTGGAGTATAATGATATGAATCTGGGTCATCTTGCCTTTGATGCACCTAAGATATTTGAGCAAACCAAGATACCGCTTGAAGCTCACATCATGAGCAAGTGCCCTGATGCCCAGGCCTGCTTACAGAAATTGGTTTTGCCTGCCATGGAAAAGATCAGTGACAAAGTGGACTTCAAATTATCCTTCATTGCCAGGTGAGTTCAAATTGGATATTGAGAAACCATGGTTTCATTCTATACTCCATTGAATATCGACTAATAACACAACGCTAGTGTTTCTAAACATACCGAAGAGATAGAGTGCAAGCATGGCCCCGGTGAATGTATCGGTGACATGCTTATGCTCTGTGCGGCCAACCTCCCTTTCCCTCCCGCTGCAGATGAAGCCCTTCTCCCATCTCAGTATCCCCGAACCCCAATTATCCGGTCACTAGGATTCTCAAATTGTCTGCTCAATGACTTTGCCCGGATACCAGACCGCGAGTTTGTCCATCAGTGCGCAATGGAACATGGAATTGACTTTGACGCTCTGAATCAGTGTGTGAGTCAGCAGAACGATGACCCCGATGATGGTAAAGATGGCAAACCACCACTCAGTGGCGTTGCCCTGCTGCGTGAAAGCGCTACAAAGGGTGAAAAACTCGGTATCACAACAAGTTGTACGGTGCGTCTAGATGATGCTGTCTGGTGCATCCGTGATAGCGATGAATGGAAAGATTGCGCCCAGAATGGCCAAGGAAGCGAACCCTCGACCCTAGTTGACCAGGTCGAGAAGCTCTGGAAAGAGAGAAACTGAACTCCCAAAGGATACCTTAGCATTCATACCCAGCATCCATATGCATACGATAGGACATGAAAATCAATATACCTGATGACTCCTCACAAGCCATTGCATTTTCTTACACTAGAGGAATCCATATTCAGATCTAGTGTCTGGGGTTTCCATCAACCGCAAAGGTTTCGAGGTTTTAGCCTTGGCCATATGCTGTGGCCATAAGGAGAACCCCATTTTGACTGACCTTTAGCACCCGAGTTCTCAGTCGCGTCAACTGGCCGCCCCCTCAACGGCGCTGTAGTCCATCAGATCTTTCACTTGATTTCTCCTCCCTCCCCTCTCTTTCTCTTATCCACTTCTTCCATTCCCACAGGTCATCCTTTCCCATCTGTGGGGAACGCCAAAATGCCATCTTCTTCAGATCCAAAACAAGGCGGTACGTTTGCTTCTAAGCTTTACTCGAAGTCTCCTCTTTCTACAATGCTAAAGATACAATGACTTCCCCAGAAACCAAGCGCATCATGTCTCGTGGTCTTCGTGGTAAGGAGGATGCCCTGTACCTCAAGTGGAGTGAGGTCGTGAGTCCAAGCGATGTTTTGCATGAGCTTCTCAGCAACAGTGATCATGCTCGCACTCTCTTCCATGGTCTGAGGCGCCAGGTTGAGTCGCTCCGCCGCCGTTCACTGTCCTATGATGATGGCGAAGTCACAATCTACGACCGAGTTCTCCTTCGTCTTTATGACGATGGACACACTATGGAGCATTACGGACTGTTTGAATTCTACCTGGCTGAGCACCTGGGAACCCAAGACTGTGGCTCCGAGAAAGTCATCAACTCCGTCATTGCTGCCCACTTTGCCGCCCAGCGCGTTCTGGATGATGGTCTGCTCCTGTGCCTCGATGGAATCAATCAAATTTTCTAATATACCCTGACAGGCCCGATCTCCAATATTCCAGTCAATGCCATCTCGACCGTGGAGCAGATCGGCAATGATCAAAAGGACGGCAACTCGCTCCAGCGCTCTGATAAACCGAAGCCAGCTAACCTCAACAAGCTCATCCAGGTGTATCAGAAAGCTAAGGCTGATTATTACATCCTTGAGGTGACGGAGAGCCACCGTGAGCGAACCAACAGTGTCCGCTTCCTACGCGATACTGCCGAAAACCTTTTGCGTTACCTGAATTCAGTCGATACGCACCACGAGTTGATTCCCGAACTTGAAGACATCATCAAGGTCAGCCAGGCACATGCAAATCAACTCGCCGGCGGCCGCAAGCGCAAGTTTGAGCATTCGGACAACGATTCGACAGGTAGCCAAAGTGCCAGCCCCTACCGATCCCAGGGATACAGCCGCATGGACCGATATGTCCCTGACGGTGAGGGATGGGACCACAGCCATGTGCTCGGAAAGACTAAATGGGATAGTCATAGCCACAACAAGAAGAGCAGATGGGCTCCCAAGACGCGCAGATGGGCTCCCAAGGAAGAATGGGACCACAGTCGTGCTTTCGACTCCTACCGCCCTTCCTAAGTGTGTTTCTCTATCTATGTTCCTTGTGCATGGGCATTCTGAATAATGAGGCTGGGCTTTTTTTTGGCTCCTGCCACGAAACTATCCAACACAGCATGTACAACAACAGCACAGCAGTCAGTCCCAATTTGAAAACTCATTCCAAAGCTGCAAGCAGCTATTCTCCTGGTCGTAGAGCAATTGACAGCCACTGTTGGAGTGTCCATACAACCTTACATGTAGGTATCCAGTCCACTCAGGTTCTTAGATTTAAACTCGACGCTATACCACTCTCACCCTAGCGTCATCGCGAACACACGTGCGTAGATGACATAATCTCTCGAGGATCAACAATGGTCACCTGCGATTTCACGAGACGAGGGGGTGCCATTTTTACTTTTTGTTTTGTTCCAATCTCAAGGAGGAGTTGATCTCTGCCCAGATGGAGAGACTGGATTATCAACCAGGCACCTAGAACGACTCGAAAGCACGCCTCCCCCAAGAAATGGAAGACCTTCATCCCTCCATCGCGGGGAACGCCTCCACCAGCTCCGGAACCTCAAACCCACAATTCACCCCTATCTCCTATGGCTCAGAGGATGATTCTTCCACGGCTGGACCAGCGAAGTCGCCCTTGGGCCCATTACGACTGCAGACGAACTTCGACGACCACCCGGATGTCGGTGACCCTTTATCCGATTGCGAAAACGACGGCGAATATAATCCCCGTGACGGGCTTGAGGGGAAATTCCCGCGTGGTCGCGGCGGATTGGCGCCGCGATGCACACCAGAGGAGGAGAGTGAGGTGGTGAAGATATTTGATCGACGGTTGGTCCCGTTTTTGGCTCTTCTCTATCTCCTCTCCTTCCTGGACCGCTCGAGTAAGTTTAGTTATCCAGGGGCTTTCTCCCCTGCTGTTTCAAGAGTGCGCTGATTAATTATTCAGATATTGGTAATGCGAAGATAGCAGGGCTCAAAGACGACCTACAACTTTCATCTTCGCAATATGAATGGCTACTTACTGCGTTCTATATTACTTACATTCTATTCGAATGGATGACGCTGATGTACCGGCTTGTCCCCCCACATATCTATATATCTCTATGTGTATTTGGATGGGGTCTTGTCGCATCACTTCAGTGTATCGCGACTTCTTTTGGGGGTTTGCTGGTTCTTCGCGCGTTGCTCGGAATCACTGAGGCGGCTTTTGGCCCGGGTGTTCCGTTCTATCTGTCATTGTTCTATCGCAGACATGAGCTGGCTTTCCGAAATGGACTGTTTATATCAGCGGCACCGCTTGCGACATCCTTCGCTAGCAGTTTAGCCTACTTGATTGTCAAGTTCAGCAGCGACGGCCCGATCTCTCCATGGCGAACCCTGTTCCTCGTAGAGGGCTTCCCGAGTGTGATAGTTGCGGTTTTTGCTTGGTTCTTGATTCCGGACTCCCCTGGCCGAGCTCGTTTCTTAACTCGTCGACAAAGGGTTGTAGCCCAGCAGCGTCTAGAGGAGAACACGGCCGATTATCAGCAATCGTACAAAAGCGAATTCAATTGGCGAGAAATCTTGAAGACGGCTGCAGATCCCAAGGCTTATATGGCTGCTGTGAGTGCTATCCGCCGTTGAAATTTGTGGAAACATTCTAACACGTTCAAATACAGTTTATGTTCTTCAGTTGTAACGTTGCTTTCAGTTCGATGCCTGTCTTTTTACCCACAATCATCAGAGAGTACGTTGCCCATCTGCCTCTACTTCAGACATAGGCAGCCTACTCACATCCTCTACAGTATGGGATATTCCTCCTTGCAGGCCCAAGCTCTTTCAGCGCCTCCCTATCTCGTCGCTTTTGTTGTAGTCCTTCTCACCGCATACGCATCAGATCGCAGCCGCTCCCGAAGCCCATATCTAATAGCCCATGCGCTCATTTCGTCACTTGCATATCTCGCAATTGCTCTAACTGGCTATTTCCATTCACACCTGGCCCCATGGCTCCACACATTCATTAGGTACATCTGCGTGTACCCCGCCACGGCCGGATTTTTCTCCGCGATTACTCTAATCATTACATGGTCAATGGATAACCGGGTTGAGAAAGAAGGCAAGGGTGCCAGCATTGCCATTCTCAACATCATTGGCCAGTGCGGACCCCTGCTCGGAACGAGGTTGTATCCTGACACCGACGGACCGTGGTATATTCGTGGCATGGCTGTGTGCTCATTCTTTATGCTCCTCGTTGTGGTCCTGGCTGTGGGATTGCGGGTTATGCTGCAACGGATGAACCGCGCGACTGGGGAGACTACTTATTCGATTGAACAGGCTGGTCCTGTCGATCGTGGCGAAGAGCGGGATGTTCTTATGGGTGGTGGGAGGAGGAACGATTTAGAGCATTCTACTGGTGACCGAAGGCTCGTCTATATCATATAGTTGATGCGATAATATTCGGAGATTGGCAATGATGCAAGAGATCAAGAATACATCCGATTTTAGAATTGGGAAGGCTTGATTTCTTCCCAATTTCCTTTCTCGCAGTTTAGAATATTCCCTTGTTCATGCGATGAGGCTCCGGTTTCAAGTTGATACAAGTCCCTCCTCCCCTCCCCCCCCGAATTGTTCCCCTCTATCCTATACTATGACTACTTTGATGAAGACGCTCAGGCTCAGATCAGTTTTGCTTCCAGAAGTGTGGTAGAGGCGCTAATCCCGATTTCTTAGATGTTCCGCGCCCAATCGGCGAATAATCCCTGTCGACTTTACCCAGAATGGATAAACCCCCGTACGGGTTTCACCACGAAGGTTTACTAGAGCATCACTCTTGCCATTTAATCCACTGAAAGGTTCTAGATTCCTCATCTAGGAAATGCGCCACTAACATAGAGTGTATTGGAGAGCTAAAATTCTGTTCTTTTCATCAACGCATTTTACATTAGCTATACACCGAAGAAAAAAAATCCGGGGATCATTGTTAAATTGGGCAAGTGATAAGTGATTCTCGACTTCTAGCTGGTTATAGTGAGAACGAAAAGCGAGGATCAGTCTGAAACTACCCGTATCCTTACTGTTACAGATTTACAACCGTGTAGACCGAGAACCCCCCTCTGGACGGGATTTTGCGTTTCAGTTATTCGGTCTATATTTCCTCATATTGCATGCACAAGCTAGCGCATACGACCATAGGGCATGGGATGCAGGGGTTCGCGCCTAGATAGGTGTGATTAGCCAATCAATATACGTGGCTATTCCATGAGGCGCTTTGAACCCTAAAGTGGCGACTGAATCTGTGCTGAGTGTGGATAATAAGAGGCCAGATCGGATTAAGAACGGGGTAGAAATGGGGCGTCGATGCAAATTAATATCCAGACCGGGGGCCGACGAGACGGGAATACTATGTTCCATCTAGGCAATATAGATAGAACTCAAGCTAGATTTAACCTGATTGGTTGATCTTGAGGCTGTGCGATTAACTAGATAGATGCGATATTAGCGTAACGTAATTAGCAGGTTTGCGAGCACGTATGTTGTAGTTGCACTGCGATTTATTGTGGATCAGCAAGTTCTTCCTATTGTGTAGCATACATATGCCTTTTGACCGAGGCCTATGGGGGGCGTGGGCGAGGGGCTAGATAAAGTCGTCTTTTCCCACTCTCGTTCTTTTCTGTCTCATTTCCTTACTCAAAGCTTACACTTGGAGACTTCACAATGAGTGAATTACCTGACTACGTGCTCAACCCCAATGCTGTCCTTATGGATACCACTGCCACCTGGCGCAATGGTAATCCACCGGACTACTCTAAGACAAGAGCCTTCTATGAAAAGAGTACGTGCCCCCTTGTTCCTAGTCATCTCAATTGTATTACTTACACGATACAGCTAAGACAAGGACTCACGAACCCGGCAGTCTTCCATTCCTGGTTGAAAACCTCGTGAAGAATTGGGAAATCGAAGCCTCCTTCAAGAGGAACCTATCCGACTGGCGCACAATCGATGCCGACGTATACACAGTTTCCCTGAACGGTGGTGAGCGACGAACGGGTCACCACATGTTGGAAGTAGGGACCTATAATGCGCTTCTCACTGCGAGTCAGTATTATGATCCTGAACAAAACAACTTCGAAGACTCGCACAAGTCGTTCAAGCGGATGATGCCAACATTTGCTTGGGAGGTGCTTGAAGTATACTCCGGCCCTCCAGTTGTGGTCTTTCGATGGAGACATTGGGGTGAGATGAAGAATGATTACGTGGGATACAATAGGTACCTGATCACTACAATCCATGACCCTCGGGGTTTATGCTGACATTACTAGTTCCGGTGAAAAAGTCAGGGTTGCAGCGCACGGTGGCACTATTGATATTGAGGGTGTTATTGTGGCCAAGGTCAATGATAAACTCCAAGTGCAGAGTCTTGATATCTGGTATGACCCCATGGCAATGTTCCGCCAGATTAGCAGAGAGGGCCAGGCTATCAGCGAGGACCAGACTAGCCCCGAGGACCCAACTAGCAAAGAGGAACAGGCTAGCAGCCAGGGTGGTGTTAGCAGGTGTCCGTTTATGTAAAGTCGGCAACTTGCCCGACTGTTACTGGGGCAGTCATAGAAATCACTGTAAATTAGTTATGAAGTGTCATGAAAAAGTAGAGCCAATACATGGTCTTGGAAGCTATCCGCTGCCCCGTTTCTGCGATTTCCCCGGAGGCACGAACCATCGCAAAGACGTAAAGCCCGGACGGCAAACAGAACCTAGCTTATTCGAACTCATAAATGGACCTTTCCGCTATTACCTGGTATATAAGGACTAAAATGTGTTGAGATATTGAGATGGTTGGTATATTATTCACAAAAGCTATGTCCATCCAAGTGTTGACGAGTTGACATTTAACCCTCACATTCCTGCTTTAATTATCACTCTTCTTGTCGCCGAATCGATCGGCTACCAGACCAGCCAAGAAGGTGTCCCGGTTCTTCGCAACTTCGTCAAGATCGACATCCGAGACCCACTCATTGACTGTGCTTTTGAGACCCTCGACAGATTCTCGCGATTCAAAGTCAAATTGATGCTTTTGCATGTCGTCAAGCCAGCTCTTCAACGCAGGGCCCAAGTGATCCATGAAATGACCGAAGTTTGCACCTCCCCCGAGGGTATTGGTCATGATAGGACCGGAGAGTGCCCAGCGAAGGCCAAGGCCAGATGTCATAGTTTTATCTGTCAAGTCAGAACGAATCTTCGCAAATTTTTCGCAGGTGTACATACCAAGGTCTTCGGCAGAAATAATGCCCCGTGAGATAAGGCTGTAGGCTTCAGCGCAGACAGCGGCCTGGAGCCGGTTTGCAATGAAACCCGGGGTTTCTCGCTTGACCAGAACAGGGTCTTTGCCCAGACTGCTGTAAAATTGGAATGCAGCTGTCACGTATTCTTCGCCGGTTCCAGGATGGGGAACGACCTCCACCAGGGGCACCAAGTGGGGTGGGTTGAACGGATGTCCGATCAGCACACGGGCTGGATTCCTCTTGCAGTCGGTGATGAAGTCTGAAGATGGAAGTCCCGATGAGGAAGATGCAATAATCACATGCTCTGGGGTGTTTGCATCCAAGTGGGCAAATAGACGGCGCTTGAAGTCCAGTCTTTCAGGTCCATTCTATGGAAGTTAGTCATCAGGAGAAACTCATTGAGGTCCCTTCGGGCGGATTTACTTCTTGGATTAGATCTATCTCTCCAAGATGAGGATCGAGATCTTTCACGAATGTGAGGTTCTTCAAGAAATCTTCTGGAGTCAGTTTGGCATTTTTAATGGAAGAAGCATTCTTGTGCAGATATTCAAGAAGCTTCGCCTCCGCATCTGGTGCTGGATCTGTCGCAATGACTTTCAGGCCATGGGAAAGGAATAGTGTTGTCCAGCTGGCTCCAATGACACCAGTGCCGATCACAGCAACAGTCTTGATGGGAGAGGCAGTCATAATTGAGGAATAGTCGCGCCGTTTAATTTTGAAAGTGATGTTCGTCCTCGACACAGGCACAGGTTAATATCTTTCAGGTTTTTGAGGCAAGACATTCGGAATGGCAATCTGGTATCGAAATAAGGACCATATCTACGGGTACCTCGGAAGCAGCCATCGCTCCGTCCTTGCCGTGATCAGCAACTCTTTTCTGTGCCGAAAGTTCCAGATGCCGGCCAGTTCCCGGCCATTTCTCGGGTTGCAGCTTGGGTAGACTCGGAATTTTCTCCACCTAGCCCTGGACCTCGGGAGATACCTAGGTATGTATTAAGATAGTTTAATTGTGGCGCCTAGATATCTGTACATTTCCATGTAGATGCCTCACATATCTACAACATATACAATATACTAGATAGTATTTGTACAGTAAGTCTATATCCTGTGATCCTGGAAGTGCCCGATTGCGTTAAGATGGCTAGATTATCATGATTTGATTGGACCGTGGAATTAATGAGAAACCTTAATTTGGATTATAGTGCTTACATAATCGACAGTGGCCTTCCAAGGTTGGGAACCTCGGAAGGTTAACCTTAGTTACTTAGGGGCGCGCTTAATTTTACCTAGTGACTAAAATACAGCAAGAGATGAGCGCTAGAACGGTAATAGAATGGCCTCAACTACATACTTGACTTTTTCGTCATATATTGAACATTGCCTAAAACCATGTATGATGTGCCACATACAGAGTAAGGCTTTTTGAACGCCACAAGGTGAGTCTTAGACTGTACTGCGGTCAATTATATTGATTGACTGGTGGCTGGGAAGTTCTTTCTCCGTTTAAATGTTCATATCATTCATATGTAAAGTGAGATCGTGAGCACGTACCCTCCAACAAAATCATGGCCTCATAATTCTTAAATCAAAATTCGGTTTCCAGCCTTACATTCCTTCTACAATCCTTTCATAGGCTAGAGTATTGCATGCATCTGGATGATTTAGCAGCGAAGCTCACCGTGGTCGTTACCGATGCATTTGTCTTTAGAATCAAACGGTTAGTACCTCCTGGAGTGACCTGTTTTTCTTCAAAACGAATCAACATACTGAGATCAATGACAGTAGTGACATAGTCATGTCGCGCTCTGAATTGCGGCATTGGCAGGAAAAGTCGGCGATGCCACGAAGGGTGCAGTTGATGCAAGAACCGGAGTAGTTGCCGCTACTTTGGTCAGATATTTTACATATTGAATCATGGAATGGCTCTTGGGATTCTGGATGACTTACTTCTTTCCACACTATAGATGCATTAGTGTTATCATACAAGAGCTAGGGTTGTATTAGATCCAAGCTCAATGATCTTTGAAGATCTAAATCTTGCTACTTTACAGGGATTACTACATGTATATTGTCTATTCTTTTGGAAGATTAACATGTCTACAGAAATGTAGATATCTCCCATGGTCTTCAATTTCACTGATTTAAGAATATTGCTCTTGATAATCATACTATCAGGCCCACATCGCCTTAAACTTGCTGTCAAACTCAGTTTGCAGTTCTCTAAACGCTTGAGCAACCAAGAGCATAGATCCCTGGGGTTTTCCCGTTGGCTTTCCCAGTTTTGCCTTGGACTTGGCCTTGTTAATCGTCTTTTGGGGAGCCTGATGGTCCCGGGCTTTGTCCGCAGTTTGAATCAAATCATCCTCTCCCATCTCATCCTCCCAGCTATCCACAACTTTCTTCGCGCGGGAACGAGAGGTACCATGCAGGGGGGCCGCAAGCGACTGGCTCCGACCAATGGTGGCCGGTTGTAGACTCACTTTCTTCTGATTTTCGGCATCAGTCCTCTCGATAGCCTTATCATTCACGGAATTTTCATGGACCTCCCCTCCACCGGATACATCAAGCATGTCTGGGTCAATGTTTCCTCCAGGGCTGAGATATGCTTCAATGCTTGTGGTGATAGTTGCCAATATCAACGAGAAGTCGTTCAACAAGAACCAGACGTCTCCGCGGCGGATCCGATTGGCAGTCAGCAATTCAGTGACATTTCCATGTTTGAAAAAGTCATACAGGTATGCATTGAGAGGCATTGCGTTCTCTTCGGCCAAGACGGCCACGTATGGAATGACAGAATCTTCAAGCCAGACGCCACTCCGAACCATCTGACTAAGATCGAAAATCGAATCGCAAGTGTCTTGATTTCCCGAAAGGGCATAAAATGGGGATATTATCGATGCAGCCAGATGATTGAACTTCGTGAAACCAAGTTGGGCGGCGGAATTATCTCCACCGCACTGAATCCCACTGAAAGGCAGAGAGTGGTCCGGATCCCTGAGATGCTGGTTGACAAAACTGGACACATAGTTGGTGTAGATCCCAAGGACTTGCTTGTTGTGAGCACGCAGGACAGAAGCAGCCTTTGCGGGCAGGTGCGGAAGAGTCACTATTGAGGGGGGCTTCTTTTCTGCAGACTGGTACAACTCCAAGGTGGCTTGGCGCAAAGGGATACGACCGAAGAGGTGCGCCATCACCAGCATAAGAGTGCGAAGTGTCTTCTGAGGCCTTTTCTTAATGTCTTGACAGAGCTCTTGGAGGTATCCCGAGTTCAACAGTGCATGGAACGCAAAGCTGGAATTCTCTGTGTAGTACAAGTGAGAGATACAGCCTGCAAAATTGAGCGGCGTCCCAGAACTACTAAGCAAATTGTTTCGCCGTAGGTATTCGATGGAAAACCGGAGATGGTGTAGGACTGTGTCCCTCATTTCAGCCCCACCGAGGAAGATTCGAGGGCTTGAAAGAATCGAGTTGATCAACTTCACAGCAGATGGGGCTTGATCTGAACCGTGTTGCAAGATAAACAACCGTAGAACTAGAGTGGTGGTTATGGGGAAATGACCGTTGAGACTTGGGAGCTTCGAGCCGATCAACCGCTTTATCTTTGAAGGTGGAACCATTTGGAAAACAACATTTCCCAGCATGTCAAAGCCTCGACGTCCTGCTCTTCCAGCGGCTTGTCGGAAATTCAGGGCAGTCAAGAAAATCGAATCACCCGAGAAGACTACTGTTTTGCAGGGCATATTGATACCCAAGGCCAAAGTCCCAGTGGCAATCACCACGCGCAGAAAGCCTTTTCTAAAAAGGATCTCACAAACTTGACGATATTTGCGATTCATTCCAGCGTGATGAACGCCGATTCCTCGCTCTAGGGCATCTATCAACCACTGGGGCACATGGCGGTACTTCAACGCCTCGGTGTATTCAGAAAATTCGGAAGACGATATCTTCTTAAAGTCCGCCAGATGAAACCCGTCCACTGGGGTTTTTGGATCAAAGCTGTCAAGCCAACTGAATTCAGCAGATGCTGATTCTTTGGCGAGTCCCGCCTTGGAAATCGGCTCTTCATCCTTGTCACCGTTGCCTATCTGTCTTTTCTTGGTATTATTTTGAAGCTTTTTCGTTGATTCATGCTTGGAAACCTTCCATGATTCCCATTTTGCGACCTTCGATTTCCATACTGGACTGTCTGCTTTCCATACGGCTTCGGAATTTTGTAGCTCAGTCAACAGGTGCAGGCATATACCTTCGCATTGGCTGCGATCGTAATTGAAGAACAATGCTGGGAGGGCGTTTTGAGCATGCAAGGAGAAAATCAATGGAAGCGTCGAGTTCAGCAAGTCATTATCTGTTGCCTCCGATGGCAGACCATTCGACTGCGATACGTTGTTTGATGCCTTCTGATCCGTTGGTCCCACGGGTTCGCATCCTTTTTCGTTTTGAAGATTGCGCAAAAGCGTCTCAAATGGGGATTTTCGATCTTTCATCCACTCTCCTAACAATTGCTTGAGTCGTTTTTGCCATTCTATGACATGCACCTTTTGGATGACAATGTCTGAGAAAAAGTGGGATGGCTCCAGAGACGAATCAACAGGGAAGCGTTCCGTTTTTAGATCATGCATTGCTTTCCATAAAGTGAAGCAGTCGCGTGGTTCAAGGTCAAAGTCATCTGGTATCAATCTGGAGCGGTCCACGAGGCTGGTTACGGGATGAATGAATTTCATATCATCTGCCAAATCGAGACCTAGACGTGGCAAGCCACCAGTTTGGAGAAACCGCTTGAACTTGAAGCTTGTGCAGGGCTGGTAAATGTACTTTCGCAAATCCGAATATCGTTGCCGGTGCTGAATCATCTTGAGGTCAAATCCATTCGTCTTTTGGGCGAGATGTAGCCAATCATAGAACTCTTGGGGATTTCCAACAGTAGCGGAAAGGGCTATAATTGGACAAGGGGACATCAGCAGTAGCTGTTCCCAAACGACACCGTCTTCAGCCTGTCCTATGCAATGGATCTCATCAAAAATGATGCGCTTGATTCGTGGGGTCCATGCTTGGGCATTCGCGGGCGCGAGCAACATGATTTGGAGAATACTTGGAACCGTTATGAGAACTTGGCAGCCCATAGGGCTGTTAATGCGATAATCTCTTGTATGTATCGCCCAAACTGATTTTCCACTCGTTTTGGCGGGGAATGCTTTGGAAAACCGGGCTTGCACCTCAGCGGCGATTTGGTTAACCAGAGCCTTCGTGGGAGCAACATACACAAGAATGCCATCGTCGTCTTCTTTGAGAATTTGTTTCATTGCATAGAACCTGAGAAAAATTAGCATGATATTGAAACAGTTCATCATAGTTGCGTGACTTACGAGATGAAAGTCTTTCCTGCACTAGTTGGAGCTACAATGAACAAGCTCCTCTTTGCATCGATCTGGTCCAAGACTTCACGCTGCCAAAGGTCAGGCTCAAAATCGGGCGTCCGGGAGTCGGGCAAGGACTCTATGCTGCGGTCCATGAAAGGTCCACCATGCAAAAGCTGGAATTCGACTGATGGCATTGCAATACTCATGTTGGGTGCTTTGGGGATCTGAAAGGGCTGGAAGGATAGTTGCTGCTCACTGTCCGTATTAAGTTGAACGTTTGGTAAACCGAGTTGATGACAAGCCTTTCTCACATATGTGGCAATGTCAGTTGAGATCCCCTGCTTGATCTTCATAAGACGAGTGATGATCTCCCATATGTGTATCACAATCAATGTGTGTTTTTCAACCTGTGCGTCTAGTCTTTCAACAAAGATGATTCGTAGCAACGTATCAACCATGCAAGTCAGGACTTCAGGCTGCAGAATTTGTCGACTGTCTTTCGGTAGAGTGGCCAGGTAATCGTTCAGCTTCGAGAGACGAAGCACGAGGTCATCAATTCGAGAAAAGTCTTTTTGATACAATTTTTCCCACTTCTGTATTTGCTTTTTTCTGGCTTCGATTGCCTTTTGATGAAGGTATGCAGCAGCGGTCTCTTTGGCCGTGGGTTTACCAGACGCTGAATGGGATTTCTTGTTGGATTTAGAAGTCGAGGAGGGGCCTCCAATAGCTTTGGTCATGGAAGGATGTTTTGGGTGGTGCCTGTGGTGTGTATCACTGAACGATTCAACAATGATTGGTTCTGGCTGTAACAGGCCCGTTGATCCCGTGAGGCTTGCAGCATAATCTCTCATCTCGGCCATGAAGAACTGATTCCGCTTTTGGTGCCGAAGGACTTCCTCAGGTGTCAAGATAACTTTCGCTTTTTGATGAAGAGGTTTGGAGCTATGCCAGTGGCTTTTCTCTTTGAACTCTTTGGAAATTTGGGCATCGCTAGTCAGGTCGACAGACTTGTCCACTTGGAGCTGAACAGGTTCCAGATATGCATCAAAAATTGCGTTGGTGAATGGCAGCACCTTTCCAAATTTGCGGGAAGTCTTGGACACACTTTGTATCTCACGATGCTTCGGTTCTGGGCCGCTGGGAGTAGCCTTTTTAGAGTGAGCTCTCAATTTTTTGGTCGATTTACACTGCAACTTTGTACCACAAATGCGATCCACCAGACGTGCAAGATCGTTGAATGGCAGTAGTGTGGCCGGCGAGATGACTTTGCTGATGCCAAGCGTTTTTACCATTATCTGAACTTCAAAGAACAATGTTCCATCCATGAGATCGGAAAGATCGCAAGATAAGCCATGATCCTCCATTGCCTTCTGCCAAAGTTTTGAGCCGAGCAACTTTTGCGCCGTTCCCACATACTTGTTGAAGAACTTGAGGTTTGGAGATGCGGTTGCTTTGATCGATCTATCTGACAGTCGAGTAGCTTGCAGAAGCACGAGATGCAAAATCATGGATTCTGCTCCAATCCTATTATCGGAACATTCCACCGCATCATCGAGAAGCATGGTACCCAGGGTAACTACCAAAAGGCATTGGCGCTGGGACAGACCAGGATTATCGAGAATGGTCTTTTCAAGAGCCTTGTGTATCTGGACTTGGTTTGAAAGTTCGTTGCCTGTATCCTGGCCACTCAACGTATTAACAGGCGTATCCTTAGCCTCCTTTTCATTATCACCGATTTCAATTTTGGACAGGGTGGTTGAAACATAATCGAGCTCGTCGTTTCGAGTGGGTGAATCAGTACCGCGGGGTTCAGGGACGCTCGGCAATACGGTTGTCTTGCTTGAACTCTCGATCACCATTGCCATGATCTATGTATATTGTCAGTATGAACCCAAATCTTAGAGCACTAGAAGGCACTAACCTTTGTGTCACGAAATACGAGACTATTGATGAGAGCAACGTTAATTCCATGAGCAACAATCCAGTAGATCATCCTACGAAGCCGGAGTCTTTCTGGCTCGCCTTGCTCATCGACATAGAGGTCCTTGTGGTCATCATCTTCAGAGTTGCTATCAAGATCACTGGTTTCCGAGTCACTGGAATCGGTATCATCGACTGGGTCATCTTTGTTGTATCCGGAAAAGGCTCCATCATGACACATGAACATGTATGCTCCAGAATTGATCAGGTGAGCTTTGAATTCCTCGGACTGGTAACTCTCAAATCTGAAAGCCTGAAAGTATTGTGATGAATGAATGGGAATAGAGAGCAGATGTTGTATGATTGCCTCTCGCGCCAGTAGATATCTCTTGTGAAGATCGCCGTGAATACCAGGGGGAATGCATAGTGGGGTGTTCTGGGTGAAGAACACAACTTGAAAGACGCACTTGCGCTGTTGAAGCTTTTGCAACAACTGCTCAGCAAGGTAAGTCGCATGCAAGACCTGAAATCCAGGATTGAAGTCGAGTTTCTTGTCGGAAAAGCACTGCAGAAGAAGCGAATCTCCCTCGATTATGAAAAGCTCGTTACCGGCAAAGTCACCGACGAGGTCCACAACTCGGGAGTTCAAGGTACGATACCTGAGATTAAGGGCGAGTTAGTCACAAAAGTGTTAGTCCATCAAACTCCCATAAGTCTGATGCTCACCAGTCTAGCACGATGCTACTATCCATAATGTGGCCAATATCTTAGTGGGTTGCGTAGGTGGGGAGAAGTAGCTAGAGAAGCGGGATGGGAAGGAGGAGAGGAGGAGAAGAGAAAGCAAGAGACTTTTCAATCAAGGAACCCCTCTGTGCAGACCGACACCAGCCAGATAGTCACAAGAAGGTGCCAAACAGTGTAAACCACAATCAGTACATACATGTATGTACAAATTGTCTTTCACGTACATGTACACAAGTACGTACAACTTTACGACACGTAAGATCGCCATTAACCCACCCAACATACTCTGCAATAAAATCCCAGTTCGAACCATTCCCTTAATTTATCTTTTTATTACTGTGGCTACTGCGATAGAGACCCTAATATACAAGTATTTCCAGGGTCTAGGTCTACATTGGTACATAATCTTAGAAAGTACCTACCCTCCATGTACCGCTCCCTAAGGAGTCTGTCAATGGAGCTGTGTCAAGAACAAGCTAATTTCCAGGATCTGACTTTTTGGATGATATCAAGATCGGTTTATGATATTGCTTTGATACCATGGGATTACAGTAGTCAATAATCACGATCGTCTACCATATTAGCAGTGATAATTAATTTAAAGATATGATGTTTAATAGGAATGAACCTGGGTTGGGCAGGAAGACTGATGTCAGCTCCGCTAAGCCTTCCAAGATTAGAGCACTGCACCTAGTGTACCTACATAGCGTACATGTACTTACATGTAGTAGCCGGCCTTGATAGCGAAGTGAGATAGGTAACTATATCGTTCAAGACTGGCTGCTATTGGCCTTAGCAGGTCCTTATGGAGTATAAGAAAACCAGAACTACCAAGATATGAGTATGAAGCCAGAATAAGCTTGAAATTTGGGTCAAATCCTTTCTAAAAAAAAACACATGCATGCTCTTAGTGTACAAAATTTACCGCCAACGCCAATACCTCTCTTGGAATTTTGCGCCAAATATGCTCACATCTTCTGTTCAGACTTGATTTCTGGGCAGATTTGCAGATATTTCACCAAAACCAAATGCTCTGGTACCGCTTACCAAGCAGTATGGCCTCCATCAACAAGTAGGCTACTACCGGTCATGAAGCTGCTCGCATCGGAAAGACAGAAGAGAGCCGTGCCACGGAACTCCTCTGGCAGCGCCAAGCGACCAAGCATGTTCTCTGCCTCCCAGGTAGCCCGAGCCGCTGGGTTTTGCTTGAACACCTCGTCAACCATGGGGGTGATGATGTGGCCGGGGCACAGGCTGTTGACCCGGATACCGTGACGGCCCCATTCCATAGCCAGAGACCGGCCGAGCTGAATAACTGCCGCCTTGGAGGAGTTATACACGGGAGAGGTCATGCCCTTGTTTGCAATGAGGCCGCTCATGCTGGCTACCAGTAGGATTGAGCCCTTTTGTTGATAGTTGAACATCTGGCGGGCAGCAGCGGTGGCCGAGTTGAACACTCCATTATAATTGATTGACATGACATCATCCAGAGCTTGCTGCGAATGTTCCAACGCACTTTGAAGGTGGTTGATACCGGCTGCGGCGACCAGACCGTCTAGCCGCTGGTTCTGTGCTGCAATTGCAGCAAATGTGTTGTTGACTTCGGTATTGTTGCGGACATCGATGCGGATGTATTCCAGGCTGCTGCCGTAATCTTTCTCGGCCCTTTCTTGGGCAATGAGGAAATCTGAGTGTGGGGATTCGAGGCGGTCCAAGCAGTACACTGATTTTGTGATATGACGTTAGCGTTCCTACATTTCCTTCTAGGGGGAAAATGAATGAGTATTTACCTTTAGCTCCAGCCTCAATCAGTGCTTCCGCCATTGATAGCCCCAGTCCTCGTCCACCACCAGTGATGGCATATACGCGGCCCTCCAGATCAAACTCGCCGAATCGGTGATTGTTGCGCAAAAGTTCCTTAGCCGGCATCTTCGACTGGATGTGGTCTGGGCTATGCGTTACATTGTGAATATCCTGAGGACTGAAGGTACTCCTGGAGCTGGAGTACAAGCGAAGGGATGAAGAGAGAACACGAGGAGCAGCAATGGCAGCTCCAGCGAGGCGTGTGCGAGCAGGAGCCAAAACTCGAGGAATAGTGAAAGACATGGCCTTGAGAGCAATCGGGGGTATATAGAGTAGAATTTATCTGGGGAGGAAGAGGAATTGAAGTTAATATCGATGAACACGGCTCCAGACCAAAGAATCCACTATCCCCCATGGCATTGGGGCCAGAGAGATTTATATGTCCAGAAGGCTGGAACGGTACTTCCTTGGAGAGCGTACCGAGCAAATTTGAATCCTACATGAAGATTGGCATGAAAATTCAATCTTCATTGCGCGTGACCAGGTGGGTAACTGCTTTCACCATGACTCAAATGGATCCAGGCACTTCCAATTGACCGAGAGCATCCACGGTAAGGCCCAAGCTTGCCACTGAAGCTCTGATTAGCCATGAATATGGCTATCCTGGGGAAAGAAGGGCCACATCGCCAAGCTGGATTATCGTGACCCTTGTGATGAAGACGGCAAGTCTTCGATGGGAGCTTCGATGGAATGGCCCCACCTTGTTTCCCAGGAGTATGCACGATTTTCCATGATGATTGATGGTTATCGACCTTGATTGGCTCGGGAACACCTTTTTCTCCCCATGTCAATCCCCGATCCTGTTCCGGGTCGAGGGATTAGAATTGCCGGGGAAATATCAAAAAGATCCCGGGAAGTTGATGCTTCCCGTGCAGATGCGGAATGCCTCGAGCAGACATGTATTTCTAATCGGGAGCGTAGTTCATGGTTTCTGGATTTCTCGGTTTACATTACTCTGGCTCGGAACTCTGAGGTTTCGGATTTCCAAAGAAAAAAAAAGTTGTGGGCAGTGACATATCGGTATCTCGTCTTCTCCTTTCTCGGTGTCCCGAGCTCCTTGGACCTCCAGACCCTCCGAGTTCCACTTGAGAATCCACCCAAAACCCACGGGCGTGCAGATTGTCCAGTCCGGAGCTCAGGATTTTATTTTATTTTATTTTTAGGATGGGGAGGAATGGAGCATCTGAGCTTAATGAAATCTCATACATTCAAGCCCGGAACTTCCTAATCGGGTAACCCTTTTCCCACACCAACTCCGAATGCTCAAGGGACAAGATATTCTTCGGTCAGATTCTTCATGGAAGATTGTGCTATGGGATCTCTCTGTTACACTTGTTTCATCAAACGGACAGGCACCTGGACACATTCTTTTTGTTACCAAGCTTCCGCCATTGGCAGGAACTAAAAGAGTCGGAAGGCGGGCGCGTGCAAGCATGCACATACGATATGCACGCCGAGCCTTTCTATTATGCTTTTATGTGGCTCAAAGGGCGCTTCATGCTTGCTGTTGGGACCCTCTCTGCCGCTCAAATTTATCCGCTCAAATTTATGATAGAGCATTCGGCAAGACCTATATTGTACACGTGCCTACGGTCCTAATTCCGGGACAGCGGCCAGCGAAGGATCGAAGGTGATCCTGAACGCGCTATGGGATGGGGCCCGTATGTTGTACTTAATTCAGGTCACCTGTGTTTTGCGTGGTAAGATAAGGGATATGTCGTGTTGCTGTTAATAGAGGGATAATCAACGCAATCTGCGAGGACACGGTGTGCTGTTTAACGGAGAACAGCTGTCAACACATGACCCTACTGTGCAGTAGTAGATGGAATCGATTGGAGTCGAGGTTAAAATAAATTCTGCGCAAAGAGCGCCATAAGCAAATAAAGCAAAAAAAATTAGAAAACGATCCGCGCAATGCCCAGACTCCGATGGACCATCCCAACCCATCTGATGCCCCTGTGATAGAACGCCAACTCCTCGCTAGGAAGTGAAAAGACGCATGACAAAAATAAATGACCTCATTGGTGCATTTGAGCTGTTTCACTCAATATTGCACACCCGCAAAACCCGCAGTCGCCTCGGGTCCGAAGTCGCTGCGAAGGCTGCCGAAGTCCAGTTTCATAAGCAGACGATCCACCCCCGCTGCTTTATGAGGCACATAATGGCTGAAACCAGGGTTCATGCCTTCATCTCGACGGGAGCCAGGCCACATCTGACCGAAGTTCGTTGCGAGATCCACGGGTCCCCGGCCTTCTCCCGAGCGACTATCATCGATGTCCCGCAGGCTCCCAACAAGGTTCTTAAGACCAATCTCAACATCGCTGCGAGTGGCGCGCAGCTCCTCCCATACCTCACGTTCTTCTTGTGCATAATCTACTAAGGCATCTTCCACGCCTTCATCTGTTTCCAGATCCATGTTGCGTTGAATTGTTTCCAGCCGAATCACAAGGGCGACGAAGCGATCAATATTGGTGAGCAGACTTCTTAGAGCATTTGTGAATGGTAGTTCTGTCAGGAAGAGTGATTGAACAAGAGATGCCAGGTGTCGACGGTGGGCAACGGTGAGAGCCTCGGGGTCGTGTCGTCCCATAGTTTGTTGACCGGATTGGGTAGACTCAGAGAAATCCCTGGTAGGCATACGGTCTGAAGTCACATTCTTGGAAGCTCCATGGGGCTTATAAGATGACGCGGTACCAGGACGAGAGCCAGCGGTTGACGCTGCAGACGAAGAGCACCCTTCGATCCAATCGCGAAGGTGCTGCCACGACTCATTGACAACATCTCCTTGAAAAAAGCCACCGATCTCAGAAAGCATAAACAAACATGCACTGCTTGTGGCCCAAATAGGGCGCATTTGGCGAAGCCGAGCATTATCCCTCTCTCTTCTAGCCTTGAGCGTGGCTTGGCCAAAGTTACTATTGCTTCTGGGAGGTCCCCAAGGGGTAGGGTAATTCCGCCGCAACGGAGTCCGTTTCCAAAGGTCTCCAAGTCGAATTTGGGCTCGTCGTAATGCCAGGAGATAAGAATGAATCTTAGAGTAGATGGCAATATCAGAGCTCGAGATGAACAGGTCCAACGGAGCTCGGATTTGTGCATCAAGATGTGTGGGCATGGGGAAGAGCAGATCTTCAAACGAGACTCTTGAGATTTCTGAAATTGAGTTGGGAACTTGAGCAGGGGTCATCGGCCGGCCACCTTTAGGGGCACTGATAGACAGACAAAGCAATTCCCGGGCAAGTTCGAGCTCCTCGTCGGCTGGATCCTCTTCTTTTTGTAGTGAGAAAAGCTCTGCCCAGGCTTGAGCCAGAGCAGCCGTGACATCACCTTCTTTGATAGTAAGGCCATCCAGTTTCCCAGATGTACGAGCAGCCGCTAGACTTCGGCGTCGGCTCTCTTCAATGCGGGAATCTGCATGTGCGATGAGAGCCACCGCAAACTCTCCTCTCCCCAATAAAAGGAAGTTATGGAGCAGAGTGAGGATTTCGAGAATTTTCGGGAGGGGCAATAATTTCGATAACGTTGACTGAGAAAGAGAGAGCCGAATACAGTCAACGGCGGTGGTCAGCTTGGAAGGTAAAATCGGTGGTTTTAGGCCTGCGAGCTGCTCGATATGGTCCCGATATAACGTCACAGGCGCGGTAGATGTTCCTGCTATTGATGTTTTTCGTTTCGACCGAATATGATTGAGTGATTTTCCAATGAATAGTATTGAGCCTGCAGTTTGTATCGTGACAAACTTTGGGAGGAAATGAGCATTCAGGCTGAATTGCACCTCGTCGGTCTCGTTTTCAGTTTCCTCCTGAATGAAAAAGTCGTCTTTTCCGTACATTGGAAGATTCCCATACAGTAACCACATTGAAAGCTGTTTCATCCATGCTGCCTCGGCCGCTGTTGCCAATTGTAGGGCCATCTCCTTGATATCAAGATATCCCGTTTGAGCTTCGGTCCGCAAATGATCGATCAGTGCTGCCCCCGTGGTACCATATGAACGTTCAGTGCTTTTCCTCTCGGTTTGAATGAATCGGATGATACTCCAGAGCCACTCCATCCGCCGGGTCCATGGCGCGAACTCCCCCACGATAGTTGACAATGGGACAATACCGTACCCTCCAACATATCCACTATCCTCGGCAAGGATTGCGCTCTCGACTTCCAGAATCTTTTTCTGGAATTCACCTAAGTGCGTTCCGACAATAGCAGTAGAAACCGAGCGGCATATCACTGATCGATTTGTGGAGGATATATCGGAGGCATATTTCCGAAGCTGTGCATGGAGTCGACTCAGATGGGCAACGGAGCCGAGGAGGGCTTTCTCCGGAGGTGAAAGGAGGGGAAAATTGTCTTGAGCGATAGCCGTTTCCCCTTTTTGGATTTCGAAGAGTGGGGAAGGCTGACCGGAGAGAGAGAGTAAGATCTCGTGGAGCATGGTGACGGAATTTCCCTATCTGATGTCAACCACTAGCCATTTATTGGCATATGTAGGCGGGAAACGAACCTAGAGAACTGCCTTCTCTCGACTGGGCACTTCTGGCGCTGCCAGTATAATAGACCGCGCCCTACGAATTCAAAGCGACACATATGAAGTAGAGCGTTTGACGACGCCAAGCTTCGCGTTGATAGCGAGACGCGTCGAATGTGGCGTGTTGACTAGCGGGGTTCAGAACCGGCCGGAGAGAATAGATGTAATTGTCATTCTCCAGAGGCAACCCCAATCTCATCCAGAGTAGCCACAGCTTTCAGCCTCAAATAAGACAGTCTGTAATGTGAGAACAATAGCTCCCTGTGGTTTCTGGAACTATCGCGGGGCTAAGGCCAATCGCCCGCTCACCGCCCTAGTTGTCCGGGTCCCTCTTACGTCGGTGTCCCTCACTTGATCCCTCCTACGTCTATTCCTTTGTCCATTACTGTTTTCATTCCTCCTGCCTCCTACCGCGCTCTGCTCTAAACCACCTTTTGTTTTATAACCCCTTGCCATCCCTCGATTGCGTTCGGATAGCTATTCTCTGTGCTCGTCGAGCTAGGTACCTGGTACGCTAGGCGTTGCAACTTGATTTATCATCACCATCGAAAGTCTTGCTCTCCCGCAAGGCTTTCACCTCCTGATTTTCATCATTCCTTCAAACATTCCTGTTCGAGACGCGGCTAAGCCCGGAAAGCGCAGAGCCTCTGAAGACGACGTCGGAGCTCCGCCAGAAAAACGAACCATGACGGTATGGTTATCTGGATGATAGAACTAGAGTTGACACTAATAAACTTCATGGAAGGATATCAAGATGCAAGTCGAGAACCCCCAAGAGACCGTTGAGGCGATCAAGCATGGGGAAATCGACGAATCATTGTATAGTCGGCAGCTGTAAGCTCCCCCACCTTCCTCCGTAATGTCCAAGCTCGAGTATATATTTGTACTCACACCTTCAAGATACGTTCTTGGCCACGAGGCCATGAAGCGTATGGGCTCTTCAAATGTTCTGGTTGTAGGTCTCAAGGGCCTGGGTGTGGAAATCGGTAAGTGGCTCCTTTGTAAATCAAAGCCAGTGTTTCATCCCAACATCTGATTGTCTCCACAGCCAAGAACATCGCCCTCGCCGGTGTCAAATCCCTCACCCTATATGACCCCGCACCAGTCGCTATCGCAGATCTTTCTTCTCAATTCTTCCTTCAGCCAGAGGATGTCGGCAAGTCTCGCGCTGAAGTCACTGCTCCCAGAGTCGCCGAGTTGAACTCCTACGTTCCCATCACAATCCATGAGGGCGAGAACCTTGTGGGCGATCTTGAACAACTTAAGCGCTACCAGGCTGTGGTTCTCACACAGACACCTTTGAAGGAACAACTAGCGATTGCCGACTTCTGTCACAAGAACAAAATTTACCTCACGATTACGGATACTTTTGGTCTCTTTGGTTATATCTTCAATGACTTCGGAAAGAACTTCACCGTGGGTGACCCCAATGGTGAAGAGCCTGCTAGTGGAATTGTGGCCGATATCAATGATGAAGGATTGGTCTCGGCGCTCGATGAGACCAGGCACGGACTCGAAGATGGTGACTTTGTCACTTTCACTGAAGTTAAGGGCATGGATGGCCTCAACAACAGTGATCCTCGCAAGGTCACGGTGAAGGGTCCGTATACTTTCACCATTGGTGATGTCTCCGATCTAGGATCCTACCAGGGCGGTGGTCTCTTCACCCAAGTCAAGATGCCTAAGTTCATTGATTTCCAGCCATTGGACGAGCAACTGAAAAAGCCCGAGCTGCTCATCTCTGACTTTGCTAAGTTCGATCGGCCACAACAATTACACATTGGTATTCAAGCTCTCCATGAATTTGCGGAAACTCACGATCGCCAATTGCCTCGTCCTCACAACGATACCGACGCCCAGGAGGTTCTAAAGATTGCTAACAATCTTGCTGCTGCTGGTGAGGACAAGGTAGAGCTGGATGAGAAGATCATCAAGGAGCTCAGCTACCAAGCACGCGGTGATTTGAATCCGTTGGCTGCTTTCTTCGGTGGTATCGCCGCCCAGGAGGTTTTGAAGGCCGTCTCTGGAAAGTTCAGTCCTGTGCATCAGTGGATGTACTTTGATTCTTTGGAGTCTTTGCCTTCATCGGTCACTCGATCTGAGGAGAGCTGCAAGCCTCTCGGTACCCGCTATGATGGTCAGATCGCGGTATTCGGCAAGGAATACCAAGATAAACTTGCTAATGTCACACAATTCTTGGTGGGCTCCGGAGCTATTGGTTGCGAGACGCTGAAGAATTGGGCCATGATGGGTCTGGGTACAGGACCTAATGGAAAGATTTACGTCACTGATATGGACCAAATTGAGAGGAGCAACCTTAACCGGCAATTCCTCTTCCGTCCCAAGGATGTCGGCAGACTCAAGAGCGAGTGTGCATCTGCAGCTGCCCAGGTCATGAATCCTGAATTGAATGATAAAATTGTCACTCTTCGTGATCGCGTCGGTGCCGATACTGAACACGTCTTCAATGAGAATTTCTGGAATGGCCTTGACGGCGTGACAAACGCTTTGGATAATGTTGATGCGCGGACGTATGTCGATCGCCGCTGTGTCTTCTTCCGCAAGCCATTGCTGGAGAGTGGTACTCTCGGCACCAAGTGCAATACTCAGGTCATCCTTCCCTTCATTACGGAGTCTTACTCCAGCTCTCAGGATCCCCCAGAGAAGTCATTCCCCATGTGCACCCTTAAGAGTTTCCCCAACCGCATCGAGCACACCATTGCCTGGGCCCGAGATGTCTTCCAGACCTACTTCGTTGGCCCACCTGAGTCGGTCAACATGTACCTCTCGCAACCTGACTACATTCAACAGACCCTCAAGCAGGCGGGTAATGAGAAGCAGACCTTGGAGCACCTTCGTGACTTCTTGGTTACTGAGAAGCCACTGACTTTTGATGACTGTATTGTGTGGGCTCGCCAGCAGTTTGAAGCGCAATACAACAATGCGATCCAGCAGCTTCTCTACAACTTCCCCCGAGACTCCAAGACCTCATCCGGTCAGCTCTTCTGGTCTGGACCCAAGCGTGCTCCTACGCCCTTGAAGTTTGACAGCGTTAACCCCACCCACCTCGGATTTGTCATTGCCGGTGCCAATCTCCATGCCTTCAACTACGGTATCAAGAACCCCGGTGCGGACAAGGACTATTATCGCAGAGTGGTGGATGATATGATCATCCCCGAGTTCACCCCGAGCTCTAATGTGAAGATTCAGGCCAATGAGAATGATCCTGATCCAAATGCTCAGCCGGCTGGATCTTCGTCCGATGAGGACGAAATCCAGACGTTGGTCGCCAGTCTTCCCTCGCCCAAGTCTCTCGCTGGCTTCCGCCTGCAGCCAGTTGAGTTTGAGAAGGACGATGACACCAATCACCACATTGACTTCATCACCGCAGCTAGCAACCTCCGTGCGGACAACTACGAAATTCCTCAGGCCGACCGACACAAGACCAAATTCATTGCCGGCAAGATCATCCCGGCCATTGCTACCACTACTGCTTTGGCCACTGGTCTTGTGGCCCTCGAGCTTTACAAGGTTGTCGACGGCCAAGACGACATTGAGAAATATAAAAACGGCTTTGTCAACTTGGCACTTCCGCTTTTCAGTTTCAGTGAGCCGATCGGTAGCGAAAAGGGCAAGTATCAGGGCAAGAAGGGCGAGGTCACAATTGACAAACTCTGGGATCGATTTGAGGTGGAAGATATTTCCCTCCAGGAGTTCCTCGATTTCTTCGCCGAGAAGGGTTTGGACATCACCATGGTCAGCTCTGGGGTCAGCTTGCTGTATGCAAGCTTCTATCCTCCCTCGAAGGTCAAGGACCGCCTCCCACTGTCGTAAGTGTCCCTTCCATATCTATCTATAAACTCCAGCAGAGCATTAACATCAGCCCTCGCAGGATGAGCAAGCTTGTGGAACACGTGAGCAAGAAGCCAGTTCCCGAACACCAGAAGAACATCATCTTCGAGGTGACAGCCGAAGATCAGACAGAAGAGGATGTGGAGGTCCCCTATGTGATGGTCAAGCTCTCAAAATAAGGGCAATGTCTAAATAGGATGTAAGGAAAGCCGGTAGGCTACATATTCCTAGTACAATTAGCTAGAATTCATGAATATTTCCACGCCTTGTTCAATTATTGCAGGTATCAATTAGCAATTTCCGCTATGTGTGTATGGAGCACTTCTGAAGCCCACACCAATGGCTTAACCATGGCTTAACAAGCGGGCTGTGCCAAGAGCATCTCCATTTGTCAACGCTGATCGAGCTGGCGATAAGCATCTATGACTCAGCATTTCATCATCTACTTTATTCCCCGCAACACCTCGAGTTGGAGTATAAAGAGAGGCTACTGCACTGGGTCTGCTGCTTATGTTCTTGACACGACTTCGATCTCTGACATTGCATCTTTCACGTCCAACCGTTCGTGCAAGGCCTCTTTTTACAGCCCATCAACCCCTCGTGTTCCCCACACCAACAATCTACTCTCGAAATATGGCCGTAAGAGAAGCATCATCGGCTACAATTGCCTGAGTATAAAACATGTACTGACTCGTGATTTAAGACCGGAAATACTGACAAGATCACCGATTGGGTGAAACCCGGCGACAAGTCCGGCGAGTTCAAGCGTCAAGCATCCGTCTTCCGGAACTGGATCTCAAGAGAGGCTGGAGCCCAATTTCCTCCCGAGAACGGCCGCTACCATCTATATGTCTCGTATGCTTGTCCATGGGGTATGGAATAGCTTTCAAGTAACCTGGTGCTCGATCCTTTGCTAACCGATTACTAGCTCACCGGACTTTGATTACTCGGAAGCTCAAGGGCCTCGAGGACTTCATTTCTTTTTCTTCGGTGCACTGGTATCTCGGAACCGACGGTACACTTTATCCTACATAATTTGGATTATTGGATCTTTCTAACTCGCCTCTTAGGTTGGCGATTCGCTACTTCCGATGAGAAATTGCCAGGAGAGAACACCATTCCTGACCCTTTGCACCCGGATTTCACCCATATCCGACAGATCTACTTCTCCAATGACCCAGAATATACCGGCCGGTTTACCGTCCCAGTTCTCTTCGACAAGAAGACCAAGAAAATTGTTAGCAACGAGGTACGAACCAATCTCCCCAAAACCATCACCTAATTCCAATATCTAACTCCCAAAAAACCAGAGCGCCGAAATCATCCGTATGCTTTACCATGAATTCGACGACCTCCTCCCAGAGCAATACAAAAAAGTCGACCCATTCCCCAAAGCTCTCCAAGCCGAGATCGACGCCTCCAACGAATGGATCTACAATGACGTCAACAACGGTGTATACAAGTCCGGCTTCGCAACCACACAAGAAGCCTACGAGAAAGCGGTAACGACGCTCTTCTCCTCGCTCGACAGGATCGAAGCCCACCTCGCCAAGCAAGAAGCAGCCGCGAAGCCGTATTTCTTCGGCAACGAGATCACCGAGGCGGACATCAGACTCTACACTACCATCATTCGCTTCGACCCGGTCTACGTGCAGCATTTCAAGTGCAATCTGCGCGATATCCGCTCTGGCTTCCCGGCTATCCACCGCTGGGTTCGCAAGCTTTATTGGGATGTTCCCGCTTTCCGGGATACCACGGAGTTTGAGCATATCAAGTTCCATTACACTAAGAGTCACAAGCAGATTAATCAGTTTGCTATCACCCCCCTTGGGCCTGTGCCTGATATCCTGCCTAAGGACGAGGAAGTTAGGGCAGTGCAGGGAGCTGAATAAGGGAGTTACCCAAAAACAAGGGGGGGGAAGAAAAGGGAAAAGCTGGGCTGGTGATTAGGACTATTTGCGAGCGACGAACTGAACAATACAAGGATAATTCCAATGCCATTTAAACAAGTCTTTCAAAATGTATTATCCAAAAATGTAAGTTTTCTATTATCGACAAAATGGAAATCAAAAAGTCCCGTGGTATTGTATAAACGCCTTGCCATGCTATGTGGTCGATGGTAAGTATCCCAGTGCCTCTGTATCAAAGGGGTCGAAAAAGAAGTACAGTTGTCTCGATAGAGCGCAACATGAGCAGTAGAAAGCAAATAAAAATTACAGAGAGCCTCGATGATATCAACCAAAGGCGAATGCAAAAGTAAATTCCAATTGAGCAATCTCACAGTGAGAGCGATGGAAGAGAAATCAAAACTGAGAATGTGATGGATGCATTTGAGATGCACCTATGAGTGATAGGGTGTGCCATACTTGTCGGTGGCTTTTGTGGGTATATTTTGAGACGACGCTTCTAAATGTCAAGCCAGTGAAAAGCAAAGATCTGTCCAAAAGCACTGGGAAGTGTGAGGGATGTGCCGGGGCGAAGGTTGAGAATGTAAGCGATTGGTCGAGCTGGAGTGAAGGGATGTGAAGGTGAAGAGGAAGTGAGAGTTTTGGTGAGATCGACGGATCATCGCAGGCCAAGCGTGCGTTTCGCGTTCTCGTAAACCACGTAGCTGATTGACATGGCTGGTGCCACCTTGAGAAGGTTAGGCGTGAGACCTTTGTAAAGGCCACGAGGTCCCTCCGACTTCAGAGTGACGCTGAGGACTTCGCCAATTCCACTGTAGGTAGGTGGGTGCATAATCGTGCCCTGGGTTTGAAGTCGAGTCCGAAGGACATTGAGAGGGTAAACGATCGAGGCGCTAAATCCTCCACTTGTAGCACCAATTGCCCCTGTCGTGAAGTTACCGAGCGGTACATCATCCTCATGACAGCCACGTTCACGAGCCTTTTTAGCAATTATAGTCCGTTTAAGATATTCAAACGTCGATAGATCAATTGCGGCGTAAGGGAACATTCCTACAACACCAAGCGGAAGTCCCCGGAAAAATCCAACCAGGCCATTCTTATTCCACACCTTTTTTGCGGTGGCTGCGATGAGTTGGTTGCCTTTCAGGCCATCTTTCACGGTATCACACTGCATGCGACTATTGGTAATGAATCAGCCACGATGCTTCATAATGGATGGATCACATAGACCGGTATACTCACAACTTCAAAGTATCGAGGGGGTAAACAAAACACCTAAACTTTGTCAGAACCGAGTTTCCTCACTCGAGCGCAAAATACGTACTGTGCAACCATTCCGCCAAAACCACCGGACATAAACTGTGAAGTTGGAAGGAGTCGCTTGGTATCGTTGTGTCCTTCGAGTCGTGCAAACATTCGTTTCGCAGACTGTTCTCTGGTCAGTATTCATCCGGTTGCGTGGACGAAATCAACTACATGAAGTACTAACCTCATAGGCACCAAACTTGATTGCAGACTCAGGCATAACCTTCACCACGTTCAAGCCATTACCTGCGAACAAACTCCGAATTCCTCCTGCCCGCCACAAATCCTTCAGCGCATCCAACAGTGATTTGGAAGCATTCCCCGCAGCCGCCAAGGGCGCTCCGTCCTTCGCCGCACAAATGGTTGACTCTTTGACGCCAGTCTGTGCAATGAGATAAATCTTGAGACGGTCGAGGGGAGCGGTGGCCGTCCTTGAAACGGCTCCCGCAAGTCCACCTGCAAGGAAATAACCTATTTGAGGGGTATTCTCGGTCAATTTCCGTCCATAATATCGGCAAAACAACCGCAAGGCGGTGGTTTGGGGAAGAGATAACCACTCCAAGTCGAAGTCTCCGTCGAGCGAAGGAAACTCATGCTCAAGAATGGGTTCCAACTTTGGGATGTGGCTGGCTTGCGCGTGCGCTGAAGGAAGGAGAGAGGCCAAGGCGGGGAGGGATAAGATATTATACAAAAGGTGTTGGATGGCCAAGATATAAGATGTAAGAAACGGATGGTCTGTACCTAAACCCTGCAGGTCATTGATGTGGACATCTCCTTCCGGGTTTAGATTGCCCGTGGCCGTATAGTATGAGAGGACTGCGTGGAGGTCGGTCGGGGACTGGAGAGGAAGGAAGAGTAGAAAGTCCCTAAAAGAAACCAAGAAAAAGAGTATGCAAGTTAGCCTCGTGTTTTTCGTTTTCACTTGACCAGACCCAAGCCATACCTCCATTCTGTGTAAGTGATCACCCCGTCATTGTTTTTGTCAACCTGATCAAAAAACCGGTCCAACTTGGCACTTGAGACGGTGACTCCGCAGCGCGAAAAGGCATTTCCCAGTTCCGACTTGTCGATTTCTCCGTTATGGTTGCGATCGATGGTCTGAAACATTTGCCATAATCCATTCTCGGTATGGTCGAGAAATGCTCGGAATTCTAGTAGTGACAAGGATTAGACTAAACAAAGGCGCGCAGCTAGGGCAACCCTTTCTTCAGGCGCTGCCCAAGTAGTTCTCATAATCTTACCGGCTTGGTCTATACGGCCATCGCCATTTGTATCCACCTTGCGGACGACGCTGAGGACCATATCGTCTGCATTTTTAAGAGCTAAACCGAGATTAGCCGGGAGCGCGGAACGGCCTGGAACCTGGACAAACTCACGATGATCGATCTTTTTTAATCCTTTCTTTAACCCAGTCAAGTCGATGTGACCCTCTTGTCGAGTATCCAGGGTTTCCCAGAGTTTAGCGACTCGCTCGTCGCGTTCATCTTTCGACTCGCCCGGTGCCATGGTGAAATTTGTTACCGAGCACCCTTCATTATATTTATTGTTGTAAAGAGGGGGTTCGAAGGACCCCTAGCGCGCTGAGGGGAAATTCGAAGGGAAAAGTCGGAACATCAAAGGATGACGTGGGGACGCTCAAAGTTATGAAGCTTGAATAATGATTAATAGGCGCCCGCCGATTTGACCTTTGACGCCATTCCGGATTATCTTGCACGGGACCAGGGCCAAGCCCTACTATCCCCTTTTGGGATGGCAACCTGACCTCCATGCTGGTCATGGTGGACTCGAATGGTGATTTGTTGGCTGTTTAGTCGATTCATTTTCGATTGGGTTGATGTTGTGTTTTGACAGAACTCGTTGCACCTCGATCAAGTCGTGACCTGCGGGGTTAACTGTAACCCGGACCTCGGACCATGTCGTGACGGGTTTCGATCTGCGAGCCTTGAACCATCCAACTTCTAAAATGGCAGCCAATTACTGGGCATCGACCCAGCGTCGACATTGGCTCTTCTCCCGGGAGAAGTTAGCGGATATCCGTGAGGGTTTACGGCAGAAGGATCAAGTTGCCCATTCGCAATTTCCCCTGCCCGACCAGCGGCTACTGAACATCTACTTCAACCAGCGTAGGTGCTACCTATACGATGTTCAATAATTGAATGCAGCTTTGAGCTAATTGATAAACAAAATATAGAGCTGATCAAGCTTGGAAAGCGCATGTCCACCAGACAACAGGCCATTGCTACTGCCCAGGTGTATCTCAAGAGATTCTATACCAAGAATGAGATTCGGCAGACAAGTCCGTATCTGATGCTCACCACAGCATTCTATCTTGCTTGCAAGATGGAGGAGTGTCCACAGCATATCCGCTTTGTAGTCGGCGAAGCGCGTGGTTTATGGCCAGGTGTGTATATCTATCAAAAGCGATCATCAACCAGATGCTAACCATCCACAGAGTTCATTACCCCAGATGTGGCGAGGCTTGGAGAGTGCGAATTTGCCTTGATCTCTGAAATGAGCTCACAGCTCATCGTCCATCATCCTTACCGGACTTTGTCTGAACTTCAGACCGAACTATCACTCACCACGGATGAGGTCGCCCTCGCCTGGTCGGTGATCAACGATCACTACCTGACGGATCTACCGCTTCTCCACCCGCCTCACGTCATTGCGATTATGGCAATTATCGTCGCCATCGTCTTCAAGCCTGTCCATTCAAACCCTTACCCCGGAACCGGGCAATCGGCCTTGGCAGGCTCCATGAGAGATGGGGGCGGCATGCAGATGTTGGCCGCTTTGTCGGATAAGACTGGATCCGGGCCTCCTCCCAAAATCCAAAAGCTCATTGGCTGGCTCGCGGAAAGCGAAGTCGATATCAAAGCTATCATCGAGTGTACACAAGAGCTGGTCTCGTTGTACGAGGTGTGGGAGCAGTATAGCGAGAAGAACTGCAAAGAGCTGCTCGGGAGGATGGTCAAGAGCAAGAACTTGGACAAATGATTACATGCCACATCTTTCATTCTAACAAACCCTTCATGTACCACGATCTCGGTATTTCAGTCATGTCATATTCTCTGGGGCCATTGTACATAGGCAGCCAGCTGACATATGTTTAGTCTAATGTTTAACGGGTCTTCTTCTCGTAGATCCTTTCTCTCCTACCTACCCATCTATTCAAGAATTGACGCTACTACTATCTTCAGTGCAAACAGCCATCGGTGATGGTGCTCGCAATGTGTTGACAAACCAAGATGGCCGACTTGGATCTATTCATACCCGTGCTTGGTAAAATCATTCAATGTGTTAATTTTGGAAACTTTGGGTAGAGATCATTCTTAAAACACAAGTTTATCATGGCAGAATAGTCACTTGTGCAAGACAATTGCGGTCTTCACAAACCTTCTCCATTCTATCCACTTTCCGGCTTGGCCAGATATCCATGGGCTGACCATGCTCCCAATGAATTAGATACACGGTGAACCAGCTCAAGCACTCAGTGTCCAGATGCGAGTCTTCAAATATCAAATCGATGGAAATCAATATATCTGGCCAGCTGTGTCTTCTCAGAAAGATCTCTAGGATTCCCCTATAGTTGACTCCCTGTCTATAACGCCTACATACATACTCGACTGGAAACTTGAGATGTTGGATTTGTATTATCTGTTCTATTCATCTCTGACTTCTAAGGCATTCTACACAATTTTGATGGTAGGTTCTTCAAAGTGTAAAGTGACCAAATTAATCTCAGTCATGTTTCCGAACAACGTATTGGCTCTGACTGCGGTAGATACAAGCCCCATTGTATGATCTCCCTACCTATCATCCTAGGCTAACTTGCGCTATCAAAATCCCTCAACAAAAAAAACCCGGCTTCTCCACATATACATCTCCGCCGTCTCATTCAAAACTGAGTGTGCAGGTATGATCAGCCGCAGCCCGCGCGGTTGCCCGTCGAGTGTCGGCTTCTCCCTATCAGATCGGCCATTATATGCGCTCAGCCAAGTCTCAACGCAATGGCAAGTCTAACTACTCTGTGGGACTAGAAATGCTCTCACAAGTAACATCTTTTGCTGGGGCTTCTTTGGGGGCTGGGTGGTTTCCGGAGGCGGGTGGCACCATACTGATCGACAGCAAGTTAAATATAGAAAGTGATCGAAGAAGTACACGAAGATTGATAATTCACTTTAGTGGAGTTGGGGAGCAAGTAATCAAAGACATAATTAGGTGTTTGATATCTGTCTGCTGTAGGGTGCTCAATCTGCTTGTGCTACTCCGTACCTATTGTGCCACATTGTGCTACATTGTGGATAATAAACAGAGGAATACCGAACACTATTGTTTCTGCATTGGCTCTCCTCCGCTTGTCGAATGCATTTTTAGTGTATGGACATGCATGAGATTTCGCCGGAGAAATACGGGGTACCTGTTAGTTTAGTTCCCTAGAGATACGAATACGGATGGCGGTTTCATGTTGACACCCGTATGTTGCCCGTGGAATCGTCATATGCTTAATCCGTATACAAGACAGGAATGACTAAGGACCTACTTCAAAAAATGGATATAGGTATTTAGTGGACCATAGCAGGTGACGCAGATTGAGCGAAGAATTCAAATAATTTGATTTAGAGTAAACAAACATATCGCTATGTGGATATCCTCAATCCTTTAGCCTAATGAACTTAAGCAGGCATTAGATATTCTTTTAATCTTAATAATGTTTTAATGGCATAAATAAGACAGACTAACTTTCATGGGCATAAATATTACCAGAAGCAATAATATGTATGTAATATATCCAAGCATCTCGCTTATCTCTTTGTTTTCATATGGTGCGACAAGGATGTCCTCAACTCCGCAATTGCAATTTTAATGCTGCCCACAGTCTGAAACCACTGGGAGCACGGCAATACTTGCCACGATGTACTCCGTAATGGAAGCGACATATTTGCAACCCAGCCAGGGCGGCTGAATCGTGGTTCCAGGTCCCTTGCGGGTGTATCGGGGGATCGGATCGCAGCATGGTTGTCCCTCGCTGGATTACATATTTCACACATCCAGACCCCACGATCTCACGCAAACACCACCTCATGCACCCTGCACAGACGGTGGACATATCAGCTGCATCATTCAAGCTCCGGAGGGGCATCGTTTACAATATATGAGGGATCCGATGTTGGCGGCAATCCGTGCAACTGCGCCACTGGAGAGCCTGTTTATTCAAGGGCAAAGAAGCGGTGAAGCCGAGACTGGAGAGACTGCTTTACGGTGGTACGTTGTTTCTAGTAGAGTTTGGGCTTATTCCTTCTCGACGCCGTGTGAGGACAGAGAAGTCATCACTGGTGGAAGGTGGAAGTTCGGCACATCATGCAACAGGGCTCCGTTCCAGTAGGCGCCGAATGTACCTATTTCCAGACTTGGGGGGGGGGGGGGGGGGGGGGGGCTAAGGTATAGACCAAAATAAATGGAGTAACAGGAAATAGGTCCCAGGCCTACCATGTACTGCCACACGTTAAGGGTGGAGACTCGCCATCGGTTTTTATTCGGTGGGGTTACTTAGTGACTCACGGGGAGGCAATGCTACCCAGCGCGAAAGCGAACAAGCCCCCCTGAGGCCTAATGTTTTGGCCTAGTCCGGACGCCGCACTGAGAACCGATTTGGGGGAGGCTTGGGCTGACAAGGGTAAGGTCTCAAGATCCCCTACCAATAATAGGTGGGTTTATCTGCAGCTAAGATGGTGGGTGTGTCTCGAGACCAACAAGGTTTTCCTCGGGTGGTCTTTGCGCTGCGCGTCGAAGGATTGGGGAATTTGTACGGGAGTCGATCAAAGCGAGATCAGCAGCCACAGCCGATTCGGGTCACCCTATAGGGGGGGAGATGGGAGGGAATGTGCCTGGGCGAAGTCTTGCCCTGCACAGCCTGCAGCTAAGGGACCCGAATGGCTGAAAAACGACCAACTCAGGTTCCCCCAACCCCCCATCAGATATGGGGGGGTTTGCCCTTCCGGAGTTGAGCCTTACCCTTTCGTTCCGGCTGTTGATGATATGCATCATAAGGGAGCGGAAGGGCGGTAATGAGAGAAATCGGAATATGTAACAATCATCATTGTACGGAGTACTCCGTACCTCAATAAACGCCCTTGGTATGCAGTGTCATCACTCCGATTGTCAACGACGTCACGTTTTCGGTATTTGGGTGGGCCGTTTGAAGGACCCATTTTGAGAGGATCTGCGTGTTTTGATTGGTCCGATGCTCTTGCCACTTTGCTAGCGCCGAGCTCTGGTTGGTGCGTGACAGTATGTGTCTTTTCCAGCGGTGACAATACAAAACAGTGGTCGGCCATAGTAAACAGACTTCCCACTCCCTGTGATGGTAATACCGGTAACCATACCTCCCCATAACACACCCCTCCCCTCTTTTTCCCTTCGCCTCTTCCCACACACTCTTTCCCATTAATCTTCCCTTCTTCCAATCCCATCATCGATCTTTCCTCATTTATTTTCTTTTTGTAACTTTCTTCTTCTCACCTCCGGTGCTGGTCTTTCACAACTTCACAATGTCTGCCTACTTTTACAACCACCAGCAACACCAGCAACACCCTCACCATGGTGCTCATATGCAATCCGCAACGAATACCCACCACGGGCGCTCTCGTCGTGCCCCGAAGATGGCTCAAAATGCGCAGCGTCAGTTCCGAGGAGTGAAAAGCATGCGGGAATTGGCGGAAGCCCCGGCCGTGACGGCGTTCCGTGCAAGATTCGAGGCTGGTCGGTCCTTCGATTTGGATGACGACCTCGAATTCTGCCCGGGTCTCCTGACTGAGGACGATGTATGTTGATCGGCGAATCTTCCAAACCCCTGATTCGGTACCCCTTGAAGATCGTCAGATGGATTGATTAGGGGGGCAATTTGTTGACGGTTTTTACAGCTGCAATCCATCCACTCCGCCTCCGACCGCTCGTCCCTTTCCAGTGGTTCGCCGGACACCTCGCCTCTGCAGCACCAAATTCAACCGGTGCAGCAGGTGACTCCGTCCATCTCTTTGTCTCCCGCCCAGACCAACTCATACGTTCACCCTGGTGTTGCCGGCAACCCTAATCATGTCAACTACCAGCAGCCTGCGAACCGGACTCGCAAGGTTATCCCGATCATCAACCCCTCGACCGGAATGACCCTCGCAAGCCCGCCTTCATCGATTTCGCCCGCGATGATGCAGACTGCTCAACGTCGATGGTAAGGGTGCCATCTGCCAAAGTCGTGGGTTGGCACCCCCACCTCTCCATTCGTCCATTGCACGTCCATTTTTGAGCTGTTCTGCATCATCGGGGTCCCTTAATCGCAGGTCATAATGTTTTCTCTGTCCACTTTTTGCGTTCTTGTCCGATACGTCTACTGCATTCGACACGACACACAACTTGGAAAAAAAATACTTTTCTCGGTTCCACGAACACGGCGACAAAAAAAATCATCAAAAATTCGAAAACAAAAAAACCGACCTGTACATACACCTCTTCTCTCTTCGCCGATTACGACCACCTTCGCCTCATATTCTAGATCCTTTGCGATAATCTTAGCTTGTTGCGAGCGACGGCGCCTGCGATTCAATATCTTGCATCCTTTTCCTACGATACCTCTTTCGTCTCTCAGGGAGGGACGAATACTTTCTTCGGCCTATGTTTCTTCTTTTTTTTCGGTTGGGCCACCGATGATGTACAGAACACACGTGCAGTGACATTGCTACTTGACGTTGCATGTCCATGACCTTTGGAGTTGATTTTGTTTATTTTCCTTTATTGGGATGGTTTTGCGTGCAAACGACTTTGCCAGATACACCTACGCTGTGACCTATTTTTCTTTCTACGATCTCTTTGTTTTGGGGTTTTTTACCGGGGCGGGAATGGATATCATTTTCAAGGATCTAGAGGCGGAAACGATACACGTCTGCATTGCTTGGGCACTGTTGAATATCTTGGGCTGTTTTTTATTGCTTTGTTACCTTCTTCGTCTATTTTTTTTTTTCTCATCTTTTATGGATTGTTTCTCTGTACATCGGATTTGGGGATTGGTGAACAACGCTTCCTTGCCACTGGTATGTGGCTGGTTGGGTCTGGTTGCGAGCGAAACCATGGGATGCGGAGTTGTTTCTGTTTGAAATCGATATCCTTGGGGGTCTCTCGCCGTGTGCGAGTTTAGGCCATTATGCACTTAAAATGCTTTGTTCATTTTACTCTACTCATTCCTTTTCCTTCGCTCTGTATTTCGTTTATTTCCCTTTCGGGGACTCCCGGAGAGTTACGATCGCATTGATACTTTCATATCATCATGTTTCAATCACCGATCTCCTCGTAGTCTTCTGTATGACGGTGCGGTTCGCTGTACATTGCTGGGATTCGCTAGGATCGATGGCGTGTAGTTGTGGCTGATACGTGGACTGCTCTAGATTGCAAGGCCAAATCCACAATCCTGCATTGTTATACTCTGTACTCTGTACGGAGTACTCCGTTCAGGTCGGCGCTTCGTCATTTGTATTGGCATGAAGCTGGTTTGGAGCTTCGAATTGGCTTCTAGAGACCGTGCGCTTCCAAGCCCAGCCGAAGGATCAAGGCTTGGTTTCTCTAGCCATTCTTATTTATAAACTCGAATCTGTAGACAATATCACCGGCCCATGGTAGTGCTCGAGAGAATTTGTATGAATGTTGGAGCGACAATGATTCGTTTTATATACATGTAACTATATACTCATCAGACTATGTGTTAGATACCTCGATATGGACATCAGACTAAAAGCAGCAAGAGAAGACTTACGTCCTTCAAACTACAAACTAATGAATCGTCGTAGTTAATCAGATATCCATCTCACATTGGTCATAAATAACAGTCTGATCCCCCGAAGATCAATGTGAGACCGGATTTTCGCCACCAATTATTCCATCCTATTATTCGGATAGGCAACCAGAAATCCAGTTTAAGAAAATGGAGACATACCAAACTGAGAGATCTTAATAACCTCTCCAAAGCGTTTCAACTTGTTGTACAGCCTGCGTGATTGGTTCCCTACCCGCTAGGCATTGTTTCAGGACCAACCAACCACGCCCTAAATAATGACGTCTCAGTGTCAAACACACGCGCCAGACCAGTGGCCCACACTCACTTCAGATGCAGTCACAGACAAATAGCAGGGTAGATCGTAGCTACTATTCCATTCTAGACCCCCTCCCTTACCGAGTTTCTAGTGACACATCTCGTGCGCCATTCTGGTCTGGGGCCGATGGTGTCTACTGTGAAGCATGCCCAGCATAGGCCAAGGATTTTACATTGTAGCGCAGGTCTCCGATAGGTGGATGTTTATGCAATGACGGGGTGATCAGAAACAAACTGTGTTTTCACAGACGTCCATCGAGGTCGTCCTGCTACTCGGGTCGTTCCTACTGTTAGGGTTGTTGAGGTCCTGCCATATGAGAGCAGTGTTTCCGGGGTTTCTTCTTTTTTTAGTTGACATTGTTGTTTTGTTTTCAGTCTTGGCTCATTGTTCTATTGTCTTTTGTTCCCATTCATCTTGGCTGCAGGTATTCAAGTCTGGACTACTGCCTGCTGACGCTCTTTTTGCGACATTGGTATTGTCGGTCACTTTCTTTCAGGAAACACAAATATCGAGCTTACCCCTACATCTCGGGGGAAGCTGCTAAAATTTCAGCTTCTATTCTTGTGCTATCTTTAATCCTTGCATTTCTTGCCCATCGCATTCGTTGCATATCAATTCTTCAGGCTGGCCCTGGTCTAATCGCTCTTTTCTTTCGTTGTTGATATCCCCAATTGGGGCTTTGGACAAGATGCAATTCGTTCTTTTTCTTTTTGTGTTCTTTTCGTTGAGCTTGACTGCTCTTTCTATGCCAATGGCTCCTCAAAAGCACCTTCAAGGCCGGTCCTTCAAGGTCGAGCGCGTCAAGCGCAGTGACTATGTTGCCCATGGTCCTACGGCGCTGCGTAAGGCATACCGCAAGTTCGGAATTGATGTCTCGAACCTCAAGGGTGTTGACGTGAGCGACTTCGAGCCTTTCGACACTAAGCATACCACCCCGACCAAAAGCGCAAAGGGAGATGTGGTGGATGATGGGAAAACTGGCGCTGTGGATGCCACTTCAGTTGATGGAGACGTCGAGTTCGTTTCGCCGGTCAATATCGGCGGCCAGACCCTCGATATGAATTTTGATAGTGGTTCTGCTGATATGTAAGTTTCCTTTCTATATTCTTCTCCTCGGCAAGGGGCCTGCAGTGAAACAATACCAGAATAAAGCCAGACTAACCAATGCTCGTATAGGTGGGTGCTGAGCTCGAAACTCCCCAAGTCCGTGCAAAATGGCCGAACAGTGTATGAGCCGAGCAAATCCGCCACATTCAAAGAAGTCCAAAATAGCAGTTTCGAGATCTCATACGGCGATGGGTCGTATGCCAACGGGGGAGTAGGCAAGGACGATGTTTCAATTGGCGGCGTTAAAGTCACTGGGCAACCATTCGGCCTCCCAACAGTGGTCTCGCAAACATTTGCCGAGGACAAAAAATCCAACGGACTTGTCGGTCTTGGTTTCTCCTCAATTAACACCATCACACCCGAGCCACAGAAAACCTTCTTCGAGAACGTCGCCCCCAGTCTCGACGAGCCGGTCTTCACTGCCAGACTGCTCAGCAATGGCGTCGGTGAATATGAATTTGGAACCGTTGATAAAAGCAAATATAGCGGCACCATGGTCAATGTCAGCGTAGATGCATCCAACGGATTTTGGCAGTTCAACTCAGCACAATTCGCCGTAGGAGGAGGCTCTTTCCAACCGATCACTAAGACAACCCAGGCGATTGCAGACACAGGCACCTCGCTCATGATGGTCAGTCCTGATGTGGCTGAGGCGTACTATGACCAGGTTGAAGGCGCCATTTTTGCAAACAATGCCAATGGGTATATCTTCCCCTGTACTTCGGACTTGCCCACTCTGTCTGTCGCAATCGGGACTGCTTATTCGGCTACCATCCCTGGATCTTTGATGAATTGGTCGCAGGTTGGTATCAATACAACTACCGGCGAAACAGGTGAGCTTTCCCATACGCAGCCTCCTTTGAGCGATGAGATCTGGACTAACCATGTTGTTTTTCGACAGTATGCTATGGCGGACTTCAGTCAAGCGGAGAATCAGCCATGGCCATCTACGGCGATGTGTTCTTGAAGGCTCTGTTTGTGGTCTTCGATTCACGCGGGCCTTCTCTGGGATTCGCGTCGCCTGCTTGAACAAACAAAATAATCCATCAGTTTTCACATCTATGTGATCATGTACGGAGTACAGATTTAGCAAAATCAAATCCATATTTCCACTTTTTATGCATTGATTTGTAGAAAATGTAAGAAGATTAGAATAATTATACCGAACTTGGAGTTTTTTATTTCTTCATATTCTCGTGAGTATGCGCGTAGTCCATTTTATTTTCAGAAGATATCGAACATTTATTCCTTACCGCACAGTAGCATTAGCCAAGCTCTTGACAGTGCAGATACCTCCAGAGGCAGCAACCAGCTTTCCAAGAGCAGGCTTGCCCTCCTGGCCGTGGACAGTAGGAACAGCGCTGCTATCAAAGGCAACCTCACGGTCCGCAGTGGTAGTGAAACCAGGCTGGAACATCTCCCAGACCTTCTTCTTGGGGTTGAGCTGCTTCTCAGGCTGGCCATCATTCCAGCCCTCGAAGAAGATACGTTCACCGGCAGCGGCAGTAGCAGGAGGGGTAACCAGCTCGACGGGACCGGCGTGCGAGTCCTCACCCTCAGCAACACGGGGAGAGGCGGCGAGAACCATGGCGCAGGACTTGACGCCACGCATGGTCACGGGCTTCAGGTTGCACACGGCGACGATCTTGCGGCCCTGCATCTCCTCCAGGGGGACCAGGCCGTTCAAACCGGAGCAGACCGTGCGGACGGTCTTACCGGTCTCCTCATCGAGCGAGGTGTTGTCGCTGCCGGGGGCGTCACCGCAGTCAATAGTGGAGACGTACAGCGAATCGGCATTGGGGTGGTTGATAGCGCGCAGAATGTGTCCAACGCGCAGGTCAATCAGTGAGGGAGCGGGAGGGGCAGCAGGTGCGGGAGCGGGCTTGGGGGCCTTCTCTTTCTTCTCCTTCTTCTCCTTCTTGTTGGTCTTGGGGGCGTCAGCGCCAGCCTGGTTCTGGGCCTTGGCGGCCTTGTCGGCCTTGCCTTGGCCGATGACGAGGGGCTTGGACTCGTTGGCTGCGTCGGGGTTCTGGGCGCTGGCCTTCTCGCGCTTCTTGCGCTCCTTCTCTTCCTTGGGATCGACGGGCTTGGGCACGAACTTGACGTCGTTCAGGTCGATGGCGATCTTCTCCTCTTCGGGAATCTGCAGGGAGAAGAGACGGCCGTTCTGCACGAAGTCGACGTGGCGGACGATGTGGTGGTAGCCCTTCTCGCCGGTGCGTTCTTCGGGAGTCCACTTCTCGACGGCGGGGGCCAGGAGGGCGTAGACGGCAATATCGGCGACCGAGGGCTTCGCGCCGAGGAGGGTGGTCCGGGTGGCGAGGTGGATGTTCAGCTGGCCGAGGATTCCCTCAGTGACGTCCTTGTCGGCATTGGCGAGGGAGGTCTTCAGGCCGGCAACGGTGTGGAGCCATTGCTTGATGTCGGCTTCCTCTGCCTCGTTGAAGGTGACCTGGGGGAAGATCTTGGACGAGGCGTGGAGGTAGTCGGGCTCGGTCGCATCTGGAGAGATGACGGTGGGGTACGACCGGTAGAGAAGGGAGAGGAGAGAGGATTCGGGAGCTGCTGCCGTCGCCATGGTGTATGATTGTGGAGGGGTTGGGAGTGGAAGAAGAGAAAATCGAGGAGGGGCACGGATTTGTGTCAACGATTGGACCCGCGGGGTTGTCAGTCGGGCCCGCAACAGCGATCTGAGAGAATTCAACTTGGCGATGACCCCTGTTATAGAGGGATCGGTTGCAATTATCCGCTTTATTTAATATCCCAATCAGCCCACGCAATCCCCCTTGAGGTTTTTTTTCTGGCCGTGCTGCGTTGCTGACTCAGCAGCTTCGGCCGGGCACCTTATGACAGCTGTAGTTCAGCTAACAGCTACATGAGCTTGAGTGCGTTTCTCTGAATTACTAGCACTGGCCAACGTGGGTCTTTTATAGGGCCATATTCTGCCTAGTTACTTGCTACATCAATGCCCACATTGCACTGAGGGAAAGAAGGAATATGTATATCCAAAAATGCCTTGGGGGAGTTAGGTAGCTTCCTCGGTTGCCATTGTGTCATCACACCTTGGATCTGTCAAAGAATGGGCATTTCGAAGTAGTAGATAATTGCTTTCTCAATCAGTTCCATGTCAGTGATTCCCTTCAGGTCTGCATTTACAGACTAAACTAACTCAATGAGTTGATGGAACCTATAGAACTCGGAGCCCAGGGTAATTTTGTAGAGGGCAAGCTACATGCCCCTATAGCTATCACTTGAATGAGAACAGTACGCTGTCACAGAGATAATACCTTAATTCAATAACAAAGTGAAGGTATGTTTACCACTTATCGGGGCGACAAATGGTGATTTTAACTAGGTATAGCAACAAGACAACAGAATGCTAACAGATCTCCGGCTCATACCGGCTGAGTCCTCCATTTAACACGAACACCTGCAGCTAATGCTTGCCGTCTCGCTGTTCTGCCCTGACTCGTTTCAATGTCTGGGTTGGCACCAGTTTTCGCAAGCATCTTTATCACTTCTGGATTACCTACATCAATCGCCTCCAATATAGGGGTCGTGCCATCGCTAGTCTGCTTGTTGGCATCGAGCTGCTTCAAATATAGTAACAGTTCCACAATGTCTTGCAAATTAAGAATCACAGCACATAAAAGCGGAAACTCATCTGTTGGACCGAGATTGGGATCGAGTCTCTCCTGCGCTAGGAGGAGACGAGCCACATCATACTGATTGAATGTAAGGCAGTGACAAAGCGGTGTATATCCTGGGAGTTGATATCAACCCTGTCTGGCATACGGACCACTCATTTGGCGAATTGGATGATCACCGATTGATTTCCCAAGCGCCTGGCAGCAAGAGCCAATAGAGTCATGCCATTATTGTCGCGCTCATCAATCTATGCTCTCATATCATTGGTTGACGATTCGAGCCGTTTAGACCCTATAGGAGTTTATAATGCTTAACATTGAGCTCTGATGTCCACTAAGTTTATATTAGATAAAACGATCGAGGCTAAATGAGCAATCCCAGTAATGCTGACCAAAAACTAATGGAAGTCGTTTCATTTATAGCTATAATGTTTTCTGTTCCTCTTCCTCTATCTTAGATTTTCTTGCGTGTCCGGTTCAGGATCGTTACCTGCTCGAAGGATTTCCTGGTTTGCCGTCAAACCTGTGCTGAATTGCATGTCCAACTTGGTGCCAGCTAGGAATCCATAGCATTTGGAAATCCCTATGGCTTCCCATTATGTAGGCCTTTATTGGCGCATTCGGCTCAGCACCCAGTTTCAGGAGGCCCTCATAGATAGATCTGCATGGAACATTTGCCCGTAAGTGAGTCTGTGCATCAAAGTTTGGGAAAGAATTCGATCATGCATGACTTTGCTCAAACCGCCTTCGGAGCTCATATACTGAAACATCTGAAGCTGCTGGCTATTCACGTTACTTATACTCCAGCCCAGAGGAGCATTAAAAGTGCTTTCGGGAAGATTGGAGAGTGCTTGGACCGCTTTTGTGAAAATTGTCATCTGAGACCGGTCCCAGCCCCAGTACAAAGCGTCGGTAGAGCTCATAGCTCATGATATTGGAAAGACGCGAATTCACTAGCCTGAGTTCAAAGATAGACTTCTCCGGTAGCAGGGCTGCAATGAGCAGCAGCAACTCGGTATGTAGATCGAGGAGTGATATTGTGAAGATTTGTTTCCTCCAATCGCGAAGCGCATCCGCCATGAAAATTGGCCTGACCTCCCTGAACAGCTTTCGTGCTGCCTTCCTCGGCCGACTTTTGAAAATCAACCATGACTTCGGGAAGGTGAATTGATACGAGGTAGGTTTTCGAAGTGTCGAAATTGATGGGACAGAGGCGCTGCGAGTGTTTTTCCGTTGCTGAGAATATTCCTTTACTATAAAGTAAAGCACGTCGATTTCATTGGGCTTGATCTTGAGGGACCATTGAGAGTTTGCTTGGAGCAATTCAAAGATCTGACATGCTCTCTGAATTGCCTTTGGGCTTAGAGGAGGGAGATTAGACAGTGACATATCGTAAAAACCTCAGCCTGCACCTGATCGAATGTTGAGTAAAGCCATTGATTGATATTACGATCGCTTATATTTCAATTGATCATTTAGGCGAGAAGTTCTCATTATGTAGTAATCAACCTTCAATTAAGTTGAAGGTCTCATTCGTCTCTAATATTGCTAGGCTGTTATGGAGAGTTTGAACTTAGTGCAGCATTTTCCTTCTTGTTCGACTTTCCAAATTTCTTTTTAAGCAACCCAAACTTACTGAATTCCAATGTTGCCTATCAGCATGCCTGCTGGTGCTGTTTAGCTGGACGGGACCAGATGTCGATGGATCGTCTGACCAAGGTCTGAGAATCTTAAAAACAGAAAATCGATTTTTCTTTGGCTTGCAATAGGACTTCAATGGTATAGGCCCAGGGGCTCTCGTAGCGTTCCGGCCGGTATCTCTCTTATTGATCTTTCTATGCATAACTCAGGCAAATACGGAGTAGAGAGGCTTAGATGTCCAAATGTCCAAATGTAACCATTCGATGTGTATGCACTAACCTAAAATACATTAGCGTAGGCCAATGCTGCACTCTGACTGGTCAACCAAACGGCGCTAAAATGAGTCATGATGAGTCGTGGGCGATCAGAGCAGCCTGGCCAATCACATGCCGCTTACAGTGGGCCCCCATCGGCTGCGGTTCATCGCATGGCCTCTCGATTCTCTTATATGGCCCGGCCTTGTCCTTCGATTTCTTCCTCAGGATTCGACTCCGATAGTCGACCCCATCTACAGTCACTAGGGTTCACCCTATCCTTTTATTCCCTTTGATAGAGCGTCACGGGTCTGCAAAGGCCCGTCTAAGAGATCCAGCGATGTCCGCCTGCAGTTGTTCCAGCGCCGCGGCGGCAATCCAGACCTCCTTCCACTGGTTCCAGCCCGCCCAACACTGGCCCGCAGGAACGCCATCAAGGGCCTGCTGATTACTTGCAACGGTCGAGTCCTCATCAGTACAATGATCATCACCACTTTTCCTCCCTGGCTCCGCCGTTGGAAGGCTTTCCATCGGCTGTGCCAGTCTGTCAATCCTTCGATCCTTTTGCACAAGAGTCGGCACTTTGGGCAGAGCCCGATCTGTCCTTTGTCGACACCGACTGGAACTTCATATCTGTGAACCATCCAACTTCATACCCTCCTGACTATGACGGCGGCGATGCCCCGATCCTGGACCTCGGGTATGGAGATATGGATGTCTCCGCGTTCAACTCTCTTTCGGATTCGGGATCAATCGAGTTCCCACACTATGTTCCTGCATCTATGGCTTCTAGCTCAGCCCATTCACGAGGTAGGACCACACATTCCGATTGAGCCAATTAACACCAATATCTAATATCCTAAAGATGATCGCTCGCATCCCTCGCCAGTATCGCAGTTACCTGCTCCCGTCTCAGCTTCTTTCTCCAGTCCCACCGCGTCTAACGGTGATGATGTTCTAAGTCGCGTTGATTCATCGAGGGTGGAAAAGCGTAAGCTTAACACCCTCGCAGCGCGGAGATGTCGCCAAAGACGTGTGGATCGGATGAAGGATCTTGAGGGCGAGTTGGAGAAAGTGCGTAAGGAAAGAGATGAATTGAGACTTCGGTGTTCGAAGCTCGAAGGGGAAACGGATGCTTTGAAGGGACTTCTCACTCGTAGGAACAGAGATACATAGTTGGATACTCGAATAGTGGAGCTGGTCTCCCGTACTACGTATAACGAATTCGATTGGTTTTGAGTTGGGGCCTACCTAGGTATTCGGTAAAATTTAGTGCTCTCTCCACGCAGTAGCTCCTGTGAATATGGGTAAGGGATGTGTTGTCAGGTGGAGTATACATCGGGTAAATCTCACTCCCCGCATCCTGCCACCAGTGCCGGCAAATGAGATCGGTGATAGATGAGGGGTTTCGCCGTCAACTTTTTCCAGCCCAAATGGAAATGAGACATACGAGGCCACTAGCTCGGCTCGGCAAGTTCGTCTAAATGCATTACGAATATGTAAATATGAATTTTCCATTGTATAATCTGTACTCCATACCAAGCTCCATCTGATATCTCACCCGGGTAGCTCAATCAATAAAGTACATCACCTGCATCTGACCTATCTCTTTGGCCTTATGATGATAACATGACGAACCCATCTTGAACATGAGCCTCATTCAGCATGAGAGCTGTTCGTTTCCATAGGCAAGGGGATTCCTGTCTACATCTATAAAGTGAAAGCCAATAAATCCAATGTCTATCTATCATAAGCCAGTGTTTCCCTAATCCAATTTAGATATTCACAAATATCATTCGAACTAGTATTTTCCCCGTTACCCCGCACCTTTTGATCGGAATAAACTACCAATCGTTCGAGGCTATAGATCTAGGGTAGTGGTACTCCGTATACTTGAAGAAACTGGTTCGGGCGTCACGAAACTCAAGGTCGGCAACCAGATCGAGATCAAGCCTAATACTTCCGATGGCACGTGTTCAGACTACTCGATTGGCAGATTCAATCGCTGAAGAGGATTTATCGGGTTCAGTAGCGTACTATGCTATGGTTTATGGCCATCTATGGATACCTTGTTGCTAACAGTCACAGGGTACGCAGGAGAGCTTTGGGATCATGTAGACGTGGACACACAAGCCCTATTCTATTATCTGGTACCATCCCCTCTGGCATCGGTGAAAAGATTAGACTTCTTTCGTTTCAGTTGTGTTTGGGTTGTCTCGGGTCTAACGAGGTGGGTCAAACGACCCCAATGGAACGATTTGTCGTTGTATGGCACGCCATCAGCCACAAATCTCTGCGAACGGAAGACACGGTCCTCGTGATTGGAGCTGATCCAATTGGCCCGACTACCATCCAAGTCTTTAAGGCTCAAGGTATTATATCGACCACTACTGTGAACCCCGATGAGGTGCGAACGACAGCCACTTATCGATGCTTTTTCTGTTGCGTTTCAGGATAGGGATATCATCAAAGCTGCGCTTAATAACAATAAGGGCTTCGAAGCTAGGACGGATGCTCTTGTTTCAGGCATGTTCAGCTGCTTCTCATTCTATAGTCTCCATTACCCTAGTTAGGTTCCAATTTCCAAGGTTCGGTCCTCTGCTGATCTCTTTCTTTTGTTTTCATCCGGGTAGTATTCAGTCTTATCTGATGACTACTGGTAAAAGTTCATGGAAGGACGTGGTAGAGAGGCATTTAAAGCTCCCATCGGGGAGAAAGATACATAAAGCATGCGAAGATCCTAGTCGACATCTATGCATAATGGCATATGGTAAACCCGTGCAGTTTGACCTCAGGTATCCTCAATATATTCTATATTTATTGGAATCTTATCGCTTCTTTAGTTGCTGTAACAGACTACTCGCATTGTTTAGGAGGACATACATATCCTCACCAATGTCAGTTAAGGGCTTCTTGTACGTAGTAGCCTGGGATGCACGATTTTGGCCAGGTAGGCTAGAGTCAGCCCTACTCGATACAGCATTCAACTATTATAATTAGTAGAGCCGTTGGGTCCAACATTGATGATTTGGTGGATATCGTCAGGCCTTCTATCTGACCAGGCAGTAGTTCAACAGTTGGCAACGCGCCCGATATATTTAGCTCATGACCACGAACAAAAAAAGAACATCAAAAATAAGAAAACGAACCTATTTACATTAGAGGTGTGAATTAGGATCTACGGAGTATGACGCTCCTTTCTGAGTTTAATGTAACCATAAGATCCCAATCCAGTTCGGTTTTATACATGAATAGTTATGCACACCACAGTTCCTACGACAACAGGACAAACGAGTTATAGTTAGACACAAGCCATCGGATCGATGGGCTGGAACCATGACGACATATTTTCTTCGATGTTCTATATTAGCTCCGGTCGGGTGGCGCTAAGTTCTTTTTTGTGTCTTTTTGGGGCCTGAAACCGCCATTGTTTGGGACTTCAATCCTTTTGTTTCTGGTTTGATGTTCCACGAAACGTTAGTGCAGCCAGGAGCAAGGACAGTCCTTGAATGTAGCAAGTGAATGCCACTTGGAGTATCATATCATGGTTACTTTGCAGTACTCTGGAATACGAAGAGCGTGGGGTGACCTAAGCTTGGAATCTTGGCTGACTGTGTTGGGGAGAAAAATTGGACGTTGACACTGGGGGGCAGTGTCTTCTTTCCCACCCCTGCTTTTGGTTTCTTTTCTTTTCCTGACAAGGCCCCTCTTTAGAGTCTAGGCAATGCCTCGAACATAGACTAGATCTGTTCGTCGGGATCTACTCCGAGTACATGATTGATCAGGAGTTGGCGAAAGGGATCGAGACGGAGCCGCTTAAGGGCGCCAGGCCTGGGAACTAACTTAGCACATCATATGCCGATCCCCTCAACTCATATTTGGTCCCGTTCTTACGGGATGGCTCGGCATACAAGGATAGTGCTGAGAGAAAAAAAAATTAGTCGCCGTGCCACGCATCATCAGGCAGAGAAACCATAGGGTATAGGGGTTTGCCGGCCTCTGGCTATTACACACTAAGGCAGCACGTCGTCTGTGTTCGCATCTGATTGATCCACTCTGTCGTTTTTTCTGGAAAGACACGCCTCAGCCGTGAACTGAGACATGACACCGCTCATGTCCGATATAATTTATTGGCCCATCCGACTGCATGAATGGGGCGGGATGGAATTTTTAGATCCGTCTGGGTATGCCTATACTCGCCCTTTGAGTTGGCCTACGCTTTGACAACTTTCTTTTTTTCTGGTGTTGAAATCTTGGAGTTCCTTTGTCACGCAATACTCTATTGTCTGCTTCTCTATAATTGGAATCGAATACCCAAGCATAAGTATGCTCTTTTAACCATTTCGCACTTCAACTGTGGAACCTCGTCTCCGCTGCGCCCTCGGGGATTTTTGCCTAAACATAACGCTATGGGGACACCACTGACAGGGACGGTCATTATTACCGGGGGAAATGGGCTGTTGGGTTCCGAAATCGCCATCGAGATTGCAAAGAAACAACCTTTCGTTCATCTTTTATTGACGGCCCGGGATATAAGGACTGACGATGTCCGCGACCTCACGGGGAAGATCCGCTTGATCGGCCCTAGATCAATCGAAGTGCTGGCGCTCGATCTGACCGATCTGAAATCTGTGGCATGTTTCGCCAAAACCACTGTCGATCGTGTTCGTTTCAAAGACATTCCGCCCGTCATCAGTTTGATTCACTCGGCTGTTGCAACGTCTTACGTTGTCGATGAGCTCACCTCAGACGGCTACGACCCTGTGTATCAGACCAACTGCTTGTCTCCCTTTTTATTGACCATCGGACTGCTCGAGGCGTTCCGGGCTGGCGATGGTACACCAAAAGGTGGAGCGAAGGTGATCTACATCGGATGCTCTACGGCATCTTCAGGACAACTGGATTACTTCGAACGCGATCATGGAAGAAAGGGACGCAAACCGGGAACCTCGCTGAGCGCAAAGGAAGAGAACGTTCGATTTGGAAGCAGCAAGTTAATGGCGAGCGTCGCATTATATGCATTGAGGCGGAGCTTGATCTGGGTAGGTTTCAGTTTGGTCGTCATGCACATCGTATTCCCACGTTTACTAACAAAATCTAAATATAGACCGGAAACATATCACTCGACATCTTCACCTTGGATCCAGGAGGCATGACTGGCCCAAGCAATCTGCGCACCGGGGCGCCCATGTCGGTCAAAGTCGCACACCAGACTCGGTCCGGGCTTCGGCCATTCCTGCGCATGGTATCCCGAAGCTCTATGAACAAGGCTAGTGTCCCAGCCAAGGCGATAGCCAGAGTTACATTCCAGACCGATAAGGTGGAGAACTGGCAAAAGGAACGCTACTTTATCCTCGATACCGACTACGAAGCCGCATCCGTCCTGTTGAGTCTCCGTGATGGGGACAAAGTGAACAACTTGTTAGTGCAGATGATGCGACAGGTGGAAGTGGAAGCGAAGGAGGTGGAGTCGCCTGCTCCTATTCGTCCTTGTTTCAACATGGTCTCACCTCCTACAATCTCATTATGAACCTCATTGCAAGCGAAATTTGTCTAGACATTTAGCATTGGGGGAGTCCTTCGTACATAGAATTGGCGGAGCCAATTGGCCAGACCAAAGCATTTAATCAGCGAAATTCATATTTTTTGTACACCAAATATCCCAGTAAACGATATAATCACATAGTCCAGATAATAATATACAGGGGTCTCCTCCGTAGACAGGAACCAGGATGTTGCCGTGCCCCAATGTTGCAAGCGGATGGCCGGATTTGGTGAAGGCGAAAAAGACAACAATGGGACCTCCAATTATTCCGATGGCATCGTCGCTTATCACCTTCTTCTTTCTTCCCTTCCCTTTTATTTTATTCTGATTGTAAGACCTTCATTGCTTCCTTTCTACGGGGTCATACAGCTGGCCTTTACAACAGACCGGGGTTGTTGCTAGGGTCCCCGGCCGCTCCATCAATTCTTGGCCCGCAACACCAGAGCTACGGTGACAGCAATGAACCGACACGTCCTTGAAAAGGGCCATTCTGCCTACCCAAGAGGTTCTGCATTTTCAATCTCACCTAATAGGTATGTGGAAGCCGACGAACCTCCAATGCTAAGCGGCTCGCTTCTCTTTGCCCAAAGAGCTCAGAGCTCTGGCGTCATGCCGGATCATGAAGCTTCGAATCGAGACTGACTAGTGTACGCCTCCCCAGATTCCAGCCTCGCTCTCAACCTGCCCTCCGGCGACGCCGCCAGCTCTTCCAGCGCCTCTTCCTCCTTGGACTTGTGTCATTGGTGCTGGTCCTCCTGATCTTCCCATCCTGGCGCGCCGCCATCCTCCCCACGCTCTCGCTCGGTCTTCTCTCATACCCGGGGGATCTACACCTACAAACGGTTCGATATTATGATTTATCAGAAGTGCAAGGCTCAGAGAAGGGATGGGAGCGCGGAGAGCGCGTCCTGATGTGCACTCCACTGCGAGATGCATCATCCCACCTTCCGATGTTCTTCTCGCACCTCCGGAACCTCACATACCCACACAACTTAATTGATCTCGCCTTTCTGGTGTCCGATTCTCAGGATGACACACTGGGTATGTTATCGCGCATGCTGGAGGAAATACAAAATGATCCGGACCCAAGTATGTCCTTTGGAGAGATTTCCGTGATCCAGAAGGACTTCGGGCAGAAAGTCCAACAGGATGTGGAAAGCCGACATGGATTCGAGGCGCAAGCTAGCCGACGTAAGCTGATGGCGCAGGCCAGGAATTGGCTGCTAAGCGCCACGCTTCGCCCGACCCATAGCTGGGTTTACTGGCGAGACGCGGACGTGGAAACTGCCCCATTTACAATTATTGAAGATCTGATGCGCCATAACAAGGACGTCATAGTTCCAAGTGAGTGATGACTATTTTTCGGGTGTTCGGAGCTGTACTAATTGGCTTTTGTTTGTAGATGTATGGCGCCCGCTTCCAGACTGGCTTGGCGGAGAGCAGCCGTATGATCTGAACTCATGGCAAGAATCTGAGACTGCATTGGCGCTCGCAGATACATTGGATGAGGATGCCGTCATCGTCGAAGGATACGCTGAGTATGCTACATGGAGACCTCATCTTGCCTACCTCCGTGACCCCTACGGCGATCCTGACATGGAGATGGAGCTGGATGGAATTGGAGGTGTCAGTATTCTGGCCAAAGCCAGGGTGTTCCGTGCCGGTGTGCATTTCCCGGCCTTCAGTTTCGAGAAGCATGCCGAGACGGAAGGATTCGGCAAGGTAAGAGAGCAACCAAGGACACCAATTTTATAATTGCTAATATCTCCCAGATGGCCAGGCGGATGAAGTTCTCGGTAGTCGGACTGCCACACTACACAATTTGGCATCTGTATGAGCCTAGTGTGGATGATCTCCGACATATGGAAGAAATGGAGATCGAACGCCTAGCTCACGAGAAAGAAGAGCAAGAGCGAGCCGAGCAAATGGCCAGCCCCCAGTCCCAACCCCTGGGCACTGATCAGACTGTTGACGGCGAACAACTCCAGGGCTCTGTTGAAGGTCCGGCTGGTCAGCCCCTGAAAGACGCCCAGGATTCTACACAGCGTCATTTGAACGACCCAGCCGATCAAACCGATCAAATCGACCAGGCCAGCCAAGTTGATCAAGCTGGGAAATCAATGGAAGTCAATTAGCCGAAACGATGACCCTCGTTTGTCTTTCCTGGTCGCTTCTTTCCTTTCACAGCCGGACGTGCTTTGATCCAGCCGGCTGGATTACGCATTGCATTCTCACAGACAACCTTAGTGTCTCATTCCCAGTCTGGAAGAGACTATCTGTTTGTTGGGGCTTGGGCTGTGTGCTCAAGCTCTGAGCTTTCAAGAGCTTTGCTCTTCATGTTTTCATGTTTTCATGTTTCTTCCATTCTTGCATATGTTTTCTTTTATCTTTGGGTGGTATTTTCTCACGGAGTACAACAAAAGCATACGGTTGGGGTGTCGGGGAGAGCGATAATTTGGCCATTCAATGTAACATTGATGATTTTGATTTCAATGGATTCTCTACTTTTAAACTGGCCCAATAATGTAACATGAACTCCCTTCCTACGCTGTCTACATCAGAGGCATCGGATGAAGCCGAACACCTTTAAGGTGGTCCGTGTGCTATCCACTTCGCGTCAACGCGTCCAAAGTCAGTGCTTCATTTCCGACCACTTTACTTTTTGCATCTTTAATACACATCTTAATTTGCAATGTCTACTCAAGACGCGCGCAGTATTCTGTTCACACATACTCGTCCCCAGCAGGGGTTCCGGTTATTGGAACTAACCCCGGAACTGGAGGAACTACTAACATCGAAAGATGCACCTGTGTAAGTGAAGAAGCATATCGAGAACAATCCGCCTGCTATAATGTGTAACTTGCACACATATACTCTGTTCTCCCAATTGGCAGACGTTGACTAACCAACAACGCCCACCTGCCAGACTCGAACTCAAATCACCCTCTACAGCCCTCGCCCAAGCAGTAGTCGATCCCACCGCCCACGACTATGTCAACCTCTGTACACCAACACAAACATTCCGCATCCGCCAAGTCCAATCCTCAAACTCCTTGCACATCCTCCGCCCAAGCCGCGGCGAAATCTCCCAAGCAGACATCAAAGTCGTCGAACCAGAGGCCGAAACAGGCGCTTTGAACCTCCCCGATGAAGCGGTAACAGCCATCGCAAAATGCTCGTCGACACTGGAATTACACACCCCACCAGGAGGCTTCTCGGCTGTTCCATTCTTGGAGAAAACTCTGCGATTGTATGATCGGCGCAGCGACGATGATCCGGATACAGAGATGGGTGATTCTGCCGACTCAACAGGCCCGCTGGGATCAGAGGAGATGAAAGAGATCCGAGCGCGCGTGTGTCAGGACATCCCCGTGTCGACAGCGCAGTGCGAGCAGGGCTGGATGGAGCTTTGCGCGTTTGTGGATGGGGGCGAAGAGGTGGCATGCTGGCGGCCATCGGCACGGTCTCGCTTGCGTGTTTGGAAGCGGTTGGTTGAGGGTGCTGTTTTACAGGGGATTGATCTTGAGAAACAGTTCCTTGTTGGGGACTTGTGGAAGTCTGTTCTGGATGAGGATGACGAGCAGGAACCGCCGTTCCCTCGTGCGTTGCTTGAGGCTGTTGTGAGAAGGATTTGCATTGCGGATGAGAGGCCGCCGTTGGCGGATGATATCAAGTGTGAGTCGGATGTGAATGATAAGGTGTGATTGCGACAGACACTAATCGCTCTATGCTGTTTTCTAGGGGCGAGCTTTGATAAGATTGAGTGTACGCAATGGGTTGGGGAGACGTATTTGGCAGCTACTGCTCCCACCACCTCCTCTGCTATTGGAAGAAGTGAATTCCTTCGTGCGTGGAAAGACTGTCTTCCTGAGTCTTGGAGAGGAGAGGCGCTGCTATCCAAATTGACGGTAATTTGATCTTTGTTTGATTTGCAGCGCAGTTGCTAATCTGGATTACAGAATGGCTGCTACAGTAGTCCCGACCCTACGACCATCTACTTTGTTGAACCCTCGCAACGGCAGCAAAGCAGCAAAGCCACTCCCACTGCTCCTGCTACCGCTGCAAAAGCTAAGACCACCAGGAATTGGCATGAACTGCTCAAAAATCGTCGTTGATTGGGCAAGAGAAAATCTTTTAAAAAAAAGCCAATGCAATTGCTGCGTAAAATGCTGCGGCATCTAATCTATGATGCGCGCGTATCTAGAACCATCGCAATCACCCGCCCAAAATCGCCTTGATCTTCACACCTCCCAGAAGAGAGATATGGGGAAATCAATTGGGAAACAAAGGAAAAAGAAACCCCCGAAATGATGCCAAATTGGGTCGAGGATCAACACCAAGTGTACTTCTCATTCAACCACCATTCCACGTCTTTGCCCAGCCCTTGCTTCTCACCAGTCCACCGCAGACAGGAGATACTCTCCTTCTCGCGGTGGACAAGCTCAGCTTCGGGGTCCACCAAGGCCACAGCCTTCTGCAAAAGAGGAGTCGGATTCCAGAATTCAACCTTGCTCATGTTCCACTCGTGTGCTTCTTGCTGTGCGCGACGAAGGATAGCAGCCATAGCTTTGATAGTGGCCTGCTCCTCCGCCGGGGAAGTGGGATCATCATACACCCACCGAAGAATGTAAAGGACATTGTCCTCGGGCGTCTCGCCAAAGTTCCGGTTCCAAGCGCAGTACACGCGAGCCCGGTCATCACCCGCGCCCTTGACTACAGGCGGGGAGCGTTCTGCAAACAAGTTCTCGGCATAAAACTCCTCTCTCGCCCAATGCCAGACAAAGTGATCGAAATTAGGCAGAATGGCAATCTTAGCACCACTCGACTTCTGCGATGCCACAAGCATCTGGTTGCACAATTTAGCGAGGACAGCCTCACTACACAAGCTCTTCTGCACATCTTCAGCAAACAGATCTCTCGTAACCGCCTTCTCCTGCCCCGCACTAGCCGGTAAAGATATATGCGAAGACGAGAATGGCCTCCATCCAAACTGCGCGTAGAATTTCTTTCCGATATCCGAGAAAAGCACTGTAAACAGAGACTTCCGCCGTGGCTCCTTCTCCATATCCCACGTCTCGATCTTAGTGCTCAGTTCTTCCAGCATGCGCTTGGCGTACCCTTTCCCGCGGAATTCTGGCCGGCAGTAGACACTTCCAACGCCGTGCGTGGATACCTCCTCCACCTTCCCGTTGTGAGCCAGCAACGCTGTCTTCCGGTAAGACTCGCACGAGCTGAGGATCGTGCGGTGGTCCTCGGGCTCATTGCGGTCCACTAGGATCCAGCAGGTCAAACCATCCCGGGTCAAGCGTTGCCGAAGAAGATGGTTCTCGCGTTCTATATAAGTTTCCACATCCAGCGGGCCCTTCCAGGCCACGCTATTCAGCTTAATCGAAGCAATGCGTTCCGCAGCCGAAGCCGGCACCAGAATTAGATCTGGAGACTCCCCTGCGGGAAGAGTGGGGATCTCTGCAGCAATCATTTCGAAATTCCAGTGAGCAGAGATGAGTAGGATACAACGTCTGATTTGAGATGTCGGAAGAAAGAAAAGGAGGGAAGTCAACTTCGTATCAAGTGATCCAATACAAAGATAAAAAAAAATAATCCGGGGTCTCTAAAGTCAAAGCTCCGGAAGGCAAAACCACACAGAAACAATGTGGAGATATGGCACCGACGGGACCCCGATGCCATAATATACCAGTCATTCCCAAGGATTCCACGGAGTATCCTTTCTACAAATAGATCTCGGGGGTCACGCGAACGTACCGTCTAGAAACCACTACTCAGCTACAATTGACCAACCACAATCCCAATGTCCCCGACTGCTGTACATTCCGCGTCACAATCGGGACCGGATGGGCCTGCCTTATACGTAAGAAAGAGCGTGGAGTATCGTCTCTTTGTCCCCGGCCCGCGGCGAAGCGATGGCAAGCGACGGGGAGGTTGCATTGCGTTAGTCCTTATAGGTCGGCCCTTGACGTAAGAGCCGGTCTTGGGGGCGGAGGGTTTGGTCGGGTCATGTGAGCCCCTTGGCGCCATTATGTCATTATTTATTGACGTATGCTGACCTTCCAGGGTTGGGGGATGTTCGGTTTTAGTTGCTAAGCGGAGGATGGGTGTTTAGTCGAGTTTATGCAATAGTCGGAGCGTTGATAGCCCTGGGGTGGTCATTGAAGCTCACGCGACCGGTTTTATAGGGTTGGAGATACGTATACGCGGTCTTGATACTCCGTAGACGAGTATATGAAGCCGGTCATTGTCACAGGGGCAGTCGATGTCATTGCCAATATCCTATTTTTTTTAAAAAAAAAATAGGGGATGGGCTTGGTGTTGGTTCTAATCCACTGGATGGAGTAGAGAAGAAACTATTGAGATATCTGCTATAACCCCCTGACCCACCGTCCTGAAAATATCTAAGAATATATCTTTGCTGCCTCCTAGTGCATCAGACCTCGATTTCGCATGTGCAGTATAAATAATCCCGTGGATGTGTACGGAGTAGGCTATATTTGAATCATTGAAAGTGTGCGGAGTACCCCGTAGGTTGCTGCCAATATAGGGCTGATTACTATTTGTGTACTTCCTTTTTCGGAAACCCCACTAGTCCTTCTAGACGGCATTAATATGTATCAATTAATCTACTCCGTACTCCGTATGTTATAGTCGCACAGGGTCTCCCTTGATCATATGGCATTTGCAAGTAAGAAGCCCGAGCAGCATCTCTCAGAGCAGGAAATTCAGATGACCTTAGTTATGTATGTTGGCTCTATCCCGTTGTTAGTAGACTCTTGCCCTAAATCGCCCTAAACAATGGCCCCGTCCCTCCCTTCTTCCTTCTGTGATTCAGCATTTGAAATCCCTGTCGATCATTAAATTGGGTAAACGAATGAAGCAGGATATAAATGGAAGCAACCCGAGGATGTACCTTGAAGCCCCTGACATGGGGTGATGGATCCTATTGTGTCGTCATAGAACTGGGATGAAGCAAGAGCATGACTCCCTGTAGTTTTCTTTTGTACGTATCACATTAACCTAAGCTGGATGTCTGGCTAGCACACTTACTTTGTCACCCCCAAAGGCCGACTGGCCTATTCTTAACCAGCCAGGTCTGGGATGATAAGTAGAGAGGCCCGAATATAGACAGGGCAGAGGCAAGAGAAACAATGACAGAATCAACCAAATCGGAGACGACCCTATAACATCCATGAATAACATGCAGCATTACGATATCAAATACCTTCGTCTCGAAGGACATTCTTTTTGTTTTCGCTGGGTCCAACAGCGTAAGAGCAGACATGGAAGAACAAAAAAAGAAAGAGGGAAAAAAATGAAGTTGGATAGCGAGACAACATTGGGAACTAGTTGCTAGTGTAGTTGAATTGGCTAGAAAAGAGAATCATGTAGTTGGAGATCTCAACCAAGGAGACGAATGAAATACAACAAAAAATGGGAGATGGTATGAAACAAGGCCGGACCGCAGCAAAAAGACCAGCGAGGAGAGAGAACCCAAGGGATCAAGCAAGATGCAAAATGAAGTAAACGGGGAGATATAGGTAAAAAGCAGCCGGGGAAAAAGAGGAAAATAAGGATCGAGAAGGAGTGTCATGAAAGTGAGAATGGGAAGAGCAGGGGAAGAAATTTAAGCACTTGGAAATTAAGCACAAAAAAAAAAAAAAGATATGAACCTGATCTATGTAAATAAATGCCATGCGAGTCCCAGAAATCGTCCGCTCCCCATTTTATGTATTTGCGCCACTTCTTGCGGACGGCACTTCCAGAATTTCCTTCGTCCATCATGTATGTTCGATCATTGGTCACGCTAAATCAAGAATGAGACAGAAATTGGGTGTGGGAGCAGGGGAGAAAAAAAAAGAGGAGATGGAGATGAGAAAAAAGAAAACCAAAGAACACAAATTCTCCCAAGGCCTGAAATCGTACCAGAGAATCTCGAGGTCATGGTGGCTGCTCTGAGTCCACCGGTTCGTTAAATTTCTGCCGTGCCTCTTCTACCCATAATTCCAACCGAAGCTCACCGGCTTCGACACGTCGTACAGGTACTGTTTTGGCACGGCCGTTCGAGACCCTGGGTGGCGGCTGCTGGGGCTCACCGTTCCGCAATTTAGAGACGGAGAATGGTGCTGTGCACGATCTTAGGTGCACCTTGCCCGGTTCTGCCACAATCCAAGTTTGTTCTTCCTTGGTGGTCCCCGCCGGTGGTAAAGCATCTTCCCGCACTTCGATGCAGACAGTGAAACTGAACTCGTCATCGCGGGGAAGCGGGGTCAAGCGGGCACAGGCTGAGGCAAGTCTCGCTAGACATGCTCGGAATTGTGCCTCGAGGTCGACCGATGTTGGTGCGGGACCCCGGTCTGAGACGGGGGCAGCTGGATTAGATGAATCTTCATTTCTATCTTCGAATGTAGTATTCACCTCTCCCGCAGGAGCACGCGGGAAACCCGACAGATCGAATGCATATCGCTCGAGGGGCTGATTTGTGCGAAGAGATGAAATGATGATACTGACTGCGGTGATTGTGCCTTTGAGAATCTCCGTTCCTACTGCGATTGATGCATCGTTGATATAGTCACACACTTTTGGGTGACGAGATTGTCGGACGGGATAATTGTATGCCCGCACGGGGAGGAAAGTTGCGCGCGGATAGACGGAGCGCAGGAATAGAATTTGGTGAACGGACACGGTAAGGAAGTTGGTGAAGGAGGCCGCTAACGCTGACTGATTTGTAGGCAGCGATTTGGTAGCAGGGACCGGGGCGGAGAATGTGGTCATGGTGGTGGTGGTACTACTGCTCTCGCTGGCAATCGGCATTGCCATTGAATGATCCGGTGTCGGTTCCACGGTGAGGATGGTCTTGACGAAGTCTCGAAGAATCTGAATGATGTTCCACCCTGAAGCTAATCATCGCTCTGCCTTTCTAAACTATCGGTCAATGTCACGTCCTATCAAGTTGCAAGTGTTATGATCGTTGAAATTCAATCAAGACTTTTTGGGGTTCCCCGATGCTCCGGCCAGTGACACAAGCGGGTCACGACAAAGCACAAATCCAAAGGGGTTGGGAGATCGGTACAGATAGAGCGACCGGGAATATCTCCTCAGCACGATATGGAATAGGGTCTCGTGAGGGGGAAATATGGTTGGGTAGATGGTGGGTTGGTGGAGGAGGGGGTTATTGTTGAAAAGGAAGCCCGAGACGTACGCTTAAGTGGACAAAACGACAAGTAGAAGCAAACCTCAAAGCATGAGGGATGGAAGAACCATATGATTCACAAGCGACGATCTCAAGTGCAAGAGAATGGTCACTTTTAGATTTTAGATCCCTAAGGAGGGGAATTCGAGGAGGGGTGTTAAAGCGAAGGGAAGGAGGGGAAGCGTTGAGAGACGGAGACCCTCGAGGGGGATAGTTTTAAGACAAAAAAGGGGCCAAGTAAGGAAACAATACGGGAAAAAGAGGTTATGGAGATGAATCGACGATGGGATATACCTCACTCTCGCTCATCGAGGGGAAAAGCAGAAGAAAGGCGGACTAAGGTGGTTGATTCGAAGGTCACGATTCCCGTCACGTGGTTGCGTCATGGGTTTGGTGCAGAATCCCCCTACTTTTACTTCGCTTTTGGGTATGGATACAGCTTTATATTCTTTAGGCTCTGGAGACCACCATGCTTGGGTATTAGGAGGTTTTTGTATAGACGGATCCTTGTGTGTGCTATATGGCATGGCGTACAGAGATGTACTAAGAGGGAAGAAAAAGCAAAAAAAAAAAGGGAAAAAGGGAAAAATTACCATGATCAGGGTATAGAGTACGGAGTACAGTATCCAGTATCCTTACCAATTTCGTATGAAAAAGAAGGGCACACAGTTTTTTGCCTCTCTTTCTCTTCCCCACTGTGAGGTGGATGGATGGTCTATAAGAGGGGTGATCATCGCAGCCCAGCGAAAAATAGGGTACCGCATTGGGCCGAGAATACACCAAAAGGGGAGACATGGAATGGTACCAGGATCATATAGAACCCATCTACCATGGATTCAGAGCACGAACCCGCAGGGTATAGCCGAGCAGAATTTGGTTATCGTCCTATATCCCGGTACCTGGGCAGATGCCGTACAGTTAGCTCGGCCGATTTATATTGCTCCAAGCCACACTATAGCCTATATTGCACACTACCTAGGTACAACATAGGCATCGAGGAGATCCCTCTTTTTGACCCTAAATGGCATCTTCGCCGAACTATAATTCAGAGGATCGAGGTATCGGGTACAACACCCGTACTGCAGTACTGCATCGCCCTGTCCACTCTCTCCAGTAAGGATGCCGTACCATGTTACCGATGATCTTCCAACACTGACGGCAGTGGCGGTCATAAGACAAGGGTACGATTTCCCGGGGGGAGTGTCATTGTGCTCCGTAGTCCTGCAGGTCCTGTAGGGTATGAGGGATCCTGATGGGTTACTCGATTATCAATCCCTTCCATCTGTTTCTACCTATTCTTGTCCCGATATTTAGAAGGGTTATATGCACACAAGTACGGAGTACTCCATACCGTATGCTATACTATATTGTACACCACGTACTCCGTACTCCGTACATGTATGTATGTTGTACCTGGGTGAACCCACCTTCTCCAGCGCCCTTTCACGACTCGCAATTCTCGAATACTCCTGTAATACTCTTTTCCGCCCTGTACGACCGTGTTGCAAGTAGTTGCCCCAAAATGACACCGAGCCCTTTCCGAAAGATCACGACCCAATGGGATCAGCCACGAGGATCATAATTGGGATCTCACCCGAAGCTCGAGCCAGTTGATTCCGGAAGACCCATGCAGTCGGCTTTGTATGGTGTAGGGCCTGAAATGGTAAACGGTAAACGGTAAACCGCCATTCTGGATCTCTTTCAGCCATTGCCAAGGTTTACCCTCGGAGGTCTATTCTTCTATCTAATTCCTTAGTTTACCGCTGGGGAAATATTCCGATCTGGTGACCATGCCGAAGATGCGATTGGAACGAGACGGAAGCTTGTCTACGATTTACGCATCCATCTGTGAAGTCCCGACTTTCTCTCAATCCCTGCCAGCAAGAGGCAAGGAGCAGAAGGACCTAATATGTGGCGTTCGGGATCGCCCCAGGTCTTTTTACACACCGTCCATTTCTTTTTGTGATTTCTTTTTTCCTCCAAGATCTTGCTGGTACACTGCTGGTGCAGATCAGAGTGATCTCCCGCTTCGAAGACGAATCGGCCATGTCTAATTTTATAGGTTAAATATTTTGTATTCCGCTATTCCCTAGCCCTCGAATCTGAACTGAGGTGGCGGAGGTATCTACATATGATGAGCCCACGGAGGTACAGGTATGTAGTAAGTGGCGGCCCCATACGTACAGTGAAACCGAATGCTTGAGATACCGAACCGAAACAGAAATTAGGTATAAAACAAACACTTTACCTGGTACGTTATTTCGGTAGATATGGGGGATTACTGGCCTACAAGCAATATATCGAGGTACATAGGCACTGCTGGAGTTATCTACATGTAGGTATACCCGTAACGTTGACAGATCGAGTCTGCTTTGCGGAGTAAGTAGGTACTACAAGCGCCGGGGACATGAGGCTTTGTACACGATGTAGATTTAGTATGGGCAATCTGATACGGAGATGGACTCGGTGTGTCTTTTCGCAGCCTTGATTAGACCTGAGGGACATTCGTGGTCAGTTTCATCGGTCTTCGACAGAAGCACCTTTAGGTATAGTTACAACATAGGGTTAGGTAGGCCCACACAATATACTCACGGATATCTCAACAGCTCAATTGAACATCTTGAAAGTAATCCTTCTCATTCCAAATCACTAATCATATATACAATCTATATATAGGCAAATCCTCACATTCGACGAGAAAGTACGGAGTAAAATACATACAAAGCAGGAGCGATCGAGGGCCGACCGCCTTCGAACTGCCCCTCCTCCGCGTCTCCTTATCTGCAATTTAGCGCGCAAAACATTGGGTTCTCTAGTGACTGAGATCCATTGGCTTCGAGCCCCTCAGTCTTTCTTTCATCTTTCTATACAACCTACCCTAACTGACCTGAATTAACTTGAACTTCGTTCGCCATGGAGCAAGAACTCTTGTCGCTCCTGGCAGACACCCAGTCGCCCAAGGCCGATGCCAGAAGAGCTGCGGAGTCTCAGCTGGAAAGCCTTTACGCCCACGATTCCTTCGCGATCTCGCTCACAGCAATTGCCTCTCACGACTCAGTCCCAGTCAACTTGCGCCAGTCTGCCCTTTCGGTCCTGCGTACCTTCATTGCCGCCGCCTGGTCCCCCATCCTTGACGAATTCAAGGGACAGATCCTCATCAACGACGTGAATAAGGCAAGTGTCCGCCAAGCACTACTGGTACTTGCGACGCATGATACACCTGAACGTAAAGTAAAGAACTCCGCAAGTTACGCCGTCAGCAAGATCGCCAGTGCCGACTTCCCGGACGACTGGCCCGAGCTGCTCCCTTCGCTGTTGCGTATTATCAATGATCCCGCCAGTACCGATGGCCAGATGCACGGTGCTCTCAAGGTTCTTCTGGATCTTGTAGATACAGGTTTCAGCGAGGAACAGTTCTTCAATGTCGCCCGTGATCTCGTTTCGTCCCTTTTCGCTGTGGCCATCGCCGAATCCAGGCGACCTATGCTACGTGCTCTGGCTGTCGCAGTCTTCCGCTCCTGTTTCGATACCCTGGAAATGGTTCTCGAACAACACAAGGATGCTATCAAGCAGTTCATGGATGAGGTGCTCAGCGGATGGTCGCCATTCTTCGATGAAGCTTTGAAGGCACCCCTGCCGCAACCACCTAGTGAGGAGGAGGAGCACAAACAAGGAGAGATTGCGTCACAATGGAGAGGTATCGTCGGGCTGAAATTACAGATTGTCAAGGTATGCAGTGTCTGCTCGTGGTCACCCAGGCTCTGGCTAAAAACATTCTTTGCTATAGACTGTTATGAAAATCCGCATGATATTCCCTGCTCTTTTGACAGCGCAGAGCACACTTTTCTTCTCAACAGTCTGGACAGAACTCACCAACGCACTTCCCATCTACCAAAATTTCTACATTGAGGAGGAGAGGCAGAGCCGCCTGGAGGATGCGGACGGACTTCCACACTCGCTCGATTTCCTCATTTTGGAGGAGCTGGATCTTATCCAGGCCCTGTTGAAGGCACCCCCGTAAAAGCGGAGTTGCATCAGCAACTTCAAAATGCCGGTGCGACCGCCAGCACGTCTAGCTGGCTTCCGGAAATTATGAAGCTTGCCAGCTCTTATGCACAGATCACAACCGAGGAGGAGGCTTTATGGGAGATTGACGTGAACATTTTCCTTTCAGAGGAGACTTCTGTCACGGCCAACTACACCCCCCGAACTTGCAGCGGAGATCTAGTGATCAAGACTGGCGAATGGCTGAAGGGTATGGCAGCCGAAGGTCTCCTGAGCCACATGAACACTCTCTTTGCTGATTCGACTGTCTCGTGAGAAGCCCCTCTCCCCCTTTCGCCCCCCTACCCTTCGTTAGTGCGATCAAACTAACCAGAACGCAAACAGATGGAAATCTCGGGAAGCCTCCCTTTACATTCTTAACTGTTTGCTTCGAGACTTCGGTGAAGTAGACCAACAGATCTCACCTGAACTGGCATCTCACTTCACGCAATTCGTGCAGTACGCGACCCAGCAAGAACAGGAGCTCTTGCGCGCTCGAGGATACCTTGTTGCTGGAGCTCTGTCCAAGGTTGCCGGCGAGACATTCCAACAGACTACATCGTCCTACCTGGAGGCTACTTTGAAGGCGATCGCCGAAGATCCCGCCGAGGTGGTCCAGGTAGCCTGCATTCGGGTCCTGCAAGATTTGATGCCCTCCCTGCCGACGGGGCTGGCCCGTCCCTTCCAGCCTGCTGTGATTACGGCCATATCGGAATTCATCGCTGCACATGATCTTCGTGAGCAGGATGACTCTGATGACCTCAAGGTCACGCTGGCAGAAACCCTTCGGGACACTATTATGGCCGATTCTAGTATCGTCCTATCGTCTACTGCCATTGATGTGCTGTTCAGCATTGCTAGCAGCGGAGCCGAAAACTTCCAACTAACTATGACTGTCACAGAAGCATTCGAAGACATTGTGGATCAAATTACTGATAGTGGCCCCGAACCTTACATGCGTCTTTGCGAGAAGGTGCTTCCCTCGCTGATGGGTGCAATTGATGTGGGCAATCTGACCGAGGAGAATGCTTTGACAACCTTCGCGGCTGATCTTCTTCGCGCTCTCGCCGAGCGGAGTCCCGAGCCGATGCCTGCTGGCTTTGTGGAGACCGTGATGCCAAAGTTAAACCACCTACTGCTTGAATCTGACGAAGCAGAGTTGATTCGACCAGCTACAGAGGCCGTGCGACACATGCTCTCTCACGACTTTGCACAGTTTGTCGCTTGGCGTGATCCTCAATCTGGAAAGGAAGCACTCGAAGTTGTGCTGATCATCATTGACCGCTTGCTGGACCCAGCAGTTGATGATAACGCAGCCACAGAGGTCGGCCAACTGGCTGCAGAGTTGGTTGAGCGGGCTGGCTCCGAGCGCCTTGGTCCCTACCTGCCGCAGCTTCTGCAAGCTGTGGCACAACGATTGGCGACAGCGCAGCAAGCGCAATTCATTCAAAGTCTCATCCTTGTATTCGCGCGACTCACTCTCATCAGCGCACGCGAGGTAGTTGACTTCCTAGCTCAGGTTAACCTGGGTGGCCAGAGCGGACTTGCCGTTGTCCTGAGCAAGTGGCTCGAGAACTCAGTCAACTTCGCCGGCTACGATGAAATCAAGCAGAACATCTTTGCCCTAGCGCGACTGTACGAGCTCGCCGATCCCCGCGTGGCCGAAGTCCCTGTCAAGGGCGACCTTATCATCCAGGATACAGGCCGGATCAAGACCCGCTCACAGGCGCGCAAAAACCCAGACCGATTCACGACCGTGCGAGCACCGCTGAAGATCATCAAGGTCCTTGTTGAAGAGCTGGGTGCAGCATCCGGCAACAAGGAAATGGACGCTGCCGCCGCGGCGGCCTTGGAAGACGCCGACAGCGACGATGGTGACGACGACTGGGAGGATGTCCCCAGCCAGATTCTGGACCTCGGTATCGGAGCGTCGAAGCAGGGACTGATGGACTTCGCTGAGGGTGGCTCCGAGAGTGTGTTTGGTGTGCGTCGCCGAGATGATGAAACGCAAGGCTTCCTGGCGGATTTCTTCCGACAGGCCTCCACGCAGCCGGGTTTCCAAGAACTGTATGCGGCGTTGACTCCGAGTGAGCAGACTAAGCTACAGAGTCTGTGAGTGGAATTGAATGTATGTAATTTCAATTGCCAAGAGGCTATGGCTGCAAATCCCTCCCCTCGGGATTTGGGTTATTAATGGTTTGATGCATGGATGCCAATAAACATTTGTACGAAGTACACATACTCCCTTCTACCTACATGTAGTTATTTTCTTTTCTTTTTTTTTCGGTTACCGGTGTACGGAGTACTCCGTATGGAATACGAGTGCTCCTTTTTGTGTCGCACATTAAGGATTAGGTGTCCCATGCTAATAGTGAGAAATACGTTGGTTTTATCTATAAGTTCGCCTTTCAACGCCCCGAAGTTCTTTGTTTGCCCCTCAAATATGACAGGTGTACGGAGTACTCCGTACTCCGTACGGGATACATTCTGCAACGTATTTTCTTTGTTGAATTGACTTTAACCTAGGGGCCTGGCCATGTCATCAGGCTCCGGTACATCAGATATGAGATCAACGGGCAATCAGGGATGGTACTAGAACACCGAACATAGCCCCCCTACTCCGTACATAACCAAAAGTACCGAATGACATAGCCATGCAACGAGTCAGGACACCCCTGTTTCTGCAGACAACATGACTCTGAGCCAACCCTTCCAGTCGGAACCGCCCAGAGCTTATCCGTCCCGTGTGGGGACGCACCAGACAGTCGGGTCTCAGACCAGGATGACCCCAGTGGAGGTGGCATTGCTTTTGCTCCCTTTCTTCTCTCCTTTTCTTTTTCTCTCGGAATTTTTTTTTCTTTTCTTCCACTTCGTCATATTGCATATTTCTTTTTTCTTCTCCTTCTAAATAATTTATCCTGCCTATCCTAGTGTTTCTACGAGTCAAGTGATTCAGAATGTAGCTGGAGCAAACAAGTAAATCCAATTAGTGCGTGCCACTTCCTCTTGGCAGCCTTTTCCGTGTTAGTGCTCACACCTGCTGAGTGGTTCTTGCGTAGATCTGAGCACGCTACTTGAATCGGAGCAACTGCGACTTTGTCATTCCGTAGAAGCCCTCACTAAACTGCACCATGTCATTTTCTATACACACTCTACTCTTGTTCTTACCCATTGCCCCTTCTACATAAGAGAAGTCTCTATAATATTGACTGGAGGCTGTTACTTGATAATAGGCTGGCGCACTTTATATATTTTTCGGTCTATTTATTCGGATATTTTGATGTCTACCATCGACTGCTTGCCTAACACTGGCCACATCAAGGATCGATTTTGACCATCAGGATGCTCATTCCAAGACTGAACACTGAATGGCTAAACAAGTGATCTTTAAACAAATCAGTCTCCAATACCTGTATACCCAGTGATTTTCCAACTATCTTTCGGATTCTCTCTGGGGACTCCCCGTTTCCCCGGGAAAGCAACCTCTTTGGCTGTCTATATTCCCTGTTCTTGCTTATACGAGGGCTTCTTTCAGCTGGAATATGATCTTATATATGCCCACGACGTCTTCAATCTTGGTACAGCCCCCGATACTTTCAATATGTCTTATAAGATGATTAGCTGAGATTTACGCTAGTCGTACAAATACCTCCGCAATTCGTCGAAACTGGTCTCTAAGAGGAACCAAGCTGAAATTGACACCCCAATATCTTAGGAACACACCTTGGTGTGAGCAGAACCCATCGACCTGGCAGAGGATGAGTGCCTGGCTCTCTTTGGGTCTTGGGCAAAAAACGACCCTCAATGCTGGGAGCGGCTGTAAATCTCTTTCTCAAGCTAGCGTTGATGGGGTGGAGTATTACTAACTAGCTACATGATGTCCAAGTCTTCAAGGATCCCCATACTAAGTAAGATACTATACCGCATTTGGCAAATAGCTCGTCGGCCTCACGTCACCATGTTTTTCATGAAGTGGCCATTGAGGGCTCTAAGCGTTCGTCTATTCGGGGGAGTTTGCCTGCGGTTGTTGAACTGGTAGCTTGGGTCTTCGCCAGCATGTTAAGCGTGTTGTTGCTTCCACCTAGGTACTACTAAGAGCAAGTTGGGGAATCAGAGGGTGGAAACATCGAATGTCCATATACGGAATACTCATTCCTCCCTCTCGAGGTCCGATCCATAGGTGTAACGGTAAACGGTAGCAAATACATCCGTCTTCGAATTGGGTGTCCCTCCCCTCGTCAAAATACACCGGTTTAGCAAGGGCCATTGGCCATTAGGTGACAACCAAAACTGCTAGTAGGCTTAGTGCCAATGGATTAGAGGGCTTGGCTTAGGGAACAGCATCTAGAACCCAGATGGCCGGTTAAACTATCCCACTACGGAGTAGATCCCAGGGTTTCATTGATCGTACCATGAGCAAACCAACCGATTTCATTCCCAGCCCCTAGGAGGACGAGAAAATTGAATGATCGTCGAGAACACATCGAATGTGCCTATGTGGGGACTGATGACGTTGTTAAGTAATTAGAGACCTCGATGGGCCAGTCGAGTTACACGATCCTCTTCGTAGCTCTCCCTCTCTTCATTCTCGTCATAGCTGATGGTTATTGCCGCTCCTTGGTCATGGCTTGCAGAAAGCTCAAATGGGACCAAGTCCCCAGAAAGAAGGGACATCGTCAAGGGCCGATAGAGCGAGATACGCAGGTAAACAATATGCCCCATTGGGTAGGGTCCCGCGAACTGGGTGCACTATACGGAGTACCCAGGTACCAACCACCCTGTGGGCTGAGATTTACGCGCAGTTCCAAGCTCGGGCCCAGGGTACGTGTCCATGGAACTCAACCAAATCCCGGGTTTGGAAACTTTCCCGTACCAGGCTGTCGGATCTGTTCTGCGGGGTCAAGGCCAAAGGTACGGGATCCGACCAGGTGGTAGAAGAAAAAAATAAGTACGCTAGGGTTCCTTCATCCTCTCTCTCGGGTTCGATAGCTTCATTCCTTTTTCCCCTCTCTTTCTCTCTCTCTTTTTCTCGAGGGAAAATTCTCCTCTCTCCACTCCCTATCTAGCTCCGTTCTCCTTCTCGGTCCTGCCATGTCACACCCAAACATGGATGAGAGCATTCAAATCGATGTAAGCAGATCATATATCTCCCTATGTTCGAAACCCCTCCAAATCCCATATCCCTGTCTTCGGTCTCTGTCAGTACCCAATATGGGGTTATTCCCGCTGCTATCGTTTTCCATCCCAATTACCATCCTCATCACAATCCCCCAATCTTCAAATCCATAACTAACAACCCCAGACCAGCGATGACGACTCCCTCTTCGATACCCGCTCCCTAGTCGGCTCCAACCTCTCCTTCGCCTCCTCCGTCCGCGACTACAGCTATGAAAGCGGCCGCCGCTACCACGCCTACCGTAACGGCCAATATCCCCTCCCCAACGACGAAGAAGAACAAGACCGCCTCGCCCTAATGCACCATCTCTTCAAACTCCTCACCGGCGGCGACCTGCACCGCGCCCCAATAGCCGACACCAGCCCGCGCCGCATCCTCGACATCGGCACCGGCACCGGCATCTGGGCCCTAGAAATGGCCGAAGACCACCCGCAAGCGGATATTATCGGCACCGATCTCAGCCCCATCCAGCCAAACTGGGCCCCGCCCAACTGCCGCTTTTTCATCGATGACGTCGAGAGTGACTGGACGTTCTCGCCCGGTGAGGCATTCGATTATATTCATGCTAGATCTATGGGCGGCGGCATTGGGGATTGGCCGCGGTTGCTGAAACAGGCATATCAGCATCTTAAGCCGGGGGGATGGTTTGAGGCGCAGGAGTTTGAGACGTTGGTGGTTTCGGATGATGGGACGCATGAGCTAGCGACTGTGTTGGATGATTGGCAGAAATTGTTGAATCAGGCTAGTGTGAAGTTTGGGAAACCGTTGAATATTGCGCCGAGGGTGTCGGAGTGGATGACGGAGCAGGGGTTTGCGAATGTTACGGATGATACGTATAAGGTATGGGTTTTTTTTGTGAGGGGTTGATTGTGTTTTTCCACTCATGCTGACTGGGTTTTTTGACTTAGTGTCCTGTTGGCGGCTGGGCGAAGAATCGCCGCTTAAAAGAAATCGGTCGCATTGGCAAGGTGACGATACTGGAGGTCGTCGAGCCGTACACTTTGGCGCTCTTTACTCGTGTCCTGGGTTTCACGTACCAGGAGGCTCAGGAGTATATGCATAAAGTGCGGGCGGAGTTGATGAGCAACTCGTACCACCTCTACGTGTACTTCCACTATGTCTATGGGCAGCGGCCTTTTGAGGATTCTCCTGATTCCGACGCTTCTTGAGACTTGTGGGTTTGTGAGCGTTTAACGAAGATTATGACAACGATACCCCATGACTTACAAAAGTGAGAGTTTCGATTTCTCTCCTTGTCGACTTTACTTGACATGAATCATGGCTAGATGAAGTTTTTCGCTGGAGTTTAGAAAGGTTTTGGTTATTAGATTGTTTTGGTTCAATTATGTTTATATGGCTATCGTGACGCATGAGAGAATGGGGTCTTTAGAATGTGTTGAGCATGTTGTCTCAGACACCATGACTTGTCTGGCATCGACCAGCGATCCGGATTATGATCGACACTGATATTTCCAGAGACCCAGCTCTGAATCCGACCGGGCGCAGTTAAGCCCTGACCAATTCGGCAAAGGGGGACATCATGGGAGTATATCCTTTGCTCGGACCCATATCTGAGCCCGGAGTTTGATCCTACAGAGTTATATGAGAGAGGAAGATGTCACCGTCCATTCCCAATGCCGAGAACTCGACAGACCCCCGACACGGCCTCCTCGGGTGAAGCACTCATCCGCAAGACGTGGATCACCTGTGGCAAATGTTTCTCATCACAGCTGCCAATCGTTTCCAGCAGGATCTCCAGCATTTCCTGTTTCCCTTCTACCTTCCAAGAGCGCGACATGGAGTTCATAATGGTTCTTGGCGAAGGACGGTCCTGGGAACTGGGGCTCGGATGACTTGAGGTGTCACTTGCCACGGGTGTCGGGGTGGGCAGAGAGAGATGCGCATCTATATTGACATTGATATTTGTATTGGCGGTGGCGATATCTGTATTGGAGGAATTGATAGTCGAATAATGAGCCTGGGCTTGGTATGGATGCATATGCGGCAACTGGTTCGGACTCGAATTCGGGTTCCCATATGTGTCCATCCCCCATGGATGATATGCACGACGGCTGTCGTATTCATTTGATATTGGGAACTTCTCCCCGTCATGTGTGATTGTCGAAGTCGGTACCGGTGTGTGGTAGTGGGTATTTTGTAAATATGGCGACGCTTTCCTTCCGCCGAGTAGATATTCGCCGTGATCGGCCCCATACAGTGGCGGGTGTTGTACGCCTATTATTGCATCTTGCGCGTATCTTCTGTGCGCTGGAAAGCCGTGCATTTGGACCGGGACAGTTCCAGCCATGTCCCCCGGGGCGAAGGACATGTCTCCTGTATAACAATTGGACATTCTCGAATCGTCTAAACAATCTAACATAAATCAACACAAGCACCAAGATATTGACAGGACTACCAGACATACTTCCAAAAGCAAATGGGTCGATTACAGCCGACCCATCCAAATCCGCAATCCGCGGCGCATACCCCGTCGCGATGGGATAAGCCGACGCCGAAGTTGAGACAGAAGCCGAAGCTGATAGCGACGATATAGACGACGGCCTAGCCCCATTTTCACTCCCCGTGCTATCGGGGCTCGTAACAATCGCCGAATTTGTCATGGTCGTGGACGAGGAGGGTGACGACCCGCGCCAGCTGCCTTCCCCAGCATCAGGGGTACCCCCGGCGGAACCAGCGCCAGCGTTGATCACATATCCAGAGCCGTGGCCATGAGTGTGGTTTCCGTAGCTATAACCCACGGGCGCATGCTGTCTCCTATTCTTGCTCTTCCCGCTCGCTTGGTCCGAGCTCGCACGTTTGTTACAACTCAACTCTCGTGGCGGCTGGTCCAGGCGCCCCCGCAGCTGTGCGACTTCGCGGCGTAGCTGGTTGATGATTTCGGATTGACTAATGTGGGCGCGGTCTTCGGGAGTCGTTGAATATGTGCATTCTGCTTCGAGCCCGCGAATTATGCAGGCATGGCAGGGAATGGAGCGGTCGCACTGGTGGGAGGAATTCGATTAGTTCTTGATCCGAGAGCGGAGGCAAGGGAAACCGAGACGAAACCAATGCAGATGCAAAAGGCGGGCGTTTGGATTGTACCTTCACTTTGCGCTCGCGACATCGGAGACACGATTGTTGCGGGCGGATCTTCGTTTTGGAATCGCTGGGCATTGGGGGCGAGTACCACTACGGTAGTAGAATTTCGCGTAACATCCAGATATTTGAGATTAAAGCGCTTCAGGCAAATGAAACCGTTGAACGTCGCGGGGGAGACAGTAGCGCTCCACTCAGATTCTGGCCTTTTGCATCCCGGTCGCCCATGCAGGTTCAGCCACGCCACATCAGGGGGCCGATATGCGAATCTGGGATAGGGAACGAGGGAAATTGCAGAGAAATGTGACGAGTCTCATGTTCTCGCATCTTCAACCTTTTTCTCCCCACAGACCCTGAGCTCCACGGCCATCTGATTGGACACGGCCGTTCGGGATGCCCTCGTGAAGCTTGTGTTCTCCACCTGCAGATCTGGGAGGGCTGCAATACTATGCTCTTCAAGATACACGTCTTGTTTGTGCAAGTGCTGTATGTTGCTTGATAAAGAGGTTGTACTTCAATGGCACTGTCGCAACAGTACTTGCAACCTCCCCCGCCTCGACGCAGATCCCTAATATCGATGTAGATGCGACATCGATGCGGGGGATTCTCGAGCATGAAGTGAAGCATGCAGAATTGCATAAATGGACCACTAAGATGCTGTCAATTGCTGAGTCCCAACCGGTTCTACGCATAGCTCTGTCGGAATCGACCATATTCTATCTATCTTGTCGATACGCCCCCATTGCAGTCAAGACGCCATGAAAACCTCCTCGCCCGCGAATTGGGCAGTTGCCAGCATGGCTGGCCTCTTCATGAGTCCACTATTAGTGCAGGCCAGCACCTCAAACACGAAATTGCTGCCAGCGCCCCCCATGGGCTTCAACAACTGGGCCCGATTCATGTGCGATCTGAATGAGACGCTGTTCACCGATACTGCAGACTCTATGCGATCCCGCGGCCTCTTGGCCGCAGGTTACAATCGCCTTACACTGGATGATTGTTGGATGCGCATGGAGCGCTCTGCCAACGGCTCCCTGGAGTGGGACACTGACAAGTTCCCCAACGGCATCCCTTGGCTTAGGGAAGAAGTGAAAAGCAAAGGCTTCCTCCTCGGCATCTATGAAGACTCCGGAGATCTGACCTGCGGTGGCTACCCAGGCTCCTATCAGTACGAGAAACAGGATGCCGAACTCTTCGCTAGCTGGGGCATTGACTACCTCAAGATGGACGGATGCAACGTTGAGCCCGAGGAGGGCCGCTCACTCCGCGAGGAGTACGATGTTCGCTACAGCAAATGGCACGATATTCTGAGTGCTCTTCCAGAGCCACTGATCTTCTCGAATTCCGCGCCTGCATACTTCCAGGACAACGCCTCAGACTGGGCGGTCGTCATGGACTCGTGTCCGGAGTATGGCGAGCTGGCGCGGCACTCAGCCGATGTGCAGGTCTTTGAAACCAAGAGCAGTCCTTGGAATAGTATCATGTTTAACTATGACTACCACACGCTTCTGGTGCGCTACCAGCAGCCGGGCTATTATAACGACCCGGACTTCCTGATCACCGACAATCCATATCTTAGCAAAGATGAGAAAGCGTCCCAATTCGCACTCTGGGCTTCCCTCGGTGCACCATTGATCATCAGCGCGCACATCCCCGACCTCACGGACGACGAGATCAAACTTCTCAGCAATGAGGCCCTTATCGCCGTGGACCAGGACCCATTGGCGCAGCAGGCTGCCCTCGTGAGCCGAGACGGTACCTTCGATGTTTTGTCCCGCTCCCTGGAGAGCGGGGATAGACTCCTTGCCGTGGTGAACCGTGGTGACAATGCGGGCAAGACGAGCGTTCCCCTGGCCCGTCTCGGTCTGTCTGACTCTAAGTGCGAGTATAAGGCGCGCGAACTGCTGACTGGCAAGGAGACAACCGTTGACTCTGCTTTCGACATTCAGCTGAATTCTCACGCCACTGCTGTCTACCGTGTTGAGCTCCCTGAGGATTGCGACAAGACCATCCCCACTGGAATGGTTTTCCATACTCCATCTGGTCTCTGCATGACGGCTAGTGGTCAATCTGTCAGCTATGAGAAATGCAGTGCCTCGGATTCTCAGGTCTGGCAAGTAGCAGGCAAGGACAGTAAGGTGACGTTGAGCCCCCTGTCAGATACATCCCTTTGCCTTGCTGGAAAGGATGGCCAGCCTTCGCTTGCTACGTGTGAAGACGGTGCCGGTACCACCTGGGAGCATTATCTCACCGGTCATCTGCGCAACGAGGATGCTGGAGGCTGTTTGACTAAGGGCTCGGGCAAGGGGATCGAAGCATGTGTGGTGGACAATGCTGCGCAGATATTCGGATTGGCAAGTGGAGTCCGTCTGGCTGATAAAGGCTTGCGCTAGTCCAGATGCTGTCTAGCGGCTTCTGGAAAGATCTGTCTTGTCCAATCAAATGCATTGTTCTCACGTGGTCGATCAGATACATGCACCTTTTTGGCAGGCGCGATGGGCCTGCAGTCATAGCGTGTCTCTTAGCAGAACGTCAAATCACTAAGTCTAGTAGCCAGGTACATATCTACATAGGCAGTAAGGAACCAGACTATCTCCTAGGGTAGGCCCTGCTAGGAGCTGCTGCCTCTGAGCACTGGTAGGCTCAATGGGCAACGTCATTTCCGGAGGCCATCACACTGCAAATTTCCGCGTTACCACTTTATGCATTTGTGTAGCTAGATAGCCAGTGAATAATCTAACTATCCTCAGAGTCTGACATTTACATGTTGTTATTTGTTCGTATTTTTCTCCTTGGATCATGTTCTTCTCCATTCGATCTGCTTGATCCACACTGTAACTTCATACAGCGTTATGAGAGAAGACGCTAAGACATCTCGTTCTTACTCCTGGTCAATGTAACCCATCAACGTGAGCCCCTGCATCAATGGTTGCATCAAAACGGGAAGACGAGAGACCGATGTTTAATCCGAAACAAAAACCTTTACGTACGATATAACTTACTACTTGCAGATAAATGGAATGAGGACATTGTACAAATGTTATCCATGCCCTATGAGGCTTAAAGTGATACTTGATAACAACAGACAGTCCGCGGTTTTCTTTTGGGGGTCTTTTAGAAGCCTTCAGCTTTGCCCTAACCCCTAATAGTAAGAGTTGGTGTAAGTATATGAGGCTTCGGAAATAACTCTGGAAGGTATGTAATTCCATTCAGTTGATTCGACAAACTGTTAGGGAATGGCTGCCAACACCCATAGTCATTTGTAGCATCTCCATACCCACAGGTTTCTAAATGGCACCGACATGAGATGTGACATTGCAACCAACAATACCCCCATTGCTGCTCGTTATTTTGATATGTTACATGGTATACGTTAGAGGAAGAGAATTCTCGGTCAAGCATGGTAACTCATATATGCATAATCGTCTCATTTGTACATCCTGTGCTGGACAGCCATAAACAGACACAGCGGTAAATACATAGAAAGAATGACAATATGTTCACAATCTCAGACAAAGATCTATCCCTGCAAGGAGAATCCAACACCTTCTCCAGTGCCCATCTCCACAAGGTTAGCCCTCATCTTCTCGGGCCGCTCTCCAAGACCGAAAGCAGCGTCGTCGCGATGAACCCAGGCTCCAACACCGTGCTGAAGCACAGCAGTGGCGCGGACCTTCTTCTTCTCCTCAACATCATCACCGGTTGCATCGTCAGATGCCTTCAATCCAATGCTGCCGTGCAAGGTGAGTCTGGTCTCAGCTCCACCCTCGGTCTTACCCCGGTAAACTCCCCGGTGCAGGATGTTGCTGTTATAGAACACCGCATCACCAGGCTGCAACTCAACAACCAGCTGACCCGGCAGCGAAGGTGCATAGGGGTCCGCATCACGCTCAACCTGGGTGCGCGCACGGTTGTGTGTGCCCGGCACAACAATCAGCGAGGCATCGGGGCACAAGGACAGGTTGTACTGGCAGTGCGACTGGCGGCCGCCGGGTGCCTTGGCCACCAGCTGGGTCAGTTCTTCTTCGGCAGTCGCGTGCTCGGAGATATCGTCACGGTGCCAGCGGAGCTCGAAGTCCTTGGTCTCCGGTGCGACAAGCAGGTTGAAGAGTTCCATGACGAGGGGCTCGGCGTCGCTGCTCTCGCTTTTTTGAACGCCCATCAGCTCCTCGGCAACGGCCAGGATTGCGGGGAGAAGTAGCACCGCGCAAAGCTATCTCGGCCGGGCATTTCGGGGTGCATCAAGTGCTGCACGCCCCAGATTCCGCCCTCCGAGGCGGGGGGTACGGTGGTCGGCCATGGGGGGAATTGCTTTGGCACGGTGCGAAAGTGGGGCCAGCCCCCGGTGCGTGTCAGGGTTGTTGCTTTGGTTGCGATTTCGCGGTAGTGCTCGACCTCGGTTGGGGAGAGGAGGTTGCGGACGACGACGAAGCCGTCGCGTTGAAGAGCGTCGAGGTGCGGGGTTGCCATTTTGGATAGATGAGAAGACAATGGAGACAGAATTAGATCTGGAGATCTGCAGATGTCGTGGGGTTTATATCTGCGGGGATTGGACATGGCCAGACGCCATGTTGCATTGTTTTTTCTTTTTGGCGATACGACGGTGGAGCCAGAATGCGACCTTTCCATGTACCCTGCGGTGTTGTATAGATCGGACGTAAACAAAAAAAGAAACAGGAAGCTGTTGGATAAAAAGAATCTACATGGCACATACTACAGATGTACATCCTTGTCTATGCCATCTCATCCAACGTCATATGGATCATCGGGCGCCAAGATCGGCCAAGAGTCCAGAGGGCTGAATCCTTTCGCAGCTGAGACGCTGGATCTTCTTCGGACATCTTTGAGTGCTTGGAAGCATTCTCAAACTACTACCCTACCCCAACACTTCGTGCTGGTTCCTACATTTCGGAGAAAAAAAAGTACCGCGCAAATCTCACCCCCACCATGCCCCTCCTCCATGCGGGCTCAGCCCTACTGGTGCTCCTGCTCATACTCCCGCAAGTTCATGCCTTCGGAGCAGGAAACATCGCCTCGATCTCCACTGTCGAAGGCAAGAACTGGCGCCATGGCGACATTGAAGATGTTCTCAAGACGCTGGCTTTCATCCACGGCCATAAATGGACCTCCACCATGATGAAGCGTGTGTATTTCGGCAACTGGTTGCGCGATTAGTGAGTAATTCTCCCAAAGAATGAGAGTGACTCGCGCTGACTAGTTCTGTAGCTCACAAGCAATGGATGTTGGCACCCTTAAAAATCTGCAGGCCGATACTATCCGCATCCTGGTGTGGGTCCTCTCATTCTTGAGCTTCGGCTATGCCACCGGTGAATTCGAAGTTACTTCAGATCGGCTGGGCGTCTACCGTCCTGAGGAACATATCGAGTGAGTTGAATCTAGGAGCCGCTTGGGAGTCTGCATATGCTGATTGTCTTTCTTCACGCAGTAACCCTAAGGACTATGCCGATAACGAAGATGCACGCCAATATGACAAGCGGTTGCGGCCACCCGTGCGCGCCGTCGAGCTCGAAATCGACCCTCAGACCGGTATGAAAAACTATATTGCCAATGAGCGAGGCGATTGGGCCACTAGCTCGGCTTTTATCAAGTTCAGTCTGAGCCGAAGCATCCACTATGGACGGACTTACACCAATGGCGGACACAATAAGGGCAAGGAAGAGGACTTGTGTGAAGCACTCCGGTGTTTGGGCCAGGGACTGCACACACTGGAGGATTTCGCTGCACACACCAACTACGTTGAGCTGGTGTTGCGCGAGATGGGTTTCCACAATGTGTTCCCGCACACGGGTACAGCTACTCAGATCAACCTTCAAGGACGTCGCGTTTTCCCTCTGATCACTGGAACATTTGGTATGGTCGACTTCTTCCATTCTGTTCTGGGAGAAGCACATGATCATTTCACACAGTCGGAGGTCAACGAGATGGATATCGCGCTTGGTAATGCTGAATCAAGTGCTCAGTCGAACAACTCCCTCGGGGCCCTAGCTGGACTATTAGGCAAGATCCCCGGTACTAGGGATCTTGTCGATGAGGCTGAGAACCTCAAGAGGGCATCGGCGGCTCAAGCGACGGCCAACCGGAGCCGCAGTGCTGCCATGTCTCATGGGCAGTCTACTTCTCATGGCTACGAGCGGTCCCGTGCTGGTCCGAATGAGCCTTCGAGTGGTAATTCCCAGCCCAGCTCTGGCCTTGATGGCCTGCCCGATTTCAACCCTCAAGAAACGGTGGCCAAGATCTATCCTATCCTGGCCTTCCGGGATAAGGTCATGCGGAGCTTGAACTCTATTATTGAGAAGATTCCAGGATTGGAGTCGCTTGTAGAGAAGATCTCTGAGACCCTGACCATCGTCATCATGTCGTTGCTTGCACCTTTCATCCGACCTTTGATCAAGGCCGCTTCCAACTCCCTGCAAACCGGATCATCAGGTGTCATTGATGCGTCTGGCAAGCACCAGTATGAGCCATGGACCGATCCTCACTGCACAGACCCTACCCACTCTCTACTCTCCAAGGACCACTTCGCCAACATTCTGAATGAGCCCGCCGGACGGGTCGCCTCTGCAATTGTGGAATACATCGCGCCTCGTATTCTGTATGCTTGGCAACACATCGATGTCTCCGAGAACGAGGTCCTCGAGGATTGCTTGCAGGTCTTCCATCACCCGGCACTGCGCAATATGCGCAACGATGCCCACCGTTCAATGTTCGAGGCTGTCGAGAAATGGGCCCGTGCTCGCCCAGACCGTGGTGCTTCCCTCGATTCCATCCTCAACTCCGAGGGCGTGCGAAACGGTCGTAACACTGGTGGAGTGAGCCACACACATAGTGGCGAACATGCCGGATTCCCCATTTTGGGTGGGGCGGCTGCTGCCTCTCACGGCCAAAGTCAGGGCCATAATCAAAGCCACGGAAGCCATGGACACGGTAACAATGGTGGTCATTCATCCGGCGGATTTTCCTCATTCTTTTCTCAGCAAACTCAACAGTCAAGCGGCAACTCGCCCGGGGTGCCCTGGGATAAGCTTTCCAGCCTCCCTATCCCAGGCATCTCTAACTTAAGCAAATTCTCCGGTCTCCTTTCTGGCGGTTTGACGCGTGATGAACCCGATTCAACCCCCCAACAGACCCAACATAGCTCATACCAGAGTCATCAGGGTGGTGGTGGATACGAACCCTCGCACTCTCCACAGCCGCACGGCGGCTATCAGCAGCCTCAGTACGCTCCTCCACCAAGCCATGGCTATCAGGAGAATCGACAGCATGAGCAGCACTATGGAGGCTCTCAGAGCTCTTCGTACTACACACAGCAAGAGCATCATTCTGGATATGCACCACCGCATGCTCCTCACAATCCCCCACACCAAGGCTCTCACCCGGGTCCTCACGGTGGGCATGGCCAGGGACAACACCAGGGTCATGGCTATGGAAATGCACATGGCTATGGTCAACCGAGATATTGAAGATAAGATGAATTAGCATAAAATTGAATTATAGGGTCGCTGGTTATGATTGCATTTCAATCGGTGGGACGGTTGTTCGTGTCGGTTTGTGAGATCCAAGGGAGTTTAAAAGGATGATAATGTAAGAGAATGAAGAATGGCTGAATGTATCGCAGAGCTGATAGGTACTTCAAGTTACAAAGGAACCATCAGCATCCTATTTCAAGTGTCGAATCATCACTGACACTATAATTGGATATTTTGGAGCTCATTCGACAAAGGGGGATCAATGTCTTTTAATCATGTAAATAGCATTGTCCAAGTATCTTGAGCGACTTGGCACAAAGAACATCCATGCATCTATGATCTTTCTTCGTCTTCGTGTCTAACAATGGCTTCGGACTATATAAGCCCTCCTTTCCTCGTGCTGTTAAACGGAACTTACCAACATCGCCCTCTTTTCAAATATCCTCAAGCCAACAATCCATTCTATCTCAAACCTCAACTATAATCCCATTTCAGGATTCTTACAACCTACTTCTTCACAATGCAATCTGCCGATTTTTGGGACGAGCTCGAAGAGCTCTACGGCGAACCAGTCGACGATCTCACAATCACACCCCGAGCCTGCATCCGATGCAACGTAGGTCGAGCTCAAACCCCATACCCATGGCCACTAATTGTAGTCAATGAATGGATCAGCGAGAACCACCTCCTCTGGTCCCTAAGCGCCAGCCTCGCAGAAACCGGTCTCGACGAACAATGGACTCAGACCTTCAACGCCAGCTTCTCCGAGTACTGGACTCAGATCCAGGACGTTATAAATCGTACAGAGCCCGGTGCCGCTCGATCTTTGCTAAGCATCCCTAAGCCGCCCATCGAGGTAGCATTCTTCACACATACAGTTGGGAGGGTGAATAACAACTTTGCCATCGTTTCTACGCCTCCCGATACGCGCGCCGGAGCGGGTCTCTTGAATCTCTTGGGATATGTATATCATGAAGGTATTCCCCTAGATGACCACTTTCATGTAGCTCTCTGCAACGGGCGTGTGGCTGCGCGCATGTTTGACTTACTTATGCCCTCCCCACAGGACTTAGGGTGGCTACCGGGCTCGTCTGGGTATACGGAGCTTGAGACGGTGCCTCCTCCTCCTTATAGTGAGGACTCTCCTCTACCTCCTGATTACTCTCCGTGATCTTCGGCCATGGCGCAGGAGCTTTGGTGGTAGCGAATAGCAGGTGCCTTTCTTGTCGAGGGTCTGAACTTTACATGAAGCCCATCGGATCCCAAAAGGATCTGAAGCTAGGTACATAACACGATTTATCGTGAAGAGTCGGTACGTTGACCTTAGTATATCAAAGTTGTGATTGGAGTTTTTTTTAGCTTAAGAATGAATATAACTGCTTTTTACGATCAGTCCCCGTTGTATAGCGTATTAGTGACTCAGTCCGGTATAGTGCTCAAGATAGAATAATAATCTTTCCCAGCCATTTGAATAAAAGCGTCGTCCTTGCGGTGTCAGTTTTCAGGGTTCTAGGTGTATAAAAAGAGGGCTGATGTTGGGTACGGAGCGCTGTCAGCTCAACTAGCACAGGACACAACACTTAATGTTGATCCTTATTCCAACATAGAGCTTCAGCAACTCCTTCTCGCAGGACTTCATCTCCAGAGTATATCTGTGATATTTTTAGACCGGTGGAGACTCATCGCCCAATGCCAAAGTGCAGCCAATAACCGCCAGTTGAATACGCGATGGGTCTTTGAAGTTGCCATCCAAGGATGTCCAATTAGCACAGATTGAGACTTCCAGGGCTATTTTCCTTTCTCGAGCATCAATTAAACGTCTTGTTTGCCTGGCAGCGCCTCCTTGCCATGCCTAACTTTCATTTTAGTGGCATGGCTGAATAAAGATTATTCAAGAATTTGAGAATCCAGATAGGTGTGGGTTGCAATAGCAGTACACGTTTCCTAAATATATCTTTTGTACATGTAGATATATAATGTAACTCTACGTCAGCACTAAGTCATTTCGTTGACGTTGCGTGTTTGATTCTCGTATCAATGTCTCAGTTTGACCTTCCAACAAGTATCGACACCAGGCCACTTGGAAGGTATAAAAGGGTCATGAACGTCGAGATAATCTTTAGCAAGCCTAGCAATCTAACTATCTCAGTATAAATTCCCAAGAAATAAACGCCAGACTACTATCTATCAAAATGAAGATCACCTCTATGACAGCTTTCATGGTGACCGCCACCTCCACCCTCGCTGCGCCCAGCCCTACGGTGTCCGATCTACAGCCGCTGCAACTGACGAACCTCAACGCAGCTATCTACAGCACGAGTGTCCCACAAACATGCTTCCTCTTCTTCGACGTCACAGATCCAAACACCAACACCGACACTCAATGCTCTGCTTACTGGTATGCTCCAGCCTATCCCGGTTTCTGATTATTACCTCTCGGACCTATCGTCAAGAGAAGCAATGATCAATTATACCTAACTATCATATAGGTCAATCGGCATGGCTGGAAACAAGACTTACGACTGCTCAGATAAGGCATATCGGCTTCACCTCCCGAATGGAATCTATAACATCGAGAACATCGATCTCGGGGTCTCTCGCGCCGACGGTTCTGAGACTGGGCGCTCAACGGTACACGGTGAATCTTGGAAATGCGAGAAGCAGGAGTATCCCAAGGCAAAGTGCAGGTGGGATGGTATCTTTCATCTCGATGTGGCTCCTTCTACCCTCTAGTTGATTGGATATTCTTGGAAGGGAAGAAACAGGGGTGCCAATTTGTAGGAGGCTCACAGCTCCGTTTCAATTCAAATCGAATTCGCTGCCTGAATATGCCCGGTTTTGGAACGCTTTTGATATCGCTCGCTACTGTGTGTAGTAAATTATCAATTCTTATTTGAGCTCCGCGACTGTGACAAGATCCAGGCAAGGCAGTATCGCATAGCAAATCCTAGAAGCGATCTCCTCTCTTCTTTTCTTCTGAACAATGATCAATAAGCAACAATATCCTTGGAATATGAGTTGATCTACTTAAGCCTCGCAAAAGTACAGGTCTTGGCGCTGCATGGTTATAAGACTTGGCGTTACAGATCCGTCAAGGTGGCAGCAAGAGCGTTCTGTGAGCTACGGACTGTTGATTGTCTAAGCTCTCTGACAGAAGGCGCTAATGATTCAGCGGATATGAAAAAGCCCTTGTGCCAATCTTGAACCCCAATCGCCCACTTTATTAGGGCTGGAAAGCCTTCCTGACACCTATACAACGTGACTAGCATATTACTTGATGGACGCCACTGGCCCTCGGGGCGGAAAGGTGCGCAGCGTATGCGATCTATGTCGACACCGAAAGGTAATAGCCTGCAATTGTGTGACAGGTGTCCCTCTGACGTTGTGCACAGATCCGCTGTGACAGGAACGAACCAGCCTGCGAGAACTGTCATCTTGCGGGACTGCCGTGTACTTTCTTGCAATCTTTATCTCAGCCTCGGGAAAGCACCCGACAGTAAGAGTATCTGATTGGATCCCTCTGAAGACAAGCGCTAACGATGGGGACAGAGAGCTGGCCGATGCGAAAGCTCGGATTCGGGAATTAGAAGCGACCTTGCTCGGACTTGAAGAATCCACAACCAATGGCCCCAAAGGCCAACTTGTTCTTTCTCCGAGCAGTCGATATTCTCCAGCATCATTGAGACCTTCTCAAGACTCCTTATTGGAAACGGTAACTTATCATCCAGATACGCGGGATTTTGATACCGCGTTGGCGGCTTTCCAATGGCATCTCTCATACTGCGGGCTTGGCGGTGCGCGCTCCTCGCAGCGAGCAACCTTTTACTCGCTCGTTGAACGGCAAACGGGATGTACATTCAATGTCGATGTCTTTGCTCAGGAGGTCACTGAGTCTTTTATGTCAGAGCGACTCAAATCGGCAAAGAAAGTGATCGGGATCAAATGGCCCGAATCTACTCTTGTCCAGCGGTGCTTGGATTACTTCGATGCAAATGGGCTATACTCTATATTCCCAGTTGTCGATGTTGAGGCTGTGCAGATCTTACTCAACGCCAACGTTTTAGACTGGCCACCAGGCATGACTCGTGTGGCGAATCGGGCTTGTCTAGTGGCTTTCTCCGCAATGATCACCAGCATCCACCGTCATGAACCTGCTTTCGGCGGCGCTGAGCCAGATGCTTATCTGCAAGCGGCGCTAACGCTGATCCCTGGCATGCTACTGGAGCCTCCGGATATTCGAACATTAGAAGCGGTAACGATATTGGTAAGTCCTTCGCGCGAGTAGCATGTTTGTGTTGTCTCCAAGGCTTATAGATGGTGGTAGATGCTCTATATTGCGCCTCTTGGCAGACCCCAGGCAGCAGAGCTACTTCTTGGCATTGCAGTGCAGCTCATCTATAATCTCGGGGCAAACAGGATACAACGCCCTCATGAGATACACAGGACAGATCAACGCAGTCAACACCTCCGAGCTTTATTCTGGCATTGCTACGCTGTGGACAAAGAATTCTCTATCAGGAAATCCCAACCACCTTTGCTGAATGACGACGATTGCGATCTTGATCTGCCTACCACATACGCCCAGGAGACCTCTGAACGCCATTTCTACATGAAGCCATTGTCATCGAAGGAGCTTCTTTTCCCCTCCGATCTCCGATTTTCCGTGCTAAAATCCAAGATCTTTCGGTTACTCTATTCAGTACGCAGTCAGAGTCTTCCCGAAGCCAGGCGCCTTCAGCATATTCGTGAATTAGACCAAGAACTGAGTGATCTGAAACTGGGCTATCCCGTCAACTGCCGACCGAATACTTTCGCCACGGAGAACGCACCGGACTATTTATTCCACGATCTCAGCCTCCGTGGCGTGAATATCCATTTGGAATATTATTACTGTCTTGGGAAGATCCACGGGGCCAGCAGCTCTTGCAGGATACCTTCGCCGCAGAGCTGGTCGCCTCTCCCATCTAGCGCGGAGCTCTGCTTTGAAGCTGCAAGGTCATCGCTGATTTATATCTGGCGAGTTCGCCAGTTCGTCAACCATCAAACATTCTGGTAAGTATTTATGCTTCTTCAACCTCTCGTAGGCATAAGTATATACTGATGTCTTTCCGTGTTGTCAGGATCCACGCACAGTTCCTCCTAACGGCTGTTTTCTCTGTCTTCTGGTATCTCATCACAGTACCTACCTCGACTACTTTTGCAAGAGACCTCAAGACATTGGAGGATATCGCTGGGCTTTTGACTGATCTCGATAAACCTATGGATGACGGACAGTCTTTCCCGCCATTTTATTTGACACGAGCCTTTGTTGAGAGATTGATCTAGCTGGCGAGACATTCACAGGCTACAGTTACAGAACCATGATCATCCACGCTCCTACTAGCGACTTTTCTTGTTAAGGGCTGTACATAGACAGGATACTCATACCCATTGGTAATCGATTCACTCCAGATTGCCAGTAGTCCTCGGCTTAAGTCTTGGTGTCAGTCTATATCTTTGATACATTCGTTCCTTTGTCCGACCGACATGTTCCTACAAATCCCCGTCAACAAACCAGGTATATATACATATCCATGGTATTTCTTTCTCTCATTCTCCTCCCTCTTTGCCTTTGCAATTTATTTGAATTACAAGGAACCAGCGAGTCTCTTGCTTGTCGATCGAGTACCGGATTCTACCTATATTGAGGTTACAGACCAGCGTATATTGGGAAATGTGCTATTTCCTGGCAACCACCAGCCACCAACGCCAAGAAAGACTTAGCTGGGACCTCGCACTTGCTCCAATGGTCTGTTTCGTTAGTTGTCCTTGATAGCGCAATACTTGCTTCGGTTCTTCAACAGCCCGGCCGGGCTAGCTCAATCGGTAGAGCGTAAGACTCTTAATCTTAAGGCTGCGGGTTCGACCCCCGCGTTCGGCTATTCCTAAAAACAAACCTCAAGATTTCTTTTTTGCTTTCTTTTTTTTGATTCTCGAAGACTGACGGTTATAGAATTGACTTTTTTGGAAGTGAATTTTTGGATATGCGTTGGTGAATGAATTCGTGGGTTTCAAATTGGTCGTCTGAATGATCTATGAGCTCGTCTGGATGCACTATTGGGAGTTGTTGTATTTCTATTGGCTAGTGGAGAATATATATTTGACACGGGTCCTGTCTACATGTGGTCGAATGTTAAAATAACCCGAAAGGTTGCAATCGATTTATATTGCTGGATGAAAATGAAGCTGTCAGTTCCGGTTAACTATATACAAATAGAAAAAGACAACTCGAATCATCAATCATATCTAAATTACAAATTAATAAACAACGCCCCGATACTCCACATCCAATGGAGGAAATGCAGCGCTCAAACTAGACGTTCTTGTCCCTCATTCACAGCTTTGTTCCCTCGCGTCCACCATCACTGGGACGTCGGGGTCGAAGGGGACCTAGGGGGTGAGCAGAGGCCTGACTTGGCCCGGCTGCGGACGTTCTTTCATCTGCGGCAGTGCGGACAGCTCCTCCCCGCGCTTCCTGGTGGAGGCGAGGATTCATGAGCCACTGCACCTGCATACGCATGCTGTTGACTGCAGCGTTGGTGTGAGCCATGTCTTCTTTGATGCGCATGCATTCAGTCATAATAGCCATGCTGGCGCGAGCATCGAGGTCTGTGATAGCATGTGAGAGCTGGCTGACCTCTTCGCGGAGAGATTCGTGTAGCGAAAGTAGATATGTTGTGGCATTGGATGAGAATACACTGGCAGCAATATCTGCCGGGTCATCCGTATTGATGTCGGTGCGAGTGGAGGCTTGCTGGTCCCTGCCGGCTTGGGCAGTCTCTCCATCGTCATGGTTGTTCATAGCTATGCGTGTCGATTCACCAAGGGTGGACCGGATGTTTGCGAGGCCATCCTCAAAGATCTCATTCCGCTGCTGCAGATGTCGCATACTTAATTCGAGAGAGTTGAGCCGGGAATTTTGTGCTTCGAAGTAGGGACCCATTGCGACTAGGGGACAGCTCTGCTCATGCATTTCCATGTCTGCTCGTCGGATCTTAACCGGGCATGAATACTTGGATGCTGCACATGGGATCGGAACCTCAGAGCATGTTTCAATGTGTTCTCTTAGCGCTCCTCTGGTGAGAACTGTCTGGCAGTCATCACACATGACCTCAAGAACAGGACAGAGCTCTTTCTCATGCTCCTATTACAAGTATTCTGATTAGCATCTATAGTTTAGCCAAGAGATTACGTGCGCAACGAACCTTATATTCCTGCTCTAAAACATCTTCTTCGCAACGAGAGCATCGCCGTACTGCATGTATACACTTCCGATCCATCCCAACGTCCTTGCTTCGTGTCATCTGCTCACATGAATCATCCGGGCATGGTACCAGCCTGTACCCGCAGTACTTCTCGACATGCGACTGGACATGACCTCGGGGTATAATCTCTTGGCAGCCCTCTGTAATCAGCGGGCATCGCACCCGAATCTCGTCGCACATGTTGATCAGCAGGCGGGGCACGCTAACCGACACTGTCTGGGTGGGATTTCGGCAAGAGGGACACGGGAATTCATCGGAGTCGGTCGAGCGGAAGGTGGTAATCGCCGAGCTGAGGCAGCTCCCACAGAAGACATGGTCGCATTCTAGACGGACGGGTTCGACGAAGGGACAGTGGCAGATCGGACACATAAGGTGGGAGTCGTACTCAGATACTAAATCCAGGCTGCGGAGGTCGATTAACTCGTCGCGCTCACGGCTTGCCTCCATTGCTAGGAAGTCTTGAAGGTTCATGTTGTGTGAAATTTAAGCCTATCATGAGGCTCAAAGTAAGATGCAAGGTACCAGTGGGCTTTTATTCCCTGTGTTGCGCTCAGGAATGCGGAAACCGCACACGGGTTCATGCAGATTGTCCGCTAGTTGCCGAGGTAAACTGGGAGGTTGACTCCATAAGGAGGACACTAGGTCAGAACACAAGCCGTGGAATAATCGGAAGCAAACCCCAGATGCTTGCGAGGAAGAAACATATTAAGCCAAGCAGCAATAGGCGGGATGACTGCGGGGATCAAGGGAGGCGAAGGCGGAAGGCAGTTGGTCATCTTGTCGCCTCCGCTTTCTCGTCTTACCCATCTCCACCCCAACTGGTCAACATTTCAACAGACTGAACCTATCTTTCTTGGCTGATCGGAGGTCTTTCTCCGCATTGACCGTGAATACGCCTCCAATCTACACATCTTAACAGTCCGAGATCTTAGCCTGACAACACCTCATCATGACGAACCCTAGCCAACTATTCCTACTCGCCGATCACATCAAATTATCCCTGCTGGAACGCGAACGTGCCATCTCGTTAGACCTCGAGCCCAATTCTCAAGATGGAGAGATCTCTCGCTCCCTCGACTCCCTCCGAGAGGGCATAGAGAAAGTGGAAGCTGAGCAAATTCGGCTAGCCAACTCGCATGACAGTGCAGGCGCCGCCGCTCTAAAAGACCAACTGAGCCCCCTCCAAGCCCAATACCAAGACCTGTCGACCCAGTTCTACGGCACAGACGGCGCACCCACAGACGACATCACGGCGCAGGCGTCGATTTCCGCAACCCCCGATCTCAAACAGCCCATTCCTCAACACCCACCTTCCAAATCCGTCCGTTTCATGGACAGCTCCGCCGCAGCGGCAGCGGTACAAGAGGAAATCGATGAAGAAGACGAACGAAACCGCAGCAACCTCTTTCGCCCGTATCGCGATGAGCCATCACCGCCACGACCGGACCAGTCCGGAATGGACAACCAGCAAATCTACGACCACCACGCTCAGACCATGCGCGAACAAGACGACCAGTTAGACCGCCTCGGCGAATCCATTGGCAGACAGCACCAGCTGAGTATCCAGATTGGCGACGAACTGGATGGCCATATACAACTTCTGGATGGAATGGATGGGGATGTCGAGCGTCACCAGACTCGACTTGACGGCGCGAGACGGCGGATAGATAGGATCCGTCGCAAGGCGGGTGAAAACTGGAGCATGATGACTATCATCGGATTGATCATTGTCCTGGTGATCTTGATTGTGATACTGAAATGATACCCCGGCTTGGGTGAATGACTGGCCGTTGTGCTCTTGATGCTATTGGTTTTTCTTTGGCGAGCGGGCGTTTTCTTGGCTGGATGCAATAGCGAGACGATTGATTATTCTCATGTTTCTCACAATGGCTTGAGGCGTTAAGACAAATTAAGTCACTTCTAGACCCCTGGTCGCAATCTTGATCATACTACATCTACAAGCGATATTCTTCCATATCTCTACCTATCTGTCTGGAGAAAGTGTGTAGTTTTAATTATCATTGATAAATGCGATACAGCTTGAATAAATCACCAAGCAAGACTCCATAACCTCACACAGACTGCCTAAAGCCAATAAACATGAAAAGCATCAAGAACGAACAGTTACAACAAGCCCATGACTCGCACTTGTTTATTTCTTATGCGCAGCTTTTTCCGCCTGCTCCATTTGTTGAACGACGGGATGGCCGCGGTCTAACTCACCGCGATCAGCTTTCACCTAAATAATCCATAGACATTAGCTCTGATAGGACTTGCACAGCTACGCAGGTATGTGCAGCACAATAGACAATAGACAGTAGACGGAATCTCTTACATCTGCCTCGCTGTTACTAGCCAGCTCGGACTTCCACTTCCCCTTGCCCTGCTTCGAGTTGCGGATGCCTTCTTGTTTGTGGGATTCGTAATGTTCAGCAAGGTTCTCGCGGCCTGGGCACGTCAGTATGAGAGCTCTAAGAGATAATGGTGGTATACGTACTCCTATCATTCTCGTTCAAACTCCGAATGGCTGAAGTGTGGAATGCGGAGACGGGGACAGCAAAGTTGGACCGGATGGCCTGGCGAGTTGAAGCACGGATGGAGAGGACGAACGACATGGTGATGATATAGTAGTACTTCCAAGGTTAATTGAGTAGATATGGGATTGTAGGTGGTATATGGTGAATTTCCAGTAGAATGATGGATGTGTATGAAGATATGCAGGAGGCAACTATTTGAAACTGCGAGAAGAGGATTTATTGGAACTATCTTCCGGGGATACGGATCTCGAAAAGAGCCAGGTCTTTCTTTCGACTTGGTTCTGGCAGCTCCTGATGCTCGATGACATCATCGGGTTGATAGTGGGCCCGGGGTTGAACAACCTGATATGTATACCTGGCTTCTACATCATTTGAGGATAACATATCCGTTCTGGGGGGCATTGATATCAAGTCAGCCTGGGGCTCGGAGTCCTGAGTTGTAATATGAGCAGCAGAATGAGAATCGAACTATTGTTGAAGGGATCCTAGGTTGTAGGACCCTACATAACTAAACGTCATTGCATAGCAAGCATTGGAGGAGCCCACCTGGGCAAGGGTGGAGACTGAAGTTTTATTGCTTAACCTGATTTACATGAATTCTAATCAACATCATTCTATTTCATTCTGCCTCGAAACCTCGGGAACTGCCAAGTGCGTTTCTATCTTGGGTAGCCCGTCAGGTGCTAGACGGGAGGTCCGGGGGTGTGAACATATCCTTCAGTGCTCCCCAACTCTCTTCATTATATTCTGCCTGCACTTTCTGGCACGACTTCAAGCCCCAATCCGTAATACCGACCATATAGCAACTCTCAAACATGAACGCCATGCTTCCCGCCCCAACCTTGACAGGAACTAGTTCTTCATTGCTGGCCTTATCGAATGCCGCCTTGTCTGGCCCATGAGCGCTCATGCAGTTGTGAAGACTTGCCCCGGCGGCTTGGAAGCCTCCTGATCCAGCCCCTTTTGCAATATAAGATCCCTCAATGAGACCCATGAACTCACTCATGCAGTTCCGGTGATACGACGGCGGCCGGAAGGTGTCCTCGCCGACTAACCACCGAGGGGGAAGATGACAAAGTCTGCAATGGCGGTACCTGGGTGAGCATTTGATTGCGCCGTCAAGACAGTATTCAGAGAAGGGTCCGGATGGTCATATGAAATGGTTCCAATCGTGTTGAATCGACCCAAGTCGTATTTATACGGATAATATCTGCCCTCCCAGGCAACGACATCAAATGGAGTATGACCCTGTTTACTAGTGAACAACTGCCCGCAAAACTTGTTGAACACGGTCCAGTTGGACTTCGAGTCATGCGTGTATGCCGCAACGGGAATTTGGAAGTCCCGAGCATTGGCCAGGCAGTTGGACCCAATAGGGCCGAGTTCGGGTAGTGTGAAGTGTCCGTTGAAGAGTTCAAGGATGTATCCGCGGATAGGCTCATCGTTGACAAGATTGACACGGTATTTGATGCCGCGTGGAAGCACGCAGATCTCGTTCGGGCGTACTAGAAGACGTCCCATCTCGGTCTCAATATCGAGCGCACCGGTCTGCGGCACAATAAGCATGTCGCCATCTGAATCGCCCATCGCGGTGTTCTCGCTCATGGATTTCGTGGCTCCGTAAATGTAGTACGCAACACCGTTCTTCAAAGCCGGGTCGCCTGATCCTGCGACCATGTGAAGACCCTCGATCCAATCGACATCTGGGTTGATGTCGAATGGATCCCATCGGAGTTGATTGGGGATTTGGTTGAAGTCGGGCTTGAATCTGTTTCCTGACGCGACGGGCTCAAACGACGAATGGACAGCTGACGGGATAATGCGGTACGCCCATGTTTGCTGATTCTCAGAGCGAGGTGCTGTGAATGCTGTGCCTGAGATTTTCTCTGCGTAGAGGCCGTATGGGCACTTCTGGGGAGAATTTTGGCCGATTGGGAGCGCTCCTTTGATGGCCTCGGTCCTATTGGGATCTGAGAATTTTGACTCCTACTTCTCTGTGTATGAGATCACTTACTCTAAATTGGCTGCGAAACCAGTCTGATACTCGTATTTTTCGGGAATGGTGAAGTTGGTGACCGGCATTGTTGATCTAGTCGCTCGGTAGGCGAGCAACTGGGCATCAAAGCAGGATATATTTGAAGCCTAAGTTGGAGATGAACTGCCTCGGATCCTGGATATTTAAGAGATAATTCTATCACTTATATTCCCCTCATTTGAAGGAATACGGTCAATGCCAAGCCCAATCGAGTCGACGCAGTGGAAAGATTCCGCTCATCACGGACTATCCGCCGGATGTGCCGCGATCGACGATCGTCGGATGAACCGATCAAAGTGAGTGATGGAACATTTGTATGGACTCATTCCTGAATGTGATATTGTATCTTGAAATATATATGAAGGATCAAACTTGACAACTCGAAGTCCACTTAGTCGACGTTCGTTATTTATTGTTCTCCAAAGGTGTCTGATACAAAGATACATTGCCTCAAATCCTAACAACCAATCTCCAAGATGACGACAAGCTGGCTTGAAATTCCTTTGGGATCACACTTCTCCCTGGCAAATATTCCCTTTGGTATTATCACAACCCCCGCCTCAACCGATCCCCACGCTGGTGTAGCTATTGGAGACCACGTTCTTGATCTACATAACTTCGCGGTGAACAGTGGCTTCGCAGGTCTTGAGAACTTTACCCCAGCCCACGAAAGGCTTTTCTCGCAGTCGACATTGAATGATTTTGCCGCCACTGGGCAAGCTTTCCATCGCTTTATTCGAGGATATCTTCAAAATGTGTTCGCACTTGACACGACCGTTCCTCAAGTACTCAAAGACAACAATACCACAAGGGAAGCTGCACTGTTCCACAAGAATGATGTGAAGGTCCATCTTCCCATGAAGATTGAGGGATACACAGACTTCTTTGCTGGAAGGAATCACGCATATAATTGCGGCTGTATCTTCCGCGATCCCCAAAAGGCGCTCCAACCAAACTATCTCCACCTCCCCGTCGGCTATAGCTCCAGGGCTTCCTCTGTTGTGGTATCCGGCACACCAATCAGACGCCCCCTAGGCCAATATTTGGCAAACAAGGGGGATACAGCCTCCCAGTTTGGGCCATGCAGAAGACTCGACATTGAGCTCGAACTGGGAGCGCTCTTGTGCAAATCCAACAAAATGGGAGAGCCAATCCCAGTCGACCAAGCCGAAGAACACATTTTCGGCTTCGTAATCTTGAATGACTGGTCTGCCAGAGATATCCAGGCCTGGGAAGCCGTGCCTTTGGGCCCATTCAATGCGAAGAATTTCGCGTCAAGCATTAGCCCCTGGGTCATCTTGAAAGATGCCATTGAGGGATTCCACGCCGAAGGAATTCCCAACGAGGCTGAGCTACACCCTTATCTGCAAGAGACACGCCGAGATAACGTGTATGACATCAATTTGGAAGTAGAAATCAAGAGTAAGTCTTCAGCCTTAAGATTGACATGGCACTCGACTGACAAGGTTGTTTCAAGCTGCCGATGGGAAGGTCGCGACTCTTACGCGCACCAATGGCAAGAACCTTGTTTTCTCTTTTGCGCAAATGCTGGCACATCACACAATTGGTGGTTGCCCGATGCAAGTAGGTGATCTTATTGGATCGGGAACCATCAGTGGCACTGAGCCTGGGAGTCTGGGTTCATTGCTTGAGGCCTCCGCTGGGGGGACTCGAAGCTTTGAGTTGGAAAATGGGATCCAGAGAACATTCTTAGAGGATGGAGATAGTATCAGCATTCGCGCTTGGTGTGGCAAGGATGGGTCTCCCCTGGTGGGCTTTGGAGAGTGTGAAGGACTGATCAAGCCCGCCCTAACGCTATAGCGAGGTTCTAATGTATTTCTTTTATTATCTATTTTTTTAAAAAAATACCTTTTTTCATAAGCTCAATGTTAGCAGCTGCTATATTTTCTAGTGTCAGACAATCTCTCTAAGAAAAGCTGCGCTTCCATCAACTAGTACCCCATCTAGGGTTGTGCCATCTCCATCTATGAATCGTTTCTTCAACAACGATCCCACGTTGCTCGCTTATCTACTCTCTAAGATGCCTGGAAATAACCAGGTCATTTCAAATAATGCTGATGAATTCGAGATGCTTCTATGTTCTTGATTTCCTCTTTCGCCTTCCTTTTCCGTTTTAGTGCTCCAAGTAAAATTGAGCACGTCCCTGCCCACTCCACTCCACTCACTGATCATCATATGAGCCTTGGAGCAATCTGACGATCGGAGTGGAGGATTGAACGAGCTCAAAGTCTTAAGGCCCTGGATCCTCGAATTCTTGACCCTCCTACATTCACCAGGGACAATGCAAGTCACTCTCATGATCAAGCTATTATCCAGAAGAGGACGAGACCACCCAAAGGTGGCATAAAACAGCTGCAACCTCCCCCTCTAAGTTGGCCCGTCAGCCTTCCGGATGCTGTGCTATCACTGAAGCCAATAAGCGGAAAGCACTGCAATGTCTCACCTCTTTGTCGACTTGTGACCAAGCTGTCACTGCGGAATTTGAGAAGAGTCATCCACTCACTAACACGAGAAGAGTAATCTGCCTGGTGATGATCAAGCCCCTCCCAACTGCGAATCAAGCCGAGAAATGCCACTGATCTACAGATATGCGTTTCAGACAGGACCTTGAGGATTGGGACCACAAGAGTGTACTCCGTATGTTGTAGTTATAATAGCTAGCATTGCTCAGATACCAATTCTAGTCAAGAGTCTCTTGGCTACCCCGTAACTCCCCCGCCTCGGTCCACTGTGTTTAATTAAAGACATGTGCGGATCACGTCTGAGCCCGGTGTGTATACAAAAGCCCAATGACTTGGCGTCCTCGAGGTCCACACTAAACCATCTTTGTCCAAGCTTTGCGATCGACGCTTAAATCTCATTCGTTCAGTTTCTTGGAAGGTCAGGAACAGGGTTGACACTAGTCGAATACCAGTACGGAGTAAGAGAACCGAGCCGACTGTACGTCGTACTTTTGGGGAGAGAAATCAAGATTACTCTGATGTGACCAATAATGTGAGATGAATGTGGCTCAATGACCGGTAAATCCCGCTAGCATGAGATAGAGGCTGCATTGCAACTGAATCATATAAACTGAGTCTCGTACATATATTCAGACTTCCTTGTTCTGGTCGCGTTTAATATCCCCACGCCAGAGCGACCCCAGGATATTCATCTATTCCGTTCGACACAATAGTCAAAATGCGTCTCTCTGCTGCTATTGTTGTGCTCGCTGCTGGGGCCATCGCTAGAGCCCAACTATCCAATATCCCACAATGCTCTGTATGTCCCGTCCGCTCGAAATCTCTGCTCGGTGTCTCGTTTTCCAACTAACCAGTGCTTGTTTCTCTCTCTTCCAGCTTACCTGTTTTACTACGGCTCTTAGCGGGGACGGCTGCTCTGAGCTTACAGATTTCGCATGCCATTGCCAACAGCCTAGCCTCGTGGGGGATATTGTGCCCTGCGTTAATAAAGCCTGTGGTGTCGCGGACCGACAAGGTATGCGAAGCTACATTCCCTTTCGTACGACCCGATCTAACTCGTCCCTCTAGCTGTATCCAGCGTCGTTGATAACCTGTGTTCCGGTGTTGGCCATCCGATCTCTATCCCCCCGATGGACACATCGGTTCCCTCAACGACTGCCGTGGGAGGTATCGTAACCACAACGAAGAGCTCCAATGCTACTACAGTCAGTGGTATTGAGCCAAGCTACCATCCTACCTCAGTCAGTGGCATCGGACCAGGCCCCGAGGCCCCGTCAACCGTCAGTAGCATCGAGTCCACCTCCACAGCTTCGTCCACGGGCGGTGGTTCCGGATCAGGGCCTACGACTTTGCCCGTGGGCGGTGGCTCCGGGTCAGGCCTTACGACTTCGTCTCCGGCGAGCGCGGCTCCGCCTGAGAGCAGCCCCCAGTTCAACGGTGCGTCTGCCGTTGCGCCCCGAGCTGCGCAGATGGTCGGTAGTGCTATCCTGCTAGCCAGCATGGTCTTCTTTGTTTGAAGAGTTGTGTGGAGAGTTATAATTGTTTCTCGTCTGTTTTCTGTTATACTTAATTCGGCACTGGTACCTTCTACCTGCGTTCATTGCCTCTACCTGGCCATGTCAAGCTACACTCATTTTAATCCCTTACCTATTCTAGAATAGAGTGTTCAAAACATCGAATGGTGGGAGTTTTAATTCCAATGCGCATTTCTTCTCTAGATACAACCTTGGAACTATATTTCATACTTCCAACATAGGCTCAGGTGAGACTGCCGTCTCTAGCTTTTGGGTGACTATACATAAATACCAAATAAGTACTTAGTAGGACTGTCACGACATCAATACACCGGCATACACGGATTTTACTCTGCCTCCTAGAACCTACCTACTGTGGGGGGAAATTGGATGTAACATCGGCAACAGCGAACTAGAAAAAAAAAGGGAAAAAAAAGGTAAGATAAGGGAAAAGGTCCTTCGTTCACCCCGGACTGAGCCATTAGATCAGTGGCGTGCGCGCCCCACGGCCTTTAGCTCCATTGCGAATCTGTGCCTGATGACAGCTAATTTCCACGAGAGCTTCCGGATGGCAAACAGGGCCTAAGTAAAGCACGCACCGCATTCACAACGATGTAGTCGATCAGGGTCCTTTTCATTTCCCCCGAGAGGCCTAAGCTGATCAGATACGGAATCGGCTTCGGATACAGAGAGGGATTATTGTCTGCGATGTTATGTTGAGGAGTGGCCCGGGCCAAGTCCGAATGGGGGATAGTTCGATAATACGGCTCCAATGATCTTCCCCGGACTTTCCTGTTCGCCAATCCCTCTGCTCATAATTTTGGGCTTGTTCCTCGACTTCGGCTTTGTGCATAGTCAATGCACTGCTTCTTTGCAGTGGGAACGCTGCACAACCTCCACTACGGGCTCGGAGTACGGAGTGCGGAGTATGGAGAACGGAGTAGGGTGTACGACGACCTGTACCTTCACCCAGGTCGCTGAGGGTCTAGCCCAACATAGTGGAAATTAAAGCGACATCTACTCCGTACTCCGTACAACGTCGTCCACAAGATCGAACGGTTGGAGAGGCGTTGTGGCAGTGAGGTGAAAAAAATGTCAATTGGCCCATCCCACACCCTAATCAATTTGACTTTGTGGCATAAGCTAAAAGCTCATGGGATACGCTCAGGCCTGAGCTGAGAACGTTGAGAGCCTCGGTGAATCCTTAAGCAGCACATGTGAAGATCTGAACAGATTTTAGCTCGCCAAATCTTTCCAGAGATTGATTCTGTGGCAAAATGCGCTAGACAACGCCGTCGGGTTCTGGTAATTTTGAGTATGTACGATACCATCGAAATTTTGAGGGAGAAAGAAATATACACATAAATGTTACAGTATGAGAGAAATCAAATCAGAATCCTGCGCACACACCCAGCTCTGCTAGAAGATCCCCCGCCGTGACGTCGATGCCCCCAACGTCTGAATCCTCCCGGCCAAAAGCTAAGAACAGTGTGTCATCGATGAACCCATGGTACTTTTGGCCATGGTTTTTCCAACTGATGCTAGTCATGTAGAGCATCTCGGGGATGTCTTCCAGCGATGCGGTGGGAGCATCTTTGTCTGAATTCTCTACTTTAGTGCTGCGACCGAAGACCCAGAGTGGTTTCGACGAGACCGCATAGATCTCAAATGGTGCCGAACGCCGCATCAGCACCACATAGGGCTCATAGACGAGGCGAAGACCGAGCGCGGTCTTTTGTTGGATGATGAAGAGCACAAAGGTATTGGTTGCATCAGGTTGGCAAAATTGGTCTGATCGTCCACATAGAGTGATAGCTAGCGAGTTGGTCGCTTGATGAATCTTTCCCGTCTCAGGTAAGAATCGCCTGAGGCATTTTTGGTCAGAAGCAGCGGATGTCAGCGCCAGATTTGGCCCAACAGAGCCATCTAGCTCGAGTTTCGAAAACACACGTGCCGGCGCAATTTCATAGTGGAGGAACATTTGTCCCAAATCATCCCAGAAGATGAACCAATTCTTCTCAATAGGATTCCATGGCATCGGACGTTGAAGCTCACGATACTGCCGGAATTCGTGCTCAGCTATAGTGTCTATTCCCCAATCCACCAGGATTCGAAAGTCAGATATCCATTGTCCGAAGCATGTAAAGAACGAATTGGAGCCGTAGATGGTATACGGAATCTCCGGCCCGTAGAATACTCTTGCATCGTGGGGCCCAATGCTGAGACTAAAGAACGAAAGGTCGCCGTGACACTTGCTGGAGTCACCAAAGGTCGCTGGGATGGGCAATTGCAGCGGTGGCTCCAGACAGCTCAAGACTCGCTTGTCGTCCGAAAATGCGGCATTGCAGACGAGCTCAGCGTACCAGACTGAGGCAGTTCGACCAGGAACGGGTTTACGATGTTGTGCTTGTGCGGTGATGATCCAGGTGTCAGGCAGCTCAGGGTGGGGGATTATACTGGGATTCAAGGAGGATCTGCTTCCAAAGTCGATCCTAAAATACTTTTGATCAAGGCTTGATACTGAGTAGATCATATGGTGTGTCCGAGACATGTCTTTGTCGACTGCAGGATTTCTCCGGTCCTCGTCTGTAACTTGTCCATCCCGACAGTGGCTGTCATGAGCGCCCGAACAAGCCGTGTCAGATTGTCCGGCATCAATGTGTGATTGCCGATATGGACCAGCCGAGGAATGGTCCGTAAAGAGAGATCTCGATTGCAGGTCGAGATGGTAGGATTGGAATTTGGCGACGAGAATCACCGCGGACAATAGCCCTGCAATAAGTATCAGGCGTGTGGCTATTTTTTTGGCCATGATTAGTTTGGCGTAGACAGGATATAACAGTAAGAGGTTATAAGTCTAATTTCAGAGAACGCCTTGCCGAGATTGGTCGTTGGCACTGACTAAAAGGGGGGGCTTGGACTGACACGGGCAGTGACTTTCCACTACGGCGATCAGTGCTATCACCCACAACGCTTAACGAAACTTGGCTTAGTGGCCTGGATATCTTTGCAAAACTATATGTAAACTCCTTCTAGAGAATTTTCAATCTCGCAAATAGTACCGGCGACTCTAAGGTCAATCTTATGAATGCCATTACAAGGATTTTATGACCCATTAGTACCCTGAGCCCCGGGGTCCAGGCTAGCAGCAACTTTCATTTCCGGTTGCAAGACTCATACTATACAACAATTTACCAGTTATGAGAATGCTTTGCACTATATACTCAAAAGCAAACGAGGCAGATCATGGACACATGCGGAGGGTTTTCAGGGTGTGTCAAGTAGCGCCCTTTGGTACATCCACTGCGAGAACTTGACCGTCGGCTCGTCAACCAGTCTAGTCGTGACATCTGCCAGCCAGATAGTCAAGGGGAGCAGCAGAAACAGATTTGCGACGAGGAAGTTGACTTCAAGCCCAAGAGGGCCAACGTTAGACAAGGCGAGGCGATTAATCCACCAGGGACAATTCACGGAGTGTGAATCGCGTGCGAGACCCACTGCAGCATAGACCCTGTCACCCAAAGTCCACAGAACCGGTCCGTGAACCAGATAGAATGCAAATGAAATACGGCCCAAGTACTGGTTGAATGGGGCGTTAAAGAATGTCTTGAGCCACTTAAGGTGAGAGGTGCATGTGACGAGAAAGACAGCGGCCCAGAACAGATAGAACCACTTGAAATCGAACACTGCCTGTGGCTTGAGGAAGGACAGGAGGTACCATCCTGGTGAGTCACGTAATTGTTGCAAATCGCCCGTATGTGAGGGGACCCCTCCAAGATAAAGGCTTGTATAGAAGAGAACGGTCATGATGGCTACCTTGAAGGGAACCAGTCTAAGAAAGAAGCGCGGCAAGTCATTTCGTATGGCGAGGAGATCGAGATCTTTTAGAAGCATGCCAGCAATAAACATAGCGTAGTGTGCTCCATCCGCAATGTACAAAAAGTACACAACCAATGCGACTTCGCCTAGGAGCCGGGCGTTGCGGCTAAATCTTGCAAAGGCGAGAACGGCAGTGTAGACAGCCAGAGAGCCTCGGAGTTCGACGGGTATAGACCAAGCATGGAAATTGTATGTGAACCAGGGCTCGCCGCCTGTTCGGAGAGGGAAACTGAAGTTCTTGAACTCGGCGTACCAGTTCCATAGCTCCGCGCGGTAGCTTCCCTGAAGCTCTGGGACAGCCCTGATATTAAACAAGTGCAAAAATGTCATGTAGCAAAATGTTGTGCAAATGATAGGAATATATAGACGGAACCATCGGCGAAATACAGCCGAGGAAAGGCCTTTACCTAGTGCAACGTAATCGCCATCCTGGATGTTTACCAGTGGCCTCATTGAAAGAACGTACCCAGAGAGCACGAAAAAGACGCTGACGGCGAAATGTCCTCCCGAGAAGAATGTTCGAACACCAGGAAGAGATGCGAAATAGTACTTGTTCTCGTAACCGTAGGCCAGCTCGAGCACATTTCCCGCCCCTCCGCCATCGTGGGCCCAAAGTTGATGATGTCCCCAGTAGACTAGTAGAGCCGCAAACCCTCGCAAACCATCTAGGTATGCAGTGGGTCTGGTAGGTAATCGTTGCTTTTCATTCGCGTTGTGGTCGTTATTTGTCCGCCCAGTAGGGAGTGTGGGCAGGAAGGGTACCATCCAAGAGGGGAGTGACACCCCATGCCGAGAGCGTGTCATCTGGGGAAGCCGTGGTTTCCACTGCCCATCCTCCAGGGCTCGCTCTGGGCTTGAATTCAATAACTGAGGCGAACAGTTCTCGATTGAGGAGTGTAGCATAGGCATTGGGCGAGTGAATTAAAGCTAAGAGAGACCTTTGGAAATTTGAAGAAAAGGTCAATAGAAACCCGAAATCCACCGCTTGATAATTACACAGCTCTCAGTACAACTCTGTAACACGTGAATCTAGTCGCGTACAGTAGTCCTTGTTAGTGACCCCTAGAGTTGGGCCGAGGCCCCTAAAGACCTGCTGCCAGAGCTCTCTTTCATTTCCCCACAAGTCAGGGTCTGAACGCTCTGTACACACCTCGGGGGTATGACTTGATATGGCTGATTCCGTGCAGCTCAGTATCTCACCCCTGCAATCTCGCAAGATTTGGGGTCGCATGTGAGTGCGCACCACTCCGCACTCCGTACGGAGTGTCCCGTCCGGTTAACATCGCAGGAAGTCTGACCCCACCAGCTCTCTACAATTGGCCCCAACCGCCTGAATGGCTGAAGATGTTTCACTCGTCTAGGGAATAATTCAATCAGGTACGCTCCAACCCTTGACCATTTCCGTGTCAGCGACAGGTATCATGCAGCTTAGCAAACGGGGTACAAGCGAAGGTGATGTGCGAATGTGTGCTCCGTACGGAATATAGCGCTCAGGGGTGGGTTTCAACCAAAATCCTTTTTTTTTCTTTTCGCCTAACTATGCCTGCATTTGGGCAAGCCCAACATTAGAATACCCGGATGACCATGACAGAGACCTGAATAAATGCCTAGTCAAGGTGCGGAGTACTCCATACCTAGTTCTAACCTTGGCAAGTAGGCCGGCAAAATGAAGCTTTTCATACCCCGTATAGTCGGCCGCGTTTGCGGGGTTGTAATGTCTTGTTAGTGGACTTTTTAGTCGTATTTTAAACTGCGTTCTGAAAGGTTTTTTTTGGGAAGTCAGTTTCATAGATATCTTCTCCTACTCATAAGACATCTATGGTGTGAATAGCTTCCATTGCGGGAATGGCTTCAATTGGGGATTATGATTGACAATACAGTAATGAGCGGCGTCCAAAGCGGTCCAAAGCCAGGCATATTCATGTTGGAGGCAATCAATTCGATTTTAATTGAAACAGACCCCTGCGCGCTATACCTAACGTTATGCACACGGGGGTAACGTGACCCGAGGCAGTGCACTGTACTCCGCAGACCTGATGAGTCCCACATGTTAATTACGACGAGATGCCCTACTCCGTAATGTATGTAATCTACTTATCAGTGAACTAAGGCCCTGTCTTCCTGTACCAACGATCTTTCTCCTTTCTCGACCCCGATGCTTGTCCCAGACAGGAGGTCACTGGATTAAACCACATCACAGGCCCAGTCATGCTGGAGAAGAATTTCGTGTTGCCCAGTCTCTTTCCGAAGAAGGCACGCAGATTCACACATGGGGGCCTCGTGGCTTTGTTTCTGTTCATCTACTTTTGCGCCACCAGAACGTCGCACGACGTGAGCGAGAATCAGTCGGACCCTACCCAGCTGACGACAAATATTGGCGAACAATTCCCCAGGAAAATCTGGCAGATCTGGAAAGTGAATCCATTGGAATTCGAAGGGCGTGATGTCGAGGTAGCGCGCAGCTGGATATCCAAAAATCCGGGCTATAGATACGAGGTCCTCACCGATCAGAATGACCTCGACTATGTCGAAACAAACTTCGGACCCCTTGGGATGAATCGACCAGATATCATTGAAACATACCGATCTTTAACGGCTCCGATCATCAAGGCCGACCTACTCCGGTATCTTGTGTTGTACATAGAGGGAGGCGTCTATGCTGATATAGACGTGGAGGCATTGAGACCAGTGGAGCGATTCATCCCAAGCACCCACGATGCGAGCGAGATTGACATGATCATTGGCGTCGAAATCGATGAACCGGGCTTCCGCGACCATCCTGTACTAGGTCAAAAATCTCAATCCTTCTGTCAATGGACATTCATGTGCAAGCCTCGACAGCCCGTGATGATGCATCTAGTAGAGAACATCCTCCACTGGCTGACCGAGCTCTCCATTGAACAAGGGAGGCCAATCTCTGAGCTTCAGCTGGACTTCGACGATGTGATCACAGGCACCGGGCCTTCTGCCTTTACAGGCGCAATACTAGCTGAAATGAGCCGTACAACGGGCGAAGATGTCACATGGAGTATGTTCCATGACATACAAGAGTCTAAAGTTGTCGGAGGGTTTTTGGTTCTCACGGTTGAAGCGTTCGCCGCTGGGCAAGGTCATTCAGACTCGGGCTCCCATAATTCGCGCGCAGCGCTGGTCAAGCACCATTATCATGCATCTGCTTGGCCAAACCGTCACCCACGATTCTATCACCCGATCTTTGGAGAGGTTGAGAGGTGCAACTGGAATCTGGAATGTGTGAGGAAGTGGGATGAAGAATCAACTGCTTTTGCCGCTCTGCCTCAGGAAGAGCAGGAACGGCAGATTGCCACATTCCAGGCAATAGGCGAAGCACTGAAGAATATAGAACCATCCCCTAACCAGGGAATGTTTTGATTTTTGATATCCTTTTTTTTTTCTGGCAATGTGATTATGTGTTCTAGATATAAGCGGTACGCCCTCGCAGAGCCCTCCCCAGACTCTGTTGTAATTATGAGGCTGGTGCAGATCAGGAATCAAGCCCAGCTGAATTAATTACCGCATTGTCTACACAAAGAACCAAGTTGATTTTCACTTGATCTTCTCATTGTATATATAGCTTCAGTTATTCTCTTTGATATAAGAACAATCGATATTCCTTTGACATACATGTTATGAGCCCGGCAGCAATTTCTCGATTTCCGTCTCTACTCATCTGAGAGAGGTGCTCTATGCTCTTGGTCATATATATCTATCTAAACTGGAATTTACCCAGCCTGACTCCGAACTCATCAAAGTGGCATCTGAAATAGGAAAGCCCGGGCCGAGGAAATAAAGCAAGTATACTCCGTTGTGACCTAGGTATCCAGACGGAACTCAAAGAGCTTGACAGTAAAAGCAGTTGACATGAATTGAGACTTCCTAAACTTTTCTCTTTAAGGCCGGACGTAAATTGATAATTCCGTCGATGGTATATACCGTTCAGCACTCCGCCGGGTGTGCCGTCGGATGTGCCGCTCGGGAGATCAACGACCACTCGATCGTCAGCTCCAAGAGGTCCGATTGCATTCTGTGGATAGCTAGTGGCAAACCGAAGATGGTACTTAAAATGCAAAAGTAATCGGTTTGAGGATTTAGAACAACTTGAATCATTATGGGCACTGTCAACCCAATTTCTCTTTCCGGTGATAGTCCGCTTCTACCTCTATTGAACTGGCTAGGCTCAACAGGGATTGGTGTGATATTATGTGCGGTATCGCTACTTTTGTTGCTTTTCCTCCTCGACACCACCGATGTGCCGTATATTCGCGGTCTATCGTCAGCACCTGGAGTCCCTATCTTCGGCAACCTTATACAATTGGGCGTCGAACACCCCAAGCGTCTGGCAGAGCTGGCTAAGAAACATGGGGCTGTTTATCAAATGAGATTGGGAAACAAAGTATGTCGCCGTTCATCGAGTATTATACATCTAACTGATCTTGACTTAAGAGATTTGTTGTGGCAAATTCGTTTGAGACTGTCAAGGAACTCTGGATCAGGAACCAATCCAATCTCATCTCTCGTCCCAAGCTTCACACATTCCACAATGTGTTATCAGGATCAGAGGCCTTCACTATTGGTACTTCACCATGGGATGACTCCTGCAAGCGCCGCAGAAAGGCCGCCGCAACAGCAGTGAACAGACCCTCCGTGGCTTCATACATGCCTTTGATTGATCTGGAGTCGCTAGTGAGTATTAGAGAGCTTGTCGACCAGGTCCGTGGGAAGAAAGGTCAGGTCGACCTCAATCCCTACGCTTTGTTTCAGCGTCTTGCACTGAACCTTAGTCTGACACTGGGCTATGGCTTCCGTATCGATGGGGACTCTGGAGACCAGTTGTTGACAGAGATTGTCAATGTCGAGCGCGGTATTAGTACTCTTCGCAGTACAAGCAACAATTGGCAAGATTTTGTCCCCATGTTAAGGATTCTTCCCAAGGGAAACGATCGTGCCGCAGACTTACGAATTCGCCGTGACGTATATCTCGAGTTTCTTTTGAAAAGACTGAATGATCGCATTGCTCAAGGGACTGACAAACCTTGTATCACTGGAAATATCTTGAAAGACCCGGATTATAAGCTAAACCACGGTAAGATTGAACCTCTCACCTCGAACCGGAGGAAGCAGAACGCTAATTGGACCATCAGCCGAGATCAAATCAATTTGTCTGACAATGATCGCTGGCGGTCTTGATACAACCCCGGCATGTATTCAATTCGGCACTGCCATGCTCTCTGGACCCCAAGGCAAAGAACTACAGGGAAAACTGCTAGATGAAATCAATACGGTTTATCCGAACAACGATGCATGGCAAAAATGTCTCGAAGAAGAGAAACTCGAGTATATGTCCGCTTTCTGCAAAGAAGTCCTTCGATTTTGGACAGTCATTCCCATGTCCCTTCCACGAGTTAGTGTCAAGGATATGGACTATAAAGGCGCACTCATCCCAGCCGGAACAACCTTCCTTATGGTATGTCAACTCGAAATTCTCCTTCATTGTTCCCGTGCATTATAAATCAAATACTGACTCGCATCTAGAACGCCTGGGCGGCTGATTATGACCCCGAGCAATACGAATCCCCACGCACATTTGCCCCCGAACGCTTCCTCAACATGGCCGAAGGATCAGGAACGTTGCACTTTGCATTCGGAGCTGGATCTAGAATGTGTACAGGCTCGCATCTGGCGATGCGTGAGATGTATGTCACATTCGTGCGGTTGGTGGTCGCTCTCGAGGTACTACCAGCACATGATCCCGCTCGACGGCCTATTTTGACAGGTCCACTTGAGGCTAATGCAAATCCCTCTGGCCTGTCTATTGAGCCGAAGGACTTTGATCTTGGATTTAAGATCAGGAATGAGAGACTGCTGGATCAGTTGCTTGAACAGTCTGCAAAGGCCACGGAGCATTTGCTTGATTGATGAGACGAAGAAGCTTGAGTCGTTTTCAGCGGGTTAAACCGTTTGAAAGAGCAGAGACAAATTCACTGTTCACGAGTAAATTGGGTGTGTGCGAAGGTTCGTAGCGTTTAGCCCTAGGGTCGGTTCGAATTAAAATCAAATATGCTGGCAGAAAACTAGAATACCTGATGTAGTGTGACAGAGACCTTAACAAGTGCCTAGTTAAGGTACCTAGGTTCGACCTTGGAAAGCAGGTCAAATGAGGCTTTTCAAATAGTCGGCCGCGCTTATGGCCTTGGGATGTCTCTCTCGTACTCTTTTTGTCACCTTCGCCGGTGTGATGAAAAACGATTGATATTCAGTCATCAAAGGCACGTTTCTCCTTGTGAAGGTCTGGGCGCAGTTATAGTTCGCAAGAAGCGCCAGTAAAAGCCCGCGCTAGTCCAGCACGTCAAATGTAAGCTTTGATTTGGATGCCAATGGAGCTTCAGTGCAGAGTAAATGAACACAGTCTACGATTACGCAGCGTTGGGGGCCAAGTGCTAGATAAAGTGTGGGGCCCCGCACTTCTCCAATTTCCAATTTCTCTTTTCTTTTCTAACGCGTCGCAAGAAGGACGCAATCTCCCACTTGCCTTCAACTTGTGCGGCTCGTGCAATTGTTGCTGAGATAGATATGAGCGGGGCTGAAAGACCGAAACGTTTGCGAGCCCTCCAGGCATGTGAGCTATGTCGCGCGAGGAAGAACCGTTGCGATGAGGAGCAACCATGCTCCTACTGTATTGGTAAGCCGTGGCAGAGGCACACGCTCTGACTTCATTTCCTGGGACCATTGGCCAACCATAACAGGCAGAACGCGACCTTGAGTGTGTCTACTCCAGGACCCGTCGCGTGAGAAAACGAGCCAAGCCGTACGTTTCCCATTCTCTGGGATGGAGAGAACAGACTTCACTGTCTTCATGGCTGAAACTGACGAGAAAAGATCTGTGGAACCAACCCGAGGGGCAACAGAGCTCGAAACAGGTAGTCAGATGAATCGAAGTTCTACATTTGTAGTAGACAATGTCCGGAACCTCCCAGATACTAGACCCGAGGGCACTGATGAGACTCATTTCGACCAGAATCGAGTGTCATCTACACCTGATCCAATGTCTACCAGTGTTCACAGACCTCAAAGAGAAGCCCTATCGCCGTTCATCGCATCATCGATTCGACAACCTGCGAGACGTGGTCTCTCAATATCCCAACATTTGACAGTTCCATTCCCCGATGTTATGGATACAAATCTGCACACAAAGAGTCTCGAGTTCTATGGCGCGTCTTCTTCAGTAGCCTTTCTTCAGCACGTTGATGACATATCGGGCAATAACACTAGCGAGCAATTAGTGGGAAGGACAGAGCCCTCCTTAGCCTCCATGCTGCATAACACTAATTTTCAGCCATACTCGACTCCGAGTATACTGACTGGGATTGGCGATGGTAGTAATGACCGGTTTTACTTTCGAGTAGGCAGGAGATTTCTCGATGCCTACTTCAGCAACATCCACTGCATTCAACCTATCTTTGACCAAGAGGAATTTTTGACTCGTTGTGAAGATCTGTGGTTCGGAAAGTATGAACGGCAGCCGATGACTTTTTTTGCACTTTATTATGCAACATTGAGTCTAGGAAGCCTTGTGATGGTCTGGGATGAGGGAGAGATATACGGTGGCGATCGATTTTCATGGAGCCGAAAGCTTTTCAATCAGACACTTGGGATTGTAAGTAACTTAGGCTCAGGAACAGACTTGGAGATGGTCCAATGTTATTATATGATGGTATGTTATTCCGATCCTCATTTTAGTCGAAATATTAACCATCGTTTACTACCAGGGGAAAGTCTGTCAACACGAACTGAACCCACATGGTACTTACGATTTTTCAAATGTAGTGCTTTCATTCGCTAATTGACAAACATTAGCCACGTATTTATATTCTGGACAGGCTACTCGCACTGCTTTGGCAACTGGGCTGAACCGGCTGCCCTATGGCAAGCCTTCTGACCCCCGGTCGCCCACTGTAGCAGCGAAGACGTGGTGGTAAGCGCCAAAACAATTATCCTTCTGGGCTCTAGTGCTAACCAGACCAGGGCCGTTTATTGCCTCGACATGTGAGTAGTTTGAACCCTAGTGAGAGCCGCATTCGACTAACAAGCAATAGACAAACGAGCTTTGCGCTTGGCAGACCCGATAGTCTAGGCCCTGATGAGTATCATACCCAGGATATTCCTGGTGATTCAAGGCCTTCTGATGTGGAGCATTCGAGTAATAACCTTCGTGTGCTACAATTTGTGCCATGTATGGTAAAACTTTCAAGGCTCATGCGGAAAGTCGGTCTTAGGTTGTACAGTCTACCTTGCCCTCCCCGGGAAGAACTCTCTCGGGCAACAGAACTGGATGCTCAATTGGACTACTGGTTTCAGCAAGTTCCATGCCACTTGAAGCCGCAAAAGGCTACTACTCAGGAACCCCCTTTGAAGCGCACAGGGACAGCAAGCTTTTTCAAAAAGCAGTCGGTTGTGTTGATGACACGTACGAACAACCAAGCTTCACCGTTTTATGTGCAATCTTGCTAAATTTCGAAATAGGCTATCTCAATCTTCGAATGATCATATTTGGCAAGTCATTGACATTGACCGAGGTAGCTGATGAGGACATGCCAGCAATCCGTGAATGTCAACAGAAATGCATCGAGTCTGCCAGCCAAGCAATTGACCTAGTCTATGATACATTCAAGAATTATGAGTTTTTTCAAACATGGTACGTGACTTTTCTTTCGCTGCGTCTGTTCCAAAACAGATTATTTATTAAGCAACGGCATCACCATTAGGTGGTACACCTCCACATACGTATTGTTCGCAGTCAGTGTCCTCCTCACGGGAATCTTTCATGGAATTGCACAAGACAACAAAAGACTTGATACATTGTTCAAGAAGGTTGATCGAGCAATTGCTATTCTGGACGTTCAAAATGAATGTGTCGTGACTCGAAACGCCACCATCATTATCAAAAGAACGCTCGCTCGAGCAAAGAGAGCTTCAAGAAGAGAGCTTCACGCACAGCAAAATTCTCCCACCACAGGTCCTGAGAATCAACAGCAAGATCCCACAGGTAATAATCTTCCTTCTGATTACACAGGAGACCTGTCACACATGGGCGATGCTGAAATTGATTGGGGAAGTCTGGAATTACCTATGGATGATAGTCAACCGGCTCTCTTCTGGGTGGAATGGGGACATCTTTTAAATGACTTGGGGGCATAAAAACCTCTTGTTTGTGATTCGAACTGCTCGTCTACCTATCATTTTGCTTATCCGGCGGATTCGGAATATGTGGACTCTATATTGGCAGCATTCAAAGAGCATGTGAAGGGTCTTGTCACTCATTAGGCTGAGTTAACTATTCTGGCTTGGGGCCACCTTCAATACTCTGACACCCCGACCATTGTTTAGAGCCAGCACGGCTGTTACAATGTAGTCAGGCTGGAGACTATCAAATGCATCAGCATACTTATCCCCATCTACGAGGTTAGCGTAAATACATGTAGGCTTTCGAGCGATCTGTGACCAGGTGTTACCAACACAAACGAAGCAAAAGGCAAACTACATCACTCCTATGAATGGCATTTATCTTGGCTTTCCTCTGAACTTTCGATTATAGGCTAGATAAAGGGCTTGAAAATACCTTGGTAGAGCCGATTATATGCTTGTGATAGTTTGAAGACCCCAGCTACAAACAAAGACGATAGGCCTCCTAGCTTCGAGGCTACATTGTCATACTTATCTCATTTACTAAGCCTTTGGAGGTATTTCAAACAGTATATCTTACTTTTCTTTTTCTTTTCTTTCATTTCAATTTCTGTCACGTAAACAATATGATGGCAAGGGAGTGGTAAGCCCAAAAGTGCTTTATCTAGCGGCGACTTAAGACCTGCATAGGTATATATAAGCAGGCCAGAATATCGAATTCGCATATGAATTCCTATTAACATCGGCTTTTGTTTTTCGTTCAAGATAAAAAGTTGATCTAGCCTAGACAAGCCCACTAAGGTATCGCGAAAAGAGATTCTATATATATTCATCTAAGAAGCATAAGGTACTATAATAAAGCTTTGATCCCCAACCGGGGGTATCAAAGAGAAAAGAAACAACAAGCAGGTAATGCAAATGGGGAAGGAATATCCCTGATTCTCAGAGATTCTAAAAGAATCTAACCCTGTATGTATATAGGACAAAGCGTTCACAAGGAAACAACTTACCTTATTCCAGGTGAATCCAAATCCACCGGAAAAAGTCTTTCATCTGTTTCACTCGCCACAATCCATCGGATCTTCTGCTTGGGCGGAAGCAGACGGAGCTGCTCCTTGAGCGGGAACAGAGGGAGCTGCTTCTTGAGCGAGAGCAGATGGAGCAACTGCTTGAGCGGCAGCAGGGCCTGGATCCGGCACTTGTTCAGTTGGCAGGATATCGAATTGCAACTGCATCAGGAAGCGTTTCTGCATAATGATTCTTGCGATACGATACTGACCATTGGGGAATCCTGCTATTATAATGGCAGCCACTCCCTTTCCAAAAGTTGTTCCTAGAACAGCCTGATAATTGGGAGTTCCAAATTCACAAGTAATAGATGTGCCCTCTGGGATTTCTTCGATTGGCGGTTGCCGCCCTGGCAACCCAAGCGCATCCACAAAAATGGCAAACATAAGGTCCCGAGTATCATTGTTAACAACATTTCCAATGAAAACGTGCCTCAAGGTCTCAATCTTGTGCTTAAGAATGTACTGCGCAAGGACGAAATCTGACCAGTGGGGCCCATCCTCTCTGTGAACATCCAGGGCGAGGATATACCCCTCTGCGGTGGCGTTATTTTGTTCGTTAAACTTCTTTCGGTAGCCTAGCCTGGCTGAATCAAGATTATAGGGTGTCCTGCGCTCATTAGGTCTATTGACCAGGATCATTTGCCGGGCTTCGACCGGGAGACCAAGCCCTGCTATTACATCCGCCATGTAGTTAGGAACCTTGAGCACTTTGTCAAATCTCGTGTCCCAAGGCAATCTCATTGGGAATTCTCGAGTTAAGTATCTGAAGTTAAGTCTGAATGGCCTTACATTGTTGCTGGGATCCGTGGGATCGTCGATCCATTTCTGTCGCAAGGCTCCCATCGCCCGGTATCTCTCAAAATACACAGGGAATGGGGGTGGCGGTATAACAGAGGCAGGCGTAGGACCAAAAACGGCTGTACTAGCAGGGCCACCTTGTGGGGCATATGAATACATAGGAAGAGCGGGAGACACGTATTGTAGCTCTAGACTAGTGCCCTCTGCTCCGGGATTGAAGCCATCGTCCATGACGGGGCTCTTGCACAGTTGCCGGCAAATGCCAAGGCAATTTAGAGGACAGCAACCGCAACCCATTTTTGGTAATTGGTTGTATATAGAAGGGTAGAGATATATAGATAATGTATTGACTGATGGAGTTGTACTTGTCTGTTAGAAGAGTGTGTATCGAGGGAGGCTGCGGGTTACTTTATAGTGATCAACTGAGTGGTGTATACTCGACAGCGTGATTCTCTAGGATATACAAAGAGCGCAAAAATAGAACAAGGGCCAAAGAGATGCTAGAACCGAAACAATGAGGATGGACCAAGCATGGTGATGTGAACAACTGAAGAAAGAAGCCATGATCCAAGAGAAGGGCGAATAAAGAGCATAGATGGTAGTTCAAAACAACATAGGAACTTATTATAAGAGCTGGGACAAAGACGTCAATGACCAACATGCCGAGGGCATCAGGTCTATCGGACACATTGCACAAGGCTGCCTGGGAATCTTGTACCAAAACCACGGGGATCTCCAGCCATGAGATTTGGGGACCCAGTTGGCCTTGAGCGATAGTAGGTTTGTCTTAGGGAATGATTGAAAGTGAACGGACTTGTTAATTGGCATAAATTAGGACCAGAGGTGGAAGCAGAAAAACAGAAAGTAGCACTTGATGTAGAGGTATTCGATAATCCGTTAAAGAACAATACACACTGCTTTTTGCTTCACAGCGAACTATACACGCAACTTAACATAGCTCCAGGGCTGATCTCAACTTTCAAGTACAGACATTCGCCGAGTAATCGCCCAAGTCGTAAGTATATGGATCTTCCCAATTTCAACTACCGGTATATCTCCGGATCGATTACGCATAAATCAGTCACTTGCATGGGCTGTAGTATATCAATCAGCATAGAAGCTACGGTCCAAAGTTCTCAGAGTAATTGCAGTTTTATTTCTGAGTACTCCGTAACCCATTTTTCCAGTTTCTAACCTCTCCCTATCCCCCTACTCCATGCGGAACACATTATGGATGGACCCGGGCTCGAAGTAGAACAGGGAAGTGACGCGGTCAATCATTGGCAATCAACTGCATTAGCGTTGAGACCGTTTATTCTTGGCTGCATCAGACTTGATGTCGCTTATTATCCGAGCTCATACCGTGTGCCCCATGGTTGTCCCTAGAGTTGAAGGATGGTACGTTGTTTGACCATGGCGGTGCTGGTGGCAGGAAGGTCTCTCTTGCCCTTGGAGCTGGTGAATATTGGACGCAAACAAAGTTCTGCACTGGGGAGTATAAAGGTCATACTCACAATTTCTATATCAAGGCTACTATCACTACAGGTAATACTGTGGAAGCGGGCACTGTCACCGAGAATTGCCAGACATTTACATCTCCCAACGGTTTTGGGGTCGTGGGTTTCATGGGACGAGATGGGGACGAGATTGATCAATTGGCTCTGGTATATGGCGCTTATTGAGATCTCAGAAAGAGGACCTGAATGAGAAATCTCGAGTTTTGTTAAAAATGCATGTGTTCATTTGCCTTTTAGGCGAATCATCTCAAGTCATAATTTATGCTATGTGTTCCCAAACGCCGAGATATTTCGCAGAAACCTTACCCATATGCACCGCGCTGTGTAAATTGAAAAAAAGAAAGCATCTTAAGCAATCGTATCCTCTGGAAGAACATCATCTGGATTCTCCCCAACCGCCTGTCCCACCAAACGCACGACACGCCTGATTGCCTTGGATGCAGGACTGTCCGGGTAATTTTCCACAAAACTCTCACCGAAGTCGCACGCCATACCAACCCGGGGATCCAGAGGTACAGCACCTAGGAAGGGAATGTCCATTTTCTTCGCCAGCCGGCGACCACCGCCAGTCGTCGCGCGGAAGATCTGAGACTCATGCGTGCAGTTGGGACACACAAAACCGGACATGTTCTCGACTAGTCCCAGCACCTTGATGCCCGCCTTGCGACAGAAGTCAACTTCTTTGCGCACATCCAGTAGCGACACCTCCTGCGGGGTAGTCACAACAACAGCGCCGTCAACACCAGACTCCTTCAGCAAAGAGTTGACAGACAGGTGTTCGTCGGAGGTTCCAGGGGGAGTGTCGACAATCAAGTAATCAAGCTCGCCCCAATCCACATCCTTGAGGAATTGCTTGATCAACCCGTTCTTCTTGGGCCCGCGCCAGATCACCGCATCGTCCCGGTTGGGAAGCATGAACTGCACGCTCATCGCGCCTAGATTATCCGTCACCCAGACGGGACTCCAGCCTGCATTGCTAATATGAATGGTCTCGGACTCCACTCCCATCATCTTGGGGATTGACGGTCCGCAGATATCGGTGTCCATGATGCCGACCGTTGAGTCTGGGTTCGAGGCGAACGCGTGCGCGAGAAGGGTTGAAAATGTAGATTTGCCGACTCCTCCCTTTCCAGACAAGACTAGGATTTTATGTCTTATTTGAGACAGTCGTTCAGTGATGATCGAGATGTCGGGATCGGGGCCTTTGGGTGCGGTGGCGCAGATCTGTTGGTTTGGGCAGCCGGCGCAGGCATCTCCCTGACCGGCTCTCTCGGATTCGGGGCCGGGGCAGTGCTCTGAGAACAGTTAGCGGATGATATTTTGTCTAGATACTGTGCATGCTTACCTGGTTCAGGCGCAACAAGGTTCGGAGCCACCTTGGATGAGACTGCTAGAGACTCCTCCGCGGGTTCCTCCACGTAGGGCGCCATTATGGGTTGTTTCTCTGTGCAGCACTGAGAGCAAATGAGTGAAACTGAGAGATGGTATGCAAGAAACAGATGAAATTCGTGGTGGCGGCTTGATTGATAAGCGGGGGAAAATCCATCGCGATTGGTGGGGGCTGTCTCAGGTGCGGTGTCGGAGTCCATTGTTTGGAGTAAATCGCATGACAACATGAATTGCCGTCTACAGATATAGAGCTGTCCATGAGACATAACATAATGAATGGGTACCTTGATGGCTCAATTGCTCGATGTAAACTAGTACATGTAGGTAGAGACTATGTTAACAATTATGTATGTAGCCAGACGGCATATCATTCAATGCACATCTACATTATCTACCTCTTGTGTCCATTCGCTAAGCCAACCAGGTCTCCGTATTTTAATGTGTTCGTCGTTGCAATGTACTGATTTGCATCCGGTGAGACAGTCAAAATCATGGCTGAACGGGTATCTGTTGACGCCTCAAAATGCTCCCGCAGCACCATAGTCAACGGCGAGGAGCGGTATGGGATGCGTGATTTCTTGCTCGACCGGGCCCGGATCACTTCTTTCAACGCGAGAAGATCGGTGTTGATTTGCTTTCCTTCCTGTTTCTCCTGGGGTGTTTGTTTTAGCGCAGACCCAGAAGTACTGGAGAGAAATTCAGCGCCGGCGAGGTCCACAAAAACCAGCTTTCCACCGATACAGGGATGTGCTTGAGCGGTAGTTGCAAATATATCACATTCGTGCTTTTCTGCTTCTTTCACACGAGCTTCAAACTCGGCCTTTTTTGCCTCCGCGGCATCAATGCGTGGTTGATCCAGTTGGTAGTCAGGATTTGGAACGAACTTCCCGTCTTCGGTTTGGACCATCGCGCGATATTGCTCCTCGATATAAACATCTGTCGCATGTTTCCCCACAGGGACCAACTCTGACTGCCGCTCAACCACCTGATCACGCGCGTTGAGGAGATCCTTGGTGATGATTTCCAGTTGGATAACGGCATGCGTTCGTGAACTTTGATCGTGCACTGTCGATGTCGCAGTCCTGTGGTGCTTTAGACCTTCCTGTAGCTCCATCTGCAGTTCTTCAATGCTCCAACATGCCTTCGTAACAATTGGCCGGACTCTCACTTTTCCGTTGTCCAACATTTCGGTTTCGCCACGGATATAAACCCGTCCATCAGACCCCTCGCGAACAAAGCACTCATTCCGCTTGTTGAGGAGATCGAAAGCGACATTCTTCCGTAGCTCATACACACGCAGTCCAATGCCGAATTGGTGGCTGCTATCCTCTGAATTGATAGCTTTCAACGCATCGTTCAGTTGGCGTGCAGCGGCTAGACAAAGCCCGAACTCCTCGGCATGCTCGAAATCATAGCCAATCATGGTATGAGATTTGCCGCTGCCTGAGTGGCCATATGCAAAAAAGTTGCAGGACCTACCCTGCAGAACTTCTGGGATGATCGGCGCAACGACGCGATCGAATACCAAGTGGTTGTTGTCGTCACATTCGATGATGCCGTCAAATGAGAATCCGCTCTTCCACGATTTTTCCCGAGTAGAAAGTGCTTTAGCTTGCAAAGGCGAGGTGACGGAGATACAAGATTGTTGGTTGTTGGGATGCTGGCCGTATTCCCGCTGTATTTCCCCTGTTTCGACCTCAGTCGAGTTGAGGGGTCGCCATCGCACCCATACTTTGAAAACGCTCATTTTTCATGTGCAGGAGTTGGAAAACTCCAAGTGAAACAACATAGAAGTACCGAGATAATCTTCGAATCGCGCCCGGGTCAATCCGTCGGTTGATATAACGCCAAGGTAGCGAGGTACCTGCCCAAGGCCCAGGCGGGCAGTGCTGGGGCGGGGAGGGGGGGCAAAGCAGGTATAATTTATTCGCACGATAGACATTTAAGACAGGGCTTGAGGCCTACGGTATTGTTAATTATGCAGTATTGAGTTGGGACTGTTACAGATCGGCTGTTTGACATTCGCTGGTAGCATGTGCTACAATGCTTCAATCAACTGCGGGTTTATGTGCCTTTGCAGGCCGAGGCGGGTTCTATGTAGGGTTAAGGCATGGAAGTGCTACCCGGACAAACGAAAGCACCAATAGTCGATAACTCGACCAATTGGAGGGAGACAGGGCCTCCCTGAACCTGTCAGCACTTAACCAGGAGGCTAGAATCTTGATCTAACGCTCCTACTGTAGAATGATGGATGTGGCCCCAGTGGAACAGACCGACTGATTGCATGCAAGGTGCCTCTGAGACAAGGCCCTGAGCTGCAGTTGAGATTGTATAACCCCTGTTACATAAGTTGTATCGGGTGCAAGTTATTATGAGTGTCTATCCATTATCAATCTACGGCGCACTGACACCAACCGGCCTTGGTGCAGCGGGCTTCTCTCAATTCTGGACTTGATCAACAGAATCGGGGGTTAGGATAGGATGAGGTCAACTACTCCACTGGCCATGGATCAACTCATTCGCCCATGGAACATGCAGACACGATCACAATGCATTTTATATGCGGGGCTCGAGCTCACCAAGAAATCAGCCTGTATCAAGCTCTGCAAGCGGGAAGTTGTGTACACTATGTACACTTTGTACACTTCGTACACCTCGTACACCTCGTAAATACACCGAGTGCAATGCTCAGGCTTCCGCACTTGCCGCAGTGTACTACCCCGCTGTTGATCGTAGGAGGTACGAATCCATGGACAGAAGAGAGAGGGATAGACAGGGACGTGGGTGTCGAAACCCTATTCACGTTAGAATTAAACGAGGTTCCCAACAACAATTCTCCAGAAGACGCAGACTAACGCCACTTAGCGTCGTTGTTGATCAAGGCCCCATTTCTTTCCCCTTCCGCTCCATTCCTCCATTCGGAGGCCACATCACAAGAGATCCGCGAGTCTCAACGGTTCCACTCTTTGCTGGCATTAACATAAATAATTGGACTCCTCGGAGGTTCTTTCTTTTCTTTTTTTTTGCCCCCTTTAGGCTTTCTCGAACAAAGAGACTGTCAAAAGGACAAAAAATAGAGATCAGAACTCGGAAGTAATTCTGCCCCCAACTGACTAACCACAGGTTCCGCTTTTCCACTGTCACATGCTTCTGTCGTCACATTCTCTCTCAACAGTTTCCTTTCTCTCAACACCCTTGTAAAGTGGTACACCATGGATCAAGGCCTTTCAACAGGGGCCCATCAAGATATTGATGGGCTACGTGAGAGAAACGTGCGCACCGATTCAACAGTCGGTCGCGAGGCTTTAACAGCCGGGGACATGGATGCCAAAGACAAGGATCTTAGCCAGTTGAAAACGTTTGGGAGAACACCCGATGGAACAGGTAAGCTTAGCTGTGCTTGAAAAACGTCAATTTGGTGTATTGCAATCGAATGCAGGGATTGCTAGATGCCTTCAACCCTCCCCTCGAGTATTTTCGGGAGTGCGCTGCTAACCGCGTCCCGCGTGTCTTGTAGTATTCACGGTCCCTCAGACCCATGACATGGTCTCACAGCTGCTTTTGCCATCTGAACCCAAGAATTTTGGTGACCTTGTGGTGTTGTTCCTCCTGGCGGGTCATGTTTTCTTCCTCTGGGCTCTTCCCGCGGGAGCCAAGATCCCGGCCTTTGCAGCCATCTATCTCTTCTGGCGCCTGGCTTACAATGCAGGAATTGGATGGCTTCTCCACAATCAATCGCACCATAAGACATTGATTCGATGGGCAGAGAAGACGAAGGTCTTTGTCAATCCTGCTACTGGCGGGAACCCTCACCCCAAATTGTATAACTGGATCAAGAAGGAACTGGAGACCAAGATTCCGAAGGATTACTCGTTCGACAATGCTCCAATTGAATACAACACCTGGCTTGTCTTTAGACGTCTTGTCGACTTGATCCTCATGTGTGACTTCACTTCCTACTGCCTCTTTGCGATAGCCTGTGGCCACCAACCCGTTGACGAGAGTGTTTTCATGACCGTTCTGCGGTGGTCTGCAGGTATCGTGTTAGTGCTGTTCAACCTGTGGGTCAAATTAGATGCGCATCGAGTGGTCAAGGACTACGCCTGGTATTGGGGAGATTTCTTCTACCTCATTGACCAAGAATTGACTTTCGATGGCGTGTTCGAAATGGCACCTCACCCCATGTACTCGGTCGGCTACGCGGGATACTACGGAATTTCTCTGATGGCCGCCAGTTATAAGGTGTTGCTCATCTCAATCATTGCCCATGCAGCACAATTCGTTTTCCTGGTCCTTGTCGAGAATCCACACATCGACAAAACTTATAACCCGCCACCACCCCGAAAGCGCTCTATTTGTGTGGATTCCTCCGACTACTCCAGCGATCTAGACACTCCGAGAGCGCCAACTCCGTCTGAAGATCAGGCTCCCAACGCGACATCCTCGTACTCGGCCAAGCCGCCCCAGTCGGTCCACAATCTCTTGGGGCTACACAACCTGGACCTGTATAGAACCACGGATTCCTCGATCATGCTTGTTCAGCTCCTTGTATTCTCTATCACGGCTTTGACGCCCTCTACACCCGACTACCAGTTGCTGTTTGTGGTGCTCGCCGCCGCCTCCAGACTCTGGTATTCCGTAGGCATTGGATATCTTCTTCGGAATCAATCCAACACCAAGTCTTGGACAAGGCACTTCGTCAAGTATGGCGACACGCAGCAGGAAGCCTGGAACCAATGGAAGGGTACTTACCATCTCAGCATGATTTTGTGTTACTCTAGCTTTATTGCTGCCGTGTGGAAAATGTACACTTTCCCGGCCGATTGGGGCTACGGTCTGGTTTTGTTCCGCCATGTTCTCGGAGCTGGTCTGATCAGTCTGCAAATTTGGACTTCGGTCAGCATCTACGAGTCTCTCGGCGAGTTTGGCTGGTTCTACGGTGATTTCTTCTTCGACAACTCTCCCAAGCTGACCTACAACGGTATTTACCGCTTCCTGAATAACCCAGAGCGCGTACTTGGTCTCGCAGGCGTGTGGGGCGCTGTCCTCATCACTAGTAGCGGAGCCATCACTTTCCTCGCCTTGCTGAGCCACATCCTTAGCCTGGCTTTCATTCAGTTCGTTGAACGTCCACACATGCAAAAGCTGTACGGTCGCAGCCTTCGTCAGGATGCGGGTCTTGTCAAGAGTCTGAAGCGATCCTTGCCTCCCTCTCTCAAGCAATTGCACGGTAGCGTCGACAAGATGTTCGATGACTCCTATGAGTTCATTGAGGAGATGCTCGAAAGTGCGCGCCCTAAACTGGCCGCGGGAGTAAACACATTTGTCAAAGATACCACTGCTCTCTTCCAAAAGTACCCTGCACGTGTCACCATCTCCCGGATTGATGCGGACCTAGCTGGATTTGACACCCGCGATTATTCTCTCTCGGTTGAAGGTACCAATTCTCTTCCCTTCGAAGAAAGCGAAAAGACCAAGGGTCGTGAGGGTGCCAACGCACGCATGCCCTTGGATCGCCGCGGTGATCTCAAGGACTTGACTTTCGAATATGGCTCTCCGATCAAGGTCAAATGGACTGCCCCGCTGAACCACAGCAAGAGGGATTGGATTGGTCTTTATCGGGTTACAGACAATACCTCTCGAGAGGTCACTCGTGTATCATCGCAAGGTCGCTGGGTTGCAACCAACGAAGGCTCGTATGACAACTCGACCTGCGAGAAGGGTATCCTCACAAGTGATGTTGTTGTCCCCTCGTCCGATCCCTCCGGCCAGGACACTCGCAAACTCGCATCCGGCGAGATCCTTCTCTCTGGCGACAAGCTCTTCTGGACCCAGGGAGTTTTCGAACTCCGCTACCACCACAACGCTATGCACAATGTCATGGCTATCTCGAGACCGTTCGAGATCCGTATTCGTCGTTCGGATGAGGATGAGACCATCGCCGACGGTGGTTCCCTCGTGGAATCTGCCGTTGAGAATGCCCTCTTGTCTGTCGTTCGCAACTGCTTCGACCGGGATCCTGAAATTGCCCCGGAGAGCGTCGATGAGCGGTTCGGTAGCCTCGTGGAACGGGATGGCAAGTTTGCCAAACGTGTTGTCTTCGCTGTCCATCAGATGTAAGTTCCCATCGGATGGTATCACCCTCGCTGGATATGATTTTCTGACTGATTCATCACACAGGTTCGGTATCGAGTTGGCACCTGGAGTTGTCAAGGCTGATGGCAATGTGCGCAACCTGGCTTGGAGGATTTGCAACGCCAAGAAGGTTCTCGTAAGTATTATACTGACGGATGAAGTGCGCCTCTTAGCCCAAAGCTAACTCGACTATGCAGGCTCCCTACAGCATGTCGAGATCCAATGGAACCACGACACCCCTTGAGCTCAAAGAATAAACCCTCGGGGCATATTCCCGACATCTCCACTCAGCCATGTTTCAATATGGTAGAACACGACTTGATTTGACTGGAAAGCACCGTCTTCAAGCGGATCTCGCCCTTGAAGCTTCATGCTTGACAGCATAAAGAAAAGAACCAAAAAAGAACCAAAAAAAAGATGCCATAATTATGAAAAAATCATGTTTTAAAGGAAAAGAGGAGTTCTGCTATCTCGCTTTCTTCCTTGCCTCGCATACCCAGATCATGCGAGGCTTAAGGTAATGATTCCCATGATGGTTTTGTTTCAATTTCAGGGGTCAGGCGGCAGGTGATTTTCGTGTGTCTTGCCTTTTGGGGACCCGGGGAGGCTTTGGCTGTGGGCCACTTGTTTTTCTTCTCTACGAAGTATTTTGTACATAGCTTTCAGAGAAATCTATTGCTTTGTTTATGACTTTTGGTGCAATTTACTTGGTCCAGGTCAGGCCCTTAGGTACATGAGAAAATGAGGTGTCCACTTTAGTGGCAGAGAAACTACGGTGTAAGGTGTAGATATGATACATCTTCGGACAAAGCTCCAGAAGAGACAAATGTGACCTTCAGTACGGAGTACTCGGTACTCACTACTGCAGAACTTGGTTTTATCAAAAGAAATTTACTAGAAATGCAAATGCGGTCTTCTTCATAACAATTGAACTTCATTGATGTCTGCTAAGCTATGTATTATTAGGTGTAACCCTAAAACTTGAGATGCTGTCAGCGCAAGTCCAAAAAGACCCGAAGAAGCAAAACATGCACGTCTTCTCAATTGCAAGCAAAGGCGAAGTATATACAGTATTCAGGCAAGCCGTTTTAACTCATCCCATCCCCTGCTGGCCCCTCGCACCGGACTGGCACCCAAGACGGATGGACAGCCCAGCATTAGGAAACCAACACAAGCCAAGTATAGCAGTACCACGCCGCGGACAAGACAACAAATGCAAAGAACGTATTCAGATGACGACGAAGCCCAAAGTCTCCGAGCTCCACAACCTTCCTCCCTCACACACCCGAAGGCACGCGAGGTCCAGTATAAGGGAGTGGACACAATGGATCGACACCTGTATTCCTCACATTGTTGTACGGCATGGGTGCAACCTGAGGGGCGGTCCTCAAAGAGGTCGTTGAATGGATAGACTGGGTGTCATCATGATAACTGTGTTCGACGTGCAATATAAAGAGAAGAAAAAGACAATGTATGTACCTTTTCAATGAATGACCAGGTATATGAAATCAAGGTATGTATTACAGCTAAATCTTTTGACTTGTCAGCATTCGTGTCATCGACAGGATAGTTGAAAGACAATGATAATGATTCCAAATAGATCAGGAGTTTTTGGTAAGGTATTTTGTTATCTTCAAAAATTTTGCAGAAGCAGAACTGAAAATTGTTTCTCATCATATGAGGGGGCTTTGGGGAAAGGAAAAAAAAAAGATGTTGTCTTACCTTGTTAGTTAATGTCTTTGACGGAGCTTCTCAAGAACAAGTCTGGAAGTCTTTGTATCTGTCTTTAAGGTATTGTTAGTCCCTGATGCACGGCAGTGGAATATTGAAAACAATAGCGAGGTTGTTGTCATAATCAGATGGTGATGCATGTTTTGTTCATGGCCCATTTTTTGTCGCCAAACAGGAGTTGGAACTCTCTCATCATTTAGACAGGATTGGAGGGATTGTAGGGTACTCACGTTTATGATGTTAGTGACGAATGAAGATAAGATATATCAAACATCATCAAGCAAAGTCAATTCCTTCGACATTTGAAGGAATGTTCCCTGTAGAGATGTGTGTGAAGAAGAGAGAGAACCGAAGAGCAAAAATCGAAGAAAAGTCGCGAAAAGCTAAACGGCGCTAGGCGGTGGGGCCTACAAACAGTGCAAACTCCCAAGATTTCCGTTTCTGGGACTTCAACCATTGCCATCTGGCGACAGCTTCAATATTGCCCTAAATCACTTCAAATGGCTGACAGAAGACGTGTCAATGGCCCACCTGGGGGCACAAGGCCTCCAGTCTTTGCATCTCTTCAAGAATCCAAGACAGGCGTCGCAAACCGCGCCCAGCGCCAGCGCCAACCCGCCGAATTGCGGAAAATCTGTATGAACCGCCGACAAGCTTCTTGGTGATCGCAGCTGACTCTCAATGCTCTAGTTCTGAAAACAGGATTGATTCCAACTGCCTCAGGCTCTTCATACCTTGAATTTGAACCATCTGCGTCCCTTGCCGCCGCCCGCTCCAACCCCAAATCTCTGATCCCGCCCTCATCAGCCCTCAAAGTGGCTTGCACTGTCCATGGACCTAAGCCACTCCCCCGCTCCGCTGCATTCTCCCCCAACCTTGTCCTCACCACTCATGTCAAGTACGCGCCATTCGCCGCCCGCAAGCGGAAAGGACATATTCGCGATGCCAGCGAGCGTGATCTTGGCGTACATCTAGAGACCGCCCTCCGCGGTGCCATCATTGCTGAGCGCTGGCCCAAGAGTGGTCTGGATATCACTCTTACAATCATTGAAGCAGAGGACGATCGTTGGTGGGGCGATGCTCCCGACTCGCATGATGCCTCGTGGGGAATGATGAATGTGCTTGCCGGATGTATCACAGCTGCTTCTGCTGCAATTGCGGATGCCCACATTGATTGTCTTGATCTTGTGTCAGGTGGTGTCGCTGCTCTGGTCTCGGACGATTCACACCCTGGGTCAACCCCGCGGCTCATGCTTGATATTGATCCAGCGGAGCATCGGTCTATTGTTTCGGCTTGTGTGGTGGCATACATGCCTGCACGCGATGAGATTACTGAGCTCTGGCTTAAGGGAGATAGCTCAAGGGCGGCTCTTGAGAAAGGTGATGGACGTATGGGTCATGAGGCTTTGATCGATGGAGCTGTTGATGCGGCTCGTGGCGCTAATACGGTCTTGGCCGAGGCCGTGAGAGAATCTATCGTGCGATCCATTGCTCAAGTCTAATATGGCCACTCTACATAATGAATGAATGAAGTTTCCAAGCACATACGGGTATAGTAACAGCGGATTTTGTGTTCGCGCTTCTAGCAATCAATCAGAGGCCGCGTCGTTCAGCTAATTGCTTGCTTCAAAATCATGCCATTGTCCGAAGCAAGAGATTTCATTGCCAGTATCCTTCGGCCGGTTGTCACATTTTTATATGATTAAGCTCCACAGCAATCTCAAGCAATCTCGACTAGCGGGTTGGTCTTTGGGGGCCACTCTCTGCTGCGATAAATTTACTCACAGATACAAGATACAACCTTGGAACAGCCCATTGAATCCACTGAGATGCGCCTGGTCATCCGAGAGATCCCATCCTTCGGAGCTCAGGGCATATCTGGGCATGGCCGCAGCGTGTTTGCTTATACGGAGTACTGAAACCTATGTAACCGATTCCTGTAGAATGCGCTTCAATGAAACCATGGCCGTTATAATCTAACGTGCATCCAAGCCATGGAAGACTCCCGAATAGATATTCTAGCGCCCAAAGAGAATATTATTATGTGCCACTGACCTCATTCTTCCCGCGCCTCTGTGGGTTTGTGTAAACTCTAGTAGAGTGTGCCTTACTGGCCTTCTTATCAAGCCTCTATTTATATTTCTAATGGCATTCCGAACAAAGCAAAGCAAGAGTAGTTCGAGATTTTGTTGAAATAGAGTGCCCGCTCTTTCCAGGTGCGTATTTGTGGATTATCATCATGCAAAGACGTACAAGGGTCTTGAGGACCACCTCGAGAATGCAGCTTTTGCCCTCGAAGTAAAGTGTGCTCTAGTTCATTTATTTTGTAATATATAGCCCGATCTCTGAAAAAAAAAAATATAGATTGTTTATTGGAAAACAATTGCCAAGACTGTACTCTATATATTCGATCTTGACGATGGAAATATAGTGGATGAGATATACTATAACCGCACATATACGGAGTAGTAAGGCTATTATTTGATTGGCTTGACATCATCTCTATATTGTCGGTGCATTCTTCATATATCAATTTTGATATCTTTCTAATGTCCTTTCTCATTCTCTAATCGGAGAAATGAACTTCATAGTGACCACCCAGGCTGCATCACCACCTACATGTACTCCGTACATGTAGTCAATATAACACAAGCTCACCAGATTGGATATGTTCCAGGGTAATCCACGTTGGAGATACTGCGTGTCAGAAAGGTAGCTGTATATATGGCACTCACAGGTAGGTCTTAGCTGTTCCAAATAGAGGGTGTTCCCCATGCTTTTCCGTAGTTGGCCAAGGTCTTCAAGCTTACCCCTTGGATCAGATAGTGCTACGAAGCATACTATACTATGTTGTACGGAGTACTCCGTACTCCGTACGACACATGGACAATCCTCCATGCTCTGTGAACTGACCATGATCAGCTAGGCTCCATAGAAACAGGGACTTGGAAAAAAAAGGGGCAGATCGTTAGAGTTGAACGGTTAAACGCTACCGACGCCCCTAAATCAGTGTCAAGGTATGACGATCGTAGCCCCATTAGAATCGAGACTTGGGAATCGGAATCTCGATCGATCGTAAGCTATCCGATCTAAGGAGTTCGTTATTGTCCCAGACAAAGTACCTTGGAAGAGATGTAAACATGCCCATTATGACGAACTATGTTGCACATGTAGTGTGTAGGGAGTCCTCCGTATAGCGCGTGATATCTACGCATATCTCGCACGAACCGTTCCATGTCGTGGATCTATTTCTATAGCGACTAGTGTTTCAATTTGCCCCTGAGAGTTCGAAGGTGCGTACGTTGGAGATTGGGCGTATCTACTCCGTACATTGTCCCTGACTCCGTACTTTGGCGCGGAAACAAACCCGAGATCCACTGTGAATTTTTTTTTTCTTCTTTGCTACTTTGTACAAGGCACCCTCATTTCGCCCATCACACGAAAATGATAGTTCCAAGAAGCCCGTCAAAGCCCGTCAGACCAATGGCGTTCAGTTCGTGTGTTCGTCCCGCCTAGCACGAGACGGCTCACGGTCTATCTGGCGATCACCTTTCATCACACCAATAACGGCGCATACGGAAATTGGAAGCTCCATCGCATGCCATAATTCAAGCCCCCAACCCACCATGGCCTATTCCCGTTGGAGCTGCTCATTGGCAAATCCGTGCTACTCGGTGGACCGTGGGAAATCACCACGGCCCAATTCTCGACCACCATCGCCCAGCGATCCCTTGGGCGTTTTCTCCTGTCAAAGCCTCAGTGGATCCTAGCCTCGGATGGGGGCCGTTCTGGACCTATCATGTGGCCCTGGAGCTTGACTCCGGAGAAGCAGAAGAAATTGCCCGTTTACTGAAGGATTGGACCCATTCGGAGGCAGGACCCATTCGAAGGCAGCTCTTGACCCGGTACGGAGTCAACGCATGTTGTTTTGCGAAATTGGCTCGAAATGGACTCAACAAGCGCTCGGATCGAGGCTCGGGGATTTCTCGTGTGCAATCTCGGAACAAATTTAGAACAAAGAAAACGGCAGTGTGTTCTTTAACTTTTAGCGTTCGAACCATCACGCCTCATCTTAGGATCATGGAGAAGTCCGGGTCACTTCCCCTGATCCAGGCACAGGAACGGTGCTAGATCTGCATTCTGCTTTGACAGGATACGGAGTACCGGGTCCTGTCTTCTTTTTGGGCCTTGATTTGTTTTTCTTCTTTCTCTTGTATTTTCACTATGGCTACGGATATGACACTTGCATCGTGTCACGGTTTACAATTGCTCCAGCTTTGATGCCATGATATCAATAGACTGTTCAATTCTTTATGACCGTTGGTCTTGTCCTTCCCTTGATTATTAGCTCCAGACCATTATTATTATCATCTCTCTCCTTTAATTTCCTCTCCTCGTCATCGCGGCACCTCCCCCCCACCGCTGCCCTTCATTTCACAATTGCGCGCCGGCCTTGTGCTTGATACCTACGTCAACAGACGAAATGGCTGCATTGAAGAAGTTGTTCTACACGGACAAGTCTCTTTCTCGTCCAGCCACTAGCCTTGGACTTGAAGGCTGTGCCATGGACCAAGCTTATTTTAACACGGCGGTTGATTCGCCTGCGCGAAGTCACTTTGAGGGTGGTTTCCCGAGCAGAAATTCGCAATCACTAGATGTGTCTCATCATTTTGACCAGATTGAGAAGCAATTTGAAGATCTACATGATCGACTGGAACGGCCAACTTCTTCTCAATCCCAATTACCTCCTAGCACATCTCATTTCGCCGCCCCCAAACTCCCAAATGGCCGATATATCGACTTGATGGATGCGCTGGGCTCTTCGCAACGTGACCAAACAACTTCCCCAGAACCCCTCTCTCCCCCAGGCAGCCCATACAACGAACATGTTGCGGAACGAAATATGACCCGGTTTCTACGGATACAATACCGGAATGGACTGGCCCACTCGCGGATACTATCAGCTCTGTACCAAGAAGATGTGGCAGACAGAAATATCGCAAAATATCGGGCTCCGGACCGAACTTTGTCAAACCTCAGTTCACGGTCATCGCCGGCTGCGCCTGGTAGGGTACGGATCCCAGACAGCCAACGGCGTAAAGGCAGAAAGCGGGATCCAGGCAAGTCTGCCTGGGTGTCAGCAGAACAACTACGGAGAGGGCCACTCCAAAATGATGGCTCGAGCACTTCAATGCAACGATCACAATCCCATCTTGGCAATTCTCTTCGGCACCAAAGATCGGCACCGAGCTTGTCTGGAGACGGAGAGAGCTTTATCTCACAAGAAGATGCACCCCCAACTCCTGTTCAGCGCTTGGGCGTTCCTCCTGCCTATAAACAAGGCAAAAGGTGGAGCAATACTCCCCTCCCTGATAGCCCCACGATTCCTATCCCCGGGGCCAAGACAGAGGACGCTAGTAAGGTTTCTTCGCCGTCACGATCACCTGTTCCATCATCTTGCTGTTCATCGGTGGCACCAAGACCACTCTCTCCGCCACCTTCATTGGGGAAATGCTCAAAACGGAATGCGCGGGGGCTCTCAATTAACACAGAATTGGCTACTAAAGGACGCCCCAATATTGGGCACCGTGCCATTCAGCCTCCAACGCCATCAGCCACCGATGCGAACCAGGCTCCCAACATCGCAGAAGTGATGAACAGTCCTCTGCCTGTTGCCAGCCCCATCACTCCTCCCGAATCATCTCCGCGCTTCAAGGCCTCGGAACTGATGGAATTTTTCAGCAAGGCTTATTTGTCCGCCAAGGGTTCTCATGCAACCTACGAGACCCTGCAGGACGCTATAATCCGCGAAATCAATTCCCACGAAGCATTCAAACGAGTGCCCGTACCAGCCCCAGGACCTCCATTCACCCCATCGGCGGAGCAAGATGAGTTCGGCGACATCTCCAGGCCAGCAACTGGACACCACCGAAGCCACTCGGCGAAACTCAGGCTGATGAACAGGACCTCATACAAGCACAAGAGAAATCCCGAGACCCGCCGCAGCATCTCAACCAGCGTTGGCTACGACCGACTCCTGCGGAAGGTCTCCGGAGCTGCCCCTCGCCGTCGACACACCGACGCCCCAGCTCCCAGCCCAGGCTTCCTTGCCGAGCTACAGCCTCGCAAAGAGTCAATCATCACTCGTCCCGGTTCCGGAGAACCAATCACCTACATGGACGTGCTGCACGCAAACGGGGATCAACAGCCCGTCTCAATCAACTGCGCAGCTCCCACGTCCCCCAAACGAGGACATTCAGAATCAGTGGGTAACCTCGCCACCATGGCCCGCTGCGCCCCAGATGTTCCCTTTACCCCGGCCGTATACTGCATGCAGGCACACTCAAGCCCATCGAGCAACGACTCGCTCGACGACAGTGATGATGATATTATTCCCCTCCCTAGCCTGAGTATGCCCCCGCGCGTGCAGATCGAAGGCGTCGATGAGAACAACGTCCGCTACGTGATCGATGCCGCATCGGCTGACGAGGCGCATAAGTTCATGCACTGGCCTCAGCGTGCTCGTCGCGGTGTTACATCCAGTCCTTTTGGGAATAGTCTGTCTCCATTGTCCCGTGCACGTATGCAGCTTCGTGGTTCTCGCTCTGTCGAGAGCTACTAGGTTGCATACACATATTGCTCCTTTGGGGCGATTTAGCACGCTCGGTGGGATGTATGTGTTTCTCTGCATGATAACGATTCTTTCATGACTTGCTCTCTCTCTCTCTCCTTCTCTCGCTTTCTCTCGCTGTCTCCGAGAAAAAGCCGTGCAATCCTTCAATAATTCGTTTCCTCCCTCATACTATCATCTATACCACATCATTCACCCTAGTCTATCCCTCTTACCCGACTTCCTCTTTCCTTTCTGTCTTTGATCAGACTCTGTCAGTCCTCCTCTGTGGCAAGTTTCAATTTTGTTCTCCTGTCTTATCATCGTGGTTGCATCATCTACTGGAGTTTCCGGTACTCTGTATATGTTGACAATATAATTCTTGTGATTACTATTATTATTGTATATTATAACCCCAAAACGTCTGCTCACTTCTGTATATGATGTTATTCGCTCTTCAGACAAAAAGCATCTTCATCCATAGGACAAAATATACGACATTCCTATGAGAAGCACTTTTTCTTAATGCCAGGCTTATAGCTGAGTCATATAGTTCCAAGTTCGGCTATACACCTCATTCTACTCCGTACTTCGTAGAAGATTAGACCGTTTACCGGATCAAATCCCGAAATCCCGGAAATTCGGATTCTCACCATTCCGTGCTATTTATGTCTATGCTATTTCTGCTCTTAGCCTGGTACTAGTTCTGGGCATGGCGAGACTTGGAATGACCCATAGATAACATGAGATGAATAGAAAATCTTAGTACGGAGTACATAAAGGAATAATGACATCTCTCATTTTCATAATATCATTGCCACTACCTGCCCTTTCCCCCTTAAAAACTCCACATTGACAAATCAACATATTGAAGGGACGCCTTGGAATCCGTAGAAGAAAATGCCATGATTTGAGACTTCAACTGTGTTTCACTATGCATTGGGGACTGTCAAGATACAGCGCCTTTGGTAACTTTAAGGTTTGTATTACTGGTGCTGTGGACTGTAAGGTAAGTTTGGCGGTATCAGATGAGATTTCTGAAATCAATACAGTAGTTTAGTAAGAGCCTATAGACATAGTGTTAGTATCATGAACCATAAAGAAAAAACCAAAGATCCAGAAACTTACGGCCGAACATGCACCACTTCTCAGCGGGACGCTGGCACTTGGGGTTGCAGCAAGGAGTGACACCCTTCTCAATGCCCTCAGGCTGGTCGAAAGGAATGCAGAGAGACTTAGCACCCATGCTGGGAGCCTTGGCATCCTCAGCCTCACCAGAGTCCTCCTCAGCCTTGCGGGCACTCATATCCTTGATCTGGTCCTCGCACTCCTCGGTCAAGCAGTGGGGAATGACGCAGATGTTCTTGTTGTTCAGGGCGGGGACAAAGTCATCCCAGTTGGTGATCTTGATGCGGTGGGCCTTGAACTGCTCGTCGGCACGGTTGTACAAATCGGTCTGAATGGTCTCAAGAAGAGCAGGGACACTAGTAGCCAAATCGGCGATAGGGATGCTACCCTTGCCGTCCTTGCCGGGGATGTCACGGCGGGCGGTGGTGACGAATTGGCCGGCAGACTCACCGGGGCCGAACTCAATGCGCAGAGGCACACCGCGGAGCTCGTACTGGTTGAACTTCCAGCCGGGGGAGTAGCTGCTCTTGTCGCTGTCGGCACGGACGCCGGCAGCAACGAGGACGGCAACGAGCTCATCGACCTCGGCATTGAGCTTCTCACGATCCTCCTCGGTGGTCTTGGCAGTGATGCCGACAGGAACAACAATGACCTGGGTCTCTGCGACACGAGGGGGAAGGACGAGACCCTTGTTGTCACTGTGGATCATGACCATGACACCCAGGGTGCGGGTCGACAGACCCCAGGAGTTTTGCCAAACGTGAAGAGGGGGCTTCTTCTCATCGACGGTGGAGGTGGGATCCTCAACGGTGATGCCGAACATCTTACTGAAGTTTTGACCCAGACCGTGTGAAGTGCCACCCTGGATACCACGGCCAGTGGCGGGGATGTAACCCTCAACGGTGGTGGTGTAGTTACCACCGGCGAACTTCTCCTTCTCAGTCTTCTGGCCCTTGACAACGGGCACGGCGAGAAGCTCCTGGTAAATCTTAGCATAGTAGTCAAGGATGCTCAGAACTTCCTCGCGGGCAGCTCCTTCAGTCATATGCGCGGTGTGACCCCTGCACATAATGATTAGTATGTCATTCTATAACCAAAGAGAGATTGAGGACATACTCTTGCCAAAGGAACTCGCGGGATCTGAGGAGGGGCTGGGGGTGCTTGAACTCCCATCTCACTGTTGTTATTAGTAAAATTCCGAGAGAGCTATGGGGAAAGAAGCAAGGTCGTACCGACGGAGTTCCACTGGTTGAGACGAAGGGGAAGATCACGGTGGCTGCGGATCCACTTGGCGTAGTAGGGGTACATGACAGTCTCCGAAGTAGGGCGAATAGCAATCTTCTTCTCAAGAGGGGTCGAGCCACTGGAAGTATATGTCAGTATGTTCCATAGTTGAAGTATAAAAATTTGATGTAGGTTTGGAAAACGACGTACGCGTGAGTGACCCAGGCGACTTCAGCGGCGAAGCCCTCAATGTGGTCCTTCTCCCGCTGCAGGACATCCTCAGAGACGAATAGAGGGAAAGAGCAGTTCTTGACACCCATTCCCTTGATGGCCTTGTTGAAATAGTCCTGGATCTCCTCCCAGATGAAGTACAAAGCGGGCTTCAGAATGAAGCAGCCGGAGACATCATAGTAGTCGAGCAAGTCACCCTTGGTGAGAACCTGCTGGTACCAGCCGGGGAAGTCCTCCTCTTTCGTGACATCGATACCGATCAAAGCGGCACCCTCAACCTTCTTCTTGGAAGCCTTCTTGGCTTCTGGTTTGCCAATGCCCTTCTCTCCCTTATTCGAGGCCTTCTTATCGGCCTTGTCGGCCTTCAGCTTGGCGAGCTTCGCGGCCTTTTTGGCGGCGTTCTTTGACTCACCCGCCTGGTTATCAGCGGGGGTTTGAGTGCGGTCAGGCAGGGCCTGGGGGGCAGCGCCCTCGGGGGCGGGGACGTCGCTGGGGGTCTGGCTAGCCATTTCGAAGAAGGAGGTATCCGACTAGACAATGAGAGAGGAACCCAAATCAAAGGTAGAATTGCAATCAAGCGAAATCGGGTTATGACTCCCCTCCGTAAAGTGGGATGCGATATCGAAAATTACCAGCACACCGCCTCGGCAGAACTTTTAGTGCCCACAGCAGCCCCCCCCGAAGCCAGATAGCTCTGCCATCGCACTCGAATAGCTCATATTACTTCGTCTGTTTTAGTCATGGCAGGCATTTTTGAGGCGCCGCGGAATGCGGACACACTCTGTGAGTTTTTCGGGATTGATTCTCGTTTTCGTTGCAATGAACTGACCAGTCTCGCACAGTCTTGGGTGGGCAGAAAATCACCGGTGCTGATGTCCGTGAACAAAATGGTATGTTGAATCATTGCTTATTCGGGCTTCTTTGGAGCGTAATAGCTGACTTCTCGCAGTTCTGGCAACACAAGCTATCTCAAATGTCATCAAGAGCTCCTTTGGTCCGTCCGGTTTGGACAAGATGATGGTGGACGACATAGGGGTATGGAAACGATAAACCCCGCAGAGCTTGGCCGCAGTTTTTAACATTCAGCAGGATGTGACCGTGACGAACGATGGCGCTACTATTCTGTCTCTTCTGGATATTGAGCACCCTGCGGGCAAGATCCTCGTTGATCTAGCCCAACAACAGGATAAGGAGGTATGGAGTTCTACAACATACACGTCCAAGACACCCGCTTATCAAATCTATCTCAATAGGTCGGTGACGGTACTACCTCGGTTGTCCTGATTGCCTCTGAGCTTCTCCGGAGAGGCAATGAGTTGATGAAGAACCGCATACACCCTACTACGATCATCAACGGATACCGACTTGCCCTGCGCGAAGCCGTCAAGTATATGAACGAAAATGTTACGACTAAGGTGGATAATATTGGAAAGGAGAGCTTGGTCAACATTGCGAAGACTTCCATGTCCAGCAAGATCATCGGTTCCGATTCCGATTTCTTTGCGAACATGTGTGTCGACGCGATGCTGCAAGTGAAGTCTGTGAACCAGAGAGGCGAGGTCAAATACCCAGTCAAGGCCGTGAACCTGCTCAAGGCCCACGGAAAGAGTGGCACCGAGTCCGTTCTCGTGAACGGTTACGCATTGAACTGCACTGTTGCTTCCCAGGCTATGACGACCCATGTGACCGACGCCAAGATCGCCTGTCTCGACATGAACCTGCAGAAGGAGCGGATGAAGCTTGGTGTTCAGATTACAGTGGAGGACCCCGATCAATTGGAGAAGATCCGCCAACGGGAGTCTGGCATTGTTATGGAGCGTGTTGATATGATCCTGAAGTCTGGTGCCAATGTCATCCTTACAACTAAGGGCATCGACGACATGGTTCTCAAGCTCTTCGTCGAGAAGGGAGCCATGGCAGTTCGCCGCTGTAAGAAGGAGGATCTGCGCCGCATCGCTAAGGCTACCGGTGCCACCCTTGTCAGCACTCTCTCTGACCTCAACGGAGATGAGAAGTTCGAGGCATCAAACCTTGGACACGCAGAGTCAGTTTCGCAGGAGCGTATCTCAGATGACGAGTGTATCCTCGTCCGCGGCACCAAGGTCCACACTGCAGCTTCCATTATTCTCCGTGGTGCCAACGAGTACAGCTTGGATGAGATGGAGCGCTCTGTTCACGATTCTCTCTGTGCCATCAAGCGCACTTTGGAGAGCGGAAGCATTGTTCCCGGTGGTGGTGCCGTGGAAACCGCACTTCACATCTACCTGGAGGAATTCGCAGTCACAGTGGTAAGTACTATTGTTCACATTCCTTGTTTCAACCTTGTTTTCTAACCTTTTTTCCCTTCCAGGGCTCCCGCGAGCAATTGGCTATTGGCGAGTTTGCACAGTCTCTCCTTGTCATTCCTAAGACTCTGGCAGTCAACGCAGCAAAGGATTCATCTGAGCTCGTTGCCCAGCTCCGTGTTCGCCACGCCCTGTCACAGCGTGTGCAGGACGGCGATGCCAACGAGGAGGAGAAGGCTATTGCTAAGAAGAAGACCTACCGCAACTACGGTTTGGATTTGACGAAGGGACGAGTTCACGATACTCTGAAGGCTGGTGTGCTGGAGCCCAGCATGAGCAAGATCAAGCAGCTTAAGAGTGCCGTGGAGGCTTGCATAGCCATCATGCGCATTGACACGATCATCAAGCTGGACCCCGAGCAGCCAAAGGATGACGGCCACGGCCACTAAGGCTGATCTCATTTTGACTACCCCAATCCCAAAAAAAGGCAGTAATATGATGTGACATAGATGATCAGCAGTAGGAAATCTCATTTCTGCTACGACTGCACATAAATCAGTTTCTCCCAAGATAGATACATGAAAACCGTAGCCCTAAAACAACCCTTCTACTAAGCCTGTCGCTTGGCGGCCATCAACTTCCGGTATTCCTCGACAATATTCCTCCGCTCACCGGCCAGCTCCTCACGACGCCTCAAACTGCCAACAGCAGCTGGCACATTGGCAACATCGACCTTAGCCCCACCGCGCACCTTAAAGATCTCACGAGGCTTAACCAACTGAGGCGGCGCCTGCGCAACCTCAAACGGATTCTTCTTCCGCTCCTCGTCACGCTTCTTCAGCTTCGCCCAAGGATCAGGATCATCATCACCGCTATCAGCATCACCCCCATTGGCATTCTTCCCCTTCTTCTTCTTCCGTGCAGCAGCCTTCTTTTTCTTACCCCCAGCCGCCTCAAGCTCCCACTCCTTCCACTGCGCCAACTCAACCTCCATCTCTTCCTCACGTTCTTCCCGCTCCTCCTGCTCCCGCTCACGGATCTTAGCCTCCTCCTCACGCCAACCACTCTGCAACCGCCGCAAGTGCTTCTCATGCTTCGTCTGCTTGTGCTGCTCCTTGTCCTTGGCATCGCCCGTCTTAACCGACTTGGTCATCTGCGACAATGGCATTTCGCGATCCACTCGCGCCGCGAACTCCGCCAATCGCTCGCCGGGCATGATCTTGGGCATTTCAGTCTTCTCCTTGGCGGGAGTCTTCTCCTTGGCGGGCTGGGGTTGTGATTCCGCCCGGGCAGTCTTCTTAGATGACTGCGCTGTGTCTTCGCCATTGCGCTTGCGCTTGTTAGTGCGCTCGCCGGTCTCGAGTCCTGACGGGGCCCGTCGGCCGGTTTGCTGGTATTGCATCAGGCGGAGGAATGCCTTGGGAGTGTCGTCTTCGGCGGCATTCTTGCGGCGGTGAGTGGGCGCTTTGTTGGCGCTCTGGTTTTGGTCTTTGTTTTGGGGCTTGTTGCCGCCCTTCTTGCCGTTCTTGTTGGGCTTGGGCTTGTTCAGATCGCGCACTGGAAGTGCTTTTGCGATCTCTGTGGGTGGGAGGTTGAATTCGCTGGTGAGGAGATTGTTAGCTGTGGATTTCGGAGTAACGTTGAGTCGAGTTCGTAGATGCTTACGCTTTGTCGGCTTCGCCGCGTCTCTTGTGTTTGTGAGGCATTTTGGGTGGTGTTGGAGTGGAAGATTGGAGGATTGGGCTTGTCGGCTGAACTTTTTTCATCGGGGGTTGGCCTTATCTTATCGCCCGCTTGTATGGCTTCGACTACAACTAAACTTCGTATTCGCCCTCTGGAACGTTATACTGATGTTTTTGACATACGTTTGGACTGATCGACTTGCATCAATAGACTATCTCTGAATTGCCTATATAATCTATCCAAGAAAGATAGTGGTGGCTTATGATCTACATGTACTAACGGGAGAAAGATAGAATGCAGTATTAGACCCTCGATGAGCGAGGAGATGTTTATTTCGAGGAATCATTAAATCAAATGAGTCTTTTGAGATGAAGACTTGAAGGGTATGCTACGCTAATAAACAATCATGCACTTAACGCCAATAAAATGCCCATAGGCAGAAAAGATAAGAACCCCCAGGCACCTTGGAAAATGCATAACAAAGAAAAAGAAACCACAGGAGACGTCGGGAATTATTCGTCTTCGTCATCAATCGAGTCTTTCATATCAGCCCAGCCGCACTGCCAGCGTTTGCCCTCAGCTTCACCAGCGTTCCGAAGGTCGCGAGCCTCGGGTCCTTCACGCCAACATCGAGCAGAATAGTCATCGCTTACGGTGATGAGTTCGCCAGATGGCGTCCACGAAAGACCGGTGACTTCTTTCTGATGGCCTTCCACAAGTGGAGTGCCTGATTGGTGAATAGGAATAGTGTCTTCGAGACGTCCAGACAAGCCGATTCCAGAGTTGCTGCGACGGAGTCCAGAGCGGGTGGTGAAAAGTGAAGATTTGCTAGGCAGGGTTTCGGTGGGCTTTTCAATGGGAGAATCGAAGTAGCGTTCATCGGTAGGGAAAATAATGGGACACTGGTCGCTGCTTCCCACAGCTAGCATCTCCGGATGATCATTGGTTGCTTTGCGCACAGCCAACTTCACATAAAATGAGGAAATCTGGAGTCGAGGGTGACGGAAACCGTAGAGGGGTCCAAGGCCGTCTTTGTCAGAGCCGCCGGTCCGTCGTGGACGGTTATTGTTGAGTGAAAGTTCAGGCGCATGGCCGAGGATCAGGTGTGAGGTTGAATATGTATAAACCGTGTTATCTCGGCAAAGCGTGTACAAGCGTGATCCATCTCCTCCAAATGCCATGGATGTCAGGCCGAAGCGTCGGTACTTCACGTGGCTTTCTGGCTCTTGTGTTGTAGATAACGGTATGACAGGTCGACCGCGGCGATTATTATGGGCAGTTCGCAAGTCCCAGAGGCGAACACTCGCGCTAGCCTCGGAAGCTGTGACAAATAGATTTTCGCGGCCAGGTGAGAGAAAGGCGAGAGAAGTAACAGTGATGTCGGTCCGGCCAAAGGGTGGCGCCTCGTTTTTGTCCATGGTAAGATTATTAGAGGTTGTATAGGCATGAGCACCTCGAATGGTATTTAAAACATGCGGGTATAACATCTTCGGGGGTGCAGTAGCCGGGACGTTTTCGGTTTCGGACTCAAGCGAGCATTGGACTTGCAATGCGGGCCGTTCGAATCCCTTGCAGCGAAGATCCCATATGTTGACATTTCCGTCTCGGCTGCATGTAGCGAGAACCTTATTGTTGGATGCCGGCTGGAATTGGACACGCTTAACGGAGGAAGAGTGATTCGACAAACAGTGGATGGGACGTTGTGTTGTCATATCAATGACAAGAGATGTCTGATCGCCAGATGCAGTAGCTAGTAGCATATCGTCGGAGGAGAATTCGAGGTCCATGATCGAATTCATGTGCGGACGAAACCCAAGATATGCGTCAATGAACCCATTCTCCTCGTCAATCGATGAATCTAAAAGCCGGATCCCACCCTCTTCGTCGCCCACTGCAACGAGTGAGTTTGCTTTCTATTTGTTAGCATATATGTGGAAATGACAAGTAAAACAAGACTTACTGTTGCATGAAGCATTGCAGAACGGGAGGGCCAGTGACCCATCCGATGCATAACTACCACAAGTGTGACGGTCCCGTGGTTGGGAATAGAAATCCGAAGTAAGATCTTGCCATCCTAGAGAGGGTATTAGACTCGTCTGAGAAAGTCATAAGGTATTCAAAATACCTACCAACGCCAGAATTCGATCGGAGGGTCACTTTGTTTGCTCGACCCCCGACAGTTCGCATAAACAATGCGCCAGACGTCTGCAATGCCCTTGAGCGGCGGACAGGCGCTACAGGAAGTTTTGGCTTCGGTGGGATTGGCGGTGTTGCTGCTTTGAAACAGATGTTGATGTCTGGAATTCGAACGTCTTGGTTCACATCCTCTGTCGGAGACCGGACACGAACTCTCTTCAAAGGCGAGGACTGTGGAGAGACGACCGAAGAGAACGAGTTCCTCCGTTTCCTGCTCGGGGTACGAATGAAATCTTCTGGCAAGCCATCGTGAGGGCTTCTGGTGCTGCCGGCCTTGGAGGTTCTCGAGAATGCCGGTCCTAGACGATTCACTGCAGGAGATGTCAGCGCCCGTAGGGCCTGGCGGCTGGTTGTCGGCGTGGTAGAATTATCGGCAGTCGGCAATAAAGAACGCGGGGTAAAGAATCGACGGAATGACCGGGGCGTCACAGTCGGTGGCTTTCTGGTTCTGCGGCGACCAGCGTCGGAAGAAATGGACGGTGGGGAAGAAGGTGGCTCTGGAGGAGGAAGGACAGGTTCTGACCGGCGTACTTCCGGGAGATTGAAGGCGTCCATCGTGTGTAAATAGGAAAAGAGCAGAAAGCAAAGCAAACGAAAAGAGGCTAGGAATGCATTGGTGGACCTAAACGGGCTAAAGGGGACGGTCTGGATGAATTAGGAAAGTTGGATTCTTTTTTCGTGTCGCGACGTGACGCGATCGTGTCAAGGACGGGCATTTCCCCCTCACACACACCTTGAATTGATGAACTCCTGCAATCCTGGTTAGCCCTTTCTATTTACATTTTCATACGTTTCAATTGGCTTGACTCGTTTCTTGAACTCGGGTGTTTCATCAGTATTCCGTCCCCAAAACGCGTCGAATTGCTCGCCAAGGGTTGTGCTGATGTCAACACTGCTAAATTGCACACCATGACGACTATATTGGCAACTTATTCTATCCAATGCAGATACCATAGAAGTGGACATGTCAAAGCTATAATTAACGTGGAGAATACGTAAATATTTTAATAGGTATTACTATCTGCGGGGGCTAAACCATAGCGTCCCATAGCGCACGAGCGTCTAATATACAGGGACGGGGTAGATATTAATCAGATGGATTGGAATATAACAACCACTATTTCTGTTGAAAGTAGGGCAAGGCTAAAATACTACATCTGGAACAGGGGGAGGCTGTTCAATTGTTAGAAGATATGCCAATGCCTGGACCCTTCTTGTTGTGTAAACCTCATTACCTTGGTGCTTGGTAAATATTTCCTCTCCGGCGATCCCTCCAAGCGAATGAGGTGTAACTGTAGTAATTCACAGGTCCCGATATTACAAGCCCGCTTTATGGCTATAGCATGGAGACTCTTTGATTTGCTCTAACGCGAAAGAATGGATGGAATGACAATGTTTTCACACTATTTAATGAGTGGCAATGTTGAATTTAGGCTATCTATGTGTCTATTGGAGTCTCACTCAGAGCTCAAATGCAGTCAAAGTGGCCCGATTGGCCAGTTCTGACACAGGGTTCCTGGGCAGGGGTCAGCTTGTTTGAAGCACAGAACCCATGATATGAACACCTTCACTTCCACTTGAGAGTAATCTTTGAATAAATTTTCTAGACTGCTCCGTGGCCAGTCTCCTGGCTCGAGACAGGCATAGAAGGATCTTGTAATCCCCAATCCCCATGTTCGAGCTTGTCCGCGTAGAAGCGAACAAGGAGGCCGACAGTGACTGGGCCAATGATGGTATTGAGAAGGATAGCCCAGACACCAGTGATGAAGCCCTCATCGCTAACGTATGGGGTTTTGTTATATCCGATTTCAATGATCAATAGCCCAATCTCACCGCGTGCTACCATGGCGGATCCCAAAAGCGCGGCAGCGAGCCAGGCCCGGTTCCATTTATTTTCCTTTTGCTGTTCGCCTTGTCCGACGTGGGTGGTTGGATTATCCCCCTCGAGCTTTAGCGTGTTCTGGCTTTGCTGCTGCTCATTTGGCGCCCCTTTGCTGTGGGATTGACTCCCCGAAGCGAGTTGCCATATAGGTATCCAAATTCCGACAATCCACTAGATATAATCGGTTAGCTTGGTCACCAGCAAGCGATTCATATGAAACTTTTTATACCTTTGCAAACGCCATAAGGAGGGTGAAAACCACACCTCTCCAAATCCGTTTCCCTGTCCAGAGCTTCAGGAATGGAATAGCAAACCCAATACTTGAGAAGAAGAGAGGTTCCATCAAATACTGCTGAGGTGCCAACAGATATTTTTCAAAGGTGTGCACGAAAGTAGGACTTTTATCCGCTTCACGTTCACCTTGCTCGCGACTCATGACAACAAATGGTCCTTCGGGGCGCTTGCTCGGAAGGTATGTGAGAACCACGCCCGCCAGAAAGGCACCGAAGAGGACCGATGTACCAGCAAACCCAGCGATGGCAATAAACGCCGAGAGCACAAGGATCATGAGGATGATGTTGGAAATATGGTCGAAGAGCGCAAAGTGGTATTCAATGAATGTTCGGAAAAACGGCGCGAAAATCCATTTGGTGACGATGGGAGTTACGATGGCCATGGCCATCGATGCCACGATGGGGCGTCCGATGAGCCAGCCCAGGTTGACATTGCCATCTTCTGAGAGTCGACCCAAATCGCTAATGACACTGTGCACTCAGTCAGCTTTATATACCAACCATGCCTTACTTCAAGTAGCACACCTTAGCATAACAAGTCCCGTCACATCATCGATGACCGCAGCGCTCACTAGAATTGACCCCACTCTAGTTTGAGAGAGATTGACCGAGTTAGACGCAGAGCTGATTACAGCAAAGGTAGTCCCTGTGACTCATCAGTAATTGATTTGTAGGCAATTGACCCAGGCTTTTCTTGAAGGCATAACTGAGCGACTCAAGCGGCAATAACTTACCTAGTGAGGTGGCGGAAAGAGCCGCGCCGATGATGAAAGTCTCCACTGCACCTGTCCGACATTAGCTTGACAGGCATTGGTGATGACTAGACGAGTGAGACAAACCATAACCGAAGCCAAAATAGAGCAAAAGATATGAAAGACCAATTGGGAAGCAGACGCCAGTTGCCGCGCCAATCATGCTCAAAGTGAAGTTTTGTTTCAGAAGATCCAAACGAGTTCCAAGACCGCCTAGAGTGCCATGACATCAGTGTACCGGGATTAAGAAGCCAAGACGAAAATTGTTCCGACTTACCCTCGAAAATGATCAGAATCAGACCTACATATCCGAGAGTGACAAAAGTCTCTTGCCACTTATACTCAAGGATGTTGGCCAAGGGTACACCGTAGATGATGCCGACGGCGATTTGACCTATAACCCCAGCGTGGATCACCTTCGCCGAGACCCATTTTGCAAGGGAAAGCAAAAAGAAGAAGGAAACGACGACGAGGATTTGAACCGCTGCAACGATTGATCAGTGAGGGAGTGAGCAGGCATCAATTGGGATATGCTCGAATACATACTTCCTGGTTCATGATATGGGAGGAAGCCACTGGCCATGCTGGATTTTGTGTTTAACTTTCAGAAAACGAAAATTCGAGGGAATCCCAGGTCTTAAATATCACCCACCAAAACGGTGGATACCCATGTGTTCACAGTCTAGGCAGTCTGGGCATAAGCTGGGCATGAGCTGGGCACGAGCTGGGCACCGGGAATGCAGTCGACACTGCCCACGTGGGCCGAAAACGGAGGATTACTCATCGCCCGCTGGAGCCACTGGAGAAGCACGGGGAAGCAGAAAATTACTAACTACGCCAAGACAACCGGGAAAATAACTCATGCAAAGAGCGATGAACCTGTTACTGATCTGATTTTGTCGTTGGCTCCAGACATCTCTTCGTATTTGCCCAATCCCTGACCACTGCGGCAGCTCGCGTGAAAACCAAACAGCGATCTCGGGATGCAGTCCTCCGTACCCCGTAGTCAATGCTGTATACAGCCTATATGTGAGTAGATTAGTATGTAGACACCTCTACTTTGAAGATAGATATTCTCGTCGGTTCCTAGCCTCGTTTTCTCTTTTCTTATCGAAAGACCCGTCTAGAAAGATCCGACCTATCGTCTGCATCCGCTGAGCGTCAGTTTCCATTCGAAATTTCGTTGGGCAAACAGCCGTTCCCGCTTAGGGCCTTGGCTGCATACTCAAATGCGATCGAGTTGCGAGACCAGATGATACATCGTAGATAGTCGTGGCCCTGCAACAGGTGAGCAGCCTTTGAGTTGCAGGATGATCCACAGAATAAACGAGGACAAAGTCTAGATAGTAAACTACATGAGACCATTGGCTTGGCGGAAAGCCGAGGAATTTATTATGCCAAAAGCTTGGAAGAAAGCTTGGAAGCTTATATCTCTGGATGAGGTGAAGCGAACGGCTCGTTCATATGCCAAGTTTACTGGCCACGTTCGAGTGGGCTTATGGTTTCGTCTCTGTGATCTTCGCAGAAGCATCTTGTCTAGGTCCCTCATGGGCGAATATATGCGAGACTATCATGAAATGAGCTCATTCTAGAAATCGAACTGTTAGGATTCCCTAGAAGACTCGTGTGTGGGAAAGTGGAAGCCAGAATCCGCAAGATTATCGTGTTTGGGAGCCATATGAGTTATTCATCGTGGATCAATTTCTCAACGACAAGGAAAAGGTGCGTCGTCATAAATAGGGCCCTCATCACCTATAGAGGCGGTTTCGAGGGTCGCAACTAGGCAATTGGCCTTGGCTTCAAACATCCGCTATGTTTAGCCATTGAGCTCGGCGAAGGTTCCTACCTCCCTAATATGCCCTTTGACTCAACCAGTTGATCTTTTTATCGAAATGTAGGTAACCAGTCTAAAGCCTATGGCTTCTCGTATCTGGTAGCAATACCTTAGTCTCGTTCTCGGCAGTCCCGGATTCATGATGATGCAGAGCTTCGCAAATACTTTCTACCATTTAACTGGCTCCCTATATTCAAGCGTTCATCTAGGGAATTTACTAAAAAGGTTGAACTAATAACATTTCCCAAGCCCGCCACATGTATTGATCACATAAAAACTTATCCTATCGTCTGGACTCCAGCCTTAGGCACCCGATTGAAATGATACCTAATAATCATGTAAATGCTCATGTAGAACAAATATATCCTAGTCCCAAGCGTCAGGTATTCTGACGAACAGATCCATCCCCAGTGCGATCTCTTATGCCCGTGCCCGTGCCTGTGAAGTTGACCGAGGCACTCCCACTCATCCTAGCAGAGCCACCCCGTTGACATAGACTTGGGCATTTCCGTTGGTTCCATTACCGTAGACGACTGTACTGCCATTGCCAGAGACAACGACGCGGGCACCGCGGGTGTGTATGATCATCTCCACGTTACCGATTCCCCCCACGTAGCCTCCGTGGACCTCGTCAGAGCTGTCCTCGCTAGAGCTATCTTCGCTAGAGCTACCCTCGCTATGCTCGATGCTTTCGATGTCCTCACTGTCTTCACTGTCCTCGCTATCATCGCTGACATCGCTGTCCTCTGTGTCTTCGCTGTCCTCGGTGTCCTCGGTATCCTCACTGTCAGACGATTCTTGCTGGAAATCTGGCTTCTTAGGACGTATCTCCTTCTTATAGTTCTTCATGGGCTCTTTAGGCACTCTAGAGCGTTGCTTCACAACAGCAACCGGTGGGTAGATACTCGCCAACGTCTCCTTATCAGTGTCAGAGAGCACAATATTTTCAGGGACATCCATCAGCCCGCTCTGCGTATCTCCTCTTGCGATAGCGTAGTGCATAATCGACTTTCGATCGTACGCCTTGTCCCACTTGGAGTTGACAGCGCTATGCGTATCATCGTCGTAGTTGCGGCGCACCATGTCCAATTGCCATTGATTCCGGTTCATAAGCTGGCTATAGTTCCACCTGGCCTTGCAGTGCGGGTGCTTATGCTCGTGTACCAGGCCCAATACGTGCCCAAATTCGTGGAGTACGTTGGATTGCACCTTGGAATCAGTCGCGCCCTGCGTCGGCAGTCTCGGGTGCATATCGAGCCACATGGTGGGCTGGCCTGGATAGGCCTCCCCTTGAGATCCGATATAGGCTTTGGAATGGTCCGTGAATTGGATACGAATGTCGGAGGAGTTTATGTGCCGTTCGGATAAAAACTCGAAGCGGAGGCGCATGGGAATAGAATTATAATGCCTTCTGACCAAGCGTTTTACCGTGCTCTGTTCATATTCGCCTCCGTTTAGGAAACAAACATTGAGAACATGTTTGCTAGATGACCAGAACCCGGCCGCTGGCCCTGCGCCCATCTCTTGGCTGTTTGGGGATTATCGTCGGGTTCACAACTGATAGCGACTCCTGTTGAAAAGGAGAGCTGGAGGGATCGGATAGACTTTCTCTGTCAGTGGCCAAAGGCAAAAATGAACACATGCTGGGTTGGGATAAGAGAAGTCGGACTCGGAGAGTTGATACGTTGACATCTGATGGGAGAAGGACGTCTTGACTCACAGAATAAGAATATATCAGAAGATGCTAAACGTGTAAGAGCTAGGATGTATTCAGGACGGAGATACGACTGATTTATTGTAGAATCATGGCGGAGAGGGCATGTTCAAATAGTTCTCCTCCCAGCTTGTTGTATACACCGATACCCAGTGGTAACAACACCGTGATCGCAAGTTGTCCCAAGTCGGTTAGCTATAATACGAGGCTTGTATCTGTGGCAGAAGTCCACGGGGCGGGTGTGGGTTGAGATGCAAGCCAAAGGCTATGTTATGTGTTTAAGAAGGCACTGCGGAACATGAGGCGACCACTAGCATCGCAGTTTCCGTTCCCACAAGGGCAGATGGCGCGACAAATAGATGCGATGTTGTAATTTGCCTGGGTCAAAAGATGGCCAGTCTACGTGGCTGCCCTAGCGCGCATGCAGTCAGCAAGAACGAAGTGGCAGTGTCTCGGCTGGGGTAAACAGGGCCTATAATCATACCAGGTAGATATAGGGGATTCCGGCTCGTATTTTATCAGGCGCCACATGGGCATCTAAGCCGCACTGACAACGCAATTTTGAACCCCAATCAAAAGAAAATACATTGGTAATAGCTCTCCGGGGAAGGGGGAAACCGACTTTGACATTCTTTCTAATCCGACTACACCTTTAACCACCTTGAGCCTCCTTTATAGAGCCAATTGATGATTGAATCATGTATCAATATCAGGCATATCGAATAACTCCCCCAGATACGTGATAAAGTCCATCTCTTTGACCTAATGAGCTCTCTCTATGGATTTATCAAAATCAATACTAAGTCTAGGAGTGGGGTATGTACTACGTTGGATCGAGCCAAATCCCTGAGCTCCGGGACCTTGTACAATCACTAGCAGATGCCCAATTCTTCCAGCGCCGCGCGGATATTCAATTAGAGTCGGTATGTAATAGACGCCTGTCAATCCCTCTTCTTTGGTTTTTTTACCTAAGATCCAGGCCCTTTCAAGCAGCTCTTAAATACGTTAGCGCAAGACTAAGCTATAACTAACATGAATATGGCAAGTGCAACTCAGCAAGTCTCATTGTCGTTAAAGACATTCTCGCTAGTTACTATGCCTATGAATAATGACTTCAGACAATATCAAGATTTTATAACTAGGCAAATTATACTATTTGATAGCTCTATCTTTCTATAGCAACAGGTTGCATATCCTATAGCCTGTACCTATATCTATAGATTTGATTCGGTTAAATAATATAAGCTGCTCTCGTTTATTTTTGCTGTAGTTCACGGGGAATTGCTGAGCAGATGCTGGGATACTTAGTGACTCAGTGCAGCAATACAAATTTGGCTTGGCTTGTTGCTTTTCATCTATAAGCTTGTGCTTTGTTCATGTCCTCGACTAGTTATATAGGGAAAAGAAAAGACACCAAAAAGGATAAATTGAGGACCAGTCTCACAATGATGTTAGAGACATGAGTGAATTCAATCAAGCGGTTATATTCTTTTGTAGCAGACTTCATGAAAAGAGCACAATATCACAAAAGACCCGACCCGTAAATCCTTTTGAAGCTCCATACTTCCTGGAACGATGCGGAGGCACCACCTTAGAATTCAGGCACAAATGAGCTGACTCATCACCCCATAAATATTTTTGACCGCCCCGGAGGTTCTGCCGCATCCGCGGAATTTTTTTTACCTTTCTTCTTGAGAAATCAGACCGCAATCTGCAACTGCACGATTCGGTTTTGCCTATTCAAGAATGGCGCCCATTAAGCGCAAGGGGAATGCCCCCGAAGAAAATACTTCCCGCCAACCCCAAAAACGTGCTAAGGTTGGAGCGGAGGAGGCTAAGAAAGACTACAAGAAGCCACACGATGCCACATCCAGCGCTGGGAAAGCTTCAGAGCTTTCTGTGCTGCGCGACGATGAACCCTCGTTCCCTCGTGGTGGCGCAAGCATTCTGACACCATTGGAGCGCAAACAAATTCAGATCCAGGCCAACAGAGATGTCCTGTTCGAGCAGAAAGCAATTGGAACTCAGAAACCCTCCCAGAAGAAGCCCGCCGAGGATTTGGCTGAGGACAGCGACAATGACGTTGAAATGGAGGACGAAGAGACCACTACAACAACGAAAAAGTCGCGCAAGAAGAAGTCAAAGTCCAAGAAGTCCGCGGACAAGGGAACCGATGACAAGGAAGATGTTCGCATCGAGGGTCTTAGCTTCAAGGTATGTAACGCAAAGGTTTCTTCATATGACATTACTCTAATAAATTCAGCGCATTGTACCCGGAGCCATGATTTTGGGTCAGGTCTCTAGTATCAATGCCCACGACATCGCCCTTTCACTGCCCAACAACCTTACCGGCTACGTTCCTCTCACATCCGTTTCCAAGGGTCTCGAAGACCGACTCGAGAAAATGTTGAACGATGAGGGTGAAGATGACGATGCTGAGGACAGCTCGGATGATGAGTCTTTCGATCTGAAGGATCATTTCTATCTGGGTCAATACTTGCGGGCCTACGTTGTGTCTACCGGCGTCAACCCCGCCGATCCTAAGGCCAAGAGCAAGAAGCGCATCGAGCTGTCGGTCGATCCTAGACAAGTAAACACTGGCTTCTCGAAGTCCGATCTCGTTGTGAACTCGGCTGTCCAGGCTTCCGTTGTCAGTGTGGAAGATCACGGTGTGGTCATGGACCTTGGAATTGATGGCTCAGACCTGAAGGGTTTCATGTCCTCCAAGGAGACCGATCCCCATGTGGATTATTCTAACATCAAGGAAGGATCTGTCTTCCTTTGCATGATCACTGGTCAAAACCCCAGTGGCAATGTCATCAAGCTGTCCTCTAACTTCCAGACCTCCGCCTCGATCAAGAAGTCCAACTATCTCAGCGCGGCACCCACAATCAACACTTTCCTACCCGGTACCGCGGCAGAAATTCTTCTCACGGAAGTTACAGCAAACGGCATGATTGGAAAGATCATGGGAATGCTCGACGCAACTGTCGATCTGGTCCAGTCTAGCATTAATGGCAAGGTCGACTTGGAGAGGAAATTCAAGATTGGTGCAAAGATCAAGGGTCGTATTATTTCGACTTTCCCAGCTGCTGAGCCGCTTAAGGTTGGCTTTTCTATGCTCGACCATGTGCTCAAGCTCTCTTCCGATGCCCGCGGCCCCGGTTCTGCTGATGATGCGCCTGCTATCTCAGCAATTATTCCCGAGGCCAAGGTCGTGAAGGTTGATCACGGTCTGGGTGTATATGCTCGCATTGGAGAGACCAAGCATATGGGTTTCGTTCACATGTCGCGACTCTCCGATGGCAAGGTCGAAACAGTAGATGAAAGCTCGGGAGCTTTCCAATTGGACGCTGTCCACGAGGCCAGAGTCATTGGTTACAACTCCATCGATAACCTCTACATTCTTTCATTTGAGAAGTCTGTTATCGAACAGCCCTTCCTTCGCGTCGAGGATGTGACTGTGGGAGCCATCGTTAAAGGAAAGGTGGAGAAGCTTTTGATTGGCCCCACTGGTATGGACGGATTGATTGTCAACTTAGCCGACGGAATCACTGGTCTTGTCCCTTCAATGCACTTTGCGGATACTACGCTCCAGTTCCCCGAGAAGAAGTTCCGCGAGGGTCAGAAGCTTTCTCTGCGAATCCTCTCCGTTAACCTTGAGAAGCGCCAAATTCGCTTGACTTTGAAGAAGAGCTTGCTCAACAGCCAATCTGCTATCTGGAAGGACTACAAAGACATTACTCCATCAGCTCAGTCTCCTGGTACCATTGTCAACCTCCAAAGCCATGGTGCTGTTGTTCAGTTCTACGGTGATGTCCGTGGTTTCCTTCCTGTGTCTGAGATGAGTGAAGCCTACATTCAGGATCCGGCCCAGCACTTCAAGCTCGGCCAGGTCGTTAATGTTCACGCTTTGAGCGTGGATGCATCTCTTGGCAGACTTGCTGTTTCTTGCAAGGACCCGTCGACATTCACCGAGAAGTACCGCGAGGCCTTTGAAAACCTGCACCCCGGCCACCTTGTTTCTGGTATCGTCTTCGAGAAGTCTAATGACGATGTGCTTCTCAAGCTCGATGAATCTGGCCTCGTGGCTCGTCTTGACTCCCAGCACATTATCGACGGCTCTCCCTCCAAGCAGAGCTCAATGATGAACAAGCTCCGCGTTGGACAGAAGCTGAACGACCTTTTGGTTCTCAGCATCCAGCGTGCTCACCGTCTTATCAAGGTTTCCAGCAGGGCTAGCTTGAAGAAGGCTGCCAAGCAGAACAATATGCCCGGCCAGTTCGATCAAGTGCAGGAGGGCTCCATGATCACGGGCTTCGTTCGCAACATCACACCCGATGGTGTCTTCGTTGAGTTCCTCGGCGGTCTTACTGGCTTGCTGCCTAAGCGTCTTATCGAGGACGCCAACCTGGAGCAACCTCACTACGGCTTGTCAAAGGCTCAGACCATTGTTGTCAATGTGCAGTCGGTGGATCTGGACTTCAAGCGCTTCATCCTGAGCATGAAGCCCGTTCAGGCTACCCAGGCTGCTCCCAAAAAGGCAGCCAAGCAGACTGACGAGACCGTCGCCAACCCCGTCGATAACAATATCAAGACCATGTCCGACTTCACCTTCGGCAGGATTGTTGAGTGCAAGGTTGTTTCCATCAAGGCAACCCAAGTCAACGTCCAGCTCGCAGATAACATCCATGGTCGTATCGATGTGTCTGAAGTTTTCGATGACTGGAAGGACATCAAGGATCGCAAGCAGCCCTTGCGATTCTTCAAGGCCAAGCAAACTCTCTCCGCCAGAATCCTCGGTGTCCATGATGCTCGCAACCACAAGTTCCTTCCCATCAGCCACCGCACCGGAAAGTACCCTGTGTTCGAACTTTCTCTTAAGCCAAGCTACTTGAAGGCCGCCAACCCTGCCCCTCTGAACATGGAGCAGGTCCAAGTTGGATCCTCTTGGATGGGCTTCGTCAACAACGTTGCCGATGACTGCCTCTGGGTCAACCTGTCTCCCAACGTCCGCGGCAGACTCCGCTTCATGGATGCATCAGACGATTTGTCCCTGCTGACTGATGTGGAGAAGAACTTCCCCATCGGATCTGCTCTGAAGGTTCAGGTCACCGCCGTGAACGCCGAGAAGGGCCACCTCAATCTTTCTGCTAAACAGGGTTACGATAAGCTCAACTTCGAAGATATTTCCGCTGGCATGATCTTGCCCGGTCGTGTCACCAAGGTTACTGAGCGCCAAGTCATCATGCAGCTTGGCGAGTCTCTTGTCGGTGCGGTCAACCTGATCGACCTCGCAGATGACTACTCCAAGGCCAATCCCACCGTGCACGACAAGAACGAGGTTCTCCGCACTTGTGTCATCGCCGTTGATAAGGCTACCAAGAAGATTGCCTTGTCGCTCCGCCCCTCCAAGGTTCTCAGCTCCTCTCTCCCTGTCCAGGATCGTGAGATCACTTCACTCAAGGAGGTCAAGCCCAACGATATCATTCGTGGTTTCGTCCGCCGAGTCACTGATTCCGGTCTCTTTGTGGCTGTCAGCAACGATATCACCGCCTACGTCCGCGTCTCCGATCTCTCTGATTCGTATCTCAAGGAATGGAAAGACTCTTTCCAGCCTGACCAGCTCGTTAAGGGCAAGGTCACTTTCGTTGACGCCGAGCAAGGCAAGCTTCAAATGAGCTTGAAGGAGTCTGTTTTGGACCCCAACTTCAAGGCCCCTCTCACCCTTAAGGATCTCAGCGTTGGCCAGGTTGTCACCGGAAAGATTCGCAAGGTTGAGGAGTTTGGTGCTTTCATTGTCATTGACGGATCTTCAAACCTCAGTGGTCTCTGCCACCGCAGTGAGATGGCTGATAAGCGTGTCGAAGACGCCCGCAAATTGTACGATGCAGGTGATGCTGTGAAGGCCAAGGTCATCAAGATTGACCTTGAGTCCAAGAAGATCTCATTCTCCCTCAAGGCTTCTCACTTCCAGACCGAAGAAGAGGAGAGTGATGATGAGGACAGCATGAGCATCGATGGCCTTGGCGGTGTCGAACTCGGCGAGAACGACAGTGACGATGAAGATGATGATGAGTCCATGGGAGGCGTTGACGTGGAAGATGACAGTGAAGAAGAAGATGAGGAGGAGGATTCCGAGGACGATGAAGAAGTCACAATCCAGAAGCCCAGCAAGGCTGGCGGTCTCGGTGCGAGCGGCTTCGACTGGAGCGGCACCGCCAAGGACGACGATGCTGCACGTTCTGACAGCGACGATGAGGATTCCAAAAAGAAGAAGAAGAAGAACCGCAAGCCTGAGATCCAGGTCGACCGGACCGGTGACTTGGACGCCAATGGCCCTCAGTCCGTTGCCGACTTCGAGCGACTCCTTCTGGGTGAGCCTGATTCCTCGCTGTTGTGGCTGCAGTACATGGCCTTCCAGCTGGAGTTGGGCGAGATCGAGAAGGCCCGCGCCATTGCTGAGCGTGCCTTGCGCACCATCACCATGGGCCAGGATGCCGAGAAGCTGAACATCTGGGTTGCGCTGCTGAACATGGAGAACACCTATGGTGACGACGACAGCCTCGAGGAGGTCTTCAAGCGTGCTTGCCAGTACAACGAGCCCCAGGAGATCTACGAGCGTATGATCAGTATCTACATCCAATCTGGCAAGAACCAGGTATGTGTCATCTCTTTCGGATTTTATTTCCACGGATACTAACTATTTCACAGAAAGCAAGCGATCTCTTCTACGCCGCCCTCAAGAAGAAGATTTCTTCCCAGTCCCCCAAGTTCTTCTACAACTACGCCAGCTTCCTCTTCGACACCATGGCTTCCCCCGACCGCGCTCGTGCTCTACTCCCCCGCGCCCTGCAGTCCCTCCCTGCCCACACTCACGTCGAGACGACCTCCAAGTTTGCTCAGCTGGAGTTCCGCTCCGCCAACGGAGACGTCGAGCGTGGTCGTACCGTCTTCGAGGGTCTCCTGTCCTCGTTCCCCAAGCGTATTGACTTGTGGAACATTCTCTTGGATCTGGAGATCAAGGTCGGCGATGCGGAGCAAGTGCGCCGTCTCTTTGAGCGGGTCCTTGGCTTGCAGAGCGGCAAGAAGGGTCCCGTCAGCATTGATGCTAGCAAGAAGCTCAAGCCCAAGCAAGCTCGCTTCCTCTTCAAGAAGTGGCTTGCCTTTGAGGAGAAGCTTGCCGCAGAGAATGGCGATGAAAAGATGGTTGAGGAAGTCAAGGCACGGGCTGTGACCTACGTCAAGTCCCTGAAAGAGGATGAGTAAATTCTTCTATATAAAAAAAGGTGTGTTCGTCTGAACCCGTGGGTGTTTGGGGGCATTTGCATTCTTTGAATTTGTACATGTACATAGATAGCGACTCAGGAAATATCTCTCTTTTTTGTTAATTTCTGTTCCATGCTGTAGTGGACCTACCTACATGGACCTATATGAAGGGAAGTAGATACCTCACACCGGTAGTCCCCTGTCCACTCGTAGCTCCGTCGCCCAATGCAGTCCGGAGGATATAAGCAGCCAGAGTTTCCGCACGTGGAGTCTTGACCGTGAAACGAATTGACGGTGACCATGGACCCAATCAGTTCCGTTGCCTCCGCATCATGGCTGCCTCAGAACCTCGCACAGGGTTTCTCTTGGTCTTTATAATCCTTTCTCTGTCCGCTACTTCCAGTTCTTTCCTTTTGCCATCTGTTGGGTATGTTGTGTCTTTTGAGTGTTTGGGAGTCTTTTGCAGCGAAAATGAGCTCATTTCGGTCTTCTCAGAGCAGCTCCATGTCGAGTCTGCACTTCGATCCTTACAGAGACTCACTATATGCAGATGATTCGAAGGTCAATGGCCCTGTTGACTCCGTTGACCGGGTGGGGTATCCGGCCCGCTCATGGCATCAGGTCTGGAAAGCCTTGGCTTGGTCTTCGACATCGCCCGGTGCATTAACATCGAACACATCTAAACCCAAGTCTCGTCGTGCGCGATACTGTCAAGGGCTACTAAGCATTCTTTTCGTCATATTGATCATGCTGTAAGTTGAAGTCTAACTATACGAGGCATGTTTCTATAAAGAAGCGCTAACTGACCTATCACCGATAACAGAGGCATCATCCAATTTATCTCCATCACCTGCGGCATCGTCCTCTCGTTCTTCCCAGATGAATACGACCGCGCTGTTCATAACTGGCTATCAAGCTCTGAAACCGTGAATATCGCGGGAAACAACCACTGGCCTACCGATATCTCGCGCGATATCATCCCCGTCGGCTGTCACTCCCATAACGACTACTGGCGCCGGGTGCCACTCTACTCCGCGCTGCAAGCAGGATGCACAGGCGTCGAGGCCGACGTCTGGCTCTTCGACGATGAACTCTACGTCGGACACACCAGCTCGTCCCTCACAGAGCACCTGACCCTACGATCCATGTACATCGACCCGCTAGTGACCATCCTCGAGCGCCAGAACCCAATCTCCAAATTCCACCCGGGCATCGAAAGCCCCGCACACGGCGTCTTCGACACAGACCCGTCTCAAAGCTTAATTCTTCTAATCGACTTCAAGACCACCGGTCCGGCAACATGGCACGCCGTGACGAAGCACCTCTCTCCGCTCCGTGACCGCGGCTACTTAACCCACTTCAACGGCGAAGAGATAATCCAAGGCCCGATCACCGTGGTCGGAACGGGCAATACACCCTTCGATCTTGTCACCGCCAACACGCAATACCGGGACATCTTCTTCGATGCCCCACTCGACAAGCTTGTCGATGACGACCAGCCAGACAACTCCCAGCCAGGCGCACGGTCTCCCGTCACACGCACAGATCTTGGTCAAGGCCAGTCAGGCATGCCGGAGACTATCATGGCAAACACCTTCAACAACACGAACAGCTTCTACGCCTCCGTCTCCTTCAAAAAGGCAATCGGACATCCCTGGCCCTTCCACTTCACGCAAAGCCAGATGAACCGCATCCGCAGCCAGGTGCGTATTGCACACCAGAATGGATTGAAAGTGCGTTACTGGGCGCTGCCAAGCTGGCCGCGTAGTCTGCGGAACCATGTCTGGCGGGTCCTTGCGCAAGAAGGAGTGGATATGCTTAACGTTGATGATCTGGTTGGTGCTACGAAGGGGGATTGGAATACGGGCATCTTCAACTGGTGGCCGTGATATCTACATGATACATAAGTGGTATCGTTTTGCTTTTTTCTTACATTTTATGGGATATGGAATCATGCAATGGATGAGGCTGGCGTTTGAGCTTGGGGTTGTGATTTATGATACCTCGGCTGCTCTTTGATGTTCATGCCTTTTGTTTGATATAGACTACTTGCTTCGGATTTGCGATGTTGCTTTACATCTGATATCAAAAATGCAGATTCTGGGATATTGATACTGATGCTACTGAGAGAATGACAAAGTAAGAGTACGAGCAATTCTGCGATTCGGAATCGCTGCAATCATAAATCATATTTTGGTCTCTGTCGCTTTTAGCGCAGAAGTGAAAATGCCCTTTTCATATTCTGAACCGTCTGAATGCTGTTGATAGCAGACAGCCCGCCATTGACGCCATGCTTGTAAAATCAAATTAACCACATGCATAGAGCAAAGAAGTAAATATAGAGTCTCGGTCCCAAGGGGACCTTAGCAATCATTATAAGAAACGGCCCTCGACCAGCGGAGAGCCTCTCAACGCCTACAGAACACATCAAGCGAAGACATTTCGAGAACTTATAAACAGAAGAGCGCTTCTTCGCCGAACTCCCGGGCGACACTCCCCTCTTCACGAATAAGTCCGCCAAGCCAGTGCTTAGCAGTCTCGAAGTCCTTGGCACCGAACTTGACAAGCACGAACCCAGCGCGCACGCGTGCCGCAGTCCAAGTAACAGCACCCTGCAGGCTAAGCGAGGGCTCCGGCACCGACGGCGCATGGTCCGACCAATTACGGCCTCCAATCCGAGGCTGCGACTGGAACTGATGCAGAAAGAAGGACCCAAGAGCCTCGAAGACCGGACCAGAGAGAATAAGCGTGCCGACGACACCGTGCGGTCGCGTGCGCTCCGCGATGAGGTTCAGCGGTGTCAGCCCGGCGGGCGCCTGTGGAGGCAAATCGGCGCGGTTCGCTAAGCCGTTCTGCATATTGCGGTTCGTGCTCTCGACCTCGTCTTCGGACATATCTGAGTCGTCGAGGTCTTCGGACTCATCGTCTAGGATGACCGAGTCCCGCAGTAGGAGACGGCTTTTGCCTGTTTTCTCGTCTTCGGCCCAGACTTCGTTGCGGCCGCGCCAGAAGCGGAAGTTCCAGTTCTCGCCGCGCGAGGTCCGGCCTTGCGTTACCCAGTCCAGGACGCAGAGACTGCTGCGCTGGTCGCCTTTGGCGCTGGCGTCCACGGTGAAGGTTTGTACTTGGGCGTAGCGGCTGTGTTGGAAGGGGACTGAGGGGTCGGGGAGGTAGCAGAGGGCTGCTTGGCGGCCGATGTGAACGTCGAGGGATTGTTGGCTCATGTCGGAGAGGTGTGCGTTGGCGGGCATTTGTTTGCGGTGGCCTTTAATGACGTTTGGGCTGGTGCCGCAGTTATTTGGGTCTGTTTTGAAGATCTTGGTGCTTCCTTGTGGGGTTGTTACGACCATTCGCGTCCGCGGCTCTAGTTTGATGGATACTTCGATGTGATCGCCGGGTAGCAGCCCGCCGCCGTAGGTTAGGAGGTAGAGATGGACCGGGTGGGAGGGACATGTGTCTGATAAGCCGGCGGGGTCTGGGGTTGGAGTAAAACCGCCGGTGCGCGGGACCAATTTCAATGGATATTTGTAGGTGAGGGTTGTTAGGGTCGGATTGTTTGGTGGGAGGAGGGAGAGGACGACTTTGCCCTGCCCCGGCTTCGCAATGGAAGACTGAAAGGGCGAGGGGATTGGCATTGCTGGTTGTCGCATGACGGAGATGAAGATAGTAGATAAGCGTGGCGGTCGGGTGTTAATAGAGGCGCGAGATGAGAGTCGAGGAAGCTCTGAAAGCCTATGTTGTTTATGTTGAGTCGTGAAACCGGACTGCCATGACCTCAGAAACAGCGATTACCCCGGAGTTGAGAGGGGCGACTTGGTATATAAGCTCCGGAGAAGTGACGATTGTCCTTAGTCACGAACCCACCTTTTCCAGCGCCCATGCTCAAGGGGATATCCCAACGACTAGTTCTTGGCTCCCAGGCTAAAAGAGCAATGACACCGGGCATAACTGCGACATAATTGGGACGTCGCAGAAAATAAACGGTGGTCGATATTTCTATGACACAGAGTATCTCCGTATTGGCGTGAGACTGGTGGTGGTTACCTCTTGGCGACGCACTCGCTATGTCATTTGATCTACATGGCTCATTTCTGTCGACAGCAGAGTCGGACAAGCGGGTGAAGATCAGTCTGGGCATTCGAGATCAAAAGAAGATCATGGGACCTGCCAAAACACAGGCCCGTCGATATACATTGAGGTACCTAGGTAGGTAGCTCCGGAGAACATGCCGTATAATATTACCTACTCCGTACAACGTAGACGTCGGAGCAACAAACAAACGTTCCGGAAAGGCAAGACCCATCGCCAGCTGGACTGCTTCCTCGCGACCAATTGGGGTGTTTGAGAGCGCTTGGGGATCGACGTGATTTTGTAGATCCGATGCAATGGTGGCCAGATATCTAAGGCAGCCTATGCATCTCTGACGAGACGGTGCATATCGAAGGCTCCAGCAATACGCACCAGATCAATGATCTGCTGGGAGAGGTCAGATGCAGGTGGAAATGAAAGATCGTCTGTCGGATTTCTCTCACAAGCTCCCTCAAACATGTGCAAAGTACTCCGTACACTGTATAGCTCGATGTAGTTTCTCGAGTGCCATGAAACTATACCAAGTCCTTGGCCTTGATTTGATTGGCAAACCCCTGCAGCTTTCAAGAATCTAATTGGGACAAGCGACACACCGGCCAAGCTTTAAATGCTCCGTGATTTGTCGGCTTATTTTTCTGATTATCATCACCTAGAAACGAGATAAAGCAGAACCAGGAGGCGCAGAAAGTGAGATATTGACTTGCTGAGACCTGTAATTCAACCTGCAATTCAACCTGCAAAGCCCTGTTCAATGAGATAGCTATGCAGGGTACGGAGTATTGGCTAAGATACTGACACTGAATGTTGATTGTGGAGAGCGATGAAAGGCATGTACATATATAGACACCTTAGGTACAAGGCATAAAAACCTCGTGGCCTTGGTTAGGTAATTTAGGCAACCTCAGGCCTCAAGGCACGATGTCGCGTCTCCCCCACGCTGAGACTCAGTCCGCCTTCTGCCCAAGTGCGTTCATTTGATTGATTTAGTCTCAACGCGGCCAGAGCGTGTGCCGCTAGAATTCCACTTATCGAATTACAGACTAACTTCTCATCCCCCAACATTGGCTTGCTTCGTCGCACCAAACCCGCGCGTTGCACGAGCGCGTCTCCCGACCTAATTGCGGCAACACTTACGAACTTTGCTCAAGGTCATTGATCTGAGTAGCAGGCCTATCTCTCTGATCGCATACTCATCTCAAACTCTAATCTCAAATCATGGACATTGACAACCCACCGCTATCAAGCCCCGGTGGCCTGTCATCAACCCCCGCCGAAGACCGACGCAAATCCGGTCGACAGACGCGACGACCCGAGATCTTCTCACAGAGCACGCATTCTGCTGAAGATAATGCCACCGGCGGAAAGCGCAAGCGGGGCGAAGCGCATGAGGATGGCGATGAAGACGCGTCCGAGTCCGACAGTGATGATGCCGGCGACGAGACTGACGAGGAGGAATTGAAAGAAAAGCGACGTGCTGCCCGTCGAACTGGTGCAAAAAAGCCCAAGTCGAAGCCCAAGGCCAAGGCATCGCACGCTTCTAAGAAACCCAAGGTCGCGAGCAACGGATTAGGGAGACAGCTTGCCTTCCGGCCAGCTAGCAATGGCCGACTGCCCGCCGCTCGTTCTCGAAAGCCGAAAGTTCGACCTAGTCTGGCTGCTGGAGAGCGTGGATTATTCGGTGAGTGATATCATTCCTTGTATATGCGCATTGGACCTTGCGGCTGATATCAGAGTTAGCGGAGGTCTTTGGGAAAAGCAGCAACCCCGATACAGTGGCCGCTCAGTGGCTTTCTCAATACCAGCGGAACAATGGAGAAGCTATGCGGGATCTCGTTAACTTCATCTTAAGATGTACAGGAACCGATCTGGAGATCGACAATGATGAAGTGGAAGATATCGACAATGCCCCGGGCCGAATTGAAGATCTGCAGAACCTCTACCAGGCAGAAGGGATCACCGAATACCCTATTATCTCCAAAGCCAAGAAGTTCAGGGCGTTCCCTGTTCTTCTCGAAGAGTTCACCGTCGCACTGATCCAAACTTTCCATGCCTCTTCCATCCTGTACACCGATGATACCCTGCTCGAAAATATTCAGATCTGGATCTCCTCTATGTCCACATCACAATGCCGACCATTCCGACATACGGCAACTATGATCTCCCTCGCAATCATGAATGCTCTGTGTGATATTGCACGCGAGGTGACGACAAGCGTATCTACTTCCCGGAAACAACTCGAGAGTGAGAAGAAAAAGAAGAACGTGAACAAGGGTCGCGTGGAAGCCATTCAAACTGCTGTGTCCGAGGGCGAGCAAAAGGTAGAGCGACTAGATGAGTTCCTGCAGGACGGATTCGATACTGTGTTTGTCCATCGATATCGAGATATTGACGGTCAGATTCGCGCCGAGTGTCTGACAGCTCTTGGCGGGTGGATCCGCACTTACCGGGAAATGTTCTTTGAGGGCCAGTATCTGCGATACCTGGGATGGACCCTTGCCGATGTTGTTGCGCAGACCAGACTTGTTACCTTGACTGAACTTTTGAGTCTATATGAGAACCGAGACAACCTTGCTGGTTTGCACTCGTTCACTGAGCGCTTCCGGCAGCGAATTGTGGAGATTGCTGCCCAAGATGCTGATGTTTCCGTGCGTATGGTTGCGGTGGAGCTGCTTAGCCACCTCCGTGAAGGAGGCCTGCTCGAGCCAAATGATATTGATGCGATCGGCCGGCTAGTGTTTGATCTGGATCCCAGAATCCGGAAAACAGCTGGACGTTTCTTTGTTTCCAATGTTCAAGATGCCTATGATGCTGCCACAGAGGAAGTGGGAGAGGAGATCGCCGACTTACTGGCTGATGACGATGAAGACGATTACGAATCACCCAAGCATTCATGGATCAAGTTCAAATGCCTCGCCGATCTGTTCCAGGCCTACGATGGACAGCAATCCGAACAAGAGTCCGAGCCAATGTCGCGTGGCACACTGCTGGGAGTAGCTGTAGAGTCCCGCTTTGCTCTCGCGACTGAGGCTGTCTTCCCTCACATGGAAGAGCTTGCTCAATGGCCGTCCCTGGCTGGTTATCTGCTTTATGATCACTCTCAAATCGTCGATGAGCCATCTGAAGATGACACTGCAGGAGTTGTTAAAAACATGTACAAAATGCAAGAGGGGCAGGAATCTATCCTTCTGGAGGTGCTGTGCGCCGCAGTCAAGCTTCGCGTCCTCGATGTCGCGAAGTCTGATATTGATAAGCGTGGGCGCAAGGTCAAAGCTCTGACAGCCAAAATATCAGAACTTCAAGAGGAGATCTCCCATAACCTCGCCCAGATCATTCCCCGGCTTCTTAACAAGTTCGGCTCCACGCCAGAAGCTGCTTCTGTTGTCTTGAGACTGGAGCACCTTGTGGACTTGGATACAATCCAGGATCTCCAAAAGGATGCTACAGCTTATTCCTCCTTGCTCAATGATATTAACAAACAATTCTTGACTCATTCGGACCAAGACGTTCTGGCTGAGGCCAGTGTGGCTTTCTTGCATGCCAAGAGCTCCGAAGAGATGCGAGAGGCATTGGAAAGCAAGATCCAGGAGCTATGGGATGACATTGTGGAAGCACTGGCTGCTCTATCTCGGAAGAAAGGCGTTCAGGAAGGCGGCTCGATATCTGATCCAACTCTCACCGATTTAACCAACACTGTTTCTCGAATTTCAAACCTCGCCGGTATCACAGATTGCGCCGCCATTCTTGAGACTGTACCTAACGCACGCTCGAAATCCAAGAAGGACATCCCGGAAGCCCCATTCAACATCCTCATCCGTCTTGCCGAGCGTGGTCTGCGCAGTGAAGATGACGACGAGGACACCGCCAAGGCAGAGATTGAGTTGGTATCAAGCAGTATTCGGACATTGCTTTTCTATTTCATGTGGAAGGTGCAGGCGCTCTCCACAGCTTTGAATGACGGAAAGGCTTCATTCAACACCTCCTACTTCGAAGCACTTACGAAGAGCCGCGAGACCTTCGCCGCCACACTGGTTGAAATCATGGAGAAGCGCTCCGGCCTAGATGATCTCCGGTTCACAGCAACCACCACGTACCTGGATCTGCAAACCCTCTTCAGCACACTCCGCAACATCGGTCAAGGCAACGGCAACGACGAAGACGTCCTATTCCAAACCCAAAGCCTGGTCCATGAAATCAGTCCCGATACCCAAGCACTCATCACAAAGATCCACGGTATCGCCGAACGCACATCCGCCAAGAAAGCAAGGCTCAACCTCGAGCCTGCAGACGACGATGCCCCAGCCTCGGAAGACGAGCTCGACTCTGAAGATGAAGACAGCGATTCCGAAGACGAAGCAGTCACTAACGACCGTCTCCGCAACAGCATCATTGCCGAACAACGCTTGTGCGAGCTGACAGGCAAACTCGTCCTCGCCATTATCGCCCGTATCATCGACGCCTCCGGCTCCAAGCGCGGCGACCTGAAGAAGCGTCTCCTTCGTAATAAGACCGCTCTCGGCCACAACTACCGCGAGGTCCTCTCTTACCTCGAGGAGCGCAAGCCTCGTCCGTCTCGCGCCAAGGGAAAGCAGCCCGCCAAGCCTACCACTTCACCTACTAAAGGCTCCAAGTCTGCTGACCACGTTGTCGATGACGATGAGCGCGAGCACTCAGAGCCCGTAGAAGAAGACGAAGACGAGGATCTGCGCGCACGCGGACTCATTGAGGAGGACAATGAACATGAGAACGGTGACGAGGACGAGGAGCTCACCCCCGTTCCTGAAGGAGATGAGGATGAGATAATGGGCGACTGACTTAATCCGCCTGCTTGACGTTAACAATGTGTATCTGGACAAAATCGTCTTTTCTTTTTCCCTTATTGTTAGGAAGGTTGATTTATTATTTTTTCTTGTTTACTTTTCCCTCTCTTTCTAACTTATGGCTCATGGCTTGAATTGACTGTATCTCTCTTCTTTGCTCTTGTGTGTGGATATGGGCCTCTTTTCAACCTGTATCTTATACACTTCTTTCTGGTCTTTGCTTTGCTGCTTTGCTGGCTTGATTTAAATCTATTCCCCTCTGATCTTTACTGTACTTTTTGGATACGTGAATTGAATTGTAGTACATGAAGACAGAACTCGGCATGTTATCATTAGTAGGCTTGAGTTGTGCTTCATCTTAGGGACTAGCTAACCTGGAAGTGCCTACACAATGAACAATACCAAGCAGCGGATGAATGCAAGCGCAGTATCTCGTCTAGATCTTAAATAAAGTGTATGAACGGTGCTGGGAAATCGAATATTACTAGGATACAACTACAGAAAGAACAAGGTTGATCGAGTAAAACTTGAGATTTTTCCTGGCGAAGTTCAAAGTGTACCACGAGAATAACGCAATAACATTTTCAGGGGCATGATTTGACCAGATTGTGAGCAATGTACAGCGATGTACAAGGCAAAGGTGCCATCACATACCCCTGTTGCCAGTGAGCGAGGAAGAAATTCCTGCACGGGAGACCAATGCCCCATTAGGGAACATTAGGCCAGTGGACATTAACGTAGCTGGAGAGAGAAAACCGATCCTGCAAACAAATACGCCTGTGTATGAGGATGCTAAAGGGGTGGGGGAGGGGATACATGATGGTGAATCTTGTTTATCGTGAAATCAAAAAAAGAAGAAGAAAGGGGAAGTGAAATTCGTGACAAGAAAGGATGAGGGAATCAAATGAGTACCAGGCACTGTTGAGACGCAACGCCAAACCGAGAAAGAGCTTGGTCGAAGCGCACAAGAGGCATCGAAGCTGTGTGCGAGCCGTCTGGCCTCTCGAAGCCGGTGGTGCCCGCGCAAGCAAGGATATGCTTAGCGCAGCTTCGAAGTTCGGTTAAAATAGAAGAGATACAAGCAAGGAGATTGGACATGAGAGAAACCCGATTTGGCTTCTTTACATGTCCATGGTATCACCACCGTTGCCGAAGTTGAAGCCGCCAGGTTGCTGGGGGCCAGTGCCAAGAGCGAATCCGGTCTGGGTCTGCTGGGGAGCAAGCTCCTCAATATCACCGCCAGCCTCATCCTCATCGGAGAAGTACTTCTCGATGATGTTGTAGGCCTTCATGTAGATCTCCTCATTGGCGTTGTTCTGGCAATCGTGGATCTTCTCCATACCACCGGCCTCTTCGATGAAGAGAGCGTAGCGGTTGACACGAGCCTCACCAGCCTGGCCAGCCTCCTTGTCCATGTCTCCAACCTTGAGAATGTTCTCAAGGCCATCCAGAGCAACCTGGATGATCTTGTTGTCAGGGCAGGCCAAGAGGTCACACAGGGGCTTGATGCATCCTTGAGAAACAAGGTAGCGGATCTGCTCGGGCTTCTGGAGACCACCGGAAGTAGCGTTGGAGATAGCCCAGCAAGCCTCCTTGCGGGTCTTGAAGTCGCCATTGGCAAGCAGGTTGATAAGGGGAGCAATGATGCCAGCGTCGATGACAGCCTGGATCTGGCTGGAGTTACCGGCAGTAACGTTGGAAATGGTCCAGCAAGCCTCCTTGCGAATACCATCCTTGGTAGAGCTCAGGAGGGAAAGCAGGGCAGGCAGGGAGCCACAGTTGATGATAACTTGAGTCTGAACGTCATCACCAGTGACGATGTTACCCACGGAGCGAAGGGCGGGGGTCTGGACAGAGGTAGAGGCGTGCATAAGAAGCTCCACCAGGCGACGGGGGATACCAGCCTCAATGACAGCCTGGATCTTGTCGTTGGCACCATCGGACAAATAAGAGATAGCCCAGCAAGCGTCGATAAGGACCTCATCGTCCAGCATGTAAATGAGCTTGGCGAGGACGGGAAGGGCAGGGGCAATGGTGTTCCAGTCGGGCTGGGGGGTCTTGCCACGGCAGAAGTTGCTGAGGGTCCAGGTAGCGTTGCGGAGCATGCTGAGCTTGCGGCCATCGTTGATAAGGTTCAGGAGGGGGCGGAGAGCACCAGCGCCCAGAACGAAGTCACGGCAGTGAGGGCTGTCACCAGCAATGTTTCCAAGGGCCCAGACGGCCTGTTCGCGAACATCGGGCTCAGGGCTGCTGAGCAACTCGACGAAGATAGGGACGGCACCAGCCTCGATGACAACCTGGGTCTGTTGGGCGGAACCGGAGGCAATGTTGGTCAAAGCCCAGGCAGACTCAAACTGGACCAGGGTGTGAGGCGAGCGAAGGAACTCGACGAAACGAGCAACGACACCGGTCTCGATGACACGCTCGATAGGAGGGTTGCGCTCCTTAGAAAGCAATTTGCGGAACTTAGTGGTGGCCTGGATCTGCTCCTCAACCTGGTCGGAGAAAACTCCCTTGACCATCAAAGGAAGCTCGACATTGAGCTATAATATCCATTACGTTAGCATTATATTTTTTTCACGATGTTTTTACTGCAGTGGGGCATGGGCTCCAAACCCGAGTTTGGAGGGGCTTCGTGGGCCATGGCAACAGGGCGGTGAAAAAAATTCCTTGTTGATGATCGCATCATGAAAACAAAGAAAATCTCAGAGCCAGGGGATGGTCAACCACACGATACGAATGTTCAACTCGAACCCCGCGTAGGATGAAACAAACTCAAAGGATCAAAGAAATTTCCAAAACCTACCTCACTCTCAATAGCACTGGCCTCGTCGTCACTCTCAGTGGCGGCAGCCATGCCACCAACACCGATTCCACCATCCCGAGTTGAGATACCACGTCTCTTAGCCAAGTTGTCCTCACGCTTCTGCTTGCGAATCTCGACCTGCTGTTCTTCACGGCGGCGGCGGAGCTCATCGGGCTTGAACTGGTTCTTGGCCTTGAACTGCGTCCGGCGGTGCTCGGGGATATAACGTTCCGCCATGATGAAAAATGTAAAGAAGAAAACGAAGCGCGCCGCGGGAATCAGAGATGTAGTGAGTGATGTGAAATGGGCGCGCCGGAGGGAAGATGGAAAGTAGGAAGAAGAAGAGAGAGGTGATGTGGGGGGAAGAAGACTTGTGTGGGAGGGGAAACGATGCTATCACGTGATGTCTGTTTTCATTTGCACTGGGCAACAATGATCTCTTTCTATTAAAATCATCTTCCTTCTTTTAGTATGTTGTCAGAGTAATTGCTCTAGAATGGATGTGCATTGATCAAAAAGTGTGTGTTTTTGAACTAGTCTCCTATGATATCTCGGCCCCGGGAGCTCGCAGGGCTGTCAATCTAACATCTTCCCATCAACGAAAACCATGGCCTCAGGTGGTCTAGTGGACATTCACACGGCTTGTACTTCACGAGGAAACTTCAATGTCCTAGGCGTGGTGGTTGATACTCTTCCGCTCTATCGGACCAGAGGCTCATCGGCATGCATCACATTTACCATCAAAGACACCGATTTTGATGGACCAACCTGGCAAGGAGGTCTCAAAGTCAAATACTTTAATGATGACGACAGCTGTCTTCCCAATGTCCGAGTTAACGATGTAGTTCTGCTACATAACATCAGGGTAAGCATATTTGGATGAATGAGGCATCTGTGGCAAACTAATACGATTTAGGTGACCATCTATCAAAATAAGCCCACGGGAGTTGTATCCCAGCAAGATAGTGTTTTATGGGCTGTTTTTCGACCCGATCCCAACCCGAGTTCTAGCCCTTTCATCACTTGTGGCCCGGTTCATTGGGAGCCGACTTTGAAAGAAAAGGATCAGGCTCAATCACTCCTGGACCGCGTATCTCCGGGGGTATCCTCTGTGCAACCGACCACGTCGCGCAGTGCACCCGCCTTCACAAGACCTCAACATGTTCAGGCTGCACCTTCGGCTACAAAGTATGGAGGCTTGCCCTATATCAATATTGAAGCTGCCAAACCTCGCCTTCTATGCCAATTGCTGGGCCAAGTTGTGCAGCTCTACACCCTTGACAGCGAAAAGTGCACGCTACACATGACTGATTATACTGCAAATGGGGACCTAACCAATCACAAAAAGCCCGGAGACGATGATGAGGACTCAGGACCCGAGGGCGACCGATTCGGTTATGTATCGAAGAAGAAGGATTGGCCAGGCCCATGGGGCAAATTGACCATCCAAGTAACTTTATGGGAGCCGCACGCGACCTATGCCAGAGAACACCTCAAGCCGGGTGATATCGCTCTACTGACGTATGTCCGTATCAAAGAAACTCGTGGCTTGGAAGCTGCCGTTCACGAAGACAGGCGAGATCCCGAGAAGATCCACGTCCATATAGTTCATGATGATAATGACGAGCGTGTCCAAGCCCTAATGGAACGTCGGGCGCAATATTGGAAAATCCATGGGGAACCTAAGGCAGATACCAAAAAACCCAAAAAGCGTAATAAGAAGGCCGAGCAGAAGAAGGAGGTTCGAAAAGAAGAAGGCCAGCTTTTGTTGCCAGCAGTGTCCCGAATCAAGATGAACCCCAATGGTGAGTCAATTCCCTGCCATGGAGTATCCTGGCTGATAAATTTTCAGTGAAAGCAAGAGATTACACTGTACCTACTCTGCCTCTCGAAAAGATCTTGCTGGCAGAGACCCACAAGAACAATGCTCCGGGGGTATTGTCTATCAATTGCCCTTTCAAAACGTCAATTATCGCTCCCAACTTCGTGTTGTCGACTTCTTCCCCCCAATGATAGAGGACTTTGCTGTGCAGCGCAGTTCTTCTTCTCCTGTATTCTCGGGTCAAAGTCATGGCAGCAATCCTAAATATGGCTGGGAATGGCGATTCTGCCTCCTCGTGGAGGGGGTCGAACCCAAAGCCTCCGAAGAACTCCCCCGACAGGTGACGAAGCTCTATGTGTGCGGCCAGGATGGCGATTGTCTTCTGAACGATGATGCAATTGATCTCCGAAGTAATTCGAAAAAAGCAACTGAGATCAAAGAAAAGCTCTTCATCCTATGGGGCGATCTCGAGGAAAAGAAATCAAAAGCTAGGGCTTCTGGCCAACAAAGTTGGGGGCAAGTAAGATCTCGCCCGTTCGAGTGCTGCATCAAGGAATACGGCGTGCGGTGCACCCATAGCAAAGACCCCAATGCTATGGACATCGATGGCGATGTGTGCAGCTACCCAGGCTGCTTTGGATGGGAGAGACGTTTTGCTATGTTCGGCACTACCATCCACACATGAAGTGTATGTTGTTCGAGTCTTGTAGCACTATCAATCCCGAAGTTCAGATACCCCTAAATAAGATATGAATTGATTCTTTATACTAATACAATTTAAAAATCCGAACCAATAGAATAAATAGTCGAGTCTTTTGCGCCCGGATACATCTTTATCGCATAGAAAAGGACAAGGTTGAATTTCACTGTATTGCAAACCTGCTCCCATGCAGCCGTCCATAACGCCCGAATGATCGAAATTTTGATATTATCAAGGGTGCTTCCGATGAACCTGTGCCCCGTGAAAGCTCAAATCCGGCCACGCTGAACTCAATAGACAATATTTTAGAATCCTTTTTGTAAGGCGTAAGGGCCAGGGCCCAAATGAAAATGAGAATGGCGAAACAGCCTCTCAGATTTTCGTAACTTTCACAATGTTTGTGTCAATACCATGCGCGATAGGCTCAAAGCGGCAGGTATCGCCTCGGAAGCAAGTCTTTTTACCAGGCTCACTCTGAGGGCAACGATGGCCATAGATACACTCAACGTCATCGCATTCTAGACCAAAGCGACATGGTGTCATGCGGGCAATAGCGGACAAAATGTGCAGGTCTTGGCGGGACAATTTGCGATCATGGTCATGATAGCAATTTTCTTCATTAGGGCATTCGCCGAGCAAGAAGTGATAGTTGCACAGCTTGAGCTTCTTCAATTTGTTAAGGTCGTCACGAGGGATGCTCTTGAAATCAAGTCGATCAACACGCTGGCCGTACTTATTTCGTTCCACGGTCTTTGGGGGGGCTGCACCAGGCACCTTGGACCGAACAACCTGGAAGTCAGAAGGATCCGATTTATTCGTGACTGGGGCCAACGGGACACCCAGATTTGACAGACTCGTACTGGTAGATGTTCTTGAAAGTGGAGCGGGCGTTTGGAATTGCTGGGTTGGCGAAGGTGTGAGCAAAGTCCGTGAAGGTATCGCGCTTTTCCAAGGAGCAGTCCAAGTCGGTGCTGCACCCGATGCACTTGGTGGGTTCAATGAAATTGGGGTAATCTTTGTGGTGCGGAAGACATCTGGAAATTGGGTGATTCGATATTCCTGCTCCCTGAAATAATCAAACTCCTTCTCGAGTGGAAGGCCCTCAACCAGCGAGACCCGACCCTTATAATTCGCACCAGAGATGAGCTCTGTCAATGATCGAGCATATTCTTCATTCGAGGGACAACCGAGGAAGAGTTGATGACAATGGCAATTGTATAAGTAAAGCTTGAATGCCTCTGCAGTGAGCGAATCAGCAATGAGTTCTGTCATCACAGCTTGTACCACATACCCTTGATTTTATCGTGCGCTTTGCTTTTGCCAGTTCCAACGTCCACAATTTCGAAAAAGGATGCGCTCTCATTGAACCCGCGAATAAATTCACTGAGTGTGGAAGGCTCTAGGTTGATTCCACCCCGGATGTAAGTCTCGATGAGTCCCTTCACATTAAGGTAGATTTTCGTCATTATCTTCGGCTCGGTGATCGTCGAGAGATTTGTCGTCACATAGCCCTGAAGAGATTTCCAAAGTTGCTTCGCCGCATTGCGCCCACCCTGTTCGCCTAGTTGCAAAAACTCGTCCTTGAATATAATCCCTTCGCCATCTAAAAGCAAAACGACAAATGGTTCTCGGTCCTGGATGAAACAAAAAATGCATTAGCAAGATTCTGGACGCAAATCCCCATTTGCGCTCACCATCATATTCTTGACTGCTGATATTTGCTCCATCAGCTCCATTTCATGCACCTGAATATCACGATTGAACCGAGTCTCGCGTTCATGGTCGAGTTTCTCTTGCTGGAAGGAGTTTTCTAGAGCGGTCACTCGTTGTAGAAGTTCCTATGGATCTCGCGTGAGCATTGATCAGACCCAAGGGAGGAATTGCTGGTACCTCGATGAAATCATTCTTCTGTTGGTCCAAGGCGCTTAGCTGGCGATAGCGCTCCAAGTAAGCTTGGGTCGTCATTTTTAAGAAGTTGCCGAGGATCCGAAATAGTTGGAAGTGAAATGAAGATGAATGCGACAGGAGATAAGGAGGAAAGAAAGTAAGGGAGAGAAGCAAGTTTCAAGTCCGATCAAAGCGAACTGGGAAATCTGATTTCGTAGTTGGCAGGCGCTTGCAGGAGGTGACAATCTACAAAGCGCGTAAGTCCTGGAATCACCAATGATCAGTGACCACCTTTCTTCATTAAATTAATTGATATAGAGACAACTTATAACAACGCGTTGACGTGCTTAAAATAAAAAATCGATCTAAGACCGCGGGTGCTATCTGGCTGAGTCAGCTCCCCGGTTTTGCATACGTGGAGCCAAATATTCCCCTTCAACTGCGACTTTGCTCCTTTCTCCATTCTCTTCTCTTGTCTAGATTTCGGTTTCAAGATGACTCGCTTTGGTTTCCTCTCTCTGGCTCTGCTCTCTCTTCAGGCCTTCGTTGGCACCGGCTTTGCTGCTGTATGTTTAACTTGTTTTGCCTCAACAGTCCACGTCGCATGACTCAATTGACTAATTGGCGGCTTCCAATCTATAGGATGCTGAGAATGCTGAACCAGAGGCTCGCGCTTTGGCTGTCTCGGCCGAGGCTTCCTTCCCTGATTCCGAGATCTTCGGTATCAAGCTCGTTAACGGTCACCCGACCCAGGCGCTGATCGCCGTTTCCAACGATGAACCGAACCCTATCACGGTGAACTTCGTTGGAGGTAGTCTTCGGGATATCGACGACGAGTCCAAGATTGCTCGTAACTTGACTGCTACTCGTTACGCCATCGAGATTCCCGCTGGTGAGAAGGAGACCATCAGCTACAGCTTCGCCACCGAGATGCACCCCCAGGATCTCCAGATGATTCTCTCTGCTATCATTTCGGACAGCGAGGGCCGTATTGCTCCTATCGTTGCTCACAACGGTACCGTCAGCATCGTTGAGGCGGATACCAGCATCTTTGACCCTCAAATGTAAGGGGCCCCTTTTTATCTTGATGTGTGGGCGCAATGGGACTAATCCGTCATATCAGTATCTTCCTTTACTTCTTCCTGCTCGCCTGTGTTTCTGGCACCGGTTACTTCTTCTACACCGTTTGGGTCGCTCCCTACTTCCCCCAGAAGCGCAAGTCCGGAAAGACCAGTGAGAAGCGCACCCAAGGTAGCTCTAAGCGCGTTGAGACCCAGGCTACCGAGGAGACATCCAGCGGCGCTGCTGCCTCTTCTGCCACCACCTACAACGCTGATTGGATTCCCTCCCACCACATCAACCGCCCCGAGGCTCGAAAGGTCAAGGGCCGCTCCAAGGCCCGTGCGTAAATGCACACGCGACAGTGATATCACGGAGGGAGGATGGGGATAATTTTGTTTGACCTTGGAATAGACGCCATTGTCCCACTTTTGGTCTAATGTAGAGGCAGTATTGGACACGTGCTGGAAATGCACCGGTCCCTACTGCTTGTCACAGGAGACATGTATATCAACCAGATAGAAGATTTTGGCCCGGTTTAGTTTCCGCCGAAGCCAAACGAAGACCTTTTGGGATTCAATCCATTGCATATCATGCTGTGCCTGTTCTGGCAGTATTGGTATATCTTCGCATTCACGCACCGATAGCTCACTGTTTCTTCCATTCTCCAAACTCCTGCTCTAGATGCTGTTTCAATTCCACAAAGCGATTTCCAAAAGCTTTGCCACAACGCCAACAGGCAAAGTCTCGCTTCAGATACCCCTCTCCTGTCGGATTGCGTCGTACGTCATCTTCTGCCAGCGGGAAGTCCTCAATTGGCACGAAAAACGGCGTCGAAAAGCTATTGTAGTGTTTCCTGTGCTTGAGGCGGTCGCTATATCTATCCACGGATAATACATGGACATGCAAGTGGTTCATCGAAGGTACTGCATGCACCCCGACCACAATTTCCCGTTCCCAATCCCGACCCTGTGGTAGTTCGTCGGGCGGCGGATTAGCACTCAGTGCCGTTTGTCTCGCTTGCTCTTGCGCAGAGTCCTTCCCATATTTGCGTCGCAGCTCACCCGCTGCCAGAGTACGCAATTTGCGCGTTTCAGCCTTTACCTTCGCCAGAAACTCGGTGTCTTCGAAGGCATCGAATGGGTGCAGGCGCGTTTTGCTCTGGTCGCGGGGAAGAAGGAGGAGGTGTAGCGATGACTTTGGGAACATGTCGTGGATTGCCACAAAGTCTTCATTGTGGTAAACTACAACATCGGAGCCATATGTTTCCGGCTTTGCGATGTAGATACCGAGTCCATCTCGAACACCAAAGGCAGTTCTGCCCTTGGCCGCATTGCGATCAGATGGAGCTTTGGCCGCGTGCTTTGGTTGCTTTGTTTTGGGAGCTAGGAGTTCGGTAACTGTCAAAGTGATATGTTAATTGAAAACATTCCCTTTCAAATAATCTTCCAGGTTTCCTTACAAGCATTTCTTTTCTCCGATGTCCCAGTGGGTTCCTTTGGATCGCCCTTGACCGGATTGGAGGACTCCCCAGACATGATGTTTAATGTGGAAGTTTGACTCGTCGTCACACGATAGAGTCTAGCTGTAGCATTTCTAGTGAGCAATAAGATTTTGGTATCACATCGAGAGGGTTAAGAACATGAAATAGGAGATTAAGTCTCGATGGTCGCCGCCCTCCTCCGTATGCTCCCCGCAACCCCAAAGCGGTTTAGTGCGGGTCGCTCTTTTGCCTGAAGCTCCAAAAGTTGTCGATCTTTCGCGAACACTCACCAGACCCAAAATGCCGCCTAAGAAGAAAGGTGATGGCAAAGGTGGCCCTAAGCCGGGCACAAAACAGGCAAAAGCCGTTGCAGAGAAAGCGAGCGAGGTGAAAAAACAAGCGCCCGAGGAGCCCAAGAAACCCTCAGTGAAGGAGGTTATCGGCGGCGCATCATGGACAGGAAAGCTACCAGTCAATATGCTGGCGGAGCACTGTCAAAAGCAAAAATGGGAAAAGCCTGAGTACAGCATGGTAATCAATCCCTCCATGACCCTTGTCGCATCGAGCCTACAAACGCATCTACCAATTCAGACACTGATGAATTGCAATAACTCCAGATTAAAACATCCGATGGCTTTGTATCTTCCGTAACGATGAAGAAGATAGATCCTAAGACGAAAGAACTAATCGTGATCCCACCGATGAAACTCCCACCTTCTCATAAGCAACTCGCTGGTCAGCCGACGGCCCTCGAAGCGCGCCATTTCGCTGCGGCATTCGCTCTTTTCCGAGTATGCAATATGCGCAATATCCATATGATGATGCCCCCAACATACAAGAAATTGTGGAAGGAGGACTTTGGAGAAATCAAAGCGGCCGATACTCGGGAAGGCAAGGGCTGGATGTACGAGGCAGATCCATTCTTAGCCAAGCAAGAACGAGAGAGCGCGGCCGCCGATCTGGCAAAAAAGCGAGCAGATCGCGAAAAAGCACAGGCAAAGGAAAAGGCCTCTAATGCGGAATTGGGGCTAGGAAACGGAGATGCCAGGTCAAAGCGTATTTGGTCGCAAGCGCCCAAGGTGGATATGGGCATGCGGATTCGACGAGATATCGAAGGCCTTTTGCGACAGCATACAGTTTGGAATCCGTATGGCGTTCAAATCCCAGAAGGCCAAAAGAAGGCCATTGCCGACGAATTTGTGGGCTTAGGGTTCCGTCGTAGCCATGTTGAAGAAGCTACCACGGAATGCAAAGACCGTGAAGAGGTGTTGGAGTGGCTTCTCATCTATGTCCCTGATGATGACCTCCCACGTTGGTCTCTGCCAGAAGGATATTCAGCCGGAGTCACTCTTGGTTCCGCTGATCTTGCTCGTGAAGGTAAAATCAAACGACTGGCATCTGTTGGTTATCCAGCCGACATGTGCTCCCAAGTCCTGGACAGCAAGGATGGCGACGAATTGGCGGCTGCTGAGCATTTGCAGGGTACTTTGGTACATGGAACTCGATTCTCAGCCCCATCTGTGGCGGATGAGGATGAGGAAGCTTGGGCAGAAGAAGCCATTACGTTGGAGGCCATCTTCGGCGAACGATATAATCGGATCTCATCCAAGGTTTGCGTGATCAAGAGCGAAGCATCGGAAATTCCACCCAACACAACCTTCCGGTTCCAAAAGCCCTCCGCTCACTATCCAAGCACTCCTCCTGTCATATCAATTGAGGCCAAGGGCGTACCGGCATATATACGTCTTAGCGCAATCCGCCGGGCAGTGCAATATGCCCAGGAAAACTTTACTGGTGAATCTATGATCTTCAACGTTATGGACTGGCTGGAGATCAACCTGCCTAGCATTATGGAGAACCCGGGTAAATTACGAGAGATCTCTTCTGTCACAGCCTCATCGACAGCTGAGACCCTTGAGATTCCCGTGCGCTCTGCACGCAAGAATCGCAGGGGCATCGACTGGAAGGTTGACTCGGAACGGAGCTTGGCTATCCGAGATGCCTGGGAGGCCAAACAAGATACTGCTCCTCAGATTGAGATGACCAGGAAAAGAAAGGCACTTCCTGCATGGAACATCCAACATGAAATCATTCATGCAGTCAACACACACCAGGTCACCATCATCTCGGGTGAAACTGGTAGTGGTAAGAGTACACAATCTGTGCAGTTTGTGCTGGACGACATGATCCAACGGGGATTGGGAGGCGCTGCCAATATCATCTGCACACAGCCACGACGAATCTCAGCCTTGGGTCTCGCCGACAGAGTCAGCGATGAGCGATGCGCAGTAGTTGGTGATGAAGTCGGATATGTGATTAGGGGCGAGTCGAAAGCCAAGCCCGGTTCAACAAAAATCACTTTTGTGACTACTGGTGTTTTGCTTCGCCGGATTCAATCCGGTGGTGATGCGGATGGTAATGTCGCAAGCTCCTTGGCAGACGTTTCCCACGTAGTGGTTGACGAGGTCCACGAGCGAAGTTTGGATACAGACTTCCTATTGGCGTTGCTGAGAGATGTTCTACGTTACCGTAAGGACTTGAAAGTCATTCTTATGAGTGCCACCCTTGATGCTGGTATCTTCATGAGCTACTTTGGTAGCCAGAGATCTGTTGGATTGGTGAACATCCCCGGCCGAACATTCCCCGTCGAGGACTATTATCTGGACGACGTTATCCGGTATACATCATTTGCTCCGGAACTTTCCGAGGGCTATGAAGATGATGAAGAGCCTTCTCGAGGGGACGAAACCCTCGGGAAAGCCCTACGGAGCTTGGGCATGGGCATCAATTATGATTTGATCGCAGCGACCGTCGAGTACATCGATGCCCAACTAGGAGGTCAGCCAGGAGGAATCTTGATTTTCCTTCCTGGTACCCTAGAGATTGATAGGTGCTTGAACGCAGTCAAGAGGATTCCCAACATGCATCCTCTGCCATTGCATGCCTCTCTACTCCCAGCTGAACAACGTCGAGTATTCCAAACCGCACCGAGGGGGAAGAGAAAGGTCATCGCTGCTACAAACGTAGCCGAAACATCCATCACAATTGAAGATGTTGTTGCCGTGATTGATACCGGCCGAGTCAAAGAAACGAGCTATGACCCTAAGGACAACATGGTTCGTCTCCAGGAGGTATGGGCATCACAGGCCGCCTGCAAACAACGTCGTGGTCGAGCCGGTCGTGTCCGCGCAGGTATCTGCTATAAACTTTACACCCGCAAAGCCGAATCCAACATGGCCCCGCGACCAGATCCCGAGATCCGTCGCGTGCCTTTGGAGCAGCTTTGTCTGTCCGTGAAATCCATGAAAGGTATCGAGGACGTTGCCACCTTCCTAGCCAACACCATCACCCCACCAGAAAGCATAGCCGTCGAAGGCGCCCTGAGCTTCCTGCACCGCGTTGGCGCTTTAGACCACGACAGGCTCACAGCACTGGGTCGCTACCTGTCCATGATCCCCGCAGATCTCCGCTGCGCGAAGCTCATGATCTACGGCTCGATCTTCGGCTGCATGGAACCCTGCCTCACCATCGCAGCCATGCTAACAGTCAAGAGCCCCTTTGTCTCACCACGCGAGAAGCGCGAAGAAGCCAACGCTGCCAAAGCAAGCTTCTCCCGCCAGGGCGATGGCGACCTCCTCACAGATCTCTCTGCATACCAGGCTTGGTCTGAACTGACTCGTGCCAAGGGCGGCTACTGGGGCACTCAATCATGGTGTGCGGCCAATTTCCTCTCCCACCAGACCCTGCGCGATATTTCCTCCAATCGCGCGCAGTTCATCACCTCCCTCAAAGACGCAGGCGTTCTACCAGTCGAGTATTCCGAGACATCGGTTTCTGCCTGGAACCGTAACGCCGGCAACCGCAACTTGATTCGGGCTCTTGTTGCAGGAGCCTTCCAGCCGCAGGTCGCGCAGATCTCGTTCCCGGATAAGAAATTCGCCAGCTCTGTAACTGGTACGGTTGAGGTTGATCCGGACGCGCGCACCATCAAATACTTCAACCAGGAGAACGGTCGTGTCTTCATTCATCCCAGCTCTATTCTCTTTTCCGCGGCTGGATATCCCAGTGCTGCGGCGTATCTAAGCTACTTCACCAAGATGGCTACCAGCAAAGTTTTCATCCGTGATCTCACTCGTGAGTTATTTCTCTCGCTTCTTTTTTTCTAACCTTGAAGATATCAGCTTCTAACATTCTATTTCTTGTTTGTAGCTTTCAATGCATACTCTCTGCTTCTCTTCTGCGGCTCTATAGAACTCGATACTGTGGGCCGTGGACTGGTTGTAGACGGCTGGCTCCGTCTACGCGGTTGGGCTCGAATTGGTGTGCTGGTTTCCCGACTTCGTACCATGCTGGATGAGGCTCTCGCGGAACGGTTCGACAATCCCTCCTTGGTGGCTGATGGCAGCAGCATTGGCGATAGAGTGATTGAGGCTGTCAAAAAGCTCATCGAGTTCAATGGGCTTGATCAGTGATTATGCATAGACGAATTTCTGGTTCTCAAATATATATACAGCGCATATCAGGTACTATTTTATAGATGGGAAAAGAATCGAAATGATTAACGATAGACGGCAATCACAGTAAAAGCATTTCACAAATGCTTGTGCTTTTCTACATTGAAACGGTTCTCTTACGTATTTTGCATTTCAGGTCAACTACGGACGGTCTTCCCGGAGCATTCACGGATGAAGTACATGTAGGAAGTACCTGATCAGTCTCTAAACTTATGTTCGACCTCTAGTATGGTTGGATGATTGCTTTACAATACCAAGGTGGTGATATGAGGAATACTAGGAAATACAAAGGGGAAATGAAGTGAAAATAAGCTTTTGAGTCAAATCGTACAAGTCAGAATGAACACACAGTGCACTATCAACCAACAAATGGCAAGAACTCGAAGACATCGAGTCAAAATCCAGATACAAAGAACAATTTCCCTGGCCAAATCCGTACTACAGATACAAGGGAAAACCAAGGACACAACTATCTTGTGTCCATTACTATCTGTGGAAAGAAAAGACCTTCCCTAAAGCTATTTCAATATGCAATAACCGCCGAAGCAAAATATGCTATGTAGCAATAGTCACTGAGCAATAGATGCAGCGGAAAAAGCCAGAGGGAAACAGTTATGTGCCTGGGAAAGCATCTTCAGAAAAGACAAAAAAAAACGTGGTGAGAAACAATTCATTAGGGGATGGGGGAGCCACGCGATAAACTTGCCTGTCGGCGCGGCTGGGGAATCACGCGCATCAACAAGAATGAGGTATGTCCGGGGGAAATAAAAAAAAGCAAGATGAAACGCCAGACGAGAAACCGATAATCTTCAACGCCTTCCGACCATTTTATTTCCATGCCGGGAAATGGTGGCGTCAATTCGTCTCGTCGTCAGCCCAGTAGAGCTGAAAAGAAAGCAGATGCCGGAAATGGCAAGAAAACAACGACGGAATGAGAGTTGCAAAAAAAAAGAAAGAAAGAAGTCAGAAGACCACGCATAAACGCCATGCATTAAGAAAACCCATTCGCCGGTTCATTCCGAAGAAAACGCCGACCTTGACCGAATGAAATGAAAGAAAGATGAGAGCTCATGTTCGGTGAGAAGTACCAGCAATCGCTAAGCCAGCTTCGTATGGTGCCTACAAATCACCAGGGCAGTAGTGTAGAGCGGAGGCTTAGTAGTTCGCATAGCCATCCAGGCGATCCGGATCTTTGAGCTCAGAAGGCTCAGGCAGAGCGAAGTCCGTGGCAAGCTCAGCTTCGACGAACAACGCAGCACGCTTGAATCGACGATCCGAATACTTCTCGAAGATGGCTGCATGGTGACGGCGAGGGTTTTCGCAGCATTCCATCATGGTTGTCAGGACCGGAATGAGCTGTGCATAGAGATAACCACTGTAAAAGGCATGGGCTGGTGTCTGTTTTTCATGGGGGTTAGTGATATTCCAATAAACAAGTGACAGAGGTGACATACCCAGTTGCCTTTGTTAAGCAGCATACGGGCCAGACAATGGGCTCCAGCAGCAACAAAGCTGGGTGGAGTGCAGACAAAGCGCTCATCCATAATGGCAAGCTCAAGGAAATACTTGGCCACAGTACGAGTTTCGAGGTCATACTCGTCAGCCTTGCTGATGCGACGAAGGAAGCTCATTGGGCCTGGCCATCCAAGATCGAAGTCAAGGATAGTAAGCATGAACCGCTCTGCCTTCAGGATCTCAGCAACAGAGTATCCACCATCAACCATGTAGACAATCTCCTGCACGGACGGAGCTGTAATCTCCTCGAACTTGGCCGCGATAAAGATTGCAGTCGCGCCTACCAGTTGCAACTTGCCCATGGAAACGACCTTGTACGACAAGAAGCGGTCGATATAGTTGACTGTCAGGAACAGAGTCTCAGGAAGTAAATTGAAGCGCTGATGGACTTGAACGAGCCAGTCCATCAAGACTGAGCGCATGGACCACTGAAGTTCACTTTGACGGGCCATGTAGTCCGGAACCGGGAGCATATCAATCTGCGGATTTGGTCAGTACAATTGGCATTGGATTAGGTATTGGAGGAATTAAACATACTTCTTTCTTTCTCAGGTGAAGGAAAATCTCATCTCCGTATTCAGCAACCATAGTTGTATCCAAGAAGTCTTCGCGCAGATCTTCCTCTGTCTGTTGACTTTCGACGATGGCCTTAGCCTGGAACATCTGACGGATAGTCACATTGTTCATGCATGGATAGACGATGGCAGTTGTTCCATCGGTGGGGTAAGAAGGTGCAACGTAATACTCGGTATCCTCTTCTTCCCATTCCTCAGGCTCCGATCCCGCCGAAACGGGTTCCTGAGCCTGGACATCGTCCTTCACCTCTTCGGTCTCAGATACCGTAGCATCAGACTCAATCGGGTTTGCGCCCTCTGCAGCACTGAGAGTGAGATGGGCCTCCATCTCTTTCTTTGCGTTGTGGGCCTTTGCCTCAATCGCGGTATTTATTTCCTTGGATGCGCCTTTCTCGGGCAGGGTTTGCAGTTCGTCTTTGAAGACCGTGTTCATTCGCTTCGATTTGTTGGAGAGGTGAGCTTTTCCAGCGGGGTTGATTGGTTTAGTTGTGGTGCCACTATCGATAACGCTCTTGCTTCCTGTCAAGGACGTAGGACGCTGAGCTGGCTGTGACAGTCCAGAACTCTTGACCTCAACCACCACGGGCTTTCCATTAAGCTTTCCACCCAGAGCAATATCATCTCGACTACCTCGACCCACGTCCTTGATATTGCTAACATCGCCAAAGGCACGTCGGCCAGCAGTGTTTTGGGCCATCATACCCAACGCAGGGCTCGACTTGTTACGCTGGTGGATAGCCTTGTTCTTCTGAGTCTGAAGCGACGCAGGCACCACATTCTCGTCCCCAACAGCTCGGAATCGCTGTGGCTGCCATAATAAGTTAGCATCAGTGCTTCCCAAGTCGTTATTAACGAAGCGATTGCAGGTTGCAGGCCAAGCGGGAACAAAACAACACGCCGTCCCACGCTTGATCACGCGATTGACACGTGCGAACCAAACAGTTCCAGAGTTCTGTGGGAGAATATAGCAGTCACTTACCTTTGCGTCCATGATGACAAGCGGTGAGGTTGCAAGAGGAAGTGTCGGATCTTCTTTGAAGTCGGTCGAGAGGTGTTGTTTACTTTTTGCTCTGTTGGGGGAGCGGTGTTGCCGTGCGTGATTGGCCGACCCAAGCAAAATAAACAGTCTCTGGACCCGCTCACCTGCACCTTCCAAAGCTCCTAATCGGCGCTCGTTGCTTTCACGTTGATTCAACCTTACCTGGATTGAAGCAAACTGGAAGCACGCGACGAGGAGAGATTGCGAGGAGATGACAGTTGCCGCGATGGACGGAGAATGTCCCTTGTTCCCTCGGACGTGTTGGTGAACAATGTACGCTAACCCTGGCTTGGGAAAATACGGTCGCGGGTGTCTACCTCCCGTGCAGAACTACCATTATGTCCTCCGGACATTGCTACCTTGCCTCACAACGACGCTGGGATCGGGTCCAGTGGATCCTTCGATCTATTTACATCAAGTGGAAGTCCCGAACATGGCACAGGGTACGGAGTAGATCCGTTGAATTCAGGGCTATATTTCCTTGAATCAACGTGTGATCTGACAGGTCAATCCTCTTGTGGATCTATATAAACAAATTGAGATAGCATTTCGACCTGCGTTATTCCGGTCCTCCTTCCAATATCTCTGTTGGGGCCTCCTTTGAAGCGTTGTTTTTGTTCTATTGTATTGAGATACTTTCTGAGTGTCTTTCGATCTTGGAATGAGGTCTACAGTTGCGCAGGTGTCCATGGATGGTGGTCCAATTTTGGAAGATGGAACCTCGGGACTCGGACGTCGATCAAGGGATGTTTGTTGTGTTTGTCCTATATTTGCACTGTTTGATGTTGTCATGACGTCATCAACCTTATCGGCGCGTCTTCTCCGATGTCTATCAAATCACATTTTGGCTAAACGCAGACTGTAAATGTGAGAAAGCCAGACAGAAAGCTGTCGAGTTTACTATTGCATAGTTATGCAGAGATCCCGCCAGGTTAAATCTGAAAATAGCGACATTTGTGGATACAATCGCCTTTTTATGGTCCGATCTAGATCCAACGCGCTATCAACACGACACCACGTGATAGCCACACCGCCGTCACCAGAGGTGGGACGCCGGAATGAAGCGGTTCCTGTTTGGCAACTTTGTGATCAACCGAAACCCACATCATTGAGTCTTGTGGCTTTGCAGTCTCGGGGTTGCGTACATGGGGACTGGGCATCAAATCCTGGAAACTATCGGTCTGGACAATTCTTGTAGTGCACGTTTCCAGTGCGGAGCCGATCATCAATATTCATTGCCTCACATCCCAAAGGCCCTTTTGCGCCCAGTCTCTCAACATCACCGCCTGACTCCACCATGCAGAAATATTTCCCCCCCCCTTTCCATCGGTTATTTTCTTGTTCATTAAGTGCAATGGCGGATTTGCCTTCCAGGGACGCTGGAGTTTCTTTTGTAGAATCCGAGGAGTACCCTCAGGAATGTTCTGTAACTTCGATGCCGGCTTCCCTTATTTTTTTTGACCTTACGTAGGTCCCGAGGAGGGGTAAGTCCAAAGTGCAGATCATGCGAGACAACTCCGAGGAGTCATGCGATAATATAAAAGGCAGGGCTAGTTCTATTTTTCTGTGAGATCGAACCTGTGCCTTTGGGCCTTGGGGATAATCCTTGGTAGTAGTGTAGAGTATAAACCTCCAGATCCAGGCGGTCCAGGTAGATCACCAAAGGATCCATCACCCACCCTACACTAGCGATTTCTAGATTAAACCCCATCAGAAGTGTCGCGGTATCGAATATTTTCGTTCCCACACAACAAATGAACAATGCGACAAGGGTGGTTAGGGAAAAATGACTGGGTTGGCATTGTCAATTCGGTCCAAGGCGCACACCTCCACAACAGACCAAAAAAGGGAATGGTCGCTACGTGGTCAAGCTAGAAACGAGCTGCAAGCCCATCAATTCATTGGGCGCGATTCCTTGAACTTATTTTGCGCCCTCAACCATTCGATATTCTGGATCCTTGTAGCGACAGAGGTGCCTAAGCTGCCTGTCCGGATGCCATGTGTGAAGCGCTGACTTCCCCTCAAGAGTCATAAGTAGCCTGCACTCGCAAACACCTCATCCCTGAAGACTAAAAGGCCGGATTATATTCTCAATCTCGTACATCATACCCAAGAAGGGGGGTCAGACAAAGTGCTCCGTCACTCGGCGCAATGGCATCCGGCTTTGCGACAGCATTTTGCGCCTTTGCGAAAAGATATCACACTGGGACGGTGCCGCACAGAGTTATTTTTTTAGATGCATAGAATAGTCGCAAATCAAATGAATGATTTATCGATATCCGTTAATCCTATGGGATGTGATGGCTGCTTCGATGGGCGCCGGAAGCGCAAATCGCCATGTCACCGACCCAAGGCCGTTTTCTCGCTTTAGGTGAAACCATCGTACGCACCCACCTCAACCTTCTTCCTTCCATCCAGCAACCCCTCGAACAAATCGCCATCAGCACTGTCAGCGGTATTGGGTATGTATTTCTTCTCCTGTCTCTTACCCTTTTTGACTCCCCTGACCCCATTTCGGCTCTGGAGATGCCACCGCTGACCTACCCTCAGCGCTTCGTAGAATCGACAATCCCCTCTCGACCTCGACCGAACCCCATCCTTCCTTCGACCCTTCGCCTGTCTTGGACAATCCGTATAATTGCGATACTGCAGGGTTCTTTTGAGTTGAATTAGGTGTGTTCATGTCTCTCTCCATTCTTTCCCGGGTCCTCTCGCTTGCTTCCCCCCAAGCCCGCCCTCAAGGTCGGCCGGACTCGGTTAGCGACACATCCATCCATCATCCTCCCAGACAAAATCCATCGTTGTGGTATATTCAAGCACTTTGAACCCCATTGTGCTAACTTTGGCGGTCTGTTTCCCTCCAGGTTTTCCACATTTGCCCTTCTGAGTCGCTTCCGGCTCTTGCGACTGCAGATTCCCCTCCACCTCCATCGAAGGTTTTGCTTCGACAGTTTATATACATCAAGACCCGGGGGTGGTCCATCCACCAGCCTGATCTTTCGGATTCAATCATTGTGGTAGGTTCGATGGATTCTTCCCTCTACATCTGCCCTTCTGTGTCTAGCCATGGATCACATTCCCGCCCTCTACCGCACACAAGCAGTGGGTTGATGCAATCTTTGGTATAGCAGTGGAATATTTCTTCGCAATCTGGAACACGTGAATATGCAAGCGGTTCAGCATGAAGGGCTCCCTGGCCCGCTTCAGCAGCCAGGTCTCGCAGACTCTGCCGCCGTAGCTCGAGACCTGTCGCTTAAGGGTCCAGCACCCAAGAACATCGCTTTCGAATTGTTGCTCGACGAGAATTCCAAAGTGCGAGCTCGTATCCCAATGCGCGTGCAGATTTATCCTCATGATACCACGGATTCGATCGTCACGACGGTTAAAAATTTCTATGGCATCTACGACGGTACTGCCAGTGGAGTCAGCTTCGAGGATGAACATGGGACCACTCTCATCGCAAGGTACGAGAATCTCAAGAATAACAGGACTGTATATGTGCGAGTCATTCCCATCCAACCATATGGGGATCACTACTATAATGGGTTCCCTGTCGAGCCTCGCAAGCGACCTAGTCTGGCAGAGCCTTTCCAGATGGTCGATGGCATGGCGCCGATGATGGATCAGCCATCACGACCAGCCTCCCGACTTGCGAGAAAGCGCAGCACCTCTCCGTCCAACCGAAGTCTCCGTAGTGCATCTCAGCACAAGCCCCCTTCTCGCGCGGGCAATAAAAGCCGGGCCTCGAGCATCCATGGAGGTCTCCATGATGAGGATGGTTATAGCGATACTGAGAGCGCTTATGCTCGTAGAGCTCGCAATGAGCTATTTGCCAGCTCTGATATCAGCATGGAGAATATACTACAAGATGGTCGTCGGAAACGACCCAAGTTCGACAGCTCTGTGAGTCATCATTTCGACGATATTTTTAAGGACTTCTACTGATCAGTGTCTCTCCCTTAGGAGCTTCCGTTGTTTGTTCCTCCTCAAGTCCCCCTTACTACCTCCACCTCCTCTATCTCCCCACAACGTCGATCGGTTGGACAGGAAGGCGCTGGGTCGCCTTTCGCACGCCCACCGCAACGGCCCCAATATAGCTATCAGCATGCGCTTCCATCGCCACAAAGCTATGGTCACAGTGAATATGGTGTTCACTCCGGGCGCAATACAGTGTATGCGACTCCCGTTGTCCCAGAACATGCAAATCGTATGCGCGACAACGGGGTCTATAGCAACTCGGCTAGCCGAGTCAACGGTCCAGGTGTATTGCCCACACCTGACCCGACCATTGCAAGCTGCATCTCTGACGAGGATGTGGCAATGCAATTGATACGCTTAGGCGATGCGTCCAATTTCTCTCACGGTCGCACTTCTGCCTCGACATTGGATGATGCATTCAGTGGTGCCGCTGACGCTGCCTCATCCACCGGCGCTACTAGTGACGGTGATGAATTTAGCGAGGATGAGGACGACTTGCCAGCCCGTCGCCAGAGGCTGGATTCAAGCCCAATGCTGCCGCCGGGAACCATCAAGCGCCACCTCAAGGGCTTGGATGATATCCTCCCCAGCGCCGACAGCAGCGATCACAGCTCTGATGGCGCAGACGACGGCATCAAAAGCGAGGCTGATGACGATATGCTTTACAAGGAGTTTGCGCCCAAGGCGAAGAAGCCGAGGAGCCGTCCCACATCGTTCAAGGTTCGCAACCAGAAGCCTGTGCCTACAAAACTGAACAAGAGTAAGATTGCTGCGCCTGCTCCTCGCAAATCGTCCGACAAGTCAGCGGCGCCTGTTCCACCTCTCAGCCCAGCTTCTTCCCGGAAGGTTTCGGGAGGCTCGGTCAACTTCCAGCACCAGCTCGGTGCAGACGAGGAAGACCTTTCCACCAAACCTCGCTGCCAGCGATGCCGCAAGAGCAAGAAGGGGTGTGATCGTCAACGTCCCTGTGGACGTTGCAAGGATGCTGGTATTGGAATTGACGGATGCCTCAGTGAGGATGAAGGCAATGGTCGTAAAGGCCGTTACGGTCGCCATATGGGTGTCCCTGTCAAGAAGAACGGGGAAGAGATGGATGAAGATGAGGAGTTTTCGGTAACGCCTGCAACCCCTCCCATCTCTGCGTCTATAGCAGACAAGAATAAGAAGCGGAAGCGCTAGTCAAACTTCACGCTGCGATTTCTCCCGCCATCTCTGAGCGCTGAACTGTTTCGCATCTCCAATCTTCGTGATCATGGGATCTCTCCTTCATCTTACCATCCTCACTATATGGGCCAATATCATCTGGCCTCCCTCTCTCATTTCGCCATTTTCTGGCCAGCACCAGAGACACTCCTTATACTACCATACCATCATTTGGTCTTCTCACCCCACGCTCCCTTCTCTGGTTACAAGCCATGCTCCTGACCTCCATCACACACTGCCAAGCGGTTGAATCTATTGTTGTGTCCCTTCGGCGTCTTGGTGTTTCTGCGGGCTACATGCTTCTTGTCACATCCACTCGCTCATTCCGAATCAATGTTACTGGATATCTATCTTCGTTTATGTCGGTCTCATGTGTGGTGTGTATGGTGGACTAGCCCTGGCAGATAGCGGAAGGTATTATATACTTCCAAAAAGCGCTAGACCCAAAGGTGACGAGCCGTAGAAGATATGCCGGTCTTGCTTTATTTCGTCTTCTGGGTAGTCAAGGAGTCAATGGAAGGGTTTCAATTATACATTTCACTTCAATATTCCTCTTAGTCTCATTATAGTCTGACTCGCAAGTTTGAGTGATGAGTGTCGATCAGCGATAGCCATGGCGGGACGTGTCACATGACAAAGGCGGTGTAAGTGGCCCCGCAACATTTTTGAAGAGCTCAACTTTCTCAAACCTCAAACGCTCACATTTTCCCTTCGGTGAACCAGTGATTTACTTATCTGTAGTCGCAATCTACTGTGGCATTTCAAAAGAAGCTCAATTATTTAACATTGAGTCCACATCCAACGCGCCGCGCAAACCAGACCCTCTACACGAGCTTTTCTCCCACCGCCCAGCAAGCCGCACGCAGCGCCTTGTCTGAGAAGCGACGACAATGCCTCCCAAAGCTGCTCCTCGTGGGGGCGCCCGTGGAGGTGCCGCCAACCGCGGTGCTCGCACTGACTCAACGACCACGACTCCCGCTGGCGGGGACACAACACAAAACGCGCCCTCGGCCACCGGTGCAGCCGGACCCGCGAGTCGAGGTTCAGTGCAACGACTTCAATCTCTGAATAAACGTACACCTTCTGGCAGCATTGCGCCAAGTAGCCGACCACCTTCGGCGCTTGGCGGCGAGCCGCCTAAACCAGTCCTGAAACATAGACCCAAGGCTGTTGGCCGTCGCAGCAAGCAAGAGCGAGAGGAGATGGAGAGGCTTGAGAAGGAACGATACAACGAGCGTCTCAAGGAGGCTGCCGCTATCCAGCGCGGTCGCGGTGGTACTGCTCGTCGCGCTGGGTTCCGTGGCCGTGGTGGACCCATGGCTATGGCTGTGGGTGGATTTGGTGGACGGGGTGGCAAGAGAGGCCGTGGCCGTCATGGTGGTGGTGGTGGATATGGAGGAGGCCCTGGCGGCGCAGGCTCAGGATATAATCGGTCTGGTGTTACTGGAGGCAACCGTGGACGCGCATACGACTCCTCGGACGACGAGGAACATGCACTCCGCATCAGCATCGATCACATCAACCTGGATAGCGATGAGGAGGATTGGGACACACCGAAGGACTTCAAGGGCAAACAGCCCAGCAGATCGTCCGGCGACCGTGGACTTCGTCCCGTCCGTGTTGAGCGACATGAACACGAGGAAAGAGTCATCAGCGTCAACATGGAATCTAGCTCGCACAAAGCAGCCGACATCCGCAAAAAGGCAGAGAAGGAGAAGGCTGCGAAGGATGTTGCTACTCCTGTCAAAGTTAAAGCTGAGCCGCGAGACGACGATACAGCTATGCCAGATGCTATTCCCCACGCAGACGATGACGACTTCCTCCCAGAGCACAACGTTCGTGTGCGCTCAGCTCAAAGCATGAGCCCAACGAAGAGAAGCACGACAGAATTACGGTCAACTCAAGCCACACCCGAACCCGAAATCCCAGACCCACGCAGCCTTCTTCACACCAAGGAGGAGATTGATGAATATGATAGACACATGGAGGACTTGGCTATTATCAGAGATCTTCTCGTTCCCAAGGAGTCAAAGAAAGCCACGACAGAAGTAGAAACCATCGAAGGAGCTGCCGAGGGTGAAACTGCTACAACAGAAGGGGAAGATAAGGCCCAAGCGGGCGAAGCGAAGGAAGCGGAAGAAGAAGCGGAAGAAGAAGAGAATCCCCTGCAAGGCCAGATGTTCCTCATGCAATTCCCACCAATGACTCCCAGCCTCAAGGTCGACGGAACTGATCAAGGCGATCAATCTCAACCTGCGGCTGCAGCTGCAGCTCCCCAGGGCGAGATCAAGCGCGAAGCAGGCGACGACGTGGAGATCTTGGACAACCCCAAGTCCACCGAATCACAAGATAGCAACATTCTCACAGCTGGCAAACCATGGGTACTGCCCACCGGCCGTGTCGGCAAACTGAACGTACACCAGTCAGGCCGTGTGACTCTAGACTGGGGTGGCATCAGTATGGAGCTGGATCGTGGAGCACCGGTAGGTTTCGTCCAGGAGGCAGTCATCATGTCCAAGAAACCACCCCTGCCTGCCGGTGCAATTGAGGATGACTCGGGCAACCTTATTTGGTCTATGGGTCAATTGTCTGGCAAGTTCACAGTTACGCCCAATTGGGACGAAATGCTTTGAACCCTCCAAAGCACTTTATGATGAATGGAAAGAACCCCAGCGAGCTCATAGCAGTAATTCTTTTGGTTTTGCGGTATACAATCAATAGAATTGGCTAAAATGTATTTTATATTATCATTCATCTTTCTCTCTAAATGAAATAGCTTCCGAGAGACATATCTACATGTATTTTGTAGGTAGGAGGTATTTACTAGGCAGATTGTACATATAAAAGAGACGCAAACTTTCGAGGCGAAGTACCTGGCACATGGATCCATGGATGCCATCCGGCTAAGGCTGAAATCAGTAATCCTTCAATGATCATTGGTTGCCTGACTACGCAGGCATCAACTGTGCCAAGATATCTCGGCCCTGAGCAGCTACGAACTTCGTTTGAGCGCATCGAATCTCAAGCTAGCATCATTGTATCCTCCGACCTTCGAGTACGGTCGCACGCACGCAAACTACGATCCCCTTCGGCTCAATTGTTGGCCTTTCCTATACAATGCAAGTATAGGCCAAACAAAGTGTCTCCGGTCCCACGTGAAGCTTCGCGCGATGTCGCTGCGTCCTTTTGGTTATCAATGCAACCTCCCCTACGCGCAATTCGTCCGCAATGCACCGCAGCAAAGACATACTATAATATCACGCTTAAACATCTTTACCCATCCGCCCAACGCCCGTTGCATACATCGCAAGTCCACAACAAGTCCACAGCATGCGAATCGAGCTTCATTGTCGCTAGCGAGCTTTCTCAGTGATCTGTTGAGACCCGTACACACCCCTCAGAGACATGACAAGCTATCATGGGCTCAACAACGTCGTCATGAAAGTTCCGGGGCCAAGGACCCAGAACTCTGCGCGCACTGCGGCGGAAAGTCTATTGCCAAGCTTCGAAAATTAGTCGATCCCAGCAACCCTTCCAGTGGCTGGCACTGCAAACCTTGCCTTCGAAATATCCGTGTTCATGGCCATCTCCCGAATAAAGAGCAGCTGGTGACGATCAACCGGCGAAGGCTGATGAGGGAGAGTGGAGAAGCAAGCAAAACCAGTCCATGCAAGCACTGCGGCGAGTTAACTGCTCCAAGGAGTAGCCGTAAATTCATCGATCCAGATAACCCTTCTGCGGGATTTCACTGTCGGCCATGTGTTCGGCATATGAATGTGCACGGTAATCTCCCAACCGAGCAAGATCTTGCAGCGTTCAGGTATCGAAAGGAGATTCGGCATAGGCAGATTCCTGCGACCGCCTCGCGAAATAACGAACCAGGGATTTCGGAAGAAAACCTCGCAAATCCCACTCGTTCCTCGTCTTCTAAACGTTCCGACCCTACCAGACAGAAGCAAAGTCGTGATGCATACCCCTGCACTCACTGTGGCGACATAACCACCTCCAACAGCAAGCGTAGACTTGTTGAACCTCAGAATCCTGCGGCGGGATACTATTGCCAGCCATGCACGCGTTGTCTGCTTGAAACAGACGCCTTGCCAAGCTCGGCGCAACTTACGGCGCTCAAGAGGCTTCGGGAAAACCGCTCGAAGTCTAATCCCAGGGATTTGAAAAGTCCCTGCCGTCATTGCGGGGAGATGACAGCCCCCAGCAGCAAGCGTCGACTTGTTGAAGCGAAGAAACCCGATTCTGGATATTATTGCCGCGCCTGTGCGGACTGTTTAATCGAAACTAGCTCGTTGCCTAGCGAAATGCGCCTCGCAGTCCGGAGAGCGCGAGAGCAGGTCAGATTGAAAAACCTCCAGGTCAATCTATCTAAGGTTTCCCAATCCCCGGTCCCTCCGCCGGCGGGAGAATCTACACTAACAGGTTTGTTTACGGAGGAGAGTGTGAAGACATGCGCGCACTAAACTATTGAGGGGATGACTATTATTAAAACCCTCCGGGCAGCTGGAACATGTTGTCTCTATGTTTTGAACCTCTCATTTCCACGGCTCATTTTCAGGGCCGGGGGGTCTTGTGATGCAGAGGGAGCACGAGGTCCTCAAGTATGCGCGCATTCAACCCGCTATCGGGGCATATTGGCTGTGGCTTGCTATAATTAAAATGCACCCCGCTCTCAGAACCCGACATTTGGAAATTGGTTATTCTTTGTTCTGGTCTGACTGCGATGCCAAGGGAGATAGCTGTGAATGTCTTGATTTTGGTCTTGTGTACGGAGTACGGAGTACTTACTCCGTACTCGAGCCAGTACATATGCGCGTCGTCATCTTGTCTTCGGCGAGGCCTAGCCTCGGTCGTCTATTCGCTCGGTTTCCGCCTCTGCGCTGACGATCATTTGTGGCGTCATCTGTCAAGCCTCCTTGGCGCTAAAATTAGCAACGCGAGCGAATGGAATGTCGGACGTGTCTCGCGCATGTATGATATTGAGACCGTGTACGTTCGATATATACCGAGATCTAGTTTTTCCATAACCAGCAGTTGAGAACAGAAAGCAGAGCACAGAGAAAGAAGAGCGACGAGTAAATAAACACGGGAGCCGCAGACACGGGAGCCAATCAGGAACCATGGAACCCCGACGAGCCAAGCCGTTGCCCTGATTTGCTTCACCTTGATTTTCCCTTAATCTCCTTTGCCCCCCCTGTGTTTCGGTGCCGGTTTTTTTTTCCTCGGTCTGGATTATTTTCGGGGCTATTTCTCTTTCAATCCCTCTCTACGGCTAAGAGTGAGTTGGATTCGGGTAATAAAAAAGAGAAAGGCCGAAAAGGACCCCTGGAAATTACCTCTCTGTTTGGCCCCTATTTCCGGTTGCCTGACTGTGACCCCCCGACAACCCACTCAAAGTGGCATGCTTGGAGTCCCTCATAAACCGACTGAATGAGCAACTGTCCAAACACTCTATACAATCGTCCCTTCTCTACTCTCCGCCTCCATCTGCAGCTCTGTTGCCTCGCCAACTTCAGGGACTCTCGGTCCCCCACAACCCGCACCAACCAGCTTGGCGTTGCTTGTTCATAGGCAACAACAAAAAGCATTCGCGCATTTCCAACCATTCCCATACCGCATACTTATAATCTCACGCCATGAAACCAACCACCTTCTTGGCCTTCCTCGCCCCGGCCGCCGTCCTTGCGGAATCACAACAACCCGCGTCCGCCGCCAGCCTCTCTTCCGAATTCGCACACAACTCTCCCGCCGTCTCATTACCAGAGCTCGCTCCCCAACAATTCGCTCCAGTCGTGGATCGCGACTTGTCCACAGACGATATGCGCATGCTAGCCGCACGGCATATCCTCCAGGCACGCAGTGAGGGTTCCCTAGGCCAGACGCCGTGGATTGGCATGGCTATCGGGTTAACCTTCACTGCTCTGGCGGCTGTGATGCTTGGATGACAAGGTGGAATTGCTTTGAGCCGTCAGCTTTCCACCTCATCTACATCTTTTCTCCCCTCTCGACCTACTGCTACTTCTCTCTCGACACGACACGTGAAACGCCGGGCACTGCTCGAACCTTTGTTTATTTTCTAATCCGCTCGACATACTTCTTCATTTTTTTTCTTACGGTCATTTGCAGCGGATTTTTACCTTGTTTATTTTGCATCCATGGCCTTTGTGTATTGGCGTGGGATTGGATCTTTGGAGCCACCTTTTTTTTCCTGTTGCATTCCCCGACATAGTGAGGTACTCTATGTCCTTATCCTTGTCGGGAGTATAGAGTTGCATGTTGTACGCACGTTGTACATGATACCTTTTTGTTTCTGACGCTGATGCTCCCATGTATATGGGATGATTTACTTAATTAGTGTATATAAATACGGCCAATACGAACTGACTATACCTCCTTCCCTCTTTAATTGCTTTTTTGCCTTTCTTTGTTTGGTTGTGTTTGAGAGAGGACTTGAGTTGGGACTCGCGGGGGTTTCTTTGTTCCTCCCAGTATCACTTTCAAAGGCTGTTCAGCTTTCCTGGTTTTTGCTATGATCACTGATTTGAGAAGAGCTACTTTCTCCCCTCTCCTTATTTCGATTACTCCAGGCGAGCAAATAAATCACATAGCAGAGCAATTGCAAGCAGAAGGTTAGCCCAGCGTTCAGCGTTCTCTACGCTGGACTCCACATTCACACTCGAATACTCGCTCTATCCCCTTCGATTCAAGCGTTATCCTCGAAATATCATCGACAATAAACCCAACTCCCGCTTGAATCCAGCGGCTATATCTTCCTCACGCTGAACTTCAACGCGAAGTATACACAACCAACATCATGGCCACAGACAACTCCGAATACCCACCCTACACGCCAATGCCCTCCCTGCACCACGAGCTAGGGCTATTATTCGGCTTCCTCTCTCTTTGCATAGTAGTCATGGGCGTATATACTGCTCTCTGGCGTGGTACGTTACCCACAATACTTCCCTTCTTCCCATCAATTCCATAGATCTATAGATCTATTACCCAATCCAGCAATAACCCACACACATATTCACCGCAACCCGATTCTCAACTATAAACACCATCACCAATTACACCACCACCCCCCAAACTAACAATCCCCAAGTATCCCAAACCCGCCTCGACGCCCAAGACCTCGCCCGCCGCAAAGCCTTCCGCGCAAAAGCACCGGCATCCCCAGACCCTCACCTCGGAACATTCACCACAATCCAAAGTCCCGGAGGAGTCCTGCCCTGCGAGAAGATGCTCGACCGCTACGCCATGCCCGAGAACCGCGTCGAGCTGCCTGTGCACGGGATGGATCTGTACGCTAGCGGGAAGGGTGTATCTGCGGACGATAGGGGGGGGTGTGGGGTCATCGCGGATTGGGAGTCCATTGGGCGGATCTAGGTCTCTGAGTCCTGTTAGTCCGATTGGGGGGAGGTTGGCGTCTAGGGATGGTAGTCCTGAGGGTGGGATTGAGCTGGAGTCGATTATTGGGTTGGCTTTGAGTGGGAGGAGTCAGAGTCCGGCACGTGGATTTCGGTCGGAGAGTCCGGCGAGGAGGGTGGGTGGGATGAGGACTCCTGTTGAGATTGGGCCTGCGCCTAGTCGGGAATAGAGAGTGGGTTGGGGTATATGTGGTGTGTAATGGGATGGAAGAGCCTAGGAGAGCTTCATGGCGTTTGGATATGGTTGGTGGGGACTATGGATATCTTTTCTGCTCCTTTACTTATCGTCTTCTTCCTTGGGATCTCTTTTAGTTGGTATTAATCTTAGTCCGTTATATTATATCATACAGTATGGATCTATTCACACACAGCTTCGGCAAATCCCTGAGTCCATAGTAAAGAACCCATGATGACAATCGAAAATCCAAGTGCAACAGCCACACTGGAAATTCCATATAGATATGCATGGCGTCGATGGGCTAATCCTTTCAACTCCGCAACCCATGTGCTGATGGTAGTTGTGCTGCCACAGAATCCATCCATAACACCCTGCAGCACCTGGCATCCCGTCAGAGCAGCAGGAACCACCGCGCCAAGACCACTGACATGTTGCAAGTCATAGCAAAGGCCTTCGATGATGCACCCAAAGATATTAACCACGAACGTGCCGAGCGGGAAGGTAGGAATTCGACCATTAAGGTGTAGCGAAACATAGAACCGAAGCAGACAACCCAGCGGCGCGAAGACCAGAGCGAACACTGCCCGCCCGCGCCAGACATCCGGGCCGTTATGTCGGTCTGGCGGCCAGATAGCCAAGAACACGGCCCCAAGCCAACATCCCCAGGCCAGCACAACAACAGTGGGATCAATGAACCGTCGTGTAAATGCAAAGGGTACGGTGGGGGTTACACGTCCTAAAGCCAGAGCAAGATGCGCGCCGAAAATAAGCGCCGATAAACTCAGCGATACAGTAAGTAGTATCACAGCGACCAGCGCCATAAAGCTATAACCGCCATTCCGGGATGCAATATGCGACCCAGAAGGTATCGACGGATCGGGAAGGGCATTTGCCAGCGCGAGAAAGACGTCTCGGATAAATGACGAGAAGGACGTGCAGCAGCCACAGAACCCAGTCGTCAGCCCAATGTATAAAGGGATAGTTTTCTTGACGGCCATGTGTCTCTTGCCCTTCTCGTCTTCTGCAGCCGAGTTCTTGGGCAGTGATATGCCCCACTCTTCACGAAACAGGTTCTGGTCTTCGCTCACGAATCCCATTACCAGGCTTCCGCAGACATTCGCCCATAGAACGCCTGTCACAACGGGGGCGCCCGCGTAAAAGGTCAGTGCCTGTAGGCCTAGGCGGGCGAGAGTGCCCAGGAATGAGAAGAATATTAGGTAGGAGACGGTGTAGAGGTGGGTTGCGTGTTTGGAGAGGGGCGGCGCAGCAGATGCAGGTTGGGGTGCAGGTGCTGGCGCGCGCTCACCCGAATTTTGCCATGATCCGTGTATGCTATCCCTCGCTTGGGTTATTTCTGAGGGATTGTCTGAAGAACTTGAATCGACAGATGGCATTGAGTAGGAGGTGGGAGAGAAAAAAAGATGCCAAGAACCGGAGACCGGAGATCAGGTGGAGTCCGATAAGAGATTAGCGGGTCTGTTTTGTATGAGAGGGGAAAGGGAGATAAGGCGCTTCGGTTCTCTTCTGTTGCTGTTCTTCTACTTCTACTTCCTCCTTTTCTTCTTCTTCTTCTTCTTCTTCTTCTCCTTCCTCTCTCCTCCTCTTCAATTCTCCTCGCTACACTTCATCATGTCTCTCCCACCTAACGTTCACGTCTCCTCTCACCCCTGTCTCCAAGCCAAGCTCTCTCTCATCCGCTCGTCTTCCACCACCCCGCGCGAGACAAGAGGCTTGGTCCATGACATTTCCAACATCCTAGGCGTGGAAGCCTTTACAGGGCTGAAGCTGGCCAAGACAGGAACAGTATGTACAACTCAAACTCTGGAATCAACCATCTCCAGCGTATCATGATCTCTCTTCTAACACTCACTCCCAGGACAAAACCCCACTTGGAATCGAATACGAAACCCAGGGAATCGACCCAGCAGACCTAGCTTTAGTGCCAATCCTTCGATCTGGCCTAGGAATGGTTGATGGTAAGTGAATCAATCCCCCTAATCCCAGAACTACAGTATGCCATATATCCCACTTTCACATCTCTCTCTCTATTCACTCCACTATCCCATGATGCTCATTGCCTATTACCTATTCCACTATCCCACTATTTCCCCAATAATCTACCCAAAAGCCCAACCCAATCTCCCAAACCCCCAATTTGTCGTGTTCCATATGCCTTATCTCCGTTCCCAACCCCCACTCCACTCCACCCGCCCGAAACCCCGCTTACTCCCCCCACAGCCCTGAACGACCTCCTCCCAACCCCAGTCCCAGTCTACCACCTGGGTCTCTTCCGCGAAAAGGTCACCCTGCAACCCGTAGAATACTACAACAACCTCCCCTTCCACCGGTCGGAGCTGTCACCAGCCTCGCCAGCCTCGCTGAACGCAACGACCAACACCGCCGCCGCAAGCCTGGCCGTGCTGCTGGACCCGGTCATTGCGACTGGCGCGACGGCCGAGGCGGCGATTCTGTTGCTGCGCGATTGGGGTGTGAAGAAGGTCATTATGCTTAGCTTGATTGCCTCTGAGGAGGGAGTGAAGCGTGCGGCGGGGACTTGGGGTGATGTGGAGGTTTGGGTTGGTGCTATTGATAAGGGCGTTGATGAGAAGGGCATGATTGTGCCTGGTATTGGAGATATTGGAGATCGGTTGTTTGTTGCTGTTGGGAAGTAGATTATCGGGTATCACTATCATTAGCATACAGAAATATGGAGAAATATCCAAGCATTTTGTGGTCAAAAGACTATCGAGAGCCGGTCTTCCCGTGGAATCCGATTACAGACAAGCGTGGAAGGATCAAAAGGATCATAGCTACAAGACAGATTATCGTTGGAATCTACATACTACTGTGCAGCACCTAGGAATTTATGATTGTCCCCGCCAGGTAATTCATTGATAACGTATAGTACATAGAAAAGGCATAAAAACATGTGCAGATGAAACAGATGCGAAGAACTGCAAGGAGATGCTGAGCGTAAAGACCATAAAGCAAAGGACGGGGATGGAGGACATGCAGGCAATTAACGTCAAATACAGCGGCTGGGAGGCCAAAGAAGCAAAGGGAAAAAAAATGGCAGGACATGAAAGAACACGCAAGGCAAAGGCATGAAAACAGAAAGTCAAAAGGTATCGAGAGCACGGAAAGCAGATGGACGGGGGCACAATTAGGGGTTAAGATGAACCATAAAGAAGTCAAACTCCACGGAGTGCGAAAGAACACACAGGACCAGCCAAGTGTCGAAGAAAGCAGAAACACCACACTGGACTCCCTGGTGTAAAAAAAGGCAGGGAAAATGCAAAGCAAATAGCAAAAAGCAAACCATAAGACCAGGAACCACCGAGATGGGATATCAAAAGGCGAAGTATTCCAGAAAAGCCCAAACACCCCGCCTGCCCACTGGCATGTCCAGTCATGATTCCAGAGTGTCCCAATGAGAGCGTCCAACAAATGAGAGTAAGAACCCGAAAACGGAAAATTCAAGAAAAAAAAAAGCGAGTAAAAGCAAATCAAGTCAACGAAAGTGAGGAAACGAAAACTTAATATGCAGTGCCGACGCTAGCAAGCGACTTGGTTGGCACCGCATGGATCGGCTGGTCCTTGGCGACACGAAGAGAGTCCTCATAGCCGACCAAGGCCTGGGAGTGAAGTTTGAACGATTCGCCCATCAGCTTGGTAATTCTGTTACAGCGGTTAGCGAAATGTCATCATGATGGACAGATGGACAGAAGGAAAGAAGAAACGTACCCCCAGACAACCACGCCGTCAAGGATGTTACCCCATACACGGGCGACGGTGGAGCTAAGTTTGCCGAAGGCATCGATGGCATCGTCATCAAACAGATTGCGGACCTTGTTGTAGAGGGCCAATTCAGCCTCAGTGGCCGGCTCGTCGTCATGTTCCAGGCGGTAGAGCCAGAGGCTCAGGATGACCATCAGGTCCAGGCCGCAGAGAGGGTGCTCAACACTCCAGTTGGTGGCGGAAGTCTTTGCAACCCAATTGATGCCTTGAATGGCGGCAATCTCAATGCACTCGAAGCATTGTTGGATGACCTTGTTCATCTCCTGCGACCGCTTGACCTTCTCACGAGCGACAGTCATAGCAGCTGCCACCTCGTATGAGGAGTGATACCGCATCGCCTCCTGGATGGACTTGAGATCAACTTCCAGGCGAGCGCGGGTATTGCGATACACTGCCATTGAGTTGAAGATCAAGGGGTGACCCTTCTGGGGAGTGCTGAGTGGGACCACAATGGTCTCAGGCTCGCAAACCTCGAGGGAGTTCTCCCAGGTCTCGAGAGCCAGCCGCAACTTGTACTCTGTGACCACATCCTGCAGAGCCTCGAAGCTGCGCTTGTGGTTCCAGACCTGCAGGAAAAGGGCGTTGATCAGCACACGGGTAGCGAAAGCACTGTAGCGAGTCTGCTCGCCCTGGAACAGGAAATCGTGGGCCTCGCGCACGGTGAGTGCGCTCGAGACCATGCTGCGGCGCCAAGCCTCATCATCAGTCGCATCCAGGTTCCAAAGGGACTCCGAGGAAGGAAGCTCCAAGTCGTCAAACTCATCGAAGCTCATGGCGGGAGTGTGATTGAATGTGAGTGTCAGCATGCCGAAGAAGATGTACACGGCGAAATATGTGCGACGGCAAGACTCATCCTCGATCCACTCCTCACGCGAGGGCTGGACATTTTGGCGGGCCTGTGTCCGTACCTTGAGTTGGTATCGATTGCCGGCGACCATGTTGGCCAGAAGACTCTTGATCGAGCAGGTCCATTCGAGGCCCTTGGGGTCACCACTCCAGCTCTCGAATACCATGTTCAACAAAGTAGCTTGCATCAAGGTCAGGGGACACTTGCGGGAGTCAAAGTTATCCTTGTGTTGCAGGAACTGGTTAACCAGGACCTTGGATCCGACGTGAAGCATGAAAGCGTGCTCGCGCTCGAAAGTGTAAAGAGCACCGATGGACAAGACTGCGAGTAACAAGGGCGCAGGAACTTGCGAGGGCTTGAAAGACTCCTGGTGAAGGAATGGCAAGTGAGGATGATAGAGATTAAAGTAGGTGGACAAATACCGGTTCAACGCAACCGTGGAAGGAAGTTGGAAAGTATCGGGAAGAGCACCAAGAGTGTCTGATCCCTGAACCCGGTCCACTACATAGTTACGTTCCATCTCATTAGCAATTTGCGGTGCCTTGGGAAGAGTGAGTGCCTGGCTAGGACCGGGCGAGCGGCGGTAGTTGACGGGGCTGACGGGGCCAGTCATCGAGGGATAAGGTGAGAGGGCATTCGGGGTCGAGTGTCCAGACATAGGCAGGGAGTTGGATAGAAGAACGTCTCCGACAGGGCCATGGCGATCGACGAGGGTAGGCATCGAGCCCGGTTCGGCGGGGGAGACAAGGGTGTCCCAAGGCATCTGAGGCAGGGTGGCGTTGCCCGAGAGGTAGGGCTCGAAGGAGCCGTGCCCTGGCGAAAGCGATTCGGAACGCTCGGAGACCTGGCCGGTCGCCGCTGCTGCAGCCTTATGTTGGAAATCTGTCATCAACATGGCTGCAGTTTCAAGGTCGACCATACCGTCGCTGCTTGCCTCGATCTGCTCCAACGTCGTCGGGTCAATGGTGACCGACGGCTTCGCTGGGGCAGATGAGGTTTTCTGAACCCCTCCACCACGTCTGCGGCCCTCTGCCACCAAAGGAATTCCGCCGTCCTTAGCGTGAACAGTTCGGTCATGGCGCAGAAGAAGATCGCGGCGGACAAAGGTACTGCGACATTTTAAGCACTTGAAGGGTCTTTCTTTCGTGTCTGTAAGGTGGTGTCAGTCGACCGAGGGCAAACAGAAAACAAGAACCGTTTCTCAAGGCTTACGGGATCGTTCGTGACGACTGCGGTGTTCGCTTCGGCTGAATGCGCGATTGCAGAATTGGCATTTGTATTTCTTTTCGGGGGCTGAGGTCTTCTTAGCCGGCGAGTTGGCTGCCCCAGGTGCGGAAGGAGCCATGTGTGCGGGCGTTAAAGGAAAAGTGAAAGCGGTGGTATTGTCCCTTGGGTAAGTTCGCACCGGTTCTGTAGGCGTGTCGACGACAGAAGTTCGTTGGGATGTCTGATCATTCCTTGAGCGGGGGAAAATAGTCAAAGAAGGTAGAGAGAAAGTGGTGTCCAGCCACGAAGGGGAAATATTAAAGCAAACGCGAGTGTAAAAAAAGAAGGGCGGGATGATCAACCGCGATTAGATGGAAGAAGGGGAGGGGAAGAGGAGAGGGGGAGGATGAGGAGAATAAGAAGGAATTTGGGATTTCGAAATCGGGTTTTTGGTTTTTTTGGGAGAGTGGAGGGGGGGATTCACGAAGGGAGGGGGAGAGGACGTGGGCCTAAGATGATCGCTTACTTTACGTGTGAAAAGCAAAGACCAACGGCGGGGCGAAAGCGGGACTGATCACTGGTAAACACTGGCCAAGAGGGGAATCCCATACCCAGCCCCCTCTTCGGCCACGCACTGTTGATTCCTCTCACCACTCACCTTTTTCAGCTGTAATAGTGTGCTTTCCCTTCCCCCCCCCCTTTCCTGAACTTTACCAATTTACCATACGAAATCGACACGTCGTAATTATTTCCTAACCTTGGAAGCCCTATAGATTTGTCCCGATCGTAAGCCCACATGGTTCAATTTACTCCATCGCCCCCCTTGGGTCATTATTAGATAATTAAACTACAGCCTACAGGGTCGATCATTTTATGTCTTGGACAACGTCTCCTGCGAGGGTGGGCCGAATGATTAACAGCAATGGGTTATTGAATCGGTGCCCCTCGCTCAATTTTATGGGGCGTGGGACTTGGAGGGGTCCTTTGTTTATCTAAATTGGTGTGGCATGTGAGGCGGTGGTGTTCGTGGCCGACTTCGAGAGGGGAGCCCCTTATTATCGGTCAATTTCGCCCCCTACAGGGGTGAGATTGTATCGGTCTCATCTAGAATTTGGAGCGGTCCAGGGTTAGGATCGTAGTCCGTGAGATGCATTCTCGCGATATGTGTATAGGTGTACTCCGTACTCCATATAGGGTCTGTATATAGGGTTTCTATGTAGGGTCTGTTTCTAGGGTCTCTATATAGGGTCTGTTTATAGGTGTATATATCTGGACGGAAAGAGAGATAGATCGCAACCATGGTTCCTATCCGCATACCCCTCTTGACCCCTCAGATCGCCATCTTCCACCTTGTACATCGTTGACAACTACATCTGACTGGATGCCACATTGTGCGGGCTTTGTCACACAACTCCGAGTCTCTGGGGAATGAGACAGGGATACGTAATCGGTATAGAGTTGCATCTGAATGTGAACAAATGCCGAGCTTGGGAATGGAGCCCGGTTTTTTTTTGCTATCTCCGCGCTACTGGGAGAGTTGCATTAATGGAAAGTAAATCGCAGAGTTGGCATCTAAATCCTATTCCAGTTAATCCAGTGATTCCACTCGTCCCGTCTCCTGACAGATCATTCCACTGTATGGAGTACTTTTGTCGCCTCACAAATTGACTGGTCCAGATCCAGTCTCACTTGGGGTCATTTCGACCTATGACGGCTAACCCCCGCCTTGTGGCTGTTCATCTGTTTGGGCTGTGCCACGCTCGAGATTATGGGCTCCATCATGCCATGGAGGTCCGCATCATGCATAGGATCGATGGGCCTTGTAGTGTCCTCGAGGCATCACCTGCCGGACTGCATAGAGAAAGGATCGACATGCAGACCAGAATGCAAATCGGAGCTTTGGATGGCATCGTCGACAACGTAATTCACCATGTTGCGACTGATGCATGGACAACACAAACACTGGGCCTCCGCTACAACGACGACAGTAAGACCACGTATAACATACAGAATATCTCGTACCCGTGAAAAAAACACTCCAATATTTTCCCCGGGATCCACACTGTGAAGTTGCAGTTTTATACACCGCAAAGCTGTCAGTTATACTCCGTACACCGTTACCTATCACTGCGGAGCTGTAAATTGGGTATCGCGAATTTCCGGCTCCTATCAGTGGGGCGAACCCAACACTTACATCATTGGAGCCCGAGGATCCCGGACGTGGAGCATCACGGTTACTTGGGAAACGCGCCTCGCGTGGAACACGGCATAAGATCGCCTTTCAGAACATCTCGATGGCCATAACAAAAGTGCACAGCCATATCGTCTCGCACCGCACCCCGTACCATCGATGTAGCCTGTGGCCCCAAGCACCCCCCTTGATTCGTGGAAGCCATCTCCCCAAGGACTCTCCCGGAGCCCCGGCTGATCGCCAAAAGCCTGGGCGAGACTTCCTCTGATCTGGTGGATCTAGACTATCGACTAGCTTCAAGCTCCAGCGGTGAAGCCGGGTGGCTTACGCTTTTTAGAAATCCTTTGACTGATTCTTGATGTCGTATCCCACCAGTCGACATTCCCTGAGCTTTCTCTTGGTCCACTTCCCGATGCAGCGGACCGACCCAGTCTAACGTTCTCGACCGAACAAAACAAAATATTCTTGAAGGGTGATAGTGCATGAAGCGGTGACTTGACCGCCCAACAATCACCGGTGGTGATGCCTTACCTCCAAAAATAATACAGGCGATCCACCATTCCCAATCCCTTGGGCCGAAAATACAGAGTAGGGCTTTCATTCCATGCCCCTCCAAGCGGTCAAAAGCACACTGGGCAAAAGCACTATATTCATCGAAAACCCGCCCAATAATGGATCTGCACTGAGGGCCCAATCGGACCCATTACGAATCAAACTTTTTCTATCATTTTTCCTTTGAACTTTGGTCCACCTCAGCAAGCCTGCTGCCGTTGCAAGAATTTCAGGAACCTCTTCCCCGGCGCCGGCCCCTGAGCTAGTGGCCACCGACAGCCGGCCTTGGCTGGAGCCCATCGTCCCGACAACTTCATAGCCAAGGTCCGGTGTCTCCGCCAGGGACGCCAGGACGGTCTGGAATCTCCCAATTTGGTTCTATTTTCGAGATAAGCCCAATGCCTGCCGCCTCGAACCCAAAGATGTCGGTGAAGCCTTAATCGTGTCAGTATACTCAATCTTCACCGCTTCTGCAATATGCACACTGAGGTAATTCCGCACGCCGTGGGAGGAATCTACTAAACAAGCCTACCCCCACTGGTCTCGACTTCAACCGACTTGACGGTGTGAACGAGCATCATCAGTGTAAACCTGAAATTGAATTTCAACTTGAATTTGAGAGCCCCATTGTGCGCGCTATGGCCGATATACTTTCGCTAAAGGATGGGTCTCGAAAAGGGACTTCCCAGCGCGCTGGCAAACCAAGACGAGGAGCCGTCTTCGATGGAGTCCCTCTCCACCCAACGCGTGCTTTGTTTCGATACATTGTAAACATCTTTACCAAACAGCGGGCCGCCAGTGGGTTCCAGGTATTACAGCATACGGAGTACGGAGTACATACATAATCACACATCCGCTTGCCTTCTTAGTTCAGGAAGCCTATTTCCGAATTGCGCGCTCGAACCGGCCGTCCCGACAAGCACGAGTCTGGACTCGGGCGCCCGCATTTTGTAATCCGTATCCAGAGACACGGGTGAATTGAAGTCTTCTGTGTACTACATAGAGTATCCCCATAGCATGTGGGACATTCGACGGGGCAATATGGAAAAAGAATTCGATCTAACCCCTCATTTTGGTATTTCTGTTTAGATGATTCACCTGCATAAACACATTTACACTTCTATAATCAATAGGCTGCATGACGTCTAAAGCCTTGTTTTGAACCATGGAAACATGATGAATCGCAGCTGCGATCGCCACCAAAACCCCTGGATGACGGAAGAGTGCGTCCGGGGAAGACCTTCCGGCCCATGGTTCACATCCGTCTAGATCTTGGTTTGCAACGCTCTGGTATCAGACGAACGAGTCACATTCTGGATTTCTGCAACGATCTATCTGCAAAACAGATGAAACCACATCCAGTCAATTCGGATATCGCAAATTTTTGTGTCTGTGTTATATTCCGCCGTGCATACGGATTACTCCATACCTCTCTCTCTCTCTATCCCCCCCCTCCCTCCCCTCCTCTCTCTTCCACCCCTGTCTAGTTGGGCGAATTTGCCCCGTTCATTGGACAGTGACTCCGAATGCAGGGGATAGAGTACACACAAGCGAGCACGGATTCATCACATTACCAATAAATTGATATGGTGTCGGGAAAATTGAGTGGGATTGCTGATCTCTCACGGGATATTAACCAGCGGAGATGACTCCTTTCTCCCCCCGCGGCTCTCGCAGGGAATTTTCTCGAAAAATGTGGACACCGTACTAAGTGGGAAACACGGAGAGCGGAGGACCTTCTTTGTTTGGGTTGTTGCGGCTTGCACGAAACAGAAAGTAAGGTTTGACATGCTGCGCCCAGCGTCGAGAACAAAGCAAATTTCCCACGAACAAACTTCCATAGTCCGTTAGACTAGGCCTGTTACTCCATACTCCGTAGCTGAGGCGGCAATTAGTAGAGAGAAGTGGAGAGAAAGGCGTTTTTACGATGTCTCGCTCTGAAACCGTGGAAAAAAAGGAAGGGTTATGGAAAGAAAAAAGGGGGATCAAGAGATCATCGGAGACCCAGGATTCTGGGTAAACAGGGGGGATGGCCTCGAGTCCCTATTGGACCTTTGATGCACGGAGCGGCAGGATTGGGTTCTCGGCAGGTAAGAATGCCTCCGGTTGGGTGGCTGGATGTTGTCTTCCTGGGTTCCTGCGACCCGTAATGTCCGGCTGCAAGGAACAAGGAAGGAAGGGTTTGGTGGCGAGTTCTTGCTTCCGAGAAGATTTGGTTTGTCAACTGGTTTGCTCTTGGGGAATAAAGTGTAAATATACTTTGAAGCTAAACTTGGAGCTTTTGCGTTGGGTCTTAGCATTAAGCTTCTCGGTCTCAGTTTTGCGTGTGAAGTACAACATATGTTATACGGAGTACGGAGTACTTCGGTTCATATTCAGATACTTGCGATAATCAATAAGATTCTACAGAGTGCCTTGTACGGAGTACACCATACTCTTCCATGAATCAATCGGTCTGGATTAATGGCACAGGTCAATTATATGGTTTGTTTTGTTGTAACTCGAGCACTTGCTTCAATTCAGAAATATGTGGAAGTGTAGACCTGCTTTGACCGGTATACATACCTTTAAGACTTGATTTACGGCATAGAAACACACAACATAGGTAGATAATTCAGAGATACCTAACCTTGACCTGATCCAAGGTCTATGGGTTTGTCGACATGATTATGGGTACATATAGACTTGGGTATACCTAACGTTGTATTCTGATCGACCGGTCTTGCCGTGAACAAATATATACTTCTACCGCAAAATCCCAGCTGCACTATTGTTTCCATCATACTTACAGCCAAAAGTGTTATTATTCTTCCCAGGTAAGTTGAGATTCAGATAATAGCAAGGTATTGTATACAATATACTCTGTACGAAAAAACTCAATTAGAAATGGACTCTTCAATTTGTGTTCCGACTCACCCGGGATTGAACATTTCTCTCAGACATGGGTATCAAGAGAGCGAATGACAAGCAGGGTGTGAGACCCCCCGTTAGCAGAAAAAGCTAAACCTCCAACTGCTGGATACTCAATAGACCACGTGCTCGATCTCCATGGTACGTATAAGCATCCCGTAGCCAGGCCTAGAATATAGTGTCAAGAGCGACATTATCGTATCTACCGAGGCAACCTCCAGTGGCTTAATATCACCTGAACTGTGGTGACTTTACGTGAGTAATTTCAATTATGCCGGGCATAATTCTTTGATACGATGGATGTTGTCGTCTCTATTTTTATTTATACAGGATCTACTATACGGAGTACTCCGTAGAAAGCAAGGTAGTTGGACTCATTACGCGTCATCTTAGAGCACACACCTCCCTCAAAAATAGTCATGTAGACCATAAGTAGAAACGGTCCGTTTCTAAGTGGGTAACCTCCCAAGCCGCTGGGTCCGCGGTGCATGGTTCTAGGTGCTGAGGAGCAACGGTCTTGCATATGCTCCCAGAATCGAAGGGTTGTTCTCGATAAGGCTTGTTCTCCCACCGAATGCCCCTCTAGGACTCCATGTAACCATACGGAGCATAGGATCCATGATTCACATCACGTACTAAGGTTGGTACCATGGTTCAACTCGGAACAGTGGGTGGGCCTAGCCGAAATCTGTACTGTACTCGGATTGGCCACAGCCGATTTGAAAATGGATCATGCCATGTGCTGCCAGTCAGAACGCCCCGTTTGAGCCGGGGGTACGGAGTACATAGCCACCTCTTCGATTACACACAACGTACGGAGGACCCTGTGGGAGCATGTATTGATCAAATTCAGCTACATGGTCACAGCTCGACGAAATGTGGAGTGTCTTCTAGCGGCGTTTATTGTCGGGATCCTGAAAAGCCTCGATTCAGAACGAGCCCACGCCTGGCCATGCAGCAATATCACAGAGTCTCACCAACACCTCCGCGTCTACCCATGTTTGCATCAATCGTGCCGGGCAAATTTGCCCTCGGTTTGCCCTTGAATGTGCTAGGGACGAGCGTCAGCACGATCCAACCCGAGTCCGGAAAGTGGGAGCTAGCATCCCCACTCTAGAGTAGCTCATTATTAAATAATATATTAAAAACTGCTTTCTAGAACAATTTTGGCGCTAGTTGGTTAGAGAATAGATATGTTTTCCGATGGATATCCGAATGAGTTCCAGAGTTATGTCCTCAGGACTCCGTACTCCGCACCTCTGAGGCACGAAATCCGTTGTATATGCACCCTCGTATTACTCGACAGAATTAGCAAAAAAGTCATTTGTCACACTGAAACCAGTTGTCAATCGATTATCGCACTAGGGCTTCCACATTGCTCCCTAATTAGTCGATTGGGCTATATGTGTTCTGAGTTGGGGGCCCCTTGCGGTTGAAACTAGGATATCCCTTTGGTCAATTATTGGAGACTGAAGATACGGAGTACTCCGTAGATGGGGTCTGCATATAGTATCCAAACAAGGGGAGCCTGCAGATTGGGGATCCTATGTCATTCTTCATACTCGGTAGGTGAAAACCAATAGACGCATCTTGTCTTCCATGTGCCAAACCACCAATAGCCGCGGCCGAAAGCCATGTTTGCGGGCCATAGACCTGGGATCTCAACTTCCCCCAGCCTTGGAATTCTTTTTCCCCCAATGCTTTTGTTTGGCATCTTTCATGACCAGAATTTAGACTATACAGACGTCAAACCGCATAATACATATGCAACTAACCAAGCTGAGCTCGGCACTCGAACTTGCCGTCAGCGTGGAAATGTGGCCGTAAGCATGGTAAGCGTGGGTATTTTGTCACACACGCACACACACACACAAACAGGCAGTGGGGAACAGTACAACAGAGACTGGGAGAAAAGAAAAACCCACAAAATCCCCAATACCTGTCTGGGTGAAGGGTGTAATAATTGCTCCAACACACGGGACAGGACGGAGTACTGAGTACGGAGTAGAGGGTCCATCTTGAGGGGCTCTTGCACTCGACTGAATTCGCATGGGAATGCAAGTTGGAGTCACGTCAAAGGGTTGTGGTACCTGTCAGACTGTGGATATCAATGTCAAGCATCTGAGGTGTCATTGGATATCGTGTTGACCTTCTTCATGCAAAAAGAGAAAGATTCATTCGGAAAGAGTGTCATGGTATGGTAATATCACTGTAATCTTACCTCTTGATCCTCCAAAACCCTCTGGCGGGCGACTCGACGTTGTATCAATACCGGTATTGCGTGACTGTTCCCGCCTCCACCTGGTGCACCTCCCCCTAATCCAATCCCACTTCTAGGGTTCCTCGCTGCTTTTGTTAGAATATATCGATGGTAGAGTCGCAGTATCATACTCTCGTTCTGTGACCAACTCAGCGCTCCTTTCTAGACAGACCGGGCAAAAAAAGGGACCCCTCCACCCGCACTTCCCCTCCTTAAGCGTCAAATTCAGCCATGAGCCACGGATATTGACTCAACCGATCCCCTCCCCAACCCCCCAGGAGCTCCCTGGATCGTGGTCCTGTGACCCTCGATGTTTGAGATTCGCGTGGCAGATCTAGCCGTGAACACTACTGCGCTGGCCAAGTCTGGCTCCGTTGCGACCGCATTCGAGTACACCGACGAACAGGCGACCACGCCCACCGCCATATCCCGCTATCGCGGTCGGGGAAACAGTGTATCACGAGATCACGACCATATCAACCAATCCCCGGTCAAAATGGCTTCCGGATATGCGGTCAGTCCCGAACCCCCGGCGCTTTTCGTGCGGGCCATGTACGATTATGACGCCGATGACCATACGAGTCTGAGTTTCCGCCGGGGCGACATTATTCAGGTCCTCAACCAGCTAGAAACAGGATGGTGGGATGGTGTGATTGACAATGTGCGAGGTTGGTTCCCAAGTAACTATTGTACCATAATTGCGGAGGCCGAGGATTTCGGCGACCATTTCGCCCACAGTCACCATGATACCGATCTCAGTGCGGATTCCGGACTCGAAGATGAATACGGCGATGGACACGAAGAGGAGGAAGCGAAATCCGAGGGAAATCCCCGAGAAGTCCAGCCAGTCCTCCCAATCGAGGGCATTCCTGCGCCCAAGGAGCAGGAAGAGGCCGCATTTTGGATTCCCCAGGCGACACCCGACGGCCGTCTCTTCTTCTTCAATACTCTCACGGGATATTCTACCATGGAGCTACCCTTTGAGAACCCAACGGCCACAGCTGAATCTGGCCCGCGAGATCGAAATAATTTCTTTGTTCCCGATCAGACGCGCCCACCCCCAGAGCTGATGGCGCGTGGTTTTGAGCGAGATGAAGACGAGTATGACGGGTCGGCCTCAGAGGCAGAAGGAGAGTCTTTGATGCTTAGCTCACATGACTCGATGTCTCGCCGACGTCAGTCCTTGATCGATGGAGTATCCCCTGCCACATCCATGGACTCTTTGTATCCCCCGGGATCCAAAGACTTCAAACCGCCGCCGCCGAGCAAGAGCCCCCAAGCAACATACAGCCTAGGTGGAAACAGTACGAGCACATCTGTTAACGAGAGCTTTTCCAGAGCGTCTATCTCTTCCAATTTGCCCTTACATTTTGTCGACGATGGCCTCACCACGCCAATCTCATGGTCTTTGCTTGTCGGTAATATGCGATACGCCGTGGATGATTATCGCCAGGCACTTTTCAATGGTGAGCGTGCAGAGTATGTAAGAAAGGCCGAGGACATTTCCGACCATCTTCGCATGTTGCTTGCTGCTGGATCTGACACGACGGATAACCATTCTGGTAATCCGTCTATCATTTCCACAAATAAGGCTCTGTATCCTTTCTTCCGAGACATGATGTCTAAGTTCTCGAAATTGGTTCTTTCGTCACACATTGCCGCCGCCGATTGGCCTGGTGCCGATTCGGTTAATAAATGCTTGCAGGAGGCCGATGGCGTTATGCAGGGCGTATATGGCTATGTGGATGTGGCTCAACAACAGCGTGGGGATGTGATAAGTCGATTGGTGCCTGGCTTCGTCAGCGGCAGCTCTTCCGGTGGTAGTTGGCAAAACAACGGTGTTTCCCTAGATTCATCGGGTCCGACATCCTTCCTTGTTCCGGATGGAAATGGTTCACGAGTCGAGCCATCCGTTTCTCTCGATACTGCGTTCTTGGATTCGATTGACATTCTTAGAAGGTCATTTGTCGGCAGTATCCGTCGACTAGAAGAACGCTTGGTGATCGGCCAGAAGATTGTTACGATAAAGGAGCACCAGGACATTGCTGATGCAATCTCAGCTGCCGCTATCAAAGTCATCGAGCAGTTCCGCCCATGGATATCTGCCGTCGAGTCGATGAACCTAGCTCCGCTGGGCACCAGCTTCCAAAATCCCCAACTGGTAGATTTCAGCTTACAGAAGCAAAGAGTCTATGACGGTATTGGTGATTTTGTCCTAAGCTGTCAAGCAATCTCTACCCCTCTGGCCGATGAATGGGCTGAGCTTCGGGGTGATTCACTCGACGATCGTGTGAACGCTGTGCGCGTCATCGCCAGGCAGCTGGAGAACTGTGTTTCCCAGATTGGCTTCTCATTGTCGCTGCTTCTTGAGCAAGTTCCTGCCGAACCAGTGTCATCTTTACGACGTGGTAGCCGTCAAGAAGTGGAAGATGACTACAAGAATATCCATAACCGAGGCGACTCCCAGGCAAATATTGCCACGGAATCAATTGGAATTCCGTCCTCCTACGCCCCTGAAAAGGAAGGCACTGATAAGGTACGAAGAAATATGGACAAGGCACAGCGATTCTTTGGCCAGGCACCCCCAACAGCCATCACCCGAGAGCCAGTCCGGGAGCCAGTCCGGGAGCCCGAAGAGACTCCCTGGTTCCTGAAAATGGTCCATGAAGGCGAAGTGTTTTACGATAACAAGGGCGACTCGCCAGTTCTCAAATGCGGTACACTTGCCGGATTGGTTGAGCACCTCACCCGTCATGATAAGCTCGATGCATCCTTTAATGGCACCTTCCTCCTCACCTATCGCTCTTTCACTACTGCCGCCGAGTTATTTGAGATGCTCGTCCAGCGGTTTAACATTCAGCCTCCATTCGGCCTGAATCAAGATGACATGCAAATGTGGATTGATCGGAAACAGAAGCCGATTAGATTCCGTGTCGTCAACATCCTCAAGAGTTGGTTCGATCACTTCTGGATGGAACCTAACGATGAAGTGCATATGGATCTCCTGCGACGAGTCCATACATTCACTAGCGACTCAATTGCTACCACAAAAACTCCCGGCACGCCCACCCTACTCGCTGTGATCGAACAGCGACTTCGTGGGCAGGATACAACTGTCAAGCGTCTCGTTCCGACACAGAGCACTGCCGCCCCCACACCTATCATCCCTAAGAACATGAAGAAGTTGAAGTTCCTTGACATCGATCCTACGGAGTTTGCTCGGCAGCTGACCATCATTGAGTCGCGCCTCTACTCCAAAATCCGGGCCACTGAATGTTTGAATAAGACCTGGCAGAAGAAGGTCGGCCCTGACGAGCCGGAACCGTCTCCCAATGTCAAAGCCTTGATTCTTCACTCGAACCAGCTCACTAACTGGGTCGCCGAAATGATCCTTACCCAAGGTGATGTCAAGAAGCGTGTTGTGGTCATCAAACACTTTGTCAATGTGGCTGATGTATGTTGTTCCAATGGTTGCTTCACCAATTCCGGCCTTGCTAACTCGATTATACAGAAATGTCGCGCTTTAAACAACTACTCTACCCTAACATCCATTATCTCAGCTCTTGGAACCGCACCCATTCATCGTTTGGGTAGAACGTGGAGCCAGGTCAGCGGACGCACCTCTACAGTTCTAGAAAACATGCGTCGCCTCATGGCTAGCACGAAGAACTTTGGCGAATACCGAGAGACTCTGCATCTCGCTAACCCGCCCTGTATTCCATTCTTCGGTATGAAACCCGACTCATCCAAGTAGAAAGACTTGAGGTCTCCAGCCCCCCTTTTTCCGTGGCTGATTGTCTTTTTAGGCGTCTATCTTACCGATTTGACCTTCATTGAGGATGGTATTCCGTCCCTAACACCTTCGGAATTGATCAACTTCAATAAGCGGGCCAAGACCGCGGAGGTCATTCGGGATATTCAACAATACCAAAATGTCCCTTACCTTCTGCAGCCTGTCGGCGAGCTCCAGGATTACATTCTCAGTAATCTTCAAGGCGCTGGCGATGTACACGACATGTACGAACGGAGTTTGGAAATCGAGCCTAGAGAGCGCGAGGATGAAAAGATTGCAAGGTATGCTGAAACCACAAGCAGAGACAAGGGCTCCTTGTTGTTTGCATCCACCGTCGCTATTCTGCGATAATCCTTTTTCTTTTCTTTTTTAAAAAAATGGCGTTTGGCATTTGCTCAACGATACCCAAATGTGACCTCCTATGACCTCCCCTCTTTTTTTGGGCAAACAAGACAAACCTGCTTTTTCTTTTCTTTTTTTTCTCTCAAAACTGTTCGGCTGTTGAGACTAACCATTTTCGATTGGAATTTCGTAGATTACTATCTGAGTCCGGTTTCCTGTAACCCGCAAGATCCCTGTCAGGTTGCATCCTGCGGGCGCGCCACCAAACAGGTTCGCCGACCACTTCCGCCATTTGCGCGCCAATCGACAGCGCCATTGTTTTACCCGATTCATGATCAACACGGACCAAGTCGATTTTAGGCATCGAGGGCCCTCCCGACTGTGTCTCGGCGATATTAGTCTCCACAGTGCCTCGCCTTTTCGCCTCTCAGGGCGTCCCAGGGCTGGATACTTGCAGATCGATTTCTCTCATGCATATCACTGTTTCTGCGAGACCCACCGGAACTTCGCCAATTAGCCCTTTTCAACTGCTCGCAGTTATCCCGTTCTTCGCGCATTTATGACTGCGCTTGTGAATACCTCATATTCGCTTTGATTCTCAAGATACCTTTCTCCCGACATGGCCCCAATCGAGATGTCGGGATCCCTTGTCTATTCCCTCTCCTTCCCTCTTCTATTCCTTGTCTCTCAGATGAGATTACATGTCTCAGGACGCCCCCACCCCACCTCTTCTTTGTACTGATTGTGACATATTCTGGCCATATCTTCTGTGTATATTTTCTTGGCCTTTTTGTTTCACCGTCATGATTTTTGTTTCTTTCTTTAACATATCCCCTCATGTTGTCGCCTGGGTGAGGCGATTTGCTTCTTTTTCTCAAGCTTATGTCCTCGACGCCGTCTTCTGAATAATGATACGTCACGAACGACTTGAGACCTTCGTTCATGTTCGGTGGACGTTACCAGGTGGAGTTGGCTTGATGCTTTCCACTTCGTTGTATCTAGTGTTCTACTACTTTGGTTCTTGCCCGGAATTTTGCGGCGCGTGTTCCGGGTCAATAGAGGTTGATTCTCTTGATTGGTCATGGATCCGCTGCACTATCACGTGTTACTACATCAACCCATAGACTGCCATTGCCTAGGGCGCTCTTTAAATATGGTGAGATCTGAAGTCGTAAATTTCGTTTATTCGCAGCAACTGCAGTTGTGGATATTCAGTGATCATGATGCATCGAAGGCTGTTGCATAACAAAGCCGGACAACCCGAGAGGTACCAGCCAAGATAGCAATGCAAAGGAAATAAAGTAATACCAATCCGCTGAGCGCCGAGGACGCCAAGTGAGGCTAAAAAAAGAAGCGTGCCAGTCATGTCAATACTTGTCAAATCGAGGATGCCTCAGCGTCTGAGCTGAATCACTCCGGGGTTTGGCTTCCAATGCCGTGGAAGAGCTTCATCTTCGTTTCGGATGCGACGAGACCCTTCACTTCCTCTGCAACAATCCGCTGTCCCCCGCGGACGACCTTATCCAATTGTTGGTCTTTGGCGCTGGAGGTTGTGCCGCGAGGACCGGTGCTTTCCATCCCACGTGGAGCTTTGCGGACCTTTTCGCTGAGATCCATGATCTGCTTATTACCGAAATCGCGAGAAGTGAATAGCGGGCTTTGACTGAGCGTCGCAACCCAGTACTTGTTCCACAGTAGAGACAATATTTGCGCATCGAGTGTGCTCTTGAAGTGACTCACATCAAGGGAATAGTACTGATTGGCATGTGCACCGAAGTCCTCTGCCTTGCCGAGCGGGATAGTTTGATATTCGTCATCCTCGTAGGCCTCCTTCTGCGGGGTAAAGTTTGATGGGAATGTGCGGAAAGCGCCGATCTCAACACGACCCGCAGAGATGGTACGATCCGGATCAATGACCACGGCGACAAAGGGCCCGGTCATTTGCTGTGTTTGTTGGGTGGCGACGTCAATTCCAGAGAGCCAGCACCCGTAGCCGGGATGACTGTGGTACCATCCGACAGCATTTTCCATTCGCCCTCCATCTCGGCACGACTGTAGATATGACACCATGTATTCGTTTGCCTCGTCCTGTGCATTCACTCGGGTCTCGGTGCCTTCGACTGGGAGTCGGAATGCATCTGTTACCACAAAGGTATTCGGTAGGATGTAGCCTTGCATTAAGCCCATGATTTCCAGGGAGCCACCTGAGCGGGCGTGCATCACCATCTTCAATAGGGCTGTTGCGGAGATTCGGACGTGCTTGAAATAGTATGGGTCGGTGGCCCATGGTCGCTCGGCGTTGAGGGCTTTTTCGGTGTTTTCATCATATTGGTAGAGGGTATCTCGTTGGGGATCGAATACAGTGATGGCATTTTCAAGCTCTATGTGAGAAGATTGGTCAATTGAAGCTGGTAGTCATGGGTGTGTGGAGGTACTCACCCCAGGCTTTCTGGGCAGCAGCTTGCATTTCGGTTGAAAGAGGATGGGGCGGAGGATCGATTATTAAATAGACTATTGCAAATGCCCAATGACAGGAAGCAAGGACACGCTGATAATGGGGTAATCTGCAAGGACCGGAGAATAAATGGAGATGCTATCTGAAGTCAATGCATGAAGGACAGTGATTAACCCGTGGGGTTGATCATTGATTGGCAGAATTGGGCGGTGGGGCTGCTAAGTCAGCCGTTGCCCGGGACGACGAGCACACCCAAACACCCATTTGCGACCTTGGAAACTTGATGTTATCATCTCTAATTCCAGAACACCCCCTCATAAACAACCCCAGTCTCCATCCTCCTATGTCGCTCTCCTAAGAGCTTTCGCTGCCTTTTACTTTCGTTTACTTCCGTCGCACCTTGTGTGCCGAGAACCCTGTGTGTCGGGCTCTGTTGTTTTGACCTTGACGTTGGTCATCCTGTCGCAGCTTCGCTCGGCGCTGTGCGTTGGATTGGATATCATATTTTGTTATCAATCTAGAATATTGCACCCCTCACTTGAGGTACTCTCATCATGGGTGTAGACACCAGCTACCTGACTACTCAGGTCAACAACATCGTCGCTCAGCTCCATGATATTTACGATGAAATTGGAGTTCCGGCGCGAGAGCGCGAGTCTCGTGAGGCAGATGTAAGCTTGAACTTGGTGTAACAATGGTATTGTTCGGTCTCTAACAAATTTGTACAGCTCTTCAGTGCTCTGTCAGAGACATTGAACAACCATCTCAAGCTTGTTGATGAGTGAGTCGAACGTGTAAAAAAAACCTAGTGTGGGCTCGCTAACGCTGCCCATAGGGAGAGGGAGGATATGACACAGGAAGCCGAACGCCTCATTGTCGCTATCAAACAGATGGAGTCGTCCTTGAGTGATGAAAGGGCCAATGGCCAGTATGAGCTCAACCACGACGACCTTCGCGTCACTTACCCGCTCAACCGATGTATCGCATTTTTGCGGGAGAAGAACGAGTCAATGAGCAAGTTACATCGCGAGCGCTTTGAACAGGTTAAGAGTGAGTGTTTGGTTGAGATGTTGCGTCACTGATGCCCTTTTACTAACATCTGCTAGAACTCGTTGAGGCCCTTGAATCTTATTCCTCACACTTGGAGCCATCATTCGTCAAACTCGAGCTTCCTCCCACTGCGCCAGATTCCTCAATCCCGCCGAGCTTCGATCTTTCGCCTTTGTACGTCACCGCGTTGGATGCCGAGTTCACCCACGTCTACGAAGAATACCACCGTCGCATTGCCCAAGTCCAATCTGCCTGCGAGGAGATGATCAAGCTCTGGGCCGAGCTCGGAACACCCCAGGCACAAACAGACTCCAATATTGTGAAGTGCTATCGCGACTCGCCCGAACAACTTGGGCTGCACGAAGACGATGTCGCCAACCTCATGACCAAGCGTAACAAATTACTGGAGGAAAAGAAGGGCCGCGAACGCAAGATTAACGAACTCAGAAACACTGTGATCTCCCTTTGGGATCGATTCGGGGTCGAAGAAGGTGACCGAAAGGCATTCTTGGCTGCAAATCGTGGCTGCGGTTTGCGCACAATCAACGACCTTGAGGAGGAATTGACACGCCTCAATGAGCTTAAGAGACAGAATCTCCACTTGTTTGTGGAGGATGCTCGTTGCCGACTGCAAGAACTTTGGGATTCACTCTTTTTCTCCGAAGAGGAAATGCTCGATTTCACACCCGCATTCTCCGATGTCTGCAGTGATGCCTTGCTTGAGGCACATGAGGCTGAGATTGCGAAGCTGGAGGCTCTTAAGGAGCAGCGCGCCCCTACCTTGGAGATGATCGACAGACACCGTACGCTTCTAACTGACCGCCAGGCACTTGCAACGTCAAGCCAAGATGCATCTCGCCTGATGGGCCGCGGAAACAAGGGAGAGAAGCGTGATCCTGGAAAGCTCCTGAGAGAGGAAAAGATGCGCAAGAGAATTGCAAAGGAATTGCCGAAACTGGAAGCCGATCTGCGTAAAGAGTTGGAACATTGGGAAGATGAATTCGGCCGACCATTCCTGGTACATGGGGAGCGATACCTTGACGCCTTGACGCCTGTCAAGGCAATGCCCCCACCTCGATCCAAGACCCCATCTGCGCCGCCCCCAACCATCAAGGCCAACACAATGAGACACCAACCGCCTCCCCGCCCTGGAAGCTCCTTGAGAGGGCCACCTCCCCCTCGCTCCGCCACCAAGACCCCTACTAGCACTGGTCCAGTTAAACATAACACCATTGGCTACGGTGCCTCTAGGGCTGGAGCCACCTCGAGGGCCGGTGCAAACTCTCCATCAAAGCTTCCGGCGCGTGTTCCACTTGGAAATATGCCCCATGGGAACAACTCTCCTGAACGTCGTATCCAACCTGGTGCCTACTCTTCCAGCACACTTAATGGAAAGATGCCGCCTCCGCGTGGGCCTCCCCCTCGGATGCGTGCATTGACGGTCGAGTCAAGGGAAGACCGTTTCAGTCACCTTCTGGAACCTCCTCGCTGCAACAGTGCTATGTCTAGTGCCTATGTACGTCCTGTGAGCCCAGAAGACCTTTACGATGAACGACAGCGGTCCTTCATGAGCACACCGGGATTCTCAAACTCACAAAGATCTACCGGATTTTCTCATTCATCTCAATCCTCGCAATCGTCACTGTCTTTGAACTCTATTCAAAACTTCCCCCGGCCCAACCCATACCTGCAGCATGCGGCTCCACCGCCAGCCCCCCGTCAGGTCTCGAATTCCTCTACAGTCAACACTACTGCCTCTGGATCTGAGAACTGGGAGACCTTCGAGGACGGTTCGGGATCCGAAGCCGATCCTAGTGATATCTACTATTCTAAACTCCGTGCTGCGCAAGGAGGAAAGCGTTTTGCACCGGAAGATGGGGCGGATCTCGCCGGCAAGAAGGCCAGGGGCATCCGAAGTGTCAGTCCAGATGGTCCGCATCCCGGGCAGGTCCTGCGCGTTGCTGGCAGTGATAATGAGTGGGCCGATGACTATGAAACCTACTAGATGTCTCAACATCGCCTCGATACCCTTCCCATAATGCATTCTCTCGGCGCCTCGGATGTCAACGGTGGTCCCGTAACCGTTTGGCTTTTGATGATCCCACGACTGGACTCTGCACGGCTCATCATAACCCTCGGTCTCCTTTTCAAGACTGAATTTCCTTCAATTCCCGACTGGCTGCTTTCTTTTCCCTCCGCGAACGACTCCTCTCCGAGGAGCCGACTTCAACTTCACTTCCTGTCCAAAATTACGAGTTCGTCATGTCCACCATGTTCATGCCCTCCTTCATCTCTTGAGGTTTTCGAGCCCACTCCTGCGTCTGGCTGTGTCCGTCCACAGCCTTTTGAGGAATCCTGTCATTCACGCCTTCTCCGACTGACTCCTTCTTTGTTTTGATCTCCACTGGGTTTAATATTCTCTTTGTTTTTCTCCTTCCCCGGTTCCTCTGGAATGGTGTTATTTTCTTCGTTTCTCTGTGACTTATGGTTCTTCTTGGCTTTGGTGCTTCTGGCTTATTCCCTGTTCGATCTCCGGAGTCGACGCCCGTGGTTTTCACCCAATTCTCTATGTATTTGTCAGCGAAGTACAGTGTTTTGATATAGTGTGGTTAATTCAATCTTCTGATTCTCTTTGTTATTATACCCGAAGTCTTCTCTCTCAAGTAAAACCACAAGACCTAAGCATGCTAAGCTCCTTCCCAGACCCCCAAGTGCCCCCCGCCATGCTTATTGGCTGTTGAGTTCTTCGGCCGGGGGCTACGGCGTATGGCGTTTGCCAAGAGCAGCTTCAGTCCAACAGAAGAGTTGGCTTCAGAATGCTTGTCCACGAGACCAGAGACTAGAGGCGACAACATTGCCCATCAGAGGGGGCCAAAGACTCAATAAGACTAACGCGGATGCCCATGTTGTAGCAAGATCCCACCCCTCGAAGGCCATGCTACCACATCCCTGCTTATCTGCTTGTGCTGGACGGGCTCCGCACTCCGTACAGAGTTAGCGCTCGCGTTATTCAACAAGCCTCAATTCACGATGTGAGCTTCTGGGCAATCCCTTTAATGGAGCCGCGTGTTCTTTAATCAACTGATTTCCTAAGCATTGTTAATATACAAACGATTTCAATTTGAAGTGCGTCTGGCGTCGACTCAGTCGACCACAGCCATGAGCATCTGTGGCAGTTTCTTTGGACCTGTGGTCCACCAGGCTGTTCAGTCGGGGTTTATCTGCATGGCTGAATGGCCTGTTGAGAAAAGGCCATACCTTGGTACTAACTGGTGATACGCTACCTCACATTCACGAGAAACTATCTTCTAGTGAGTCCGATCGATTTCTAGAGTCATGGGCGTTGTATAATGAAAGTCGTCAACATGCGCTGCTACTGGCCGTCTTCAAGTGTCTTCGCTGGGAGATTGCTACTATTGCGATCCCTCGGCTTGCCCTTATAGGGTTCAGCATAGCGCGGCCGTATTTGACCGGCAAAGATCTTTATTGACAGACCAGACATAGCCATAGTGCCTCGACCATTGATTCGGCATCGAATCAGCTCTCTCAGCCAAGAAGCCTTCCTGCAGGTACCATTCGGCAAGATATCGAGCCTTCGAGTATCGCCACAGACGTTGATATCATCAAAGCCATCTAAAGTGTTGGAATTTGGAATGTTCTTGTATCCGCGACGAACAGTGGCCCCTACAGCAATGCTTTGCTTGATACAGTACTGTCAGACAACTTTGTCTGATGGCCAAACACAGCTCTTTTGTCTAGCGAGGGCCCTTCTCAAGAAAAGTAACATCCTGATACTGGACGAGGCGACAAGCAGGTACGTTTATATTTTTCGAATGTCTCTTTTCTTCGGGGATGTCTGGATGTTTACCCTTTTGGGTTAAGCATATAGAAGTGGAGTCTACAGGCCCCACCTTTATCTCCACCATCTCACTTCCAGGGTTTGCCTCTTCCTACTTGATGTCATCATCTATGTATCTATCCCATACTATGAAGTCGAAATCTGACCCAGACCTCATAGATTACCCAAAACTAGGCTAACTCTAGATGTCGTGAATGAATGCACCGGTGATTATATCAGAAACATTGAGATCGGTTTATATCAGATACAAGTATGGTACAGGTGCTCGAAGACTTCTCCTTACCGCTTAGTTGCAAGAGACCCCATCCAACTTTGATCTTCAGGCAAGGTCCCCTTGGGAACTCTCTTGCCAGCAGATGGAACAAGGGATTGAGTGGATGCCTTCGCATCCTGCACCCGGCGAAGAGTCTCGTCTCTTCCAAGAATTGCCATAGTCTCGGGGATACCAGGGCCAGGGGCGGAAGCCGACAGTGCCCAGCGGAGGTAGTGGTACAGCTCTTTCTTGAAGACTTTGTCTGTTGTGATGGCTGCGGCGGGTGTCTCTGATTCAGAAACGGGGAGGACAACGCTATCAGAGCCATCGTAGGAGTTGATGTTGAAGCGATGGTTTTCGATGTCCCAGTGAGAGGAGGGCACAAGCGTGAGAGCAGCTGCAGCGGTATGCAGGGCTTGAATAGGGACTTCGGGGGAAGATGATGAAGACGAGGGCGAGGCAGGTGTGTAAGGAACCCTATCGAGCTTAGGCGTGAAGAAGGTGGAGTTACGCTGAGCGAATTCCTTTGCATCTGTGTAGGATTTGGCATCGGCGCGGATGAGCGGCGCGATGTATTCAGATAGAGTGCGTCCTTTGAGGATCGTGTTGCTGCTAGATGTCAGTCATTTTGATATGCAAGCCTTTCCCGGATATGACCATCTTACAGTTTGTCGACAGGATGGGTTTCTTCCACCACTGAGCTTACTCTCTTCACCATCTCGTCGAATTCAGGACCGCCATTTGCGGCAAACCGTTGGGCATGTGCCTTCTGGAGGAACCAGAGCTTCTCAAATGCGACGACGGTGTTGCCCCGGGTGATTTTTAGATTGAACTGGTAATATGATTAGTAGTGAGACCAGGCCGTATTTGTAGGATCAGATAGGAGCATACGATTTGTTCCAATTCCTTCAAATCTAAGACGTCGGACTTCTGGGAGTGCGACCAGCCTAGCAGAGAAGCAAAGTTCACTAGGGTTGATGCGAAAATTCCTTGCTGATCCTTGAATGACGAGAGGTCAATATCTGCGTTGCGCTTGCTGAGCTTTTGTCCGCTCTGGTCGACGAGCAAAGGGACATGACCAAAGCTCGGTGGAGTCCACTTAAAGGCATTATACAAGGCCATGTGCATAGGTGTGGATGGCATCCATTCCTGGCAAAGGTTAGCTAAAGATCTCGTTGAACACTCAAGTATAAGAAGTAACTCACTGTTCCTCGGATGACATGAGTGATCTTCATGCAATGATCATCCACCACATTCGCCAAGTGGTACGTGGGGTGTCCGTCAGATTTGATAAGGATTGGGTCGTCATATACGCGATCAATAAAATCGAGCTTCTTGTTGTTGGTCCGGTTCTGACCGGTCTTGCCATAAACCAGATCATTGAACATGGGGTATTCCTCCACCTTCAATCGAATAATGTGTGCCTCCCCCTTGGCTGCCCGATCTTCTGATTCCTCGGCAGACACGTCACTGCATTTCCGGTCATAACCGGGGGGTAGTCCTGCCTGGCTGCGGTGACGGGCGATCGAGTCCAATCGCTCCGCGGAGCAGAAACATCGGTATGCATGGCCGTTAGAGATCAGGTCATTGGCGTGGGAGCGATATAAAGCCGTTCTTTCAGACTGCATAGGAATATGCGGTTAGGATTGTTTCCTCTATAACAAAGGGAGAATGCCTCACTTGTCTGTAAGGTCCGTAAGGTCCGCCGACAATGGGACCTGTCAACAAGATTAGCGGCAATTTCCCTTAATATGAGATATATGTCAAATCCAACCTTCATCCCAGTTCAATCCTGCCCATTTCAAATCATCGTAAAGGCGCTGTTCAGCGCCGGGAATGGTCCGTTTCTACCCTCAATCAGCCGTAGTTCATGCAACTGAACGCAATCCACTAACCTGATCGGTATCCTCAATGCGCAGTAAGAACTGACCGCCAGTCCGTTTTGCCAGCAGATAGTTGAAGAGTGCCGTCCGTAGGGAGCCTAGATGAAGATAGCCAGTGGGCGAGGGCGCAAAACGAGTGCGCGCAGGAGCTTGTGGCAGTTTGGATTTCGAATTACGGGCTTGAGCGCTCAGGGAAGAAGAAGAACAGGCTCGACATTGGATGCAGGTCCAGGAGCGCCGGGCAAAGAGCCCACTTTGAGGGCTTCTCATGGCGAGTTAATCGAGGGACAAAGGTTGTAGTCCAAAGAACTGCCGATCTGTTTGGATTTTGCGGAGTTGCGGCGCGGAGCTGCCGAGACAAAATTTCTATCGCAACTTCTTTGGCTCCGCCTCTCACAAGTCCATCACCTCTCTTTCACAGGCCTTTAATTGGCATTTTATCTTCATTAGTGAAAGGTCCGACCGCATTTCATTCGGATCACTAACAAGTAAGTGGAAAATGTTAGGTGTTTTTGTCCCATCTGCTAACAATGCCTCAAGTGGCTTCGGCTACTGTTGACCTCTACGGTATGCGATCCTTATCCCTAGCTCGCCGACTTGAAAGGAACACAATATTGATTGCTTTTCTACGCATATAGAGGTTCTGGAGATTCACCAGAGCTCTACCAAAGATGACATCCGCAAGGCATACCGCAAGGTAAGGTCGGCCCCGATCGTTCCGTATTCCAGTGATACTGACGGTCACTTTCCGAATAGGCAGCCTTAGCCAGCCACCCCGACAAAGTCCCCGAAGCCGAGCGCGAGGAAGCTTCGATCCGATTCAAGGCTGTGCAGGAGGCCTACGATATTCTCTACGACGATGACAAGCGTCACCTCTACGACACACATGGCATGGGTGCATTCAACGGCTCCGGTGAGCCGGGCATGGGAGCAGCCCCCGACCTGGATGACTTGCTGGCGCAGATGTTCGGTGGTATGGGTGGTATGGGTGGCATGGGCGGTATGCCCGGCATGGGTGGCATGCCTGGAATGGGTGGAATGCCCGGTGGTCGCCCGAACAAGCCGCGCAAGAGCCCCAACGAAGAGCAAGACTACGAGATCAGCCTAGAGGACCTGTACAAGGGCAAGACTGTCAAGTTCTCCAGCGTCAAGAACATTATCTGCGGACTCTGCAAGGGCCGGGGTGGTAAGGAAAAGGCCACCCCCAAGAAGTGCTCGACTTGCGATGGCCATGGCCAACGAGAGGTTTTGCAGCGCATGGGCCAGTTTGTGACCCAGCAGGTGGTCGCCTGTACTACATGTAACGGACAGGGCTCATACTTCTCTCCCAAGGAGAAGTGCAAGAAGTGCAAGGGTACACGAACCACCGAGGCGAAGAAGATGCTGGAGATCTACATCCCTCGAGGTGCCGGGTAAGACCGCCATTTTGTCCAACGAAGTTATATCATCACTTACTCATTGTATTATAGGGATGGAGACAAGATTATATTGGAAGGCGAGGCCGACCAGGTTCCCGATCAAGAGCCCGGCGACATTGTTTTCAAACTCATTGAGGAAGAGCACCCCGTCTTTGCCCGCGCCGGTTCTGATCTTCAAGCAACCATCGAGATCACTCTGGCTGAATCTTTGACCGGATTCTCACGCGTCGTGATCAAGCATCTCGATGGCCGCGGTATTGAGCTCAAGCACCCCCTTACCCCTGGTGCTATCCTCTCGCCAGGACAAGTCCTCAAGGTTCCTGGAGAGGGAATGCCCATGAAGCGCACCGATGCCCGTGGTGACCTTTACCTTGTCGTTGACGTCAAGTTCCCCGATAGCAACTGGAACCCTACTCCCGAAATGATGCAGCAGCTCAAGGAAATCCTTCCTAAGCCCGCAGCTCTCATCACAGCCGAGACTGTGGACGAGGTTGAATACGATCCTAAGGGTGAGATCGAAGAGTTCGGTGCACAGGATGGCCAGGGCGCCTCAGGATGGGAAGACGAAGAGGAGGAGGACGAACCGGCGCAGTGCGCTGCTCAGTAGATTTCTCCTGGTATAGACGGCGTCTGGGGCTTTGCATTATTCTGAGGGTCTGTGAATAGAACCACCTTCTCGACTCTATGAAGCATGGTTCGTTGTAATTCAGCTTGTACCTTGTGTGGGATCTGGAATCCCCGGTTCCACTCACTGGGGAGTGGATCAGAGTGGAAAGACAGCGAGGTGAACGACAATCCATATCAAAACTATTTTCGTGGCACAATTTTCCTTGGAACGGTAGAGAATATCAAATCCCGTGGACTAAGGATTCCAACCGGCTTCCACTTGTTGTTGCACGGAGTTGTCTGAGTTACCTGATTCAACGTATAGTAAAGCGCCCCCCCCCCCTAGACATACATCGTAGAGAAAGATAGGCCACAGTCTCCAGTAAAGTCAACAGAAGGGAAACAAGGTATCAAATAGCCATCAGCAGCGCAAAACTACATGTCCATGTATATACGCAGACCATTGAACCTGTCCAGCCAACACGGGATGCCGAAGCAAGTCTGTGTGGGTTCGGGCCGGGACCAGTTCGGCCTCGGCTTCCAAGGCTTAAAGGCTATGTTCTCTTCCTGGACCAAGTAATCTGAAAAAGTATGTGTGGCAAACACAACTGGAACTGACAGATGACCCGAGCATATACCGAGCCTTTGACAGAAGATGCTGGGTTCGTGCATTTGAAAGGCACTTTCTTTAACTCGGCAATCATGAAGACATGCGTAATATGACCGGCCTTCCAGGGAAGGTTCCTCGAGAATCAAGACGTTTCAAGAACGCTGTTCTAGTGGTTGACGGATCGGAGGACTACCGCAGTCGTCATAACGACGCAGCGAAACCAAGAGACGAATGAAAACAGCAAATGGTAGAAGTTTTGCGCTTCTTCGTAACGTAGATTGGCTGGGGGTGCATCTTAATAGCTGTCATGTTGGCATTGCTATTGCGGACGAGGAACTCGAGTGTCCTCGCGAGGAGCTCAAGGCGCGTGGTGGGTTCTCTATGCCTGAGAGGCAGACGCCGTGACAAGAGATATCCCGGCGTGGGACAAACCAGCTGAATGAGGGCATGTCTCTACGTGTCTCTGTGAAGTATCAGAGCGTCGTGTGGCCCTGGGAGAAACCTAGGCACCGTCGTTGATGTCCATACTCTGTCTACGTTTACAATGGAGGCACCCATGTCAACCAAGGTACATCATGAAAAGCTTCATATATTATGTATTATTAAGAGACATCTCCTTCAGGGCTGACTTGCTTGGTTTCACCATCAAGGTTACTTATCCCGAACACCGCGTAAAGGTGCAAGTCTTGTTCAGGTGTCAGAGGGCTATCTGTGACAGAATGTGGGTTCCAAAGAATTGACTCATTGAGATCCTTTTTTGTTCCCCAAGACCAGTGGATCCAGCTAACCAAGACACAAGTCAACCCATCGCTATCCGCTAAGATCGTTGGAGGTGCCTGCTGTAGGACGATGTCCTTGAGGGAGTGTGGTGGGGATCAAGCGGGACGACAGACCAACAAGTAGCTCAGCCAACCTTCACCTGGGGAGTTCTGGGGAGAAGAAGAAGAAGAAGAAGTTGGGGGGTCGGGCAGGTATTTATACCCTGGGAGGGGGAGGAGTGCCTTCCACAACGGGAAGGCACTTCCTTTTTGAGTGATAGGATCGTACCTTCCTCAACGGGAGGATGTGAGAGAAATGAGAGACCACGGCTATTTTATAAGGGATTGTACCTTTCAAAGGACATACATTGTGCTCTATGCATCTACTCTACAATGTGATGTATCTCATAGGTCTAGAACATACCTACCTACATGTACGTAGTAGAAGCCACTTCGGCAAGTATTTACATCACAATGCTACTAATAAGTGACGGTCAATTGAGCATCGAAATATATCTTTTTTTGCACAACGAAAGGGAGAAATGTGATAAACATCTTCCTTACCTGATGATTGTCGGCTTTGCCCACAGTAAACTACATGTAGTCAGTTAGATGAGTCTACTCGCCCCTATGTACAAGACGAAAAGACGAATCGTATACCCTTCAGGATAGTATGACTGACATTATGAAGCAATTCAATTATGCATGAATGTAATGAGAAAGGAAACCATAGCTCAAATTCAAACCCCCTAATCCACCTATAGTAGCCATTCCCATGCCCTTGAGCCACGGATGCGAAGGTTTATAGCGCTTAGGGCCCGCTTCATACAGAACCGAATTTACTGCCTGAACATGCTTAGTTGCGGGGCACTTTCAGGATTGTTCATTGCTGTGTATTGGAAATCATAGTCCCTGATTGGAGCTATTCCCACACTGAAACAGCAATTGAATTTGAATCATGTCTGCAACCATCTATCAGTTCCACTGGTTATATTAATCGCCAAGATTGGGCATTATAAGCTTCAGCATACCTAGTTTTCAGAAACTTACACTTCTCCATCCATCACCACCACAAGCCATTGAGCATCAAGGGATAGCAGTCTTTGATTCAGACTTGAATGGTTCACTTGATGACCCCTGAGTGCCATTAACAGAGTGATGCGAAGATGGCATACTGTTATTAAACAAGATCTCGGCTAGATAGACACACAATACTGATGCCTGGGAGGTAAAGTCAGATAACGCTCAATGGTTTTATATAGATCTAAGGCTCACCAGGGCTAGATCCATGCCTTCCGCAACATCCATTCGCCATTCAGGTCGTTTCCCAGGAATATATGTCGTAAGCTTATCTGTTCTTTTCGATGTCATCACCAAGGTACCATTGACGTAGAAATTCGTTCTCAGTTTCCAGATGTCTTGCCCACGTGCTTCAATCACAACCTCCTTCCCGTCCATGGCAGCATTTGCAACATAGACATCGAATTTGTCCTTGAAATAGCTCCATCGAGGTGCAATCGTAACGATTGGCTCACAAGATAAACTACCACCAGGAAGCTTAACAAACCATGTCACGCCAGCTAAATTCCGTGTGATGTCGAAGAGCGGAAGACCGGTTTTATCTAGAAACTGGTGTCGCTGGGTCAAAGATGCGATTTTGCCATTGACGGTGAACAGCGTCTTTGGGTTTCCAGAAGAACCGTTCTCGTCATTTGACCATTCTGAGATCGTAAAATCACCGCCAGACCAACTCAAGCTATGCTGTTTGACCCGAAGAGACATGGACCTGGGGGCAATATGTTCAAGGCGAACAGCAATGGGCTGTTTGGGGCTGGTTACTGTTGGAGCCATCTTTATGGAGGAAGAGAGTGCGAATACTGTCTAGACTGGCTGGTCTCATCTCAAACTGATCGATAATATTGTGGTCAGAGAGTGAAGTATGCCGTAGATATTATAGTTAAGTAGAACGGTGCACACGTCAAGTGACATTGAGTCGGGCGTGTTCGCGGGGCCAACACCCCCGGCAAATTAAATTAAAAAAACACCCAACTGTGGTTGAAACTAACCTAAAGCCGGCACGATCCAGGAGATCCAGGGCGCATATAACGCCCGGGCGTGGGGGCTGTATTAGACACCAGGAATCCAAGTGACGTCATTAATATGGAGTTCCATCCTATTTCACTGCTATGACTGGAGGATTGCAGTGTCTAGGACAAAACAAACCGATTTAAAAGTCCTTGAATGCCTGTGAGAAACCTCAGGCCTTTGAAGCCTTGGAATAATCCACATCTGCTTGGTGCTTCTTCATATCAACGATGCAACAGACTGGCCTGAGTCCTGGCTCGTAGATTGATTAGATCCTTGTGATTTTGACAATATGACAGCTTTCTGGTGTTTTGCATGATGTTATTTTATGGCAGTTAGGTGGTTGCAGCTGGTCGGGGTATATCGTGTGGTCCTGTGTCTGTTTTGGAGTCTTCCTAAATGGCATTCTGGCCCCCGGGCTCAAAGATCGGCGCGAAAGAGGTACTGGAGTCAAACCCTCGAATTCACTCATTCTATTCCCTGTCAGACAAGAGATCTGGACAGATTAGTGCTGAGAGCATCTTAGAGAGATCAATGGATTAGGAAATTTGGAGACAAAATTGAAGCATCGTTGAGGGGTTCTCATCGCTCAATCCTCTTTACCATGCAAGAACAGTGCGTGACTCAATCCCTCAGGCAGGCTATGAAAGCGCAGTGGCTAGCGTCACACTAGTGCTAACGAGGATGGCGCAGTTAGTGTTGATGACGACACCAAATGTAGCTCCACGAGGGGCTACCCGTGCTCTCTATGTCTGGTCTTCTAGCCTAATACAGCATTTAATCTCACCAAAATTGTTCACCATACATCTCCAGTCATGGAAGTCACATACATATACCCGTATCCTGGTACCGCAAACCCCTCGGGGTTCTCGATCGCCAGCTTCCTGCCACAAAGAATACATCGCAAACTCACAATCACGCCTGATCCTTAGACCACAAGGCGATGCCCGATCAGCCATTTCATTTGAGATCATAGATGACGATGATAGTGCGGTGAAATTCACTGTGACTGGGAGGAAACATAGCGATCGCTCTTCTTGAGAATTTCGCGGCCCTTCAGGACTGCTCCTGTTCGAAATCCACTAGAAAGCTGTATTTACGCATAGCTGGTCTGTCGCACTACCAGGAAGCAATGATGCGATTATAGCCAAAGCGGCTCCCGTATAGTCCCTTGTCCAGGGTGTCCATGACATTAATCTGTCATTTGAGGACTAAGCTCCCGCAGATGCAACAGAACAAGAAGAAAAACAAGTCGAGTTGAAGATCGAGAGACATGGCAGAGAATTGGCGCCATCTGATATAGTGGACGGGGATAGGAAGCTGGCAGTGGTGCGACATGTCATGCGTGTCATGTCTAAAGTTCTCTAGGGCTATTTGTTTGGCTGCAGGGGAAACGTAAATGGCCGATATCACGGATTTTTCACATGAAAGCTAGGTACCCATGTCAATTGATGTGCCCCCAATCGCGTTGCTCTGATTGAAAGAGCCTGGATATCCCGACGGATAGCAAAGGAGAATACATAGTCTTCCCAGGTGACCCCAACTGCTTGTATCTGGGCCGGTCATAGCAGTGAGACCGGATGATTCATAAAACAAGGAGCTTCCGTGGGCTCGGAATTCTCCATCGGCCTATCTAGGTGGTCTCGGCAGACTTGCCAAACAATTGGCAGTCGAGAAGCTGCCCACGAGAGCACACGGACCCGATTGCATAATTTTTTTCGGCCTGCATGATAGGCCACTGGGGAGATTTCAACAGGGGTCGACTTCTCAATTTGATTAGCTCTTGTGAGGTCTGGACCGTGGAAAGCGACAATGCCCGACAATAGCCCTGGTGGCGACCTCCAACCTCTAGAATGAAGTAGATGAGGTAAGATCAGCTTGCCGACCCATATCAGAACGTGGCAAGATTGAATGGCAACCAGTGACTCAAAAAAGGCATGACAAAGACAAGACTTTATACAACTTTTCAGGATCCATACATTGCATGTACATATGCATATGTACATGTAGGTTTCGGATTTTAGGGAAACAGGCTAACTTTGCGTTATCTTGCATCAATGGGCTAGCACTAAACTGATTTTGTCTATCGGTCAACTTATTTCAACCTCCATCGATATAGCTGATGTGTGTCATATTGAAAATTGAGCAAGCATTTGAGCATTCAGTGGCATGAGATGTGGTCCACTTGCATGAACAAGGATATCGTAAGCCTGTCTAGGAATAGATTTGTGAATGTGCGGCGTGCGGTGTGCAGCTATCACACCATGTCTTAGCGATGGTCATAGCAAGGTTGATGAATCATAGTCAATCCAAGGATAGAATGGCGTGGAAATATTGGAAATATCACGGGGTAAGAAACAGGATCGGCCTGAAATAGACCAGGCTAGAAGAAAAGTCGGATCAGCTTGTAAGCTAGGACAACGCCGAGAAGCACATAGGGCTGAACCATGAGATCAGCTGCGCCACGAAGGATTTGATAGCATGGGAAAGAATTATTAGAAATTATTAAAAATAACCAAAAAAACACCAAGAATCAATATCCGGTTTCTGGGTATCAGGAATGTATGCCAAGGGCTCGAGGCCTTGAGGCAGAAAGGTTCCTGGCAATTGAAGCTATGACAGCAAGGGATCGGCCCTAGAACGGACAATAACAGGAGAGAAAGGGCAAATCCCGCCTTAAGCCAAGGGCTCGGCTGGTCCACGTGAAAATCTTTCAGGTCAGCAGTTACGTACCATGATGTACAGCACCCGCGTACATTTGCTGTGTACATTTGTCTCTTTTTTTATCCGCTTTTCAGCCACCGGCAGCCACTGGCAGCCACGGGAATCCTGCGGCCAACTGCGGGAAACCTCCAGAGCTCCCCGTTCGGGTTTAGCCTTATGGGTCCAGAGGGTCGATTTGACTTTTTCTTGTTCCACATCTGACCGCTCCCCATATATCCAAACACACATTCCTTATTTCTACTCCATATACCCTCTCACATCCAAATCACTATGGCGACATTCCTCCAGTCAAATGCTTCATCTCTAGCACACGCCCTGGTTGAGCTCTAACACAGGTTGTGTGTGTGTGTGCGTGCTACTGCGTGCTGCCGATTGCTGCAAGCCCAGGCTCCTTCAAATCTTCTTATTCGCTTCCCACCCTCCATCTTCATCATTATCAAGAACAGGCCTGTGCCTGCAAAGGAACAAGACTGCGAGCTTATCAGAGCCCCTTTTTCCTGGCGCGTTTGAACACGCCAACCCCCCTGCTCACCGCATCGATAACGGAAACACCCTATCTGACCAGTGCTGTCTGACCTGGACATTCCCAGTCATCCGAAATTACAACCCCGTGCCAAGTGTGCCTGCTGTTCCACATTCTTTGTTCACGGAAAGTTGGTCTCTAGGGGCCTTTATTGAGCTTCAGTGAACACGGGAAGACCCGTCGAATTCCTATCTCGACTTGGATTTTGATCAATTGATATTTTCTTTTCTTTTTCACCATGGCTGTCGACTTATAGCCCGATCTAGCCCTTGAAATTCTTTGCACTTCAGCGCTGTTTCTTTATCAACCTGAACTTTCCCTCCGATTTTCGCAGACAAGTCATCTTCGCTCATATCCATTTTTTTCCCCTTTGGTCTTTGGTCTTTGATACCATCCTCAATCATGGCCCCCAACCTCTTCCTCTGTGCCCGCACCATATTCTGCCCGATCTATTGGTTTCAAAAGGGCAATCGCGACTCCAACCTCAAAGAACAGCACTGGCAATCCCCCGTTCCGGGCACTTACAAGTTCTTCCCGGGACGCGGATGGCACCTCATTCGTCGGGACGACTGTGATCATGATGAAAAAGTCCCCGCTGCGCTAGTCTACTGCCGCATCCTTCACCGTTACATGTTTGAATCTGAACTGGAAAATCGCTGTCGCTGGTTCGAAGCCCCGATGCACAAAGGTGGCCGTCCGGAAAAGCTACGCTTCTTCCGCCTTGACGACGGTATCCACTGGGTCGCTGGCTGGGATGCCCATGGAAGCTTCATCCTTGGCCCTTACCCCAAGTGGTATCTCGATGAAGATGGACATACCATGCGTCGCGGTAATTCACCGCCCACCAGTGCCAATGTCTCCCGTTGCAGCAGTATCATCGCTGGCAAATTTGAATGAGCGACTTTTCTCAGACCCTCCTGGGGTTGATGACAACCCCTCCTCATTATGATTGGGATTCCCATCATACAGATACCCATTCTGTTAGCGCTTGATGTTTCGATTCCTGCGAAGCGATTTAGCGTGTCTTTTTTTTTTCTTGTGATAACACTCAAAAGTACCTGGTCTCGATTTTCGTGTTTCAATGATGGATATGTATTAGGTGTTTTACCCAGAGCTTTGCTCTTTGGATTTTAATTTTCATGTCATAGATCTCAGGTTAGATTAGACTTTGATGGTCCAGGGTTTCGGATGATCTACACGGCGCACGTTTTTGTCTTTTCTTCACGGGGATTCACATTCCTAGGATGATGATCAATGCAAATCAATAGAATACTCTCTTCTCAGCCACACCTCATCCTCCTTGCTTGAATTTGTACTCCGTCCCTCAATTGATGTATATAATGGTCATGCGACCGACTAATCTCGGTTCAAATTTCCCATCTACAACAAGCCTCGCAGAACAGCACACTGCAAGGGGGGAAATATATTCCACCGATAAAACAACTATGTACAAACTACGGAGTACTCCGTACTCCAAATCCGCGAACCACATTCTATCGCCCTCACAATTTCGCCTCAGGCTTCACCAGTAATTTCTCCAACCCCCGTCTAGTCCGCTCCTCCATCCCCGTCTTCCCAACCCGCATAGTCTCCCTCAACACAAAAACATGCGTATAATTCCCAACCATCTTAACATCCTCCTCCCCCTTCCGGAAAATCCCCACTTCCCAGGTGACGCTCGACTTGGTGAGCCGATTGACCCGCAGCCCGACCTCCAGTAGATCCGGGAAGCGGACCGACGCAAAGAAGTCCGCATTCGTCGACACAATCAGCCCAATCTGGTCCGCGCCAACTGCCAGGTTGGACGGGGAGGGGAAATTGGATGGCTGGGTGTTCGGCGCTGGAGTCGGGTTGTTCACACTGAAGGGATCCATACCGCACTCCTGGATGAGCCATGTATTGGCGATTGTGTCGAAGAGATGTGTGTACACTGCGTTGTTGAGATGCGCGTACATGTCGTTGTCGAACCTGTCATCGGTGTGAGTGGTGTGTCGGGGTGGAGAGCTAGATATACTGACCATCGGGTCTGGTGTACTTGGTGGAAACCATAGTCGCTGCGCTTGCGATGCTTCTTGGATTGGGTTTCTGAGGTGGCCATTTTCTTTTTTTCCCTTTACTTTATGGTATGGTATGCTTCACGCTGAGTCTGTTTACGGTCTGTCTAAGCTTGATATATAACATCGGGTGTGTGCTTGCGCGGACCTCGGCATATCGGCGATTAAGTAAGAGGACTACACCTGACCTCAGGTGCCCAGGTGCCCGGCTTTTGACACGCACACCACACTTTTTGCTTGAGTAATCACCAAAACAATCCTTGAATACCTAAATTTCTCGTCACTAGGATGCAAATATACATACCAGAATCCCAAAAGATCCCTAAGCCCTAACCTGCCCTTGAATGACAAGAAGTCTACACCTGATGTTTTGATGATTCCTTAAGCAACCGGAAAACGAATCGAAACGATGGATTTGGGGGTGCGGTGACCAAGATCCGCTCCGTTCTTTGATTTTACTTGGCTTTCATCTGATTCACTTTTGGTGACAAAGAAGGGGATATCGAGGCTTTGATAATATATATTTAGCCATGCCCTCGGATTTATGCGTGTAGGTATTATAAAAATTTTTTTGCCAGATCTCTGGTGTTCGAGTGACCCATTTCTTCGGCAGCTTTGCTATCTTATGTTTCGAGGGATTGCTGTATAGTTCATCAGAATCACCATGGGATCTGCTTGTGAGGTTGGAGTTCAAGCTCTGATCTTATGCGGTCCTGGTACTTCATTTGAGACTCTCCTTAAGCAAGAGGACACCCCGAAATGCCTTGCCCTAATCGCTAACAGACCGATGATATATTACCCGCTGGAGTTCTGTGAGAGATCCCGAATCAGTGGTACGTCAAAGAAAATTCAGGCCTAAATTGCTCCTTCATTGACTGCTTTAGATGTGACATTGATCATACCCCCCTCTGCTCTTGTTCATATCGAAGCTGCACTACAAGAGAACCCTTGTTTGGCATCACTTCCCAAACCCAAAGTCCTCGCCCCCCAAGATTTGCAAGCGACAACAGCAACAGCACAGTTGCTCCGCCTTCCCGAGGTGCAGTCTTGCATAAGAACGGATTTCCTGCTCCTGCCTTGCGATCTTGTCTGTGAAACTGATGGGAGACACCTGTTGCAAACATGGCTGGCATCGCAAAGTCAGAAAGGACTGACTGGTAAACAAGACCGCCTCGGCAGTCTTTGTGTATACTATGAAGTAGAAGATGCCGTAGAGAATGAGGTCGTGGATCTGATAGCTGTTGCACCACTTCAGCAGAGTGAGGTATCTGCACAATCCAACCACGGAATATCAAGGCTACTCATGTCCACCGGCATGGACCTAGTGAAACGAAAGCTGGAGAAACAGAAAGAGTTTTTTCTCCGTTGTTCCTTGACGAAGAAACACGCAAGAGTCAAAATGCTGACTGCCTACCGCGACGCTCACCTCTACGCATTTCCTTACTGGGTCAAAGATCTTGTTCACTGCCAGGAGAGACTCGTATCTGTGAGCGAGGATCTAATCGGTCTTTGGGCCAAAGCCACATGGCAGCGTGGATTGGGCGAAAAGCTAGGACTGAACCCTAGTCTGAGTGAACAGATCGACAGCGGTAGATGGAATGGCTACCGGGATGTGAGCACCACGTCCCGTCGACCACAAAGCGGCTTGCCAGAAGTACCATCTCTTCTAGCATACTTGCACGCAGGATCTACGCCACTGGTCCGTCGGGTGGACAGTCCTGCTCTTCTCTTATCGACATCCCTTCGTCTAGCTAGACTGGAATCTGTTGAAGAGATCGCCCATACATCTACTCCTTCCCCATTTGCTCACGACCAAAAGATCGCCTCTCCTGAGGGTGTAGCTTCACGCTGCTTCATCTCGAAGGCTGACTGTCTCCTTGGACCTAATGTTATTGTGGAGGCAAACTCTGTGATAAAGCAATCCTGTATCGGCCCCAACTCTAAGATCTGCAGTGGCGCTCGGCTCACGCGATGTGTCGTGCTTGAGAACGCTGTGATTGGTGAGTGCTGTGTCTTAACGGGGTGTATAATCGGGAGTCGAAGTACGATTGGGAGAAATTCCGTGCTTCAGGATTGTGAGGCTCAGGGGGGCTATGTTGTTCCTGAAAAAACCGAGGCCAAGAACGAGAAGTTGATGCCAGTGTTTGAAGACCTCGAGGAGGATGTGGATCGCTTTGAGAGACGTGGTGACAACGGTAGTGATAGAGATTCTCCGTTGAGATGATTACTGTTCTTGGGGATGGCAGGGATACTTTATATTTTCTCCCAGGCAGCCTCTACCATCACAACAGCAACTTTGGCCGAGCGGTTAAGGCGCCAGACTCAAGAACATCACTTCTTCACTGAGCAAATCAGTGAGCATTCTGGTCACGAAAGTGGCGTGGGTTCGATTCCCACAGGTTGCATAACTTTTTGTATTTATTTTGATCTGATCATGGATCTGACTGACATTTTTTTGCCAATTTTTTGTTTCGAACTGGAGGGGGTACCTTTGGATCAACAGGCACAGGTTCTCTGGTCGACTCAAAATCTCTTGTGGGGCGAACTGGGAATCTAAACTTTGGGAAGGTTTTTTTTTTTTGCCCTGATCAACAGTTTCTCTCTTTTCGCAAATTCCTCGTTTGTCTTCTTGGTCGCCTATCTGGCTCCTTCACCTCGTATTACGGCCTATTTGCTACGGCGAGGGAAGCTCAAGCTCCCGCCAAAGCCCACCATGGCCCTCATGAATGTCGATCAAGTACCCCCCCCTCGAAACCGGTTGCAACGCCCCCCGATGTCCTCGTTACTCCCTGCGACCCGTGGCCTGCCCCTTACTATCTGGACAGTGGTTTCCGTCGGGTGAAGCCATACCATTACACCTACAACACCAATTGCAAGGAGCGATGGAGGGGTCGCGAACTCGTCGAGATCTTCACTTCCGAATTTCGCGATCGCAAACCGGAGTATTATGTACGTGAATATATGGATACCAACACCATATACGGGGGAAGCGAATCGCATGCTAACAATCACTAGAGGAAAGCCCTCGAGGATGGCCTTGTACAAGTCAACGGCGTGAGAGCCTATCCTGAAACACGACTCAAGAACGGCCAGGTCATCTCCCACACCCTCCACCGTCACGAACCGCCTGTGACCAGCCTCCCCGTCGGAATCATTCATGAAGATGACGACCTTTTGGTCATTGATAAGCCCGCCGGTGTACCAGTGCACGCCGCGGGTCGCTACCACTTCAACTCAGTCATCGAGATCCTGCGCTCCGAGCGCGGCCCCGAATTCACCCCTCGCCCATGTAACCGACTCGATCGATTGACATCTGGAATCATGTTCATTGGAAAGCACCCCAAGGGTGCCGAGAAAATGGCTACGGCGCTCAAGGCGCGCACCGTCCAGAAAGAGTACATCGCGCGCGTGAAGGGCAAGTTCCCAGATGGCGTTGTCGTCTGCGACCAGCCAATCATGCAGGTGAGCCCGAAGCTGGGTCTCAATCGTGTGCGCGCCACTGGCAAAGAGGCTACAACCAAGTTCCGCCGTTTGGCCTACTATCCTCCCGAGACACTTGCAGATGCTAGCTCATCTAGCGACGACGAGCGCCCCGCTACCCCGCCTGCGTCTTTCTGCAATGAGACGGAGGGATACAGTATTGTGCATTGTTACCCGCTGACTGGCCGCACGCACCAAATCCGCGTTCACCTCCAGTTCTTGGGCCACCCGATCACTAACGATCCTATCTACTCCAACCGCCGTGTATTCGGACCAGAGCTTGGCAAGGCCGAGGCGAGTGCGGACCGCGATGAGGAGATTGTTGCGAGACTGTCCCTCATGGGTAAGACAGAGATTCCCGATACAGTCTCTTACCGCACCCATTTGACCGCTGCGCCGAATGTCCCGCCCAACACTGATCCGGTGCTTGTCAACGAGATCATGCACCGCGAACAGATGGCCGCGGCCGAGGACTACGAGAAGCGCAAGGGCGAGCGCCTGTCCGGTATTCTCTGTGAAGTCTGCGGCACAGAGCTCTACTCGGACCCAGGTCCCCATGAGCTGGGCATCTTCTTGCATGCCGTCGCATACGCCGATAAAGACGGCGATTGGGGTTACCGCAGCCCCATGCCTCACTGGGGCTTGCCTCCTCTAGGCATGGAGGGTCCTCGTGAGGCCCCGGATTGGGTACCTGCTGCCGAGGGCGAGGAAGTCATCATTGGCCATGGCACTATCCCTCTCGGCTTGGGTGATGATGACCAGGCGGCAGATGCAAACTCTGGCTCTGTGATTGTGGAAGGTGTTGGTCTTGTCAATCTCGCCGATGCTGCGAGGATTATGAATGAGACTCCCCGTGAGGAGGCGGCGGCTCCGGCTGCAGTCTAATGGTGTTGATCTTTAGATTTCTTACAGATACCTTTCTATTTATATCATGTTCCTCGGAGTGTCCTTTGTGGAGTGTGCGTTGTCTTTGTCTTCACGATACCACTCTGCTGACTTGCGAGAAAAAAAAGTTCATGAGCATAGCGTTTTGGTCTTGCATGATGGGTTGACATATACTTGATTTTTGGGCTTGTTACTTTCTAGTACATAGATTAGGTGCTTTTCAATATGCTCCATGAAACTGCCGCAACCTACCAACAATAGTCAGGCATTGCCTATGTAGATTTAAATGCCGAGTTGTATGTGCTTTGTATCGAAACACCAGGCAGTACCTAGGTACTCCATTCCACTTTCACAGTGAGATCCTTTTATATCAGCAATGCTTGCCTCAGAGTGGTACAAGTGAAGGATAAACAGCACTCCGCCGATCCCGAATCCAAGTAACTTTGGACTTATTACACAAGGTACTTAGGTACCTAGGTAGTATAAAAGCACGTAAGTGGAGCACGAGAAGCTTCCGAATAATATATACACATACATATGCATACAGGTACGTACATGTAGGTTATAGGTACCTATTATGCATCATGTAGGGTTTGCAGGGTTTGCATCTGGGTTACATATACTCCGTGTCTCGCCCATCTCCAGGGATAGAATATCTTCTGAGATTTCCACTATCTTGCCTTGAATGCGTTGAGTAGGAAACAACCTTTCTGGCTAGCTGGCCACTTTGCTTGTTTCTTTTTTCCAAATAGCCTGCTAAAGCAAGCTGACAATATCTAACGACTGGAAACCTTGGAAGCCCCAAGGCACAATCAAACAATGCACGTGAACGCAGACAGTATGGTTTTCGACTTTGCTACATTCGACATTGATGCTCTTTGCAGCTTGGCGACTGCGTCCCGGAATGGGATTTCTTGTTCCTGCGACCCGAGTCAACGCCCAATGCATGGGAGTTTCAATTGGGCAGTAATTGTCCAGTTCGAGGATGGTATTGAGTGGATAATGCGCTCCCCTCGATCTGATTATGGTCAAATTTTTGGCGAAGTGAGCGGATGACTTCTTGCGAGTGAGGCTGCAACACTGAAGTACCTCGGACAGGTTGGGGAGATTCCCGTCCCAGAGGTTTATTCGTCTAGGCATGATCACATACCGTAATAGTCTGATCCATTTACTGATGTGCCAATAGTGCATCCTGCAAAAATCCTATCGGTATCCCCTATATCTTGATGAGCAAGGCTCAAGGGCCACCTCTTCGAAAGGTCTGGACGACCAATCCTTCAACAGACCGTCTGACTCGCGCGGACAAAGCAAAAGTCATCTCCCAATTAGGTCAAATCACATGGAAACTCGCTCAAGTTCGCTTCAACTGCATTGGCTCACTTTTCGAGAACGACACCTTCGAATTAGGGGAACGCATGTCTCGGGGTCATGTTCTCCGTCAACGTTATTCTCTAGATGAAATCCCGCGGGGACCTTTCGCAACGGAATCCGATTTCTACAATAGTCTCACAACTGCCATGGTAAATCACGCAGAATCTCTCCCTCTTTCCCCCCACTGTTTCGTTGCTCTAATACCTTCCCGCGGGGACTACGAAAACGATGTTGCCCACCGTGAGGCCTGTAGTCTTTGGAACGGTTTCGTGGCCATCGGGGATAAGATCGATTCTGCAGAGAATCGCTTAGAATATATCCTTGTCGCGGATGCGGTTTAAGATCTCATTATCCAACGTACAAAGGACTACCCAACGCATACTTTACCAGAGCCATTCCCTCTCTATCATCCCGATTTAAGCGCCAACAATATCTACGTTGACGATGACTTCAATATCACATCGATCATCGACTGGTCATTTTGTTCGTCTGTTCCACTTGCGATGCTATTGACTCCCCCCGGGCTCCCCCAACCCCGAGATACGCTTCCCGAGACCTTGTTAAGGTCTTCAGAGAGGCGTATAAGGATGCTTCCTGCACAGATTGTCATGATGAAACGCAGCTGTTACTTTCCTCGGACGCAATTAATATTCTAGAGGATAGCGATTTTTCATGTTCTATAACCAGACTCCTTGCATTTGATTCGACCGATGGTTTACGTCTTGTCCGTACCATCTGGAATACAGTCCACGATCCGGATTACGATCTTGAGATCTTTCTTACCTCACAGAGGCAATTGCCCCATTACATAGTCCTATATGAAGAGATGCAGGCAGAGGACAAGCCTATTTCTGAGATCCGCAGACGGGAGAAGGATTATCCCAGTGATACCATGGATCTCACACTGGCAAGAAATCTCACAGTCGTCTCGAATTGGGGGTCTCGGTATAAACCGCATCTGAATCGTTTCCAAAATGCGAATATGTTTATTGCAGATCCAAAACTCTGGACATGGGTCTCGAAGGTTAAAGCACAGCGCGCTTTATAATCGCACCCATTGGAGCCACAGACCAAGAAACCGGAGGTAAAGAGAGTCTATAAACAGCAGCCGAGCCCACTGAACAGGACAAGGCAGACTTTGGTCCTCCTACTAACCCACTAACCCACGCGTGAAGTTATTCATACGAAACAGAACTCTACACATAGCGACAACTCTAAAGTAGATCAACCTTTTGCTTAACAGCTTGTTCATGACAAATTCCGCTATCAATCCTGAGACACGCCAATGCTATATATGCTGCTACCACTCCGCAATGCAAACCCAGAAGAAAAAGAAAAAAATACAAAACCGCCCAATGCTCAACGCCCAGCAATGAATAAACAAGGAATCCGGGAAATTTTTTAACTAGTCACCCATCTTACCTTCTTGCACTGCTCCATATCCTTTATTGCAGCATCAACCCGCCACAACATCGTCCCTGACCGTGTCCCTGGCTGCGGCTTGCCGCGCAGGATGGCCTTCGATGTCGTGCAACGCAAGTCTGCAGTAAGCCGATACTGGGTGCATTCTGCGTCTGCAGCGCAGTAATCCGCACAAGCCTCGAATGTCGCAGGCGTCTTAGGACCGGCATAATCCTCCTTATCATCTCCCGCACTTGCAGAATTATCCCAATTATCAAGATTATCAGCCAGAGTCGGGCGGACGAGGTTACGGAAGATGTCACTGTATGTCAGAACATTCGAGTTTGTCTGGCCAATTGTTAGCAAACATGGTCTATGGTTTCACCGCGAAGAATCAATATTTCCGATAAACAAGAAACTCACGTGGGCGAACCACTGCTGCTCGAATTCCCAAAACCGATCTACATCCGCCGGCGTCATATGATGGAAAGTAAAAGGGGCATGACACCAAGGCTTCTTCCCAAACCCCTCATGTACCATATCCTGCTCCCAAACCGACTGACTGGTAACATGGGGCCAAGACCAAGTCAAGCTCACACCAGCCGCAGCAAGCGCCATGCCAAGAACACAATCGCCCGCCCACTCGCGATCCGTGATCTGATCCCACTCGTTGATATGCAGTTTGTGGAAATCCGCAACGGCATGGATCGCTGCGTGGGACAGCACAAAGCCCGACCCGCCGTGCGCGAACACATTCGACCCGATCTGCATCTGATTCCCGAGATAGAAAGCCTTCTCGGGATTGAAATGGGCCAGCCAGCCGAGCAGGTTCGGCCAGATCGGGTACGTGTCTGCTTCGAGGAAGACGAACCACTTGGCGTCTGGGCGCGCGCGACGCGCTGTATGGATCATCGGGAGGAATTTCCATTTATCCAGCTTCCATCCTGGATTGTCAGACATGCCGGCGGGGCCGTTGGCGACTTTCGTGCGGTCTTGGGAGGTTAGTGCTGTGCGGCCGCCTGTGCGGGCACGATTGTATATCGCGAAGTCTTGGTTTGCGAGTTTGAGGGTGTCTGAGACATTGAGGAAGACGTCGTGGGTTTGCGTGCCGGCGATGTCTTCCTCGAAGTCTGAGACGATTATCTTGTGCGGGATGCAGCGGAGCGTTGTTCTTAGATGTACGGGGACTTTGGCTTGGGCTTCGGTGATGCCGGTCTTCATCACTACGAGAACATCTTCCATGCCGGGGAGTGGTGGACATGATGATGGGATATGTTCGGGTTTGGGGACGGTTCCGTTGCGTGTATCAATTGTTAGACCTGGGGCGGGCTGGATCACGTCCTGCGTGCTGTTGGTCCCGAAGTTGGAATGGAGGATATGGAGCATCAGCAGGATCATGACCACCGGGGCCAGGATCGGTCCCCAGCGACCATATCGGGCTGGGAGAGTGGGCATTTCGGGATATTCGGGATGCAAGAATGAAGAAGGGAATCGAGCACAGAGTAAAAGGGGGGGTGCTTCAATAGATATATTCCGAACTATCGGTCTCCATATCCAGATGGAGACCTTAATATAAACACAAAATGGGAGAATTGGGGATCTTCAGGAGGGGAACGATGTCCTTTAAGTCATGTCCAGGCAGACGTGGGGGCCTATGGCCTATGCAAGTTCTTGAGAGGTTGGCGGTTAGACAAACCAGTTAACATGGTACCACTATTCTCGAGCCAGTAATGATCTGTTTGGCTGCAGAGGCCATTCTCGATGAGACATTGGCAAATCGGGGTGCTGTGATATGTTCGGTGCCCGCTTTGCTCGGGACTTTTAGCTGGTGTTACGTAGGTCACAGTGGGTCCGACGATCTGAAACCTGTATAAAGCGATTATGTATCTCATAAGATCAAGGGGCGTCATAGTGTCGATTCCATATTTACCTTGTATATTGTAACAAGAAAGAGAGGGGTCAATGATAGGAGGGGGCATTGGTTGACGGGATGTTTTTAGGGTTACGTCGGGTTCGCAGGGTACATCCATGGCTACGGAATGTATACACGTGCAACTACAAGGCTGAGAAGGTCCAGATCAGATTGGAATCTGCAACACCTTATTCCTTGAAAATGTCTTGACATGAACCAAAAAAAGGGATTTTTGCAATTTTTGTTGTCATTTCAGAGAACAATTCTCTCGCTGTGAAGCGCCCGGCACTATGACCAGGCCCGAGCTGGACATGCCATGCACAATCCTTAAATTTCGTTATCGCCAGAGAGATAGTATCGCCATACAAAAACCCTGACCTCGTGCACCAATCCCAACAAAAAGGAAACAAACTGGGTTTATTCCATTTAAGCCTCGGTGGTGACACGGCCCTTGGGGTTAGTGACCTTGACACCGAGAGCCTTGGCCTTCTCGACAATCTCAACACGCTTGCGGGAAGAAACGGCGTGGCCGATCCTGTAGAAATCATATTAGCGACTGAAGGAATGTAGAACGCGATAGACGATCTCGCTGGTGGCGATAGGTGCGGTGGGACGTACTCAGCAGCGAAGGTGCGGTTGTGCATAAGGAGGAGCTCGACATCCTTGGTGTTGTGGACGAGGAAAGCCTTGTGGCCGGAGGGCATCATGTGGCGGGTCTTCTTGTTGGAACCGTAACCAATGGAGGGCATGGCCATCTGGCCCTTGAAACGGCGACGAACGCAGTTATCAATTCCCTTCGGCTTGCGCCAAGAGGAACCGACACGCATGAACCGATCACTTTGGTGACGGTTGAAGCGGTTGGTGCCTATTGCGATCCATGTCAGTCCTCCGATCGCGAATGTAAATAATTTGTGCCGCCGTGGCCTCCCATAGCTCTGCGGATTATCGTCGCCCTTCGATCCAAAACAGTTGGTGATTCCTCCGACATCAATCCTCCAACGCTAGGTTCTTGTCGTCTTGTGCATCTTGCTGAGAGTGTTTTGTTTCATTTGGTCGATGATCGAAGGGCGAGGGTATCCAGGGCACGAAAAGGAATGGAACAGGTGATCGGGAACATACGCTTCTTCACGATAGGGATGTGCTTCTTAGCGGCGACCATCTGGAATCAAAATTAGTGTCTGCACCGAAAAGAATGCGCATGAAAAACTCACCTTGTCGGTATTGCTGGGTCTCGCCGGGCGTTCGAGAGTTGTCGAGTCGGAGTTCAATCTCGAAAACTTCTCTCTCAGGTTCTCCCGCAGCAGAGTGGGAGACCCACACTAGTGCGCTTTGGGCGAACTAAGCGACCACTTATGTCAGCCTAGGGTTGGTTTAGCCCTAACCCTAACTTCCCTCTTTGGGTAATATCTGGAGACGTTGTATAGTTACTTGAAGCTTTAGTCTATGAGGGCCTGTATGTTGTACATGTTCTATCTTTCTTATGAGGCGCATTCATTCAAAAGTGGTTTCAATGTGTGATCTTAAGTTTGATTTGATCTGCAAATGGTCTCTAAATATCACTGCAAACGCAACTGAACTTTCTCTCCATCTTTTTCGCCACTTCGCAACATCTGCTCCAAGATCTCCAGATCCGCCAACGCTTCCTCGGGTGATTGTCTGCTGCTAGGTTTTCCACTTACGATGGAGTCCGCAAACTCCGCCACCTCGGGTACAACGCCTTTACCATCAAACTTAATGTGGTGCTTCTCACCATTGACGATCACATCATCGAAGTTCAAGGTGACAACACCTTTCTCGCAAGCAACCTCGAAGATCTGATCATTAAGCAACGATCCCCAGGATAGGGAGATAACACCCGTAGCACCAGATTCAGTCTTAGCGACGGCATCTACTGTGTCAACCGGTGGCAGGAATGATTGCTGCTGTTGCGAATAAGCCGACAGAACGCTGAGACGCTCCGTGGGACCTAGCATCAGACGCAGACCAGCAGTCATATGCACACCACCATCCAATAAAAATCCACCTTGGTGCTCAGGGGTCTTGCGCCAAGCGGTATCTAGTTTAAACATAGTCAGTATTCGTTGGCAAGATCTTTATCGCGCCTCGACCGGGGTAGAACGCACGGAAGTACTTGTTCTCGGTATCCATCAAGCTGTGGACGTTCACCCGGAAGTTCTGGACTTTGCCCAGCTTCTGGACTTGCTCTGCTGCGAAGAGGAACTTGGTGAGGTACCGGAAGTTCTCAGCGACGGCCCAGAAGACCTTGCTGGTATCGATGTTACTCTTGTACCATTGCAAGAGCTCTTGGGCTGTAGCGACATCCTTGGCGATAGGCTTTTCGGACAGAACATGCTTTCCAGCGAGCAGTGCTTTCCGAATAAAGTCTGGCTGGACCAGGATGGGAAGACTGTAGGAGTTGAGGATTAGGTTCTCGTCCTTCTCTGATGTTCGAGTAGTATTTCACGAAATGGAGAGCAGGCACATACGCAATGATCACGGCGCCGATATCTGAACGAGCCAAAATATCGGTATAGGACTTGCCAGAGCCCGAGTCTTCAGAGTAGAGGTCGACCCCCGATGTGCCGCTGGCCAGATCCTGGGCTGATTTCAATGAGCGAGAATAGATGGCCTTGAGCTCAAAGTTGGTGGCCGCTTGCACAGCAGGCTATGCGGTTTCGTTAACAAGGTACCTTATGCAGTAGTTGCTGTCCTTGAGCAGGCTGACGTACTAAGTGCTGCTCTTTCGCAAAGATGCCTATTCAGAATGTTAGTTTGCATACAGCAAGAGCAAACCACAGAAATGCATACCACTGCCGATAATGGCTACACCGGTCATGATGAATCTAGAGGGGATATAGATAGCTAGATAGGAAGAGAATATAAAATGTCATTGTCCCGTACGCTGGCTATTTAAAGGACTGCAGAGTGGGGTTCCCAGGATGCAAAAGCCACTTTAAACTGCGGGAAGGTCCAACCTCAACTCACGTCATTTGCTGGACGTTGGAGACCAACGACAATCCGCTCCATTGCCGTTTCGGTCATTTCAACGGGTTGCCTGTTTCACCTCGGAGGGATGGTTTCGGACGAGTTTCATCTCCCTGCACTACTTCCCTTACACTGTCTGACCTACGGAGTAGAACCTCTCAAGAAGCCCGAGTGCTATAATCCCCAAGACGGAATTCTCCGTGCTCAATCAAGTCATATTCAAGAATTAAGAATTCATCAAATTAGGTAGGATGCAAAATGACCAAGCCAAAGCACAAGCTGAAAACTCCATGCGCCACATGAACCCAATATCAACCGGAAATGGGATATCCTGAATACTCAAAACCCTGCAGAATAGACGCCCGGTCGTTTCCATCGTCAAATAATCCAATCGTGCCAGTCGTAAAAAAAAGAAGCAGGGAACCCCCATTATTGATGGTTCACCAAAGTTCGCACTCGTTCCACGCGCGCCATAGCTTTCTCCAACTTCTCCAGGCGGCTGCGCTTCTCCAGATCCCTGCGCTCCAGCACAGCAACCCTCTCCTCGAGCTTAGCGCGGGCTTTCCTCTCTTCTGCGACCATCTCGTTCGCCTGGCTGAAGAGCTGCACCGTCAACTCTTCCAACTCGGTGCTCGCCTGCGAAAGCTGCGTCTCGGCGGCTTTGCGCAGAGCTTTTTCGCGCATGAGGGCTTCTTGTAGCTCGGAAGTGTGGCTGGCTGGAGAGAGTTGGTGGTTGACGGGGTTTGTAGGGACTGTCGGAGTACTTGGCAGTGGGGCCCCGCTGGACGTTGCGGGCGCACTGGCGGGGGTTGCACTGCCGCGGCGGTACGGGAGGAGAGAGGCCAGGTTTGTGAGGCGGCTTTGGTAGGTTTGGGGTTGGGAGTCTGAGGAGGTTGGTCGTGACCGGTTGGCTTGGGAAGGGGATCCGAGGGAGGAACTGCTTGGGGTGTCGTAGGCGGTTTGCGACTGGGAGGAGCGGAGACGTCGGATTTCATCTTCGTACTCGGTGAGTTTGGAGGCTTGCGATCGGGTTAGCGGATAGTGTTCTCGTTTGTGGATTGGGTTCAAGGACATAAAACCGTTCGGGCTCTCGGTGGAGTTGCGACCGTAGCATATATAGAATATACTAGCGCAGTCCGTAGAGAGCACCGAGTGATGGCCTTTTTTTCCCCCTGGTCTTACCTGTTGCTGAAGCGCGCGCTGTTAATACATGCACTTGCCCCTCCAACTCCCGGATTCGATCATGGGCGCCTGAACTCTCTTGGGAGAGTCCTTCGCCCCAGCACATGGGACATTGTCGTTCCGATATAGAGATACCCTTCATGGCCGGGGATCCGACAAGCGTGGTGGTAGTGAGCGTGGTAGTCGACATGACAACATGGGGGGTTTACCCCGGGATTCTCAAGTCGTTTTAGGGACTAGGGGACTTGGGTTGCAACGGCAGGGCTTGGAAGTCCCTAAGTAGTCCCGTAGCGGATATCAACTCAGAAACAATTGGGAGGCTGATGAAACCTAGACCCTGGGAAGGGGCTACAATTAATTCCATACCGGCCACTCGATTTCTTGGCCAATCGTCGGTCCCTGGTGCCTGGATGATTTCATTGGGATTCAAAACAAACTACATAGCGCACCGAGCTACCCCGGTCCATTTCACAGCTCCTCGAGACCCTCTACATCTGTTATAACTCGGTGATACATGATATCTCACACCTTCTGCGCCCTCGTTGCACTAAACACGTTCGGGTTCGGGCCCTCTCAGCCCCAGTGGGTCCCTATTTATGTGCCCTTGCTGGTTATTCTCAGGTCTAGACAGGTGAAATCCCTCGAACTATTATCTTCCTTGTCTTAAATCTAGGAACTATTACTTCTATAATTAGACTAGAGGCACGGAGTATAAAGGCAGTGTCATTGACCTGGCTTCCACTCAACTAGCGATTGTCCTTCCAGAGATATAAATACATAAATATAGGGATCCATCGCACTTTGCGATAATATACGGAATAGATTGGGAGCCAGATATGAGCGGAACACGCATATATTTATAGCCTCACAGCGGACGATCCAGGGATTAGCTTAGGAGAAGGACCCTACGAAAGACCTCAGCTGTCAACGAAGGCTGCATTTCATTCTATGCGAAGCGGAGTCTGAGTACGAAGAAATCGAGCAAAGAGGACCATCAAGACAACCTTGCATGCCGGGCAAAGATCCGGCCAAGGAGTCGAAGGAGGAGCAAGAAAGGGGGAGAGGAGATCGAGCAAAGAACAGGGTTTGATTTCGTCAGCATGGTGCTCATGAGAGGGGGGTGCTCATAAATGACTATTCTCGCAGAGTCATGCATCTTGTTCGCGTGGCCGAGAACGGTCCAGAAAGAAGAAGAGAAGGGTGTCAAGACTCCACATTCCCACTCCCCACATGGGTCCGACGGCAGACAGGAAAAAAGAAACCGGACCACCCGTGGTCATTCGAACGGAAGAGAAACGGGGTTCAAAAAGCAGGCGAAAAGAAAAAGAACACAAGAAAATAGAATGGAACATGTAGTATTCATTTCGCATCGGCTGTAATGGTCATGGGCAGATCACTTGAGTCACGCATGGGAATAATAGCTAGATAGCGAACAAGACATAAAATGAAACTTTTCGGACTGCCAGATCATCGGAGCGAAGACTAGATGTATATCGAAAATCTAGCCCACGAAAAAGGAAAAAGAGATCATGAAACCAAAGGGGGGGAAAAAGAGGAGAGGTGGAAAGGAGAATAGAGCTCAATCAGAATAGCAATCTACGTCCGCGCTGAGAAATGGCGGAGTAGGTGGTAATTATGAGTGACAAACCTACCCGGTGCGCCGCGCTAGGTAATTGAACCAAGCAGCCACCGGACGGAATGAGCCTCGTCCAGAATTAACCCACCAGCGAACCGGAAAATCCATAGCTCAAGCAGCAAGATGCAGTTGCTTCGGGGTATCGATACGTTTATGCGAATCCACGACCAGTCTGTCCACGGCGGTTGTTGCGCTTGTTCACGCTGACCGTGCTCCATCCCTCATCGTCACCGCCAGCACCAGCCTCGGCGGCCGGAGTTCTCCAGCCATTGGCAATCTCCTTCTTTGCTTCCGCAGGAGCGGCAGCCGCTGTCTCCTCTGCCTCCTTATCGGTGGCCATATCACCATCCTCACCGGCCCGCTGGAGGACCTCGAAGTTGCCGCCACCCCTGGGGGTCTCAAGAACATCCTTGCCGTTGTGATCCACGGCAGGGGCTGCGTCTTTAGCCTGCTTCTGCTTTTCAGCGAACTTTTCGGCTTTTTCGGCCTTGGCCTTCTCGGCGGCTTCCTGCTTCTGACGGATGGCAAGCTGGCGTCTTTCCTCGACCTGACGCTCGCGGGTAGCTGTGTCAATGGGGCGAGCGGCACCGAAGGGGCTGGCCTTGGAGTCGCTGCCGGCTGAAGTAGCAACGGAGGGGTTCTCTGAGACAGTGCGCTTTGTCAGGTTCAATTTAGGACGGCCAGCAGGCGCGACGGGCACGGCAGGTGTGGCAGAGGGGGATGCGGGGCTGGTGGGCTCCTTAGGGGTTTCGTCGGGACGCATTCTCGCGCGCCACTGGTTGTCCATATCGGCAGCGGTAGGTGTAGGTTCCGGGCGAACGTGCTCGGGGCGGGGAGGGCGCGAGCCCTCATCCTGGGAACGACCTTCACCCCATGCGGCCTCGTTTCTGCGGAAGCTAGAACCGGGCCCGGCTCCCTCGGTGCTGTTGGAACGGCCACCCTCACGCGGGGCACCAGCAGAGGGTGAGAGGGGACCCTTGCGCTCCCAGTTGTTGAAGTCACGGGGCTTTCCATCGGACTCAAAGTTGCTGCGACGGCCACCGCGCTCGCTGCCGGCATCGGAGCCGGCATCCATGCCACGTCCGAAGCTGGAGCGCTCGGGCACACGGCGCTGGGGAATATCGGGGAGAGGGCCACGGCGGGACCAATCAAGATCCTTTCCTTCCATGCGGGATTCCTTGGCTATATAAACTGTCAGTCGAGATCTTCACAACTCCTCAGCCGTGTGTACTTACGAGGCTCCGCAACACTGGTACGGATGGAGCGTCCCTGGAGGGACGATCCAGAGAGATCCAAAGCCTTCTGCAGACCCTCGACGGTCTCGAACTCGACATATCCGAAACCCTTGGGGGCCTTAGTCAACTTATCCTCCACGACACGGACGTTCGTCACACCACATCCAGCGAAAAGCTCGGAAATGTCGGCCTCGGTCGCTTCGAAGGAAAGATTGCCAACGTGGCAAGTGTAGGGGGGCTGAGTGGGGAGATCAAGAGGCTCCCGGACGGCATATCCACCACGCTCACGCTCTAATCATTCATTCTGTCAGAATCTGCCCAGCGTATCTGGTGCGGAGAACAACATACCGAAACCGCCGGAGCTGGAGCCATATCCCATGTCACCCATGGGGCGACGGTTGAAAGTGGAACTCAATGGCTGGGCTATCCATAATGTAAGCAAAGATATCAATTAACGATAAGCAGGCGTTTCGATATGGGGCGCACTACATACTGGCTATAAAATTTGTTAGCACCATTTCACGATTTTTCAAGGCGGGGGATCTGCAACTCACAAGGAAGGGGCATATCCTCCATCTCATCAGCCCAAGATCCAAGACCTGTAACTGTCAGTAACCATCTCGATCATCCAAATTTTCCGATCGCTCACTTTCATCTGCCAAGAAGGTGCTCATAGACATCTTCTGGGCCTTGTTTTTGGGAGCTAATATGCATTGTCGATTCAGCAATCATCCATGAATATTTTCAACGATATTTCGATATCCTTGCGGGAGAGCGAAGGTCTGGAACGAACCCATGATTGCGGTAAGGTTGGGGGGAAACGCGCCAACGGATTTGTGCGCGCTTCTCGGAGAAGAGGGTTAGGTAGAAAGAAAAAAAAGTCTGGGAATCAGATAGACCTGGTCTTGAGAAGGCCAAGGGTCAAAATTTGAGTGAGTAGTTGGTTAGGTTCAATATCTGCAAACCCACAGTGGAAAAGTTGGTAGAGGGGAAGTCGGCTGCGGCATGGAAGCGGACGGGTTACTAAATTTTTAGGATGACGCTAGCCCAATCAGAGCCGCCAGACCGGTCTATACCACACTTCACTCGACTTCCAATCCGTTTGTCTTCTACTAAGTGACGTTTCAGCGAAGGGAAAATGACGGGGGATTGACATGGCTTGGGCTGCCTCCAATCGCCTAGAGCCCAAAAAAAATAGTCTATTCCCACTCCGCAATCTGTATCTTATCCATACTCCATACAATGACTTTCATGTTCCTGGAGTCTTATAGATGACACTTGGCGGAGGATGGAGATCACAGAACATATGCCCAAAAAGAAACCAGTACAACATTCACCAATTCGTTTCTACGATAAGCATTGTGGTTGATATTGGGTCACACTTGAAAGGCGTTGGTCTGTGGCCTCACCTGCAATCCACATGTACTCACGCAAATCAGTAGTGTGAGCGTGACTCATCGGTTGTTCAACATGAAGTCTTAGTCCTAGTTCACTATACTTTGCATATGATCAGAGCTTTCTTCATACCTAGGTAGCACCTGATATGTATTATGTGAGCTAGTGCGGGATACTTTCTTCGCTATACCTCCATAGACTACTAGTCTTTCCTCTAACAAAGTCCCTCCATCCCATTCATCAACCATGTCAGCCATTTGCTGGCATTGTTGGTATATTTGGTGCAGTTCTGGACCCAATGATGCACATTTCTTGGGTGAACCCAGACTGACCAGGTCAAGTACATTGAAGTAACTATAGCGATACCTACATGTACCCCCAGTTATGTTACCGACCCTTTGAGAACATCATCTATCAAAATCGAACTGCTGGCAAGACATCCATGAGATCTGTAACCTCATTTCCCTACATAGTCTATCTAGGGAGATGGAATAGTATTCCATCGTTGGGTTAACGTTGGATCTGAGCTTCGGTATGAACGGTTAAGCCCAAGGTGTAGGGTACTCATTGATCACCTCTAATTGCAGCACACTTATTCAAGGCGGAGAATGCCGGTAGAAATGACCGCAGCAGGTCGGAATAATACTCGTGGAACTAAGAATCTTGCAGCAGGTCATCTGTTGGATGCAAGGAAGGTGGAGATATATCTATGATTGGTCTTTCAGGATCTACAGTATGCTTCTCAACATCGGGATTATTTTCAATACATCCAAACAAAATCAGGTGCGGTAAAATTGAAAGCAACATATATCACAACCGAATCCCTTGATATTCTATCCAAGTAATCGGAATCGCCTTTTTTGTGCCCTAACGCGACCACAATATAACATTACATAAGCACAGTACCGGCACGTGACCATATCCATTCTTGACTTGGATTGCTGCTTCGATAATTGCTTCGATGATGCTAAACAATCCCCCTATTCTTGAACTCATGAATCAGTCTGCCTGATAAGAAGATGGGTGACCAAACCAAAGATGTGGACTTCCAGTCTCATGCCCTGCTGTCTGCAGCCAAAGTTGGAGCCCTGAGTGGTTAGTATCTACCGTCTGTCGCAAGATTGTCTTGATATAGACACGGGAAGTACTGAGAAATGAAATACTGATGTTATAATTAGGAGCTGCCGGCCTGATCTATGGAGGAGCTGCCGGAGTAATCAGATCCCCTAATCCCATGATCCATTCGTTGTCATGTGGCATTCACTGGTTTGCATGCGGCTCAGCTTTTTGGTGTATGTGGAGATATCTTATGTTAATATCGTGGATCTCTAACCTTAGATTTGGGATAGGGCTACGAACCAACATTATTAAACATCATTACCAAGAGAAAGCCTCGCCGAAGGAGCGCACGTACGCGAGTGCTCTATGCGGTGGCATCGCCGGTGGAGGTGTAACGAAGCTGATGGGTACTGTATCCCGCTCCGAAAGTACATTTTGTGATCTTGTATCTAACCAAGTTATATAGGAGGCCGGCTGGTTCCGGGCACTATCATTTTCGCATTACTGGGCTATTGTGGCCAGAGTGTCTTCAATCGAGTCGACACCTGGCAGATGGAAAATGCACACACGACATCAAAGCCCTTGATGCAGCGAATGGCTGATTCTAAGTGGATTCCACTCCGATCCCTGTCTGACCAGGAATACAGGGAAATGCTGGGCGAAAAGCTGCTTAGTATCGAGGCCGAGATTGCCCTTCTGGACGACAAGATCCAGGAACTGGAGAACTCTCGCCCTGTCCCTGCCTCAGTCTCAAAGTAAACCTATCAACCCCATCGGCTTTGACGGGGTAGTAATCCCTGCGTTACACTGTCCAGCAGTTCTTTGGGCAATGATCTTTGACTACTCCGTACCGTGCACGGACAGCATCGAAAGCACCGTACGTGTCAGCTGAAAGCCCGGACTGGACACGTGATAAAAGGGGAAATGTAAATTATGTACAATATGATACCAGAGATCACGGAGAAAATAATGACCATAGAGGGCTGAGTACAAGCTGACATGATCTCCCCTGAGCGCAATCTTAGGTCGCATGTCGATCAACCAAAGGAGCTGGAGAACACGGTTCCTCTACAGTTAACTTACCATTGAAAACTCTAAGACAATAAATTGAGAAATAGTTGCGAACCCAAAAACAAAGAATACAAAGGGTCAGAGCGAAAGGAAACCGAAGCCGGTTTTGGGAGAGGAACAACTAGTGTTCCGCTTTTTTTGGTTCCTCCGACCTGTCCGGTAGTCCACCCGTCATTCTCCCTTACCCTTAATTATTGCTCCGGCATGATTCGCCTACACTTATTGTATTTGAACCTGGTATCCTACTGAGACTTTGATGGGCAAAGTCGTTGCTGTTCTGGAGCCTGGAATCACTGATTCCAACCAGACGGACAGTAGAGATCCGGGGAACAGCTGTACGATTGAAACCAGATCGACATACACTCAATGTGCGAGTTGAAGACTGTCTACCTGAGATCAGCCCGCTGCTGATCGCGCACCGCGATGACACTCTTCAACCCAACCTCGATCCTCGTGGGCTTCCTCCTGCTCTACCTCTCGTCCTTTTTTATCTTCGCTATCGTCCGGATCGCAACCGGAATCTCCATTCAACGGATCGGCTACTTTTCGCTACGTCGGATCGCATACACCCCGAGGGAAGGATTACAGATTGAAATTCGCGGCCTTGGATTTTCGCTGCATCCACCATCATTCGCTCAACCAACATGGATCAGCATTCGGTTGGCGGAATTGAAGGTGACCGTGGACCCGACGACTCTGGGACAAGGGAAGCGCGGAGTGTCCCGCGGCATATTGGAGTCTCCTGGTGCTTCTAGCCCTGCCGACGATCGCACCGCGCCCGAATCGGATGGTAGAAGTAAGACATGGAGGACTCTAACCCGAATCAAGGAACGTGTCAAGCTGCTGCACCGACAGATCAATTGGCTAGCTCTTGTGGACCTGACTGCTGTCAACACAACTGTTCATTTCGTCAACGCCGGCCATATTCAGGTTGGATCGCTTTCCCTTTCAGTTGATACCCGGCATAAAATGGTGGAACGGGGCAAGCTATTTCGTCGCAAGAAGGACATGTCGGGGGACCAACGCCCAGCTGAGTGGATTATGAACGTTCAAAATGTTCTACTCAGTGTCGATGGTCGCGAGCCAACCGAAATATTGGATAATGTGGGCGTGAACCTCCACGGGCTTCTTCACAAGGATTTGGATGGACTCAGAGATGCATCGGTGGCCCTGAAGATTGGACGTATGCATGTCCCATACGACGACCTCCGCACATTGTTGCAGCGCATCAAACCGCCTCAGAAACCCAACAAAGGGCCAGGGAACACCGACACAGACGAGAAGATGTCATTTGCCGACTTTATAGAGGAACTCGACACGCCTGGAAGCAGAGATGATACGATTGTACAAACCGTGGCGGACTCAAAGGAGTTTGCAAGCTCATTACTCCGGGGTATACAGGAGATTCAGGTCGCTCTGAGCTTTTTCCGTATCTCGCAGAGCATCCAGTCTCTTTCCGCAGGGCAAAACCCAGTATATCTGAATGTGGTATCCCATGAGCTTGGAGTTGATCTTCATCGGATGGACCAAAAGAACCCGGAGCATCGCATGTATTTCCGGCGAAAAGATGTTGCTCATCAGGCTCTTCTGGCTGCTATCTCTCTCTCAGTCAGCTTGGACGACGAATCGGGCGAGACCGACAACATTTTATATATTCCTATGGCTACGACAACCATTAAGACTACATTGCCATCGAAGATAGTGAGCGCTTTTGATGATGAGAACGCCGAAGAGCGAAACACGAACGTTTTGTTCGCAAACTTGGTCGTCACATCGCCTTCGGTTGATCTCCAACCCCAACATGTTTCGAGGCTTCTCAAACTGGCACGAACCCGGGCATCTTCTCCTCGAGGGAAGAAACGAGACAACCATCGTTTGATTTCTCGTTTACTCCCGAAAGCAAGCATCAAGCTCTCCGTCCACGAGCCTGTGGTTCGGTTTGTTCTTCCAATCGAGAAAGAGTCTGGCACTCCCGATGACTACAACCTACTTATCTCTTCCGTTTCCTCCATTTCGCTTGATAGCGAATCCTCTCATTCCTCCGAAGGTGGCGCCCACTACTCCCTCTCGTCCATTTACCGGGTTGCCTCCCACAAATTTTATTACCAGACCCCAGCGGGAAACAAGCATAATCTGCTCACAAACGAGAATTTGGAGCTGAAGATCCACCTCAATGCCACACCTGAGGTCTGTGTGGTCGTCTCGGGAAGTCTCAACGAATGTTCAGTCCACATGATTGATGGAGAGGTAAACCGCGGAATCCGCGAAGTTTTGCAACAAATCATCACACAGATGCGATCACATAAGCGGATGCCAATGCCATCAAATGAACGAAAACCAAGTGTGTTGAGACGAATGCCGCCATGGCTTCTCCAATTCCAGTTTGAAGCTACCGGGTCTAGTGTGGAAATCGCTGGCGTAGACTCCACCGTCTCTGATGTCTCCCGTGGTGTCTCACTGCAATTGCAATCATGGACAGCGGAATATAAAGCTCAGAAAACGGAAAAGAATGTGGGAAGCATTGCCAGGCGACGAACCCCCAGTCATTCCACCATCGGTGATGAATCCCCCTTTCGATTTCCTCCAACATCTCCTCCCAAGGCCATTCATACTCAACGCGGTGCCTCAGACGGCCGGCGACTGGCTATTCATGCGCGTGGGTTCGATGGCTTTGTCATTGAATCAGAAGATTACTTGGAACCCGAGCCGTTCTTCTCCATGCCTCGGTTTGAGGTCGCGCTGAGCACGAACAGTGACCGTCTCGGACCAGTTCTGCATGTCACTTCCGTATTAAAGGGCATATATCTTCAATACTCGTTGTACCGGTTCTACTGCCTCGGGGTTGCAATTTCAGTGTTACACGATGTGCTTACACCTTTACCACAAAAGGACTCGGATTCCGCCGAAGGGAAACCCAGGGCGCCTGCAAGCATATCGCTACCGCCTCCTCCAGCATACAAGTGGTCCCCAAAGAAAGAGTTGGTTACTTACGATGTGAAAGCAACAGTCGTTCAACTCAAGGCTAGCTTGCCAAACGATCCTCAGCTAATGATTCAACTCTATGGGCTGGCCGGCGCTTCTCAACGCCTTTCCACTCCTTATGTCAAAGCAAACCTTGTTCGCTTCCATGCAGAGGCACCTAAGCTCAAGGGTGTTTGGGCAAGAGTCGGTAGCATGAACAATGTCAGGCTGGATTTCCGAACAATGAAGATGAAACATGGCCACAATCTGGTTGAGCAAAAATCTATTGATATATGGACAGATTTCATCAGAATCGGTGTGCCTCATCATATGGTGATGCATCGCATTTTCGATAACCTCATCAACACCGCCAAGGCTGTCAAACAACTTCACCATCGCTTCAAGTATGGGTGCAGAGAATTCGGCTCGAAAAGAGAACCTGAAGGCCCAAAGAAGGTGCCAAGGGTTTCTCTCCGTAGTAAAGCCTTGCTTTTCGAGCTAGAAGATGACGGGTTTGAATGGAAACTTGGTTGCATTTATCGCATCGGCTTGACTGAACAGGCCCAACGGCTGGCCCGTGAAGACGCCTTTGACTTGAAATCCCACAAAGTCAGAGAATCTGATCAGCGACGTGCTACGTCTCGGTTACGAGCCAGATCCAGCCATCGCACACTACGTAGCGAGCGTACTAGCCAAGATACGCGGCGAAGCAGGAGTGTTGAAGAACGATCAAGACCTGGCACCCAAGAACGCGGGAGAGGCCGGAAATACCGCTATGATACCGAAGGTGCGACCTGTCTCTCATCCGACCAAACGATCTCTACAGATGCTGCTTGGAATCGACTTCAGCAATACAACGCTCAAGTCTGGAAGGAGAAGATTGATGCAGCGCTCAAATTCCAGGGTGCTTCTATCAAAGAAGTTAGAAATCTTTTCTCTGGTGCTGATGAACCCCCTGCGGACGTCAAGGAGACCGAAACTATTCTTGCCATTCCTAACAGACCGGGCCTTCTGTCAGCTTTGATCAGTGATGTCAATCTTGTTATTGACAAGCCCTCCTTCGCTATCGAGGAGTTCCCCACCTATCTGAACCGAATCGGAAAGGGAATGCCCATGTCCATGCAATATGGCCTGCTTGTCCCAATGAGTTTCAATTTGGAAATGGGTGAAGCACGCGTAAATCTTCGAGACTATCCCCTGGACTTGTTGCATATTCCAGCCCTGCGCCCAGGGCAATCCCCAAGACTTCCCAGCTGGTCTATGCGGACAGACTTTGTCATTGCCGAAGAATGGCGTGACCATGAATCCGCAAGACAGGTCGAAGTGGAACTTGTCCCTGCATCCGAAGGGCCTGATGGATCCCCCCGTGATCCATTCAAAATACTCGTCTGGCGTTCTGTTACACCGGTCAAGACTTACTCAGATCCCATCATCGAGATAAACACAAGTATGCCAACTAGCATTTCATGGGGTGTCTCATATCAACCTGTCATTCAAGACATGATGAAGATCATCGAAGGCTTCACCAAGCCTGAGATTGATCCTTCCGAACGGGTCGGCTTCTGGGACAAAATTCGACTCAGCTTCCATTCCCGCATCAAGGTGTTGTGGAAGGAAGACGGTGATGTACATCTGCGGCTCAAGGGCTCTCGTGATCCATACGTGGTGACCGGCTTTGGAAGCGGGTTCGTCATGTGCTGGCGCCGAGACGTGAAATGGGAGATTCACACCAGTGATAATCCAATGGAAATCATGAGTGTTACCAGTGGCGAATACGTGCTTGCTATTCCCGACTATAGCGCCGAGGCGCGTTGGGCAAACGAGGCAGCCACGGAGGAATTGGACAACAGTTCTGCATCTAGCGAGCAAAAGAACGCTGCTCACTTCAAAAAGGTTGTTATGAAGCTATCGGGCGATGTCAAATGGGCAGCAGGTCTGGTATTTGAGCGGGATGTTGCCAATGATGCGAGGTCCTTCTCCTTCAAAAACCATTACGATGTCATTCTCAAGAACCCTAAATACATCGACCCATCTGAACGTGCCGGATATGATGCTTATCGTGGCTTCCGGAGTGACCACATTCATCTCTCTGTTGCCATTATTGCACCCCAGAGCAGAGAATGGTCAGTCGACACTGTTCAGCCATCCTCGAGTTATAACACTATACACCTAACACCCCGATTCTTCACCCATTTCTTCAACTGGTGGTCTTTATTCTCGGGTGTTATGTCGCTTCCTGTTCGCCAAGGACCGCTGTGGCCAGGAGTTACTAAGACGAGCAAGAAGTTCAATCGACATTTGGCAACTGTCAAATACAAAATTCTTCTCGCGCCCCTGTTCGTAGCCCACATGTACAAACACAAGGACCGAGAAGACTATGCGAAAAATTTCGTCACGGCTACAGGTCTGAAGGTCCGCCTTGATTGCTTGAAGCTCGACATTCATCAACGCCGTGAGCAGATCAAAACTCAAACCAGAGGCCGCTCAAAACAGACTAGGACAAGCGCAATGCGCATCAACCAAGCCCAGATTGATATGCAATCTGCAGACTTCCGCGCCGTATCTGCTACCATCGAAGGCACAACATCGGAGGATGTTGAGCGCAACGGAGATGACATCCTTTCATCCTTCCAGCAACCTGTTCCATCAGTTGATCTGTCCCGTTTCACAATCCCTGATCACAATTTAGACTGGGTCGACATGGATGATTTCGTGGAGCCGGACTGGATTCTTCCACAGGAGTCGAACCCTCGCACCCGAATCCTACCTCTAGCCTTCACCCCACGTTTCACCTACTTCCGCAACACAGATCATGGCGATGTTGGACCCGAAGAAACGGGCTACAGCACCTTCGGAGATGAACCAAGTCATGAATGTGTTATGTCCGAAACCAACGATCCTCGCCGTGTTCAAATTGAGTTGGTCAAAGACCGCCTTGCAACCGTTGAGGCACAAATCCGCAATTACGAACGCACAATTGGGGAACAGGAGCTGAAGCTCATGAAAGATGTAGACAACAATGAGCAACTGAGAGCTGACCATGAAACCTTCCTTCGTCACTCCGAGTCTCTTGCGAGACGACGCAAATTCTTGACCACGACTCTCAATCGCCTGGAAAGGCACATCACACGCGACGAGCGCACGCCATACGGAAATACACTAGGAAAAAATGTGGCACCTAGCACTGCTTCTTTCCGAACAGGATGGACAGGAAGGGATGGCGACTCCACGACTGATGGCCGTTCTTCAGGCCTAGATGGAATGTACACATCGGGCAATGATGAGTTCTCCAGTGATTTCAACAATCGTTTCATGATCCATAACGTACAACTCAAATGGAACAACTCGCTCCGAAACATCATCTTGCGGTACAGTCACCAAGTGAGCCAGCGACGTGGATTTGTTTATTACATGTCCCGACGCGCTGTCAAGTTTATTCTTGACATCGTGGAGGAACAGAACAAGAACAAGCGCAAACAACCTAAGATGTCTAAGACGCAAACTCGAAGTTCTAACAACGACGATGAAGACGTTGAAGACCGCATTGAACAGTTGTTGAATGACGCTAAACGCTACGTGAATGTCGAAGAGAGCGAACCATCGGACTCACCACCGGACTCGCCACCGGACTCAAACACCCAATCTACTTCTACTTCGGATAATGCAAGTGAGAACATCGCACCGGAATTCACAGCCCAGAATAGTTACCACTTGCGTCTCATTGCGCCTCAAATCCAACTTCTCAGCGAGAAGAACCGGAAGTCAGTTTTGCTTGTTGCCGCTAAAGGTATGGAACTCAAGGTTGTTTCCATCATGGATAAAGAGCGAGTTTCAGACGATGTGAGCGGCTTGGTACAGCGTCGTTTCTCCCTCGAAATGGACGGTGCCCAGTTCTTCGTTGCAACGCAGAAGAACTTAATGTCAAACCTACAATTCTATGCTGGCAATAAGTACGGAAATGCGCCCGGGTCAGCGTGGCCGCCGTGGTTGACTCTGGAAGCCATGTTCGATTTCGAGTTGAATCCATTCGGATTCTCTCGCATCGTGCAAAAGACTTCGGCCACTCTGCGTTATGACAAATACAACAATCTCCGCCTCAAGTATAACGAAGAGGTGGCAAAGGGCCAGGAAGGCCCTCATCCTGAGATCCAAGAAGACCGCATAGACACGATTAGTGTGGACTTCCCTCATTTCCGTGCGATTTGTGATTCTGCAGAGTACTATTCCATGTATATTATTGTCCTGGATCTCATGCTTTACAGTGAACCACTCGAAAAGGTCCGGAATGAACGTCTGGAGAGGATTATGCTCACTTCAGACTTCAGTGATCTTCGTGGTGCCCCCGAAATGGTGTTTAAGCTTCAAGCACGCATTCGCCAACTGGAGGAAATCAAAGAGTACTTCCAGATCAACGCGAAGTTCCTGGATAAACAGGGCTGGGAGGATCGGCTGGCTGTTGAACGCGACTTATCTCAATGCGAGGATGAGCTTTTCTTCATGATGAAGGCAATCACAACTTCCCAACGGCGGATGGAACCAGGTTCGTCCAGGGCAAATGGTGTCAGGGGTGTGTTGCGTTGGAGCATATCGGCACGCGAGGTCGTATGGCATTTGATGAAAGAGGCTACCGAGCCCTTGGTTGAATTCCAGCTACGGAATGCTTCATACGAACGAACTGACAACACTGATGGCTCGAACCACAACTTGGTATCCATCGAGCGACTGTTCGGATTGAACTTGCTTCCAGATGCTATCTATCCCCAAATCATCGCACCTTATCTCGACGGAGCACGCACTCTTGATGACTTCATGTTACGTGTCAAATGGCATATGCTGGAGGCTGTTGCCGGTATACCCGTGCTTGATAACTTTGAGGTTTCATTGTTCCCGCTCAAGATTCAGCTCGAACGTGAGCTAGGCCAGAGAGTCTTTGAATACATCTTCCCTAACGTGGGCTCGAGTGCATTTGAGGCTGGTGGCTTCTCCCCTTTCATGATCAAGAATATGAAGCCGCTTGACGGCTCGGATGAGGAGAATGACGATGATAGCAGCGCAATCGGCACCCCACTGACGCGCTCGACAAGTACAGATGTCGACAGCTCATCTATGGATAGCCTTGCCATTTCTAAGGGACCGGGCGCCATCGAGCTCCGACTGCAGCCAACACTGTCGCTTTCCGATGATCCGAAGGCACGCAATCGCTCAGGTCACCTGAAGGGCCTTGCGATGACACCCATCTACCAAGATAACAACAGACTGGGTGTATCGGAAACTGCGCGCCAGACAGGCCGCCCTGCGACGACCGGTCGTCTCAGCAAAAAGAAGTCCGCCGAAAGTATCCGCATGTTGACCAAACAGCCCACCGAAAGATCACTGTCTAGTCACAGTGCTGGTGATGAAAGCCGCAAGAAATTCGCGATGGGCAAAGGCTCTCACAAGAGCTCCAAATCTAAACAGCCAACTGACGACCTGTCTCAAATGATCTCTCGCGCCTCCAACTACATGACCCTCTCACGCGTGAAGGTGAATGATGTCGTTCTCTGTATGAGCTACAAAGGCAAAGGAGAGCACAATTTCGAGGACCTGCACGACTTTGTCTTCCGTCTGCCAGTCCTTGAATACAGCAATAAGACATGGTCGAACCTTGATCTTGCCTTGCGCCTCAAGAAGGACGTGACCAAGGCCCTCATCTCGCACGCTCCTGCCATCCTTGGCAACAAGTTCTCACACCACCGGCCCTCAAAGCAGCAGCAGAGGCGGCTCCGTGAGCTTGCATCGTCGTCTCAACTCTTGCCCAGTGCATCCAGCGTGATGCTTCCGAGCAAGAGCCAAGCCCAGAGTCTGGCTAGCTACGACTCGAACAGTGATTACTCGGAGTCACGGTCACGCAAGTCCATGCAATCGAATGCCTCGCCATTGGCTCGGTCAATTTCATTGAATTCAGAGACCTACGGCATACAAGATTCTGATCCTTCTATTCATGACTCCCGGTCCGATGGTGAGGTAGATGTTGATTCTCGCTGGGAGGTTCGTGTTTCCCCCGTCTCATTGTGAATCTGTAATCATCTACTAATGTGTTATAATCTTTAGGCATCCCGTCGCTTTGTTAACCCCCCTCCCCAGGAGAGGAGACCGATGACCTCTGGTAACCCCGTGACTACCGTTCATTCCGGCAAGAACGATCATGATGATAGGTATGAACCCCAATCCCAGCTTCATCATTCCCAGAGTCCATGAACTGACTGGAGTTTAGTCACATCAAAACAATTCGCAACATCGGCCGGAAGTTGACATTCCGGAAATAATTGCATTGCAGTCAATCGCGCTGCATAAATTTCTCTTCTTTCTTCCTTCACGTTCCAACTTTCCTCTAATACCTTTTACACATTTTCAACACCTTGTGATCCTTTGTACACCATCACCCCCCTTATTCCCACCAGGCCCCTCGTGTCTCTCCTAGATACCCTCTGCCTGCAGCGGGCCGTACATAAGCGTTTTGTTTCTCATGTTTTGCCATTTGATCATTTATTTTTCGGTGTGTCTATATGGGAGGACCGGGGAGAAATATTTTGTGTCTTTTTATTACCGGGGCCGTCTAAGGACACTGTATAGAGGCGATAGGGGTCATTTCATTTTCTTTTTGCCTATACTTCTTATTATATTTTCGATTACACATCTTTCTGACTGGAAAAGGTGCTCATGGATAGTGCTTCTCATTGGATTTTAGCTGCCCCGCGGGTTTCCCTTTACTAGTGTACTTGATATAGACCCATAGACCAAGGATTGCGATATGAATGTCGCGTTCATTCCACTGGAAAATGAAAAATAATCCATGCCACTACATAGTCAACGATAGATATGAAGTTATTTAGGTGATCTCATTGGAAACATGTATGGGTATTGAGAGCTGCTATCAATATTCTCATTTGACTATAGGCATAGATGTTGGATTCACTATCTCACTCTAGTAGGACTCCTTGAGTGATAACAACCATTAAAACAGTGGTACATCTGTCGACAGCAGCTGTCAGCACCTTGTGGAAGAATTCGAAGATACGCAGCATCTGCGACAACGATCTCGACAGTCTTTGCCCGAGTTCCACCAGATAGTGATGCAATAAAGAATATTGCGGAAATAGAGATAACACCGAGTCGCGACAGCATTTTCTGAAGAGCACGGCATATCAGGACGGGGGCTATAATGGCAAAACCTCTGACATGGTTTCTAGTTTCTCTATTAGCAAGCCTCTGACTTGATAGACCAGATGCTAAAACCTTGCAGAGTCTACTAAGGAATCTGACGAGCTTGCCTTCCATCCATTCCTCTAAAGATGTTAGAGTCGCATCCTCTGGGGACGATCAAGCTACCTACCAAGTCATGTCCATGTAAGAATTTGGTTTCATTGCGGCATATAAAAGGATTTCTTTCAATCCAGTTCTGTAGTATTGCAACCCGACGTGTCCTGGGTCTCCTCTTGAATCCATCGATTATGACCACAGGTACAGAAACAGGTGCTAATGATATCCTTTGGAAGGATCGAGACATACCGTATTCGATCAAAGCCTTAATCCACTCCAGCCAAAACAGCCTACCGCCCAGCGTGACGCTCTCGATGGCAACTCCAAAGAGATGGCCTTTCCTCATTTTGATACAGCTTGGCCAGTTCTTGTTCTAGAACGGATACTCTGTCTTGCTTCAATAGAACACCCCGGGATCGAGGGGCTGAAAAATCTGCGGTATAGTTGTGAGAGTTGTGCCTGCAGTTGCGAAAAGTGTTGCTGGAGTATTCTGTATTATCTCGTCTAGTGGAGAGAAGGCAAAGAAACTTGGCTATCTAGGAGGAGAGGGCTATTTGTAGTATAGCGAGCAGCAGAGGCATGACTTCTGACACCCACCCCTTTCCAGATTATTAAAAAATTAAAAAATTAAAAAATTAAAAAATTAAGATGAAGATTTCACGAAATACGCCCTTGGCCTAGTTAATAGCTGCTTATAATCAACTAGCCCATATGTAATCGTTTGGTACAATGTGGTGTTGTGCAGTGTCAGGACTCAGACTGCGCTTACCCTTCCCCGCATTCTATCCAAAGAGACTAAGCCCTTCACAGTCTTATCCCTACCGACTTCGCCTTTGGATACATATCCTGATCTTCAAATGTCCGATCCAAGAAACTATACTGTTGGCTGGATTTGTGCCATCACCCCTGAATATGTTGCCGCCCAAGCCTTCCTGGATGAAGAGCATGAAGGGCCGGAGTATCTGCCGCCGCACAACAAGAATGACTATACCTTAGGAAGAATAGGAAGACATAACGTGGTCCTTTCGGTTCTTCCTTTGGGTTCATACGGCACTGCCTCGGCAGGGCGAGTCGCCGAGGACATGTTGCACAGCTTCCCGAACGTTCGAGTCGGTCTGATGGTCGGCATTGGCGGCGGAGCCCCAAGTCTAAACCATGATATTCGTCTTGGTGACCTTGTTGTTAGCATTCCTTCCAACGGTCGAGGTGGTGTGATTCAATATGACTTCGGTAAAACAATCCAAGGCCGATGTTTCCAGCCAACGGGCTTCCTTGATCAGCCTCCAGCCGTCCTCCGTGCGGCAGTGAACGGACTGCGGGCCCAATATGAAAGTGAGGGTCATCGGCTTGAGAATGCAGTCAATGCGGTCCTTGAGAAAAAGCCAAGACTACGGAGAAAATATATGAGGCCGGATCAAGAGAGCGACCGGCTATACCGAAGTCATATTGTTCATCCGCCAGAAAGTGTATCAATATGCGCGCTAGATTGCAGTGATGATTGTAATAGCTTGGTCTTACGAAATCCACGCCCTAAAGATGAAGACAACCCGGCGATACACTATGGTTTAATCGCATCAGCCAATCAGCTTATGAAAGATGCTGTGATCCGCGATAAACTTGCTACGGAAAATGATGTTTTATGCTTTGAAATGGAAGCGGCTGGACTGATGAATCATTTCCCATGCCTTATTATCCGTGGCATTTGCGATTACTCCGACTCCCACAAGAACAAAGAATGGCAAGGGTATGCAGCTATGGTCGCAGCGGCGTATGCCAAGGATCTTCTATGTCGAATCATCCCTCAACAGGTGGACAGCGAAGAGAGGATTTTAAAAGCCCCACCGCGCATCAACCGTATCACTGAGACCACAGAACGTATTAATCCGAATCTACCACGACCGAGAGGAAGACGGAGCGCCGGATCACGGGTTCTCGAGGGCCATTCAGGCCCGGTCCTCTCAATAGCATTCTCCCCTAACGGCCGCGTGCTAGCGTCTGCTTCCAAGGATAGCACAGTGCGGCTCTGGGACGCCACGACGGGCACTCGGCGATATACTCTTATGGGCCACTCGGACTCGGTTTCCTCGGTGGCCTTCTCGCCCGACAGCCGAACACTAGCGTCTGCATCCTGGGATGGCACAGTGCGACTCTGGGATGCTATGACAGGCGCTCGGCTATGTACTCTTAAGGGCCACTCAGATTCGGTTTACTCGGTGGCCTTCTCGCCCGACGGTGGGATGCTAGCGTCTGGATCCCTAGATACCACAGTGCGGCTCTGGGACGCTACGACCGGTGCTCGGCGACACGCTCTTAAGGGCCATTCCAAATCGATTTGGTCGGTAGCCTTCTCGTCCGACAGCCAAGTGCTAGCGTCTGCATCCTGGGATGGCACAGTGCGACTCTGGAACGCTGAGACAGGCGCTCAGCGACACACTATCAAGGGCCATTCGAATCCGGTTTACTCGGTGGCCTTCTCGCCCGACGGTGGGATGCTAGCATCTGGGTCCGTGGATAACACAGCACGGCTCTGGGACGCTGCGACAGGGTCTCAGCGACACACTCTCCAGGGCCACTCAAGTTCAGTTTACTCGGTGGCCTTTTCGCCTGACGGCGGGTTGCTAGCGTCTAGCTCCTGGGATCGCACAGTGCGACTCTGGAACGCTGCGACAGGCGCTCTGCGACACACCCTTAAGGGCCATTCAGATCTGGTTTACTCCGTGGCCTTCTCGCCCGACGGCCAGATACTAGCGTCTGCTTCCGCGGACGACACAGTGCGGCTCTGGGAGACTGTATTTTACGGATAGTGCTGCTCTGAGATCCTGCGACAGGCATCTTGCAACAGAGTCAGGGCGTCAAAAAGTTTGCCATACTCTCCTTTACACTGGGAAGCAAAAATTCATATGCTCATCAAATCGCGAAGGCAAGGCTGGGCGAGCTTATTACATATCACATCTTATTACGGCTTTCCTTGGTTCGTTGACTATGAGGGGCAAAAGCCCCTTGAACCCATTGTGCTATTGCAAGGGGCAACAATATACCAACAAGACAGTAGTTGGGTTGTTACGACTGATATTGGAAGAGCTTATATCTTTTCCTTGCCCTCCTTTCATGTGGTCTCACTTCGCAGCTTTGCAGTAGTGTACCTTGATCAGTCAGGGCTTGTATACGGAAAGGGGGGTTAATACTCACTAGACGACGCGATACAGAATATTCTATCATACCTAGATGTAGGCTTTATTAAAATAGAAACAAAATGAAGAAGCTTCAAAAATGAACATCGATGCAACGTGTATAAAATTGCAGTACTACTACTAACAGTACGGGCAAACTTCGAAGTGGCGCAGTGGCCTCATTAGGACTGCCCAGGTGCTGTTCCATGGCTTTGCTTCTCAGAAATATCCATTCATCTAATGAACACAATCCTCATCACTGCATCATTTTGATATCTACTCCGTACATTGATCTATATGAGCGGAACTCCCCAAGCATAAAGGATCATCATATCACTTCCTGATTGAGGTACAGCGCTTTGTACCCGAAATCGTTTCTAACATCATGATAACATACATAGGTACTCTTTTAGGCTGTATTTGGTGCTTGCATTATTCCCCTGCCAGCCCAACTACTTAGTTACTCTATCTTCCTGTCCTGGATATGACAATAGATCTGTGCCACTGTAATGGCCCGTAACTCGCTAGTTCTAGTCCTTTAACTAACTATACCTATCTCATCATTATTATCTTAAACACAGCCAGCCATCATCAATCCATATAAAGTTGGTCTGTGTTCTGTGCGGAGTTGAGTACTCTCTGCTGGTCGAAACAACGATAGAATCGGTGAATCCCCTCCCATACAAACCAAAGTGCATGATTCGGTCTCCACTGATCGACAGGTGTTGGATCAAAGAGTTGCAGCGAGAAATCTTATATTAATTCGGCGCGAAGGATGTAACGGCAGCTTTTGGCAGATCGACATCCATGTCCTCGCGATCAACAAACCTCTTTGGTGGTCAGGTCTTCAGCCACCTGAGTTCGGTCTTAGCACGCGTAGATGCCAACGTGTCAAAGGAACTATTAGCTTAGGTATCTTGAACCCATTGGTAACTTGCTCGTCTGCTCTGCCCTTGAACTCCCATGGTAGCGTGATTTACGTGTTAATAGACTCCTACGCCCATCCATATGTCGAAATGGCCTGGAAACACTTGTACTAAAGCTTCGTATAACGTTCAATATAAAATTCCATTATTCCCGAGCATTCCTATACCATATTTCTGTCCGAACGCATCTACTATCTTCTTGCTATGGCGCTTCATGGAGCATCGGGATCAGGGTTGTTGCCCCACTTGCGTGTGGTGATTCCGCGAGCAGGTTCCTCATCACCAGTAGGCTCCAAAGAAAGAACGGTGATCTCGTTACCACTCTCGCGAAGATAACAGCCAGGAAGATAGAGGGATTGCTGAGGACCGATAATCCAGAAGCGACCCAAGTTGACACCGTTGACCCAGACAACACCCTTAGTCCATCCGGGAAGGTCGAGGAAAGTGTCACCAACGGTATCCAGATCAAACGATCCAGAGAAGAAGATGGGGCTTGATTCGGACGAAGCCTTGGGAGCCTCGGAATCAGACTTGGGAGTTGAGGTCAGGGGCAAGGGGTAGATCTGCCAGTCGGAAAGAACACTGTCGCCAACCTTGACGTCGCCGACAATTCCCTTGCGCTGGTCGACGATCTCGCCGCCATAGTTGACACGTCCCAGGTTCTCGACCAGGATGTCTAGAACATCGTCTTTCTTTAGGTCCAGGTTGACGGTGTTTGGTGTGGCGTAGGTGCCATCAATCACGCCAACGCGACGGTTGTTGACATAGATGAGCAAGCGATCTCTGGGGGTGTCACCTGCCTTGATTGCACCCTTGACGGGGGAGGTAACGGTGTGGCGGTACAGAATCATTCCGAGGGCCTGGCCGACGGCTTCCATGTTGACGGGGGACTTCTTCTCGACAGCCTCTGGGAGAGTATCGAACAGAGCCACGGATGGCTTCAGTTCAATAGAGGCGATTTCAATCATCGGCTCTTCCTTAACGAGCTCAGGGAGCTTATCTTCGCCAATGAAGTTGCCGATAGTCTCACGAATTGCATGATAGATGTCGTTGATACGGCCACTTTCGTCAAGGGGCGCGCCGTAGTCGTAGCTTGTAGTGATGGGCTGCAGGGCATCTGCCCAATCGGCTCCATTCTGGAAGCCCCAGTTGGTACCGCCGTGGAACATGAACAGACTGAATGATCCATTCTGGGACAGCATCCACTCGATATCCTTCTGGATGGTCTTGATCTTCTCCGCATCTCCGGAGGCAGTATTGAAAGTGAAACTGCTGGACCACTGGTCGAGCCATGTGACATAGTATTCACCGTTGAGCTGGGGTCCGAGGCTAGTCTTGTCGGTGACGTACTTGTCACGACCCTCGAATCCACTGTATGGATCGCCGTCCGACTCAGCCAAAACACCAGGGATCTGGCCGCCTTCAAGCATGCTCTGCTGGCCCCCATCGTTGGTGTAGAAGGGGACCTCAAAAGCCTCCTCGAAGATCTTCTTTAAGGCACCAGTGTACTCATGGTCATTTCCGTAGGATCCATACTCGTTCTCAATCTGAACCATCAAGATAGGTCCTCCCTTCGTGACCTGGAGCGAGTCCAAGTCCTTAGCGAGGCGATTGAGGAAGGACTTCGACGCATCGAGGAAAGGCTGGTTATTCGAGCGGACAACCATATCCGGAACCTCACTGAGCCATGCCGGGAAACCGCCCCATTCATGCTCGGCGCAGACATAGGGACCCGGTCGCAGAACCACCTTCAATCCTTGTTCGTCGGCGATTCTGATGTACTTCGCGATATCGTTGTTGCCGGTATTGTCCCACTCGCCTTGCTTCGGCTCGAGCTGGTCCCAGAATACATAAGCGAAGATAGTGTTCAAGCCTAAAGCACGCGCTTTAGCCAGACGATCCTCCCATAGTTCGTGGGGAATGTGTTGAGGGTCCATTTGGCCTCCGAGGATTCGGAACTGTTCGCCATTGAGGAGGAAGTGTTCTTCGTCGTAACCGAACGGCTCGGCCGCTCGAGTCACAGATAGAAGACCAACTAACAAAAGAAGAAATCTGGAGATAGACACCACCATGATTGAGAGAAGAATGGCTCGTACTATGCCCATTCTACTTGTCCCCGGTTGTCCATTTTATACCTGCGTGATCATCTCATTTGGTTTGCGCCAAGACGCGATCAATCTCGCACTCTGCAGATCTTCTCTTGACGATGTCACGTTGGTTTAGCTGTTCCTGAAGCCCATCGATTGCTACAGTAATCCCAACCCCGCACGTTGGGGTGGGGGAGGTAGCGCTTTGAAGTTACAGTAGGACCATATAGCGTGCGATATAGGCCCCAGCACTATATTTCTGTGAGATCGTCTCAGGTGTTTATCGTGAGCTGCATGTCAAGTGCTGAGTTGGTGGCAGTTTTCGCCCCAACGTCCCCGTGTTTGAATACTAATCGCCAAGAATCTCCATCATGCAACCTGATGTGGTACGCCGTGGAGGTGACAGTGCAGTGTTTTCGAGATATCCAGGCATGTTTGGATCGAGATTATCTGCGTCAGAGGGTGTAGATTTAGATTGATTCCCTGGGGGCCGGAAAAGATCTAAGGTCTAGGAACTCATGCCCAAGCACAACTGGTACGGGCAGATCAATTGCAAAGTACTCAATTTTTCGATGCTTTAGAGAATAAACAGAGGGTATCTATGTACAACGACACTGGCTTGCTCAGCAGAATATATGAAAAAAAATAAAAAAAAAAGAATGCCAAAATCTAGAATGACTCTCTCCAAACCCAATGCATTTTCATGTACAGCGGAAGGGAAGACTCAAAAAAGGAAAACAACCCATCTCAAATAGAAGAATATTCATCAGTCATACATATTACACGGGTGATTTCTCCGCAAATGGTTCGGCATTGGTGTCATGAGTTGCCCCGTCATAAGTTGTATCGGTATGGTGAGAAGCTCCACTAGGGACAGTGGGGGATGCATCGTTATGGCCCCCATCGTGGGCTGGATTAGAGACTCCGGCAGGGCCTTGGTCTGGTAATTTCTCGGCACCCTCAGATGACGTCGAAGGGGCGCTTTGCTGCTTATCACGAGTCCAGGGCCACACATTCGCCTGAACGGATGCGAATCGGGTACGTGCAGTTGGCGCACTAATGTCGTCAACCCAAGGAATGCCACCCTGCCCACGGTTCTCTGCCCAAGCCTTCTTCTCACGCCGCAGGTCACTCTGAACCCAGGGGATTGTGATCAAGGTCCAAATAATAGCCCAGCCAAATGGAAGAGACCAGCCCAGCTGTATACGAGGTTAGTCTTTCAGTTGGATTCCAAGTTTAGTTTGGACCCTGCTTACCGTGAATGCAACATTTTCTTGGACCGTGAATATGATGGCGGTGATGGCGGCAGCGCATATGATAGACCCTCCACTCCAAAAACAGTTCATCTCGAAGAGCATACGGCGGAAATAAGGGCTCGACAGGTATCGAGTCCGGAGGGCATATCGATAGATTTGTCCACCACCACCATCCACGGCTACCACATCTTCGATAAGCGCATATAATGCAGTCGGCATTACAGAGCCTTTAGGTGTGGAAGAGATTCGGAATGGGGCCTTGAAGCCCATCATACGGAAGATGTCGAGGGAAAGGTAGACGATGCCGAAGTAAAACATGACGGTTGGTAGGACCATGGCGATAAGGCGCACTATTTCAAATCAGTACATGCAATTGCGCATGGGAACAACTGGGATTGATCTAACCGTATGGTTGTTCAGGGACCGACCCACTGCAATAATGTTAGCTTATTGCTTATGCGGCTTTCCTAGTATATGCCAAGACTTACACAACTAGTTCGACAGCCAAGATCAGCCACAAGATGGTGAAGTTGATTTGAAAGAAATCGAGCTATCGATAGCTGTCAGTGAATGCCCGTAATCGATCGACATATCGTAACAACTTACCCATGATACCCGAGAGTTTAGCGGCCGGGCGCGAGAGTTTTTGCGAAATAAATTATAGAGGCGATAGAAGTATTCAAAGACCGAGACACCTCCAAGGGACGCGGTGACGATTGAGAAGACTGTACAAGACGCATATTAGCAACCTGAACGGATGTACGTTCCGCTGCCCAAAACATACCCACATTGGGTGATAGATCCGTGAGATACCAGAGACACCAGTAGAGAATCAATGGCTGAGCTAGAGTATCAATCACGAATATCGTCCAAAAGAACGCAATGGACTTCTTCCTCGTATGCAGCGAATATGGGAGCGGAGGAGGCTCGGACGGCGTTGGGACGGTTCCTGCTTCCATCGGTGTGGCGACAGTGGCGGATCACCGTTGGTGAGGGATAGGATCGGAAAACACGTAGGATTGATCGATGGGAGGGGATGAGGGAGTTTATTAGGACATGGCGCGGTTCAAATATGAGCCTGAGAAAGCTGAATGGATCACCAAAGTAGAATAAACCAAGAATCAAAAGGGCGAGACTGAGAATAAGTCTAGAAAATTTGACCGGAAACAACGGCCACTGATAGGTACTTCGGTGGCCATACAAACTTGGCGGTGTTGCGATGTACCTGACGTAAGTTCCATGATGTCATTGGAAATACGTAGAACACAGCCCTTCGATCAAACCACCGAGGCGCTTTCGAACTGCCTCATACGGTATGTTTCTCGCCTAAAATATCCCCTGGATGTTTTTTGCCTCCTACAATCCCGCCTCTCACTTGCTAGCCCCTTCTATACTGTACAAGAGAGTCATGCGCCCAGTAACCCCAACTTGAAGTATTCACGCGGCATCGGGTCAGTTCGTCAAAGAAGGGAACCTCCGGGGTCAACCGATGTCAGTATGTAGTAACTATGTCGACATTCAGCGTTTATCCCCGTATGACAGGAACAAAGATGCATAACCCTCTGCAGAAACAGGAAATCGGTCCAGACTTGGAACCCGAGTGCTATCGGTCCACCCGGACGCCGATCCCGACCGCACGGGGAGTGTGTTTATGCTTGTTCATAAGCCCCCAGAGCAGATCGTACACAACTTTGTACACATACTTGGTAGATACGATGTACACCATACCAAAGCTAAGACCTTGCAAGGCTTCGTACTCAAAATTTAGGCAATACATTGAGATTGAATTCCTCTTGATGTAGGGCGGCACAAAAAGAACGAAAAACCAATTTGCTCTATCTGTTTCCGTCAGGATCCGAAACGCTCTACACTGTATGTTGTAGGTACTTGACTTTCATGTATACGGCATGACAACAAAAAGAGGGTGGAAGAAATCCCTTTGTTGTTGCTTGTTCAGCCTTACAGACAAACAAGTGCTGACGGAGTCAACAATGTGTCCGGGGTGTTTGCTCATTGTGCTGCCTTGCAAACAAGGCATCCATGGGTCTTAGGTAGAAGAAAAGTCATGTGACGTGACAATCGCATTTTGCAAATTCCATGTTCGGCGTTCGAGTCCCCCCCTTCAAATTTTCCCATTTCTCTTTTTATTTCCTGCATCGCCCATCACCATTCTTTTCTCATTTTATTCATTCTATCGTATTCATAAAAAAGCTATGTAGCTATGCCTAGCTTACAGCATCTTATCGACTTCGTGTTGAACGAAGTCGCTCTCTGCGGCAGTCAAGGTGTGTATAGTCTTTTTTTCTCTCAAGACCCACTTTTCCTCACCCGGGAGACGCATGTCATGTTCGCGGTGGATTTCGCATGTCTCTCACATCATCTGAAAAGCTTGGTATAATGCATTGCTCGTTACGAGTTATCCCTTACTTGATAATGACGCTACCCGGGGTTTCTTCTGGGTTTGATCCGGGTCTATATGCTGGTGGCACGGCATGCCGATCTATATATTTTAGCCCTGATTGGAGGATTCGGTCTGCTGCATAAGTTGCATGAAATGCTAACAGATCTCAAGGCGCAACATTATCCGATGTGCTAAAAGCCATTGACGATTTCCATCTTCAAACTCAGGAAGGTGCCCGGCAAAATCAGAACATCGACCGTCTCTTCCAGGCCAAGGTCTGGTCTTGGCTCACGACCAACCCGGAGGTGTCTGTGGGCCAAAACAATGAATGGAACCACCTCACCTTGGATGAAGCTGAGCAGATTGACTCACAAGCGACCAAGAGCAGCAAAGCCACCAGTGTCCCCGAGTCAGACGAAACCGTACAGCAGAACCCTGATCCATCGCCAATTCGCATCTTCGTGTCAGAGGAAAGAATCTGGCTTGCCATCACTGGCCATCCGCCAGATGAAACGAAGGTTCTGCCTCTTGAATTTGTTCTGCTGTCAGTGATTGCGTCGCGCAAATCAGAGGGTATCGTGCAGCCCGAGCTGGTGAAGCTTAGTGGCCAGGATAAACGGTCTGTCCCAAAGCGTACCGCTGCTTTACATCAGAAGGGTTACATTGACAAGCGACCTGTCCAAACAAAAAAAGCTCGAACCAGTCTCTGTACACTGCAGCGTTATTTCCGCCCCACTGCCAGCCAGGCAGTTGCCCAATCAAAAGATGAATCGGAATCAAAGACCATGATTGATTTCGATACCTTCAATACCAATTTGTTTGATATTCTTCGGGAGCACCCGCTCATCGCTCGGAGTGATCTGAAAACGCTGCTAGGTTTTGATGATCCTTGGCGATGGAAAGTCTTGTCCCGTGCTCTCCGCAAGTGGGAGCGGATAGGTGTGGTACAGCGCGTGAGAGCCGAGTCGCAATACGAAAGGATGCACCCTTGTGTGAAGCTACTACGAGATCCCACACAGCAAGATCTGGACCTTTTCCATGAATTCAATTTCGATGTTTTGACTAAGCATGGGGTGGGAGCCCGCTTTCCCCTAAACCGCGACGTGGACCTGGAAGGCCCAAGCAAAAGGTCACTTAGCCCAGAGGAAGATGGCCTGAACCTGATCAAAGAACACGTTGAACACGCCGGGCGCATCGTACCATCTTGGACGCCGGATCGGATCCTTTACAACCAGATATTTGACATCGTTGAAAAGTCGGGCACAACAGGCATCACGAACCAGGTAAGGAAAAATCCGACAAGTAAGAATTCATTCCGCTGATAAATTATCTTAGACGCTTAATTGGACATGCTTTGGGTCCTTTTATAAAAGACCTGCCGAGGGTATGGTGCATCGCTTGGTGGACCTATGGCAAGTCGCTCAGCCGCTTCATCTCCGTCATCTCGCTATTGTCCGAGATATGGCAATGAAAAAGACCGTAATGTATTATGTCCACTATTCGGTCAATAACTTTGCAAAGGTCGTTGAAGCCGGTCGGGCAGTATGGGAGGCCGTTGAGTTCCCAGCCAAGAAAGCCAAAGCGCTGAAACTCGACGCACCGCCTTTTGGCGTGCTTCCTCAACTTGATGAACTCGGGTTCCCTAAGAAGGACTTCCCTAGGGGTATGCTGAAGAATGCGAATTCCACCCTCCTCGACGGGATCAATGCTGCCAAACCAAGCGACTATCTTCTCTCTTCAGCTGACCCATTCGTTGTCAAACTTGCAGATGGTAAACTTGGTATGGTTACTCTCCATAATCTTGAGTTTCACAACATTTTTAGCTACAATTCTAACACCATCGCAGTTGTCCGTACACGCACCGACAAGCTACCACCCGGCTCTAAACAGCTATTCGAAGGCCGCGCCCGGAATCCGGGACGCACCGGGCTTCCGAAAGGTAGACCAAGCCGCGCGATGTTGGAAAAGCGGGCGAGAGAAAGCGAAGCCACCGAAGCTCAGGTTGCACCATCCGAACCCGAATCCGAGCCGGATGTGCCCCAAGCTTATGGCTGGGAAGATGTTGTGGAGACCCCACCGACTAAAAGAGCCAGAACCAAACATAAACTCATTGGATTATCCAAAAAAGAAAAGTTTGAAGCGCTTGGCATGGACGAGAATTGGACCGAATACAATGCGCTTATCATGGACAAGCCTGTTCCTGGGTTGTACGTGACTCCTCGCGGCCGAAGAAGGCCAGTCGGCAAGTCTCGAGGTCGTCCGAGACAGAGCCGAATTGCCGTGTTTAAATTGCCCAAACTAGCATCATTGCCCTGGTTTGTCAAGGACAAGGATGATTCAAGTGACGATGATGCGACACGGAATGCCGGTACCACCATTAGGGACTCCGAGAGCGTTGTCCCTGAACCTACACCCTCAATCATCAAAACTGAGGGACGCTTTATCACACCTACCCCGACACCTTCAAGGCGATTCAAAAGGACTCTGCCTGATCAGATAACTCTGGGTTCACCAACACCATCGTTAACTTCCAACACCACTGACTTCAGAAACGAGGGGCCCAACAAAAGATCTCGTCTCAACAAAGATCAAGATGCGAACGAGGAAGGCCCTTTGGATGTAGCCGACGAAATCACCATCGAGGATGCTACCCGGGGTCCGCAGGAGGGCTTCATAGAACCGATTACACCACGCCATCGCGATAAGAGTGCCAGCATCCATCAACTCGAGGATGAGGAAAACGAAACTCCATCTAAACGACGCCGTGTAGCTTCTTCTGATTGTACTACTCAACAGTCTCCGGCACCACGTCCATCTGATGTTCCTACGCCACGTTCCAGCCTAGTCGTCCTTCAGCAAACACAATCAACCTCCGACGTGAAGCCTGCAAAACCGCGGCGCAGAGCTCGAGGTATCCGGAGTGCGCTAGGTTCAAATGAGGAAGGATTTGAATCCATCAGACCTTTGATTGAAAGAGGCGGATCTATCAGCGTGCTTCGGAAGAAATACCTTATGGAAATCATAGAAAAGGCGGGTGGTGTATATCCTGCAGGCACTGCAATCTGGTATCCGTTTGTCACTGCATGGATGAAAGCCCATCCTAAAGAAAAGCCCGACTTGCGAACGGTCAACAATGCATGCAGGCAATTGGTCGATGCCGGCCTGCTACGGCAGCTGACTTTCAGTGGCAAAGACAAGAAAAATGTGATGGTGACGAAGAAGTTGTTGTTGAAGCCTGATATTCCAGCAGATAGTCCTTTGGTGAAAGAGATGCAGACCAAAGTATTGGCCATCGATATCCATGATAATCAGCCCTACTTCGCAGACAACGTCGAGCTGAATCCGAACTTGACAAGAAGTGGTGGTCGACCACACAGCATCCGAACACGATTTGCGTTACCCGTCGAACAAGAAACCCATGTCCATTTACAACAGAAGCCTGCTTTCGTTGTGAATTATGAGACAAGGCAAGGGAGATTGGCCCATACGAATATCGTAAGACGCCTAGCAGCCCAAGCCAAGGCCGCGAAGGTAGCTACAGATAACCTGCCTGACGTGCCTGGGGTTCAGCGACTCATGACACTTGCGCGCCCTCCTGAGCTAGACATTGATGCCCATCCGCATACATCGATTATCCGCCCGCTTTTCTCCACAAACATGGGTGGTCCGGTCAAGTACCGAAAACGTGCGGTGCATGCCAAACGGGCGATGATGAAGCCAATTTCTGCCATCGGAGCGTACGCTATGTTAATGAACCCGGCGCAACAATTTCATTCAACTACAGGGACCTTTACCACAGGGTCGTGTTGGTTCAAACCCCCAAAGCCCAAGCACGGGGCGGCAAAGCAGCCCGTCATGGACATCCGTGAGATTGAGAGTTCTGTCAATGAGCTATCTAGATTGGCTCATGATGATAAAGATCTACTGCGACTGTCACGCATGAAACAGTTTGATTTAAGAACCAAGAAGATTCTCGATTGGGAGCTTGACCACCATGATCTCTTTGCTGTAAACCTCAAGGGCCAGCAGTTTATTGAGCAGACTATTCGCCACGAGTTCGAGACTGCGCCAGTACAGGGCGAGATTCGCTTCGAAGTGTCTACGGGCCCACTAGAACGGGCTTCACTCGGACCTCCTATGCCAACACGGCGTAGCGAAGCCCTTCGGCTACGAAAGTCTGTGCCTGAGATCCCAGACACAACTATCCCGAAAACACCGAAAACAAGAAGAAAACGTGCGTCGCGTGCTGCTCCCAAGGATCGCCGTTTGGCCAAGCTTGATGATACAGCACCATCCGACAAAGAAGCGCAGAAACCCAAACGAATTCGTCGATACCGCGTCGTGCGTCCTATTTCTGAGGAACTCAAGAAAAAGCTTATGATAGCTCTGGTTGTTGTTCGTGTACTTGCAGGCGGAGCAGAGTCCCGAATCATTGACTGGACTTTGGTGACCAAGGGTTTCCCGAATCAAGATCCGTCGTTCATTGAAGGGCGAGCGCGTCAAATCCTCAGCAAAAATCGTTTGCAGATTACCAAAATGCACCGAGATTTCCAAGAGTGCTTCCTTGAGGGGTACAAAAGGGATGAAGTGCCGCGCATTGATTATTCTGATTTGGCTGGCTATGACTGGCCTGCTTTGATCGAGTGGGCATGCACCAAGCTGGATATATCTTCGTCTGAACGTGTCCCTGATCTTCCAGCAACAAGGGAGCAATTCGACAATCTATTTGAACTACGCGAAGATCCTATCACGGCAGGCGATGAGTTGTACCAGTCTGTGCACGGTGTCACTCTCAATCATAAACGTCACTTGATGGCGCGAAATCCCTGTGCTGTAACCTTGGTTGACGAAGCCCACCCCAGAGTGGCCCCACGAAAGGTTTATATGGCACAGCTTGAGGCGGCGAAGACATGGGTCCGGGCAAATATCATCACCGCACAAGAGACCTATCGACCCAACGAGGCAAGCGATATCCTGAGTCTCTTCGGCGATCAACTCATCACCAGAGCGACGCAGGCCCTGATCGATGAACGTGTCATCAGTTCAACAAGCCGTGGTCGCATTACCCCAGGTCGCAACTATGATATCTCCGAGAATTTCCTCCAAACCTTGAGCCGCAAACGTGCTGTCGAAAGCACCCAACTCCGTCGTGCAGCTCATTTCAAATCAACGATACTGGATCCCAAGCTCCGGGCTAACGGAGTCTATGACATTGCATACGCCGCAGAAGATGGCGATATTCTCGCATTGATGAATCTGTATGCATCAAAAGCTATTCAGCTGCGGCCCCGCGATCCTCCCCGAGCCAAATTTGGTCTCACCGACGGTGGTTATGAGACTCGACAGATGGACAAGAGACGCTTCCGTTTCGCCATCGAAGTTATCCCCACCAAGAAATACCGCCATGGTAACCCTGTCACCGATAGAGCGGCAGCGGTGGCAATCCCACCGGCACCATCACCTTCACCATCGCAGACAGGAGTGCCAATCAGGACCCCTATGTGGTACGATATCAATGGCCAATTCGTTCGTCGTTTGTGGGAGCTAGTGGTTGGTCCTGTCATCGGATGCTTGGTCACGCGGCCCGGAATCAAGGCTTCTAGCGTTTCCAGCATGATCAAGCCTACCATGGGTGTATGGGAAACTGTGCTGATGCTGGAATGGCTGGAGCAAGCTGGCGTTGTCAAGGCAGATGGTAAGGGAGAGACAGCCTGCTGGAGATTACAGGAGTCATGGTGGATGATTTTATCTTGAGTGCTCATCTTGAAAGAATCTTGAATGTAAGAGTAGGACCATATTTGAGAGCAAGGGAATATCAACAAAAATCAAAGAAGAACCAAGGACTATATTTCAATGAGTTGTGTGCTTGATTTCCAAGAACTATCTAGAGGTATCATGATCAAATATTGACTCCTGTAATGTGAAAAAACCCCAAACGCTCGCATAATCGCCAGATAAACCGCAAATGTTTCAATAAAGCCTTATGTCCGTTAAAGATCACCAACATTGGCCACACGACGCAAAACCAATACCACAAGAGCAATGATCACAGCGACGATTGCCCGGTCCAGCCAGACACTTTCACACGGAGTCTCCGTCGTAGCCAACTGCGCACTTGTCTGCACGGGGATGGCAGCAGTAGTCGGTACCTGCCCCGATGAAGGCGGTTGTGTCGATATCTGCTGCAATGCCGTCTGCTGCAACTCTGGTATCTGTTCCGGAGCAGCATCAACCGCAGGAAGAGTATCAGACACAGACGAATCATTCTCTACACCCTCTTCCCTCTCTTCCCGAAGACCCTCACTAGCCATCTCACCAACCTCAACATCAACCTCCACCCCCCTCTCCCGACAAACCCCCCAAACCTCCTTCATAATCTCCAGATTCCCAACCCCACACTCCCGACACCGCCACCCAAGCGATAACCGCGCATACTCCCTCCGCACCTCATCACTCCCCTCCATCCCCCCAACCTGTCCCTTGCTCTCCGACCCAAAGATCTCCGACCGGATACCCAGCAGCGCCGTGCGCACTCCCCACGCCGGCTGCCATGTTTCCTCGTGGTGGCCGGAGATGCTGAGGCAGATCTCGCGGTTGACTTCGAAGCGGCCGGAGGGCGTGAGGAAGCGGAAGGAGGGCGGGCGGAGCGGGTATGTTGCTGGGAAGGTGATGCGGCCGTGGTAGAGGCCTTGGGCGTAGGGTGTGGAGGGGGGCCCGGCGAGGGTGAAGTGCCAATCGTGGAGGTTGGAGTCGCTGGTTGGGCCTGCGGTGAAGTATGGACTGGGGTTTTTGTGGAGGTCGCTGCTTTCTTTGAGGAGGCGGCGGGCGGAGGGGGAGGACATGGTTCTCTTGGATTCTGGGTCTTTTTTTTAGGTGTATGGTTTAGGAATGGGAGATGTGCAGAGTGTAGGCATTGAGCGGAAGGTATGTTGTCACAAAGAAGTGGGGAGTCGATAAGAGATGACGATCTGGACAGTTGTCCCGGGGACCTCGGACTCGACGTCAGCGGTGTGATTGGCGAGGCGCTACTCTCTGCGAGTACGAGGACAAAGAGTGTTTCAAAAAGATATGGTCGTAAGGTCTTTCCATGTATTATTCGAATTAAGAGTTACGCATAGACTTCAGACATGAAATAAAAAGCAAACACAATTGTACACGTACAACGCCTTCAAAATGCTTCCTATCAATGCTCAAGGGGGTTTTTTTCCTACTCCCAGTCTCGCCATTCATCAGTATCCCGTGGCGAGGCTTGCTGGCGTCCGGCGCCCGGGTCCAACAACCCATTTCCTTCAATATCATCTCCATAATCACTGTCCCCAGGCCTTGGCCGCGGAGACCGGGGTGCAAGCGTCTGCATTGACACAGACGTCGGGGGCCTGTCAGGCGTGCTACCACGGTTAGGCATGCGCAGCGGTTGCGCACTTTCCCTCCAACTATTGCTATTGTCCAGATTACGCTGGTACAGCTCGCGGTAGTATTGTTGTTGTTCGCTGGATTCCTGTTCTCGGCGCTGTCGCATGCGATCGCGCGCTTCGAGGAATTCCCGACTCGGCTCCCAGTGCCAGCCATCGCCGGTAGTGTTGCAAATGGGCACAGCCCAGAGAAGGGGCCGCTCACCGAAGAGGTGAAGCAAGTTGCGCCGCCAGCCGAGATCAAATGCGCTGGGCATCTTCTCGTTATCTTCGTCGTTTTGGTACTCCTGGTACCGTTCGTACTCGCGCTGTCGCTCCATTTCGGCGTATGACCGGGTCAGCGCTTGTTGCGCTGGTGTTAGGCCGTTGCCGAAGCCGTCGGGGGGCCCTGATGGACGAGGCATGGCATAGATGTGCTCTTCGCCTTCCTCGGCCCGGGTGACTCCAGGGATAGTATTGGCGTGGGCATCGAGGATCTGATTTCCGTAGTCTTGCAGTCGGTTGGACATAGTACCATCGCCCGGCTCGCCCCAATAGTTGTCGTTGGGCGCTTGCTCGTTCCGTCGTCGGTCGAGCGCTTTGCGCAGAGGAGACACGTACCGGGTTCTTTCCAGACATTCGATGGTGGTGGTACCTCGCACAGCGAGGCTGATATGCCAGGCTGTGAACCCGCTCAGTACCAGTCCGATGATACCACCCAGGATAGCTAGCAGAACCACGTTGACTGGGAGGATAGTATCCATGTACTGAGTGTCGTTCAGGATCTCGGTCCAGACCCAGATGGCCGCGATTCCAAAAACAACCCAGCAAAATATTGAGGTATAGATCAAAAACAACAAAAATGCCTTATAATTATGCAGTCCAACACAAGTTGCGAGCCAGGGACAGTGATGGTCCATCTTGAGGACGCATCGTTTGCACGTCGAGCAGTGGTGCGCGCGATCCGGCTTCGGGCACTGGCATTTTTTGCAATACCGTGAATCGCCGGTCGAGCTAACGGTATATGAGGTGAACTCCGGGTGCTCGGAGGGTGGGAGGGCGCTGTACTCATGACGGTCGGCGCCGCTGTGAGTCGAGAGCGGTGACCCCGGATCGGTGAAAACGGCGATGGTATATGAGAAGTTGAGGATGGCGTAAAAGGTAAATGCGATGATACTGCTTGGGATGCCTGTCGAGATGTCAGTACTCTCGGAATATTGTATGAGCCGTCAGACTGCGAGAGATAACCTGCATACCGATCCAGTCACTTCGCGAAGGCTTGATGCCAATGCTGACAGCGACATATACTGCCCATGTAGTAATACCATAGACGAAGGCAAGTGGGAAGCAGGTTGCAGCTGCACAACAATATCGTTCACATCGGAGGGCCCATGCTCGCGGGCGTCGTTTGGGCCACGAGGGCGAGGTGGGAGGTGAGGAGGCCAAAGTGGCCATAGCTGAGGGTTTATCGCACACGCAAAAAGACGTTGTGCATGGAGTTTCAAGGGATCCGACCCGTTATAGACAGAGCATTGGAAATCATAAGATAGGTCTCAGGACTGAACGATTGAGGGTTTCAGTATGCGATGGGAACGAGGCTATCAGGTGAGATGTACGGTATGGTAACTGTGATACGGTAATCTATTTACTCCGCCACAGCGCCAGCCACACAATTCGTATGAAACAGCCGAAATTCAGGTCCACGGGCGACAACTACATCGTCATTGGGAGTTCTATTTTGGGTCATTTCAGGAACCAGGGGCAACAAGGAGGCATCATCATATAGGTCTTGGTAGTTCGGAGCTTGATAGATTGAGACATGGGTATATACTATGGTGAATATCTCAATTCTATTTACAGTCATAATGCTCGAAGATTCATTGAAGCTGCCTTCAAGTGCAACGTGGACGATTTTCAACCGCTGAAAAGCTGAAAAGCAAAAAAAAAACAAAAGGCTCAATCAGTTGGAGTTCTCCGTGGTGGTGTACGTCAACCCATTTTGCTTACACCAGCCATTGACGGGCAGACAACTCAACCGATGGCACCAGGAGCAGTTCGTGGAAGGGTACTTATAAAAGTCGATGATCAACATAATGAAACCAACAAGGACCGCGACCAGGGCGCCGGCACGAACTAGCCACCAACACCACCAAAGAGGTTTGCGGCCCTTGAAGAAATTGAGCGGGCCCTTGGTAGACTCGCCCGTCTGTGTCGAGCTCGATGTGAGGCCTTGTTTGCCCTTGAAGAAATCCATGAAGGAGGTGGTCTTTTGTTGGGGTCCACCTTGGCCAGCTCCCCCGCTCATAGCAACATAAGGCTGGCGTGCAAGACCAATTCGCTCTCGGAGAATATTGGGCGACCGCATGATCGTCAGCCCAATGGCGAGGCCCATGATGAAGCCACCAATATGGGAGAAGTTATCAAGTCCCGGAAGAAGGCCAAGAACGAACGAAACGCCCACTCCCAGGACCATGATGATAAGCTCAACCCACGGAGACTCGCGTTGAGTCCAGTCATAGAGCAGATCCAGCAAGTAAAGCGCAAGTATTCCGAAGAGAGCACCAGAGCAGCCATCACTAGGATCGAGCTGCGAGGCGTAATTTCCACCCAAGACAAATCCGAAAATTCCACTGGCAAAGTAGGTCAAGGTGTAGCGCCACATTCCAATCATACGCTCCATATCTGCACCCATTGTAAGCTGGACCAACAGGTTGAATCCGATGTGGACAAATCCGCCATGCATGAAAATGGGGATGATGAACCGATACCACTGATTGGGAGCCGGGCTATCATCGGTCGATCCCAGAACACGGGGATTGGGCACACCGCTAAAGCCACACACATCAGACAGCGAGCAGCTCCCCATGGCCGTTGTAGAGTTCGGACAGGGCCATCCGATGGTGGTATTGGCGTTCTGGATTCCCTCGACATTCTTCATGCACGGGTTGTAACGTGCTCCCATGTAGATTTGTACATATGGTGAAGGCCCGATCATCGGATTAAAGGTCGGCTTTGTCTCAATGACAGACCCTGTCAACTGGGCTGTAGAGGGAAAGATTCTGTCAGTGGACCTGAAATGCTAGCGCAATGCCGAGAAGGACGGGAAACTCACCATTCTTGACTAGTTCGACGATGAACACGACGATCTGGGCTAGAGTCAAGATGTATGTCACCCAAGCGATCTTCTTCTTGAAGAATCCCTTCTTTTTGCGGATGTCGCGTGGTCGGCTATCCTCGAGTCCCCCTGGTGATGGAGGGTATTGGGTTTGTTGGCGCATCCAATCTGGATTGTTTCCATATTGGGTGTTGGTCTTCAGAGGGATGTTTTCTGCGTAGTGGTCGCCTTCTGCTGGCCGTCCGGCTGCCTGGTAATGTCCATTGTCCGATGCGAATGATTGTTGACTTTCTCGGTTGTGATAGGGGTTTGAAGGATCATCGTGGTTGTTATCATAGCTCGAGTAACCGAATCCCGGAACTGGGTGTGCGGTCTGGTCTGTTCTCCCGGGTATTGCCTGGTCGTAGCTGGGGGGTTGTGGGATGTTCGAGTGGTAATAGTCGTTGGCCATCGTGGCCAGTCAGATTTTGATTTAGGGTTGAAAGCAAAAAGACCGTCAAATCGTCAAAAGGGGATGCTAGGGAGGTTGAATGAAGAAGATTATAGACAAAAGAGGTGTTAAACAAAACAACATGAAAGAAGGTGAAGGCAGGCAGTCACATAACTCGCCGGAGTTATTTTTGGGGCCGATCGACGCAACCCCAGCCGCGCGGCTGGGGTTCTCACTCTGCCCTACGCACCTGAGTATCTATCCTGTTTGGAGATTCCAACTTGCTACGTCGATACTACGTGTCTACCTAGGTATGTTGTTTTTTACCGGGGGAAAAATGTACCCCCTCGCCTCGTTCCCTCCGTGACACACGTGTTGCACCAGTCTCAGCCGCAATGCCAAGCACTACGTTGCACGGTTGCCCCAACAGCCACATGTTGTGGTTTACATGAAGGACCTGGAGAGACTATGGCCGTTGGTCCAATGAAACAGGCGCAGTATGGATTGAATAGACATAGGTAGGGGCTACCTAGGTACTGGCCAGCCATACACTCCAAGTTCATGTACGGTTATGCATCTATTGGGATGTGAGGCGATATCAACAAAGCTGCAGATTGCGATTTACCTACCTAGGGGATGTGAGATCATCAAAGAGCAGAAAGGCGAAGGAAACACCTTTTGGCCTTTGGGTATCCGCATTGAGCTTATTGGACGAGTGCTTTCTGAGTCTACTGTACGGAGTAGAGTGTCTACCTAGGAGACTTCATGTAGTTCCGATTCTTGTCAAAAGTGGTATTTGTCTCAATTCAATCCTTTGTTTGATTATAATATCTTACATCTCCCTTACTGTGTCTGACTACCCCTAGATATATGTCGTGTGCCTGTTCCTACGAAACGGCTGAGCTTTCTGACTAGAGCCTCCACGCGTAGATCTGGCTGTGTTTCTCAGACGGAGAGATCAAGACTTGAAACCAGAGAACTGACTTTTCTCCAATTCACTATCACTTCACATGAAGCCAGGGGTATATACCTACATACTAGCCTGAACATACCAGAGGGACACTAGCCAGGCTATGATATCATATGGGGCCTAATGATGGGGGCCGATGCACGGTCGCAACTTTGTTACTGAAATAATGAGTAAAATGACCTCCAGTCCACTTGTCCATTCGATTTGACTGACAAGAAAGATGAAGGTAGTCCAAAAAAAAAAAAGGTCCAGCTGCCCGGAGTGGCGTATAGTTCGGGGACGCGATCGGCCCGTGTTTTCTTCGGGATTCTGCCGCTGATGTCATCGCCATGTTTCATCTTCCCCGCGCCCTGAAACATGAAATAGTCAACCATCACCATGGAGGACCCTCTCGTCCAAGCGTTGCCTCCGGCTACTGATTACTTGACCTATCTTACATTGCTGGAGTATCAGTTGACACCAGAGCGTCTGCCGCTCTTGCACACTCTTCTGCAAGATGAAAAGCTCACAACGAACATCGGCTGGGACCTGGTCCAGCTCCTCCTGCCGATGCTACCAGCATCCACGGACTGCCTAGAGGATGTGGCTAGACTTGGGAATCCGCGAGAAGTGATCTTGCGCGTTTCTGAGTCTCTGATGCAGCTTCAGCCCGAGGACGAGGACGAGGACGATGATGAGGTTGGCAAGGGACTCCCTCTGCATATCCTCCAGTTCAATTGCCTTCTCGGCATGCTTGCGGTGCTTCATACACGGATCCAAACCAAAGCTCCGAGTCGGTTCCTGGCGACTTCCCTTCAAGCAGCTTTGGAAGCATATACCACGATGGCGACAAACGAGACTACCCTGGCCTTCCTTGAGTTCTTCCGCGCAGTCTCCCCTTCCAAGAGACCTGCGCCGCCTCCTCGAGCTGCGAGTGAGTCTAGTGTCCTGCGGGTTGCCGCTGCCTCAGCTCCAGATCCCGAGGCAGAGGTAGCCTCGCCGTCCCCTTCGGCCGATAACGAGACACTCCTTGTCCGAAAGTTCACCCAGTTCGGCCTGCTTGAACTGCTCAAGTCATATCTCTTGAGCTTCTCCAGTCCCATGGACCCGGGGATGTCGTGGACCATTCGGATGCAGGAACGCTTACATCCGAACCTGCGGCTACCCACCCAATCGCAGACCGAGGCATATGGATCAACCAAAGCCCTCAAAGAGCGCGATATGATCATGGGAAAGATTCTGGTAAGTGGAAACGGGGCAAATATATCGACTTTTTCATGAAAGTCCTCAAAAGATAGCTGATCTGATCATTTCTGCCCAGGCTTTGTCACGAGATGTAGGAATCGATAACGAGCAGCTTCTGTCAATCATCTCCGATTCCCCAACAAATCAATCCGCTCAGGTTGATTTTGACGAGCCACCCATACACCCGGATCAGATTCCGCTAGAACGTCACGGTTCACTTCTACTACTAGCAGCTCGAGCGGCAGGAACGACCCTTTTCGAGTCTGGACACCCTCTCCCCCAAATATCGGTTTTCCCTCACCTGGCCCAGATATTTAGCAATTTTGTTGGCGGCCACACCAATCTCGACGAAATAGCGTTTGGCCAACCCCATGCCCTTCTTGACTCCCTACTGGCTTTGACAGTCTATGCTCTGCAACAACCCATCGAAACCCCACCAAGCGAAATTGAGTTCAAGGATTTCGTTGTCACTCTGACGGCATGCACAGCACGCCAAAGCCACGGGATTGTTCGCCAGATTCCAGCTGCCATTGTTCAAAGTCACCCATCTTCCGAGAAACGGTTCAAGCTTATACACAAGATTTTGGAAGACGACAATCTTTCCTCAGCCCGGGATAGCGCCATCGCCTGGTTAAGGGATGAACTTATTCGCAATCCCATCCAGTCTTCTGACACTGTTTTCCAAGACCCGCTCTACTTTTGGGCTTTATTCCCGTCTCTTTTCAAGCCGGTCACAGCTGCCAGCTCATCTTCAGATCTTGTAGCCACATGGTCCCGTCTTACCCAGACTCAAGGCGCACCAATTCACTCGGCATTGAGTCTTTACTTTTTGTTGCTTTCTTCGCCATCCCTACGAGAGCAGCTTCAACTCGAGAAGACTGCCAAGTTCTTCCGAAGCAATGTACTGGACCCTCTCCGACAGTTGTTCCGTAGCTTCGAGGCCGATCTCACAGCTAAAGGAGGTGAGGGTGTCATTGAAGCTGCAGTTGGCGAAGAAATGTGTCAGATTGGAAATGCACGCTCTGTTGGGATCATTGGTCTTACTCTGGATCAAATCGAGGAGACAGCTAGCGATGCTTTTGGCCATGACGAGGGGGATCTGACTGAATATTCTACGGCTGAAGAGGCTAAGGTGTCAGAGATTCGGAAGGAGATTGCTATTTGGAACTAGTTCATGTACAGATCCAAGTAACTTGTACAGAGTTTCAGTAAATATGATATTTCACGATTGATGCCCAGGTATCACCTTGTTTATGTCCGAAGCCACCTAGGAATGAACAATAAAAACGGCATCCACCCCAACTCCACAAAAAGGAAGTTCAAGAAAGTTCCATACCAGTGACTCTCCAGGTAAGTTCCGTAGATCCCCTAGATGCAACAAACTCAGACTTGGACGAAAGTACTCGGACCTTTGGTACAACTCTCCCCGCGGCCTCTCGAACAGCCTCTTCTATAGCCTCATCCGCGATCCCCGTCATGATAACCAAGAGCGTATCAGGAATGAGCCATTTGGAGTACCAAGAGCCCAAGAACCGATGAGCAAATTCCCTGACACGCGACAAATATTCATCAACCCGTGAATTAGCACATAATTCAAAAGAAGCTATTGTATGAGGATCATCAGACCCCCTATCCACATCCACAGCCGTCCGTAAAGACCTTGTATACAGCAGGACAGCCTGATCGGTATATTCAACCAGCAGTGTTTCGTGAACCGGTAGTCGCTTACCCTCCTCCTTATATCGATCCCCATCCTCAATGTGCTCGCACACTCCCAGCCCGTGTCCCACATAAGCGGCATAGATCTCCACCGGATGGTCTCTGTAAAGGCCCGTTAGTTTCGGAAGACCCAAGCACTCCGCCATGTCGTTGATATCTTGTTTGTATAGGGCCGCAATTGCCGGGTAGCTGATTACGACGTATGGAACAGAGGCGGAGTTGTTCAGGGAAAGGAGCTTCTTGACTAGCGCGCTCATGGTTTGCGCGTCAAGAGATGTTGCTAGACCGATCTTTTTACGGAAAGAGCGCCAGGCTTGTCGCGGTGTGTCGTTCCACATATCTTCCATTGAAGAGTAGGGGGGGGGGCTGGTTGGATTAGTATGAAATTATATGGTAGGAAGGAGTTCGTTTGGGGAAATGTACCTAGGATGGCAAGCAGTGCGCGACGAGAGTCGTTTTATCGTTTCGATATAGCTGGAGTCACCTTCGACGCGACCAAGATCCTCGAATGAACCGTCGGGGTGACGGAGGGATATCGAATCTCTATCTGTACGTAGACCGCAACGTACTGGAAGGAGAGGAATGGAATGTGTGTGATGTGCTGATAGAGACGTTGTGCTGCTGAGTGCGGTTCCAAAGTGAGGTGACCACACTCGCTCTTCGCCTCGTGGCCATGTTGGAAATCGGCTGAAACCAATGTTCCATCTAGCTAATCCCTGAATTCATATATCACGAGAATAGTGGTGGCACAGGATTGCGGGCGATGAAGAGGCCGCCGTCCAAAGTGACAACCCTAGAAAGGCGTCCGTTGCTAGCGTTAATTCCACAGTCCTCAGGCTCTGATAAAAAAGGAGAAATCAAAATGATGAGCCCCTGAAAGAAAAAGTCTTGAATCTGGGATCGTGGTCTTATCCTGTCTAGCGTAGAGGAGCACTTCCAAACCCAGGTAGTTCACGATAGCTTTTGATGTCCTACAATAATCCAACTACACAAAATTGCAAAGAATTCGAGATTTAGAGACAATGCTGCATTCCTGCCAACTACCATGACCAATTCTAACTAAGAAATAGAACCCCTATCCACCCAGACCATCCAAAGAAACCAGTGAAACCTGCACCACATCGCAAATGAGAAAAATACACAATCAAGCGGCTTTTATAGTATGGAGAGGAAAAACCTCCGAATATAGCTGCAGGAACGAGAAAGCAAATGTCTTTCTTCTAAAAGAAGACCACCCATTGTTACCCGGATCGTCCACGAGAGATTTCGCAAGGACAGAACAACTCATAATCGAGGATTATTGAAGTCGATGATCGCCGACGAATCAAGCAGGGAGATCATAGACCTGTCGAAAGAGCTGGAACCGTGCTTGTCGAAGAAAAAGAATGAACTGGACAGATAGACTCGCAGGGAGTCTTTTCACAATAAAGCAAAAGCAAAACCGGAGGCCGTGTCCAGAAGGATTGAATTTTTTTTTTTTGAAAAAGTTGAAAGTGTTCTCAAGTGTCCGTGGTGAAGATCAGAAATGGACGCGTTTCAATGGCCATGGCGACCAACGAGTCAGGTCAAGCTATGGTTGATGGAATGACGGAAGTGGGTGTGCTCATGGAAGCAATTTAGAAGGGAGCGGCTGTTTGATAAGTCAGTATAACTGGATATTGGGTGAGAAGGAGATGGTACTCACATCGCATGACCACGCAGCCGCCACCGGGAGACTTCATGACGACGCAACCACCACCGGGAGAGCGCTTTTGGATGCTGCAGAAGCTATTGTCGGGGTGATCGCCGGTGACGCAGCCAGACATGGGGTGATCCTTCATCACAACACAGCCGCCGCCGGGGGACTTCATGACGACGCAGCCACCACCGGGAGCTGTAAGATGGATAGGTCAGTATAAGGTACTTTATACCCCAGGGGAAGAGCATTGCAAAGTGGAAGACACTCACACTTCTGGACCTGAGCACGAGACATTTCGAAGATAGAGGAGCCTAAGAAGCGAAAGCTTGAAAAGATTGTTTGTTTGGGATGATTGAAATGTGATCGGGTGGTGAAAAAAATAATTGAAGTTGGTTGTAGAGGTAGGTATTTATATTCGAGAAATGTCCAGTTCACGGACTATCAATATCATCGCGGCCTCATCTAGATGTCAATGCGAGCATCGCATTGAGCTGCTGACATGAATGCGTTGGGCATTGGCGACGGCGTAGAACCAATCCGGGAAGCCTGGGGTTGGGGTTGTGGAGGCTCATTGCGGAGTCGTTTGATATTGTTCTCTACCCCGTGAATGTAGATGTCGTTGCCTCGAGGATTTTGCTCTTTGTTTTGCCATTGCGGAGTAGTTGGTCGGCACATTCATCGAGGGCATCAAGGCTGCATAGCGTATCCCTCGAGGCACGCGTGGCGCTGAGGTTGTCTTTGATGAAGGAACGCCACAGATATGCTTGAGAGGCCCCGATTCCAGTTATATGCAATGGGGGAATTTGGATGACTCGTTTAGACGTCAGAATGTCAGAACAATATTAAGCCCAGGATAGTGGACAGAGATTTGGATTGGTGGCCATCCCCAAATGGGGATGGCGTTTGAAACAAAGAGAACTGGCGGCCAATCGCTACAAGCACGTTGCGCCTACGATTGTTCTTGAGGAACAATATTATCACAGGCTTGGCATCGGAAATATTTCAGATGAACTGTCTGATTGCACGTCAAGCATCAGAGTCATTTCCACTCGGGCAGCTATGAAAGAGAACACACCGAACAGCATTGCTACCAAGAAACAAAACACGAAATTAGACTTCGCTTGGACACGACAATTTGGCTAATGGAATGCTCGAGTACATCAATAAAAGTGTTCACCGATACTGAAACTCCGAACGTGGCAATCACATTCTCCCCGTTAGGTATAGAGCGGCTCGGTCAGGTCATTCAGAGTCAATCCTTCCTTCGCAATATCCTCCTCAATCAGGAACATCAAAGGCATCTCAACCAATGTACCCTTGACTTGACTGAGCAGCTCTTTGACTTGCTTAGCCCCCTCAGCACCAGGTGCGAAGTCATCACGCACGACGTGGCCCCATTGGAATCGCGCCGGACGTGCCTGTTCATCCTTACCCCCAACGGTCTTGTGGAAATAGAACTCATAGAACTCTTTGTACTCATTCCAGTTGCGGACCGAGTCATCTGGAACCGCGTGGAACACCTTTCGGAAGACCTCGCTGTTAGTGTGCGCCCGTGAGTTCCAGAGACTCTGGACAGTATCGGAAAGCGGATCAGCAACGACCTTGCTCTCAGGGCATTCGAAATCAAATTCATTGGGAACTCCCACAGGCTCGGTGTTCGCATCCGGTCGCTGATAGTCTTGTGGAGGCAAGAGACCCAGGTGCTTCCGGAACAACTGGCGACGAAGAGATGAAGCAAACCGACTGGCGGTCCATGGCTTTCCATTCATGTTCGACGACACAGGCGTGAAATCTTCAATGATGACTGCAATCTCAGAGTCATGGTCGCCCAACTGGGAACGGTCGTTCAAATTTGCAGATCCACAAACGACCACACGGTCGTCCGCAATCATCACCTAGTTCCTTTAGTTAGATTATGGGATCATCATCAAGCTCGGTAGGAGACAAACCTTTGAATGCACATAGAGTTCTTCGCTAACAAACGCATCAATTTCGGCATCGGGGTGACCATCCCATGGCACTTTGCGAATATCCTCCCCACCTAGCATATAGCACTCGCTGACACTATCCCACCGGTTCGAAGAAGCGTGGGCGCCCTGTACTTGGTGTGCAGCTTGTTGGTACTTCTGGAAAGGCGCGGTGGTATCGAAAGCAGTTCGAGTGGTACTCGGGGCATATCCACCAGGGCCCGCGGTGTTCACGTCATACTGTCTGCGAGCATCCTCGTAGTTGACACCACTTTGCTGCTCAGCAGCCGCCATCATGGAGCCGTTGTTGATTCGATCATAATTTCGAAGGTTATAGAAACGAATATACTCCATTGGATTGAAGCCTTCCTTGGCAATCAACTCCATGATACTGTGACCTCCTCGGTTAATGGAGTTGTATTGGAATTCCATGATTGCCCGTGTTCCGAGAGTCTCATCATCTCGCAAGTCACCCGCAAAGCAGGGAACAGATGGAATGACTACAATGATCTTATATTTCTGACCGGCACGGGCAGCACGCAGAATTCTCTCAACAATTGCGGCACCAATCTTATTTTTCACTGGAAGCTGCGAATCGCCGGTCGCCGTGATGAAGAACTGGTTTTCGATATAGATGAAGTGCTCACTGTTGCGGATGATGGCGCAATATGCGTCAGCAATTGAATGTTCAATCTGACTGCCATTGCTCCATTTGGCGCAGCTGCGCACTATCTGACACGACATGTTTCCTCGCGCTTGTGAGGAGGAAGGACGACCGTACGTGGTCAATTTATCTTGATATTGATGGATCTGCCCAGCGAGCTGACCACGAAGGGAGTTGCCATATTGAGTCAGATCCTCTCGGAAGCGACGAGGTGACAGAGAGCCCCGTTCGAGATCACCCTGGTATTGATTCTCATCAATTCCACGAGTGTTAGAGTGGGATGTTTCCTGGCCTGGCGGTGGTGGGAAATAAGGTGACTGCTGACCCTGCTGACCCTGCGGGTAGGGCTGGTACTGGGCATTGGCAGCGGTTTGCGCTGGAGGGGGTCCAGACGGAGGAGGAGGGAACGAGTCCCCTGTGTAGGTATACGGGCTATGGCCCTGACTCGGGGAGTGACTCGATTGGCTGGGTTGACCCGGATAGCCCGGAGAATTTTGGCTAGGTGGTGGGGGATATGCTGAAGGACTCCCAGGCTGGTACGGGGAGGAAGTATTGGGTTGCTGCTGATATTGGGGCTGGTTCGAGGAGGTCTGAGCCGGCGGTGGCGAATGAGTTGAAGTATTACCGCCTTGGTAGTGCTGGTATGATCCTGCTGTGGTTTGTGGCTGGGACTGCGATTGCGAATGTTCGTATGAACCCGGTGTCTGGGCTGGTGGCGGCGGGTATGTTGGGGTGCTAGCACTAGAGTAGGGCTGGTTTGAGCCAGCAGAGTGCTGTTGCTGAGGTTGAGACTGTGGCTGCGACTGCGACTGCGACTGCGACTGTTGATACTGGTTCGCCGATGTCTGGCCAAGCGGTGGCGGGTAGGTAGTAGATGCGACTCCACTAGGCTTGGTCTGCCAGGATGGTGCAGGAGGCTGGCCTTGCGGACTTGACTGTCCCGAGGGGTAAAGGTTCGGTTGCGGAGAGCCAGCCTGCAGCTGGCCAGCCCCAGAGGTAGGTCGTCCGTGAAGAGCCAGTCTAGCATATCTAGTATCGCTGCGAACCTTGTATTTCGCATCATAAATGAAGTTCCATCGCTCCACAAAGTGACGTCGCAGATCCTCCACGACTGCACCGTGTAAGCTCACGGATATATCAGACCATCCCATCCGAGACATGGTCTTTCTATCCAGCTGGTTGTTCTCCCAATTAGGAACATCCTGGAAATCAAGGACACGGGAGTTGTTATAATCTTGACCAGGGAATACGGTTTGGTTCACATCGGATGGATGGAGATCTGAGAGCTCATGTTGGTTTGTATCCCAGCGGCCGAAGCACATATCCAAACCACCCATGAAGGCAATCCGACCATCGATCAAGCAGAGCTTCTCGTGATGGGCCCAATAGAGGATCACATCATCGTTCATTCCGTACAGTGCCTTGAGTGTGTCTTTCGACATCTTACTCAGACTTACCGGATCCAGTGAGATATTCTGGAACGACGATGCGAGGGAAGCTGCCAGCTCCTGGCGGTCAGGCAAGTGATCAGGATGGCGGAAGACAGCGATGTTGGGATGCAAAGCTTCCAGTACATGCTTAGTGTGGGCCGAGGATACTAGGAACATTGTCAGCTTAGTCTCGTGGAAGCATTCTCTCCAGGGCGATCAACATACGAGTGAGTGCTTGGGTAACCTCCTTGTAAACGATGATATTGACCCGCACGCCCCGCTGGGCTGCAGCCTGCAGCATTCTATCCAATCGATACTGCTCATTCTTCGCTGGTGGCCTTCTCAGATAGAGTTCGGGAGACAGCCACCCTATATACATCTAATTAGCTGCGTCCCAATGTTCCGCGAAGGGTGGAAACTCACAGTCCAGAATCCAAACCGACTCTCGGGCATTTTCCAAAGCTCGCGACACAGCCCAGAAGTAGCTGCACCCATCGACATACCACTTGGCATCGTTGTGCTCCCGAGGAGGAGCGAAACTGCCAAATCGATGTTCTGTGCTGGGCTTGCTGGGACCATACTCCGCATATGCCTGTGGGTCGAGGGTAGTACCAATCTTCTGGGCGAATTCGGAACCAAACCCAGTCACAGTTCCTTGGAGTTTGCCCAAGAAACCAGAAAGTTTATCTTCCTTTGCAGGTTTCCCGTAATAGTCCGGGTTTTGGTTCTGTCCGCCTGTGCTTTGATTCTGCTGATCATAACCGTATTGCGAGGGTTGATTCTGGGTTGGGTAGCTCTGCTGCAGGAAAATTAGTGGATGTCGGAGGATGCAAGGAGACTAGACTTACACCCTGATAGCCACTTGGGTTATATGTCTGATTGGACTGTCCGTGTGAAGACCCCTGGTGGTTCTTGTAAGTATCCCGGAGCTTCTTGAAGGTATCGCCTAGTCCGCGGGATCCGTCTTTGGACCCACGTTCCGCGCCTTGGTAATAGCCACCATAGGCCAGATCATCCTGGTTGGACATTCTGACGGCCAAAGTAGCTTGTAAATAGATGTAATGAACAACGTTGAGAAAAAGCGAAAGAAGTCAGAAAAGTCCAGAAGAAACAGGGGTGCCTGCAAAGCGGGGTGCGACTGTTATTAAATCCAACGCCCCGCTACCCAGCCACGATGGGAACGTGGTGACGGTGGCGGTGTATAAGCTGACCACATGAGACGACTTACAAGGTCATATTCCTCTAATTTTAGATCTTCTTGGGATTCAGGGTAATAGTCTGAGTGCATGTAGGAAATGCACTTGTATACGGAGTGCTTTGTACTGGACGAGACTATAGTCCTGCGGATCAAGGCGCGATACATAACCACTCCGTCTACCCGTGGACCTTCCACGGGTATAGTAGAGCAAGGGAACATATGACATCGTATATCGAAGGTATTCCCTACCTACATAAATAAAGTAAGATTGCGTCGAATACATGTATCTTGCGAGTATGTTCCACATGTCGATGATGTAAATGGTACTTCTGCTCTTAAGGCTGAAGATGCCGGCTTGGCATCACGTCCGGAACTTCAATAGACGCGTCTACCCAGCAAAGCTCCCTGGTTCATATATGTATCTACAACATAGTTCAATAATACTGCAATGCCTCCAGCTCAAATAAAAACACGCCCTCTGGGAAGACCGCGAAAGCCAGTGGAAGATGCGAAATCCGTGCGCCCCCCTTTCTGAAACATGGACTATCCACTCGGTCTCACTCTCATTACAGATGCGACGCGCTCAAGTGCGCGAAGCGCAAAAGGCATATCGATCTCGCCAACAAAACCAGCTCTCAACACTGAAAGCTCGTGTAGAGCAGTTGGAAGATGCATTTGACAATCTGAGCCAAACCGTGCAAGCATTTGAGGACCAAGTAATTCAGAGTGGGTCGCAATGGACTCAAACGGAACTCTTGCAGACCGTCAAGTCACTACGGGAAGATATAGTATCCCAGTTTGAGCGGGCTGGTATTCAGTCTCGAGATCCTCCAAAAGATCAAACTACAGAACCATCCCAGCCTGTCAATGAGCAGCCCCATCCTCCAGTCACATCTGAGGCATTAATCGCGAGAGATCGCACCACGGGGTCTAATTTCTGGTCTCTATTCTTGAGCTCAACGGCAGTCATGGTACCATCAACTAATACGCAGACCACGGTGAATGAATCGAATGATTTGATTCCCGTTAATTCGGTACAATCTACCAATGAGACCGACACCATCCCATATGCAACGACACCTTTCACACAACGGCTTTATCGTGCTTGCGTCGAAAGTGGTTACCTTTTCCTTTCCAACAACACATCTAAGGACAAAGACATGTGGCAATTTAAGTACCTGCTGCAAAGAATGCCACGGGCCGAGATCATAGAACATTTTCAACGTGTCGCCAACAAGGAGCCTTGCAATCCTATCATTGATGTCCGATTCCCCTATATCAGCATTGGAGGTTCAGGAACACACTTTTTACAGCATCACAGTGACGCCTGGTCAGATAACCTCGCTCCCTTCAGAACAACAAATGGCGTGTTTCATATTCCCTCCGATGAAGAATGGTTTGACATCCATGATGTTGAAAGATACCTGTTCAACCAAGGGATTGGAGTGGGCAACTTCCCAGCTTCGGAATTCATGGAATCCCACTCTGATACCCCAAATATTGGGGGTTTGAGTTTGGTGACGTATGGAGCAACGCCAGGCAGTACCATGATGGTTATTGATGAGGATGAGTTGGTTACTAGTACGTATTTCCCATCCTTTGCTTTCGCACTTGGCTCCAATGAGCATTGACTAAACTAACCTGGTCAGGACTGAGTCACTGTCCCATCGCCCTAGGCTGTGTGGCTGGGTTCCGCCGCTCTGATGTTGAAAGCATAATATCTGAAATTTTGAGATGGCTTCCAATTGGGGCTACTAGCTCTCTAGGATAACGCTGTGTCTAACTATCTCTTTCTTGACATGTCCCAATACCCCGTTTCTCCTACATACATTATACATACACAATCGTCTGATCATTCGGATTAAGACATTCAAAACATAATCGATCCCAAACACCTAAGATCTGCCGTGTATTCCTCATCAGTCAGGTGGCAGTTCATCATCATCTGCCCTGGCAAACACTGTTCAAAGAGGTCGTGAAGCAGCACGGGGGAAATTTGTGCGGCTCAAAACCTCTTCCCGCCAGTACCACACAGCTGCGGTAGTCGCACCGGGTCCAATTGCCAGGAAACCCAGGATCAGACCAGGGAGTGCTACCCACAGTGAAACATTGGAAATACCGATGCGCTGTAGATCCCACACGCTAGCTATGGACCATATGAGAGTGGCAGTCGCAGCAAGGAGGAAATCGTTTTGGAAAAACACAGCGACACCATCTGCCAGACTTGTCGCCTGTGCGAAGGAATCGAATGGGATGAATGCCTTTGCGATGAAATCTGTACCCAAAGCAACCCCACTCAGCAGCAATCCCAAGTGGAAGCAAACGGAAATACAACTGGCCATTGCGTAGAGTGTTCGCAGGTGCGGGATGTCACGGTTCAATTTGCTGCTCCTTGTGGTCGTACATGTCTTGGTCGGGGTACTTGAACAAACGAATTTGATCCCACGAGAAAAGATATGTGTCAAGATAACCACATATATCGGAGCAGGCTGCCACAATGCAATGAATAGTTGTCGCACATTCAGCCCATTGGCCAATGGGAAGAACAACAGGATCGTCGGGACGACAAATCCAAGGATCAACGCAGGGAGGATTGCTCGAGCGGTGGATTCAGGAAGTGTACGGGAGCTTGCACTGAAGTATGGCAACCCCGCTGAAACCCAGGTGCTGGCAGCGTAATAAAGCGGCACAATCATGCCAATTCCACGCAGCTGGTACAAAAACGCCCACAGACTCGGAATAGCGAGTAAAGTCCATGAATTTCTTGGTCGGAAACCTTCAACTGTGAAGATGGCGATGAGCGGGGCGAGCGAGGCTAGGAAGTACAGAGTCTGCAAAGGCTGCTCGGGATTTGAGGAGTTGGTGAGCACCGGAAGAAAGACGGTCACCAGAGTCTGCAAAATCAGATCAACAGGTTGAAGCCCCGTGTACACCTGGCGAAGAGGAGCTTCGAATCCTCCCGCAAGTGGAATCGACTGGCCCTGTACTGCCTGACCCACGAGGTCCCATGTTCCGTTCACCTCGCCTGCCGCCCACAAGCGGCGATAGCCTAGCCAGGCCAAGAAGAAGTATGCAGCGTAAAGGAAAACACCAAAAACACCTCGAGATGATGGTTGGCTGTAAAGCTCGTCAAAATATGGGACTTCGTGACCCGTATGCGGCAGCGGAAGCATGTCCAATGACACCGCAGGACTATATGTCAACATCCATCTGGCGTGGACAACTGATATGGAGGAGCGTGGTATCACGTATTTGGCCACGAATCTCACGAGAGGCGTCTCCATGCACTCAACGCGCTGCCGGGCATGGGATGCTTTGATCAAGGTATCCACACGGTCTTGACGCTGTTGCTGAACGTCCTCGAAGACTTTTGAGATATCCGTCGTTGACAAAATGCCTGACTGGGAGGTCTTCAAGGCTGAGACAAGGTGATTGACCAAGGACGCGGCGGTTTCGATTGCGCTATTTCCGCCTTGGCCTGTCAGAGGCTCAAACTATGACAGTCGTTATTATTTGGACCATTTAGTTCACGGCTGGCTGTCTCACCTTGTGACTGGAATCGCCAATAGTCATGATTCTTTGGAAGTGCCATCTTTTATAGGAATATTCTGGTAGAGAGCTGAATGCCGAGGCAATTTTGCTTTTGTACAAGCTGGAAAACTTTAGTGTAGGCGTGATATGATCGTCCCAATGCTCCTTTGCGACTCTCTCCTCGTCTTCCTTGGTGAATCGAGGAATATCTGCACCATAGTAGGTCTTCCCCAAGTTATATAGCAGGAACCAGTAGGAGCGCTTACCAGGTCCACTGGCGGTGAGGTACGAGTGACCTCTGTTGAACACTGAGCTCATCGTACCTTTGTCGATTCCCTCCAAGCCTTCAGAGATACCGAAAATACATGCATACGTTGCTGGCAGGGCTGGTACATAGCGTTAGCTGGCGATTTTGTAGTATTGGGCTGATCTTCCATACCAGATTCCTCTGAAGGATCAATCCACGTGGGATCGACCTTTTCAGCTGCCTTCCACATCTCTTGACGCACTTTAGAATGAATTCCATCCGCTCCAACGATTATACTCCCAGTGTAGGTTTCACCGGTCGTAGTAGTGACTGTGACACCCGACGAACCAGTTTCAACTGTGTTGACTCGCTGGGAGGTAATCACTTTGGACTTGTCCTGAATTTTCTCGTAGAGGATCTCGATCAGCATCCGTCGATCCAGGAAGACGATAGAATAGCCATGACTGGAGATAATGTCAGCGGATTCTGCAGTCATTTTGCTAATAGCAAGCAAGATGCAATGGGCACCAACCGTTGAACCGACAGCCTGTCAAAGTCCCCGAGTTCCCAAAAGACCTTTCCCTGTGAATCACGGAAAGTAAACGTATCAACTGGGTATTCCGACTTCTCTACAATTGCCTTCCAGCAACCCAGCTGGTCGAGAACGCGGGCGCCATTTGGCAAAATCGCAATACTGGCGCCGACCTGGGGTGCAATGCTGCCGTATCCTTCTAGAATCACATAGTCGATGCCATTCCTCTCCAGCATCAACGCCAGCGACAGCCCAGCAATACTACCACCCGCGATGATGACTTTGAACGATTCCTTGTCCATGATGTCATACGCGATACAGACGATTTGCAGAGAATATTTTGGAATTTTCACAAAAGATGCCTTGGATTCGAGCGATTTATATTCTCTACCTCATCCTGCGCCCCCTGAGCGTTGCGCATACCCACATGGCCCGCGGTCTCCCCGTGGACTGGGTCGCCTGAATCGGGGAGAAAACCGGGTGATTTCTGATCGGGAGTCTCACTGGGAGCTAACCTTCGCCAATGATCAATAATCCGACCAATGGGAATCCCTCGGGACTAAACCAATTGGTCCGGAGTGCGATGGGCATTGCCGTGTCGATCTCTCCAACATTGTGGAATCATGTGTATCTACGGAGTACTCCGTACTCCGTACTAAGTACGCCGTTCAACTGCGTCAAGTGTTAGTGTAGGAAGTCTTTCATTCTACCATCCCTGTCGCTGACTAGCTCGGTTCTTTCATCTCGTTAGGCTGGTTGTACATTCGGGCCTGAAATGGGCGCTTTTTTCAGTAGAAGGTACTTGGCGTTTGGAGGCTGAGATGATTCTTACCTTCAGCTTTGGAGGTATCCACTGTTTATAACTTCTGGAATCCTCGAGATCCGCCATCGTGTCCTTCAGAAGGAATTTGCCTTATTCCCTCTGCCTTATTGAAATTGCGATGTGGGCGGTAGTGCAGCAGGTGCATGCCGCACACAGATAGTTCTTTGAACCATGCACTAGTGACTACAGGGACGTCAACAAAGAACTTAGGCTCTAGATGCCAAGGATTTCCTAAACCTAGCCCCGGGGATTTGGCTAAATTAGTGGCGACATTGGCCTCGCTTTCCTAATCAGGAAATACACTGCGGTCGCATCATGACAAGGTAGAGTGCCAGGGGCTGTAAACCTGAAGACTCCATGTACAACATAGAAGCTGAATATCGTATGATGTAACTGTAAACTTAAAGATAAGCGCGATGACCCATAACGAGAAGAAAAAGAGGAGAAAAAGCAATTTTGTATAGAAACGTATCAAGCTCCGGGGAGAGAACAAACAGGTTGTGTGGGAGCTGGACAATCCCCTTCTGGCCAATCAGTGGGTACTGTCGACAGTAGGAACGACTTTCCTAAGAAGCTCTCACTCGCCCAACAATATCTCGACGGCGGAGCTGACAGTATGCTGCTCGAAACAGCGTCTTCCAAGGAAATGGGACGCCTCAACATCCACACTTGGAGAACTTGGTAGCCGTATGCGGTTAGTGTGATTTCCCTGGTTATTTTTATATTCTCGGATGATATACACACCGTATATTCAATGATTTACATTGGAGCGATGGTGTAGATCCAGCTGCGACGGATGATACTTAGGAGTAGGTAGCTGCGATATTCGTGGGTTTGCAGACCACGTCCCGTAGCATTCATCCTCTCCTCGTTTGATGCTTATGAACACATCTGTCTTGGATTCCTCCATGATGGGAGAGTTGTTGGATATGCTGGTGAATTGACTACATTCGTAGATGGGATCAGGTATCATTTACTAGTGTACCAAAACAACCATCAATGCCGGAATTATAATGTGAATTGGCAAGTCCCAAATCCTCATTGTTACGAAAGCTAAGAGAGAACAGATCTTTAAAGTCCAGTTTGAAACTCCAAACCACCAAATTAGGGAGTAACCGATCATCCCAACCTAACTGAGCGGCTCATCAATATACCAAATTTGTAAGCTTTAAGAGTACCGTGCTATATAGAGAAGACCAGAGAAAACAGCGAAGAATAGAAAATCATCCTCGTTGAGCATCCAGCATGAAACAGACAGAGAGGAGAACAAGAGGATTAAAGAGAGCATGAGGCACTGAGGCCCCTTTTCTGTTGTTTCGTCATTGGAAGATTAACGCGCAAATTTGCAGGAACTGGCGCTCCTATGAACGAAATGTCTCACTTAAACACAGATGACCAGGCCTGCAGATGACGGCTGGTGGGCGGTATACACATGGATCCTCTTGCCATCGCAGTTATCGATCCAGACAATCTTTGTGGAGAGGGAATAATACCGAAAGGAGTGGTGTTTGCGAGGTGTATGATATCCTCTGCTTCATAAACCGTTTGTTGGGCAGCGCTTAGTCCAAGCTTCTCCAAGATGATGGAAGAGGCAATCCAGATGTGAAAGAGTCCAAAGTTTCCTAGCATTTCGCATGAAGATGAACAACCCCGTAATCCGGCCTTAGACCTCATGCGTGTCTTATTGGTCGGCTTCAGCACATAGAAAATGCTGTCGTACGCGTTGTTGAAATAAACCAACAAGTCGAGCCCATTATGATCGCTGAACGGCTGATACCGGTGAGTACAGAATATGCAACGATATCGGTGAGTGCCGCAGACTAGTGCGTGAGTATATTTCATCGATTTCACGTCAATGAAGAGATAGCCGTCCGTTGAATGGCGCTAAAGGGTCTTCGCAAGGTTGCTGGTTAAGGTCACGTACTTCTCGCGTAACTGTGAAGGGAGCTGAAAGACGTGTCGGGAGGGACTTCGAAGCAGAACCTGTATTGAAAAGCCGCCAAATTCCTAGCGCAACGGATGCAAGAGTTTTCACCAGGAAACAGTCACTCTTCGCCATCAATTTTGGAGAAAAGGTTCGATCAATTTACTGTTCAAACTGGGAAAAAGAGGAACAGCTCAGTTGTGCAATGCAGTAAGGGTCTCGCCAACCCGCAAGCTATTGCTGATATTTGGATAGAGGTTGGCAACCATACAAAATGGGTTGTTTTGTTGTGGCGACCAAACCCGACATCTGCAAACGGTCAAGTACTTGAGTGGGCAACATTTCTCGCGCGTTTGGAGTGTGGGATTTAACCGTCGGCCAATGGAGAAAGATGGGAATCTGGACCACGCGAATGTGTAGCCAGTGGTATCCTTCTACAGGATATGGCACTCTTTTATAAAGAGACATGCATGCCTTTGATCCCCATCGTTTGAAGTGCGGTGGTGGCTCCCGTCGAGGTTTCTTCTGCTGCGTTGATAAAACAACCGGGGCGTTATGAGCCTGAAGAATATACGCTAGAGTTAACTTGCTGCTTTCCTCCACTAGAGCAATCTTCGAGAAGTCTCACATTTTGCACAAGAGCTTGTGTTATATCGAGGTGAAGTCAGGGTCTGTCGAAAGGATTGAAGAGGAGACGTCTGAGACACGCGTCTTATAAACACATCGTGTTTTGATATATTGATATCCGATAAAGTAGATTATAGCTGAAATATAAGGTAGATTGCGTGTAGGATATATTTTGGTAAGGAAGAAAAGTGGAAAAGAAAGAACACAAGAGTGCCCAGACTGGGTGTTTATATACGAGAAGTGGAACAGAGCAAACACGCGAGATGTTTTTGGGATTGAGCCACGAGCTGCGAAAACATATTCCGACTCAATAGAAACATCCCCCAGTAATCCCGAGGCTCCAAGTGCTTTTTTCGAAAGTGTTGTAGAGTTGATTTGTATTCGCTATATTAGTGTGTTCGACGATGAACAGGCAGCAGAGTATCGCCATGACATCGTCGAGGCTTTTTGGCCTTTCGGAAGAACTTCCCAGCCTTCTCCAGAAGGATTTCTTCGACATTTCAGGAGAGACGGTCTTAGCTGTTCGCACTTCCATTGCTGTCTGCTCCTTATCGGGCTTATGGCTTAGAGCAAATGTGATTTTCAAGCGATCCCCAGGCTACGTCACAGGGCAAACAAAGGCCTAAATTTATGCTTATATTTAGCTCTATTTCTTCGAGCTACGCTAAAAGTCATAGAAAATATCGAGTGATATTCATGGCAGTGAGCTCAAATGGAATTGTAATTCCTACAGCAAATAGATGGGTGTATCAGTGCAGAAAGGTGGTTCCCTCCTTCGCCATTGATCAATTTTATACAGCGATGGATGTTATTTTCAACAGACAAAGACAAAAGCACGATCAGCAAGCAGATATCAGATTATCCCGATGTCTCATACATTCAGCTGTAGACAAAGTCCATTGTTTAGATAGCTAAACAGCAGATCTTCAAGGTTCCAGGGAAACCTGTTTCCCCGCAGTCCACCTGTCGCAGAGGAACATCCCACTTCGACAGCAAAACCCCCAACAATTTTGTTTATCTCTCCAGAATCTCAAGCCTTCCATCACCGCGGATCGTCAGCCTCAATCTGCTCATCATGTCTCTCGCAACTTTGGATGTGAGGTCTCCTCGTGAACTGATTAACCGCATCCCCACCATCACGCTGACCTCAAACCAGACCACAGCGCACCCCAATCTCCCCACAGCATCCGCAACATTGTTTCGGGCCAAGGCAGCTCGCAAACTCAGCTTCGAGAGAATCGGTGAACACCTCGGTCGAAGTGAAGTCGCCGCGGCCGCTATTTTTTACGGCCAGGCCAAGGCGTCGCAGGAAGATATCGAAAAGTTGGCCAGTCTACTTGGAATCCCTCAGCAGCCCCTGGAGGACCAGCTTGACGGCTTCCCCGATCGCGGTCGTTCCGTTGAGATGCCACCGAAGGAGCCCCTGATTTATCGACTGTATGAGATCGTGCAGAACTATGGTTATGCCTACAAGGCAGTTCTCAATGAGAAGTTTGGGGATGGGATTATGAGTGCGATCTCGTTTTCGACAAAGGTTGATAAGGAGATTGACGACCAGGGTAACAGCTGGGCTATCATTACTTTACGTGGTAAATGGTATGTCTGCCTTTCTACATGCCGCTTGAACGAATGGTCGTCTGACAAATGAATAGGTTGCCCTACTCTCGATTCTGATCTTGTCGAAACCAAGGAATGTCAGAGGAACTAGGTCTTAATTTAGATGCTATGTCCTTCAAGAATGTCTTGTTGCATTAGCAAATGCACCTTTTTTGCAGTCTCCAGATAACATTGACAATAATAATTCATTCTCACGTGTATACTGCTGGACTTTGGCTATAGATGGGGCTTTTTGGCCTTTGATGAGTGCAATTACTACCCTGTCCGCTGCCTTTCCCAACTGAAAGGTTGTTATGAGTTCCAGGTGTACTCACTACAGCTATGTATCAAATGTAGAAATCCTCCATATACTGTTGTATTCTACACCGTGACAGCTAATATTAGGTAGTTATGCTGTTATACTCATACGGGGCCGTATCATTGGGTACTGGAGTATTCAAAGGTAACAGTAAATACCAGGTAGTGAATATTGAATGTTGGAAAAGAAACAAGAACCAAGAGCAGGAGACATATGTCTGCTTCTCCGAGAACAATGAGCAAGCCTGAAGACACCTCAGGCTCACCCGGCGACGAAGAGTAAAGTCGCAGAGTTGGAATGGATTGTCCCGAAAGGGAAGGAGCAAGAACAGGCAGTTCGTTTGCCAACAAGTTCAACGCTCTCCAACTCTACCGTTACTTTTGTTTTCCTTCACGTCCTTGGGCCGTACCTTTCCCGTCACTACTAGTGTCGTTCCCCGTGTTTATTTGTCAATCTTCTTGATACAAGCCGATACACCAATCCGAGGGTCCTCAAGATCGCTTGCTATGGCGGAAGAACGGGTGATACCTTGCACCTTCGAAAGCTGCCAGCTTGCCTTCAACTCTACGAGCGACATGCAACACCACAAGGCCAATGCGGACGGCCATTCATACTGCATGAAATGCGACTTGGATTTTCCAAATCACCAGGCGCTCCATTTGCACAAGATAATAAGCGATCGTCACTTCGCCTGCCCTGAATGCTGTCTCGAGCTTCGCAGCGAGGCTGGCCTTGAGGTTCACATGAGAAACGTGAGTTCTGGCTCTTCAATTCTACAACTCCCGCACAATATATGATATGCGAAGATTGAAATAACGCTAATGAGCTGTTTATTCTTATCTAGAATCATCACGAGGATCGCGAAGTTGCTTGCGTTGGCTGTGGTTGCAAGTACAAGTCTGCAGCTGCAGTAGTCAAACACATTGAAGACAAGGAATGCCCCGTTCTTTCCCTGCCAGATAGGATCCGCGATGGTGTGAACTTTGACATTCGCGCAGGAAGCCTTCTGGCCATGGGAAGAGTTTCTCCTGCACCCCATGTCTCGCGTGCTGAGGATTCCAGCGAGGACGAAGATACGGATGGTGGTGTTCCTCTCAATCTCCCTTGCGCCGATGTAAAAGGCAAGCGTCCATCTCGCGGTACCGACGAGGATTCCCTTCCTTGTGATGAATGGCCCGATCTAGCCGCCCCGTCTACCCCATGGAAAGGGAAACCAGAAAGTACATCCACTGATTCACCCGGAGGTGTCCTTCTCGACGATCTTGTCGATATACCGGTTTCTCGTTCTGGCCCTTTCCCCCTGCCGTCTGCATCTTCTCCCCAGGGTCCACAAGCAGGTCCTTCCAACTATGCTAGCTTCTCGCGCCAGCGAAACACGATTCACGGTCATGTCCAAGGAGTGAACCCTGAGCATTTCTGGAATGCCGAGAAAGGCCGCTACTACTGCAACTGCGGTGCATCCTTCCTATACGTTGCCACCTTTGAGTATCATCTCACGATGGAGGATGAAACCATCAATGAGTAAGTCTTTCCTTCTCGTCTTGTCATACGCAGGATCCCCTCTCACATTTTACATTTTAGCTGTCCTCGATGCTTCAAGAGATTTGTTAGTCTCGCCGCACTCGTGGCACACATGGAAGCTCGGTGGTCCAAGTGCGCTGTCCGCGCAACCACTGCCCAAATGGAACAGGAGCTCAGCGAGATTACTCAAGGCCTGGCTGATATCCCCAGGCTCTATACCGAGTCGGAGCTGGGCGCCATCGACGTTGATATGAGCAGCCAGCCTGAGCATAATTCCCCTGGCTCTTCCTTTGCAGAGGCGGTCTCCTCTATTGATGAACCCATTTCTTCTGATGAGAGAGAGATTCGTTCCTACGTCGAATTCAGTTCTACTCATGCAGAGTTCGGCTCTTCCTACCCTGAGCCTATCTACTCTTCTTCTGACCCCGGAGCTGTCTCTTTTCACGTGGAATTTGATTCTACTCATGTAGAGGCTAGATCCTCTCAAGTGCGGTCCGTGGCGGAGTCCTTGGCGGAGGATTTGAGGGGTCTGGTCTTTCCTACTTCCCAGTATGAAGATGAGGAAGAAGAGCTCTGACGGTTGCGGCGTGGCAAATAAGATTGACGTTTGAGGCTACGTTTGAGGCGGTGGCTTAGGGGTGGATTCTAAGGATGAGTCCTGGGGGCGCTGAGGGCGCTTGTCCGTGATTCTATCAGGTGGCATTAAGATAGTATCACGTCGAGGAACAGAAGAGAAATATCTCCATCTTTTTTCATAGTTTCAATTCCAATCAATTTAATCAATGTTCGTTGAATCGGAGTAAGACCAGCACCTCGTCCTTCATTCAGCTCTACAACCTCGAAAAGCAGACATCGTGGAACTACAGAAATGGAAAATATCAAAGGCGAGACCGGCCGGAGCATTCAGCTAGAAGGAAACAAGAAAAAATAAAGAGTTCATGTTGAAAGCCGAAGCCAGACTCCCCTGCGCACAAAAGCTCTGGCATAAAAGCAAGGAGCAATAGGAACAATAGGAACAATCATAAAAAGGCAGTATAAGTGAATGTGAAGCGTTCTCCCCAGCTGATCTCCATAACCTGGTATCTCCCAGCACTTTCCACCGGGCAATTTCAATCAGGTATCAGGATCAACGCGCGAATCCATCGAACAGGAGGCAACCAATCGAAGAGTTATTGATACCATCACCAGGATATAGATGTCGGGGAAATCCTGCGAATCGCGTAACTAGCAACACTCCTCACAGCACTCGAAGCAGAGGAGACCGGTGCAACTAGATACTGTTAGAGACCTTTTCGTCGTTTCAGACCTCGAGAAGACCTCGGCTTACACGCCGCAGCAGACATCACCAGCACCACCACCGCGCAGCTTCATGGGTTGCTCCTGGGAGGTCTGAGTGACATTAGTTGGGGACACGGAGATCTTCATCGGAATATTCCTTGGTACCACATACAGGTTCCTCGGTCATTATGCGGTCGATGGAGGGGGCCTGGGGACTGATAGGCTGGTTCTTCTCGGTGGTGGGAGGGTTGGAGGTAGTTTTGGGGGTTGGCTCCTTGGGAGAGAACCAGGAGAAGATGCCGTTGGCGAACATTTTGATTGAATATGAGTGAAGGGGATGATGGGAAAGGGTTGGAGGATGGAGTTGGGTGAGGATTGGGAGGAGTAGGAAGGAAAGGGTCCGGTGAGGGTGGGACGCGGAGTTATTATAGTGGCTTTTACGTGAGGTGTAGCTTAACGTACTTGTACTTGCGTCTTTTTGGGCTAAAGATGGATCTTACTGGAGTTATCTTTAGCGGTTTTTCTTTCTTTAGCTTTTGGACTTGTGATGGCTATGAGAGGTGGTGCAACTAGAGGGAGGGTTGTTATTGGTGTCAGACTGGGAAGCTGTTCTACTCTCCTAGGCCCTGCCTTCTCGAGTATACCTCGAGATATAGGGGTTCGGTCTCTATTCGGGTTCTTTGCAAAACTAGTGGAGGTGAAAAGGCTTGGGGAGGATATCATGGCTCTGTTTTCAGGGATCCGTTTTATGCTATACTCTTCAATATTTGATCTTCCTCGGATGTTGGAATTCAAAGAAAAGAACGAAACGAGAAACCGTTGAGCCTTGTACAGTTCAATTCAAAACAAATTCCCCTCGGGAGATTTGCGTATTGCTCCTCGGCCTCTAGACATTCGATGCCTAATAGGTAATCCCTCCATAACCGTATCTGTTCCCCCAAAGCGATCTATACCTCAATATTATTGCAACCAGGAATGGAATTTATCGATCTGATCTTGGATTACAATCTTGCAGCAGAGTCTAGTTTGATCCTGGGAACCAAATCGCTAATGCCCACCAGTTTCATCCCAATGAGCAACCGTATTGTCCGAAATAATGAAATCCCAAACCCTCTGCCTATGAACCAAGCTCCAGTCCAATCCCATCACATCTTCAAACATGCGCTGTAGTTTGCGTCTCGCAAAATGGCACATCATCCCTACATCGTCTACAGTCAGATCCCGCCCGTCTTCACGAACAGTCCAGACATTCCCTATATCCCTATTCCGGCACATAGGCACCCAGCCCCATTCATGTTTGAAAGAATCAGTTTCCATCATCAGGAATGCAACGTCGGCATTACTGTCTGCTCAGACGACAGGTCCAATGTATTCTTCGTGGGTTCATTGGCGCTCTGTCCAGCCCGGCCATCGTGCGAGATAGATCAGTGTTTCCGGACAAGTAGTCAGGGCTCAATGTGAAGTATATACTCATACCCAGTAAGACAGGCAGTTGTTGATGAGTTCTGGTTGGCAGTGTAGAGGTGCAAAAGACGTGCGAGTGTAGTCGAGTCCATTAGAAGGTACCGATCATACTGCCTACACCTAAGTAGGAAGCACATATCGCAGTGTCTGAGGATGTAGAAGAAACTACGATTTAACATTGTGTGCTAGAGCAGTATTCCAATCCCAGCAATGGCAAAGAAACAAGACGTGTCTACCAAAGGGTACATCGTCCTGTACATGAGATTGCGACGACACATATACAATTTACATGTAACCAAATTGCTTCAAATGACCAAGATTCTCCAAATCAGACCATGTCAAACTATGTGCATATCTCTAGACTTCATCTCGTTTCCAACAGAAAGAAACAGCTCGTCGATGATAATTCCAATTTCTATACATTTTGCCCATATGTGCACATTGTGACCACCTGTACCTCTAGGGACCCTATTTACCTCCCAAATATCAAGCCTATCATACTGCATTCTCAAGAAAAGAACCCTTCCTACTAAACAAATATCTATATCTACAGCGACAAAATAACCCCCAAAATGAAGCCCCCGGGGTTCGAACCCGCGACCTCCGGGGGGCAAGTAAGTACAAGCATAAAATCACCTCACATCACCAAACCTCCGCAACAACCCACCAGCAACAATGGCAACCGAAACGCCGGACCTAAACGCAAGCCGCGAAGCAGACTACAAGCGGTTCAAGAACTATGCCGCGTACACATTCCTGATCGGCGCGCCCATCCTCATCGCCCTCCCACCACGCAAACTCGACCCTCTCACGGTGCTAGTGCTCTGCTCCTTCGGCGCCTCCGCCAACCACCTCGTGCACGAGCGCACAGGCCGCAGCATCGTCGACCGCATCGACGCGCGCATCTCCCGCGTCCAGGACACCTTCTCGGCGCTGCCGAGCGAGCGCGCGCAGGAAGTGCAGGACCGGCTCCGCGCTGCGCGGGATGCGCAGATCCGCCAGGCTCAGGATGAGCAGTTGCAGGCGAAGATCCAGGCGTTGTCGGATAGACAGGATCCGTCGGTGATGGAGGAGATTGAGAAGTTGAAGGCGAGACAGGTGCAGGAGAGAGGCGTTGTGCAGCGGGTTTGGATGGGTGGGGAGTCTGAGGGGTGGAAGGAGAGGAGGTTACGGGAGGAGCAGAAGGCTCTGGCGGAGGGGAAGGGATATGCGGATTTGATTCAGGAGCATATTTGGGATGTTTGGACTTGGGGTGGGAAGGATGGGAAGGGTGCAGAGGGGGTTAAGGAAGAGGTTGTGGTGGATGAGGCTGTTTCTGAGAAGAAGGATTGAGGTTTAGCTCTCTTTCTTTCTTTTCTTTCTTGGTTTCGCTGCTTCTGTCTTCTTTGTTGTGCAGCGTCTTCATCTCCCAGCTCCTTTTTGTATTATATCTTTTTGCTTTTGCATTGGGGTTAGGCGTTTGATTGCATTTCAAATTCCAACCAGGAATTTGTTGCTCTTTGAGCTGAAAAGTCTGTTATTATCATGTGCAATACGGAGTCCATCCACTCAGACTTAGAACCCAAATTATGTATGGACTTTCTAGAATCAAGTAGACCGGTGAATTGGAATCCCAGGCATGGCACCTATCTCGAAGCATCGTCCTTCGGCCTCAGATCCTCTGTGTACAGCAGCAGATCCACAGTGTCTGCATTTTGGCAAGGGAAATCCAGTTTGAAAGTCATTTTCATTTTATTCAAGATAAATTGGAAGTGTCTCCAAGTCCAAAAGCCCCTCCACGATCATGGCCTCGCAAGAGACTCCTGGACCAAGGACAATACATGAAGTATTTCTTCCAGGCAAATTCCATCCGGCAAGCCGCAAGACCCTCAACGATCATGGCCTCGCGAGAGACTCGCAAGCTCACCGGAATCAGTACATGAAAAGTTCCTCGTATCTTCAGAAATAACAAATGAAATCCCCGGTATGATGTTCCACAAAACAAAGCATACATGAAAAGTGTAACGACATGTCTGTAATAAAAGAAATGAAATGGCAAATCCCCTCATTCGAGCCGTCGAGCGAAGGTGAAGTATATCGTTTTTTGGGTTGTTTCTTGTCGATGTTGCCTTCACGTCGACGGGGCCATGGGAAAACCCAGCAATCCCTAACATTTGTTGGGTGCGTAGGGGGAGAAAAAACCATGGCCAGGACTGCATACCCAAGATATCAGATTCCTTTGTTTGAAGTGTCCTCCGCGCATTTGTCGATTTTGGTGTCCCCTACCGAGCTTCTTGTTGAGGGTGCAGATGGCGCGCTGGCCAGGATCAAGGAAAAGTTGTATTCCATGTCGCCTGTCGATGGGGATCCTCGAATGCGTGCCCTACTCCGGGCGGGTTGTCACCGGTTAAAGACGGTTCATACCCAGCTTGAGGAACCAAGAGATCTTGGGGCATCGCGGCTCCAGGGGTCGGAGGATTCCGTTGGTGACGACAGGTTCGCGGACGACATGTTGTACCATTCTGAGGCGACGAGAGCAGGGTTGGCAAGACCGCTGTCTGGTGGAGCTCAGTTGGGGATCAGGCTTGCGTCGTAGTTTTCTATCAGCTTGATCATAGTCTCAGCCTAGAAAGAAGTTAGTGAATGAACTCACATTCAGCATCGCCTTGCAGGTTGTTGGGTGCTGGTGGGAATAGGCTGGAGGGTTGAATCTTGGAGGACCAAAGGCTGGAGGATAGAATTGGCATGGTTGAGAAGGGTCAACAGGGGACTTACGATTTCCTTGACTGCGTAGGCACTCATGTGTAAGGCGGCAGCTCTCTGTAGATGAGTATAAATTAGTCACTGGTACATCTGTGTCATGTTCCAGGAATATCTTACGGGGTCGATGGGCGAAGGTGGTGCATCGGGCATTTCAATATCATTCTAGAATCAATGTTAGAATTTGATATACTATGATATGGTGGATCAACTTACTGGCTCATCGGATGGTGCATCGACCATTTCAATATCTTCGTCTTGGCTTGTATTGTAGAGCTTGTAAGGCAGAGCCTGGTGGTTCTGGTCCTGATAGCCATTGCAATGGTTGTTGGGATATCCTTCATGGCGTTGCGGGTATGGATGGTAAGGATTGGAGTGTTGATTTTCCAGATTGCTCTTTCGAGCTGGAGCCTACATCTGTAGTTAATATGATATTGTCAATTGATAAGAGAGGTTGATGGGACTACTCACCACCTTTTCCCGTACAGGATGATCAGATTGCGGCTTGGAGCTCTTCCCCTTGTAGTAGTTGGGATCGGAGCTCCTGCCTTTGTAGTTGGGATTGAAGTTCTTGCCCTTGTAGTTGCCCTTTCCACCGTTTTTCTTATTGTCATCGCAAACTTGGTGGGTGTTCCAACGGTTGGGATTGTGATGGTCTTGGCTGTTGGCATAGCCAGAACCATTGCGGTCGTTCCAGTTTTTGTGGATCTTGGAACTACCAGGGCCTTTGTGATTGTTCCAGTTGTTGCTCTTCGCATAGCCAGAGTCATTCTGATTGTTTCTGTTGTTCCAGTGATTGTGGTTCCCGCGGTTGTTCTGAGCACGTCCATTGTGCTGATGATTTCGGGGCCCAGTGGGCACGAAAGATGGGTTGTGGTAGTTCATATTGTCTTTATTCCGTATGCCAAAGGTTTGATGGTTGTTTGGACTACCACTGCCTGTTTCTCTGGAGAAGTCTCGTGCAAAGGGGACCATTTGATAGAGCTTCCACAAGGCCGGGTTTCAACTTTCAAATTCCCACCAGAGCTCTGTTTTTGGCGTGTTTTCCTCTTACGCTGGCGAACAAGTCTATAATTTTGTTTGGTTTTTGACCTCAACCCTTGCGGTTATTTTTTTGTTTCCGGTGGGGAGGATTTGTTTATTTGGTTTGGTTTTGGTTTTCGTTGCCTTCACTGGGATGCTGCACCTCAAGAGGATAGTGACCTGAAAGTCCGACGGTTGAAGATGAATCCCTGGTCAGGGCACCCTGCGACAGAGTTGGGTTGGCTGGGTGATATGGTGGATGTGGATTGTATATCTTCCTCTTTGAACTCTGGAGAGCCGAGTCCGTATTGAGTAGTATAGATTGAAGAGTTGAAGGATGACAGATTGTTTGTTGATGGCACGTAGATGGCCAAGTCGTGTTCTTTTGGATATCAGAGGTGGGGGTGTATGCCCTCTAAATGGGGAGGGGATACACCCCAAAGAGTAGATGAGAGACACTTGCAGGACAAATGTCAGATGACGTGATATGTTTTTCGATGCCGATTGACCCCTGGAGAGGTGAAGAAGGAAAGAAAGGTGATTGAGCCAAAGGTGAAACGAAGGGGTATATAACGTCTCGCTGAAGATGGGCCTCTAAAGTCAAACTGAGGGCCGCGCTGGTTTTAGCACGGAGGGCCGACATTGGCTTTCTTGAATCCAGAGATTATCGGCTGAAACAGTGCAAATCGACATTCCGCCGTAGATGGTTCCATGGTCTTATCGGTCATGAGGACTTAATTGTTTTATACAAAGCCTGAACGAGTCTCGGAACGAGAAGAAAAGTCAACAATGGGCCATTATCCGCGATAAAGAGGGGAACCGGACAAAGAAACTTTGGATCTCTTGCACCCAGATCCAGCTTGAAAGCTTAGTTTCATGGATTGACGGGCTTTTGATGAAAGTGCCGGAGCCCAAAATGGAATCGGCCTCTGGATGCTGGCATGTGAACGATCACAGGAACTGGAAATCTATCCCAGTATTAGTCACTGGTCCAATATCCCAAGTATGGTACTGCAAAAGGGCGACTCAAACCATGTTGTGATTCACACTGATCTAGATGATTCTGCTGAACCAGAGAGGAGAATTGAGTTGGGGAGATGGACAGTTGACGGGATCTCCCGATGTCACCCGCAGAATGGACAAAGCCTTGGAACGTTATTTCCCCGGACAATACCTTTGGTTCATCGCTTCTTACTTGTTGATTTTGATTTCTTTGTCTTGGAACTAGGGCTTTCTTGGGTCTTCAATCCATGTGCCGATGTCCCGAAGCCCAGTTTGGACTCAATGTCATCGTGACTTTATATGTCGGGGATAACAGCTTAGAGTACATGAAGAAGACAAACAAGATACTGGGGATCGAATCAAGAACCAGGCAGAACTGGCCAAATAAGCCAACAACCGTATGATACTGGGGAAGCGCATGAAGTCGCCTACGAAGGCCATCTTCTGCCTGAATATGCCCACTTTTGGGCCGTTTTGACACCACTCATCAATGTGTGTTGGAAATCATATATTCTTACCATATAAATCGTGCGAACGGGAGACATCATCTGTAAAGGTGATTTCTAAAAGACCTTTGAAAACACAGTTGGAAAGACTGCTAGAAAGACACCGCAAGGCCGCAAACACAACCAATTATATGAAAGGCTTCATTTTGCCTCCCTGCTTTCCAAGGAGATATTTCAAGGTTGACAATTGGAACCTTAACTGAACACTTATTCACGGCATATTCAAGGGAATACGCGAGGGTGCTAGGCTAATAGATGAAAAGTAGCATTCGCATGAGCTCAGATTGAACTGGAGGCGTGTAAACCCCACGTTCAATACGCATATATCGCAGGATTACTCTGTTTCAATAATCCAGCATCCATCGCGAAGCCATAGAAAAGAAAGAAACAGAAACCAGGCAACGGACCAGCGTCACTCAGTGGTTCCTTTCGAGCAATTCTATGGCGTTTTGCGCCGCTTCATTTTTGGAGAATCGGTTTCGTTATCAAGCATCGAATCATACTCTCTCTTGTGCACAGTTTCCATTCTGAGCCGTTTCTTTCGAGGCCGGGGTGCAGCGGATGAGGCACCATCATTCGACGCTAGACTGTCGCGCTTGCGCTTGTCCGGCTTGGGGTTTTCCTTCCTCCGCCTTTGCTCCTCCTTGATTTTCAGTCGGCGCTGGACTTCTGCTGAGATATCCTCGGTGCCCAATGATATCGATCCGAAGTCTTCGTCTTGCCCAATGGGGGGTTGGGACGACGAATCACGGTATCGTTTTGGGGCCCGTACTTCCTCTATAGGTTCAGAACGGGTATCTTTCTCGCGCGATACTCTCCGTCGCTTTTTGCGCGTATTCGCCTCTATATCAGCGGGTTGTGCAGGGTTGAATGGACTGGAGGTAGACGATGCGCTGGAATTTTCTGAAGCAGTCATGTTAATTCCTGTGTTTATTGCTCGACAAAAGTGGGGGGGGACGGATTGCCGTCTTGTTTTCCGGGATAGGATGTTCCTGGGACTTACTGTTCATCTAAACACAATATGTGTCAGTCTCGTGACCAAGGTGGGGAGTGTCGAGGGCACTTACCATATGCTTTCTAGCCACCTTCAGCTGGTTCATCGCCTGTACTGTTTTGTTCACCATTGACGTCACCGCCTGAAACCCATCAGCCTGCGACGCAACCTGACCCTTCACCATGCTCAGCATTTCGAGGTGAGAGCACAGGACGGCCTCGTGGCGGGAGAAAATCTGTTTGTGCACAGAAAGCCGGGGTCAGTCACTCTTGCACTCCTCGAGCTTAGAATTGGCAGTTTCCCTGAGAAAAAACATACCTCCGACCAAGGGATCGGTGCGCCCTCCGAGTTCGGACTGGCATGGCTGTCGTTCTCGTCCTCCACAGTGGGATTCATGGCTTGAGGTCTCCAGGATTGAAATTGCAGATCGGCCGATGGAGCTACTCCGCGCCAAGACTTCGGTCTAATGACGCGCTTCCGGCTTTAAGTCGACTGGTATCCCCGGCCGATGTTGTCCTTCCCCTGTTCGGAGTACAATAGCACCTATTGTTTTTCGTCTACTCAATGCACCATTGTTGAGCTTCCTATTGTTTCCGTGGGAGAATCATGGAAATAACAGCTCAATAAACACTAATCACTAGAGAGCTTCCATGGATTTCTCTCTTAGTGTGTACCTTCCCATTAGTACCAATACTATGAATATCTATAAGAGCCCAGAACGGTTTCCTATTTGGGCTGCGGACTATACTATGGAATAAGCTGTACGGGAAACTTCCAGGGATTCCGGCGTGGCTGTGAGGGATGAGCTTGAAAATTAACTTCGAATTTGAATTGCACAGATGCCTTATAACACATGGGAGTAAATCGAACCTTGGGAAGAGACGATGAAGCTGCTGATTTGCCTAGCGAGAGATGAAAAGCCAAAAAAGCAGTCACTTCTCTCCACACCCCAGCCTTGGAATATTTGTGGTACTATGTTGAGGCTGTGCTCATTCCCATATTTCGCAAGTACATTGTTTCGTCCGCTATCTTTATCCGAGTCGTCTGCGAAGATGATTTGGGAAATCTTACTAGGAGAAAAAAGTTGGAAAAGTTACATGAAGAGGCGAGAGCCCACCTAACGGGGAGCATGAACTTCTCATTATTATTTCAATCTCATTGTACACGACATTGCCCAAAATCAAACGCCATTCATGCATGCTCAAGGCAAGACCATCCCACCAAAAGGACCAGTTATCCAAAACAAAATAAGTCATACAGTCGAGAACGGTCTCTCATTACCAAGCACCAGCGTCAAAGTCAAACCGGGACAGGTCCTTCTGTGCATCTTCCACATCCTTCTTTGCTTTCATGCGCATATAGAAAATCGGACAGTCACGAGAGGAGCAGATAACCTCGCAGTGAAGACTACCTTGGCATCGCTGGCACTGGGTCCACAACCGGCCGAAGCGAACCTCCAGATCGGAAACCTTGGTCAAGGTTTTCGTGTACAGCTCGCCGAGACGGGGCCGGCAGTTGGCGCAGACGGCACCATCCATTTCCTCCTTGCTGGAAAGTGGCTTCTTGCAACCCATGCAGGTCTGGGTCTTCTTGGCAAACTTCATCAGGCCACCCAAACTTGATGCCGCCTTGGAAATAGACCGCGTATGCTCGCCAGTAAGCAGCTGGCCAGCCTTCTTCTCGCCCAGGATGGGTTCGAAGATACGGTTCAGTGGGTTTGTAAGCTGGTTATCGAGGTAGTACTTGGTGTCAATGGGAATGTTGTTCTCTAGCACGTAGATGGGATCTTCGGCGCGCTCGTAACCTTTAGAATCGCTGGCGCCCTTAATCATAACATAGGCTACACGGTCACCAAGTGTTGGTGCGGAGCCTGCGTCACGCTTGTGCATGCGCTCGGCGAGTTCGACGTGTGCCTGTTTGCCCGCATAGTCCTCTTTGCGTTTTGACAGTGCCTTTGTGATGACCAGTTTTGACATATCGATTTTGTTCTGGAGAAGATCCGAAATTGTGGCCTTGACGTAGCTAGATGAACCGTTAATACATGAAAATCATCTCTTAAACGAACAAAAACTTACTCTTGGGCACCATCCAGGTCTCGATCAATCAGGATCTTGTTCAACACGGTTTCGATGACATTTTGAACCATCAGACAATTATCACGACGGACAGTTTCAATACCCTTGGTATCCATCTTGTCATGCTTGTCGGGATTCGTCCAGTATAATCCAGCATATCGTTTTTTGTTGATCAAAAGATAAGGGAAGTAGACTTTCTCGAATTCAAGCTTGATAGGCTTGATGAACTTGGAAGAGACGAAATCTGCTGCTTCTTGGCCAAGCTTCATCGCTTCTGCCAGTTCGGTGACTCCGAATTTGACCATGACGGAATCGGTATCACCGTAAATGACTTGAGCATCATGAGAGTAGCCGTTCGCGATGGTATAGCGTGCTTCTACCTCTTGTTTGGTCTTCTCAATCATCTGACGACCATAACTGGTTGTACTACTGGCAATTGGAAGACAAGGCAGTTTACCCACTGTGGCACCGGTCAAACCGTAGACACTGTTTGCGCTGATCTTCAAAGCAAGTTGACGACCGTTCAGCACTGCTTTCTTGAAGGAATCGGTCTCCGTGGCTAACTCTCTCTTTGCACGCTTTCTTGCCGACAACAATTCTTCAAGAATCTGAGATAAAAGGCCTTTGCGAACTTTGGTGGTGCAAAACATGTCTCCATTTGGGGTGACAATATAATCTTCGTCTTTCTTCAGATTCAATTTCTCAACACTGCTCTTGTTGAGCAAAGTCGTGTAGCAGAGATTGTGTGCTTGGATGATAGAGGGGTAAAGTGAGGCGAAATCGAGGGTTGCAACAGGCACACTATAGTAACCTCGCTTCGGCTCAATGACAGTGGCTCCTTCGTAATCCTGCTCATCTTGAGGCTTGGAATTGGGAATAACGAGTTGCTGCTCCAGGGCTTTGCGGAAGAGTTGACTGATGAATTTCACCTGTTGTCCTCGCGACAGTAGGAAATTGAATGGCACACCCGTGACTCTTGCCATCTCTGTATAGTTGACCAGACACATCAACTTGTCCATCAATCGCTGTGGCAGATATGCATCCTTCAAACAATACACTGCCAATCTTCGTCTCGAATCGGGGGTGCCGTTAAAAAGTTCAGTAATCATCGTGTGGTGGACGTCTTCCTTTTGTTCTTTCAGAAACTCATATGACACTGAATTAAGTGTGTAACTTCTCAACTGATGGTCTCTCTGTACCAATTGTAGAAGATCAAGTTGGATTCTACCATTTGTGTTGGTCGCTTTTGTGTCTCGGTTACCCATTTGCTTGCTCGAAAAGCTTGCATCCTTGGCCTCGGTCTTGCAACCCTTCAGTCTGGTCCAATATGGGAATCCAGTGCACTTCAAATGCTTAGCACGATCGAGCAGGTATGGGAAATCGAAGTTGGCAATGTTGTATCCGATGATGACATCGGGGTCCACCTTTTCGACAAAATCACGCCAGGCGTCAAGCATCTTTTCCTCCTTTTGGAATTCCAGGATTTGAGTATTGACAATAAGACTGCATGTATCAAGGACAAAGACATTTCTGATGAATGGTTTTGACTCTCCGTATCGAGTGACAACGTTGGCAATCTGGATGACCGGATCCATGTTGGGCTCGGGGAAGATACCTTTGCGCCCAGCACACTCGATATCAAATGACAGGACGCGAAGCGGTGCCATTTTCGCCCATTCTCCATTGGGCTGATGCGCTATCATGTCTTTATAATCGACGCAAGCTTCGATTTGGCAGTTAGACAATTTTTGGTTCTGTCCGAGCAGACGATACTTCCCAGCCACTGCCTCGACCCAAGCCATTCCAGCTAGCCCAGTGTCGATCATGAAGCGCAAGAGATATTGAATATTGTCAAAGGTAAGGATTCCATCTGCGCCGCTCCACATGCCCTTGTAATTCATGCTTCCACTGCCAGTCTCTAAAGCACTTCGCAACCGAGCAGCCAACTTTGGTTCCGTGACTGTGATCTTGATGTAGTAGCTCTTCTGGTTTCCTTGAAACCCGTAAATGTTCTCGCGCATGGTAAGTTGTACAGACGAGATTGCGGGGAAGCTTTGGCCGAGTTTCTGTTCTAGGAAATGTTTGTAAGGATCGCAATCCGCTTTCGTGAAGCTAACTGGGGCCGCAATGTAGAGGTAATGCTCAAAACCGGTAACGTGAAGACAGACCGATTGTCCAACCTGCAAAAATAGGTTAAATCGTGAACCCAACAGATGAGGGACTCCTTTACCTCAGTGACACCGAAGAGTCGAATGGCAGGTTTTCCCATTAGTACTGCTTCTTCTGCGTCAATCTGTTGGAAGCAGATGTTTTCTTTTGTTTCATCAAAGTCGCCGAGCGGAGGGCGTTCCCATTGCTGGTCCTTTTCTGAGTTGTTCTCCTTCAAGTCGCCGATGTCCTGCGTCAACTTTTCCAGCACCTCCTCCTCGAATTGACTTTTCTGTGGTTGAGTTGAGCCAATCTTTCGCCGCGGGGTCTGTGAGGACGGCGCAAACTGCACAGAAGGTGCATTGTCGAGTTTTCGCTTCTTGAGTGCACCATCAGACTTTAAGATGCTGTTGGCATTATTGACCGCGTCGCCCAGCACCCGCTTCTGGGGAGGGATGATAGCTTCAGGCATGGTGACGACTCATAGACTGAAGTTAACAGTATCGCAGTGGTCAACTTTTGTGGGTGAATGAACTGAGGGCAGAGGGGCTCGTAAACTCGAGGTTATGTTGAGCGGGCAACTCCTTGTCAAAGTCGCGCTGTCGCGCCTGCGACGTGAAGTTGACGCGTGGTGGTCACGTGCGATAAGATAAGCTAAATTGAAACCAGGGATTCTGGTTGATGTGATTGGTCAAGAGGCCACATACGTGTACACCGTACACCGTACACCTGTAAGCTTCTTAATGTTTTTTTTTTTTTACCATCCTTGTTCGTTTGCTTTGGATTGCTAGCAGATCAGATATCCAAACAAACTCTCTATGAATAACTCGCACGTAGAAAGTAGGACCAATGTAGTCGTCATGTGTCCTATACTTCGGTGGTTCCGGCAGAAAACAGATGACTCGCCTCCTTGGGCTTGGCACTGGGGATGAGTGACTCGGCCTTTGAATGAAGTTCTCTTTTAACACATTGGACACTTATCAATGCCCCTGGGAGTATGTTCCAATCCTGCCTAGGAGCACATGTACTCAAGGTTGTCTCTATTGCCAAGAGCCACACGACCCACGCCCTATCAGGGACATCCCACTAGTAGAACCCGATGGAAGCTTGAGTCGATCATCGGCCGCTAGGATCTGTGGCATGTTGACATTTTGCTCCATTGGATCTTAAGCCCAACGTGGCATCTCCTAGGATTCCGGCGAACATTGACACCTGTTACGTTCTATCATTCTTTCAATTCTGCGTCATTGCCTTTGATCAAAGACTCGTCCATTGTCACTGCGGGGCAATACTCAGCCCAACTATCAATAGCACAGGCGGCATAATTACTACCGACCTTGCAGACCAGGCTCTCTTTTTCTTTTGCTTTGTTGGGCTGTTCCTCATAACCCATCTTCCGCCACCAATGGCACTAGCGCAACGCAGATCTAAGACCTAATTGCATTTGCTCTCTGGGATAGTATATCAACATGTCGATGTTCCGATCAGCAGCAGAAATATCATCATCGGACTCTGATTCTGATTCCGATTCCGGCTTGGAAGAGAACCAGGCTCAGGATTCCGGGTCATCAACTCCTCGTCGTGTTACCAAGAATCAATCTCGCAGCTCGAGTAAGGGCAAGGCCAAACAAGCCCCGAAAGACGTGGATTCGACTGACCCAGACTCTTCAATATCCTTCGATGATGCATCAACATTCCCACAAGACATGGTCGATGTAAATGTCGATCATCATTCAAATGTGATGACAGCCGCCCTATTAGAATTTTATTGCCAAAGTCGAGCAGCAGACATTCTCAACGCCCAACGGGGCTCAAATAAAGCATTCAGTCGGCATAGCCCTGAGGCCCATTTCCTTGGCAAAAAACTGTACAAATACAAATCTCAGTTCCTGTCGGCTCATGGTATCTTGGCCGACGGTATTGACAGGGAGGAAATGGCGCCAAGTAGACAAAGTTACCGCGACAACCTTGATTTGCTTGGTATCTCTGCCCTTGGGGAAATGAACTTTCATGGCCCTCATTCACGGTCGTCCAAAATTGGTGCTGGTGAAGACCTCGCCGTGATTATAAAATCATTGGCAAAGAGAGCCAGCGTGGAAGACTTGGACAGACCAACATTATTCCGACGAATTACCGACCCGACTGCGTCGTTTCTGAAACAACTTCCTCCCACTCGCAAGGTTGACATTGTTCCAAATCTTCCTCATCAGCCCATGAATGTTCCCAACCCTTCCATCCCCCTCTTTGGAAGTTCGCCTGTAGGGATTCCGTTATTCAATTCTCCTACTACCCCATCGTACAATCAACTATCAAGGTATTCCGTCGAATTCCAAGAGCTCAAAGTCCTGGGCCGTGGGTCCTTTGGTGAGGTTTATCACGTCACAAATCATATTGACGGACAAGACTATGCTGTCAAAAAGATTCCTCTCAGTCAACGGCGACTTGAACAGCTACAGTTTGGAGGCCAAAATCAGCTTGAGGTTATCATGAAAGAGATCCGAACACTTGCCCGCCTTGAGCATACAAATATTGTTCGATACTACGGCGCATGGGTTGAGCAGCCCCATCATTCACATCCACCCGCGGCCGAATACCACACTCACACTGCGTATGATGATGAGTCGCAAGACAACTTACCTTCTCCAGATGCCACGAACGAGTCAAGCGTGGGCATTGTTTTTGGTCATTCTGAAAGCTCAGATCCTGAGTCACAGCCGAGCTCGCTGCTTGAAGATCATAGCTTCGCCGAAAGCATTCGACGCTGGGACAGTCGTGGAACCAGTTCATCTCGCCAGTCAAATAAAGCCTCACGAAGGGGATTCGATGAGGAGGATGATGACATTGAGCCTATTCCCCGTAAATTTGACGGAGATACGTCCGCTGGTCAAACCTCCTCATTCGGAGAGACTGATGACATCTTCTCCGACGGTCTGAGCCAGGATCAGTCTAAACTTCAACTTCAACCCCGTTATCGGCCTGGCCAGAAACCACCCGCGGTGATTCTTCACATCCAAATGTCGCTCCATCCCATTTCCCTCGGTTCATATCTTAAGCCCGAAACTGCTCCAAAGTATGACGGATGCTCTATCGCCAGACGCCATTGTTTCCACCTGCTGCCTTCGCTGGAGTTTGTGATAGATATCGTCTCGGGTGTTCAGTACCTCCACTCGAAGGGCATTGTGCACCGTGACTTGAAACCCGCAAACATTTTCCTGTGTGCACCAGAGAACAGCACGACAGACACATGCGCCACGTGCAACTCAGGTCAATCATCTCCAGTTCAATTCTGTCGCCCTCGCATTGGGGACTTTGGTCTCGTGGCGGACATCTCCCATATTGACGAGGCCTCGCAGGGCACCGTGACACCATATCGTGAGGGGCCGAAAATTCAGCGGGTAGTAGGAACCGAGTTTTACCGTCCTCCAGCCAATGGTTCTACATCTCAGGGTGATCCAAACTCGCCATGTGACGAATACAAGATCGACGAAAAGCTCGATGTTTACGCCCTCGGTGTCATTCTCTTCGAGACGCTGTATCGCTTGAACACAAAAATGGAAAGACAGTTTGTCTTGAATGACTTGACTCGCGGGTCAGGCCAAGATCGCTCCGAGCGCACTATCTTCCCTGCAGATTTCGCCGCCAAGATTGACCATGGCTCAGTCATGCTAGATGATGGAATCTCGGTAGCGGAGTCTCTCATGACATGCATGAAAGGCATGCTGAACCCCAGTTCAAAGCAGCGGTGGAGCTGTCAGGATGTCAAGGAGCATTTGCAGGCGCTGAAAAAAGCTGTTCAAAGATTTGAGCAAACGCAGGAATAAATGTGTGAATCCAAGACAAAAGCCAACGAAGAAACGTCGGGGTTCTGTTACCATATACCCAAATTATAATAGAAATGCATAACTCCACTCTACGAAGCAAATTGTATGACAGTCTACTAAGTTGAGCCGTTTCCCTCACCAGGTCATCAGTTTACTAGGTCATGGTAATACATATTAAGGTCTATCTCGTAGTATTCAGGGATGACAAAATAGTTGCAACAGCCTTCAGCTCAACCGCTTATTCTGACATTTGAACAAGTATGTACCAAAATCGCAGAAAAACAACCGCATGGAATACATACATGTAGGTAATGTGACAATGTAGCGATCTCCATTCGGGCCTCGGTTTGATAGCTTTCCCCACGTTTCAGCCTTCTTCACAGGCGACCGAGCTTGGGCTTCCCCGCATAAGTCCATTCTACCTCACTTCAGCCTTCTCAGAATAAATCAAATTGTCCAACCTGTGAACATACTACCTAGCTACTTATCAATCTATCCATCTAACCCAATACCATCATGGCTGATACTCTCCGCCCAGCAACAGCTCCATACAGCGAGCCCCTTCTCCCCCAATTAGACGTCCGCAATCCGTATTACACAGACCTGCACCACAGGCTGCGCGCCTCTGTGCGCGAATATGTGGATACTTACCTTTCGCCCTACGCCGCCGAATGGGAAGAAGCAGGCCAAGTCCCTGAAGGCGTGCGGCGGCGCCATTGCAAGCTGGGCTACAGCATCGTGCATCCCCTGACAAGCGAGGAGGACTCGGCCGGTCTGTCCCTCCCTGGGGATGTGCCGCGTGAGAAGTGGGATACGTGGTGCTCGCTGATTCTCTCGGATGAACTCACGCGCATTGGATACGTCGGGGTGAGTTGGGGGCTTGGTGGTGGTAATGCAATTGGATGCCCGCCTATTGCGCGCTTTGGAAATGCTGAGCAGAGGAAGAGATGGCTTCCTGGCGTTGCAACGGGTGATATCAGATTTTGTTTGGGGATTACGGAGCCGGACGGTATGTGTTGTGTTGTGGTCGATCCTCTCCCGAGGGACCATCTAAGTAGATGTGCTGACTTTGATTGTTTTTATCAGCGGGCTCCGATGTTGCCAGTATCCGCACTACGGCGCAACTTGATGGCAAGCACTATATTGTGAATGGGGCGAAGAAATGGATTACCAATGGCATCTGGGCTGACTACTGCACTGCTGCTGTGCGGACTGGTGGTCCTGGCAGATCTGGTATTAGCTTGCTGGTAATTCCCCTGGCTACTGCTGGAGTGACTCGCAGGCGCATGCATAACTCGGGTGTCAATGCCAGTGGTAGGTAGTTCCTTTTCCTATGACTCTGTGAAGATCATGTCAATTGATACCAGTCTAGGTTCGACGTTCATCGAGTTCGAAGATGTGCGAGTTCCTATCGAGAACCTCATCGGTCAAGAGAACAAAGGCTTCCCTCTTATCATGTCAAGTGAGTTTGTGTCAAGCCAAGCTAGATGGTCAAATTCTTAACCCCGCCTCAGACTTCAACCCAGAGCGCCTTTCACTTGCTTGTGCATCCTTGCGACTCGCCCGTGTCTGCGCCGAAGATGCATATAACTATGCCGTCCAGCGCGAGACTTTTGGCTCACCATTGATTGAGAAACAGGCTATTCAAAGCAAGATTTTTAAGTTCGGTCTTATGATCGAGCCAGCTTATGCATTTATGGAGCAGCTTGTGAATATCCTCGAACTGACGAAAGACCGTCCTTCTGACGACGTCAACATCGGCGGTATGACTGCCTTGCTCAAAGTCATGTCGACTAGGGCTTTGGAGAAGACCGTCCGAGAGGCACAGCAGATATTTGGGGGTGCAGGCTACAACAAGGCTGGGAAGGGCGCGAGAGTTGAGCAAATTAGTCGTGATGCTCGAGTTCATGTAGTCGGTGGTGGAAGCGAGGAAATCATGGCAGGGTTGGCCCTTAGAGAGGAGACGAAGGCAATTCGCACCCGACGAAAGGCGCTTGAGAAGAGACAGTCTAAAGTATGAAGTCCGGACGCTGAGATCTCAATCTCCTACAACATGGACAGACCACCACATGTGAAATGAAACAGTTTCGGTGGAATATGACCCAGGAGACTATGCCAGTAGTAGCCCCAACAGCATAATCTTACATTAAAGGATACTGACAAGGACATTTTCATTGAACATATTCTCATTCCATCAAGTAAGGCAAAAGAGCTTGAGATTTCCAATTTGGTTTTCGAGCAAAAAGCCCGGATATGCGCTCGGAATATATCTCACACCTTTGAACGAAACGCCTAAGACAATGTCGCATCCCAGTTCAAGCTTGGCCCTGAATATACTCTGCCATCCAGTCATAGAAGTTCTCTACTTCTTCCTCTTCAAGGGCTGAGTATTCTTCTGGGACCATTTCCTCCAGAACAGCCCCAGTCTCGCCATCTTCAGATCCAACCGTATCAGACTTGAGGGCTGGATTATCCCCCGAGTGCTCCAAAACCTGAGTAGCAAGTTGGAACAGCGCACTAGGCCCCACATCGTCAAGGGAGACCTTTTTCGGTGGCTCCGGGGTCGCTTTCTTCTCTTGCACTGTAGCTGCTTGCGAGGTGGTGACTGTCTCTTTCTTCTCTTGGGGTTTCTCCGCCACACCTTGTCCAGCAGGTTTGAGAATGTTCCAATATTTGAATTTTCTGATAGCTTCAGTCTTCTGCACCGTCGCCTTTCGCTTTGCTTCGTCTATCCCGGACCCTTTGGCCGGGGCAGTCGTTGCAGGTTGAGCTAATACATCGCCCATGCCCCCAGATACCTTGATCCATTCTTTGGGCACATAGCTCTGCTGCTCTTTGGCGCTTTTCTGAATCTCATCACGAATACGCATTGCTAAGTCTGCATTCGGAACCATCGTACGCAGTGTATCCTCGAAACTCTCCGGATCAGCAATAGCAGTCCATGCCAAGGGAAATGCAACCGCAGCGAGAGGACCAATGAAGGGAACGAACCCCACAGCAGTAGTCATAGTGTTCTTGATAAAGTCTGCCAGCCATGTGGTTGCCTGAGGGGGTTTCCACTGGACGGTGAGTCCATAATTCGCACTCGCAACAGTCGTCCAACTCAAATCAGCAGAGTCGGAAAACTTCTGCACCTTTCCTGTTGTCGGTGTCAACTTGCGATCTACCAGGAGGATACTCTCGGAGGAAAAGACGTTATACGTCCTCAGGGTTCGAGGCAACGACAGCAAATTCACTAATCGGCGTATGTTGATTGCCAAGGTCCATTCTGGTGCCGGTTGCATACCAAGTGTGGCATCCAAGTAGAGACTCTCCCAACGCTCTCCAACAACATAATCGCGCCTGTCTGGACTCCAAATCTCTGGGTAGGCGAGAATACTGACTTCCCGCGAAATGGCAAAGTTAACTTGCAAAAATGTGCACACCTCAGGGAAGTCTTCAGAGGCCTGTTGCGCGACTGGGATATATATTGCACGGATGCATGCTAAGCGCTGTCTCACAAAGACAGTTAGCAATAAGAATATCTCATCTCTTTCATGTTAGATACAACATACGTCGATAAGAACCCAGTCTTCGCCCTTTGCCAACAACGGCATCGGCATCAACATGAACCATGACTCCAACGATCCACCCTTCTCTTGATCTCTGAAGCGATTCCCATTGACACAGAGATTGTGCTCTGCTGCTCTGTAAGTGCCATTATAGGGCTTCTTGCCGTACAAGAAGAAGATATCTGTCCAGTTGCCATAACGGGTGTTCCACATATCTCCTTTCACCACTTTGTATACCGAGCGTGGGTGATAATGGCGATTTCGATCATATGGGCTGTCTGAGCCATGGAATGCCGGCCTGTTCCATATAAACTCGACCATGAGGTGAGCATAGAAATGCTCTGGTCTGTCGGCATCATACACAGATGTCTTCAAGGCTGAACGCTTGAAGAAGCACTCGCCTTCTGGATATGCGAGAGACATTTTGGCTGTAGATCAGGGAATCCTGAGACGGGATGGATCAGCCAGCCAATTCAATGGCACATCAGGCGGACTTAGCGAACAATTTAAATTGTTGAGATGATATCTCACTGGATCTTCTCAAGCCTGAAGCAATGCCAGGAGTCGTACCTCAGTATCAATGCAACGTAACTCAAGGGCTGATCATGAATAGTTAATGACGGGCCAATGACATATAGACCGAGATTTGAGGTCTTGAATCATATCGATCCCGTTACTTCCGACCTGTAGAACTTGAGAGGTGCGGGGACTAGGTATGCCCCTGGTATTTGTTTTTGAATCCTTGATGCGCGCACAATCAGCTCGGGGTTTTCATGTATATTCTCCAACCAGACACCAGAAGCCTGAAGTTCGGGCCATGAGTTCGAACAAACGATTGGGAATACAATCAAGAGACAAGTAGCTCGCTTTTAAGACTAAGACTGAAAAGCAGGACTACCCATTCCTAGACTCATGTAATGAATAATGATGAGTGGATGAGGATAGACCTAAACTAAAAGTATTTTCAGGAAACGGCCAAAATCTCTAGGCGACAAATATATGATCTGCCGCCCCTATCAAACAGTATACGGCTCAGCATTATCACCAAATATCAAATGAGGCCTCTCGGCAGCAACCTTGAGAACAGTCTGCGCGAAGACCGAGTTCGCCCACGAAAACCAAGGACGAGTATAGTCCTTGATATTAGTCACACTGATAGATTCATGGACAAGTCCGAGCAAGCTCGAGTTACGAACGAGATTGAGATTTCCAATGATCTCAGCGTCATCGTCAGAAGTCATAGCTTGAACAAGAAGAGACATAGGCCAAGCGTTCTCAAGGCCAATATGCGGACCCCCAATACCATGGAATTGCGGACCCTCCAGGTAGTAAGGGTTAGAGGCTTTGTTCGTGATCATTTTGCGAGTGTTCTGGTAGACGGGGTCTGATTTATCCACAAAGCCGAGGTAAGGCAAAGAAAGCAGGGAGGGGATATTGGCGTCATCCATGAGGATACGCGACCCATATCCATCGACTTCAAATGCATAGACATCGCCATATTTGGAGTGATGGACAATACCATGCTCACGGACTGCTTTGGCTAGCTTGGTGCCGCGCTCCTGCAAGTCTGCAACAAGGTCGGCATGCCCACCGGCTGCTTTGATGACTTTTGCCGTCTTTTGAAGCTGCACGGACATCATAGCATTAGGCGGAATAAAGAATCCCAAGATAGTAGCATCATCGCTGGGCCGGAAGGCGCTGCGAATCAGGCCAGTGCCGCTATTTAGCGGGTTGCCTACACCAGCTAAGTTGAGTGTTTCAGTGCCAATGTCAGTCTGTCGCTGGAATGTGTAGACATTCGGGACGAATTGATTGTTAGAATTGAATGTAGGCTGAGACTGGGCGTCAATAGTCTCGAGCAAAGTTTGCAGCGCTTTGTACCATCGGTCCGTCAAGAACTCGGTTGAACCAGTGTTTTCATAGAACTCAGTCCCCAGCTGTAGGAAATGAGCTAGCGAGTCAAGTTCATACTTGCACTCAAAGACAAATGATCTGTCATAAGCGGGGTGCACAGTATCCTTCTGGGAGCTGGTTTCCGGCTTGATACCGCTGAGAGATGGTGGTTGGAAGGCATTACAATAAGGCGATTGGATGACGAACTCAGACTGGGTGTTGATAGCTCCCAAGATGAGCGAGTAAAGGTTTTTATCCTTCGCAGCCAGCTTCTGGTAGTTCGTGAGTTGGTTGGTTGAATCACGGAGCCACTCGGCGTTGATATCGCCTGTCACGATGAAGGTCTGTACGCCGGTCCATTGCGCGCCATCTCGCTTGGCATTGGCACTGGATGAAGTTGATCCGTTTGTATGCCATCGAATGGTGGTATCTAAGGTATTTGGAAATGCATTACGGAATAACTGGGCCAGGTCTTTGTCGACCAGGCGTGAGGTGATATCATCAATGACCTTCTCTACGGCGGGCGATGAGAAGGTCCGACACGGTTCTGCCGGTCGCTGATAAGGAAGGTTCAAGGGACCACCACTGTAAGGAGCACTATATTTGCGATATATTAGCAGATGTTGCGTCTCTGGGCGAATTCTCGATACTGACTGCGGCGTCGATGCATAGGAGACGTAGTCTGGACAGGCTCGTCGCAAGATGGCCGGCTTATCGCTATCAGGGAGGGCGCTGACCTGTAAGCCCAGAGCGATTGCTAGGAAGGCAGAAAGAGCCATGGCGCGAGGGTCGCGAGTCTGAAGCAAAATGAAGGGAAGACTTGCGACACTGCAGAGGAGAAGGCCGGGGTAAATAAGAGGGGATGTATGCCGATCTCAACCGGGCAGGGATACATTCCACGGCACGCATGCGATTTTCTAGCGCTGCCCAGTAGTATATCTTGCGATCTTATATATCAATCTGAAGATACTAAAGGGCAATTACCTCAAACTAAACACCCCGAGTGAGGTGACATCGGCCTGGGCACGGTGTCTTTTCTCCACGCGAGATGCGGAGAAAATTGACACCACGGGGTTTCCTTTTTGGGAATATTGAATACAAAGCTGGAAGTATACTTGCGGAGGACAAGCTGAAAATACGCTATGCTATTAGCTATATATGCTTTTGGACACTCATTAAACACCTGAATTATGCTAACGATATCATTTCTTCCCAAAGAATGACATGATATTCCCTTGTCCCGCGGCTTTGCCAGCCTTGGCCTTGGGAACATTGACTGGCTTCTTCTTGGGCGCCGGCTCATCTTCGGAGAAAGACTCCCATGATGCCTCTTCCCGGGTGACTACGTCAAATTAGTATATGTCGGAAAACAAATGGGGCCTCAGTGGTATGCACGGACCTAAGTAACCTTCCTCGTCTTTGACCGTCTTCTTCTTCATGACTTGCCGCTTGCCTCGCCGCCGCCCACCTTGCACTGTCACTTCTTCTTTGAGTTCGGCTGGTTTGGATGGTGGCGGTTGTTCAATAGGCGTGGGCTCCCGTGGTTCCTCGTCGGCATCAGGCATTTCTTCATCTGTATGCATGTCAATGCCTTGTTTCTTCGAGTCGCAAGATGGAGACCTGGGTGTACCATCAGCCTCATCCTCGTCGTCATCCATCATCTTCTTAAGCTTCTCCTCGCGCTCTTTTCTATTTTCGCGAGTTGGTGCAGCAGTTTTATCGGTGCTATTGGGGAACAGCTCTTCGGCCTCTTCTTCAGAGGCATCGTCAAGCATCACTTTCAAGCTGTTAGTTAATGCAACAAAACAAAGGGAGGTCCACTAACCATCTTCCGCGGCACTTGCTGCGGCCTGGAGTCAAAGTGAGTAAGATCAGTAAACAGATAACAGAAGAAGGGCACAAGGATGGTTCCACAAACCGATTCTGTAGGTGTTGATGCCTTGGTCTTTGGCTTTGCCTTGGCGAAAGAGCTGAAAATATTGCCTTTTTGCTTAGCTGGCGCTGATTTACCAGAAGGCTTCGAGGATGTCTGAGAGTTGGCAGCAGAGGATGGCTCGGACTTTGGTTCATCGGGCTTGGGAGCTTCTGCCTTTGCTGAGGATGATTCCTTTTGAAATGGCCGTTTGGCAGGCACCGTCGACTCAGTCGCAGGCTTCGATGCCTTGGCAGCTGGCGCCTTAACAGCTGGAGCTGCAGCTGCAGCTCGGGGTGGGGGTGGGCGCGCACCAGTCCTCCTCTAAACCTTACATTTTAGATCACAGTAGAGCTGTTGAGCCAACGAATAACCTACCTTGACATTCCGGTTTTGGATCATACCCCATTGCTTCCCACACTCTAATGGATCCTCATGCGCATGGCTACTCGCTATCTCTCGGCTGGCATCCACCAACACATTCAAGTCCGGGAGAGCGGTCGGTTCAAGGCTGTAGACATGAATGGTAGATATCGACTGGAATGTTGATTTCGCATCTGTTTCACGATCAGCAACCAGCCCACTCATGATAACATTCTGTATATCAGTTCACCTTCAAGGTCTTCTTCACGCGCTAACACAATGGAGGTGATGCGAATTGAGTCTGAGACTTCATCCTGGTTCGGGATTGAGCTAGGCAGATACGGACTGCTCTGCATAACCTCATCCTCGTCGTTCGCATGGCCATTTGCAGGGGCTGGTTCAGACGCTTTCTGGAGACCGGAGATGACGTAGGTTGCGTGGACAGTCTGCGGCTTTTTCGCGTTCTCATTGCGGTGGAATTCAAAAAGGATACTAGATACCAGAGAGTTAGTATCAGTTGCAATTGCAATTTCCTTTGCAAACGGAAAAAAACATACTGTTTAGCCCGATTGGCGTTCACTTTGAGCGCACGGCTCAATGAACGATAGGTGACCTATTCTGATGAGCCAATTCTTCTGTAAAAGGGCGGAAGTATATCATACAGGGCGGCGCTCATTGAGCACATTCTCAGCCAGATACAATTTGGAGTCCATGGTTGCTGTGAGGTGCAAGTTGCTCTGACGCGCGCTCAACCACTTAACGCGTATCAGTCAGCGGGTCTTGGCATCTTTGGTGTCTTGCTCTCCACTCGTATTCTCCTCTTTCGTTCGCTATCGCCGAGCGAGTCCGCTTGGAATTTCTACAGAACAGGCCGTAGGAACTCAGGGTCCAGGCCTTATATCAATGGATCAATCGTTTGATCTCCCCGATTCTACCGATTGGTTGGAAACACCACTTTCGCTACTCGCGCCGTTCGAATCCTCATTACGATGTCAAGTCTGCAAAGACTTTTTCGATAATCCCGTTATCACTTCCTGCAGTCATACATTTTGCTCGCTATGTATTCGCCGTTGTCTCAGTGCCGAAGGCAAGTGTCCAGCATGTCGAAGCTCTGACCAAGAGCTCAAACTACGTCGCAATTGGGCGGTGCAGGAACTTGTCGACGCGTTCATGGCAGCACGGCCGAGTGTACTCGGGCTTGCGAGGAAGGAAACCGAGCGCTTGTCTCGGGGGGAGAAAGAAGCAGAGAAGCCTGCACAAAAAAAGCGGAAGGTCAATCCGGTAGAAGAGGAGGAGACACGGGTCCCGGACACAAATTCGCAACCCCGGCGGACTCGCTCTCAAAGATATATCAATAGCTCTGCGGAACAGCGGGCTGTCCCTGACATTGTGCCAGAGGTCATTGAAGATAGCCAGGAAGAGGAAGAATATGTGCCTGGTATGACACTCCAGTCTACAGATGTTAACTCCGTCTAATCTCCTCACAGAAGATGGCTTGGTCTCTTGCCCAATATGCTATCGCAAGATGAAGGAAGAAGCAGTGTTCCCACACCTTAATGTGCACCAACAGGAAGAAGCACCCCTTACAGGTTCAAGTACAAAGCCAGCATCATTCGGGTAATTTGATTCTATCACATCGATCTAGAAACTAGTGCTAACCAGAAACGATCACAGGTCATTAAAAGCGCCATCCCAAAGAGGCCTTCCCCTCAATAGCAAACAGCCCGAGCGACTTCCTGCCATAAATTACTCCATATTGAAGGACATCGCATTGCGGAAGAAGCTCCGGGATCTCGGAATCCCAGATTGGGGCCAGAAACAGTTATTGCAAAGACGTCATACCGAGTGGATGAATTTGTGGAATGCAAATTGCGATTCCAAACACCCGAAATCCAAGAGGACATTGCTTCAGGAATTGGATATTTGGGAACGCACACAGGGAGGGCATGCAGCGGCGCCGTCGCCGTTCACCCCATCTAACAATGTGATGCGTAAGGATTTCGATGCAAATGAATGGTCAACCAATCACGAAGACGACTTCAAGCGTTTGATCGCGAATGCGCGTAAAAAGAGTGAGACTCGGGTACGATCTGCAATCCCTGAACCATCTGTATCTTCGTCTGGACCGGTGGAACCAAAATTACAGCAGCCAGTTGGGTTGGAAGTGAATGGTGCACAGGTTGAGTTCAATCCAGACACTGATGTCAATCATGTTATCGACCTTTCTGGATGATTCGGAACAAGCCGCATTGAACTGGCGTTGAGAAGCAACCATGATAATGAAAACTGCCTTCGCGGAAAGGCAAGTAACTCTCTCATAGAACAGACTTTATTTTGCTGGTAGCGGTCGCTCCTCGACAGACATGTTAGAGAGCCTGTCAATGTTATCCGCCAGCGCCGCTTCCACATCCTCGGCTGCCTGTGCGCGTGCGCGTGCTCGGCGGGAAGCCTCATCAGAGGCTTGCTTGATACTGTCCAGTTCGGCAAGTCTGCTCTCGGTGACTGCTGCTTCTTCCTTCTCCCTTGCCTCTCTGTCGCTCTTCTCCATTGCTGCAAGCTCATCATCAATCTCTCCCTCATCAATGACCGGACCGGCCTCGTTCATGATGCTTCCGACCTCATCCACCTTGGTCATCTCCTCACGCAGCTCCTCAACAATGTCCTCGACCCTCTCAGCACCGCCGATTTGCGTATGCAAACCGCGAAGCACGCCAGTGCTTGCCTGCATGACTTGTACCATATCTACCTGACCGGCAGCTTGCTCGATCTTGGAATAGACTTCTTCAAGCTGCATGAGAGTGTTGAATCTCTGCTGGAGGTTATGCTCAGCTAGCTTCTTTGAACGCACAGCCGACAACGCCGAGATGCGGTTTTTGTTCGCCAAGGCTGTCTTTGCGGACGCAGTCAGCTCAGCGATTTTCGCCTCCAGACTCGTGACCTGCTCCGACATAGTCGAAACCAGCGTCTTGATGGATGCAATGGTTGTGTCCTGCTGCGTGATTTCCGCAGTGTCGTCTACGGATCTGAACTTAATCGTCTGCGCAATGATCAGTCAGCATCTGGGTGTTCTCGCCCAAATCTATATAGTCCGACTTACCTTGCCATCATATGCAATAGCATTGCTATCGCGGGACAAATAAAGCAACAAGACATCGAAATCTGCATCCGATAATTCTGTACCCTCGTTTAATATGGCCGCAAAGTCCTTGACAAAGCTTTCCTTTGAGTAGATAAGGTCCAGCTTGGATGAATTGCTTCCCGTAGCCTTTTTGACAGCGCGGTCTGCCGCATCTTGTAGATTCTCTACCAAGACCAACTCCTGCGCTTGCAGCTTTGGTGCGGAATCGCTATCAGAGCCCACGACGAAGCCCTTGAGTTGCCGAGCCCCCCAGCTCATAACACTCCAGGGACTTAAAGCCCCAGGGTCAATTATTCTCCACTGGCTTTTCTTCTCAAAAAGCCCAGCAGTGGTTTTGTAGATCGGCAATGGAATCATCGAACTCTTACGCACTGCTTCGTCCTGTAAGGCTCAATGGTTAGCTTTATAGCTCATGTTCAGAGGGTAGAAACTAGACCTACAAACACAGTGCCCAGGGCCACAGGTCTTCCCCACTCCGGGCTCTCCAAATCCCGGAGCAGTGCCTCATCCGTTCGCAGGACCAGGTGGTCTGTCTTCTTCCGTTTTGCAGGTGATTTGTTGCTCTTAGTTGATATATCAGAACCAGAACGGACCCGCACGCCGCGTGAAGAGGTATAGCCACGCTTTGCGGCTCGGTTGAGTGCTTGTTCCCATGCAGCAACGTTTACGGCGTAGCCATCGGGGTTTGTTTTCTTTTGAGGCGTGAAGTCGGAGTAAAGAGAGGGTAAGCGGTTTCTAAGAATATGAAGATGGTGGTTAGCATGAAATGCTTCCTTTGGTTGTTTCGATAGACCGTATAGGGTCTCGTTGCTCTGGCAGATCTGGACTTTGGAGACTCGGACTTTACCTTCGGAATGCTTCCTCGTGGGTGAGAATATACTGCAGGAGTTCACTCATCATGCGGGATTATGCAGAGGAGCGAGTATGTGACTCACTCTAGGCAAAGAGGTCAAGTTGGGAGACTAGAATTCGAGACAAAGCGGATAGGGTCATCGACGCATCCACCGCTCCGTGAACCTAAAGCTTTATCGATAAGCCGCCGCACGTGATGCTTCTGGAAGTAGCAGGTGCGGGGATACTTCACATTGCAAAAGTTGTGTCAGTTACATGGGCTAGGTGTTAAGAATGTTGGAGGGAGGTATAAGAGGCTTGCAAAGTCGTAAACGAGGTAGCTATGCCTTCTTATGTGGCTTATAAGGAGGCGATGGGATAAATTCAATATAAATTTCCGTTTGAACAGGCCTGTATTCTATGGTTATATGTTATGATGAAATATTAAGACCATCATTAGTCTAAGCTCGTTCAAAGTCATCACTGGGTGGACTCTCAGGATCCCGAGCTCCCTGCGTCGTGTTCAAGGCCCCAGGATCCAGCTGGACAGGATGTCCCACCAGAGAGCGGCGGTGATGGCGCAAGTCGAGCTTCTCGCTAGTCTCCTCAGTTTCCAAGGGATCTTCGCTAGTCGGTTCATCTCGGGCATCGAACCCTCTTGCTTCAAGATATTCAACCCTCACCGCATGGCGCAGATTTTCAACGAAATTCTGCATCTCAGGCATGGGAAACTCGCCATCGGCCTGCAGCACATCAGCATAAAGACGCTCGGCCTCTTCCAGGCAGGCAGAAGCTAGGGTTGGTTGGCCAGCTTTGAGCCATTGGTCGGCAGCGAGGATGCTCCACATGCCAGCCTTTCTGCGGCGCCCACCCCACTTTGCTGCTCCAACTGGTGTCTTTGAAGCGTAGCAAGCAGCTACCCTTTCAGTGTAAAGGATCTGACCCACTGAGCCTACCAAACCAAAGTCCATGACCCGCATGGCCCACTTGGCTGCGCTCTCGGTAGCTGACCCACCGCGAGACTTGAGAAGTTCGACCGCTAGGGATAGACAACGAAGCGCATTTGGCGCATCTGAACAACGCGTGAGATAGGAGTAGCAGGCGGTCTCGAACATTTGGTCGACGCTATCAAGCTTCATTTTGGCTGATGTGGCCAGTGGATTCAAGAGCATGCTAACAGCACACATTTCGTGGGCCGCGGCATGGTACTTCCAGGCTTTGTCGTTGCCGAAATCTGCTCGAATCATTTCATATGTGGACGCAGCGAGTTTCCAGTCGCGGAGCATGAATGCAAAGTCCGCCATCTTCCGCAAGACAGCCTCTGGGGAATCTGGGTTATAAAAATTTTGTGTCGAATCGTAGTTGCCGCTAATGCCACCCGACGAACCTCCAATACTTGAACGCGAGCTTGAACCGAAGCCAGCCCATCGACGAGACATCGACATGAATCTGCCACTAATGCCACGCCTTTTAGATGCGACCTGGTCGTTCCAGACTGCTACTTTGTTTTCCATGAATGGAATCACGGATTGCACCGTCAATTCTCGGATGAATGCCCTGATAGCGGTAGCATCGGAGCCAAAAAGATATGGTGTGCCATCGGTGCCGAGGTCAACCAAGGCTTCTAGTAGAGGGTTAGTTCATGTGTAACTATGTGGTAGCTAAGGACTTGCCTGCTTCGCCCGCTCCCGACAGATGTTCTGATGGCGAGAGCCATTCACACTGGGGAACTTGCATGCTATCATCGTCTGTCACCACACACTGGCTACTTCGCAGTCTTAGAAGATGACAGTGTAGGCCAAAGTGCCGCTTCATCTGATCATAAAGCCTCATAGATTCCGTGATATCGTCTCTTTCTTCGTCATGAACCAAAACGTAATAACGGAGATACTCCTGGTTAACCCAGCCGGGTAAGTGTTTGGCCCCAGTTGTACCATCAGCGTAAAGTTGCCGGAGTGTCTCCAAGGGGGCCGGATTGCGCGAACTGATAGCTATTACATTGGCTACCGGGTGGCCAAAAGTTTCATGGGGTGCTGCGGTTGACAAAGAGAGAAGTTGCTGCAAGAATGATTTGCATAAAGGAGTTGTTGCAGGCAATCCCAGTAAATCTTTCGCCGATACTGATCCACGTAACATACCCTCTGAAGAGTCCAACTGCTTGGCCAACACTTCTTCGATTTGCGCCAGGGACCCAGAGTCTCGACCAGCCGAAGCCCTGCCGATCCCTCTGAAATCAACAAAGCGCACACCATAGTCCTCCCAGGCACGGCTTGAGCCGATACTGTCACGAATAACCACCTTGCCGGAAACTGTCTCTCCAAAGGGCCGGATCAGCTCCCAAAAGCCCCCCTTGAACCCCTTATTCCTCACCAAAGAATCGGTATCATCGGAGGCATGAACTGCGATGGTGGGTGAGAATGACCGGATAATTAATGATCTTATATCTTCTGAGCCATCAGATCTCCCATCGAACGGCGAACCGATTGATGACCGTGCTATTTGTGGGGTGGAAGATCTCCCAGATCGCGAGTGCGTCGAGCTAGACCGTATTGGCAAGTCGGCGATCGTGGCTGAGAGCGGGGTCGGAGATATGACTGCTTGGGATTCTGACAGTTCGACATCTAAGGATTGAGTTGATTCATGCTCCCCGGGGTATCGTGATGGTGATGTGGATGCGACTCGCGCAACGCCGGGGGAGAAGGACGGCGGAGGTTTGACCGGAGCAGCATCTCCAGGCGATGTCATGGGCGGACACCTGCTGCTTTGAGCAGACTTGAAGCGAGTTTAGTTAATCGACAGGCCCCATCGACTGGTAGATGAGGTTAGACGATGTGTGATAGAGCGAACACGATGCGGGCAGCTTCACGGAGGTGTTGTTGGGGAGAAAGCCAAGTCGATGGATTCGGGCCGATAGGCACTGACACGGGCAACAACGGCAACAGAGTGACAGAACAGGTTGGATACTAAATAAAGCCCTTTGAGGTTGAGAAGCGTATTACTGAAATGAATATCTAATACTTCTGAGGAAAGTAGAGGGAGCTGAGAGATCCCCCAGTGGTGATGCAAACCACGTGAGGGCCATGCTTATCGTCAATCAAACTTGACTCACTTTCGCAAAGTACCTGACCTGGTTAGGTTCAATGCGATTACGCTCTTTCGCGTATTTAGTAGAGGCCGCTGGTCTTTCTTCAGTTAGAGCTCCACTTGCCCGCACTCTAGCGAGAAGAGCTGGCCGAACACGCCCGGTTGAACAAGATCTACCCCTCCGAAACTACGCTGTATCTGCACGCCTTTCCATGCGCAACCCCGAATCGGACCCCGAGTTCTCAGATCGAGTCAGCAAGAGGCGACGCATCTCCTCCCCGGTACGGGAAGGCTTACACGCAAATATGAGCACCGCCGCCCCTACCATTGAGCTCACTCCACTTGAAAGCACTCTACGAACCCTATTGCTCGATGTCGCAAAATATATTAGTGAGCAGAAAGCTGCCGAGGGAGGCATCTATGCGAGAGATCACTCAGAGACCGTCCTGCGCTTCACAGGCGGATGGGTCAGGGATAAGCTGCTCGGAGTCGAGAGCCATGACATCGACGTGGGCATCAGCAACATGACTGGATATCAATTCGGCATGGCCCTCAAAGACTATCTGGATGTTCCAGAACGCCTGGAGAAATACAAACAAAGCCTTCCAGCCGGGAAAATGCACGATGCCATCGTGAGCCTTCACAAAATCGAGGCCAACCCAGAGAAATCAAAACACCTCGAAACCGTCACAACCAAGATCTTCGGCCTAGATATTGATTTGGTCAATCTACGGAAGGAAACATACACAGATGACAGTCGAAACCCTCAGATGGAGTTTGGTACTGCGGTCGAAGACGCCTTGAGGCGCGACGCAACCATCAATGCGCTTTTCTACAATCTTAATGAGTCAAAACTGGAGGATCTCACCGAACGGGGACTGGATGACATGAAAAAGAAGATCATCCGATGCCCAATGGAACCATACCAAACTTTCAAAGATGATCCACTGCGTGTGCTTCGACTGATTCGGTTTGCGAGCCGGCTCGGATATCAAATAGACCACGATACAGAGTCAGCTATGCAAATTGAAGATATCGGCGAGGCACTGAAGCTTAAAATCAGCAAAGAGCGCGTGGGAACCGAGCTTGAAAAAATGCTGCGTGGTGGGTGATTGCGCTCGGTCGATGACTTACCTTTCTAACACGCCATCTCTTAGGCCCGGACCCCCGTGGTGCATTGGAGTTTATTGATCGACTCAAATTATATCCCACGATCTTCGCTAATCATCAAGATGATGTCAAGGCTGATACTTCGACATGGCCTCTTGCCTACAATACGCTGGCACGTTTGTTGCGTCCGGAATCTGGTGAGAGCGAGGAGATTCAGTCGGTCACGAGGCGCCTTCGTGAGATCCTTTTCCGTGACGAAACTAGCATATACTACGCCTGGATGGTAGCGACTTTTGCTCCTTGGACCTCCATCCCCGCCCGTCCCAAACCAGCGAAAATGAAACCCTTGCCCCCACGAGCGGTTGAGGTTGGAAAAGACAGTCTTCGTGCCGATAACAAGACCCTTAATGCCATCCGAGCCGCTGCTCTGAATTACCAGGAAACCATTGCGACCAAAACTGCGCTTCTCGCCAACCAGATAAATGGAACACCGGCAGAAATTCGACAGCAAATGGGGTTACGTATTCGATCATGGAATAAGGACTGGAAACTATGCGTTCTCCTGGCCATCATGCAAGAGGCCATGGCTCTCCGCGACTTCGCAGAAGGTAAGATCTACGTTCTTGTGTTTATGGCCTTCCGTTGCTCACGCTGTATAGTGGCCCGTGAATACGACCAGTTCCTTGCGTATATTGTAGAAAATGACCTGGAGGATGTTTGTGACCTCCGACCCATTGTAAATGGCGATGAAATTATCAAAAGCCTGGGTGCTAAAAAGGGACCCTGGATGGCCAAGGCAGTTAACATGGCTCTGGAATGGCAGCTCCTCCATCCTGAAATCACCGACAAGGAAAAGGTGCTGGAGGAGATCGCGGGTCGACAAGGAGAATTAAAGTGAAGACGTTGACGGGGGAAGACCCGATGACAAATAAAAAAAACCCTCATGGATTGGTCCAGACAGTTTATCCTCATTGCTCCCATCAATCTTAACACTTCATTCTCCCATTGTCTACTATTTAAACAATGGATAAGCTGCGCAAAGAAGTTCGCGAGACTCTCGTCCAGAAACCCGGAGAACTGCCTCATCGGTTCTTCCCAGCCAATGCGGCGGCGTCCAAAAGTGATTTAAGTCAGTTATGGCAAGACATCTCTTCTCATGATCACTCTACACATCTGGATGTAAGTGCCTTGTAAGATAGTATGGACGAAGCTCATTGTTCAGATATGCGAGAGCATTGTTACCGCGTTCAGTTATATCGAGTACTGGGAACCGCTGCTGCCAAACGATGGAGGCGCCCGACCCTTGAACCCAGCGGAGGCCAAAGCCGTGAACAATTTGTTTGATTGGGCTAGTGCTCTTGCCCTGCCTTCATCGGAATTTGCAGTTGATTTTGATGAAACCGCCGATATCACGGACGGTAAGTCTTTGAGAGACGCACAAGAGGCCTTTGCTAATTTTGCCAATCAGATATCGTGAAGGCCCAAAGCGACGCCCGTTTCAGGTGTGAGCTGGCCATTGAACTTCTCCTGATGTTGAACAAAACTTTGTACGGCATGCCAACTAGAAAACCACACAATGTGGCGGATGTCCTACTTGCAGGGGCATCTGTTGCCAATAAGCAAGACCCATGGGTCACATCTGAGAGCCACGATGCAGCGTCGATGTTTATGAATGTCTTCATCCAGGACACTCGTCTGAGCAACAAATTCTGGCCTGCTATTGAATCCATCCTCAAAGACAGAATTAGGCCTCTTTTTGCAAAAATAAAGAATCCAGCCATCACCAGTGCCGGCCGCAAGAACTTCCATCCTCAGGCTTTGCCTCGTTTTGGTGCGAGCGATTTGGATCAATCAGCTAAGCCTTGGAAGACCACCGATATCTATGTCGCATCCGTGCTATCATGGATCATCTCGCAATACAAGGTATGTTGGTATCATCAAGGTTTTGTTGACTCATGACTTCCATGTTGACATCCATACCAGGCCGAGGATAAGGCACAATTCGAAGCGCACTTCCCACTGCTTGTACCAACTATACTAGCAATGATTGATGATAACAACCTCCCATTCAAATCGAAAGGCTGCGCCCTACTCACTCAACTCCTGCGCCCGATCCAAGAGAGCGGCTCGGATATTCTCCGACGAACAAACCTCACATCTGTCTTCGAAGACGCCGTCACTCCATGTCTCCTTTCTCTCCCATCCATCACACCCGAAGATAGATCCCTAGACATACTCGGAGAAGCATACCCGGCTCTCCTCTCCACTTTCAGAACAGCCTACAAGGGTCCTCTGCAATCTGAAAAGGATAAAGAAGCTTATACAACCAGCCTCGTCAAACTCCTGCGATCAAACCTCATCTCCTCATTCCACCATGTCAGCTCCAGCACCCCGGCCTCTGGCTCAGCGACGGCTTCTTTCCCACACCCCCGCCTCTCAACTTTCCTCCTGGAAAAAATGTCAGTTATCATCAACGAGCTGGGAATTCACGCAACGAAATACCTTCAAGAACTTATTCCAGTCCTCTACACCACACTCTCAAATCCCTTCGGAACCGCACACCCCCCTCTTCTCCTAGCTGCAGCAACAACCACACAAGCGGTGATCAAGAACGCGCACCCACGTATCTGGCGCTGGCGTGGTGAGGTCCTCAGCGGACTGAGCTCATGCTGGCTCCATGTTGCTGAAGATACCAGCGACTCTGTGACTGAACTGGCCAAGTTGAAGCGCGAGTTACAACAAACGCTCCAAATTCTGAAGCATGTTTTGCAGAACCCTGTTCCCATAGCGGCTGGTGTGCCAGAGCCGGAGCAACTGCAGGCAAAGGAAACGATGCAGCAGGAGCTCCAGGAGCTCGCCGACGCGGATGCAGAGCTGAAGGGTCTTTTTGCTTGATAATTGCTTGTTAGATAAGTCGATTTAAAGAGATAATTTTGGAATCTGAAGCAAAATGATAAAAAGGTCATGTAAATTGATTTGTTGGATTTAAATCAAAACTTTGCATTTGATATCTTATTGGCAACAAAAGAGGCAACACTTCATAGATGAAACAAATATACTAGAACAGGGGTATCAATTTGCTGTGCGGAACGTCAACAAAAATCCGAAATGATAGATTCTCAAATCCACCCATCATGCATCAACCCGCTGCTTGAAAAGGCTTTTCCCACGCAGCCACTGGCGGTATCTTTTATATCTCTTCTTCTCGAAATCCTCGCCGACGACGGTGATGCCATCCTCAGAAATATCCAGGAACTCAGTATAAGCATCTCTATTGTGCCCGGCCCTTGTCTCCAGTGCAACGTCCTCAACATTGCACTTGTTCGCGTACTCCAGTAGATCGGTATTGTAGCCATGGTCTTGCAATGAGGAAGCTGTCATTTCGTCTTCAGATGTAACAACGAGCGGAACCTTCAGCGGGTGGTTGATGTACCGTTCATACTCTTCCGCCTCGGCAGCGGTGACAGAGGGGCTGAGCGAGTCGCTGACTAGCTGGCCGAGGGTCCACTGGGCAATCTCGGCTTTGCTGGGGGTGGAATGGGGATTTGGGGGGTTGATGGGCGGGATGCGAGATGCCTGATGGATCTCGAAAGTGGGTTCTTTGATGATGCCTGTGGGCGGGGGGTGTTTTGATGATGAGGGTGGCTGGTGGGCCCAGGTGTGTGTGGACTCAGGGGTTTTCAGGGCGCCTGATGAGGCGCGACTGCGACTGGTGGGTGGTTCTTGGATTTTGACGCTGCGCTGTTGTGGGTGGCGCTCGCGTTGGATTTGCTCTGGAGGGATTCGGGGTACGAAGGGACTCAGATCGGGCACTGGATGTCCTGGGCGGATCGGAGGCAAGTACCGAGTTGTGGAGTTCATTTTCAGAGAGAAGACCTTGGAGAGAGAGGAAAGAGCAAGGGGCCGGTAGTACTCCAACCAGAAGTCATCGAAATGTGAAATCGGTGCGTTGGGAAGAAATGGCATCGGCGGAAATTCCTTGGCTTTCAAATTTTCAGGCGTATACCACGCGATATAGTTAGGTTTCTTTCTTGCAAGATGGGACTTAGGGTTGGTGTGGTGGAGATAGTAGTCGTTAGGAAGATCCCAAAGCATTGGAGTGCCCTGCGAAAAGATATAGTTTCCAAGAAACAGATTGTAGGCTTCTTGGCGCTGAGCATCAAGGAAAGAGTTGTTGTAATACCGCTTGAAGCTCTCAACCATGTCACGAGAATGGCTGCTCCACTGATTAATCTTGCGATAGGTAGCCATGGTGTTCACCAAATGTGATCCGCCATACTGAATAGCTATAGTGTCACCATGGTCATGCCACATGTTCGTAAACAGGTTGACGGCATCGGTGTCATACTCCACTGTGGTGTCATCTATGACGCCAAGGGCATGGAGCTGATATCCAAGTGCTCGCTTGCCAATGACAAATTGCGCGGCATTCGTTCGATCAAGGCAATCGATACAGTTGGTCCTCGCAACACCATTTTGAAGCTGTAGGCCAGACTCCGCGTCATCGCCATTCTTAAAGAAACCGATTTTTGGAATGATGTCGCCTGCGATACCTTCTAAAGTTTCAATGACATCTTGATCCCTGCTTTTCGCAGCACGACTCATGTCCCAAGCCTCGTAGATGAGCTTTTTGTCTTCAGGGAGAAATTGATTCAAGTAAGTCACAGCGTTTGTAAACTCTTTGAGGAGTATTGACTCTCTCGGGGTTCGTTCTCGGGACTTAACCAGATTAAGAACGTAGATTGGAGCTCCGTATCTTTCGAAAAGGTTATCGAAATGCAACGCTGCAGCCGAGTAAAATGGATCAACAAGATTAAGTTCAATATCAGGTTTGGGCGATACACCTGTGTTTTCTTGGGTCCAATGAAGAGGGATGCTCCCGCGGTGCTGGACAAATGAGGTGTAATGAGGGTTTGCATGGAGTCTTGGACCAGCGGAATGGAATGAGGTTGTTGTCTGTTCACATACAATCTGTTCGGTCTCCACATCGTTGGCAACGTATCCTAAGTCATTCGTACCGCGCTTAAGAAAGCGTGCTCCAGCAAAGAATCGGGATCGACGGGCGATGATTGTGGTATAGACCAATCGTCCATAAACACTCATCTTAGACTGGTCCACATATCCATGAATGATAGGAAGACACCATTCGTAGGGGTTCTTGAGAGCCTCAGCAGCGGGGGAAAGAAGATGGTGGTTCCAAATGAACATGGAATGGTAATCTTGGGAGAAGGGCTGTGGGAGGCCATCCTGATGCCGCTTGCGATCCCGGCAGATGTTATGCTGGAGTGTGCGGGTGATATCGTAGGCATAACTGAAGTAGAAAGACCGCGACAAGTCGAGATTGTTCAGGATCGCAATATATCGTGCCTCCTCTGGGTGTTTCTCTGCCTTCAGGTGTGAAGGTTCAGACGTGGTCAATGGGATCAATTCTGTTTCGTCAATCTGATAGACATTATGCCCACCCAGCATGGCAACTTGGCTCCTCTTGGTGACAAGTAGCATATAATATGCGCCTGTGAACCGAATGAAACCGAGCAATGCCCAGGCACTACATTTCTGATTCAACCCGCCAGAGCTTTTATTGCCGTCATCGATCGCGTCCAACAACTGGACCATCTCTCTTTTGTTGTACACCATATCATCTTCGGTAATACTCAACTCTCCAGACTCTGAAGTCCGGTCAATTTTCAAAATGCGAAAACGAGTCTCCGTAAGGTTGATTCCAACCATGTAGAATCGAGTCGCAGTTTCGTATAGAGTGAATTTGTGCATGCGATTGATACCCTCATCCTCTAGGTTGTCCAATGTGGGTCGATGTTTTAGCGCAGTAGCTGGCGACGCCTCTCGCTCAAAAGAGGTGGCTACTCGTGGCTCCTCATCCTCGCCGTCTTCCTCTTCAATCCGAGCCCCGGGTGGTGGGTTGTAGGACAAAGGGGGAAACTCGAACTCCGACACAACAGAGCCGTCGTCAACCAGTCCAATACGATCAGCTTTCTCTATTCGCGAAGAGATTCCTGTACTCGTCGTTTGAGTTGACGTTGGTGGCGCCTCTACAGTGTCTGGTTTCGCCAGACTTGGATCTGAAGGGTCGGCGCTGGAAATTGGGAGTCGGTCATCGTGGAAGGCTGGCTCATGGGACACTGGTCCAATAAGAGAAACATCATCGAAGCTCTCCATCGCTCAGAATACACCGGGAAAAGCTTGATATGCAGCTAGAAAAGCTACATAACTATTTTATCAACCGAAGGCGACTTTATAACAAAGAGCGACGGGGATCCCCACATGACGTCGCCTGTGGCCTGAGGCGACAAAGTTGCCGCATTGGTAACAACACATGCGAATGTCTTTGATATGGATGTATCTGGCTACAAAGCCGACATAATATCGGTAGTCCTAGATATTTATGCCCGTGGAGAAACAGAATATACCTATAAATATAGATGCAGGTAAATGTGCATGCTGTTGTATTCATATACAGTTCGATGACTGCGTTACAATGTGCCATTAAGAAAGCCAACTGGGCTATCTATCTAGGGTATACACTCTGGCAATCGTAGATCAAATCAACACCCTCCTCAGCCCCTCAGTCCCTCCAAGCACCCTTCTTCCCGTCACAGGACATCTTCCCTTACCACTCTCCCACTTACCAGATCGTTTGCGGGTGCTTTGATGGGAGTCATCTCCATGAACGCTTTTCTTTGGGTCTTCGTCATCGCCCATGATCTCCTCTTCCCACGGAGCGCCAGCGCCATCGCCAGTCATAAAATCGATTTGACGCTGATGCTCACCGTTGAGCCAGTGAAATATGCATACATAGCAGAACACATACCCAGTCTGGCAGGCAGTCGGGTTAACGAGCGCACCCATACAGACAGGACAAGTATTAGCGCTTGAAGAATCAGCGGGAGGCAAGGACACGGTGTAGATGGGAAGGTATGAAGTCGCAGAGATGGGGGGTTGGTGGCGGCGGGGAGGCTTGAGTGCGGGTTTTAGATCACCAGTGGCATTCTTCTTCTCCTGCTCGGCTTGCTTCTTGTCCTTTTCTTTCTCGTCCTGAATGGACGACTTCCGTCGCTCCGCGGGAGAAGTCAGACCTGCTACAACGGGGGCGGGCAGATCCAGAACTTCAGTTGCCTTCCGGGCAAGCTGGCGGGAGAAGTCACTTGCATGCCACCATTCTAGGAACTTGAGAGCGAAGATTGACGCAGGGAGGAAGTAGCGCAGCGACGTCAAAAGCTGAGTGTGGAGGTTCTGGGGGCTAAGGAGACCTAGCAGACCCCCACCCGGGCGTCGAGATCGTCCGGTACTGGGGCCAGGCTTGGGATCTAGCACTGCGGCGATGGCGCGGTGGTCTGCGGAGCCGAGACGGCGGATGCGCGTGCCAATAAGCCACAGGAATGGGGAGGAGTACTTTGTGTTGTCGAAGAGATAGGCAAGATTGAAGGCCAAAACGGAGAAATAGTACGCCGCATTCACCGATGGGTAAACATTGCGCAGGAACCACTTGTAGTAGAAGAAGATGCGCTGGCGCAGTGACGGGTTGGCCGGCAAGTCGTCGCTGGGATTATATCTTGGACCGCTGCTTGTGACCAGGGATGCGTGTGGCGCAGCATGGATGTCGTATCCTTCATCTAACTTGCGTTTCAGATAAGGGATGCCAACCATGACGAACAAGTTCTTCCAGATGTCCGTCGAGTGTAGCTTGAGGGCCTCGCGCACAGGTCCTGCGGCGCCCACCTGGGCGCGCGGGATTTCGCCATTTTTGGTGCGGAGAACGCGCTCACGCTTCAAGGAATAAAAGTTTTCTGTGAAAGAGCCGCCGAATGTTCGAAGATAGTAACGTTCGACTATTAATGAGATGAGGGCATAGACTTCGTCATATGAATTGAGGATCCGCAGAAGGTACCGCGGGTGGCGATGTGTTGCGACTGCGAGGAGATAACGTAAAGATGGAGGGAGAAGATCCGAAAGCTGTTGTTCTGCGAGGAGTTCTGTTGTTGCGCGCAATCTCCACGTCAGCGATTCCGATCATGTATGGGGTTCCGTGTGTCTGGGGTGTGCCCCCGCGGGGAAGCATCAATCAACTTACCGAATAACGATGGCTTATGTTCATCGAACTCCTGTGTGAGGCTAGGAAGGTACTCCATCGTCAGGAGTGTCAGTCATCCTTATCAGGGTGACGTTCTGAAGAGAGATGGGGGAGAGTCGGCGGAACCAGTGATCTTCAGCCGAGGCTCAGCTTATCCGAGTTAAGTACCTCCTTCCCCATGCCCTGAACAGGTGCAGATCCACCGCTCTGTGAGGTGAGTGAAAGAAAATAATTGCGAGCGATTAGAAGTAGATAGATATCATGATATTGTACACTGAGTATATATGCTAAACTATTTTACAAATTAGATTCTCTTCATTCAATTGCCCTAACGGTGTCTTCACAGTGTTCCCAGATTCGGCTCGGCCACTTTCAGCTGAAGTTTCGGTGGAAGGGCCAACAGAGATGTCGGTGTCGATTAGGATACAACTTCACTGCCGCTGGTGCTGCTGCACCGCCTGGAGATATGAAGGAGTCACTGTGTCAGGGGACACCGCTTCCAATTCGAACTCAACAGAGCCGGTAGTTAGCGCGATTCATCGTGCGGTATGGAAGTATCTCTTTGAGCCCGGAGTGGAGCCAAATCCATCAGACATAGACCTAGGAGGCGCAGCATTAGTCTTTGAGGGATTTTCTGTGCTCTCCCTGAGGTTTCGTCGCCCTTCACGAACTAGAGTCGCCTCCCAAAGACCATCAAGGTCAACATCAGCCCGTTTCTCCTCCGTGAATATCTGGACAACCACACTGGTGCCAAGATCAAGGTTACCAAATCCCTCGATGCCAACGTCGCTCAGCTGCGTCGTGGAAGCACCTTCGTCAACCACGCCCGCGTTAACGCAGATCCATCCTGTGGTGATCCCATCATCCTTTTCGTCAATCATTGCGCCAGCTGCGCTAGCGGCACGCGCTCGCTTGGCTCTGCGGCGAAGCTTGATTTTCAGCTCATTGCGTCCAAGTAAGCCATCGGCATATGGAGACAACTTGTATTGACTTCTAAGCCAGCGACAGAGGCGATCCGCCGACACATTCAAATGCTTAACACTGCGAGCAGTGCCAATGATCATGATGACACTAGCACCGAGAGCTGCAGGGATTTCAAGGCCACGTAAGTCGAAAAGTTTGAGACTATCCAGACCCAAGTCCTTATAGGTATACTCCAGAAGGGTCGAGAGCATTTCTGGTGAATTATCAGGGATCTGCGGGAGATGGGCCTCGTTCAACGGGCGGTCTGTCACTGTCGGCGCCTCTTCCTGTAGATACCAGGGAACATGTTGTGATGTAGCTGGCGTCTTGTTTTCTAGTTGAGCTGTTGGATCTTCCGGTTCAGACAGATGGGTTTCGAGTTGGTGTGAAGTCGGAGGACGATCAGATCGTAGCCAAGTTACGGCGGAGAAAGCTCTAGGGTTGGGGATCGAAGGGGAGGAAAAAGGAGAGAACCGCGGCAGTGGGATGCCAGAGACGGGAAGAGATCGCAACACCTCATTTCGAGCATTTTGGCATGCAGCCCCTCGTAGAAGAAGCCTACTCATATTGACAGTATTGGGAAAAAGATATGCCAAGGAAGTCTTGACTTCATTTGCGTCGGCTCCTATCAGCGATAGCGGAAGCAAACAGTGCAAACAGATGGGTCATCCCGAAGAATCATTTCGGGGAGGGGCAATTTGGAAATTTACAACAGTTGAAACTCCCCCATCCTAGACTTTTTTTTCGTCTAGTTTTGATTTCTGATTCCACTCAAAATGTCGATGGATCTGGATGCCCCGGTCTATGTGGGCCAGCAGGAGCAGGTTGCAGCAACGTGAGTCTTATCTGCAACTTTTTTTCTTCCCCGCTCAAACCCTAATAGGTCTTTCATATAGCATTCTCTGTTGCAACTGCGGTGCCGCTATCGATGGAACAACTTCGGCTGGAGCCTTGTGTTCGGATTGTATCAGACTTACTGTCGATGTTTCTCAGGGTGTATGTCGTCTATAGTCCCGTTTGCGGTTTACTCAACTGACATGGGTTTCTCCTAGGTGCAACGCGATGCAGTCCTCCACTGCTGCAGAGACTGCGAGCGCTGGCTGCAACCCCCTACCAGCTGGGTTGTCGCGGCGCCTGAATCGAAGGAACTTCTCGCCATTTGTCTACGCAAGCTCCGTGGTCTGAACAAAGTCCGGATCATCGACGCCAGCTTTATCTGGACGGAACCCCATAGCAAGCGCATTCGTATGAAGCTTACTATTCAGCAAGAAGCCTTCCAGGGCACAATTATCCAACAGACTTTCGAAGTGGAATATGTTGTGGCCAATCAGCAATGTGCCGACTGCCAGAAATCCTTCACGGCAAACACCTGGCGTGCTTCGGTGCAGGTTCGCCAGAAGGTCCCCCATAAGCGTACTTTCTTGTATCTGGAGCAGCTTATTCTTAAGCACGGTGCCCACAAGGATACTGTCAACATCAAAGAAGCGAAACATGGTCTTGATTTCTACTTCGCGCAACGAAACCATGCTCAAAAGATGCTTGATTTCCTCACCAGCGTCGTGCCTTGCAAGACTAGCAAGTCCGAAGAGCTCATTTCTATGGACATCCACACATCCTCAGCGAATTACAAATTCAGTTTTGCTGTAAATATCATCCCTATTTGCAAGGACGATCTCGTTGCTCTGCCGATCAAGTTGGCCCGCTCATTATCTGATATCAGCCCGCTTACCATTTGTCACCGAGTTGGCACTACTGTCAATCTGATGGATCCTTGCACTCTCCGTACAACGGATATTCCTACAGGCACATACTGGCGTGAACCATTCTCAGCCCTTGCGGATATCACTGAGCTTAAGGAATTTATCGTTTTGGACATTGAATCGACTGGCATCTCCAATGGCCGATACCTCCTATCTGAGGCCACTGTTGCCCGTGCCTCGGACCTAGGAACCAACGATATCACATATTTCACACGGACTCACCTTGGTGGTATCCTGCACGTGGGTGACTCCGTCCTTGGATATCACCTGACGGGAACCCAGTTCAACAACGACCAGTTCGATGCAATTGAGAACAGCCACCAGTACGGCTCAACCATCCCGGATGTCGTTCTCATCAAGAAGCACTATGTTCGCAGCAAGAAGTCTAAGACTCGTAACTGGCGCCTGAAGCGCATGGCTCGCGAGTATGAAGAGGAGGCCACCGCTCCCAACGCCAACGTTCCCATGAACAAGCGCCAGGAGCAGGAGCAAGCCCGTATGGAGCAAGACTACGAGATGTTCCTGCGTGATGTTGAAGAGGACCAGGAGCTGCGTCACACCCTTGATCTGTACAAGGTCCGCCAGCAGCAGGCTAGGGAGGAAGAGATGGATGAAGACGATGAAGATATGGACGGAGAGGGACACGCCGTGCCAAAGATCAACATGGAAGAGCTGCTCGATGACTTTGACGAGTTGAACATGAATGACGAATAAGCTTGCTGCAGATGATCATCGGCTGGCGTTTGTGTGTTTTTCTGGATCCTTTCAATTAACAAACAAAAAGTTCTTCATATTCAAACAGATACGTGCAATGTGAATTTTTTCTACATCCATACCTGTTATTTCTAGGTAAGATATGAAATAGGCCATAGGTACACCAAGTAAACAGACCAAAGGCCATGAAGAATGAGAAAGGTTTCTTGATAAAGAAAAATAAGTCTAGAAGATCTTGCCCAGAACCCGCTTTGCATCATCAGCCATTGCAGCATCCTTCGAACCCCCAACGACCTCATTTTGCTGGAAGTGGAAACGTCTTTTCGCAGACTGCGCCGCTTGCTTGGGCTGCGGTACTTCCTTATCCCCATCATCAGCACCCTCCCGCCTCTTCATCTTCTCTGCATTCTTCTTCGCCATTCCCTCGGAAACCCTAGACCTCTCCACACCACTTAAGAACACCTTAGTCTCCTTCTGAGCCTTAGAATCAGCAAGCTTCTGAGTGGCTTCTCTCTGAGCACGCTCTCTCTGTATTTGCTCCATAAGATCCGACCACTTATATTTCTTCAAGTACTTCATATTCCACACGTCGTCGTGATACCCTGTACGTTATCGCATTAGCCAATATCCGCAGAAAACAAAAACCTCAGTAGGGAAAATAGGTATACTCACAGCTGGACTTCAAACCACCCACGATCGTCGCATTCAAAGTCTCCGCGCAGATCTTCGCAACCTTGCGATTCTTGAACTCAACCCAACCCTCCGTGTACATCTTGCGCTTGTTACTGCGCTGTCGGGTACCCGCCGCAGAGGGCAGAAGCGGCGCCAGGAAAACCTTGGTGATATCCTCGAATCCGCGTTTCTCGAGCATGGCTTTCAAGGCGAAGGGCTTGAGGTATGGGGGCAGAGAAGAGACTGCAAATATCAGTACCATGTACATATATCAGAAGTCGCCATGTAACTCACAGTAAATGACGCCTGATTTATCTTTCTTGGGCGGCTTTGCAAGCTTGGCGAGTTTGCCTTTTGCTTTCAACGACTTGGTGGGTTTGGTGGGTTTCTCGGAGACCTCTAGGCTTGCGCCGCCGTCTGTCTCGTTGTCTTCGTCTTCATCTTGGTCTTGGTCTTCTTCGTCGGACTCGGCTGAGTATGAGGCCTGCGTTGTTGTTCGCCGCCGCTTCACGGCACGTCCTTTGCTCTCCGCCACATTGGCCTCGGAGTCATAGCCGCGGTCACTGTCGCTGGCCTCGTCGTCGCTGGCCGCGATGTCTAGGAACTCATTGTGTTTGCGGGTCGTCATTTTGTTGGAATCTCGGTGGAGAAGATAGTTGGTAAGTGAGCGGAAGTCCGCAACTTTTTTTATGCAAGTGGTCTGTGCGCTCCGATTCGAACCACTGGAGGTTGAATGCTCGCAAACACATTCGCCACAAGGCATACATTAAGACAAAAATCTATGGATCAGCTAGAGTTACGAAGCCATGAGGTATAACTAGAGAAGATTGTTTATCTGGGGCAAAAAATAATTCAAAGTAAAATTGCGTGCTGCTATATGCGCGAAGCCACTCGGGCTCTATATGCTAAAAAAGAACATTGTACCCTGCCAAGTTATCCCCGGAACGCCAGCCTTCATGGTATGTGCAAACAAAGGGCCAAAATATGGGTATATTGCAAGTTTAGTTGATTCCAATCCACCCTTTGGCTCGCTCATAAACATAGAAGCTTACTGCAACCATGGGTACAACTTTGGCGTATCCAATAGTGAGTCCGACCCAGAACCCTCTGAAGCCTCTCTCAAGCCAGATTGTACGAGCCGTTTCAGCCATTCCAAGTCGGTGGCCATCGCCGATTGCACCACCGACCTGCATGCGACGACGGAGTACTTCGACCGGGTATGAGCAGGTCTGCGATACCAGACCGGCCACAGCACCCGTCAAAAGCTCGAACGTGGTGTTCAGTGGTGGGCGAGAGGCGCTTTGTGGGGAGACATCTGACTCTGATAGCTGTCTGAGGGTATAAGGTGCGAAAGCGGGGAGACGGAAGATGTCACCCACTGTGTCGTGAGTGAGGAAGGACATTCCGGCGTATGGAAGCATTCCAAGGATAGTGGGGGCAAAGCCACGGTAGAAGTTGGAGATTCCAGTGCGCGGGACGACTTTTGATACAGCTGAGGAAGCACTCTCAGCGGCAGCGACGGAAGAAGACTCGGCGGCCGCAGCTGAATGGGTTGGCGCGGGTCGAGGGCGTTCATAGTAGATCTGGCGCCAGATATCCAACAACCCTGAGCGATGCGATTGTCTTGTCTCAAAGGCCATTCGCACTCGCATCAATTCCAATGGGTATGTAAAGCAGACAGAGGTGGCGCCGGCTAAACTTCCGGAAATCAGGCGGCGGAATGGTGTCTCTTGTTCGCGGGAAGGAATGATACCGGCACGGATTTGCTCATATGCAAGGAACTTGATTGCGGCGTATGGAAAGATGCGGAGTAAAGTCACTGAATGGCCCTTGTACAGGCCTCTGGCGCCTTCGGTGCGCTTAATATCTCGAATCGCTGCGGCCAGGCCAGTCCAGCTACCCGTATATTTGGTGAATTGAGGGTTCGATGCTTGGAAGAGGATCTTCACACGGTCAAGCGGCGCTACGACGGTCTTAGCCTATCATTCCGGCAAATCAGTCAGTAAAATTTTCGCAAGTGCTCTCTTATGCGGATAAACGTACCGCACACCCCGCCAGTCCTCCCGCGATTCCACTCTTAACCACATAGTCCAAGGAACGCTTTTCCACCTTTTTATCGGTATTCTTTGGTTTGTTCATGGTGGATGTATGATTTGCGGCAATTTGTTTTGTCGCGCCGCCAATAAGCGACGATCCCGGCGGTGCGGTCTCGCTCATCGGAGCGGATTGCGGAGTAGACTCTGGGGTTTTGTGGGGGTCATATGCATAGTCCGAATGACTAGTCGACATGAGACGAAAGGAAGAAGAGGAAGGAGAAATTGCGATAGAGCAACCGAGGCTCACGGGGAGGGGCGAGAATATCTGGGGCAGGATCTCCGGGGCCTCGTGATTGATTCGGCGATATGCACCAAGAACCCTCGGGCTACCGGATGACTTCCAGGATGTTTTCACAGTTTGTGTAGATATATCTTATTCATATAAGTAGTAGAGGAAGTTCAGGGAGAATTGAGGGTAGAACCTGAAAGAGTGATCACCAAAGGCGAAAGAAGAAGTTGTGTGTCTGTTTCCACTGACGTATTGGGCGAAGTTCGGATAGTCGTTACAGACTGACATGCCGATACCAGCCAGCCCCGCGTGTAAGCGGCGGATTACCGTATTAATACGACCCGCAAATTCAGCGAGTCCCGAGAAGCCGGTTTGTCATCGTAATACCTTCACGCTAAGCCTAATGTGGAACTGCAGCCGACACCCATTAGATACATGTACATACCTGTAGGTACTTAGGTATAGACATCCATGGATAGTAAGTAGTAGGCTTCACTACGGCCATTATGGTAGTCTAACTGTATGGTTTCGGAATGTACAGTGGTTCTATGTTGGTGCATTGCTTCTAAGCTATTTGACGTCTCCCAAACAAGATGCTAGGTAGAAAAGAAATGAACTCCCCGTCTCCATGCAGCTCGAACTGTATACGAAATACAAAGAATATCGTGGTCGCGTGATGATATAGAATTGATGCCCACCGGAGGCATCAACCCCTGCGCTGGGCGCGTGTTCGGGGCAAAGGCTTAGCCTGTTTGGCTACCTTAGTCACTCTGGTATCAACATCAGAGACCCGCTTGCGCTTGCCTGGTCGGCCAGGGTCAACATGGAGATGTCCATTTTCGGATAAAGCGGTCGTGTTCTTCCAGCGCAGGCAGCGGGGCCCGTTTTCGTTCACGTCCACGTAGGTCTTTGTTCGAGTGGTCACGCGTTTGGCTGGGATCTCCTCTGACTCCGCCCTGTTAGGTGTCCCAGCCAGGTACGCCTGGCGATTCTGCATGTACTTGGCGATATAGTCTTGCTGGAGGAGCAGCTCCTTCAGCAATTTGAACTCCCGATTACCGCGCGAGTCCAGCCACTCTATCAGTTGTTTGATTGACTCGGGATCTTCATAATATCCCCATTCACGGGCATTGGAGACATGGGTAGGCCCCTCTTCGTGCTTTTTGCGTTCTGCGGGGGTGGTCTGGAAATGCTTCTGGTACTGCTTGCGTTGTTCATCTGTCACATCGATGAAGCCAGCGTGCTCCATTTCATCTGGGCCTTGCACCCATAGGCGACCATTGGCATAGCATGCCTCGGCAGTCGAGCTCTCCGGCATACCCTCATAGGGCATCGCATTGCGCTCAAACCACCAGTAACGATTGCAGAAGCGATCCAATCCGAGGCATCGGGTCCGGGGGCAGTCAGTCTCGCGAAGGCTGTTCTCCACTGTCTCAATCTGCTCCTCGAGTTTCTCGATCTTGGCCTTCTGGTCATCGATCTTTTTCAGGACACGCTGATATTGCTTGGATCCCTTCGGTTGCTTTGCTAGAATTTCCTTTCGCTCCTTCTCCAGCTCTTGTTTCCGTTTACGCTCCAGAGCCCGATCAACTCCGCCACGTAGCGAGCGTGGTCGAGGAGTGTCCTCGTCCTCTGTGTCCCCAACCAATTCGGAATCCCCTTCCAAGCCGATTCTTGAATCGTCCAGGCCGTCCAATTCGGGAACAGGCGTGGGTGACTTTCCGACCTTCTCAACCTCGGGCTGAACGGCCTTGCGTTCCTGGTGGAGCTGACGAAGTTCGATGAGACTACAAGCTTATGTTAGCGGTTGACATGACAATATTTCTCAAGGATTGACTTACCCTGCTTTGCGTGCCTTCTGGTACTCGATCTTTTCTTTGCGCAACTCTGTCATCTGGTTGCTGCACTCTTCTAGGTAGTTCCGGATGGCCTTGGTTTCCAAACTCAGCATGCAAATAATCTGGAGCACCTTGGTACGCATGTTAATATCGAGGGTACGATACTGCTCCTCCACAGTATCCTGGTTAGGCTCGCGATCGAGAGGTGCCAGATGTTTGAGAATGTTGTTGCAAATTTGCTCCGAGCGAGGGCGGACAGACAGCTGATGTAAAAGTCCGACTATTACCAACTGCCATCCACCATTCCGGAAATCACGCTTGCGGAGACGATCGATCCACCCATATTGCTCAAACATCTCACCAGCACGGTGGATTCGCTTCTCTTCAGATTCGTCTTCATCGACCTGTGCTTTGATGATGACAGCCTCTTCTTTAGCCAGGCTCCCTCTGGTGGTCATTCTTCCAGGTCTTGCCTGCGGCTCCGGAGTATCTTCCCCGGCTTCTTCCTCTTGCTCTTCTTCTTCATCCTCTTCTTGCTCTGAATCAGACTCTTCGATGGGGAAATCTGGAAGCGAGATCTGAACAGCCCCATCATCGTTCGATGAATTGACAAGTTTTTTAAGGACGGCGCAATGCACTTCAACGAAAAGCTCGCAGTCCATCTCCTCTGATGAAAATCGCATGGCTTGTATGAAATCATCGAATGTGAAAGAATCGAGTTCAAATACCTCACAATAGACATTGAGTGTATCCCAAGTCTCCAGGAGTAATCCTACCGTTTCCGGTTCTAGATCGTCAGGTAGAAGATCCTCTGCGCCTTCATCTTCAGAGTCACCAACCATCATGAACTTCAGGGTTGGTCGGTGTTGTTTTTCGGAATTAGGAGCAAGGTCCAGATCTTCAATGGGATACTTGATCGGCAACGGCGATGGCGGTCTTGACTCGTTCTTGATGACCACGGCTGGAATTCCGGCATGCTTCCTATCACCGACCACTGGCGGTTTGGAAGGACGCAAGGGGTTGGAAGGCAAAAGGAAGGAGGGATTCCCATTCAGCGATCGCTGATATTCTTGGTACTGTGCCTCCCTCGACTTCGCCATATCCTGTGCAGACAGCTTTGACTTCTGTCCCTTTACTGCGGGTTTCAACTCGGGGAGTTGCTGCGAAGAAAAGAACCCAAAGAACCCCTCTTGATCTGCTTTCTTCATCGCCTTCTTCTCTGCCACCTTCGCTCCATATTGCAGATGCTTCGGTACCTCGATTGGAATTTTGTATGTCTCCGCCACAGATGGTTTGACCAACCAAGGAGCCCCGGTCCACGATTCTCTAGTGACATTGTTTTTGATGAAACCGCGCAGCATCAACTTGGTGAATGCCTTTCGATCGCGCGTGATGTGGTCCTGATCCAGCAGGGCCTCTTCATTTTGTCGGTCTAGAATCTTGACCAGGTACCTCGCAAAAGCAGGCGTTTTAATGGTTCCGTCGGCATATAATTGCTCTGCAAAGTTGGCTTTATCTCTGATAGTACCATGGAGTCGACTACTATCCTCCAGCAAAATGAGAACAGCTTCGCCTGGGTAGAAGTCTGATTTAAATTCCTGGGTTTGTTAGATCGAGTTAGGATGGAAAGGTGGGAGTATCTCACTTCATAAATTTCGTCCACTAAGAAAGAATTTTGTTAGCTTGGCCCGAGGTGAGGAACATAGGTGACATACCCAGGCTGTCTACCCTCGAGACTGTCGAGAACTGAATTCTGCGCAGGATAGGTTCTCTGAGCGCATCGGGGAAAGTATTGTTCACTTCACGGGACTCCTCGGTCTAGTTAAATATTAGCATATGTGCATCATTGTATGTCCACAGTATAATAATGTACCTCGCTGCGGAGCGCCTCGAAAAATGTCAAACCGGAGTGACCGGTGATCTCGCAGATGAATCGGCGTTGCTTGTAGAAATCCATTCGCTGGAGGTAGGGCTCATAGCTTGTGAAGACCTCGTTTGTCTCTGGGATAACCCAGACCTGAGTGGAAGAAAGAGAATCAACAGGCAAGTCTTGCGGTATGGGTGGTGGAGATGCATACCTCAGAGCTATCATCTTCAATGACGGTCTGTGGGAGGTATTGGACCGGTTTGCGTTTAAACAGCACCTATTCGAGTCATTGTATGAGCCTCTTTGTCTCCATATCATCCATCGCTTTCTTCTTGGCCTCTCCGCAATCATTCCACCGGACAATCTATGGCATACCATGATGTGTTAAATATTAAGTCTGGACGCGCCAGTCGGCCGGGGATTATCGTGGGCAGAAGCGAGCATGAACATGCTAGACAAAACGCGATGATGGTTAGCGAGTGAAGCTGGTTGATTGAGCGTGTGAAGGTAGAGACCGCGTCAAACCCCAAATCGGCGGAGATGACGGTCGTCGCGACATAGATTGAGTATACTCCATTTGCCTTTGGATATGCTGGTGTGCCCTGGTGTGGGGATGGGGGGTACGCGGGTATGAGGGAATTGTCGTGATCAGGCCTGGTCGCAGACCCAGAACACGCGAACAGTGGAGGACGATGGCTCGGGAATTCGTGCGGCGGACTTACCGGAGTAGAACGCGTTCAGTATAAAGCAGCTCTTCAAGCAATTCTGAAATGGAGAACTGCTGTAATGCTGGCCGGGGGGAAAGCTGTGAATATTTGGAGGTGAAGGAAGCAGGAAAGAAGAAAGGTAGACAAAAGGACGGAGCGGTAGATCATTGCAGGACCGCGAATCAGCGGTGGACGCTGATTGGCGGAGAGGAGGAGCAAGCGGGAGCCAAAGCCCAGCAGAAAAACGCACCTTTCCTCGGGACCCTCGACACCTCCCTTCTCCCCCCTCGTCATCTCCGACTATCAATTCCGTTTTCCTTTCTATCCCAACACTACCCTTATTTACCCTCGTTCGACTCGTCTGCTCAAGCAGAATTTGTCTATAATACTGACTTTCTAGAACTTTTCCAAGTTCTCGCTCTTCCCCATGATTATCAATTCCTGGTTTCTATTCTCCGTCACCCCCGGCCCAGAATCGGAACAATCAATCTGAACTAACGGGGGCCATGTCAACCACCATCTTTGATGGTATTTTTAGTATGAAACATCAACCTTTCAACAACCTTCTTTCGCCTTCAAATGCTCGATTCTGTATTTGTTTCCCGAATTTGAAGTCATCTACCTATAGGGAGATTTAGTAGTCAGGTTTTATACCCGATATGTAACTTGATCTATTTTAGGATTAGATATACTCCCGTCTTGTTGCAGCAGTAGGAGCCAAAGGGCTTTGTGTGAAACTCTTGGATCCTCGGGGTGATGGTTATACGGCACCATATATGACTCTTAGGCAGGTAGCGATGGTTAGCATGTAGATTTGATACTCCTTCAGCCACGGTATCACAAGCGCACTGGCCACTCAGATATTGACTGTTGGATAACTCATTCTCCCTAGTTCCTGATAGAGTTCTTATGTGCCCCTTTTTGAATGTCATCGTGCCTTTTTGCGTGTTTGTCTCCTTTTGACGCGACTATGTATGAAACACAACGGTAGGTATATTATAGTGTAGCCACTCACGAAAATATAAATGTGCTTGGTAATACAGTAGACTAACAGAGAAGAGTAGTTGATATTCTGTGGACTAAGGCATTTCTCTATACATGGTTGATAGGTGCAGACAATAAAAGCACCGATCCGAAATAACATATGATCGGGAATGGGATCAGGGCCCTACAGGATACATATAGCCCACAAACATACATCTACATATAGACAAGTTCATGGGTCAATGTATGGTTAAAGGCATTAACAAAAGATACCGATATTCTAATGGAATGATCATTACAGTGCTTGAATGGAAAATACATCCACTCCCCGTGTTTGGATACGACATGCATTTGGCTGCAGGCCAACCATGGATGAAGTGGGGCTAGCCTGATTGGGGCTAGTGGGGGAATAGACTCTGTGATCCGTGGGTCTTATCCACGTGGAGTCAAACAGTGCAAACCCCTTACATCATCTGCAGCTATTGTCCGAGTGAACTCCGAAGTCACCTGCAAAGGACCACCAGGGGTATTGTAATTCAGATCTAACAGCTAAAATTAAGGTAAAAATTTTGATCCTAGATGGGTGATGCACCTATGCTGTAAAGTAAACGACCATGAACCCGATCCAGCTTCCAACGACCCCAAGGGCAGAATAACTACTCATGAACATCAATGGCAGGAACTCTAGTCGGTCCCATCCGAAGATCAATTGGTGTCCGAGGGAGCAATAGATAATCAGTGGGATTGAAATGGTCAGATAAAGTAGCGAAAGCCGGTCAAATATGAAGATCCGGGGCCGCTCAGGGACGGGTGCGACTTGATCGAAGACGAAGAGGAAGAGCACCAACCACAGTACTGTATAAACGGTTTTGAGGGGGAATTCAGCAGCCGTAAACAGCAATGGGAAGAGAGAGACGTGCCCGGCAACTGCAAGAGGCCGGAAGGCGCTGAAGTAGCGACGATCTTTGAGGGCGATGAGACTGAATGGGATAATAACGAGGAGAATTGCCTTCTCGTGAACATGCCAGCCGAAAAGGAATGATGCATAACCGCATAAGGTGATTGCACCGACAAAGGTATCCCAGCAACCGGGATTGAACCAGACCTTAACCAGAGGAACCTAGACAACTGTAAGAAGATGCCAAAAACACGAGACAAGGAATACATACTAGTTGGAACAAAAATGTCAAGATGAAGGTGTGCTCCTTTGTAACCTCTGGAAGGACGGCAAAAGATGTGTCTCCCACCAGTCCTCGGGTGACGCTGTTCAGAGCATCAGTGTTCACAGGAAGTCCCAAGCGGGGAGCCACTGGAGAAAATTGTCAGCCAGATTCATATGAACGCCAGAGAAAGAAGTTACTCACAAGGAATCAATGCTCGATCGGTGAAAGAGTACATCGCCCAGATGTTAGGCGCCCAGTACGCGTGACACAATCCCCGGGAAAAAGGGGAACAGTCTGTCCTTGAGTTGCAGCAACTGACCCCATTGTGCAAATGGCCCAAAAGCAATGGCAAAAACAGCCACAATACAAAACCCGAGCTTGAAAATGTTGCCGAATCGAGGCCGGAAAACCGACCTGGAACTGAGGCAATAGGTGCGCAGCAGGTACACGAAGTACGCGAGAGCGAGGTACAAATAGATGTGCTTCATGCACAACAGGACCGCGAAAAGAATCCCGCTGAGAAGAAGGGTCGATTGCTTGCGAGCCAGGACAATTGAGAGGATCAGAATTCCGTACATGAAGCCATTGTATTGGAAATGGATGTGGTCGATAATGAAGAGACCGGGGGATAGCAAGATAGAGAGGCTGGCCACATGGGCTGCCTGTTTGTTTGGCAAAGGGGCCGACTTGACAAATCTATCGGATTGTAGTTAGTATCTTATCGCATCGGCCAAAGGATCGCAATCGAGGGCCATACCGAGTAAGCGCATAGACAAGAACTAGTTCCGTCAATATCACAGTCGTCCTCTGGAAGTAGACCGTCTGCCAGGAATCATAGCCAAGGTTCTTCACAATCAACATTGCCGGATCAACATATGCGGCAGCCTGCGACATCAACCACTCAAAGCCTGCAAAGAACGGTGGGTAATCGAGAGTCCATTCCGAAGATTTCTATACCACCCCAAGTCAACATTCACTGTGCTTGGGCTAAAGTATACGCGCCCGACCGAACATACCTCGTAGTACCACTCTTGAACTGGGAGGGAATGTGTGATGGCGAGCCAATTGCGATGGACCTCAAAATCGGTTGATTTGCTGCAACGCAGTGAAAAACATGTCAGCAAAGCTCTTGATCATTTCTGGTATCTGCTTATGCCACTCATTTGGCTGCACTCTGCAAGATTTTCGCCGAAGAGATTGTATGCTATCTCTCTAGGTGTCTTCTTGGGGTCTTTTTGTCTTTGTGTTGCGGCGAACAGCGCGGAACTCACTATGCGGGGAAAAGCAGCACCTTGAAGGCGGCTGCAACGATGGCGCATTGCGTCAATGAAGGGTATAGTTCAACCATTGGAGCTCCTGCGCATGATTGTGCAACAATGTGAGAAGTTGAGGGACTTTGGAAGACCCAAGACGCGAAAATACTCGAATCGGCGGAGTTTAGAAGCTCCCTCCGCATGTTAAGGCGGCAACACGTGACCGTATGCGGAGATCGGAGATCAAATCAGGAGCCAAACAGAAGGACAGATACTCCGTAGTCAATACATCCCAGCCAACCAGCCTTAAACGGGAAAGGTCTCTCCGCATGGACTTCACAGACGTTGGTATCCGCCACACTATTCTCAATAGTGTAGAGCTTCACCACTTCTTCGATTTTTCGCCATCGGCAGCTCTCATTGCAAAGGAGGCCCGTCTCTGCGTTATCGCTGTTGTTGTCGGCTGGATCACCACCCACGTTGTCTCTAGCCTTTGCAATCAAAAGTGTGATTGTGATTCAGGCCAGTGCAAGCGTCGATAGCTGCTGTGCAAAGCTTTTGGAAACCCGTATCAACATCAAGCCCGGCCAATCGTTAAGCGACACAACATGATGCGAACCCTAGCTTCCCTGGCATTGTTTGCCGCGGGGGTAACCTCTCAGATTATTGAGAGCTCAAGCTTTGGCAATGGCCGAACGTCAGTACACTACCATGTTCAGTCTTCAGTGAATCTAACCCCAGACCAGGATATCACCGAACCGAGACTCAATTCCGGGGTGGACAATTGGAGGAGAAGGCCATGAACCTCATCTTGTGAGTTATTCTGTTGTACTATTATTGAAGCAATCTAACGCCAATTCAGCTATCAGACAAACTTATCCTAACGCCACCGTGGCCTGGCAACACACGGGGATCAGCTTGGGCGCAAAGTCCGTAAGTGGCGGGCTTCAGACCATGATATTGGACACCAAATACTAACCCGGGTATAGAGTCTCTCAATCTGAATGGTCAGCAGAATTCCAGTTCCGCGCAAGTGGGCCGGAAAGAGCAGGAGGAATCATTCAACTGTGGTATACCAAGGAGGGTCAGTCCCGTATTGGAACATCGAGCATCTATACCGTCGGTCAATTCGATGGCTTTGCTCTAGTGATTGATACACACGGTGGACGAGTACGTATTGATCTGTCGCATTGTATCATCGTGGCGAATTATCGATCACTAACCTGTTGAATAGGGTGGCAGCGTCCGTGGGTTCTTGAACGATGGTACCACCGATTACAAAAGCCATAATAGTCCCGACAGCTTAGCCTTTGGCCACTGCGACTACTCCTACCGCAATCTAGGTCGCCCATCCATTGTCAAGCTCAAGCACACCAGCTCCATCTTTGAAGTTACCATTGACGACAAGCTTTGCTTCTCTACCAACAAGGTATGTACACTGCATCCCGGCAAACACCAAAACCATTATCAACAAACTAACGCCAACAGGTCCACCTACCTGCCGGAAACACCTTCGGCATTACAGCAGCCACCCCCGAAAACCCCGACTCATTCGAAATCTTCAAGTTCATTCTCGAGTCCGCCGAAGGCCAAGGCTCAACCATTCCCCCCAACCAAGGCAGCAACTCCCAGCAGCAAATTCCCAAAGAGGAGACCATCCGAGTTGCTCCACCCGTCGCTAACCAGCGCGCACCTGACAGCGCAACGGTCAATGCAGCTGGCGTGGCCGCCCAATTCGCTGACATCAGCGGCCGCCTACAGCTGACCACCAAGGCAGCGAACACGATCGTTCAGGAGATGAAAAACCAGGCCCAACTGGCCGAAAAGCGCCACACCGAGCTCCTCCAGAAGACCGGAGCGCAGGATCGCCTGTTCGCCTCCCAGCTCGTTCAGTTCGACGCCCGACTCACTCGCGTCGAGCAGCTGCTGCAGACCGTCCAGCGTGATCTGGAGAACAAGGACGGACGCTTCAACCAGCTCCACGAGACGCTGCGCTCCTCCCACCTCAGCTTGAGCGAGAACTTGCAGGGCCACCTGCTGAGTGGTAAGTCTTGTTTTGCTCCGATAATCCATTTGAATATTCTGCTAATCTCTTGCTTTCCTCTCATTTTATAGTCATCACTGCCTCAACTCCTCGTATGGGCTTCTTCCTTTTCCTGGTGATCGCTTTCCAGGTGCTTCTCGCCATTGGCTATGTAGTTTACAAGCGCCGCCGGGCTAGCATGCCCAAGAAATACCTGTAGATACCTTCTCTGCCCCTGTCTTTCCCCCCGACCCCTGGCTCTGAATACTGTTCGATTTCCATGTAATGGGAGTGAGGGGGAATCCATATCATTTATCAGTGCGTTGGCGAGCGCTGAGATTTCTTCTTCGGGCCCTGCGGGGCCACACGAATACGATTATGTTCTAAAAAACCTTGAAACCCTTACAATTGCTACAACTAAATCTGAGATTACTCTTACAAGTAAAGGAAAGGTGAAAATTGACAAATATTCATTTGGCCTTGGGCCCATGCTATCGTACACTTTCCTCCGAGCCATCCGACCATGCAAATTTTTTTTGTTAAAAAAAATTGAAGACAGGACATAAAAAGAACACTGAAGAAGCAAATGGCATGGTCGGACGGCCCGGAGGAACAGATTTAACAAATTGACGATCGCCGAAGCGACCACGAAAATGGGAACATATTTTTCATAAAAAAATTTCAAAACGCCGTTCCTCATGCGCGCATTGAAAATGAGAAGAAGCCGAAGGGGCTCACTTCAGCTTGGTGTGTTGGCGCTTCTGCGCCGGCTCCTCTGCCGATTCTTGGTCATCGGCACGGGATCGCTTGTTGCGATTGAACACGGGAATCCGAGGGAGCAGCTCGGACCCCGAAGGGTGGGCCTCTTCGGAGGCGGTGGAGGGGGCCTTGGGAGGGGGCGAGGTGGCGAGGTGAGAGGATCCCAAGGTAGACTCTTCATCAATGCGAGCCAGAGTCTGGGGAGCAGGGGGCAAGGCTGGCCCGGCAGCTTCGGCGATGTGACCGTCGCCAACAGCAAGGGGCTGGGGGCCAGCCATCCCGAGGAGAGCAGAAACAGCGTCAAATTCTTGGGCAGAGATGCCCCGGATGGTGCTGTGCACAGCGTCGGACACAGTCTGCTTCAATTCGGCAGGAAGAGCATTGGATGAGATGAGGTTGGTGGCTCCAATGGTGTCGACACGGGAGAGATATTCGTTGGTAAGTTTTTTGGTCAAGTCCAAGCATTTGCGCTCAACGCGCTCGGCGAATTGGATCTCACGCTCGTAATGGTCATCTTTGACCGCACCGATGAAGTTCAAAACAACGTCGCCTGCAGGGAAACGGGATCTTTTTTCTTTCCAGTCGTCGTTGAACAAACTCTGGTTGGGGTCATCAGGAAGCATGATGTCACAGTCAATGAGTTCCATGTTCTTGGTGCGACGGACACGGCGCGTACGCTCGAGTCCTTCAAAATCCTTGGTGGCAATCATATCGTCGGGAGTAACATGGTTGGGACACATCCACCCAGTCTTCGGGTTAGGGGGAACTGCCCGGGGGGATCAAGACAATCCAGATGGAAGCGACAAGGGCAGTAGTCGCAAGAAATGATAGGTCGGTCACCGAGGCTTGTAGTGCCACACCTGGAGCAGCGGATTGTGGCTCCGGTGCTGTCAACGTCTTTGTAAAGATTCGGGTTCGTGTAAGAGGTAGCTATGGCGGCTTCCTTGTCCGACTGCCTGGGTGGTTTAGTCATCCGCGGCAAGTGGGGCGCGCTCTTGTAATAGCGTTGGTGCTTCGGATTGCGCGCATAGTCCTCATCGAAAACAACTCCTTCATCCACTCCGGCGAAGTGAGTTTTGATATCTTCGGGAAGCTGGAACTCGGTCTTCTTGTAGTGGTTGGAGTGTGCAATCAGGGTCGAGAAGCTGTTGCGGATGGAGCACTTGGGGCAGTGCCATTCTCCCTGTGGAGGATTCTTGGGATCCAAGGGAGGGTCCAAACATGTGAAGTGGTATGAATTGTCACATGTATCACAGCAGAGCAAACTGCCACCTTTCCCACACTGGTGGCAATCGTCGCTGTTGTTGGGAGGTTCACTGTAAGATATCAGATTAGCACGTAGAGCTGGTCAAGTTGCGCCAAGAAATCACATACATAGAATTTGGCATTTGGCGTGGTTCGTGGTCACCAGACCATTCGTTGAATCGGACCGAGTAAACAGAGTTAGAGAGCGAAGAAAGGCTCGAGACAGTCGTGTCAACAGAGAGCGACCGTGCACGCTGGGTGGAGTCAGGGTGCTTGTTCTTGGCTTTTTGACGTTGTGAGACGGGTTTGCCAGTCCTGCGAGCGATGCTAGAGACAGAAGTAGAGCAAACAGATGCAGGGCCAGGCTCTAAGCTCTTGGGGATCGGCACATCGAAGATAGATCCGGAAGGGGGCAATGAGCGCGTACGTTCGATTGGGTCGTTGTTGAGAACGTTTTCGATGCTGTAAGGATGTGTAATGCCATCTGGCGGTCCGATCTCTTCTCTGACTGCACTGGTGGGAGGGTTCGTCTCTGGAACGTGATACTCTTCCGCAAGGCGAGCACGTTTTTCATCCATTTTTTCCTCGTGGTCAGGATCCATTTCCCACTGGCGTTTGCGTTTGTAAGCAGCCTCGTTAGCTGGATGTGGCTTCTTGGGCCTCTTGAGCGGAGCAGTGTTTGATTTGCCGCTCAGGAACTGCTCCTCTACTCGAGGACCACTTGTGTCGCGATAAATGTCAGAGACCTTGAAACTGGGCTCCGCGCCAGCTGTCTTGGCAGATGTCAGGCTAGCCTCGCTGCCAGAGGGAGGATCAGGTGGACCAGCACGGGTGTGTGTCAGAAACCATTGACGGGCGTCATGGTAAGAGTTAGCGAGGGCGGTCATGAGGGTCAGTCGGAGTTGGTCGTCGCCTCCGTCTCCTTGGGAGATGTTGGCGATCAGAGATAGCTGGAATTCATCGCTCATAGCATTGTACCAGAAGTAAAGAAGAGTCAGAGCAGATTTCTCATTGCCGGACTCCATTGCATGAATGATGGCAAACTTGATGACGGTTCGGAGTCTGATAATGTTGTATTTTTCGGAGGTGGGAAGAGGAAGGGCCTTGAGCACGGCGAGATACTTGTTGGTGTCCTTCGAGCCGCCAATATCAGGAACAGTCTCATTAATCGGTGGGGTAGAGGTGCGAGTGGCTGCGTCGACCGGAGTAATGCTGCGAATGGCCTCATCGGCGGGCGTTTCAACTGTCGAGATCGCAGTGGCGACCGCTTCTTGGGCAATATCCTCAGCATGGTCCTTGGTGGCGGGCAGGTTCTCATTCTCGCTAGCTGGAGCAACGCGCTCGATTTCAGGGCGCGGGATGCCGGCAGTTACGGTCGCGACGCGCTCTTCTATCTGCTGGGGAGTCAGAGGAGGTACACCCGCACTCCGGTATTCCGCGACCGATGGGTATTCCCCAATCGGTCTCATTGTCGGATACTGAGAGGTGGGCTTCGAAGGGCCCGGGGGCTTCTTCTGAAGCTTCCGTCGTTTCTCGGGTTGAGAGGAGGCCTGGCGGCCTGCGGACTGAGTGGACCCCGTAGGGGCAGGCGGAAGGGACCTGCTAGGGTTAGTGCCACGCGCTCCATGCCCTAACTTCTCACATCAACGTACTGAGCATTCGATTCATTCGATTCATCTGTGTTTTTTTTGGCATTTTTGGCATTTTCTAAGTGAAACAGTCAGTGTGCATTCTTTTCTTGAACGTGATCAGTGGGGGGGAAAAAGAAAGAGGAATCAAAAATCTCCCAGCGACTTCTGGAGATGCAACATCCCATTGGGATTCCACATCCCAGAGGCGACCAGCGATTAGATCAGTGGAATAGGCGGGGGAAATATCATCTCAAGTGTGCAGACAGTAGTGGGAGGGATCGTTCCGAGGAATAAGTACATGAACAGACGACGGGGGAGCTGTCTCATTCACTCGATGAACATGAAAACATTGACACAGGATCTGCAGTTGCAGCAGTAATTGGAGCAGATATAGGAAATAAGTAGACCACGTCTTTCTACTCTAGAAAGATACAGGCCAAGGTGTAAATGGGGATCGTGCACGGCAACCATAACAGCAGCAGGGCAGACAGGAGACAGGAGACAGAAGACAGAAGACAGAAGACAGAAGACAGAAGACAGAAGACAGAAGACAGAAGACAGAAGACAGCAGACAGCAGACAGGAGACAGGAGACAGGAGACAGGAGACAGGAGACAGCAGACAGCAGACAGCAGACAGCAGACAGGAGACAGAGAACTGGGGACAGCTGCGGTAACACACGTAACAACATGACATAAATAGGCTTCTCCACGCGAAGAACGCGTGTCTCCGCCGTCTAGACATGACTGGACGCCAGCTGGGGGATTGGATGCTAGGGCAGAGAGCTGGATGGACAGGTAGAAGACGAAAACTCACTTTTCTCAAGAAGACGCTTGGAGATCCGGCGAACAGTGTCCATTTTGAAACGTAATGGGCAGAACGTGAAGAGAAGAGAGAAGGAAGAAAAGAAAGGAAGATGAGGAGAAAAGAAAGAGGGTATGGGGAGAAAAGAAAGAGAAGAAGATCGGGGGGAAGGGAAGTAATAAGTAGTCGACTGAGATGGGGGACCTTCCCTTTTGAGCCAGGGCTGTTGTTCTTCTCAGAGCAGACAATAGAGGGATCAATAGGACAATAGGATAGACCAGACTTCCAATCACAGTCTCCCATATGGCTCAATAGCTACTATCCCCAGTGTGCCTATGGAGGAGGCAGACTACGATAGCTATTCCATTCTATTGATATATTGACATCTTGAAGTGCATTGCTCTATTAAGATTTCGAGGCTATTCAGGTTTTGAGTCTGCCTGTGTAGAAAGCAACTTCAATCACTGCCTAGCTTGAGACCTATTTGGCCCAAATTTCGTAGACAACCTGATGGTCGTCAGCGTGGATTGGGATGCAGCACTGGATGTTGACAAGAGACAATGGACATGAAGATTATTGTATCCACACCGCACGGTGAAGTGATCCGTGGCCCCAGGATATGAGTTGCTCGTAGAGTAGACAAGAAGCTGTCGTATCAAGTTGTCTTTGGGGACGAACTGCTGTCAGGAACAACATGGAGATCATAATCAGTTCACCGAGACTCTACCATGGCCAACTAGTAGACAAACATTACATATATAGTCATACCATGGCGTAGACTGAAAAAGGACCCTGAAATGCAAGTGTTTGACTCCAAACTTTTGTACATCGCGGTCTCGTGCAATAGAGAATCGACGAATCACATCTTATCTACACATGTAGCTTTGACTATTTCCTCGGACAAGTCGCTACGAGCAAGTATCAAGCTGACCGGAGACACGCCCAAGAGTCGACACATGAGGCAACGGACTCACAATTACTACTGACTCAACTATAGTCTTTCTCGAAGAATCTACAAAAATCTAAATGCACACGGATATAGACTGGCAACGTCTTGATTTGGCCCATGGAGTCTTCTCCAATTGCTAGATACAAAATAGACAGGACTCCAAAGGAAAGCACGAGGAGATGTTCCCTGCGCCAAGTTCGTCGATAAAGTATATACCGAAATTTCCAAAAATGTGTTGGCATTGCCAGCCCTGTCGCACGTCATTGGAAAAATCAAGTGTCTTTCTTTTGTTTTTGGATAGATTTCGTATGACCTGCTGCGAGGCTTGTCATTGGATCTCTGTTTTGCATTCAGATTGGACCAAAAGTCCTACACTATATCAAAGTGTAATTGCATGAACATGATGACAAGGGGAAGTTAGTCGAGAGTATGAACTCATATTTACTCATCACCACCGGTGGTCTTGGTCTTCTTCTTGGGCTTGTTCTTCTTGTTACCGGTAGAGCGGGCAAGGGGCTGCTCGAGGATCTTGAGGATCTCCTCATCCTCGATCTTCTTGTCGGACTTGATCTGCTCGAGATCAACGGGCTTGGCAGTAGCGAGCTTGGTGAGACCGTTCTTGGTGATGGCTATGAGAGACGTTAGCTTGGGGCTCCAAATTGTTTCACACAAATTCAAGGGTACTCACCAACGGTGGTCAGCAGACGGGAGACGGGGGAGCCGTCAGTCTCGCCGGCAGGCTCGTACTGGCGCAGGACACCGCCACGAACACACTCAACAACACCGACCTTGGCGGCCTTCTCGTCATCGAGCTGGCGCAAGCTGAAGGGGAAGGTACCGAACTTCTTGACGACCTCGGAGAGGGTCTGGCGGGAGCTGGGGCGCTTCAGGCCGTAGGTGGTGGTGGTACGGCGGTGCAGGGTAGCACGGTGGTCGAGGTTCTTGACCTTGCCGGATCCCAGACTGAGGCCAACCTCAACACCCCAGACCTCGCCAACCTCGGGGACACCGTCACCACGGACACCGTTACCGGGGGAGAGAATGATCTTCTTCTCGCCCTCAATCTCGTTGCGGCCGAAGAGCCAGCTGGTGGTGTTCTCAACGACAGTGCAGTCGTAAGTCTTGGCAATCTTCTCGAGCAGAGAAGACATGTAGGCCTGGGTAGGGGCACGCTGGGCAGCAGCCTTCTTCTTCTCCTCGTCGGTACCCTGAGCCAAGAGACCCTGGGGGATCATAAGGCGCAGAAGAACCTCGTTGGCGTAGTAGGTAGCGAGAATCAGATCAGCCTCACGTCCGGTAACAACCTCCTTGGGGGAGTCCTTCTTGGGAACGACCAGGTTGTCGCAAACAATGGTTCCGAATCCATCGATCTGGGCACCAAGCTGAATCTTGATGAGCTCGCCGGCCTTCAGCACGGTCTCGGCCTCGGCAGCATCGGAAACCAGAGGAGTGTAGGGAGTCACATAGGAGCTAGGGGAGACAGTCGTAGGGTGAGAGATACCTTAATTTACACGTTAGAATCTTTACGTAACCCTTCTGCCGCTGAGTGGACGTGAAAACCTACCCTTGACGATCTTCTTGCCCTTGTAGACCTTGGCAATCTCCTCCTCGAGGAGCTTGTCACCCTTCTGGCAGATCTCGACAATCTTCTCTCCCTCCAAGCAAAGAGCTATGTATATGTTAGATCACAAAAGGTGGTAGCAAGAATTTGTTGAGCAACATACCAGCAACAGCCTCAAAGACGGTGTGAGAAATTTGCGCAGCGGTCTTGTACTTGGTCAAGGTATCGGGGTTGTTGAGGGTGTAGTCTGGAAAGAACCACATAGTTAGCCATGATCTATGGATTGTCACATAATTCCTTTGTTTTGGTGGCCGCCAACGAGCTCATCGCCCATATTGGGCTCAGTGCCCACAAACGTCAGAGCTTTCCACCGCGATGGAGTTTACATACCAACCTCGGGTGCTTTCTCTTCGGCCATTGTGAAGTGAATTGAGCTCGTGGAGCTGTAATAACAAGAAAATGCAAGTGGTTTCGAAAAAAGTCTTCGGATTGTAAACCCGTGTAAAGCTAGAAGAGAGGAATAGGCCGAGAGCAAGTCGTGTGCAGAGAGCGTCGAGCGGGCGGTTTAGCGTTGGTGGGGTTGAGTGGGAGCCTGAAGTTTCAGGCTGACTGCCTAGGGCTTTGCCGAAGACGTCATGGCAATTTCCTCTACAACGTCCTTGACTTCATATTGAGCTACCCCATTGGCCCGAGTCGAGTACACGGATGTAACTATAGGCTGCCCTTTTCCCTTGTGTTTTCTTTCTTCTTCTGCTACAAATGCCTCATTCGATACCCCGGATTTCCTTGTGAGCCACAAACCAGGATCGCTCAGACCTTCCGGCTACTACCCCAATCGCAACTTCTCCTCACCTGACTTCAAAGTTCCCCTCTTACCTGCAGTTAGGTACCTAATAGTATGATTAGGAACTAATCGGGCTTTAGTCCTATTCTTTGAGGTTTCGGTCCTCTCGCTATGTGGGGGTTACCTCCCCTAAAAACAGAAGACCCCCCGACCCAAAGTTTAGATATCTTTTTGTTTATTCATACCTAGCTCCCTGAGCATGGCACCTTACCTATTTTGTAGAGAGTTGATTCATGTGGCATGATTGACTCATGGTCAAAGACTTGATCCACTAGCTCTCTCCTTCATGCAGGTTTAGATCATGCCCCAACCCCGCAGCTGTTTTAGCGCTCGCGGTCAGCCAGAGTAAATATTCCTTTGGACTTTCCAAGGCCCATACAGTCATGCTTAGTGACTATCACTACTGCTTTAACAATATATAAAATTTGGCATGCTTCGCTTGTATCTGTTCGGAGGTCACGAGGGTGTCGCGAAACATCACAAGTGCGATTGATGGGCATGTATACTCGCCTAAAGGTGTTGGAAGAGTATCCCTTGGTCATTTCCGAGAACTAATATGAGAAAGCTATGATTGTTAACTTGAGGAGCAGATTATTCTTTCTGAATACCGAAGTAAACCATGAGACGTAGCTTATCCGGTAGACCCACGATGAAGAAAATGGTTAGTGTTCTGATCGATACTTTCAACAGTGCGCAGGTACTGTGCTAATTTAGTATAGAATTGGGCAAAAGGATAATACCGATTTTGTAGCGAGAATCGGATGTAGTAAATGTAATAACAAAGCCTAGCGCACTTAGTCTTTCATATAGGCATAGATAGGATATAGGAAAAGTAGGAAAGAGACACCGACTAAATTGGTCAGTGTTTACTTGAGCTGTTCGCTGGCAGTCATAAAGGCAATCGATGGAGAATAATGAGCAGGGTATACAAACTGCTCTCAATTAAGGGCTTAGTGTCTGCGGTTTTGGTTGCGGAGCTTTGCTAGGCCTTGTACTTTGGAGGTTGCCCCCGTTTTTTCCCAGTCCATATTTGACTGGCAGCCAAAAGATATAACTTCAAAATAGCTCACCAAGCGTCTATGGCTATTTTGACCCACCTTCAGTTATACTTGATTCAGGGGTTGCCCAATCTGCAGCAATATCCAACCCTGCAGCAATGCTAGATTGAGTTACTTGGCAGAGAAATTTCCTGGTTGTCATATTTGAACAGCGCTATTGCTCGCTTGAAGATAAGGATTATGGTGTATAATAGATTCTCTTAGTAAATAGTCGTTGGCTTATATTGGGGTGTCAATCAAGTCCCTCTATAAGAGATACTGCCCTTGCATCAAAGCAATAAATAGCAAGCATTCATATATGATTGAGATGGTCAATAGCTGTTGTGGTGCAAAGTCACATCTTTTTGGCGTGATCTAATGACCCAAATCTTTGCTCTATAGCCGAGCTTTTTCCTATTCCTCCAGTCGAAAGTTTGAGATTTATATCGATATGGGGTCAAAACATTCAGACAAGAGACACACTATACCTATGAAGACGTGGGTATGTAGGCACCTCATGAACTCCCTTGGAGGGTTGTGAATATTTAGATCGAACTTTAATTTGGATCGCCCGTGTGGACCGCGTCTACAGGCAACCTTAGAACTATAAATACGCCTGACATAATACGGCACGTGAGAGTCTGAGAATCCCGATAAATCAACAATATGACCTTACAGTGTAGCTCCAGGAACAATAACCAAAACAAATATGATAACCCTCAAGTGACAACCCTTGACCAGTAGATCCGCAGCCAGGTGGCCCACTAACCATCCAATCACGCCCATGGGTGTTACTGTCACACTGTAATAGGGAGAACTTGGACCGGAAATGCCTGAGTAGATGTGCTGCGTTATGAAGTCCGGTCCCCGAAGGACCGACAGTTGAATTCTCTCGGGATCTGACTACCTGGGTTCCTTCCATTTGAACATAGGGACCATCGCACCTGCCATTGATAACTATGGGGCGAGCACGTGATGCAAGTAACATGATTGGATCAAACCCTCTTCCTATCGCCATGTAATTAATCGCGGGTAACTTGTGTATCGGTAATTTACCTTTAATCGACGACCTCGACTGTTGACGACTCCAGGATTCCATTTGAAGTCCCCATTTTGTTCTTCTTATCTTCCCAGTCCCTGAACTGAACTTCCACACAACCCTTCCATCTTTCTCGGGACACCCACCATGCCAATTCCACCATGACATCCCGCGAAGAAACCGTCCTAGCTCCCACCGATCCCTCTATCACTGATGAGAACGATTGGTGGGAGTTCGGCCTCACTGATGTGAAAGTTCTGAAGCCCGGAAAGATGCTTTATGCGAATCTACTAGATGCCACCGAACAGAATCCAGTGCAGGTAATCGGCTGCTTAGAGCCGCTTCGTGAGGAACAGCAACACTTGAGTGCGTATCAGGTCCAGTTACAGCTCCCGAGGTCGTTATCAATGCGCGTTATTGAGTGGCTTGCTGACCAGTCATCACTTCATCAGTACTGAAACCCGACAATCCTCCGAAGCGCATTATTATCGACGAAGTCACACACTACGCCTACGGCCAAACCGAAGATAAGAGCATTGAGCTCTGGGTTGCTGGTAAGGCGGGCTGGTTCGATCTTATCTCGCCTGCCAAGGGTTTCACGCCGACATACAATCGCATGGTACAGGCCATCGACTTGCTGTATTTCCTGGTCGACAAGCACCAACAAGGGAACAAGCAGATCAATCCATCCTTCCGGAGTCTCTGCGAACAAGTCAGTATTTCTGTTCTAGGAGAAGCGCTTTGGTGTTGGAGGCCTAATGTCCATTTGCTCTTAGTACATTTACCACACATATGGCTCATGTGAAACCCGACAACAATCGGCGGAAGTGTTCGCGACCCATGCTACGTTCTTGCTTCGCTGCATGATCCAGGGCGATGCAGATGTAGAATGGAAGAAAACAAATGTATTCGTCCATTTGCGTCGCCACTTTCATGTAAGTCAAGACAGCACTCTCAATTGCCAAGAGGATACTAAAACGGTATTAGGATGATTACAAGCGGCTGATGGAGGAGGCTGCATCCTCTGAGGAAAGTGAAGTTCATGAGGAGCCAGAAGTGTCCACACCCCGACATCAGCCTGCAGCAATTTCAAAGTCACAAGCCGACGCTATCTACCAATTACTCAAAGATCTCAGAACAGAGGGTCACTTGGCAAAGCGTCGTTTGCATATTGACCTTCTAAGGGAACGCCTGGCAGAGCGATTTTCGCTCAGTCACGATGATGCCCAGAAAATTATTGCCATTAGGGCAAGCAATGTCCTAGAAATGATGGATGAAGAGGACTTCAGATGGTCCCGCTATGTCATTCACCGGGAACTCACACATGCATCCTCGAAATCCGCTCCTCTTCCAGCCTCACTCCTCATGCCCCTAGATTCCCCGGAAGAATCTAGCGATGATGAACGATATGGCCGGACTCACAAGTCTGTGCTGCGCCCCAAAGTTACCACTGTCTCGAACAAAGTGACCGGGAAGCGAAATCGCAATGCTTCCACAGCTCAACACACGGTCGAATCCAATGACGAGGACGACCAAGAAGAGACCGATGAAGCCGACGAGATTGAAACACCCAGCAAAATCCGCGGTCACGAATTGATCAGGGATCCATGGTCAGCCTCAAAGCCCCGGACTCGGTCATTCGTATCAGCAATTTCGAGCGGCGCCGGCTCCTCTCTCATGAAGAGCCTATTCAAGGACAACATCAAAGACAAACTCCAGTCTCCTTCCGTATCTTCATCTCCAACGCGCCAAAAGTTTCTGACCCCAGAGCGGGATTTGACTCCAGAGTCATCGCACGAAGTTGAAGAATTCATCGATGACTTATCTGATACTTGGACATGCCGCATGCCCGGATGTGATAAAGTGATCACGTCAATTGATAGAGACGAGCGCAAAAGGCTGGTTGGCGACCACGCTGGAGAACACGACTGGGAAACCCAGATGAAAGTCGAGCTCATGGAATCGGAGAAACGCATGCATGCATCCTTCCCCGTAAGCAACCTCATGCAATATGTTGTTGATGCGCATGTGCTGCAAATGCGCACTGCATTTCCGGAATTCTATTCTGCGGGCAAAACAAACGGCACATCCCAGGATGGAGAAACCCCCCAGAATGGAGAGATACCCGTTCCAGCAGCCGATAGCCTAGAAGAGCAGAATGATGCGGACGAAGAGGATGAAGAAGAGGAGCTTGAAGATCTTGTGAATGGCTACAGTTGATCTAGCCCTTGAACCAACAAATATTATGGCCATGATCAAAAAGAGCAGAAACACAGTTGAATTGTGAAAACATCACGCTCGACTTTGATAACAAGTCACGATCACAGGACCACAAGACCGGCACACAGTTTTACATAACCCGAGGTCGAGGGCAGATTCTCTTCTCGGGTATGTAAGCGCATCACTTGCTGAGACTTTCAACAGAACACTTTCTAATGCTTTCCCTCTTTGCAGACAGCGATACCCATACATTTCAAGATTTGCTTCTCACCGGTGGAAATAAAGGCGTTGGGTGTTAGAAAGGACAGGATGGGACCGGCGAGGAAGGCGTTTTACATGACCTTGCGAGACATGCACGGCGAGATAGGCCGGATGAATACAGGGACAAGGGATACCCAGTGTTTACTTTCGCTACAGTCTGTCTATGCTTTCTTAATGACACTCTTTTCATTTCTCACTTAATACCCCCCCCACACAGAACAAGCAGGTAGAACTACAGAGCTTGAGAATAACTGAACCCAGGTCTCGCTCTTGCATATGGGTGTATATCCTTGCCTGACACTGTCGGGCCGTACATCAAAGGAGATATACTATAGCTCCAGGCACAGTGAGAGTGTAGTCAAAACAGTGTAGATGGTTTCTAGGCCGAAAAGTATAGGGAAATGAAATCTACTTAAGTTAAATACCGACATTTAACTACATGTAGGCAGCTGGGGGGGTTTTTCTTTCCGAAATTAACACTAGCGACTCCGAAATATACAATTCTGGCTCAATATGTACGAGGATAACCGGAAGACAGGATAAAATATACAAGATCTAGATGTAGAGCCTGACAAGCAAGAAAACAGCACAGTGGATTGAATAGAACACCAACACTCGAGATTCGAAGTGTGTATGCAAGACAAAAGCCAAGAAAGCAAGAAAAAATATAACGGGCAACGAAATACTGTCTGTCTGTACAGGGAGCGAAGAACAGTAGATTGGTACTGGAAGAGGTGGGAGGTGGGGAGGGGGAGAGGAGAGAAAAGAGAAAAGGAGAGAAGGTCTTTTGACTCGGAGGGGTATACCAAGAACATGCCACATATATCACACCACATACACACAAGACTGAGAGATAAGAGATTGAGTAGAGGTACAGGAAGTGAGAAAAACGAGGACGATGATTGTAGAAGTAAGATAGGAAATAGATGTCGAAGGAGGTTGGTGAGATATGGATCCCGGTGGGCAAGAATGTGGTTCTGCAAAATGCGTGTAGTGGGAAAGGAAAGAAAAAGGCGGACGGATTGAAGTCCATTAGAGAATGAGATTAGAAAGCAAAGTCTAAGAGGACGAATGCTGTTCATTGGATTTATTGCCGGTGGGCGTTGTGTGCTTCGATGAGAGCTGTGGATGGTTAGATATGGGTTCTCCAATTTTGAATTCATGGATAGACACTTACTCTGAAGGGCAGAGGCTTGTCCTTGGCGCGATTCGCAGGCACACTGAAGAGTATTACCATCTGAAAATTCGAGGAGGATGCTGTTGGGCAGTTCCTGCATGTCTTCATCGGGGAGACAAGGGGTCCGGAACTCGGTGAGATGGTAGCGTTTAGTCATGTTGCGGGCTGTGGCATCATTGGTAGCAGGCGCGAGAACAACGTATCCATCTTCATCGATGCGCATGACTCGGCGCTTCCAGAGAAGAGTCTCTGGGAACTGGACGTTCACTTCACCAATGTCAATGGGCTCCGAAGTACGGGTACTGGAAGGTCCTGGAGCCTCACTAGATCGATCTGTGAAAGCGGGAGTTGAAACATCTTCCTTGACTGGCGGGCTGAGGGCCCCAATGATGCTGCGGCGAGACGTGGATGTGATTGAAGACATGCGACGCATGAGGCGTGAGGTGCGAGATACTTTCTTTTCTTCGGATGATGAAGTAGATTGAATGGTCTCGTCAGTCCTAGAGCGCGAGGGGGGAGAGGGACGGCTTCCAGGGCGGGATGTCGCTGGACGACTAGATCCATTAGATGATGTAGACAAGCTTCGGTCCTGCAAACGACTGGCAGTCTCATGGGTCGAGGTATGGGGTCGAGCTCGTTCGGTTGTGGCACGCTCCACAGTCAAAGGACTGGCCTGGAGATTGAGAACATCGGATTCCGAGGGTTCAATGGCAGAGGATGCAGGGGAGGCATCGGTACCACGCACGATACGGGCCGTTACGGGAACAGAATTAGCGAGGCGCGTGGTATCCACAGACACCCGACGGTCATGTCGGTTCACGCTTGGTGCACGAATGAAACTGTCAGGGGCATGAGCAGAATGCATGGTACTCAGGACAATGGGCTCCTGGTGCCCACTGGGCATCGAAATAGACGCGCGTTTGCGAAGGCTTTCGAAAGATGATGAGGCTGATGGTCCATTCACAATTGGACTCGCGCCCAAGGGCGTGCCTTCGCGGCTTGAGAACTTCTCAAGAGCCTTGATACGACTAGAAATGCCCGAGGAAACATTGATCTTCTTGGCCACGAGTACCGGCGTGGAAGGACCATTTTCAGAATAGGAGCTAGAGATTGATCGGCCCACTGTGAGAGTGTGCATGGCCGAGGATGAGCCCGAAGAATATGGACTCGAGACGGCACGGGAGTTTCTCCAGGAATGATCGCCAGCGTTGGGGGATTTTACGGATACCGGTCTGGCCTCCTGGACAGTAGCGGAGGTTAATTCCTCCATGAATGAATCGTCGGAAAGGAGATTTTCGTCGTCTGATAACTCAGGAGTGGGCACTTGAATAGGCTCTAGGTGGACCCTGCGCCTCTGATCTAGGGAAGACGGTTCGGCCTTTTCGGTAATTGGGTGATCAGGGGTAGACTCCGGACTAGGAGAGACCGAGACAGAACCGGGGGCAGAGGTTTCGGGACCAGTGCTTTCAGGAGGGGTGATAGAGGGGGTTGTAGGGAGGGGAATCGAGTCAGGAACCTCTGTTGAGATAGGCTGATCGGAAGGTTCCTCAGTTGGCAGATGTAAAATGGGCGGAATTTCCAAATTTGTTTCTGGAACATCCTCTGAAACAGGCGGGGCGTCCGAAGGCTCATTTGGGAGTGGGACGTTGGCACTAAATGTAGGTGGGGCTAGGCCAGGGATTGCGGAGTCCTCAGGCTCAGAGCGTGTTTCATCTTCAGGGGTTATCTGCGCTGTTTCCGTCTTAACAATTTCCAAAGGTGTGGCAGCACTCTCCGTTGACACAATACTATCGCAAGCTGGACCCGAGGGCGAGGATGGTCTATCCCCAAGGGTGGGAACAGGGACGTCAGCGACCTGTTCTGGTTGAGCTTCAATAGGCTCAGAAGACTGCTCGAGTTCGGATATCACCGAAGGCTCAGCAATCGACTGAGATGGTTCAACAATCTCAGGAGCGAACTCGAGAATGGATTCAGGGGCGGACTCCGGAAGCACGGGTAAATCCCCCGAGGGGAACTCATGCGTGTCCAGTTGATCTGTCTCAACAGACTCCAGCTCAGGCTCATCAGGAAAGTGAATCTGAATGAGGTTCTCCTTATTGTCATCGTAATCAACAATTTTTTTCTCAGGTTTCGACTCTCCTTCGGGGGCCTTCTTTTTTGTTCCCTCCGCACGCTTGGCCATATTCTTTTTCCGTTGTTGCAAAGCTTTCATCAAACGTTCTTTCTCAGGGGTCAATCCCGATGAGCTTGACAATGCGCCAAGAGATTTGGCGCCAGGGGAAAGTTGAGGCCTTGAAATAGGCATAGACGGGGGTGGGACCAACAAGGGTGGGACTGGCGGAACACGACTAGTGGGCTTAGTTGCGAAAGTGCTCCCCTGAGATCGCGGGCGGGGCGCGTCGACAGGTTCTTTTCGCAGGGAAGAAGATCGCGAAGAAGACCGGATATTTGTCGGCAGAGACGCAACGGGCCGCTGATCAGGATTTCGGGAACCGCCTGCTGTGCGGGGTCTTCCACTGCTGTCCACGGATGGCCGGGGTCCCAGCTTGACCTTGGGAGTGATTCCTGCGGCGCGTTCCAATTCCCGGAGCGAGGGACGGGAGGATTGGGTGGACATACGGGTTTCCTCTGAAGGACGGGGAAATTCATCCAAGATATTGCGGTACTTGGAACTCGAGTGATCCGAGGCTACAGACTTGGGAGACATCGATGCCGATTGTGGTTCGATAGGGCTCTCTCGAGAGGCTGTGGCCATGGTGCTCGCCCACGATGAGGGTGGCATGATGTCGGCTGATGCCTTTTCACTTTCTGGTGATGTCGGGGGTTCAACGGAGGGCTCGATGGGAGACGGTACAACGGTAGCTTCCGATGTGACGCTCCTGGAGCTTGATCGGGCGTCCGCCTGGGGAGGGGAAGTCGGAGTCAATGCTTCATCCTTTGTGCCGTTTTCCTCGGCATCTTCCGTAATTTCCATCAAACGGCGGCGACGCAGAGAGCTCGAAGAGGAGGTGATCGAGGTGGATGCGGTATGAAGGAGACACGCGGAAGACAAGGCGCTTTCGGTGAGATCGGAGGCTTTGGATAACGCGAGAACCGTGTCGTTCGGGGTAAACTTGTCGGTAACGGACTGGAATTGAACATTGCTTCGGGCTGGGATGAATTAGATCGAGTTCCCTGGGGAGGCAAGGCATTGGTGGCGTACCTAGTATGAGTCGAGATAACCCCTCCGGCATGTAACGGATGATCACTTTCCTGCGCCGGTACTGGAGAAAGCCGTACAGCGGCGAACATTCTTCATAGCCGTCAATGGCATTCCGGATGTCAGGCACTCCGCCGGTGCCTCGTTCGTGGAGGGCCACCTCATCTCGTGCAACATAGTGCAGTAGAAACCTGAAATATAGAACAAGGGGTATCAGTGACTTTGCCTTTCGGTAGAACCACGCCGAAAGGGGTATGCACTCACCATCCACCCGCGTCTGCCAAGGCACTCTGATAGGCTTCAACGACGGGGGCAGTATCGAGCCCGTTCAAAGACATGGCGTGAGCCGCATGGAGAACGGCGAGAGGCGCAAAGCCGAATGTAAGAGGGGAAGAGTGAATGGGAAAAGTGACCTGGCCCTAAAAGCGGGTAGACACTAAACTCGTTCAACTGGGATCAGATCTCAAGATCGTGCCCAATCAAGGCAGAAGGGCAGATGTGGTTTCATGAAACAGAAGGTGGTTTGCGACGAACTCTTCTCAGGGGCACCTCCGTTTCTATTCGTTCGGCAGCTCCACCTTTTAGTGGTTATCCCAATTTAACATGCGATCCTGAAACGTGCTCTCGCGATCAATGCGCTCTATAGTCAACTCGATTGTCCTGGTATGTTCAAAGGTACTGCCGCAGAGGGTGTCGTTACATAGTATGTTGGACAGAGTGGTACATTGTCCACATGGAATGTCTGCGTTTTTCGGATGGTATGACCCTACTCTTTGTGAAGGGTCAAGAATATGAGCTCAATTCGAAAGTATATCACGAGGTACGCGTTTCCCGAATACAAGGTATGTTGCATGTCACATCAAACAATAGAAGTGAATCGTCCCAAACCGGAAGTCCTCGTGTTATTCCCGCTGTTCTCCGCCCCGCCAACCATCTCGGAGGCCTCCGAAGGCGGGGAGGAAATCTGGGATCTACTACTTAATGGACACCGCGATCTCATCAGCTCATCCACTGTTTGCTCATCCACTTTTTATTCACCCACCATGGCCGACCTCCCACCGCTATCGACGATCCCTTCCCTTCCCCGCGAGACCCAGTTGCGGGTGCTCGATACCCTCTTTGAACCCTCCCCAGAGCTCCACCGACTGATGATCCCTGTACTGGCCAACCAGACATTCTCCTCTTATACAGCTCTGATCGATGCGGTAGGAGGTCGCATGTCCGCGCTCTCAGCCCCGGATTCCCCAACCGACCGAGATGTGCTCTTTGGTATCTTGGGATCGCATCCGCGACTGGGCCGGGCCCCGACCAACCCAGAGCATTTGAGCGAATTGAGCAAGAAAGAACAGGCCCAATTGAACGAAGGCGCAGAAGAACAAGCAGAGAAATTACGAGCATTGAATGCGGAATACGAGGAGAAGTTTCCAGGATTGCGATTTGTGTTCGTCCAGATGCTCTACTTCCATGGATACGAGGGCTGACTTGAGCTGAATGTCTAGCACATTTGTCAACGGCCGCAGTCGCGACGTGATCATGGTCGAAATGCGCCAACGCATTGACCGCGCTAATGCGGAGAAGGAGATCGAAGAGACGATTCAGGTGAATGCCCTTATCTCCCTTCACTCTGGTACTTTGGACGGGGGCACCGTTATATGCTGACTTCTGTAGGGAATGTGTGACATTGCGAAGGATCGAGCCAGAAAGCTTCAGTCGCGCATTTAATCTAAACCAAAACCAAGGATCTATAGACTTATATACCAATGTCAAATAAGCCAAATGAAACGGGAAGGGTCCAGAGTCCCCACCGTCGCCCCAATTTGATGTCATCCACGCTATCCGGACTTTGCCGCTTTTCCTTTTCGGCGGAATTTTGAATTCCTAATTAATTCTTTTGCCTCCTTGTTATTGTATTCCCCTTGTACCCATGCGAGCGACCACATGGCGGAGGGAAGCGACAATCTTCATCTCCGAGTCGCGACGACCCCCGCGATAGCCGAACCCCCTCTCAGAGCCTCGACATTCCCTAGTAAGTGCGACTGCGTTGGGGACCTGCAACTTGGACATTTCGCCGGCAAATTTGGCTTCGGACGATTCCTTCCAATCGCCTGCAGTTAAATTGCCCTTCATCACATGCGCACAAAGAAAAGTCTTGCCAATGAACGTGCTGACGGAACTGTCAGACTCGGCCTTATCGGATGTCGCATCGGGCTCAGCCCATAGTCTCCACGATGCCCGGAATACCAGACGCTCACCAATCATTGGTGGCCCTGTACGAGCTTCAACGACGAATACTTTCTACGAAACCAGGACCGAGTCCAGTGCTATAGATCCATTGTCGCAGGTAAGCGCTCTCGACTGCAGGAGACTTGCAGCTCTGCATTGGCCGATACTTGCTGCGCTTGATGCGATCATGTGCGTGCTTGATGCAACCTGCGAGCTGCAGATACGGAGATGCAAGAGCCAAGCTGACCGGAGGACCGTGCTCTACCGTTATTGTAGCACATTATCCAACGCACGAATACCCAAAAATCCATTCCCCTGAAATTACTGGGGAAGGCCTCATATGAGGCTGAGGCCGTGGGCTCCGATTACAGTCAGCCAGAGCAAGGCTCAGCACCGGGGGATTCATCGCCTATCTCCAAACCTTCAAAGGAGAAGAAGTGAGTTTTCAAACCAACTCTACCAGTGGGACATCAGTCACGCCGAAAGTTTGTGTCGCCGAACTTGGAACTTGCGTGCAGGAACTCTTGTTGCGCCTCTCCGCGTCCAGTTTGAAAGATTGATTCCCACACTCGCGGCCACAATACATTACTAGCGACTAATCTGTGCTTTGCGCTTCTCCGTACAGAAAAGGCGTCTCCTTCCTCAGCCGAATCATTGGAACTAAGAAAAAAGATCAAGTGTCGGATGCAGAAGATGAGATTTCAGAGCCCGAAGCTGGCCGCATGTCCATCGACACTTCAAATCCGATTGGATTCATACCTCGGCATCCTGCTCCGTCTAAATATTTGAAAGTACGAGCGCATTACAAAAAGGATAAGACATTCGACCGCGTGTTCCTAGCTCAGGAATTGGAGGGCAGCAGCCCATCACCTCAACCCGCAGATAGACGGATATCCGGGGCGTCCGCCTTGACGCAGAATGGTGAAAACACCGGAAAGGCTGTCTGGGCACTTCTGTTCTCTAAAGATGGTAAGTACCTCGCGGCGGCAGGCCAAGACCGAAAGGTTCGCGTTTGGGCCGTCATCTCAACACCCGAGGAGCGCGAGGATGCCGATCGCGACGAAGAGGCGACACCCGTCGACGCACAGGAACATATCCGGCTGAGCGCGCCTGTGTTCCAACCCGAACCTATTCAGGTGTATGAGGGACATACGGGAAGTATATTGGACCTGAGCTGGAGCAAAGTATGCATGCTATATGATTCAACTTGATTAGTAGAAATCATGCTGATCTAAGAGCCAGAACAACTTCCTTCTCTCCTCGTCAATGGACAAAACAGTGCGATTATGGCATATCTCTCGACCAGAATGTCTATGCTGTTTCCAGCACAGTGATTTCGTTACCTCGATTCAATTTCATCCTCGTGACGACCGGTTTTTCCTTGCTGGATCTCTCGATACGAAACTGCGACTCTGGAGTATCCCGGACAAGAGTGTGGCTTTTGTGACTGCTGTACCTGATATGATTACTGCGGTGGCATTTACCCCGGATGGCAAATACTCCATTGCCGGATGTCTGAATGGTATGCTTAACATCTATGACACCGAGGGCCTGAGAGTATCGGCCCAGATCCATGTACGATCAGCCCGCGGGCGTAACTCGAAGGGTAGCAAAATCACTGGCATCGATACGATGGTGGTTCCCAAAAACGATTCCCCGGGTGACACAGAGGGCGATATCAAATTACTGGTTACCAGCAACGACTCCCGCATCAGGCTGTACAACTTCCAGGATCGAACTTTGCAGGCCAAGTTCCGAGGGAATGAGAACACCTGCAGTCAAATCAGAGCGACATTTACTGATGACGGCAAGCACATTATCTGTGGAAGTGAGGATCGCAGAGCATACGTGTGGCCAATCGCGTCTGTAGAACGAGATTCCGAAAGGCGCGCTGTGGAGGTGTTTGAGACACAATCTGCTATAGTAACAGCTGCAATCACGGCACCGGTTCAGACTAAGCAGGTCCTGGCACTATCAGAAGACCCCATATACGACATTTGCAATCCTCCCCCGGTGGCTCTAGTTGGCCCAGACGCAGCGAATTCCTCAAGCCGACCAGGTTCAGGCAGAGGAATTGGGGAAACCCACAAACGCTCTTTCTCAACCCCTCGATTTTCCATAATCAGCAAAATGGCCCACGAATCCCCCTCATATCTTGCACGGTCCAAGCATCCAGGCGGAGATATCATCGTGATCGCCGACTATTCTGGCAAGATCAAAATTCTCCGGCAAGACTGCGCATATCAAAAACGACGCTTTGAAAACTGGCACGTCAACTCTACAATTTCTCGGCGCATTCTAGGACGCTCGGACTCCGCACGCCGCAGCACTGGCTCCTCAATCGGAAAGGAATCCTCGCACAAGACCCCATCCGAGCGCATCATCTCCTGGCGCAATTCTGTCGTCCGCCACGGCCGCTCCAGTACGGAAGGCTCCCGCCCCGGTCTCCGAACCCGCAGCCCATCTCCACAGCATCGTCAAGCGACCTTCAAATTAACCTCATCCCGGCCGTCCAGTCTTGGTCCAAACGAATCATTATCCGGCTTCACTACATCTCCACCCGCATCCCCGCACCGAGCCCGCCTCCACAGCACACGGAACAGCGAAGAGATGAGCCGAACAAATGGAAACAACAATACCATCGATTCCAAACTTGCATCAAACGCTAAAAGCGCGACCGAAAAACTCGCCACATGTTCTGCAGATCTCCTAGCCAGCGGCAACACACAGGACAACCCACTCTGGCTCCAGGGTGACCATAGCTATGTGTACTGGAACAAGATCACGCACGACGCACTGGCCATGCGGTCCCGCCACTCGGGCGACCTGCTGAGACCAGATAGCAATACGCAAGATCGCAGAGTGAGTATGGCTGGCAGTATCCTTAGCAGCGACTGTACATCCTCGATGGGGGATGCTGAGGATGACCTGCGGAAGTGTGATAAATGTCGGGGAACGAGTTTCCGCAGCGTCAAGGGGAGGGATGGAAAGCAGAAACTCATCTGTTCGGAGTGTCTCCGGCCGGTTTCTTGAACCTTGCCCTTTTGTTTTCTCTTTTCTTTTCTTTTCTTTTCTTTTCTTTTGTGTGGGTGTTTATGATCTACGATCTACGATCTCAGGTGTATATGATGGGTTTGGCGTTTATTTCACCATGTTAGGTGTTACATATTGGAGGATGGTTGTTTCAGCATCTTTGAGATCCATGTATCTTGCGTGTAATGTGTACACTTTGTTTCTATTTTATCCTTCATCGCAAGGCGTGTATAGTACCAAATCCAATGAGAATACGAGACAACATTAATAGACCACCTACACATATGTACATGTAGACCTCACAGTATACCATCAACAGCTCTTGCATGAACCAATCAACCACAAACCCCATTAACATATCACCTCCAAAAAAACATCCATCCTTCCAGATTACTTCCTCGACTCCCTAACATCCCCAACAATCACAACCTTCATCCTCTCCCGATCCCAAAACCCCGCCTCATCAGCCTCAACCAAAGCCTTCGCCTCATCCGTATCCAAAGCAGCAGTGAATCTCTTAAACCCTGCCGCATCTTCAAACGACATAAGCACAACGGCATCATATCTCATCTCCGCAGGATTCCCCGCTAGCAGCACGGCCTCGTCTCCCTCATGCTGGAGGTACCATCTCGTGTGCGAGACAGGCGCCGCGTCGCCGCAGATTCCGGCTATCATTTGCATGTGCTGCTCGTAGCGGTTTTTGAATTGCTCGTGTGTGATGCCGGCTTTGCGCGGTGCGAAGACCATCACGTTGTAGACCATTTTGTAGTTGGGGTGTGGTATTGGGGGTTGGGAGGTTGTGAAGGGGATGGGCTCTGACTCAGGGAGGAAGGTTTTATGTATGTTTTTAAAAGTCTCAGAACGTTCGTGTGTTTTCCTGGTGAATCTGGGATCTTCTATGGGCTTCTTGGGTGATCTGACATGCATATACTGCTAAGAAGGGCATGTATACATAGGTAGATTCTGGAACCGGTAGTGATTGACATACCCAGGTATAATAGACTCGTGTTCTTTTTGGCATCGCTTTCATATAGGTATGATAGGTATCTGGACGAATGGCCATTTATTATCAGTATTGAAGAGACCTTGGGCATTGGAAATTATACATTGATATCAACATGGGTCGTTGATATAAAAGCCAGAATACATGACCACTCTCTACAAAATATATCCAGACATAACTCTTGTTGAACTCGAGTGCAATGAGTTCGATCTTTTCATTTTCCACCTGTCTTTGGCCATCTGATCCGTGGTCCTCGTATCCCAAATCAAGAGCCATGATACATTCCAGGGAGAATACGGCCAGAGAGACGACCCTGGAAAAAAGCAGAGATCTAAGTACCCTACAAAGACTACGATACCGACTCTACAAGAACACCAAATATTCCCGTAAAATCCCCATAGATAAACTCATCAAGGTCTTGTTCAAAGAGATGGCTGGACCCATCATGAAACATTTGATGCTGCCTTGGATTTCTTCTCCAAGCTGCGGAAACTGGGTCTTAAACACATGAACGGCGAGGGGAGAGATTCCTTCGATAAACAAACTAGCTGGGCAAAAGGTGAACGGTGAGACTGGAGTGAACCGACTGCTACTGTCTCATGCTATTCTTGTCGCATTGTTTGGCAGACGTATTCAACATGATGGAGTCTAATCAAGTAGATGAGCTTGATGGCAGAGAATCGACTCCTGCTCTCGCCTCAGCCCAAGGAAATTCCTAAACTAGATAGTACGCAGTTAGTTTAGCATCGATATCATAAATCTATATTGGCAAAATTAGTTTCAACAAAAAGAAACCCATCTGACACCGAATGACAAAGTGCAACAAGCTATAGATGCGGAGTGAAGCGCAATGGTGCCAAGACCTGGAAAAAGCCGCCAGCACACTGATAACACCTCCACATCTCTCTCCGTCCACGACCTACTCTCCCCCCAACCAATTCCCCCGTCAATAACTGCCTCCTAGCGGAACACATTCCTCGAATCCGCAACACCCAAACCCCATCAATCCCCGCGCCCCCAAGAAGCGCCACCCAACCTCCGCATCCCACCACACCTCTCAACCCAAATCCCCGAGACAAGCGCTCGCCACAACCCCAAAATGCCCTACCTATCCACCTCCCAGGCCTACCTGGAACAATCAGCGCAGTTAATACAAGCGTACCCCGACACAGTAAGCCGCCCAAATGCCCCCCATTCCACAACCGACTTCCACACCGATCACCCCCCACAGCGGGCAACGCCTCAACCCCAAAAGCAAAACTGACAATGCCAGACCCGGATAGTAACAAAATACAATTTCCCCACGACACGACCGGGCAATGCCAAGCGAATCGAAAAATCGCAAGCCAAGAAGCCCAAAACAGGCGATGCAACAGCGCCAATCGCAACGCTTACTTTGAAAACATTCAACCCCACCGCTGGGATCTGTCTGCACTACCGCACGAACAAAGCGCAGGAGGTCGGTCGCTTGATTACGACTCTGGGGAAGCTGGCTGCTGGTGCGGATGTAGCGGGGCTGGGATTAACGGCTGCGCCTGTCAGTGCGGATGTGGAGATGGTGGATGCTCCGGTTGAGGAGGTTGTGGTGCCGAGCGCTGCAAAGGCGCAGCAGGGTCAGGCGCAGGGTGGGAAGGGGAAGAAGAAGGGTGGGAAGGGGAAGAGGTGATTGGGGATTGGATTAATTGCTTTCTTTGTGTTTATGCATTCATAGATATGGGATTGAGGCCTTTTGATATCGGGAATCAAATTACTGGGTTTGAATTCGGAGTGATTTGAACCTATCAATATCTGGATGTTGATCTAGATTCTGAGTAGATTGGCAAGCGGAGTTTGGGGAGAAGTAGTAGACACATTATAGGACATTGTATTGACGACATGTTGTAAGGTCACTCACTAGCTTTTAAATATAGAAATAGAAACAAACATATTGAACAAGTGATTTGAAAAAATCTAGATACAGAATCCACCATCCGTCCGTAGACACCGAGGAGCCCAGGACAGAACGAGAAAAGAAACAAGAAACGCCATTCCCATGCGAACCTTGAAACAGAAATTGCGTCAATCAATAATAGACAGAATAAGAAAACGGCATAATATCATAGGGGAGAGGGTATAAAACAACAGGAGGGGGAAGAAGGTCGGACATCGTTTAGAAGTCCTCGTCGAAGTTGAGACCGCCGCTGGCGACCTTCTCGCCCTCAGCGTTGACCTCCTGCTTGGTGCTGGCCATAACACCGGCCTTCTGGTAATCACCAACGCGCTTCTCAAAGAAGTTGGTCTTGCCAGCCAGGGAGATGGACTCCATGAAGTCGAAGGGGTTGGTGGAGTTGTAGTACTTCTTGTTGCCGAGAGCCACCAACAGGCGGTCAGCGACGAACTCGATGTACTGGCACATCAGCTTGGAGTTCATGCCAAGCAGACCGCAAGGAAGAGCATCGGTCAGGAACTCCTGCTCGATGCCGACAGCCTCAACAATGATGTCCTCAACGATCTTGGGATCGGGGCGGTGGTTCATGTGAGAGAACAGCAGACAAGCGAAGTCAGTGTGGAGGCCCTCGTCACGAGAGATCAGCTCGTTGGAGAAAGTGAGACCGGGCATCAGACCACGCTTCTTGAGCCAGAAGATGGAAGCGAAAGAGCCAGAGAAGAAGATACCCTCAACGGCGGCGAAGGCAACCAGACGCGAAGCGAAGGTGGACTCGCGGTCGTTGATCCAGCGCAGGGCCCAGTTGGCCTTCTTGGCAATGCAGGGAACTAAATATTATGTTAGTCAAATGGACTTCGCGTGGTCAATGACAGAGGCACATACTGGTATCAATAGCATCGAAAAGGTATGTACGCTGCTTGGGCTCCTTGATGTAGGTATCGATAAGGAGAGAGTATGTCTCGGAGTGGATGTTCTCCATCATGATCTGGAAGCCATAGAAGCAACGAGCCTCAGGAACCTGGACCTCTGAGCTGAAACGCTCGACAAGGTTCTCGTTGACGATACCGTCGGAAGCGGCGAAGAAGGCAAGGACGTGGGAGATGAAGTAACGCTCATCATCGTTGAGGCGGTTGTGCCAGTCGTGAAGATCCTTGGAGAGATCGATCTCCTCAGCGGTCCAGAAGGAGGCCTCGGCCTTCTTGTACATTTGCCAGATCTGTTGGAATCATAGATATGATCAGCTTCAAGGTTCACGGTATCGAGATATCTTCCGTTGATATCCACTTTACGCGTGAAACGCGTCGACGATGTGGCTTACCTCGTGGTACTTGATAGGGAACATGACGAAACGGTGGGGGTTCTCTTGGAGGAGGGGCTCAGTGGCCTCCAACTCCTTGATAGTGAGGGCACGCTTGGTCTCAAGGGCCTTCTCGGTGGGCTTCTCAGCGGTGGCGTCGACGGGCTTGATAGACGCGTTCTCCTTGCCAGCAGACTGGAAGTCGAGCTTCTTGATGGGTGAATCGCTCATCTTGAGGTTCTCGAGGGAGGAAGCAGCCTAGGAAGGAACAAATGTTAGCTTAAATGAGGTTCAGGACGCGTCTGACGCGAGAGGCGAGAGGCGAGAAACGTGACATCACGTACCTGCTTCGAGGGAGTGAATGGAGCGGCCATTGAGTCAAGTATGCGTAGAATGTGAATAGCAGGACAACTCTTGAGGACAAAGACACCGAGTAAGAATGGGGCAGAAGCTTGGAAAGTGGGATGGGAAATTCGGAGCTGGAATGAGGGAAAAGAGACTCGATTAAGTACTGCCGATTTCTCTTTAGCGCGACGTGCTAAGTCACGTCGCACGTGACCGCGCGCATTGCTTAGGTAACGACGCGTCGTCTCCGCAAAGCCCTTCTTTCCTTTTTGGGCGCCGTTTTGTCTCATGCCACTGGCCTCCCAGCAACATCCGAGAGGGGAGTCCTTGGCTGTGCTCCATTCCAGTCCGGGACTCCATTCTCGTGCATACGCCTTATGTCTCCTGTATATCATGTTGTAGAGCATTCCAATCTTATCTACGGAGTACCTAGGTAGGCTCTGCTCGAAAGATTCGCCTGCAAGTGTCTCCTAGTCATCTATGATACGAAGATATTATAATATACCGTGTAGAGAGGAGACAGTAGCCTACTCCGTACTCCGTGCATGTATTGAATCTAGCAACACGCTATTACCTCAGACCTCCAACGCGTCTCCAAGTTTTCCCAGTCCCCACTATTGATCAAGATCAGATAAGCCCAGAGCCAACAAAAACGCGCGACGCGACGCAGCAAACAATTCGGCTTTACGGATCTAATAGGTTTCATCGTGGGGTCTAGATCCAGCCACCTGCTTCCCATTGGCCGATTCACAAGTCTTTTGGTCATGGATATGGCGTAAGGGCTAACTCGAGCTCAGCTCTCCACTTCCATCGGATGTTCTGCCTACAACGTAGGAGTGCAACGTACGGAGTACTCCGTATACATGTACTTATAAGGTCCTTTCTTCAATCCCTTCCCAGGTTTATAGTCTAGATACCATAGTAGCTGCCAGACGCGTGGTAGATCCCGTCTCGCCCCAGGAATGAAGGGGCATCTCTTCGCCGAGTCGACAAGTCAAGGGTGGACCCGTCAGAAATAAGGTGCCGATCTTCGCTGCATCGCGTGTTCGTGAACAGCCAGCTATTCTACGTAGTACTCCGGATATTCCAACTACTTAATGTCAGGGGCCGTTGCTGGCATTGCTTTTTGCTTTAGTTCGCATTAGACGTGTCGATTCCAGCAGTGAATGTCTATGACCGTATATTGACAAGGGTCCCAAGGTTTCGAACGCAATGTGGCGACTAATCCCTTGCAAGTCCTTAGATCTCCACCTGCCTGGCTTGAGCTTTCGATGCACTGGCAACCCATAGCTTTGATCCACATACGAAGTGGGCCAGTGGGAATAGCAGGGTGCGTTACGGAGTACATCACCACGTGTGGGCGCGTTCTCGCGTTTCGTGATCTTTGCCGGGGAAACTAGAGAACCAACTACTAATGACAACTCACATTCAAGATAAGTGATAATTGTTGTTTTTAACCATATGTGATCATCGATAGATATTTACAGACCCTCGAAATCAGAATCAAGAGGGTACTCTAATAAACGCCAGTAATATGCCCAGTCAAAAGCAATTGTGCGACACCAAACATCCCGGAATGAAAACCCTAGCCAGGCAATGCAGACGGTGGTAATGGATCTCGCAACAAGATCCGCTGAAACTAATCCTTATGGAATTTTTTTTAGATTCCCTCACGGAAGGAGTCGGGCAGGATCCGGTCCTCCACACGGCGCATCAGCTTGTTGGTCTGCTCCGCCAGACTCAGAGTCAAGATCTGGATGTGGGGTTAGCTCATGAATGATGGCAATACTCAACTTCGGGGTAGCACTTACAGTGTGGGGCAGGATGCGGGCCAGATGGGCGAAGAAGCCCTTGTAAATGGCAAGGGGACCCTCGGTGCGGATCGTCTTGAACAGACAGTCGAAAACACCTCCATAGAGGTTGCCAGTCTGGTTGTACATACGGGCCATGATCGTGTCTAGAATGAACCAAGTCAGCTAAGGACCACTATCCCATACTCGAGATGACATACCAGGAGGGTGCATAACGCAGCAAACAACGAAACCAGAAGCGGCACTACTCGCCAGATGCAAGGCAGGGCCCTCCTTCATATCAAGGTGGCGAGTCAGACGGCGCTTGACAAAGAAGTATGTAGGGAGCTGCACGGAACTGCCGAAGCTGGTGCGGATCATAGCTGCATCAACACCACGGTAGATACCCCGGATGCCCTCTCCCTTGTAGATTTTGCTAAGGCCATCCCATGAGTTCTTGTAGTTATGCTGAGTGCCGACAGGGAGGAACGGCGAGTTGGATTGAAGACGGGTCTTCACAAGGAAGAAGGGCGAGCCAGCCGCAGCTCCAATAACGCCTGAAGCAGCTCCTGCAACGACGTTGGCACCGAGAGACTGGACTGTAGGATCATTGTAAAGAGCATTTGTGAGGTTCGAGCGAATAGGCTCATAGAAGCCTAGACGGCAGCCGTTGAGCAGGACCTGGTAGACATACTAAACGACTCAGAGGTTAGATCGGTGCACCTTTATAACCAAACATGAGGACAACACCTACAGCAGATCCAATACCGCGGAACAGCCCCCGAGGTCCTTCGTTTTGTAAAATGACCTTCACGCCATGTAGCACGCCCTTGTACTTCTTGACTGCCTGGCTCTTGTTCTGCAATTCACCCTGCAGTTGAAGCCTTGAAGCCAATTATAGATGTTAGTATGATGGTAATTAGTTGGATATCGGGACACTAACCGGATCTTGACTGTCTCGAAACTGTGAGTGACGGTGACTGCACCGCATGCTGCAATGCCACCTGCAATGAATGCGCTGTTCAACCGCAATTTGATATCAGTGCAATTCTTCTGCATTACGATCGCAAGCATGTAACATACCCTCCAGTAGTGGCCATAGTGCCTTAACTGCTGTCTTTCGTCCGAAGATGACTCGAAAATGGTCGGGAGGCGGAGGAAGATCGGAGCCGCTGGATGACACGAATGATGCGGCCTGTGGCAAAGATTGTGCAAGATATGTGCAACTTAAGGAGGCTTTGAAGCCAAATCACACTTTTCGATATATATAAAGGCACAATATCTTCACCCTCGGCTAGATTAAAAAAGAAGTTGAGTTGAACACGAGACCTGAGATAACCGTGGACTCAAAAGCTTACATGCGGCGAATTGGCTCGGCTATACGCTCATTGGTCAATGGCACCAGGGGCCTCCGGCGTCGGCCCCAGAGTTTTTACGTCAGCGGAGGCGGTGAAGCGCGCAAAAAGCCCAGTCGCGGAGCTGCACCTCGGAGCTTATCGTTTAGATGCTCTAGTTGTTGTTCATATCCTGTCCACTTTATTAAGTGCAACGTGGGTTATTTTGTTAATCTTGAAGTTTTCCAATATTTTCTGGGTTCATCAGCCAACTGTTAAACATGACGGAGGGCCAATCAACACCTCAGCAGGCTCAACCCGCCGCCCAAGCTCCCCTCAAGTCGCAAAAAATCACGGAGATTGTTGACACCTTCCGCCCTTCTAAGGTAGGCCTGAGTGAATATTGAGCCATATTGTGCTGTTCTAAGAATGATCTTCGATAGGGATTTCACCCCTGCAAGAAAGACCAGTCGAAATATGTCACCTCTTTGGACTTTGACGACCAGGGCGACTTTCTGATTGGCGCCGGCAACGATGAGAGTATGCATGTTTATGACGTTAAAGAGGGCAAATACAACAAGTCCGTTGCCAGCAAAAAATATGGTGTCCATCTTGCGAGGTTCACCCACCACTCTCGCCAGGTCCTCCATGCGAGTACCAAGATTGACAGTATGTGATTCGATAAACTGGCTCTTGGCTATTTAGCTATTTAGCTCACCACCGGCAGATAATTTGCGACTTCTCGATCTTCACAACGAGGGATACATAAGATATTTCACTGGCAACAATGACCAAGTGACTTGCCTGGCTCTTTCGCCTGCCAGCGACGCCTTCATGTCCTGCTCCAAGGACGATACCGTGACACTGTGGGACCTCAATTCTAGGAATCCGCAGGGAAAGCTCAAACTTGCGACACCATACCTTGCTGCTTTTGATCCCTCGGGTGCAGTGATTGCGATTGCCTCTCAATCCACAGCCTCGGTCCTTCTTTACGATTTCCGCAACTTCGACAAATCGCCCTTCTCCACATTTGACCTTGCACCATATGAGGAAAGATTCACGCCATCTACACGAGGACGAGCATGGACTCGGTTGGAATTCTCCAACGATGGAAAATATCTGATGCTTGGAACGGACTATCATGGGCACTATATTCTAGATGCCTTTGATGGCTCGGTCAAGGCCTTCCTGGGCGGGAAGAGCGGATCGTCTGGTCGCGCTGCGCCGGTATCCACCACCGGAAAGCCTCTCGGACAAGGCGACGCGTGTTTCTCCCCTGATGGTCGATTCGTATTTGGTGGCAATGGTGAGCAGAACGGTATGCTTGTGTGGGACCTGGGCCAGATTGGCGCCGGAGATATCACATTGCAGCCTTCGGCCAAGTTGTCTTCTCCAAACCGCATCTCCATGGTGGAATACAACCCTCGGTACAACATGATCGCCAGTGCCGACAAGGAAATTATTTTCTATGTCCCAGAAGACCATGGCAAATCCTCGGAGAAGTAAACCATATCTCGAGGCGCGACTCAAGGTCTAAATTCCCGACTTCCTCTGCTCTATCAAATGTCGGCCGATCACTATTCTCAAGTACATTGCAGAACCATAGGTTATGCAATACAACAAAACCGTGCTCCAAAGTCTTCACAAAATGAAGAATCATTGATTTGTCCCAATACGTCTAACTGATACCCGAGCCTCTTATGGCTCTCATTTTCGATCTTTGTCTTTGCCCACCAAACTTCGGGCTGTGTCACATATCCAGACATCAGGACCTTCCAGGTCATCATTCTCTTTCCTGTTATTCTCAACGGTGGTCTCGATTTGCTTGTCGATTGTGCGATTGCTGGAGATGGTCGTCAACCCTGTCACCCAGCCGTACAAAAACACGCTATAATTGATATCCGATAGGCCTTTCTCGACTTCATAGACCACTGGATGAAGTTTACCCTGTGCCTTCGCGGCATCAATCACTTCTTGGGATTCAACCACTTTGATGGGGAGGTTCCAATTTGCGGGCACTTGATAGTCGGACAATTCTTGGAATTTCTGGAGGATCGCCTCGCGATCTAGTTGCTCATAGGGTGAATGACCCAGCAACAATCGAGTTCGGCTCTTCTCGGTTTCTGTTCCAATGATCTCGACGATTTCCTGGAAGCGCACTGCAGCCTCTGTGGTGGCCAGCAGTTCACGGCCTTCCATAGCGGGCCAGAGCTCAGAACTCAACAGTGGCTTTTCCCGTTCAACCTCGATTTGTCGAACGATGGCTCTATGGAAATGGGGTGATATCGGGATGTCCTTGATATGGGATAAGTCCGACACCAAAGCAAGGAGCAAAGTGCAATCGACATTCAAAGTCGATGTGAAATTCTTGAACGGCTGAGGCAAAAGATGGGCCAGCCCGGTACGAGTCTCCATTGGCAGACTCCCCTGACAATCGACCCGAACGCCATAGCTCCGCATCTGATTCAAAATAGCATCAATTTCAGGAACGCTCCCTTCCTCGATCTTAGGTATAACAACTCGTAGCCGAGGACGTCTATATCTAACGCGAGTAGCATCAGACGCCTTCCTTAAATCCCGAGCTAATTTAATGAGCTCCAATTCATCATCATCATCGTCATTCCCATCCTCATCGAAATTCTGTAACACAACCCGTCCTTTCTCCCCGTCAGACCACTCATCGTCATCACTGTCACATTCCCAGCCTTTCTTCGCCATCTCGAACAACAGCCGGCTTTCTGAGATAGTAGATACCTTGACCCACTCCTCCCCATCATCCGCCACAATATCCACAAACACACTCTTGCGCTTATCTTTATTGGGCTGCTTCTTCGGCTGGGAACCATCGTCCTGTAGAGCTGCCCTCTCCGTCCACTTCGTCTCCCCATCCCAGTAGAACCTCCTACCCAGCGCAACCAGTCCAGAACAAGACTTCGTGATACTCCAGACAGCCTGGTAAAACGGTAAATTCGACGAGCGCAGCGCATGCACCAGCCGATTTTCCTGATCCGGATCCTGCGGTTCTCTCGCACACGCCCCGTCACCGTCCCTCAACCCCGGCCCAATAGCTTCCTCAATCTGTCTGCCCAGCTTCTGCAGCATCCTCAGCTCGGAGGCGACATTCGAGCGGAACTGGCGTACTTCCACGAGCTGCGGGTTGCGCAGGGTGGCCACGAGGAGGGATTGGTAGGCATCGATTTCGGAGATCAGGTCGTTACATTCTTTATTTAGCTGGGCGGATAGTGTGGTGCTGACTCTGGAGGACTCGGTTGAGTGGGAGTCTGGTTTTGCAGTGCCGGAGCTTGTATCGGTTTGGTCGGAAATCTCAGCGGCGTTGGAGGAGGGGTCTGCGGGGACGCGGGGTTGCGCATCTGTTGCCATTGTAGATTCTCAGACCCTGATTGCCTGCATGTGATGCCCGAGAAGAGTTGTTCTGCCTCGAATGCTCACGTCTGCTCTGTAGAATTGTTCAGGCGGAGTTTCTTTGTTTGGTGAGAGTTTGGGGCAGTGTGGCTTTGCCGTTGTTCTGTTGTGTTGTTTGGCGGAAGGAAGTGCCTTGGCTATCAGATGGCGACCAGTCTAGGGTGAAGATATAACCTGATCCGTAAAGAGTGAGGTATTGGACCCGATGTATATGGACCTGGGGGTTGCGAGGGGTCCACTTGAGGCTCTCTGGATGAGTCAATTCGCAATCTCCACTTGGCTTCTGGAAACAGTTCTCTCATCGCATACTCATACGGCGTACTGCTCTGGTTACTTCGCTTTCTCGCTTTCGTAAAAACAAGTCAAGATAGGCCACTGTATGCACGAATGCGATTTACCCGAATACTCCCAAGGTTGTAACGTGCAGCAGCCTTTATAGAACGCTTTGACCTGCTACAGCTAGTTGACACTGCCAGGGAGCTATATCTACCTACCGAGATAGGTTCTCAAGAAAAATTCGTTTCGTATTACCGCAATCATGCTAAATCTAATCATCTATGTAAATGGCAAAATCACTAGCTTCCATACAGAGGCGTTCTAGCTTTCGCTGGCTTATTGGGGAGATGCCTGAGGCAATTTCATCCAAAAAACACGTATAAGCCAATAATATAACTGAAAGGCAGCCCAGCAGAACTAAGTAGTTGACATAAGTGTGAACGAAAGACCAACGCCATGGCATGCTTGCATCCTCACTCCGGAGCCAGATTGTACATTGGGCGAAAAAAGAATCTCGCCAATTGACCGGATGTCTAGTCCTGATAGGTAACTATTCATACACCAATCAGAAACAACATCCGCAATGAAAAAGGCTAGCCAACTGAATCTAATCCTTATCTTTGCCGGTGAGTCTTTGTCTTTCGCTCGAATTGCGAGGCGATTCGTCATCGGACCATCGCTCACCGTCCTCCTCGCCGACTGCGAAGATTGTCTCTTCCTCAAGCGACTCACGCTGTCTGGGAGCAGAGTGGAAGGGCTTAGGAGGGACTGGGGAGAGGTCACGGCGGCCCTCGGCGGCTGAGCTGCCTGGATAATCCGGAGGAGCATCATAAGCATCTTCCTCGTCCAACCCACTACCGAATGATCGAATCTCGAATCCATCGTCGTCTTGAGCGAGCTATAACATATATTAGAACCAAAATCCAGTTTCTGATCATTCGGGGAAAAGATCCATACCTCGTCGCTCATGGCGAAGCGGCGGTTGTTGACGGTTGGTCGCCACAGATAAGCCACAAACCCAATATCGAACAGATAGACCAGGTTCAACCAGCCGTCAAGTACGAACCATCTCGTCTTCCAGTGGTCGGGCACAAAGCTGGCGTCGCTGCGCCCGGCGAAAGCGAACGAGTTGATAAAGAAGAAGCCGAAGATCACAATAATGCTGCCAAGGATACACCACCACAGCTTCTTGTACATCATCGCCTTGGTCTTTTGCTTTCTGTCGATAAGATCCTTCATGGTCGCGTTCAAAGAATTCAAGGTCCAGACATAGAAAGCTGTCAAGGTTCCAGCAAGCGGCAGAACAATAAGGAGGACCAGAGGACCAGCGCTATCCGGGGTGATTGATAGACTGGTAACCGAGTACACAACCGCGAACACGAAGTGAGCGATGGCTAGGATACGAACATATATCATGGTCCGGCCTAACGAATGCTTGACCACACCGTAACCCATGCAGACAATGAGCAGCAGGAAGAAAGAGAAGGCATTCCTGCCCGCATTGAGTACCGCCACAATTACCATGAGTGCCTTTGCTCCACCATTTAAGCCATGGCGGTTTTGGTATTCTAGAAAGATCAGTCAGAGAGTAGTCATGGAGGCAACAATTTTCTCTCTTACCATAGAATCCCCACGTCATCAGCTGCTCAACAATCAAGAAGACAACAATGGCAGTGATATAGTTTTGCACAGGCACTATTCGGGATCAGCATGACTCTCATAACAGAAGCGAAGGACGTACAAATATCATAACGGTTCTGCACGTAAAGGAAGGCCCAGAATCTATAAGTTCGCGTAAGCTTCTGCTCGAAAATTCATCGGGTCCATCAATTTCGATGGTCACATACACTCCGATAACAGCGTAAACAATCGTCAGTGCTCCATAGAATGGAAGCTTAGCAATTTGCGCAGCCGGGAGCTCGCCATATGAGTTCCGGAAGGTGACCACTGCTTTGTAGTCCTCTCCGGAGTATGCGAAGGTGCTGACGCAATAGAATCCAGTTTTCCTGACGGGGTACTTCACAGCGTCCGGGTTGTTTAGGTGAATTGCTGTCGAGATGATAGGGCTTGATGAGACGTCGGTCGCATTGCTAGTGAGAACGAAAGATCCGAGCTGCTCCTGGGTGCATATTTTCGCTTCGACATTCGAGGCATCGCAGATGGTTTCCTTGACCTGTACCTGATAATTAGTCGCGCCACTGGTTCCTGCGGAGTTGGGAGACATACCTCAGTATCACCAGATCGGTATTGTCCAATCAATTTCTCATCGGACCATTCAAAGATTATCAAGCTAGCCAACGGATCACTGTCCTTGACCTCCGACTTGGCAAACTTCACCAAAATGAAGGGTTCAACATCTCCTCCCCAAGCCTTGCGACTGTACATCCCCGAGCATCGTTGTCGGTGTGCGTCGTCAGATTTCTGTGAATTTGTATCAGCTTTTGATCATCATCACATTGGGAGAGCATAGATGCCTACCAGTTCAGCATCATTGGCAAGCGCATGAGTTGCCAATAGGGCTGTTAAGCCCAAGGTCTGAAGCCAGCCCTTCATGGCGACTGTAAAGTTGAAGCGAGACTAGGCTCCGGGAGTCGAGATGAGGTCTTCAAGGCCAGACAGCATCAAAGCAAATATATGGACAAGAGGACAACGAGCCAAATTCGTTAAAATGCGTGGGGAACTCGTAAGGCTAGGTTGTTCTTCTTAAGCTTGATGGCCCCAAACCGGGGAAGCCGCGCGTGGCCATTATCTAAGCGGGCACCGCCACTATTTTAGTTCCCAATTTCAGTCGACTTTTTTTCGATGCCCAGTTCAGAGCTCAGGATTAGCATTCATTTTATTAAAAGAATCCATCATGCCCGCAAAGGAACTCAATAAGCCATGCATGGAGTGCAAGGATGCAGAATCCGAACTCACTGTCCGCCAGAGGCAGCTTTGCAGGTATGCAGTAGTCGAGAATCTACAACCCCTCCAACTCATAGTCACTAACTATTTTTTAGTTCCTGTTTTAAACGTTTTATCGCACACAAGGTCCAATCGCGCCTGAGTGTCTACAGAGCCTTCGGCTTGAACGGCCCCCGAAACCAGTTGCTTCTCCCTCTATCTTTCGGTGTTTCCTCCTCGGTTTTGCTACATATATTGTATGCCGATCGCCAGTATCGCCTGAATGATGGACGCCCCCTGGGCTATGATTTCCATATTCTCGTCATTGAGCCGTCAACTGTCACGGCCACAGGAGCGCCATTTGATCAAAACTACGAAGTCCTTCAGAAGAACTTCTCAATGCCCACTCTCACCCGGATACCCTTCCACGCCATCTTCGAGTATGTCCCAGAGATGGAAGATATCATGAAAGAATATGCGGGACCACAGTTCACAGACGACAGCTCGCGGTCGAATGAAGAACGCTTGGCTGCGTTCCGTGCATCTATTTCCACCGCTACCTCCAAGACTGATGTCGACACCATTTTGATGACCAGACTAGTCGTTGAATTTGCGAAAAAGACCGGATGTGAATCTGTTATGTGGGGTGATTCAGACAGCCGTCTCGCTGCGAAGGCACTGGCAGGTGTTGCCAAAGGACGTGGGGCTTCCCTGACTTGGCAGGTATCCGACGGCATGACTCCTTGGGGCGTCAGATTCGAGTACCCGCTCCGTGATCTGTATAAGGCTGAGTTGCTCCAGTATGAAAGTGTCTGTTCGGAGCTCTCTGATCTCGTCATACCGGATCAACCGCCCTCGGAGAATATCCTTACCAAGAATCTCTCAATTGACGAGCTGATGCTGCGGTATGTTCAGAACCAAGGCGCAAAGTACCCGGGTGTCATGGCGAACGTTGCTCGAACTGCAAACAAACTCAACCCCTCTGTTTCTGACAGTGCACCAACATGTGCTCTTTGCGCTGGTCTACTGGGAAATGTCAAGGGCAACTCAGGTGTCACTGTTGCGAATCAGGCAGAGGATAACCACAGCTCTCAGTTTTGCTACGGATGCATGCGCTCTCGGCCTGGCGATATTTGCTGAAAAAGTGAATATTTGATTCAAGGCAACATTAGATGAACTTAAAAGGAAAACTCCTACAGTATCTGGAATTATTAACAAACAATCCTGGGGGTATCTGAACCGCGATATCAATATTTTCATACATCATGCCTCATCTCCTTTGGCCTCGCTCCAAATCATCTTCTAGATGATCTGCACCACCGAACCATCTACCTGATGAACGGTTATTCCGTGACTGATGGGCTGGCTGGGGCTTGGCTGGAGGATGGGGGGCTGCGTTGTGCCTTCCTCCATGACCTGAGGGCTGCATGTCATCATATGCTGGTGGTCCGTCGCTCATCACTCCACCTTCCTGCCTATCAAATGCATCGGGAAGACTATTATCAACTTCAACTGCCTGGCCATGTCGTGTGCTTCGCTTTGAGGTTGTTTTGGCACCCTTTTGGCGCAAGTGGCTTTCGAGAAGGACGGCATTTCGGGTATTGGCTTTGAACATTGCATCGGCAAGATCGCCAATGAAAGGGACGAGGCCAATAAAGAAGTCAATGATCACATTGATCAACATCTTCATGCGCAGGGCTGCAGGAAGTCCACCGTCAATCTTTTCGCAAGATCTCACAACCATCATTGCGAGGGCAGCATCGCCAGCGTCACCGATGCTGCACTCTATCGGTTAGCATCTATCTCTTTTTTGGCGAGCGCAATAACTGTGGTGGAGCTTACAATGGAATGAGCCCAATTACACTTCCCCAGCCAAAGCGAATTCCACACAAGCTGAAAAGAGCATAGTCCAACTGGTAGGCTCTGCGCTTGACCTTTGTAAGGACCTTGGTATCATTCTCTGAGAGCCCAGGTGGGATGGCCTTGCGACGCTTTTGGGTCTTTTTGCCGAATGTACGACCAAGACGTGAAGCAGGAACTTCCTCAAAGTAAGGGTCCTGAAGAAAAGAAGCGTTGGAGTCAGCTACATGCATCCACCAGTACAATTAATAGAACAAATTAAAATATTTGTGATAAATCGAGTAAACTCACCTCGGTGCCAAAATGATTCTTGGCGGTCTCACCTAGCACCTTCTTTCCGATCAGAGACACCAAGGCGTTTGACATATTTGGTTCAGATCGCAGTATCTCACGAGATGGGGGAAAATAATTATGGAAGAAGATTTCTCGGGATACGTGTTGAAGAAATAGAAAGATGCCGTGCAAGGATAGTAAAAATAGACTATGTATAGCCTTTGATCCTTCCAGGCCCTAGATTGTTCCTGGTTGGATGAACGAGGGTTTCAGTAGGCGCTCGTTTCACTTGTTTTCAACAAGGATAAAGGGCGCGTAAGGAAAGATGAGAAAGGAGCTTCACTTGAAGCCAAGGGGATTAATATAGCAATCCCAAAGAACCCAGGGGATCCAAGGAGATCAACTGTTTTGCGCGCGACACACGTCATTACTTTGAATCTTGGAACCCGTCCACGAGCCACAAATGTGGCGCTGTGTCTGCGATCTGCACCGCCACAATCCCTTAGTCACCCGATCACCACTTGGGCAGCTCCGACCTTGCCCTGCCTCCCAACGCCTCATTCTACGCTGTGCTTTTAGCTGATTGGAACACCTCACTCCTGCCACATACCGCCTACGCTGTACTCGATTTCCATCGGTATTTGCCCCAATCATATCGCCATAACAACACAGCCCTGGGTTGGTCCACCCTTCCTGGAAGCTGTTCCCTCCACTCTGTCGCCGGCTATCTCGACCGTTTGCGCCGTCGGATCGAGTGAGCGGATTCTTTTTCAGTCAACCGGGATTTGAAATGCCAACGATTATCCATCAACATGACAGAAACCAAAATGCAATTAGAAGATTGTGAGTATTTGACTGTTGATCTACAATGACGACAGACTGCTGACCGAGGCCGGTGGGCTGTTTCCAACAGGGCTGGATGACTTGTGTGTCCGCTTTATCATTAACCTCCCGCGCGAAGAGCTTGAATCGGTTGAACGGATATGTTTCCAAGTCGAAGAAGCACAATGGTTCTACGAAGACTTCATTCGTCCACTTGACCCTGCACTACCGTCGATGAACCTGAAGACATTTGCTATGCGCATTTTCCAACACTGCCCGCTCATGTCGTCATGGTCCCATTACCACCATTTAGCTGCCTTCCAGGAATTCCTTGACTACAAGACCCGCGTGCCGGTCCGTGGTGCGATCATGCTAAATCAGGACATGGATGAAGTCGTTCTAGTCAAGGGCTGGAAGAAAGGAGCCAACTGGAGTTTCCCAAGAGGTAAAATCAACAAGGGCGAGAAGGATCTGGATTGTGCCATTCGTGAGGTCTACGAAGAGACTGGGTTTGATGTCCGAGACGCCGACTTAGTAAAAGACGCAGACGATGTCAAATATATCGAGATTACGATGAGAGAGCAACATATGCGACTCTATGTCTTCCGAGGCGTGCCCCGTGACACCTACTTTGAGCCGCGTACCCGAAAGGAAATCAGCAAGATCGAATGGTACAAATTATCAGACCTACCGACATTGAAAAAAAGCAAGCAACATGATGAAGGACTCGCTGTCGCGAATGCGAATAAGTTCTACATGGTCGCTCCGTTCCTCAACCCACTGAAAAAATGGATCGCACAGCAGAAAAGGCTCAATGGAAAGGTCCACCCTGGTACAAACCAAGTTGCACTCGCCGAAGGATACGCTTCGATGGATGAAAATGGGCACATCAATGGTATCGCTAAAATGGGTATACCCAGCGATCTTCCCGAGCTAGCTTCAGTGCAAGATGCTTCAGATCACCTCAAGCGCCTATTGAAAATTGGCGCGGCGCCGGTGCAAGCTCAAACTCCAGGCCTCGAGCCAGTTCAGACTTCTCCTGTTGACCCGTCTAAGGCAAATGCGCTTCTCGCATTATTGCAGCGCGGGGGCCAAAAGACGTCCGTTCAGAATCCTGCTAGCCATCCTATGATGTCACCGCGCAATGTAATCGAGTCCAATGTTCAAACTGTGGAACAACGACCTCACTTAGGGCCCAACTTCTTCCCGGGGTTCCCCCAACAGCAGCAGAACATGGGTCCTTCTCCTTTCATGCGGCAGAATTCCACACCATTCCATGCCGTGCCATCTCAGCCTCACATTCAACCATCGCAGAATGCCCCGCACCTTGTTCAAGGCAATATATTCCCTACCACGCCGCATACTTGGTACCCGACACCTCACGCAATCCCTCAATTTCCTCAAGGCACTACATCGTCTCATTATCAGCACCATAATCAACCTCCTTTGGCCCATGGAGTTCTGCCCCCTAGCCATATGCCCGCACCGTTCCAGCGGACGGGAGATCCTGAGTTCTCTGAATCTGCTCAACTGTCTGAAAATCGGGGTCCCGTGGTTCCGCCAGCGAGCAAATTGCCTCCCCCGAAGCTGACAAGTCATTCCTTGGCACTTTTGGAAGCTTTCAAAGTCAAAACTCCCAAGGGTCCAGCCCCAGCGACATTGGCAGCTCCTGTGCAGGGTTCTTCGCAATTGCGAAAGACATCTCAGCATCAGGATAGTCTGTTGGGTTTACTCAAAGCACCTCAAGCTACCCGTGTCCCCGAGCCAGTGGAATTATCGGGCAACCCCATCGTGCCCCCTACGGCCCCATCAGAGAAGCAGATTCTTCAGCGTCCTCTCAATGATCACAATCAACTCACGCGCGGCGTAGCCGGTATCACGAAGAGCCGTACAGGAGCAGGCCGGGCATCGGCTACTGTGTCCGGGCCATTGAACATGCCCCAATTGGAAGCAATTCCCAAGCCAACTTACAAGTCAATGAACGGGACGAATATCAAGAATCATGTGAGCAGACGGGAGCAACCGCTCGTCCAACAGCTGTCTTCTCCCATCACTATTCTTTCTCGGCCTCAGTCCGCGAAACGGGAGGCAAGCTCGCCAAAGCCAGTTGCACAAGCAACCCAGGTTACCCCTGAGACTATGCCACGGGCACCTAAGCCTATCAAGAATTTCCAGCCGCAGATTCTCCGTCGATCGGATCAATCTGGATACGAGGCTTTGATGGCAGCAGCTCCTCGCGCGGAAGCTGTCGAGCCAAAGCCAAGTTTGCCAGTTCTTGAAGCCAACACACAGGGTTTGGCACCGCAGAGCAACTTTGACCGTCGACCCAGCCAGACGGCTGAGCAGAAAGCTTCGCTTCTGTCTTTGTTCAGCAAAGCACCGGCCTCTCCGTCGGGCATCTTGTCAACCCCGTTCAATTCCCAGACCATTCAACAACAGCCAGCTGCATTCCCGGGCCTTGTTAGCCCCATTTCATCCCGTCATCGTCCTAGCAGCGGAGATTCGATCTCTCGTCAAGGTACACCGTCTGATGGCGGCGCACATGTCAAGACTCACTCAGTCTCCTCCCCGAACAATAAGGCGTTCTTGCTTGGGTTCTTGGAGGGAGTGGCCAAAGCAAACAAGTAGCTTCGTGGTCGGATATCCGACTGGGTTTGTAGTAGTGATGCAAATGTGAAATACGTGCCGATAATTTCCGTTCTCATGGAAACATTCCTAGATCTCTATATCCGTAGCTCGGCGTCCTGTTGTATCTACATGTGCGGAGTATCCCAGACCTCATCGAGTTCTCGAGTCCCGATACCATTCTGCCATACACCACCGCCCAACGTCATCGCTGGATTTGTAAAGAAATATATCGACTCGCATTGGCTCTTCTACATCATTTCAATCATGATGCGCCCACGCCCCTCAGTCTGTAAATGCTGCCTGGGCCGCAATAGGCTCTTCTCTACGACAGCGCAGCGTGCTGAACAAAGCCAAAATGTTCCCTTTCCACCGAGCGCAGGGTATAGCCGACTCACGAACCGCGGATTGATTTCCATCACCGGTACTGACAGCACAACCTTCCTCCAGGGTCTAATGACCCAGAACATGCTAGTAGCCAATGACCCGAAAAAAAGCATCCGGCGCACAGGAGCATACACCGCATTCCTCAACTCGCAGGGCCGCGTCCTCAACGATGCCTTCATTTACCCACTCCCCGGCGCAGAGGCTCAAGGCACCGAATCCGGCTGGCTGGTGGAAGTAGACAAGGCCCAAGTGCCCGTCTTGCTGAAGCATCTCAAGAAACACAAATTGCGCGCGAAGCTCAAGCTGCGCGCTCTCGAGGAAGGCGAGCGCACAATTTGGTCTTCCTGGAAGAACCACGCAGAGCCGCAACGGTGGGCTGCGTACAGTCTGGAATCTGAATCCCCATCGCCCTTCTCCCCCACTTCGGAAATCGCCGGTTGCATTGATACCCGTGCTCCGGGTTTCGGATCCCGCATTATCACACCCGGCTCCGACGGTCTGCGAGCCCATCTCCCCGATGAAGCACAGGTGCCCGGGCTCGAGGTCCAGCTGGACTCGTACACCGTGCGTCGCATTCTGCACGGTGTTGCCGAGGGCCAGGCGGAGGTTATCAGTGGATCGGCTCTGCCATTGCAGTGCAATATGGACATGGCTCGCGGTATTGATTTCCGTAAGGGATGTTATGTCGGGCAGGAGTTGACGATCCGTACGCACCACCGTGGCGTTACGCGGAAACGTCTTCTGCCCGTTCAGCTATATGATTTGAGTCAGGAGCAAAATGCGCCGGAAACCCTGACATATGATCCATCTGTGCAGTTTGCTTTGCCCGCCGGTGAATCGGATATCGTTAAGGCTGGAGCTGCTACGCGCCGAAACCGCAGTGCAGGAACATTTCTTAATGGCATTGGCAATATTGGTCTTGCGTTGTGCCGACTCGAGGTTATGACTGATGTTGCGCTCATGGGCGAGGCCCCTGCTAGTCCTTATGAGCACCACTTCAAGTTGTCCTGGGGGGCTGATGTTGAGCAGCCTGCTGAGGTCGGCGTACGTGCTTTTGTGCCACCTTGGCTTCGGGATTTCATTTCTGGTGACAAGGAGGCGAAACCCGTTTCACGTAACCTTCAAGCAGAGGGTGAGAGAGCACGGGAATTCGTCGAGGAATTAGAGGAAGAGGAAGCCGAAGCACACCGAAACTAAGATGCCTGGGTGTCTACCTAGGTAGGTCATCACCACACATGTATAATACAACACAACTCAACATGATATGATGTAAATAGCTATGTATCTCTATTCAACTCAACATTGCGTATATAATGTGCCTTGGGGTATCTCTTTTATCTAAGTACAATGGTAGAATCAGGCTGAACGTGTTCAAAAATGCAAACATAACGTAGGGCGCGGTGAAGACTGGAGACTAGATGCCCTTGGCGGCCGCTTCTGCCGCTGCTTCTGCTGCATCCGCGGCCTCGTCTTCTCGTGCCAGCTCTTCCTCGAGCGCTTTGCGCTCCTTCTCGCGTTGCGCATTTTTTAATCTCATCATCATCAATTCCTGCATATTAGGCGCGCCTGGGGCCTTGGCGGATGGATTGAATGAAGATGCTTTCGGTGCAGCTGCTGCGGCAGATGCGGAAGCGAAGGAGCCAAATGATGGCGTGTTAGCGGATCGAGGAGCTGAGTTTAGCCCCGGGAAGTTGAAGGAAGGCTTAGCAGACCCATTAGTAGTCTTAGTGGAGGGAATCGACGGTGTAGGCGCGGTCTCAGATTCCACAGGTTTGGGGGATGTAACAGGGTCTGGAGCAGCATTGCTGCTTGTGCCCAGACCAATATCAGGTTGGGTGCCTGTGGCCCAGAAGACAGACTCGATAAGACCCCATTCCCCATCCTGGCCAGCATGTTGACGCAGTTTCTTCTCACTATCAAGAACAGCAGCGTGAGCGCTCACAATAGACGTGAACACAACCACGCCCGTCGCAACAGTCTTCTTCTCCTTCTTCTCCCCGATCCGTTGACGTTTATCTTTGAGCGCAAAGGTATTCTCAATCTTCCCAAACGGCTTGAACAGTACCGCCAGTCGCTCAATATCAAGTTCCAGCCCACGCCCCTCCCGCACCCAGCGCACTTTCACCGCACGCTCAAGTTCAGGAATCTCCGCGCCACCGCCCTCCTTCGACCGGTCCACGCGCTGAGCGGTGTGGTCGGCCGCCTTGCGAGCCTCCTCTTCCTCCTGCTGCATCTTCTTCTGTTCCTCATCAAGCTCTTTCTTGAGTTTATCCTCGGCCTCGCGGCGTCTCCGCCGACCGTCCTCCGCAATTCGATCAATCTCGCGCTGCAGCTTCTCCTCGGCATCGTCATCGCCACCAGCCGCCCATGCCCTCTTGACGCCCTGCTTCATGCTGACACCACCCATTTCAGCGGCGCCAGCCCTCTCCCGCGCTTCTAGGTCTTCGCGCATCTTCCGTTTCGCGGCGCCCATCATCTCCCGCTCGCGCTGTTTGCGCTGCCGGGCTTCCCGCGCATTGTCGTAGAGCTGGCGCACTGTTGGGTCTGAAAGAACATCGTAGGCAATCTGGAGGAAGTGGAACTTGTCGATGTCTGCTGCCGTCGGGTTTGCGATCTTGTCTGGGTGGTACTTCAGTGCCGTGCGTCGATATGCGCGGCGGATCTCAGATTCAGTGGAGGATGGTGGAATATCGAGGAGAGCGTAGAAATCTTGGTTTGAGGCGGCGTGCGCCTTGAGGTCGTCGTTTGACATGTTGGTGGTTTATGCGACTAGCTGTCACTGGGAGTTTTGCGGGGAGGTATTGGAGGGGTTGGGATTGAGATATTTGAGTTCGTGATTGCTGAATGGGATGGAAGGGTATTCCAGGACGCAGTGATATTCCCGAAGAGCAAATATCTTTGATTTCGCGCTCTAGAAAGTAAGGTGTTGTTGTTGAGTTGGAAATTTGGAGGTTCGAGTTCAGAGCTTTGGGCGGTGGGTCTTGCACGCCTCAGGCGGCCAACTGGTGTACTATGAGAACCTCAGCTTGGAGATCAAAAAGCATCACGAAGTCTGTTATTCAAGAAATTAAAATAGCTGAATAAATTCTTCAATATTTTTGAATCTTTCTAAATCCCATTCATAGGATTAGAATACAATGTTTTGTGTTCAATTGCAAAGATATATATTGCGTAGGTACACATTCATCCGCCAAAAGCCCAGAAGTTTCATCTTCCTTTTGCATCCAATCCTGAGTTTCATCCCTAGTCATGGTCAATCTAGATCCATTGGGAATATGGCATCTATTGTATCTTCCAATGGTGTTACTGCTCCTACCAAGCTTCAACTAGCCCTAGCATTGGCTGTTGTCAAGCAGAAACCACCAGACACAGACATTCAAGGTAAAACGAGCATCCTCTCCCTACAACCTTAAGCCGTTCAATGATTGATTATACATCCTAGACTACATTTTAGAGCTCCGACAGTGCATCAAAAGAGGCAAGAACTGGAGCGATGTTATTGAGACCGAGAAATTCCTCGACAGCGTCTCCTTCTGGCAACAAGCGTACGAGCGGTCTGAGGCAAGACAGAGCGAACTGCGAGATCAAATGCATGAGCTCAAGCAGCGCAATGAAGCTCTGCTTATCAAGTTGCGAGGTCAAGACGGGTCCTTACCAGTGAACAAACGCAAGGCGTCTACCACTGGCAAAGACTCGAATAGCACAGATGTCGCCAGGACCCGCGCAAGGCCATCGAAGACTACACCGAAAACTATCACATTGAAAAAGAATGATACCGATGATCCTGAAGAAGAAGGTACTCATTTCTCCCTTTGTTGACCAACCATGATATCTGACACTGTGATAGCTTTATGTCTCAATAGACAGTTGCATACCCTCGAAAAAGCCCTTCAAGGGCGACAAACCAGCAGCTCTGTGGCCAACTCGCTGGCTATAGATGCAGTGACTCTTTGCAAGTGTGCAGAACAAAAGCTGATCCAAACCATTTCGACGGAACAAAAAACCTCTCAAATTAAACTGGTCAAGACACCGGATCCAGACGCTGTCATTAAAGGAGTGGCAGTGACTTTTCATCTCGTGCACAAAACGTTGCACAAACTGACTAGCAACAAAAATGGTATGCAATACAAAGCCCAGATCACCTACTACCTGGTCGTTCTATTCGAATCAACCATGACTGCGCTCGCTCTTCATTGCACTTCAATATCCAAACAGGAGTCAAAGACAAGAAAGACAACGACCGATAAAACCCAAGAGTCTACACAAGGAGACAAAAACGCCAAACAGAAGACGTCATCCACCAAGAATGAGGTGGCATCTCAACTCGCAGATTTACTCTGCACAATGGCGCTCTCCCTTGATCTAACGCGCACCGAAGATCAAGATGTAATGGAGGGGATCCTCTTCCTTCTCCTCACTCGCATGGGAAGAATGCTAGCTCTGCACGTTTTCCATGATCTGCGACTGCCAATGGGTATCTGTCCCGGGATGACGTTTCCCGAAGGATTGGAGGCAATGACAGACGAGGGTATCATGCCGAATGAGGCAGAAGTTGAAGCCAAATATCTCGTCCGACTTCTGGACAGGATTCTGAATGTTGAACTCTCTCAATCAGCAGCCGAGAAACTGATTGCTCGCAAGCTTATCGCAGATGCCAAAGATCGTCTACAGAAGACGCTTCTTCGGGCGGTTTTCGGAGCTGATGAAGATTTGTTTCGGGAAGGCATGCGGCATTTGCAGACTCCACCTCCTCAAGTGCCTGAAGATGAACAGGCGAGAGAGGAGAAGTTTGCGGATTGGCTTACTCAAGAGGTATGGCGAATTGTGGGCTGGGACGTGTTGAGGGCTGCATTTGGTCCAACCTAGCCCCAGGAGTTATAGAATTCGTCATGATGCTGAATACTTGCTACTTCACTTTTATTCTGCATGTGTTCCTCATTTCTGCTTCATATATCAACTTTTCTTGATTTATTTATATGCATGCTTATACCCATCAACCAGGATGGAGATAGCAAAGAGATAGCTTAGGGTATGCACTTATTCCAGCTTCAGAACACGAGCAGCATTGCCACCCAAAATGGCAGCCACGGCCTCTTTCTCACCCTCGAAAGTTTCATCAATAGCCTTATAGTTGGTCGTAACGCTGATCCATTCCTTTTCGCCCTCATTCAGAGGCGGGAAGAACGGGTGATCAGTACCTGTGAGGACATATTAGTCGGATATAATCCCAATTCTACGATCGACAGAACTAAAGACTTACCAAACATCAGACGGTCAGTACCTCCACCAGCAGCAACAGCAGCCTTAAGTCCAGCCTCTCCATAAACGACAGCGTCAAGGAAGATATTCGTCTTCAGAACCTCCCAAACACTCCTCTGCGGTCCAGGAACATCCCCACCATGCTCGACAAACTTCCGTTCATGCAAAATACAACTCTCAATGCGTCCCGCCAAGAAAGGCAAAGTGCCACCCGAATGCGCCAGCAAGATCTGCAGTCCCGGGAACTTATCGAAAACACGGGACAGCAGCATGCGAGTCACGGCAATGGTAGTCTCAAGCGGGAAACCCAGAGCAAGAGGAAGAACATGACCATAGCGCTTCGTTACTTCAGGACCACCAAAAGCCTCATCCGGCAGACCGTAGTGAGGGTGCAAGAAGAGAAGGAGTTGCGTTTCCTCCAGAGCCGCCCAAACAGGACCGAGCTTCTCATCATCGAGACCATTGCCCAGTCCCGAGGTGCCCATAATCACGCCACGGATGTGGGGCAGGGTCTTGAGTCGCTTGATCTCGTTAACGATGATATCAGGGCTGGGTGCGCTCAGCGGCAAAGTCGCAAATGCAAACAACGTCGACCTGCCCTTCAGAGGAAGACCGTCGGTGGGCTTATTGTTCTGAGCACAGGTTTCCTCTAGATCATCGTTAATGCGCTCAGCCCATTGCTGGGCTTCGGCGGGCTCGAGGAAGTCCAGCCAAGGATTGGCGAGTGAGATCACGCTGCAGTCAATGCCGTGCTGTTGCATGAAGCTGATCTTGACATTGATGTCGGAGTAGGAGGTGTCGACGGGACGGCCACGCTCGTCGATTGGAATTGATGGGTCATCATCTGATGAGAGGATGATCAAGCGTGGTTCTCCACTTGCAGGATCGTGGACGTAGGGGACTGTTTTGCGAGCACGGAGCATCGCCATGTACGATGGAGGGTACACATGGGTGTGAACGTCGACTACTAGTGGACGAGACATTTTGGGGGATTATGCGAAATGGAATTGGAGAGAAAAGAAGAAAAGAAACATGCACAGGGGGTATATTGACACCCAAGTGAGGGGAGAGAAGATAAGGAAGGAAGCGGGGGGGTATTTCCCCTCTTCGGGACAATGCGATCCCAGTCTCTCGTCGATAAGTCTGGAGATAGCTCGTCTTTGCGTCGGATCTTACGTATTTGCTTCTGAATTAATTGGGGGCTAATTGGTTCACGGATACGGCTTCTCATTAGACCTGCCAAGGCTCTCGAGTCTCCACGACTACGTTATAACTTATATCCCATTTCGTACAAGGGCATCCATTATACTACATACATGTATGTAGCAATCCTCCCAGATGCATGGATCCCTCGGTAGGTCTCATTAATCCATTTATATCGTGAATTGCGTTCTCACTGCGTGTCATATTCAGCAACCACACCTAAATCGTAAACAGTATCCATCGAAATTGCGCTTACCCTTCCAAACGCAGATTACCAAGGACGAGGGCTGCCAGCGAGGGTGATAGGCTTCACATTGGTGAATTTAGGGATATCGGCAAACACCTCGGAGGCACTGGGGCCCTGCGTAGCAGCCTTCATAGCATCTTCACTCTCCCAATCGAGGATAGCCATGATCAGATATTGAGGGCGCTGGCCGGCGAGGTCAGCGGAAAACCTGGCGACGCGCGCATTGGTCAAGCCCTGGCTTTTCCAGACGCGATCAACAAGTGGCATGTGCGTCCTGAGATAGTAATCTTCATCGAACGTGATGCCATCCTCGTTGGGGTACAGAATGGTAACGGTATACATTATGGCGGAGGAAGGGACTCGAGAGAAATTGATATCCACCTAGCGTCTTGTCTGGGAGATGTCAAAAGGAAGAGATGAGCTGGAACGTGGGTTGAGATCATCGTCTTATTAATAGTCCGGTGCGGGGCTTCCTGGGCAACTTGACCCTCCGAGGCGGAGGGTTGAGTGCTTTACTCGATTGCCGAGGATGCCCAGAACTAGGTCTATGCTTAGTGGTTTGATTGCTACAAGAACGTTTATGGACGGAAATATGTCTTCATATCAGCACTGGGGGGCCTTGGGGGCCTACAACATAAGTCCCAAGGGCGGATATCATCTCCGGGACACCATTGTCCGAGCCAGACGTGTATTTCGTATCGCACAGAATGGCCCACATTCACAGTGGGACACGGGCGTTCAGGTTTCGGCCCAAGTCATGCCCACAATGGGCATTTTGTGCAATGTGCACCGTGAGGATATTTGATTACGGTATCAGGGACAAAAGCAGTATGTGACATGCAACACTATAGGCTGCAGACACGGGCTCTGGATGACAGCAGATAAAAATCGCGGCATCTCGCATAGATCATGCAATATATCGGTTCTGGTTGATTCATCAAAGAACTCCTGTTGATCCTGCGGGGGGAATCCGCGATGCGTTGGCCGTTGGGGAAATGTGAAAATTGGAGATTCCCGGGCATGTCAAAACCATTGCCAGCGACGCAATTTTCACGCTCAACTCTTTAGCGGCGCGGACAAAGTGAGTATCTTGATTACCAGTAAGTGCGAGGCCGAGATGGAGTCGATCCTCGAGCTGAAGATACTGGCTAGTGACGAAGATTTCGCCTACTGTCGATCTGAAGGGAATACGGCCAGCAAAGGATTCTCCTTTGCAAGTGGGGTCGGTACCGAAGAGAACTGATCACTCATGATGTGAGTAGAATGATGACTCGTTATTGAGTATGTGGCAAGTCACGGATCCAAATCGACAACGTCTATACAGGCTATCTGATCGACGACCTGTGGGCATAGATGAGATCTTCCCGGCTTATGCTGAGTAGCTTCTTAATTCTGATTTTGCGGATGTCAAGTCCCCTACTCGAGTTAGTTTTCTCACCATTGATAGCTATATGTGAGCAACGTATGTCGTGATGTTCTGTTCCAAATTGTATGTCCGGGGAAGACACTCTCCACGCTGACAGTGCACGGACCATTGTGGGCAGCAGAGACTCGAGAGGTCGATCTGCGCAGCGTTCATGTCCTCGACATTCAGACATTCCGGCATTCAGACACAGGGAATCTGATAGGATGTACGAAGGAAATGTCAACGAGTACAGTCAAGAACAAACCGAATGAATGTCAACATCTTATCTGACGGCTTATCTGCGCGCTTATCTGGTGAAGTATGCCGCTGACCTATGATCGTCTGCGTTCAATTTCCCCTCTTCTGCGAATCCTTCGTTTATAGTGATAAATTAGTGAGTCCGTTCTCATGGTTCTAAGCTTTCCCCTCCCCCGTCCATACAGTAATCCCAGTGCACATCATCCATCCCCTGGAATCATCTCTACAATGGCCTCTAACCCTCCCCAAGAGTTTCAACCTGCGTCTACTGGAGTGGACAAGGACGATTTGAAGATACCGGTATGCCCCGCTACCGGTGGTTGTCAAGCCGTGGCTAATTCGTGTCTGCTGTAGCTGATCGACTTTGGCCCCTTCTTCACAGGAACCCCATCTGATAAACATGCCGTTGCTCTCGCTATAACGGAAGCATTTAAAACATCGGGCTTCGTCTACCTCAAGTCCCATGGTATCCCTCCCTCCGTGGTATCTGATGTATTTGGCTCATCTTCCCGATTCTTCGCTCGGCCCCAGAGCGAGAAGGATGGTCTGGGCTGGACGACCCCACAGTCCAACCGTGGTTACGTCGCCATCGGACGGGAGAAGTTAACCACCGTGGACGAGACGGATGGCGTCGATAACTTGCGTGCGTCGGCTCCGGATATCAAGGAGACCATGGAACTTGGTCGCGAGGGAGTGGAGGGTCTGCCCAACCGCTGGCCCGATCATCTCGATGACGAAGGAAAGGACTTCAAGAAGACTATGCTGTCATTCTTTGAAATGGGCAAAAACCTACACAAGCATATTATGCAGGCCATTGCGTTGGGAATGAACTTGCCGGAGCACTTCTTTGACGACTTTGTGAGTGAGGGAGACAATACCCTCCGTCTTCTCCACTATCCAGCTGTCAGCAAAGAGGTATTCCAAAAGAACCCTAACCAGGTCCGTGCCGGTGAGCACAGTGATTACGGCTCGATCACTCTGCTGTTCCAGGATCGACTTGGTGGACTGCAAGTGCGCAGCCCGAAAGGAACCTTTGTGAATGCGACTCCCATCGCTGATACCATTGTTGTCAATGCCGGAGACCTGCTCGCTCGTTGGTCCAATGATACCATTAAGAGCACCCGCCATCGGGTAATTCAACCGCCGATGCCCGCAAATGAGGCAGAGAATGATCCTTCAGGAGATTACCCTGCTCGTTATAGTGTGGCGTATTTCTGTAACCCGAATAACAACCAGGTCATTGAGGCACTACCGGGAACTTATGGCAACGATAGCCACGTGGAGAAGAAATATCCGGAGATTCTTGCGAGCGAATATCTCGTCCAGCGATTGACAGCCACTTACTGAAATGTCAAACCCGGACTTTGGGGTTCTCTGGTCTGAGACGGCCAGGAGGCTGCCCTCCCATTTTGTTGGCTTGTCACTTGTGAGATTTTGAACATTCATATCTGTGATTTATGCAGTTTAAACATGTGTATATTTATCGGAGCTCAAACTTCTCCAGCCTATTTATCCGGAGTCTACCTCTAGCCCAACCGAAAACACCACTCAATAGACAGCAGGAAGTACAGAAATCCGGCCCCCATCAGTAACCAAAATATTACCATTGATGTAACCCCCCGAGTTACTCGCCAGCCAAACAATCAACCCGGCGATATCCTCCTCACCACCACCCCGAGTAGCAGGAATCATCTCATTGGGGAACGAGCCATCAGAGATCGCCCGACCATGAATGCCAGCGCCCTGGAAGATATGATTCGCCATATCAGAATAGTACAGACCAGGCGCGAGGCCATTAACCCGAATACTATAATGAGCAAACGCAGTAGAAAGCATCTTCACCAAATGCGTCGTAGCCGCCTTGGAGGAGTTATACGCAAAACTAAACGGCACCTTGCGAATATAACCCGCAACCGAGCTGGTAATGATCACCTGCGCAGTCGGAGCCGCGAGGACATTCTCCTGCGCCGCAGGACGTCTCTTGTTCGCCGCTTCGAGCAGAGGCAGGAATGCTAGCACCGTGTAGTATGACCCCGTGACATTAACGTTCATCACGTTATTGAATTCCTCCATGGGGATGTTGAACAGCTCTTCCCGTACCTCGGACAGCGATGGCATGGACCCGTCTTCGGCGGGCTGCGGGAGCTTCATGGGTGGCCCCATGATGCCGCTGTTAGCGATGAGCAGGTCGACGTGGGTTGTCTGACCCGCGACAGCCTTGTATGCCGCTTCGAGGGATTCTTTTGAGGTGATATCGCATTGGATGGGGATTACGGTGCCGTTGATGGCTTGCGAGGCGGTTTCTTGGAGGGCGTCCTCGCGGCGGCCGAGAATGAAAATTTTAGAAACTTCATTGGCGTCGAGGGCTTTGGTCATGATGCGTCCGAGGCCTTGTCATTGGGGTTGAGTTAGCTCTGTGTAGTGCCTACCTCGGTAAATCCATGGGTGTATCCGATGCGATGGGGGTTTTATTTGGTTCTTACCACTTCCGCCGCCGGTGATCACGACCACCCGGTCCTTGACTGAGAATAGATTTGAGGCTTGGAGATGGGCCATGTTGATCATTGGGTTTGTAGATTGGAGGTGGAAGAGAGAGACAAGAAGAACAGGGAAGATGAGCCTCTCCCCCACGCCCTCGTTATTCCCCCCACTTTGGATCGTCGCTGCCGATCAAGTCTCCAGCGCGGAATCATTCCGTTCTCTTTTCCAGTTGCTTCACGAACCTTGCAATATTTCGACGGTCGATGATATTGGTGAAATCCCAGGATATAGGCTCATTGCACTCAGTCAATAACAGTACTTCCTGAAACTCACCGTAAGGGGGCTGACAGGGATCTCGCCGACTGCCGGACATCGTTGCAGGTCAGCAGAGACGCGATTAGTTCAGGGACGGGAAACGATCTTTATTGCTTGAATACGAGGCTCAAATATTTCGGCTAGTTGCTTTGAATGAACATGAGTTTGCTCAAGCCATGCCCTGACATCTCCAATCTCATGCTGAGTCTATCCCTTGATCCGGCCTCCTCATACGATAGCTCCCCGGGCTAGATTCAAATCTAAGGGGTTCCCAGCAATCTGATCAGTCCACTGGAGACTCGAGGATGTTTGAGCAGGTACTCCGTAGAAGGCGATGCATACCATGAATCACGATCCGGGTTGCAGCCTTGGGCCAGAAAGGGTTGTCCCTATGGTGCATTGCATACATGTCTACGGAGTATTGTGTGATCACAATGATAGCGCGAGGATAACGAATAAGCCAGTATACATGTTCTGCCAAGTCTCAAGTACAGATCCAATCTCAAGACACTACTATTGAAACTCAGGAGCGAATTGGCCAGATTTTCAAACCACTGCATTGAGTATGTGATATATCAGACGTACCTGTATGTACGGGCGACTAAGTATGCCGCGCGAGACATAACCCTCTCATTGGATAATATCGCCCGGCAGTATTCTTTTCATCCAAAAGTCATACCTTCCAAGGTTCCCTCCAGGGCTGGAATGCCTCATTTTGCAGGGTTTATACCTTAATATGCCTGGATTCTGCCTTAGTTTAAACTTTAGACTGGCATTAATCAAAATACCCGAATTAAGGGCTGTGATAGAGGGCTTAATAAGAAGGTATTAAAGTTCAATTGAATAAAGCTATTCCTACATATGCGCTATGTAAATCCCCGTATACACCTATTTCTCGGTTGTAATCGTCCCCCTCTCCTCTCCCCCTCTCTTCTCCCTCTCTCTTATTGGCAAAGAAAAGATGCCGGAGCAAGAGATCGGCATACCGGAAGTTTAGTTCATCCTATATACGTAGTACTGTACGTAGTATTTATGATCTTAGTCAGAAAGTCATATTTCCTGCTAGCATACGGAGTAGTGGAGACAGAAATACAGAGATTTCAACAATCATTAATTGGACCCCTATTATACTGAATACCACGTCAGTTGACAAAAGAACTATGCTCGGAGACTCCGGGTGCGTCTAGCCTCCGGAGGTGTACGGAGTAAGATACCCCGATTTGAAAAAGAGAGATAATTTTATTTTTATACGGTACAAGATCAATGAATAGTCACACCATTACCGGGTATATAGGCATAGAAATAAAAGAGAAATTGAAATTAGCATACAGGCTTCGAGAGTGCGGTGAAAAGGCGGTAGGGTAATATCCAATGAGAGGGTTATGTGCCGCGAGGCATACTTAGTCGCCCGTATGTAGGTTGTCAAAAGACACTGTGAAGCCACATTGATGCAGGTCTTGATTGCTTTCACGCGTAAGGCATGATTTGCTCTCATGCCCGGCTAAAAATTCCATCCATATACTTCTAATCAAGGGTCGAATGAATGTACTCACTACATACATATGTACTCCGTACCTCACGAATAGATGCAGCAGCACTCCGGCATGAGGACAACAAGGGGCAAGGAACCACAGTCAGAGATTTTATGCAATCTTAATTTCTTATATGGCTGCCTGGAGACGGCAAAGTGATATAAAAAGCAAGAAAATACGCCAACATAGTTCGTTGAGTCAACGGGGAATCCCTTTCGCTTGTTCTGAATCTGATAGATAAACGCCTCTCGAGGACGTCATATCCTTGGAAGCCTTCTTCCCCTTTCTTCCTCCCTCAACTCCCAAAGCTCCTCCTTACGCACCCCAGTAAGTAAATTCTCCAAACAAAACTGCAAGACCGCATACTAACTCTCCAGTCATGCCTCAATGGATTGGATCCCTGACCAGCCAGAACGATCATTCTCTGGCTGGTGTATTCATGATCAAAGGCGAGCCGTGGGTATTCGAGAACCCTCGCGGCCAAACCGCGGCACCGTTTCAACGCGCCCCTGCAGTCGTGAATATTCCCTGGAAGGAGGTTGGAAGTATCCGGCGCTCCCTGCAGACCCGTGAGCCATTCACGGCGACTGTCATTGGATCTACCATGGAGATTGCGTGGTCTAATGGTGTGAGAATCACTGCCAATGTTCCCCATTGCAATACCTATGGATTCTTCTCGGGCGAGGGTGGCTGGCGGACGCAGTGACGCGCAAAGTCTGGTGTTTCCAAGTGCCTTCCTATGGCTCTGGCTTTTTCATTCCCAGTTATATGGCCAGTTGTATACTTGGCCAGATATTACAGCTTTAAAAGGGGACCTGGACTGGAAAGTTGGCCTGATTGTGAACTCAGTAAAGGAGAAGCAAATCTGGTTTTATGTCTGCAGCTTTGTAATTATTTTCTTTAATATATTGTTTCTGATGAAGAGTCTCTCATTGTCTCGATAGTTCAACTGAGTTTGATCAGCCTGGCACTCCCCCTTGTTTCTCCAATGGCTTTCCGGCGTCGCCCGGCCGGATTCGATTTCCACACCCCAAAGATGTCTTTGATTGCTCGTTTAGTCTGCTCAGGTCCGTGGAAGAGGAAGCTTCCCTCGACGTCATCTGTTGCCGACATGTCCGGATCCATTATACTGATGTGAATAGTAGCATTCGACAACTACTCGATCAGCCAAGTGCGCAAGAGATGTCCCATTGACAAGACTAAATGACCAATAAAAGTTTCCTGCGATTGAACTTTGCCATCCCCGTGTGGCCATTTTCCTGTTCGGAAATGGATTCCGTGCAAAGCTACCGATATGTTAGCCCTGAGGAAGACGCCTGCAGCCGCCACTGTGCGATTTCCCTACACTGGGAGAATAGAACCGCTATTCTGGGCCGATGATCATTTCGACGCTGATGATATTTGGCTGATGGAATTCCATATTTACTTTACTCAAGATCCGTGCCTATCCGAGAGCTTTTGATCGATTTAAACGAGTCCTATGCTTTAGAGTGCAGTGATCAAGAAACTGTCTCTATACTGGAAGAAAAAGAAATTGGAATTTGAAATCAAACAGCAATGTCTTTGAAGACCGTCGTCCTAGTGAGCTTATTGGGCGCATTCCCTTTCGTGGAGGCCTCCCCTAAGAAGCACAACAACGCAGCAACAACCAAGGTATCGCCGTCGGAATATGCAGCAAATGTATCGGCTTCAGCACCCACGCTTCGAACATTCAATAGCTCGCAGCTGCATACACCTTTCACCGGAACGCCAACTACCACCGGTGCTCTGACGGCATCTTCCATCGGAACGGGAATCTCTAGGCTAGGTGTTGCGCCTGGAGCGACAAGCTATCCTGCTGATGGAAGGCTTCATTCTGCCGAGCCTGCTCCCTATGTCCCGGCAGGTGGCGTCGGGACAAACGGAAGTGAACCTGTCTACAATACGAAGAGCGATTTCGACTACGAATCATTGGTAGGCCACTTAAAACCAATTGGATATTCAATGCTGCGGCTCGAAAGCTGACTGAAAATCAAATAGTCTCTCGCTTTATACCAGGAATGGATCGAGCTTGACCTTTTCCAGGACGGGCTTAGACGCTTCAGCGAGTCGGACTTCCAAGCTGCGGGTCTTACATCTGCAGACCGTCAGTTGATTGCCTTCATGGCGCAGCAGGAGATAGGTCATGTCACAATGCTCAGCAACATCTTGGGATCCTATGCTCCACAGCAATGTTCCTATATATTCCCGTACACAAATGTCCGAGAATTTATCGACTTCTGCCAGAAGCTTACTCGCTTTGGCGAAGCTGGCGTGTACGGGTTCTTGGCTCACCTTGACTCGCGCGAGGCGGCCACTCTGTTAACCCAGGCTATTACTACGGAGGCACGCCAGCAACTGATCTTCCGCCAGTTTGAGAGGCTTTTCCCGATGGTTGAGTGGTTTGAAGTCGGCATACCCCAATCATGGGCATGGACACTGTTGGCACCTTTCATCAGTTCTTGTCCGGACAATCAGACCCGCTTGGTTTGGCAGAATTTCCCTGCGCTGATGGTTGTCAATCAACCTAATCCTTGGAATGGAGGATCTGCTGCTGCGAATTCAACCTCGCGGTGGAATCAGACTTCTGCGTCGAATTACACATCAAGTATTGACCGAACTGCCAATTTCACTCAAGCTGCAGGATACAGCTTCAACCAAAGCACTGGGGCCAACGGAACAGTCGGACCGGGTGTCAGTATCCCCAAGTCACCAAAAAATTCAATGCCACTACGGCGGGCTCCAGCTCCGGTGTGTCTGTCAGCAATATTCGCCCAACACCTCTCACATCCCCAGGTCGTCAGGTGTTATTGCAGTGGGACCTTCCGGGAAAGAATGTCGGTCCCAATAACAGCTACATCACCTCGACCGAGGCAGACGCTGGTAGCGCGAGGTATGTTGCCTGGGTTTCGCAGCTCAACATCACCTACACGCCTCTGCGCATTGTCAATGGTCTCAATGTCACCAATGGCACCACTACCACTAATAGTACTACCAACAGTACTTTGAATGGCATTCGAGGCTACACCACCCAGCCTAACTTCGAAACCTACCAGGGCAACCCGGCTGTCAATGGAACAATGTTTATTGCCATAACAGACAGTGACCCGTTCCTGAGTCCGTTCAATTTGAGCTTGATCAACCGGCATGTGATTGCCGGTCCGGCCTTGTATCAGGCTGGTTGAATTTGTTATCAATGGTTGGTGTACTGAGAGTCGAGGATGGGTATGCAGAGAATGAGTAAAAGTTTTTGATTTTCAGAACTCCAAATAAGGTCACTAGTCTTAGCTCGAGAAATGTAGATGTAAATCCAAATCTCGTAGCCACTGGTACCTTGCGCCGATCCTCTTAACTCCGGTGGATAGGGCTTATCGCCGAGCCCTCAACCTCAATTCTCCACGTCAGTGTTTGTTCACCTTTTTTTGTGTCCCTTCGTTATTCCACAACCACCACTCCACACAAAATGGAAGCAAGAAATCGCAAGCAGCGCCGTGCGGCAGCTGCGTCATCGTCGAAAAACGACGAACCCGCGATTCCCATGGCCCATCCCCAACGCAATGATCCGACTAAAAACAAATCGACCGTCGAGCGCACACTATATGACATCATCGCAGAGCGACAAAACGGACTCAATCCAAAAGGGGGATCTATTCCAGCCTCAGTGGAAGCACAGGGCATACCGGAACAGCCAGCGGGAACCCGATTCATGACCGTCGATGCCTCAGGGGAATTGGTCGACACCGACGGCGACATCAGCAGCCATCTTTCAAATTACCCAAAGAAGAAGACTACAGGAGCCAAGGCATCCAAGAAGACCAAAGAAGCAAAAGAATCCGATTCTGAACCCGAAGTGGACAAACCTCTGCCACCATTCCTCGACACAGTTCTCCTCTCCCTGCCTCTCACAACTCTCCACCTCACCCTGAGCTATCTCGCAGCCCACCAATACGCCGAAAGCATCGATCTACCCAAACTCCTCAAGGAATCTGTGACCATCGCATTCCCGATCCTCACTCTCATCGTCCACCTCGCCCACGGCCACATCATCACCTTCAACAAGCGCGGCTCGAAGAATGCAAACACAGACTCTTCTCTTTATCTGTTCCCGTTGACAAGCGACAAACTCACCTTCTCATTCCTGCGCAGACTGATCTTCCCGCCCGCGCTGCGAACTCTGGTTTTTCTTCCTGTTGCTGCGCTGCTGGGGGCGCATCTGATCGCTATCACGAATGGCGAGCCGTATTACGCTGTCATGAAGAAAGCACCCTCCGTTGGAACGATATGGATCTGGTGTATCCTGGAGTTGCCATTTGGGGCGGCTGTACTTGGAGCGTTGGGGCCTTTAGTTTGGGGAGTTTGGTGGATGGGATATGGCATTATGTGAGCTTGCGGGTGGATCATATCGTTTGCAAAGAATAGTTGAGAGGCGAGGATAGACTTGGACAAAGTCTACGGCGCAGCCCGGAGGGCTTTGGGCCTGAACATCCGGCGCGTATGTGCGCTCTGCTAGCCGGTGATGTGCCCGTTCTCGTTAGTGCTAAATAATACCCCGTGTTTATCCATCAATCTTAGGAGATCCCTCCCAGTGCTGAATGGGTCTATTTAGGTACAATAGTGATGTTTGAGTCTCGATAATCTACTGGGAATTCCCCGGGCATTACCTACAGCATAGCTAATTGTAGACCTTGTAAGCACAACCCCTTATCACGCACCTCAATATCTAATTAGCAACGTACCGAGGTACCTATCGGCCTACGTAGATACACGATTCAAAGGTGTATTGCCCTGGCCAACGCCATGAATCGAGTTAAGGTGGCCGGGAACGCCCGGGCGGGTTCGCTTATTCATACCTCCTCCCAATGGACACCGAGGCCGGCCCGCAACCTTCTTCGAAGCCCGAACATGCGGTCATCCAAGTCCACCCATCCAACAAGAAACAGGAAACAAATTAGCCGCGCATTCGTGGCACTTGGCAGAGTGATATGCAAGGGAGGTGGGGCACGAACGCCCGATCGATCCGAGCGAAGCGATCAAACCACGTTATTGGCCAATATGTCAGCTCGGTTTTTCGAGAGCCCGAAGCGCTCTTTGTTAAGACCGACTCGCGAGGACCATGTAAATTGATGTGTCATAGCGGATCATTTCTTTCACGCAACAAAGAAAATGGCCTGGCGTAGAAATGGTACAAAACCGAGGTGACCGTCTGTTCATTCGCCATCAATGCCATTGAAAGCAATCATGGAAACCGTTCTTATCGTCGGAGCTACTGGAAACATCGGCGTCTCAGCCGTCATGGCCGCCTTGCGCTCTAAGCGTAACGTCCTGGCCGTTGTCCGCAACAAGAACTCGGCAGACAAGCTCGTGAAATACATTGGGTCTGCGGCGGGAATCACTTTCGCTGAAGCGGATGGTACCTCAGACTCCGGGGTCAAGGGTGTTGTTGATCAAGTCCGTGCAGGAAAGCTTCCGGCTTTCCAGCATGTCTTTTCCAGCTGTGAGTTTCTCCGATCCGGTAGATAATCCTCACTACTGACATATTCACCTAGTTGGTGGCGAATACGCCGAAACTCCCCTCCAGGAGATCACCACCGAGCAGCTGCGTCGCAACATGAACGCCTCCTTCGAGGCTAATTTTTGTAAGACATTTGAATCCGTATCACCTTGGAGATTTTCTGATAATTCTACAGTCGCCTATCGGGATACCATTGGCTATCTGCTGGAGCAGAATAACCCCGAGAGCACCTGGACGATTTGTACGGGGGCGCAGGGCGATCTAGCTTTGCGCCCAGTACCGGCCATGACGCAGGGTGCCTTGTTCTCCTTCGCTACGGCCGCTGCTCGTGAGAACGAGGCTACGAATGTCCGTTTCAATGAGCTCTATCTTAGCTTCCGAGTTGAGGTGGATGAGAGTGCCGTGGAGCATGGGGTCACCAAGGCATCGTACTTTGCCAATGTCTACGAGTTGATGCTCGCCACTCCTGAAGTCCGCAGCTCGCGGGTCAGGGTCGATGATGTGGATGATATTAAGAAGTTGAAGATTCAGAAGAAGTTCTAGTCTGGCTTCTGAGTGTATGTACCAGAGCGATACATAAGATCTACAGTTAGTGAATTTTGCTTTTTGCAAATGCAATTTCCCTGTAAGAAGGTATACATTTCATCTTGTCGAAGCAATAGATCTAAACTGCCATTTCTTCACCCTATTTGCGTCATTTTCGTCCGATAGAAAAGGGCCATGCAATCCAAGCAGAATTTCAGTCGACTTGTGTATCGTACAGCTCATTTTTGGATTTGCAGCATCTAAGTTCTGTCAGTCCCATGGAGATTTGATTTCTGGAATGAGGAAATGCTACTAGCTTTAGTCTACTTCTTTTTCTTTTCTTTTTTTTTTTTGATTAGCTAGCCTACAAACTGCGATACTTGAAAATCATACCAAAGACACGAATGTGTAAACATGGTTTCATCTCATGTCATTCTCAAACCACGAACTAAACACACAACTACAGAGATGCCCTCGAGTCCTCCGATTCCACTTCCATCTTACCATGACCAGGGAGCCTTGTCCTAGGTATAATCAGGGACACAACCGCAGTGCAGGCGGCACCAGCGACAGAGAAGGCGAAGATATCCTTGATACCCACCATGTACGCCTGACGTACCGCTAGCAGGTCAGCACCGTGGAAGACCACCTGAAGCTCCGAGGCGCCGGTCTGCAGAATGATTTGTGGATCAAGATTGGGGCGCAACCTGACAACAGTCTGCAGCATTCGGTTGGCAAAGATGGATGAAGCTGCCGTGACGAAAAAGGCGCCGCTCATGCCGTTAGTCATAAGCATAATGCCTGTGTTTTCCTGGACGTTTTCGAGAGTGGAGAAGAATTGGTACGCTGTCATTGGAATCTGGTTGCCCAGACCGATGCCAAAGCCTAGAAGTATTTGAGGCCCAATGTAGCGAGCCTTGTTAGAGTCGATGTCCATGGTGTAGAGTAGAGCGGCACCGGCGGTGGCCAGTATCCCGCTGGCAAACTGGAGTGGCTGCAGATGGCCCGTCTTGGAAACGAGAAATCCACTCAGCAAGGATCCCAGAGCAAAGAGGGCGACGAACGGGATGGTGTTAACGCCACTGGTGATAGCCGACTGTGCATGAATTGACTGGAAGTATATTGGAAGATAGAATAGGGCCTGGAAGTCGGCGAGGTTGACCCTGTGAAGTAACTCATTAGCGGGTGTGACAAGGGGACGAAGAACGGGTGAAAGTAACGAGCACTCACAGCCAACCATACAAGGCGTTAGTCCAAAAAAGGCGCGACTTGAGATTTCTCAACGGTATCATGGCGTATTCACCTTGGAACCACTCAAGAACGAAGAAGGCGATGGTCAACACAATCCATATGACCAAAGTGGCGATGACAGACCCATCGCTCCACGCTTTGGTTTGTCCCCCCATTGCATGGCCTGCGTGAAGAGGACAACCGAGGTGAGCAGAAGGGCAAACCCTGGCAGGTCAAGATGCAGCAGGATCACTTTCCACGTGGCTGGTACAGGCTTGACGTGCTCGGGCATGTGGAAGTAGAGCAACACCATCGCAATAATGAGGCCACCGATGGGGAGATTGATCCAAAAGCACCATCGCCAGCTCACATTAGTGGTGAAGGCGCCGCCTACCAAGGGACCCAGGACGGTGGAGAGCATGAGCACGCCCGTCCATACGCCGATTAACATTGGACGTAGCTTAGGCTCAGCAATATAAGTGATCATGAGCACAGAACCCCCAAGCACACCAGCGACACCAACACCCTGTAGGGCGCGCCCGACAATTAAACAGGCACCGTTTGGGGCTGGAGCAGCAATCAGACTACCGACCAGGAACGTGAGGACATTGCCAAGATAGACCCAGCGGCCGGAGAAATACTTATAAAGCTTGCCAATGAGGGGCGAGCTGGCGCCGACAGTGAGAAAAATTGTGCCGCTATACCAGCCGATGTCGTCAATGTTGTGGAAGTCGCTCGTGATGCCCGGGATGGCCGTGGCGACGATACCTAGATCTAGGGCGGCAACCAGCGTGGCCAAGAAGATGCTGCCCATGATGGCCCATAATTCCAGGCCCGAGGCGTACTTGGGATCTTCATTGATTGCGGTTTGTTCGACTGCAGTATTCTCACGAGTGGTCGAAATAGAGGGGGTGATAATACAGTCAGGTGTAGCCTTTTCTGTGACAGAGATTGAGGCCGACATGACGAGAGCTGATTAGCAGTAACCTTGGAAGCAACATCACATCGCATCGGTGACGGTCTGTCTTTAGTATGCCTACGTTGTACTCTAGCTGTATGGATAATCGCCGCCGGAGATTCGCCGGGGCGCTCTTCAGGCCGAGGGAGCGAGCTGACAAATGGCGGACAAGCCCAGCTCCAGGGGTCTTGGGAGCCCTGAAATGTACCCCTGTATCTGCAATTTTGGCTGATGAACTGACACCGATGTAAAGATATTCAGCCTATTTTTCGTCGCTTCTTGTACCCTGCCATGTCATATTGAAAGTCGAGTGATTGTTCAATCAATGAATTCGGTGCATTTCAACAAACTGGTGCAAAAGCAGTTTGCAATGTCCAACCGATCCGATTGCAAGGCTGGGGATGCCATTGAAAAGAATAAGCCGATGATGCCTCAATATCCTAGTCCATAAAGCTGGGGATATCCATATGATGATGCAGGGGTGCTAGACGCGTTGGCGCGATGTGTGCCTTCGGCAACGGATTGGATGCTGGACAACCACGTCGAAAGTGGCGGTTGACTGGATTGTTTCTGTCTGGGACATGCCTGTCTGAATACCATGTGTATCAAAAGGGACTGTACTTTGAAGCAAATTCTGTCCATTGATAAATCACATCAAATCACATGGAACAAGATACACAAAAGTCGGATGCCTCCTGCCCTTTCCACCTCCTCTGGCCCATCTCACCATTCCAATGTCGACTCAGCGGTTGATTCTTTCTCTAGAACAGCGATAGGTATCTTCTCCATAGGACTAGGAGCCGCAGCGCTTTTGGACTTCGTCAGCTGTTCCCACAGATCACTCCCAAGGAGTTTATAAGCCTCCACAGCCCCTTTTCTCGCAATGAGTTCCCTCTCAATATCACTCAATTCAAAACGAAAGGTCTCCCCTTTGACAACTACAATCTGGGACGCAACATCCACTTCAATCTCCTCGCCATCCGCGACAGCTTCATAGAATGCGCTATCCGTGATGGTGAACCCTAATAGTCCAAGAGTCCTCATATTACGATTGAATATGAAGGAGAATGAACGCGCGAACACTGCTTCTATGCCAATTCCTGGTAGGAGAAGGCCGAAATTAGGATCTGAGTTTATCGGAGTCCTTGGTTTAGACCGAACCTACCCTTCAGCGCAGAGACTGCCACTTCCCTGCTGGATCCACAGCCAAATGCGTGATCTGCCACAATGACCTTTTGTCCTCCTCTGACTTTATCTCGAAACTCTGGAAGGGTATATTCAAGGCAATGATTCCCAAAGTCTTCATCGGTAATGCAGCTTGTCAAAGCTGGCCCTGGTGCAAGCTATGGCTAGTCGGTTAATGACTATTCTCAATGGTCAGTGGACGGACGTCACCATGACAATACTCACCGCGTCCGTGTCAATAAATTCTCCCAGCCTTACGATTCTACTTTTGATATGTGGTAGCGCGTGGTTAGAGAGGGTTTGTGAGAATTGTATGTCTGCTTTCGCTGATGCATCCAAGGAAGTGTTTTCCTTGTGCATTTCGGCGGTCAGAATGGTTGGCTCCGCATATTGGATCTCAGCAATCATTTGCGGCTTTGCCCCCATATACTTCTCGAGAAATTCATAGTCAATTGCTTTGAGGAACGGTCGAGGGTCTACCACGGACATGCCGAAGCTAGATGCCGCGCACACCACAGCAGAGGAGAGATGACCAAATGATCCTATGGAACGTCCGTCAGCAACAAGAGAAGAAGGACGAACGGAAATAAATGGAGACAGTGCTTGTGATGTACTAACCTTTTCCCATGCGGTTCTGGAAATTGCGATTCTGCGAACTGAGCCAGGTTTCACCCTCTCCGGCACGGTCAACAGAAAGACCAATGCAATAAGAGCACCCGGGTGGTCCTCTTGTGAATCCAGCTGCCGAATAAACATCTAATAGACCCATTGACTGAAGCTTGGCGACTATAGGTAATGATCCTGGGACATAATGGCGTTTGCCAGGAAGAACTCGTGAACCATTGCTCAGTCCTACCTTCAAGACAAGAGCCGCGAGCACCAGCTCTTCTTCGGTTGTTGTACACGCGCCGATGAAAACACCGTCAAGTGGCATCCCAACTTTCTCGGTGACCGGAACCACATTATCGGGGCTGGGGTAAATGGCGATCGTGGGCTCCACCATGGCTAAGTCAATAACGTATTTCCCAGCATATGAAGCGTCAGGGTCTGGGCGGAAATAAACCGAGTGTCGCTTGTTCCTCCTCGATTTTCTCCGGTCGATAAATCTCACAGTCACATCGTCTGGCACGAAGATCCCTGAGATGGCCCCGAACTCGGTCGCCATATTACATATGGTGAAGCGAGCATCACAAGATAAGAACCGGGCGCCTTCGCCACCAAACTCCACAATCCGCTCTGTGGCAACAGTGTTCCTCTTTAGGTCCTTTAGAATGTGCAGAATCACGTCCTTGCCGCTGATTCCCGGAGCCGGACGCCCCCTGAATTCTACAAAAATCGACTCGGGGACCCTGAACCATGTCTCGCCCATCACGAGACCCATCATCACGTCGACTCCACCCAACCCGATGGCAAGGCATCCCACTGCTCCAGCAGAACAGGTATGAGAGTCGGCTCCAATGACCAGCATGCCCGGCTCTGCACGCTCCCTCACAAACTCTGTGTGCATGATTGTATAATTCAGTCCTTGATATTCCGTCATCTTGAAATCCGATTTGCCCTTTTCTACACGAGCAATCATATCGCGCATCGTGGGTGTCTGTGTCGCATCAGGATGCACAACGTGATCGGCTGCAAGCCAGAAGCGGTCGTTTCGCCAGATGCCGGGTGAACCGAGATCGCGTTCATAGACCCGTGACATTGTCTGTTATAGTGAGATACAGCAATACTCAGTCTGGATATCTAGAGTCAAGCGAAGAAGACGTGCTAAACTCGCCGAAGCCTCATACGCACCTGCCAAGATAACTCCGACGAAAGAACCCAGTCGAGGCCTACGCGAACAACAGTGCCGGCTCGCAGTTGAACAGCTGCTGGATTCCCGCCGACTAGATGCTGCATGAAGATCTTTTGTGCCAGTGTCATTGGTCCTGTGGCGGGAACTGAGCCCGACAAAGGAAGAAAGCATCGCGACGATTCCTCCGCACTCACGGACATTAACATCCCTTCTACTATGAACGCAGCGCTCTCATAATCGATCTCAGATAGCAAATCATGTTCGTCGTCGCGTAAAGCCAATCCACCGAAGTTCTTGTCTGCAGTGATTCTTTCGACAGCATCGTGCAATGCAGTCGCCTCGGCGACGTGTTGATTGCTCTGAAGTGTGAGAGCTATGGCGGACAAGAGAGATGGAATCGACCACCGGCTGCGATTCTCGGTAGGTATACAGTGGCTGGAGGTAACCTTTATTCCGCGCTCGCGATGGAGCAGGCTCAAGATCTGCGACTCGAATGTCTGTAATCGGAATGATTGCGCCATGATCATAGTTTAGCTGTGTGTTTGTTTGAGTCAGGATGGAATGAATGGTGTGTCTCTTTCGATTGATGGCGAATTTGCATTATTCGCGCATAATATGTAACCGTCGCTTTTGGCCGAGTACTTTGGCCCTCTTTTGTGCCATGTTTCCGATGATTATGAGTGAGCGCAGATTATCAGAGCGTCAATCCATCGGATTATGGTAGACACTAACTAGCCAGTATTGATCTTTCTATCCAGACGTATTCCTTCCTCGCAACAGCATCAAGCTCGGCCCTAAAATGATATCGTCGGATCCGACTGATCCGAACAATCTCCGGCCGTTAGGGGCTTGGCTGTCAGGAGTATCCCGAGGTCGGGCATTAACAAATTGGTCTCTCCCATATATTAGAGAGCGTTCGGTGCTTTTCGCCGTTTGCCTCCTGACCGGAGTTAGTGCCGAGGCTGCTACTTCTTTCACGGCTGCGACGGAAATTTGCGACTTCTTCTTTCTCCTCGCGCCTGCACATCTATGAGATCCCATCTCCCTAGGGATTTAATACGCTTCACTCGATAATATACAAAAAGATCACATTTCCACTTTCATGTGAGTCCTTGTTTTTCGAGTATCACTCTCTCAACGTGCCGAATACTAACCCCTGCGTTCCCAGTTTAACACCATGTTGATCACTCGCGGAATCTCCCTCGTCAACTTTGCAGTGGCCTCCTCTGCACTGGCATTCCAGGTCTTCGTTCTCTACCCTTGGCACAACCAGCTAGACGACGAGTTCAAAGCGTTGAAAAAGGAACACCTCCGTGTACTGCAGCAACTCGATCTCAAGGCCGCCTTCCAGGACAAACAACTCAAAGCGAATTAAATGGAGGGCTTTGCATAGATGGAAACATGGATAACTCATCATTTACTATATTTTGGGGTTTCAAGCGCCGTTTGTGAGGATACACCGGTTTTTTTCTCTTCTATCTTTTCTATTTGTTTTTTTTTTTTTTTTTGTGGCATACAGGAATTGAAGCCTACAAAAGTACCCTAATCGCATACCCGGTATACACCGCTAGTAGGGAAATTCACCAGCATACTCAGCTCTCTTTCGCTTTTCTGGATTATATATGATGTACCTCATGGACCCGGTTTCTAACATATGTACACAGATAGGTAGGATGTGAGGATTACAAATTCCCAGTAACACATGGCCACCAAGGAAGTTGGGTTTTCGACCATCAGGCTACAAAGTTCAAGCTTCAGGTCCCAAGGGTAATTACTCCAGGCTGTCAGGGTAATCAAGCGGTTGACTTACTTCTCTATCCATACAACAGCTGAGTTCTTTGCTGAAAGGTCTTGATTTACTCCGTACCTTCCCCTACCTAGGTGTATCCCAATCCCATCACGTGATAGGTGACCCATTTCCAAGATAGGAAGGACCCAGGAATGATCCGCTGAGTGCACACATAACAGCACTAAGCTTTCTGCTATCGTGAATTTTCTTTTTTGCCATCTACAGAGAGTAGCTGGTCGTTGACATTATCGTAACCCTCATGTTTTCGATAGATGTATAAGAATCCTCGGCTCATTACATGGACTCGTTCCAAGTTCCAGAGACTTATGTTCCAAAGGTCTGTGTTCAAGTATATACATGAAGATACACAAAACAGCAGTCCTGTTGGAGAGTTAAGATATGATTGAAATCCCACAGGGGCTTTATATGCGATGAAACTAGTTTGTTGCATACTGAGGTAGGTTCGTGATTATCTTATATTGTGTCGCTAGAAGTTTAACCTGGCCGGGACTCAAACAGCAATCCTCTGTTCTATCTGTATCACCGAAATCACAAGGAGATTTATCCCTGATCTAAAGCCATCAATGACATGAACCAAAGATGTACAAGACATTTTAACACTGACGCAAACCAAACAAAGCCCATTTACCCACACTATCGGATGCTGGTTCATAGTACCTACATTTGTATAAAAAAAGGCCTCATCCGAAGAAGTAAAATCTCGATGAACAGGAATATTCCACCGTTACTTTCTCGCTGAACCACAATGTCCGAACACCACTCCGCCGGCGGTCCAACCCTCCCCATAGTGATCCTGGATCAGCACCTCCCCATATTGATCCTGGATCAGCAGACTCACGAGTTCATCCGAGATGCAGGCGGACTTCAGCTGACCGTGATCATCCACGCCGAAGGTCATTCTGACCCTACCCCCCTAGCTTTGGTGTGTTCCTTGGTCCAACCCTTTCCCACCAACTGTGATGCGACCAATACCCAATGGGTCCTGCGCTTTGAGCCACTTCAGCACCCTCCACAGATCCATGCTCACACTGAAGTGTATGTGGGGGCAGAGGGGCAATGTTTTGTTAGTCCTTGGTGTATTTTAGAATTGGATCCACATGGGTTGGCTGGGCGATTCTACATACACTCAGACCGCCCCCAAGCGCTGATTGAGGAATTTGCTCGGTTGTCTTTGGAGTGATTTTCATTTTGACTAGTACTTATTTGGACGCGAAGCTCATTGAAATGCGCGATTATGCTTTGAATTACCTGGACAGTTGACGTGGCTCATGTAGAAGCCGCGCGCCTGCCGCCTCGGCGATGTACGAACAAGGGACAGGCAGATGGGGGTTTTCTTTAGTTGAAGATCGACAGCTGCACCTGGATGAAAGGGCTAGCTAGGGTATAGTCTAGTACTCCATACAGAGACTAGTTTCTCTGCCCTAGATGTTTAAAGAATAGTCACGGGATTTTGTCCGTTTTTTGATCCTTTGCTATCCCTGCCAACAATGTCATTTTTCAAGACATGCGTGTCCTTTTTTTCGCCCCCTGCAAGGTTTCTGTCAATTTCTTCACACCCGACGTAGGAGATGGCAGATAACCGTTCCGGTTAGGCAAGGACACCCACGTAACCTGCCAACTACCTCGGAGAATGAAATTGTTCCGGTGCAGAAAGGCCTTAGACCGTGCAATATGACATCCAGGACTTGGGCCTGGCAGAGCTAGCTCCTAGGTCTAAACAAAGGCCGCTCTCGGCGAGGGTCGGCAGGGTATGTACATAATGGACCCGCTATATGTACCTTAGTGTAGGCACCTTTATTGTTCATATTTCATCTGTTTCCTCGCTAACATCCACCTCACTAACTTCCCCAGTTACCCCATTCTGCAACCTAATCGCACACCAATACCTAGCTACATGACTAACTCCGCCCAAGAGCTAGCTCCGTCGATCGCCCCCTCCCTAGTAAGGAACACCCCCTTGCAGCGAACCTTCCATGTTTGCATGTACGGAGCACGTAGTGTGCTCCGCTGTGGCGTATGCTGTTGAGAACGCGTGGGATGTTGAATCGAGATCGGGGATCGAAACCGCCATCCGTCCGCAGCCCCGTACATTTGACACTGCAGGAGCTGAACGTGAACGCAAGCCCTGTTTCTTGTTTCTTGTTTCCTGTTTCCTGTTTTTGTATTTTTTTGCTTTTCGTATAAGTCACATTTTCAACGTGGGTCCTCCAAAGATCGTTGCCTAAATTCCCATCTGCGCATTGCATTGGGGAATCAGGCTCTCCTATGCATATTGACCTTGCCATATCTTTGATCTTTCGTATATTACGAGCGCTGGCTGCGCAAGTGGATACAGATAGCCGATAGTTATAAACTGGCAATACAGAATCCTACACCTCTCTGACTTCACTTCTTAGGCGTATGCCCGGCTTATTTCCGTGCGCCTACTTGGGTGTGTGATGTTGAAATGCGAGTGCTGAATTAACGTGTATACCAGAGAGCATACAGCCTCGGGGGTTTCACTCTTCAATATGTACATATGGTGTTGTATAGTCGTTCTGCCATGCAGGCTGACGACTAGACCAGGTATGAAATGGCTTTGATCAAGATGGCCACCAACCAAGTGTGGACGGCAGAGGACTTAAAGTTTATTGGAAAAGGAGGCACTTCAACAGGAGAAGAGCAAATTTCCACTAACACCGCCGAGGGCAGGATAACAAATTCCGAGTGGGTTGGGCCCGGGGGCTGCCTCATCAAAGTTGCCCATCGAAGGAAGATACATCATACCGGAATGTCCGGAGGAGGCATTGACAGTGGTAGATTCTGTGCTTCCTAAGCCAGCTAGGAATGAAATAAACCGCAGGCGGCTTCTTGTGCCTATAGTCATTAGCTCCTCTCTTAGCTCAATCTCAAGTGCAAAGCCCTGGGTGTTCTTGGTTTTAAGGGAGATGATATGTCCGAATACATATGTTTTCCCATCGTTTGCTATGCTACGAATAGCCTCTTCTTCCTAGATAGTTTGCCTTCTTCTTCTTCTTCTCTCCTCAGACGCATAGCAGGGCCTTTTAGTCTTTCCTTGATTTGTAAACACTGTCCCTTTATCGGGCTATGAGCACCTTGCTCGTGCGTATCTGATCTTATCATCAGTGCGCATACCATGCCTCTTAGCTCACCTTTGTCGGTCTCGTCTCGCCGATTCATCTCAAGAGCTTCTCTCGTCGAACGTCCTTGTTAAAGCTTCAACCTCGCCAGCAGCTCTCGCGATTTCCCACATTTCGGTCGACCCCCATAACCCCGCAATCTGGCACAGAGACCTCAGTCCGCAACCTGCGCCCTGTCTTGTTGGCACAGACACCTCTGACCCAGTGAAATTGACGCCTGTCTTATCGACACGGAGGCTTATCATTCAGTTGGTCTGACGCTTTGACGGTGATATTGCAGTTGGTTACCCTCTCCCACACTACGACACAATGGACACTCTTGAGAAGTGTGTCAGTGTGTCAGTGGTGCCATGCTTGGTGAAATCAAGATTACCGACTGCGTTCCTAAATTGAAAGGGAGGGCAAACTTTCCAATATGGAAAGCTAAGTTTTGGCTATGAATGTCGTTAGTCCTTGCTACGTGGACCTTCTTCAGAAAGAGTCACTATTACCCCATCCTCCTGTGTACAACGACAGCTCCGAAAGAGCTGTTACAGAAATTCTCATTTTCGAAGCCTGTCAAGGCAATGCTAATACAGTAACGCCAGCTGTGGTAGTAGTCGTATGACCGCCATTGAGACCGAAAACGAGGCAAAAAGGGTAGCGTATGAGAGACAAAAGGAGATTTGGAATGCCGCAAATATCCACATTTGCTTGATGATGGCCTCGACTAGGGACTCCAACATAGAGGCTCACATTGCACAAAAGACTAATGCTTACGAGGCCTTTTCGATCCTCAAAACGCTGTTTACAGGTTTCAAAAGCTTGTTGGCATGAGGTATAAGGGCTACAATGCATCTCACTATGTCCGGTGGTTTAAGGATAACCTTCAGGACTATCGGGAGTTGGTTGGCACTTTTTCACAAGCTGTTGAGCTTACCTTTTCCTGGCTTCTCTCGCCGACAATCCGAAAACCTTCAACTTCGTCCAAAACGTCAGCATTACTGAGTCCCTAACTTCCATGACAAAAGTCTATCTTGACTTTGTGCAATACGAGAGCATGAACCAGATCCAGAAGTCTCCGTGCTAATACCACCTCAAAAGACAACAAACCCGAGGATTGGGGAGCTCTTTTCTGCTTTTAGCGGTTGAGGGTCTTTTGGGCTTTTGAGAATAGCCCATGGGGGGTGTTTGAAGTCGTGCACCTTCTCCCCGTTTACTATGCTATAAATAGCCTTCTTGTTAGACAGTGTTCCTTCTTCTTCTCTCAGACAAATAGCAGAAGTTTCCAGTCTTTCGTTTATTTGTAGATACTGTCCCTGTATCAGTAACTTTTGTGGTACCGTCTGAGGTATCCAATGAACGAGTATCGCTTTGGAGTGATGTATGACCCTCGGAAGACCCAAATCCGATAACAAGGGATGGCCGGGGTGTTTCTGCGGTAGAGATGCCGGTAGCTCCGAAGTACCCGCCTGCGATAGACCTTATACCCCAACCAGGTTTGTTTTCGCAATACCATGCGTTCGGGCTACTGGCCCCGATTCCAAGCCAGGTAGTTCTCATCATCGGGGAGGTTGCAGCCTTCATAGCCTTTAAGAAGTTGTACTGGAATGACACGATAAGCTGCTCTTATATCTTCCAAGGCTAGCGTAAAATGGAATAAGGTTTGGTTAAGGGGCCCTGACCCCACTATGGTTCCTTTCGAGTGGAAGTTCTTGGATTTGTTTCTGCGTGAGACTGGAGATTCAGAGAGCTCCTAGCGCCTTTTCCTTGAATCCTCAGTGGCCATTCTTGTTCCCTGCAGTAGAGCAATCGCGACTATCGCTCACTGGTAGATGTAAGAGTCGGAGTAAGTTCTGGCACGGTCCCCTTGAAGTGACGTAGGTATCTGAATGAGACAATGTGAGTGAGAGTCGGGAGGTCCTGACCTGGTCGACGATGCATCGGTGATCTACAAAACTCACATAACCGTGGAAGCCGAGTGCTCGTTGAACTCCCTCGGAATGACGGTGTGGTATTCTAGACTCTGGACTGCAGGTTGCAGAATTCGGACATTGAGAACCTATCACATGAACGGCTTTATCTTCAAGACTGACATATGATGGAAGTTTGTTGTCATCATGGACAAATAATGTGATGGTTGAAATAATTCAGTATATATAAATTCCCGCCGATGATGCTATCTAAAATGATAAAAACCAATGCTATAATGAAGACTATCATAAGACCAAATTTGCAAGTCGTAAAAAAAGAAAATAGAATGTGCCATCCGAGATGAAAGAAACAAAAAAAGCCTCAGGGAATATCAAATGCGAACCCAAGTTCCTGAACACCGTCATCCTCAACCCAAACGCCATTTCTCGTTTTCACCGCTTCTCCGTTATAAGTCACCAGACGACATAACTCATATGCGAGTATGTAACTGCACGAAAAATATGTACGTAGTCGGTCTCCACTTTTTCAGGCCACGACCCGGCCCTCGGGAACGACGCCTACCGAGATCTCACCCCCGGGAAGCCCACGCCGGGCGGCCGCTACTGCAGCGCCCTCGCTTTCGAACCGGGATAATAGCGACGCTACCATTTCCCGGTAAGAGTTCATCTGGGACAGTCGGAAGCGCTGGATTTTACCGCTCGCTGTGCGTGGGATCTCCTCCACGAACACGACGCCCCCGTCAAGTGACTTGTACCGCGCCAGCTGCTGGCGTGCAAAATTGTACACTTGCTCCCCGGTGAGCTGGGCCATAGCTGGGTCGCGTGAGCGCACGACAAAGGCGCGCGGCACCTCGCCCATGCCTTCTTTATTGACACCGATCACAGCGGCGTCGGCAATGCCGGGGTGTTGAAGCAGGATGTTTTCAATTTCCGCGGGGGCCACTTGCCATCTGTAACCAAGTTAGGATCATTGTTTTGGGTGGATGGGTGTGATGGATGGGAAGACTTACCCTCGCACTTTGATGAGCTCCTTTGTCCGTCCAACGATGAAATACTGGCCCTGCTTGACATAGGCGACATCACCGGTCCGGAACCAGCCCGAAGGCTCCAATGCATCCGTGCGGCCTTTGTATGCATTGAGCAGGCCGGTACCGCGGACATACATTTCACCTGGGCAGCAATCGCCCAGGGTATTGCCATCTTGATCTACCAATCGGACCTCGTAGCCGGCAAGACGAGTTCCGATGCTTCCAGGATCACCCTGCTGGCCATACCGCGTCTGGAAAATCACACCGACCTCCGTCATGCCCCAGATCTGGCAGGCGTAGCCCATTGGATGCATATGGCCCCGGAACTGCTGCATGGAGGGACCGTCAATCGGCGCGCCCGCGACACCCACATAGCGCAGCGATGAAAGGTAGTCGCGGATCGGCACGGGCGACTGGTTAATGGAGTGGATGATAGCGGGGACCAGATACGTCTCTGAGATCTGGTATCTATGCACCGCCGCTAGGAAGTCATTGATTTCGAAGCGCGGCAGGACGAAGAGGGGATGGCCGTAGCGTACAGGGAAGAGGTGGGCCCAGAGGGCGCCGAAGAGATGGAACATGGGCAGGGACATGAGACGGCTCACTGGGTACGGCACGTCGTAGTAAATCGAGCGATGTTGTGAAACGATCGCATAGTGGGACAGGATGGCTGCTTTGGGGAGTCCGCCTGTACCACTTGTCGAGAACATGGCTGCTGGCGTGGCTTGTGCGACGACCGGGTCGTTGAATTTCAACCACTCGCTCTCGCCGTAGCAGAGGAGATTGGCGAAGTTCGAGTGCCGGGTATCGTTCCCGCTCATGGCGAAGAATTGGCCGGCGGCGGAATAGCCTAGTTCGTACCATAGGAATAGTTGTGCGCAGTGGTCGATGGCGCGCTCGTCTAGGACGCAGACTTGTGATGGGTGGATGCCTCGATTTGCGGAGACGTCGAGGACGGTGGGGAGGGCATCGCGGGTTGTGAGGATGACTTTTGGTTCGGCGAGGCTGATGATATGGTCGAGTTCTTGTGGTGCACTTCGAGGGTTTGATCCCATGTATACACCCCCGGCGCCGATGATGCCGAAAAAGAGTGCGGGATATAGAATCTATCGATAGACTGCGCGTCAGTATTGTTTTCTTTGCTTTTTTCTGCTTCTCTCTTTTTGTAATTCTTCGACCACTTCCGGTCTAATATCACATTCCTGCTTCCTGGGATGCGCTTTTGTACTTACACTATTTCCCAAGTGCATCAATACACAATCTCCTGGCCGGACATTATGAGCCTGGAACCCGGCGATCAGAGTCCGGACCAGTTGTCGGAACTGGGCGGCTGTAAATGATCGAGAGGGATCCTCGGCATCAATAAACAGAGGTTGGTTTTGGTTGTATGGTTTGGGACCATCAAAGGTGAAGCTCAGCAAGTCTGTGTAGACCTCCTTTGCGGGCATAGTGATGTTTGTAGACATAGTAGATGCGTTCCAACCCATTGTGTTAGGGCTACCGAAGGCGGGGATGGAAGAACTGATGAGGGTATTTACTGAACATCGAAGTCCATCCCCGGGGGTTATATAGGTTAATGTATGATTTCCACTTTATTTTTGTTTTGTTTTTTTACTGTAGATGATTTGATTTAACCTGCTCCCTCCGTTCGCCCAATTGTCATTAGACGACTGATTCCAAATACATGGCTTAGGTAAGGACACGCTAGTGCCAGCCTTGGGGACTCCATTTGGTCGCAATTTACTTGCTGCACCGGAGACAGGAGAACACGCAAAGGGATCTCGGGAAAAAAAAGAAAAAAGAATAAAATCAAGACAATTCGCATGTGCTCCTGGGAACAGGCGATGTCATTGAAAATGAGCTCGAACGACCATTGTACTTTGTCCTGCGTTGCGTCCCCACCACACACCCAGGACTAAGAACGAAGTGGCCTAGTGGGATCCAGGACGGCGGTCGGGGGATTTGAAATTCAATAAGTCGATTTTAGGAGAAAACAGATTCGAATATTGATGCATTCGCCACTCAGTCACTAGCCCCTTTGTGAGCTGAGCCACACGCTTGGATCGCCCTTTCGTCCGTCTCCGTCATTCCTTGCGTGGAGTATAGTTCGGAGTGGTTCATGAAGGATCTACACGCGATATGCTCCGAACTTTAATTGGCTCACCTGGGCGAAAACTTGCAGTTATTGATCCGATACTGTCATTTTCTTCAAGGACCCACGAGCTGAGGCCATTTTCGACGAGATCGGTGTGAGACAAGGATATCACCGGCCCCCGCCACGGCCTTACTCGCCTAGAAGACTACGGCTAACTTTGCCCTTTCTGCCAAATCAGAGCTGGTGGTAAGACCCATCCCCGCTCCTGTCATTGCTGTCTGACGTCCCGTCATGAAGGGATGGAGATTTTCTGTTCTCCTTCCATCGCCCGGTCATGGGCCCAATATCTCCATCGATGCCCAACACCTGCAGCCGATAATCAGTGGGGACTCTCGGGATCCCATCGATCCCTTCGTTGTGGAGTCCGAACGTGAGATCTCCTCCCCCCAAGATTCAGATCCGCTAACGAAAGATCGGCTAGCGAAACCGTGCGCCACTCCCACTTGGTGATGTAGCTGCGCCCATGCATCCAGCGCCTCGGCACCGAAGTGGAGCATCCGTTAGTGCCATCAGCGTTGCAGTGAGGCGTTCGAGTGTAATGGGGAGAGGGGCAAAAATTGGATTTGGCTGTGGACACACTCAGCTGCGGCGGATGATCGACCGCGCAGTATGGAGTACTGTTGAATGCAAATTAGGAAATCGAAAAAAGCAAAAAAATGAGGGAAAAAGAAAAAACAAGAAAAAAACAAGAAAAGGCCGACAGCACAAGGCCTTGTATGCCATCACAATGGATTGTTGTATTGACATAATGGCATAATGGAGCAACATCCGTGAATCCACACCGGGATTGTTGAATGCACCTCGAGCGTGCATTGACTAACAAGGATCTTGCCCAGTTATTGCCATCCCTCGGCCGCAGATCGCCTGTTATTATTGAAGGCTTTGTTGACTGGCAGCGTAGATAGCAGCATGTGCTCTGGTCAATCGAATCCGGCGTGCTAACATCCCTTCAGGACTAGTCAAACCGGGCCCCGATAATGAGCCGTTGCATCACGCGTGGCTAGTCCCTCGACTGATTGTCGTTGAAGCTGATTGGGCTGTATCACACCATTGCTGGGCACATTCTTTGATCTTCATTTCCGGGCCCTCACCGTCTCCGAAAGCAATAATGACTCCCTTTGAAGATCAGACAAAGTTTTGACAGGCTAAAGCGTGGGTCCCTCGGACCGCGTAAGCCACTTCCCCGAGCCCATGAGGGACTTGAAGGAGCTGAAAGCAAGGGATTAGGATGCTTCTCTGGTTGCTGATTGGCAAGGAAGAACCTTCGCGCTAGTGTTAGGCCTGGACCTCGAGGTGATAGTGTCATACACCTGGAGAGGGGAAGCAAATGCGCCATAATCCAGATAATAGGATCATATGCAATGCAATCCTGGACCAAGACGAACGGATCCAAACTCAAACCCCGAAGCGAAATGCAGCAAGCAGGCCGAACAAGCCCCGAAGAACGTTGGCCAAGGACGTCACCGTTCGCGGTGATTCCCGAAATGGAAGGAAGCATACGCTAGCCTGAGGCTAGATGGGGAAGGAGTCAGATTGGTGAAGGAAGGAGCGGCGCAGAAGGGATGTGAGCCGAGCTTCGGGAAAATAGAGATCACAGAGTCTGAGTTATTGGCCAAACATCATGGCCTTCAAAAATGGGAGACTCACCCTGGTTGGGTTGTCAACTCTTCGCCTCAGTCTTCTCCGCCCCAAGGAATCCCTGGCCTAATTAGTTCACTCGCACCCCGGCCATCTTTTGAACTCTTTTATATTGCCAGTGTGAGCCTGTATCAGGATTGCAAAAGGCCATGTCGGAGAAACCCCCCATATCCATTACCGTGCCTTCACCAGCCGTCGTTGAGCCATGCTCACCGATCTCAAGTGAAGCTACTCTGAGCGATGGAGATAGAGTCGTTGAAAAATGTCTTTCCAAGGAGATGGAAACCCTCAATCTGGATAGCACGAAAGATCTTGATGTGGAGGCTCAGACTACCCAGCGCAAACCCAAGCTGCTTGCCTCCACACGTTATGCTATTCTCACGCTATACCGACGCCTGTTCACGCTAGTCTTCTGTGCAAACATTGCTGTTTTCGTGGCTGTCATGACCACGGAGCAAAAGCTCTTGGCCTTGGTCAATGCCACAGCAGCCAATTTGCTGGCCTGCGGTCTGGCCCGTCAGCCACTGGTGGTCAATGCCATCTTTGTAGTAGTGTGCTCGATGCCGAGGTCGGCACCGCTTCCCCTGCGTCGCATCGCTGCCAAAGTCTACCACTATGGTGGTGTGCATAGCGGCTGTGGAGTCGCATCGTTGATATGGTACGTGGGATTTGTGGGTGTCATGTCTCGCCAATACTGGGCACCCTCGGCAGCCGACACGAACATCATCACCTCGGCAGCGCCAGTTGTGATCGCTTACATCATCCTGGCTTTGCTGCTCGCGATCATTGTGGTCGCTCATCCCTCATTCCGGATGAAACGACATGATTATTTCGAACTCACCCACCGCTTTTTGGGATGGCTTGTCGTAGCCCTGTTCGTCGCTCTGTTGGTAGTCTTCTCGCAGGGGGCCAGTCAGGTCGTGAACAAACCCCTTGGCATATTCATCATCTCGCTCCCAGCATTTTGGTTCCTGATGCTCACTGTAGTAGCAATCATCCAACCATGGCTATTCCTTCGCAAGGTTGCGGTGCGGGCCGAGCAACTGTCGACCCACGCAACCCGCCTACACTTCGACCACGCTGTCACCACTTTTGGCAAGGGAATCCAGCTCGCCAAGCACCCCCTCCGTGACTGGCATGGGTTTGCCACATTCCCAGATCCCGTGCCTGCAGGTGTTCACGGTAACCCAAGCTTTTCCTGCTTGATCTCGAAGGCTGGTGATTGGACGGCGGCGACGATCCAGGAATCGCCTACCCACCTATGGAAGCGTGGCGTGCTGATCTATGGCTTTGCATATGCCATGCGCGTTTTCAAAAGAGTGATTGTCGTCACTACCGGATCCGGAATCGGTCCTTGTCTGTCATTCCTCGGCGATGATAACCGACCTGCGCTGCGTGTGCTTTGGCAGACTCGCGCGCCCGAAAAGACATACGGTGCAGGGGTGTTGGAGCTAGTTCACCGGATGGATTCGGCACCAATTGTACTGGACACTGACCAGTGCGGGCGCATCGACATGGTTCCGATTATCTTGCAGCAGATCAAGGACTTCAATGCTGAAGCGGTGTGCGTGATCAGTAACCCTGTGCTGACGGGGCGAATCGTCTATGAGCTCGAAGCGCGAGGGACCCCGGCGTTTGGTCCGATTTTTGATTCCTAGTATCATCGTTAGCAATGTTTTGTCTGTCTATAGACCGCACATATGTACATGTTTTGCTGTTATTCCCACTTCTCGCCTTTTTGTTCATTTTTCATTTCGGAGTTGCATCTTCTCGGCATTTTGCGACATGTTTCCCTCGGGTCGCGGCGTTTATTGACAATGTTTAATTTTTTTGGTCAAGAATTTCCATTCGGAAGAATGTCGAGTGTCAGACTCCTCTTTCAGGGGGTCTGTTTCTGTACATATGTTAATACTTCCTGGAGTGATTTGGAATTGCACGCTATGACCCTGTTGGTGTCCGTTAGGCGTCTCCTTCTTAGGCAGCCCGTTGGTGCAAACCACGCCCAAACTTCTGTCACAAATAATCCTTATGTGCGTGGTCATCATACAATTCCAAATACACACCCCCGGCTCCACACAAGGGGTTAAGGGGCCAATTGGAGTGGTGGAGACGATTGTGATGTGTGCTGAAATTTACATGGTGGCAGATTTTCGGATCAAGACTGGGTTTGTATTGGTCTATCTAAGCGCCCTGGAGTTAAGTTTTAATGTACTGTAATATATGTTGAGTTCCGTGCATATGCTTGCATCTGTCCGAGTAAATCGTAAGCTGTGGTATAGTTCGTCATGGCCTGAGCCTCGATCTAAGGTTATCGGTCCGGATATTCCTATTTCCGATCTCCGCGGTCACTCCTGCCTAATTCGGTAATTAGCCGCGGAGCACCCAGGCTGGGAAGTATACGAGGGTGAAGTATATAACTCTCAGAATAAGCAATGCAAATCTCATATTCCCATCACTTTGAAATATTCTTCTCAAAAACGCTCTGATCAGAGAATCATTCTTCTCGAGGTTACACCCAACTCCACTCAGTCTCCAATGTCTGAAACACGCAAAGTAAGCACACTCCATACCAGTCTCCACATATGCATATAAGCACATTAGCGCATACATAAGAGCCTTGGTAGCTTTTTACAACAAAATAAAACGAGGAAAACGTTAACGGAATCACTATCTAGGCAATAATAATCGGCGCAGGACCAGCCGGCCTCGCAACAGCACTGCGTCTGCACTGTCACAATAGCATCTCCTGCGTGGTGTACGAGCTGCGCTCAGAGCCCACGACTCTGGGTGGTGCAATTGGCATTCTATCCAACGGCCTGCGTTTGTTTGACCGGCTGGGTGTGTATGACGACCTGCTTGCCCGTGGATACAGTGGGACGCAGTTGACGCTGCATTCACTGGGTGGTGGGGTCGTTGGATCGCAAGATTACGTCGGTTGGGCGAGGCGGAAAACCGGGTATGGGTATTTACGGATTAAGAGGACTGATTTGATGGATGTTCTGCTGGATGCTGTGCGGAAGGAAGGGATTGAGGTTAGGTATGGTATGAGGATGAAGGATATTGAAGATCGGGAGGATGGGGTTACGGTGGTGTTTGAAGATGGATACAGAGATTCTGCGGATGTTCTTCTTGGATGTGATGGGATTCACTCGCAGGTGCGACGGTTGTTTGTTGATCCTGGGCTTTTGTCGGAGTATTCTGGAATTGCGGGGTCGCTGGCGCTGATTCCGGCTGAGGTTTTGAGACCTGGGTCTGTGGAGATGATGTCTGGCTTGCATGTTATGATGACGGAGGATGGGATGGTTATTGTGAATCCCTGTATGCCGAAGAAGGAGGAGATTTTATGGGGTTTCTCGCGTGAGGTTCCGCTTCCTGAATCTGGGGATGGTCGGGATGGGTGGGAGGAGACTCGCCGGGCTGAGGTTGAGGGGCTCAAGGATTCGATGATGAAGATTCTTGAAAGTTCTCGGGGTGAATGGGGTGGTGTTGTGAAGGATCTTGTGCGGAATACCTCTGTCGTCAAGTTCCATCCGATTTACAGGCTGCCGCTTGGTGGGCGCTGATACAAGGGTCGATGTCTTTTGCTTGGTGATGCGGCGCATGCTATGTCTCCGCGTGCTGGACAGGGGATTTCTATGGCCCTTGAAGATGTTTTCTTGGTCTCGCGGTTGCTGGAGGATCCCAACAGATCTCTGAGTGATGTTTTTGCCAGATTCGATGAGATCCGTCGCCCGCGGGTGAATGCAATCTATACGAAGGCGGCGGATAATGCTGGAACGAGAAAGAAGACTGGTCCGTGGGGATTGTGGATCAAGGAGACTGCATTCGGTATTTATACAGGTGTCTCTGGCGCTTTGGGATTGGATAAGTTGGGGATTGGAGAGAGGCATCTGGTCTATGATATTGATGATGTGGAACTATGAATAATGTTTTATATATTGTTCGGTCTACACTACCCAGTGGATATAGAACTGAATACTTTAGCCTTGAATAGGAACTCTTCCTGGTTGAAATTCCTAATATAAATCAGGGTTTGCATCTTTCAGTCTGCGGTGATATTCCAAAAAAGTCTGGAATAACCCGAGCCTCAGTATCAAGATTTACCCTCTATGTATTTGAAAGCAACATTGATGACAACGCTCGAACGCGGATTCTAACAGAGAGAGCTTAACGGCAACCCCCCATTGGGGAATTATCGATCAAGTCTTTTCTGCTCTTCAATAACTCCCCAGAACTTTCGCACGGATGGCGCTTTTTGACATCCCGTTGGATGTGGTTCCTCTAATTGTTGACTTCTTCGAGTTGGACAGCGACATCAGCTCATTGTCGAGAACAACCCGCCAACTATAACAGTCACTGGATCGACGATTGCACAAGAATAATGTGTGGCGGTTCAACGATTGTGAGCTAGTATCGATAGCCCGTAATGGAACGGGGTCCGCAGCTCGTAAGTTCCCTGCAGCCGGCGCCACGGCTCTTGGGCAGGAAGAGTTCAACCCGCTGGAGTTAGCTGTACTGCTTGAGAGTACGGAAGTAATCAAAGCGATGTTACATTCGGGGGCAGAATCTAGAGGAAGTCATGATGTGCTCCTCTCTGCCCTCGGTATCCGAATGATAACAATAGTGTCGAGAATGGAGAACCTTTCGACTATGAACATTTTGTCGCATTGCAAGAGGATTCTACGGATTGGGGTATTTCCGGGGGCCATATTTCAGTGGTCAAACTCTTTTATTCTTATAACAGGATGTTAAAGTATGACTTAAAGCGCTTCATTCGTGCAATATCCATGTCTGTCTCAACTCTTACCTACCTACCTCCAACTTCTCCACTCTGAAGTTCCCCGTAGAGAACCTTCCACAAATCATCAATTTTACACGCGAGGAGTGCCGGAGGCTACTACATATGGCCAGGGATCCGGATATTGCGCTGTTTTCGATCGGCTGGAGGGCTCATCTAGATACTCCAGACTCCGAAGGAGTTCCTCCGCTCGGACATGCCATGACTAGAGGCGACTTGGAACTGGTTCAGGCATTGGTTGAGGCAGGAGCCTGTCCCGATTCCGCACGCCCTAACGGTTGCACGCTTTGGCAGATGAGGCGGGCGGTGGCGGTAGGTCAATTCGAGGTTGTCCGATGATTGCCAGGCCATATCGCAGCGGAGAAGAAATGAGCGGCGATGGCGAGGATAAACCCAAGCTTCTATTTCTAGCTGCTGGATGTGGACTCGACGACATCGTTGAACGGACTTTGCAGACACGGTGTTATCGAGACAGAAAATATGCACTGCGTCGACCATGGTTGCCAGGAAACCTCACAAGACGCTATCTTGGGCAGTACGGAGCTGCCATGTGGAGATTGTCAGCATGCTTCTCGAGAAGGGTGCTGATATCCGTAGATGGAGAAGGCGCGAGGACAACTGGAGACGGCGCGAGCAGGACCTTTTTAACTGGGCCTGCGAGACTGGTATAGTGACCTGGTGGCAATGATGCTCCCCTCGATCATTATTTGATAGATGCAGCTGTAGTTGAGGATCTCAAGGCCGCTGTATTGACTGTTGACGTATTGCTGAGTTAAGGCGCGAATGTAACCAGACTGGGAGGATGCCCTGAGCTTTGGACAGAGGAACCCAACGAGCCGCCCAATTGGATTGATTCTGGAAGCGCCCTTCGTCTGCTCTTCGAGCGAGGAGGAAAGCCCCTTCCTGAGGATGAAATCGGTGTTTCATCCCTCAAAGTGGCATTGAAAGCAAGCCTTCTAGATGTTATCTAGCTCATGCCCGTATCATCTGCTGACAAACGTGGTCTTTCTCCCGATTACTCGGGCTATAACATGAGCTTGGTGGAAAGACAACCGGAGAAATGGCTCACCCGCAATCTTTCAGCTGGCTGGTATGCCATCAATCTGTGGAGGCAGCTTTATTGGCGAAAGCGATAACCCGTGCCACAATGGAGAGTGAAAATTCCTTTGTGTTTCAGGATAGAAGATTGAGACATCCGGGTGGCACTTGGACCGTACTTGCTTCAGAATGTACCCTGATAAATCTACAAGACTCTGGCTTTGAAAATGTGTGAAGACTGATATGTCATTACACTTTATGTACATCGTATTTGCTCAAGGGCAACTCAAGAACAGAAACAGTGCTGAAATAACCTAACATTTCTTCACATCTGTCTCCTCCACATTGAAGTCTTCCCACTTAGGTTGATCGAATCCATTCGGACGACTGGATCGCACGAACTGATTATTCACTCCCTCAACAATGGCGACTGGCTTGACAACCTCAATGTCCGCACCATAGGCACGCGACGACCACAGTTCAGTCAAAGGCTTGCGGCCTTCGGATTCCGGACCGGCGGGTAAGTATAAGTGCGGGAATCGCTCCTGCATGCCCTTCAGGACAGTGGAAGAGATGCGGTCCACGCTGTCGCAGTGGCGCAACTTGAAGAACTCAGGTGGCTGCACCTTGCGCAGCTCTTCCTGTACCTCGGCCGGGTATTGGCCCATGGCAAAGAGAAGGAGATCATAGTGCATCAAGGAGGCCTTGCCGTGGTAAGAACCACCGGTCTTTGCGCGGTGGTAGAGACCGCTCAGTGCGGCGATGGCACCCATACAGCCAGTGCCATAGTCGGAGATGGGGAACGGGGGCACAACAGGCGTGGAGAGGCCCATGAACTTACCCTGGGCCCAGGCAATTCCGGTGACCTATTCGAGGTTAGAATGAATCCCATTGGATTGAAAAGTTGAGGACTGGAGTAAATAACTTACGCAGTCGGCAATTTGCTGCCATCCAGCGCGACCAGCCCACTCGCCTTCGTATCCGAAACAGTTCTCATTCACGTAGACAATACCCTTGCCGCGCTTCTTGGCCAACTCGGCCATAGCCGCGGCGCCGTAGCCGAGTTTGTCCAGCGCTCCGGGACGGTAGCCATCTACGATAACATCGACGTCATCTAGAAGCTTCTCAAACTCCTTCCTTCCAGCTTCACTCTTCAGATCGAGGTCTGCTGCAAGCTTGCCCATGTTACCATCGACTTGGAAGAATGGAACATCGGAAAGGCTTGGGCTGGTGATCTTTAGAACATCGGCGCCATACTCTGCCAGAATACGGGTGACAGTGGGGCCCGCGATGATACGGCACATTTCCAGTACCTTGACACCCTCGAGGATTCTGTTGCTGCCGTTCTTTCTGGCGGGGAATGGAGTTGGAGGAAGATCACCGGGCAATTTGCTAACTTTCCATGCGGGCTCTTGAACATTGAGTTTTCCCTGTCGAATTATTAGCCTGCTGGTCGTCACACACGGCTTCGTTGAAGACTCACATGTGGTGTCTTAATGAAATCCTCGTGCTTGTAAGCAGTCACACCGGCCTGACGTCTCTCCTTATTCATCTCTTCAAGTTCCGTGGCTGTATAGCGCTGGACCTTGGCCTCAATAACCTTGATAATTTCCTCATAATCAGTCAGATCTGGTCGTTGGCCTTCCAGTCCAATCATGTTCAATGTCGTAGTAGCCTCCAATGATCCATGAATGTGGAAATATTCATCTGGATTCTTGGTCTTGTAAAGATTGGCGGACATACGTCGGTAGCCATTAGATTGAGCAGCCAACAAATCCGTGTCTATTACAGTTAATCTCGATTCTTTCCATGAAGCCCTTCTCCATAGTACATACTCTTCAACTTTGATTTCACATTAGGGTCGAGCTTTGACAAGCCGTCCACCTTTGCCATGTACGCTTGACATCCGAACGCAGTAGCACTTTCGAGATTGACTTGAACCCCGCGAGGTTGCTCACCAGCACCAAATCGCAGATCCGCGATGGCAGCAGCTACAGAGCCCTCAATACCTTTCAAGGCCGCGAGCGTCTCAGTCTCTTTAAATGGAATGGGGAAGTAGATTTCATTGTGGCTGGTCGAGAAGGAGACACGGTCCTTGTTTGCCAGGACCTCAGGTGGCAGGTCGAAACGCTCTGATTGTTCGCACAGCTCCGAAAAGATGCGACTGGTCTCAAGGACCGGAGAGTAGCAGCTTCCTGCCATATTTCTTTCTTTCCTGTAGCAAAAATGAGGTTGATTAGGTTCACAATGTATGTTTCTTTCTCCCGGTTTCTCGAAATCGGATCCACGCCTGCTATACAAGAGTCAGCCAAGAGTGGAAACCCGACGTTATATATGACGAAGTGACGAAGTTGATCTAATCGGGACCCGAGAGTTTGGTCGGGTGACCACTCCCGCACCCGTCGGCTCGTTGTGGCGGATCGGGCTTGTGCTCCCATTCCTGGGCTTTGCGCATTTTGTCTTTTGGTGGAAAGGGTCTCTCTACACGTTGATAGCTTTCTTGAATCTCTCTATTCCGTGCTTTCGCTCTGGCTATTCGAGGTGAACACACTCCCTGCAGAATAGCACATCTCAGACTGCAACCCCGCAGATCCGAAAAAAGGGCTATCCGGCCCCGAGATGAACTTTCGGATGCGGCCAGATCGGATCGGTCGGGGAACTCAGCACGAGGATATGTCCATCCTACAATATAGACATGCATGGACTGAGGGGAGTAATATAATGCGTTCAGTCCATTTTCCGACTCGCTAATTGAGGTCATTGCACTAGTTTAACGTTGATATAAGGCTGAAAGATGACCGGATCCAGTCACATGACGTATATAGAACACCATGGACCATATCTAAGTCTCGAAGACGATACTGCAGTCCGTGAGATCTAGTCCTTGTCAAAGCAAGCATGCAATGTCTTACTTCAACGTTTTAGGTACCGATATTGCATCTGGTAGCGACGGACATGGATCTGGATCCGCTTCATCTATAGATCGGATCACGTGACCCCGCCGATGTTAACCCTGGATCTCCAATCTCCGAACATTTGCGACAATTCCAGTCGGCGATGATGCTACTCCGAACCACATTGCGGCCCAGGGTACTGCGGCTAGCAGCATTTCGTCCCATCCGGCTCAGTTCCACGACCCCATTTATTCACATTCAAGATGGAACCTTCTATAAAAAATACCCAACCGCCGACGACTCGTCCAATCCACCTCTCTTCCCGAACCTGAACTTCTCTCTACCTTCCGAAACGGGCGCAGATAAAGAGCATTGGGCCATTATTGGCCCATCAGATCGAACCGACCTCCTTCATATCCTCCGTGGCCAACACATATGTCTTCCGCCCACTGCGCGTTCATATCCATACCTTCTTACAGATACGATCGCCGCCAAGGACCCACGTTTACGCTCAGTGTCGAATGCGATTCAATACATTGGTTTCAGTGGTGAAGGGTCGGAGGCCATTGGCGGAACCCGCGGCGCATATCTCAGTGCTCGATATGAGAGTCTCAGAGAGGAAACCGACTGGACTGTACTGCAGTACCTGCGTGGACAGACCTCTTTGAATCCGATGGAGGGTGAGGAGGCGGGCACGGTACACGATGAAGAATTCCTTGCTCGGATCATTGCCGACCTCAACATGTCGAGCGTGCTTCACTTGCCAGTTGCGAATCTGAGCAATGGTCAAACCCGCCGAGCGCGCATCGCAAAGGCACTGTTGGGACAGCCTGAGCTATTACTCCTTGACGAACCCTTCAGTGAGTGTTTGGAATCTGCATTTTTTCACTATGACCACTCTAACCTCTGCTAGTGGGATTGGATCCGGCGACAGTGAAGAACATTTCCGAGTTGCTTCATGACCTAGCGAAAAGGTCCGCCCCGCGGCTTATCCTAGCTCTGCGCCCCCAGGATAAGGTGCCGGATTGGATCACACACATGATGATTTTGGGAAATTCGCATCAAATTTTCCTCCAAGGGCCAAGGTCGACGGTTTATGAAAAGCTAGATTCCTGGGCTAATGTTTTGAGCAAGAAGGTCACTTCGAAGAAATCAAAAGCAGCACAAGACAAAATATTCGAAGACGCTGGTATCACGGATAAAGACCTCATTCGAGATCTAGTGGCGCATAGGCGTGACTTAAGATTCCCAGAATTCCAAGCGCCATTAGGCGGAGAGCCAGTCATCGAGATGGAAGGAGTTCATGTCCAGTATGGCGACAAGCCAATTCTTGGTAATTGGGAGCAAAAGATTAATGGCGAAAAGAAGGATGGGCTGCATTGGCGAGTGCGCCGGGGGCAACGCTGGGCGATCCTCGGTGCCAATGGGTCAGGCAAGACGACTCTGCTATCAATGATTACATCCGATCACCCACAGACGTATGCGCAGCCCGTCAAGATTTTCGGGCGATCTAGGCTCCCAGAGAATGGCAAACCAGGAATCTCAATCTTCGAGCTGCAATCTCGAATTGGACACTCGTCACCAGAGCTCCATGCCTTTTTCCCGCGCCAATTAACCATCCGAGGAGCGCTTGAGTCCGCCTTTGCCGAGACTTTCCTCTCTAAGCCAAAGCTGACCGTAGAGCGAGATGACTTCATCACTTTATTCCTGCATCATTTCAGAGCCGAGCTGGATCCAAACTTTATCACGGCTGGGGAAATACCACAAGTGAGCACCGACCACTTCCCCAATCTCAAAAAGACGGCCTGGAGCCGAGAGAAATACACACCCGTGGATCACTATGTCGACTATGCCGACGAAATCCTCTTCGGTGAGCTGACCACCGCACAACAACGTATTGTGCTTTTCCTCCGGACCCTCGTCAACAAGCCGGACATTGTTATCCTCGACGAAGCATTCTCGGGTTTATCCGCGTCGCAGCGTGACAAGTGCTTGTATTTCTTGGAGCACGGCGAGAAACCTACACCTTATACCAATCTCGACAAATTCAAGTTTAATTTCACTGGTCTCACCGAAGACCAAGCTTTGATCATGATCAGCCATGTACCCGACGAAATTCCCGATAGTGTTCGTTACTACCTACGACTACCATCTTCCCAAGGCGCTGGCGCTGATGCTGATGCCGATTCGGTTGATTTCCGATTCGGCATTCTTCGGGCCAAGACGGCTCTGAGAAACCCTTCGACCTGGGATTTAGCCTGGTCTCCATCAGCGGTATTCGCCAAGGAAGCCCGTCGGACGTTCCGCCGCAACCAAAGTGAATTGCCGGTCCAGGATATGTCTGAATTCGAATGGTGGACGATATAGAGATATAGAGATTCTACATCATCATTTGGTCTGGGATCCTAGACGTCTGTTTATACTATAGAAATCGTGTACATTAATCATAACCCAATTTATCTATCTCAACCACGATTCTTCCTCCCCCTGTCGCGCACAGCCTGGTATAACGAAAAAAAGAAAAGGCTAAGATCATCTCCTCGTGCATGCCGCAAGAATGCGAAACTGAACCCACCTCTATCCAACGCACACGTACCAGCTAAGGAATCTCCCCCACAAGGCTCGACCCAGCATCCCCTGATTCCTCCCGATTCTTATCACCTTTAGGTTCATCTTCCCTTCCATCCTGCCACGTAGAGCAATGCCGACAACGAAGCGCCTTGAACAAATTAGCGGAGACGAACAACACATCCAGCGGATCCACTCACCGCTTGACTAATATACTGTTTGCAGTAAGGACACCGAACAGTCGGCTTGATGATCTTCGTGTGCGTGACAAACATGTACAAATTTCCGACCGCGTAGAGAGTCAGACTGACGCCTATGAAATTGAGCAGGGTTTCAATGAACACTCTGCGAAGATACGTTAGAACGAACTGGCTGGAACCAGGCAATCGAATAATCCCATTCCATGGAGCATACATACCCATAAGCCAGAACTAGGGCACCATCCTCTCTCGCCTGGAGCAGAGTGTTATACCCATGCTCATTGCTGTAATTCGGACCCTTGGAAAGCACCGCGAATTTCTCATCCATATTCCGATTCAGGAATGGCAGGAGAGAAACAATCGGTAGAATCAGATCTGAGACAAAAGACGTAACGACTTTCGTGAATGAATTGGCTATACTTTAGAGAGGATCGAGATATCAGCATTTGTCCTCGCACACTCGTATAGTCGTTTCTGCGCAGAGACTAACATCAAACCCAAAGCTACCTCGAGCACATTATCCCGCGCCGCGAAATTAATGAACCCGTCCCACGCATGCCGCACCTGTTCCTGGGCCTTGTGGCCAGTCCGTAGGAGTACGTCGGTGCTTTCGTCTAGGCCGCGCATTGGTGTGGTTGTAGCTCCTCAAGGGGCATATCCGGGTGGAAGTCAGGAGAAAAAGGAGAAAACGCCTGAAACATGGCCGCTTTTTATCGGAGCGTTGGCGTTGCGTGTCATGTGGCGGTGGTTTAGGGCGCGGGGGTATAAATTAGGTAGCTTGGCGCTGCCCAAAAGGCATGCGATCGGCCAGTTGGGGGGGTCCAGTTGGCCTCGATGGCGAGATCCGGGGGGATGATTTGGTTGGGATCTACATTCTCGTATCACTGTGCTGGCGAATTGAAGGGTTTGCATGTTTCGACTCAGCTGATCTGGGGCAGCTAGAGTCGGTGTTTATATGATGATCTCTAATGTTACGGGTTAGACAACGAATACTGCTTTCTTGGACAAGGATCAAATTATATTAGGGTATCGATTGTTACAGATTCCACACCCACTACAATCCTTTGACAGCACGGAATCCAAACAAATAATATTGCCCCGACAGTTGCAAAGCCATATTCTCAAGGAGACCAGCAATCCAAAAGTTCTCCGCCTCGTTACGGAGAACGGACCGTGCCCATTGTTCTAGATCGTACTCTAGACTATCACATTGATGCTCGAAAGGAGTCTGGTCTGCAAGAGCCTCAATGAACCAATATTTGGGCGCCTCGGCGACAAGAGCGCACTTCGGGGCCTCAGCGACCATGTCAAGTCCAGCGTCTTTGACGTCTGCCACTTGGTTCCAGATCCTCATTAGCCCCTCATAAACTACTGATCGATGTGCGATGCCGCCTTGATTTTCCTTTTCTCTGATATAGAACGTTAGGTATTCGATCTCGTCCACGAAATCACAGCATTCCTTTTGGAAGTTCGCTTGCGGTGGCGATATTGGCTCGGTGTTAGGCATCTTGGGGAATTTGGAAGGTTTGATAGGTGTGGAGGTGGTGCTTACCTAGGCTTGACCTTCACCTAGATAGTATATAGTATACGCGAATTGATCACAGGGTAAGTAGGAAATAGTGGACAGGCCTTGTTAGGATACTAAAATCAAGTGGGTTGTTTGGGAATCCTCGGAGGATGGCGAGATAGGTGAGTGATACTTATACTTTGTGCTTGATATTGCTCTCTGTTGCGTATTTGATGTCTCTTTGATGGTGAAAGCAACGGTACCGAAGTCCGTGAAGGATATTGTTTGGTTTATTTTTGGCTAGGTCTGCGGTTCTTTCATTTCCTCCAATCAAACTATATTGAAATAGACGACAATACCATTGCTGGTGACTCTTAGTTCCTAAACAAAGATGCAGAGTATGCATATGAACAAAGATAGCAAGCCGATTCCGGCTTTCGCAAGGGAGACAAGGCTCAATGAAAAGGCTGATATTTTGCATTCCTTCTAGGAGGTATTGGGAGGTAGCTACTTTATTCTCCAGGCTATTCTAAAGTAGAGATCTCCTATAAACATCGATTTTGCAAGCTCGTAAGACGTATAACGCCCGAATAGATGCTGGTAGAGTGGCAAACCGTTATCTAGTACATCATGAGACTACCCGTGAGATTGACTCTAGGATATTTATGGTGAATGCCACCTCTTCAGCGAAGCATCGCATTCGTAACAAATCAAGACGGTGGCGAGCCTTATTCTGTGATGCGCTTATCCTACCTTATACTACCAGACTTCGAAACAAACTATTATGTAGACGTGGCTTGTTCGAGCCACAAAATCGTATTATACTTAGAATAAAGAAATAAAATGAATGAATAAAAGAATAAAAGAATGCCAAATCCCCTCCAAGGATAAAAAAAGAAGACTCCAGATCCGTATAGGTGTATATGTATAATTGAACCTCTCCTGCGTCAAACAGCAGACTGGTTATGCATCGGTGACTGGCCCAAATCACTGCTGGAGTCGGTAGAATGACTCTCATCGCCAGTAGGGCTAGGTGAGTTTCGTGGCCAGCCACTCTTCTCTGCAATCTGTGACTGGCTGCTTCTGTTTGCGTTGTTGCGGTTGCTGTTACTGCCGTTGGTGCCAGATCGGCCAGATATTCTAGACCAGACCTTGGTGTGCAAGACCTTGAATAGGGGTCGCATGTTCGCTAGACAAGCTGCGACGATTCCGACAGCGGGCTCGATGCATGTCCACACGCTTGCGGGGACTTGGTTATCTGGTTTGTACATCAGTAGTGTTCCGCGTAGATGGGGTTTGTTATGGATTTCTGCGTACAGGTAATGTCAGCGCCCATTTGGGAAAGCTCAATGAGGACAACGAGACGGATGATGTCGAAGATGAGAGTCCTGTCTTGGAGTTAGTAAGGATCTCTATTATAAAACCCAGAGTTGTTGGAGCTTACAAGAATCCCAGAACGAAGATCCCGGAAAGACCCAGCTTCTGAGCTTTGGAGATGGGAAGACTCCACACGATGTGAATCGGCATCAGGAGAATGATTGCGTCAGTCAAGATGTTGGGGATCTGAAGGCCATAGTAGAACTTTGATAGGTTCATACAGCCACCTGGTAGCTCGGGGTGCCAGAGCTTTTCGGTTGGGATGCAGGTAAAGCAACCGGCGACAATGCCACACGCAGCCCACAAGATCACAATCATTGATACAACATTGACGGAGTATTTCATAGCCTTGATGGGGAAGATTCTTCGGTACAGCATCAAAATAGATAGCTTGATGGATGCAATGCAGCAGGTATAGAGAATCGATCCTGTGAACAGTGTCTGTGGTTTTATCAGCAATGATCTTGCAACAAGAATGCGGATGCCCTCCCGTACCTTGAGGTAGATAACGATCTGTTCGGGGCTGACTTCGATGATATGGGTTCCGAGTCCATTGTATAGCACTGCTATCTGTCAGCTAATGACTAGGTTTGTTGAGAGGAGTTCCAACTTACACACAACTCCCGCTATCGATATACCATATTCAAAGATCTAATGAACGTTAGTAGCGAAATATATAAAACTCGGAAAATATTGCTCACCAAGGCTGATATAATAAGCCAATCATCCAGGAAAAGACCACTTCCATTGATTGCGCGCGAGACAATCCGGAAGCCAACAGCAGTCGTCGACAAGATGAAAGCAAAGCAAGTCGAAGTAATAACCACATGGCGCAAGTTATCATGGCTATAGCCATCGGCCGTCTGACCCAATGTATCCACCATATTGCAGGTATCACAGAGTGGTCTGTACAATTATAGGGTTATTTTTTTAAATGAATGAAAGCGCCATTCACGGCACGGTGAAGGAGTCCTCGATGTAATATATGCACAGAAACCAATCTATGGAGGGAAGGACCGAAAGGGGAAAAAAGGCAAGACAATGGACATGTCGCAAAGTATATTAACCCTGACGATTGCAATTATCTCGAATGACTGCTCGCCCGCAGGAATGGTTGCCGGGTCGCTAACGAGGCAAAAGAAATAGATGTATCCCGTCCTTGCTTCTTAGCAGCCGATCAACGTCCGTGATCTCCAACTAGTCGGAGAACACCCCACTCTCGCCCTTGATTTGCGAAGGCTTGGACGTCGGACTTTTCTGGGGAGGAAGTTCCCATGCCTGAACCAGCCTCTAGGAAGACATCCCACATTCCGACCCCAGTGCATCGGCTATCGTGCTCATTTTCGACATACATGTTTGCCATGCGTTCCCCGTTTTGTACATGGCCTTGCATGCCAGGTGGCTAGTGTGGCAATGTGACATTGTGGAGTCTCCAATGTCGGTTAATATACTCCGTACACACAAAGTACTCCGTACAGAGTAGATAGTAATCCGGATTGTGTACTCCATAGACAGAATTGGTGGGCCGTTTTGTAGATTGTAGTGGCGCATCGACCCGATGGCCTGGAAAGGTTGAGCCGCCTGTCTGGTAGGTCCGATCCGATCATGTCAGTTTCTTCAGGCCTCGACTTGATACATCGCAAGGACTATATTCTATATTGGGTCCTAGTATTGCTTTGCCACCTCTCAATGTGAGAGTGGCCCGCTGTCGTCGTTGTCCTGTATATCAGGGGTCGGACTTGCTGGTTGTGTTTGGTTGTTTCTTCATTGAGAGTTTAATGGTTCCATCTTTGGCTGGGAGTAATTGGCAATTGGCTGAAGAGACCCAAATTATTGATCGGGAAGCATTAGGGGATGTGTGCACCGAGACCTTTGTTGCAGAGATATAACGTACGCGTTTGAGCAGGTGCATTGTATCATCAGCGCACCAGCATCAATTGGATTTTCATTCTTCTTGTGTCTTTTGTGTGCCTCGGCCGAAGAAACTGACTCGAGGTCACCCCTCAATATCCTCGTTGTGGGGGTTGAAGTGGCAATATGATGCATCACATTTCACCAGCTGCATGCAATTAATCTGCAACATTTCCAAGTTAGTGAACTTATTCTATCCTTCAACGTCAGTTCTCCGAGTAAACTTCTCGCTTTCGCGCCGTAGCTTGGCGATCATGACCAACTGCGTACAAAAATTCGCGTAAATCGAGCATTTCGAAACATATCAGATGATATACAACATTATATCATGATCCATAAGCTATATACACAAAACATGACACGGTCGGAATTCCGGTTTCCCGTCAGGAATAGCGTGTTATCTTGAGGCGCCATACGACATCGGTGCGGGGGTGATATATGGCGAGAGCAGAGTCGTTCCTCGTTCCCTCGCTGCCCGGGCGCGGGTCTCCTCACGCTTCTGAATCTCCTTCTCGTCTTGAATCAACGTACAGCATGTAAAGCAACTTGCCCGCACGCAGTCTGATGCGATAGTACCCTGGATTCCATAGGTCTTTCTCGTTCTGGTGTGTTGGACAGTTGCCAGGAGCCCTGCGTGATTGTTAACATTGTTATTCCTCCCCTCAGCTGCTACATCGCAAATTTTGCTTGAGCTTGGACCTTATAACTGGACTTACATTGACATCCACAGAGCAGTCCCATCGCGGTGCATGACCCATTGCATGTCTCATAGCCGAGAATGTTGGTCGGGTCTTCCTTTCTGGATTTCATTGAGAGTCGGTGTTGTGTTCTTCCGTATAAAATACAGGGACATATTAATCCGAGACAGCAGATTCCGAAGTTCGACAACTCGCACAGCCCATTGCTCCACCCCCCTCCCATCACCTCTTGGTTTGGATGAGGGGTTTGGCCGGGTTGGTGGTATGCGCTCAGATCATCCGGAGAGGGAGCATGCGAGGCTGCTGCCCTCGTAGGAGGGGGGAAATAGGGCGATTTTGGCGACTGCAGAGGATTGGAATCTGGGCCAATTGTCATGGCCTCAGATTGTGATGATGCGTCAGGGTTTAAGGCCTTCAACGGGAGTGGGCCTGGTGAGCTGGGGGGCGAGACAGGCGGTTCGGTATATGAGAAATAGGGCTGAGAAGACGTCTGAGTGGCGCGCTGTTGCTCGTGGAAATCGATGTATGATTGCGTCTCATATGGATTGCCCACATGTGAGTTCGAATGCGGAGGCATCGGGACAGCATGCTGCGATTGCTCGGGTACGTGCGCATACTGAGGAGATATGGACATGCTACTTTGTTGGTGCCCTTGATGCTGTTGTTCTGATATCTTGGTATATGGCTGGGGTGTATACGACCGAGGAGACATCGTGTCGTGTTGTGGTTGGGCTAGGTTTGTATATGATTGTGCATAATCTTCGGTGCCATATTGTCGGTCTTCGGACGCATTCGAATACAGCTGCAGAGGCATTGAAGCGCTGTGCTGGAGCTGTGACTGGTGGCGCTGTTGGCGCTGCTGTGCTTGAACCAATGGCGCATAATTGGCCGGGTGCTGCTCCAGGGGCGGGCAGTTGGTATAATCTGGCATTATTCCCTGATGTTGCAATTTAACCTCCTTCTCACTCGGCGCATATGACCATGCTCGCTGTCGCGTTTTCTGGGGCTCGTCTGTCGCAGGATGCTCCGGCGGTGCGCTCGAGTCCGCTGGGGTCGGCGACGATAGCTCCCGTTGGTGAGATTGCGGGTGCATTTCGAGCGGTGTTTCCATAAAGGAGTATCTTTCGTTGCTGTCACCACTCAGCGTGGTATCCACGTTCAAGCGACTCATTGTAGAGGAGCTTAGGGCCCGTTATCGGATATGGATCTCACTTCGATCGTCCAGCCTTTCTCGACCAAGAAGATTTCAATGATAAACCTGGTTGATGAAATTTTGTATAACAGAGCAGATAGGCGAGGTCGCGGTTGTATGGCATGCGACTCTCAAGAGCACATTTGCGGGCATCAGCAAAGGTGATAGTAAACAGAAGAGCCGGCGTGCTGTTAGATAAGGCGAGACTGATCGACCAAGGGAAATGGGACGTATAAGCTCTGGGGGCGTTCGCTACAGTGGAATCTAACCTCCAATGTGAACGGAGGCGCATGGTGGAAGGCAGCTAGCATCGAACTAGGACCCGAAGAGGAGAGAGTGTCTAAGGAGCTTCGCAAGCGGGGCGTACGAAAGTAAGAGCTGTGCGGGGATGCGAGCATATGAGTGGTCTGAGAGCTTTCTTGCTCCGTTTCAAGCCACCTGGTTCGTCAGACTGAGTTGTCCTGAGTGTTGGCCCTAATGCATCTGCTTCACATCACTGGGGTTTCTGGTTGGGCTACGACCCGCCCGGCGCCTCCCGTTGGGGGATCACGTTTTTCCATCACAATCACATCCCCGGCGCTGTTGGTATTGGCCTTGTGATTCTCCTCGGACGAAATTTTCTGTCATGGATTTAGATTGTATACAACCGTACGTGCTCTTGATATTGTACAGTTACGTTGCAAATGATGCAACCCGATGGAGCCATCACCTTCCCCGCTATGCCTATTTGGGACTGGCGTGTTGGCGAACCAGGAACACCGATGTATACCTTCAAGGATATGCCCAGCACACATACCTTATGTACATACTAGGGAAATGCCATTCCCTTTTTCCGATGGTCTCTTTACTTATTATATCACAGTCCTACATAATAGCCCTTGTGCTAACCCAGTCTCTTTCGCTCGTTGAGCTTTTTCATCTTCTCAACAGCATGCCACCCCTGGTCAATTCTAACCGCTATACCCGATTTCTGTATGCACATCATGATTGAGTTCCGTGCCACTCTCATCCACCAAATGGGTCATTTTTTGAGAGCGACTGGGGTATTGTCCGGAACTAGCTACTATCACTTGCTCTGGAGATGCTCAATATCGAAAATCATGGGTGTTTTGCTATCACCAAGGTTATGCACAATGCAACCGGCACAAAAGGCTCATGAGTTCATGTCCGGGAAGTCTGTCATGAGGAAACTGCGAATTTAAGCCTAACCCTGGTAAAACCTAGGCATCATTGGGATTTGACCTCAAGTCGGGTCAAGGATAACTATAGATGGTCGTTTGAAGCTAGGCCCGGCCATCAGTTCGCCTTTGTGCTTTCTGGGAGACCACTAATAAATATAGATACCGCACGTTAACATGTGGCCAGAATTGAAGCCTCAAATCTGTTGCTGCCGACGATATCGATCTATGATGGTGGGTTACGAAACTCCGGCATTAAGATGTATAGAGGCCTGCTTCAGCGGAAACCAGCTGAATTCAGATTTAGGAGATAGATTCCGGATCACTATCCACTTTTACACAAACTCAATCTGGATTATAAATTCATCTTTCACAGATTTCTAGTTGCAAACAACATTCTATTGATTCCGGATTTCGGAATCAGACTCCGGTCGTCTCATCCACAGTCGGGCCCAACTCCGGGGTATGGATCTATAGACGCGGAGCACTCATGATCAATGACGAAGATTCCCCTTATATATGTTCTCGCACCATCATTCAGGATTTCTCAATCATATCATGCTAGCAAAATCACACATTCTCTAATCTCAACTTGGACAACTCACATCTTGCAATGGCCGAGCCAAGGCCTTATACCTCAAAAGGGCCTCCTATGGACTCCTCCGTATCTCTTCCGACTTCTTCGGTGCACGTACAGGACGGTGGAGAGAAAGGCTCCTCTAATAATGATGTAGAGCTCAAGTATGAGTATCCTACAGGCCTGTCACTCACCTTGATTCTCACATCAGTTACCCTGGCCTATTTCCTATTTTTTCTCAACCTTGCCGTGATCCTTACGGCCACACCAACCATTGCGTCCCAATTTGACTCCCTAGTGGACATTGGCTGGTAAGTACATGCCGATTCATTTCTTCCACCACTACAAGCTGCTTTAAGCTGCTTTTAGGGGACACTGACCCATTTCTCTCCAGGTACGGCGGTGCCTACCAGCTTAGAAGCGCAGCATTTCAACCTTTGAGCGGCAAAATCTACAGCTAGTTTTCTATTAAGGTATTCCTTGGTCTAAATTCTTTTTTCTTTCTAGCCAGTAAGGCAAATTCTGATAACACCGCCATGCAGGGGATGTTTCTTACCTTCTTTTTTGTTTTCGAGGTTGGATCTGCAATATGCGAGGCGGCACAGTCGTCGCCAATGTTCATCGTCGGTCGTGTTATCGCAGGCATCGGGTCTGCTGGAGTAGCTAACGGCGCTATGATAACCATGTCCCCGGTTCTTCTAATAAGGAAACAGGCGGTCTTTATGGGGCTTAACATAGGTATGGGCTAGCTTGGCCTTACAACTAGCCCCATTATAGGAGGGGCTTTTACTATAAATGTTTCCTAGCGGTGGTGGTCGTTACCTTCTATCATGTATTGAATATCCTAACCCAAGAGGATAACTCTCCTATATTAGGCTTTTATATCAATCTCCCTCTAGGTGTTGTCGTTAGCGGATTCCTTCTCTTTAATCCTATCCCCGATAGAAACCCACGAGCCCACCGCTAAAGATTTTGAGCACGGCTATTAAATCCTTGGATCTCTCTGTTAAACTGAGCTAAATCTGTTTGTTTATAGTACATCTTCGCACCTTGGGCGTCAAGACGCTGTGCGATGGACACCTCAGATGGAAGAGGCGCTTCGAGTCATTACAATAAACAAGTCATGTCCTACGGATCAATTATTTACTTCTCTAGTGCGCCTGCAGCTATTAATACAACGAGCGGATGTCCGACAACACGATAAGAGGGATTATGCTCGCGCAGGAGCAGCTCCTATAGCGGCCTCTGTTCCTCGATTGTTGTATCTCAAATCTTTACGAAGACGACTATATGAGCTGAAATCTACATTTCCCCCAGATCTTCACTAGATAGATTAGTATATGTCGTTTTTCGGGCAAATGGCTTGGCCGAATTTCCGACGCTGCGGGATCGCTGATATATATATCTGGTGACTAAGTAGACATTCTCTATACACACGCGCAATACGTTGAGTTATATATAAATTAGCTAGATTTTTCTATGAGCCAAAGCCCTCTATTGGATTTCCCTGGAAGAAGGGGCCACAACGGGATTATGCTGGGATTCGAACGCTGCGAGTGCTTAGGGCAGTTAGTTGAGAATATCAAGTCGGGGGTGGAAAATTTCTACCGAATTCTATGCCCGAAAGTTGTCGGTTAACCCTTCTATTTCTGTTCTCAAATGATTCTTATTATCACCCTGTTAAAATATCTCTCCACCCTGAGCGATGCGGATTGTGATTGCCAAGCGGTACGAAACACCGTCCACATCATATCAACCCTGGAGAGTATGCTCCAGAAACTGGAACTTGGTAGCAAGGAACCCGAACTTTAGTGCGACGACTATTTACTCCGATTTTTGTCTAAGCTTTTGACTCGATGTCGGCTGTGGGCTGAGGCCCGGTGGGATATGGCTTCCCAGGTACAAGTGGAAACTAGGCCGGGCCGGAGTGCCAACCCCGACACAACCTCTCACCACCACGATGTCCTAGATCTCGATCAGATGGTCTGGATGCACTCGATGGATTTGGGAGCTGATCAGTGGTTTGAAAACGTACTGAGTATACCTGCGACATTCTAGTAGGTCCAAGGTTGTTGCTGGGAATTCTTTATCGTCTTTGGTATGGCTCTAAGCCCTATTGGGGTCCCTCCCTTTTGCAGATATGGCATATGAATGTGTTGTTACGAAATACGCGAAATGATTTCCATAGGGCTCGGATTCCAACGCCGAACAAAGAATATTCGCCAAGCAGGCAGCAGTCCGTTGAATTCTACTGCGTAGGTCCTTTGGCTGAATGTTTGGAGGCGTCTTTTGGAGCCAAGTGGGGGGCACTTAATCTCGGACAAACCAAAACCAAAGCGGATTAAGGGCTTTTTTAGTTTCTCTTCAGACTCTGGGGAAGTCCCTGAGCATCTCCATTTAGCCCGGGAGCTTAAATCATGACTCCAACACACAGTAGCATTGGGCCATTCTGCCCAAGAGCGAGATCAACATAACACAGGTCATTCAAAATGATTCGGGGGAAAACACCTATGAACGACCGCATCGGCTGCACGGCACGCATTGAGTCCAATGATTGGCAGAACGTCATGCAGGATACGGAGTATGTGAAATCAAATCAAAGTGACAAACTGACTGCCCTCATTTCAAGTTGGAGTACGGCGATACGGCGGTACACTACGGACTACGAAGGACTATTGGAAGAAATATGAGGTCTCCAAAAGCCTTGACACATATCATCTGGAGAAACTTCCAGTTGGTAGCACCCAATGTGATGAAGCATCCTCGTGAGAATCCCCTGCCAATCAAGAAAATCTCACATTCCGAGGCCTCCGGTTCCTGAGCTCGAGTGGTATCTGTGCCATGTGGACGTGTTGGAAGGGATATATTGTAGTCATTATTGCCCTTTCACGGAGTACAGAGTATGCCATCGTGGCTTCAATACACCGGGGACCCTGGTAGACAGGAAACATCGTAAGACGAACAAAGATGAGGTTGTACGAAAGTGAGAGTTGATTCCCATGAGTACTTGTAGTTGCTGTATCGCATTCTAAGAGAACGGAGGGGGGGCGACAGACACCTGGAATGAAGTTGTAGTGAAAGAGAAAGACTCAGGAGCAAAGAGGCAAACTCCCCGTTCTGATTTTTTTTTTTTGCCCGGTGACTTCATCTTTCACCATCTTCCCCGTTCCACAGCATCTCTTCTTCTTTTTTCTCCACTTTGGAGGTCACTTTCCACATCTCCCTTTTCTTCCCTCAAACTCATCTCGGACTCTCTGTGTTTAGGAGGCTTCATTTCAAAACAAAGATCGGATCCACAATTCAAGGGCGGTGACGGACGATCGGCGCCAAAGGGCTGTCTTGGCCCAAACTCCCATTTAGGTTCTTCGATTCCTCTCTATTCTCTTGCAGCTGTTCTGATCCCGGCATTCCGACCGATTTGCGGTCAGCTCTCTCCACCTGTAAGATCTCGCCTTGCCCAAACGTGGGCCAAAACTCCTTCCCTTGTCTCGAAACTCGCATAGAAGACCAATTTCTCTAACTTTCGCCTCTTGTCGTGACGCCAGTTCCCGTCTAGGTAGTCCCCCATTAGCCCAATCCTATCTCTCCAACGACTACGAGCCCAACCACTCCGGTCTCCGCTTCCATACCACCCCGACCTGTACTTGTCCAATGTCCTACCCATGTCAAATTCGCCGTCCGTTCCCGAAGATACCTTGCCTAATCCCCTGGTGACACCTGCTGCGCCTGCCCAACATGATTGCTCTAAGGATGTTATCCAAGGACGGAGCCCACGTCACCACTTACGGCAGGGCCAGCATCTGTCCCAGGGGCCGAGGGAGGTGTCATCCCCATCGCGGGCGGAGTCTCCCACGGCTCAATCCTGGTCTCAGCCCGCCTCTCGATTTGCTCTAAAGAGAACCGCAACCACACCCCCAGAAAATACCGCGCAACCAGATATTGCTTACAGGCCTCAGCTGTCAGAGCGCGACAGTATCTTTGCAACTCATTACCTCCCCTCAGACAGTGGCGCCAATACTCCACAGTTACCCCCGAAAAGGCCTTGGGCAATGAGCGCCAGGTCAACTTGATACCCAGGCTCGATGATGCACCCGTGTCTCCAAGTCCATTCCCCAAGGTCTCTCCCCACCATTTTAACGTCGACCCTTCCCCCATGGAAGTTGACGTCCACAGACACTCTCCACTGCGCTCCTCCGCCCTCTTTCCATCTTGCGATGTTCCCCGTTTGTCTCTCCTGCGCGCATCGACCTCGCCAACTGATGTTTCCAAGAGTCCGAATTTAGAGGCGAGCGTGCAGGCACATTTGAGCGGATCCCAGCGGCACAAGGTGCCATTGGATGACACAGGTACGAATGTTAATCATTTTTATGGCACTTTACCTGGACATAATCTCCTACCATCTGCATTAGATGATGTTTCTCGTACTCCACACGGTTTGAACATCCGATCCTCTGGCCACGAGGGCGCCCAGGTCAGTCGGGATTTCTTATCCTACAGTCCTAAGAAAGAAATTCCCCCATCCCATGCTGTGGTTGAGCGAAGCCCAAGCAGAGGCCGTCGTGGCCGAGTTGACAGTTCGATTGAAGCCAATTTGACCAATGCAGAGCCGGCTTCTAACGTGCGCAGCCGTAAGTCTAGCCATTACTTGGGGCTCTTCAAAGAAAATACCACTTCACCTGATCGCAAACGGCCACATGATGAGACATCGGAGTCACGGGAGGGCGTCATTGAATATGAACAGGAATCACATCGTTCAGAGCCAGATATTTCGCTTCGTAAAAGCATCTCACTTCCCGTGCTTGGGGAGGGTCCATCTCTGGACCCCCAACTCCAACTGAGCTTTCTTTGAACCTACAAGACGATGAGCCATCTAAGCGCCGTCCTAGAGCGCTACCGCGCAGCCTGCTTGAGGAGATCAGAAACTTTCACCTCACGCCTGGCGGTTGTCGTGGATCTTCTTTCTCGAGAAGCATTCCGACTCAGTACTCAGAGCGCAGCAGGGACTATTTCCAAAAGGATCCCCATGTTGGAATATCTCCAACTGATTCTTTTGAGCAAGAGGAGCGTCGGGGATCTAGGCAATTTGGGGTTGAGGAAGAGGAAAATGAGCAGATCTCTTCTGCCGTTTACTTCCCTCACGAGCGCACGGTGCCTGAAGGGGTTGATGGCATACAGCAATATCCAGAAGGCCCTCATGATGTACAACCTGTTCAGTTGAAACCTGCGGATAAGGGCCATGAGCTGCTGTTAGTGCCCCAAGAACGTAGGGAATCTCCCGAAAAGAAAATCAGCCATGTGGATATATCCTTTCGATCTAAGAATGAAAATAAGATCCTTTATGGCAATATTCATTCTCCGCGCGAGAATCTGCCAGACAGGCCGTTGAGTATCATCTCTGAACACACCTGTGGTTCAACACATGGACCCGATGCCGATGTTCCATCAGCAGATGAATTTACACAATCTGCCTATGATGACATTGATGTGACTGACGAGGCGGAGACTCCAACGGCGACACCGACCCCAAAGTCTCGCCTTCTTTCTCGCCCGAAACCTCAACCTCAACCCCAACCTCCTGGGCCTCTGGGTGCTGTGGAATTGAAACCCTATCGACATCAGGTTGGTGGGCACACCACAGTCTTCCGTTTCTCCAGACGTGCTGTATGCAAGCAATTGAACAACAGAGAGAATGAGTTCTACGAACGCATTGAGCAGAGACACCCGAATATGCTGCTGTTTCTTCCTAAGTACGTAATCCTCAACCGCATAAAAACAAGCAGTTGGCAGTGTGATGAATACTAATTTTTCGGTGTAGATACATTGGCGTGCTGAACGTCACCTTCTCGAAAACTTCCAAAAAGCCAAAGGATCAGGTTAGTTCCGCTAACGGGAAAACTCAAGATATGGCAGTCGCCAATGGAAATTCAGCTCTCAGTGCTCAGCTCCTCGCAGAGCCGCAAGAGCCACAGCGCATTGTCAGTCAATCCCAGGTTACAGGTGTGATCCCCAAGGTTATCCTTGAGAACAACCGACATATCATTCCTGCCGATCTTTTTACCCGTCAACAGCGACCACGAACGGCGGATGCTTCAGTGAACCGCGCACGGTCGATGGACGGTCTTCAGGGCATGTCAGCAGAGTCTGACTCATTGGCTCTGAGCAAGCGGGCTAAGATCTGGGGCGCTACCACTGTGAATCTCAAGCTTCAAGAACAAGTTCTCCGCGAAGTGTTCAGCCCTCCAACCATTCATCACCACCGAAGGCATGCTCGGGGCCACGTTCATCTGCCAAGAGCTAATTCCGACATGCCGGTCACCCAGCACCGCCGAGAAAACCTGTCTGAAGATCGTACAGCTAGTAGTCGACGGCCGGTCCCTGGCAAAATCACGGCTCTGAAGACAGAAGCGGTTGACATTGTGGTCTCCCCTTGTGAAGGGCCTGCTCTTTCATCGTCGGCGTCGACTGCCCTGGATACCAATCCAAACCGCTTAGAGAAGATCCGGACTGAAGAGGAGCCTAACCGAGCAAGCTCGCTTTCTCGGGCTTCCCATTCTCATGCAAGACGACGGCATTCTGGAAGTGGTCTCGAGAGACGCGGGAGTATAGACTCTCGAGGTAATAGGGAACTGATGTTCTTCGATGACGATGGTTATGGCGGCGATAAGGAGGATGAGATCTTTTCTATGGAAGCTGATTGCTCTATTCCTTCAACTTCATCTTCTGCCACCAAGAGCTTAGCCTCCACGGCGTCAGACAGTACCTCGACCAGCGATCCCCACCCTACCGAAGGATTCGTTTCCGGCAGGGATTCTGATTCTTCCCGCTTGCAGCCAAAGGAACCTGTCAACTCGATCTTGCCCAGCAATCCGAAGGAGGCACAGTTGAGAAAGGATGAACGAGTGCAATTTTTCCTTCTTCTCGAGGATCTCACAGCTGGTATGAATAAACCCTGCGTGTTGGACCTGAAGATGGGCACCCGGCAGTATGGTATAGAGGCGAATGAGAAAAAGAAGAAGTCTCAGCGCCGGAAATGCCAGTCTACCACTTCACAGCAGCTCGGCGTGCGACTCTGTGGCATGCAGGCCTGGAACGTCAAAAAGCAAGAATATATCTTCGAAGACAAGTATTTCGGGCGAGATCTGAAATCCGGTCGCGAGTTCCAGGATGCGCTCACGCGCTTCCTTTACGATGGGGTCAATTATGCCAGTGTGGCCAAGAAGATTCCTATCATTCTAGAAAAACTCGCGCTGTTAGAGCACATGATCCGACAGTTGGATTCTTACCGTCTCTATGCTAGTAGTCTCTTGATTCTTTATGATGGAGAACCATTGTCTCCTCAGCAAGGACCACCTCGTTATACTGGCGGGCACTCGCCACTCAAACGTGGTCCGTCCGGTGATAGCCACAACAAAATCGATGTTCAACTCAAGATTGTGGATTTCGCCAACTGCGTCACTGGCGAGGACAAACTGCCACCGGATACACCATGTCCCCCTCACAACCCGCACGACATCGATCGTGGATATCTGCGTGGGCTCCGCACGCTCCGTATGTATTTCCAGCGGATCATGAAAGAAGTCAGTCTCGATGAGTTCATCGAACGAGGTGAAGGTGAAGCGATTGCACTAGGCTCCCAACCTGCGGCGCGCGAGAGACCGTCTGACCAGTACTGGGATGAGACCATGATGGAAAGCGACGCGGGCGAAGTCAGTTTCTAGTTCTCTCATCTTTTCATTTCTGTTTTGTTTCACCCTTTTTTTCACATTGATCTCTCGGCCTAATGCCGATACGTGGCGTTCGGAGGATAGACCATTTCTTCCACATTGGAGCGCCAGCATTCATGCACCAGTGCCTGACCTCGTCTGATTGGCGACGGGCACTACGAAATAACGACCCGCCCTTCATCATGGCTGCTTCTATGATCCCCGTCAACGCTTGGATGCATTTAGAGTCGTTTCCTTTCCTCAATTTGTTTGTTCTTTTCACAGCAGCCTCTTGCTTTTCTCGGGCGTGTATCAGTCTCCCCTTCATTTCTCTGTCTTGTTTTATTGATATTGATAATACCCCCCAATGTCTCCAAAGCTTTTCTTCTAATTTTCGGTCTGCCTCCACCATGGGTTCCTCTGATGTTACTCGTATTTTGTACATGGATCTTTGATGTTTAGATGGCTAATTTACCTCCATTCCCCATTATCCGGCGCCATTTCCCTCGTAGATAACGTGACTGCATCCTTGTAGTGAGTCACGTGGAATGACTCCAACTCTCTCCGCTCCGCACCTTTTCCCCTCAACCAGCCTCGGTCAAGGCAGCTTCCTAAGATATAACTATTGCGTCGATAATTTGACAGTGAACATAACTCCCAAATAAATTCACGGCGATCGGAAGCGGCATTCCAATGACGTAGCACGACGACATCGAACAACTCAACTGATTCACCCAGCTGACACCGCCGTCTCCCCACCTTTGGAGCTCCATCACACCCGTGAGTTGGGGGACGACTAACGTGCTCGGCAGGCGTCTCAGAGGGGCCAGAACCTGAACGCCACATCTTCAAACCTTGAAACCTTTTTTATATTCCAAATTTATTCTTACCTAGCCATCTTACACTCCCCGTCCGTGGAGACTCGATCATATAACCCCAGTGCTACCGTGCGGAGAAGGCCAAGCACCATGACGATAGATAAGCGCGATTTCGACGCGAACCGTCCGCTCCTCCATGACCTCGATACATCACAGGATACGGGTGATCGAAGCCCACAGCCCTCCCGATTACGGTCTGGGTCAGGGAATTCACGTAACTCCGATGACAGATTCGGGATACGGAGCGATGACGGACTTTTGAGTGATGTCGTTGAGGAGCTAGTTGAACGGGATAGATTGAAGATGCAGAAGGAGGTTATTCGAGTAGTGAGCTTTGGTTGGGGCATTGTGACTTGGTATGGTTTACCACTCTTCCCGCTGTCATAGTTGTGACAGAATCTCAAATTGAGCTCTGGAAGCTGACTCTTATTTTTCCCGTCATTTTGCAGCTTAGGGGCTGGCAGTATCACTGCTTTCTCTCTGTATGGTCATCTACTCCTTACTCGACTCCATTACTCGCAGCTCCAGGTCAATGCTGTTTCCATCGCTGCGGAAATCGCAATGTACCTACCCGTGCCCTTGTTCGGCTACTTGTGTGATCGGTACAGTCCGTCACCACTATCGTTGCTTTCAGGACTGGTGTTCGGCCTCGGTTATCTCCTTGCTGCATTTGCGTACAAGAGTGGTCCGCCTGTTGATGTTGGCGGGTCTGGATGGCCGTTCTGGGTTATGATCGTGGCTTTCATTGCCATCGGCATGGGAACTAGCTGCATGTATCTCGCAGCGGTGGCGGCATGCGCCAAGAACTTCGGCAGGGGTAAGCATAAGGGCATCATGCTTGCTATCCCCATTGCAGCGTTCGGTCTCAGTGGCATGTGGCAGAGCCAAGTTGGGACGTACTTTTTCTACGAACATCTTGAGGATGGAAGCCACGGTGATCTCGATGTTTTCAAATACTTTGTGTTTCTTGCGCTGCTGCTCCTGACAATTGGTACCATCGGTACATTTGCATTGCGTATTGTGGAAGAGGATGACAAGTATATCGACGAGACCGTTGAAGAACTGGAGCGCAGCGGATTGCTGGAGGAAAGTGACTTCTTCCGGCCGCGGAATGAGATCAGGCAAGCTGCTGAGTACGGCACTTTTTCCGGTGCATTCGACGAGGAGCAATCACAATTGTCCGATGAAGAACGTGAGCAGCAAAGATTAGAGAAAGAACGCGAAGAAGAAGAGCGCCGGAAGAAGAATTGGCTACTGAACTACGAAACACGGGTGTTCCTGCAGGACCAGACTATGTGGTGGCTGGCCGCGGGCTTTTTCTTGGTCACTGGGCCCGGCGAGTCATACATCAACAACGTGAGTTCATCTCCAGAGATATTTTCCGATCTAAGCTAACTCCTTATCCAAAAGTTGGGCACTGTCATCCCGACTTTAACACCTCAATCATATCCTACGGATGCATCACCACCAGCTGGCTCCCCATCAACCCATGTCACAACTATCGCCCTGACTTCAACCATCGCCCGTCTCCTGACAGGCTCGCTATCCGACTTCTTCGCGCCCCCAGCGACACATCTATTCCCTCCGATCCCCGAAGGAGCTCGTCATGGACACACTGCATCCACTACGTCACCCGGCCTCACTCTATCCCGTATGACCTTCCTCATCCCCTCGGCCATCCTCCTCTCCCTAGGCTACCTCCTCCTCGCCTCCCCTCTCCCAATAGCTTACCCAGGAACTTTCAACCTGACAACCGCTCTCATTGGCTTCGGTTACGGCGGCGCCTTTTCCCTCACTCCCATCATCATCTCCGTCGTCTGGGGCGTCGAGAATTTTGCCACGAACTGGGGTATCGTCGCCATGATGCCCGCAGCTGGCGCAGCACTTTGGGGAGTCGTCTACTCAGCCGCTTACCAGAACGCCATGGATCATGGAGATGGTGGTGGCTTGCCCGATGGCCAATGCCACGGCTGGCGATGCTATGGATTCTGGGCTGTTGGCTGCCTAGTGAGTGTTTGGATTGCCGTGCTAGCCTGGTTGGCCGCTTGGAGAGGATGGAAGAAAAGGGGTATCGTTGTTTAAGAGGGAGCTGGAAGCTTCCGGGTTTTGGTTTTAGCGATTAAGAGATTTATTTCGGCCCTTTTCAGTTATATTGGCGTTCATGAGGTTTACACATTTGGTTTGGCATTTTGCATACATTTCGGCGTATCCTTTTGGTTTCTTTTGGTCAGTTTGTCACTTTAGATTGGGGCTTGAGTCTAATATTGAGAAGTTCCAGAGCGAATTCTTATTAGGAGATGCTATGCGTCTAACACTCCACTCATTCAATGGGAATTCAATTATCGATATGTTTCATTGTTTCATTACATACCGCTGCTTCGCGATAAACCAGGTACTCAAAATGTCTGCTGTGGTTGTTGGTCTCAACTTCGTCCGGGAAAACCATTAAGCACATCTCTAAGTCGAGTGGTTTCCTCGGTGAATTTATGGATGATTATACCTGCGTAGATAGGTGCACACTATCGCAACCTGTATGTATGTTATACCTAGGCTCTCTAGATAGTCAAGCGCTAACACGTTCGGGAAGAAAGGCAATCACATTGTGATTAACGAGTAATAGCGAGAACTGCTTTACCTACGTCCGTACCTACCTCTACTATATGCAGATATAGGCTTAGGGCTTCTAGAAGTCCATCGCGCCTTCCCAGGAAGTCAACCAGGAATTCCTGGGAAGGCAAGAGCACCCAAAGGTGCCTGTTGTGAGGAATAGCCGACCCTTACGCTTCTTTCTCCTTCGCCATTTCTCACAGAGCTCATCTTTTGCACCTCCCAGGCTTCTCGCCAATGGTCATTTTCACCACTTCCTATAGCAACCAAACTTCAAGTCACCTTTCATCCAAATGTCCGAATGTCCTCTTCAAATCGCACAGGCACAACAATCAACTGGTCCTACCCACACTTCTATCTCACAATATCTTCACGAAATTGCAAATTGAGGCACAAATATGGCTTCTGTGCAAGATCGTCACGAAGCACGCCTCAAAACGTGGCCCTTCACCTGGACCTTTTGACGCAAAGCTCATCGGTGGCGAAAGTCAAAGCAAAGCCAGCGCAGACGTGACTAGCGGCTAGCTTCAGAGATACAACCGGTATCAACAGAAAGCAATCACAAAACGCCGTCTCTAGGGCATAGCCACTCGACAGACTGCGGTGGACTATTGTGCCCTTGCAAATTCTTGTTGGGTGTCAGGTCGCGTGCTCCCCTCAAGACTGCGAGAATCGGTTGCTCCCTACTATTCCCGTCAGAGACGGTTCGACCTGGCTCGCCCGCTTCTGATGCGGAAGTGGTTGATCTCGAAATCATGAGTCAGGCGTGTATTGAATCATGGACTATTGTGCGGTCCGCGGTGGAGAGAATCTAAAAAAAGGCGACAAGCTGCGACGTATCGGCCCAGTTCCGCCTGAAGATGATGATTCCTTGCATTTCAACGATGGAGAGAGTTAGCTGATTGGAATTCTCGCTTATTCGCGTGGGATGGGCACGCGGAGGTCGACGCATTCAATGGACCAAATCCAAGATAGAGAGGTACCAGCGAGCGAATCACATTATGAGTTGTGTTCATAGAAGTGAGATGCATTGAAGATATGCTCATTTTCAATACAAGTTTGTTTCTACACCTCCGGGCTTTGCTTTTGATGCATTCCGCGATTTTATGCAACCCATGTCTCGGCTCCTGGGCCCGTATATAGCCACGGATATATACCATGCACTACCTGTATCCGAAGAGGCAGATTGATCAATGAGAGCGGTTTGATTTTGAATCCCTTCTCTGCAGACTCCACTGATCGCCGCCTTGGTATCAATATGACTGGGCAACTAGAGCTCCTTGACCCACCACGCATATATAGCTGTGGATTTGGGCTGGATCTCACCTCCGCAACTAGAACACCAGAGTCTTTTAGGAACTAGATATGCACGTTTATGCATTCGCTACATCCGGGGCTTTTCGGGCTAGCGATCTCAGTATTTAATTATTGGGTAAACTGGAAATCCATCCCCAGAGGATAACTTCTACCACTTAAGGGATTCCATCATGTTGGTCAACACTATCATCGCCTCCTTTCTGGGCGTTTCAAGCATAGTTGCAGGTAACCTCCCAGACTTTCTTGAACTACTCCGTAGATACACATAGATTGCTAATAAATACATAGCCCATCCCCACACCGCTCCCGACGAGGCCACAGTTGCGAAGCACCACCATGTTGCCCACAAATGCGGCTCCAAGGTAGCTGGGATGAAGAAGGCCCGTCGAGCCCTCCGCCGTCGAGAACTGTCTGTTGATCCCAGCTCGGAAGAGACAACCTACGAGATCCACGCCCAGGCACCCAAGAAGGACTTCATCTCCAACTGGACCAACATCCTCACCCCGGAGACCAGCAACGGACCATACTTCTACCCTCGAAGCCAGACTCTTCGACAAGATGTCCGCGAAGGCCAGCCCGGCGTCCCACTATCTCTCGAGATCGGTGTCATCGACATTGATACATGCGAGGCAGTAGAAGACGTCTTGGTCGATATCTGGGTAACCACAACAACGCCTTCTTCCTCCAACCCAAACTAACACGATACACGATTACAGCACTGCAACGCCACCGGATCCTACAGCTCCTTCACGGGTCTTTCCCCCAACACTCCCTTCCTCGAAATGTACAAAGAGAACTCCGACGAAAACCAGGACCTCGACCTCCACGCCGGCCTCCCAGACCTATCAGTACGTACCAACACGCAAGACTCTTTACACCCACTAATCAAGAAATCCAGCGCCTATCCACCGACAACGAAACCTGGCTGCGCGGAATGTGGCCCACAGACAAACACGGCGTAACATCCTTCACAACCATCTTCCCCGGCTTCTACGTCCAACGAGCAATCCACATCCACGTCCAGATCCACACGAACTGGACCGTGCGATCGAACGGGACGCTCGTCAATGGCCCCATCGTGAGCACCGGGCAGATCTTTGTTGCCGAGGCTTTGCAGAAGGAGATTATGGCTTTGGAGCCGTATGCTAGCCATACGCAGATTGAGCGGGTGAAGAATGTCGATGATGGGATTTATGCGAATGAGTCGGCTAGTAAGTTGTTGTTCTGTGTGTGGGAGGATTCTTGCTGACGGAGGTGTAGCTGGGGCTATGACGGTTCTTGACACGGAGCCTTTGGATGGGGAGGATTATGCTAATGGTGTTATTGGGTATATTACTTTGGTGAGTTTGTTGTCTTCTGGGGGGGATTGTTTGGGTGCCTGTGCTAACTGGTGGGTTTAGGGTATTCAACGATCGGAGATTCGGGATGGATCTACTGTTGATGCTCGTGAGTTGCTCCTTTTCCTGTTAAATTATGGGTAATTCTATACCCACAGTGCTTGGCTAACGTGTTTATAGTTCCTGGGGTTGATGCATGAATGTGTGAAGAGTTTCGGCATTTCAGCATTTGTATCGAGGGAATTTGGAGGAGTTATGAAGTCAAGATAGAGGTAGTGTGACCATCAAAGCAACAGAGTGGAGGATCAGATTGCCCAGCAAAAGGATTTATTCTCTATTTTGCTAATTAAAAAAAACAATATCTAATTACTCGACCAGAAGATGAGCGAGGCAGAGCCTTGCTCTGCTATTCCAATAATCAAGCGAATTATGATGCAACGCTCCAATTATACGGAAAATCCACGATGCAAGGCTACCCCAATGGTAACGAGAGCCAAAATCAAAGGTAGTGATAACCAAAAGGCCCAAGAAGTACACCTAAATATCCGTTGAGCTCGGGTCGAGCCCAGTGAACACCTTGTACAGTCGCCTACTAGCAGCAGGCCCAATGCGGGCACTCGTCAGGGCACCGTTTTTATTGGCCGATTTCTAGAAGAGTCAGTAGATGTTCGCAGAACTTTGCCAGGTAAACCCCAAATAAAACAAAGTCAAGGTCAATATGTAAGGGACTTGCCTTAATATCCTCTAGCATCATAGCCCCATGCATCCGCATTCCACGAGTCAAATCCGTGACGCAAGGATACTGACATGCTATTCCATAAGCCATAGGAGCAGTCACACGATTGACTTCCTGAATCATCTTGATGAAGGTATCCTGCTTGTCTACGCCAGTTTTCACCTGTCCAGTATCCATACAGAAAGCTGCATTATGCGCCTCTTGTCGCTCACGGCGGTAGGGCACAGTCGATATATGCTCAGTGAAGTTCTTGATCCACTCGGCGGAGTCGGATGGTGTGGTTGTGTGGTGGATGAGACAGGAGTGCGTAACCTGTAGGTCGAGCAGAGCATCCTCGACTGTCTCGTCATCGATGAGGGGCGCATCATCTGCCTTTTTCTTGGGTTTTCGACCTCTACCGCGGCCCGTGGTGGGTTCCTCTGGCGCGGTGGTTTCCGCCATTTGGCGTAGGACTTCGGCTTGAAAGGCTCGGTTACGCGCATTCGTGTTCTTGCGCATAAGAGCAGTGAGGCCTTCGATCAGGTAGATGGGTTTGCAATCGGGGTAGGCGCTTTTGATTCGAAGAACGTGAATTTCTAGCGTTTCTCTCTCTTCTCCTTCTGGCGGCGTCGTCACCATTTTGATAAAGTCCTGTGCTGGTACCAGACACAGCACGTGGTTTTCATTTTGGACGAAAAACGGACATGGCTCCCAGTAACGCAGAGTATTGTTGTACGTGGCATTCATTTTGCGGCGCCATTTGACCACATTGGGAATCACGCTTGCGAAGAAGGTTTGCTGGACTCCTAGTCGTTTCATGAACTCGATAGTCTGAGTGCCGACACTGCTGTCCTCGAGAGTTGTGGCCATGTCAACAATCATCTCAGCGGTGGAGTCCTTTTTGTTTACTTTGAGCTTGTTGACACTGGCGATATCGGCAGCCCGTTGTTTCTCTTTCGCTTTCTCCTCTTTAAGCTTCAGCTTGCGCTCTTTTTCAAGCTGGCGGTCTTGTTCTCGCTGAAGCTTGGCTTCTTCACGTGCTTTAGCTTTAGCTTCTTTATCCGCGGTAGTGACTTTGCTGGTCTTCTTCGCTGTCTTCCGGGGCGCTATTGGTTCATCGATGTCTTCATCGGAGAGGAACTCCGCAAGTGCAGTTGTCAAGCTGACACCTTTCGATTTTCGTGCACCAGGTTTTGCCTTGGAGCCTGAGCTGTTCGTGCTATTTTTGTCTTCCTCGCTAAGACGAGACAATAGGCGAGCAGTTGACTCGGAGAAGATAGGATTTGAGGTCGTCGCATCTCGGGAAGGTTTTTTCAATAGCTCAGAAAATTCTGGTAGCGTAAATGGATCGCTGAAATCATCTATATCACTATGTCCTCGGAAACTCGAGAGTGGGTGCTTCATGGCGTCTTTAATTTCGTCATCATCAAGCGTAATAATATCCAGACTTGTAGGGTTCGGCTTCCGCGATGAGGGCTTTGGTAGAGAAGGACCCGGGGCCGAAGACGTAGGAACAATCGGATCCGACTCTTCAATGCGTGACTTTGATGCTTGTTTCTGCACTGCGGTGTTCAACGGCGGCAAGTCGAAATCATCGTCGGAGATTGAGAACCAGGGCTCTGCTGTAGAAACCGGCGCTCGAGGTTCATTTGGCGTTGTGCTTTTTCGTAAAGATGAAGTGTCACGGTCGCTCACTCTCCGCTTCTTGGCGGGCTGGTCAAATATTTCGTCATAGTTCAACAGCGATGTATCGAATGAGTCCGATGAGATCGGATTGAGGTTGTGGGATGGGCGCCGCGACGGAAGTTCGGCCGGCGGGTTTGATTTCGGTGGCTGAGGCTTAGATGGAACAGGGGGATCTGAAGATATGAGGTCAATGATTTCGGGCATTTTGACAAGTACCAATGCCACTAGGGCAGGCGACTAGGATAAGACTGGTCGATGGAGGGGGACGCGACGTCACCGCGTACAAAACACGAGGTCATGTGACCAATATGGGACAGTGGCGGTTGAAGTGAGATTTGATGAAGAATGTACACACGACAGAGTAGGGAGGAGATATTCCCAAGCTTAAGAGTAGAAAGCAGGTTAATGTGTAATACAAGTGTGGTATTGAATAGACTGTGGATTACATCAATTGAAGCAGGATTGCAGCCATCACTGCAAGAACAGCCCCAATCAGAGCAAAAATGGCGAAGACCTGTTGCCATCCATTGAACGGCCTTCTCTCGGCGTTAAGCATGGTGGTAATTTCTTCTTCGAGCCTATCGCCCATAGCAGTGAGCGAGAATTTTTCCTGTGCCCTCTTCTTGCCAGCAAGAGCCATGCGTTGAGCATCCTCTTGGCTCAATCTGTAAAGAGCCTTGTCCATCACAGCAGTCCATTCTTCATCTGCGTGGGCATCGCGGAGCCAGCCCGTTTCGCCCTCCACAATCGTCTCCAGTGGACCGCCGGTGTTTGATGCTAGTACTGGGAGACCAACGCGCATTGCCTCGACGGGTACAATGCCAAAGTGTTCATTGATTGGGGTGTAGAGAAGGAGTTTCGATTGCGCCAACAGGGTATCTTTGAATGCGGTGGGAACTGAAAGAAGAAACAGGACATCGATCGTGTCGGGGATTGAAAGTGCAGAGAGGACTGTCTTAGAGGTCGCGGTCTCCAACCCGAGACTCGTCGCAAGCTCGTCCAGCTCTTGGTGATACTGAACATTCTCCTGGACACGATTGTCGTAACCGCCTGAAAAAATCCCATGTTAGAATCCACTTAAAAACGGGTTTTATGTAGACATCCTTACCAGCAATCACCAATCGCGTCCCTTCCCTTTTCTCTGCCCCTAATCCATTATACGCGCGAATGGCCAACGCCATATCCTTCTTACGCTCGAAGCGATTGATGCTAAGCAAAATCTTCTTTCCACCCCAGAGAGGATCCTCCTCCACTTTCTTGGGTTCTGCTACCCCCGCATCCATATCGACACACGGATAGACCACTTCCACATCACCCAGCCGGTCCGAGCCAAAAACGCCACGTACAACCCCACGGGAGAATTTAGAATTAGCAACGACCCGATCCGACGCACTCATAGCCCAGCCTTCAAACCAGTCAAACGGAAACCGGTACAGCATCTTCGCCAACCGAAGAAGCGACCCGCCCTCATCTCGACGCGCAAGCAATTGATCCGGGAAATGACAATAAAACAGAATGCGCTGGCGTCGGGACTCGCGCGGGCGGCCGAATGATTTCAATAAAGGCACACAGGCCGGTAACTGGTCCACAATGAATATATCGTCACAATCTTCCTCGTCGGTGGCTGTCTTCGAGGTCCCGCGTGCACCAAGCTCACCCAGTAATGACACGGTAAGATGTAGCTGGCGCAGCGCGGCCATAAGGATGTGAAGTCGGCCGAAGACATGGGCGGGGAAGATGGTGTTGCCGCGCACACGGACGTCTAGTGTGCCATCGCGCGCCTCGTCGAAGCAGTGCGTCTTATCGCGGTGGGAGGTGTAGATCGTTACGCGGTGGCCTCGGTTCTGCAGGGCTAGGGCGACATCAATTATCAGCCGCTCTGCGCCGCCGATACCCAAATCCGGGTGGATGATTGTCACATTTGAGCGCTGGAGGCCCATGTTGAGTTGTTTTGGAGCTTGGAGATCGGAGCTGTCGTCGCGACAAGCTTAAAAGACACGTGGAGTATACGCGTCATGTGATGCACATGTTGATGTCTACGAATATTCAGGAAATTAATTCAATAATTCATCTAATTTTGTGTCTCAGATATATTGACTATGTGATGGTCCACTAAATAAGTGTTGGGTCATTAGATTGTGGTGTTCTTAAGGCCATGTCTGGGCTCCGTGCTAGCCCACATCGATGTAAGTCTGGAGTACAAGCTTTGCATACACATCGGCAACCCCTATAATTCTTGCACAATTAACATAATTAGAGATCAAGCCGTTCAACTGGGAGTATCCATATTGAGAACCAAGTCATTATTTACTTAAACCATTGAATAAAAGCATTACAACCCCCAGATTACTCGAATCTGCTCCGAACCTGCCAACGAGCATGGCATATACTTTTACAATATCTTCAGCCTTCTAATGCGTCTCAATAAAGTCTGATACATGAAAAGGAAAAGGAAAAAGATTGCCAACAAGAGATTCAGGCCAATCATAACTTCCACGTCCACTTCTTCCCCGCTGAGCCCTCAATCCTCACCCACAACGTCGCTAAACTCGCCGCAAACAACAATAACCCAACAGTATAGCTCACCCTCAAATAACTAAACGGATCCTCCAAAGCCGCCTTCCCCGAAAGAAAAAGACTCGTCAACGGCGTCCCCAGCAAAGCCCCCACCCCCCGAATCAGATACAAAGCCCCATTAACCGAAGTATAATGCTGCACACCAAACAACTCAATCAAACTCGCCGGAAACAACGAGATATAAGCGCTCCCAAAACACCCATACCCGACAGCAAAGAGAATAAACAAAACCTCCGCCGCCGCATGCGAAACAACACCCCCGCAAAAGTCGACGGCAACCAAAACCCAAACACGAAAACACTACTCAACACCGTCGTCAAGAAAAGCACATTCAACCGCCCAAACCGATCAGCCGCATACCCGACCCCAATCCGAGATACAAAATTCGCCGCATTACTAATCGTGATGAAGTTGTCAGCCATGGAAACGCTATACCCCAATGCACGCGCATAAGCCACAGAAAAGAACAACGGCGTTGAATACCCCGTCGATTGCAAGAAACATCCCAATGCCTGGGAAACGAATTTCCTCGATCTGATAACTTCCCAATCAACCAATGGCGCCTGAAACCATCCCGTGAGTCTGGATAACCCCACCGTCTGAGCGCTGACATTTGCGCCAAACCCGGGTTCCCAGCGCAGGGCATACCCAGCCAAAGGCACAAACGCGGCCACTAAACACCCGGAGATACGTAGTGCATTTTGGAACCCCACGACGGTAGTAATGTTTCTCAACACCGGTGGCCAGATCATTCCCCCACAAGCCGAGCCGGCGATGACAACGCCCATGGCTAGTCCACGGCGTTCATCGAACCATCCCGGCACAACCGCCATGGTAGGTACGTAGGCCATGCAAGTTCCCAAACCGACAAGGACACCCTGCGTCAGGGCGAATTGCCACACTGACTCGCTGATGCTTGCGAGGATACAGCCCAGTGCAAAGACGATACCGCCGGCCATGATGACGGTCTGTGGGCCGTATAGCTTTGCCCAGGTCATGATGAATGGTCCGCCGAGGGACATTACGGCTATTGAGACGGTGCCGATGAGACTTATTATTGACGAGCTGGTGCCTGTGAAGGATGTGTTTGGTTTTTGAGCCATTTCCTCGTAGATGGCTTGGTAGACACCGTAGGAGAAAATTAATGCGCAGGTCATGAACATTGTTATGAAGCCTGCGGCGACGACTAGGGCTTGGCGGCTGTGGATGGATGTTAGGGCTGCATGCTTAAGGTGAGAGTTTGAACTTACAGGACCGTCGGTTTCGGGTGAGGATCAATATCATTGTCATTTTGAGACGGAATGGGCGGCTCAACTTCGTGGTTGCTTGCTATCTGGTCGCTCTTTTCTCTGTCTGCCATGATTTTCATTCATGTAGAGTAGCTAATTGACTTCATCAAAATGCGGGCTGAAATAGAGTCTTTCTTGGCGTCTGGGGAAATGAGGGGAATGGACGACAAATCAACGGCTTGGAAGACGTTGAGCCGAGAAGCCGATATACTTCCCTCGCAGGTTGATTCGGGGTTATCTGATCGGGATCTCTCGGGGAGGTCAAAGAGATTCTGGTGCTGGGGTGTGGTTGATTTGTTAGAGGCATACTGTTGTAGCACCTACTGCTAATGCCTCTTCAAAGGATTCTCACCCGGGTGAAGGAATATCCATCGGCTATAAAAGTCGGCGAGACCCGATTCGATGTAGGGTCTCGCAAGGCTAGGAGAAGGCATCTACACTTCTTGTACAATGGAAACGTCTTCATATAAACATATGACTGTCAACTGTCAAGAACACCCACATCTGTGCTTTACAGCCTCGGCCAGGCATACCTACAGTCCTATATTCCAAACTTCTAAAGCAAATACGTCAAGATTTGTAGGAAAGCAATTCAATATGAAGGAAGCCCGTATGGAATTCAAATAAGAAAAAAAACGTATGAGTGAGAACCGATAAGAACCCCCCATTGCGACGTAAACTTCAACGTGAATCAATCTAGACAGCCGACGGAATGTACAACATGGATTTTCACCGATGGACAAAGAGATTGATAAAAGAAAAGACATCTACCAGTCATGAATGTTCATGAATGCGATAGACAGACGAAATATGTGGAAAGGGAGGAGGATTCGGGGCTATAGGACAAGGTATTGACGGAATCGACAGGGGTGACAACGTAAAAGCTCATAATACAGGACAACAGAGAGGAAACAGGCGAGAAATCGAAAGTAAAAAAAGGGGGTATGGAACAGAGGATGAAGGAAAATAAAAATAAAAAAAGAAGTAACAGAAAAGGAGAAAAGTGTACAACCGGGGAAGACGATTTAAGAATGAGAATGCAACGATCGCTTTTTGCGGGGAAAGGCGCTCAAAGCAAGGTCAAATCAAAAAACGCTTAGAAGCAGTTGAGGGTGCTCTTCTTCTTTTTCTTGTTCTTGTTCAGGGCAAGCATGCGCTCTTCAAGTTGGGCGCGCGCGGCTTCGGCTTCACGACGTGCACTGCGCTCCTCTTCGACGGCCTGGAGGGACAGACGAGCAGAACTGCGTTCCTTGCGGAGGGAGGTCAACTCGTCCTCGAATGACCAGGCCTTCTTCTTCCAGGCCTCGCAGTCGCTCTTGACCTTGGTGCTCTGGGCTTCGAGGTCGCCGAGGGCTTCTTCCAAGGTGGCGGTCAGCTGCTTCTCGGCGTACAGGTGCTTCTCAATTGTTCGGATCCGGGCTTCCTGGTCTTCCACTAGCTGGACACTTGACAGCTCTTTGCTGGCGTGTCGGGAGCTGGGTGGGGACACGCTCGAAGTGCCATTGGCCTGGGAGGCGATGGAGGGGAGGGGAGGGAGAGGGATTGCCGGTGGAGGCGAGGGGAGAGAGGCGGCAGATGAGCTCTTCCGGAGGTTGGATGTGATAGAGCTGCTGCGATCATGGGAGCCATCAGATGACCCGGTATTCTTGATCTGAAGCTCAAGCTGCTCGATCCGCACCTGGTAGGTTTGAATGTCACCTTCGTAGGTCACGATCTTAGCTTTGGCGTCCTCCAAGGCCTGGTCACGCTCCTGTTGAATGACGGACAGACGATTGTGGTGTTGATCGAAGCTGCTGGTGATTTGTTCCTCGAGCTCCTCCACGAGACGCACGCTCTTCTCCTTCTCAATGGTAATCTCCTCAACCAGAGCTTCCTTCTTCTTGACCTGCTCGTCCTTCTGACGAAGAGTATCCTCCAATGTAGCCACCAAGAGAGCCAGCTCATTAACCTTGGCGTCCTGGACGTTGTTCTTCTTAGACAGCTCGTCCAGAAGGCCTTCAGAGTTGCCGCTAGCTTCCAACTGCTTGCGAAGGTCTTCGTTTGTGCCCAGAAGCTCAGAATACTTGTCGGAGAAGTGTTGCTTCTGAGCCAAGACATCCTGGATCTGATCAGTCAAGTTCTCGGATGAGACCTCGGAATTGAGGATAGTCGATACAGCCTTGAGCAGGGTAACCAGCTCATCACGAGACTCCGCAATCTCGCTTTGTAAGGTCGCCATCGCCCGCTCATGCTCAGCCTCCTTTTCGACGAGACGTGCGTCATGTTCAGCCTGGAGAGCAGCCTTGGTCCGCTCCTCCAACTCGGCCAATTCACGCTTGTGGGATTCCTGAAGGGTATCCAGCTCAGTCTTGTGAGAATCAACAACTGATTTGTGGGTAGAGATCTCCTTCTCAAGCTCGGCCATTCGAGTAGAAAGACCCAAGTCAACAGCGCCGGCATTGGCTCCTTCCTCCATGGTGGTCTGCGAAGCCAGTTGATCCTGAGCGTCGGAGTGAGACTTCTCCAGACCGGCAATTGTCGCGAGCTGAGCAGCGATAGTAGCCTTGTGCTGTTCAATGTCCTTCTTCAGACCATCCACAAGCTGCTGTTGCTCAGCACGGCCATCTTCAAGGTCTTGAGCGGGGAGCTCTCTCTCGGTAGAGTCACCAACAGTAGCACGCTCAGAGCGCATAGCTTCAACAGTCGCCAACGCAGACTCCAATTCGGCAAGAGTACTAGTGAGCTGCGATTCCGAAGACTGCAGGGATTCCAAAGCACTCTGGTGCTTGTCCTGCCACTCGGTAATCTCACTTTTCAAGGCACCGATCTTCTTATCCTGGTTGTCGGCACCGGCATCCATAGAGCGAGTAGCGCTTTCTTGAGACTTCAAGAGACCCTTCAAAGTTTCAATCTCAGCCATCAACTCCTTTTGACGAGATTGATGGGCATCATGAAGTCTGTTGATCAAGTTTTCCTGAGAAACAACCTGGTCGCGTAGTTGAGATACCAAAGCCATGTCGACGGGCGAAACACCTTGCAAACTCGACCGTTCTCTTGTCAGACCGGAGATAATAGTAGCTTTCATTTCCATTTCTTTCTTCACACTGTGGTTTTCAGCTTCAAGGGATTGGAGGCGCTCCATACGGCTTTGTAATTCATGCATGGTTTGGTCCAGATGATAATCGAAATTATGCATGGCGTCAGGTTTCTCGGCAAACTCCTCGGATGCAAGGAGGCGAAGGCCTGTAAGGGCGCGTGTTGCACGATCGACTCCTGACAGCAGGTTCTGGCTAGTCATGCGGCGGATCATCTTGAAGCCGGGAGTCGTAGGGGGTGAGTTCGATTTGTTGCGTTGGGCTTGGGCCTCGGCCTTCATCTTCTCAACCAGCACAAGAATCTCCTCGTGCTCAGATTGCAATTCCGTGTATTTCTGGGCCATGAGCTCAGCACCCTCCTGGTGCTCAGCGAGCATCTTGCGCATGTTCTCAGACTCTTCGAAGTCCAGCTGGCTGGCATGCGGCACTTGCGGGGTGGAGGGGGCGGATGAAAGTGCCTTCGATCCGTCCTCAGAAGGCTCGCGCAAAGTGGATTGCTCCCCGGCCGAGGATAATTCCGAAGAGAGTGATTGCGAGAATGAGTGTTGTGCTCCAGACTTCGAGTTCGGAGTGCCTCCTCCTCCTAAAAAAGACTCTGGGCGGGGAGAAAGGTCATTTTGAACGCTGGGTGCCGGGTGGCGGGCTTCGTCAAGCTTGTCCTGGCGGAGGTCGGCAAGGGCTTTCATGGCCTCCTCGTACTTGGATTCCAGTACTTCGAAGTCTCCCATTGTATTCTCGTGCTGCAGACGCAGATCGAAAAGCTCTTGGGTGACAGACTCGAGCTTGTCGGCAACGAACTTAGACTGAGCAGGGCTTGCGAGGGGCTCCTCAAGAAGAGCCTCTGTACGGCGCGCCTCGAGCTTGCTAGTCACGGTCTCCAGCACCTTAAGGTCCTCGCCCAGCCCCGGCTGAGGCTGCACAGGAGACTCCCGCTCGGATTTCATGATTGGATCGATGAGATCCTCATCTGATTCGGGAATGGCTGTCTCAACTGCTTCGCTGAGCACATCCAGGGAGGGCGCGTGTCGATGAGCGCCGTGCATTGACCTGGGTGGTGGATATTGTGAGTAGTCGATGCCATTGGCCCCGTCATGTCTGTTTCCGCCATCGCGCTGGTCCAGCTCATTGAGTCGATGATCCAATTGACTAAGACCTCGCTGGCGCTCAATCACATGCTCCAATCGCATCACTTCACGCTGCATCAGCTCCATGTCCTGCTCGCCCTCCGCAAGTCGCTCTTCGAGTGTAGAGATGTATTCCTCGCAGCTGGCTTCACTATCGCGGGCCCGACTTAATTCCTTGCGTAGTTCGGCCACAATCGCAGCATGCTTCTCTTCGCCCCCGGAATGGCCATCAAGCTTGGATTCCAATTCGCGAAGATAGATTTCGGTGCTGGCTTCTCGGTCGAGCAACTTCTGTACACGGGATTGCAGTTGTTCTCTAACAGTCTCAATATAGGCACACTTTGTCTCGCGCTCGAGTAAATCACTCTCGGTGACAGATAGGGAAGCCCGGGTGTCGGAGAGGGAAGACTCCAAGCTTTGAATGGTCTTCTCGTACTCCAAGACCATCTGCTCAACGGATTCAGCGAACGACTTAGATCGCTGCATTCGTTCAACCGAGCTTTTCCCAATTTGAGTTGTGGCGTCGTCCATGTCGCCATTGGTGGCAGGCGGGTTGGACTCATTGGCCATATTCGAGATAAGCTTGGCATGACGGTGGCTGAGGGAATTATAGCTTTCTTGAATATCGAGCAACTGGTTCTGCAGGTGCTTTTCACGTTCGTTTTTGCGCTCGTTTCGCTCGGAGGATCCTGCTTCCCGTCGCTCGGACCCTTCGCTGTTGCGAATCTGTTGGCGCAAGAAAGCCACCTCGGCCTTCAGTCGCTCAATCAAAGCATGCTTGTCGCTATCATCTGCGACTTGTTGAATGCGCGGTTTGCTCTGAATCGCTCTAGCCCGCTGAGCATATGAGATTGTGTTCAAGGTCTCGCTCAAGTGGAATTCGGCAGGATTCACACAAGCAATCATATAAGTATAGGCATTTCCGCCAAGTGAGTCCTGAAGTAGTCGGGTAAGCTTGGAATCACGGTAGGAGACGTGCGAGCCGCTTTGGCGCGAGGAAAGCTGCGAGATAACCTTGCCGAGCGCGGCAAGACCAGCGTTAATAGAGATACCCTCCTTGGCACGTTCTCCGGATGCGCCCGTGTTCTTCAGCCGTTCGCTACCCGCCAGATCGACGAAGTGAAGCTTGCTATCGACAGTCACTGATTCCGCGGCGTTAAACGAGTCGACTGGCATTGACATGCGCTTCTCCTTCATAGGGCTCGGGGTCGAATGGTTTGGCGAGGACTTGCGCTGGACGAGATTCAAACTGAAGACGGCATGCGACCGAGATGATTTGGCGTTGATCGCCGTGGAGTCCGTTTGGCGAATGGCGGAGCCAAAGTTCAAGGCACCGATCAGATCTTCGAACGAGTTGACATTCACTTGGTGCAATCCGGTCAAAATGATGCGGCCTTTGGTATCTTCACGAATGGTCACGTTGCTGCGATCGCCTCCCGTAGTCGATTCGGGAAGCAACAAATCTCTCAGATGTTCGTTATAGATCTGTGACAGGTCAGAAAAATGTCATTGCCAGCAATCAGAACCAGAAATCGAATGCGCACCTCCACATAGGTAGCCTTCAACTGCCAGGTCTTTTCCTTTTCCAGGTTCAATTTCCCAAAGCTTGCGGCGGAACTCATTGAATATCGTTGCGGTGTTCTCAGCCCAGTCGTCGAGTTCGAGCTATGCCGATTAGATTTCGAGGGACTATCTAATTTATCAAACAAGTCCTGTGCAGCACGGGAGATGATGCCTAAATAAAGATCCAGACCGTCAGTTCCACACACAATCAGTAAACAAGCATCTTTCAAACTCACCCATATCCTGCGTGAGATTCTGCTCACTGGGGCTTGAAGTGCCCATTGTAAAGGACTTCCCCGCACCAGACTGGCCATATGCCATGATCGAGACATTGTAGCCCTGCACAAATGAATTGACACTATCACTGACATATTCCCAAATGCCTTCCTGCTCGGTAGTCTCGGGGAAAACACGGTCGAACACGAATAACTTGCGCCCATTGGGAACGTCGACGGCAAGACTGGTTGGCGCGGTGACATGAACCATGGATCGCTGGAATCGCTGGGGGATCAATTCGTAGCCCGGATCGGTGGGTTTCAGTGGTGGGCGCACACGGACAGCTGCGCGAGGTCAGTTGTGCTTTCAGATTTGGTTGCGGACTACTCCGTCGAGCGGTTTTTTTTTGGGTTGCACATCGGGTAACTATGGATGCGATCAGGGGAAATGCGATCCATACATACCGACTTTGACTGCAGTCTTGCCATCCTCGTCCGATGCTCGACTTCCACCTTGTCTGCTGCTCATACTTAGGCGACTGGCACTGCGCGGAGTGCGCATGACGGCGCTGATCGGTCGTGGGGGGGCGCCGGTGGGTGAGCCTGGCGGTGAGACAGTCATTTTCTCCCCCAAGAGACCGCACCAGGTGGAATAAAAATCAAGGGAATATCAAAGGATGCTAATCAATAGCAGGCGTAGTCATGAGGCGCAGAATAGGAGATGTCTAAAATCAAGTGTTAGTGCCCCTGGTTTTTGTTCTTTTTATTTTGGTTGTCAAAGACAACACACGCGTATCCTACCTCTTGGTGACTCTCCAAATCTAGAAGAGGAGAAAGTAGGGAGGCAAAATAATAACCAGAAGACGCAGGTCTGGAGAAACACCGTGCACAACCCAGAAGAGCTTAGTGGTTTTAAGATGAAGGATGTATGATTGGGAGTGATTTCTTTGCCTTTCAGGGGCTTCTCTCCGCGTCTACTCCGGTACACTCCACTCCATCGCTGAGCGTCTGGTCTTGTCACTGGCTTGTTCTTGGATCTGAACACTATCTACATATTAAACAATTCCCTTTTGGTATAAATCCTCCGGACACATGGTTCAATAGTGTCCTGCCTTACATATCTCACGGTTCATCTGCCGGACTATGTGTACTCCATCTTAAATTGCATCTTCGCACATGAACGCTACCTTAATAAGTCCCCCTGCTCCAAACCTCCTTCGTTTCAGGTTTCCCCGTTAGCCCCTCCGTTTAAGGTAAACGCGAAACACAACCCTTCCAACTCATACGAACCGGCCACCGCATGGGGTTCTGGGTGTCGATCGGTGCGCGTTCACTTCCTGATGGAGCCTAAATCGGGTTGGAGACGGCCCAGCCAGGCCAATCCGCTCACTTCTCCTACACCCGAGGTCCACTCCAAGGGACCATGAAAGGCCCAGAGGTTTGAGGATATTGCCCGCTAAATTAGTTTGATATCTTGTCCCAGGGCCTTGGTTCGGTCAGGGAGGGGTACATTCTTGATGCTTCATGCGGCCTAATCCGAGGTATTGAGCATTCCTCATCGCGACACGTGGAAAATTGGGCTGGGCCGATGCAGAAATGTCATCTGGTGGCCTTGCGATGGGCAAAGGTCCACTACTTAGGAAAAACCGTTGGACGATCGGTGCCTTTTTACGATCCTTGCGTCCAATTATCGGGAGCCTGGCCAACTGCCCCGGCTGACAAAAACCGTTACTACGTAGTGAAGGGTCATACCAACTGCCTAATCGCGAAATAGAGAACCAATTATTTTTCTATCGCAGCATCCTTGAGTCCTTGGTTTGAATTGAATTCCATTTATAGACTAGATCCCCCACACTTAATCTATCCCTTCACAACTCGTGAGATTCTTCGCCAATCGATAACGGGCCCTTCTTCACCATGATAGTAAGCACCTCATAGAGGACATCGGCAGCAGCCCTACAGGGACGAAAAGGTTAGCGTTTTTCTGCCCGATTAGAGACAAATCTACCCGACGAAAACACATACATTGTCGACAACTCTGCATTGGTATCATAGGCCGGGGCCACCTCGACGATATCCGCTCCAATGAAGTTCAGGCCATCAAGCCCGCGGATAATGGTTCTCAACTCGCGCGTGGACCATCCTCCAGTCTCTGGAGTACCAGTAGCCGGGGCGACTGGAGAGAAGTCAGCATTCGCCTCACAAGCAGCGCTGCCATGAAGGATACTTACAGGCAGGGTCCAAGGTATCGATATCAATAGATAGATAGACTGGATTGTCGGTTCCAACGCGATCGCGAATCTTCTTGATGATGCCATCCGTTCCTAATCGAGACAATATATTGGTTAGCAGAGGCGAAAAAAAACCCAAAATAGACTACCCAGCGCTGAAGATCATACCAATTGTATCGATCTCGCGAGCCTCAACAATCTCAAACCCACAGTACCCATCATTCTCATAATCAGATGGACCGGAAAGGGTCGTACGGATGCCAGCATGAATATTGGTGTCGTTTTTTAGCAGACCCTCCATGGCGGCATGGTAGAAGTACGTGCCGTGGTTAATGGCAGCGACCTGGCTGGGAGAGCCACCGAAGACCTTGGGCTTCCAGGTATCCCTATTAGGTACCAGTCAGCACGCCTTCCTTATCAAATCCGAACAATTCACCAGCTCCTTACAGGTGGCTATCGAAATGAATAACCGTCACCGGCCCGTAAGCCTTATTGATACTCCGCAGCAGGGGCAGTGTGATAGTATGATCACCACCAAGGGTGATGACTCGAGGAAGAGTCTTCCCAGCCCTTGAAAGACCGAGTTTATCTGCATTGGTAAAAGGCTTGCGCATCAAAATACTGTTGTGTCCTTCCTCGATCTGCTTGATAGCCCAGGCGTTATCGTATCTATTTGATCATCGCAGTGGTCAGCCTTGCATATATTTGTCAAGAGTTTAGTGATGATCCAGAGATCAGGGATCAACGTACGAAGTAACTGGAACATCTCCGCAGTCCAAAATTTTCAAATCGCTCACGAACGGATTTGCCTGCAATGGAACATTGTAGCCTCCGCTGAAGCCCAATTTGCGTGAGCCTGTGTGTTCGCCATGCATTGACTTGTGTGAGCCTTCTGCTCACTTGAAAGGACAACATACTAGAGATTGAGGCGGCGAGAACCTTGTCTGATTCCACTGGGGCCGAATCTGGCTCCGGGCCTGTACGAGGTACCGGTATCGAAGGGGGCACCTGATTGTATTCGAGAGAGACGATGTTAGAAATCTATGCATCATTGCTATCGTCGGGTGATGCCATTTCCTCCAAGGCCAGCATACCTAAGAACGCAATGTCGTATTTCTCGGCGTCGCTGGATAGACATGGGAAGTAAGGTAGACGACCGAAGGTTGAGATTCCGGAGAATACCGAGTCGGCCTTCCAATTTCAGCCAGAGTACTCAATGGATGCTAATTCAAGATATTCTGTTACCTGCGTGCCACCATCACCTGGCAGTGTATTGTACCAAAGACCTTGGTGAGGTCCAGCGAGCTGAGACTGGCTGTGGTCCCCATGTGCTGTTGCCAAAGCAAAGAAAGCAACTAAACCCGCTACAGAGGAAATCATCATGTATTGTTGTAGGAGTCACTCAGACAAGAATTGTAGGTAGGAAGTATTGAGAATGAGTGTAAGAGGTGTGATTATCGGGCCTTGAACACAGCGCCCTCCTGCGTTTTATATATACCTTGGTTTCGAGATCGAAGGATTCACCAATATCTAACTTTGGCACGATGTAAACAACTAGATCGATGAAAATTTTGCAATTACGCCACGGAGTCTCCTCTCGTTGTCCAGAATCAGAGATGATCTTCTCAAATCACCATCTGCACTCCCGGGCTGCGAAGTTGGAGTCGACATTAGAGACACAAACAGATACTCTTTCTCCCCACTCCCGACAACTTCCCTTTTGGGAATTTGGCCTAGTATGCAAGTTGCCTATTGGAAGATTCAAGAATATAGACTTGGCGATAGCGTGCGTCATACATGTCATGATTGCTTCCCCACCGAGAATGGAAAGCCGGGGGAGAATGGATGTGAGACAGGCATTAGAGTTGGAGAAGATAGGGAACGATGTTTGAAGATTTGACTCAGGGCACAGGGCTTATCTATTGACTGTCATTGGCGCAACTCGCTCTATAAAGTACTTATCGGTTGAGCCGTTGTCCGACCTCCGTGTCCGACTACGGAGGTACAACTGGGTCACGATGTTCTATGCTTGTATTATCGTATTGCTTGACTATTGCAAGTATGGTCAAGAGCATGTATTGGATATAGTCCGAGCTACTTGGAAGCAATTGAGAGATGTATTTTAACTTGTAGGTCATACTTCAAATCTAACATAACTATAACAGTAGTAGACGAATTCCGAAGAGAACATAGGTTTATATACACCAATCAAGATCATGATTCATCCAAATTGAGAAATCCAACTACGTCTATCCTAGTCCCTCTCAACCCCTGCCTCCAGACATTCATGTACATCCATCCGCCGGAAAGCCTTTCGCACCTCCTCGTCCCACTCACTGCGTGCAACAATAATCCACTCAAAGATTCCAACCAAGTAGAGCGCAATACATTGTCCAACCCAGAGACCCTTGAGTCCCATACCGTGAAACGCAAGCCAAATACCCAACGGCAACGCACCACAGTAATAACTCACCAAATTAACCAAAGCACCCACATGCTGCCGTCCCATACCACGCAAACTACCCCCACAACTCCCATTAAGTCCATCGGCAATCTGGAAAAGCGCCACATACGGCAAGACATCCGCAGTAAGCCTTACAACGCTCAAATCATCATTAAAGATCCTCGCAAAGTTCTCCCGCGTCCCAACAAGAACAGCCAACACAACCACGCCAAAGACCATGCTCAGCAGAGCAGATGTATGCGCCGCCCGGGCTGCACCAATAGCATCCCTGCTACCAAGCAAGTTACCGATACGAGCGGACGTCGCGACCCCGATTCCGAAAGGAATCGTGTTGAGGACTTGGTCAGCGGTCATGATCACACTCTGAGCAGCGAGTGAGACTGTGCCCAGACGTCCTGCGGCAAGTGCGACGATTTCAAAGGCCCACCATTCTGTGCCGACTTGCACAACGCCTAGGAGTGCGAGTCTGCTGAATGTGCCGAGGTTTTGGAATGCCTCGCGGGACCATCCGCCCCAGCACTCTGAGCCTCTGACGAAGCGTGCGTAGAGGACTAAGAGGGCGAATGAGAGCCAGTAACTGAAGCCCGTTGCGAGTGGGGCGCCAAGGAGTCCGATCTCGAATGTGTAACAGAAGAGGTAATTGAGTACCGCGTTAAGTGGAGATGTTATCATCAAGACGTATGTTCCAGCTCGCATGATTCCTGTGCTTTACGGTTAGAATTCTACGCAGGCCTTGTAAGCAGCGCGTGCAGAAAGTTACATACCTTGAGCCTGTAGATACTTCTTCATGACCTCAAAATAAATATACCCCAGTCCTCCAGGAATCAAACAAGTCAGAAACCTCGCGCTGTCATGAGAAAGCTGCGGGTCCTGTCCAAGGAGTAGGAAGACAGGCTCCGAAAAAGCCCAGAGGATAGCAACTGGGATATAGAAAAGACCCAAGACCAGGAACCCGCGTTGAAGCAGGATTCCCAAATCATGTTTGTTGGCGCTCCCGGTGAATGACGATGAAGCGAGGGTATCCAATGCCGTTGTGCCGCCTAGGGCAATCATCCAGCCAGTGACTGCAGCAAACATCAACGAGAAAGCACTTGTCGCGAGGTTATGCGGTGATGAGCGACCGATGATCAAGACGGACACAGTTTGGAGGCTATTTTGCAAGGTGTATGCCAGGATCACTGGGATAGAGTCCTTGAGTAGGATCCAGAATTCGGCAAGTATGAGACTCCGAGAGAAGGCTCCGTGTTTGGAATCTTCTTCTCCATTCTGCTCTGAGATCTCGTTCCATGGAGGCACATCATCGGTGGGCTTGGAGAGAAGTGAGGTATACTCATCCGCCGGAGGATGGCTTGACGCAGGACCATTGTTGTCGGCGACGTGCATTATGTTCAAGCGCAGCAGGAAAATGATTTGCGATGGGATATTTTTGAATCTGCGGGGTCTTGTAGGCCAGTATATTTAACCAACTTGGGGATGTGGTGCTCAGCTCCTGTAAGTGGGGGCAGTGTGGTTTTTCGCGTCCAACGAGCATCCTTGTTAAGCAAGGGACTGGAGAATAAGCAAATACACTCACCGTCACGAAATCTCTTCTCAATTGGAAAGAGAAATTTCCATAATCTATCCATCATGCTCAGTGCTGAACTCTGGTATCACTGTATCAGGTCAGAACGGAGTATTCGCCCAATTCTCTTTCCGTTTCTCTCTGCGTATCTCACAACTCATGTAAACACTACGATCTCATTGATCATCTCATCGGATGGTGTATTTTTGCTCCACTATCCTGTCTCTTAGTGCGTAATACACTGCCCACGACATGCTGCTTCAACTCCGATCTCGGCTCTCGACTACCAGTTGGACCTGAGGTAGTATGCGACAGTTGATCGTACTGGGGACATTTCGATGGCTTTTTCACAAAAACCGTCAAATTAAAATCCAAAGGCCTATTTTGGATTGCGGAGATGATGTCAAAAGTACTGCTAGTGGACCAAGGGTCTTATCAGTGCGGGAAACAGGGCGATCAGCCTGCTCTAGCTTCTGCCCCAAAGAGGAAGTTGTCTCGAGTGAAACCTGCGCTGTCAGTTGAAGGGAGGTGATGATAGCATCGAAAGATAAAATAGGTTTTGTCATGCTCATGACCGTTGCCAATGAAGTCGTTACCTATCGTCTTACTCCAAGCAATGATCCAATAGGAACTTGGTGACGTTGCGAAATCAGTATGATCATATTCTATCTACTTTCAAGCTTCTAATTTATCTTAGGTTATCGAACGCAGGCATCGTCAACGTTGGTGTATTTCCACTGCGTTGGTGTGGAGTATATACCCCAGACGCTTCCAGGGTGGATCATGAGCTATTTCCGGGGCTTCTAATATTGGAGAATAGATTCAACCGCCGCTTATTCTACTAATTGTTCTCTGATCAGTGGCCTCCGATCGTCTAGCATTCTTATCTTCGGTTCTTATCATGACTTTTGGCGCATTGATTGGTGCACTCGGACGACTTCCTTGCACCCCTGTCACTTTGATAAGGGCCAACCACTTTAGGCAATGATGCTCCTGATTTATATACGTTTGATGTTGCGAGGTATATGGTTTCAGTATAAGAGTTAGGGAACATACAGAGCGCAAGTCATATTGGCACCCGAATGCTTCACCTAGGGTCACTAGTCAATGTAGGGAGTTGAAGCTGAAAACAACGGATCCTAGAGCAAAAACCAATATAATAATAGGTATATAAGGTATATAAGTATCTTATGATGAATCTGTCCAATTTTGTACATGAAAGATACGGACGGTTTGACGCCTCAGTATGTTACCGATAAGCAAGCATGAAATGCCCTGGCGTGAAATATCTACCACCGGCAGCAAACCAATCGAATATCAATTATGATTTTGAACTTTCGTTATAAAAGTAAAAGTACCCCTCTCCCAAATTGCTACTCATGAAAGAGCACCCGGCTCATATATTGAAGGCCCTTTCGGTGCAATCTATATTAGAAATTTATATCAGCCCTGGGCTACACTTCTTTTTTTTATGTCCCTATCAAACCCCCTTACCAACAAGATGCTACACCCAACGGCAGAGATGAATGAGAAATCTGATGCGAGAGAGAAGGGCAGCAGATACAACAGCTCCAATGACCGTATACATCTATCTCTGGGCGAGGGGACTCAAATTATTCACAAGGCAGCTGTCGATAGATATGGAATCAGGCTCCATCCACAGCCCACCTCAGACACTCTAGATCCACTTAATTGGTCTGGTGTCCAAAAACATACCATATTGTCGATTGTTATGTTCAAGTATGTACTTTCGTTAAAATCCCAGATCATTTTGACAATTTACATAAAGAGAAATGAGATATCCAAAGTACTGACACATCATGTTTGTTTAACAATAGATATTTCCTATTCACATATCTCACTACCACCACAGTACCATCCTTTACCGAGATCCAGGACCAATACCAGATCAACTATTCTCAGGTAAACTGGACGGTTGCCGTTCCGGCATTGGGCCTCACCGTTGGTCCACTCATTTGGTCATCGCTGGGTGATATATATGGCCGTCGAGTGATATTCTTAGTTGGAACAACAATAGCCCTAGTCTCCACAATTGGCGCTGCTGTCGCCGATACATATTCGGGATACATGGCTGCCCGCTTCTTCCAAGGGTTTGGCGTGAGCCCAGGGTCAACTGTTGGGTTGGCTATAGGTAAGTGTTTGGCAATGTCTTATCAACAAGCTATAAATAAGCATCTGACTTTTGACTGTACGTAGTGAATGATCTCTTCTTCGATTATGAGCGTGGCCAGAAGCTCGGCCTGTGGGCCCTGGCACTGGACTCCGGCTTGCTTCTGGGTCCTACTTGTAAGCTTTTTTTCCCTTCTATAACATTTCATCACATACTAACAATTCTGGCCTATAGTCGGTGGTTTTCTGGACCTCATCAACGCTGCATGGATCAATTGGTTTACCGCGATCCTCTTCGCTGCGTTACTTCTCCTCGAGCTGTTTTTCCTGCCTGAAACGCTTTATCCTCGAAACAAGATGCTGCAACAGATGCCTCGTCTTAGTGAACACAAAGATATTCCTAGTGACATTGAAAAACAACCGGTGGAAGATGGTATAGGTTCACCCGCTCCTTCACCTGTAGAGACCGTACCATCCGATCTACGCCGCACGAAAAGCCTACCTTTTATAAATTGGCACCCTATCCCGGGCATATCCCATCCTAAGCCATGGGACTCAATCACCCGTCTCATGCTGACATTTCAGCTACCTACTGTGGTGATCGCACTGCTTGGGTATTCATTTCTTTGGTACTGGTGGGTTCTGTCGGTTATCACGATGGTACCCGCGGCATATGCAGCCTACTCTCCTCTCATCCAGGGACTGCTGTTTCTTGGGTTATTCCTTGGGACGGTTGTATCGGAAGTTTGCTGTTCTGGTCGACTGGGTGACTATATTGTCGAGAGATTGGCGAAGAAGAATGACAACATTCGAGTTCCCGAGATGCGGTTGTGGTTGGCGTATCCCGCTATACTGCTCACTGCTGGTGAGTTCTATTTGGTACCGAGAGATAAAGAGATACGACACTTGCTAACGAGGGATATTCTATAGTTGGGCTGATTCTTTGGGGGATTAGTATCGACAAGAACTACCATTGGATGGTAGGCCAAGTGGCGTTCTTCTTATGTGAGTGCGGCTCCTCGAGATATGAAAAGATGAAAGTGAGATTGACAACGTTCTAGTCGCAGCAGGTATCCAAATTGGCAACACAGTGACCAGCAGCTATGTTGTAGACTGCTATCCTTTACAAACGACAAGTGTGATAACATTCTACGCTGTGTTTCTCAATCTCAGTGCCTTCATAAACCCGGTACGTACTCTAATTATGAAGGCCCTTCACTTTGCTGAGAAAAAAAATGTTTTATGGGAGCTAATTTTGCTAATGTATGTAGTTCCTTATTTCTCCCTGGCAAGCCTCTTCCGGCTGGACCTGGACATTTAGCGCGCAAGGACTTATAGTGCTCGTTGGGTGTGGTTTAATCTTCAACAGTTTGCATAGGTTCGGTGGCTGTATGCGTGCAAAGGCGCCACAGCCATCATGGGTGAATCCAGAATTTGATATAGAACCATAGGGTAATGGACCTCTGGACTTTGATTTGATTGTTGTGTTATGAATCAACAAATTCCTATACCTCACATTGGCAAAGCTCCATGCAAGACACTCGCCCTGACACGTGTCCAAAAGCAACTGTGCTATCTTTGATGGACCAACAATCAATCCGAGAGTCAGGGGGAAGCCATAGTAGCTTTTTGTTGTTCAGAATTATCCACTCTTCCTGTATAGATATATCCAAAGTTGGCAGTGGGGGAGTGGAGTTATCATCACCACACCTAGACCGGATATCGATGAGTCCCAGACTTGTGATTAGATATGGGCCATCTGGAGAGAACTCAAGCGTTTTGAGAATCCCGCTGGCACTCAAAGTCTGTTCTAGAACGCCAGTGGCTGTATCCCAGAGACGAACTGTCTTTTCGGACCCAGAAGCCTGTAATCGGCCATCCGGTGAGAATGTCACTGATGAAACTAATGAATGGCCCTCGAGGGTTTGCTATAGGGCGCCTCTCGTTACTTCCAAGAGCCGGACTGTTTTATCGGACCCGGAAGCTAGTAATCGGCTATCTGGTGAGAATGTCACTGACCAATCTAATGAATGGCCCTTAGGAATTTGCTTTTGGTCTTGGGATCTGGAGAGCTTCGAGCTGTTAGGACCTTCGAGGAGTGACTCCAGCTGCTGGAGAACCCCTAGCAGGTCCGTAACTGTTTGCTGTAGCTTGAGAATCTCATCTCTGGCATCTTTCACTTCCTTGATGTAACCGCCACAAATCTTCACAACACTCCCCGCGACCTGGATGACCGCGATAATACTCGCCGCAGACGACAGTCCATCCATTTGGCAAGATAGGAGATGAGATCTCGATGCTCGAGATTTATATGGCAGTGAATAATTGTGGGGGAATGTAAAGATTCTGATGACCGAGGAGGGGCTGTGATCTGTACCTACCTAGGCATCTAGTAGCGCTAACTGGACCAATCATGCACTTTGATACCCAGCAATAGAAGAGAAGTCTTGTAATGATTGAACTCCCAGTGTTTAAACGAGTCCATACTGAAGTGTCTTTTGGAGGGCTTTATGCTCTTTGGGCCTGTTTATTGGAGGTGAAGATAAGACTTCCGTTATTGTGACAATGAACATGTCACTTTGCTAGCAACCCTTCGATATTATTCACCCGGGTCTCATTTACCACTTCAATTGTGGGAGTCGATGGGAAGGGCAACGGGGGGTAGAGAGAAAATAGCTAGAAAAAAGGAAGCGTTGAGCATAGAGCAGGATGGCTTGAAGAGCGGCGAAGTCGCGGGGATACAAGCAAATTGTTGAGCGTTGTCCTGCTCTTTTCTTGAATACCGAGAAGACACCGTTTGATAGGAGGCCTCTTATGTGTTGCCAACGGAATATAAACAATGCATGTATTCATTTTAATTCTTGCATTTTGTATCACGAAGTTGAGATGTTTCAATGATGATCTTCCCTATTAATTGCTATATAAGACGAAAGAGAAAAGAGGCTGCAGAAAAGAATTAGATACATATATAAAGTCCGGGTACTCTATCGCTGAAATATTGACAAAGACAGAAATGGCTATGAACAAATATGCAGAAATATGACGGTGTATGTGAAAGAAACCAACAGGGAAATACACCAGCGCCGTGAATATAACGGCTATCGAGCCATGGAAGATGAAGGGAAAGCGTAATCGCGCAGGAGAGATGCGATAATATAAGTCAAGATTCAAGCTTATTCGCTGGCCTTAGCCTCAACCTGAGTCTGAGAGAGACTGGGGATGTTCTCGCCCCGCAGGTAGTTCTCGAACTCGCCAACCAGCTTGCCACCCTGAACCCAGCGTTCACGGTAAGCATCGCGGCGCTGATCGGCCAGGGTGTTCAAAGCAGGCCAGTAGGTTGCATGGTCGTAGCGGAATTCGACATCGCCACCCACAGACTTCATGAGATGGCTCGGCGGAACGTGTTGACGCAGATCCTCGTTAAACTTGAGCTTTTCACGAGTATTTGGGTCAATGAAAGGTGTGATCAATTTGAAGAATCCCCAGATGACAAAGGGCACTATAATAGGCGATCAGTAAGTTACTATCGAGATTTGCTCGGTGATAAAATCCCTCACCATTTATCACTAGAGCCCGACCAAGTCGCTCGGGGTAGTGGTTCTGCAGGAAGCCAAGTGTCTGCTTAGCCTGACCCAGGCTTGCATTCTGGCCAGACTTTGTCTCTTTGAAATTGACCAAAAGGGCCACTGTCTCCTGACCAGGACACATAAGATCAATGGAACGCTCCAGCATGAAAATCAGATGCTCGAGCTGGCGGTCACTCCTCTCTGTGTTCTGGTTGGAGGGCAAGAGGTACAGACATGGCCGTCCATGGATATCGTAACCCAAAAGGACCTGCTTGCCTGTTTCATTTTCGATTGATATATATTCAGGTGTCATTTTCTTCAGGTCAATCTCACGACGCCATGTAAGAGTGCTCTGGAGCCGAGTTTCGGCCTCGGACACGTTCCACTTGGTGGCGCGTAGGTAGCGTAGGAGACACTCTCGGGTCAACCACATCTTTTCATCATCGGTGATGGGAGAAGTTGAGGCATTCTTCTCAGCCTTGTCGGGAATTGTGGTCCATGATGAAACAGTCTTGTAAACAGCCTCATATTTGGATTGTTGGTCCGCAGTGAGCGGGATAGGTGCTGCCGGCTTGGCGGTGTCCAGGGGCCTAGCGAATGGCTTCTGAATAAGACCATCTGCGGCAGATGTAGGGAGCTCCAGCTCAATTGACTTCGAGGCTATAGTAGAATCCTTCTGGGTGTTCACAGGGGCCGATTCGGTCGTTGTCTGTACGTTGGTAGCGGGCACAGCATCGCCATTGGTAGGCGCCTGCGCAGTAGGATCTTGCTCGGCGGTCGACATGATATAGAAGGGGATATAAAATAACAAGCTATACAATGGCACGTGAACTCCAAAAATTTAGGAAAATAAATCTGGGGGGGAGCCAAACCACGAGTTCTCACGATCGACAGGTCCACTCCGATGAAATGCTCGAATAATATTACTGCTTTAGGCTGCTTAGGTCAGCGGCACGGTATCACGCGTCTTTCGCGTGTCTGCACGTTCAAGGTCCATTGCCCTTCCAATTATACACAATCCGCCACAATGGACGCTGAAGCAGAGCTCAATGAGTACTTCGCGGGCTCATTCCCCGATGGGATTCCCAAAGATGTTCTCGCTGAGCTCCTCTCCATGTTGCGGATCCATTCGATCCCCGCGGAGGAGCTCTTCTATAAATGGGAATCATACAGCATAAAGATGGGTGAAGGGGTGACTTTGACCATGGAAACAGTGCGAGGGTTTAAACAGGATGTCCAAGAGGCTTTGGAGCGTGAAAGTCGCGATAAGGTCAGCCGGCACACCGAGAAACGAAGCGCCAACATGGGAACCCCGCGGGGCGCTGCCGCAGCCAGCGGTGATATGTTTGGGATGTTCGACCAATTGACACCAAATGCGTCCGGTAGCCGCACTGCGAATGGATTTGGATCAGCAAAGCGCAAGGCCGAGTTCACATCCCCCGCTACACCACGAGTGAGCAAGTCTGAAAAGCTTGGATCACAGGCAAGCACAAAAACACCGAACGGGACACCAGGAGATGGAATGCAGTATGTGATTATCAAATTTGCTGTAACATATCGGAGGGGCTGACATCAGGAACAGACCGGTGCCATTCTCCGATCGACCAAACGCTGGCCAGACGGTCGAAACTCTCAATGCGCACCTATCCTTGCCAGAATCCCTAATGGCGCCCTTCTCCGAAGCACGCATTAAGCCTACAGCCAACACAGATCTGAAGAAATTCGGCTACAAGCCAATGGGTATGAAATTGTCAGAAGCCTCGGAGATCTTAGATGATCGCATCGACGAGTTTGCGACTATATTCCAGGCACAATTCGATTCGGACGAGATTACATTCGGGAGCGCAGCTATTCAGAGCACAAGCGAGATTATTGCTGTTGGACGGATTGCCTCAGACAGCCTTGAAGGGAAATTAAACTCAGCTTCTCTTGTGCTTGAAACTTCGCGCCGAACCGGAGCCGGCAGACGAGTCCCCTTGAAGGTGGATTCTGTACCGTCAGTCACTTTCTTCCCGGGCCAGATCGTAGCTCTCCGGGGAATCAATCCTTCTGGTGAATACTTCACTGTGAAAGAGGTGCTTCCGATTCCCCTCTTGCCACCAGCGGCATCCTCAGCTGTGGCATTGGACAACATCAACGAGCGACTTGACGGAGATGTCAACTCACCACTCAACGTCATCATAGCGGCTGGTCCGTACACAGCGGATGATAACCTAGATTTTGAGCCACTGCAAGAACTATGCCAAAAGGCAGCTGACACCTACGCCGATAGTCTGGTGTTGTTGGGACCATTCCTAGACATTGAGCACCCGCTTCTTGCATCGGGCGATTTCGATCTGCCAGATATCAAGGGCATCGACCCAGATACAGCTACACTGTCAATAATGTTCCGGCACTGCATCTCCGCACCACTTGCACGACTTGCAGCAGCCGTTCCAAGCATCACAATTGTAATGGTCCCGTCTGTGCGCGATGCACTCAGCCGTCACGTCTCCTGGCCTCAAGAGCAGCTCCCCAAGAAAGAGCTGGGTCTACCGAAGCAGGTCCGCATGGTCTCAAATCCTGTCACATTATCGTTCAACGAATGCGTTATTGGAATGTGCTCACATGATGTGCTCGCCGAGCTTCGTCGAGAGGAAGTTTTACATGGTCGACCGAAAGAGGGCAGCCTGCTCACTCGGCTGCCCAAGTATCTCATCGAGCAACGCCACTTCTTCCCCTTGTTCCCTCCAACTGCACGGGCAAACCTCCCGAAGCCCGGATCCGAGGGCAGCATGGCTACAGGTGCCATGGTGGACTTGCCATACATGAAATTGGGCGAGTGGTGGAATGTCCGGCCCGATATCCTTATTGTCCCTAGCATGTTGCCAGGTTTCGTAAAGGTATTTGATTCTTAATTTCCAACTCCATCAACCGTGCTAACCTTATCATCACTTCAGGTCGTCGACAGTGTGCTAGTCATCAACCCAGGTACACTTTCAAAACGTCGCGCCGCAGGCTCATACGCCCAAATGGCCATCCACCCTAGAGTAGTGGCCGAAGACGAGCGTGAGCAGAAGCAGCTAAGCCATAAGCTGTACGAGCGGGCTCGGGTGGACATCAACCGAATCTAGTGGCATGTATAATCATATCGCATTACGCGCGGCGTTAAGGCTCAGAGCAAGCTAGTTCTGCAGCCATTTGGTATTGGCGGTTTATAGGAACAAAATCGCAAATGGAAACGAATCAATGATCTTCAAAGCATACCAAAACAAGAAAAATATTTCCAACACGGGTATCATAACAAGGGCTATCCAGCCCAACATAAACATACTCCAGTAATCAACCAAATGTGACACAAGCTACCTGCATAGGTAGACAAAGATCACTTGTAACACAAGCCCCCGAAAAAGATAGAAAAAAATACACCGTACCAATCAATGTCAATTATCGCATCGCAACAATTCTGCGCCCACCCATCCTCCTCCCAGAATCTCTAACTCGAACAACAGGCGCCCCAGCCGCCGCCGCTCCGCTCCCACTAGCCCGCAGGGTAGCCCCAGGCCCAGAAGTCGCCGCACCAGCAGCACCTGTACCGCCAGGTCCAGTCGAAGACCCAAGATCAGGCCCGTGTCCCTCGCCCCTCACAAGCGCCTCGAGACCAAGATCGCGCCAGATAGTAGCCCGTCTGCGCTCCATGGCGCGGGCAATTCCGAACGCCGCATGCTGGTCGGGAACTACATCGTCCTCGTCTTCTGGATTTGGCGGCTGGTATTGCGGAGGCAGGTAGATCTCCTCAATTGGCAGGAAGGAGGGGATTGTAGCGGGGGAAGTCGAGCCGTAGGTTACGGCGTTTGCATTGGCGCTTGCGTCGCGGTGGTTATTGTGTGGGTCGGTCATTGCATTGCCAGCGGTTGAGGTATGTGGGCGTGTGAATTCTTCGAAGTAGTCTGCTAACCGTGGCTGGTGCATGTGCAGGTACGAGGCGGAGGAGTCTTTGCTCTGTGGGTGGGTGTTAGCTTGTTATTTGGCTGTATAGTGGGTGATTCCAGGGAATCCAATGCAATGTCAGGATAAGATACCATTTTGAATGATGGTTTGATCCGCTCGATGGGATCCTAGTTTCTCAGATGGTATTGTAGATAAATTTGGAGACGATGACATCTGCACGCTTGTTGATGGCAGAATAATGCTCTTGGATACACCGCCTTTATACTGGCTTACATTGATGCACGAACTGCACTCCTACTCCAAGGTGCAGATGTGCCATAGAAATAGCTGGGATGCTATGGACGCTATGCCAGATTTTAATACAAAATCAAGCAATTACAGGATAACAAGTATATCATAACGCTATCAGACCTCGTCGACAGATCTACAGTGGGCAAAACAGCATATCGATAGGTCTGAGTATGCCATTTTGTAGGATCGGTGGACTTATTTTGATAAATTGTTTTCAATCCACAAGGCTCCCGGAGTTCCAAGGCGAATTTGTCATCATGTCATGCTATAAAGCGCGAGGTTGTGTTTGATAGTCTAAAAGGAATCACACTGCTAAGTAGATTCTTTCTCGGGCTTGATACTCCATCACGAAATAAGTAACATTGAGGTATATATACAGAGATATGTTGCATTAGGATGTATGACTATTACATGTGTGAAGACATCGAATGGACGTAACAAATCGATAATGAGAATCTTAGAAGGTAGGCCGGAGCAACGCGCGGAATGTACGCAGGATGTTCTGCTAATCGCTGAGTAGAATTGCTATTGTCTAAGTCAATGAGGAGTATGAATCCTCATGGCCGATACTAAACTCTCATTGCAGGTATCCGTATTGAAAGATCAAGACGGGTAGGTGACAATTGACGATTTTGCTGGGACAAGCAGAAAACGATGAACTGTGTATTTGGTGTGAAGTAAATAGTGGATTCATCAGCCAGAGCAATGATACCTACATGTACCTACCTATGACTGGTTAGGTAGGGCCATCCCGAAAAACCGGCCATTATGCTAGTGCCACCCGCTGAATATCAAGTTTATCCATCCACTAGTCTGTAACTGTCTGTTTCCATAGGGCAACTAATGCTGGAACCCCACATGTTCCAAACATAACATACTCAGTTATACATTAGAATAGCATGCGAATTAGGAATTTATATGACCGGCAGCACTACCAAGGAAGTAGTTAGAGCATTGAACGATGTAGACATACAAATGTACGCTAAGATGGATTGTGAAGCCAAGTGCCATCGAACAGGAAAGTGAATTCAACAGCGATCAAACATCTAGGTTATTATTAAGGACAAGGCCAAGAATACCTATTTGGAGGATAGGGTCTGCTTCACAAGTTAAAGGGGAACATGTATCACGTCTTGATTCAGGCCCTAGTCAGTATGATGATGGATATAGCGAAGTCTGATGAGGCGTGCGGATGGAGTTATATGTATTGACGAAGGGAAAGTGTCAGGGATCTACGAAGGAAGGCAGATCGGGGAAAACACAGTCTCTCTGGATGATGCTATGGAAGAAGGAGGAAGAGTAGGAGGAGATCAGAGGGACAAACAGAGGATGATCATCTGACCATCCAAACAGAAAGTCTACCAGAAACTATCTAGGCAATGGTAGTCTAACCTCCGAAGCTGTCTTAGTAGTAATCATGGCAGCGTGCGCCCTAGATTGGTCTTCGATCCAGCAGTGATCTACGGATGAGTACCTTGGATGCAAGCAGTCACGTTGCCTTTTTTTCCACCCTCATTGGACAACCGCGCACGAGACTTGTATAACATCACCGCCTGACTGATTTATACTGCCAGTATTTCCCTTTTTTTTTTTTTTGAACAAGCCGCGACCGCCTCCTTAGCGTCCTGGGTATAAATACCCGATTCCTCCTCAATTGGTCTTCTTCTTTCTCCTTCCCTCCCCAACACGACTTACAGGTCTGGGTGGAATGCGATCATGAAGGCATCTCACCACAGTCTGTCCCCTGCATTGCACATCGTGGCGGGACGGTCTGGCCTTTGGCTCTCGGGTCACTGGCAGGCATATTCTTTGGCACACACACCTCTTCTTTTCATCAATGCGCGAGTCAATGACACGGTATTGGAGAAGTGAAGCCTGTAGCTTGTACCTCCTAGATAATGTTTACCTATCGTGAAGCTATATTGAGATCACTCAACTTGTTATGTACGCGTTCGTGTGTACGCGTTTATATACTGCACCTGTGTGGGTCGGCCCGCTCCGGGCCCCACTGCTTGACAGCTCCACGTTTCTTCTGCCGAAGTGAGCACAGCCTTGTACATCAACAATCTGGTCTCGCGTTTTTTTGACATTCTAATCTTTGTGATTTTGTGCTCGTCCTTCCAAGCTTATCTTAAGCTCTGGCATCTTAACCTCTGTGTCCCCGGACGCGTTCGATTGCACTGGCATATTGGCGCGCACCATCCCCCAAAGATGTAAACACTTTTGCATCCTTCAGACCGTCTGGGCACTTGCAGAATATTTCGACGCGCCCTACTCCGTAGTCTAATATTGTTTACATGACTTCGAGTCATGTTGGCATGTCCACCGAGTACGTATGCAAGCCCCCGATCACCATGACAACGATGCAACTTTATCTTAACGTCGACCGCTTCCGTGTCCGTGATGAACGGCATGTTTTGTATGTGCCCTGGACGCTCTGGACATTTGAGACATTCTTCCCCTTGAGCCTCACATTGTAATGAGCACGTGACCTTCCATTTCATGAGCAGCTCTGCTGGTTAGATCGTGGATTCAATGGTATACGACAATTAGCTTCCTTAAATTTCCTTTATTTTGCCACCTCTTCGGTTTTTTTCATCACTTTGCACAGTTGGGATGATCTACTTTAGATATGAACTTTGGACCTCAGTCCCTCTGTTTCCAAAAATGGGTATTCAAGAACACATGGGTCCTGATTGTAATAAAGGCCTACGCATCTCATCATCAAAAAGCTTTATTTAAAATATCCTCCAGCGATTCAGGTTCTACATTTACCATCAAGGGCTGAATCCTGATAGGCTGCATTCTCACTGATCCGCAAGCATGTCATATTTACATTTCCTGTCCGTTCCTGATCTTGTCGACGAATTATCTCGAAGTAACAAACGGGCATACAACTGCAGCTAATCATATCGTCTATATACCTACGCCATATTCATACCAATGAATAGCATCTATGATCGAGTTTTAGTGATCGACTGTGCTTGTGGTGGGCGAGTGGCGCGATATATATTGATGAATATTGTGAATCCATTTCCTCTGCCTCCGAGCTGTCGATCTCCCTTTGGCCTGTGCATAAAATGGAAGATCGCCTGAATGATTTTCATTTGACAGAAATAAGCTTGCTCTGGTGCTGAAATTTCTTTTGGGCGCTGATTACCGATGGCAACTAGAGTAGAGTACTACTGGAGAGCCGCCCCAGTACACATTTACATCCCGTCGTTGGGCTTTTTAAATTAGGTGCTAGGGAGATACAGTCTTGAGATACCTTTCTACAGAGAGATCGATCTTTACATACATAGATGCCCACAAGAATGATAGGAGGAAATGACACCCTGCACGCCCAAGGGATTCTATGCATAAAGATGTTGAGAACGATCTACTACAGAACTCAAGATAAATCTGTCTTCTATTATTCTATCCCGACATCTCTAACTGTCGAATAACCGAAACCCGAGATTAAAATGAATATGAAAGACGACGAAAATACCTACTCAACTGAACCAACCCAAAGGATACCGAGGAGCTCCATGGAGAGAAGGAAAAGAAATAAGAGAAAGAGAGAAATAAAAAAAATCCCCTGGTAATCACGACGCAAAAGCAGCCGGAACCATTTTCATTGCTTTTTTGACTCAGAATACATGTGAAGACCTTGATACGCTCCAAAATCATGACCGGATTGCAGTGTACAAGCCAAAAGGAGAAAAAAAAGAGAGAAAAAAATCAAAGAAATCACAGATTCGTAACCATGCGGTGGACAATGGGGACCGCACTGGGAGGAAGACTGCCCATCTCCGTGATGACCATGTCGACATATTCAGCAGGCGTGACATCATACATGATATTCAGCAACTGCAGATGGGGGGTATTCTTCCAGTTCGCAAGAGGGGAAGATGAGTTGTTATGCGAAGGAACCGGAGGCTCGGGGGCTGGGGTGCTAGCATTGCGGTTTGCACCCTTCTTATTCTCAGATGGAGGGGCCGGCGCATCGGCCGGGTGGCTAGCGACGAGTGAGGCTGGGGAATCCATGGGCAGCAGCTCGTCGGCATCGGCGATCTCGTTAACGACAATGCTGTCGAGGGCGACACGGTCGGTGAACTTGACTGTCTCGCAGCAGACGATGACTGGGATTTCAACGCCGCTGGCGCGCTCTTTGGCGGACATGGCGACAAGGGCGGTGCCGACACGTGAGTACAAGCCGCCGTTACTGGTCATGGCGTGGGCGCCGAGGAAGACCTTGGTGGCATCCTTGATGGCGTGGGTGATGGCGTGGACGAGGGAGTATTGGACGTCGAGTCCGGCCCTTGCGAGATCGCGGGCAAGGCTCTTGCCTTCGAAGAGCGGCCGTGAGTCGATGACTGAGACGCGGAATCGCTTGCCTTGGTTGTGTGCTAACAAAAGAGTCTCCTTAACGATGCTGCTGCCGGCAAATGTCACAATCACGTCGCCATCTTGGACCTTTTGTGCGGCACTGTCTGCGATCACCTGGTCGGCGACGGTGATCTTCTCCCGGATAAAGCTGTCGATAAATTCACAGAGGGTAATCTTAGCGATCGACTCGGGGGTGGAGGGATCAATGGAGGCAATGGACAACTTCAGGGCACGGATGGCATTGCCCTGACTGATTGAGAGGGGTCGACAAGTCGAGAGGTAGGTGATTTGGTGCGAGAGGTGTGTAGTCAAGTGGCGAGCCAGCGAGGTGCCCAAGGGAGTTGTGTATGATTCGATGACCTTTGAACAGAGATTTGATTAGCGAACAATGTCATGTGTCCGAAGTGCAATCGAAGCACATACTCGTTTAAAAGCAATCAACGTGGCCACGCAGCGTGCACTGCTACCGCAGATAGTGTAGTCCATCAACTGCATACCCAATGCCAGGACGGCATGGTGTACTTCCTTTGTGGCACCGGCGACAGTTGTGCGGCGCTGCTGGCCGTACAAATGTCCAAAGACAGCAACCTTCTTATCATCCTTCTTTTTCTTTTGCTCCACGAGGACGGACCCAGTCTGCGCGAGGGGACCAGAGCCCCGTCGCGGGGGTGGTGCACCCCGCGGGCCCTTCTGTGCAGAACCAGGACCAGCAGATTCCTTTTTTGGTGTAGTGGGCGGACGAGTCTGGCCTCCAGCACCGGCATTGATAGTGGCATTGCCGGGGGCACCTCCTTCCCTCTCAAGCTTCTCTCGGATACGTCGGGCAGCCTTCTCGGCCTTGGCTTTCTTCTTTAACTCAGCTGGGCTAAGCGCCTTGTCTGCGGCACCATCTGTGGACGCGGGCGCGTTTTCGGTGGGCTGGGCGGGTTTTGAGTCGCGGATCGGGAGAGTCTGCGGAGGGTTTTCGGTCGCGGGTGGGGCCTTCTCTGGCGCAGACGGGGCAGGAGCTGGTGATTGCGCGATCGGCGCTGGGTCAGAAGTTTCCGGCATCGTGTCTGCGAGTCAATTCTGGTGTGAGGATGGTTGTTCGAATTTGGTGGGGAGAAGGAGGGAGGGTTGACTCACGGAAAAAGAAATGATGCCATAAGCGGCCCACTGAGCGGCGCAGCCCTAACTTGCGATTCATTGCAGAATACGACAAAAACGACGAATTATTCGATGGTTATTCAGAAGTTCGCAGATACCATTCGCAATCAAGCACGTAGATCCAAATAGCTAGGGTCTATAGCTTCGAGTTAGGTACCGGGGGGCCCATCTTTTAAGACTGCGGCCTAAAAGAAACTCATGATACCCAATGAGGGTCATCGGCATTGAAACATGCATATCATCAGGTATCTCATTATTCATCGCAGGGGATCGCTATCAAAGAAAGGAATACATGAGTCAAAACAAGTCTAGTCAAAAGCCAAACAAGGAAGTCTTCAAAAAGACCTTAACTGTGGAGTCCAGGATAAAAAGGACAAACACAAGAATAAACAAAGAAGTCGCCGCCAACACCATTCAATCCCTGTACACCCAGAAGAACCCCGAAGATAAAAATAAAAGAATATCCACAAAATTAACGGTTGCTGCTAATGGACCCCAGAGCGCGCCGCTTGCGAGTCCCCTGCTCCTCGATGGGGCGGAACCGTTCATGGTCCGTGGCTAATTTCCGTTTGAAGACACTCAAGTCTCCAAGAAGATCATGCATATGGTTTTGCATTCGTTGGGCTTCTTGCTCGGTGAGATCATCGGCGATAGTCTCATCATCCTCCCAAACATCCACATCCGATTCGGCATCTGATACCATAGGGGAGCTCTCACGATCCGCTGAAAAATGACTGGGCGCTTGACTCTCATCGCCTATGGAGACGATGCTAGGGTTTCGCTGCTCAAAGGTAATAGCCGGGATTGGGTTTTTGAGACTTTCAACCGCCAGCTTCAGATGCATGCGCAAGGCGTCGTTCTCTGTCTGTAGTTGTCGAATCTTGCACTCGCTGACCATCTTGTTCTCCTCCATGAGTCGTTGCATTTTCTCCACTTTTTGCTGGTATTCCTCTAGCCTTTCATCGGAGGCTTCATTGGCCCGCTGATGGAGTGCCGCTTGGCTCACGCTGAGTTGAAGGGTGCGAATTGTCTCCGTCATCTCCGCAATCTGCCGGTCACGCTCAGCCGCCGACATTTGGTCTTCATTGACCCGTGCCCGAGTTCGAATGTTCTTAGCTTGGTCCGCATAGCGAAGAGTGGAGAGTGTTTCTTCGTAGTCTGCAGGAGCGATGCATGCAATCATCGCAGTTTTCGAGTTGCCACCTAGGCTGTCCTTCAATAACCATGTGAGGATGGAGTCGCGATAGGGTACCAGTTCCTTGCCCTTGCGTGGGCCACGAATTTTCTTAGGATCTGCAAGAGCCGCAATAACACGTCCTAACGTTGTCAGAGACTTATTGATATTTGCGCCCTCGCGAAGTCGGGCGCCAGTCGCCTCGGTGGATTTGGCACGCTCGGAACCTGCCAGATCAACTAAACGGATGCGCGCCGTGCGCTCGGTGGTTTCATCTGTTGACAAGTCGTGGTGAATCTGTTTGAGAGTGATAGTAAAGACTGAGTGAGAACGGGATGAGGTGTCGTTCATCTTTGTGCTAGCCACAGTTCGGGAGACATCGCCCTTTCGCATGAACTTCATCAATTCGGTGTAGTTCCTCGCGGTGACCTCGGTCAAGTCCTTGACGTATGGACCCTCTGACGGTGATTCACGAATACGAAGATAATGCGGGGGATCCGTCCGCGGGACCAAGAGATCGCGAACATGCTCGTTGTATACTTCGAAATAGGACACTCGCACGTTATAGCTGATATCAGGAGAGGGCGAGCTTTCAATGCGCTGAAACAAATCCTCACACGTTCGAGGAATCAAGCCCGGCCTTTCCGGTGTTCCCATCATGGTGTAACTCTTTCCTGAACCCGTCTGTCCGTATGCGAAAATACAGGTGTGATAACCTTCAAAATTGTGATCCAGAAACTCCTCGCCGAGAGAGTTGTACACATCTTCCTGATGTGCATAATGTTTGTCCTCCTCGTTATGAGACCAGAATGAGTTATCGAACGTAAACGATTTATCTTCCAAGATCCTGCCGCGAGCCTGCGACTTGGGCTTTCCTTGATCTGCCTGATCCGGTGTCGGCGCTTTAAGACAGGTCATTTGCGTGTGCGGGTCCATCGAAATTAGACATTGGGCCTTGCGCTCGAGTTCTGCAAGATGAGATTAGACAACATCCTCCATTTCGGGGCATCTCGCCTCCACCCCGCATTCCATACAGCACCTACCTCGCGGTAAGAACTTGCGCACTCGCACCACGACGCGCACATTGCCTGCCGGTGTTGGACTCGCCATCCCATCTCTGATACCGGATATCCCGAGGCCTTCCCGCGCGCGGAAGGATGGACTTGAAGCTGAGGATCGGAGGATAGCGGCGGAAGCGGAGGTGGAGACAATGCTAGGAGATGTGATTCCCGTCGCGGCTGATATGTCGGATGAAGCGGCCGAAGATATCGAGCCTGGGCCCGGATGGCCGATGTGGTGGTAAAATCGTGAATCTAGCGCCATGTCCCTACTGTTGTCCCTCAATAACTGTGCACAAGTGGTGACGGCGTCGCGTCGTCGATTGACAAGCGAATAGTACATGCAATGAATTTTGAGAACAAAGGGGATGATAATTTGATTGTAAAGGCAAGGGAATACGTAGATAAAGAGTGAAAGGGGGGTAGGTACCGTGTGTGTGTTCTTGGGGAAGTTCAGTTCATTGTAAACACAGACTTCATTTAGGGCCGCATGTTCAGCTGGGCGGATCAGGGAAAGAGCGTACGCAACTGGAAAGAGCGCGATTGAAAACAATTGAGATGCCAGTTCCAAGGTTGTGATCGGATTACAGGTTACAGGCGTGCGAGGTGTCACGGAAGACTCCGTTGCCACAGCAATGACACGCTACTACTCCACCAAAAACCCACATTTGAATCCATTATCTTGTCATGGACATGGCACACATATGTACTCCGTCTGTTCCTTGCAGCGTGGTTGTGACTTAATAATGAGCCCACGTTTCGCCAGGGTGCTCTTCTGCCCAATCTGGACGAGGTATGTAGTCTCCATGCCATCAAATCACCCACTTCGGTTTCCACCACCTGAACACGAAATTGAGCCCAAGATGTTTCAAACATATGTCGAACCATTATGCGAGACTCTGGGGAACTATACAAGTCAATTTATTATCTCTCTGAGCTGCTATCTGAATTTGTTCTAGAAAAATCACAGGGTCTTCCATAACTGTTCAACGGCTTACTTTTAGGTGCAGGAGCCTCACTGACCAAACAAAAACAAAAGTTCAACTTCAAAGTCACTTCTATTTCTTCTGCTCTTCTAATCTCGAATTCTTTGCGGTGTCGCTATGGAACGCCATCCCCGACGAAATCTAGGTTTCATGAATCATAGCCCCAGCGGCATGGTGGATCGTAGAGCTATAGTAAATAGGAATCAGGTCCTAAACGCTAGCTCAAGCAAAACTATACACGACTGCAGCTGAAAATAAGACCTTTCGCAGGGATCGTCTAATAGGAATCCTATCTAGACTCAAAACCTCGGCTGAAACCACAATCATCAGTCCTTGGCATAAGTGACATCAAATCATTCAATTCCTCAGTAATATACAAAATAACCGCAATGCACATTCCACAAATCAGTCAAAACTCCTACTCAAAATCGGCAGTTTCCGCCTTCATAGCATCAACCAAATCCGAATGTTCCTTATCACTCGAGTTCTGTGCCTCCCCGGGCCAATTTGGATCGGGTACAGCATTGCCAGCGTTATCCATCTCTTCACTTAGAAGTTCGGCAGGGCCCATCTCGCTATGGGAAGCCTTTTGCGTTGAGTGAACCTCAGATCTGTGAGCGGATGCCTTGTCTCGTTGAGAACGCTTCTGGGAAAGCATCGAATCGGTTGGCATAGGCATGTCTGGAGAAGCGGGATGTTAGTAGAGAATCCATAGATCGAGTGTCTCAACCTCCACCATCGTCTTCCTGACACTCTGGACCTAAATGCGGGGTTGAAGTGGACACATACTGAGTATCTTTGTGATATCGGCAATAGTGGTGTTGTATCTGTTCAGACTCAATTATTATGACTCTTCATATTTGGCGAGGTGTCTATATTTATGTCTATTGAAGGTGGCGGCGATGATTCGACCATGACGATAACTTTTACCACCACCTTGGGTGCTTCCCCGCAATTGCCATCTAGATGCATCTAGTTGTACTATTTTTGTTTGTTCTGGAAGCTGCTTGAGAGGAGCCAGTCAATTGAGGTTTATCGTGGGCGGTGGTTGGGCGAAATTATTCCATGGATGTTGGGAATATGGATATACCATGACAGAGCATTTGCCACGAGGCTCTGTTTTGTGATTATTCCTGTCCAAAATCACGGATTAAATATTCCCCAAATATTTGGTGGCAATCGAAGCACATCGATCCTGTCGGCCCATTCACAAGTCCAGCCGAGCATGTTTCATAGGCTTCACAATCACCTCCTAACGACGTTCCATTCCGGTGATTGGGCAATATCGTATTGTGAAAGTAAACGGTCGCCACAAAACTGAATGCTGTCTCTATATGGGAGACAGGAAATTAAGGTACACGTACATTTGCCTGCGATATTTGCCACAGTTCATACTATGCACATACAGATCGGATTAGCGTGGATGATCTCTGGAAGGAATTATGAACAATGCGCGTAGAGAATAGGACGTGCGAGTATTAGAATTATAGTAGCCAGAAAGCTATTCTGAGAGCAACACTGGTCTTGGTTCATTGTCGTGCTAGAAGATATCCCCAATCAGACTAAATGACACCGAAGTCTGAGACTATTAACATTGATCTATACGTATGTACTCGCTTGAAATCATAAATCTACTCCAAGAACCTCTAGGGCATCTAAAACAAGGCATGCATCCCCGATTAGTTGCGCAGATCTATTTTGCGGGCGCAGCCCTCCAGAACAACCACCCAAACGCAGCAACGAACTTCATGCCGGCAGCCATCCACAGCGCCGACTCCATACCTCCGCTGCTTCGACTCAACCAACCACCCACAATCGCACCGATAAGTAGTGCCACAACACCACCCACCCGGCGATTGCGCTTGACATTTGCGGTCGGCTTCACAAGGATTTTAGGATCCGACGCGATATCGAAGTAGACACTAGTCAAGACCACGGTCGGGATCTCATTGTACCCCAGCGCACGGCTGCAGGTCATTCCACCAGCGGACTGGAAAGCCAGCAAAGCGATGGGGATCAATTCGAGGAAGAGCGGGCCGCCGTCTAGGGCGGCATCATCAGAGGTGTGGGGGATAAGATCGGCCTCAATTAGAGCAACGGCGATGATGATGAGGAGGGTCTGCACGAAGAACGAGGCGAAGAGGGTCCCGCGGCGAAGGGCGCCGACGGTGCGCATAGCGAGCGAGAAGATCATCGCGCCGAAGAAGAAGGCAAGGATCGAGACCATGGACTTCAGCCAGCCCCATGGCTTGCTGTTGGGTTGATTCGAGGCACCGAGACCGAGGAAGATGGTATTTCCTGTTCCAGAAAAATTGTTTTCTTAGCTTTCTCCTTGCGCTGTTCGTTGACGTGCCGCCCCTTGCATGGGCGCAGCCGGCTGCGTATCATACCCGTTTGCATGCCAAGGAAACATGACCAGGCATTGTAGGCACTGCTATCGCATAGGCCCGTGAGGAAACAGAGAAGCAGACATACTAAGTCTGCGTGTGTGGGAGTCAGATTCTGCTTCCATCGTTGCATGACGTCCGACTGTGATTTGACGGGGACATCCGGGGAGGAAGCTTCGAGGTCGGGTACGGCGGGTGCCTGCGCTGGCTTCTCCATTTTGGCAGGAAAAATCGACTTGCGCTACACAAGGCTCTCAGGAGATCACAGGAAATAATAGTCGTACACAGGTTCTGCGCGGGATTTTCAGGTTCCTGGGCGGCACAAGGCGACCTCCGAGGGGGCAAACTTAATTTCTCGTCTCCGATTGCGGACTTCCAAGGTTGTCAGATGAAATACAACGAACCAATCCTCTTGTCGAGGGTGTCTAGATCCTGATGTCGTCAATGGCCCAAAGTCTCCAAATTCTGCTGCCTGAGCGCTCAGCACGCAATAGTGGAGAGCGATTCGGATAAGGCTGAATTAAAGGTCTTGACCTCGGGTCAACACTCTCTTTATACAACACAGCGGATGTAGTCATATCATCCGTGACACCTTCATCGACTAATCAAATATAAATAGAGTCTTCACCTGTCATAATTTATGATGCTGAGTAGGAAGTTTCACCATTAATCGACGAGAGCCGTGCTACACATGTCTACACCGGAGATCCCCCCAATTAAAAGGAGCCGATGCGGAATATATAGGGACTCCCGAGGTCAAGGCCACAAACATGTCATAGTTAGATGGCATATGTACCATGTAGGTAGGCAGCTTCCTCCAAACAAAGAAAGCGAATCATTTGACACAATGAACTGCTGCACTTGAAATCCAACCATTTCTTCACTTGGCACTCCATATATTCCATCAACCCTACTGAGTTACTTGTTGGCTGAGAGTCTCACTAGCCCATACTTGTCTTATATATATTTCCTTTTCTGTTTGCTTTGTTCACTCAGCCGCACCTGTGGAATAAGGTTGTGGACGACATCTCCATTCCTTTCGCATTCATATACATGCATCTAATTATAGAGGTGGTCGGCATCTCTCGCACTTCATCTTACCTTGTATCTTGACTGATTATCCCCCGAATGGATTTTGACCCGACTGGGATCTCTTTTCAGTACTATTAGAGACCCTTGAGTTCAACAAAAACAAGGTCTTGTTGGTTTGGATGTGATATTACAGGGTCATCGCAACCAACACAAGTACAGGTTCCTGGTTATCGTGCGAGAGCGACCAGGAACTAAATCTTACAGAGTGACTATCAAGCAGAGGGTCCTAGTCTTGATCCCCTGAGACGGCGTGTCTTTGCAAACTTGGTAACAACCTTTCCGCTACATGCCTACTCAACCCCGGGGCCCGGGCTTTTGATTACCAAGTGCGATGTGCTAATAGTGTGTTATTTCTAGACCATTTGTCCACTCCCCTATCAAAATGCGGATCCCTGCGAAGAGATAATCGACCAGAAACATGTTGACACCGTCAATTTCTACCGGTTTAAAGGTAGATTGACGATTCTCGCGTTCGGACTTGACGTGGCCCACATCGAAGAGATCAAGAAATCCCACAATATAGGAGAGTCCTGACCAGAAATACCCGAGAAAGACATCGCCTGGCTGTTTACAGTGATTCCTGAATACAATTCCAGGATTGACTCCGTTTAATTTGCCCAGACGACATCCTCGTGTCGGCAGGGACTACCTTCATGTTTCTCAGAAGGCATGGCCCCTTTTCTTGGCATGGATATGAGATCGTCATCCTATCAAATATGTACATCTATTTATGAAATTTTACGACAATCTTTCATGGAGAAATAGAAACCTACAGGAAGTCTCAGCGGGTGGACACTGTCCAACGAAGTCCGGTCTAAGCTGATCCGACTCCCTTGGCTCATCAAAAAAAGCTTGGGGGAAATCGGGTCCCTCGAAGAACTCCAAGGTGATGCGAACATTGAGAAAATGCAGGAGAGACACAAGAAACAGATCAACGAACAACTCTTCCATGTTCTAATCGCTCAGGTCAAATAAACCGACATTGGTATCAACCACTTGCGGAATATCGCCAAGGCGAATCAGCCACGACAAAAAGCACCCCGAATTCTCAAATGAGCTAAATCCAGGTCAAGAACTGGTTATAGTCTCCAATCTTCATCAAAACACTCATCAAGTTACACAAATAGTACTGTTTTCTGTGAAAATTCCACACATATCATGCAGCATCACTTGTTGCGGCCATGATAGCAACGACGTTGTCCAGTCTAAAGTCGCGAGAAAGCATCGTAAGTCCAATATCCTTCATAATCTTTACGTCCCCTGGATGCTAGGTAGAGGATATTCTAACTTATACTCTTCACAGTGCCACACAGAACGGATGGTGTTTAGATAGAGAGATGGCAGAAGAAATATAATACGATTGGATACCTTCCCAGCTTGACAGAATATGCATCCAGAACTTTTCCATAATAGATCAAATACAATCACATCATTTCGTCAGATAGAAGTATACTTTCCCCTGCCACTGTTTACTCTCCATACATCCTGCCACCATCTTACGTTTCACAGCCCGGTAGTGAACCATTATGGGCCGCTCATCGTAGACCAACGCCGCAGAAACGACTCCATCATACTTGATCTCCCGCAACTGCCCAAAGTGTTAGAGGACTTTATATTCCTTGACATCTCAACCACCCTTGGATACAGCTGTGCCGTCAAGTCACAAGAAAAGAAAGGCGACTTACAGATGCACGCCCCCAATCCTCAAAGGGCACCCGTTCCCCATTTCGTGCAACGATCAACGGGGTCACATCGTCGAAGGAATAAAATGTATTGCCGAACCAATTGAGATCGTCCAGCTTTTCTTCAAATGGGTGGCCAGTGGTAAGAATATATCCGTCCCATTCACCGATCAAATCATCTGGTTGGAGAGGCTTGAGTCTCTGAAAGGCCGTATTTATTTGCCCTCCAGTCACACGTGATTTCTTAGTGAGACTGAGAAACTGTCTGGCTGGACTGGGCTGGAAATAGTCGAATGGCATGATGGGAATTTGGATTGTCATCTTCTCGAAGTATAAGGCAAGGATCTTGAGGTGCAAGGTCAATACTTCGACCCCCGGTCTATGACTATATATATATATGCCTCCCATTTCTGTCCTTCTGTGGGCATCCAGCCCTACATATCAGATGCAAGCCATCTCCCCGCATAACACATTCTTCACCACAGACAACATACACGAGTCGAAAACGGGAGCGGTTCTAGCGCTTGAGGCAAAAAGCAACCCGCAAATATGCAGGGAATCAGCCGATCTGTGGATACAGAGCTAAATATAAGGCAAAGCGGCCTATTTGACGGCCTTGTCTATCCCCACATTCTATCTGGAGACAAGCAGATATGCCGACGGGAAGGGATCCTCGAATGGAACATGCCACCGATCCCCCCCAGGCGCGCGAGTACCCGCATTTCAAAATGTATCAGATCGTCCTAGTACCTTCATGCATGCCATGCATGGATAGTGCGGGTAAAAGATATACATATGGAGATTTTTCTGATCGCCACATTCCAGTGTCGGACCGCCGCCGCTTTGTGACTGTGTTACCTGCGTCGATCAATGCATGGTGAAGAATGGGCTAATTTGCAGCTGATAGGGCCATGCTAGAGTATTGAAATTCCTGTTTGAACTTTGATTCTAGCGGGGAATTGGATAGTGGGGGAGTTGGTTCTGGTGAAGGTGTTGGGAGTGGTTTATTTGACTCTTTCTCTGTTTGCTCCCTTGATCGAGGTATCTTATTCTCTAGGCTCTTCTTCTCAGATTTTCATACAAACTGATTACCTAGGTGTTTCCTGATCTGTCTTTTGCGTCATTCGTTCAGAGAAGCCAAATTAGAACTACCCACCTCATGATTTTATCTTTACTATCCATTGGGTCTTTCTATTTACGGTTTAGGGCTCAGACATCCCTGCTCTTATTTCACGAAAGAGTAGCCGAGCAGATTCCTACATGTAGACAGCGTGAACCAACCAACGATGCAGGAAATCACATCATCCTCATTTAGCCCACCACGAGGTGCATATTTTATAAAATCCACTTCTTAGCCCCAAACCCGGGATCTAAAGATTTCGGCCCCGTGGTTGATTGACTACGGCAACTGGGCCCCGAAATTGGCAGATTGAGTCTGTATTCTTTTCGAGGTACCACTCCTTCCAGACTAAAAGAATGCCTATTGTAGATAGTGGATATTGGTATTACAAGCAACCTTGGAAGTTAGACTAGAATGGGTCTTTCCCGCTAAGACAGGACCACGGAGAATAGTCCCGAGTTGCCCGAGGGAAACGCAACGACAAATTCCCCGATGCCCAGAGGAAAATCCTGAGTCAGAAGGCTTGATGTGGGCCTTGGCTAACCGCCAAGTTGGGGCCGACAACTCCACCGACAAGAATTCCTGTGGCAGCAATTGTGACAGCGCGATGGCGTGCTACCTCATTTGGATGGCTCATGGCCGGGCACGTAGTCGGCCTTCTGCGATGGCGATAGTACTTAAGCAATGGATCCCTCTTCTGAGAACTGAAGTGAACATACCTCAATACACCCGTCAAAATGACCGCTTTATCGGTTTCCCCGACAGAGACAGACAGTGTCCCTGTCAAGTACGATGAGAAGACCCCCCATGTCCACTCTACGAACGGTGACGCAGCTCTCCAGCTGCTGGCCGAAGCCGGTCCCCTCGGCGATATCGATCCACAGGCATCTGGACGACTGGTGCGCAAGATCGATCTGTATATCATGCCTCTGATCTGCATCGTCTACTTCCTACAATATCTCGACAAAATCGCAATCAGTTATGCCAGCGTCACCGGATTGCGCGAGTCAGCAAACCTCCAGGGTAACCAGTTCAACTGGGTATCCAGTGTTTTCTTCTTCGGTCAGCTAGCCTTTGCTTTCCCTACCATGCGTCTCGTGCAAGCATTCCCCCTCGCGCGATACGTCGCCGTCAACGTCACCGTCTGGGGCGCCATCCTGTCGTGCATGGCTGCGGCTGATTCATACGCTGGCCTGATCGTCTGCCGGTTCCTTCTCGGTGCCGCAGAAGCTGCCGTCATTCCTGCCTGGGTGATCTTCACTTCACAATGGTACCGCAAGGAGGAACAGGCCTTCCGCGTCGGTCTGTGGTTCTCCATGTGTGGATGGGCGCAGATGCTCGGAGGCTACGTCGCATACGGCGTTGCAACCCACGTTGGCCAGGATCCTAACTCGCCCCTGCGCGGTTGGCAGGTCATTTTCCTGATCCTGGGTCTGTTTACCGTGGTCATCGGTGTGCTTTTCTTCTTCATCCTGCCCGATTCCCCCGTCACTGCAGGCTTTTTGTCGCCTCGCGAGAAGGCAATGCACGCGGAGCGTCTTCGTAGTAATGGCCAGGGCATTGGAAGCAATGTTTTCAAGAAAGAGCAGTTCTTCGAAGCTCTCCGAGACCCGCATACCTGGCTCTACGCTTTCTGGGTCATGGCGGCTAATGTGCCCAACTCCATTGCTACGAGTTTCGGAAATACCATGGTTACCGGAATGGGATACTCGGCAACGCAGAGTCTCCTGCTCGTGACTCCCATGGGAGCTTACGAGGTGGTGGCATTGGTTGGTCTGACCTATCTGGCTATGAAGACTCAGAAGCGACTCTTCTGGTGCATCGTTGGCCACATCCTGGCCATTGTCGGTGCGATCCTCATGGCGACAACCGAAAAGGCACCCGCTCTTGTGGGATACTACCTCTCCGGAGGTATTCCTATCGGATGGACGACCATTCTCGGACTCACCAGTACTAATGTGGCTGGGTCAACCAAGAAGGTCACCGTCTCTTGCATCCAGACAATCGCCTACACCGTCGGCAACATCATCTCACCCCAGACTTTCCAAGCCAGAGATGCCCCGAATTACCTGCCTGCCAAGATCTCCATCGTCATTCTCTATTTCCTCGTCACAGTGGATCTGGGCCTTATCTGGTGGGTCGCCGTCCGGGAGAATCGCCGACGCGATCAAGAGAAGGAGGCATTGGGTGATGCCTATGTCGTTGCTGAGAACCAAGAGTTCCAGGACTTGACAGACCGCCAAAACCCGGATTTCCGTTACGCGATATGAGAAAAGTCTTATGCATTTGATTTGCGACGAGAAAAGAAAACAGCACGATGCTTCATGTACATAGTTAATTTTTACGACAGACCTGGGATATAGACTCCCATCCCCAGAGTCTTCGACAGGACATACAATTCAACCAAAATAATATTTTCTACCAACAATACTCCGTATCCTCAGCATCCTCAGCATAGATCTCCATCTCCTCCAACCTAGAAAACACAGGTATCAAAAAAGAAAACAAATCAACACCAATCAAACCCCTCACAACCCCCAAGTCCCCTCAACCTCAATACAATCCTTCTCAATCTCATCCCACTGCATATCCCCCCACCTCTCGGGCCTCTCAACAGCATCCACAAACATCTTCATCGCCAAAACCGTCTGCGCCGCCCACCTCTCCTTACTTACCTTCCCAATCCCCACCGCAAGCGGCGTCATAAGCATCCTCCCAATCCTCCTCCCTTCCCCAGAACCCCGATTAAACCCCTCCACCTGACACAACAAACTCCACACACACTCATAAACCACCTCCCGATCCCAGTTCACGTCCGCCGGATCACGCATCGTCGGACACAGCGCGAGCCACTCACACCCGTAGCCATTCTGCTTCAGTTCCGCGGGGAACTCGACGAGCGTGCAGGACCCCGGGGGCGCGAAGCCGCGGTATTTATCGTAGAGGACGGCTTGCGCGGCGCGGGTGAGGGCGTGGTAGTCGGAGCGGGGACTGAAGGTTAGTGAGATTGCGTGGTCGAAGGCGCCGTCGAGACGGGCGTAGGAGTTTGCGGGGGAGACGATTAGGTCGAAGGTTGTTTCTTTGGGGAGGTTGTTGAGGCGTGCGTTGATGGGGGTGATTTTTAGTTTGGTCGGGGTGTGTGAGGGCCAGAGGGCTTTGAGGGTTTCGTTGAAGGTTGTGAGGAAGGTGATGTCCATGCAGAGGAGGAGGATTTCGGGGATGTTAGTGGTCATTTTGGGGTTGATGGTGGATTGATGGAGGGGGTGAGATGGGTGGGGAGTAGGATTTAAGTAGATTATAGGGCGATGGAAGGAGTTGTATGATGTCTGTAGATGTAGTTGAGCATCGACGATTTACACAGCCCCGCATTGGTGGGGGCTTTGAGGACCGGGGCTGAGCAAGACTTTCAAGGCTGTTACTTTGACTTGGGAATAACCAAGGCTGACAGCGTGAGGTGCAATGACCTGCTATATACTCGCTGTGTCTTGGATGTTGATTATCGTCCGTTGTATGTTTGTGCCATGATCTGCAGGCAGAAACGTCATTCCGGTGCCAATCTAGACCCTGTTTCGAGTCTTTTATCACCTACTCCTGTCCTTATATGACACACGTAGAATCTTAAGCCCTCAAAGTTGGGAGCCTGACCTCAAGAAACACAAACTAGAGCTTGCTATGAACATGGATTCCATGTATGTAGACTGGTTCAGCCAATAGCCGTAAGATATGTACAACTCTATGCACCGGCGTAAATATCACCACAATAAATCTCATTCATCCAATCCAATATCCCTTTCCTTCCTAAGAGTTGCCTCCTCCGTCGGATCCACATAACCTCTGCCAATCAGACTGTCCTCTTGAGTCGACACATACCGAATCAAACTTTCACACAACCGATCCAGCACCCACTCAGGCTCTGTCTGTTTCGTCACAATGGGGCTGTTCTCACCGATCCAATCCCAATTGAGAAGCCCATACTCATCCTCTGTATTGGCAGCATATTCCCCGCTGACCGATTGATTTTCTGAAGACGATCGCAGTCGGGATCGTGGATCAGTGAATTGGATGAGCCGGGTGAATTCGACCCATTCTTCGTAAGAGTATCGTTTCCGCTTGCCTTCCCGGGCATGTCTTGTGGCAACGACGTATGGAAAAGGCAAGTTGCTGGGCGAGCTCTAGTGGGGATGGATCGCGGGCGAGTTCCTCAAGGGTTTGGTGTGGATGTGACTCTGCCAAGTTCTCGTTGTCACGAGCTTCCTCGGAATCCGCACTTTCCCCTGACTCGGGTTCATCGGCTCCCTCGAGTTGGAATCCATGCTTGACTCGCTTTCTCTCCTGACGCGAAGCTAGGAACTGGCCGATGCCGGGGATGCGGCCCAAAGTTGACCTGTAGATGCCCGATTGAGGGAGCACGAGGTAGTCGGCGATTATATCAGTGGCGCGCTTAAAGCTGACCACCACAGTGTCACTCATATGGGAGATAAGCATGGTCATGGTCGGAATGGCGATTATAGACCACAAGACAAAGAATGGTCGGGACGCATTCGACTGCGGCGTGAAATCCCCATATCCGATGGTAAGCAAGGAGCAGAAGCAAAAGTAGAGCGATTCGAAGTAGGTCATCTTTTCTAATCGCCAGAACACTACTGCTCCGCATGTCCAAACAATCCCAAACGCAACGAGGTTGATAATCAAATCATTCCAGCGGCGAAAGCGCATGGTATCGTCCTGAATGTGGCGCATGGCGTCAAATCGATCCTTTTCTTCACGCATTACAAGAACCCTGGGTCGACGATTTGCCGCAATGGCATTGATTGTATTGCGAATCGGCCGATAACGCCGATACGGTTCAGAATTTTGGCGAGTGAGAGCTGGGGGAGTGAGTTCTTCTGCGCCATCTGGGTATTTTTCTTGGAGTGTTCCGAGCTCCTCAGGCTCGATTGATCGTTGAAAGGTGGATTGCCGTTTCTGTTCAATGTGCTTCCGAATGACATTGTCGTAGTGAACTTCGCGAGCAAATTTATGAATGCTACCCACAGCCAAACCAAGAATGATAATACCGATGACTGCATATGGCCAGACAAGACCTCGGGCGACAGGGCTAGTAGCAGTTATATCACCAAACCCTAACGTCAGAACGGTCACATCGCAGAAGTATAATGCATCGGCATACGGAATCCCTATGGCTCGTTGAAAAATCGCCGCACCAATCAACAGCCAGATCACAAATGCGGTCATCTGTAGAATCAAGGTTCGCTGCTCGTCGGTCAACGCGAAGTGTTGCGGGTATTTACCCAAGAAATAGCCCAGCATGTTGATCATCAACACGAGGCTTAAGAGAAAGTAGAGAATTGCCGCAATTACGGCACTCCAATATGCTTGCGAGTATACCTGACCCGTACCTGTTGGTGGGATATGGACATGTGTAGCAATGGTAATCCCACATAACTATAAACCACGCGTTAGGCCATGGAACCTGTAAGACCAGACGGGGGACTCACGATTCCCGTTGCAGTGAACCACAAGATAATCGTCACCGGCAAAGCTATGATATAGCGGATGACTTTGGTAAAATTGAATAGCAGAAAAATATTCCCGACGACCCCACAGACAAGCGAAACAGCATTCAGAGCAGTGATCCTATTTGCAGTATTAGACAATCCTGATGTAGGGCACCATTCTGCATCGTCCTCACCAATGAGAATCCGGAATCACTTCTTGCATGAGATTCCCAGCAGCACTTTCAGTCCTGGAGAGAATTTGGCTCCGCCATGGCATGACCAGCGCAACGATCGACATGAGATTGGCGAGTGGACCTGTCGCAGCAGCAAGCAATGGAATGGCCGTCGATGCAATCCACCATGACTGTGGCTCGTCATCTTCAGGCGGTCTCAAGTTGAACTGACTGCGGACCCATTTCCACATTGATAGCCCTTGAGACTTGTCGTCTTCGGACGTCGGGGATCCATGCTGCATTATTCTTCTAGCATGACCACACGCCGAGACTGGAAGCAAGCGGAGAGTCGAGGGTACATGTAAATGAGAAATCAAATGTCTTCAAATCTGGGCATACCAAGCTTTTTTGTCCCAAGCACCAAGACTAAGCCGAGACTTTGTGGGGAAGTGTCAGGGGTCACATGCACATCCGTCGTTGGTAAGACGAGACTACATCAGGACAGGGGAAAGGATGAGTCGGAATATTGGCAGTTGTCCGACCCTAAGTAATGATCTGAATGAACTCGACTCTAAAATTTAGGTACATATGTAGTCACAAATGGTTCTCGTGAGGATACGCTCACCCGATGTCAAATATTAAGGTTGGTCCCGTGACAATCCCACATGCGTCATCATTATACTGGCCTCAGAGAAATCTCGTAGCTTGCTCTTGTGAGAAGCTATGTAGCCATGGCCCACGAATGCATACACTGAGATGAACCAGAATAGCGATGGTATCGACCTCGGTCTTCACTCGAAGTGGCGCCCCGGCTGTGGAAGCCGTTTACTGTATTCGCCCAAAGGGCATCAATCCACTTTCTGATTATCTCATGACTCTAAGAACAAGGTCGATATGCTGTTATATGGCTTCGGAGATCGACAAGGGGTGACATGGATGGTCTTTTCAATTTTTATAGGTCATTCTTTGCGCTCCGTGGCTCTTCGAAAGATTCGAGTGATTTAAAAAGAATTATGTTAAGACTACTAAGCATTCAACCATACCATTCACAACTCCGCCCTCGAGGTATGTGTGAAACGGAGGAAATGTAAGATACAGCATAGAGAAGATAAACATATAGCTCCACATATCGCAAGCAAAACTTGGCTCTTGTTTGTGAATTTGATCTGGAGAGCAATAACGCATAGGCGCATAGCCGTGTTGAATAGAGGGGTCGCCGATTTTCTTTGCTAAACCAAAATCACAGAGATAGAATTCTTCTGTGCGGATGTCATCAGGGACTTTGTCAGGGCTCACAAGCTCGCCCTTTTTATAGAGATCGACAAATGGTGTTGTCTGCTTTAAAGGCCGTCCGAGTAACTCATGCTTCCCGCTCCTACTGAGACCACCGATGGGAGCCATTCCCTACATACAATTTCTTGCGCTCAAATGTATAGAATTTTCTTAGTATATCAGAAAACAGGCTAAGAGAATGCCGACTTACCGCGATGTATGATTCCAGCTTCATGCAAGCTTGCTACAGTCTCCAGTAATTGTCGAGCCGCAGACATACGAGAAGTTATAAGAGTCCTTTTCAAGGTAAGAGTGCAGATAGATGGCCCTTTCAAAGGAAACACTAAGACTCTATGGGGGCTTTTATCGTTTCGGGACAGGAAGAAGGTCGCAGTATTATATGATCAGGCGAGATTTATCCTATGCCGTGTTGATAATCTCATCCTGGATTCGAAGTTCGTTGTCGCCCCATTTCCCTAGGGCCATGACTTTGAGAGCTACGTCTCTCTTTTCTTGCAGGTCAAATGCCATCCAGACAGTTGGGCCACCACCAAAGCCAAGCTTAGGCTCAACCAGATGCCTATCGTTGAGCACTTCCCCGAGGTGGATGGGATAGAGGACATTTTCGTTCTCCTCTGTTTCATACCTATGCCATGGCTCAACAAGCTCTTCGAGATCAAGTTCCTCGTCTTCATCCTTCACGAAGTCCCCACAACATGTTGTGTTTCCAGTGGATGTTTCACTGTTCGCCATTGCAAGATAATGTGTTTTGATGGTAGAGCGGATGGATAATGAGGAGATTTCGTGAGTTCAACGCGGAGGGAGATCACGCAATATAATGCCATTCGCCATACCGCCAGCTGGTAGCTCCTGGTTGAGTGCAATCAACTTCATGCGTTTAGTATCCAAATCCCATATTTCTAAATCTCACCACCTGATTTATCGGGTCCACCAGAACCATAGCTGAAACCCGGGCTCAACCGCAGAGACGGTTTAATCTCCTGGCTAAAGCCTAATGCAGGCTCCCAGTGGACGGCATTCTAGCCTACCGAGGGGGGTGGATACGCATGTAATGGCATGCATAACCCGGGGTTGAGCAGAGGCTGCCTCACCTTGTTGTGAACACGATGCCTCTTCGAGTGTCCAATCGGCCTTTCCATGGATGATACATCCATCCAATAGGCATTTCAACATTGCAATGGGCTATGACAGACGTATTGACTCTTTCCCTTCTAGGCAACTACCAGCGGAACAACGGTCGAAGCTGCTCATGATAGAAAGTAACTGATGCTGTCTTCCTCACCCATAAAAGCGTACGAAGGCACCGCACTTAGTGCGTGAGCCCGTTAGTGAGATCTGCACGTATGCTCACTAGCTCCCACGCTTGACACCTTCCGGCTCCAGTCCACGGCATATTAATGCATAACCAACTCGGCTATTTTCTCTATTTCAACATCGGAATCCATGTCTCACAAGCCCGAGATCACTCCAAATGAAGGAGATAAACGTCTCAGAGACTGCGCTACTCATTCCACCTCTTCCAATATCCAGACGTACACCCACTTCAACACAATCACTTCGATACAAAATACGTTCCCCATCCGGCCAAACCCAGAACATATACAGAGTCACGGATCAGCATCTGCAACCCAAGACAAAGAGGTCATGCACGCAACCCCATCCCTCGCTGTGATAGGGTCGCCACGCCGTCGGGAAGCCCCCAACGTGCATGCTGCACCAAAAACCGAGCCAATGACAGCGGCAATCACCTGCATAACGCAAATTCACCCCGCTGGGACCTCAAGCGTGACATCAATGGCCGTCATTGGGGAGACAGTACCTGCTTTGGCGTACAGCTAACTGCCTCGTCGATCCAACACAACCATCGGCGCAGGCTGGAAGCTGCGATTCTGGGCGCTTTGGAACCTTGGAAGGTTCTACGGGGGTAAGCGTGATCCACTCTGAGACGTGCATGCGTAGCGTGGAAGCGCTGGGTTGAGGGGTAGCTATCACATCACACTCGGGTGACCTCACCGGCGTGGAAATAGTATTGGTTACGCGGGATTACTTGATTTACGGGACGTACTAGGGAGAATGATAGGAAAAGTAAAACGAGCGTGGGTGGTTGGTCTATCCGACTGGAGGGTTGTGTTGGTTCTATGTACAACCCGGTGTCTCCGACTCAACATCATATCAGGGACACAAAAGGACAGTAGAAAAAGAAAACACATGTAATGCGAGATGACAAAGGAAATAGTATAAACGAAATCGCAAGATGGTATCATCGAAGCAGAGTGACACGGACTTCAAAGACGGGAAAGGGACTTGACGGCCAGAAATGGGAATTAAACAAGGACGCCGGAAATGGAAGAAATGGAAATGGATCAATAGACGCCTGGTCCCTCGAGGGAAACATCAAACGCGCCGGGACCCAAAAACGAGAATTTTGTGTCGCCCGAAAACCCGGGGCGACATCTGCCGATCGAAGAAATAGACAAGTAAATGCAACGAGCAAAGATGGCTAAAAACCAAACACGCTCCAAATGCGATTCAACGGTCAAATGCTCCAGTAGATAAGAAAAGGAAAAATAAGAAAGTCTCTCTCTCTGGGGTATCGCTCCCTCGGCAGGTCTGTAGTGTAAATAAGAAAACATCTAAAAAACATCTTATGCAGCCGATGGTCGGCGCAAAATGTCTTCGCAGTTGGCGTCGAATCGCATGTTCCAGAGTCGGACGCTGTTCATGAACTTCTCGGTATTTTCAAGCTCACGGTCGCGACCGAAAATCGATTCGACGAATTCGCATCCTGCGTTGCGACCCATCGATACGGGCCCCTTGCCACCTTCTCGCTTGGCGGCCTTCCACATGTAAAGTTCACAACCCTTAAGAAGTTTTTTGAATCGGGACCAGAGGCGCTCGCCACTTTCCAGGAAATCTTCGACGACTTCCTGCGCCTCCACACGTTTGATGCGAGGGAGGCATTCATCGGCCCTCTTTACTTTGCCCGCCAGCTTGATCAACAAGAGCCACAAGTCGCCAGCGACGTCGGCCATGGGCGAAGAGGCCCCGTGATGAAAGACGGTCCAGTCGTAGATCCACTTGCCGAGGGAGTTGGCGTCAAAGACACTGCCAAGCAGGATGATCGGTGCCTCGGTAGGATCCCAGTTTTTGATCGAGTAGCCTGCGGGGATCCCTGCGCGCTCGGCGTCAAGCTCGGTGGCGGTGGGTGGCGGGTTGGCAGATGCAGGTGGGGTTTTGGGCTTGCTGGGAGTGCGGGTTGATGTGGACTGGCGTCTGGTACGGGAGCGTCTAGCCGCATCGATATCCTCGCTGTTCGGAACCTGAGTGAAGTAAAAGTGAGAATCAGCTGGATTTGATTTGCGGTAACAGGTCGAGGCACGACGTTGTTGGCCAGTGCCATCTCGATTGGGGTTCGTGGCCGGGGGACGGCCGGGGCGACCGGTACGGGGTTCGCGGGCTGTGGTGCGCGGGACATCGAATGCGTCGTCGACCACATCTACATAGATGGGTCGGGTCTGCGATTGCGACGGGTAATATCCGTTGCTGAGGCCATCCCCCGTAGGATGACCGCTCGAGTGGTATCGGTGGTGTTTGGGCTTTCCCGCAACAGAAGCACTTACATGATCGTGCTTTCGCGAAGGAATGGTATGGTCTGGGGTTGCTTCGTAGAAGCTGTGGGAGTACCCAGGCTGCCATGGTGTTTCTTTGGTGGTTGAGTAGCTGGCCTTGCGGCCGTGGCGCCGTGAAGGGGTGCCCCGGGGGGAGGTATAGGCGTTGGCGAACTGAGAGGCGTAGTAGGCGTAGTGAGGTGAGGTAGGAGGTGATTGTGTGTAGTCGTAGGTTGACCACCCGGGGGTGGGTTGGAGTAATGATACATTATCGCGCGAGCATATGGAGCACCAGTCGATCGGTAAATGTAAATGGAGGCGACGAGCCGGAAATGCAAAAACAGTCCAAAGCAGTTTAAATGAAATCAGCAGCAAAAAACAAGAACACCAAGTATATTATACAGGATATCGTGCACCCAAACAGAAATCGACGCCGACTTTGGAACTGTCAGATAGGATTTTTTTTTTTTGGTAATAGGATCGTCACCGTGGTACGGTTTCCGATCGAAGAGAAGAGGGTTGAAACTGTATGTGCTGAGAGAGCATTTGAACGTTCTTCGGTCAATCCGAGGACGAGAGGAAGAGTGCGTTTAGGGGGATCCTACAGAGGATCCAAGACTCCTTGTTGATAAAGGAGTTTTGAGGGAAAACAAAGAGCAGAGAGATCTCCGCTCCAAAACATGTAATGGCTTTGAAATTCAGTGGAGAGAGGTGGAGAGTGAAAAAATCCAAAGAATGAAAGAGAAAAGAGGAAATATGGATCCTTAATGACAGGCCGATGATATTGGCGCAGGCCAATCAGTGCATACACTAGTCGCCGATGCGTGTGAGTTGGCGTTGTGGGCTGTGGCGTTTGGATACTTTCTTACAGGTATTGAATTTCAAGGTATTCTATTCATTTCCACTGGTCATGGAAAATCAGCATATTTTATTATTTAGATATATCATTCCTGCTTTGGGGTGATAGTCCGTGGGTTTTATAGCTGAGCATCGAGGTCAGAGCTATCATTATGACTCAAATACTCCGTATCAGTGGCAAATGAAATACGGAGTACTCCGTACGGAGTAGAGAGTCGCACTCTAGTAGTCACCAGTACTTTCTCTCTTACTCGTCAATCTGCCCTATCCAAAGTACCAGTGAGACTTGATGCCTCTACCCCTCAGACTAGTCCAGATGGAGACCCTTCCCTCCAGCGCCATATGCAAACCGCTGGGCTGACTGCCCCTCAGTTGGATCGGACAGCGGCCAACTGCATTCCTCTCGATGTCTTTGCCTTTGCCGGTTTGAAGGCAACTAGCTAGCGAGATTCTTTTCGCCCGGGTGGAATGATACAGTTTAACCAAAGGTCAAAAAGGTATATGTGCATGTCGCCACTAAGTCATAGTGTAATCGTCCAAAGATCTCACTGGCTGCCTTACAGATGTCTCCCGATGGAACCAATTTAGACCACCCCTCTATCAGCTGGCGTGTCACAGTTGGGTTGGATGAGCCCAAGTCCATGTGCTCAACTTCCAGAACTAGGCTACATTTTTCCATGCCTCGTACAATTCATCCGCATGAACGCCATCATTAGTTACAGCATCACGAATACTGTATACGAGGAGGTAATTTTTCTTCAAATCTTGACCATATTACGGAGTCGATATCATCTCGTAACAATAACCTTAAGGACAGATGATATACTTCTGCACGTCGTCACTGCATCGTATACGGAGTACTCCGTACTCCATAGACGACCTCGGAAGGCTCCATACAGCATATGCGCAATACTCGATCGTATAAAGTGAGTCGGTTCCATGGTTGGCCAGCCGGCATCCCAGATTCGATGACGGCCCATCCCGTCTCGTCCAGTGGTTCAGACTCCACCAAAACCCCAGAAACTCGGACAATATCAACTGTAAAATAAACCGAACACGTTGCCATGGCAAAAGAAGCAGCTAGTGAGCCCCGTTGAAGCCTCTTACACACACATCCACTTCGCACTGCCATGTTGGGCAACATCATGGACGATGCATGGGCTTACCGCCGCATCGCTGGGCAGCAACCGCTACCATTTTGGGCAAAAGGCAGAGAATTCGCAGACCGCAACTTGCTCGTTTGGGTCCGACCATCAGTAGCAGTATTCTAAGTGGGTAGGGAAGAACTCAGGCTGGAAGCCAAAATAGTTACGCATTATCAAGTACGAAATTTAAGAGATGCTTTAGCGGCTGTGCACGAGACGTTGGGATCGAAGCCGCATGATGAAGAGGCAGTGTCCTCCAACCAGATGCAAAATGAAGTCATATCTGAATCACCCGCTGTCATGAATCTTTAATATTGGCTGTCCACAGTTTATTGTTTCAGCGTGGGGCGATGGATAATAGACGACTCGCTCTCATCACGATCGCAATCGAGTTCAAGCCCTAATGTGCCTTATTCGGGAATGGTCTAACACCTACATGCTAGCGCTAACTACAAGATGTGCAGTACAGTATGTACATATGCGTCATGACTGGCAGTGCTAGTAATTAAGCTACATATCAATATTACAACAAAATATGCATACGGAGCACAGAGTCTTTGTATACGGAGTACACCATTATGTACAACATACTCTTCTCTGAAACAAGAAATCTACCTCTGTATCCTCCATGTAAAGAGCACTATCACCGCCAGTTTGCTTGGCCATAAATACCAGAAATACTAACAAAGTCTTTACGTTCACGCACCGAATCAAGGGATGAAAGATGGGTTTCCAGCCTATCCTTGCTGCCCACACGAAAGAATCCCAGGGAGACCCCTGATTCGAGGGTTAATGAGTCAACTCTTCGAGAAATGACTCCCCCCTTGTCTCAGCCAACCAAACAAAGGACAAAAGAACCTACCTCTGCATTGCCGATCCTCTAGGGTTGCACATGGCGTATTTCTTTTTTCTTTTTTTGACAAACAAAAATGGATTAAACCTCCCGCCTAAAATCGTGTCTGCAAGATAGATCTCACATGCAGGCAGCTGAATTTTTTTTGTTTCTTTTTTCTAAAAAAAAAAATGAATCATGTTAGATGTGTCTACTCCCTCATAGATAATGCAGCGTACAACATAGAACAGATCTGACGCGACAAAAAGATGCCCCTATGTTCGCCCCCTTCTACTTCGCCACCTTAATCAAGTTGATCTCAGCCATGAACGGACCACTAAAAAAAGCGATGTAATACGGAGTACGGAGTACGGAGTACATACTAATATATTAAATTTTAGTGTGTGCTCGCCTAAGAGCGGGCCATAGAAATTCTGGAACAAGGTTTCCAAGGCCCAGAACCCACACGAATGAGCCCAGGCTGCAGGGGGGCCAACGGGTTGGGAGCCGGGATGCATCTTCCCCCCTCGGCTGTAGGAACATAACCTTGAACAGGCCCACGGGCACAGACCCTTTCGTACACCGTAGCCTCACGGGCGCATCCATTGGTTCAGTTTAATTTATATCCCGCGCTTCTGTGCGACGTTCATAGTAAGCTTAGTATGGCCCACAGTGTATCAGCCATATCCATTTACTCCGGACGGAGTACGGAGTACATGCTCAGCGGAAGCGCGGCCGTTGACGGCTCAGCATCCTTGTTGTTTTGGATTGAGGAGGTTGCCTAGATGCCATGCGGGTATGTACGCCGTACGGCACGACATATTGTGGATTTTTTCCAAGAATTACAGAGTGGGCCTGATATCAGAATATAATTTTGCCCAATTATGGACTCATGTCCGAGGAATGACAAGCCACTGTTTTCTTCACCTCCATTTGGTTACGGAGTACGGAGTGCAACATATGGAGTATGTATATACAACACACAGCACCTACCTCCTTTCCCCTGGCCATCTAATCAAACATGCACGTACGCACGCTCTGGGCGCAATCCAAAATAAATCTCTCGATCACATGTTAGTGGACATTGAAATCCCGTCTATCTGCCATCCCTTGCACGAGCGGGTGTCGGATTTGCTGTGGGAGAATCAAACCAAGACCTTGGGTCTCATTTAATCTCTCCTATTGGTATTCTAGGCCGGAATGGAATACTAGCGGTCGGGGGAATCCTCGAAGGAATTTAGTCCCATGGATTATTGGTTCGCGGTTGATATGTCGAGGTTTTGTGCGCGCTGATCATCTAGGGTTTGAATGATTGCCCTTGCCCTGTGCCCTATGTGGCTCAATGTCTAGTCTTGGGCTGCCTGATTCGTACTTTTGTCTTCATATCGTGGGGGTGGTGAGAGGGGAAGGATTTTGGCTGAGTGATGGCCCTTTTTTGGTTCTTGGCTTTTTCATACTTGGGCACGCATATTCTTAGATGGGGAGGTCTCGGTCTCGTTATCTTCGAGGGATTTCAATCCACCTGTACTATTGGTCATTGAAGGGATAGATTGTGCAATGTACACCGCACCAGGTGTTAGTTGGGCCGTAGTACGGAGTACGAAGTATATGATTCGGATTTGCTCATGGATGGGTGGACGGTGAACTGGTTGGCTGATCAGTTCATTTTATGGATAGATAGGATAAGATCATTGATAGATACATATTCTAGATCTGCATGGCTATCCTGTGGTCTATATATGTATGTACACATGGGATTGTGTTTGTATGAATGCATGCAACCTTTCTATTTACAAAACCCAACAAACTCAAAAAAAACAGAGCAACCATATAGACGGCATCAAACCGAGGCGAAATTGCTGCATATAGAATGGTATCATATTTGTCAGACCAAACACACGATTCGCTGATTCACGAACAAAGAAAAAAAAAAGAATCCAATGAGTTCATCCGAGTGCTGAAAAGCTGGAACCCGGGTTTCAAACCCCGGGTGAGATTATAAAAAAGATAGATAAAGCAAAAACGTCTATGCAACCATATACTCTCCGTCGCCCCGCTTGGCCTGCATAACACGGGACCACCTGAAAGCCTGAGAGGGAGCTGGCGCCCTGCCACCAGCCAGTGGAGGCGGGGGACCAATCCCGCTCGGATAGATTGGGAACGAAGATTCATCGGAATTCTCGGCCCAGATCCGTTCAAGGAGCCCCAGGCAGGATAGATTATTGATGAAACCAGAATCCTTGGAGATATCCTTGCAGCGGTTGCGAATGATTGCACGGTGGTCGTCCTGGACACACTCGGAGCCAACAATAAACAGTGGCCAGAGAAGATACACGTCTGATTGTACAGTGATAATACAATGCATGGCAAGCTGGACGAGGTGCTGGATACGACCATGGCGTGATGGAAGGGTCGGCTCAGCTAGACGCTCACAGTACAGAAGAGCAGCATGACGGAAGCATTCCGAGATCTGGTATACGTCCTGAAGGTTCTCGGGCGCGACTTGATATGCGGATGTAGAAGTTGGTGGCGTAATATACGTGGTAGAGTTCCAGGTCATTGTAGATGCAGATAAGGGCGGAGAGGGGAAAGAGGTTTCAGCAGGCGCAGCAGGTGGGTCGAATCGCCAGGATTCAAGTCGCTGCCTGAGCGAATACCACTCTGACCAGAATGCTGGGGAGGAAGGTCGACGGGATGAGTCACTGCTTTGAGGCGGCGTGGGAAGAGAAAACCTGTATTCCGGTACGGAGCCTGATCCTGGATTTGGAACAACGGTTTCCCAACCAGGGAACAGCATATTAGGAGGGAGAGACGTGGTGGAGACAGCAGCGTCCCTTGGGCGCGCTAGGTTGGGCTCTTGATCCTGGCTGAGTAGATTCAAGCGTCCCAGCTGAGAGATAAGCTTGAATAGGCGACCATCACAGCCAGCCAGGTTTTCCAGGCCCCATTCTCCATCGGTTGTAGAGCTGATTTCCAAACATGTTCCGCGGAGTTGCACATCACGGTCATTGGTGGTTGCCGTCAAGGTATCAAACCACGAGAACATGCGGATGAACCATTTAAGATCTTCTGTGATGACGGGGGAATGGCGCATCCGAATCGCAAGAAGCCTTGTCACTCCAGCGAACTGTGCGCGGAATCCGGCAACGCCAGTATCGCAGCCGTGGAAAAGACAGAGAATTAACAAAGTTGCCAGAACGGAGTCGGATAATCTGCGACGAGGATCGGCCAGGTCGGCGTTTAAAGCCTTGACGGCCATGCCTCGATGGTGATTTTCTTCCCTCATATATCCCTCAACCATTGATATGCCATATCGATCTTGGAAATCTTCATCGGTGAGGGCGCGGTGAGCCATTGATGACATGCGCGCTGGCAAGGTTCTTTCTGTGGAGAGGTGATTGTGCTCTCGCCTTTGGCGCAAGTTACTCGTAGCCAGTGTTGCAATTGCCTCTTGTAGAGCCTCGCTCTCCATCGCTAAGCGTATGACATGAATTCGGAATGGATTTGTCGGGGTATCAAAAGCAACGATCATGGGAGCAATGACCTCGGCATAATAGCTGATGAGATAACGAATGCGCGGAGTCCGCCCTACAGATCGTGCTAGAAGAAGCTGAGAGAGAGACGGAGAGTGAGCGGCATTCCAGAGCACATTATAATTAGGGTCGTGTTTGACATCTTCTTCGTCAGTCTCCTGTGACGCTGGGGGAGTAGCAGCTTGACCTGATAATGAACCTGCAATTGGCCAAACCGGGGAGCCAAAACTAGCCGTCGGGCTCAGAATGGGTGCATATAGCAAGGGTGTTCCCGGAGCCATGGCCTGGCTAGTAGTATCTGGAATCATTGGTCGACTTGATACCGGTAAACCTGAGATCGAGGGTGGAACAGTACACGTGCTCGACCACGATTGTGGGTCCGGCATGTCCATCGCCCAGGCCATGTTTGAAGACATCTCGGGCGCATCTGGTATTATAGGCGGACTATATTCAAGCTTCACTTTTGGACTCCTTGCGCCAAACGATGTCATTGCTGGTCCAGCGGCCGGGGGCTTGGGGGCCGAAGCATTTGCAGGAACCCGCGATGATGAGGGACCGCTAGTACTTGACGCTTTCGCTGGTGATTTCGCAGATGTTCCCGACGATTTTGCCTCCGATTCCATCACCGGGAGCTTCTGGCCTCGGAGTTTCCCTCGGCTTGCAACCCCGACGCCCCATGTTAGCGTTGTCTTGTATCCGGAACATTCGCGGCCGAGGTCGAGGCACTGGGAGCAATAGGGTCGGCGCCGATCGCACCGTGCTCCTCGTTTGGCGCAGGCAAAGCAATCATCGGGAGCTCCGCTGACCACTGTTCTCTTGCGGCGTTTGCGAACCGGAGCGTTCGGGTCAGTTTTGCGGGATTTTCCTTTGGGCGCGGGGTCTCGCGGGGGACGATCTGTATTATCGGAGGCCATCTTAAACAGGCTTGGGCAATGCCCGCACGGAGTCCATCAGTCAAGACCTGGGATACCCGTCGATTGGAGTGAGCGTTCACGGGGTGACGGTATTTGAGGGGGGATGATCCTAGGTATAATGGGGGCGGAAATATCCAATCTCTCACAAGATCGACGGAGTCGTATGGGAATTCTGGGTGTATATTAAATAGCACAGTGAAGACTCCTGAGTCTGCAGACTGAAAAAGAGGGAATGATAACCGGAGGAAGTGCCGTGTTGGGGGGTGGGTAGGGGATCTTCCCGGTGGAGGCTGATCCGCGCTTTAGTCGTTTAGTCGGGAAGAACTGAGCGATGGGGGCTTTTTCAAAAGGTAGCCGGTTCCACTGTGGTGATCATGAAATCATTATAATAACCGGGTCTCACATGCGATCTGCTTCGAATATGTTCCATAGTTGCCTTGGGTTGGCCATAAGAAGAGCTCGAGGTACATAATAGCCAGAGGCCTCGGCTCTCAGCAAGCAGACAAAACACGATATCGGAGGATGCAATGCTTTGAGCAGTCTGGTGTTTCCATTTGCATGCACTATGTGAAAGTACCAAATCCTTCGGGAATATCATAATCCCACCATAATGGAGACATAAGCGTACGCGTACGCCTATTGTAACTCCGTACTCCGTAGAGCGGCCCGCCAAGCCCCTGGACTAATCTTCTTTCCGCCAAACCCGCGGTCTCCTTAGAACAATGCGCCACACTCTGCAACCCCGGCCATCGCCTTCTGTGAATATACAACCTGATCTTTGCTTGACTTCAGGGTAGCTGGTACTCAAAAGGTCGATCGGCGTGGCCGTGCGCGGCTGAACCCCTGGATCTAAGCGCCGGAACTACTAGGCCAAACAGACCATCTGGCGATTATGGGTGCTTTCAGACCGGGGAGAGTGAGATCGCTCATACTGGCGGTGCTCGCCTTGATTTTGGTCTGCACGGTCTATTTCTATTGGTCTCCAATCACCGCAGCCTCCACTGTCTCTGTCGTTCCGAACACAGCATTCGAAGTTCCCCTCACGGAGCGCCAGAAGGACTTCTGGAAAGTCCTTCGACCCATCATCGAACGTCATAACCCCAACTGCCCTACTCCAGAAAAACGAGGAGATGTCGAAGCTCAGCATTTTGATCCCACAAAAGAAACCCCGCGTCCTGACTTGACGACGATGAGTGAAGAAGACATACGCAAAATGGAAGATGCCCATGCGGCCTTCATCGAGGATATCAAGAATTCAGACAAGGAACTGAAGCCAATCCATACTGCGGGCAAGCGCGGTCTGGTGTCGACAGCTGGGGCCACCTACCTCCCCGTTTTTGTCTCGTCGCTGCGGATGCTCCGCCGTGCGGGGTCAATGTTGCCGGTTGAACTCTACATGAAAGATGCCACCGAGCACGAGAAACACGTTTGCAACGAGGTTCTTCCCCAACTCAATGCGCGGTGTTTGGTGTTGGCAGACGTGGTGGGTAAAAATATCATTGAACACTATCAACTCAAGATCTTCGCGGTTCTTTTCTCATCCTTCGAAGAGATAGTCTGGATGGATGCTGACTGTTTTCCTCTTGGCAAACCTGAGGAACTGCTCGACTCGGAACCCTTCAAATCCAATGGGTTAGTCACATGGCCCGACTTCTGGGCTTCATCTGCATCTCCGCTGTACTACAGAATCTCACGCCAGGAACCACCATCTATGGCTGCTAGACAGTCGTCAGAAACTGGGGCATTCTTGGTTTCCAAGAAAACACATTCGCTGGCTCTCTTATTAGCGGCTTATTATAATTTCTACGGCCCATCACACTACTTCCGCTTGTTGAGCCAGGGCGCTCCTGGCGAGGGAGATAAGGAAACTTTCATACAAGCTGCTTCGGCTGTAGGTGCACCTTTCTATACCGTCAGTGAGAGAGTGCAAGCTATTGGACATGCAAGCGCAGATGGGCTATCTGGATCCGCTATGGCACAATCAGACCCGCGCGAGGACTATGCTTTGATTCAGCAAGACAAGTGGCGCGTAAAAGATGAATCCGTCGCCCCTGCGCCGCACGTTTTCTTCATCCACGCGAACTATCCCAAGTTCAACCCCGGAGATCGGATCTTCGGCACGGGTTGGGAAACAACTCCCACATTGAAAGAGGATGGCTCAGATGGACGTGCCTGGACGGCACCCCCAGAGACCGTAAGTCGATTTGGATATGACGTCGAAAGGGCGTATTGGGAAGAGATTAAATGGGTGAGCTGTAACCTCGAAACAGCATTCAAAACTTGGGAGAACAAAATGGGTCTATGCCAGAAAGTTGAGGAGTACTGGGGTCATGTTTTTGCTGAACCGCATGATGATGACCCCAAGTTTACCCTGGATGGCTAATCTAAGCTCCGGCTATTGCACCTTTCTGCCTTGGGCTACTTCTTGGCCTGGTCAGCCTCCCTCCCCCCACCGAACAGGGTTCGGTGTTTGGACAATACATATCCAATGCCGTTCGGCGATTCTCCCCGTTGAACCACGGGCTAGTTTGCCGTGGTACCTACGGCGATAACCTCCTCCCAGTCGACTGGAGCCCCTTTGTCTACCTATTTACCATGGTCGACAGTGGGGGGATTTTGATGACCCAAGACCTCCTCCCCTGGCCTACTCGGCCATACCTCCCAGCAGAAACAATTTGTAGTGTTTCTGTTACCTGCCAATCCTGGCATTGTACAAACTTGTGTACAATATCTTGGCCCTTCACCTCCTGGGTCTCGTACATATCGCATATCTGTGCTTAGAGAGAACGCGACCTCATGATATACGCCCTATTAATTACAAGATTTTGCAATGACACCTTTTGAAATTGATCCTTCATCCCTTCATCCTAGATCGTTAGTATTGTACCTATTCCTCAAAACGCATAATGTAGCTACATCACGTCGTTTCCTGTGTCCTTCAAGCAGTGGAAAGCATTTGTGCTAGAGAATATTTCAGTGATGGCGCTCAAGTATCTCGAGAGATCAATCATTAGTGGCAATTACATGGGACTTCGATTTTGAAGGACCACTTATACATGCTATCACAATTCATATGATTCATCTTCAATGTATGTGTTCATTCGATGGCCTCGTTAACTCATTTAAGAGTACCTTTGATCAAATATCAATCGTATCCTACATCATGTTTATAACAATAACCCCTTCATCCCCGGCCGATGAAGTCTCAGTTCTAATCAGAAGATCCAGGGGGTATTTTTTCTAACATCAAAAACAGCATTCACAAATTCAGTGCTTGATGCCCTTCTCCCGCAGACGCTGTTCGTCTTCTGCCTGGAGCTCGGCATCAATCTTAGCACCCTTGGAGGGAGCGTTGCCGTGTACCCTGGCCTGTAGGGAGAACAATGTTAGCAGATGTCTTTGTGCGTAGATGGATCTTGGAGTAGACTTACAGGTTTGGTAGGATCTTGCTTGCTCAACTCAGCCTCCTGGTCGTACTCGTTGCGGTGCTGCATGGGGTTGGGCTTGTTCTCTTGGGAAGCCAGCTTGTTGGCAATGGAGCGGCCATCCTTGGGGTCAAGGTTCTTGTGGCTGCCAGGGTTGCCCTCAGCGTAGCGGGCGCGTTCTTGGAGATCGGACACAGCAGTGTTACGCTGGTCGCCTGCCTCGTAGATACCGCGGTTACCGACGCTTGAGTTGCCTGACATTGTGTATGGATATAGAATGGATTGGGGTTTGTCGAGAGGTTTGAAAACAGATGATAGTTTGTGCGAGTAGAGGAAGTGTTTGGTTAATTGATTCCTTAGTTTCTGCCACTGGATGAGCTTGATCTTATACTTGGTATGTTGGTTTGTGATGTCATGTTGGAGTCACTGAAATCATGGTGGGGCGTAGCCCAGTTTGAAGGCAATTACAAAAGATCCTTGCTCGTTTTCCGATTGCATCTGCTCTGGGCTCTTCTGCGAGGTTCTGATCCGGAAAAATCGTTGCAATCAAGGCAGCGTTGTTCTGTGACATCGTCGTCGGGGCTTAAGGATCCCGACTAGTGTCCGCTCCACTCTTATACTCCGTTCGAATACATCGACAACGCAAGTTGGACCGTGGATAAAGCATAGGTGGAATGGAATTTCCTATTCCTGCAGGAATGAGTTGCGTTCATCATTAATTAATTCAATTCATAGAGACCTATCTGTTGACTTTAGTTCGTAAATCGTCGGCATCGGGTCTAGTCCGCAATCGGCTTAGATCCCTCTGGCATAGGTAGCGTATGGGTCCTTTCAAAGTAAAGATCCTATTCAATGTCCTTGATAATTCGATCTCTTCCAGCGAAGGGGAACAATTTGCATGAATAAAGAAAACAACCTCAGTTATATAGGGGATACAATATCGTTTACGATGCTTCGAGCCGGTATGCAGCGACCCACTCGGGTCGCCGGAGCGCCCTGCGATTGATGGAGACGAGAGAGATCGTAACCTTGCATTGCACATTATACGCTGTACAATTATACGTACGCTATGTTCTCCTGATTATCAATCCGAGCCAGCACATTGAAGCACAAACCAATCCATTCCATTTTTCTCCAGCACTCGCCCAAAATCATGAGTTTCTCAACGGCAACCGCGGAAGTCCAGCCCCGCTACAATCAACTTTTCACTGAGTTAGAGGACCGCTTCAAAACCACCAAATTGGGCAGCGACAAATGGTACATCCTAGCTATTACCACACTGGCCGCTGGCCCAGACCCTGAGCGCGCAGACCAGCTCTACCTCCATCTCACCAAACAAGCAAACTATGCAACCTCGCCAACCCGACAAGCTCTGGTCCGCCGGCTCCGCGAGGCATTGGTCAAAGCAGTGCCTATAATCGGAGTATGCAAGCCCATCGAGGCAATTCTGGCGATCAGTGAAGTCGAGCGTGACGAGGACAAGGATTACACTTTCACCCGCGAGGGCTGGCAGTGCGATCAGGCCAACCATGAACGCGGCACCGGGTGGTTGCAGAAGTTGTATGCTCGCAACACCACCGGCACGCTTGATCTGTTCAGTGCTCACAAGGACTTCTCCTGGCTTTCCAAGGAGATCACTTACGGGCTGTTCTTGTCGGACCGCCAAGTCCTGAATGACCTTGATACCCAACTTGTTGTGCTGCCCGGTATTATGAGCCAGAATCTGCCCAAGGAGACCCATTGGCATATTCGTGGTACAAGACGCATTGGCGTTCCTCAGGAGGAGGTTCAGGTTATTTGGGATTGTGTGCAGCTTGTGGCTCAGTTCTATGATATTAAGCTTCACAAAGTGCCGACTGTTGAGGCTGTTGAGTATGATGTTTAGATATAGAGATTTGCACTTAGAGAGTGAATGATTTTCGGTTCCATACATTTGCATCCCAGACAGAAGTATATATAGCAACCGCAGCCCGTTCATACTACTCCTCATCTTCATGAGACTCCCAGATTTCTACCATACCCGAATATCCTTTGTACTTTACCATTGAGCATTGAGATCAATCCCTCACAGAAGTATATTCGGTAGCAAGGCGGCCAAAAAACACTGATGACATACATCGGCGATAACAACCGATAAGAGAAAAAGTTCGAAAGCGGCCGAGCGCGGGGCCGAGATCAACTTTTGAACTTCATTTTACCCAAGCTCAGACAAATAATACTCCAATTAGCACAATATGGTCAAGCGGAAAGAGCTCGGTGATGTCACCATGGGTGGCACCAAGCCCGACGACGAGTCGTCCGACGAGGTCAGACTTGCACACATCCCAGACTGTGTACCGTTGGGTTGCTAACAAGAATGACTGTTACAGGATATGGATATGGTCAATGTCGACTTCGAATGGTTTGACCCGCAGCCTATCGATTTCCACGGCCTGAAGAACCTTCTGCGCCAGCTCTTCGACAATGATGCTCAGCTCTTCGACATGTCCGCACTGGCCGATTTGATTCTCTCCCAACCGACCCTGGGATCAACCGTGAAGACTGATGGACATGAATCAGACCCCTATGCGTTCTTGACTATTCTCAACCTGCAAGAACACAAGGTTCGCGTTTTCACTTTCTGAGCTTCTTCAATTGTACTAACGAATTGCTCTCAGGATAAACCCGTCATCCAGAACCTGATCAACTACCTCAAGACCAAAACTGCCTCCAACCCGTCCCTCGCTCCCGCTGCCCAGCTTCTTTCCCAAACTCCCATCCCTCCCATCGGCCTGATCCTGACCGAGCGGTTGATCAATATGCCTTCCGAGATCGTTCCTCCCATGTACAACATGCTCCAGGAAGAGATCGCCTGGGCTGTTGAGGACAAGGAACCCTACAGCTTCACGCACTACCTGGTTGTCTCAAAGAACTACGAAGAGATCGAATCCAAGCTCGATCAGGAAGAGTCGCGGCCTCAAAAGAAGAAGAAGAAGGGTGGTGAGCAGGCCGAGCGCTTCTTCTTCCACCCCGAAGACGAGGTGGTGGAGCGCCATGCGCTATGCTCTGGCACCATTGAGTATACCCACAAGGCTGATGATGGCCACTCAGACTCCAAGCGTGCCTTCCAGGAGTTGGGTATCCGTACCAAGGGTAGCTTGATTCTGATCGAAGCGGCTAAGTTTGAGCCCATGGTTAAGGCTCTCACTGAATACATGTCATAGCTAATGTAAGGACTTTATAATCTGATACATTTAATGTCCAATTTACGAGAAAAAAGCAATATATTCTGTGGTAGTTTATTATGTCTTTGCTCTTCGCTTTCTCTCTGTTCCTGGGCCTGTTGTGTCGGCCACATGATTTCCATAAATGTAGAGTCTATGGGATAAGTGTATCGTAGCTTCATAATAAGTTTTTTCTTACTCCCATTTTGTACCCTTGAGTCTCTGCATGAGGTACTCGACCTCGACAACCTTGGTCAATGGGATAACACATTCCTATCAAAGTAGTACAACGATTAGCCATTGCACACCTAAGAGCAGAGTTCGATATATCGGTTCTTACCTTGTACATAGCAACCACAGCATCGACGTTGATCTTCGGACCATTGACGTCAGGGAAAGCAGGGTCAGTGCCGTAAGTCTTGGCCTTGAGACCCAGGCGCTCAAGGACCTTCTTCTCAACAGCAGAGTTGGTGATAGCAGCATCAATACCCGCGCGATCCTCAGCCTTGATCAGACGGACGAAAGTCTCAGGATCCTTCTGGAACTTGGACTCCGCGACGAACTTTCCGAAGTGAATGCGACGCGACAGCGCCTGCAAACAAGAAACATCGCAAGTCGCCGCAGAGCCGTAGTTCTCCTGCGTTTCACCACGGTCCTCCCGTCCAAACTTGGGACAAATGGCCGGCAAGACCTCATTGATGTAGCGCTCTTTGATCACATCGTTGACGCAGACATCGTTCTCGTGCAGGATGCGCGGGTACTCCAGCGGCTGCAGGATCGGTTCTTCGAGCACCTCTGGGAAGAACGGGTATTCGTCAGGTGATTGATAGCGACGGACGCGGGACTGGATCCGCTCCTGCTCGCGGAGGAGGTAGTCTAGTAGACTGAGCTCGCTGTTGGGGATCTTCACGCCGCCAGGCGCGTAAACGGTCTTGTTTTGCGGGAACTGTACTCGTTCGATCAGGTGGAAGGTGATCGTGTCCTCGAGACGACTAGGGGTCTGGAATATTAGCCAGCGGCTCTTGCTATAGTTGTATTGAGGAGGTCTAATAGAAATGTAACATTTTGCATGGGTATAGTGTGTATTGAAAGATTTTGGCGGGGGCGGGGAAAAGGATCAAGGAAGTCTTCAGCCGGGCTAGAGGAAAGGTAATAGCTCACATCAACTGGAAACGAATGTTGGCAAGGTCCAGTGCCTTGGAGACATCGGACAGATCGATGGCGGAATCCATGGCTTAATATTGTGGTGAAGTGTCTAAGGGAGAAAATGAGAATCGGCGGAAATGCGAAGTCGGATATCTCCAGCCCAACTCGGGCCCTTGTCTTCCCATTTATACGTCGCAGAAGAGGCAGAAAATCGAAAATCGCTGTATTGGAAGCTCTGCATCATCCTCGTATACGGAGTTTTAAAAATTACAAGCAAGAATAAATTGGTGAACAAGTGATAAAGACCTTGCAAGGCTCGGTCTGGTGTATAATGATGCATCGAATTTGGTACTTAGGCCATATGCGACCGAGGTACTTGCAAAAACACCCTCAAGAACCGCAAACCAGAACGCTTGAATACCCTTGCGGTTAAACAATCACAGATCCGAATTATCCAAACTCTGGTAGTCCAAAGCGACTGAAGCAGCTGGTTTCAGCCTGTAAAAGTACCATACGGCAGTATCCGGGGAACGCGGTAAACTCGCGTGGGACACCAAGTATCCTACTGCAACCTACCGCAAGCTGCCAACTTTTTCCCCCTTCCTCGTATCGCATGGGTTTCGGTTGAGCCCAAGACACTCTTGGTCTCATGGAGAACCAGCGCCGCGACGACTCGCCGTCGGGCCTCTCAGCTATCGTCGAGGGCGATGGCCTTCTGGGCACCGGCTTAACGGTAGGCTTTTTCTCTCCCTCCGATGACGCCCCCCACCAAGCTCCTGGCTGATTGGAACATATCTGCGGTGAATGCAGACTCGCCATATTGAAGCATTCGGACGAAAAGTCACAAGTACCGCCGGACACCTGATGGGACCGGGCGAACAGAATAGCAACCACTTGCACAATGCTATGAGCGACATCCACCGCGAGTTGCGGCGACCGTCGATGCAGCGCAAGGTTTTTTCTCTCGCACAAACCACGCCGACCGACCTCGTCCGCTCGAAGCTTTCGACCACCGAGATTCAATCCCGTGCCCTCTCGTCGGTCCCGGATGACCTTCTCGCCAACATTCCCGAAGATAGCAGCTCCTACTCCCTTTTCCAAGGCTTCCAGGCCTCCATACCCGAAGAAGACCATGGAAAGAAACGACACCGAAGGCGCACCTCGAAGGGCAAGCTTCTCAAGGACACCGAGAAAGGCGGCACCTTGACTGCCGGCCCGGCCGGGTTGAAGGACCAGCGGAAATCGCTGAGTCGCAAGTTGGAGTTGATGGGGATTCGAAAGAACATGTGCAGCGCGGAGATTCACGAAATCGACAACAAGGTAGCCAACTTGCACAAGATGCGCAAGATCGTTCTCGATCGGTTGGCTGGCTTGGAAATGGACGAGGCGGGATTGGAGCAAGAACGTGGGTCAACCTCTTTGGACAGACCGGATGATGGGGAGGGACATAACTGATTATATTGGAACAGTGACGGACCTCGATAATCAGTTGGAAGATTTCCCAGAAGAAGATTCACAGGGCACACCAGTTGCGACAGGGACGCCGCAGTCTGACGGTCAAGATGGCTCTATTGGGTCATCCGGAGATCCAGCGATGGACGCTTCGTTCATGTCCGAATCAATTTATGACAAGCTGCCCTCGCCCTCATCAAAAAGCCTACGACATCGGTCTAATCGTATGGAAACCTTCAACATTGGATGCGACTCATGACTGACAGCAGATATTAGGGAAACGGTCGATGCCAATCCTACATGAACACCTCACTCCTGGGTCCTTGATCAAGGAAATAGAAGCACACACCGACCTGGTTACTGCCATCGACTTCGATTATCCATTTGGTACCATGGTCAGCGCTGCGTTAGACGATACCGTGAGAGTTTGGGACATGAATGTCGGTCGATGCTCGGGTTTCTTGGAGGGTCACCATGCTTCAGTCCGCTGCTTACAGGTAGAGGATAACATCGTGGCAACCGGATCCATGGATGCCTCTGTCAAATTATGGGATCTGAGCCGTGCTCGGCCCGTGACTCGAGATGGGCGTCTCAACAAGCACGAGCGTGACCAAGAAGATGGAGACTCAGGTCATAACTTCCCAGCACCGCCGACGTCTAACCTCGAAGACTGCAATGTCTTTTCCCTCGAGGCACATGTCGATGAGGTGACAGCGCTTCACTTCAAGGGCAATACACTCATCTCGGGATCCGCAGACAAGACTCTCAGACAATGGGATCTAGTTAAGGGCCGCTGTGTTCAAACATTGGATGTTATGTGGGCGTCCGCTCAGGCATCGTCTTCCATGATGGGAGGAGAATCTGACTGGCGACCATCGGGACGCATGTCCGATGCTTCGGCTGACTTTGTTGGCGCAGTGCAGTGCTTCGATGCTGCGCTGGCATGTGGTACGGCAGATGGTATGGTTCGCCTCTGGGATTTGCGCAGTGGTCATGTCCACCGCAGTCTCGTAGGACACACAGGACCGGTCACATGTCTTCAATTTGACGATGTGCATTTGGTCACCGGCAGTTTGGATCGCAGCATTCGAGTAAGTATCTCAGTGCTTCTCTAAATTTATCGTTTCTAACTGTTTACAGATTTGGGATCTGCGTATGGGCTCTATCTACGACGCTTATGCTTATGACAAGCCCATTACTGACATGGCATTTGACTCCAAACGCATTGTGGCTGCTGCCGGAGAGAGTGTGGTCAAAGTCTATGACAAGGCCGATGGCAACCAATGGGACTGCGGTCCGGGAGTTGGCATCGACAATGACGGGCCGTTCCCTGCGATCATCGAGCAGGTTCGTCTCAAGGATGGCTACCTTGTGGAGGGACGTAAAGACGGTACTATGGCCGCCTGGACGTGTTAGACTTGTAAGATTTCCTTTTAGACGGCGTATACTTGGGGCCTCATCTTCCTTGTCTTTGCTTTCACCCCAGCCTTTTCGCGACTATTGTATAGTATTCAAATATTCCAGTGTCTTAGTAGCGACCGGGCGAATCAGGAGTGGCAGGGCCATTTTGTTATTCTGTATACAACGTGAACAAAGTCCATCTCCAACCCATCAGTGCAGCAAGTAGGACCGAAACAAAAATAGTACCCAGATTGTCTCCGAGGGGCAACGTTGACAAAGAGATCTAGTAACAAAGACTAAGGTAGTGAGACTGACAACGATAAAGAACATTCAATAGAGATATAAGGAACATGGATCTCCATCGGCGCAGAATTCCTAGGCAGCTGAACTCAACCACGGAGTTGAGATTCCTCATCGGCGATCTTCGCAGTTGCGCTCCACCCTTTCTCCCCGTCTATTTTTCCTCACTTCAACAACCTCCTTGTTCCCCGGATTTCTGGCGCAACGCAACACACGTTGCTTGTCCTTATTGTTTTTGAAACAAGGCAATCTTACACTCACCTTAATTCCCCGATTCCACCATCTCTGGTTGGGAGCTGCAAGTCACGTTCCGTCGCGTCTGCGCGTCGCTCCGGGGTCGCGATCTACAGGCTTCGAAGTGACATCTACACGCGAAATTTCGGAGTCTGTATTGCTTCATTTGTCTTTTGGTAAGTCTCAACTTGTTTTGCGTTATTTCTTTTACGCAATACTTGCGACGACCAATGGCGTTGGTCCTCGCGCATGCTCCATTTTGGCGACACGATGTTCTTCAGCTAAGAACAATAACATGCGCGCGCAACCTATTTCAAGTACTTGATTGATGCTTTTGAGGTCCAAATCACATATTCAACATGTCCTGTCTTCCGGCATTACTTGATTTTACTCATTCAGTTCAATGCTGACACCTCATTTAGAAACAAACAAAGAACAAAGTATAACTTTGAGATCCAATCTAGAGATTGCAAGTAAATATGCCGCCCAGACGCACTACACGCCGGGTCGGCGCAACTCCTTCAAGAAGATTACATCAGGAACCAGAATTCGAGTCAATCCTTGATCTTGTTGACGGGCCCGTATTACCCAGCGTTCCAGTCCAGGCATCATGGAACTATGGCGCTGCTACCACAACAGCATTACCCCAGCGCATGCAGATGCGACCCAATATTGGGATTGATCAAATGGCTGAAGCAATCGATGCCCGTCTCGAAGTTTCCCGAAAACGAGCAGTTGCTACGAAAAAGAAGCAAAACGCTCAGATGCGCCCGCCAAAGCGTGAGCCAACACCCGACCAGACTCAGCTTCAGCAATCGCTGCACTATGCAGTAGAGCAACATTCTGATCAAACTCCCTCGCCTCCTGTTCAACGTACGATTTCTACGGACTCAAGTCCTGAGATTCAACCTCCCTTGCAACGTCAATTGTCCAACTCTCCGGTCTATCCATCACCTCTTCAACGGATGGAACCTCCCCGTCAACGGATGGAACCAGCCCTTCAACATATGGAATCTCCCCTTCGCAATGGATCCGGGGGCAGCTCACCATATCGCCATAGCTCTGTCGACAACGCTTCTGTAATATCTTGGAGCCTTGAACGCGATATCAACGATGATAATTTGCAAAGAACGCGACCAAGCAAGCATGGTCAAAACATCACAGCGCCCCCTCGACGTATCTCTGGGTTGGCAAATGTTCCGGAGGAGGATGAGGAGGAGGAGGAGGTGCAATTCAGAGTGGTAGAAGACATGAAGTTTGAGAACGCACCAACTTCCTCAGTTCCCAATCCCAGAGTTCCTGGCTCCAGAATTCCCAGCCCCGTTGTTCCTAGCCCCGTTGCTCCCAGTCCCGATGTTCCCAAATTAAGCTTATTGCGTCGATTATCAGCATCATTGAGTCCTCAATTGTCAGCATTGGTGAGTCCTCAAGAACGAGAAACTCAAGACCGAGCATCCCAAGACCGAGCATCTCAAGCCCGAACATCCCAAGACCGAGCATTTCAAGACCGAGCATCCCAAGACCGAGCATCTCAAGCCCGAACATCCCAAGACCGAGCATTTCAAGACCGAGCATCCCAAGACCGAGCATCCCAAGACCGAGCATCTCAAGCCCGAACATCCCAAGACCGAGCATCCCAAGACCGAGCATCTCAAGCCCGAGCACCTCAAGACCGAGCACCTCGAGGCCCAGCACTCCAGACTCGCGTTGAGGAACCCAGCGCTCCACGTCGAAAAAGCTGCATGCAGATGTTTGAAGGTGCAATGGACGGTCCCTACCAGAACTTAATTAGGGCGGGGTTCTTCTTACTCTTAATTCTGAGCTTTATTTTCGTGCCTCTGGTTGCGGCAAAGACTAGAGATTACCTTTACTACGGCAACCTGGATTGGGACTCCCCTTCGAACACGAGCATGGCTAAATCGGAGATTTTCTACAACCTCCGGAACCAGATATCAAAAATGGACGGTCAAATTCAGTCTTTGTCGAATGAAGTGAGCTCGGTTCGGGCAGAACACGCGCTTCATGATTCGACTCCTACGGACGTAAGTCTTCAGCGAAGATCAGCCCAGAGTGTGAATTTCCTGTCGGTATCGTTGGGAGCAATGATTGACCCAAAGAACACTTCGCCGACTCTGGGGCCCAGACGCAGTCTTTCCAACCGAGGAGCTCTCTGGTTCTTTTCATTGCTTGCTAAAAATGTCGTTCGATCATCACAATCTCCTCTGTCTGCCATTACCAAATGGGAGGAGATAGGCGACTGCTGGTGTAGTGCCCCCCGCAATGGAACGACCCAACTAGCTGTGCTTCTTGGTCGGGACATCGTGGCGGAAGGAATGGTAGTTGAGCACATTCCTCTGGGTGCTTCTCTCGAACCGGAAGCGGCACCTAAAACAATTGAGGTATGGGCTCGCTTCAAAGTGAACCCTCATAAAACGCCAGTCAAGGCCAAACCGACTCCGGGAGCTACACCTCGGCGGATTGGCTTCTCCAAAATCTTTGGGGGTTCCGCGGTGTCAGATACGCCGCCGCCCGCGACAGATGCTCTTTCGTCCCGCGAAGCAGGACTTGGGGGATTTATAATCCCAGGAATCGGTACCCTTCATGGACTTCTCATGGATTTACTGCGTCGCAGTAATCCTTTCGAGCCCCCAAGTGCCTACTCAGATGACCCGGTTCTTGGGCCCAACTTCTACCGCATTGGGAAATTTGATTACAATATCCATAGCCCGGACTATGTGCAAGCATTCAAGCTTAACACGGTCGTCGACATCTCAACTATCCGTGTGGACAAGGTTGTGTTCCGAGTGACTTCAAATTGGGGTGCCAACCACACCTGCATCTACCGTTTCAGGTTACATGGGCATGTCTGAGTCCATTTATGGGTCTTTATCTGTTTTCCTTCGCGACCTACCTATGCTTTGATTCGTCCCAAACAACCCCCCTCTCTCTCCTCCCCCCTTCTTCCTCTTTAATGTATTTAACATTCCAAAAGACCTAGTTCAGGCTGGTCTAGCATTTGGAAAGATGTGCTTTGCGATGATACCTTGCATGGCTGCGGCGGCGTTTCACGGCTTTCTTTTTGGGGTTAATTAGATACTCTTTTCCCCTCTGTGGATAATTACATATATCTTTGAATGCATATCATACGATAGCCATGATCCATTCAAGCCTGACTCGCCCCTCGCACTTTCCTCGTTATGTTCTCGTGTGTATGTGCAGGGGTTCATTGTCTTGTGACGGGATGGAGCCAGCCGTATGGGCTCTTTAAATGGGCATCTACGACTATCCCTCGAATAGAGGTACATTTGAACATCAAATCCTCAGAGGATGCTATAGGCCTGGAATATATAGACAGCCAGTTTGGACGATTTATTTTCCAGCGAATGCTATTAAACTAGAAGATCCCAATAAGGTCTGACAGTCGGCAGATATGCTTAACTTGCTTGGATGATTACAGTTCCTGTTGTGGCTGACATGACAGAGCTGAATAGAGGCCCTGGCACCCTTGACAGTTAGGTTGAGCCGCATCGGCCTTAAGTACTGCCCTCATCTCTTACAGCCTTCCATTTTACAAGGCAATCAACTGAAAACATACTCACATTTTGGAGATGGACAGCCTAACTAATTCAGAGCATGAGACAGAAAGTTCAGACCGGGAATACTATTGCCCCAGATCTCGCTTGGTTCACTGCAAAGGGGTACCACCTTTGAAAGAGGCCGAGGCACTTATTGACCGACTCTATGCCTCTGGAGTGCCCTTCTTTACCAAACAAACAATTCAATATGCCTGGGATCAGATCAAGCGAGAGCCGGCTCGAGGAGAGGAAATATTCCTCAAACACATAACCGGAGAGACAGCCGTGTGCATTGCGGAGACTGGCAAAGTGAATGAATGGGGACCCGATAATAACACGATGAAGAAATACATTTGGTGAGTATGTAGATCCTATCTACAAGCAATTGTGTATCGAAACTGATGTTCATTCAGTAAGGAACTAGTCCTCAGTTATGGATGCCGGGCATCTCTCAGAAGAGACCTTGAGTGGTCGTATACACCAAACCTCTGGGTAGCCTGCCCAATAAGTTTAATGCATGTGACATATCGACGGGATAGTGAAAATAAGAAAATCATTCCTCCGCGTGTCGCCCGGGACCGTGAAGTGGTCAGAACAACATTCCAGACCAAGACTCAGGAATGGTCAGAAAGTGCAGCTTGCGAAAGGCTCAAGACAATCTTGTCATCCTCTGCAAAGAATCATGGGATTGACAAGGTTATTGGGTTTGCTCTGGGCACGATGTCCATCCAATATTATAGCAAAGACGGCAGTCCCTTTGCTGAGTCTGGGTGGGGACCTGCATCTCAGCATGCGCTCCTTCTGACTATGAAGGAATGGCTACAAGAAAGGGATCGGGAGCAGAAAGTACCATGCTATTCACAGGATCCAGCGTTCACCGAAGTTGACCGGCAGATTTTGGACGAGGTCGGCGTCGAGGTGATTGAAGACCCGCGTGGTTGGCTTGAAGTGGATGAGCAGTCTATGATACTCTCAGTGGGACCTGATGTACCGGTCAAGGAGATCATTGCGGATATTGCTCGACCGGCGGTTATTATTTGGGATCGAGTGGGCTGGGATGATGGACTCGAACCGGGACACTGGCTGTGAGTCTCGTCCCGTCGTATCCCGCCATTCCTTCCTCTGCACACAGACTATTTCAATTTTCATCTTATGGTGTTGCTGATAACAGACTCTTTAGGTCTGATCCTGACTCCTCGCGGATCAGAGCAATGCTGGAGGGCTATGAGTTGCATGAGTTTGGTCCTGATAGCATGGTGTGCTTAGATCTTGTGGTTTATATCCGGAAGTCGGTGGTCGCACCGACTCTCGGTGAAGATGGTAGATTTTTGTAAATGTGGCATGTCGTCATAGAGTCCTTCTCAGATGTTTTGAGGGGGAGAATGGAACTGATCTTGCCATAGGACCGAGCATATAGCTCGAGGGTCGGATATGACGGAATCTGCCTGAACAACTAGGTGTGCTACATGCCAAGTCATATTTGGTCAGTATCGTCCGTACTCCGTATTCCGTAGAAAGTAACGCAATGTCCGAACCCACGCAGATCCATGGAGTTGGGAGGATTGAACAAGGATCGAGCATCTGTAGTCTTCCCGTATAGTCCGTGTACTTGCAGCCCCTCCTTGAGCGCCCCCTCATTCGAGAAGTGAAACCGACAAATGATACGGGATTAATTAAGAGAATCTGATATAGAGAAAAAAAAGAAAATGCCAATCCTCCCTCGAGATCCTTTCTATAATTTGGAATCTGGGTTGGTATGACCCCCACACCGAAGGCGGAAGATCCTCGACTCGGGACCTTCATCTTTGGTCACGCGCCTTTCGTGCAGCCATCCTCGTACCTACGCCCCCTCAATGGCTTCCGAGCGAGCGATCGACCGGGAAGAGCGACAAGGCCTTGTAAGTCTCTCATTTTGCTTTTTCACCGGGGACGCCCTCTCTTTATACCTGACGTTGGACGTTGGACTATGGGGGGGGGGGGATCATCGGAATTGCGAACCTCGCCCAGTCGTGTTTCGGCATGGGTTCACCAGTCACCAGATCACCTCCATCTGGATCTTGACTAACGCAGCAAACAGCGTGCCATTCGCGATTTCCTCAAAGCCCGTAACTCCTACGATGTCCTGCCTCTCAGCTTCCGACTCATCATCTTCGACACATCGCTTTCCGTCAAGGAGAGTCTCAACATTCTGATTCAAAATGGTGCGTTGACCCCTAGCCGAATTCCTTCCTCCCAGGAGAATTGCCGAGAACTCTCCAGCTGACTGCGAACCGGGAATCGGGAGGTACAGGCATCGTGTCAGCTCCGTTGTGGGACTCCAAAGCGTCCAAATTCGCTGGTCTTCTGACCACCTCCGACTACATCAATGTTATCCAATACTATTTCCAGAACCCCGCCGCGCTGGATCAGATCGATCAATTCCGCCTGGACAGCTTGCGAGGTGCGTGAAGGACCTTGTGTCTCCAGATCCCCTGCAGGTACACCCTCGTGGCTAACGGGAATATACAGAAGTTGAAAAGGCGCTAGGAGTGGCCCCGCCAGAGACTATCTCCATTGACCCGGAGCGCCCTCTCTACGAGGCCTGTCGGCGCATGCTGGAATCGCGCGCCCGCCGTATCCCCCTCGTCACCAGCGATAGCCAGACCGAGCGGCCCCACGTGCTCAGCGTCATTACGCAATACCGTATCTTGAAATTCGTCGCCGTCAATGTTCCCGACACGCAGAAGCTGCGTCGTCCGCTGGGTGAATTGTTGCTTGGCTCGTATGATAATGTCGCCACGGCTTCGATGGATACCCCGGTCATTGATGTCATCCACATTCTGGTCGAACGCAGCATATCCAGCGTCCCTATCGTGAATTCGGAAGGTGTCGTTTATAATGTGTTCGAGTCTGTCGATGTCATTACCTTGATCAAGGGTGGTGTCTACGATGACTTGAGTCTCACTGTCGGTGAAGCATTGAAAAAACGTTCTCAGGTATGTGACGCTCGTTCTTGGTGATATCAATTCTGGGTACTGACGCTCTGTGCAGGGATTCCCGGGAATCTACACATGTTCTTTGAATGATGGACTGGATACTATCTTCGATACTATCCGCAAATCCAGAGTGCACCGTCTCGTCGTCGTGGATGAGCACTTCAAGCTCAAGGGCGTTCTTACTCTGAGTGATATTCTGCACTACATCCTGCTCGAGGGAGAGAATGAAGAAGCATGATCGGTGTCTAGTCAGAAACACTCTACGTGATCTTTCTCATACATATCCAGTTTTGCATGGTTCCGGCGTTTTTGATTTCTTCTTTGAATCCTCGAGGAATCCCTCGAAAAACGGAGATAACACATGAACTACCTGGGAACACGTTGGCCCGGCGAGGCGATAGTTCCTGGGTTATTATTTTCATTTTGGGTTTTACGAATGTACAGAGGTAATGATATGGTTTCTAAAATCGGTGCTCTTCTTTTTTGTTTTTATTGCCCACAGAAATAGACTTGGAAGATTTGAATCCAATTTGAAGCATTTCCTGATTGTTTGCTGTTGGAGGCCACACGTAGCTTCCTGTCACTCGGTTCTTTCCTCCAGAACGAGGCCTGTCTAAACCAGAACCCCCGTTATCCCCATTCCTTACTTCATCTACACCTTTTCCTCTCGTATTCATTATCTAAAAGAAACCATGCGGCGTTTCAGAACTGTATTCCGGTCCAAATCAGACACCCCCAATCTTGCTTCGTCTCGTTCTATATGGCCACGGAGGCATCGTTCGTCTGAGGGAGATCCAGTGAAGCCCCAGGCAGGAGCCACTTCACAGGAGGTCACAGATGATGAGCAGCGTCCAGCTACATCGGAATCTGGCGGGACTCGAGTAAAGCCTACTTCTTCGGCTGCAGTAGCATCCCCCGATAACAATGCCGGCAAAGGCGAGTCCAATGCTCAGCCTGCCGAAGAGACTGTTGACCTGTCCCGATCCAAAAATGGCACCAAACGATTGAAGAAAATGGTGGCTCGTTTTCGTGGCAGCTCATCCCAGGATGATGAGCCCATCGCGGAACCACAGGGTCAAACCGAGCAGCGTGATACCCGCAAAGGAAGACCGACTGCCAAACCATTGAGCTCCAACCCTTTCGAACCTGAAGCCGCGACAGGTTCTAACACAGCTGGCAAGTCTGTCAGGTTCAATGACCCGAAAGAGAGGCGGAAGACCAGCGGTCAGACGACTCATTCCCAGGACTCCAGCCAGACCGAGGATACTGTCTGCCGAGATAGTTCTCAACATATTTCGATGCCGATTCCAGAACCCTGGGATGAGTGGGGTTGGCCAGGACTGATGCTGTATGGGCCCGAAGAACGCCGCCGTGTCCCAGAGGGTTCGGATCCGTTCTCAGATGGAAAAGCCACCGACATCCAATCAACAAGGCCTGGGTCTTCAAGACACAGTGCAGGCACGAGCCGAGATGAGTCGAGAACTTCTGAAGGGACGCTAGAGCCCATTCCCGAGATTGATGTCGATGCAATCGAGCCGGTCATTGAACCAATCCAAAGCCAGACTTCGAACGACCAGAAAACAGACTCAACCAGCAGTCAAAAAAGTCGAGTAAGTTGGAGCAGCACACTTGATGCGCCCAAGGCTATCATGGCTTTCAATCGGATGGCAGTTCAATTTGGTATTCAAATTTCCATTCCAGTCGAGGATGCTGCAGTTAGCCCACGTAAGTGCTCGGCTGCCCGTGCATGAATTATCACTAAACGATTTCCAGCAGCAAGCAGTCCAGCCCCAGAGGAGGAAGATACAAGTCGTCGCGGGTTTAAATTTTTGGGCAAAGTTCGCAAGGTGCGATCATCCAATTTGGCAACCGATACAGCACCTTTGGCACCAACTCCTAAGTTGCGACGGATAAAGACGTTCGCGAATCTTCACCGTCCTGGTTCTAGTGCAATGACTTCATTGCAAGGACGATCGGTCGAGACTTTGGCTCGTCTTGGAGGACATGGCTATCTCATGCTTGTGGATCTAGCTCCTTGTCCAGTGCAGCTGCCTGCGTGTATTGTAGCGACACTAATGTTTCTGCACAAATATGGTCTGTGATTACCTCTTTCTATAGTATGACTCCACTGACTCCGGGTTCTGCAGGTCTGAACACTCCCGATTTATTCTTACAGCCTGGGGACCTGAGAGCGGCTGTTCGCATGTACGACCATTTTGCTGACCAGGTACTTACAGCGGAGAAAGATGAGGCCAAAATTGCCTTCACTATGCGTGTGGTTGCGATGCCTACACTCAGTGAGGACGCAGCACCGGTACTAAGTGTGGCCTGGGCATTGAAAGCATTGTTGGCGGGCCTTCCAAACGGGATCCTCGGGAGTGTCCGGCTCTACCAGATCTTCAGGGCCATGTACTTCCACTCGATTCCCAATCAATCGCATCTGCTCCGTGTGCCGGATTGTATCTCGGAGGCAAGCCCAACCACTGCAGCGCGGGTGCAGCTTATCTGCCTGGCGCTTATTGCATTGGCAACTGAGATGCAGCGCGATCTTATCTGTGCAGTATTCGGCCTGCTTTCCTTACTGGTGCATGAGTCCGAGGGCCAGGTCGAGGGCCAGGTCCAGGGCCAGGAATCCGGGATGGAGCTCCGTGAGCCACTGTCGAACCCGAACTTCCATGATTTGGCTCGGGCGTTTGGACCGCTCCTCCTCGGGTCCAGGGGGCAAGAGAACCAAGATGGGACGGGCAAAGTGGAGCAGGAGATCAATGATCAACGCGTGGCGGGGCTGTTACTCAACAACTGGCATTTTGTGCACCGACAGCTGCGACACTGGACAAGTGGACGATACGTACTGAGCAAGGAGTAGAATGGGGTGTTTCATAGGGAGAAACCTGGCAGGTCGCACGGTTTCTGATTGGACTATTCTAGAAAAGCTGTATACTTCCAGGTCGAACGGGATTTCTCCACCAGGCCAACCCTGTTTTGTTGCTGACGGCTTTGACTCCTGTTGGATACCGTTCGTTTGTTGTTTCTGTATCATCTCTTACCGTTCTTGTCAGGGTCTGGATGGGCCTGGAAGGGAGGAGTCTATAAAATCCAACATTCTTTTACCATTCTTTCACCCTCTGCCCTCTTTCACCTGCTTTTGGCGAGGTAATCTTTTCCCTTTTCCATGGTGACACCAAAATCCTCCTCATCTGTGCCATTCGCCCGGATCTGCTGGACCGCAGGAAGTCTTGTCCGACCGTGGCTCCAACCAGGTCGACCGCACCTGGACCTACACCTTCTTCAGGCACCGGCCAGACGACCGTGGATCTCTTCTTATTGAGTCCAAACTGACCACTCTCCGGTCTGTGAATCTTAAGTCTTGACGCCCGAGACTCTGTTTAGGGTTATTAGGGCAAGAGCAATCAGGTCTTAGCTTTCTTAGTGTGCTTGTGTGCTTGCTATTTGTTTTAAAGGAACCGGAAATAACTTTCTTCAAAGCTTCCACAGTCTTTGCCCTTTACACCTGACATGTCTACCAACCTCAAATCTGCAATGCCATCGGGGCTATCATCGGGGCTACCTCCTGGGCTTGCAACTGATATCAACCTCGGTCCCTCGCCATTTACAACTTCTTTCTCCGGGGATTTTCTGGGCCTTCCCGTTCCAGACGACGATCAGCTCTGGGGGCTGAGCCCGGTGTCACCGATGGCCACAGGTTGGGACAAAGCCGATTCGGCAGCATTTGCCAATTCCGCACTCGAGCGGGACCTAAAGAACGCCCAAGTCCGCAATGGCCAACCAACCCCGCCCCCGTATGACGACCCAGGCCGCGACCTTTCGGGGCTAGACATGATGGAAAGTGCGAGCAAACGCCGACGTGTGCGCGAATACAAGACCGCTGCTGCCAGTCTCAGCCCGGATCTCGACGAAGCGCCGCACGAGCGCGCCAAGCGTGCCAAGTTCCTCGAGCGAAATCGTCTTGCCGCCAGCAAGTGTCGCCAGAAAAAGAAAGAACACACCCAGAAGCTGGAGTTTGATTACAAAGAGCAGTCCGACAAAAAGGAACAGCTGATGGCGGAGATTTCGCGTTTGCGCTCGGAAGTCCTGGGCTTGAAAAACGAGGTCTTGAAACATGCTCAGTGTGGCGATGAGCCTATTAAACTGCATCTTGCGCAGATGGTCAAACGGATTACCGACAAGGATGGATCTCAGAATCAGACTGCGATGCCGCCGCCGTCACCTGTCGCAATTCCCGATAACCCCTCGGTCTCTCCGTTGGAATCCACCCCGGTGCCGGTTACCGCGGCTGCAGCTGTGCCGGTGTCTTCTGCCACGGCGCCGGCATCCTTGTCTTTTGGCTTCGATGATCCTCTGCAGCTTGAGCCGGCTGCTGCCGCGGCTGCGGAGGCGTTTGAACAACAGATGCGTCGCGAGTCGGAGGCTTCGCTGGTCTCGGAGGGATCTTATTCGTTTTCAGCAGAGGATACCTCCTTCGATGATCTGATCAATGTGTGAGGGGCAAGGAGGGCTGATGTTATGTGATACGAAACGACCTTTTTGTTTTCATGTGGAGGTAATGGGCAGCAGGTCTGTCAGCCTGGCGTTGAATGTGGATTTTTGATCACCTCGGTTCTGTTAAATTGCGATCCAGTGGGAACTGGAGGGTGTCTGGCGTTTTGATTCCCTCGACTTGAGTAAACGGAACAAGCTGTTCTTTTGTGATACTTGATACTGTCGTTTTTGTTTTCCATTTCTAGCTGCCTCGACGGTGACTAGCTAGGAGACCGCTGTCGAAATGGGCATTCGGTTTGGTGACGGTGTATCTTCTATGAATAACATGACCTCAGATGGAAATGCATTTGTTTCTATCAACGTGCTGTTTTTATATTTTGTCTACAGCGGGATACCTCTCATCATAGACAGGCACGCTTGATGCGTCATGCTCATCGAAGCTAGTATCCTTCCACCCATGCTCAGCATCCGGATCGACTCCATGGAACATTCCATTGATCTCCTCTAGAGACTTTCCAGCCGTCTCCTTCAGACAGAAGTAAGTGAAACCCACGATCACATCCAGCAGCCCGAACAGCAAGAATGTGCCCCATCCAAGGCTCTGTTGAATATATGGCGTTGAGGAAACTCCAGAAAAAATTGAAAACCACTGCGACCCAACGCCAAACGCAACACCGGGCTCTCGAATGCGTGTAGGGAAGATCTCACTTGTGTACGGCCGCGGAAATGGGCCCCAGCTGAAGTTGTATGATATCGAGATGTATCAGAGCCACCGTCGCGATCCCCGAAGACGTAACTGTCCCGTCGAAAGGTTGTGGATAACTCTTTACAACCGCCGCGGTGGCAATCATACAGACTGCCATAAAGGCCACACCACCACCCAACAATGGCCGTCGACCAAAGCGATCTGACAAAAATAAGACAAAGGTCAGACAAGCAACAACCTTGATCGCACTAATGATGCCTGTCAGAAGAAGCGTCCGATCCCCACCACCAACCAGCAGCTGGAAAACCCGAGGCCCGAAATACGCCAGCGCCGTCGAACCCGTCGACTGCTGTGCCAAAAATAACCCACCAGCAATAAGCAGCCTATGCCAATTCGGACCCTCAATCAGCTCCCGTAGCTATCCGGAATGGGATGGATTATGTCATGGACTGCTGATTGCCGACGTGAGCAATTGCAGTGGAGGAATGGCACCATGTCACTGTGCACTGTGTACACTGTGTTGGATACTCCATACTTGGGTACATTCTCGTTTCTCACTGAATTGATGCCAAGCCCATCAACGGGGTCTCGCGCCCCTCTTTTTTCCCAAAACGGTGATCAGATGTGGGGCCTGAGCTTTCCCGCATTTTGGAGCCGATGGCCGACTGACGAGACATTTCATATTCCATACGGAGGACTATCGATGGGTGTGTTCGGATACTGCTTGCAGGTTGAAGGTTGCTGGCTGCAAGGATTTGAGTAATTTTGCTTGATACAACCATTGATGTGCCCCTCATGACTTCTCATCGCTTTCTTCTTTTCCTCTCTCGCTGTTTACCCTACCTCTCCTCGGCCTGATCTATACTCCTTTCCTTGACAATGGCAGCCAAACGTCCCAATTTCCTCGGCATTGTCGCCGATGACCTGGGCTTCTCAGAGGTAGGCTGCTTTGGCGGCGAAATCCGCACGCCTAACATCGAGCAGATTGCTAAAGAGGGACTCCGATTTACAGATCTCCCCTCCGCCGCCACCTAATCGAATAGACCAAAATCTCTGGCCAGAACGATCCTAAGGGCTCAGTCATGAGCACCGCACCTCAGCGCGGTACGCCCGGATACGAGGAATTCCTCAACGAGCGCGTCGTTGCACTCCCCGAGGTGCTGCGCGATGGAGGATACCATACCATGATGTCGGGCAAGTGGCGCTTGGGTCTAACGCCAGAGCGCTCCCCGCACAAGCGTGGCTTTGAGCGCTCGTTTGCTCACTTGCCTGCTCAAATCACTATGCTTTTGAGCCAGAGCTGAAAGATAAGTATTCGATCCCTATTTTCATCAACGCGAGCTATATTGCTCTGCATATGGAGGATGGCGAGTATGTGCGTCACCTTCCCGAGGGATGGTTCTCATCTGATGACTACAGCGATAAATGCTGGATTATCTTAAAGAGTGGAAAGAGACTGGCGGTAGTGGAGGCTCCGATGGCAGGGGCGACCGTCCCTTCTTCGGGTACCTTCCCTTCACAGCGCCGCATTGGCCATTGCAGGCACCGCGCGAGTATATCGACCACTACCACGGTGTATACGACGAAGGCCCAGATGTGCTACGCCAGAAACGGCTGCGGCACTTGAAGGAACTGGGAATGGTGCGCGACGACGTCGAGCCACATCCCGTGCAGGCCGAGGTCAAGCCGTGGGAGGAGTATAGCGCAACGGCGCAGAAGGCACCATCTACGAGGCTTATCCGATGGGCACGAACGGCGTCACGCCTCATCTGCAGAAATACTACGATAACAGCATCGAAAACCTTGGAAACGGTAATTCGTTCATCTGGTACGGCCCGCGCTGGGCACAGGCGGCTACCGCGCCTTCACGTCCTTACAGGGCTTGCACTACAGAGTACTGAGGGTGGCGTCAGCGTTCTTTTCACATGCCGCTTCCCTACAAATCTCAACATCAATCCGTTAAATGTTGCCGCCAAGGGCGGTATCACCGATCAGTTCGCCACAGTCATGGATCTGGCACCATCTATCTTAGATATGGCAGGTACTAACCATCCAGCGCCTACGTACCAGGGCTGCGAGATTGTCGAAATGCGTGGACGTAGCTTCCACCCCTGGGCAGTTGGCGAGGTGCAGCGGATGCACCCGGTTGATTTCATCCGGGGCTGGGAGACGTGTGGGCAGGCTGCGCTACGCTGTGCGGACTGGAGGATCGTCTTTATTCCTAAGCCCAAGGGCCCGGAGCAATGGCAGTTATACAATCTTGCGCGAGATCCGGCGAGATCCATGATCTGTCAGATGCCGAGCCGGAGAAGCTGAAGCAGCTCCTCAAGCTCTGGGATCAGTATGTCCTTGAGACGGGTCTTGTCCCGCTGTGTCCTAGTCTTGGGGAATTCTTGGAGGCGACTGAAGCGCAGATGCCGGAGAAGGCGTGGATGGAGTTTGATTACTGGACAGACGGGGCTAGGGATCAGCCGGGGAAGTTCTCTCGTCAACCGCCGAGATTTCAACGGACAGTGAAGCCTTTCTGAGCGTCGAGGGCTAGGAATGGTATGAGAAAGGATAAATCTGCATGTGCGTTATGATACCTCCATATAGTCTCAACAGACCCAGATAGAAAAATCTCCGATTATTTTGAATGGCTTTTTTTTCTCAATCAGCGCCTCTCACCACGCTAATGAGCTTATCCTTTAAATCAACCCGTCAGGCTTTGTTTCAGAACATGCAATCCGCCGTGACTCTTGAGTAACCGCGGGGTAAGGCACTTCATATATATCCTGATCAGAGAAGACAGACAAAACCCCCTTCTCATCTTGCAGCCTGATCCAAGCCCATCCCTACGCCGATCATGAAAGGCAAGCTCATGTTCTTCGACGAAGTAGCCTGGGACCGTTGCGACGACCAACTAGCAAACTGGAAAGCATCTCTATTCAACCAACAGGCGATGAGAAAAATCACCGACCTAATAATCCACCACCAAAACGTCCCAGCAGCCAAACTCTTCCCTCCCCAAAAAGGCGCCTTCAACATGGTCATCCGCCTCCAATTCACCGACCACTCCTCCTCCATCATCCGCTTCCCAATCCCAGGCTACTCAGTCTTCCCAGAAGAAAAAGTCCAACGCGAAGTCTCCGTCATGACCTTCCTCTCTCAGCACTCAACCATCCGCATCCCGCGCATCCTCCACCACGGCATGACAGACGACAGTCCGCAGTGTCTAGGCCCATTCATCATCATGGAACATATCGACAACAACGCCGATCTAGTCGATGCACTAATCACTCCGGGTCTCCCGGACGAAGACCGTCCAGTCCTAGACCCGAATATCAGCGTGCACAGACTGCGCTCCGTGTATAGCGAAATGGCAGGATTACTCCTGCAAGTTGCGAAACACACATTCCCCCGCATCGGGTGTATATCATTCCAGGAGAAGTGGGACGTCAGGCATCGTCCGTTGAGCATTAATATGAACGAACTTGTGCAAGTCGGTGGCGTACAGCCGGAGGATCTCCCACAGACGCCCTTCGATAGCGGAACGGAGTACTTCCTCGCTCTGGCAGAACTGCATATGACGCATCTTTCGTCGCAGCGGAACGATGCAATCGAAGATGCAGAGGACTGCAGGATGAAGTACATCGCGCGCTGTCTGTTCCGCAGACTTGCGCGGGAGGGTCGGCTTTGTCGGTACCCTGATGGTCCGTTTAGGCTGTTTTGTGATGATCTGCGGCCGGCGAATGTGCTGGCTGATTCAAACTGCGGGTATGGTATTGTCGGCGTGATTGATTGGGAGTTTGCTTATGCGGCTCCGGCGGAGTTTGTATATAGTCCGCCGTGCTGGTTGTTGCTTGAGCGGCCGGAGTATTGGGAGCAGGGGCTTGATGACTGGGAGCGGGCTTATGAGGTGCGGTTGGAGGTGTTTCTGCAGGAGATGCGGGTGCGTGAGGAGGAGGAGGTTCGGAAGGGGATTATTCGGGAGGAGGATCAGCTTTCTGGGTATATGCGGGAGAGTTGGGATAGTGGAGGGTTTTGGGTTAGTTATGCGGCGAGGAGAAGTTGGGCTTTTGATATTATATACTGGGAGAGGATTGATCGGAGGTTTTTTGGGGAGGGAGAGTTGGAGGATCGGGTTGCGCTGTTGAGTGTTGAAGAGAGGGAGGGGATGGAGGCGTTTGTGAGGAGGAAGTTGGAGGAGAAGGAGGAGGGGGGGTTGAAGAGTCGATCTGGGTCGCCGGTGACTGTGGGTTGATTCTATATAGATTGGTTTGGTTGTTTATATAGCTCGTTGCAGGGTTAATAAGCTTTGATATGGCATTCTTATAGCATGGATGTAGTTAGTCGTCTGCCGATCAGCTGGATGTCAACTTCTATTTGAACCGTGTGAGACGAAGCGATACAAAGACCTTATTAACTTGGGTGTCTTTTAGTAAAAATTATAACATCGTAGTCAGGCGGTTATATGGGCAAAAGGGCAGTTGAGGCAATATCCAGACGTCTAGTCTAGGCCCATATCGTAGATCATACTCAAACCAGAAGGTATTCTGTTATCAACAATGTTCCAATGTTCTTATGCAAATTTATTCAATACATATAGCTCTCCATTAATCTCTGTTTAAAGCTGAGAAATACGAGGACTTCGGTGAAAACCGACGAGCTCGCCATCGAACCCCCGACAGCCGGCGCCATTGCGGGGAAACCAGCCACTGAATGCATATATATTCCCTAAAGATAATAAGTGACAGACATTTCTAGACAGATTCCGACCCAATCGCTCTGTACAATACCTTATCTCCACCCAAACACCGCGATCGATGGAGAAGATGTCCTCGCTCCTTGCGCACATACGCAGCAAAGCAAACAGCAGCCACAGTCACAGCACCGGAACTAATCAGAACCGGATATCGAAACTGCCCCGGCAACGGGAAAGCAATAGTCGACGCAAACGAAAGCATCTCAAAAGCATTCTGCAAGGCCATTTCGGTTGCGGAAAAGCGGGCGCGAGCACCTTCCTGGATATTCTGCGCATAGGTTCAGTACGTATACAAAAGCAAAATATTCCGAGGAGAATTCCTTACCTCCTGCACAAGAAATTGAACGGACAAGTCGAATCCCCAAAGTCCAATACGACTCATAGCAACGCCCGCAATCAACGTACCCGCCACCAATCGCGAGCTCGAGTCCCAAGTGACGAAAGCGGCTGCTGCGCCTGCCACACATACGAATTGCCAGTTCAGGAACCAGAGACCGGATCGAATCGGTCCGATCCGGTTCATGATTATGGGCGCGGTCCATGTACCGGAGAGTTCGGCTGCTACGGAGCCGATACGCATGTAGCTGACCTGCAACGAGGAAAAGCCTGTGTGGAGGAGGTATGTGGTCATTGTTGCGCCGAAGGACAGGACTGTTAGGTATAGCAGGCTTAGGGCGAACGATGCGAGGAAGACCGAACTGGATATGTATTCTTTCCAGGGGGACAGTGATTCTTGCAAGAAGTGGATTGATCCAGTGGATGTATTTTGGTGAGAATCATTTTCTTCATTGGTGTCGTGTTCTGCTGGTGGAAGGGTTTGGGGTGCTTTGGTCAAGGCTGGGACTGATTGGTAGACTTGAGCAATGGCCATGTATTCGACTACCACGGATGCGGTGTTGAGGCCGAATACTGTCCAGATGGCGTATTGGGTTGATAGGCTGTCGACCAAGGAGATGAATACTGGGGCGATGAGTTTGCAGAAGAGATCAATTCGTCGCATGGAGGCGTTCAAATCTGAAGTTCTTGGAGTTAGATCTTGCCGTGATTAGAACTGCTCCAGCTCTCTCACCTTGTCGAGGAACATTGATGCTGTCCGATATCACGATTGCCTAGTTTCAAATTATCAGCAAGATCTCTCCATATACCGAGTAGATAGCCCGACTACAATCTTCCATACATACCCAGTCTCGTTCCACCGCCACTACATTAGCCGTGGCAGCCAACTTCTCTATACAAGCCAGCAAGCCTTGTATAACAAACAGAAGAACAGTAACAGGCCATGACTCAATAGATAGAGTAGCCACAAAGCACAAGCAAGACACCGCGACTGGGACTCTTTGCCACACTGATCCTCCCGTTAGCAACTGACTCCGAACGATATATAGTCGCAAACCTACCAATGGAGTGCCTCAAAGCCACGAGCCGATCAGATCGATCAACCTGTGCACCTAACCAGGATGAGAGTACGACTGTTGAAAACGCCCGCACTAGAGCGTATATCGAAGCATACAGCAGTGTGCCGGGGAAGATTGAAGCTAGGAACAGCACGGCGCCGAATTCGAACATCCGGGAGTTCCATGCTGAGAGGGCGTGGGAAATGTACAGACGTGTTAGTACTGAACGGGCCTCTGGTGCCGGGGTATTGTTGTACCCTGGAGCATCGTCTGTGGGGGTCGGCGAAAGAGCGTTGGAGGCATTGATACTTTCCGATGAGCATTGGCTGGGCTCTAGAGGCCCGCTTTCGGGCGCCATTTGGAAGACCCGTAGAATATTTACAACTGAATTGCCAGGGTTTGATCAAATGGCCATGGTTTTGGCAGTCGGTAAGTTGGGAATTGACGGATCTGCGATGTGCCGGGTCGGCTGAGGACCCTTGTGGATCGGGATTAGATGGTGTTGGGGTCGATTGAGGTTGTTATTTGCTTACTTTGTTCAACAATTCGCTCTAGACTCTAATAGAGGGTTGTGGAATTGTCAGGACTCATCTATAAGGAGTTGAGAGTGATCAATGGCAAATCTTGAGAAATGCAGTAAATGGTATGTGGTATATGGGCCCAATTCCCAATAAATTCTAATACACCAGGACAATAAAAAAATTACAAGCTATAGACGATGACGCTCTCCCTCTTTAAATCCACTTGAGTCCTTCGGGAGAAGATGTTGTCGTCCGTCGGGCAATGACCTCAACGACCTTTCGGCGCACACCCTCGCGGTGGGCGTATTTCTGGAGGAAGTGGTCGATCACGGGTCTCCGCGATGCGTGGCCTTCACGCACAACCTGCTCAATCTCCTTCTCGGAGGGAAGGGCGAAGTGGGCGTGGGGGTAGTTGTGGTAATCGCTCTTGCTAAGAAGGGGAAGACGGGACTCGCCTTCGGGAATCTTGAAGAAGTTTTCCACGGTCTTCTTGGAGACTTCCTTGAGGGTGGCGGGCTTCCAGTTAGCCTGGCGAGCAGGCTTGGACATCAGACGGGCCTTGACACCCTCGACGAAATCGGGGTGGCGCATGAAGTTGGCCGCGATCTCGTGCTCACGCTGGAAAGCCTCAGAAATTCCCCACTTCTTGCCGAGACGCAGCTGGCGCAGGGTCACCTTCAAAGAGGTCGGGGAGCGGCTTAACAGGGTCTCCAATGTCTTCTGTGCCCACTCCTTGTGCTCAGTCTCCTTCTCCAGAGCCTCGACGATCTCCTCCACGGTGTTGAAACCGAAGCAGCGGTCGATCGCAGTGCGCAGGCTGCCAGCCATGAGCATAGGCTCCTCCTCAAGCGGAGGAAGACCGACAGAGAACTCAGCCATGGTCTTGTTCACAATCTCCAATCGCTCGGGAAGCTCGACGTGGTCGGGGAAAGTCAACTCCGAAAGACGCTGGGCGACGTTGCTCAGAACACTGGAGTGCAGATAGTGCGTAGCAATACCGGCATACAAAGCCTGAACACCCTTGAGGCGCTCCGAGGTCAGAGCGAGGTATGTGCCGGTCTCACCGTCGAGACGCGGCAAGAAGAACGAGCCGCCAACGTCGGGGAAGAAGCCAATAGTAGTCTCGGGCATAGCGAAGACGGTACGTTCAGTCGCAATTCGGAACGGGGCGTGCATGCTGAGGCCGACACCACCACCCATGGTGATTCCATCCATAAATGAGATAACGGGCTTCGAGTATGTAGCGATCAGGTGGTCGAGACGGTATTCGAGTCCAAAGAATTCTGTGGAGGCCTTTTGTCCTTTCTTTCCAGTTTCGTTCTGCAATGCCAGGGCGGCAATATCGCCTCCTGCGCAGAGAGCCTTGGTGCCAGCTCCGGAAATGAGGATCATGTTCGCAAGATGAGACTTCTCCCACTCCTATTCATCCAACGCTTAGTACTGTATCTTCCTAAACTTCCGGGTGTTCATTCTAACCTTCAACCGGGGAAGAATCTTGCGAGCCATCGAGCCGTTCAGGGAATTGAGCTTTTTGGGGCGGTTGAGCTCAACGCTGCGGAGGCCGTAGATCGAGTTAAACAGAACATCGTCGGGCTCATCGCCTGGGAGCTCTTTGGGAATATCCGGTGAAGTCGACATCTAAGACGAATAAGCATGAAATGTCGGGCTTCTCTCCGAGATAGAGTGTATACCATAGCTGTGGCCTTGAAAGCAGGGTTGGTCACCTTGGCGCGTAGAGGCATTGCGGATGGAACGCGCGAGATCCAGCTCGGCGAGGGGAAACGATTGAATTGCCGAAGTAACATGACAACTGGAATATGACGAGAACCAGGAGGGGGTTATGATGTGTTGACAGTCAGATGTTCTCCGCTTTCCTTTGACCTCGGGAGTTTTTTCGCTGGATTTTCTCTCCGCTCCGAGGGCCATCTCTCCGCCCATAACCGACACCACGTCGGAACGATTGACAGCACCCTGGTCAATCTCGGTCTTTTACGACATTAAATTTTAATAAGGTTCAATAGTTTGAATGTGTTTGAACATGAATAACGTATAAAATATTACAATATCTAGCAACTCTGACTCTGGGAGGTGGATAACGTTTGGAGTATAGATCTATTTGTACACAGCTAGATAATGCAAAACAAGAAAGTAAAAATAAAAGTGCCGCGATTAAACCAGACGTGCAGACTTCATCCGGCTAACGTTAAGGGGGTACACCTTGCTTCCGTCCGCCGAAGGCGAAAAGAGGGTGTCCATCTTCGACAAATCTGTCGAATGCGAAAGCAAGATCCTGTGGAGTGCATTCTTCTCAATAACCAATCGCCCGGTCTCCAAAAGATTCTTCACATCCAAGTCCTCGAGGCAGATAGTTCGTGCGTGTTTGCTGAACTTTTCGACGGCATCAGAGAACTTGTCGTTGGGCTGGAGCGTAATGAATGTGGACCGGCCCTTTCCGTACCAGCCGTGAGCCTCAACGAGGTTCTTGACAAAGAACGGAGTCGCTTCTTCGGCGATTTCAATGCTGTTATCGAGGACAATCAATTCACCACGGGCAAGACGGTGGCTGAGGGCAATGCGCCAGGCTTGATCATAGATCTTTCGTGGCAAATCGGTCGAGAAATCACGGGGATGAGGTCCGTGGGCAACACCACCACCTCGTCGGACTGGTGACATCTTATCACCCGCACGCGCACGACCAGAGCCCTTTTGCGCATATAGCTTCCTGTGACTACCGTGCACATCGTCCCTCCACTTGGTGCTGGCGGAACCTTGTCGGGTCGAATCACCTTCGTAAACTACTGCGCGGTGGAGGATATCGTGACGAACGGGCATTTGAAGGAGCCTCCGGGAGTAGTGGAACAGGCGTTCGGGCTTCAGGTCAGGCCACCGGTAGGTCATGACTTGAACAGGGGTTTGGCCACCTGGACGTTCTGCGCGTTCGGCTGGGATAGCATTTTGAGTCGCCACTGATGGTTGTGTCTGGGCTTCGGTTGCCATTGAGCGTGTCAGGCATCGTTGCTGTTGATCTGAATCAGTGACTGTGCCCTGGAATCGAATCTGGAGGAACACATGGAAAGCACTAACCGTCACTTGCTTCGGGCCGGAGAGGAGTCCGCCTGAGCTGCGTGACAGCAGCCTCAGGGACCGTAGAACGTCGTTTCCAGGCATTGTGAAAGCCACTGTGTGATCGACGTATAAGTTGGTGATGTCTGGAGTTGTGAATGGACGAGCAAAAGTTGATCCCGGGCGGTGGGTGCTAGCAGAACCTTGGCGGCCGAACAGAAAAAGTTCCCCCGGAAAGACAACAACATCCGATCCTCAAGGGCAACCCCATCAAAACCCTCAATTCCTCAAATCATGGCCCACTGTGAGCGGGCTTCAAAGCCCCTGCTCCAATGTCTGCGCAACACCTACTCTAGAGGCGTGGCTGGAGTCCAGCTTCAGACGCGAGCCTTCCAGTCGACCGCCAACGTTCGAGAGGCCGAAGCTGAAACCCCGAGTCAACCTTTCCACAAGGCCCCCGATCCATCCCTCGTGACGAGTCCTCGTCTTGAAAGACGTTTGCTGCGACAGGGAACCACTCCTATCGGATCTCGTCGTCGCCGTGCCGCGCTCCAGGGTTCCGACAACATTCCCTTCGAGCAATTGCCTTACCAATGTTTCCAAGAAGCTCGGAAGGTTTTGCTCGCGGATCGTGAAGAAAAATTGAAGGAGATTGAGACGATGAGACAGCGCCTTGCCAGACAGGAGGCTCTGTCCGTCGAAGAAGCCGGAGGAGAAAAGGCCAAGAAGTCCCGCGTTACTGCGATGCAATTACACCTCGAGCGTCTCAAGATTCTTGCCGATATTAACGACCCCCTGGTGAAGCGCAAGTTTGAAGATAATGAAGGTAACTATCTTCGATGCAGTCGCACGGGTTAGGCCAAGGCTAATTGCTCATTCTTTATCATTATAGGTGACATGTCCAAGCCCATCTACCGCTTTTTGGCCGACCGCAAATGGCGCGAGTACCGCCGCAAGATTCTGGTCCAGCGTATCACACAGATGAACGTGATCCCGGATGTCCTGCCTCACTGCGATCCCGTCGTGGAGACAAAGATGTACTTCGGCAAGCGACAGGTTCAAGCGGGTGAATACGTCGAAGCGAAACTCAGCACAAGCGCCCCTAAACTCGACATCCAAATGTTCGAAGGTGGTGAAAAGCTCGTCACCATTGCAGTTGTCGATCCCGATGTCCCGAACGTTGAGACCAACAGCTTCGATTATAAGACACACTTCCTGGCCGTCAACGTGCCCATTTCGGCTACATCCACCAAGGTCGATCTCGCCCAGCTTTTGGAAGATTCCCAGGTTGTCCTCCCTTGGCTACCACCTGTTGCTCAGAAGGGAAGTCCCTACCACCGTCTTTCTCTCTTCATCATGGAGCAGAAGGACTCTCAGCCTCTTGACTTTGCCGCTGTCAAGGCTAAGGAGACCAGCCGCGACACCACTCTTCTTCGCAGCCTTCAATCCCGTTACCGCCTGAAGGCCATCGGTGCGCACTTGTTCCGTACCCAGTGGGACGACACGACCCTGGAGGTCATGAAGGAGATTGGATTCGATGGTGCCAATGTGGAGCTGCGTCGCAAGAGAGTCGAGCCTCTGCCATATAAGAGACGTAACCCCTCTTCCTTCCGCTGATCTTGTTTTCGTCTACCCTGTTTCATCTCCAAGCCATTTGAGTTTAGATATGTATTGTACAATTTGAATATGTATGAATATGCACACTGATTTAATCCCTTTCAACCGAACTCCATGCGTATGCTTAAACAGAACGGACCCGAGTGCATCCATTAACAAGAATCAATGCTCCTCGGTGTGATATACATGATATAATTCTCAAATGCTCTCATCCAATTGCGCCGGTTGCAATGGATTACGCACCCACTCCATTTTCGACGGTGGCCATACCCTCGCGATTATCTTTCCATTAATGAGACCCATGGGTACTGGGCCGTAGTTTCTCGAATCCCTAGACCAGGGAAGGTTGTCGCCAGCCAAAAACACATGGCCTTCGGGGACCTGTACAAATGCCGCAAGTCAGCGATTAAATCAATTGGAAACCAAGACACGCCGCTCACCTGTATCATGTTCCCATCCTTGCCAATATCCATACTCAGCGGCGAATCCTGACAGACAAAATCCCCAGGCATTCCCACCACCCGTTTGGCAACGTTCACACCCCGAAAGTTGGGATGGCCAAATCGCACGACATCGCCGACCTCGATCCCCTTTCCATTGCGGTGTAATCGCGAGATCATGAGCCAATCGCCTCGGACATCGAAGGTAGGGTACATCGACGGGCCCGCGCTGAGCTGGATGGTTATCAGGTGCTCCCAGATCAGTGCGCAGGCGCAGAACGTGCCGGCGCCATTGAGTGCGAGCCGGCCGATAGTTCGCACATTGGCGAACTTTAGCGTAGATCGAAATAAGCGCTCCATCTGTGGTGAATTAGAAATATGGGCTGCATTAGATCGAGCTTGATCAACAATTCCGCGGTGGTTCGGTGACGGTCATGTGACCCACGTTGTCTTTAAATTTCGTTTTTTTGCTCCGCATCTTCTCCTTTTCTCTCATCATCAGCCGACCTATCAAACTGTCCTGTGTCTTGAACCAGCGCTCGATAGGTTTTCTCATATTGGAATATGACATACAGTATCTTTCCAGTCATACCAGCTACCCATCAATGTCTCGTGGGCACTGGGCTGAGAAGATTCTGCATGGAATTCCACTGATACCTCGATTGTTTCGAGCATCTCTCTAATGATGAGAGATGCTTCGGCAGTCGATATCTTTTACATACTACCCCAATCCCCTTCCCCTTCCCCCCATCCCATTCGGGATATTCGCTTCTCCAAATGCTAGAGCTTGCCGTCGCCGAAATACATAACCAGGACGAGCACGTGTGGACAATGAAGCAAGATGAAAATAACCAGCCTATCTTCTGTTAGGTTGTCCTCCAGTGTGCCTCAATCTTGACCCCATTTAATTATGGGACTGGGTTCTTGAGGCATGCATAGTGAGGAGACATCTCAATTAGACAATCTATTATTATTTCCCATCGATCATTATTCTTTCCGAAGTCTTTTCTCGTAACAAATTCACTCAAATTCCCATGATGTATCAGACAGTCTTGGTCCACATCGCATCAGCGTCTAACATCAAAGTCAGTCCGATATCCAAGTACGGCTTAACCAGCAAGAAGCACGACAATACATACCCGGATGTTTTTCCACTGGCTCGATATTCTCCCTCTTCTTCGCCTTCTGCCGATGATCCACTCCAAACCTCTCATCCCGATCCTTTAGCAACGCATCCAACCCTCCAGGATGCGCCAATTTCACTCTCTCATCTGATAGAAAGCTGCCCATAAGCTGCGGCTGACCAAGAGGCACAGGATCTCCCCGATCGACCTGCCAGAAATGATAGATCTTTCCATAGACAGGCGCGAGATCATGCATCTCTGCCGTTTCGGCAACCTCCCACGCAGCATTCGGCATACCAACCGGTGCTGGCATGATCAGCATGCCGCTCTTGATCTCGTACTCGTGCGTATGCCAGAGCTTGCGCTCCTCCGAAGAAAGCGTCTTGAAGACGCGCGGTGAGACCATGTATTCCACGCCGATGAGACGGGCGGTTGCCTTTGGCGAATCATAGATAAGGCATTGACGGACATCTGGGATAGATATTATTGTTCAGTCCTGGATTGTTCGGTTATTGCGATGGAGGCCTGACTGTTATCACATACCCTCTGTCAAATGCGTGCAATAGTGATTAGCTTCGATGCATCGAGTTGGGTCGTTGGCGTAGACGTGGAACGCATTGAGATGGGCGCAGATTTGTTTCACAGGCGTGAAGTCTTGCACCATTGAGGCACCGGTCTCGAGAACTCGACTCTTCGTCGTCCGCGGATCACCTGGGGTTGCGCTGGGATCGCTGCAGGAGCTCTTTCCACAGCTTGACATTGTGTTGCTGTATACCTTGGATTCGAATATGGTGTGATAGTTCCGAGCTGGTCATGAGCGATCTGCACTGTTCTTTTGAAGAACTTAAGAGTTTAGGTCTAGATAGATTGACCAAGTTTCTTGGAACTATGTAACTTGATATTGTTGACGTCACAATGATTGTTGATTTCCTGATCGCTTTCGTCTCCCGAGGACTTCATCGTAGCTTAACGAAGTCTACATAACTGCGAGTATATGGTTGGGAAACTCCCATGGCACGCCTCCAACTGTCTATTCTTTATTCTGCGTATAGGTCCTTGCATGAAGCCAATCGTTCCCGTCGTAGAGTATATGTTACTTGTAGATGGGGATTTCGATATATGAAGTACCCCAGGTGCATGTACCTGGGTTATGATGATGTAGGCTTGTGTTTAAGATGACATACATATGATGGCCGGTGGTGGGAGTCAGCTTCACTGGACTTCTCAGTGCTGTCACCTGGCAAGGAAACTTGATGGGTGCCTACATTTAGGTATGGTTGGCGGCTTGCTAAACGCTCAGTGATAGGCGGCAGCTCCAGCCTGCTTTTGCGAGGGTCACCAGAGTAGCAGAGGCAACCGGCTCCAAGAAGCTCTTTCTCGTGGTTAAGACCCAACGCACGTATCTTGAATCTCATACAAGCTATTCAACCGCACTCCGAGTCATCTATGGCTGAGATGGCGGTTTCGCTGAGATATTGAAGGGTGAATCTGCATGGAGATTAGGAATTTGCCCGAAAAGTGGCTCTCGACAGATGCATATATCATGGCATAGAATAGAATATCGTGCTCAATTTACTAGGGAGAAGCAACGAGGCGCGAGCACCAAAACAGATGTTGCCGTCGCAGATCACGCGGCAGCCACGTGCTCTGTAGATAGATGATTGTATCATCTTTCCTCTTTCTCGTCCAGTGAACCATACAACCTACCATGTACATAAATAAGGGGCATATGTAGTCAAAATGCTTTCACGTCGCAATGATCTCCCCTCTCCACCACCACTCGTCTCACTGAGCGCCTCGAAGCCAATCAATGACGCTACGTTTAATCGTTTCGCGACACTCCTGGCTATCAAAATTCTTGGACGCTTTCGACTGAGGCATGGCAACGTTGTCATGTTGACAAATAGGATATGTGTCAAATATGGGAGCCGCATAGATCTATCAGAAGCATCAGCAATGCTATTTATCTCGGAAAACACCTCCATCCCGGTGCCCAAAGTTCTATGTGCGTTCGTTCATTCCGGCTGCACATACATTGTGATGGAAAGGATTGAAGGAGATATAATTGGCAATGGATGGGTGAGACGGAGTGCAGATTCACAGACGAGACTTCTTTCGCAGTTAAAAGAAATGATCATGGAGATGCGGGAGCTTCAGCCACCAGCAAATACAGTTGCCTCTGTTGACGGCAGATCGCTTTTTGACTGCCGTATTGGAGGTCCATTCATGCGGTTTGGCCCATTTGCTACCATCCAAGACTTTCATCGACATTTGCGCGGAGGTATGGAATTCGATTCCAGGCTCGACCCAGATGTTCAGGACCTTATCAAACGACAAAACAACTCATGGCCAATGAAATTCACTCATGGCGATTTAAGCAGTCTCAACATTCTTGCTCGTGGGGATACCATTGTCGGGATTATTGATTGGGAAACTGCTGGTTGGTATCCCTCGTATTGGGAATACACGACAGCCTGTCAAGTCAATCCGCAAAATTCATTTTGGATCAATGAGATTGATAGGTTTCTACAACCAATGCCTGAGGAGCTGGCAATGGAAAAGATCCGTCAGAGACGCTTCTGAGATGGTCCAATTGTGCTGCCTTGATAAATCATGCAATAATCTCTCGCTGCTCCAATAAGTCATAAGTTGGAGCGTTTCTCATATCAAAGTTGCCCCGTCCCTCAAAATGGTGTTGGTCTTTCTTCCGTTGGCAATAACCCATTGCTTCATTCCACACTCTATCCCACTCAACGATGCTTGTGCCATTACACAGACAAGCAACATGTTGGTAACAGAAAGCTGACACGATACGATTGGGCTTGCTTCCAGTCTACAATCCGACCCTTTCTAGAACGAAACAAAATCAGACGGCAGCAGATTTCACGGTATCCTGCAATGAAAGGGGGGCCACTTGTACCTGCAGACACTCCTCATCAGTCCCGTTATAGCGTCAACAGTAAGCCCGCGCTAAAAGTGGGAAACGAACACTATCATAGAAATCGCTGGCGGCTCAGGTAGCACCACCGAACCGGTCGCTAGCAGCATATTCCTCGTTGAACAGCCTCATTATTGGTTCCGACCCAGAACCAAGTTTCATATCAGTGCAACAGATTCTTCTCGTGTGTGAGCTGAACCTACTCACTCCGTACAGGGTTGCATTGTCAGTATTGGCTTATTTGGTAAAATGGGACAGAGAGTTGATCATATAGAATCTGTTTGACAGGGTTCTAAAATTAAAACTAATTCATCTCAAGAGTGACACGTCTACAACCGAGGTTCACTGATTGAGTCCTGATCGGTCAGAAGATATTGATTCTGACCTGAGAGCTTATAGGATAATCTCTCGTTGTTCCAATAGGTTATAAGTTGGGGGTCTTCTCATATCGAAGATCCCCTGTCCATCGAAACGATGTTGCTCTCTCTTTAAGTGACAATAATCCATTGCCTCATCTCGCACTTTGCTCCATTCAAGGACTCGCGTGCCTAGAGCTTTATCGTCGACATCGAGAGTTTCCAGCGCCTCCTTCACCCACGCAACACAATTCCACCCAGGTCGACCTTGTCGGACAGGCGTATTACGCAGAATCTCGGCTGTCTGGTATCCATTCACTACCTTCCCGATCAAGATCCGAACAAGCAGCATCCCAGAGGTATCAAGAGGACACTCGAGCTCTTCAAAGTGCCATTCGGAGCCTCCTCCCGGCTTAAAGGTCTCTTTTGCGTGATAGCGAAAACCCGTGTTATTCTCAGTCTCAGCTTTTGGCCCTACCATCAGGGACCAATGGTATCTAGTCAGGATATAGTATTAATCTTGCTGCTTGCTCCAAGATACCAGACCTTGGGGAATGTCTCACGTGTCTTCCTTGCCCGGCATGGTGGCTTTACCTCCTCGTGCATGGAGACCAACATAAATCCGGTCTTTGTTAGAAGGCATGGTGATCTTGCAATTGCCGTATATTGAGCAACTCGGGACGAATAGTGCGAGAATTATTTTCACCAGAGATTGCTCAACCCTAATCTGGATCTGGGTACCTTTATATCTTGTGTCTCGACGTTTGACAGAAATGTCAAGTATATAGCTGCTTTTGGATAGTATATGGGGTGATTTGGGTTGGCCCGGAGGAAGATCTCGTCCTTAAAATAGAGCCCAATGGACAGTGACCATCCCAGAGCCTCGCCCACTAAAAAGAGGGGTCGATACACAACCTTGGAAGAGGCCAATCACAGTCCATAGCCCATACCTTAGGTAAAGCGAACAGGCTACGCGCAGCATAAAAATAGACCAACGCCAGTCGATCTTGTGCTTGCTTAGGTACCTAGATATTACCTAAATACTCTATACATCTCAAATCGATCCTCATTGGGGCCTTTCCCAAAGATCCGACGAGGCGAGTGGTCGACTATGTTCCAACGTTAAGAGCACATGTTGATTGGCCGATACAGCGAAGGAAGTACCAAGTCAGCAACAAGACCAAGGTGCCAAGAAGCAGTGATTGGCTCGAGATGCGGAAGCTGCTCTCTCCGACGCAGTGCCATTGACTTCAATTGGAGAATTATTCCCGCAGAGACGCGGCTATCCGTGCGTTGTCTATCCGTGCTTCGGTCACAGACAGCAAGTATCAAGGTCTTTGGGGCAGTAGGCGAAGGCTACCAAGCGCACGGATGGTCGGTGAGGCCTGATCTATATGGCTATTTGGGGGCCAAGGCTCTGGATTCCTTTGGGTGGAGATGTCGGAAACACGAAACCAGACCCGTAGATGATCCAACGCTTGTGGTCCTTCATTGACCTTGGAACTGACAAATTGTGGGAGTGCAAGCTCACTAAGGAGAGCAGTATGGGCCAGTCGTCTGATATTCATCCCAATAGTATGCATGCGAGTTCGAAGCTCCGAAGGGTCCCCCGAAACTGTCAAACGCGTCTGCCCCGGAGTCTACAAACGCCGTCAGTAGTCCTCTGAGATCAACCCACATTTAGCTTACCAGCTCGCAACTGTGTTTTGACATAAGGAAAAGCACAAATTGACGACAGCCGAGCCACCATCGGCACTCGTAGTTCCTATCGTCTTGGGAGTCAATTGTTATGGCGGACACGCAATCAGCGCGGGCCTCTCCACCAAAATGAACGAAGAAGTGGACAGCAACTATTTGGAAGAGATAACTCTCTCTAGCGGGTTGCCTAACCATAGTGACAGACTGACTTCGCGACATTTCTTCGAATCTTACAAGTCCAACAAATCAGCACAATTCTCCAAACCACGGCTGTCTTGACTCAAGGGCGTTAGACATAAAACGAAATATGCAATACACTACTTCTTGATATCATTATCATCCATATTCCCGGTCTAGAGATGATCGAGCCATCCCATCTCTCAACACAATACTCCGTGATCGATATTAGGCAAGATCAGAGCGACATGCATCGAGCAAGGCTTGTTCACGCAGGTACGCCTAGAACGTTCCCATCCAAGCAACGCGATCTGCATAAAGGTATTCGATGACCAGGAAGGCAGCGCGGGCGCCAAATACGCCTTTGATATGGGAGGCCGGGACAATCCCCAGAGTCGATCCAAACCTCGAGCGGACTTGATAGTTGAGTTGCTCCCATTCTCTAACCCGGGCGTTGTATTCGGAGGAAAGAAGCTTGTTTTCCTGGGTGGCTTGTTCGAGCAAGTTCTCTACTTGTTCGCTGGTGACTTGTTCGCATTGAATGTGCTCTGAACAGGCAATAGTGGCAATGGCCTGCTCGTGGGTGTAGCGATGATATTGTGGCTCAGTTGGATACTCGTCGACTCCCATGAGAATTGGCCAGTATTTGGGGTCGCTGGCGGAAAGATCAAGTTTGAGCTGGTGAAGCCATGGACGATAGTTATCCATCCCCCTGAGCTTTGTGCCGATATATGAAGCCGGGGTCTTCTCGGTCGATGTCATATTGGGAATTGACGCGTATGCGGAGATCTGTCGGTGTATTGTTGACGCATGGGGGTGAGAGCAGGAAGGCTGAAATGGTGGGATATTGGATTGAACGACTTAAGGAGAAAGGCAGTTAGATCAATGATCAGTTGGGGAGGCAAACAAACATTTTGTCGGTGACTGCTACTCCCTTTGGACATCAAATTTGATAGCTTGGTTCCTTTGCGCCTGGAGGCTCATGAGAGTCAAAAGTTGCTTCGACTATCTGAAGAAGTGGTCCATAACCTATGATTTAATGAAGTGAACCTGCTGACACTAGATGGTAACATAAGCATATTTCTCGCATCCATCTTACTGATTGACAAGTTTCCATAGGTATATGGTCGTTTTACCTCAGGCAAGCAATATTCCCCAAGTCTTGGTCTCTTCGAGTCTCTTGGTCATTGGGTGCATGAGGAGAGATCTTCCACAGATGACTTCATTTCTACCTTGATGGGGATATTTTCACCAAATCAAACGTCTCTTGGAAGAGGCTCTGGTTATTCTAAGCTATTGTGACTTGATGCTGCTTTTACCTACACTTGTGGTTGGAGGTGCTAAAATAAGGGAATCGTGAATAATGTGAGAGCTTGCAGAGTTTTATTGCTGCTAGAAAGACTACGTACTTTTCGTCGGGGTTTTCCACTTGCTAAATCTGACTTAGTCACAGGGGGTAGGAGAGAGTCAATATTCTCTCTAGGTAATATCGGAAGCATCCCACTTAAAAGATCCATGCCATCCCAGTCTGAGGTATGAGGAAACTGCACCCGAACTGCACCCGAACAGGGACGGTGTTGAGGCATGGACCAGCGGGGCTCTGGACCCGATGAATAGATGTAGTTTAAACACAGTGATAAAAGATGGCATGTACGACCAGAATTCGCCAGACTTGGGTTGAAAAATTGTATGTTTGGCTACAAGATTCGTTCTCGAACATGTCGACGGGCAGCTTAGATTGGTTTATGTGCGATGTCACACAGTCATGATGTGTTGGATGCTTTCAGAGGTTGTGTAAAATTGCGGTGCAAAGAGCAAAGCAAAATTCCTCATGGGTACTGCTCTTTTTCCGAGGAAGATGAGACGTAGATGTCGCCATTAAGGTGGAAATCAAATAGCCATATTTTGGAATGTAGAAGGTCTGACGACAGGTTGGTTGAAGCGAGCGATGCGCTGAAGAATCCCATCGAAAGGCTGTCTGCCCTCGGGAAGACTGCCATCGATGATCTTAGGCTGATAAGACTTGCGCTTGTATGAGGGTATGTGGGTTTAAATCTGATTGAGAGAGTCAGAACCGTCATGGTCCTGCGCCTGTTCCGTCCATATTTGAACCTTGGTCGGATTTCCGTGAATACCAGTTATCAACATGAGAAGACGACCGCAGGATCTTTGGGTTGCCATCTGCATAGACAGCTCTATCTGCAAGAAGAGAGCGACTTTTCGCCGCTAGAAAGGTCCAGGAAGGTTCACGATCCGGAGGTGGAACGGGGATGAGCAAGCAGTAGCGATTGTAACACCCATTGTAGTCGAAATCCTGATGGGCCTAGAAAAGTAAGATAAGCCTCTGAACCAACCCCGAAATGATCATGGATCGGGGACAAGAACATACATGGCTCAAGTTTGTACCGGTCAAAGAATGAAAGCGCCTATAGTTGATGACAAGGCCATCGAAGCTGGTGACAAGGTGATGGACATGCTGCGCGACGAAACCGATATGGCAACAAGGCACTGGCATCCTCGCCCAAATCCTCGCTAACACCGATCCAACCCGAATTCGTACGCCAAAACTGGCGGGCCCAGCCCGAAATCGATAGCGTTTAGTACCAGTTACCCATAATACCCTCAGGAGTTTGAATCCTCGCTATCTCTTTGATTTCACATCCCTCATCTGATCAGATTTTGAGGGAGGCATTGAAGAAAAACGAAATATGGACTTTCAGCGGCAGAAACTCCCACGCCCCTAACTCTGTGAACAAAAACTCGGCTTGCCATTGGGACTCGCCATTGAGGTGTTGTTTGTTCTCTTCATTGATCACTTGTCTCTCACAAAGTCTGTATGCCTGCAAGCCTCCCGAACCTGCAGCTAGTTGAATACCAAGCCCATTGATATTGCGTTGGCTTCCGACTTGTCATTAGCCGACACCGTGTCTTCACATTCGGTCTGCATCTCTGACTTAGGATGACTTAGTCCAGCCAAAACACGGCTGAAAACAGTATTTTGATGACCGGGGAAGCAGATCCCATAACGGTTTTCATGTGTTCATCGCTCCGAACGACCACTGAGAGACTGAGACGGAAGATCTCGGTCCAGGATCGCACTAGGCGCCTCGCCATCGGATTTTTGGGAGCAAAACCAGACTGGTAGATTGCATCTCAAGCGCATTATCCCCGCAATCTGATTCAATCTGCGCATGAAACTTATGCTACTTGGAATGCACACTGGATTAATTCCACCTCCAATTATCATAGATAAGCGCTTACTCCTGGGTGTATCCCCTGACCACTCTCTCCCGGGGAGGGATGAGCTCTGTTCTGCAACTTCAACTGTTTAGTCCCACTATTTGTCCTCATGGCAAAAAGAAAGACTGTGCGATCTTTGGAATGAGGCTATCGCACGTCGGATCTGGGAGCAAAAAGAAGCAAAAAGCCCCGTAGCTGATTTGATGAGGATGATTTGTTGAAGAACCAATGTGAGATATGAAGACTCATCGATGAGTCCCAGAAGCATTGTGGTGGTTTTGTTTTATCCTGCGTGTGACGCGATCTCAATGTCCCCTTTATTTGTGCCACCATCATTTGACCGAACTCATGAGTAATATTCTCAAGCCTGTGAGTGGCAATGGCTTATGGATAGTGTCGAAATATGAGACAAATAAGATAGTTGGCCTGCTGCTGAGATAGTCTCGGGGGTTAGACTGCTACCCTGGTTGACTTGGTCTCCCAAGATGACTTCTTCTCTGTTGAACATATATCACTGGTTTTGCTCCATCTTCGTGTCTCATCAAGACTGAGATGTTGACTCGAAATCAATGCCGTATGATGGACAAGTGCCACCAGACTGGGCTACCGAGGTAGACTCGAATGTCAGATATTCCGGGGGGCTTCTCTTGTGGGAAACCTTCGATTGGAAGAAACGTGTGGAGGTAGGGAGATACATACCTGTCATGAGGGCGAGTGGGTAGACGATTTGTCGAAGTCGACAAACGACAGTGAGGTCATGTGAGAGAAGTCATTACATAGAGGTGTGGGTTCTCAGAAGAGGGCAAGCACGACCACAACTTGAAGAATTGCACTGTCGGTATCAAAGTTGTCTTCGAAATTCGGGATATCAACAATTCTTCTCGTGGCTAAAAACAAAAGAAAGAAGGTAATGGGCAATAGACAAGAGCAACAAAGATACTTGACGCTGAAGGAAGCATCCGGTTGCTGCGCGTTGGTGGCGACCAACAGCCGCCTACGTTTCCGTGCAAGTAAGAGTCATATAAACTAGATGGATCATATCAGCAGATACTACGACCTTTTTCTTCTTGATGTTATTCTCTTGACTTTAAGCCTCTCTTTATTCGTATGAGTTGCTTCCAGTAGCTCTTTCACTAACATGGAGTGTTCCTTGTTTCCATCTTGAGATCATATTTGAATCATTGAATAGAGCCATCTTTCTATAGCCCATACCATTTGTGTCCATCTCTGTTATTTCCTATAGACGCCTCTCTTTTACTGACGACATTTCCTCTCGTGACCTCGAAATTAACACTCGTATGCGTGTATATAGTGATGAAAGGACTTGATATGTGGCATTTAGTATACCTATGATATCGTCTAGCATTCTGTGCTTATGCGGCTCTCGAGGGGCCTTTTTACGTCATTTCCAACATTTCCCAATCTCTCACTCCCGATCCTTTGCATGCTAAGACCAGCAGGAGAAATCCCTACATGGTTTCACACATGAGGGATAAAACCGGCGATTATCCGGGTCCTCAACCTGTGCCTAAACTTCGGGAGTATCTACCGGTTTCTTATCGTCGCAAGGACCTACCGCATACACCCTGGTACATCTACAGAGTATCGTGAAACATGCGGTGTGGTAGAAGCCGCCCTGAAATGCTGTTTCGGTCAAAGCCCCCAGAATCCTTTCCCCGGTCGTTGTCCGGACACTATATCAAAAGATCCTGAGCAGGCGATGCCAGCGGTGAAGGTCCAATTATATCCCCTGTATAACCGACGCTAATTCCCAGTACATTAAACGTAGTCAGCACACTTTAGACCGGAGGCATGTCGATATAATAGTCCCAGCTAAGGCGCTACGAAACAGTCCTGCGCATCAACACCTCACTATGTTGTCGATTCCGCCAAGACAAGCAGCAAGAGCATTCAAAAAAATGGGATAAACCGGAATGAACCAACGACTTGGCAAAAGGCCCAGTCGCACGGCCTCCCAACGGTCTTTTCGTCTCACGGGACAACACCTGCAATTCTCAAGTAAATTAAACCCCTCAAAGACCCTCGGTCCTCGCTCAAAAAAAAAGCCAAGTATCAAATGAGAGCCATAAAGAGCACACGCAAGAGCTCACATGATATATATCCTTAGTACGGAGTATCAAAACGCAACTTACCAACTAATCATAGCGCATTTTCATCAAATTAATGAGCAAAGCCACATTGAACTCGCTACTCCACAAAAACTCCACTCCTGATCTACGAAATTGCACTCGCGTAAAGTGTAATATCCGGTCTACTGCAATGGCCAGTGCCCAAAATCAATAATGCGCGCATCGGTAACACACGAAGCGGAAATCTTTGGTACCCTCCGTATAGGTGTGTATCCACTCCCACTGTGCCGTTAGAGAGGGAATGAAGCGGGAGAGGGACTTCGTTGGACTCTATGTCCAATATGGAAATGATGCTCGGTGATGGTGGGGTTACGACTGGCGCTTTGGTGTCGGAGGGGTATTCCCACTGCTAATTGTGGGATGGTTTCTGGG